CCTAACCCTAACCCTAACCCTAACCCTAACCCTAACCCTAACCCTAACCCTAACCCTAACCCTAACCCTAACCCTAACCCTAACCCTAACCCTAACCCTAACCCTAACCCTAACCCTAACCCTAACCCTAACCCTAACCCTAACCCTAACCAAACGGGCGGGGGCACCGGGAAAACAAGAAACCCCCCCCCAAAACATCCCGAGGGACCTCCGGGACGGGCGCAAGATACCGTTATATAGGCCCGGGAGGCAGGGTGACTGAAGTGTCATTCCAGCTGTCTGCGGATGTCCACTGGCCCAAGCCTGTCAAAGCAATTGGCCATCTGTGCTGCCGAGCACCTCCATTGGCACCCCCTGCATACCCTGGTCAGATGTGTTGTACAGAGTGGGACCTGCATCTCCAGTGCTGATATACTGTAGTTTTTCGACCTTAGGTTCGGTCCCCTGTCCACCCCCCCTCACGAACCGAACCTCCGTGGGGTGGACAGTCCCCCCTCTAGTCAGGCCATCGAACTTAGGCAGGGGGACATACCGTTGAATAGGCATAAATATGATTAAATCACTAGAAAATCTTAAACAAGTCCTATTCAAAGCATTCTGAAAGCCTATGCTGCCATTGTTGACTGTTAGACACCCCATGTAATTGCTCAAGTTGTTACTTTGATCCAGCTACTTGCGGAGAATTACTGACCACATCAGGCTCATTGTCCATGCCAGGAGCCATGCGGAACCCAGAGCCCCCAGAACTCAATCAGTGAGACTGTGGGAACTTAGCCACGGTGAGTACTTTAACTGGCAAGGCGCTGATTCTGAGCGTAAAGTTGGAGCGGGGTCACAGGGACGAGCCCCACAGCAGCTTAAGCACCTGTGCCGACAACCAACTTGAAGTTGGTTGACTTTGTCACTCGATGTCGGGAATGTTCTTGAGAGCGCTGCTGGAGCCTTAGTCAAAGTATATACAGCATGTTATTTTGAATTATGATTGTCTTCGCTGTCAGTGTTGAGGCCGAGGGCTAATCAAAATCTGAAGCCTGAGCGAGCACGAACTAACTGTCCACCCTCGGTTTGGCCCCCTGAACCTATAGGGGGGGGACAGACGGTTATGGAAGGTGCGTTAAAGCTCCGATTTCCCACGCCACCGTGAACCTAAGGTCGAAAAAGTACAGTATGTTCATTCGGACTGGGTGCACAGCAGGAGTCCTGGATGGACAAGTCAGTATAGCACTCTGAAGCATGTCCAGTTGTGCATGCTGCTTAGCAAGTGTCCTTGATGAACAATCTGCCACCAGTCCAGAAGGCCATTTGGTCTGACCTGCTGCACAGCAGGTGTCGTGGACAGACAGTTCACCAGTGGTGTTTGGTGCCAGGGTCCAGACCCTGCTGGCTGGCTGAAAAAATGGGAACCCTAGGTGAACCCTGCAGGTGCAGCAATCCGTGGTGTGTACTCCAACAGTTGTAACTTTTGGCTCATTCATAGTCAAAAAGTCAGTGAAAAGCTCCGAAAAGCGGCCTGTTAATTTCCTGCTTGACAACAAAAGGCAATAGAACTGTAACATATGATAGGTAAATAGTAATGTAAGAGGTAGCACAGAGGTAGGTACCAGTAGCGACAATCAAGGTGATTTGGTTTTGCTGTGTAGATGTGAATCCTATGAGACAAGATATGCAATGAGATATGTGGGAAAAAATGAGTGTGTAACACAAGGTGGACGGTATGAACGTGGTTGGCAATGGTTAGCAGGTTGATGAGACGTGAACATGAGATGGAACAAAATAAACACAGAAATAAGTAATAAAAAGCGGTCATGTATAGTTGAGGCGGATGAGGATAAAGAAACAGAAGGAGGAGCAATGAGGGTGAAGCAGAAAGGAGTCTAGCGCCGCCGTAAAGGTTCTGGTGCGTCGAGACCGTGCGTAGGCACGTAGTCGGGATCAATTTCGTCGCACTTCAAGTGCAACAACAGCGTGTGCACAAATATCTGCTCGTACCTGCACGTGGTTCAGCATTCGACTTCGATCAACAATGAAACCTCGAAAGCACTCACTGAGCATTCACAAACACGACCGCCATATTCTCGCTCGGGCACCGAAGGAGATTGGGCGCCATCACGAGCGCCAAGTTCGCACTCGTCATCTTCGTCACGCGGCAGACCTTCTCCTCGAGGAACATCTGCAGGAAACTGACGACGAACAGCAGCACCCGCCGGTTCACATCCGGCAAACGACGCACGATATCCACGCACGCCCGCGGGTCAGCCGCAACCGCAGCCGCCGAGCTCGTCGCAAGCACAGCAGGGAGCACCGTCGGACCAGGCGCAGCCGCCGCCTTCGACGCAGGCATCGCAGCCGTGATGCACTCGTTGTACATCTCCGCCGGCACAAGCGGATCAAGCAGCTCGCGGAGCCACAGCTTCAACAAGCTCGCGAGCACATGCGGATCGTCCACGCCCTCGACCGTGTACCGCCCCGTGTCGAGTCGCAGCCTGAGCCCCGCGACCGTGTCGTTGTCCCCGGGCACGCGGAAGATGCCCTCGGCGCGGGTGCCGCCAAGGAGCAGGATGCCGTTGGCGAGGAAGGGCAGCACGACGGGCACGCGCTCGTCTGGGTAGCTCTCCGCCTGGAGCTGCATGCTGCCCTCGAGACTCTCGCCGAACGTGCACTGCGCAAACGCGGCGTCTGCCGCAGCTGCGATCTCTGCCGTGCTGAGCGGCTTCCCCCGTGGGCCCTTCCGCACGATGGCCGCGAGACGGCGGAGGCAGTGCTTGGCCATGAGGTCGGCGCGCGCCTCCTTCTGGGCGGTATGCGAGGTGAGGAACGCTCGGAGGGGGTCTTCAAAGTCTTTCGAGGGCGGGAAGGAGACGAGGAGGACGCAGAGGAGCTGCCAGCCGCGGAAGACGCTCTCGCTGGCGACGGCAACGCGCACGAAGTTAGAGACGCGATCAACTGAGATAGAATGAGGGAGCGCACGGAGTAGGATTCCCATTCAACTGCTTCATCACCTGGCAATAGATCTCGTCCCGCAACTCCCCATGTGTCAACCCCTGCGTGATCAACCACCGCTCCTCCTCGACGATCGATGACGCTTGCAGCGAACCCGTTGACGAGGTCGGGTGCGACGTACCGCGATCGCGATCGCCCATAATAAGTTGGATAACCTTGAAGATCCTGATGGCGTCCGTGGATAACTTGCGTTGGTGCTCGAGAAGCCCCGAGCTGAGTGCGTGCTGTGTAACAAGCGCTCGGTTAGACAAACGCACGAGTAGTGTCAACGTAACGTGAGCGTACCTTTTGCCAGGTCATCATTTCTTCCACCGGCACGCGCCTGCGGAATATGAAGCCTGTATGATGCGTCTTGAAGTAACGCCTCGCAAAGTCCGAATCCGCGAATTTCTGGATATCTGTTACGAGCTCCACCGGGAGAGAAGGATGAGGAGCAGCGCTGCATACGCAAAGAAAGCAAAGCATGGAGGGAAAGAAGGGGGGAGGACAGGCGAAGACGGAGAGAAATAGGTCAGCCAACCAGCCGAAGGTCGTACAGGTATGTGTTCACAGCAGGTAAATATAGAACCGAGGGACCGAACAGTCAGGACATATGAACGGGATCGATGGGGTAGCCAACGAGTTCATCGGGCATGAGGGTGTGTCGGCGATCAGAGCGGGGTATAATCAGCTTTCTATCACGAGGACAGGATAAGCGCGTACGAACCCGTGGTGGCCATTCGAATGCCCCCTCGTCGACGAGGACAAGGATTGCGTTGATCCAGTCATATTGCGCGGCGGGGAGTATGAAGACGGAACTGGTGGTATCGGGATGGGCTTGCCCGGCGCACGATTCTTGAGTGGGCTCATCTTCAGCGTCGCCTCTATAAGAGGTTCAGTGTCTGATCGTCAAGAAGACAATTAGAACTCACCCTTGTCAAAAACCGGCGCACTAATGCTCTTGCCCGAAATCGTCCCCCCACCTCTCATCCCACCCGCTCCAGGAGGCGTTGACGCGGACCTCTCTGGTCCAGCCGTTTCATCTCCAAGCCCGTTCGCATACCGCAGCGGCGACAGTGCGCCAAACTCGCCTCTTGTCGGCGAGAGCGCCTGCGGCTGGCGACGCATACTCGACTGCGACGGCCTCGGGCCCAGCGTCGAGGATCGCACCTGCGCCTGCATGGATGGTCTCTTCTCTGCCTTTTCCGCTGACTTGCGCCCGGAGTCAGTCGTGCTCGAACGCGGCTTGTACGCATTCGGCTTGCCCGAGAAGGGCATTGCGATGCCGCCTCCACCGGACTTCCTCCCCTGCTCTCTCTCGCGTTCGTGACTTCCCCGGCCCTTTGACGACGCCCACGATACGCCGCCGCCCTTTTGCGATCTGATCGTGCCGGTGCCGTGTCCGCTGTCGGACGCCGCCGCCTGTACAAGTGATTCGACGGCGGCACCGAGCGAGTTGTCGCGATTTGCACACGAATGTGAGCGCGCGCGCGAGATGGACTCGCGCCTGACGGTCCCAGTACCATTCTGCTGCTTCGTCGGGGTGGTCTTCGGGGACGGTTTGGTTCCCGAGCTAACGGTGGAAGCCGAGCTTCGAGCGCGCAACGACTTGGACATCGTCGAGCTCGAGCTTCGTTTGGAGATTGGGGACGTCGGCGAGGTAGGCGAGGTCGTCATCTCGGTCACAAAGCCATCGTCGTCTTCGTCCAAATACTGCTCTTCCAACCTCGCCATCGGGTCCCCGTCAGAGCTCGCCGCGCTGCCTGGGATCGGCGACAGCCTGTTCGCCCTCAGCCTATTCCTTTCTCGGGCGGTGCTGTTGACTTGTCGGAGAGTAGGGCTAGGGGAGCCGCCTGGACTAGAAGAGGCACGGGTAGATGTGGAGATTCGCGGTGGAGAGGCCTGTGCCTGTTCATTTGCGGCGGAGCGGGTGCGGCGAACGGTCGGATGGCGGGCAGGTGGAGCGCCTTTAGTGGGGGAAGGGTCATTCTCGTCGATGCCAATGAGCGACAGACGCTTTCCGAGGGCTGTTTGCTGGAGTCGTAGGGCAGATCAGAGTGGGGTTCCATAGATCTTTAAAATAGTGGGGAGGATGAAGACATACCTGAACGATGCCCAGGGGTATGACAAACGGGGCGTCTCCATTCTCTATCGCCGTCGGGCGCTCCCAAACTGTCTCTCCGGTCCTGGTATGATAGTAGTATGGCAGCCCGCCGCGAGTGGGGTCTGAGAGCTCCCACCACTCTCCGTCCGGCGAAGGGGGTAGGCTATAAAGAAGACGCAATGAACGAGTCAGTGAGGGGAAAAGAGTAGATGAGAAAAAAGAGGAATAGAACGTACACGAAAGTACCTGCGGGTGGATCCCAGCTAACCTGACCTGTGGCAGGGCACGCGAAAAAGTGATTACCCGTCTGAGGGTCGACGAGGGTAGTCCAGAAGTTGGCGCCCCATGCAGACGAGTGCTTAGCGAGAGGTCTTGACGAGGCAGGTGGGATATGGGCGATGTTGCGAGCCTGGGTACGTGGGGATGGTTGAGGGTGGATCTGAGACTGAGACTGGGTTGGTGTCGGAGGGAGGTTGATAGAGGTGCGGGGGGAGGGAGGGATGGGTTCGCCGTTGATGCTGACCTGGGGTGGTGGTGAGGAGAGGGTTGCTGTTGAGGTCATGATTGTTTCGCCCTGGAGGGCAGAGAAGAAAAGACTAGAGGGAGTGTGAAGGATCGGAGGGATAGTACGCTAAGGCTGATTTGGCTGGAGAGTGTCAAGAAGAGGAACGTGATTCCACGTCGGGTCCAGGGGAGGGAAAGAAAGGACGAATTAGTGAGAAAAGAGTATATGATATCGAGGCACGCGCAAAACACGCGGACCTCACCACGAGGCAAACACAAAATGAAAGACGAGGACGGAGGAGCACTTCATCAACCCTTCCCTTTTCAGGCAATTTAACCCCTCCACCGCCGGGCCTTTTCTCCGCATCCTCGACCTCGATCGTCGACCATGACTGGATCAATCTAGCATATATCCTCGTGACGTGGCACCCTTTCCTCGACATCTCCTTGTGTAAATCTCCCTTCATGTCCATTAGTTGAGAGCGTATCGTCTTCGTCTACTACAACGACAGCTTATCCTCCTCGTGCTCAGCTTTCCGACCATAACTCCGTCCTTTACCCTTCCACCGAACGTCCTCGTTCTCAAATTCCTTCCCCGCCCAACGATCAAAGGCCCACCCATCATCGTCCTCTTTCAACGCAGACCGCTTCCAATCCTCGTTCTCCGCGCTAAACCTCGACGGCTTCTTCACCTTCTTCTTCCCCCGAGGCACAATCAGCTCCTCGATCTTCTTCATCAGCTGTGCACTCTCCCCGCCCTCCAGATTCGCCCTCAACACCGCCCCAACCCCGTCCTCCTGCTCGACCCCGTCCATCCACTGCTCCCTCGTTCCCACCTCCCTCCTCACCTGCTCCACGATCCTCCGCGTCTTCTCATCCACCCGGACCGCGTTCGCCCGCATCTCCGTCAGCGCGTCGTGTACCCCGCGTAAATCGCGGAAGCATGTCCACCGCGTCAGGATCAGCTCGTTGTACGCCGGTGTCGTGCATCCGAACACGTACGACGGTATCGACCGTTCTGCCGCGTGCTTGAACACACTCAACGCAACGTGCGGGTCTTGGTACTTGTCCCGGAACGTCTGCATCAGCTTTGCTAGTAGGTGTGGGTAGGCGGCGGGATGGCGAGGGAAGGCGTTATCCTGCGCAGGAGCTTGAAGTGGTGGTGGGGTAGATGTAGCCGTAGAGGACGACGTGTTGCTTGACTCCGTCTCTGTACAAGGTGCCGCATCCGAACCTGTCGTAGACGAAGGAACTAGCGTGGTTGTTGCAGTCTTCGCGCCCTCCGGCGGGCCAAACAAGTTTTCCATAGCCCAGTTCAGTAGCTGCTCGTCCGTGTCGCACATATCCATCTCCTCTCTCAAACTATCCAGCTCCTCGTCGTCCGCGCTCGTCCACTTGATCTTCCGGCTCTGTTGCCTCAGAGTAAACATATCCGCTCGTTGCTGGGCCGCCCCGCTCCTGAGCCGCCCTCTCCCTATCCCAATAATCGGCACCCCCTCCTTTGCCTTACCGTCAGGCCAGAGAGACAGCGGCGCGCGCTCTTGCTTGTCGACGGCGTTGAAGATGGTGTTGAACATCTCGTCAAAATTGCGCACCTCCTGCGCCGTCATCGCCTGTCTGCGTGTCTGGCGCGACGTCCCTGCCGCTGCCTGCGCGTCTCCGTCTGAGGTAGAGGAGGGCTCGAGCGGGTTACGCGGCTGCCTTCGCGAGTTGGGTAGGGCAGGTGGCTCGGAGGGGATGTCCGACATGAGGTGGTCCCATGGTGAGGCGTCTGGTGAGAATATGGACGAGGACGAGGACGAAAGTCTTGACTGAGACTGAAACGAAGGAGAAGTTAGAGTAGAGTGGAGAGCGCAGCGAAGGAGTTGGCGCTGTAGTGCTCTGGTGCATAGACCGCGGGTGGCGAGCATAATGTTTGCTCGAGTGTGTCGGTGCAAGAATTGCCCAGGTGATGCTCTGCGGCCAGGAGGAACGCGTCGCGTGAAAATTAGCTGCTTGTGTGGATTACACACTTATCAACTTCCGTATTATGAACCTCCTATAGGGCGCTATAGCTAAGTGGTTACAGCGACAGATTAGAAATCTGTTCCTCTTGGAGGGCGCAGGTTCGAATCCTGCTGGCGTCGTGTTGTGTTTTGCACTTTTCATCTTCACTTTTTGCTGCAATGTCGTTTGAGCTCTTACTTTCAGAATGCTCGATAATAAAACATGGTGCATTGTCTACATTAATTGCTACGATACAGTCTTCGGTAAGCTCTCGATGCACTCTCTCATCAGTCTCAGCGTCTCCCCCTTGTCGTACAACACACAAGCACACTCAGTGCCAGGACACTTGGCCTCCCAACATGCCTTTGCCTCCGTCCACTCCAACAGGCCAGCATTGACCGTATCCCCAAGCGGACGGATATCCATCTCCAAAATAACCCGATACTTGAGTTCCCTCCACGCACAATGATCAATCGGCCTCCTGCACCTCGGACACGTCTGCATCCCCGCCCCTACAAACGGAGGCTCGTCCAGCCTCCTCCTCAGCCCCTCCCGCCTGTCCCGATGCAGCGCAAACAGCGCGAGCACCGCGTCCGTCGACAGCTTGCGCAGCACCGGCCCGTGCGCCGCATCGTGCACGTCCATCGCGAGCGTCTGCGCGCTCGCCGCGCGCGCCTCCGCGTCCCACCCGAAGCGGCTCGCGGCGGCGTAGATCCGGAGGGGCTCCGCGCTGAGTGGGGGCACGGCGAGCAGGATGCGCAGCAGCGCGAGCGGGCCGGGCATGTCGTACTTTTCGGCGGCGAAGAGCAGCGCGTCGAGCGCGTCGTGTGTCTGCGGGGGTGTGATGGGCTGGCCGCAGACCATGCGCAGGAGGGCCTCGAGTGTGGGTGCGTCTTCGTCGAGGGCGATGGTGTCGGGGTGCGTTGTGGACGTGGACATGGACGGTACGAGTGTGAGCGCGGACGAGGTGGAGGTGGAAGGGGATAGGGGGCGCTGTGGGAGCGAGAAGAGGGAGCGGAACCAGCCCGAGGTGGTTTTGAGCGTGTAGGAGTGCACACGGAAGAGCGCGGTCTGATCTTTGGCGGCGAGGATGACGTCTGCGTCCGGAGAGGAGAACTCGGGGTGCATCTGGGGCTCGCGAGGGCGCTCGATGACAGGGTCATCTAGAATGGTTTCAACCTTGGGGAGAGGGGTTATGCTTCCTTCCATCATCCTACAATACGATATGAATAGGACTTAGAAAAAGTATAGGGTGCGGCTCACTTGAAAATTGCGGGTCGAGGAGTCGAGGAAAGGAGGAAAGGAGAGGTTGTGCGGATCGATAGGAGACCTGGAGACTTAATTACAGAACGGCCAATAACAAGATCGTCGCAAGTCAGTAGATGGTCAGGTGTTCGACGGGGTTAGGGCAGCAGGTGGCCTAATAGACTTTGTAGGCTTTCGAGGCAAGAGTGAGGTTGCCCGTGGACAGAGATACGGATCCAAGTGATGAGCACAGGACTCGCCGTGTTGTTGATCAAATCATTGACTCTGGCCTATGGAAAGCGTTTGTGTTTCATTGCAATTGAGAATGGAGGACATCCGGCGAGCGCGGCCGCCCCGGACGCGGTGTCACTGCCACACACCGCAATCAAGTAAACTGCTTACACTGACTCATAATACTCCGGCCACTGCAGCCACAATACTGCAATGATTGCATCTATGGTGGGGCATTAGTCGATGTTTCCAGGGAAAACATGTCAAAAACATTTAAAATGTTTTGCTCAAAAGTCTAAATTTGGAAGGTGACCTTCCCAATTGGGAAGGTTTCCCTCGAAACATTTTGAATGTTTTCCACAAAAACATGGGCAATTGCCCCCAGTGTTAGTTGTCGACCACCACCATCAATCCGGGCTGGGTGAAGTCTTGTCTCCATCCCTTCTTTTGCTTTGCTCCTCACAAGAGCGAGAATATGCTACAATTGATCGGTATATTGCACTTTGGACTTCTCTAATCGTACACTATCATGATCTCCGGGTTATACAGTGTGCTGTGCCTGACGTGGTATCTCGCATCTCATTTAGCGTTATTCTTCTCCTCAAGCAGTTTCTTCGCCCGTTGCACAAAGTCGTCAAGCACCTGCACATCTCCATCCGCTTCATCCTTCTCCTTCTCATCCACTGCGCGTTCTATCCGCTCGTACAGCCTCGCCAACCCACGATAGATATCGCCCTCGGTACCTGGCGGTCCTACGAAAGCCCCTATCTCCTCCATTTCTGCGATCCACCGGTATGCTTTGGGTACCATACCCGGCACGCTGTTCGTGAGCCTCGTCAGCTGCGGGAGCTGAGACATCCCGAGCTCGTTCATGAGTGCGGCTGCAGTGGCAGGTGATGAAGCGTGAGCCGCTGTACATAAACTCCTAGTTAGTAATTAATCGTTTTACTTCCATGAGGGCTTGACATACCTAAGACCATCGTGGCGTACAACCCAATAGTGCCCTTTGTGATCCCAGCGTAACTCATCTTCAGAGCGCTCGCATCGCCAACACCGACTCCCTCGCCTCTGAGCGGTATCACCCTCAGTCCCCACTGTTTTCCCAGCTCCTCAAACTCGTCGAGGGCAGCAGTATCGCTTGCCGAAGCGTAAAACGCAGGATCGTACCCTTCCTTCGGTGGCCCTCCAATAATCCCCGCATCCACAAACCTCACATTCGTCCCATGCAGCAACGCAGCTATCCGCTTGGTCGTCTCCGGGCTGACAGCATTGCAATCGACAAACACGAGCTTATCTGTCGGCTTTGTCTTCCCGACCGCGTCGCGTATGTCCTCGGCCGTCTTGACGGCATCGCGGGGAGGGAGGATGCTCAGTATCCAGCTTGCATTACCAACTATATCCCTGAGCGACGCATCTCTCATGCCTGCATCCGCTGCGCGCTTGTGTGTCGCGGGAGAGCGGCCGGCAAGCGTCGTGAGGACGGTGCACCCGCTGCGGAAAAGGCGGGCGCCAACAGCTGCGCCCATGACGCCCGGCGAGAGGATAGCGATCGTTGGCGCGGACATGACTATCGCTGGCTAAGAGGTGGTGGTGATGGCAGGAGTGAGTAAGTACTCGGAGCGGGAGTCCGAAGAGTTGTTATCGTTCGGTGGAGAGTTCGGAGAGTCGGAACGTCGCTGAGTTCAGGGGCTAATGGCGTAATCGGGCTCGTGGGAATAAGGGCCTTTCAATGTACAGCAGCTTACAACGTCGTTGTCACAACGTTGTCCGTCGACGGAATGTTGCATCTCATAAGTGCCACTTTTGAGTCGCAAGCTTTCCGACGGCTTTCTATTCAGCAGCTGTGTTCATATGGGAATGCATGATTTTGCGCTGGAACATGGCAATTCAACATTTCGTGTTGAGTACTTCTTCTGGCAGCCGCTCACGTTTCCTCGTTAATTTCTCACATAACATATGGGACATACTTCAAGATAAACACTGTGCGCGTTTCAATGACATAAACTTATGGATAATACCAGTAGGAATTGTGAAGCCTCGGATACTCTGACTATTGGGCTGAATCTCGATTCATGAGTACTTCGCGTTATGGGATGAGTTGTTCTCAAAGATACAGATACTATGTTTACAGAACCGTGGTAGTCAAGGTGAACGTTCTTTCTCACCACACTAGACTCTGCTGTGGCTTATCCAATCCCGGGCCAGCCCAACTATACGGTCACTAATGGCTAATTTCTCTGATTCTGTTACTATCAGCATTCGAATACGCGAAAGGTGATTTAGCTGTGAGCTCCCCTGACCATATGACATTCCTCTTCCATTTTGTTGGTGGGGTAGTATTTCTCAGCGCTAAACTCACCGGGTCCTCGGTTTAAGACTACACGTTCTTTCCGACTTCTCTTCCATTGTTTGTCGCACATTCCCGCGACTCAGACCTGAGGTACAGGGAAACGACCAATGATTCACCAAAGGATCCTCGTATCTAATTAAAACCTTAACTACACTCGGGCGGAAAAGCAGGTTCCGGAAAGAATTTGGAATAGAAATCTCTTTATATCGAGTAGGCGCCTAGAACGTTGAAAAGATCCAAAATGTGTATGTTGGCTATTCTGGGCATCATATCCACGTTCGCATCATCGGCGGTACCCGCATAAAACTTGAGCCTCCATGCACAACCGTGTCTCACCCTGAAATTTGGACTGAGCGGTGATCAACATATTTTTATCCGAACAAGTCACATCTCTACAGCTGTTCAATCAAAGTCAAGAACACGCAGAGCGTTTACTTCAATATGAGCTCATTTGAATGCCGAAGTTGTTAGGAGGTACATGAGCCAACGGCGAATGAACGGTCCCGAAACCTTTGGATAGATCAACAAGAATACCTCAAACCCTTTCATTCCTTTCGTCGCTCTTAGCACAAAACTTTCCTGTGAGAGTGCAACTAAGACTTAAAATCCCTACGGCGATCTTTTGGTGAATCTCCGGTCAACTCGCAGCTGCCTCATGTGTCAATAATCTTTTGGCAGCTCCAACTCTCGACCAGATGATTCTCTACGCGGTCAGGCCACACATGGAGTACAACGGATTTAATGACGCATTCGAGGCTGCTTCAGTCATTCAATGAAACATGATGCGTGATGGGGCCGCAAATTATTATGTCCGCGTGTACTGGCCTCAATCCGGCATTTCATGGGTGCTATCTCGCTATAAACGAATCGCGTATTTCGCACACGGGGGGCTTGCTGTGCAGCCTCTCTTTCTCTGTAGCCGCGAATATTGAAAACCAACTCCAACATTAGTAGTTAGGCGCTCGAGAACGTTCCAGCGCTGTGGATGCCTTTGTATAAATACACAATGACGACGGCAGTATCTTTATTGCTTCGTGATGTATTCCACTCAAGCAGACACATCCCTTTTACTTCAACAACTTCTGGGTCGGGTAAGCCACACATTATTATGAGTTGGCTCATTTGCACTCACTAGGCCATTACTATTTCTAGCTCATGACATGTACGTGCGTTAGCTCTCCTCAAATGAGAAATAGAGTCCTGAACACTGGAGCGTGGCAGGCGCAGGGACAAGTGTTTTGGTGAGTAATTTTGCGTGAGGATGAAATGCTTTATATTCCTGCTAAAGTGATAAATTTGAGATTTGGGATATTCTAATATCTCTTGATCAAGAAATCACCTACATATGGTGTGGTAAATGGTCGCTGGTCAAAGCGCTGTACCTGTCGTCAAGATATGGAATATGTATTGTGGCGGCCATCGAGATGTGGTTTGGTAAGGTCTTCGATTTCTGCATCCCTCCAAAACTCTTAATTGCCTTTCTTGAAGTGGTACTCTCTCCTAACATCAGTGGTCCGGCGTGCACTCGGATGATTAGTGTTACCGTGTGTGAGATTCTAAGCTGCTCAAACACAATAATCACTGTAACATCACGCGCGTAGTCCTTCACATCGGAGTTTTGGCACTATCAGAACGTAAGTATTTTCCCAAAGAATACATGTATGAAATCTCACTGATTATTAGTCATTCTGATTATACGCACATGGGCCGTCTGGAAACAAGGACGAGCTGTCGGCATTTTTCTTGCCTCCTTCACTTTTCTTTGCGACATCGTAGCAGTTTACACTGCGGTAAGGTTTATTACATCAGTCGGAAGTGAGCAATTTCACGGCCCTTGGTAGCAACATTGAAACAAACCTGCCTCATTTCTAGCCGTAATCAATGTGAACGTCAATACTAACTCATCTGGATGTCTCGGAATTACCCAAGGTCATTGGCTCAAACTGTCATGGGCTATGATGCTTTGCATGGACACGGGTAAGCAGTAATTCGAATCACAATCTCTTCCCGCATTAAATGTCTATTACCCTTTGCGCAGCCTGTCTAATTCTTCTGCTGTGGAAATCCTACTTGACATGTACGTGTATTATGCGTGCCAGGCGCTTGATATATGAGGTTAATGGCCTTTTTCTGCGTAGACCAAAACGGGCGTAGTTTAACACGCCTCTATAGGACCCTTCTCACTGACGGTGAAGCTGAATCGTTCAGTGCACAAGTGCGCCTGAGTCTCTTACGCCAGATATCCACAGGGTCGCTTTATTTCGTTTCTCTATGCGGTACGATCGGACAAATTTTAAGAGGTATAGACACTGACGAAAGACACGAAGGCCTGATTTTGACTCTTGTAGCGCTCCCACAGCCGGCAAGGATTTGTATCCATATAACAAGCCAGTAGCTAACTGTATCCTGATTTGCAGAACCCAGAATTTGACCTGACGCTCCTTATGAGCATACCCATTGCTATGCTGCATTCAATATTTGTAGCGCACCTCATTCTACATTTGCGGCAAACAGCAGATCCGTCTTTTACGGAAAGCCAGCTGACATTTATGCTATCTACATTTCGAGCGGGATAGGTCTTTCTTCGAAACGCCAGAGGCGGACAATGTTTTACTTTGGTCTGATTAGCCTTTCAGTTGGCGACCGTGGGACATGCAGTATTCGAAACGCGGACAGTGGTGAAATGATAGACGCTTGAAGCTGCTGCGCAGCAAAGGCCGGGATAACGAAGGGTTTCAGGTTAATGCACGTTTGTGCGAAGGTAAAAAGCCCATTAAGACTTACACCAGAAAGTGACATCAGGTTTGCGATGCATCCAATCGGAAATCACTCGAGGGACCATCGACATCACGAGGCCAATCACTCGAGGTCTGTGTCAGTGAGAGGCGAGGGAAGTGGAACCTGAACACAAAGTATGCGCAAGTTATGACATCGCTTAAGTGGACTCAAAGTATTTATTGTTATCGGCGGTCCATGAGTCTCGAAAAAAAAACGCGCACATGGATGCTCACATGCTCTAGTTTGACTGCCGCGTGCTCGTCCACCAGATTAAAGAGGTCCTTCAAGTCGTTGACGCTCGTTGTCGGTACGGAGTTCACCCTAGTGGTGGACTTAACAGGGAACGTGAGGATACAGCGCATGAAAGTGACAGCGTCTCGCAGGTGTTCCACATGCAACGTTAATCTGCGCAACGCAAGGAAGCGAAGCTTAAGCGTCCGGGCCGTGGACAGCGCCATTGCCATATCTCCCTCCCATTCATAGTTCAAAGAGAGAGCGGTGAGGAAGGGTAGATGGGATATGTGATGCAGAGCCGAAGTGTTCAGGCTGACACACTTCAGACTTTGCAGACATAATAGACGCTCGATGATTACGACAATAAGCTCTGGATGCTGATTGGCGTTATCAAGTTTAAGACGGTCTACCACTGCAAGCTTTCGCAGCTGGGGACAAGCTTGAGAAATGGCTTTGATTAGGGTGTGGCCCCGAGCATCAAGGTTGCATCGGATGCCGATGCCCGTCAGCTGAGGATGCAAAACGAGGTCATACGCGAAGACGCTCAGCTCCCAGTCATGTTTATACAGCTGCCGGACCTCCATTGAAGAGTAAGTACTGAATCGACTCTGCGAGAACTGATGAGTCGATCTCTAGAACGTCGTGAGGGTCCACCAAGGACAAAGTACGAATGCGATGTGAGTAACGTGTAAGTAACCCGATTGCTTGCGCGTCGGATTTGGAACGCTCTGTTAGTTTAATCTAGACAGGGATGGTCGCTTAACATGCTTGTGACCGTATCTACTGGTACTCACAGGTGTATCGTACCCATCTCCGAATAGGATAGAATAAGCATCAGGTTGGCTGACTCAATCGTGAATGAAGACCAAAGAGCGTCCAGAGCAGCGTTTTTGAACCCTTTACACGTCCTAGCGAGATTGTAGACCCGCTTTGCTATCGCTTTGAGTGCCCACGAGCTGATGAAATACGGAGTTTTGTATCCCTGTCAAGTTCAAAGACGGATGCATCCTGTAAGACGGTTGCAGCCGCGATTTTGGCTTCCATAATCAGATACGTCTATAAGGGGTCAGAGAGAACCGACGGTAGAATTGTATCTCGCCAAAGATAACAGCAGTAAAGGGGAAATATGCACAGGACACCAAGGTCGCTGCTAGAGCTGATAACCAGAGGTGTGCCGCGTTGGTGTGGCATCCCGTTTCCCACCAGGCTGAGATGGGCGCCAATTAACCCCTAGTACGAAAAGAGGTTCGCATCCGTTTTGCCGTTCGTGAATCAGTGCGCATACGAAAACCGTCCATCGTTATAACCATCACTATGTCATTAGAACGGCACAGGTGGGTGTAACCTCGTCGAAAGTGAGGAATCAGAAGCAACGTGTGCATACAGCCAATGACGAATGTAGTGCGCCGGACGAGGTCAATCTTCGGGGAACCATCACCAAGCACTGTGAGATACATCAACGAGACCGGAAAATAGCTTTGAACTATCGAGGTATGGTCTGAGATGGAGAAGGAGGAATTACAAACGCAGGAGGAAAAGGAAGGAGTAAGGCGCGGAGATGACCTCCATATGAAGCCTCGGTGACGGCTCGGCAAAGACCGGTACCTGTCAGCTCTGCACCCCCACCTCGCTCGATCGACAAGACCGAGTTACCGTCCCCGTTCTGATAGGTGTCTTCGATTCGAGACATTTTCGCAATGAGTTATTGAAGGAGCTTTTATCGAGGATATGAAAATGATGGCTTGCCCCTTGGGTGCGTATATTGGTGCCAGGTAACGCCTACATCCGTGTACGGCAGAGGCGGCACATCTCTGGTCCAAGTCTTCGTGCGGAACGAACGTTCGGTATTGCAGTGTCCACCGTGGGTTCTGCAATGAAGACGATGATGTCTAGGGAGCGTGCTTTCGGCCTCGAGGTCGTCGACGCGGTGAGACGGGGCGAGCGGAAGATATCGGAACACCAGTAAGCAGTTAAGCCCAAAGAGCCCAAGTTGAACTCAATCCATCCTCTCGAAATAGAGTCGCGAAGTCTTCGGAACTATCACATGTTCCAGAGCCGTTCTAAACATGCGCTAGATCAATCAAAGTCCCTTGGCCAGTCCAACTGCTCATGGTATCGTCGCTCCCACCCCGCATTCCGGACTTGTGCGCGGCCGCGGCCCGGTAGACATGGACCTGATTTCATCCAACCTCGGTCTGAAGCCACGTCTCCGTCCCATGCATATTCCGTAGCCAAGCTAATGGAGACTAACAAGAACAAATTGCCTATCCTTTGACAGTTAGCGTCATAGAGATAGCGACGTATCCTACCGCAAGGGGTATAGGCGCTGCACCGACTCAACGACTCCAACCCAATCCTGTACGCACCTACAACCTAATGCTGAACCTGAACGATGGTTTTCTTTCCTCCGCCTCGCCCCGTGCCGTCCCGCATGTCCCCACTTGCAGCCACTGGTGCGGTTCGCATTGATTGCTAGATCGTATAAGAAGAGACCGGGAGAGCCCCATTGATCCTACCACCAAGGAGTTCCTCTTCTCCCTTTCCATACCCGTCGAGCCACTACAGAAAATCCTCTGTCTGTCCATCCCCGGGCCCATTCGCAATCAGCCTCCATCTGTTTCCCTAGGTAAGTACCTTCGCAGATGTCACCGGGCGTCTCAGCTGCTTCTGCCGACGTGGCGCATACAATGTTGGGGCTGGAGTTGACATTCGGACTATTGCAGATCGAAACGTAATCTCGTCACCCACACGCTTTGTGGCACACCCCTTCCCGCGAGTACATAAGCTAGAGCTCAGCTTTCTCCTGGTTTTGTCGACTGCACCATCAACATCAATTAGCATCTCCCCTGTTACCACTATCAATCACCATGTCTTACGATTCAGCCTCATCTTCTGTTACCTCCCGCTCTGTCTCTCCCGAGCTCGGCCTACGCGTTCGCACAATGCGCGCCGCCGACCTTCCGCACGTACAGCGTTTGCACGTACGTCCCTCTCGTGTTGATATCTTATCTGAACACATGCTAACTGGACACGGACAACAGGCCCAGCTTCTCCCCTTCGCATACCCAACCGCATTCTTCGTCCAGCTCCTCGTGCAGCCCGACAGGCTCTGCCTCGTTGCCCTCGACGACGAAGACGAGGATAACGGCGGCGCCATCCCTGTTGCATTCATCACCGCCACCCTCGACCGCGCCGCCTCCGCCGTGCCCATCTCGCTCTCCAAGTCCTCGCTGCACGACGACTCCGAGGACGACATCGCGAACGTCCCACTGATCTCTATCCTCACCCTCGGCGTCGCGCCCTCGCACCGCCGCCGCGGGCTCGCGCGGGCTCTGATCCACGATGTGACGCGCAAGCTCCAGGGCCGCCTACAGCACTCGCCCTCGCCGCAGTGCACGTGCAACCCGCTTGGCCCCAAGACGTGCAAGCGCACCACCACGGCACGGGGCCGGGCACGCGTTGTTGCCCAGGTGGCGGCTGCCAACGAGGGAGGCAGGAAGTTCTACAGGACCCTGGGGCTCGAGGAGCAGGAGGTCCATCGGGGCATGTTCAGGGCGTCTGCGAGCACAAGTGCTGACGCGAGCACCAATGGATGGAAGGGGGCTAGGGATGGTTGTGTGGTCAGCGGTGTTTTGACTGTCCTATGAACGGGAGGGTGTATTGAGAGTGGAGGATGTCCTTAATTTATGGTGTGGATGGTATGGGTGTCGGAGTTAGATTGTACATTGCTTTATTTTCTTAGTGTTTTATGTAACAACATATTTACATATGTTAGATTGGTCGAGCCATTTGTTGCACAATATCTTTCTACGAGTCCGTGAAATTAGGCTTGCGCTTTTCCGCGAATGCAGCCATACCTGAGGAAATGTTAGCAGTCAGTGAACCGATCATAATACCAATGTTTGGTACGCACCCTCCTTCTGGTCATTGGTAGCGAACAACCCGTGGAACAATCTACGCTCAAACCTCAAACCCTCGGTGAGCGGCATCTCATACGCTAAACATGACATGTTACCGCTGATCATATTTCAGAAGGAACAAAGACTACTCACCGGCATTGACAGCCTCTTTCGTAGCCATAACCGCCAGCCTACCCTTGCTCGCGATCGCCTTCGCCATGCCCACAGCCTCTTCTAGCACCTTCCCCTCGCCCTCCTCGACGACCTTGGCGACGACGCCCCACCGTTCAGCCTCCTGCGCGTTAAACATGCGCCCGGTGAGCATGAGTTCCATGGCACGCGCTTTGCCCACGGCGCGAGTGAGGCGCTGCGTGCCGCCACCACCGGGGATAACGCCAAGGTTGATCTCGGGCTGGCCGAACTTGGCGGTGGGCGAGGCGAGGATGATGTCGCACGACAGGGCGAGTTCGCAGCCGCCGCCAAGCTATTTTTGGACGGGCATGTGGAGTATATGTTTAGAGCACGAGAGCGGAGAGGGGCGGGAGTGGGAGTGTGTTGGTGAGAACAGTAGATAGATGACAGAGGAAGGAAGGACGTACAGCGTAGCCGCTGACTGCGGCGATGATGGGCTTGCGGATCTTCTTGAGGTCCTCCCAGTTCGAGAGGAAGTTGTTGCCGTATGCATCAGCGTCTGACCAAAGTGAGGCTCGTTCAGTCACAAAGGAAGTAGTCCAAGACCTAGAACGTACACGTCTTGTCCTTCATCTCAAGGATATCGGCACCAGCTGGTATCACGACGTGGATCATCAGCACCGCCGTTTACAGAGGCGCGAGTACTCGAAAGGAGAAACACACCAGCGAACGCCTTCTCCGAACCGGTGAGCACAATCGCGCCGACCTTCTCATCAGCATCTGCGTCATTCAGCGCCGAGAGAATGTCCCTGAAATGCGCCGTGCTGAGCGCATTCAGCGCCTTGGGCCGGTTGAGGGTGATGAGAGCAACGCCAGGGTCAGGGCGCGACGTGAGGATGTTCTCATACCGCTGTTCTGAGTAGAAGCGAGCGAAGGCGGAGCGTCCGCGAACGAGAGTGCGAGATTGGTGGCGAAGGATGGAGGAGGTGAGCAGAGAGCGGGAAGCCATGATCGTTGATATTGGTGGTGGTGGTGGTGAACGACGACGACGTCAGTGGGGAAGTGCAAGGTCCGGCGCGCGCGTTTACATATCCCCTCCGTGCCGAGCATCCGGTCCTCGCGTCAACTTGAACTTCCCTCGGCGCGCCACCAACTTGAACTTCTCCCCCACACTCTCCCCGTCCTTCCCCTCGTTGTCTTACGTTGGCCAGCTTATGGATCATCACGTTTCGTGTGTCATCATTTCGTCAGCAACGCCTCCGAGTGCCCGAACGAAGGCTGAAGCCGCGGTTATCACTGACGCGCTCGTGTATTGTGGTCAAGGTTTCTCATGTCAATGAAAGAAGAAGTTTGGGGTTAGGTCTTGTTATTTGTCGTAAAACACACGACAACCAGGCAAGGGAAGTAGCCCCCATCCTCGTCGAGAAATCAAGAGGCGCCTACCAAGAGGGTTTATTCCTCGCGAAGGATATGCCACGATGTTCGTACACTCGTCTGTGTCCATATTTACCACACGGTTCTAAGTGCAGACACTAGCTTGTCCTTGCCGACAGCAGATGAGTAGAGTCGGACGCCGAGATGCACGTTGTCGAAGATGAGGCCTTGAGGGGTCTGACTTGGAACCCAAACTCTAAACTGACGCTCGTTGGGCACGCTCTTATCTAGGGAACATCCGTGTCGTATCCTCATCTTCGGCCACGAAAGACTTGACGGCGATAGCATGCCATTGGTAGCTGCGCATCGCAGAACTGATAGAACGTCACTCATGCCCTTTTATCTCCAGGTACCGTCATGAAATCACCGCTTGCAAAAGAGCACATACTCTGCTCACTTTGCTTCAAGTCCGCAAACGGCTCTCGTCTTTTGCCAACATTGACGAAGGGTTCGGAGCTCTTCCGCTCATACAGCTCCTACAAAGATATCTTCATATCAGCGTCGGCTGGTTGTCACCTCTGCTCGCTCTTTCTCGGGACATTCAAGCCTGGAGTACAAACGGGCGATCTACGCTCTGTTGAGGTTAGGCTCAGGGTTTCACGTACGGGAGGAGCGTGGTTGGCGGTTGTCGCGCTCCCTCAAGGTCCTTGTATCACATCACAGGTAGATTCCGACCTGATACCACCCGATCAGCTCCGTGAACAGGTCATGGGGGAGTTGCCGGTCTTCCGCACGCTGGAGGGCCGCTTCGAGGACCCACAACCCGGCTCTCCTTTTGCATTTGTGGACCCGAGCATCTACAAGAACGCACAGCTGTCCAAATCTCTGTCTTACGATGCGTCGGCTTCCTTGGCGAAAGAGTGGCTTTGTCAGTGCTTGCAGCACCACGACAAGTGCACCCTGGCCGCGGAGGGCGTGTCGCCCACTTACGGGTACCCCGCGCGCCTCATTCGCGTTGGAGGCGGTGGGGACAACGAGTTTGCGAGATTGGTAGTCACTGTAGATCTCGTGGTCATGCCCAGGTATTTGACCCTCTCCCATTGCTGGGGCGGAGCGGATATCCTGAAGCTACTTCTTGGGAACTTCAACGATCTCAAAAACGGCATCCCCTTTTCCAACCTCCCAAGTACGTTTCAGGATGCGATCGTGATCACTCGACAACTGGGGTGAGTGTGGTACGAAGTCATGTTCGTTCCACGATGACCGAACGACAAGGCAGATTTCAGTATGTTTGGATCGACTCGCTATGCATTATCCAGGACTTGGCATCAGACTGGCGCTCGGAGTCGGCAATCATGGGCGAGATCTATGCTCACTCTGTTTGCACCATCGCCGCCCTCACGGCACGCTCGTCGTTCGAGGGCTGTTTCTCTGGGGCAAGAAGTAATAGTGTCGACCACGAGGCAGCCAAAAAGGAACGGACCCCGCTCGCGTTTCGCGTGTGTAAGATACCGCACGGATTACATGCCGAATATTCTGCAAGCCTCGACGTCGAGCTCCGCGTTGATCACTCCCCGCTTCCGCTGCACACACGCGCCTGGGTCGTACAAGAACGGCTGCTCGCGCCCAGGACATTGTACTACGGCGCATGGGGGCTCGCTTGGGAATGCGTCGCGTGCTCGGCGACAGAGAGCTACCCGTTCGGCAAGCATAGCCAGTTCTCGCCCAAGGCGTCCTTCTTCGAGATCTGCAACCGGGCGCAAGCCGCAGACCTGACGTCGGAGTCGAGAGACGCTCTGATCTACAGCTTGTGGCGCGATGTCCAGGCGTCGTATACCCGGTGCCACCTCACGTTTTTCACGGATCGCCTGATTGCTATATCGAGCGTGGTCAAGCGCATCGAGCAGCTGACGGGGTGGACGAACATGTGGGGCCTGTGGAAGGAGAAGCTTCTGTACGAGCTGGTGTGGTTTGTCGACGATCCGAAAGACCGCCCCGAGGTAAAGGAGTATCTCGCCCCGACGTGGTCGTGGGCTGGTGTTCGAGGACTCGTGTTCTTCGACACAGTCGGAGACGAGGTGCCAATCTGGTCTGCGGAGGTGATGGAAACCGGTACGAAGGACGAGCGGGGGTTTATTCGACTTCGGGCTGCGATGAAGGAAGTTGTCCGCACGTCCGAGATAAGGCGGGATCTGGTGGACAAGACGAGATCAAGAGCAATGGTTGTCTCATGGTTCCCAGATACTCTGGCTGCGCGGCGTTCGACAGAGGAGATGCGGTGTGTGCTGCTGTTGAGGATCCCTAATCGCTGGGACAAGTATGCGGTTGACCTTGGGTTGGTTATAAGCGGTAGTGGGGATGAGGTGGTCCGACTCGGGAGTTTCATGCAGCTTCGGAGCGACACTTGTCCCTTATTCGAGGAGGACATTCGAGACGAGGATGTAGATGAGATAATCATCTACTGACATTCATCCGAGTTAGAGAAGCAATGCGGCAAATGTTTGGCAAATGTCACGTATGTTTACGACAATACCTGTTCCCTTTGACTGGTCGCCAACTCCCTTTCGAACTTGATCGACGAAGACGGACATTGTGATAATTTCACCAAGAATCTGGTCTTCTCCCTTGAACACCTCAAGGTGCCCAGGCTCGTTCTCATGGAACATATGTTTCCTCGCGGGTAGTGCATAGCGTCGATCTTCACAAGCAATCAGCGCAGTCGTCACGACATCAACGACGCTGACTGGGAGATATATCTATCACGACTCGGTCTGAGGGTGCACTTCCTTTGCTCGGGAGTTGGCTGTCTCCGTCGCCATCCCACGCCTAGCCCTAGCACCTTTTCTGTTCCCAATTAAACTTTGTCGATTTGGAACGAGTTTCTACGTTCCTCCCCACGCTTCTGATTCTAGTTTTTGATTCACCGACGTTCCGCTCGTGTTTTTGCATCGTTGGGCCGCGATGGATTGTTGACTGGAAAAATCTTCCATCCCGCGTACCCTGAGGCCCGAGCGGCGTACTAGCGATTATTGTTGATGCCTCTGGTAGTAGCTGAAGCGATTGATTGGTTAGAGAGGATTTGACAGAGCTGCTATCTGTTATTCTGAAAACACGGGCATCGTCGTGAGCGTATTCCGTAGAGTGAAAGTTGAGGACCGCGGGGGCATTGATGGAGATGTCTGGCGCGCTCCAGACTGAGGCCACGTTTTTCGATGCCGCCTTGTCCTGTCAACTGATCCACGCCTCGACGGTCCAGACCTCGACACAACAAAAAAGCGATATTTTGAAGAATCCAAGGCCGCCTTCTCCTGCCTTATCCGAACTCAGAATTGAATATGCGATACACAGCAGCCCACAATTTCTTCACTAACTCGGCCTTCCATCGCTCTCGACCGTTTCATCCTCGATATACGCTCGCCCATCCATCGATTGCCTCCTCTTCCCAATCCCCACTGGCGACGGCCTCAATACCACTCTCTCACTGGCTGGCCCTTTATTGAAAATTTCACCGACTGCTCCTCTGTATCAACATATGCATACAGTGTTTGCTTCCTCCACCAGCTGCCCCGCTGACATCGACACAATGAACTCGTTAACCAACCTGCCAGAAGAGCTCCAGGTCCACATCCTCCTCTTTCTCGAACCCGTCGCCATTCTTCGTTCTATTCAGGTCCGTCTCTTCCATTCATCTTCACCCCAGTCCATTCATTCAAGACGGCTAATGTTAACTTTGCTTCTATCTTATCTAGACATGCCATACCCTCCACGACACAATCACCCGTTCTGCATCGATCCAGTACATCCTTGAGCTGCACGCTCGTGGTCTCATCGACCCCACCCTCTTCACGTCTCCCACCCTCGATTCATCCTCCCCTTATCTCTCCCCGTCCCGATCTCACTCGCACCCCTACTATCCACCAGGTCCCCCCATCGGCGACCGCCTCGCCGTTCTCCTCTCCCTCGAGCGCAAGTGGCAGACCCTCGTCGTGCGCAATGTCCACACGCTCGAGATCGCCGCTCCCCGAGAAGGATGGGAGAACTCACGCCCGTGGAGCCAGCTCGTTTCGCATGGCCTGCTCAATATGGCCGAGCACTGGCCCAAACTCAAGATGTCCCTGTTTCCACTGCGCCCGCCTCAGCCGTTTGCGAGTCCGGTTGTGTGGACGCAGGAGCAGCTCTTCCCGCGCCCCAGAGTGCAGAGGGAGATCAGTGGCATTGGCGGCGGCGGCGGTATCGCTGGACCACCGGGAAATCCATTCCAGACTCAGCAACTACCAGGACATGGTCAAGCGCAACCACATGTTACAGGCCAAGAACCCGATTTCGAGGTCTTCCTCTCTGGCGTGGACCCGTCTCAGGATCTGCTCGTGCTCGTATATGGCACGCTGGGCATGCGCAATGGGAGAGGTCCCATCTTTGCTCTCGAGCTTCGCCTGCTCTCGCATGGCACCCAGTTGCATCCGCTCGCAGAGATTCCCATACTATACTCATTCAATCCACCAAAGGAGGGAAGATGGCAGTGCCACTACGGCCGCATCGAGATTAGCGGTGATAACCTATACTTTCTCGGCGTTGCCGGCCCCGATGTCGACGAGGGCGGGGAGCTCAAGGACTCGATCGTGCATGTGTGGGATTGGAAGACGGGCTCGTCGGGTGTGGAGGTGTGTTTCCTCAACTTCTCTCGTTTTTATTCAACCCACCGATAATGTTGTGTCTTTACTTCGTCCTTAGCGTGCGGTCTACACTCAGTACCCGCCCGACCGGTTTGTCGACATCCACCTCCTGGGCGCGCACGCCTTCCTCACCACGACCGCGTGCGGCGTTATCGAGCTGTACTCAGCGCACGACGCGGACGCGGCGCCGGGGTGCATTGCGCGCTTCGCGCTCCCATGCGAGCCGCGCGGGCTCAACTTCTGCTCCCAGTTCAATGGGTGCACGACCAACCTCTCTTTCATGCCCGACACGCCTACACCGCCTGCATCGTCATCAGGCATGAGCGATGGCGGGGCAGGGGAGCAGCCGGCATGGCCAACGCAGCTCGCGCGCGAGGCAGCATACACGCTCCGCATCGACCCACGTGCACACCTCGTGCTCATCGCCGCGCGCACACCAGACATCACATTCGTCGTCGACCCGCGCGTCTTCCTCGCGTTCCTCCCCCCACACCCCGCTCACACGCATCCCCGCTCCTTTTCCCCGCTCCGTTCTCAACGCTTGAACTCGTCCCCGTCCCCTGCGACAGCGCTCTTTGCAAGCTGGCCGACCTTCCCCGCAGGCACGTCCCCCGCCTACCCGTGGTCCGCGTGGGGCCCGACGCACGCGCGCGTCTTTCCGTTCTCGGGGCTCGGCTTCGCGCCCTGCGGCACGCGCGTGCTCCGCGCGGTCAGGTCCGCCGTGCAGGGGCAGGAGCTCGAGGCGCGTCTGCAGGTGCTCGATTTCTCGACGCGCGCCGTGTGGCGCGCTGTGCACGGCTTGAGGACGCCCGCGTATTCGAATCCGGACGGGGCAGGTGACGTGGGGGATAGGATGGATGTCGACTTGGTGGGTCCGAGTGGGGCTGCGGAGGAGGAGGCAGGTGTGCCGGCGCAGGCCCCGGCGATAGCGATGGAAGAAGGCGATCCGGCGGAACATGTGGGCGGTCCGGCGTGTCGCATGAGGCGGATCGTCGCGACCCCAACGTGGTTAGCGGTCCCACGGAGGGAGGAGTACCCCGACGATCTCGCCCTTCAGGCGGTTGCTGAGAAGGAGCAGGCCGAGAAGGCCAAAGGAAAGCAGTCGTCAAGAGCGGGCACGGAGGAGGTTCGAGAAGCAGATGGTGCGGCACACCAGGGAGGCACAGTGGACTCGGAGGAGGACAGGGATGTGTATGTTGAGAGCGGGATGCCGTATGTGGAGACGACGCTCGCGGGGACGTTTGGGCGCATGGGTGGGCTGAGGATGGATATGAAGGGTCTGATGCTGTTCAAGATACTTGCTGAGGATCCGGTCACTTATGTGAGTCGTTTTCTTTTTCATCCAGTTGCCCTGTCTCCCTGCTCTTTCGACTTTCCGGCGCGTTTGGTTGCATCGTTGCTAACGAACTGTGCGATTTATTAGGTACCGAGTCCTCGCACGGACTTGAGGGTGCAAGTATGGGATGTATAACGCACTCGTTCGACCTTGTAGGCCGTAGGCCTCTTACAATGATACACATGCGTTTATCGTTGCCTCCAGCTTGGGCTATGATACTAAAGTCACCTCCGTGCGATCGAGTTGTTGGTACTGGCCTCCGAATCCACTTACAACAGGACTGCCTTGCGCGCTCGGCGCGCTCCTGAGCTCCCCGTACGTTCCTGTGCACCATCTCTCTCCGCATTGCACGGCCTACAGTTGATTCGCAAGTACTGACCGCGTTGATGAATCCGAGGTACTCGCACAGCGCGTCAATAAGCCTAATGGACTGAGGAATTTGGGGTAACCAGTGAGCGCCAATCAATGTACGTGGACAACGATGGAATACACTCGGTGATCATGGAAGCTGTGTGGCAAGAACGACTAGGAAAGCAGTGTCAGACAATGAATCGCCGATGAAGATCGGAATGTGACCGAAGGTTAATGATTCCTAGAACCTCTAGCGATATAAAACCATTTCCCTCTGAAAAGCTCGGAGTCCCAACTAACTCCCCTCATCCTGTCCAGCATGTCGGTCATCCCCAAACAGCTCCCCGATATCTCACTTGCGGCTTTGAGAGACGTCGTCTCCAACCTGCGCGTGCTGGACGTCGCCGCCATCACTTTCAGCGTCTGGATCCTCCTCAAGGTCGCCCGCACCGCGCGCCGCCGTTTCGTCGCTACCAAGCTCCGCGGCCCACCACGCACAAACCTCCTGCTCGGCGAGGGCTACATGATCAACGAGAGCAACGACCCCGGTTCGCTCTACGAGGCCTGGGAGAAGGCATACGGCGGCGTCTACTCCGTCCCGTCGACACTCGGGATGTCTCAGATATTGCTGTGCGATGCCAAGGCCGTCCAGCACTTTTACAAGTACGAGACGTCCCGATACGAACGGCCGGAGGTGGGGAACTTCTTGGTGCATGCATTGGTGAGTACGCTTGAGCTGTCCACCCATGGCGATGTTGTTGACGTTCCCGGTGATTCCAAAGGTTGGAAAGAGCGTCATTACAGAGGTGAAGGAATCCCACAGTAGGTATGGAATATGGAATTGTGGGCGGTGTCGCGGCTCTGAGCGCATGAATCAGGCAGCGAAAAGTAATGGCCCCGGCGTTCAGCAACGCTGCTATTCGCAATATCTCCAGTACATTCTATGACTCAGCTTACAAGGTCAATGGATGCATACCTAACAAATTGCTGAGCTGACGGGGCATTCTGTTACCAGGTTGTGGACGCCTGGTCTTCGATCCTCGAGTCTTCAGGTGATAATGTCATTGAAGTGCAGGGTTGGATGAACCGTGTCTCGTACGTTTGTCAAGCATCTTCCTTCGTCATCGATCACGAAATTGACCTTTCGTGAGGCTCGACTCAATCGGAATTGCCGGCTTTTCACATGACTTTGGAACACTAGAGGGTAAACACTCCGACGTGGCTGAGGTGTTCGGCAAGTTCTCGTCGACCCCACCCTCTTTCGTCTTCAAGCTGGGGTTAACGCTTGGACTTTTCTTCCCGAGCCTCATGAAGCTGCCCAGCAACTGGATACAGCTCACTAGGGAATTGAGTAAGGCACTTAGTGGCGCGGCAAAGGACTTTATGGAACGAATGCAGCAGGAGAAGTTGGGGCTTACGCCCGGCCAAGAAGACAAATCGGTCATTGGGCTCCTTAGTGAGCGCCAACTCTTCGCACCGTTGAAGTAGCAGCACTGACAGTCTCCCCCGCAGTCAAATCTCAGTCGCCTGGCGCAGAGCTGTACATGTCTGAGGAGGAAGTGCTTTCGCAAATCAAATTGCTTCTGGTCGCTGGCTATGAGACCACTTCAAGTGTGTTTTTCTTTGCCCCATCAACGCAACGTGCTAACGTGTTACCTCATCCATCCAGTCAGCCTGTCCGTGAGTGAATGTGGAGAATTGAAGTGACAAACAAATACTAATCGCCTATAGTGGGCGCTAGCTGAGCTCTCGCAGCACAAGGATGTCCAGAACAATCTCAGGGATGAGCTATCTCAGTTTACCAACAAAGATCCGACATACGAGCAGCTCACCCACGGGCTGCCGTATCTGGACGCGGTCATTCTGGAGACGCTCCGTCTTCACGGACCTGTACCGGAAACCGCACGTGTGGTACGTAAACTGATGATATGCTAAATACCACTCTCTGATGTCTCCCTTTAACAAACAGGCCATGGAAGACGACGTTATCACGCTCAGCGACCCCATCAAGGACGCTTCGGGCAATTTCGTAGACCGCATCGTCATTCCCAAAGGCACGCAAGTGACCGTCTCTATCCTATACATGAACCGCGCCGAGAAGTTCTGGGGACCCGATGCAAAAGTGTTCAACCCTGACCGGTGGCTCAACCCCGAGGGCCTCAAGATGCGCGCGAGGGAGATCCAGGGGCACAAGCATCTGCTGACGTTCATTGATGGCCCGCGGACATGTCTCGGGAAGTCGTTTGCACTCGCGGAGCTCAAGGCGGTGTTGTCGACGCTCGTGAGGAACTTTGAGTTTGACATGCGGGATGCGAAGGCGCAGATCGAGGTTGCGATGGGTTTGTTGCCTCGTCCGAGGGTGGTTGGGGAGGGTAAGGTGGATTTACCTTTGCGGGTTACTCGGCTGTAATGCCGTGCACCATCTGTGCCGGTTATCACTTATAAGTATCAATTGGATGGACTCGATTTCTATTCATGCATCCATCCCTTAATACCTACAAACATTAGTTTAAATTTATTGTGCACACGTGTGTCCCATAACCTCATGAGAATAAACTCATGAGAAATAGCGAAGAAAGCATTTGTACATCGCTTGACTACGTAAAATGAGAGAATTACTGTTCAGATTTGGCGTGCCACAAAAGTATCTAGACAGCTCGAAACGTTGAAATCATGTGTGTCAATTTATCTTCCATGAAGTCTTGATTTGCCATTTGTCGCAAATGCAGAACGAGGTGTGCAACAAATATCGAGTGTAGCATAGCTACGGGTACGCTCACAAGAAGCATCAGGTCGATATTGGGATTCTACCAATTGAGGTTCGATCAGCTACTTTCTCCGCATAAATACGACGGAACAATACTTGCCGGCTGCGGAAGCGCTACAAGACTCAACACCAGACCTTCAAAAGCATCACAATCGCTTCTAGCATATGTAGTGACTACTCGTACCGCAGAGAGAAACGAAGTAAATTGATCCTGTGGAATGTTTACATCAGAGCTACTATGCACAGCATAGCCGAATATTATGCATTACCATCGGTCAAGAGGGTTTTGTAGAGCCTTGGTAGAATCCGTATGTCCTTGTTGACGTGAAGAAGGGGATCCAGTGTCAGATCACCTTCAGTGTTTGGGAGAACCTTGATGAGCTGGCATTCGCGATAAGATTTGAGAAACAACAAAATAAGACATCCTACTCAAAGTGCAACCGAGACCTCAGCGAACTAGAAAGACTTTATACAAACTACTGCTTACCGGTCTCCACGCAGAGTAGCATACCCCATGTCAGCTTAAGCCAGTGGCCGTGGGTGATTTCGAGGCAGCCGGAGGCGTGAACACTGACTCTGTCATTTGTCACGGCAAAATAGGCATGAAGTTATAGAGTAAGCACTTCCTAAAAACATAATACGACTTACTTTCCATTGACTTGGTGAATTTGGTAGCACTGTATATCACTACAACGCCACAGATCGAAGACAAAGAAGCCAGAAAACCCCCGACGGATCGTTCATGCTCCCATATACCCCATATACGAACCAGAAGAATAACTAAAAGTAGGTCAGATGCTGCGCAGGTTCTGAACGAGAGAGCAGTTACGTTCTGATAATGCCAATATACCGATGTGAAGCCCTATCCCCACGGTCGTGAGGAAGCATTCCCTTCATGAAGACGAAGTCCTTACAGAGTGTCACAGCTGTTGTCTCACTGCATGCCAACCCAGTGATGGTCGCAGAGAATACCACTTCAAAGGCATAAGGATTTGAAAGGGAGAAACACTGAATTTAAGGTACTTACGAAACCACATCTCGATGGCAGCGATAACACAGATCCCGTACCTTATAAGTAGGTACAGGATTTTGTACAGTGACCATCGAGAGCACCATATATAAGAGAAGTCTTCGTCAAGAGACGTCAAAACATCCCAGGCCTCAGAGTTACTACGTTGGTGAGTACACAAAACGTATCGCGTGACGGCTTACAAGGACAGTGGTCCCTGCACATATAATGCATCGTTGAAGTCTTTATTCACATCTTATAGTGAGCCAATACACGTACATGTCAGAAGCTGTGAGGGGTATTGCGTCACTGGTGAGTACGAGCAAATTGACCTTTCGAAGTATCTCGGGACCTACTCGAGTTAGCTGTTGTTGTAGTATGAGGGATGCATCTGTTTCAGTGGAGTACGACATGAAAGTCCTAAAGGATAAGCTATCGTCCTTATATAGCGCATGAGTTTATACGAGGGCGTCTATAGTATACTTCTACTGGTAACAAGGGCGCGAGATACGTAACTTTCCGAACGTCAAGCACCCGTGCTCCGCGGGTTGTGGCGTCTTACGTGCAGAAGATGCCCATTTTACCCGTGATAGGGGCTTGCTAAAGCTATTTTCGGATCTCAATAGCCAAACCAGAACGCCGAGGCTTCTTCTAGGTTGTGATATTTGCGGTTTTTGGCATGAGAATGGACTGAAATTTAATTATGTCTAAACTTCTCTAGTTGTACAGCGAAAAGCTTGCGAGATAATCTACGCTTCCAGATGTCTCCTGGAATCACTGACCCGAGTCCGACATAACAAAAATGCGCAGTGTGATATCCAATAATACTGAATCATGGAGGTGACGATCTGACCTACATTTGAGCCCAAGCGTCCCGACATGGGTTTTCCTTGGTGTTACTGAGAAGCACAGTGATAATCCCTGTCGGTACGTGGATTTACAGCGCCTGACGGCTTCGCCGCTAGACCATATCAGGCTATAAAACAACCGCCTGTTCGGTTATTTGTTCGCTTTGAGTTCTCTGCGGCGGAGTAAAGTAAGCACAAAAATGGTATGTTGTACATCGCTATGAGGGAAGGCGGTGCTCACTGGAGAGTTAAGATTTTCTGCCTTGCACACATGGAGGATTGTACACACGGAGGAATATCTCCTAAATAAGTGACGCGGATCGCCTCAGGAAGTTGTTTCGTACACAGATCTGATAACTGAGTGGTGGGATTAAGGTGTTACCTTGGTGAGAAACCCACGAAATACAATAAGACTTCGAAAACACGTACTGGACCGAGGATCGAAAGACCTGTCAAACGCTGGGAAAGCTTCGCGGCAAACAAAATGGAAGCTAAATCAGTACGTGTCGATTTGTCTAGAGATGTGGAGACGCACGTACGCAAAGTCCGATGGAAGTACTCAGAGCGATCGATTTGCAATGGAAAATGATTACTTATAGTACTATTCCTGTGCTGCAATTGATGGCTGCGGCGATTGCTATGTATATTCATTGCAAAATATGGAAATCTTCCCTCATGGGTATACCACAGAGGTTTGCAATGTTTGGATCGAGTGGATATTGAGATTAGCGGCGCCCTGGGCAAATCACGATACCCACTTCTAGCTCCCATGTCACATTTAACCTTACTAGACATACACATACCTCGGTGCTGACGCTTGCGGTGAATAGAATACATCCATCATAACGGAGGTGGTACTCCTTGAGCTTGATCCTCGGTGTTCTCGATCAAGCGAGTGGTAGTACAGGACAGTGACAGATACCGCCCTTCTCCGAGACGCCACAGACACTTCCTTTTGCAGATGCGTTGACTGTAAATAACGCTGCGAACCAGTCTGCAGTCTAGTTGGCAGTGCTTGGTGATCGCCGACTTTGTATGGGACAACACGTTTGTCAGGTTAATCCGGTTTAAAATGAACAACTTCTAACGAATTTGTACCGAGTAAAGCTGCTCCGGAATCACAGGCATACAAGAATCCTATTATATGCAATATTGCTACGCAAATGGTTAACTACTGAAGCTCTCTCAGTATTAATAGCGGGAAATTGGCGCCCGTTCAAGCTTAAGCTTAAAGTTGGCGAGGAACGGCGACAGCTCTATGCCGAGATCGATATCACCTATACATTAGTTATGGTTCTACCTATGATGCGAATCAAAACAAACAGAAGCACCATCCCGTTCAAGCACTTACATGATTGACCATCTTCGGAGTATCGATGGCACGAGTGTCAATTCTTCTTCCATGAGATGAGGCCCTGTCATTTTTCTTAAGTGCAGGACAAGATGTGCTACAAATATTGAATGCATCATAGACACTGGTGTGCTCATAGTGAGCATCGGGTCGAAGTAGATGCTCTGTTTATTGAGATTCTGTCAGTCACCGTCTTTCCTATGAGGATATACATTACGTGCCAGTTGTGGTGGTGCTACGATAGCCAAGACTAGAGCTTCAGAATATTTGACATTATTCTTGTCATTATTTACCTACAACTCATAGGGCAACTTATTCATACCGCATAGAAAAACAAAATAAAGTGACCCTGGCGTTATATGTCATTGAAAGTGTTAGTTTATCAGGGACTTCTGCCTTACCGCCGGTGAGAATGATCTTGAAAAGCTTTCGTATGTTCGTCTAGATCATGTGCGTGAGCATCAACGTGGTCGTAGTCGAGGGCCAACGCAGAGTCGAGTCTGTCTGGATGCACGGTTAGGGGCTTTGATTTCCGTTCCTGTTCGCACACGTCACAACCACGGACAACATGCCCGACGCTAGATCTGGCAGGCGACGGTGACACTGAATCTATCTCTCTCCCCTTTCTTCTCTTTGCGCGTCTGCAGCGATGGACTACCTTCGAACCCTCGGATCCGCTGCAGTATCCACGCTTGTGCAGAAATCTGGGCTCAACCTTCCCTTCTCGCTTGGTCAAAAGGTTGCCTCGTGCGGGACACTTTGGACACTGTATGACGCGACCAAGCGGGTTCGTCGTTCCTTCGAAAGCTCAAAGGTGAAACCATTGAAGCAACAACCACCTTAGGATGATGGTTCTCCCGTGTCAGTCTTTGAATATGACTTCACGAATCCAGCGAACAAGAACACGATCCCTCTCGCCCGCAACGCGCTGCGCAAGCTGCGGACCACACGTCACCCTGACGTTCTCAAGTTCATGGACGCTGTAGAGGCCGACTCGGGGATATACATCATGACGGAAAGAGTGAAGCCGCTGTCTGTGACGCTGCCGCTGTGGGCGTCCAAGGGCGCGAAGGAGCGGGAGGACTGGTTGTTGTGGGGCTTGCATCGGATATCGGTGCGTTGTAGTTGTCCCTGGGCGGAGAGGACGTGCGGTGACTGAGGTTGGCAGGTAGCGCTCGCGTTTATCAACGAGAGCGCGTCGGCGACGCATGCGAACGTGCGACAGAATGCGATCTTCATTTCGCCGTCGGGGGAGTGGAAGTTGGGAGGGTTTGAGCTGCTGAGCAATCCGAAGGATGATCAGGCCGTTTTATATGCGCGTCTCTTTGTCTCTACTTCGAGGATATATATTTACCCCTGACATAGAACCTAGCGAGCCTTCTACCAGACGCGAACGCGATTGCGTCGCCCGAGGTGAAGAAGGGTGGATGGTCGGCACTACGAGAGTGAGCAGCGAGGTATGCCATGATGTTCACTCAAGCTGACTACATCCTCTTGTTCAGACGAGAAGTCTGCGCAGCTGATGCCTACGGCCTTGGTCTCCTCCTGCACTCCGTGTTCAACCCCACGCATCCACCACCACCAACAGCCGAGCCTCCACATCCACCTCCCCAGCCCTCGTCCCGCGGTGCCATACCCACGTCCGTCTTCCCGTCATACAAGAAACTCCTGAATCCAAACAGCAAAGCGCGGATGTCACCCAAGACATTCCTTGACATCGGCATGTCGCAAGCGACGGCCGATGGGGCTGGGTTCTTTTCGGATAACAGGCTGGTGAAGGTCTGTGCGGGGCTGGACAACTTTAGCCTGGCGAGCGAGGCGGAGAAGACGGCGCTTCTCCGGTAAGCTCACTCCATAATTATGTTCGACATTGAGAACTACAATGATACACAGCAACCTCAAGGAGTCCGCAGACTCGTTCCCGACCGAATTTGTCTCGTTTCGCGTACTCCCGTCGCTCGTCTCCGCGCTCGAGTTCGGTGGTGCTTCCGCAGCCGCGATCGTCCCTGTCGTGTTGCAGTTTGGCAAGACCCTGTCGGGCGATGACTACACGACCACTGTCGCGGGCCCGCTCGTCAAGCTGTACGCGAGCCCTGATCGAGGCACGCGTATGGCGCTGCTGGATAATTTGGGGGAATATGCAGAAAAGTTGGATAAGAAGACGGTTTCTGATAAGATATGGCCGCATTTGGTGGGTTGGACTGGCGTCTGTGGAGGAACACTTGCTGACGGCGAAGTCAAGCAAACCGGGTTCTCTGATACTATTGCCGTTATACGGGAAGCGACTGTCCGTGCGATTGCGCTCCTCTACCCCAAGGTCAGCAGACGCCCAAACACACTTCCCCTGCCTTCCTTCTCAACTCTTCCCCCCAGTTCAACGACCGCATCCTGAACAACGACGTCCTCCGCTTCCTCGCCAAGATGCAAAACGACCCGGAAGCGTCCATCCGCACCAACACGTGCATCCTCATCGGGCGGCTGGGCCCGACCCTGGGCTACAACACGAAACGCAAGGTGCTCGTGCCCGCGTTCTGCCGCGCGCTCAAGGACCCGTTCGTGCACGCGCGGGTGGCGGGGCTGATGGCGTTTATGGCGACGGCGGAGTGTTTTGATATCGAGGATGTTGCGGGCAAGGTTGTCCCTGCGATTTCGGGGAATATGATTGATCGGGAGAGGTGAGTGTTTTGTTTTACTGGAAATGTGCCGGGGAGCTTATGAGGGTAAAGGCTGGTGAGAGATCAGGCGTTCAAGGCTGTGGATATGTTTGTGAAGAAGCTAGAGGCGCATGCTGCGACTATGGTCAGTCGCAATCAGGCGTTGATGTTGACTATACATACTCATGACCCTTCACACAGCCCGAAATTACGGCAACCGAAGAAAATGGCGTGCAAAGTGCGGTAGCGACTATGCCCGGAGGTCTTAACCAGAATGCGCTGGTGAACTCGGCAGCAGGAGCCGCTGGGGCTCTTGCGAGCTGGGCAATGTCCTCGATGACACGCAAGGTAACTGATCTTGTCTCTCATCATATCATCCACATCTAAACTATAAATTAGCTCGCCCCAGGAGAAGCAGGCAGCACACTGGACGCAGCGGGCATCGACCGGCCCTCGTCTGCGCCTCCCCCGCCTGGCTCGTTCCCGAGCTCGAGCTCTACGCTCGCGGTGCCGTCGACGGTCTCAGCAGCCGCGTCGACCGTGTCCACGCCCGCGATGCCGAACGGGTCCTTCCCCGGCTCGGGGTCGGCGTCGCGCGCACGGGGTATGCAGCTCGGCGCAAGCAAGCTCCCTGCGAGCGCTGTCTCCGCGAAGCTGGCGGAGGAGGTGTTCGCTGCGGAGACGGGCGACGATGGGTTCGGTGGGGGGATGAACCCGTGGGGGAGCGATGATTTGATGGATGTGCATGCTGATGCGGGTGATTGGAGTGAGTTGGGCTTTTTCCCTACATGGTGCCGAACTCATTGGTGGTGTTTTTCGAACTAGGTGCGTTCGAGAGCGCGCCAGCGCCCGGGTTGACTGTGCAAGATGCGGATGGGGGTGAGGACTTGCTGGTGATTTTACACCCATTAGACTGATTTCACGTCCACCAGGCGATGACGAATGGGGTGCTATGGATACGCACGCTGCCTCGTTGAACGGTCGACTCTCGACAACACCGAAGAACCCGCCTCCACCAGTCGTGCAGACCATTTCACCGACGCCGACACGACCAAAAGCCGCGCGGACATCCGCAGTTGGCACCGCATCGCCATTATCCTCCAGCGCAGTGCCGACGCCGGTATCGTCCCCACCACCGCCAGCGAACACAGGTACTATGACGAAGGAGGAGAAGGCGGCGGAGATGGCGAGGAGGAAGGAGGAACGGCGGCAGGTACGTGTTCGACGTGTTCCTGATTCGCCTTCCTAAAATTGATCACCAATGCGACTCTTCGTTTGATTACAGCGTATCGAGAAACTCAAGGAGCAGAAGAAGGCTGCCGCTGGGAAGTGAAGCAATGGATTTCGGCACGAGGAGCCGGCGGCATGAGGTCGAGGCTTGGAGGCGTCGCGTGCGTGAGGCAGGCCGCGGGGGTCGTTTGTTACGGCATTTGCCATTGAGGATGGTTGTGATTTATTGTATACCCATTTGAGATCTAACATGCACGGTGACTAGGCTGAGTACACTCGAACGGGTGATCAAGGGTTGGTCACTTGAACGATCTTGCAAAACCACTCGAGTTCTAATTAGATTTAGTTTGAGTACCTCTCGTGGGGCTGAGGCACCGGAATGGCGAGGCAGGGCGTTAAAATGAAATCGCCGAGGCAATAGATGTTACGATTCGCTCCAATTTCATGGGAGATTGGTCAGTGCTTTATGGGCGTCTGCAGCTTAAAGCTAAGTTGTGTCCGTGTTTGTGGGCGTTCGCGGCAAAGTCTGCGTAGCCCCTGATCCCATGGCCCTGTGAGTGTTGAATCAGGGTGAGCCTTGAAGGGCACTCCATCCATCAGCATGTCGTGATAGCCTAGCATGTCGTTCCCAGTGACGGCGAACGAAGGAGGTTCGTTTGCAGTTCTGGGTGGCAGGAGTCACTTCGGCCCTGGACCGGAGATTTGCGGGGTCTTTACTGTCCTCTGAACGCCAACAAAAGGAGGAGATGGAAACCAAACATGGAACACAAACAGCACGATGCATCTCGCTTCAACAAAACGTGCAGTCATTTTCCCTCGTTTTCTGCTCAAAAACGCGCATGTCCCCATAACGTTTTCTAGACTCTCAGACGGCACTCGACCCGCCCTGTAGCATCCTCAGCATCGACTGTACCACCCCGCACTCTTCTCTTCTGTATCACTCTTATAATATCATCACCCAACGTCACTCATGACCGCCGTAATGGACACCAACTCTCCTCCCATCCCACCCAAATCCCCATCCAGCTCCCAGCTCATGAGCCCCGTCGAGCAACTCGAGCGCCTCCTCTCCCCCGGCGGCCGCTCCACCACCGGCGGCAGCAAATCACGCATCCGCAATCGCGAGCACGGCGAGCCGCTGCCGACCGCACGCGACCTTGCGCGCCTGCTCTCGCTCGAAGAGCGCGCGTGCCAGGACCTGCGCGAGCAGGTGCTGTCGCTCACCGAGCAGCTGCAGGGCGAGACGCGCCGCGCGGACGACGCGGAGCGGCGTGTCGTCGAGACCGTTGTGCGCTTCAAGGAGGCGGCGGATGCGCGTGTGGCGGCGCAGCAGGAGGGCGCGACGGTGCGCGAGGAGCTGGAGCTGTATAAAGATGCGCTGGAGCGCGCGCAGAAGGAGATTTTTAGGGCGCAGGAGGTGCTTAATACGCTCGAGGGGAGGGCGCGGGACGCGGAGGAGGAGTGTGCCAGGTATCGGAGAAGAGTAAGGAAGATGACGGAGGAGAGGATGGTCGAGATGGCGAGGGAGGAGGGGAGGAAGCAGGGGATAAAGGAGGGGATGCGGCTGGGCTTGGGCAAGGATATTCTTGTGCATGAGCGCTCTAGACGACCTCCTGCGCGTACGAGGGACTCTGGTTCGTCGGGGACCCCGACGCCGACAGACAGCATCGCGGGCGACTCTATCATGTCTGTGCCTTCACCCATATCGCCGCAACAGCCCATGCCCGCATCACATCCGCCCCCGCCTGCACCAGAACCGGTCCTCAACACCCTCTCGTCGTCTTCAATGGAGGACCTGCACCGCGGACGCACGGCCACGCCATCTGGTGGCGCGCGGACGCGGAGCCGCAGCCCGTTATACTCGCCGCGGCAGTCCAACGGCTCGAACCCACAGGTGAACATCCTCGACGGGTTCATCCCCTCGATCGACGCAGACCACCACATCCGCCTTCCACCCCCACACGAGCTCGGGCGTCCACCGCCGAGCCCCGAAAGCGCGGCGTACACGCCTCTGCGGCCTGCGTCGCCCGCATCGTCTGCAGGACGCACGCCGCCGCCGAATACGGGGACGCCGGAGCATATTCTGTATGTACCCGAGCCGCGCTCGGACGACTCGAGAGCGCGGCAGAGGAGAGTTGGGAGACGGTCGTCGCGGGAGAGCGTGGGGTCGTCGACGAAGACGAGCGAGCTCGAGCTGCTTAATGCGCCGCCCGAGTACGCTGGCCAGCAGCAACAGCAGTATCAGTATACGGCGCCGCCACCGCCGTCAGCAGCTGCGCGTGCGCATGCGCAGCGCGAGAGCGGGCTGAGTGTTATTCCGGAGGTGCAGAGTTCGCAGGGGACACCGGCGAGTGGGTTCGGGATGAACGTTGCGGTGGATAGTGTGCGCTCCTTCTCTCTGTCTTTTATTATCGTGCGCTGATGCTCGGTGCTGCAGCCTCCGAACTCGCAGAAGGCGTACCAGGCATATGTAACGGAGCAGTCTGACTCGTCGTCGGGCTCGCTGAAGGTGCCGCAGTCGTCGGCGGGGCGCATGAGCGCCTCGTCATATGGGTCGTATAATATTACTGTTCAGCCACCGGTATGTGTTCTGTCTGAGCAAGGCTATCTTAAACCGACGATGTTATGCCAGTCGCGCCCCGGCTCCTCCATCTCCCAAAAATCAGCCAACGGCCACCCAAACACCCTCCGGCGCACGCCCTCCCAGCCATCCAGCATGCTCAGCCCCGCAGACGCCAACCGCCCCACGCCCCTGCCCAACCCGTACGAAGCGCCGGAGCTGTCCCCGCTGCCGGGCAACATCCCGCTGAACGGCCTCGGGTCCAACGACACCATGAGCGCGGGCGAGGACAGCGGCCCGGGGCTGCCGCTGGGCTTCGTGCCCACCGGGCCGCCCGAATCTGGCGGCCAGGGAGGCGACGAGACAGCTCATGCTGTGCCTGTGCCTCCTCCCGCGACGGACGGTCTGGGCGGGGGACAGGCGGGCCCGCTGCCGGTGCCGCCGCAGCCGGCGCCGTATACGCCTAATGGGTTCAGTATCTATCATAACCCGGATTCGCCGAGCAGAGGGGAACAGCCGGCGGTGATTCCGCCGCCGTTGCGGTATGCGGTGTCGAGCGAGGAGGACACGTCTGGGTCGAGCGGGAACTCGTCCCCCGCCTCGCCTAGGTCCTCGTCCTCGTCCTCGTCCTCGTCTTCGGGGGGCGGGTCGCCGAGAAGGTACAAGACGGGGTCGGTGCGCTCGAGCAGGACACGGTATACGGCTGCGGGTGTGCCGCTGCCTAGTACCCCGCGCACGGCGTATACGGCGTACACGGGCGCGGGGGTGGCGTTGCCTGCGAGTACGGTCGGCGGGGCGACGCCGCGCTCGGTGTATACGGCTGCGGGGGTGGCGTTGCCGCCGAGCACGGTTGGCGTTGGGGCGGCGACGCCGAGGACGGGGGTGTCGGGGCGGCGGTCGGCGGTGGGTGCGTGAGGAGGAAGAGGTGATGGGAGGGCGCTGATTGGGTGGGAGTGCGTGCGCCGTGACTGCTGCCGGGGTTGATCGAGGCGTTGTACGGAGGAAGAAGAAGCGGTTCTGATTTCTCGGGGCGGAAGCAGCCGTCGTGTTATAGAGCGCGGATGCGATTGGTCAAGGGGAAAGTGACCGGAGGGCCCTCGAGATGGAGGTCGGAGACGGGGATGTGGATGCAGATGCAGATGGGAACGAGGACTGTGATGATCAGGCTCGGGCTATGATGATGTATTCATGATTTCTATGTTTTATGATGACTACTGTATTACTTATGGATTATTGTATTATATCGAAGCATGTGAACCTAGGATTGGGCGTGGCTTGCTTTGTGGCTGAGCGCTAACTTAGGAGTGCAGGACGACGGTTGTCGCAGGGACAAGGTCGCTGGGAGTCGGCGACTCGAGCACGTGGATCGGATCATGATGGAGGGACGCGGTCTCTCGGATTTCATTTTTGGAGTGTCTTGTATTCGCTTTGTATGGAAATGTGTATCAACTGATTTAGATGCGCTGGTACTGATGGTGGCTTTCGATGGGGGATGGGTGGGCGAGGCTTGCTAAGCTGTGGTGCCCATTCTGAGAGGCTGGGGCTGGATCGTACGAGGCCGTCAAGCGCTGGAATCGGAGGTTTGCGAGGTTGACAATTGGACATGGGGGACGAAATGGACAAGGAGGGGAAGGATGACATAGACAGGTGTGCCTGAAGGAGGAAGGAGTATGTAGTGAAATTCCCAGGATTGTGCTTGTGAATAAATGTTTTTTGTCTCCGTTCCAGTCGCCCTTCCGAGTTCTCTTAATTGTCTTTCTTCTGAGTCCCCTCCATCATCCCAGACTCCACCGCCACACTCATCGCACTGGTCATGTTGGCCTTGTTCCTTGTCTTATAACCTCCAACTCGACAACGCTGCCCATCAACAACTCTCCACTTCCATCCACGGACACCTTCTTCCGTGCTAGGCGAACGGCGTCTCAGCACCCCACCTCTTTCTCTTCCTGCTCGCTCGTCAACCCGCACCCTGTCGTAGCCGTCCGGTTACTCGAGCCATCGGCTGCGATAGAAATTTCAACTATCTCATCCTACACTCGGACATATGCCCACCCAGTCCAAGTCCAGCAGGGCCAACGCAAAGTACAACGTTACCACAGACTGTACGTCCTCCACCTCCTCCCCTCCTCTCCCATCTCACCCTTCCGCACTTCCCCGCATCCCCCATCGTCGTTATCTCGCTCTAACCTCGGCCCTTTCATTTCCCATATCCAGTCCCCCACCTCGGTTTACACGCCGCCGCCGCATCCGGCGATGTCGGTCTCGTCAAGTACGCCTTGTCCCATGGCCAGCCCGTCAACTCCGTTCTCGGGGGCGTCTTGCCCCTCCATGCTGCCTGTGCGGGCGGTGACGAGCTCATTGTGAAGCTCCTCATTCAGCACGGTGCAGATGTGAACGCTGCCAGGTGCGTGCCCCCTTCATTTCCCCCGGTACCCCAAAGAGTTGTGCCCACTGACGCTCAAACCTATACACCGCCTCGCTCAATTCGACCAAAATGGTCCACATCGCTCAACAAACACGCCCACCCCACCCGATAAATCCACAACGTTGACCATATACGAACAAACGAACAATAAAGGCTCCCTCTCCGCTACTCCGACAGAAACAACCGCGATACCTCAAGCGGCCCCATCGTCGGCACCTCCGGCTCCACTCCCCTGCACTTTGCTGCCGCCAACGGCCACGCCAACATCATCCGCACCTTGCTCTTCAACGGTGCACGTGCTGATCTCGCCGACAAGCACGGCGTCACGCCGCAGGACGTCGCGCGCGAGAATGGCTGGCTCGAGTGTGCGGAGCTCCTCAGGGAGTGGGTCGTGGACAAGGACAGGGACCTCAATTCGCTCAACAGGCTCACACCTGGCTATGGGATGGACAGCGGGAGCGGGAGTGGATATGGAGGACGAGGAGGAAAGGGCAGCGATGGGTCAACGTCGAGGGACAAGAGCCCGTGCCGGACGGAAGTCAGGAAAAGGCTGCACCTCAAGCGCTCGATCGACCACGCGCTCAACGCGCTCAATACCATCAAGGGCACGGGAACGCCACCCGGGGAGTTGTTCGATAAGGCGTTGCTGCTCGCTCCGTCCGCTTCCGCATCCGCGTCGTCTTCGTCTGCGGTACATCCCTCCATCGGACCTGTTCAGTCCGCCCCTTCCTCCCGTTCCGACACGTTCACGGGCCGCAGGCCGTCTTTGCAAGCGGAGAGGCAGACGGTGTCGGCGAGGTATAGGCGCCCCAAGTCTGCAGAAAGCGGGACGGACGCGTCGGGGGCGTCGCCCTCGCCCCGCAAGCTCGGGTCGAAGCTGTCACTGCTGAACCTGTTCAAAAAATCGAATATCGACGGGTCGAGCTCAAGCATCGCCTCCTCTGCGCCTCCCGCCCACGCGCCCACGCATACACCCTTTAGCGAGTACAACGTGATCCCCATTGGACCCACGTCGTCGCATTCACCGGCTTTGAGCACGAACAGCTCACTCCCCATGTCGTCCCCGCCCAGGCAGGGGCAGATGGCGTTATCATCCTCGCCACGTGATAATCCGATGGTCGAGTATCAGCGGCATCGGATGGGCAGCAGTGCTAGTGCTAGCGGTAACGGGAGCGGGAGCATTATCGCGAGGGGTGCACATCCCCGCTCGACGTCTGAGTCGCACGACTACAGCCAGCAAAGCACCAGCCAACGACCAAGCCAGGATCAGTTCCGGACGCGCTCGGGGAGCACCCCCGATGAGAGTGGCGGCGGCGCCGGTAGTGCACATGCGAGGCCCGGGATTTTGCGAGCGCATCAGCGCTCGTCGTCGTCCGGGCTGTCGCAGCCACAATCGCAGTCGCAGTTACACCCATATACCCACTCGCCGCCGCCGCCGCCATCGCAACTTAGCAAGGCGTCGTCGTCGCGCAATATCCGGTTCGATGCGTCGTCGTCTTCGTCGTCCCTTGCTGGACGTGCACAGAGTCCAGGTGCCGCGAGGCAGCTCAGCGGCACGGGGTCGGGTTCGAACGCTAACCCGGCACTGGCCCCTGCTCAGGAGAGCAGGCTGAGAACGGTTAGTCTGTCGGCGCAGGCTCAGACGCCTCCGCCGGCTGCTGCCGCTACGCTCGGCCGCAAGACGAGTTTGCCCAATGGGGCTGAAGAAAACGGGCAGCCAGAGAGGAGGCGAGGAAGGGAACAGGTACTGGTGCGGCAGAGTGAGGTTCTGGAAGATGAAGATGACGAAGATGAGATGCTGCGCACAGCACGGCCTCAGGCGACCCCGCCTATTATCGTCGATGTCGCCGAGGACGAAGGCGAACTTGACGGTGAAGACGACGAAGACGAAGAGGAATACGGCGTCCCGATCGACCAGTCGCGCTCGTTCCTCCCGCAGATATCCTCGCAGCCCTCGCGCGATCGCGCGACGTCACCTGCGCTGTCCTCGTCCCCCTCTACGCCTTCCTCCCACTCTGCTGCCGCCGACGCCCCGCCTGCGACGCTATGCAGCGGAGCGTTCCCGTTCAGCATCAACGTCCCGCCTCCCTCCGAAGCCGACGACCTGGGTGCACCCGTCGCCGGCGACCCGACCACGCTCAGCCCCGAATCGGGGCTTGTGACCGGACGGCTGCGGGGCGAAAGCACGAGCAGCACGAGCACGGACAACAGCCACGATCATCGCCATCGGCACCCGCGCTCGGCGTCGAGCGCGACGACAACGTCGACGGGGCTCGCTACGCCGAACACGCCGCATTATATGGAGCTGATGCCGAGTCCGCGCGGGCCGGCGTGTGCGAAGGGCTTGCCGCCGGTGACGATGGCGGGGGCGGGGGCGGAGACGGACAGTCCGCGGGCGGAGTTTGATGAGCTCCCGCTGACGCCTGCGTCCGCCGGGACGGGTGGAAGGGAGGGGGGGCTGGCGCTGCGGAGGGGCGCGAGCGCGCCGATGGACATTGATCTGAGCAAGATCTCGACGCATGCGCAGGCGGAGGCGCTCGTGCGGCGCACGCAGGCGAGTATTCTCAATATGGGTATGGAGGATGGTGGCGATGATGCGCTGATGGCGCGGACGCCGCTGAGTGCGAAGTTGCTCGCGCTCGGGGAGAGTATGGCGCTCGAGAGGAAGTTTAAGGAGGAGGAGGAGAAAAGGGCGGCGTTTGAGACGCTCACGGGCAGGGAGAAGGTTAGGCGGGGGAGTCACGGAGACGAGAGGATGCAGGGGGCGCGGAGGATGCGGAAGGAGTCGGCGAGGTCGGATATTAGAGGTGGGATTTCGGGTTCTACAGCTGCGAAAGATTCTGGGGCTGATGGCGCTTTTACGGCAGAGAAAGCCTCGTACGATGCGCTGGGCATCCGACGGCCCTCGTACCGCCACAAAGGACGTGCAGCGTCGCACGACGATGTGTTCACGTCCGACAGCGAGCCGGACCAGCAGTACCTGCAAAACACGCACAGGCATCCGCAGGGCCAGCCGCACCCGCGCTCGTTCTCGCATCTGCATCCTCACCAGAACACGCATACCCCAGCCTCTCGTTCTCCGTCACAGAGCCAGCCGTACTCGCACCACCGGACGTATTCCCATTCGCACGGCACGCGGCCCACCCACATCCGAGCAGCGATCACACCAGAGCCAGGCCAGGACTGTCCCGACCTGCTCGATGCTTCCGCACCTCTGCACGCCCTCGGCGTCCCGCTCTCGCGGTGCTCGACCGCGCCGTCGCAGGCGACACTCGACAGCGCGGGCTTGGGCGCCGGTGCGGCGGGGCCAGCAGCAGCAGCAGCAGCGCGCAGGGGCAATCAGCAGCAGATCCGGCACATGATGAGCGCGAACAAGCTCACGCGGATGGGCTTTGGCGCGGACAGTCTCGCTGGGCTGTCTGCGTCTGCGTCGCTGTCTTCTTCTGGGGGCGCGCTGGGTGGCCTCGGTGGGGGCGCGAGTGTGGTTGGGGGGTCGGGCTCGTTGTCGGCGGCGGCGGCGGCGGCGAAAGGGAAGTTGGGGGGAGGGGAGGGGAGGCGGTTTAGGCCGATACGGTCGATTATGCAGAGTCTGCAGGGGCGGTCGTAGGCGCGAGGAGCCGTTGTTGGCTTGCTGGTTTTGTTTTGTTTTGTTTTCTTCTTGCATTCGTTCTTCTTGAGCTGTCGCAACCTTGCACTTATATAAGTTTAAGCATCGCACAACACATGCACATGCACATCGCGGACGTTTATAGGCTCTCTTTTTTACAGTATGTATTGCTGGGTTTTCCACCTCCTGCATTTCCACCATCCACCATCCACCATCCGCCGTCCCTCTTTGTCGTTCGTTTAACTCATCTTCACCTGTATCGTTTGTAGCCATGTTTAGCACGCGTGCTTTGTATCCAGGCGTCTCTTGTATCTATTATATTTTTATTCGCGGTCTCTGATGCACGCTGGAGTAGGGAGGGTTGACCGAGCCTTGAAAGTTTGAGGAAGGCACGATGCAGTAGTTTAGGGCCGGCATGGCCGGCATTGGCAGTACATAGCGTGAAGTCGTGCGCGCTCGCAGCCACTCATCGACTCATCCCTGCTATACGAGTACTCTCGTGGTCTTCTCCGGGACTGACCGTCCCAGCGCGCACCCGTCTTTCAGCTGGGCGTTTACGAGGTTATGGGGATGGATGGTTGAAGTCGGACATAACCGCAGGGTTCATACTAGCACCTACTTAGTTCTGGAATTGCGCTACGCTTCAAGCTTAAAATGCAACGTGGAGACGGGATGAAGAAGTCCGCAAGAAGGCCTGTATTCTGGTGGCGATTCAGCTCAAGAAGCCGTGCTATGATATCGCTTGAAGATGCTGTGTTCGGCAACGTAATGCTGCACCACTCAGGCATCTCAGGGTCTCGCCTTTGGCTACTTTTCAACTTGCTTTACGTTGGCCACTGGACTGTGATAACTTCAACAATGCTCGTTGTCTGGCTGAGATGGCCGCGTTAATGGATGGCGGATTGGGTCGGACTGGTATACCGCAGAGTGGAGGCAGGTTAGCAATCGACGTTTCATGCCGGGCGCACTGACATGATTTTCTCATCATCCCGGTAACTTTCTCTGCTGCTGTGTAGCGCACTTTGTGCGATTGTTCGGCACCTTATCATCGTTGTGCTAGGGTATATGAGAACTTACGCTCCCAACATCGTCTTAACCACTTCTTTCGACCTTCAGCAGACAATTTCAAGGTAGCATAGTAATGCCCAACGAATTCGACCGCGACATTGGACAGAATCCTGGCACAGAAAACACATCATACCTTCCCTCTGATTCTAACAGGTCGTATGATTCTCCTCACCCATCCTCTGGCTCTAGCTCTAGTTCCCATCGCCTATCACAGCGATTGACCATCTCCTTTCTCATCTTCGCCGCTTTTGTGGGTCTTGCCTGCATCGTGACTTGTATATGCCTGTACATTACACTCCACCATACCTATAGCTTTCGCATCGTCACTCTAGGAACTTCCGCTGGCGCCAGCTTCTGGTCGGAGTTTCTGACTCTCGCGGGTTCAACGAAAGCGTCGGAGTGTTTACCCTCCAGCGTCCAGAAGTTGTGAAAAAAGCTGGCGATATCGAGCGAGCGAGCGTTACGAGAGCTCGCGATCACTATTGGCGGAAGAAGCAAACGTACGAAACACGGCTCATTCTGCCGCACGTTCGCCTCTGTCGCCGACGCGCTCTCGTTGATAGACGCGGGTGTTACACAAGTGCTACCTGTCAATATCAGTCACTGCACGACCTCCCTGCCGTCTCCGGGGACAAGGACGACGCACCGATATCCGACGCAGGCCCCACAGCAGCCAGTCCTCCCGCTCCTTCGCGCCCTTGGACGCCCACAGCGGCAGCGTCACAGACAGCGGCTTCACTCTTTCCGTCATGATGTATATCCCCGAGTCGGCCTCTGATAGACAACGGCTTCACTCGCTCTACCATGATATATACCCCCGAGTCGGCCTCGATGGTGTCCATGAACTTGAGCACGTCGGAGTGACATGTGGTGCGTAGCTCGCGCAGCGTGTTGCATGCAAGTAGGATCGTGTTCGCTGAATCCGTGAAGTCCTGCTCGAAGACTAACATAGGTGAGCGCTTGAGCCATCATGCATCATACTAGAGCGTTTGCAGTTTGTATTTTTGCGGAAATGGGGCTCGAGGAGAAACATGGACGATTCCACAAGTGTAGGACGCGCCCGTTGTGTCGCGTCATACAACGTCCAAAGTGTCCCATATCACACGAGCCACTGACCGAGCGAGAAGGGAGGTTACGGGTTACGTCGGGACTTCTGAGCGACCGGTGATACTGCAACGGATCCGAGGTTTCGAAGGTAATACATTGCTGCAGACTTGAAAGAGGAAAGGAGAGCGACAGAGATTCGGGTCGGACGTGGACGTGGACGTGGACGTGGACGACGGTGTCATTATACCGCCGAGCATTGCACCAACCCTAATCCTACCATAAATGACAGCAAAGCCCCTATGCGCTGAGCTCTGAATACACTATCTGCAATAGACTTTGCCGGCAGTCTTATCAATCACTGTGACAGCTAGCAGACTCTCAGCCCTTTGGGTTACCTGCATTGTGTCGTGGAAGGGTCGTAGGGGCAGAGCTTGGGCAGAGCAGGTGCAGTATCTGAATCACATTACACTGAAATGCACAGGATACGCTCTTGGCTATGTAGCTATCACTGTTCCCTCGGTCACCAGCTGTGTGCTCGAGATTCAAAAAGGCACAAGCCTCATCGTACACAGAGCTCCTTACATCCACACACTCTTCAGAACTCATTACACCTCCTCGTCATGCGTAACCGTTTTGACGCCGAAACAAATCACAACACTGATAACAGGTTGCCACTGGATGGTACTACCAGTTACGAGGAACCCTCCCCCCCATGTCCTCATGGCAGCTCCGGCCACCTAGCTCGCCGTTTTGCTTTTGTCGCCCTCGCTTTCTCTGCGGTTTTCGGTATGACCTGCATAGTAACTGGCGCGTGTCTGATCATCGCATATCGGTCCACGTTCAAATACGGCGCCGTCACCTTAAAGCCCGGGGATGCGAATGCAGATTTCAAGTCTCGAAATGCCACCTCAGAGATATTCCACTTGGTACTCAGCGGCTTAGTTACTCTATCTACAGAGGGACTCGGCTATGTTCACGGCACCGCCCTACGCTCAGCTTTAATCGCTGAGCACAGACTTCACAACAACACAAACGGGCGGCTACTTGCATCGACACAGGAACGGCGGTGGACAGGACCCAACGGCATCTTATGCAACACCGTCATGGCAATTCTCTTGATGGTATCATTTACGTCAACATTTGCTATTCTCATACCAACTTTTTATTACGACATCACCGTTCATGACACGGATGGGAATAATGTCGGTACCCACGCCGTCTTTAAGTTGAGCGTATATCTTGCACCACTCTTTGTTTTGGGCACTTGCATTCTACTCCAAGCATCCATCGCGTGTTATTCCCTACGCTCAACCCCAATCCCGACTTGGGACACGACAGCTCTAGGCGCCACATCAACATCACTGATATCTTCTAATGTTCACCGACATGCTGAGCGCTCCATGTGCGACGTTTCAGACGTTGGCAGTTTTTCAAATCCCAAAAACCCTTCTCTCACTCATCTCTCTGCATGGCAGGCGTGCCGTCATGCCCACACCTCAATTATATCCATATGGCTTCTCATTTGTTTCTATGGATGGATGACATCCGGACGGACTATCACAGGAGGTATGGAGTACTGGTATCAAAACCAGTGGCTTTTTTGGTCGTTGTTTTTCCCCATCACCGCCCTCCAACAAGGACCGTTGGCAATGATACTGCACCAAGCTGGAACTGTCACAAACACCCTAGAAGACGAGAGAAGTTGGAGGAACATGGGACGACCCGAGGGGGCTCGTCTAGATTTAAACCCTATCCAATCATCCCTTACATGTCAGTACAACATGATGTTGCTTGCGGCAAAGCCTTTTCTTCGTGAGTTCCCTTGCGTTGTATCAGAATTTCACGGCTTGCTGACGCAAATAAAGACTGGATGCTGGGCCGCAGTGGCGGATGGACTTTCAGATTGGAATCTCAAATACACAGTCCCCTTATATTGAACAGCTTCTACTTTCATAAAACCTCAGCTGAGTTTCAGTTTGGGTGGAGCTCAACCCACGTAAGTTGACATTCTAGATCATCTTTATTGTGAATATGCTTAACTAAATCATCGTTCACTGCATCAGCTTAGACAATTCACGCTAGTTTTGGCCACACTCACAGCTATCCTCACAGTCATGGCCATGTGGCGCCCGCATGGGCCACAGCCAGTCACGTACGGGCACATACAAACATTGGCCAACCTTATTGACGACTGGCCTGAGAAAGGTGACAGGCGGATATATTGGGGGCACAAAGGACTTGTCGATCATCAGGATGGAAAGGGAAAGAGTGCAGACTTAGACTACGGACAGAAACTATATCATGCCGGAACGAGTAGCAAGCCACTACCATCAATCATCACGCATGCTGTCTACAAGTAAGTTGCAGTATCCACTGGTCGTCGTCCAACTCACGCATTAATACGTCAGGTAACAAAATGGTCACCAAGGTATGTGTTAAAAGAGATCCGGGCTAGAAAGAAGTCCAAACGAGTTTTTGCTGGAATTGTTATTGTTGTCGTCAAATACCAGATCAGGGTGCGCAGCGTTTAGACTAGTTCCAAGTCTATTTTAGGAAGGGCAATGCCATTCGCTGTGACAATATGTACGACCTTTCCGCTGGCCAAAAGTGATATTTTCTGTTATTTGATCACGGAAATAGGGCTCCATATAGGTCTCATAGCATTATCAGAACGCAAGTACCTGTCTACTCATTAACAGTGTCTGTGTGACATCCTTTGTCCGACAGTTGTTCTCGTGATTAGAACATGGACTATATGGGAGCGAAAACGGGTCGTTGGCATCATCCTTGTTTCCCTGTCCTTGGTATGTAGCACAGTGGTACTTTACACTGCCGCAAGATTCACCAAAACGATGGAAAGTAAGTCACTCCATCGCTCTTTGGTGGCGATTTTTTTCATACCCCTACCGCTCATTAAGGCGTCGACAATGAGAGCATCGGCTACCACACGTCTGGTTGCCTCGTAATTACCCAAGGCCATTGGCTTAAGCTTACCTGGTCCATGCTGTTGTGTGTTGATACAGGTGTGTGCCGAATCCCAGCGTATCAGGTGTTCGTAGTTCATGGGAACCGGCCGCAAACTGATCAGCTTGTCTTACTCTTCTTCTTCTGAAGTCATATTCAACTTGTAAGTCTGCCGTATTTTCTCAGGCAATAATCAACGTGGTTATCAACCTTGTTCTTTTGTTGAGATAACACCATACGGGCTTTACCAAAACTGTTCAGAACTCTTGTCACTGATGGTAATGCCAAAGTCTTTGATAATCAACTTTTCTGGCTCACATCTTTAACTTTTTAGGGTCGCTTTACTTTGGTTCTTTATGCGGTATGAATAGTGCTGGCATACTACAAAGCGCTTACATTGACGACAGTGATGAAGGTCTGGTTTTGGCTCTTGTGGCATTCCCACAGCCGGTGAGTATCATTTAGGCTCCTGGAAGAAGAACGTCAATTAATATCCGAATTGATCGATAGAATATCAATGTCGACTCAACGCTTATAATGAGCATACCCGTCGCTATGCTGCACTCGATATTTGTACCGCGTCTCATTCTGCACTTAAGACGCATGGCAGACCCAAGTCTTGTGGAAGACGAACTAACGCTCAAGCGCGTGCTATCGATATTTCGAAGGAGGTGAAACTGTCATCTGATCGGCAGTCTGATGAGTCGCCTGTAGCATCCCTGTAGCGGACGTCGCCTCTCTTTATTCCAAACCATAAGTAGATAATCAACTAGCAAAATCCGGATTCGTTAGATAACGTATAGAAGATGGATTTGGATGGGAATTGGCATAGCTGACGTCAAGTCAGGCTGCATAGTTGACAGGGAGGACGACGGCGCAAGGTATCAGCGCTCTCAGACCTCATCATTGGTCTGGAATTACTGGTTGGGCGGGCACCTGCTGACCGAGCACCTCGGAAAGATGTGCAACTTGTTTTACGAAAGGAAGGAGGCAAGAGCTCAGTTCTAGTGAGGCCCGACGGCGGTCGCCTTGACATTGATGCTGCCAAGACGTGTAGGAGTAGCGTGGGAATCGTTCCAGCTGAACCTTGACCGCGGCGCAGCTCGCGCAGCTCGACGTTGGCTGTCACTTTTGTCAGCATCCCTCGACAGCAGGCCAACGTTTTGATCTGCATGTTGACGTGCTGACGCATCTCCCGGTCGGCCAAGGGCTATCGCGCCGCGCCGCTCTGTCGACGCATACCGAGTCTAAGGATAATAAGGGGAGGTCTCGAGCGGGGCATAGACGAAGATACCTCCCGCTTTACTTACCAGTGAGTAACGTATGTCTTGGCTCGCTATCATGGCTTCCTAACATCATTCGTCCTTCGTCAAGGTACCAGCAAGACTTCATGTCACCTTCTCTGAGCGTTATCCTCTGGGGAGTCCCGAAGCCTACGGACGGTCCCAGCCCCTCTGGTTTCTGCCAAAAGCTCGAAGCCTACCTCCGCTGGGCCTCCGTCTCCTACACCCACGGCTCCGAACCCAATCCCGGCAAGGCACCCAAAGGCAAAGTTCCCTTTGCTGATGTCACCCTCGACGGCAAAACCGAGCGCCTCTCCGACTCGACCTTCATTATCCGACACCTCATCGCTAAGGGCTCCGCCGCCGACCCCGACGTGGACGCAGGCCTCACAGCCGTGCGGCGTGCCGATTCGCGGGCATGGCAAGCCTGGCTCGAGGAGCTCATCTATCCTGCGGTCGTCACTGAGCGGTGGGTCGTTGATGCCAACTGGGCTACTACCAAGCAAGAGGTCTTTGGCTCGATGTCGTGGCCCCTGCGCGTCTTCTTGCCCTGGATGCTCCGGCGGCGCATTACGGGGCTCATGTGGGCGCAAGGCGTGGGACGGCACTCGCAGGCGGAGCGTGAGGTGATTGTCGCCGAGTTCGTCGACGCGCTCGAGGCAAAGCTCAGCGCGAGCAGCGGGCCGTACTTCCATGGCGAGAAGATGTCAATGTTCGATATCACCGCTGCGAGCTTCATCGCAAATAGTCTCGGGACGAAGGGCAACCCATATTTCGCAGGGCTGGTTCTCAAGAGTCCTACACTCGTGTCGTTCGCAAGGAGGGTCAACGGAGAGCTGTTCCCGGAGTACAAAAATGTTCTAAACCTTCTCGATGACGCACAGGGCGAGTTGCAGAAGAAGGCTGTATAGAGCCTCGGGTTCAAGTGGAAGCAGGACGAGTGGTGGAGTAATATTGTAAACATGTCAGTCTTCCTGATGTATCCTGCTATTAACACCCCCTTTCATATCTCCGTTCTTTCCTCATGCACGTTGATCGATGACACACTCAGACCATCTGTCACCAATTTCGGTCTGAATAAAGGACCTCCCGTATTTGCCCGTATCATGGACGATGCCGTATTGACGCGCGTCCACTTGGCCATCATCACCGTGCTATACGCGTCGGAACAACTTGGGAAAATTGCAGCGCCGCAGCTTGCGTGGCAAATCACGACCTCCTTGAGTTTGTCGTATCACCTTGTCTCTTGCTGCGTGGCCTCTTGAGAAATGAGCGTTTAGTGAGAAGACTAACTAATTCCCTGGCCGATCACATAGCGCTGAGTTCTTCCGAAGGCGCGTATTACAGTGGCTATAAAGGAATTGTGATGAGGAAAATGGCTTGACAACGTCATTAATCACCCCACTGTGTCTCAGGTCAAGGTACGGGTAGGTGTCTTTTCCCTTCTTGTTTTTGTGACATTCTTATGCTCACTACCAGTCGTGCAAGCCATAACCCAGCATGACATCGCCTCATGTGACCGTTCGTCTTTGGCCCGGGCCTATTCGGTTTCTGCCAAAAGCTGGAAGCTTTCCTACGGTTCTCCTCGGTGTCCTACGAGCACGGCACCCTTTTCAATACTAGCAAATTGCCCAAGGGCAAGATTCCCTATGTCGACGTCACCCTCGACGGCAACACAACATCTCCGACTCGACGTTCATCATCCGCCACCTCATCGACATATGCGGCGTCGCAGACCCCGAGACACATCTCACCACCGTGCAGCGTGCGGACTCGAGGACGTGGTAGGCCTGGCTGGAAGAGCTCATCTACCCGTCCATCGTCACCGAGCGCTTAATTCCTGACGAGAACTACGCCATCACTATAGCTGAGACCTTTGGCTCTCTTCCGTTGCCGATGCGCACCATCCTCGCCTGGTTCATCCGCCGGCGCGTCAAGGCGGAGCGAAACGGGATCGTCGCCGAGTTCGTCCGCTCGAGGCGAGGCTGAGTGCGAGCGGCGGTCCGTTCTTCCACGGGGAAACGATGTCGATGTTCGATATCACAGCTGCGAGCTTCATCGCGAACAGTCTCGGAACGACGGGGAACCCCTACTTCGCAGGGCTGGTGCTCAAGAGCTCGGCACTTGTGTCACATGCGCGCAGGATCAACGGCGAGCTGTTCCCGGAGTTCGAAGGCGTGTTGAACATTCTTGACGATGCGCAGAGCGAATTGCAGAAGAAGGCTGTGTGGTCGGCGAAGGAAGCGGGCGGGATGATGTCAACCTTCGTACTCTCGTGCTCAAATTTTCTCCGCAATCTTGAGTAGCTGAGGATCCTGAAACCCTCATATGCCTTGCACTATAGGATACGATCATGTTGCACATAATCTACCAGGTCTCCTCTCATTTATCCTATTTATTTGCTCTAGGTTGACAGTGCAGTCCCATGTCGACGCGTGCTCGAATTCAACCTTTTTATGCCTTTACATTAGAGAAGCTGTTCTGTCGGATAAGATTGCCCCATACTCGAATTTCGTGCACTTTATCGATAGAGATTTGCATCCGGTCGAGGCTAGTAAAGTTCAGTCGTACACGAACAACGTCATCATCCCAAACGGTTCTTTCGGATCGGTCCGATATACCCGAAGACAGGCCGAAGACGCCATTTTGTGGATCGGGCAACGCCGGTTGATAACGTTCCTAACGCTCGTTTACAGTATCTATGAATATCGCCAGTGTTCCCTAGTGTGAGCCCCTCCGTTTACTACCAGATCTCGTCGACGACAACGTCCATTGCTCTTGCTGACCTCTGACGGTAATGGCACCCAAAGTGATACTCGTTGGTGTAGGGTAAGCACGCCGATCTGCCATCCGAGCACATTTCGGGCAATGAGCTTACGTCCAAATCATGGCCTAACATGTAGAGGCGCGACATGCTCTGGGAAAACTACTTTGGCGAAGCATCTCAAGCGTATCCTACCGAATAGTGTCATCGTGCACCAGGACGTGAGCCATGTTCTACTGGGTTCCATCGCAATGGTCTGACCCATGAATAGGACTTTGCTCCAGTGAGCCCTCCTTCGCGTGTCGCTCTTGCATTCCTCCTAATGGCGTGCAGCCTGAAGAACTGGTGCCTATTCATCCCGTTCACAACGTTCAAGACTGGGATGCAGCACCCTCGTTCAACTGCCGGAGAGGCACATATGGAATTTCGCAATACAAATTCGATACATCAACAACAGGAATCATATGTTTGATCCCTGCAACTTCTTCTGCAGCACCTCGCAACACACACCCACCACATCCGTCATGCTCATCTTTTCGTTCTCGAACAGCACAAGGTCCTGCACCTTGCCCGTCGGCCGACCCGTCTCCAGGTTCCCATCTTCGAACACGTCCCGGTGCGCATCCTCGTACGCAGGCCACACGATCTGCTCCCAGTACCCGGGCGGGTCCCGCCATAACGTCCCCTCTGGGTCGGATTGCACTCCAGGCGGGTAGCCGTGGTTATCGCGTCGGGCCGGTCACCGGGTGGACATGCGCACACGCACGCGCACGCCGAGGATTCACCATCGCGCCCGAGCCGTCCGAGCCGTGCACGGAGCAGCCAGCCCAGGATACATGCATATGCGTTTATGCCCGATCGCACAGTACGTCCAGAGACGTGCGGCAGACGCCAGTAACGTGTCGAGAGATGGACGATGCGGATTTAAGGGGGCACACCCGCGTTTGCAAGGGGGAGGCGCGCGGAGAAAGAGAAGCCAAGGGCAAGTAAGGGGAGGGAGAGCGTCAGTCCGAAGACTCCGATCGCAGCTACGTGCAGTAAACGCCGCACGTACTTACCTGCAGTATGATAGCCGTGTCGCTCGTGTCGCCGCTGCTTCAGCACGTCGTGAGAGACCCGCAGGAAGATGCGCACGTCGAGGTTGGAGATCACTTCCTGCAGGCGTTTTGGTCCCCGTGAGTCGCACGTTCGCTTGAAAGGCTAACAACATATAGATAGAGGCTCACCTTATCCCAGTAAAGCAAGAAACCGTCGATCAGACCCCATACCACATCTTCGTTTCCGGGCTTGCTGCTGAGCTCTTGGAAGATATTTTGCCACTTCACAAATGCTTCATTCTCGATGGGTATATCTTTCTGCTCGTTGAGGTGATCGTGGCTGTAGTGGTCTGAGGGTATGGCGCCATCACGCTTTACGTCCTTGAGGAACTTGCGCATCCGTGGCCAGTCGATCGCTCCGCGGGGAAGTGAGCGGGACGGAAATCAGATGGAAAGACGGCCGGCCGGTGACTTCCACTTTGAGGGGCCAAAATCCGGGGAAGATGATACCCCATGCTTACATCAGCAATTATCACATGCCGTGGACCGGAAAAGCGACGCGTGCTGATTGGCTGACGCAACAAGTACTTCACCCGGCCCTCCCTCGCCCGACGCCGCGTTCTCCATCCCTCCCTTTCTCCCTTGCCATCTATCCACCCTCCACTCCATAACATTAACAATGGCTCAGGTCATCGTCGTCGGTGGTGGTCTCGCAGGTCTCTCGGCTGCCCACACTCTCCTTGAGCGTGGTGCCAATGTTTTGCTCCTCGACAAGCAGGGGTAAGTCCTATCCTGTCGTCTGCCATTCTGGCACCTGTCGAGTCTTTGACGCTAATCGACCCTGACTCGCAGTTTCATGGGCGGTAACTCCACCAAGGCTACCTCTGGTATCAACGGTGCGGGCACCCAGTCTCAACAGGACCTCGGCATTCCCGACAGCGCAAAGATCTTCTTCGAGGACACCAAGAAGTCGGTGCGTACACCCCTCTTCACCTCATTTCACTTTGCATCAGCATATTGATCAGCTTTTGATTTGGCTGCATTTTCCTAGGCCCGCGATCTCGCTCGTGATGACCTGATCCGCGTCCTCACTGGTCGTTCGGGTGACGCCGTCGACTGGCTTCAAGCCAAGTTCGGCCTCGACCTCTCCAAGGTCGCCCGTCTCGGTGGCCACAGCCAGCCCCGGACGCACCGCGGCAGCGCTCAGTTCCCTGGAATGGTGCGTTTCACGTCAAGCTTTGTTTTACTGCGGAATAACGCTCAATCTCCGCCCCTTTCGACAATAGGTCATCACCTACGCCCAGATGGAGCGTCTCGAGGACCTCTCTGTGTCGAACCCCGAGCGCGTCAAGATTTACAAGAAGGCCCGCGTGACCAAGCTCCTCAAGGACGAGTCGGGCACCGTCATCGGTGTCGAGTATATCCGCAACGGCAAGACCGAGACCGCTGACGGCCCCGTCATCCTCGCTACCGGTGGCTACGCCGCTGACTTCACCAGCGATTCGCTCCTGAAGAAGCACCGCCCCGAGTACTACAATCTCCCCACGACGAACGGTGACCACTGCACGGGTGACGGCCAGAAGATGGCCATGGCTGTCGGTGCAAGTGCTATCGATCTCGAGAAGGTCCAGGTCCACCCGACTGGTCTCGTTGACCCGAACGAGCCCGACGCCAAGGTCAAGTTCTTGGCTGCTGAGGCGCTCCGGGGTGTCGGCGGTCTCCTGCTTGACAACAACGGCGACCGCTTCGTTGATGAGCTCCAGCACCGTGACTTTGTCACTGGTAAGATTTGGGAGAATGGAAAGGTGCGTTTTGATACTCGGTCTAAAAGTTGAACAGCTGGATTAAACTTGGACTTTTTAGTACCCCATCCGCCTTATCCTCAACGGTCAAGCTTCGAGCGAGATTGAGTGGCACTGCAAGCACTACGTCGGCCGTGGCCTCATGAAACGCTTCGACAACGGCGACGCTCTCGCCAAGGAGATCGGCATCTCGCCCGCGAAGCTCAAGAAGACCTTTGACGACTACAACGTCGGCGTCAAGGCCAAGAAGGACCCCTTCGGCAAGAAGTTCTTCTCCACCGGCGAGTGGAAGATGAACGACTTCTTCAATGTGGCCATCATGACCCCTGTCCTGCACTACACCATGGGTGGCCTCGAGATCGACGCCGAGTCGCGCGTCGTTGGCAGCGATGGCAAGCCCATTGCTGGACTCTTCGCCTCCGGCGAGGTCGCCGGTGGTGTCCACGGCGCTAACCGTCTCGGCGGCTCCTCGCTCCTCGGCTGTGTCGTCTTTGGCCGCGTGTCAGGTGACTCTGCCGCCGCCTACCTCCTCCAGACCACCGGCCAGATTGTGCAGAAGGCTGGCGGCCGTCTCGGTGCCCTCGCAGGCCAGCTCGGCGGCTCCTCTTCATCGTCATCATCATCTGCACCTGCACCCACCTCGAACAACGCAGGTGCGACGAGCGGCCCCGCGCAGTCTTCATCGGCATCGAAGGAGTTCACCACCGCCGACGTTGCCAAGCACAACAAGAAGGACGACATATGGGTGATCGTCAACGGACAGGTGCTCGACGTGACGTCGTTCCTGCCCGACCACCCCGGAGGAGAGAAGGCGATCCTGCTGTACGCCGGCCGCGACGCGACGGAGGAGTTCAACATGCTGCACGACCCCAAGGTTATCCCGCGATACGCGCCCGACTCGGTCATTGGCAACCACAAGAAGTAGATTGCCCGAGACGGAGTGTCAAAAGTAGAGCTTACTTGTAGGATGCTCGTTGCATGCATTAGTCACTCACGGTTTTCCTTACTCTGATCACGCATATCTATTTCCTTGTTTCTTATATTCATGTCTCATCATATGTCATGGCCCATGGTCGCATGTATGTATTATAGTGCAGGCCGTCTGAACGAATGATCATACCAAACCACTCCTAAGCTTCCCTGCGCGAATGAGTTCTATCGGCTTAGAGTCGTGTGTTCACCAAAAGCCTTGAGAGTGCAACGCGGTCCTCGCGTTCTTTATCGCCACTAGTGTGCGACATGATATGTTTGCTTGTTGTTCTTCAAGCTTCACCGTCGGGTCGCAATAGGGTAGTACCTTACACCTCTGGATTCCGAATTATGAACACATCGCATGGTGCCGTTCCATACGTGCTCAATGCGGCTTAAAGCTTTACGTTGAAGATTTGTACAACGAGCTTTTCTTTGAACTGTAATCCATACGTTGAAAACTTCCAGCTTCCCCCTTCCCTTCCCGTCCCGATCAAAGCCGGCCCCACTTGCCGATCACAACCAGTATACATGATGCATGATGTCCCCACGGATGCACTGGAGAATCCCGATTACACTTCCTGTCCAGCGGCGCAGCAGGGCGCAGCACAGCTCCGGCCAAGGGAAGAAAACGTTGCGGTAGGGGCTTGATAAGCGCTCAGGCGTTTAAATGTCAGCAGCCGGAAGTTAGCGCGCTATAATCGTTAGCTTGTCCGCATAATTACTCCACACGTTATATCACAGTTTGAAGTACAGCACGAAATTTTCCCTTGCTAATATCGGGGACGTCGGAGCAATTTACTACTACTTACAGGTGTACGCGTGATACGTACAGGTGTCCCGAAGAGCTGGATCTAAGGCCTCCGATAAGTCAGGAACCGATCCTGGTGGAGAAGAAGGGGGCGTTCACGTTCAACTTGAAGTTGTCACTCGGTCCGAGTGAATACACACAGGAGCAAATCGAATATTCTACGCTTGTTTTGTTGTCACTGGAGCGATTCGTTGACAGGAAGGTTCTGAGCAGAAATTGGCTATATTGCATTTGGAACAGACCTTGGCAATACGCGGCAGAGGGAAAGCCTGCACGTAAGTCGCTACTACGGGTTATATTAGCATAACGTTGCCGCGAGTATTGTGATGTGTTGTTATCGAGGCTTACCATGGCGCCGTATGGTGACCCACTCTAAGAGTCTATTGTATGTCCAAGCACACAAAAAAGTATTAGAACCATTCCGTAAGTTATGACGTTGATCTGGAGCCCATAAAGTTTGAGTACAAACACGCGTTCACGGAATAAGGCGGCCGAGAACAACGCATGACGGCTGTGATCTATTGTGATGCAAGACATTCGGAATCTGCCGCTGCTACGCGCACAGCTCCGTGCGGCCCGTGTACGACATCGCATGCGCACTTTGTGTATCTTGGAAACGGAGGACCGTCGGCTCCGACCTAAAACCAGTGCGACGCTTTTGGCGAGCGCCAATGGAGAGCTGGAAGCGCTTGCGTAGCCTTGACTTGTCGGCGACCCTTCGATCCCTGAATATGTCATAAATCCAGACGGTGCTGTGTTTTGATGTTTACAGCCGAACCGCGAAGCAGGTTAAATGAAAAGGGCGATCATTAAGCCATATGCATCGTAATTTGATCATGTACATATCGACATCCCGACATTAGCGAGGAAACAAGGAACGAGATAACAATGCAATGAACGAAAAAGGAACAAAGATAAAGATTGAACAGGACAGAAGGGGAGATCTAAGCGCGTTACGAACGTGGACGATCACCAAAAAGATGGATAAACAGGCCAATTAGTCACGGATGTGGCAGAACGAAAATGAACCCGCGAACGACGTCTTGGTCGATGATCGGCACTAGCTCTTGATCCCGATGCAGATGCACACCCAGCCATCTGCGCCTGCCATGCAAGCGCCAAGCCAAGCCATCTCGGCATCGAGAGGCGTGTGTACGCCTTGTACAAGAGCGTACGCGAGGTTCGGTGATATGCCGTTGGCTAATTGTGGGTATGATGGTCAGCTCGGGCGATGATTACGAAAAAGGGAGAAGCCACGTACCTGCACGCGAAGACTGTTCTGTTGAGTTGGGGAAGAGGAGTGGGAGGTGAGTGAAGAGGCAATAGCCTAGCGTATGCGCCGAGCCTGTGGTCAAGCATTGTCAGCCTTCAGGGAGGAGGGCAACGCCGGAGTTGAAAGCGACGAGAAAGCGAAACGTACCGTCGTCAAGCACAGGGGGGCACAGGTCTTGCATAACGGGCCCGTCGGGGAGGTACAGCCGCACTGGAATGCTCCGCACGTTGTAAGCGCCGTCTTTATCGCCCCTATCGCGCTCGCCGCCATCTGCTGACGGGGGCCGCGTGTGTCCAGGTTGGTTGAGGGTTGATTGGGGAACGGTACTAGAGGGAACGGTTGACGGAACAACCTTGGATGCAATGCGCCAGTAGTCGTCGAAGTTGTCTGCTGAAAGATAAGGCTCGGGGAGGACGTGAAGGGAGAAAGAGGGCACGTACGTTCACGTATGCCTTCCCACATCCCGTCCTGCTCAGCCTTGCGCAACCCGGTCATGCGTTTCGTGTTCCCCCACCGCAGGAAGTCCGCCTCCTTGAGTTGACCCATAAACGCTTGTTTGCACGCCTCCGCGCTAGGCGCCATCAGGAGCTTATCCGTCGGTGGAGACGTGAGATGCAGAGTTAGCCTCAATGGCTGCACGGCCAGTGTGTTCGGTAAGCTCGACGAGGGTGCAGCGGGACGTATCGTCGACGAAATGGTGTAGTTGTCGTATATGAGCCCAATCGGCCAGTGCCTGTATCGGAAGGAAACAAACAGGAAAGCAGTGTAGGTATGCCATCCTCTCGACACTGAGCACGTCCAAGACTCTTAGAGAGGAAAAGTGAGCACACCATTTGAGCAGCGCGCCTTCTTCGCCTTCGAACCACCAGTCCTCCTCCTTCACGGCGCGTCCTCCCATCTCGTCAAACACGATGTCCATCAGAAAGCGCTTTATCTCGGGCACGAGTAAGGGCAGGTAGGACACTCTTGGTGCCTGGATATAGTAGCATTCGAGACCGCGATCCGAGTTGGCTGGGAGCTCTTGAGGGGCGACACGGATCTCTAACGGGACTGTTCCTTCCCAAGATAGTCGGCGGAAGAGCGTAGTCGCTGCTGGTGTTGACGATGAAGGAGTGAATGAAGATGCAGGCATGTGTCTAGTTGATCCGTATGCCGACATGATGAGACTTCACTGAGCCCTGGTCAGTGTAGAGGGCACCGGGACGCAAAGGAGACGTTCCCTGAGGCGGTAAAGGGATTCCACGTGACTGGCGTAGCACAGGACGCGAACTCGCCGCAGCTTTCTTTCAACGGATGTTGGCAGCGACCGTCATCCGATTCTTCTCTTCGCCTCCTATCTGTAACCGCAGACAAACCAGGATACAAGGCAGCGCAGTTTCGTCCCTTTTGCATCAGCTGAGCTCACAGGAGGCTATGTTTCGAACAGGAGATCTCGAGACTTGAGATGTCTTCCTGGGCACCGCCAACTTGTGGTGATCTACGCCTACGCAACTTCATGAGATAGAGTTCCCGGTCAATTTACTATGGTACCAGGTACCATACACACGCCCAGCTGCAATTCGTCGGTTTAAACAACACGAGGACTGGACACAGCACGTTAACGCCGCCCGAAGGACGAAAGCGCAAGCACGTATCGGCTATCACTAGCATTTGTCATGCGACATAGCGAACGCTCAGATGACCTTGTACTCGAGGAGAGTAGTCCTCCTTTTTCCGCCTGACCAGGCTGCAAAGTCTATTCATCTCGATGCGTCCATCAAACTCGCTCTTCAAATGACCATAGACGCTGTCATGACCGAAGTTATAGATCGAGGATCGGAATCAGATTGCGCCGCGCTAGTGCCAGAGGGTGGAGACTATTAACCTGTGTAGCTCGGGCCGACCATTACCTGACATTTCTTTGCGCTTTGGCCAGGCTAGCAGGCTATGCACACTACGTTCTCCCAGTGTAAGCGATGGCGGCGGCCCGATTCAAAGCCTGACAGGCAGCTGTGGGTCCTTGTTTTCTGACGTATGGCTCCCATCAGAATTCTCCGACACCCTCGCTCACAGCGACCTTAAACATAGATCGCCTGTTTATAAGGGCAGAAAGCTTTTGGTAGACTAACTTGCAAGTTCCTCACCACGCTATCAAACTTGTTACCTTTACCACCTTGCTTCCTCACCCCGCAATTAATGTCTGCCCAATCTCCCTACGAGTTCATCTACAATGCCGGCACAATCCTCCAAAGCTGCGAACAGATGTTAATCAACTTCCGCACACAGTCCGGAGAGCTGGCTGCGCTGAGCCTTCGGGAGCGTTATCAAAGGTACGTCGTTCTGCATGCTTGGTTTGAACCTTATGCGAACGGAATATATCCTTTCAGAGCTGTTACGAACCAGGACAAGCTTATTCGGCACCCACCGCGTGACCCCGTGCTCGCCGAGAACCATTTCAGGCTGGCTCGTGGCCTCCAACGCGAAATACAGGTATGAGCACTCAGTGCTGTGCTGTATTGCGTATTGACTCTTTGCAGTCTCAACAGCAAAGAGCTTGTGGTCAACATTTCCAGCGTATTTGATGGCCATATCTCCACACGTATATGACCCTTAGCAAATAGCTTCTACGATAGTCGGCACACACAGCGTATCGTTCACATGTATATCCAGGCCTCGCTTAAAAGTAGTCTATGTCATAATAATAATTCAATACCATACTCTGCTATGCCTCGTGTTCTTGGGATCTAGATCCCTGCAGAAACCCGCAGAGTTTGTTGCCACGTTCTGGCAGGAGCCGAAGTCTTCGTACCTTTCAAAGGTAACTCCAAGTGATAGTACTACTCGGCCCTTCGATAATTACCCGAACCCTGTGGGGGAGGCTCCACCCGCGTAAGTTGTTCGGACGCCCCCGAAAGGCACATCAACATAGTTGGTCTCGCATGGCCTGACGTCAATCCACCTTTGATAGTTGACTTTTGAATTTCGAGTCTCAGTCAAACTTCAACTCCCCTTGTTACTTTGTTACGAGGTACCTCCAAAATGTTGAACCGCAAGTAAGACACCGACTTCACAACAAATGGTAGGATATATGGAATTGATGTGAGTTAGGTGTTAGTTCTCATTATGACTGTTTGGGTTGAGGCAAACTTCAGCAATCTAGAGATCGTCAAATGACGATCGAAGAATTCTTGGAGTTAATGTAACTTCGATTCGGGATGATCGGGATGCACTTCATACCATGCTGTGAACATCAGTATCCGGAGATACGTACTCTCAGGAATGCTTTTTCAGGGGCAGGGCACCTGCGTCGTTCCCCACATAACCGGAGACGAATATCACCGGTCCCAAGAGAAGGGGGCCGATGCTCTATCGGGAATCATTGCAAGGTAACGGTACGATAACTTCACGCATTGCACAGGTGCGTCGCGGCGTCAGCGCTGCGATGTTCCTGTCTCTATTACCCACGTAGGTAACTAATATCGAATGTGGGAATCAATACGTGCGCGCCATCCAAGAGTAAAAATCTAGGTACCAGCTCAGAACGAGGTTTCATGCTAGCGACCGGGCTGACAACACTCTGACAACCACGGCCAACCGTCGCTGGCAGGTCGTGCGACGTGATCGGCTGGTTATCTGTAAAGATCTTGCAAGCGCTAGCCCTTAAATCGTATCCAGTGCTCGGATATCAGCATGGGCGTCTGAGAATTCCATTTTTCGAACGTTCATGTGTTGCTACGTCTCTATCTATGCTGTAAGTCGTCGAAGTAGTATCTACGGATGTAACGGATCGGTGTTTCGCTCACGTTCGTCGGCATGCGAGAGTTCGATGTTCCTAGCCATGCTACTCAACACAGTCTGTGAAGGGCTTGTCAACCCGTCCCTTTCATTATGTTTGCTTGCGTGCTAGGCGCGCTACGCGCGTTACGTAGCATGTTTATCTCAAGAGCAATCGACGTCGGGCTGACATTGCCTCGGCGCACAGATTCCATTATAAGTACCCATGCACATGTCTTGAGCTCCTGTCAATAACAAGCAAGCCACCTCTCGCCCTTTCCCCCTTCGTATTCTCGGATATCTAAATGAATTCTTCCATGGACAACATCATGGACAACATTCGTCTCTGTGGCTCACGGCTGGATCGGTGCCGCGAGCTTTTATACGAGCTCTCTGTTACTCACGGAACAATCGCTGCACAAAGAACTCCCATGTTTAGAGACCGGTTGATTAAGTACGTGGCAATATCGGAGATGCTCATCTAGCGTTTGTTCATGATGGCTATCTAATGTAGTGCAAACGCAAACCAACGCCGCCTTGAGGCCAAACCTCCTCGTGACGCGGTGCTTACCACTGGTCACTTGAAGCTCACAACAAAGCTCCTTGAAGAAATCGAGGTAAGGATCTTGTTCTTTCAGGGCCAGCACTAATGCTTATCTGCAACTACAGCATGAGCATCGCAAAGCACGGGCAGAGAACTTGGGCTTGAATAGGAGTCAGTAGTTTGTGTGTTAATGTCGCCGAAGGAATTGGTCGCTACCCGGCAATTGTCATTTCCCTGAGGATTCGCATTCACATAATTTATTTATGATATATCGTATATAGATCCCCGTATATAATGTACCTAGTCGAGTATATTGCGTCAATGTCATTCGCTAATGCTTTGTCCATCACCAGTCGTATTGGGAAAAGCAAACGATATGAGGATATCTTGATGGTTTCTCGAGGTTCTTGTGTTGTATCGTATTGACACATACTGTACTACGTTCAGCTAATAAAAGGGCGAACGGCCACCGGAGATATCGGATACCTGATTTACACACATGTGGGGCGCTGCCGGTCCTATGACGAGAGAACGTTACTTATAGTACTGCTTTTGGTACGACTTAAATGGATAGAACAGCATATCTGGGATAGTAGATTGTCCCTGGGATTGATATGACACTTTCCCTGGTATTTTAATGCGAGGCCGTAAAGTTTAGACAGTAGGAGGAAGGGTTTTGACGCACCATTGATACGTTCTTATCCGTGAGGCATGGATGGGAACATTGGTCCAACTTTCAGTGAGCCGAAGATTTTAGCCTACATAGGTCCACTCAGCGTATGATATTAGCTCGGTCGGCCAGGCCTTTGACGACATATGCTATGCACCGCGTGGAACGTACATTAGTGAGCTAGTGACCCAACCAAAAGGTTTAGCCTTCAGACCTACAGGACCCTTTGTCACGTATGCTTGCAGTGTACGGAATGCACGCTAGCAAACTGGTGACCGAATCACAAGAACTAAAGCCGTGAATAAGTACGTTGTTTCCTCAGCATCGGATATCCATAGAGATAAAATAACGTGGTAGCAACCTTACAATAAACTGCCTTCGCTATACCAATAAGATCACTTGGCAGTAGGCACTGGCTGCACGGGTGCCAGATACTTGGCATGTCACGGAGCCACCTCCATCATCCGTTCCTTATAATGAAAGCGTGCGTTACTAAGGTGTGTATCGCAATTTATCGACCCTTTGTCAACACAAAGCCTTGGACCATATCATGTCCTATGGACCACTCAAGCTGTCCGCAGGTGTTTTTTTTGCCTTAGATGTGTAACGAGCCCAGCACGAACTCCACGCGACTTTGACATCCGCGGACATGTCATGCAAGGTCCAAACCATTGTGTCGACTGGCACGTCCGCTGTTTTTCATGTGAATTGGGCGGTTGCGAACATAATGAGGACAGCCAAAACATGGCATCTGTCCGATGATATAAAAGAGGGAGGGAGCGCACGAATGGGGCACCAACAATCCTCTCAAACGTCGCAGATAGTGCCTCCTCCCATATCTTTTTCTTTCTAACTAATCATCAACATAATGGCTTCCCCCCTCCTGGAGCAAGCGGCTGGAGTGCTTCGCGAGTGTGATAGCAAGCTGATTGAATATAAATTAATTCCCGGGAACAAGAGCCAGACGCTCGAAGCTCGTTACACTCAGTGAGGCATAGTTTGATATGTGCGATTATCTACATCTGACATGGCTGAATCCCATAGCGCCAAGAAGAACCAAGAGAATCTCTATAGAGCCTCTCCTCTTGATGAGTTGTTGGCGAAGGCCCACTGCGCTCTGGCGCAAGGGCTTCTCAAGGATATACAGGTCGGTGGTTTAAACTAACGCTCCACACGATACTCAACTTGTTTTACTACAGAAGACTATCATTAAGGCCCGTGATTCAAACTTGTAGAAGTAGAGGCGGGCTATGATAGGTGTACCAATAGATTCGAATTCGATATATATATGCACATACAATAGATCAGAGTTTTATACTACATTGTGCTTGATCTTGAAAGCCTTACGCGTCGAGTCATCTGTTCAAAAGCCCTTGTTCTTAGGCGAGGAAAGTGACACCGTGAGGATCTCTCAATAGGACGCACCCATAAACGTAGTGCATGATCTATATCAGGGGTAGTGTTGTCCAATGGCGAGCAGGCGTAACGCATTGGGCGAACCCGAGGAGGAAGAGGCACACACAAACGCCTCGCTTAGCTCGCTTAGATCCCCATAATTAACCACCTTCGCTTAGCAGCGCAAAGTCAGATACTGCCTGCGTGACTCGTCGCCCTTGAGATCAACAATTTAAAAGGAACAGCGAGTGGCTGTGTCCTTACCCTTTGCAGAAGAAGATGCCAGAACGGAACGGCGAAATCTAGCCCGGGGGTCCTGCCGAAAGTCGTACAAAAGGAGCGTCGAGTTAGGTATATATTCATTCGAGTCAAGCATCATCCTCGCTTTCTCTCTTCAGATTATCGAGGTGACCCGTCCCGCCTTGCCTTTGCGGCCTGACTAATACGCCGTAGACATGTCCGGCATTCCTTACGACGGTAACCTGAACTTCTGCTTCCCCGTGAAGAACTTCTCTTCAGATCGTGTGAAGCTGGTCCTCTTCGACGTGAGTGAGCTTTGCGACTGCATTTCGCAAACGTAGAACTGATGATGAAACCGTCAGCCCAGGATTCACCTCGAACCCTACTTCGAGGCTCAATTGACGTGGCCGGAGGTCTGGGCGCACAGCGCGTTCGGTCCATATAAGGCCAAAGAAGATCTCAACGAGGACTTCCTTGAGAACGTCATCCATAAGAGCCCTGCTGTCGTGATGTTCGTCATCATCGACAAGACCAAACCTGCGTGCTCGTTCGATAGCGAAGGTGCCTTCGCGGGCGTGCTCACCTATCTGAACGCCTCCGATCGCAACCTCGTCACCGAGGTCGGGCACATCCAGATCTTCCCACCATTCCAGCGTACCCACGTCAACACTCACGCATGCGGGTTGCTGATGCAGTATGCGCTCGAGACGAAGGAAAAGGGTGGGCTCGGTTGTCGTCGATGCCAGTGGATGACGAGCTCGGCGAACCAAAAGTCTCAGAATGCCGCGATCAGGCTTGGTTTCCTTCACGAGGGCATCTTGCGCTGGGATCGCGTTTACCATGACGGTGATGCGAGGGGTAAGCCTGGTAACGGAATTGCGCTTGCAGGAGACCGAGAACCCCATAACATTGGAAGGCACACGTACATCTATGGCTTGTGCTGGGACGACTGGGAGAATGGTGGAAGGGAGAAGCTGCAGGCTTTGATGGATAGGCGATGATCCTGGTTGAAGATGGTGATGCTAACGTCTATCATGTACCCGTCGTGCTCTTACCCCTCAAGCTGAAGTCAATAGAGCTTGTTCTTGTTGTGAAAGCCTGAGGAGAGCGCGATTAGTGTCGATTAAACGGATGGCTTACAAGTCCACTAAAACCGCTGAACACTCCTCCACTGATGCTTGATCCGTACCAAAACCCCCGTATCCAGGTCAGACATTTCATAGAGTGCACGCAGAGCTGGAAGATACCCGGACAGGTGCTGGAGGCTTTGAGTCATTTTGAGTCATTGTCGTCCACAGTCAAGGGAGGCTTCTCCTGATTTTCGCCAGAACGGGGATAGCACAGCCACCACGGTTCGCTGTGCCAGCCGAGACGCGTCGCGCGCAATCCCAACCCTCACAACCACGATGAGACAGTCAGTCGTACCCAATCGCTTATCCCATGCAGTACCAGGCACATCCCAGTCCAACGCAGCATCGATGACCAGACTACTCGAGAAGAAGAAGGAGTACGAGGCCGTTGCAGCTCTTGAGAGAGCTAGTGCTTTGTTTGTGAAGCGGATGGAAGGGCTGGGGGATGACTGTGAGCTGATGGCAGATGCGGGTTTAGGTACGTCGGTTGCCTTTGACCGCGAATGAGCATTATTAAGTTGAGGGTACTTCTCAGTGCATGGGCAGGTCCTCGAACAATGGCCTCAGATGTTCCGTATATTGGACCTATTCCGTCAGTATTGATCGCAAGCGTGTTGGGTCTACCTACCTTGACCGCTGACTTGCACTAGTCTCACAGCGGAAGAATATGGAATCCCCTGGCGACCTTGACTCGGAACAAACGTCTCTCGCGGCCGGCGAGAGGCTAGTACGAATACCGATTGACGATGCTCAGGACGATCCAAAGTCGGCGTAGACCGTGGTCAAATTACTGCGTGACGAATGTCGAGGTGAGTCCTACCCGTGCCTCTAACTATGTAAAGGCATAATGCAATCTAAGAACCAGCTCTGACATGACGTCAACCCCTGTTTCTTCGAGCCATCAACTGCATCATGAAAATAATGGTCCATTTGGACTTCGTACTTATCCCGCGTAACCATCTCGTCGCTTCAGTGGAATAACCAAGGGACTTCCTTCCCACTGTCTCCCACTGTCTACGTCTGTGCACCGCTGAAAGGCGGCCGCTCCATACGCGCACGACGTGTACGCGGTCGATACCCAGATAACCCAGGAGAGTATCTACAGACTTTGTTTTGAGTCGTATCAAACAACGTGCTAGGTAATATATAGCCCGTAAAACATGCTTTCGGTTATACCTGCGGCGAACACCCTTATGTCCGAGTCCACCCCCCAAAATGCTGGACGAAGCATGGAACGCACAAAGATTCGTATTTTGAACCAGGGTCCGCAAGTGATGTGAAACAACCGGGCATGCCACATGGCCTTAATAATGGAGCATCCCACATGATCGCGAACACAGGCTCAATACATATTCTGAGTTACAAACTGATCAGCCGCCCCTCGAGGGCTCGTAATTAAGCCGAGGACGTGATCGAGGCTCGCCGCTCCGAAGACTGCTAGTCGTCGGACGCTCATGTGGGGCAGCAGACCACAGACACGCGCGGTGTGCGTACGGGCGACGTTCAGATGGCAGGGAGGGAGGACACCTCTGAGGTCTGAGTCCGCCAAACATCAGGGGCGCCGGTGATGATGCGCACGGAAGGAGCATAAACGGTACTATACGCAAAAAGGCCGCCTCTACCCTTGTAAATGCCCTCGAACGCAGCGACCAATTCCCATGATACAATCGGGGCAGTTTGGCTGCGTCGCCCTCAGGTCTATAATAGCGGAATTTGTCAGCGTTCTTCCGTCATTTGCTCCCGACAAAGGCTCACTTGAAATTCCCTGCTGGATCATGGGTTCCGTAGGAGGGAGGCTGGACCCATAAGACCCGAAGGCAAAATCTGGCGACGACGACGCGCTGAGAGGGGATGGAGTATGGTGGCGGTACATCTGTTGGGGAGGTGGTACTATACCACTCGTATCAGAAGAATAATGGCGCATATGGGAGTAGTCTTGGGGTGACTGATGAGCGTAAACGTCGCCGTAGCCTCCCTCTGCCCCAGGGTAGTGCTCCGAAGGAGGAAAAGGATCGTTATTTCGATGCAAAGGCATATGAGGTAGGGTAGGAAGCGACATATGTCGACGAATGTCGGAGGAGGTAGGCGCATAGTGTCGTGGTTCGGGCGGGAGGGTACTCGCCGTCAGGGGGGCCTGCACGTAGCTGGCGTCGGGGTACATTGAATGGTGCTGGTAGAGGTAAGGGTCATTGGGTGGTGGATTCGAGTGACGGTGGATCGCGAGGGGCTCCGCAGAATACAGCTGCTGCGCGTGAATCTGTGCAGGGATGGCGCCCGAAAATGGATCCTGTGGGGTACGCACATGGTGGATATCAGTAGTGCGGTGTGAGGGACCTGCGGAGACTCCTGCCGACCAATCGTACGGGGAGGGGGGCTGATGGTAATCGGGCAGTGATATCGTATCATCAGGCGCAGTAGGGGACACCCGAGACCGACTACCCGGCTCAGAGCGGGAGGAGGAGGCATCGTCTGTCTCCCCCGCTGGTGATGGTATCGATAGGGAGGACGATGGAGGCGAACGCGAGGTGCGACCAGACATGGTAAAGACGCATTCCCTTCCGCGGTCCTGGCATTTGCCACAGGGTTGCTGGAGGTCGCACTTGACTTTGGACTCGGCACAGGCCTGGCAGGATCGACGCCGCGTGCGAGATACATGCCCACTATGATTAGCATCGTATGTGATTGAGGGCCTTAATTTCGAAAAAGAGCGACATACGGATCACCACAGCTTCTTTTGTGCCGAGTCAGAAGGTCACTCCGCGTGAACTGTGCTTCGCATGTCTAGTATCACCGCATAAAAGTTAGCGCATCACGTAGAAGACGCGAAGGCGGGAGACTTACGTCGCAGCGATGTAGTCGCTCGCCAGTGTCTGTAATATATTATCAGAATCGAACCAATGACAAATGCGAGTCCGAGCCACCGGGGGAACAAGCTGAGAGAGGGACGCACGCGTTCGTAGGTGTCGGTTTAAGTGGGTCGTTCGGGTGAATTTTGCAGGACAATGCGGACAGAGCTTCGTTTGGGGTAATACGGGAATATTTCCCTTGTGTGACCTCATCTTCGAGACTGCGCCGTCTTTCCGATACTCGATGACATTGTGGGATGAAGGAATTTCTGGGAGGTCGGAGGGGTTGGAGGACGAGCGGGCCATACCAGTGTCGGACGGGAACGAGGTCGAGACAAAAGAAGTCAGATTAAAAAGTTCGTGTCGAATTGAGACCATGCCTCTTATATACGAAGCTCTCGTGCTCTGCAGTATGGATCTGAGATCGCCGCATAGTCCGGGATGGTCCCTTTCATCCAGGGTTTGTTGCGTTGCCTTGATCGAGCTTGATCCTCGAAGCGAGCCATGCGACCTATTGACAGCTTCCGGCGCTGATATTCACCCCCGCTGCATAGCCGACGAAGATCCCTGGTGTCCGACTGCCCAGATGCTTCCAGATCACAGCTTCATAAATAAACTCCTTTTTTGTCGTAGATCAACATAGGTTGGCAAAGAAGTATTTATTCAACGTCATGCTCTCTGGCCCCGCATTTCTTGTCCAAGTGCCCACTGCACAGCTTCCGCCACGTCCTTGGCCTGGTGGTTTGGCACGTGTTTAGGCTGACCCTGACGGGGATCGTATACCCCTGTGTGCACAAGAATGGATTTCCAGCCTGCTGCATTGGCCCCCGCTATGTCAGACTCTGGATTGTCTGGTTCAGGAATCAGCCAAGACACAAGGTAAATCATATGGACGTATGGGCGCACCTCCTACCATGTACCTGGTGTCCCCCATTACACAACCGTCAGCTTGTCACGAGGAAAGGTTTCGGAAGCTGTAAGTACGTACACCGAAGGTTGACGTGATTCATGTCTCGCTAAGAGTAGATCCTTTAATGCCGCCTCCGCGAAGGTGTATGTGGCTTCTGTAGGTTTCCCATATTGAGTATAATTGCACGTCATACCGGTCATTGACTTGATGCAATATCAGCATCGAAAGAAGCATGGCGTGGGGTGAAAGCTGAAGAACCTTATAGACAGCCTGAAAAGCATCGCGAAACGCCCCCTGACCAAAGCGAGGCACTGGGAAGTCAGATCGCCAGATCAAGTCAGGATTGCAGAAGACGACATCAACGGGACTTGACGATGTAGCATGTCCCGCGCCTATGGTTCCGCCCGACAAAATGACGTCGCACATCACCTGCACGTCCAAGGCCCAGTTTCTAGGATCATGGAACACGAAGATCCCAGCTATCTTCAACTTCGAAAAATCCGCTCCCTTGAAGGTGCGCTGTCAGCTACCTCGTGGCACAATGGTAGGATATGCGCGCCTTTATGGAAGCTTTCTCCTCTGGAGTCAAGTCATGAAACGGCCACACGCTTTATGACGGAATCAGTCATTCCATCCGTGCAAAACGAGTCGACTCACGACGGATTCCAGGCAAGCACGTCGAGGCTGTTATACACGTGCTTGAAGCCATAGCTACAATCAGGTAGGCATGAGGAAAGAGTGCGTAAAGGCAAGGTTACTCACTTCTCAGCCACCTTGCGAAGGACGTCATTCCGACCACCCAATACCAACACCGGATGATCTGCGTATTTGCTCGCAATGGATCGGATGATCGTATGTGCCTGGATGTACCGGTCCACAGGTATCTGTAGATGTTAGGAGCCTGATTAGTTGCCTAAGACACGCGAAGGGCAACTTATGAGCACCTGGACACCCAATTGTTTGCTTAGCCTTCGACAACGTTCCTCTTCGCCGACTCCGCCGCCATTCGTCAGCTGATCGAAGACGTCATTGATGTTTATGCATTGTGTGGTATGCGAAAGAGGCAGTTCGGAAGCGACTTACCAGAATGTAAGGTATCTTCCTTGAGTCATTGAATGAGTACTGAAGTCAATCATATCGTCCATAGCAACGTACATTCCCCATTCGTTGTCGCCATCGAGAATGGAGAGCGCCTTCCGCGCGGCAGGTATAGGTTCTTCACCTCTAATCAAAACACCGTCCTGGCATGAAAGCATCAGCAAATTTTCCCAAACGCGTGCAGCCAAGAACGCGAGCGTACAATATCAAAAGCGAAGCTGATGGGAGGCGGAAGAGCAGATGGACCTTATGTCGTCAGCATGGGTTTTCTTCGGCTTCATGTGCCCGTGGACACCTGAGAAAACTTACTGTGTCGTCGCCGTGTGCTACGCTCCAAAAGCAGCGTGCTGCGTCGCAGGCAGAGCGCATTTGATGACGTTCTGCAGGAACGGGTAGCGATAGAAGACCGCAATAAGCTTGACATAGCCCGTCCGCAGTGAAACCGTGCCGGAAAATGACGCGTTGGCGGAGAACAAGGCAATGTTGAGTCCACGTGGGAAAACTCAGGGGGAGTGCAGTCCCGGCTTCCGAGGTCAGGATTCGGAGTCAGCCGCCCAGTCGCCACGCGAGCAGCGACGCCCATCGCCGACCAACACCGAGCTACACCGACGCCAAGGCCAAGCCAAGGCGCCCGCATTCGCTCAAGCACCTTTACATTTGGGGCCGGCAATGCGCACCAACCAGAGTGGTTCTCTGAATCAGGTGCCTCAAAACCTTGGTGACTGTCGTCTCTCACAAACCAGGATGGCCCTGACTCTATTTAACGGACACGCGATAGACCAGCATGATCTGCACGTCCCTCGAGGACCGCATCCTTTCAGGCTCTCTTTACATTCAACTAAGATCAAGGGCCGTGGAATAAACTGCGACGAGAGTGAACTGTCCCCATGACATCCTCCGGTGACCATCAAGGAATTAGATCTCATCCGCTTGTACTACGCACTTGCCGTGCGTACAACAAAACTTAGACCCAATCCCAGTTTATTCATATCTAAAGACGATATACCAAATGAAATCTACCAATGGTCGACGCTGATGTGTGTGATGATACAGAGAAAGAAATTCCGCAGCAACTCGAGGTCAAACTACCTTGACATGCCGTTTAGATAGGGCAGTTGGTCGTCGAGTACAACGTCGCGTCCGCGGGACCCTTTTGGATGGGGTTGCAGCTTCATCACCGCGTCAGATCCATGATTAAACGAGGAGAATCTGATTCAAGCTCACCCAGGAAGCGCGGAGAGGCTGTTGCCTCCAGTCTGCTCGCTGAGGGCGGGGGTCTGCTTGCATTGCGAAGCCTGGTCGGCAGAGACGACGGTCAAGTACTGGCACGCGCTGGTGTCGCCCTGCCCGGTCGCATCGTTGGGGTTGTTGCAGTTGTCGATCGCGTTCTGCAGCGCAGTCGTGTCCCAGCCGTTGAGGAAGTCACCGTGCTGGGAGAAGCCGGTCGGGTCGCCAGTGGCATAGACGAACGGCCAGTTGGGCGCAGTCCAGCGGTCAGCAAAGTCTTGGACGTTCCAAGTGATCTTTGGACGCAACGGTACGGTCAGCCACGAAGGTAGTGCTTAATATAAGGTCGCGTACTTCATAGAGGAGGTGCATCAGGCCGACGGGGTGGGTGTCGGGGCAGGCACCATTGTCGAGACCAGAGAGGTAAGCAACATGCGATTTGTGGTCAGGCGAGTCCAGGTTCTGTTATGGAAGTGGACAATGTTTAGACACCTTATGAATGCGCAACAGCTAATAAACATTACCTGACCATCCCAGCAGGACGGGAACTGGATGCGGGCGTTGTAACCAGCCTCGCAGGTGGTGTTCGGGAACCCGAAGCCATTGTATCCCTGAGAGTCACCCGTGTTGTAACGGAGACATGAATACTGGATAGCCGACTGCGCGAGCTCCGCCTGGGTGTCATATCCCTGACCACCCTGGTCGGAGCGCGACACGGCGTCACCAGAGATCATGCGGAAGCCTTCAGGGAACGCCTTGAGTCCGGGACCGTTGTTGCTGGCGTCCTGGTCACCACGGTTGAGGTAGTACACGAGGAGACCACCATTGGCTACCTCCTCGAAGTGGCCGTCCGTGGGGTCCTGGAAGTAGAGCTTCGGGAACCAGTAGGTAGACATGTCTTGCGGGGAGACCTCGCAGGACGTGCAGCTGCCTGCCCGGAGATCGCTGGTGTTGGCGGTGGCGCTGAAGCCATTCGAGCCGTGGACTGTTGGAACAAGTGTTCTGTTAGCTCTCCTGACAGAATTATCATAGGCCAGCAAAAACGCGTACTGGTGTGGACGTGGTTGGAGCCGATTACACCGGGCGAGACGATGGGGTCGACGCGCTCGGTGACAAGGGGAGTCGTGCAAGCAACACGGAACCAGGCGTGTGCAGCGCCGGCGTAGATGAGGGCTGTGAGGAGAGGTGCGAACATCTGCATCGTAGAGAGGAAGGCGCTGCTGTTGCTCTGCAAGGTCGCATATTTGCCTCGATTTTATACCACGCTGGGAGAGCGTAGATTGTGGCCGAACCGCATCGTTGGATACCGGGTCATGTGGCATCATTGAGGTTGGCGATGGATTCGTCCCGACTCGGGCTTGTATAGAGATCTTGTCCTGTTTCAATGAAACCGAAGTCGAGTGGATGAAGTTAACTTGCTGGCCAGGGGTAGAAGGTATCACCTGCGACGGAGTCTGTCAATGCCAAAGGCCACCACAAGAAGGTAGCGGGGACGTTCGCTATGTATGAGACACTTGCTGGTTGGTTCCGCGCAACCTGCATGAACTTGCAGGTGACCTAGGTGGGAAGTTTGACACGTCATTGACGCATACCCCTGGGTACCTGATGGAAAGAGCTTGTTTCGGGGGGTACGCCTAATTCTTCGGATGTCCATCAAAGGACCTTCTTCGAATCATTCTGCGTACAGTCGACTCTCCAATAACCCATACACGTCGGGAGAAGCCCCGGAGCATGGGTTATTAGAGAGTATGGGATAATAGAATATCTCATAAAATAGGGGCTATAAAGTTAGGAATTTCTTATAGATCGTTTTAGTGTATACTACCACAGCACAAGTGTTTCCAATCCGCTGAGATTGATCAGAAGTGATTTAATTAATGGCAGTGTAAACATTAAGCTCAGCATGTGCAGTATGGCATTCTTCCCGAGGGTCACAGATCTTTCTGGAGTGAATCAGTCGTTGATCAGGAATATGCAGAAAATGGTTGGTAGCATTGCAAGCGGAGAACAAGGGATAACTTCAACACCAGCCCTGGGTTATTGGAGGTGCAATGTCGGCCATGGCACTGGAGCCTGGAGGTGATCAATTGATTTTCGAACTTTGGGCCGAGAACGTGTTGCAAACATGCTATGAACATGTCAAAGTATTTGCCGCATTGGGCACGTAATACCATATATAGGATATTACCTCCGTTAGAACCGACCAAAACCCAGCCAACTTACCCCTTATGGCTTACAAATATGATCTAAAAGCTCCGAAAGTATGGGTTTTGCCCCTCAAAAACGCATGGGGTATGGGATATCGGAAAAATATGGGTTTGAGTGACGATTTTGGTGGGGACCAACTCGGGAGATACCAAAACGCATGGGTTATTGGAGAGTATGGGTTTATAGAACCATGGGTTATTAGAGAGTCGACTGTAGGAATCTTCGGGCCAAGCATTCTCGTGGAAAGTGTATTCAAGCCTCCGAGATTGGCCTCACGATCTGTCAACCTGATCCGAAGGTTTGCAAAAGCGTCAACGAAAGAGCATGACCGCATATGTTCTTTGGTAGACTCCGATCCCCCGACGCGTAGTTCCTGCTTGGAGTTGGTGTGCGCGTCGCAACAGTTTCCATGTCGATTTCAGCGCAGGCAATCGAGAGGGAGTTCAAGCTAACAACGGCGACCGCATCAAGCTGATCGACGGAGTTTATTAAAGAGGGTCGGAAGGGGGACCTACGAAAGAGCATGCACGACGAGGTGGTGCGACGACACTTGGAGAAAGGCTTCATCGATGAGGCAGAATTGCTGTAGATGGCCTGGAATCACTTGGCTCGGCAGGGGCATGGTCTAACACGATATGCACCGAACTCACGCTGTCTAAAGTCACTTGCGTGCGCACACCTTCTCAGGTGCCTAGAAGCAGCTTTGAATTTGACATATACAACGAAGTTGCTAGCAAAAACGTACCGGCTGACGAAGGTACGCTTTACAGCTCACAGGCTCCCCCAGTTTCCGTCATATAGCCAGCAAATAGCGACGTGCAACGGTTTTGATGGTGTCTGGTGACATGTACTGAGGTCTAGTCTCAGGTCCGAGTCCTTGTTTCTCTGACCCCCATGACGATAATGAGCACATAGAACCTTGGTCTGCGAAAAGAAGTGGGTTAAGGTAGTAGAGATTATGTCGAGAGAGGAGGGCTTCAAGTTGCTCTGAATCTAGTACCCATAAGAATCGCACTTTGCTTGAAGCAACCAACGCGTCCGAAATTTGGCGCTGACGTCGGCTTGTGATCTCTTTCGGAAAGCCCCTGTATGTGGGGAAAAGCGTCCGAGGGTTTTTGACGCCGAGGCTGAGGCCGAGGTCCTGGCCCTGCCGCTAACTTCCTTCCTTCGTTGGACTGAATTTGTACTGTACTGTACTTCTATCTGGTGGATGCAGAAAATACCTATACATTGGGCGGTCATCTCATACGCCTTCGAACATTTTTGAAGACGATGCTCGCGTCTAGGGTTTGAACCACATGAACCCGAGACGGCCGACACCCGGCGTTCAACGCCACGGGCACAGGCCAGTCGCCCCGGGTTTGTCTCACATACAATACTCCTTCGGAGTCAGAGGGTCGCCATGTGGATCGAGCACCTAGTCGAGACTACCTCCCATTCAGAACTTCGGTGTTCCGGGAATCTGTGCCGGGAATCTAGGGCACGCGCAGTGTCCCTCGTATTTCCAAGCCAAACTAGGAGACCAAAGGTGATATGCCAGACACTTGTCTCTTCAAGGCAGGTTCCACAAGAATTCGGGGTCTGCCGGTTTGCAGGGTACGTGGGCACATTCGAACGGCTGTGAAGTCGTTTTTCGCAGAAGGAGCGTTTGTTCCACTTCTAACGTTCAACGATAAATTATTATTATTTTCAAATGGTGACGGCACAGAAGACTATCTGCCCACCTGCGTTCATGTTAGTAAATCTTCGCTGAGAAAGGCTTCGACTTAGAGTACAAGTTTTAGGGATTTTTGTACCTGGATCCGCGCACCTGTGCCTTGCTGGAACGCCAGACTCGTGTTCTTACAATCGGTGCCGTATGTATGAGGGCCAATTGTGGTGCAAAATCCTTCGGGATCTGCTTGGCACTACAGACGTGGAGCTAATTCGCCAAAAGGAACAGAGGTGACGAAGAATGTGAGCCTACTAATAAGACGACTCTGCATGACAATCTCAGGTGCAGAGCTTGATGTGGTACTTGATTCGGCGACAACGGTATGTGGACTGCATTAGAAAAACAACAATAGCTACCCTTCCCTGATGATTCCGTGGCATCTCGCCCAGAAGACATGGTGTTTCAAAATGCGGGTTCAGACCGAGAAAGAATGCCTGGCCTTGTTTGTCTATGCGTACACAATCATGACAACGTTTTCAAGCTCGGCATCTAGCTAATGCAAATACTACGCCCACGCCCTTGGGTCTTACCATACGATGGCTACTTCTCAGAGCCAAATTCTCTGATGACACCGCACATTTGCTGCCGCCAATCTCACATGTTTCTCAGGAACACATGGTCGCGTCATAATTGCATAAGCACGTTAATAAATCAATAACAAATCAAGGCAAAGTGAATGTGGCAGGACCTCTCAGTTATCAGCTCCCGAGGTCACTCATAAAGCGGGTATCAATGCAGTAGCCGGGGTATACCGCAGTAATTCTAGGGCGTAGATTCCGCAAGAAGTGAGCTAGCAAGGTATGATACATGCCGCGGCGTCTGTGTGCTCCAATGACTTGTCACCTTAGGGCACCTCTACCCGCAACGAGGTGAAAGAATACAATCGCACCCGGAGAGACCAAGTGTCCCCATTTCCTACGATTCTAGCACAAGAGGAAGATGAAAGTCTTGGACATGATGACGCCTAGACGTGTGATGATGGAAAGAGTGTACTAGCTCCAGTCGCAGTAGTATCTTACAATACCATGCATGTCTACTCGTCCGAGTCGTATGGAACTTGAATGTCATCGAGAAGCTGTTTGGGCCACAGAGTAGACGGTTCAGAAGGAGCTCATAAGACAACACTATGATGAATACAGCATGATGACCACTTAACAAAGCCTGCAGAAGAATATATTTCTCTTCCCATCTCTATCCACTACGAATCAGTCTATTTGAATGGCGTGGCGAGATGGATTGGTAGCACAACCATACGCTCCTTGTCCCACTACAACGTGCCGCCAGCAATTAGCTCAAGAATCTGGCGGAGTACATACAAGATAAAAGGGAAACGTGAAGCGCGCAATGAAGTGTGCAAGGAGGAACCGATCGTAACCTGATGAAGATAACTCACCACGCCCTCGAGCCAAAATGGGTCTGTGTGTATAATCTCCCACGCTGCTTCGATACTGGCTGCCTCGTAAAACGTGCACGAGCCCACAAAGTCTTTCTTTTCCAGTGGGCGCGCAGTGGAGTCGTCGGATGACATCGTACCTCCCCCCAGACCTGGACGAGAGAGGCAAAGAAAGCGATCAGCAAACGCCCGGGAACTGTTCCAGAGGTGTAATTCATAACAGAGCGGCTCCGAACAGTGGAAGTAGAGGGAAGGATAACCGCGAGATGGGTGAAAGCGGTGAGATAGAGAAAGGAACCACCGGCAAATGAAAGGTCGCGCGGCATTGATGATGGCAGAAGTAGAGGAGAAATAGGTTAACAGGACGCACGGATAACCTTCTGCTCGATAAGTTTGGTCGCTCGCACGATGTGCGTTGGGCGCACAGCAATACGCTTCTCAAGCGTGCCAGGGGTGGTGTAGTCTGGCTGCCATGCGACGTAGATGTTCTTCTGTGTCGCAGAGGTAGCATCGGAGGGCGCGGAACTCGACATAAGGGCAGACAAGTTGGTGTTCAGAGGAAGGGCTTGGATGGATTCTCAGGGAGGCAGACGAAGAAACGCTTCCTGAGGGCGTGGTATTTATGTCTGGAGTAGCGTCGTGAGACATGTTGTAAAGCCCGATTGTTAGCCGCACCTGAGGAAGCATCTCGTCTTCTGTGAATGCCGTTACTAAGACACGGCTTATGGGGCAGAAAGCATCTGGTCTAGCAGGATGGAGAAAGGAGACATGCTTGAGCTCTGGTCCAAGCCAGGGCGAAATGAATGCTGCTGAAAACAAGTGATGCAAGTCCGAGATATGATGCAATCGCATGAAGAGGCACTGCGAGTATTTTTGTCAGTCGAATGGTACGAGTGAACTACAGAGCGGTAAGATGCGATGAGGGTATATGGGCGCATATAAGTCTCTGTGAGAGCAGGCGTAGCCTGATATACCCCAGATGGATGCTCGAAACTTCGCAAACTGCGACTCAAGTAATAATAGAAGGCCAATAAGGACTTACGGCGACGAGGAAGGAAGCCGGTCCATGACCGGACCTAGGCGAAGTTTGAAATGTTACGCAGGCGCTCAAAGTCATACTCGACCACAATGTACAGCAGTTAAGACCTTGATTACCAGATGTTAACGTTAACGCGTCAAGGAGCGCAAGGGGCGATCCTCCAAAGTGTCAAAGGAACAAAAGAGCAAAAGAGAACTCTTGAAGTTTGGCAAGGTCTGGCTAACTGGCAGCTAACGATCCGCAGGGCCGTTGAACAAATCCTCGGAGAATAGCGAGCCTGGGTCAGAGTAAGAACACCATAAATTGGACAGGGTGAAAGATGAAGAAAGGAGGAGAGTCGGGCTTAGAAGAAGACGACACGAGGGAAGTACAACGGCTTCGGAAACGCCGGCGCGCGCCGAAGGTCCTCTGACGCTTTCCATTTACAGCGCCGTCATCCCATCCACATGCCTCGGCCATCCGCTCTCCACCTCCTCCGTGCAGCTCACCCTCGACAGGCTGGGATCTCAACATCGACTCGTGTAAATCCATTGTTCTCGATAAGAAGAGCCATGTCGACCAGTATGGGAGCCAAGTACCCCTTCTTCGTGTATGCGCCCGACAAGAAGGACATGGACGCCAACCAGAAGCGTCTCGACTCACGACTTCGACATCTCGCCAACTTCAGAGACAAGGTGGGCGATGGGGTGATCAGTGAGTACTCTTTCTTGGGCTATTCGCTGGAGAGAGGCCATGCTGCGACTGCGGCCGGAGAATCCTGCCTCTCCTTAGCATCCGCTGGTCCTGCATCAGTGCAAGGTGTCTGTCCTGACTGACCGCGAACTTTCATAATCCGATTCCATCTTAGTCTACGTGTCATGTTTTACTACGCCGTTTTTTGCTAACCGACACTTTGTACAGGCTTCGGTGGTGGCCTCCTCGACGAGGCATCTGACCCCGCCCACCCCGACCCCAAGCGTCTAGTTGGCTCCGCTATGATCTTCCAAGCCTCATCGCGCGACGAAGTCATAAACCTCCTCAAGTCTGACCCGTACTATGCCAACGGAAAGGGTGCCGTACGTGTTTCTTCCGCTCCTGGCTACCCTACAACTGGCATTAGCTGACGCGATCTTCCGGCACTCTCCTTGAATCCTGACTCTGCTTCGGCTTACTCTTTCTCCACACTGGGTCGGCATCTATATGGTCGTCTGACTTGTATCGATGCACCTTACGCGGAACCTCGTGCCGTTTTACGAGCACAGTGGGACGAGAATAGCTGGGTCATCCTGCCCTTGGTCTTGGCGAGCAAGCTACCCGAGCCTGCCGAAGTCACAGATGCAATCAAGGCACTCCAGGTGCCGCCCGAGTCGAAGGTTTAAGACGTTGGGGACCTAAGGAGGCGAGACATGGTGCTGGCCATGTCATTCAGTGGGAAATTTTGTAGTAAGGCGTCTACCACAGTGCACACCACACATCAGCTGATACGCTGTTTGGGCGGACGCGTTCTCGAAGCTTGTTATGTGTGCTATAGAAGTTTCTTCTTCATCATTCGCGGGTGTCTGAAATGAGTCCGAACGAAAAAGAACCGGCTGGAACGACCGGAACGATATACACTTATTGGCGCGCCTATACGCTGGCAGGTTGCTCGACAGTCTATGTCAGCTGCACATGAGTGGTCGTCAGCATAGTCGCCGATCCGTGCCTGGGCAAATGATCTGCGTAACGATTGCCGTTTGGGGACAAACCTTTCAATCTTGTCGCCTAACAACTCCCAGTACAGTCAACTGTATCCCAACACTGTCCCGACACCTCGATCTCTTCCGTCGCGTGAGTCTGTAGACGTCCGACCTGTCGTCGTTGACACACTTCTCCTCAACCTGTCAAACGGTCGATAGAAACTGTTGCTGATGAAGGCTTCGTCATCAGATCGTACGGAACCGACGGCAATGCCATTCTTTGAACGCCAATCACCTTGATCTCGTGCAGAACGCGTCGGCTCTAGGGGCGGGGCCGCGCATGCATTACGAAGACACAGTAACTACAAGGTACGCGACCATGCAAAAACATTCTCTTGGCAGCCGTCGGCGTCGTCTTGTTGACGACCTCTTTCAGCAAGCAAACACTGGGAATCAGGTCCACGCACGACCACGAGGGCACAACGTAATCGTCGTCAATTGCATTCTCACTATTCGACTGAAAGCGAGCTCGAAAACGTGTCATCAGATGCTCATATGTTCACACAGCTGTCTCCTTCGAATGTGTGCTCAAGTTGCCTCCGCCCCTGGCCAGCAAACGTTCAACGAGAGCCCCCGCATCCAACTTGCGTGTACTACCACCGACCGATTGAAACGGCGGCAAAACCACTCACTTCTCAAGGCGCCCATTGCCGGTGGCAACAGTGCCGATGACCTGGCTGAAAAGCGACGCGACGAGTTTCTCAGAGATTATAGCTTGGCGGTCGCTCTGGCAAAATATAAAACAGAGGCATTTGTGCTGCAAGACCTCAGGCTTCAGCACTTTTCAAAGCTTCTGGGACGTCTTCTCTCATCGCTCAGCCGTCATGTTTAAAAACGCGTTCGCTCCTCTCCTCGCCGCCCTCGTCTACGTCGGCGCAGCGCATGCCTGGTTCCGTGTCGCGTGCACGACTCCCCTCGTCACCGAGCGTATTGACCCGATCGTCTCGCCCGGTGTGATTGGCACTAACCACGTCCACACCGGTATGTATTTCTCCCGCCTCCCATATTTCTATCGAGCTCATAAATCGTCCACCAATCAGTCCACGGCTCGAGCGGCTTCAGCGCCACCTCCAACACGACCGATCTCCGTGCGGGCAGCTGCACGTCCTGCGAAGTGTCCCCGCAGGACATGTCCGCGTACTGGTTCCCGAAGCTGTACTTCAAGGACCCCGCGGACGGGCACTTCGAGGAGGTGCCGAACGGCGGCCTGCTCGTGTACTACCTCCAGCGCGGAGACCAGGAGAAGATCAACGGCGGGCCCGGGCTGACGGCGTTCCCGCCTGGCTTCCGCATGATCTCGGGCGACGTGACGTCGCGCTCGAGCCAGGGCGGGCAGGGGTACGATAATCAGCAGGAGCTGGCGCAGAGCGCGATTCAGTGGTATTGTTTGAGGTATACGACGTCGGACCCTGATTATGTGGGGTATGGGTTCCCCACTACGGACTGCGAGGCGGGGTTCAATGCCCGTATTCAGTTCCCGTCGTGCTGGGATGGCGAGGTGTGTGGTTTATGCTACGGGGTGCTACAGATACTGACTAATGGTTCTATTTTCCTTCTCAATAGAACCTTGACTCGCCCGACCACAAGTCGCACGTTGCGTACCTCTCTGGCCTCGACAACGGCTCGTGCCCCCCGACCCACCCCGTCGGCCTGATGCACATGATGTTCGAGGTCGGCCTCCTTCCCTTCCCCTTCCCTCCCCCGCTCACATTCTAACTCTCCCCTCAACCCTTTAGATCACATGGGACGTCCACTCCTTCGCCGGGCGCTGGAGCGAGCCCGACTGGCCGTTCGTCTACGCGACGGGCGACCCGACCGGGTACTCGCAGCACGGCGACTTCCTGAGCGGGTGGGACTCGGTCGCGCTGCAGAACGCGATCGACAACTGCAACAACCCGAACGACGAGACGGGCAACGGCGTCACCGAGGCGTGCTCGTACCTCACCGTCATCTCTCAGGACACGGCGACGACGTGCAAGGCGGATCCGGTCGTGAACGAGCAGACTGGCGGGACGAACCTGTCTAAGCTTCCTGGGTATGTGTTATTATTTTTTGAGTCTAGGAAATGAGGCTGACTCGTTTGTGGTAGCTGTAACCCCCTCCAGGCTGGTCCGCAGAACGCGACCCTCTACTCGACCTCCAACTGTCCGATCTAAGCGATGGTAGCACGCCATTGACTTGAGGTTCGCGTTGGTCGCGCGAATGGTCTATGAGGATCCTGACGATAAATCAGAGATGGGTCGATGCTCGTCGGAAGTAGATGTTATTTGGGTTTTTATGTGATTATTTGGTTTATATTGTGGATATCTGGATTTCAAGTGTATATAACTAGAGGCTAAGAGCCTGGACTGCAATGTTTTGTGTATAGGAACGTTCTTCAAGCTGTCAATGATATTTTGATATCTGAAGGTAATGGCGTACGTACATCGAAGATACACTATGGGACTTTGTAATATGAAGTCGGATTGCAAGGCTGAGATGATGCTGGGTGACCGGTGAAGCGAGGACTGATTGTCACTCCGGAGTGCTACGGGCAGGCCGAATCATGGGCTAATAGCACCGCCACCATGGCCTGCCTCCAACAGCGTGGGACCATGGTGGGACAAGCGAGGGGAGGACGAGTGGACGACGTCATGGGGGAAACGTGTCGTCATAACGTTAGAGTGGCCTGCTATAAAACATGGCACATCGACTACCCTTACCACTCCAATAACCCACTTTAAAACTAGCACAACATGATCCGCACACAAGCAATCCGCGCCGTTAGGCCCGTCGCTGCACGTTCTCTCCCTGCCGTCCGTCGTCCTTTTCTACATATTCACGCACATGCATCTCACATCATTCTTAGGCCACCCGCACCTACGTCTCAGCAAACCCTTCCCCTCCGCCCCGCCAAGACCCCTCGACGGCAGGCAGCGCACCGCAGGATGGTCCCCGCAGGCCCTCTGTCTCCTGGGACAAGAAGCACACAGAGCCGTCCAAATCAGGCGCGACTATGTACGCCGTAGCAGGTATCACCGCCGCCGGTGGTCTCTGGTACTACTACTCCCAGTCGCAGGGGCAAGACCGTACTGCGAGGAAACGCGGAGAGGAGGATCGCGTCAAGGAGGGCGCGAGGAAGGTCGAGCAGGCCGGCTCGGCGAAGATCGACGAAGCGCTCACGGAGAGCCAGCGCAAGTATGAGGAGGCAAAGGTTCGTTGTCCTCATCATTTTAAATGGCATTCAGCTGACAAGATTGCTACCTCTTCGCCGACAGGCTGCAGCCCAGGATCAGCTGAACGCCGCTCGCAAGTCGATTGACTCCACGACGAACGTTGCAAGCTCGAAGCTCGACGAGGCCCGGCGCCAGGCCGAAGCCAGGTACCACGAGGCTGTCGACGCTGCTGCGAGGAAGTATAGCCAGACGCGCGACGCAGCCGAGCGCACCTACTCCCAGGCGCTCAACTCAGTCGAGAGCGGGTATGCGCGTGCCAAGGGCACAGTTGAAGATGGCTACGAACGTGCCAAGGGTGCCGCCGAGGGTGGGTACGACCGCGCCAAGGGTGCAACCGAGGGCAGCTACGACCAAGCGCGGGGCAAGGCGGAAGAAACAAAGGATGAAGCCAAGAGGGGGTGGTTCTCGTGGCTCTCGTGGGGAAACGAGAAGAAGGACGAGGCCAAGAAGGACGCTTTGAGCAGCTTCCAGCGCGGTGCTGAGAAGGCACAGGCGGGCGAGGAGGAGTTCAAGGTCAAGGCAGAGCGTGCCAAGTAAACGAGTAGATGGAAGTTAAACGTTAAACACGCTTGCTACGATTTATACTTATCAGGTGTAACAAATCGACGGATATGTAGCAGTACCCGACTTTAATCGACTTTGTTGTAATCGTCTGACTCTACGAATGCACATCTATGGGTGAAAATCCGGCAAAGAAACCTAAGGAGAATGAGCCATGAGCTCAGGGGCTAATTTACTTTTCTCGGCGAATGTTCATTTTCGTATAGGACGCGTTCCCCTCTTCTTCCTCAACGCGTCTCTGGTCGCCTCGACCAGTCCAACCTCTCGAAAGTCATGGCCTACTTGCCGGCCTGCAGAAATATCCTGCTTAAACAAACAGAGGAGAAGGTTCCCGCCTTGTTCGCCCTACCGGACCGCAGATTTGTGCACAAACAAACACAGGGCAGTAAGTCCCCACTGTCAACCTCATCCCTCATCCACCATGTATTCAACCTATCTCAGCTCCATCCAGAAAACGCCTCGCACGCACCCTAGAGCCCAAGTCCAACAAGAGGGGTGGCCCCAGCGGCCGACTCGAGGTCGCGCCCAGGACCCAGGACCCCCCGCGCGCGTCCTTCGTCCGCGACACCGTCCCGCACGAGGGCCGCGACGCCGTCTCGCAGAGCCGATACCGCACCGAGCCGCTCGGCACGCGGCCTCCGTCGAGGGCTGAGCGCTCGGGGACGCAGCGGGCGCTTGCGGCGCAGGCGCACACGGAGCGCGAGGAAAGGAGGGAGGAGCGGCGCGCTAGAGAGTTGAAGGAGTTGAGGGAGGCGCAGCGGGCGAAGGAGAAGGAGAGGGAGAAGGAGAGGGGGCGGGTGCGTCGCGGTGATGGTGCTGCTGGTGCTAGTGCCAGTAACATTGCCGTGGCCTCTGGTTCGGGTGCGGATCTCAGCGGCACCCGCGCGGGCCAGATGTTGCAGGACGAGCTCGACTTTTCGACTTCTGTGCCAGCAGCGCGCGATCTGCCGAGAGACTTTACGTCGCCGCCGCTCATGGAGGGTCTGTTGGAGTCGGTGAAGGAGGCGTTGACGGCCGACGCACGGCCGACGCCGATTCAGGCGCTATCGCTCAAGCATTTGTTCAAGGCGCCCAAGGCAGTACAGGCGGATGGTCAAAGCCAGGATCAGTGGAGACAGTACCTCCTCGCATCTGAAACAGGCTCCGGAAAGTCGATCGCATATCTTCTACCTATGCTACAAGACCTCAAGCGCGCCGAGCTCGCTGGCCCCGCTTCCCCTTCCTCCTCGTCCGCAGACGACGACCAGCCCCCGATGAACCCGCGCGCCATCGTCCTCGCACCGACACACGAGCTCTCGCGCCAGCTCGCGGTGTTCGCCAAGTCGCTCCTGCACAACATCAAGCTGCGCGTCGTGTGCGCCTCCCGCGCGAACACGCCGAGCAGCGCGCCAACGCGCGCTCTGTCGCGCCACCGCAGCGCGTCCAAGATGGCGAGGGACTTTGATGGCGTTGTGTTTGACTCGGATCCCGCTGCTGCTGCTGCTGCTGCTGCTGCTGCCGGTGCCGCGCCCGAGTCTGAGGCTGAGGTGCGGAGGCAGGGGTCGCAGCAGGCGAGGCCGGTGGATGTGTTTGTGGGTACGCCGGCGAAGATGCTGGAGCTGTCGCGCGGGCGGGGATGGAATTGGGAGGAGCGAGATCAGAAGAAGAGGGCCGAGAGGGGGCTGGTGGAGGAGGACGGGGAGGAAGGGGCGACGCAGCGCAAGTATTACGCCGAGAAGCCGGAGGTCGGCCTCAAGAACGTGGAGTGGGTCGTGGTCGACGAGGCGGATGTGCTGTTCGGTGCGTTGCTGAATTTTTTTGGTATGCGTTTTCGTGACTGACTGGCTCTTGTAGACCCCGACTTTCAGGAATCCACTCGCCGCCTGCTCGCAGACATCAGCGCTGCCCGCGGCGTTCCCGTCTCGTTTACCCCTGGCCAGCCTCTCCTCCCGGATCCCAACACCAACGCCCATGCCGCGAAGGGCAAGGATAACTCCAGCTCGAGCACGTCTCTCGAGCCCGTCAGTTACCCGTTCAACTTCGTCCTTACTTCCGCGACCATTCCTGCTTCACTCGCGGCCTACCTCGACGCCGCGCACCCCGCACTGACGCGCCTCGCCTCGCCAAACCTGCACCACCTCCCGCGCAACCTGCGGACCGAGTACGCAGGCTGGACGGGCGGCAACAAGAACGCGGACATCGAGCGGCGGCTGCGGCGCGTGTGGTCGGAGGACGCGCTCGCGTGCTACAAGAAGCAGCACCAGGTGCACCTCAGCAAGGTGCTCGTGTTCTGCAACAAGCGGAGCCGGGTGCAGGAGCTCGCGGAGTATCTGGAGGAAAAGGGGATCAAGAGCGTCGCGCTGACGGGTGTGGCGGACGGCCGGCGGCTCGGGAATAATCACCATCTCGACGGGTTCATGCGCGTTAAGCAGGCGTCTGCCCAGGATGACGCTGCGTCTTCATCTGCCCCTGCTGCTGCTGTTGCTGCTTCCGAGGCGTCTTCGACCCCAGCCTCGTCCGCGGACGTCAAGGTGACACCACACGTGATGATCACGACGTCGCTCCTCTCGCGCGGGCTCGACTTCGCGCCGGACGTGCGGCACGTGTTCATCGTCGACGAGCCGCGCAATATGATCGACTTTCTGCACCGCGCGGGGCGCTCCGGGCGCGCGGGCGAGGCCGGGCGCGTTGTCATCTTCAACAAGACGCAGGGGCGCGGGTCGGGGCGGGCGGGGCAGGTTAGGAAGCGGGTCGGGGCTGTTGCTGCGTAGGACGCGGGGGATGGAGTGCAGGTTGGTGTAGCGCTCGTGGAGGGATCATCGGGGTACAGTATACTGTAGCGCTCGTATGTTACATACGATATTGTAACTAGTACGGTATTATGTTCGCTTCAGCCTTTGGTTGATCGGATAATTAATAGCATTGCTCACACCACTCATTCCGGCTTGGTTATTATGTGAACTAGAATACGTTCTCATGCGTGATAAACACTACTGCTGGCATAAACTTTTCTCCCATCTCAAGTAGTCAGCAAAGTCGTCCTCCGAGCTGGTGCTTTCCATCGCGTTCCTCCGTATGTCTATCATCTCTCTGGGTTCAACCCGTTCTGCACCCTTGTATGGCGACACACTCCGAACCTGGGGGCACCGCTCAACCACATGCCGACGCATAACACCAGCCACTTCTGCATCAAGTTCACGCTCGAAGTCTCCAGCATCAATATCAAACCCAAACGGATCCTCAAAGTCGCGCACGAACCCGATCGTCGAATGTTTTCCGCCAGCCGGGCCAGCGGCACACCGCAGGCTCCTCAGCGCAGCAATGGTCGCCTCGTCCGGCTCGTACGCGATCTCGCGCAGGTCGAGGAGGAAGCGCGAGATGAGGACGGCGGAGAGGACGAGGGTGTAGTTGTTCAGGAAGGTGCTGTATGCGTTTGATGGGACCTGGGGATTGTGGATGATAGATGATGAGAAGTCGGGACGAGTATTTTGGGGGGAGGGACGTACGTAGTACAGGATTACTGCTCCGACTTGCACGATGGTGACGACGCTATATCAGATAGCAAGGTTGCGTGAAGGGGGAAGGGGGTTATTGGTGGACATGAGAAGCTTACACAAAGAACATGAGGCCTGAACTAACAGTTTAGCACTGATGAAGTCTAAAAAGCGAATAGACAAAGGGAAGACGTACCGCTAGCGACAACGACTCCAGTCAACGTCGATATGTCAAGCGCTTTCGTTCCTCCGTTCAAGCGGACGATGGTGGTCATCCGTGTAAGAATCATCGCTGAGGCAAGGTTACGGTCGTTCAATCAACCGAGCTCCGTGCTTTTGGCAGGGAGCATTGACATACCCGTAGCGAGAACATCAAACACGCAGAGTGATATGAAGACTAGGGCAGTCACTAGTGCCTGTTGTTTAGAGAAGTTGATCCGGGATACAATTCGGGGAAGCTTACTCCTGCGAGACCATGGCAACAGCGTCGTTAGTTGGACCACTTGTAACTTTCAAGGTAGACGTACAGTGGGTAATCTGAGGGGCTGCAGCCCATGTTAGGTATTTGAGCCTATCAAAAATAATGAGTCTCGTATAAATTGGAACGATGACCACTGGAACTCACTATGTCTAATGCTACCACCAATATCCCGGCAAGGGCAAGTAGGGCAATCATGATGCGGCCTATCATCAAGCGCCCGCGATCCGTCACTGCGTATACCCTCATCGCGAATGATACTTGTTGACACCGCTAAGTCACTGGTCCGAGGAGGAATTATGGGTTCACTCACTGATCGTGGCGATTCGTGTTGGAAACAGTGATATCGAGAAGGTAAACTTGTCTAGGGCGTCGCAGCTATACTCAGACTTTGAGCACAATATTTACATCAGTCGCGCTGATCAGCTTACTAGGAAGGTACGGTGAACATAAGCCCAGTGAGCCAGTAATACTATGAGTTTGCAGACGCACCTGCGGAGTAGAGAGTTTGTACCCAACCGCCCAAATTGAGTACGCAATGATTGGGTATCGGACCATCAGGTATAACAGACTTGAAAAGCGGAATTTCGGTCGCCAGATGAGGTCTACTTCACGTCTCATGTTTACAACAATGTCCCAGACCACAAGTGCTACCGGCAGACTTGATATCAGTAGGCATCCGCGAACATAGTGACTATCATAGGGCAACTTACCTAGTCTGGAGTAGGACGTGAGCTTGGAGATCTGTCTAAAGCCCAACGAATCAGTCTATATTAGCAACGTTGTGGGTACTAAAAAATCAATGCGTACCCCTCTTTCGCAGCGAAGACTATGGCAGCGTCCATTTCTACAGGGGCGAAGAGAGTAAGGGAGAGAATATGAAGGTGACCATAGCTTATAATCTTATACTGCCTATGGGGAGCGCCCACAAATGTGGATATCAAGAGAATACCCGAAATCAAGGGTCTTTCTGCACGTTTTTCGGAGAGGGTTACATCAGTGGCTGTAGTGGGGGGAAGACACCTCGGGCGAGGAGATAAGAAAGAGGGCACCTTCGCTGACCTCCACATGACACAGGGCGAGGCGGACAGACCGCCGGCAGCGAGATGAAGCTGATAGCTATTCGGGCCCGAGCTGTGTAAACATAGCAGTGAAGGGGTGGAAAGCGGATTGCAGAGCCGGCTATTATTAGCTGTTTATCTTGCCTTGATGAAGCTCGTCCCCTTTCATGGGCATCATGAAGGCAGTGAATCTATGCGGTGGTCGTGGACTGTGATGATATAGTATGAGTAGAAGCCCTAGGTAGACTCCGGAATACTCACAAATTCTACTTATAGACTTGATGCTGATGCGAGTATAAGTAACACTGAGGCTGCGACGTGAGAAGCAACATCGAGGCATCAGATCTAGAGTTTCTCGCACTGGAGTTCATGGGCGGTATGAGGAACCATAGTATGGTACTACGTTTGATCAACAGATAACGTACCAGCTGGGTATAGTATGCCAAAGCTGACACCGGTATTCATGAGTGGTGTGGACAGAAGCCAACAAGGCGCGCCGAGTACCGCAAGACCATCGTCGTCCGGTTTTCGCACGCTGCCTCCAACCCCACAGAGACCGAACCTGTTGTTATTGAACACTCAAGCATTTAAATCGAGCATTGTCCTAGATAGTAAGCCTTGAAAGTTTCACCCTCGGACGATTTCTTTTTTGTGACGATAGCCACACAAAAGTTGATAGCATTATTACATCATGCGCTCGTCTGCTTTCTCGTAACGACATAGAATCCCATTTCCTCCACCAGACCTGATTCCGCTTTTCTGGATTGTCCATTAGCCGCAAACGGATCCTTCGACTCGGGTAAGCTTTCGGTTTCTGGATGCATACGCACATCCTCTTCCTGCTTGTCGAACATATAGAGTAGGCAGCGCGAGACGAGAATGGAGGGAAGTACGAGAATGAAGCTATTGAGGAAGATGTTGTATGCAGGTGAAGCCATGCCTCCAGCTTCGAAGAGGTCGTGCGGGAGCTTGATTGACACAGTAATAGACGGTAGCGGAACCGGAAGAATCCTTACTCCCACACGGAAGACTGCGATAACGCTGGGTTTAAGACATGCATGTCAGAGGATGAGTAGGTAGTGCAACGCAGCCTCTTACTTCAGCAACAATGTAACTTTAAGACGCGTGGGCATCAATGAAGAGTATCTCCGATCAATGCACTGAAGGACATACCACTGATCATTACAAGCCCGAATAGCTTCCTTGTGCTGAGCGCTCGGATTCCTCCGTTCCTGCGAACGATGGCCGCTAAGCGAGGAATGATCATTGCTGCCCCCAGGTCCCGTCAGATTATGCAGTCGGACACGGGGGAAAGTAAGAAGCAATTTCCTTACCCATAGCTAGCGCGTTTAACACGCATAAGGCTATAAAAGCCAGGATAGTCACTAGCGCCCGCCACTTGATCAGAAGAATCCACATGCTCATGCCAATACTAACTCCTGGAATTACTGTAAGTTACGCTTACAAAGCCTTGCACATGATCGAGTAAGGACGTACATTGGATAATCCATAAAGAAACGATTCACAGCAGGAATTCGGCACTGAACGATCAGTCGTAAATTTGAAGCTCAGCTTCCAAGAGCTAGTGACCTACTTACCATGTTCGGAAGTATCACCATCAAGGCAAATGGCATGAACGGAGACAACCTGACCGGACGAATCTTGAGCTGATTTCTTCTTATATACAATTGCAATAGGAATGCAACTTGATTCCATCTGAGTCACGAATACTGGGGATAGAATACGATATACTCACTGATCGTTGCAACGTTGGTCGGAGACAATGAAGATGAAGTAGTAGACATGTCTATGATATGGCAGCTATACAGAGACATTCATCAACGGTCCCATCGGAATGGGATGGTTGTCTCACTGCGTGTGGGTTAGGAAAAACGTCAGCATAGTCATCCGTGCATGATACCAGATTGCGCACCTGTGCGTCAGCGTCTCTGTGCAGAGCCGTCCACATAGAATACGCTACGACTGGATATCGGGAGACCAGGTAAAGGAAGCTCAAGAAGTGACACTTGGGTCTCCAGATGGCATCTACCTCGCATCCCATGCTCAGTACGAGGTCCCAAATGGCGAGTGCTGATGAAATGATCAATAACGTTCTTGTGAGATAAACATTGTAACGTACCTAATCTGGAGTATCTTGCAAATCTACATAATTGTCTGCGTACGGACCAGATTAGGTTCTGAAACAGCAACATGAAGTGGGAGATATCGTACGCGTCTTGAACAGCCTGAATAGAGGTAAAGTTCATAGTCTATCTCAGGCTGAGAAACGCGGGCGGTCACCGTGAGGGAGGGAAGAGAGAAGCTATTATCTTATACGGCCCCGGAGAACGACCCGGGAAGGTCTCGTGGTATCGTACCTTACAATCAAGGGGCGAATTGCGATCTCTTCGCACGGTACAAATCAATGAGCATAGGATGCTCAAATTGCCTACATGACGATACAAGAGTCATTGAAAACGGGGATACAGGCTGTCAGGAACACTTGCCGCAAGATTGAAGAGAATGCCATCCGCGCCCGAGAGCGATAATAGCCTCGAAGCTTGGAATAGAGCGATGACTAGGTCTGGTGCTCTCCCTTTTTATTTTGATGAGCTCCGTACTAATTTCACTGACATCACAAAAGCAGTGAAGTCACGGATTAATAAAATGCCCATGGGTCTTCCAGATCTGGTTCCTGTTCTGTGATGATTTAACATCCTTCAGGGCACAAAAGCTCAAAATAAACTCCGGCATACATACAAAAAGCCTGTTATGTTCTGTAGCACTCTAGGACCTGATGGTGATGCGAGGCAAGTACTCCTGCAGCAGCATATGGGGTTGCCTTCTAAGATATTAGATCGTGAATATCCTCCGGTGGATCAAAGAGGCCGCGCACCAGTGAAACACCCGCATACACATATCAGTCCCGCTTGTAACTTCCATCATGTTGAGTTTGTGTCTGACTCGAGGATTATCCCGGGTTGATTTCAATATACCGTGCAAGATGGGAGATATCACATGGATCTATCTGGTCTCTCCTACGTGTTGGTGAACTTTTCAAAATAAAGCTACGCTCACCTAGCTGCTCAGCGTCCAAAGTTCTCCAAGCGGCGGGTACAGGTCGACAGCATGATTCGCTGTGGGTTTCAGGGTCCTCAGGTAAAGGCTGGATGTGAAGAGGGGCTCAAGAGCTTGTCTAGATTACGAAAGCCCTTGAATAAATTTGCATGGATGACTCTGCATGGATACAGAAGCACAGCGATGAAAGTGCGAACAACAGTTGCGCGCCGCGGCCAACCGCAAATGCATGGCGACACAGCCACATGTTGTTAAAAACGTGATCGGAGGCTATGGGAAGCTGCCAATCACCCGCTCATGTCGACTTCTGCAGACTCCCGGTCCATCTCGTCGGGCCTTGGGACCATGCAACGTGACGTCGCTCCAGAGATGTCTGTGCAGCTACGAGCTCGCTATGCTTAAAAGGGACTCTCAGCGACAGAAAGTTGGCTTTCAAACGTCCATTCTCGCTTGACCACGAGCCTCTTCAAAGTCTCCTCATTATGCCTGCTCAACAGTTTGATACGCCTCCTGTCCTCATAGTGCGTCCTCTGCTGTTCTCTTCCCTCTTTAAGATCTAATGCAGAGTTTGTAGGCTGGCGCAGGCCCAGCAGGACTCATCGCGGCCCTCGTTCTACTCCGCAACGGTGTGCCAGTCCGGCTCATCGAGAAGAATGACTTCCTCCACCCTGGCTCTCGGGGATGTGGCATCCAACCCCGTACGATGGAACTTCTTCACCAACTTGGAGCCACAGATCTCGTCCGGGCTCTTTACCCGCTTGGCAGCAACCGTTCCTACCGGTTCGGCACTCTCGATATCGTGAGAGATGAGCCGTTCGTCGAGCTCAAAACCAGCACAGTTCATCTTCCATACGTACGTCAGCTTTCGTTTCTGTGTGCAGCGTTCGGAGGTTTAACTCATTGTTTACAGCCCAACCCACTCATGATCGGCCAGTGCGGCTTCGAGGGCTACATCCGGAGTCATCTCGCCAAGTACGGCTGTGAGCCTGAGCTGGGCACGGAGTTGACCACGTTCGAGCAAGACGAAAACGGGGTCACTGCCCATCTCTCCAAGAATGATGGCAATAAGGAGACCGTGCACGTCCAATACCTTATCGGCACTGATGGGGCGCGAGGTAAGCGCTGGTTTCGTCTATCTGCTGTCTGTAAGCAAGGCTAAGCGAGCTCTGAAGGTGCTACACGCAAGGGTCTTGGACTCTCTTTTACTGGAAATACGCCTGACACGTTCCGGATGCTCGTTGGCGACGTGCGAATGACCTGCGACAAGCTCGATTACAACCACTGGCATCGATTTGGCGATTTCAAGTCAAAGACGTAATTCATCATCCCTTCTGCATACCGACACCTGGTCTGACATAAACGTTCTACAGCGTCATGCTGCGTCCCATGCGCGAAGTCGGTGTTGACAACGATGGATGGGCGTTAATGATCGGAGGTCCCGAGATCGACATCGACAAGCTGCTCGACCCGGAAGGAAGCAAAGAGGTCATCTTCGCCGTGATTCAGGAGGCCGTGCCGGCCGAGATACAGTTCAAGGAACTCGTTTGGAAAGGCCAATGGAAGTGAGGGTTCCTCTGATCTTCTCCCCGATACGCCAGTCTCATCTTCACATCACAGGCCGAACATGCGCATGGTTGACAAGTTCGGAGTCGGGAGGGTGTTCGTTGCTGGTGACGCTGCGCAGTGAGTCTGATTTGTCTCGGTCATAGGGATGTCGCAGCTAACGTCGCCTCGTAGCGTTCATAGCCCCACCGGTGGCCAAGGCCTCAACTCCAGTGTGCAAGACGCTGTAAGCCCCTATATTTCCCACCCGTCCCACTTAAGAACTCAAATCGGCCGCCTATTGCATAGATCAACCTTTCTTGGAAACTCGCGCTCGTCCTCAAGAACCTATCACCGCCCTCCCTTCTCGACTCGTACAGCGCAGAGCGCCTCCCCGTCATCGCCGAGATGCTAAACATCACCACCGAGTTGTTTAAGAAGACAGCATCCGGCGCGGACGACGCGTGGAAGCGCGAGGACCGCCTACGCATGCTCGGCGTCAACTACCGCCGGTCGCCGATCGTACTCGAGGAGCGCAGCACGGGTCTGGATTCGGAGTCCATGGCAGCGTATGGGGATGCGGTAGAGGGAACGACACCTGTTGCGGGTGATCGGGCACCGGATGCGGCTAGACTGGTGGACGCAGAGGGAAAGGAGTATACGTTTTTCGATCTGTTCAGGGTGACGCACCACTCGGTGCTCATTTTCGCGTCCGATGTCAACTCTGCGAAGTCTATCCTTGATTCGCTGCAGAAGCACTCGGAGGACGCCATTCGTCCCATCGTCGTTCTGCCCCAGGGCGCCTCAGGTGGTTCGGGCGGTGCTCTCGCGCTCGTCGATCGAGACGGTCACGCGTACTCCGGTTACAAGGCTACTGAGGGTGAGACAGTAGTCGTTATTCTCCGCCCTGATGGCTTTGTCGGTGCAGTCGTCAACGACGTCGAAGGAGTGGGGAGATATCTTCAGAAAGTTTTCTTCTAGGACTCCTGTGTTGGTTTGACTTTGTTTAGATCTCGAAAATCAATAAAGGTACGAAGACGCTCAGTGCTGATCCTGCTGTAGATCATGCACCAAATAATCAGATTTTCTCTGTGTGTATGTATCAGAATGCGAGCATGGTTCGAGTAAATGTTGGTACGCTAATCATGCAAAGTAGCGAATTTCAGTGTTTAATCGGAATGTAATATGGCTTCCACCCTCGATTCCCAACATCGTTACCCTGTTGCCCTCTATCCTCAAATTAAGACGTTTTGGCCTATATCGTTTTGGCAGCCAGAAAAGGCGACGTGTATCCATCCTAAGCCAGCCATCTGCATCCAAACAGATATCGGACCAAAGCGAACTATCGAAACAGACTTTCCGAGTCTTATCACGATCCTTCACCTCGTATGACCAGTGATGCTCGGGACCAGTCGCCGGCTGCTTCAGAGTTACGATATAGTCGCGAGAGTACATTCGCGTGAATCCTGGTGAATGCTCGATGCTGTTTGAACACAGCAATCTTTCAACGGCCTCGGGTCTGGTTTCAATCTGAATGATATCGTTTGTTGTCCTCCTCCATCGAAAGTGCTTGACACCTCCACCTCGAGTTTTCGTGTACCAGTAGTCAATTGAGTCGCGGCGCACCAAGCTCATCTCGTAAAATGCGCCATAGCCATCCGTTTCGGCTCTGAATTGTGTCAACATTTCGACTTTGCCATTTTCCAGAGATAAAACTGTAAACATGAAAACCTTCGAGTCGCCTTGGGTATAGATGGCCGCTACTAGGGTTTCGTCTTCAGAGAAACTGATTCGGTGGAAGAGGGTCGCCATCAAGGAAGTAGTTCCAAGAAGAATACGAGAGCTCCTTTCCCAAATTTGAAACTCTTGTGCACGTGGAGGGTTGATTGAACGGACGGCGGGAGATATTGAGCCTCGGAGACATACGTACTTCGACTTGGGCGAGAAACTGTGGTGTTTAAAGGGCGCGTCCCAATACGCTTTGTCGGACATTAAAGGGGTGGTGTCCGGGTCAGATGTAGGATGACTGACGAGGTGGAACCCATCTCCCGGGTCATATGCGTAGATGCGTAAGTTGCTCCCAGGTTCCCAGGAGCGGTGCAGAGCTGGGACGTTCGAACGCTGGGGGTTAGTCGACTGGGAAGCTTGACGAACACTGAGAACCGATATAGTCCCTGTGGCTATCCCATCATGCCGGCCATGTACCAAAGCTCCTACCCATTCCGCCTTTTCGGACGCCCATAAAGTCCGGCTTGATCCGCAAATGCTAGAGATCCTATCGCCTACTTTTACTCCGACGAGTCCGGTAGAATATATCAAGGGCTCAATGAGCGGTTTGAGCGGATTTTGGATGGGTGATTGGGCATTCGTGGTTATCAGGGATCCGTCTGGAACTGAACCATCGGTAGTATGCTTGACCGCAAACACGTCAACTTCGGTACCTCCATCGGTGTATGTGGTCAAGTGAATGATCCAGTCGTCGTTGGGGCTAAATATGACCAGACATGGTTTCAGCATATGAGCGCCGCAGCGTGTGTTGTCAACTTGGAGCGCTCGGCCGCTGGTGGCACTGAAAACAGCAATGCGCCTTCCGATGTGAAGCAATAGGAGATCGTTTTTGTTGGAGAACTCCATTGTTCCTGGGATGCCAAAAGATTCTCTGTCAAAGCCTGTGAGAGAGACAAGAGTTACGGAGTAATCCAACAGCCGCTCGACGGTTTCAATCCTGTAGATACGAATCCTTAGGAGTGTACCGCTGGCAGTGTCATGCAAAGACATAAGAGCCATCTTATGCCCATCATGGGATAGTGCGACGGCCTCGCATGGACATGTCCTTTCTGTTGGAAAACAGTCGAGAACCACGGGTGTACCACTTGGTAGATGCCATAGGGAGAGCTCGTGGGACAGTTTGCGATACAGGGCTAGATAAGAGCCATTGTAATGCACCGAAAGGAAGTCCGTGCGAATGAACGGAACTTCAAATTGGGTCAAAAGACGCCCTGTCGTCGTGTCCCATATCTTGACGGAGAACAATGGCCATTCGTTCTCTCCAAGTCGTGTCAAGACTGCAATCTTGGAGCCATCGGGTGACAGGGAAGTGGCGTCTATGTTGACAAATTTCGTCTCTATCTCACGCGTGACACAGCTCCATTGATCATCCAAGCCTTCCTCGAACAAAACCACTGATTCCTCGGAAATCCCATAAGTAGCACGAATACGCGACTGGGATGGGCAACACGGCAGGGCTGATTCGTAGATATGGAGGGCGGAAGAGCTGATCGGATCGAAGAAATCCAGGGTCATCCGCCAGGCGTCATGGAGCAAATGCAAAACAAGGTCTTTCTGCGCAAATGGCTGCTGGGACCAAGTCTAGAGTCACCAAGAGTTAGCTGACTCAACGGCCTTATAAGTACTCAACTTACCATGATGAGATCACGGGCAGCTCTAAGCATCTGAGCTCCAGTACCGAGCTCGCCGAGTACCGCGTAGACCTCAATAGCATGTAATAGTCGGCGTTCAACAAAGTCCGAAATCGCGCCCATCATCCCGTTTTCTGGTACGCATAGTTGGAGATGGTACAGCCAATGTCGACAGGAATACACGAGGGCTTGGGGAACTGAGTCACGCTTTTGTGGAAATCCAAGAATTTCCTCGTGAAGGAATGACGGGTCACGAAGACCGCATATATCACGCTTCAACAGCCTTGCCATGGTCTTGAAGCAGCGAAAAGACAGCTGATGGTGTTGCTCAGAGGAAACATCCGCCTGGCCCATCATACCGAGATTACCGTTTTGCAAAAAGTCCCGGAAAGACGTATGGTAGATCTGAACAACATCGGTGGATGCGGTAGGAGGAACAGATATTAGGGCTGAAAAGGGTAGGAGCAGTGAACAGATGTCGATAGCGAAAAGGTCGCGTAATCCATCTAAGGGAAGGGGCTCAGCAAGGTCGACGATCAAGCGAAGGTAATGTTCTGCTTCGTTGCGAACCGAGGCTTCAACGCTGTTCATGATAGAAGTGTACAGGTGGTCAATGTCGCCCCAGATACCCTCTACATTACCGCGTAGCATGCTGCAAACCAGCTGGAGACGATCCCAAGGTTCATGTTGATCGACGAGCCTAACAATCGTAGCTGCAAAAATGAAACGACCGTGAGCTCGCTCCGATAGCATCAAGAAATCGTCCGGATGAGGCCATTGCTGCGGAATAGAGAAGTCGAAGAGTGCGTGATTGTTATATATGAGATCGAATGAGTGTCTCAAAAAGAGGTCAACATCCTGGCGGCTGTCATAATCTTCGACCTGTAGGGGTTTCACGACATCTCTCAATTCCTGGTTGTGCATGGCAGCACGTATCTGAGGCCATAGTCTGCTGGTGACGATGATGTTGTGAATGGGAAGGGACTGGTTTCGAAGCAGGCCGAAGATGGTGAAGATGAATGGTTTAAGATGAGACAAGCCGTCTGCAGTACCCTCATCAAGTGCGTCCAGGATGAGCGACTGGCCCAACTGGCCCCTCCAAACTGTAGCAGCGAGATCCTTAAGAGGAATAATGACGAGCTTCTCGAGCTGATCCTGATGAGACTTTTCGAGGGTGAGGAGAGCGGGGTCATCAGCGATTGCTCTCGCGATAATGTCTCTAGCGCGATGGTGCTGCAGTCCTAGCTGGTATGCAATCGTGAGAAGTACATGCTTGAAGGTGGTTCGCTTGGCATGCTTCCTGGAAAAGAAGAATGTGGCCGCGAGCTTGCCCTCACCACGCAAGTGATCAGTAAATGTGTGCGCGATGGATGACTTCCCGGAACCGGCCTCGCCAGAGATCCAGATGACCTTGCGGTCAGTGTTATTGACGAGCTCCTTGAGGTCTTGAAGGATGTCCGCCCTGGTTCCCGGAAGGCATCTAGAGTGCGGTTGACGTTCCGATGAGTCATAGATAGCGCCTTGCGCGCACTCCTGAGAGAGCTTGTACCACCATTCCTCGCGACTGCTACCCATGTTGATCGCGTGGAACTAAACAGTCGGAAGGAACGTGAGTGGTTTGTAGCCGGGTATTAGAGTAGCCCAGACTGCAACCTTCGATCTTCGTGAACGGTACGTCGGTGAGCAAAGCCGAGGTCACTGAGTCTGAGCGTGCACAGGTATGCAGCTTCAAATTGCTGTACAGTGCTATACAACGGACTCCAGCGTCCACGTGCTTATTGCCGAATATGTGCGCAGATAAGCGCTGGACCATCCTGACGCGTTTTCCCGTAGGACCTGACTAGGAGAGGCCCCAGCTTATCGTCCTGATTTTCTGAGATGAAGATGAAATAAGGCAGCCGAGAAAACCGATATCTCAAGTTCGCCAGCTAACACTGGTCCGAGCTTACACTCCCACGCGGTTCAGATTATCCTAATCTCGGATGTAGGCGTACAAGCGATGCATCGAATAATACGAGGGATAAAATCCTTACGCAACGTTCCGCCCAACCCCGGGATGAGCGTTAAGGAACGCCTGACTGACGGACACGAGGAACTCACGCAAACTCCCCAATGACGTTTCCAGTAGGGTAGTACTCGCAGACATAGTACTGAGCTTTCTACGGGAGAAGAGAAATTTACGTGAGCATGAATGGCAGCCAGGCACTTCAGGCGAAAGAAGCCTACGTCATAACTAGCAGGGAATATGCCATCGCACACCGCAACGGCACAGCCAAGCTGCTTGGTGTTCTTCCGGCGACTTGCGTCCAGTGCGAATACATCAGGAAAATGACAAACCGTTTTACCGGCATATGCATTATCCTGACTTTGCCGAGATGAACCTACTTTTTCGGTATTTTCGGCTCTTTACTGGAGAATATTTGGCTAGAACACCGCATCAGTGGCATTTTAGATGCAATTCTCGTTATGAAGAGTAAGCTATGAGTCTTTCAAACCGACTTGAATCCTCAAATGTAGCAGAATTGCGGTTTCAACTTTTGGGAAAGTAGGTTCACTCTGGCAAAGTCAGGAAAGTGCGGTTAATGCACGTGTCAAAATCCTGATGCTAAGTGGGGTTGCTGGGGTCGTATTGCGCTACATGAGGATACCCCCGTCAGCGCGAACGATAAGGAGGGTGAGACAACGCTGGAAATACACACAAGCTTCGCTATCCCAGTTGTTGATAGCATTGATAGCAGTGTAGTTACCGGTTCCCGCGGCGAGGTTCTCTACGGAGTGAGAATGAGGAATATCAGTTGATACAAGCGCAGAAGATAGGGGTATCACCGTAGGGACTGATATTTCCTCCCGTGCTCGAAAGTGCACTTCTCCGCCCAAGGCTGAGCTGCGCTCGCGGGAGTTGCGTTCCACGCGAGAGGCTGGGCATCGTACTTGGCCCTCTCGGCATTGTGAACGGCGGGGTAGGTCTGCTCGGCGATGCCCCGAGACATGATAGGAGCCGTCTTGCATGTCTGAGGGCTGTTAAGCACACTTCTTCCAGGAGCAAGTTAAAAGGGCATACCTTTGAGCCAGCCAGGGCAGGAGAGACGGAGATAAGGATAGTGGAGAAGGCGACAAAAGATACGAAATTGAACATCCTAAAAGACAGGCAACGGAAAAAGAAGGTGAGGAGACAACAAGCGGAGAAAGGTGATAGCAAATTGTCAAGAGGGACCAGTTTTGGACGTCCAACATTTACGTACCCTATGTTTGTAGTGCCGGCAGATTCACCCAGTCTCCCCGGCAACGAGAGACGATCTTCAAGCCCACGCGAGACGTCCTCCATACGAGTTTGAAGCATACGACGCACGTCGCACGTCGGTCAGAGGATGGCGACAGACGTCGACGAGCGTGTTCCAGGCACCATGACTAGGCACCATCGAATCGAGCATGATGAAGTTATCGGTCATTGATCGCTATACAGATTGCTACTTGACCGAGTCCAGCTCCAGCAAGCCTTTCCTCGTTAAAGACTTTATGGCAAAGTTCCTCGAGAACGGCCTGTGAGGCTTGAGCTTGAGCAGGAATTCATGTTCGTGTCAGTAACTTGACTTCCCAGGATTGAACGCTTATATGCATGAGCCTGTCGGATATGTGATGTTGACTGGGAAACCATGAAGCCGTGTGGCAGGCAGCTGCAGCATCGAGGTGGTGGTTGCCAGACGACATAATGTACCAGATTCAGTGGGTGACGTGGTCATAAAGCGCATAGGCCCCTATCTTACGGTCACATCCTAAGCTGACTCCGCGCGGATCGGAGTTGAACATTGAATCGTAAACCACCGTTGGGAGATCGGGGAGTCTTGGGAAAGTATGACAAAAGAAGCCTGGTTTGGCGGTATTGTTCGGGTGTATGTCACGAGATTCGACAGCGGTCGGCGCACTCATATCTTTTGGATGGCTCAAACCAGCGCGGACAACACGCTGGCGCCGTTCGCCGTTCTGTAATTCAACAGATGGGCGTTAAGCTATAAAAAAGGGCTGAGATAAGAGCTCACAATGAACCTACTCAAAACCGAATGTCAATTACAGGAATACGGGCCGTACATGTGTTACTGGAAAACGAAGTACCAAAGTCAATAACGACGAAAGCGGCATATCATTTGACGCGTGGACCGACCTTCCTGAACTCTCGCGCCTGATCATAAGTTAGGCGCTTGAACCCTATCTTTTTCACACCTGAGCGAAGGTTCACGGGTTCGGGACCGACGTACGTTCTCAACGGTGCTTTATCGAAGAACGGTTAATTGAGCTCGAAGACTTCGAAGACAAAAAAAGACAGACCTCGTTTGCCCGACGACTCCCCGGAGACCTGAGGACGAGTCTCGTGCCTGCCATGTAGTCGCCTGCCCGTGCGACAACGCTTCCGGTCAGCCGCCCAGGAAGCGCGGAGGACAAGCTTAGGTTTAGACGCACCGGCATTAGATCAGGTTCAAAGACCCTTTACGCATCCCAAATCTGTCCCTTTCGTCCCCATCTTCTGCCTTCGAGGGAAAGCGACCGATGCTCGCGCTCAAATTTGACGTTCAAGTTTAATATTGACTGACCCTAGGCTCTATTAGGAGCCTATAGTCGGCGAGGGCATCAAGGCGTGTGACTGTTATGACGGAATGTGGAGGCGCCAGAGGCAGGAGTATGCCGTGGAGATGTATCATGAACTCAACGCACGAACCACGACCCCAGTTGATTGAATTAGTCGGCATGTAATTGGTGACGAACTTCCTGGAGGTTATGCCATGGGATCCTACGGTTGCGTCTTTGGGGAAATTCTCCGCAGCTAGGAACAGGTGTGGAGCAACGCGCGTCTGAAGCTGGCGCCCGACCGGTGCTAAGGCTGGTGTAGGGAAAGAAGTTGAGGATGTACGCTCAAAGAAGAGAAGCAAAGATGGGTAAATGGCGAGTCACTTACTATAGGCTTGGTGAAGATGCAGGTGACGGGGTGGCATCTGATTCCACGGAAGGGATGTAGATGCACTTTACTCTAAAGAATTCGCCGCCCCTGAGTTACACACGAGAGCTTCCTCGACATCACGACTTCGAGGCGGTGGATTGCTCAAGCGCTCTTGTTCTCCCGCCACGCCATGGAGCAATAGCTAGGAGTAACATCTTGCCCGCAGCAGAAGCCACCTTGTTTTCCAACGCTCCACCCTGGACCCATGCTAAAAGAGACACCCCAATAATACTTTCGTCAAGGCTACAGGTATGGCTAAAATGTACATACTGTATGTGCGGCAAACACGAGACAACCCCAGAAAGATGGACGTTACAGAGGATGAGAGCAGGAAGAGAACATTGTGATGGTCGAACAGGAACTCAGCATGGTGTTGTAATGAAACGAGGCTTTGGATGGATGGAATGGGGATGAAGACGACCCAGAAGACTGACACAAAAAGACAAGAATGCTACAGACATTTGGCCCTGGGTATACTTACTGCGCCACAATCACAAACGCAACGTGCATCAAAAGGGATCGGCGGAACCGGAAAAGTGAAAATGATTCTCGTCAGCATTGGCTCTGCCTTGGGAGTCACTGATAGGCAAAGGCATACCTTACAGAAACACGGCGTTTCCTCCCATGGCCAGCGCTTGCACCCGAGTTCCGTCCACAGGCACGCGCGTACACATACCCATGGACGCCCAGATGCGGAGCGAGTGCCCCAGGTTGGCTCAGTAGCCGCCGCCACCTCCGTAGCCACCACCTCCCTGATAGCCGCCGCCGCCGCCCTGGTACCCTCCCCCTCCACTGTACCCTCCACCTCCACTGTACCCGCCACCACCGCCACTGTAGCCACCGCCACCGCCACCGTAACCGCCTCCTCCGCCGCCAGAGGGTTTGGCGTTGGCGACGTTGACACGGATCGTGCGGCCGTCAAGCTCGGTCTGGTCCATTTGGCCCATCGCAGCATTAGCTTCCTCAGCAGTGGTGAATGTGACGAAGCCAAAGCCGCGCGAGCGCCCCGTCTCGCGGTCGCGCATCACGATCGACTGTTGAGGGGATTCAGGTCAGCAATGAGAACCCATGAATCTAGGAAGGAGCGTCGAGGAGCGGGGGCAACAAAAGTCGGGACGCACATCGGTAACTGCGCCATAGCGCCCGAAAGCCTGCGGATCAGGGGCAAGATCAGGACGGGTACAGGGAGGGCAAGATAAGAGGGTACGAACATTACGCAAGCCATCGTCACCGGTGCTCCAGCTCAGATTCCTGGAACGTTTGATAACGCCCGCGTCAGTATGTGTATCAAAAATTTTGAAGGAAATGGAGATGCCGAGAAGATGCCGAGGATAAAATGACGACTTACCCAACGTATAATTTTGAGCCCATGATAACGATCGACCGATTGAAATCGTCGAAGTGAAGAAAGACAGATGAGATAGACTCGAGTCGATCGAGTCAAGGGCGATCTCAGAAAAGGTAAAAGTGAAAAAACACTAAAACCCGGAAACGTCCCACCACAGAGGGGGAGGCAGAGACGAGAGGGAAGGATGAAGGAGTCTGAGCTGCGGCACCCCATATATACCCATTCTCTCGTGGGTCTTTTTCAGACTCCTCTGGACGCATTTGGACGGATCCAGCGTACGCGCGTGACCCATCTGGCACCGGCCCTTCAGACTGGCTTGTAGCGCGTACACCCCGGGCCAGCTCTTCTCTCGGCCTACCTCTCCAACCCTCTATCAGTCCGTCTCTAGACTTCGGTCTAAGTCTGAGATCCAGGCTCTGGACCCACACACAATTGGGCAAGCGGGCGAGTAGGCCGAGCTCGGGACGGGTGGCTGCCGTGCGGTCCCGATGATTCGGAGGGACTTCAAGTTGACAGCAAATAAAGCTCAACAGTGCAAGCCGGGCACGGGTCTACAGTACGGACTCAGAGGAATGAATAGATCTGGCCCTCACCTGGGTGGGGCTCTTTCTGTTCCGCGGAGTTCGAGCGCCTGGTCTACGGTGTGGCCTATGATCTCTATTTGTCTCCATTGGAGGCCTATCCGACTCCTGAGTCTACCTGGGCATTTGTATTGCGGTAAACCTTGAGGCCTGAGGACTTAGGGGTCGCATCAGACGCTCACCGTTCGGGAGCGGGCGAAAATTTGTCGCGCCAAAGGCCATTCACCCACGGCCTTGCTTGGGGCAGGACGGGCGAGGCTGGCTGGCTCGATCAAGGACATTTGAGATTCGATGGGGCGGGACCAGCAGATCGAATAGTTTCAGATGTCAGCGAGCAACGGGGTGTGTCTGATTCATGCACACAACAACACACGTATTATATAGCTAGAGGATAAGGTACATGAACCTGGCTGTCTCGGATTTACGACAAGTCTTGGGACCAGTGCGACTAGTGTCTTGATGCATCGATGTCTCTTGAGCGCCGAAAAAAAGATGATCAGATAGCCCCACTTACTACCTCCGAGGTTCGGGATCACGAGCTCTGTTGACGTGATGAACAGATGGATATAAGTACAACAAGCTACTACGACAAAACGAAGAAACTTGAACAGATCAGAAACAACTTCACGTTGTGGAGGATCCAACGATGGAGCTTGGCAGAGGAAAGAATGGAGGATTTGAAGATGTATGGTGCTTGGCGTTGGAGTGTATGACCTTCTGCCGTCATTCACTGGCTCTCAACACAGCCACACGTCGGTGGCGGATCTAATCCTCGGATCTGGACGAGCCGGATAGCCGATCAGTCCGGTTTAGCCGATAACCTTGCTCAGTGTTGGACACGACCACGAGCGTCGTCCGAGAGCTCGTACTCTCTATCTGACTAATCTGGCTTAGCATTGGAGGGGATGTCGTCGAAGTCGAGCGGGGCCGATAGCAAGCGTGGATCATCTGACTGAGCAGAAGGTGATGCCAGGCTGGCAGGGGAGGGCAGACTTAGGGGCCAAGCCAAATCGAGAGGCAACGTGTTTTGGGTGAGGCGCGCTACGTTCTCCCAACTACCCATTTTGCTCTGGCAAGCCCTGCGTGAACGGTGCGTTGATCAATGAGAACAGCGGAGCAGCCATGAAACACACGTGTCTGGAAGACATTGTGGACAGATAAATACGTGCTTAGGACGAGGCATCAGATGCAGAAGGAAGGGGCTGAGGCAGTGGAGGATGGAGAAGGTTGCGGTTTCATTTGTTAGGCGGACTGTCGGTGTCACGGAACCAAATCCGGATGCGGAATCGTGGTGGCGGACGTGGTCGGCTAGCGGGACAACATTGCTTATCTCTCCATCGATATGAAACGTGAGATGTATGAAATAGACGCGTCTGGGACGAGCCAATGTAGTTGTTGACATGGAGGTGGTTGTGTTAAAGCTTTTACATAAGAAGTAGAGAAACGACTGTGAGTCGGGTGTCTACGACGACGGTGGGCAGAGTGGGCAGCGAGCTCTCGGGAGATGGACTGAAGAGGCATGAGCGGGACGTGTTGGCCGCGAGGCAGCTGTGTTGTGATAGGATGTGATGGGACTGTATGAGTTTGAGTTACGTATTACTTCCGGAGCTAACTCTGCTCAGTTCAAAAGGCAAGCGAAGTCGCGCGCTTCGCTTCGCACGCCCTCTGGCCTTAGGTCCGAGCCCATTCCTCTCTTTTTCTTCGCAACCTCCCATCGCGAAGGAGCGACGACGACGGTGACGACGACAACGACCTTCAGTTACGACATAAAAGGCTGAGCAAGAGCTAGAAGAAGCAAAGCAAGTCAAACAGACACCATGATCCCAGATGGCGGCAGCGACTTAGCGCTGCTCGTCCTCCGCGTGGCCTCGCCCGCACTCGTCTTTCTCGCAACGCTCTCTCTTTTCCCAGCAAAACCACCAGCTCCTCCAGATCCGTCTCCAATCACTACCGTCGTCGTCGCCTCCCGTGCTCCCCGCCGCGCCCTCATCATCTCCCTTCTTGTATTGGCCGCATTCACCTATCTCCTCGACGGTCTTGCGTTTGTACTATATGCAGTTCTTAACAAAACTTATCCCCAGCACACTGGTATTGAGATCAACGCCGTCGTGGGTCTCGTCGCTTTCGTTGGTATTGCGGCCCTTGGATCGTGGAAGGACGCACACGGAGCCGAAGTGTGGGCTCTAACGCGGGTCAAAGGCGCAGTCGGATCGTCTCTTGTCCTAGATATCGCGGCGATTGTACTCGCCGCGTCGATAGTCCCCAACAAGGGTGCGTTTACATGTCCTGCGGTCCATATTCCCATAACTAACAAAGATGACGCGATTTGTGCAACGTAGACCCTCGTCACTTCTGTGATAACCGCTACTCCGAATGCATCCCCTCGGCCCTTCATCTCATCCTCCCGCTCTTCAGAGTCCTCTTTCTCTTCCCCCTATTCGTGTCTCTGTTCACCCCACGCGTTGTGTACTCGACTGTGTCGAACGACGACGAGACGATCCTCGCGCCGCAGCCGACTGCGTCGACCTTCCTCATCCCACGTGAGGACGGCGCAGCTCCATCAAGCGCTCAGGGTGAAGCCGGCAAGTACGGCACGTTCGGCAACGGTCTCAGCGTGCCGACCACGAGCTCGGGTATAACGACGCGCTCGCACACTCCTACGCTTACGACTCATTCTGTTCATCCTAAGAAGGTGCGCGGTCGCTGCAACGTGCATATGCGCGTGCTTGTCTAATATATGCGCTTTGATAGGCCCAACAAGCGGAGGTCTCGCTCGACCCATCATGGACCGAGATGGCAAGGCGCATCTCCCACCTGACACCTTTCCTTTGGCCCACGAAGAACTATCGTCTCCAATTCTTGGCTGTGCGGCGTCTATTTCTTATCTCCTGATCAGGCGTCACTAACTTTTACGCTAGGCGCTCTGTGTACTTGTGCTCATTCTCGGCCGCGTTGTCTCCCCGCTGGTTCCCCTCTCCCTTGGTCACCTCGTCGATGCTTTCGGGACCGGCTCCGAGTCTCCATGGCCGTACCTCTTTGCATATGTCGTTTTCCGCTTCCTCCAATCTAGCGGTGGCCTGCCCGCCCTGCGTGATGCCCTCTGGGTGCCCGTCATGCAATATTCGGACCGCGAGATGTCGCAAATGTCGTTCTCGCACCTGCTCAACCTCTCGCACGGCTTCCACGTCCGCCGCAATACGGGCGAAGTCCTGCGCATCCTCGACAGGGGCGCGGCGGTCAACCGCGTGTTCGAGCTGTTGATGTTCAACGTCACGCCTGCGTTCATGGATATCATCGTCGCCGTCATCCTATTCGCGGTGAAATTCGACTGGATGTTGTCGCTTGTTATCTTTGCTGTCATGTTTGGATACATAACTGCGAGTATCGTGTTGACTCGCTACCGCACGAAGCTGCGCAGGCAGATGAACGACCGCGATGTGATCACGAGGGGCATTCATACTGACTGCTTGTTGAACTACGAGACCGTGAAGTATTTCAGCGGAGAGGAGCATGAGACTGCTCGGTACAGGGATGCCATTAACGATTACCAGCAAGTCGAGTACCGCGTCATGAGTGAGTCGCAACGGTATTTAGCACTGAACTACGTCACTGACTATATGCGTCCACTAGTTTCCCTTGACCTCCTCAACCTTGTTCAGACTCTCATTATGGTACGCTTAATCATTTCTGCGCACCTAGTGGCTGTATGCTAATGATACGCATAGACCCTCGGCCTTCTCGTTGGCTCTTTGATCGTCGCCCTCCGCATCACCCGCGGCGAGTCCTCGACCGGCGATTTCATCATCTGGATCATCTACTTCGCCCAGCTTTATGCGCCTCTTTCAAATCTCGGCTCGGTCTACCGCATGATCAACCAGTCGCTCGTCGACACTGAGCGCCTGCTCCGTCTGCTCGACGAACCCTCGGATGTGCTCGATCGGCCCGGTGCTCCGGACCTTACTGTTGAGGACGGGGAAGTTGAATTCGGTGCGTGCCCTTATCCTGATCCTAAAGTTAGCAAGCCTCTAATAATAACATGCAGACAATGTCTCGTTCTCCTACGACGACCGCCAGCCGGCTCTCAACAACGTCTCTTTCAAGGTGCCCAAGGGCGCGTCTGTCGCCCTCGTTGGCGAGTCTGGCGCTGGAAAGTCGACGATCCTCCGTCTGCTCTACCGGTTCTACGACCTCAAGGAGGGTCAGGGTCGTATCCTCATTGATGGACAGGACCTCAAGGATATTACACAGGCTAGCTTGAGACGCTCGATCGGTGTTGTTCCGCAGGACCCGGTGTTATTCAACACGAGCATTGGTTACAACATTGGGTACGTCTACTTAGTGTCGACATAACGGCGTGAGTTGATTGTTCGCGGCAGCTACGGCAAGTTCGGCGCTTCGGAAGAGGAGATCCGTGATGCCGCTCATGCCGCTCACATGCATGAGCGTATCTCGACGTTCCCCGACGGCTACGATACCAAGGTTGGCGAGCGCGGTGTCCGCCTCAGCGGTGGTGAGAAGCAGCGCGTGGCTATCGCTCGCACGCTTCTGAAGAACCCGCCCATCTTGCTCCTCGACGAGGCAACAAGCGCTCTCGACACGGCCACGGAAAAAGACATCCAGAAGGCTCTTGCGAACCTCCAGAAGGGACGCTCGTCTCTGTCGATCGCTCACCGTCTCTCCACCATTGCCTCCGCCGACATCATCCTCGTTCTCAAGGACGGTCAGATCATTGAACAGGGCAGTCACAGGGAGCTCCTCAAGGCCAACGGCGTCTTTGCTTCCATGTGGGCTGAACAGATATCCGCTTCTGAGGACCCGGTGTTTGCCGCTTCATCCAAGGCACCCTCAATTGAACCTGTCATGGGATACGATGCTGCGCCTTCCACTTCGGAACGGGCATCCGAGCGCGCTCCCACCGTAAGGACGAGTTCCCACCGCGTTGGCCCTTCGGAATACTCGGCGGATCCCAGTCAGCCCAGTCAGCCTAGTCAGATTACGGGCACAGGCACCGGGTCGGTACTGGGTGCGGGCACGCAGGTCACCGATACGCCAAGGACGCGCGTGACGATGGTTGAGCCTGACAACGCTTCTCAAGTCACTTCTGAGCCACCGACGCTCCCCTCAAAGGATAATGTCGTGTATGTTCCTGCTGATGCTCCCGCCGACGCTGCTGCCCCGATCTCGTTCCCTACGACCGACGAGCCGGAGCCTATGTCTGCTCCCATTGCTTTCCCGTCCTCTGATGAACCTGTCCTTGCTTTCGTCTCGGAGTCACCTGCACCCACTGCTGCACCCATCGCGTTCCCCGCCTCTGACTCTGCCGCCGATATACAGACGCCCCCCGGCGCGTCTACGCCCGGCGTCACCTTCGAGGCCACCAACCCACCAGAACACAGCAGCTCGCCCGATCCCGATGCGGAGCCCAAGCGCAAGCGTACTGCGTCGCAGAACTTCCAGCGGATGGCCCGGCGCATCTCAATCTCGAACCCGGTCCGTAAAGGGTCTACGATGCTCCCCGCTGCTCTGCGCCGCGGAGAGTCGCAACGCATCTTCGGCAAGGACTCGAAGGACGACGCCGGCGCTCCTGGCCCCAGCGGGGACGCAGACGTCCGGCCGTCGGTGGACAGCCCTGCCGCGAGCGTAACCAGCGACCCCATCGCAGACAAGAAGTTGAAGAAGAAGTCGAAACGCAAGACGTTCATGTAAGCCGTGGACATCTCCGCATCTCCTTCTGAAGCGCGGTCATGTGGCATAATGTTGTCGGTGGTCGGCTCGCATGAGCCCGAGGGTCCAGTGCGCTGGATCGCGCCCCGTTACCAACCGGCGTCTGCCGTGGAAAGGGCGGCGACCTTGAAGCTTTTCTAAGGTTTTGGATCTTTTATTTTGACTATACATAGTTACGCTTTCGCTGCATCCCCCTTGTACATGTTGGCTTTTTCATACCGCCACAAAGGTTTCATCGTTTATCCTTTGCTCGTTTTTCGCATCATCTTTTCCCATTTTCCGCCTTCCTCATCTCCGTTTTCCACCACCATTCACGAATCCCGTCACGACCCCGTTCATGTTCATGTCTGTCACTCCATATCTTAGTAGTATACTCTCCCCTGCCCCCATCATCCGACGTGTTTGAGCCAATTTCTAGGCATTGGTATCGCTTCATACTTGACATAGCCAACTATGTATCCGTTGTCTCCTGGACTTTTTGTTGCTTTGCTAGAACGGACGCAAGTGCATCCGAGAATCGAGATCTCGCTCACTTTACTGTCTCCTAACTGCTGAATATGGGACGATTCTGAGTCCGCGGCGTGGCATGTGCAAAGCTTAACTGCGATCAGAACCACCAAAAATGGTAACCAGACCCAGGGGTCCAGGCCGCGTTTTGGAAACGGGATTGAGTTTCTGCCGGAGTTCGAAACTGCACCGCGGGCGACGCCGCGACGGATATAAGAATGTTCTCAGAGCGGACGACCCCCATTCCTGAGTCAATCACCTCCCCCTTTTCTGTTTCCCCTCTCTCGTACTGGTGCTCCCGGTTTCGTCGTCTCGATTCTGAACGCTTTTCTCGTTGCCTGTAACGTGTTTGGACGGATATCGATATTGTATTCACTGGTTTCGACAAGATGAACTCTGCTAAGATCTATGTCGGGTGCGTCTAACCTTTGCCACTTCTCAATTCATTTGGAGCCGTCACCAAGGGGCGCAACCTCTGTTTCACCCATTTTGTCATGCGATGCTCCTTCCTTGCGGAATGCATCGCTCATGAGCGTCTGGCATCTAGGCGCCGGTGGCGTCGAGCGCTTGAAGTACGAGTTACTGACGCGTTGTTTCGCTTGCAGTAATTTGAGCTGGAACACCACCGATGACACTTTGCGTCAAGTTAGTATTACTTCACGTCACTTTCACACGTCACTTGTGTTGTGTGTCCCGATGATCGATATGCTTGTCTGGGTGTTCTGCTGGACTATGCGATGTCATCACGCCTCACCTACGCCTACAAATCCAACCCCTGGTTTTGTGCGCTGTGTCTCGTTCTCGTCCCTATCATCCTCTACCTCTACTCCTCACCTGGTCTGTGTATCGATGTCTTACGTGTTTCTTTTTTGCTATGCTATGCGCGTAACTGTGCTGTGCAATATAGGCCTTCAGCACCTTTGGAAATGTGGTTGACGTGCGCGTTCTGAATTATCTCTGCTCCTTGAGTTTTCTAAAATGACTTTTTATTCCCCTGTTTGTGTCGTGCTTCGTTTTGCATCCGCATCGGTGCCTTGATGCCCCGCAACATGCGTTTTGGTTGATGCCATTCCCGACGTCAAAATGTGATTGTATGCGCCGATTTGCTCCCGCATAGTCGGTCGTCATGCGCGACCGCGATACCGGTCGCTCCCGCGGCTTTGGCTTTGTGACCTACTCGAGCACCCAGGAGGCCGAGTCGGCCATCTCCGGACTCAACGATCAAGACCTTGACGGCAGGAGGATCAAGGTCAACATTGCCAACCCACGTGGCGGAGGCGCTGGAATGGGCGCTGGCGGACCTGGAGGCTTCCAAGGTGCTCCTGGCGGATACGGAGGCGCTGGTGGTTACGGTGCGTTCCCTGGTTTTTAGATGCCAGGGCCCGAGATCTGACTCATCCTGCTTCTCAAGCAGCAGGCGGCTTCACTGCTGCTCCTAACATGGGCGGAGGATTCAACGTCCCGCCTGTTTACGGTGGCTATGGTGGCGGCATGCAGGGTACGGTGATATCTTCTAAATCTGGCCCGACCACTGACGGTCATGACGAACCAGGTGGTTATGGAGGCTATCAACCCCAGCCCGGCTACGGCCCCCCTGGTGGGCGCGGCTTCTGATCTCGTAACTTAAGGGCCAAGAGCTAAACAAGCTGTACGCCTCAGTTCCCGTCTCTCAGTTACACATTGCCTGATAATATCTCGTTCGCTTCCAGCACCAATTCGTCTCGCTCTAGACAATGCATCCATGTCTCTTTCACTTTGTCCTTTTCTCTCTTCTTTATGCTTTCCTCTTAAGCCCGATGCTCGCCCATTTCACTCACCATGCACGGACCCCGAATGATATTCCCTCACTTCATCACACCCGTAATAATTCACCCATTCCTCGTTCCTGTCTGCGCATACATATCGTCCCTGTAGTCCATCATCAACGGCTCTCCGCACATCCCACGTATAGCATCGGTCTGGTTTTCCACTGCTCTCCCTGCTTGCTCGCTCGTCTGTACTTGTACGACCACAAATCTTGTCTCCATTTTGCTTTCGTTACTGGTCACGTTCGGATTACGACCCACCAGTGATTACGGCGTGTTTTGGTGTTTTGGGCCATGGGGGTGCACGCTCTACCTCTTTTTTACATTTATAGTATGATGCACAAAAACGTTTTCTTGTTCTATGCGTGTTGGACCTGAGGATTACTACGTCGAGGAGCATACGCTGGATGCTGCATTCCAGCCACCCTCGAAGGTGAGATCTGCAATCCGCTCCACCTGTTCAAATGTGATTGAATATTTCTGAATTTGTCTGATAGCGACGCTAAAATGCCTCCTATGTCAGGTATACAGCGGGTCATAAAATACCAGCCCCTGGACCACAAGTTCAGTCAATGTGACCCGCGATGTCAACGCTATCTATGCGGAAGCGCAGAGCAAGCCGAGCACATCTTGCGCCTCATGCGAAATGACCTCACGCCGAACGTCATGACATCGTATCCTGAACTTCCTCTGTCATAGCGCTGGCGCATATAAGCCTCATGCTGCTCCTTCTTATCCTCCCGTCTACTTCTGATTCACTGTTTTATTTACAATGGATCCTGAAACGAAACAATCCGTCTACACCCAAGCGCCCACCGCGTACAACCTGGCGGGCGAGAGCCTTATGAGCTTCCAGCAGGTCAGCCAGATTCACCAGCACTTGTGTGCGTTCCACGTCTACAGGTGCGTTCGTCGCTCGCCCCTATTCTGTCGTTCTCTGCGGGCGGCCTCCGCATATATCCTAAGTAGCTGATGCACTCTGCGGTTTTCACTAGCCATGACCACTCCCGCCACGTCGAGTCACACCACCTGTGCTCGCACCTCCGGCCGGACTTCCATCAGTGCATCATATATGACTCTGAGAAGCCCGACGCGAGGTTGATTGGGATTGAATATATTGTATCTGAGGCGGTGAGTAGTCTCATGGAGCGATTGACGGATTGTGTGGGCTGACGCAAACTCGCGGATATAGACGTTCAAGACGCTCCCATCCGAGGAGCAGGCGTATTGGCATTCGCACAAGTATGAGGTACGGCGAATCTCAACCTCACCTTCGATTCCTTCTGGAATAACGTCAATTTTGTTTCACGTAGGTTGAGAGTGGTTTGCTTCAACTCGTAGTAAGTGACATGTCCGAGACTCTCACCGAACGACGTTGACTTGACTGCTCTAATGTAGCCGAAGAGTTTGGTACCCAGTACGTCATTTCACCCATTGGAGTCATATTCGCGACAGCCTAATCATCTTACCACTAGACGCTGTTACCGACGCTGCTGAACAGCCCGCCATGCTCGAGCTGCAGAAGACGTACGGCAAGACGATCCACACCTGGGCGTACGACAAGCACCCCGATCTCCCGCTCGGCCCGCCGAACCTCATGATGTCCTACACGGCCGACGGCCAGGTCGACGAGGCGATGGTTGCGGATCGCGACAAGCGCCACGGCTTGTCGACCAAGGACAAGCGCAAGACCAGGGAAGGGTACTTGCCCGCGTATCAGCGCGACACGAAGGCGGATCAGTGGGAGGAGACTGGCAAGGCAGTCAAGTTCAAGCGCGAGAATGATGTGGACATTAAGACGACCAAGACCGAGGCTGGTAGAGGCATGGGGATGTAAATGTAGTTGATCCTTGCCGCGGATGTACAGTAGCATTTTCTTCGGACAATCGAGGTTACAGTGAACTTTCTTCTTCAGCCAAAAGTGTCTTTACATCGGGAAGCGAATAACTTACCTCTCCCTTCGGGGTCCTCGGAGCTATAACTCCCGGCTCATCACAACGTGATGTCGCTGTGATGTCATAGCTAGTTCTTTGTGACACTGGTGTCGCGTAAACAATGTCATCAGCCGAGATCTTTGTGCTGTGGCGGTGGTCACAATTTTCAGTTTACAGGATCTCGACAACGGCAGTCAGTCGTGGATATCCGTGTTAGTTTGTTCCTCAACTACGTTCGTCAGTGACAAATAGACAACTTTCTTGCTTTGCACAGTTCTAGCGCAGATTCTCAAGCAGATCTCTTCTACATGCGTAGCAAGTGCTTCCCGTATTGTACAACACGCATGTTCGCCACGAGCAGCGTTGCAACGTTGCCTCCACTATTCATCATAACATCCGAGTTGGTACCGTTCTTAACTCCGTACGCTGGAGTCGAGAGTGGGGGTAATGTCAGGTGGCATATGACGTCGATCGGCTAAGCTGCAGCTCATATAACCCGGGGCTTGCCCTCTGGATTTCGTTCCACCACTTCCAACCCACTGAACTGGCACAACACACCGGATCATCCTTTATCTAACATGTCTAGAGTTCGAGTTGAGTAAGTGCTTCCTGTCAGTTGACTTCGCGTGATACTCATGATCGCTTTAGAAGCCTTAGCGGAGCGACCACCAACGAATCTCTACGAGCTGTGAGTAACAGTTGGCTCCAACAACCTACCTCACTCATCAACTGTCCGAATCATAGGCATTCAGCGGCTTCGGTACCATCATCGACGTGGGTTTCGTTCTTCTTGCATCGTACTTGTTTCCGCGATAGAGCTGACCTGTATCTCATCAGTCCTCACTGGCCAGCACCGTTGGCTACGTGACCTTCGCCTCCCCTGAAGCAGCCACAGCTGCTATCACGACCATGAACGATGAAGTAGTAGATGGGAACCGAGTTCAAGTGATCCGCGCACCCGAGCAATTAGGTGGTGAAGATAGCATCCAGGAGGTCCCGTATGGCGGTTCCGTGGTTTGAGCGCCGCATACGTCCAGCGTTCAGGAAGGCAGGGAAGAAGGCAGGGAAGAAGGCAATATGAGATCAAAGGATTGTATCTTACGCGATTTACCCCTGATATGCCACAGTCTCGGACACCATGCGTTTATGCATGCACGCAGTAGATTGACGCGCTGCCAATGGAGCAGAAGTAATGTACAACATACATTGTATACTGTGTCTGTAATTACGGAATGTTTCTCTTCACTTTGCTGCGACCCTAGGTTTCGGAAAGTTAGCGCGAGCTATATCCCGGAGCATGACCCTCTGCTAAGCACTCACGGCATTTGGACGATAGTCATGGTAGCGTGGACTTTATCAGTCCCTGCAACCTGACCTGGGATCTGAAGTTGTACATCAGTATTGGCCAACCAGCATTTATGAACAGTCGACGTACAACGTCTGCCCTGACGTCGTTGACACCCGGTGTTCCTGGAAGCTGGACACGATTATAGTTAAAGGGACGATCAGAATATGTTGAACCAGTGAAGACTAACTATGATAAACTTCGTCGTGTCCACGGGCCCTGACGCCCACTGTTCACCCCCATCCTCGGGCTGGCTTTGGAACTCAACGTAGACCTTGGTCTCTTCGTTGTAAGCAGGATGCGTGTAAGCCTGAGATCCGTCCACTTGCTGAAGTGGCAGGGAACCGGTGCCAGAGGAGTGGAATCTTGTCATCGTGCCAAGGACCTCGCCTGCCAGGTTGACGACATAGATGAGGATGCGTTGCTTCTGGCCTTGAGCCGTTGTCTGCGTGTTTGCGCCAAAGTTAGCGGAGGCCAAGCGGGGATCCTAATAGAACGTACGCCGACACCGAAGATGGTTATGGTGTTGTTCTTCCTTACAGGAATTGTAACGGTTGAGATGACATACGGAGAGATGAATTTCTGCAGAGGAACCGGTTTATAACACGAAGCCGAATGTAAAGCGGCGACTTACAACGGGCGCCATGTTCTCGAGAATTACGGGGAGTTATTGTGTCCTTTGAAGATCACCACCTTTATACGAGAGGTGCAGGTCACCGCGCATTGGAAACAGCACGCAGAAGCGATCAACACCAACGGCGCAAGTTAGCCAAGCTGAGCATCATTCCAAAGCCATTCAGCGGTGAACGTGTTCGACAGCAGATATGATCCAGCGCAACCGAAGAAGGGAATCCTCTAGTGACTGACGCCTTGAAACGATTGAATGAGTGAATGTACACGGGGAGGATCTTCCACTGTAACGGGTTGTCCTCGAGCCCGAGTCGACACACGTTCCATTCAGGGGTTAGCCCAAGTACCAGATCACAGCGTGATAAGTCGAAGCCGAGAATCCGAGTAGAGATGGGCGTCCATGTTCAAGCTCAGGTTCAACATTTGTCGCCGTGAGCCGTCGGAGTTGAGTGAGTTAAAGAACGCCGGAATTTTCCGGGAAGCTGCGATTGCTCTGCGGTTTGCCCAGTTTGCCATCCCTCTATTTGGTAGCTTCCTTGACGCCTTTCACAGTCCTGACAGCAACTTTAGAGCCTCACTGGTCACCCTTGATTGATGCACACAGCAATTATGTTCCCAAAGCGCTCGAGGCGATAGGACAATTCTTGCTGCCACCCTTCATCATGGGTTTGCAGGTTACAATTCAGTTGGATACCCCATGAACGTTCCGGAAGTTCAATCTATGCACCAACGAGGTATCTGCAAAGATCAAGGGTACGATGATCCAGAGCAGCTAAGCCGAATAGAAAAAGAAACCCTGGGGACCATTGCGCCGTCATCGATTCATCCTTGGTGAGCGCCGAATAGCGTCCTAGCTTTAGTATAAACTGACGAGTTCCCTCGGTCTATCAACCATATCACTCCAGTTCCGCGCTCCCATCCTCAGACACCAAGCGAATCAAGAATGCCCTCCGTAGGAATCTCCTTGACTTTACCAGTATTCCGTCACGCTCATTCCGTTCTACGCCTCTAGCAAGGTGATAAACCGTTCATCATGCCGAGCGTTGCGGCGCCACTTAGGCCCAAAAACACCGCAGTTGTCTCTGGTATTTCGGTAAGTCTTTGCTTTTATCGATTATCTCTTATGCTGCAAACATTTGTACTAATATGAACACAGACGACTAGCAAGGGATGGAAGCAGCGCATCCTCGTCTACGTCGTTGATTGGGAAGGCGAAGTACAGACCTCGACGATCTTCTATTCTCAGGGCGACGGCGCGCTTCCGATGAAGCAAGGTCCCAACAAGGAGCCCAGCTGGACCCCCGGAAAGACCTGGGACCAGGACATGCGCGTGACGATGGAGTACCAGTACGCACCGGCCGACGGAGATGAACTCAGCTGGATCCAGGGAGACTGGGACCAGCCTAAATTTATCGAGGTCAGTGCCAGTCGTTCTTTTTTCACCTCCAAGTCGATGAATCGTTCCTCCCCGATAGCAACCAGTCCAGCCTGTACCCGACAATGCGAAGAAGACAGACACGGTACGCTGTGCGAGTGCGCTGCCGTTGTTCGCTCCTAACATTACATCGACAGATTCCTACGAAAAGCGATGGCGGCAATGTGAACTACCATGTGACGACGACTGTCGTCCAGACGCCGTAGGTACCTGTACCTGTCAATATGACCCGTTACTGATACTTCGCATTCAGGCCCTAAATCTGATAAGGCTGAGAGAGTCGCTATAAATATTGTAACATTAGCGTAGCCCCCCAAATGCAATTTTGGGGAAGCTTGACTTCCCGAATGACTGCTGTTGTATACGTTTCAACTTGCAATCAAACTCAATATACTATTCTGCGCAATACTTGCGACTCGAGTGACTCGAACGATCCCGATTCGTGAGGAAAGCACGGTTGACGGGTTTGAGTTAATCGTCAGTCGGCCATCCGGGAGCTGCCATGGACTCCTCAGTATGAGCCCCAGAAACCCTGCACACCCCTCGAATCTGAGACGCATAACACCGCAGTTCCTTGCACACCTGACTCACGACTGACTCACTCTCTTCATTGTCCTTGAGAAGTCTTCACATCAAAGTTAGATGGCCGATCACCCTCCCCGCTGCAACTCCGAGCCCGCTTCATTGTCCACCAGAAAGAAATCCTCATCACCTCCATGGATCAACAAGCCGCACCCCGTGCCTAATGGCTATAGTCTCAGCATCTGCAGCAGCTCCATCTCCTCATTGTTCCTTGACCGCATAACCCGCGGGCATCTGTCCCAAGGCTGGCGTGCGCTGAATGCCACTCCCTCCGCATTGTCCACCCAATTTGGACGAGCTCCGCCGCATCCATGCTCGGGTGACACCCCATTGTCTGAAGAGTTGCTATGGGCGAAGCGGGGATAAGCATGCCATGCCCTGATCGTCATGAAGTCTGCGCTGAGATGTGGGGAAGGCCATTGTGACATCGCCCACGGCTAAATCAGAATAAGCGCCGGCATTGCCGAACAGGCGCCCGTCAATGTTTTTACATTCGTCGTCTGCACATGTTAGAATTGACATCAATTGTAAGGTCAAACGAGCCTTCGATTTTTGAGGTATGTGCAGCGCATCAAGCGCGTATTCGTACACATTAGCGACTCCAAGTAAATACAACTAGTACCTGATACGAAACGCACCAAGAGCAGAGAGCGAAGGGAGAATCTAACGTATGCTCAAAAAAAAACTGGGATAAAGTTTCGCGATGTGAGAACGCTCAAAGATCGCGTCGCTTCGGGCTCCAATGATACTTTTAAAGAAAGCGAATAGAGAAAGATGGAAGATGGAAGATTGAGGGATATATAAACAAATGAGACGGTATAGTGACAGGAGATAGAGCAATGCGTGGATGGTGTGGGATGATGGAGATGATGGATGGATGAATGAGCAAGACGATGTCGTGTGTTATGACGGGCGGGGGAAGCCAAAGGTGCATGGATGCATGGTCAGATGCTGGACTCGGGTGGTGGGAGTAGCCCATGAGCGTGAGCATCATTGGGGTGACGCGGATCCGCGAAGCGGCTACGGGATCGGACAGCTCCGAGGAACAATGGGCTTTCGACGACTCGATATGACGCGTTTCGTAGGTTTTGGGGTCAGGGAGAGAACACCCGATACCTCGCTTCGCAGCGAATATTGAGTTATTGATGGTTGTAGGTCCACCGGGTAAGACTCGAGTCAAAACCCCAAGGAAGCGTCGTGAGGTCCAGACTCCAATCCTAAAAGGAAGCTATATCCCCGGAAATTGGCATAGAGAACAATGGCGAAACGGCGAGCCCGAAATATTAGGTTGCGTAAGGTAGGGAAATGATCAAAGCAGGGACGAACAAAGACGGGGCACGTAAGCAGAGAGAGCAGGGAGTAAAAACTAGTAACACAGCTTTGAGGTAAGAAATGCGTTATTTGGAAAGAGTGACTGAGCATGTACTTGAGATGGCATTCGAGGAATAGGCGATTAAATGTTCAGAAACATATACCCATAAAAACGAAGTATGGCCAAGACTCGTTCTGAGAGAGGCTCCTGAAGGGGCGTGCGAGGAGTCAAGAAAAGGCGCGCGCCCAAGGCACGTCATAAGTCAATTCCAAGAAGGCGAGGAAACCGTCATAAGGTTAAGAGAGCTCGAGCATGAGAGGGTCCGTGAGATGTCGTAAAAGGAGCATGATGAGCAACAAGCGAGATTGAGACCAGGAATACAGTGGAAACCATCGTCTTGTCCAGAGCGTCGCGCTGAAAAGGATTACTGAGTGGGATACCATGGCAGCCCCTGAACTTGCACTTGAGCCTGCGACGGTTGTGGATGTTGAAGCTGTGGTTGTTGAAGTTCGTCCGGCTGGCCCTCGCCGAAGCCAGTCTGCGCAATAAATTCGGGCTTCCACGATCCAGCGACGCGTCGACTGAGGTTGGCCGCCCCAGCGGGGGGCATGTATGTCCCAGAGCGCTGCTGGTCCTTGTGAGGATATGACTGAACGTCGCGTTGGACGTTCGTCGGGATCTGATTGAGCGGGTTCGGTTGATAGGCGGTGTAGGTGAATGGGCGGCGCACCTCCTGCGAGGTCGGCTGACACTGCTGCTGCTGATACTGCTGTGGTGGAAGCTGCGGCTGGTGGGAGTACTGCGATGAAGGCTGCGCATATTGCTGGGTCTGCTCTTGCGACGGCTGTGGAGGATCCTGGAGGGGCGCCTCGGACGGCTCGCCAGACTCCATCGCGTCGAAATTGATGTACTTGAGCACCTCAGCGGTGAAGAAGCTCGGCTGACGCTGCCCAACGTACATCTCGCCACCCTCGGGTTCGGCAGGAGCCCTGACGAGGCTGGCGATCTCCTCGCTCGTGGGCTCCGATGCCTGCGGTTCGGAGTGGTATGTGCCCATCTGAGCCTGTGACATGTCCAAGTCCAATGGACTGACGGACAGCTGCTGGGCCTGTTCCGCCGTGAAAGCAGAAAAGTCGAATCCGCTGAACAGGTCGTCCCCGCCGAAACCCCCGTCGTCTCCTGAGATGTCGAAGTTGGGGAAGCCGTGGATGGGGACTTCGACCTCAAGCTCACCTGACGGGAAGTTGGTGAGCATCGAGGGGTCGAGACTTGACAGGCCGTAGACACCCGTTGCTCCCGTGAGCGTGAGCAGGGCTTGCTGGAAGGAGTCGTTGAGGCTTGCCGCGTCTTGGGGATTGGTGGCGGGGAATGAAGGCATGGGGGGCATCTGCTGCATCCAATCGTTGGGGTCAGGCAGACGAGGAACTTCAAAGCCAAGATAGGCCTACAAAGGAGAAAAGTGTCAGGTTCGAGGATACGCGTGGGGAAAGACGGAAAAAAGGAATGCGAACCTCGGCGTTTTGGGGCGAAAGCAAGAGAGATCCATCGGCATTCGAGCCTGGCGTCCATTCGGGAGTAGGAAGCACACCACTGGTGGACGATGGTGGAGGAGGGTGATCGGGTGTGGGTGTGCCGTCTACAGCCCGGCTCGTGCTTGCGACGGGTTGCTCCTCCTGTGAATCCACATGAATGTCGTTTGCAGTGGGAGGGGGAGCTGGAGTCATTATGAGTTGGCCATTGAAGGACGGCAGGTCCGTGCGGAGAACAGGCCTAGGCGACGCGGGGACGGCGACTTCGATATCTGGACTTCCAGGAGCCGTGGGGGAAGCTGCCGCGGACAGAGGCGGAGAAGGTCCGCCGGGGCCAAAGCGTGCCTCGGGGACATACTGGCTAAAGTATGGATGGGGAGTGTACGCGACGGGCGCTGGACCAACGGGCGTGATAACGTAGCAGGGGGTGTGGGCGGGAGTGGGGATGGGAGTGGGAACTTGGTAGGGTGCCGATTGTTGGCGTCTTGCCTCCTTGTCCTCCGCCTTGACACGGTCCTTCTCTTGTTTGCGTATTTCGCGCATCTTCTCCTTGTCCTCTTTCCTCATGGGCTGGAAGCGGTAGTCGGGGTACCGACGCTGGTGCTCGGCCTTCTTCGTCTCTGCTAGGCGCTCGTACTCGAGGCGTATGGACTCCTCTTCATTCTTCCACATATCGGATATGAGCTTGGAAACCTCAGCCTGGGCGCGTCGAGGCGCGCCAGGCTCTTGGGGAGGAAGGGACTTGAGCTTGTCGGATCTGTACAGGATCCAGGCGTTTGGGGGGCGTGGAGGTTGGACCGTCTTGACTGACGGCCTTACATTGCGAGAAGGGCCTGCTGCCATGCTGTATGGTTTGGGCAGCGGCGAGCGAAAAGGGATGGGTGTAAGAGTGTAGGGACCGTGTTGGACGGCACAGGAGGGTGGATGGGAGGCGAAGACAAAGGAGGAGTGTGGAAGAAAGGCGCGTCGCCCTACTGTGGGAGTTGTTCAGTCGGAAAACGCTACCTAATAAGTAGGTGGTTGTGGGTCCACAGCCGTTGCGGAACTCGAAATTTGTAACTTGCCTACGGTCCACAACCTTTATAAGCCGTTTCCTCTGCCCACCCGCAGTCGAATAAATGCGAAAGACTATGACATGAGGTCAGTCTAAGCTCCCTTGCCAGACGCTTTGACACGCACCAGATCGCCCCAGATCAGCCAAAGCGTTGAATACTCTAGACGAAACAAACGGTCAGGACACCTACCCAAACGCTTTGTTCGCTCGTTCTTCCGCTTTCTTCCGGGTCGTTGAGGCGAAAGGTGGGGGTAGGCTAGAGGACGAGCGAGAGGACAAGCCGTCCACTCGCCCGACGCGATGTTCAACTTCAGGGCGCGTGGAACCCGACGGGGCTGTCACGTTCATTTTCGGCAACCGCTGGACTTTGCAACTTGGACAACGTCACCTCACTCAGGCTCGCCCTTTCCCCTCAACTTGCCCTTGTATTGCTTTGTTCACCAATCAAGCCTTCCTTCTTTCCGTTGCCGACCCCCTCCAAAGCTTCGGCTCTGGGCGACATAGTCAGCTTTCATGTCTTTGCGTTGGTACCCCATGTCATCTCCCTTCCAATTGATTGATTGATGCAAGCTTTTCTCGGGTGGACCTTAGCATCGTCAGACAAGTCTTCTGCCGGAGGTCCATGAGATGCTACCAATGAGTATGGCGTACATAATCTCCCAAGTCCACTGATTTGACCTCTATCTGCCCATGAGCATGTTGCCATCCCATATCGTCCCAACACCCCCAAGGTGTCTCACCAGCACCTCTATGGGAGCACGTAACATCCACATCCGTATCGGACCGATTGAACCACGATGTGAGTGTGCCGGCTGTTTCGCGTCACTTTTCACCACAGGGGCTGCAAGACAAGCACTGCTAACGTCACATGTTCCCCCAACGGCCCGGGACCGCTTCAGTCCGAGGTTCTATGCTCCCAACGCCTGGTGATTCCCATTCATGACATCTATGACTCCTGTATCAGTCTATCGGGAGCACTGTCGTATGTTTTCTAATTCCAATAGTATGGCTTTCGCTACTTGGTTGCCTGCACATTATGATGCTACTGGCTCCCGATTTACGTCCGGCTTGACCCAACCCAGTCCCAAGTAACTCCAGATGCTGACTTACAACTACCACGGCTTCCTCGTTCACATACACACTAACTAACACCTTCCAGAACATGGGACAGCCACACGGCGAACAACACGCATGCGCGTCTCGACACGATCACGTGGCCGGATCTGTACCTCACAGCAAAAGCGGGAAAAGGTTTCAAGGACAACGCCGTGTGGATGCGATGCAAGGCCACCAGATCAGAGGTGGCCAACCGCTGGCCCCTACCCTCCTGATCCTTCCGGTGCTGTACCTGTACGCCAGACAAAGAAGGTTTGTTGGCTATTCCTGAACACATCCCAGGGCGTAACTTGCCGCGCCATTGTACATCCTGTGGCCTGTAGGGATATTTTCGCTATCGTCATCAACCCGTGAGCGGGACGGTTAAATTATACGAGCACAACAGTTTATCACAGCCCAGAGCACTGTTCCTGCTCATTTCGTCTCGGAACTCAGTGGTTTTGCGACTATGCTGTTTTTCTAACCTCTCCCAATCGAGAGGTGTGATTGGCTGGACTTCGTTGGTATCAGAACAACATGTGGAGTTTGTTCCCGATTGCGAACCTCCACTGGAAAATAGGTGACGAGGCTGAGATTGTAGACTTCCTGCAACAGCCCAAGTCAGCCCAGTGCCTATTTGTACGGTAGGCTGGAGCTTTTTTCACGAGGCATGCATACAGCAGGTTGAGCATCTGTGTGACCTCGGATAGATCCTTAATGATCTTCCTCCATCATCAACGAAACCAAAGGAGTACGTCTCCCAACTTCCGGCTACAACTGGCTCACCTCTTTCTTAATTAGCCTAGTGGGATACGCAATTAGTACGAGTGGCTATCACGAGGGGTGGCAGAACCTCGCCTAAGTTTATGTGCCCATGGAGCAATCTACGATTCACTTGAGTGTTCTCTTTGATTCAACCTTGATTCAAATCAGTCGTTCATGACAACCTTCTGGATTACCGGAGCCCAGGCCGGAAGTCATCGATTCATCCACTGCCCATACCTTCGTTGATAAGCAGCGAGAGAAGGGAATGCTTGCGGAAACCTTCTTATTTTTTTTAAGAAGGCGTTGAGAACAATCGAAAATTAATTATGATGACGCAACCTTATAGAAAACGTGAAAGTTTCGAAAGCAATTGTTTCGAATATATTGAGTATCTACTAACTATGATACGTAAAACTAATGCTACTGTTTACACCGGAGTTTCATGGAAATAACCAGACGGCTGATACACGGCTGAGTATCTAATACTCAGCATGTAATCAACGACTACCTGTCTAGTACCAGCGTCGGCCGATATTGGGCTGATAGTTAAAGTCTCAGCCGCTAATCAGACATGTAGAGAACGGCAGAATAGTTATATTGCATTAATAGTATACATTAATCGAGTGGACTGCCGCTTCCCGCTTCCCGCCCCATGCGCCCCCTGAGCGCTCGGCTTCGCCCGCTGTTGTCCGGATTGGGGAACCCCCTAAAAGCGCGTCGCGCCGACTGCTCGCGCTCCTCACCGCCCACCACATAACCAATTCTACACGTCCTGCGCCTGAAGCAACCACAAAACTCTGATAAATGGATAACCCACCTTCTGCATTGCCGCCCGATTCCGCAGAGGCGGCCAAAAACGCGATCCATGGGGTCGGAATGGCGGGCCAGCAAGTACCTGCTGGTGGTGGCCATGGTCAAGCATCCAGCGCAGCTCTTCAAGCACGCGGAGACGCAGGCCGAGGAGCAGTGCTGAGGGGTGGAGGTCCTCAAGGGAATGTGGTAGGAGTCATGCGAGGGCAAGGGCGGGGTGGAGGACGAGGGAGGGGAGTTGGACAACCACAGAGAGGGCAAGGAGGTATGCATATACCCATAGTCCCAACCTCGGTGACTGGCCACAAGCGGGCGAGCCCCAACGAGGAAGTAGAAGGGGGAATGCGCAAGCGTATGAAAGAAGGAGAGGGTGTGCAGGACAGCATGTTTAACGATCCATTTGCCCCGGCATCAGCAAGCACCAACACTGGGGTCATGAGAGCCGGCTTACCACCTTGCCCAGCACAGTCCATAGCGAGCCCTTCTCCCCTGCATGGCCAGAGCATGATGACCCGTACAGCTGCGTTATCGGAAGGAGGTGGTGTGGGGCAGGTCTCGCCCTCGGTAAGTGCAGACTATATGCGTGGGCGCATACACTCACCTCTAATTGTTAGCCACTACGCCTGCCGCTCCCAGCCACGCATGCTCCATCGACGGCTCCTCCAACTGTGCCCTATCGTACTCCTTCGGCGGCTCCTCCAGGCGGGACATCCTATTGTACTCCGTTGGCTCCTCCTATGGTTCCCTATCGTGCTCCTTTGGCAGCTCCTCCGGGCGTGACATCCTATCGCATCCCCTCGGTAGCTCCTCATGGCATTCCACCCCGTGCACCCTCCGCTGCTTTGGGGTATGCAGCTCCCGTGCGTGCACCATCTGTTGCACCTTCCGGCCGTCCACCGACAGCTGCACCCACACGGGTGCTTGCCCAGCCCGGAAATGCAGCCCTGAGGCCCCTTGCACAGATACCGCGTCAGGTCAACGACAAGCTGCAGAGCCACGAGGGCATCATCAAGGCGCTCACCTTGCGGATCGACGAGCTAGAAAACGAGCAGAGGGCGATGAAAAGCGCAATGGGCGGGTGGTTAGAAGCCATCAACGAACGCAAGGCATATGAACAGCGCACCGAGAACACCCACCAAGACTTCCAGACCCAAATTAACGCGAACACGAATGGAATTGCGGAGATGAAGCAGCAGTTGGATACGGCAGTGGCGACGGGAGTAATGACGGGGACTACGGTAGATGATGCCAACAAAAACCCTTTAGTTGTGAGTCGTATCCATGGCAAAAGATTGTGCGAGTCACTCACCGATTCAAAGTTGGCGATCCGCAAAACGTTTCTTGCTATGATTGGTATGAGTGACCCCTCCGAGATTCGCAAACACAAACCTTTGGTAGACGGATCCTTCAAGGACGGCGACAAGATTGTCCCGAACTTTGATGCATCATGGGGCGACAACTCAGCTTGGCACGACGAGATGGTCCAAAAAATCAGAAACAACTTACATAATAATACGACCTCGAACGCGACTGTACTTCTTGAAGGCAAGACCGATGCGGATATCAGGCACCACCTTTCAATTGCGTGGAAGAACTGGAAAGGGTCACACAAGGCTGATGTTAAGGAGGCGAAGGTTGCTAAGGCGCCAAAGACAGAGGCAGAGCAGTCGTCAAATCGTCAGAAAACACGGAAGAATGCGGTGAGTGGAGCATGTACTGCCTGGAGAATGACGTTAACATTAGAATCAGAAACTCAAGAACCGGAGGGCGGCACGTACTCATGATGATGCGTTGATGAGCACCGAGTTTGATTTCGCTTACACCATCACCTACATGAGCTCGGATGAGAGCGATGCTGGGATAAATGGGGAGAAGAAGCCGCAGAAGATGAAGAAGGAGGATGTGATTGACAGCGGTGGAGAGGAGGTTACAGGCCCGGAGCAGGGAAACAAAAAAGGCCGGAAGGAGCGCCGTCAACCCAGTGGTCCCTACGTGATACGGCCACATGAATTTCGGTCAAGGGCATTGGATGAGGTGTTTCGGAGGACGGATGACGTTTACCAGTCTACAAAGCAACGTCAGGGTCCGGCTCGGCAGGAGAGACTGATAGGAGACGTGCGCATATGCGATCTCCGGCCAGACAAGGTTCCGCGGACCAGGGAGTACATCAAGGTGCCCCTGTGGGCTCTTCGCAGGACATATGTGTCAGCACACATCAAGGCGGGTGATGGAAGGGTGGACTGGACAAAGATGAGACGCCCACCTATCTGTGCGGATGATGAAAAGGGTGTTGAAGGAGGTGATGAGGGAGATGGGGGTTGGATCGGGGCCGATCCGGACTACATCTGCAAGGGGGAACCGACATCAACACTGCTGGATTTCGAGGGGCACGAGCATGAGTGGCAGAGAGCGATCCAAACCTTGCAGTTCACCGAAGCTTCGGACTTTGGTGGGCCTAGCCAGATTCAGTATGATCAGGGTGAGTTTGGGCAGGTCGGATACCAGAACGGCGAGCACGAGTTTAGTGGACACAAGGATGATGGGTACCAAAACAACGGACACGAGCTTGGCGGAGACGAGAACAATGGATATGGCAATGGTGGGTATAGTGGTGGCTACAACAGCAGCACATACGACAACAGTGCGTACGAGAGCAGCGCATACGGGAGCAGCGAGTATGGGTATGGCGATGGTGAAAGTGATGTCGTATGCGCAAGTAGCGACTACACGGGCAGCAGTGGTGATGGTGGTCGAGTTGGAGGGGTTAACGAGGCTGGGGATGACGACGAAATTGAGCCAGTGAGCGAGAGTGGCATGGGATACCCTCCTGACATTGAAGACTTGTACAATTAGTTGTAATGATGTGAACTGTAACATATGACACTCACGGTCGAGCCCCATGAGCTCTGTCATTTAGCACTTTGAGATGCAATTCACGCATCGTCTCCTGAACTCCAAGTGGGATCAGCCTCAGGACTGCCCTGGAGAATAATCGTAAATTAGAATTGCAAACATCATGAAGAAAACAGGACTCACATGATCATATGCAACTGTAATCCAATGTCGCTGACGCCCAACACTGATAGGTGCAAGAATGAGGTGTCCAGATAACGCATCAGCAGGAACAACCTCGATCTCCGAGAATGTCTCAGGCTGCCATGCCGAGACACCGAGATCGCTCGCCCTGTACAGTAGTGTCAACAATTGAGGGACAACAAGAGTAATAAACGTGTGACGTACCACATAGCCCAAGGAAACTCGACCTGACCGTCTGCTGGGACAAACCGGCGAACAACAGCAACTGTAGCTTCGAGAGGGTCTCCAAACCTAAGCGGCTGCCTCACATGCAACAGGTGCATGATCTCGACTGGCTGTCGCCCACTGATGTAGGCATACTGCCCTGACTTTCCTCTATGGTGTGCTGCTGCACCGTAACGAAGGTTCCTGACCCAGATGTGAGAATATGACAAGACGTCACCTGAGAAGATAACGCCTCCGGATATTGAGTTGTTGAGGTGCCGAAGATCGATGATGCATCGCCATCGTTGCCAAAGGAGTTGGTAAACAAGGTCGTAGATGATGTTGCTGAGACGCTGCAGCTTCGCAGGTGTCGAGATTGACGATAGTCTGATACTGTCTGCGTTGAACATACGCGTACCGTGCCGGTCCTTCTGTTGCGCCTGCAGGCAGTCTTTGAGAAGGGAGATGGAGTTGTCGTCGTGCTTTGTGGGGTTGGGAAGTGCTTCGAGTTGAAGGATCTGGAGGGAAACCATGACTTATGAAAACAAAACTATTGAAGAGGACTCACAAGCTCGTAGTTGAATGTGATGGACCACCATCGTCGCATCATGGTGCCTTCTAACTCGCCGCCCTTGTGGTGGTTGTGATTGAAGGATGCCATCTTGTGATTGTGCCGCTCCAATGGATAAGTCCACCAGCCGTAACATGGCCCATGTTTGAGGAATTGACGCTCGAGGTGCTGACTGAAATGAAAGTATGGGGTGAGTGGGAGATGCATATGAGCCCAGGACTGAGCCGACCGCGAGAGAGCAGCACAGCCACGTTTGACATCATCTGGAGAAATCTCGCGAGTAGCAAGGATGCGAATAGCAGCAGAGAACTCGAGGAGAACATCATAGTGACGCCTCAGGTTGCGATCAGGCTCAACCTCGTTGAGAGCGTCGAGCATTTTGAGGGGAGTGTGAGGATCCCGCGCGAGTGTGAACACTTGAAGTTTTCCTTGGGTTGCGTGGGTGTAGCGGGCCTGTGCCTTGGCAATTTTGGTGTTGCTTCGAGAGGTAGGTGCGTCAGTATCCGGAATGACACCATCACGCTCCCATGCCACAAAGAGACCAACGAATAGAATGGCGATCAGGTTCCGCCACTGATCTGCTTTTGTCTGTGATGCGTGCCCACTGGAAATCTAGAACCGTTTTTAGAATAAATGAAAACGGAGTCTCAACAAGACGTACCGAAGCTGGCAGCCGTGTCACTTCAACCGGCCAAACAAGCTGATCAAAGAATTTCTCCAGCCGAGCTGCAGGGTCACGCGCTCGAGATCCATTGAGGAGGCCATGGTCGTGGATGACCACCCTGGTGACATGCTTGACAAGGCCTGTATGATCATATCTTTAGTAATAAGTGGTATAGAACGAGGGGATACGACGTACCAAGAAAGATACAGTGCATAAAATCAACAATGGCACTGCCGCCAGGCATCCACCCCGGCAGCTGGTCGAGTGGTGTCCATGATACCCCACGCTGTTTTTTGATGATCTGTGCCGCCTCCTCGCCAAGCCTATGGGCGCGGAAGGCGTATTTGAGCGTGTTCCACTCGTCACGAGGCTTGAATAGGGATGGGTTGAAGCATGACGGGTGAGCGAGCGAGTAAGACGTCGCCTTGCAGTCCGGACACATGAATGTCTTTGACGAGTGACCTTGCCAGCCACTCTCCTTTCGGCTGGAAGGGAGATCCGAGCAGTTAAAATCGAGGTAAGCATGAACAAGCTGACGACTATCCATGCCATCGACAGCAAAGCTGACTCCACCCATTAGTCGTCTCATGGTCTGGGCAAAGAGGGACATCAGCTTATTCAGCTGTTCGAGAGTTGGCTCATGTGGCCCGGGGAGAACCATCACGAGCATGGTCTCCTCGGCGAGGTAGCGAATTTTGCGCGGGTTATTACATATGACGACGTAAAATGCACCTGTCGAGTGAGGGCCGCCAGAGTCTCGCTTGACAGCTTGAAACCTATGTAGAGTGAGTACGAGACCGACATGAATAAGATGCAACCCACCAATCGATATTGAACTGCAGGACGAGCCCGCAAGGGAGCGACACAAATCGTTGGTGCAGTTCATGTACGTCCACATCTCGTATCTCATCCCGACGACCTCGTCGACGTTCAAGGCCGGCTTGTATGGCCCGCCAGCCCCACCCATCATAGATGTCAGTCATTGGGCGGAAGGGATCGGGGAACGCATCATATCCGGTCTGCTCGGTTGGTGGCACGCGTCCCGGAGCATCGTCGGGTCCTCTCCAGTGCTGGAGTTGGTCCCATTTGCCGGGCCGCAGTAGCAGCCGCTGGATGGCACGCTCGAGCGGCACATACGGGACAATCTTCGTGGGGGTGCGCTTGAGTGTGCCATCGGAGAGTCGCTTGACCCGGTAGATGGTGCCTGGGCAGTCCTCACGATTGCATGTGGGCGAGTCGAGATCGTGGAGTTCTGAAGGATGGTAGACGTCCCAACAGACGTTGCAGATGGACAGGTAGATGACAAAGTCGTCCGTCGCAAGACCAAGTTTCTTGAGGACAGACGGGAGCGTGAAGACAAACTTCTCGAGGCCCGGGAATGTGATGTCTGGATGTGCAGTCGTGATCTCCGACAGATTGAGGTGCACACCCTCGAGGTAGCGCTGAACGGCCTTGTGCTTGGCCCCGTCGGATACAGCCATGACAAAGGCCCGAACATAGGCGTTACGTATGACGGAATGATCTTGAATACAAGGTGGGGGCCTGTCCAGTGGCGCTTCAACGTCCGTCGTGTCCGAGAAGTTAAAGAGCTCGTCCATCGGGACGTTTATGGCCTCGTCCAGGTAATCCCCTTCGTCTCCCTCGCCCTGCTGCTCGTCTCTCTCGCCCTGCTCATCTCTCGGATCCTGCTCCTCTGGCTCCTCCTCCTCCTCTGGTGGCTCCTCCTCCTCCTCCTCCTCCTCCTCTTCTCCACCCTCTCCTCCAACACCTTGCTGTGCCTGTTGGCCAAGTCCATCCCGCATGAGGCCGGTAAAAAAATCCTCGTTGTCGCTAAGATCCATAGGCTCATTATATGTGTTGAAGCCCGGCGACAACTGAGAGTCGAAACCACCAACGCGGCTGAGATGATCGATCTGCATGGCAAGTCACTCAGTCTCAAAGGCTGGGAGGGTGTGGAGAATACGCACCTGAGTTTCGGCCCAATCGTCACCATCTACGGCATTGTTTGAGCCGTCGCCCAAGCCGCCATCCTCGCCACCATCTGCATCCAATACTGTCGAATCGTCCTCGCCCTCGAGACTAACTCCATCCCCTCCTCGGCCCTGTTCCTCCTGTACGCGCTGAAGTCGTTCGTCGCGGTCTTGAAGGGCTTTTGTGGCCTTGTCTTCGAGAACGTGCCTCCGCGCGGTCTGAGCATTTTGAGGTGTCCAGCCCTGGGGTCCCAAGTAGCATCTCCCAGACCGACAGCGGCACTGGACGAGCTGCGCCATGGACACGGCACGATGACGAGGCGAGTCGACTTACCAGAGGATGGTGGTGGTCGGGAGTCAAGAGAGGTCCTCACACGAGTTCGGGGGCGCTGACATCGACAGCGCCGCTGGGGTGACGGCGACAAACATATATGATTGCTATAGGCATGGTAGTGGTAGTACACAAGCCGGTACGCGTCTGGTTAGGTACTCAGGCCTGGGAAATTGCTCACGCGACTAATACCGCTGTAGTAGATGAATGGCATTAATATCTACCCTATAATACCAGACGTCTGGTTATTTCCATGAAACTCCGGTGTTATCGCCTATATTCCTACGATTATATCCAATCCCTACATCAGTGTTCCATGACTATCAGTCCGACGATCCTACATAAACATCACCTGGCTATCCGAACCAGATACCCTATTCCTGACCAAACCCCAGACCAAAACTAAAACTGGACAGAGCGGAGCTCTACAAGAATACTTTCTGTATGTATGCCTCTGTGCCTTCGACGTCGTTGACGATCGCACCGACAAATCCATCAGGCCGCACGATCGTGACGACCGTCTTTCCCTCGATGGCCTTGTACCCGGAGTACGCATGACCATCCCTGTCAACAAGCACCAGAGCACCGTTGACACCAGTCGCAGAGGAAGAGCCCTGAGGGAGAACAACGACGGGGCGGATGACGTTCTCCGAGTGCTTCCTGAGCACAGCAAGAATAGGCTCGGCAGCATCGACATCCGACGCAAAAATGAGAACCGAGTGATGCGTCGTCCTGAACAGGTCGAACAGCCTGTGCTCCTTCCCATCCGCATCCACAATCCCAGTCGCATCCGGGGCCCGGTCGCCCGCAACAGGCGTCGCGCCCTCCACTGCGTCCCCGTAAGCCGCGACGGGCTCCAGACCCGTGCTGCGCTCTTCGAGCACGATCGGCGACTGACGATAGTTGACGCCGAGCATGCGCAGACGGTCCTCGCGCTGCCATGCGTTGCCCGTCCCTTCGGCGGCACGGTTGAACAATTCGGTGGTGAGGTTGAGCATCTCAGCGATGACGGGGAGGCGCTCGGCGGTGTAGGAGTCAAGGATGGAGGGCGGGGAGAGGTTCTTGAGGACGAGTGCGAGCTTCCAGGAAAGGTTGATCTGGAAAGGCAAGGAAAGGATAGACATAAGCATATGGATGGGTGGCGGAGTAAATAGGGGCTTACCGCGTCTTGGACGCTTGAGTTGAGACCTTGGCCGCCGGTGGGGCTGTGAACGCTACAGAGCAGTCAGACACACTATCATGTGGCAAAAATAAGAGTAAACTTACTGTGCAGCGTCACCAGCGACAAACACTCTTCCGACTCCGAAATTATCAACCATGCGCATGTTGGGCCTGTAAAGCAATAATGAGAACTGCGAAAGGAAGGTGTGAACAGAGGTATGCTCACTTCCACTGCCCCTTCCAGATGAGATCCTTGAACTCGATCTTTGCAGGTACTGCCTCATGAATAATCGAGAAGATGTCCTCTTTGGTCCCTTCCAGTAACTTGTCGAGGTCAATCTCAGGACCGCTGATCATAATCTGCCATCCGTCATTGTTGACGCCAACTTCGCGCATGGGGCGTATCATAACCCTGCATACCGCGCAGAAAGTTCAGCTCACAGCTTTCGACACAAGTATGTGAGGGGTAACATACAGCTTTGTCTTGACATGGCCAAAGCGATGCCAATGCACGTAGTCAAGCTTGTCGCAGGTGAATCGCACGTCACCAACGAGGGCCCTGAAAACATCCGGGGTGTTCCCTATGAAAGGGAGGCCGAGGCCTTTGCGGGTTGCACCTTGGAACATTTTGTAAGCTGTCTGCGAGCAGCATATATGCGGTGATTGAGCTCACCTCGTGCACCATCGGCACCAATGAGGTACTGGACATGTACCGTTTCCTCTTGTCCGTCCTTCTTCATAAGGTGAGCAGTGACGCCATTCTCGTCTTGTTCGAATGTGGTGAGCTCCGTCCCTAGCTCGGGTTCGCACTCGTACTTCGCGAGATGCCCACGGATGTAGCCCTCGAAGCCGCACTGGCCGATCATGAGCGGGTTCGGCTGGACACAAATACTTAGCGCCCCGCAAATGCAGTGGAAAATAGAGAAATCACGTATGGATAATGAACCGTGTTCGCCTTGATCTCCACGAACGGCTCATCCCTAACGACCTCGAGACTGCCAAACTGGTACGAACGGTTGCCCGCGAGCGGGTAAAGCGCGTCAACGAGGTCAGTGGCCCCGAGCTGATGGAGCAGCTCCATCGTACGCGGCTGGATGCCGGAGCCACGCGAACCGGGGTGGAGGAAGTCGTTCTTCTCGATGAGCCTGACGGGGACGCCGTTCCGGAGTAGAACGAGAGCCGCGATGAGACCTGCAGGGCCTGCTCCAGACTAACGATGTGACTAGTCAGATCAAGAGGTAAAAGGAGAAACAAAGAAGACGCACAATGAGGACAGGAGGCTTGTTGAACTGGGTAGTCATGGTGTTAGTGTGAAATGCTTTGAGTGGGGTAGTAGTGAGATGCGTCTCCAAGTCGTTGTCGAGCTCCTTTATGTACCTTTCTTTCTTCGCTGCGCAGGCACATCTTGGATGAGAGATCACGTTGGGTGAATCCGACCAGATACACCGCGCACCGAGAGACGGTAGTCAATAGCAGAGGATGCGCAGCTTCCCACGGTCTCCCATCAAACTTTCGGCGTTTGTACTGGTACATGGCAATGCCTAGACGCCCATAATTTAGACGCTCGCTGTCACTCCTCGCTTTCTAATCACACCTTCTACTTGTCGTCGTTCATCCGCCTTGAAAGTCTTGCAATTCCATAAGTCAGTTGACATTCCGTCACGCAGCTGTATCCTCGGTACTGTCGTCGCTACTGGGCGGCGCGTAGCCACCGTGAGGTCCTCCTGAGTAAAACACTCTTAATATGCTGCGCAGCTGATATGCTTACGAAGTGACGAGACTAAAAGTGAATGTTGCTTTGTGGAAGGAAGTCTATAATTAGCTACTAGCCTGCGGACAACTAAGCTTCAATAAGCGTTCTTCGAGCGCAGTCGCGCTCAACATGTTTAATTCAAGAGTCTCCCAAACGTGAGCTTGTCATCTTTGACTCAGCCGGGCTCTGGACGAGCCTGCGCAAAACTTGATTGAAGAAGCTACTATCAAGCCTGTATAGAAATATCCTCAGATGCATTCACGCCAGGAAGTCATCCGCGACGAGAGAAATGGTGCCATTGCGATTCATGTGTACCTACCTAGGTATCGACTATACTGTACCTTTTCGACCATAGGCTCGCAGGTGGCGTGGGATTTCTGCTTACCCCATCCGGACTGTCCACCATGTGAGGCTCGGGGACTAGCAGGGGTGGACACCAGGCTCGCGGAGCAGGGGTACCATGTCCACCTTCGACAAGCTCGCGACGTCCAATTCATATGCTTGGCTCAGGGATGCTCACTCAGATCTCACTCACAAAGCTTAAACCGTCGTCATCGTGACATCCGTTGCCCAGCTGCATGGTAAGTCATGGTAATGGTTTTCTTTAGCTTCGCCTTGGCTGATTTTGACTTTACTTTCGGGCTGAAACACAATATACAGTTCAAATCCCGGATCTGGAGGAGCTGGGGCAGGGGAAACATCGTAAGACCACTAATACGAGGTATGATCACTTCTTAGGCCACTAGATTACGATAGAACACTTGTAGCATTTTTTCCGCAAATTACATGATTTATTTCGACTTTTTACTGTCTGTCCACCACCCTAGGCTCGCATGGGTCTTGCGGGGGTGGACAGTCCACCTGTCGCAAGCTCGGCTCGCCGGTCCCAGTGGACAGGGGACGAGCCTACGGTCGAAAAGGTACAGTATAGTCAAACAAAGTTCTAACTACAATGTCATAAAAGATACAATGGTTAAATCCTCAAAATATCCCTCATAGAAGCACCTTCGAGAAATACGACTGCACACCCTCAACGCTAGCCGTGATAGCCCCGATAAACCCATCTGGACGCACAGCTACCGCATATGTCTCGCCCTGCTTGACCTGATAGCCTGAGTATGCGTAATCCTCCCCATCAGAAACGATGAGCGCATCAATCTCGTCGACGGACAACAGAGAAGCGGCCTGGGGAAGCACAACAACTGGCTTGACAGTCCCACCCGCACGCGCAGCGAGCGCATCCAAGACTGGCTTCGCAGAGTCCAGGGAAGGTGCGAAAACCAGGACCGTATGATGCGTCATCTTGAACAGGTCGAACAACCTATACTTCGTCCCCTCTCCGTCAACCAGCGCTGGGGCGTCCGGCGCCCGGTCGCCAGCAACCAGTACCCTGCCCTCGCCCTCGACCGCGTCGCCATACGCAGGGGTCTCCGGCAACCCAGGATTCCGTTCTTCCAGTACGACAGAGCTCGAGCGGTAATTGACACCGTGCATGCGGAGCTTCTCGGGCCGCTCGAATCCGTTGCCCGAACTGGAGAAGTTGCGGTTGCGATAGAACATCTCGGTGGTGAGGTTGAGCATTTCGGAGATGACGGGGACGCGTTCGGCGCTGTAGGTTTCGAGTAGGGAGGGAGGCGAGAGATGTTTGATGACGAGGGAGAGCTTCCAGGCGATGTTAATCTGTGCGAGGGCGTGAGTGAGAAAGCATTAACGGAAGGGAAGAAGCGAAGGGAGCTTACGGAATCTTGGATGCCGGAGTTCAAGCCTTGGCCGCCTGCTGGGCTGTGTACGCTAGAGAAGAGTTAGCATGCATGCTGTTGGAAAGAAATACTGACTTACTGTGCAGCATCACCACATATGAACACTCGTCCGACACTAAACGTGTTAGTCATCCGGACGTTCGGTCTGTTTTACATTTCTGTCAGCATGTACTCTGATAGCCCAAGAAGATATTCACCTCCACTCTCCGACCGAGACTAACTTCCTGAACTTAACCTCTACAGGAACGATGGCTTTGATACAATTGACAAGCTCGGTTTCATCGTTCGCGAGTATTGCCATGTCCTTCGTGGGATCGGCAACCACGACCTGCCATCCATCGTTCTGGTCGTCGACTTCGCGGCTTGGGAGGAGCACAGCCCTGGGAAAGAGAGAAATAACGTGGTTAGCTACAAGGGAAAGTAGGCGTGAACAAAATGACTTACAAAGCGGCCTTGGGATCGCCAAACCGATGTATGTGTTGGCGGTCAACGCCCTCAGCGGTGAGACAGATGTCGCCCAAGACGGTGCGCACATCATCCTGGGTGTTGCCTACGAATGGGAGGTCCAGCTGCCTGCGCACAGTGCCTGTGAATATGATCAGCAAGTGAGAATGAGTGTTGAAGGCAGTAGTGCGATCAAGGGACACACCTTTGGCTCCGTCCGCGCCAATGAGGTACTGTACGCTGATGATCTCCAACGTCTCTTGGTCGCCGATCTTCTTCGCAATATGCGCAACGACGCCATCTTCCTTTTGCTCGAGAGAGCGAAGCTCCGTCCCATACTCGACCTGACATGAAAACTTCGCGATATGGCCACGCAAATACGCCTCAGTCCCACTCTGACCCATCATCTTTGGGTTCATCTACAGTACAACGCGGCAGTCATCAGCATTCGTCACTCTCAAAATAAAGAAGCACTCACGTAAGGAAAGTGTGGTGTCCCTTCCTTCGGCGTGAACATCAAAAAGTCCCGCTCAATCTCGAGCCCACCGGGCTTGTACGTCCGGATAGGCACCATCGGCTCGAGAGCCTCCACGAGGTCCGTCGCGCCGAGCTGGTGAAGCAGGTCTTGCGTACGGGGCATGATACCCGAACCGCGCGAGCTGGGGTGCGGGGAGGGGCTCTTGTCGATGATGCGGATCGGGATGTTGTTCTGGAGGAATGTGAGGGCGGCGACGAGGCCGGAAGGGCCGGAGCCGACCTAGTGGCGGCGTTGGTCAGTTTTGGATGAGGAGAGATTGGGAGCGGGCGAGTCTTACAATCAGAACGGAGGGTTGAGTAGACATAATATTGAAAGTAGATCTGGTGTTGAGCGCGTTGATGAGATTCGAAAGCGGGTTCGAGTAATTGGTAGGCCTTACCGCTCGAAACCTCCCAGCTTTTATACTCCGCTCCATGCATCAGGATGAAGTGACGAGTCACAACGGCATCCAAGGAGGACCTTCATAACGTCTGAAAATCGGATTCGTCTTCAAGCCTTGTCGTGCCGGAGTCTTCGAGGTTGTTTTGCCGGAATGCCGATGACAGTTCGTCAGGGAAATGAACACTTTTTAACTCCGCCATCACTCCGCGGCATTGCAACTCGAGTCATGACGAGTTGCAGGGTCCGGTTCGTGGGAAGAAGCGAGGTGAACCTCCGGCGCCTCTGCAGACGCTGGGCTCAGCTCAGCTCACTGGCACCGTCCGAGAACACTTGATTTTGACGTTGGCGCTTGAGGTCCTTCTTCATTGAAGCTTTATCAGCCACGCCTCAGACACCCAATGGTCGAGGGCGGAACAAATCGAGCGGGACTCCCTACATACCCCGTCTACTTTGGTACGATATCAATTACCTCGTTGCTGACAACAGGACGGCACATGGGCTGGCAGGTCTAGTTTGAGGTCAAGTTTGCTACTCTCCATTTGAATTTTCCCAGGACGCATGAGTAGCTTCATCCCACCTGTCGATTATAGCCTATTATACATCGCAGCTGACCTATTTCCTCCACCATAGAAAGCAAAACCTAGAGATCTCCGCTTTCCCTTCCTATAAAGCGGCCAGTCTCCGAGTGCGCTTCCAACTGCATTCTTCTCTGTCAAGCAGATAGCCTGGAATGATGGTCTCTGTTAGCGTTCTCAAAAACAAGGTTCAGAGAACATCACGCACGGCATAGACACGGTGGTCATTGCGACATTGCGGTAATCCGAGTCGGTGTCTTTCTCGTTCGCAGGCGTCTATCGGACCAGATTCCATCAGCACTAGACGGTGCTGGGGGAGAGAAACTACGTACGAGGTTTACGATCACATCTGATGGCTTTTGAGTTCCATCCGCGGGATACTATATTCACATCGTGGCGCGTCAGCGCCTAGCCTCGCCAGCCTTCACAAGGCAGAACTTAGGCTTGAAGCCCGAAGCATGGGACGCACCTGCACGAACTTCGTTTCGTCCAACGGCGAAATCGGTGTCCATGTCTTGCCCTTGTCCCGACTGTATGTATACAAAAAGATGACCCTCGTCGGTACGTCCATCACCTTGGGCGTCCACACGCTGCCAAGAGGCTTGTCAAGGTCTTTGTCGGTGCATGTCAGAGCGAACACGCCGCCATCGTCGGTGGCAGGCATGTCGAAGGCGGCGTTCTGCTTCACGGTGCCGTCGAGGATGATGGTGTATGCGACGACTTGGACGCGGATGCCCTTGGCGACAGACTACGAAAAGAACAGACCATGATGAGCAACAAGTCCTGGAGACTTTGGGAGATCAGAGGGGAAGCGACAGACGTACGACGGTACCGAAGACGGTCGCTGCGTCGTGGGGACGGACGTCGATGGCGACGTAGTCATTGATGTGGGCGTGGGGGGCGGGCATAGTGAGTGAGGTCTTTGGTAAGTAAGAGGAGGAGGTAAGTCAGCTCCCTTAGCATTCAGAAGCTCAGGTTTAAGTGCCGATACAACCTGGGGCTAAGGCTCGGACCTCGTTCCCTTGTGCTCCAATATCCCATAGGAACGCGACCATGCCAGCTGTTCATTTGTGATTGTTGTTGGCAGACCCTCCCTCACTTCAAGTTGCACCCCGCGTTCCTCAGCTTGCTTCCATTTAGTCTACATCGGCTCGCAGCCGACCATTAGAACGTTCAGCATGACAGCTTGCTCGGATGCTCGCGAGGCACACATCTCGGGATTGAAGTTCATGATCACGTTTGTAAAGCGGTGCGGGAACAATAACCATAGAGCAGTGCACGATGCACCGGCGGTCGACTATGTACACCCATTGGATTTATTGCTAAATGAGAACAACCACCAATGCAGTCATACATTGCTATACATCGAGGGTCCTGATCTTCTACGGCTCATCGAGAACAGCTCCTCGAGGCGTTCATGAGCGAAAGCATATCAACGTAAATGAAAGCGGCAAGGCACTGGCTGGCAGTACACGTTCCCCTTCATCCGGAAAGTGATTTCTGGATATCTTAATTCAGTTGATTTTCTTGCTCGCTCATGATGTCCTAGCTGAGTAGCACAAGCCTCTTTTTATCTTGTGGTGTGTGTGTGAGGTGTCATGCACTCTGTATTATTCAAGAACAGTTTCCATTGAGATATGCACATTCGTACTACACCGCCACTACGCATTTTTACATTCTGAGTCGATGCTTATAAAATCATCGCGATCATACTCTACGATGTCAGCCTGGGCACGACTCTGTCGTCAATACGGGACAGGAGCACTGAACCAAGGAAGTAAGTACTTACGGCATCTGAACCACGCTGATCTCTCCGTTGGAATATTCAGACCCATCATGGTCTTTAGTGACGATCTATTCAAGGAAAGACAACAGGTTGAGCCACCTCGGTATATCTCTTGAGAACGTTGTCAGATTGAAGCAACGTACAATTGTGTTGAGCGTATTCTTATCGCCCACAGGCACCGGATACTCGCTGAAATCGTTCTTGTCCACCGAGTTCGGGAGCCATGTAGTCCCGTTGTCCTTGGAGTGCTGGAACTCAAGGATGACCTGCGTCGGCTCGTTCAGCACGGGGGGAGTCCATGCGTGCACCTTGGCTTTCGTCTTTGGGTCCTCAAGCCAGAGTTGCGAGGGTTTGTGCTGCTCCTCGGGGTAGAACGTGACGGTTTCGATGATCGACCCGTCAGACTTGATCGTGTAGCTGATCACACGCATTTGCCAGTTTGAGGACATGGACTGTAGAGTGAGATGGTGATAAGTGGTCGACACGTATGAGGCTATGGGAGGACACGTACGACAGTCCCGAAGACGGTCGCGAAGTTGTTTGTGCGGACATCGACAGCGACGGTGGGGATTTTGAAGGCGACCATGGTGAACAGAGTGGAGGGTCAGCAAGCAGGGGTTCGTGGTCGAGTATACTCGTAAAGCAAAAAGGAGAGCGGCAACAAAGACCAGATATAGCTCCAACCTCTAAGTAATTGCCGGCGTTCTGAGAACCCCGGAGGAGAGATGGCACCAAATATGCTGGTACCTTCTAGCTTCATGCGAATCCGATTGATGGTAGCTGGATTTTGAAACCTATTCAGTCACCAGATCCGAGTAACGCCCCACTGTCACGTCAATTCGAGAGCGGGGAAGTTCATGGATGTAAAGGCCCGAACAGCCCTTTGTATTGAATTCGCGCCTTGTTGACAGTTGAACGTTGAAAGCAGGAACGGATGGTGTACTTTGAACGTTCTCGCCCGTTGGGCTTTGCTCATCTATTGGCACACAGCAGTGATAGGACGCGGAACGGCCGTACACCCGTGACATAAGGCAAGGTTGGGTGCTGGCAAGGTCGGAGTTGGACAACTGCAGAGACGAAATACAAGAAGGAAACGTTCCGTGACAGGGGCTGTTGGTCCTGGGCAAAAGGTGATTCCAAGGTGATTCCCACGAATGGAACTCTCCCTCCTTCACATCACATCACCTGCGCGGAGTGCAACTCGAACAACGTTCTTGACGCCCCTCCGTGTACAAACAACGTGGTGAGATTGAGCACCGGAGCTACAGCATCGAGATGCAGTGTGCTGCGCTACTCGTTTCCGAGTGGCATCTACTCTTGTGGTGTAGAGATTGTTCCTTAGACGAACAACTCAATGGCGGCTTCCCTTCATATTTGATGTTAAGCGGAGCAACCGTATCTTCACACTTGAAGCTTCAAGATGACCTGTATTTTTACAGTCTGACTTAGCCTAAACTAGTGTGGATGCAGTGACCACTGCCCCATCGTGCGCAAGTGCAAATAGAGCAAGTGTCTGCCCTTGAATTCTCCTTCGAGTACTACTCACAGCTCGAGAGATTGTACTAGTACCGTATTTGTACTCAGTCATGTCTGCAACCATCAGCTTCAGAAAGTCGAACCAGATAACCATCTTCGGCACTGGAGTAAGCTCATACGCGCCCCTTCTCTCTGCCCTCATCCGCTTATGAAAACCATCACTCGCCATACACTGTAGGTGGTCTCGCCAAACCACCAGGTCCAAGTGACGGGCGGGATCCTGGACGGATCCACCAAGAAATCCTTCACTCTCAAAGGCTCAAAAACTGCGTCCCTCATTGCGGACGACAACACACTCGCCGTTAACCACACCTCGTCGGCAGGCGGTGCTATCGCGCTCAAGTTCATGTACTCCGAGGACGGCGGGAAGACGTGGAAGCCCAGCACTTTCGGCACGCATGTTCACGTAAGCTTAGAGCTCGTTGGACCACCTCAATAGTTCCGCGCTGAAGCAGTTCGCCGCCATCGCGACATCGTCACTCAAATTGTCAGTATCGCCCTTTTGACTGGAAAGACATGTCCACCCCGGTTGACCCTTTGTTGGCTTTTCCTTGTCTCGACAGATCCCTGATTCGGGAGACAAGAACCATCACGCGAGCATCACAATTGTGCAGATGCCGTATGTGCTTCTTCTTTACCACTCATCATGTTCCCTGACTTCGGACACAGACTGACGATGTACTAATCACACTATTTCTTCTTCTCTCTCAACTTGTACAACCTGCACTTGAGTGAAGCGGCAGATTGTGGACGATGAGTACAGTTTAAGCAAGATGAAAAGTCTCCAGAACACAGGCTATTCACACTTGTACTACGGAAGTTTTCTCCTCTATGCTGTATATTATGTAAAGGATCCCATTACGATGCCAATGATAATTATGAGTAGGTGTAATGAAAGAGCTGAAGTTAAGCCATCATATTTATGTAATTACGTGTCCCAGTATTCCAGGATCTGCAATGAGGGCTGCCGCATCATACTTATCCGTTTTGTTGGACAAAACGGAATGACCCACAGCCGCGGGCAGCGTCTCCTGGGCGCGACCTCCTCAAGCAACATATAGTTGATGCTAGGTACGGCGACGCAAATCTTGCTAAGGTTCGGCTAGGCGCAGATGATCTCGAGGAAGTGCGCCGCATACGCGACAGGATTTATTGCGAAAATCAAGGAAACAGAGGGTGGGTCGAGGGCATTTTCTCCAGACGTTCGTCAATTTTCTGAGCAGGGAAACAAGCTTTGTTTATGTTCTGGTACGTCTCTTGTACTGGCGAAAAGCTGACTCGCGACCGGACTCTTCGCACAGCCCAGAGCGAATAAGTCTATAGCCCATATGTCATTGATATGTAGATAACGTAGATTGGTTTTATGCGTAAAAATAGACGAGAGGAAAGTGAAAACAAATGTTAAATGTTTTTAACCGGGAGGAAGCAGGCTCGCGTCGACCGGCCCAGTCTCCTCGATCGGCGCATCCGCCTCGTCGCCCGAGCGAGCAATGGGCGTGCGCGGCATCGCCATCAGGCCTATTAATGCACGCGTTAGTCACTTTCCCTCGAATTTTTGGAAAGAAAGGAGGCAAAAAACGCACCAGTTCTGGCAGACTCCAAAATCCCAAATGGCTTGAGCAGGCTGAGGAACGCGACAACGCGGTTCGTCTTCGCAGTCAGCTCCACGATCACGCTGTTCTCCGACACATCCACGATCTTAGCACCGAACTGCCCCGCAAGTACAGAGATGGAGTGCAAGTGCTGGTGTTTCCGCCGCAGCGCCTCGGATGGGGTGAGCGGCGCGGGCGTCTCCCCCGCTGCGTGGTGGTGGGTGGAAGGCCGCACGGGGTCAGCAGAGTGCTCGAACTTCTGCGCGAGCGCCATCTCTTTCTCGAGCTTCACGTCACCGGCCACCGCTGTAGAACCAGAGCTGGAGGAAGAAGAGGCGGAGAAGGCGCCGCGGCGCGGCTCGTGCGAGGGGCCGCCGACGAACTGGTCCTCGAGGTACTCGGGCCCGAGGATGGAGACCTTGACGAGGAGAAGCTCACGCGTGATCACGCGGGTATCAGTATAGTCGAGGACGGCCCAGACAGGGACCTACAAATGCGGGGGAAGGATGCGATTAGTATTGTGGATTGTGGATAGACGAGATAGGGGCTTTCGGACAATCGGACGGTCTTCGGCGTTACGATCCGACAGAGTCAATGAAACCAAGAGAGCAAAACACGAGAAAAAAAGTGGTAGAAGTTCATACGACAGGGCATCGAAGGCAACAGACGCGTAAAAAAAAGCGGGATAAAAGGCAGAAATACATGGAGGTGGAAGACGAGGAATGAAGACTTACCAGGTCCTCTAGCTGGCGACGCGCCTGCTCAACGACGCCATCCTGGCCCGAGATGACAATTGACATACGCGACAGGTCGCGGATCTCCGTCCGACATACGACGAGAGAGTCGATGTTGAAGCCTCTCCCAGCGAGAATGCCAGAGACGCGCGAGAGCACACCAGGCTCGTTTTGCACGAGACAGTTGAGGATGTGCCTAGTCACCACCAGCGTTCACAAGTTTTAATATGGCAGATGAGTGGATGGAGGAGTTACATTCAATAGCGTTTGGTGATAGAGTCCAAGCAAGTCAGCAACTTCGGACCAAAAGCATTGAAGAGGGTGCAAGCGAAGACGCACTTTTTGAAAGGCTGCAGGCTCGGTGGCGGCGTGTTATACAGAATGTTTGTCACCGCTTCCTCGGCCGTCCGTGAGCGCGGGATATCCATAGCCGGGAGCGGGGGAGGTGCCGTGCGCTGAGCGCGCTTGTAGTCGAGGGCGGAGGTGGAGTCGTCGATTGGGCGCGGTGGCCTGGGCGGCTCGTTGATGTTGGGGGGAGCGTTCCGTAGAGCATTGGTGTTGGAGATGAAGCGCGTGGCTAACCCGGGGCGGGCGAGCTTTGCACGGAGGGCGTACATTCGAGCAGACCGGGGTGGACGAGGATTTGACAGAGAGAAACGCGAGTGACTCGGTCGGGCGCGTGAATATTCGCTTGCCTTTCTGGGAGGCGCTCGCGTGGCTTGCAAGCGCCTAAACAACGCTCACGTTGACAACCCGACATCGTAACCGGCACCTTCCTTTCAGGCCCCTCATGCAATTGCCCTCATGCTTCAACTAGTTCACAGTGTAGTCAATGTAGCATCTACGTCTCTCTAAGAACCACAAGACACGGCGACCTCTCACCGTCTTCCACTGGTGACAGTCGAGTCATCTGATGGCATCACCCTTTCCTTCGTCCAGCCCACCGAGAGCGCATGATTTAGCGGTACCGTCCCCCCTTACAAATAATGCTGACGAAAGTAACTCGCTGGTGACTCGATCCGCACTTGATTGGCCAGTGTTCCTGCTGAAGTTGACAAGTTGGCATGCTCGCATCCTGAACGTTGAGCTGTATATAGAGCCGCCGTTGAACGTTGACACGCGGAAGGACGCAACAACGCTATTCGTCGGACAGGGCCTCACAGCGAACATGTCTTCATCCACGCTTCCCGTCCTCATCGTGAGCTCCACTATCTATACTTTCTTATCCTAAACATCGCCGTGCTGACGTCCAAAGTCTGGTGCAGGTCCCACAGGCCTATTCGCCGCTCTCATCCTCCTCCGGAACGGTATCTCCGTACGCGTCGTCGATAAGCTCCCCCGTCAGCATCCTGGCTCGCGTGGACCTGGCCTACAACCTCGTACATACGAGCTCTTCCACCAAGCCGGGCTGCATGAGATCCACCGAGAAAGCCGTTTTCTCGCCCCAATGCGGATGTACAAACCCGGGACGTTGGAGACGGAGCGTGATATTGTCATGGTGCAACCGCGCACTTCTACGCCGCATTTCCCTTACGTAAGTAACCGTTTGTCCTTTTATTGCACTAGGTCTGATGATGATGATGATGATGTGTGTATTCGTCAGGCCGACGCACTTTTGCTGGGTCAGCACCGCAGCGAACGTATTATGATGGAGCACATCGCGGAATACGGCGTGCACGTTGAGTACAACACCGGACTCGGTTCCTTCGAACAGGACAAGGATGGCGTCACTGTTCACCTCGCGAAGAAAGATGGCGATCAAGAGGTCTCAGAAACCATTCGCGCGCAGTATCTCATCGGAGCCGACGGTGCGCGGAGTGTTGTACGCAAACAGCTAGGATGCACTTTTCTGGGCGACACGCGTTCAGATGTGCGGATGATCACGGGAGACATACGGCTTGCCGGCGAGGGCCTAGACAGGGAGTACTGGCACAGTTTTGGAGATGCCTCTGTGAGCAGGTGAGGTTACATCCGCATTCTTTATCCGTTCGTGCGTAAATCCTCAACCTCGATGGTCCCACTGTAGAGTGCTCCTCCGCCCGGAACATACAATCGGTGATAACGAAGACGGGTACCAGCTCATAATACGTGGGGAAGGCGTCGACTTCGCTAAGGTCATTGCTGGCGGACAACAGGCGGTGTACGATCTTATCCAGGAGCATGTTCCAACGAAGGTGGAGTTCAGGGAGCTCATCTGGTTCGGCGAGTTCATGCCCAACATCCGGATGGCGGACAAGTTTGGCGAGGGGAGGGTGTTCATCGCTGGGGATGCTGCGCAGTAAGTCTTCATGCCATCGTCTGAAGAACTCGTTTTGATGATCTGCATAGTTGCCATAGCCCAACCGGCGGTCAAGGCCTCAACTCAAGCGTCCAAGACGCGGTGCGTCCTCCCGTTTTCTGAATCATCCTTCCGTACGCTAAGCCCCCGGGCACACAGTTCAACCTTGCCTGGAAACTCGCCCTCGTCTTCAAACGCCTCTCCCCTCCGACCCTCCTCTATACCTATAACACCGAACGAATCCCCATCATAGCCGAGATGCTCAACATCACCACCGCCATCCTCAACCTCTCCGCGGTCAACAACGACCGGGGGTTTCAACGCCCAGACAGCCTGCGCATGCTCGGCGTCAACTACCGCTCCTCTTCCATCGTGTACGACGAGCTCTCGCCGCCCGAGAGTCGCGCGCCTGTACCCGCATACGGGGACGCGATCGAGGGTGATGCACCGCTGATTGCCGGTGATCGGGCGCCAGACGCACCCGGGATGCGCGATGTGCATGACCAAGGGACGGAGTGGCGGATGTTTGATATCTTCAAGCCGACCAGGCACACGGTGCTTGTGTTTGCGCCGTGGGTTGAAGAGGCCCGGCCGGTGCTTGCTGCTCTCGCGGAGAAGGAGCCGTGGAAGGATGCTGTGCGTCCTGTCGTCGTTATTCCCGCCTCGGCGACCGTGTCTGCGAAGCTCGATGGCGTACTCATGCTCCGCGATGCTGAGGGGTATGCGTACTCCGGTTTCCGCGTGGTGGATGGAGAGACGCGGGTCGTGGTTGTGCGTCCGGATGGCTATGTTGGTGCAGTTGTCAGGGGCGTTGAAGGAATGGAGAGGTATTTCAAGGATATCTTCCTTTGAGACGATCATCGCATGCACTTTTGACTCGTATAACATCCATCATCTACCACTACTCAGCTGCCTTTTCATCCTATCTCAGTCGCATCGATATCACACATCAGGTCTAACTTATTGCGCATAGTATGTAGTCACGTATACCTCTGTACTCATGTTATTGTAGACACCATGAACCATGATCTCCACTCAACGTCATAACCCGTTTATTTCGCACAAACAATGTCATCGCATCCTCAAACCTACTCTCGACCCTTCTATAGGTATTCAAACGCTATGGGGGGTGCCACCCGCAAAATTGTTCGGATACGTCAGAAAGGCACAGTGCATGAGAGATGTGCATGAGGTGTTCAGTGCTCCCGCGGCCGTCTTCCGACAATCGTGGACCTCACCCAAAGGTTAAAAAAAGTTTGCTATATAAGGGATCTTCGTATTCCCTGCTTTAGTTGTGGCGGAGCGCCGTCTGTTGATGATCGATGATTATCGCCTGCATGACAGCACCAAAAATACGGATGTTCTTCTGGAAGGGACTCGTTTGTTACGTTGTTCATAACACTAAAGTTGGAGAGCAGCGGCCACTTAGTCAAGATACTTCACCCGTGCTCTCAAACATTAAGTGTGATGTTTTGAGTAGCATAACTCGAAATTCTGTTGCTGTCGCTTTTCAGATCTTGTCAAACCACATACGCAGATAAGCAAAAGCTCGATCACTGTTCGATCACTGTAAGTCAAAACCGGATAATTAGTGCCGAGCGGGATCGTCGCTGCAACAAAATCGATCCGGGAAACGCCGTCCTTGCTCAAATGTCTTTCAACTCTCTCAAGTACTCCGCGCGTACGTTATCCTCTGGCCAGGAAAGGCGGCTCAGTTTCCCGTAACCTTGAATTTTCGTCGGTTCCAGTCTAACTCTGCCTTGGACAGCGGCGAAATGTTCAGCCTCACGTCAGTGTAGTCTCCAAAGTTGATGTAAGCGGATGGCGCCACTGGTCTAGATGCAAGGCATGGTCTGGAATCTCGCGCGGTAGTATGTCCCACTGCTGTTTGTGTCATTATAAGCTTGCTAACTGTCAAGATTTTATGTATTCCCTTCGCGGGAACGGTAATCCCCGGACTACCTTCGCGTCCTTGGGTGCGGATGTTACGAAGTACTCGACGAATAAGTATAGAGAGCTTACGTACGGATGTTGGTGCTGCCTGCTTGAATCGCGCTGGATGATGCATATAAGTATCGCGCCAAGTTGTCGGCGTTGGTGCCAAACGAGCGCCAGAATGAAACCCAATGGACCATCTCTCGACACTCTTGCGATCGTGTCACTAGTGCTGGAGGGGATAATTTACGGTATGTCATTATCTCTCAACTCGATGTCATTTCGCACGCAGCTCACGTTACTCCGCACTCTAGGAGCTTCGCTCATTTTGTTCACCGTAATCATCAGGGTGCTGCTACGGAGAGATGGTCCGAAACGCGCCTTCGTCTGCAAGCTGACTACTGCGATTGCCCTATTCGTCCTAAGCACCATTGTAAGTATCAGCTACATTTGTGTCAAATGTGGACCGCTGATTATCTATCATATACTTCTAGCACATGGCGATAAACGTGGTGCGCGTCGTGGAGGGGTTCGTCTTGTACCAAGGTGCATATCCTGGGGGACCCACTGCGTTCTTCGCGGACGTCATGCAGTGGAGTTTTATCTTCAAGACCCTACTTTACCTTTTGCAAACACTAATTGGAGACGGTGTTGTGGTGCGTAACCGGCTCTCTCTAGGATCAGCTCCTGGTTCTGAGCATCTTCGGCTTGCAGATTTTCAGATGTTTTGTCGCATGGCAGTCCTGGAAAGTAGTCGCTTTTCTGATCGCGCTCTGGTTCGCGGTGGCTGGTGCGTTCCGACGTTATATCAGATGCGTCTATCAGACCAAGCTGACACATATAAGCGTCAGGCGGAGTTAGCGTCTATCACACCATCTGTGCTGATGGAGACAACTACAACCAAGTCGCCCAGTCCCCGCGAGGCAACAGTGTGTGGGCACTTACCTACCTTGTTTCGACCCTCGTAGCAAACTCGGCTGGCACATGTAAGTATCCTTTCTTCTAGGACATGATTATGCGCTCACAATGGACCCCGTTTAGTTTTACTGATCTATCGCCTCTGGAGCATCGGACGCGAGGTCACCCTCTCAGCACACCAAGCTGCCCTCCGACATGGTGACGCGACCCCCGTGTATACCCGCAGCTTAGTGACGGCGCCGCTAGTGCGTATCTTCGCAGACGCCGGGCTGCTTTATTCGGTCACATTGGTCGGGGTGCTCTTGACCTACACGATGCAGAACAGGGGAGTTTACGTTCTGCTTGACATGGTGCGTTGCGTCAGTATAAATGGCCGAGAGTTTGATGGAAGAACTGAGAACGCCTCTAGATCGTTCCGATCATTTCAATCACGTTCTACATGGTCATTCTACGGGTCGATCTGCACAGCACATGCGACTGTCCAGGTGAAATGACCCAGTCAGGCACTGAGATGCCGACACTCGAGCCTTCGCGGGATCCTAGGAGCTGTGATGAGTCTAGTATAGGACACGTTTCGTTCGATCAGCCGCCAGAGCCAATGAAGAGCTTACAGCGAGTGCAGACCATAGACAACACCTTAATAGTATGATGGTGATGAATAAATGGTGTTTCCCAGTGAAAGGTGGGTTCTGATGAAGGATAACAAGAGCGTACCGGAGTAATCTCTTTGACTGAGTCTCAGCCCTATCAGATTCCAAGGCCATACGCAGCTATAGGTTCGAAAACTACCGAGGTCTGAGAAAAGCGGCGGCTAGCGGCGGAGTGGCGGCGGTCGTCGTTCTGAGACACCGAGCGACAGTGTCTAGCGAGGAGCGTCCTGACGTTCGCTCCCACTCTGAATACATTAGCCTACGACCCGATCTATGCAGCTACAAGCTCAAACGCTTAGGTGGTCTACCCCTCCAGGATCCACGTATGAGTACAAGTTTCCGGCATTATCAGCCTCTCATGTGGTTCCTGCTGCCAGCGAGTATGTCATTACCAGTCTCAAAAGTGTGTGACCTTACTTTGCCTCATCCAAGGACCAATACACTCATGTCCATGGCTTGACACTACGCACAACAAGTGCCTTTGTATATGCAGACGCAGACAAAGTGGAAAAAAAACTGCCGCTGGGACAAACGCACGAATGGGGGAGTGGCGGGATTCGGACCAAATTATTTAACCTTTTGAATAACATAAAGCCGGGCGGACCGCCCAGCCACCAAAGTCAACAAACGCCGCCCTCGTCAATTGTCCCTTGGGTCTCGGCGTCATCGTTCCCGCGCGGATGCTATCCCGTGATCAGACGGAAAATATTTGGTGGCTTTGTCGCTGCGTTCTTGGTTTACTCGGGTCAAGTCGGACCCTGCCTTGCATGACTGCATAATATTCAGTCTCGCATCAGCGCAGTACTGTTGTTGTGAAGGTTTGTTGTCATTGACCTTGAATATATGTCTCGTACCTTACGTGCTTGCGGTACTTGAGTCATTGAAGCTCCACGCATACCGGCATCGTATTTTAGTTCGTCTTCCTCGCGGGAATTCCTTGGGCCATCTTCGTAACGCTCCGGGCGGATACTGCGGGACGCTGGCCGAATAAGTATATATACACCGAAATCGATAGAGAGCGCGAGGGTCTTTTGAATGAGCGGAATTCAGCTAGTGCGAGTAGCGTGTGTAAAGCGTGATGCCGCTCGCATAGCGCGAGGTGATGCATATATATTGAGGGAAGCCCGACAACCGCGACTGCACGTACTGTGTGCCATGGGCCCCAATGGGATACCTCTCGACACCGCCGCGATCGTCTCGACCACGTTGGAGGGTGTCCTCTACGGTGCGTTTTCCCCTTCCCTTTGTCGTTGGCGTTTCATGGCGATGGAGGCTGATGCTGGCTTTTTTGAAGGCGTTTCGCTTTTTTTGTTCGCGGTAACCCTTTGGGTGCTCCTCTGGCGAGACAATACAGTGCGAGGACTTGTAGTCAAGGTCTCCGTCGCAATCGCTCTTTTCCTCCTCAGTACAGCTGTACGTACATTATAACCTTAGTATTCATCCGCCGGTGGGTACTGACCGTCAGATGCAACCATTTAGCACATGACACTCAGCGTGGTGCGCGTGATAGAAGGCCTCGTGATATACCGCGATACGTATCCCGGCGGGCCGGCTGCGTTCTTCGCAGACGTCTCGCAGTGGACTTTCGCGTTCAAAAGTCTGCTGTGGACCTTGCAAACACTCATTGGAGATGGTGTTGTGGTGTGTCTCCAGCCGTTCTCCCTAGCACTGATGTCTGACGTTGACGGAACCCGTGATCGCATGCGGATAGATCTTCAGGTGCTATGTTGCCTGGGATTCGTGGAAGGCGGTTGCCTTGCCAATCGTGATGTGGTTCGGCTTAGCAGGTACGATAGAAATCTCTATCGGCACTGAGCCACACCTAGCTAACGAGCTAAAGTGGTGGGCGGGATGGGCACCTACATTACTTCCTATGCCGATGAGAACAAACACAACATCTTTGCGCAGGAAAACGGTGTGTTGGCAACAACGTTTCTAGTTTTGAGCCTCATGACAAACCTGTCCAGCACATGTCAGTATTCTTTGCTTATCACAATGAACCAGACTTGGGCTCATAGACATATTCGTGCAGCGTTACTCATCTATCGCCTGTGGAGTATAGCACGCGAAGTTGCACGTTCGACTCGTCAACACGAGGCTCTTGAGCACGCTAGCACATCTCATCTGTACACCTACAACTCCGTGATGGCACCACTCGTGCGGATCTTCGCAGACTCCGGACTGCTATACTCTGCCACGCTAATAAGTCAGCTGGTTACCTTCGTGGCAAATAATAGGGGAAACTATATTATTCTGGACATGGTGCGTCCGATCTGAGAACATTTGGAGATGCAGAACGGGAAGAGCTCATACGCACCACCAGATAATGCCCATAATCTCAATAACGTTCTTCATGGTCATTATACGCGTTGAGATGTGTTCGAGAGACATACGACTGGCTTTTATGAGTGCGTCGGGCACGGAGATGCCTACGTTCGTGCGTCCTCGGGATGGTAGAAGCTACGAGGAGTATATGGTGGAACACGTTTCATTGGATCAGCCGCCGTATCCGATGAAGAGTGCACAGCGAGTGCGGACCATAGATAGCGTTGTAAGAATATGAATACTGCGCATATAAACAATCTCCTACTAATGGAAATCAACACCTTGACGACGCAAGCCTAGAGCTAAGAAAATATACCAAAATTATGCAGCCTTTGTTGAGGGCATCTGATATCCATATGCCTATGGGTCAATGTTGTCTGAGTGCAAGTCCGGCGTCGAACGTCGAACGTTGAACGTTGAACGGTGAGGCCAAAAGTAAGCTCAGCAGCGCTGGACGCTTGTCTCGGAGATTGATCTCGCTACTTCCCACCGAGTACCGTGCCGGATTCTATAAACCCTTCCCGTTCGTCACGGCGACCTTCGGGACGCCTTTTCAGGAAAGCCCCTGTTGCACTTTTTGACTTTTGACCACCAACTCGATCGACCTCACGTCTTGCGAATTCCGAGAAAGATGCTCGGGACGGGTGCCGTTGAGACTCGTCACTTCAACTTGATGCATTTCGGTGGACAACGAGATGCGCTTGGCCATGCATTAGGAGTATAAAAGCTGGGAGGTCTCGAGCGGTAAGACCTACCATCTCCTTGAACTCGCTTTCGAAACTCGAGCTCAATACACTCAACACCAGATCTACTTCCAATATGTCTACTCAACCCTCCGTTCTCGTTGTAAGACTCACCTGCTCTCAATTTCTTCTCATCCCAAACTGACCAATGCTGCCACTAGGTCGGCTCCGGCCCTTCCGGCCTCGTCGCCGCCCTCACACTCCTGCAGAACAACATCCCGATCCGCATCATCGACAAGAACCCCTCCCCGCACCCCGGATCACGTGGCTCGGGCGTCATGCCACGTACGCAGGACCTGCTGCACCAGCTCGGCGCGACGGTCCTGGTGCAGGCTCTCGAGCCGATGGTGAGTATCCGGACGTACAAGCCCGGTGGCGGGCTTGAGGTTGAGCGGGACTATTCTATGTTCGTATCTAAGGAAGGGACGCCGCATTTTCCTTACGTGAGTACTTATCTACTTGTATCTTGCTAAGGGTGGTAGATGCTGATGGTTCTTGCACCATGGTCGGACTGTAGATGAACCCGAAGATGATAGGTCAGAGCGGGATCGAGGCGTACTTGCGTAGTCATCTTGCGAAATATTCGTGTCATGTAGAATTTGGGACGGAGCTTCGCTCGCTCGAGCAAAATGAAGATGGCGTCGTCGCGCATATCGCGAAGAACGGCGATCAAGAGACGCTGGAGACGATCAACTTGCAGTACCTCATTGGCGCGGACGGCGCCAAAGGTGTGCTCCTTTCTCGCACTACTGACTTCAACATTCATTCTTACTTGTTTACAGGCGTTTTGCGCAAGCAGCTGGGCCTTCCACTCGTGGGCAACACCCAGGAAGACCTGCGTACCGTCTTGGGCGACGTCTGCCTCACCGCTGAGGGCGTTGACCGCCAACACATGCATCGATTTGGCGATCCCAAGGGAGCTATGTAAGTTCTCCTTTTGAAAACGCCCTCTCCTCCTTGTAGGTACTTACTTGACTTCACTCTTTGCTAGGGCTGTGCTCCGCCCATGCCGCGAAGTCGGCCACCAGAACGGTGGTTGGCAGGTTTTGGTCGCTGACCCCACGAAAGACATGGCTATGCTCGCAAGCGATGAAAACGAACTAGTCAACCACATCAAAGCCGTCTTCCCTACGGAGGTCAGTTTCAGGAAGTTGATTACAGTTGGCGAGTGGAGGTATATATCTTATTGGTCTATGGGGACGCATCTGTGTGCTGATGGAGCTACACTTCAGACCAAACATCCGAATGACCAATACTTTTGCTGTGGGACGGGTGTTCATCTGCGGTGATGCTGCACAGTGAGTTAACACTACATCTCCAGCGACGCTCATACTAACCCTTCCCCAGCGTGCATAGTCCAGCAGGCGGCCAAGGCCTCAATTCCGGCGTCCAAGACGCTGTAAGCTTCCTCTCATTTCCTCTCCTCTCCGCGGCCTATCTCAATTATATCCTCGCATAGATCAACATTGCCTGGAAACTTGCCCTCGTCATCAAGTGTCTCTCGCCTCCCTCCCTCCTTGACACCTACAGCACCGAACGAGTCCCCATCATCGCCGAAATGCTCAACCTCACTACCGAGATCTTCCATCGCAATGTCCTTAGCTCAAACAACCAGTACGAGCGGCCCGAGAAGCTCCGCATGCACGGTGTTAACTACCGTTCGAGCTCCATCGTTCTGGAGGAAAGGAACTCTGGATTACCGCAGGCTCCTGCGTATGGCGATATGGTCGAGGGCGATGACAAGGTGCTGGTTGCTGGCGATCGGGCGCCGGACGCTCCGGCACTGGTCGATGGGAAAGGAAAGAAGCACAGGTTCTTCGACCTGTTCAAGATGACGCACCATACGGCTCTGATATTCGCGCCTTCCGTGGACTCTGCGAAGCCGTTCTCGGATGCGCTTGCTACGTGTGTGGGTGGGACTGTCAAGCCAGTTGTTGTGCTTCCTCAGGCCGCTTCTATTTCGTCCATCGACGAGTTTAACGCGCTCATCGTTTCTGATGGGGAGGGTTACGCGTACTTAGGCTATCAGGTTAAGAGGACGAGACCTACGCGGTAGTTGTGCGTCCAGATGGGTTCATCGGGGCTATCACGGCTAGTGTTGAGGGTGTGCAGTCATATCTCTCGAAGGTGCTTCTGTGAGGGCTTTTTTGGGGTTCAGCAGGATCTTCTATGATGCAGGATAGCGATAAATATACTGGGCTCTATAGAGAATCGTTTAGGTAGATACACGTGAACCGCATGAACACCGTCCCTCTCCTTCACCGCAGGTGACCTTCTTGCGCGTCTAATATACGGGCGTCTAGGCGCGTCAACACAGTCACAAACCTATCCAAACGCGGTTGGAACGCCCCTGTGGGAAGCTGTGCGTCCTTGTCACCGTTATCAACTCCCATTCTCCTACGCACGATGCATCTGCTTGGACACAGATGAGAAAATACCAAAAAAAAGTCTAGGTTTGACTCTTCTCTCCGATAATAATCAAAGGTCTGATGGCGTTCCGTTTGGTAGACGCTACAGTCAGAACCGTGCTGTAGCTCGCACTCTCATATCAGAATAAGAGATGGCCGTTAGGGAGGGAATGGGGATAGAGGAAGAAGCGGAGGCCGTGCTTAGACCGCTTCCAAAGAAGGTGATCTGGCTGTCTCTCTGAAGCTGATATTGGCAAAAATGGCTGGATTCCACCCGATGTAGACGTGTAAGTCGTGGTAGGGTCTCTGTTCTCAGTAAATTTACTTGAAAGAGGTCTGAGTGAAGATGCTTATTCTCTTTTGGATTCGCACATTTTTGTAGCCTTTGGCAGTTGGCTCTTTCTAGAATATAACGATTCGGGTCGCCCAATCACAGATCATCAGAGACGGAGGCATGGCTGAATGTAATGTTCCACAAAGGAGCGTTTGGGACAATAATGGAAGCGGGTAGCGCAGCACATTACATCACAAGGGCATCTTCTCAAGCTTCCAGGGATCCCCACGTTGCTTGAACGGGCAATGGCGTCAAGAACGTTGTCTGTTCGGGGTTGCATATAGCGGAGTTGAAGTGATATGAAAGAGGGGAAGCTGCACTCGTGTCTTCGGGAATGGAATACTGAAGGCTGAATTAGTTTCATGATCAGGCTCGCATCTATCAGATTCGTACGAAGATAGAAGGTACCAGCAAGCTTGGTGCATTCAATCCTCCGGGACTTCACAAGTTGAGCGCCGCCAATTGGTCACAGGTTGAAGGTATATCTAGCCTTTGTTGCCGCTCCATCTTAAGCTCAACGACTTTACTAGTTCTCGAACCATTGCTTGCTCGCCCTTGTCTTTCCACCATGGTCGCTTTCCTCATCCCCACCGTTGCTGTCGATACCCGCCCAATTAACGACGTGACCGTCGGCGGGTCTGTTGTCTGTGTCTTCTCATACCTCATTCATTTTGTCGTCGCTCACTCGTACCGTTTCAACGACCTAGTCTATGTCCTCACAATGGAAAATGCGCGTGATTGGCTACACAATCAGGGCAGACGGCTCCATCATCGAAACCATCATCTTCTTTCCCGAGGAGCAGTACAAGGACTCAAAACTCTGGCTTAACGATCCCAAGACGGGGGAAAAGGTGTACGAGTGGAAACCCCCCGTGAAGGCCGAGCCCACTCAGGTTATCCTCGAGTTTCAGCACTCCAAGGACAACGGGACTACGTGGCTCCCGAACAATGTGGACGAAAACGATTTCAAACAGAACACAACCGCCGATGATACAATTGATACGCTTGTACGTTGATTTGATATGATTCCGTTCTTAAGAACCAGACTGAACCGGCTCGACCTGTTTCATTTTCTTGAACAGATCGTTACTAAACACAGTGAAGGGTCTGATTATTCCAACGGCCAAATCAACGTTGGTCAGAAGCAGTGAGCGTTACCTTCCTAAACTCGATCCTTATCTATCGTATTGACGAAAAAAAAGGATTTACGTTTAGGTTGACATCGTAGACTATGATGATGATAGTTGTATGAATACCTGTTCAGAATGTAAGAATACATGATTGTGGCGTAGTACTGCAAACGAGCATTTCATAAAGTGACTCTGCTTTTGAAAAACATGTCGCATAAAAAGGGCAATTGGATAGCATTGTGTTATCTATACGGGCTGGAAGACACCCTAAAAAGCAAGTACATGGGTAAATTTCGAGACTCTCCCTGACAATGTATTTTTATTCAAAATTATAAGATCATGTACCGCCTTCGCTATCATTCCGCGCAGTAACACCTTGAAGAGCTGCACACCTTTGGGATCGTCGATGGGCAACAATAATCTGGAATGCTGGCTGTTCTTAATGAAGCAGGAAGGAAGGCAAGTATGGGTCAGTCGCAACCTACCCTTGACGTATTGTAGACGAATTACGAAAGCCTCTCACCGAGTACTGAGCGCTGTAGGCTTGGCCGCGGACATATCTCGCGTGTATGCGGCGTTCCTGGTGGGAATACCAGCATGCTGTAGTGCTGAACTCAATCTCGTCGGGTTGACTGGATGAATGATGAGAATGGATCGTCCGCAGCGAGCTGATGCAGATCGAATGGAAGCAATGTGAGAAATGCGAGCAGCACGTAAGAACCCATCAACAGAAGTTTCAACGAGCAGCTGACTGACGAGCGCGGATCTACCAACTTCAGTCGCATTGAACAGACGATACGGCCGCCTTTTTATGGTGTTTAGGTACGCAAGGAAATGAAGCCTTGTCTGTACTTAAACCTGCATACCTAGGTATTCAGATATTACCTCCTCCGAGTACTTACCAGACCTCACTTGCTATGTCCTCCACCCGCGGCCATGTCTACGACTATATCGCCATTGATGTCCGTCCTAACGATGCAGCGACCGTCTTTGGCACCGTCGTACGTTTGCCTCCTTCCCTCATCCCCAGTAGTTGCTGAATACAGCCCGTTCGCCTGAAAGTCCGTCGCCAAGGACATCCGCGTCCGAATTGTTGCCTATACCATCATTCTCGACGGCACCGTCAAGCAGAACGCCAGATTCGACATGCCCGCTACCGACGCCGGCGGCGTGTATGTCCTGGCCGCCACAGACACAGATGTAAACAAGCCTCTTGGCAACGTGTGGGCGCCAACGGTGATGGACGTGCATACGAGGGTTGTTTTCTTGTATACGTACAGTCGGGACAAGGGCCAGACGTGGATACCCATTTCGCCGTTGGATGTCGCCAAGTTTGTGCAGGTTTGTCCCACGTTTTATGCCTAACTCTCGACGTTCGCTTCGTCAGGGCTGGTGAGGCTACTACGTGCTGACACATTTCTGCGAACGTAGTACCCGAAGGAGGGGACCGAGAAGCCTTCAGATGTAATCGTGAACCTCGTACGTAGCTTTGTCATTCAGCACTGTCAAGAGCGTAATGCTGATAAAATCTGTTTCCGTTAGACTCCAGCACAAGAGCAGGACACCTCATCGGATTACCGCAATGTTTCGATGACCACCGTGTCTATGCCGTGCGTTGCGTTGCGCTGGCCTCGCAATTGACGATACTGACAAATCATTGTTTCAGCGTCGGCACTCTGTAGAGAGACACACAGAAGATAATGCGGAGCGCTCGTGGGCTTTCTTTTTGTGTGGGCGGAAATTATGAGCCACAATGTACTGTAAAGTGTAACTCGAAAGCTAGGGAAGCCGCTGTAAATGATACCAAGCAGATGCGATTATCCAACATCACCGTGTTAAAATGGGATCAGTTGAGCGCGAGGGTCCAAAGCAGTTAATATTACTACTTATGAGGCTCAATCGAGCTGCACCCGAGCTAGACGCCCATCGACTGCGCCATATAGTTTCGCCCAAGCACAGAAACCACCTAGGTTACATTCAGCGGAAGAACAATAGTCAATCATGATGCATAATGCATGATGGACACATATAGGTATCAAGCTTGAAGCTTGAAGTAGTGCACTCCCCCAACGCCCCAGGCACATAAGCAGAAACGGATGCATGTATACGGAGAGCGCCACACGCCAAGGTTTACAAAGATTATACGTGTACGGTACGAGCGAGCGAGCGAGGGCTCCTCCAAAAATAAAGTAAGATGCAGAAAACAAAGTGAGCCAACGTCAAGAACTGAACAAGTGCGAAAAGTGCGAAGAGAAATACAATGGATGCTAGAGTATGCGTTTGGTCAATAATAATAAAAGGAGAGGGAAAAAACTATGGATGGGACTGTGCATGCAAGTTGCGAGAAGTGCGAATTGCGGGATTTGATAAATATACTGACGCGAAGGCGGGACGTATCCGTCCGTCGTGTGTTTGTTGGTGGCGTTGCGTTATGCTAGTGTGCGATGTTGTGAACGAGAAGCAAACAGCAAAGAAGGAAAATAAAAGGATGGAAGAGAAAGAGAGTGTGATATGGTGAGCTGGCTAATTCCGAGCCTGGGCCTGGTTCTGCGCCTGATTGCGCAGCGCATTCGTGATCTTCTCGACCCACATCGAACACGCCGAGCTCGTCTCGGTCGCGTATGACAGCGACTTCGCAGACTATGTCATGTAGCCTAGTTAGCAGTCGGAAAGCGGACAGAGAAATAAGAGGTCTCACAGTCAAAACCACGAATTCTCGATCGCTTTTCAGCGCTACGCTCTCCACCACGTCCCGTATAACCCTCTCGCTCGCCTTCTCCCTCTCCCTCTCTCGCTCTTTCTCCTTGCGCGCCTCCTTCTCTCGTTCCTTCTCGCGCGTCTTCTCTTCGCGCTCTATCGACTTATCCTTCTCCTTTTCTTTCGACCCCGCGCCCGCACCTCCCGCACCCGCCGCGTCTTTCTCCCTCGTCCTCTCCTCCTTCCCCCGCTCCCGCTCCTTCTCCCTCATCTCCCGCTCAGCCGACCTAGCCCTCTCCAAATCCTTGAACACAGCATCACTCAGCGCGAGCTCCGCCTTCACCGACACCCCGCCCTCCGAGCTGCGCCCCGAGGACGCCGACGGCACGCGGTACTTGAGCGCAAGAAGCCGCTTATTCGTGAGCAGCAGCTGGCGCGGCTTCGTGCGCTGCATCGGCGGGACACCCTTCAACGACGGCAGACGCAGCTTCGAGCCGCGCCGCTTCGGCGAGCGCGCCTCGACGCGCGTGCTAAAAAGGATCACTTCGCCCGGTGTCAGGATCGGGGACCTTGTATCCACAAATAAGTCCACAAATAAATCAATAAAACCCCGAGATCAGTATGCAGCAGCGGGGAAAGAAGGGAGAAAACACGCACAAATCGCAATCAGCAGGCGGCCCGTTCCCCTGCACCGGCGTCTCGCTCCTATCTCTCCCTCTGAGCCCGCTCAGCCGCGAGCCCGAGCCCGAGCCCAAGCTCAGCTCCGCCAGCCTCTCCACCGGACTTCCCTCCGGATCCGCGTCCGACGAGCTCTCCGACGCCGCTCCCGGTGCGGTAATCGTCGCCGTGGCACTAGTCGTGGCTGTACCCGCACGCACAGGACGCGGAATCGCTATGGGGGCAGTAGCCGCACCCTCGTTCGCGCCCACAGCAACACCTCTGACCGTTCCGATATCGACGCTGTTCCGCTTGCTCGCGTTCGCGCTCGACATCGTCACCGCGTCTTCCTCGATCGCATATGTTGCAGGCGGAACGACCAAGCCCAGCGCATAGTCCGGCGCCTCGCCCATCGGCCCGACCTCCTGCATCGTGTCGTACGGGCTGGGGTCAAGCGCAGAGTTGGAGGAAAGAGCGTAGTCGTGCACGATGATCGCCCCCTCGACGCGCGGCTGCGCAGGATCGAGCGCGCTGCGCTGCATATAGCGCATAAACTCAGGATTAGGCTCCGCGTCCTGTGCCCACCCCATCTCGTCCTCGCCCGCCCTCCCTCCCTTCCCCTCCCCCACCTCCCTCCGCGCCGTCGGACTCCCGCTCCCATCCCTCGAACACCCCCCCATCGTCCCCGAGGGCGTGATCACCCCCTCTGGTCCTTCAACATCCCGCACCTGCATCTGGACGCCCTCGCCCTCCTTCACCACCACCTCGCTCCCGCTCCCCGTCCCGCCGTCCTCCTCATCTGTCATCTGATCGTCCCACCCCGCACTCGCATCCGCCCACTCCTGATCCTCGCTCCCGCTATTCCGCTGCTCCTTCCGCACCAGCCCCGGCTCGAGCGGCGGCACGTCCCCGCTCCACAGCTCGTCCCACTTGACGCCTTCAAAAAACGCGTGCTCTCTCAGCGTCTCGCGCGACAGCGCCGACCCGGGGGGACCAGCGCCGAGCCGCTGTAGCGGGTCGCGCACGAGGAGCTTGGAGACGAGGTCTTGAGCGGCGGGGTCGAAGCCCTCGGGGAACGTGTAGTCGAGCGTCTTGATCTTCTGCATCGTGAGGTAGTTCGTTAATGCCGAGAAGGCAAAGCGGCCCGCGATCATTTGATAGACGATACAGCCGAGGGCCCAGAGGTCGGAGCTGTGCTCGGCAAAAAAACCCCTTAGAATCCACGACGGGGAGCAGCGCAACAGAACACCGCACCTCTTGCTCGACTCGTTCTTCTCAAGCAGCTCGGGCGAGATATATTGCGCAGTGCCGACGAACGTGTTCGTTGGATTGTCTGAATAAATCCGGATATGCATCAGCCGCGAGGCTCCTGTCATCCCCCGCAACACGGTGGGAGCACGGCCCGGTGCGGTGTGGGCGTTGATGCGGGATGCCATGACGTACCGTCGGGATTGAGAAGCTTGCCCGTTCCGAAGTCGGCTATTTTTATCCGGTAGGACTCGTCGAAGAGCAGGTTCTCGGGCTTTAGGTCCCTATAAAAGGAGGACAGTCGCGGTCGGCGTTAAGCTATGCTATGCAGCAGCCACGATACGATTGGAGGGAACTGACCTGTGGATGACGTCTTTGCCGTGCATGTACTCGAGCGCGTCGACGAGCTGCGCGCCGTAGTACCGCGCGCAGTCGAGCGAGAACGAGCCGAGGCGCGAGATGCGCGTTTGCATCTCGCCATTAGGTGCTAGATCTAGCACGAAGTCTGTATGACAGGGAATCACGCGTATATGTCAGCGAGCCTCGATCAGCGGCACAGGAAATAAAGAGGGAAGGGACAAGCGGGGAAAATAAAACTGACAAAGGCAGCTGAGGTTCTGAAACGTCCAGTGGAGATGGATGATGCCCGGGTGTCCGTTGCCGAGCTTCGCGAGCGTGTTCTTCTCCGCGAGCGCGACCTGCGTCTTCTTGTGCCGCGTGAGATGGTTCTTCTCGAGCACCTTGATGGCGTAGTCTTTCCCGTTCCGCTTGAACGTCGCGCGCATCACCTTTGTTTGGCCAATCCACAGCCCCACAGCCAGCGGGTCGAGTGATTGTATGGAACGTTCGCGATGGAGCGGTTGAGCGATGATGACGGAGAGATTGGAGCGAAAAAGGTACGCACGGTGGAGTACGACCCCTCGCCGAGCGTCTCGCCCCAGATGAAATCGTCCTCGGTGCTCGCGCCGCGCGCGTTCACGGACCTATTGCGCACGCCGCTCTTGCTCCTGTGCCGTGGTCTGGACGGGCTGACTGGACTCTGAACCATCGAGTGCGATCGCGGTGTTGGCGCTGTCCCGGCAGAGTCGTATTCTTCGTCCGAATCTTCCACCGCTGTCCCTGGTCCACCGCTGGCCCCTACTCTTCCCTGTCCTCCCCCAGGTCCTGGTCCTGTTCGTGGCGATGAAGGCTCGTCGGCCAAGCCAAACTCGCGCGCGAGGTGGGCTGGCGGGCGTGAGCGCTGCGGAGAGCGCGCGATCGAGGCGTCTGGGCTGCGCGAGTGCGGCCCTGAGAAGGTGCGGATGGGTCTTGGGCGGGGCGTGCGGAGGAGGACGGACTGTGCAGACTCGGAGTCTGAGGAAGAGGAGATGACGGACGCGTTCCTGCTCAGGTCCGCGAGCGACGGCGGTGGGTACGAGGGCCCGGTGGCGGGTGCTGGGGAGGGGGTGGTGACTGCAACCTCGACCATTGTGTCTGTGGGTGGAGTTGAACCAGGTTGCTGTGGTTCTGGTGGTTCCGGTTCTGGTTCCGTGGAGGGTATTACACTAGCTTGGTCAGCTCGAGGAGGGGTAAGATTATAGGGTTGCTCCAGCGTAGAAAAACAAATAAAAGGCGGGGAGAGGGAGATGGAAAGGGCCTGAAGGGTGTCTCTGGAGAGAGAAAATGGGGATGAGAGGGTGGAGATGGGGAGAGGAAAGGGAGAGGTGAGTGGGAGGACGGTGGATGCAGCGATGAGTTGCACCGCCACGTGGGGAAAGGCCGTCTCCCACGACGTTCTAGGCTCACCCCCGTTCCGTTTTCTTCTTTTTCCTCTCAACAAATGACGTGGAACCCTCCACACTCACGCCCACTTTCCTATACCCTGGCCCAGTTCCCCACAACACCCTTGCAAGCAACTCACCTCGCCCTCCGGCTCGAGTCATCGTCTTCAATCTCGGCGAAGATCAATATCGCCGGCAGAACGGCAGAACACCCCTCCGCACTCGCCGTGCCGTGCAGATTGTCTCCGGTCCAAAGATGATCACCCCGATGAATTAAGCCCTCCAGTACACCTGCCACCGGCGCCCCCAGCTTCCCCCACAACACCCGCACTGCGATTCCACCCTGGGGTGCACTGGCGTTCACGGAATGATGACGTGCAGGGTGCCTCTTGCTTGCGAATCCCCACAACTACTCTCGCTATGACGTTCCGCTCTCTTTCGTTGGGGTAGATTCTCGTTTCTGCACATTTTCTAGTGTTTCGTTTACCTGTCTTCGAATCTCCGGTACGCACTTCCGAACAAGATGATAGATGCGCTGCCGGCACCTGTTGCGCCTTGCTTCTTCATTCAGTCGCGTCCCCGGCATGCATGCAGCCATCCAGATTCCAGATATATCACAGCCCTACGAGACATGCACTTTACATTGAACACACACCCCAGCGTTATTTCAGTCTGCCCACCTGAACACACAGTACAAGATCAGACCACCTTAGTCGCGAACGTGAAACAAAAATACACGTGTGCAATTTATTCCCCCGTGCCCCGTGGGGTATCGCCCACTTCAAGGCAACGCGATCCGCAGGAGCAACCGCGCCCACGCGTCGGCCGGTCCGCGACCTCTCCGAATCGGTTGCGAAGTCAACCTTGCCCTATGCTGCTATTCTTGCTTCTGTGCAACTCGCAGCGGGGGACGAACACATGCGACGCTCGCGCCTCGCGCACGGCGCCCGCCGCTAGGTGCTCAAATCTAAGAACGAGTACGGTGCCCCCCTCCTCAGGGTCCACCTAGGAGAGGCTAATTGTGCGTATATGCCAAACGCAAAGCTTTATCTAAAACAACACGATCTGATTCACCTTTGAATATCTCGTCGACCTTATTCCGTGGCGCCGTTCTGGTGCGTATTGAGGCCTTACTTATCAGTTTGAGCTAAACGTTTTGTTCTACTTCGGGTTACAGAGTGTCGTGTACAACCCCAAGCACAACGTCAAGACTCAAATCCGCCATAGGAGACTCCGAGCGCTTGACTCATCCCACACGACATCCGGCCATAGACCCACCCTCGCCCTATCCAGTCTCTGCAACCTACACGACGGCCTGTGGAGGCCCCGTCCAGGGTCTAAACCTGCCTGTGCGAAGACCCCTCTTGCCAGTACAACGATCCGACACAAGCCACTGGCGCGCGTACCCTTCCCTCACTCTCGAGAGCTGATCACGACCGTAACCCGTTTCATAGCCCAACGGCGCGACCCTGACCGACGGCGGCTCGCGCTCGAGCCTGCCCACGCCGCAGGCAAGCAACTTCAACGGCGCTGCGGACCGAGTGCTGTCTAGCTCGAGCGTTGCTGGCATTTTGGGCACGGCGGGTATGGGCGTCGTCGGGGCTATTATGGGCTAGATGCTTGTTGGTCTTTGATGCGAGGTTCTTTTATCTTGCTTTCTCCATCACTAACCGATGGCTGGGAGCATGGTGGTGGAGTTCTGACAAGTTCTTATAGGGTTTATGGTTGTCTACCCGTTCCACCACTTGGCAAGGATGTTAGGGAATGATTTGAGGATAATGTACGGGGATTCTGTTGGGATGGGTAGACTAGTACTTGGCACACAATAGGTGGCGGTATGTTCACCAAAGATAAGTCTACCCTTAGTCATCGAGAAAATGCTCAGGTAGGAGTGTTACTCCATGTCGTTTGAAAAAATAATGATAGTGTTGGATCAGTTTCCAGTAAACCCCGTCTAGATTGAGTGTGTTATCATTGGCGCTTTGAGTTGACCGCTTGAATCCAAACTCCGATTATCTGGTTAACACGTCGGAGGTTCGCCCCATCGATCGCACCAAGTTTCCAGCAGTTACACTAGTAACTCAAGTTACACTTTCAAACCTCTGCGGATCCTGAAGGCCTTGAGGCTGACTCTCTCTGTCTCCACCTTGCCATCTGTAGTACGAAGGTCTTCTACATACAAAACTCTGCTTTCTAATAGATCATCGGGAAGCTGCGGGTTAGGAATCGCTTGCTGCAACTCATTTCGCCTCTTTCCGTCACGGAGTCGACAACAACTCTCTTGACTTGTGTCGCTCGAGTGCTGTCACTTCGGCGATAGAACATACAGGTAGAGGAACAAGGCACAAGTGATCAAATACATTATAATACTCGCAACGGTGAGTGCCAACCACACCTCTGGGAGCCGCCAATTAAAATCAGCGGTCTCGCGGCCACAGGACCACGATGCCAGCTACCCGCGACCGGTCGCATTCTCCTATCATGTCCTTGCCTACCGAGGTTCTGCTCATGATCCTCGACTCAGCTAGACAACAATACTTGCATCGACGGATCATCGGCATAAAGCGCACAGCGATACGCAATTCTGCAGTGCAGCTTGCGTTCGTCTGTCGCACATGGATGAATGTGTTAGCGCTAAAATCCGTGTTTTGGCAGACCCTTTCCATTCAGATCGACGGCCCTACCTTTGTCCCCAGCGTCATCAAGACATTCTTCACTGCATCTCGAAATCAACTGGTTGATGTCTCCATAGCGCCCCTTGACAAGGACGTGTGCACGCTCACCGCTGCACAGGAGCAGGAACGCGTCAGCTTTATTGTGGGACAGCTCGCTCGACACTTGGGGCGCTTGATCAAACTCTCCGTCGTCACCTTCTATCGCTCGACTCTCGTTGAATCCAGTCACTTCCTGGATCGTAGCGATATACCTCGCCTTTCCACTCTACACTTGGTTTCGCAAAATACAGATGTGACTACCCCTCTCTTGATTTCTGAGCTGAAGTGGCCAGATCTTTCGGAGCTACACACCGATGCCGCGAGCTTTATCGATATCTTCAGAGAGGGACATGCTTCTTGGTTGTACGACATTGACCTCCGCCTCACCAAGTTCAAGCCAGTGGACCGGAAAGAGGGCATAGACCCACTCAAATTTCTCGATAATCTGTGCGAACTTAGTCAGAACAAGAAGCTCTCGCTCTGCATCGAAGACACTGACTTCGACTTCGACTTCGACTTCGACTTCGACGCCTCCTCCATCGCGCTACCGAGCCATATCACTTTGATGAACTTGGAAAGGCTTAGGCTCCACAACCTCAAGGAGCCCTTTGTCTCCCTTATCTGCAGCATCGTCCGCTCTCCAGACCTCGAGAAAATCGAAATATCCCGATGCGAGATCGCGCCTCAGTCTCGGCCCCCCCATCCCCGCATGCGCATGCCAGGCCTCGAGCTCCATCTCACAGACATCAGCTCTAGTGTTTTGCTACTGCGCATGATACAGGACTTCGAGGGGTGGAAGCTTTACATCGAGGACTGTCCGGGCTTCAACGACTGGGTACTCGGCGCCATGGCCTTTTCGTGCAGAGGAGAGCAACAGTTTGCGTGCCAGTCTATAGCCTCTCTCGAAATCAAGGGGTGTACGTTCTCACCCGGTGCTCTGAAGCACATGTGCGAGATGAGGCTGGGTGTTGGTGCCATCGAGGAACTGGATATCAGTGATGCTGTACTGCCACTCGAAGAGCATCTTGGGAAATGGTTTGAAGAGAACGTCGAGAGCTTCTCATGGATTGGTAGAGAAAGTCAGCTTCTCTAGCGTATGCTGTAAATATCTTTCCCACAGTTCTCTCAGCCCAATTCGAGGTGGAGTTCCGTGCGAGGTTTAAGATTCGGACGCCCATCGCTCTATGCCCCTCTTTGTCTTCGACTCCAGTCGATCGCTTTCGCCTTCTACCATTCTGCTTCATTCATCCAAGCCCCTTGGTGCACTCAAAGAATTTCACACGGATCTACTCTCGCAATTATATCGCCACTCTGAAAGAACCATCGATGGTCCCAAAACAAGGATGGACATACGAAATGGAGCGCCACGAAGAGGACCTTTTCTACAATACTACTTATCCTGGTCGCTTAGGTCTGGATAGCTGGCTCAGGAAGGGAAAACGTCGACTTTTCTGGCTACCGAAGAGATATAGGCCAGAACGCCTTGAACGTCCTGAACGCGACTACTTGAAGCTGCGGATAGAGGGAAACAGCGTAACTATACTACATCTCGAGGGCGAGAAGAGCATTGCTTTCCGAATTCTCAACGCAGAAATAAGGTGCTTTGATTAGCTAGTATACCGATATTGATTTGTACAATGTGAACATTTGGCGCTTGGACAAAATCCACTTACTTAGACAACAGTTCGCGCTCAGCTTTTAGCATTATGACTCACAGAGAAACTTGATCACTGAACCGCATAATTGGTTATGGCTAGAGGACTATATATCATACTTTACTACACAGGCTTGCCGCAGCAACCGTGGCAAATATCCCGGTTCAGGGTGAGCTACGTGTACTGAGTGACATATCACGCCAATCATAGAACTCAATTGTTCGTGGTTATTTCGCCCTGCGATATCCAGTTCGGTACGTAGCTACGAGTCGCTTCTGTAATCACAGTTCTCAAGTAAAGCCCATCCATAGCACTTAAGCACGCATCGTTACGGTTTATATTCCTACAGAAGTAAGCATCAAGAACAAGTCATCGCAGCCATATTCGTACAATACAAACAACCACATAATCGAGCGCAGCCACCATTGTATGAGAACATCAAGCCGAGACGAAAATCTTCGCAAAGTACCTCTCAACGCCTTCAGCAGTACGGACCGATGCGCCGATGAAACCGTCAGGCCTGACAACCACAGCGCGCGTCTCGCCCTCGTGGGCGCGGTAGCCGGTGTAGGCGTGCCGGTGCGCATCGCACAGGGTCAGCACGCTGCTCGCCTTCTCGTCCTTGTCGAGGAATGCTGAGCCAGGCAGCACAACGACGGCGCGTACGACACCCGCGTATTTTCCATCGATCGCGTTGATGATATGCGTGGCCGCCTCCACGTTCGGCGCGAAGACGAGCACAGTGTGGTATGTCGTTCGGAAAACGTCAAAGAAGCGATGTTCGCCACCCTTGGCATCGACAAGCCCCGGCGCATCGGGCGCGCGGTCTCCCGCAGCAAGTACACCTTCGACATTGGAGTCCCCATAGGCCGGCACGGCCGCGAGAGCCGGTGAGAGCTCCTCGAGGACGATGCTGCTCGTGCGATGGTTGACACCGAGCATGAGCAGGCGGCTGGGCCGAACGAACGACGCGTCAGTGCCGATCGCACTCTGGTTGAGAACGCCGGTGGTGAGGTTGAGCATCTCCGCAATGACAGGGAGACGCTCCTCGCTGTATGTCTCAAGCAGAGACGGCGGGGACAGGCCCTTAAGGACGTAAGAAAGCTTCCAGCCTAGGTTCACCTAAGGAAAGCGAGTCAGCCTTCTGTCGTGAATGACATGGAGAGAGATGCTCACTGAGTCCTGAACGCTCGAGTTGAGACCCTGACCGCCAGTAGGGCTGTGACAGCTAGAAATGATCGTCAGCGACAGGATGGAGCGGTCGCAAAAGCAACTTACTGGGCAGCATCCCCTGCTACAAATACTCTACCCACGCTGAATTTGTCCACCATGCGAATGTTTGGCCTGCGACGCATGTAGTCAGCATGCGGAGACACGACTGTATGCATGAGATTACACGTACCTGAATTCACCATACCAGATCACCTCCTTGAAGTCGAACTTGGCCGGAACCAACTCCGCAATCTTATCGCAAAGCGCTTGCTTGTTGGCAAACAGCGGATTGAGGTCAATCTCTGGACCACCCAGCATGACTTGGAAGCCGTCGTTCTCGGTGCCAATGCTAGGGCAAGGGCGAAGCATGACCCTATCATTGATTTAGTACAGATCGTCAAACCGTTATAGTTCCAGTACTTACATCTTCGAGTTCATATCGCCGAAGCGATGCCAGTGGTGACGATCGAGCCCTTCCGCCGTGAAACGGACGTCGCCCGTAAGCATGCGGGTCTCTTCGCGAGTCTCTCCTAGGAATGCGAGTCCGAGCTGCTTTCGCACGACACCTATTTATTCCATATGTCAACAGGGAGATGCAGAGATTGAAAGGACCGCTCACTTCGTGCACCATCGGTTCCAATCAAGTATTGAGCGTGGATCGTGTCAGTCACCTCTTTATCTCCCTCGATTCTGGCTATATGAGCTATGACCCCGTCACCGTTTTGCTCGAAGGAGCGTAGTTCCGTGGCAAATTCCACATTGCAGCCGCATTCGGCCAGATGACCGCGCAAGAGACGTTCAGTCATGCCTTGTCCCATGAGCTGGACACTCGGCTAGACAAGTATCGTCACTAATTGCTGTGATTTTATCAGAGGAGATCAACTTACGTATGGAATCTGAGGAGTCGCCTCGTTGACAGTTTCCATCCAGAGGTCCTTAGCAACCTCGAGGGTTCCAGGCTTGTACGCGCGAATAGGAATGACCTGACTAGACTTCTCGATAATGTCCTTCGCTTCGAGCTGGTGAAAGAGCTCGAGCGTGCGGGGGCGGAGACCCGACCCACGGGATCCGGGGTTTGTGGACGCCTGCTTCTCGATGATGCGCACGTCGATGCCGTTGCGGCGCAGAACGAGGGCCGCTGCGAGGCCGGTAGGACCAGCACCAGCCTGAAGAAGATGGTAAGAATAAGGTTGCACGAGCTAATGAGAGACTTACGATTAAGACTTGAGTAGTAGAAGGCATTTGCGTCGACTTGTGTTGTGATGGGGCAGCCACCGGTGCAGAGCAGCTCTTTTATACGAGCCGCCCTTCGTTGTGAGCGCCGGGATGCATGAGTAGCTGACTAAGACAACATCGATGACCTGAGCATGCATGAACATCATCCGTACCGCAGTCGATGGCAAACTAACGTCAACAACGGTGCAATGTCTCTGGAGGATGAAAACATACCCGAAAGAGGCAATTCCCGCCAAATTCACCGAGGCCGTGCACCGCACAACCCCCCTAACGTCAGCGCCGTTTGACATCACGCAGCAGTGTTCCGTATTGCCTCTTGATCGTGGCTTGGCGTGGCTTGATCGCGTCGAGTCCCTGGCGATTTCAAGTCGGCACTTTCATCGCTACTTCATGAGCGCCTCCAGCTAACCCAGGCTCAAAACATCGGGCTTACAAACTCACTGCGTTTGGTCCTGACTGAGCACAGCGTTGTTCAGCAGCCTCTCTAATGAGGGACGAAGTATCCCTGTTGAGTGATGTCTGCAGTAGTTCTGCATAACTATCGGAGAACGATTCGGAAAATGAGACAAAACATGATAACGCGATCCATGTTTTGGTAGCGGCAAGCTTTGCTAGTCAGGCTGTTTCTGGCTCCGCTCGGGCAGTTCCGGAAGCACATCTCAGCTCCATTACACCGTCGGACGAGTCTACGATAATCCTCATCACATGCATGTTCGCAAGTTAGACCACCATGTCAAGAAAGCTCGACCTTTATCGTAACTTGGGCAGCGCTGCCCGAGTGATCGCTGCTCTGCTATGAAGAAAGGGGCGAGTCTATAAACAGAATAACGCAGCTGTCAACGCCGCTCGCTGCCTATCTGCGCATCTCAACAACGCGGCCGCCGCACCTTATCTCACCTTGGCCACACCCAGCTAAATGTTTGATTCGCTCGAGTCTGGATGTAAAGGTAGGCTCAATATACTCTGGTTCTCTTCTGAGATCTCGACCATATGTTGAACGGGGGTTGTTGACTGACAGCTTAAAATCAGTCCCGTCTCGGTGTTTATACGCTTCAGCGCTTACTTGGGCTTCTTGTTCAGACTCAATATGGGTCGTTGTGGGCGCATGTGTGAGTCAATCTTCTATAAAAACAAGGAGGCATCAAGCCATATAAATCCCCTTATTCTTTGTTGCGCAGGAGACCATCCAAAACGTTTCACTCTGGAACATGACCTTTACGTTGGCGGACACCAGACGTTGCTTCGGGAATGCTCGCGAGCAACCACTAAGCGCTTGACTCCACCCCTATCAGTCACCCAGGTCAATTATTTGGGCATGTAGGCGCATGTTTTATTGTTCTCGATGCGGCAGAAAGGCCCGTCGTCATCAACCACTTCGCAACTCCTCCCGCGCCTGTCACAAGCAAAAGGAAGTCTCGAGGGGCTGACTCCCGCCTCGCTGCTCCCCACACCGAACAGGGCAAAATCTTGATGTTCAATTGTCGGGAGGAAGGACAAGGATGTCGCGACGTCGCGACCGCCTTTTGTGCTCGGTTGTGTCGTTGATCGCTCGTTGGACCCATATGCTACCACAAGGACCCATAAGAACGACGAGGTATACCGTCATGGCCATATTGCTAGATCCCTATCCCCTTCCCCGAAAGTCCTCTTATCACCCACAGCGCGCAAGAACTTAACGACCTACTCATGCCTCAACACTCTCGCATCATCGAGCGCACCATGGAGATGCCCGTACCCCGCCTATTTGACGGTGGAGGGCTTCAGTTTAGGAGAATAACGGAGACAGATGGTATGCAAAACTTGTGAGCTCTTTTCCTTTGACCATTTCTACGCTGTCCAGTTTGGACCGGGCCTAACGTATACGACAGTGGCACGATGCAAGGCCAGTTCGAAGCATCAGCTCTCCTATGTGTAGAGTCCACCACAAGAGATGAATTTGTCGGCGGACCATCTAGTGAAGGCGAGCACGTGGGACAGAGATACGTCTCGAGCGAAGGACTGGCTGCGCCAGCTTCGGTAAGCCATTCAAGCTACTCGACCTAATGCCCCACTCATCGCCACGCGAACAGACCCCCTACTCATCGCCCACGGTTGGTCATGGTCTGCATCTCGAGGTTATCCCGCCCTCGTCGGAGCCGACAGCGTCCCACAAGTCCTTCATCACGCGCACGCCTATGTTAAGTGTAGACCGTAGCCCTTTTAGCGTTACATCCAGCTCTCTGGCGACACCTGAACCACCAAACCCAGCCCTTCTCGGTGACAACTGGCCTTGTCAGACGCCCGATATCACGGAGTTCGACTACCAGGGGATTGAGGAATTAGATAATGAGGCCGCAGCTTATCGGTGCGAGCCCGGCTGGGACCCTTGTTTGTTCAACGGGTCAGGCTCCACTTCCTCGGCCCCTGCGGCTCTTGATGTCTCCGCTGCTGGTGTTTACGGCCTGCAGGGCGGAACTGGTGGTGCCCATATACGAATGCCGTCACCGACTCATGTCGGACCGTCTGCTATACCCCTCGATTTGCCGACCACCAGCCATGAAACGTATGGGTCGGATCTTGAGCAGTGGATGGTTCAGCTCGACACAACACCGTCTGAGCTTCAAACTACTGCCCTTCAGCTGGAGCCGGAGATACGATCACCTCGGAATCCAGTCCGCGACATGCTCTTCCCCGTTGTAGAATCAGATACGAACTCTTCGGGCTTACTGCAAGTACCGCAATGGCGTGTGTTTGGACCTTTCGAACCGCTCTCGAATTATCGTGAACACGCTCAGGTGGACATACCCGCTACGTCCTCTCTGATCACGCATGAACTCACTCCTCTTACGGACTTCTCGTCTCTTCCTTCCTCGCCGACGTCCTCGCAGTCGCTTATCCAGTATATCAATGACGACGGCGACGACAATAACGACATGACTACTCAGAACGAACTTGATATAATGATGCTATCTCCGCTCACTTCCCTCAGTTCCATCCCTCCGTCACCTCAATCAGACCTTCACTCTCTACCGCAGTCATTGCATCCCGCTACGCCTGCCCTCTTGCCTATCCGGACCGATGCGCTCCAGCTCAGCTCGCGTTCTCTTCCGGCCACCCCTCATCCATTATCTCAGGTGTATTTCCCCTCCGCTGAGCCAAGTCCCGTTGCTGCATCCTCTCGCTCGGTCAGTGTCACCCCTTCCTCTGCTTCAACGGAAGACGTCTTGCCTGCCGAGCCGAAATCCTCATCGCGCGAGACTCCGATCGAACCACCCTCAGTCCGATTTGAGGTTCCTCCCCCTTCATTCTCGAACCGTCCTGTCACTCGTGCGTCCCGTCGTGCGACACTCGATCTGGATGTCGCGAAGATATCAGGTCTATCTCAGGCTCCTCGTTCGCTTCCTCCCTCCCCAATACCTCTTTCGGCGGCTTCTAACCCGCGGACGGCCCCTACGAGAAGTAAAAAGCGCTCTCGCGAGCCCGGCGTCGAGTCCCGTAGGTCCTCGAAACGCGCAAAAGGCAAGGCCCCGGCACGCGGTACAAAGTCGAAGTCAAAAACAGCACCCAAACCGACGGACAACAGTGACGATGACGAATATCGCGATCAAGAGGATACTGTGGACGACGAGAGTGAAGCATCGAACGCTGGCGATGTTGTTAACGAGCCATCTCCAAGACCCAGTAAAGAAAAGCGCATCCGGCTCGAAACACTTCAGCCTCACCGGTGCCAGTACTGCGGCCTTTCGAACACGAGAAATGTAGACAGAGAGCGACACGAGCTGACCTGCTCGCTCAACCGCGGCGACAGACCAATATATACCTGTCCAATCTGTAAGCCGGAAATCAGTCACACTAACGTGAAGGTGTTCGGTCAAGTCAATCGTGCAGATTCCTTTCGGCGGCATATGAGGAAGCATCACAAACAAGGCGAAGACATATGGACTCCTCAGATGATAGACACAAGGAAGCTCTGGGTAACTCGGGGTCCCGACGAGTCCCGGGTTGGGCCTCAAGGTTCTCTCGAGACATGACGAGAACGGTTGTGACTTGCAAACAGGACTATTTTCCCAGGCAATATCGTTGTCGTGGACTCGATTACGTGTACTATACATAGTCAACGTATGCTCGCGGACTTGTGTTTTTTTCCCTTCGTCACCGCAGTTCAGATTACGCTTTTAGATTATGTCTTTCTCGAGCTACATATATGATGTTACAGGCTATATGGAATACATATGAACAAGATAATATGAGATAGCATGAAGGATCATTGATCTCTTTCGCTCTGCGCTTAACAGTTGTTGGGACCGCAGGAGCCCTGTCATACAAAGTTCAGCTTAGTACTCGACATAGAAGGTGCCAAACAGGACTGACCCCAACGAAGCGGTAGCTCTGGTCACTCGGTTTCAACGTCTTGCAGAACCCAGTGCCGTGAAGTCGAATCCGACGTTCTGGCACGTGCATGTACTGTCGCCCGACGTGATCACAAGGCACCACTGGTTGTCGCCCGTCGTACCGAGGCCCGTGTTGGGAATGTAGACGGAGCTGCGACCTGCTTCGCTGAGGCAGCCGGTGTTGCGGAGGTCGACACCCTGGCCGCCGTTCTGGGTGCAGCTCCCGTCTGAAAGCCGTACATAATCAGTGATGGGCAGAACATCGGTGAGGATGAAGATGGCTGACCGTCGAAGAAGTTGGCGTAGAAGTCGGCCCTGGCGGTCGACGCGAGAGTAACGAGGGCGGCGAAGGCAACGGTGGTGACGCGAGTAGCGAACGTGATAATGATTTTGGGTAAAGTGGGGTGCTGGATATGAGGCGACGTGGATGGTTCGCTGTCTGATTGTGGTGGAATGGTATTTTAGCGAAGTTCTGCAGGCCTTTTATAAATTCTTGCCTCCTAGCTATCACACGGATTGGATTTGCGTTCATGCATTGCGCTCAGAGTTGCTTGGTGCGGATGACTTCAGTCTCCAAGCTTCATTTCGCATCGGCCCGCCATGAACGGAAAGTGCAATTCTTCGATCTTCCTGTGTCTTAAAACTGCGACCAAAGTAATGTCTGAGATCTGAGTGCTACAGCCTAAGATCAGCACTGTCAAAAGATGTTCCACAACTTCAAGCGTTCGCAATGTGGTCTTGGACACTTACTCGGAACATCCTTGTAAGATATACGAGATGACTTGAGCGTTATGAGAAGCAACGGGTGTGCGGACACTGTTCACCAAGAGGCTATATCGATCCCGCCGTCACAACGTTCTTGAACACAGCTTGCCTCGGAGGTTTGGGCGCAATCGACTCAGCCACAACGGCGGGGATTATGTTCGGCCTCCGATTCGGCATATGCCGAAGTGGGTTGGCGCCTCACAATCCGAACGCCGACTCTCATAAGTGAACTCTCCTGTATACCTCAACATGCGAGTCATCGCTCCCAATGAGCTTCATCATGACGTATGTTCTGCTTCCGCGACTTCCACGATCATACGAACTTCTCTACATTCAGAGTGTTGATCCTGTTCACCTGAAACAAGCCGCCCTGCCATTGCAAATGTTGCCTACTGCAATAAATCTGATCATTTGGCATTGGCTTCACCCCGCTGTTCTCGCAACTAGATGCGTACCGACTCCACAGTCAATGTATCTTGCTCTCATTACTTGACATATGTGGAAGCCCATGATGCAGGCGTAGCGTCGGGCCTGCAGCGTCCCGACTGGACGACGAGCGCTCAGTGCAAGTGCATTGGGCCCATTCATGTTTTGATCATCGGCGAATATTCTCTAGGAAGTACAAGTACCGTGAGACCTTTACTGCGTAGCTTAGTACCTAGAAATGGAAATGGAACCTAGGTAAGTACATGAGACAGGTTTCGACCGAGGATTGCAAGTCAGATTTCAACGCCGGCAGGGTTAAGAGCGTCAAAAATGGATCACCAATGATGCGTCTCCAGAGTGTATGTATATCCAGAGTGCCTTTTCTCACCAGTTGAGATATACTAGTTAACGTCTCAAAACATAACATTAGTATGGTTAGTATGGTTTCTTGACTTTCGAGGCACTTGCCATGAATCGGAAAGTCTACACTCCAGCTGTAAACTAAGATCCTAACTCGAATGAATTCAAAAATGACGAATCATCGTGTAACACTAGAAAATGTGTTGAATGTGCCCATAAATCTGCGTTCATGACTTTCGTTCGAGGACACTACATAGTTCTGAATGAAATGGGGCGCAAAACCGAGAAACATATCTACGTACTAGTCCAACACATGTCTGAAGGAAAGGTCAAGTGAGAGGAAATGAGAAGCCAATCAGAGCACTGCCCGTCCCGATCGGTCTCTCTCCGTGACAGCACATGACGTCATGCTGCCTACTTCACCGCCGCGCGGGCGAATCGCCAGGCCATGTTCCAAGGCCATCACACCACATGTACCACAATGTTGCGACGAACAAACCCGCACGCCGAATATCTAGATAGGGACTTGGAGTAGATGGACATAGACGCCGAATGCAGTGGCCCAAAGGCGAGAGTGTTCCCAGACAACAATTCGCGAGGTTGGAGCAAAACTGACATTGAGCGCACGTACGAACGAAACGGACGTCGAAGAGTCATCGGGTGCCAGTGAGCCGCACAACGTTGGCAACATGAATGCAATTGATCAGAGTTCTACATATCCCTGATGACACAGCATTCAAACTATAAACACCCATTTCAAAGTTTGCAAACACTTGCCATACTGTGAATCCTGTAATCACGGCTGAGTATGTGGCCAGGGCAAAGAAAAGGCGATGCTTGAATCACAAGAACGAAAGTCATCCGCGTGTTATTCCTTTACGCACCACCTCGTACAGCTCTACTTCCATAAAAGCACACGGGGACGCGACGGACACCTAGACGGGAGCAGAATCCGTTAGGATTCGCTAAAGGGGAAGAGACCAAATAATGATGCTGAGCACCTGTAAAGTATGATGTCAAGTTCACAAGCTCTCCGATAGATTCGGCAACCAGGAATGAAAAGGCTGGACAGCGCCCACCGACGTGCTGTGCCGAGGCGAGGACATCATCACTGTAGACGCGAGATGTCACGATGCTGAGAAGGGTATTTTGCAATTGATTCTCCATCGGTCTAATTTGTGAAGCTTGAAGTTGAAGTTTAAGTCGGTGACTTTACTCCGGCACGTGCTCAAGAACGCTGCCTTGAACGCTCAATTCACAACATCACTCAAAACATTGAGTTTCATCGCCATTGACATCGCAACGTGTTGCGCCTTAGTCGCTGGATCATTTCTACATGTCGATCGAGCGCTCCATACTCCACCTCGAGTTCTAGGACCGAGATGAGGTTACGAATTACTGGATAAGTCGAGCCCTGGACGTGCATACCGCCTAGTTATGCGTGCATTGTGCGATCTCCTTGTAGAAAGCTGCGACGGAGAAAAGGTATAAAAAGCCCTCAGACTTCCTCGATGGACCAGCATCAAGAACATCTCTCTTCACTCAGCTCACCTCACATAAACGCACCAAACCAACCGACCTCTCTATCTCAGCATCTTCATCATGTACGTTACCCGAACTGCTGCCTTCGCTATCGTCGCCGCCCTCGGACTCGTCATGCCCGCCAAGGCTGACTTCTACGCCAACTTCTTCGATGGTGAGCCATGTTCAGCATCGCTAGCATCGTGTAAATCACTAACCATGCGTTTCTAGACGGAAGCTGCACCAAGAACGGCGGCGAGGGCGTCGACATCCGCAACACCGGCTGTCTCGGTGAGGCCGGTCGCGGCTCCGTCTACATCCCCAACACCGGCCTCGGCACGACGGGCGACAACCAGTGGTGCCTTGTGATCACGTCGGGCGACGGCACATGCACATGCCAGAACGTCGGATTCGACTTCACGGCGACTGGGTTCTGCAAGACGTTGAATTCGAACGACCAGAGCTACCGCTTCGTTGGGGTCAGTCCTGTTTGGTACACTTTATGTCGGTCACTGAGCTGACCTTTTTGCGACAGGGCTCCTGCGGTCCCAACAACTGCTAAACGTTGGGAGCGGACATTACGACGCGATGCAGTCTATATATGACGATCAGCAACTCTAGTCGAAGCGTATAACAGCCTGTAACACATGTATTATTGAAACAAGCGCGATAATTATTGACGAGATTAGTATTTAACACGCACCGTTGAGTGAATCACAAAGCTAGTCATTGCCATGGCAGAGCGAAAGCCGTTTTGACGTAGCTGGCATCCGCAAGAAAGTGACTGACGCGCATGCATGTTGTTGGTGTTGTACAGATGAAAGGAAATGGTTTTATGACCATCAGGCGATAGTCTTCACATGGTACCAGATGACTAGCCTTCTGGACCTTACCAAGCGTTCGCACCCCTACCTGACTATCGTCATTACACTTGACGGGTTGGTGACTCCACGTCGTTCTGGTCTTCCTGATGAGATAGCGTCACAGCGCGCCAATACCTAAGTAGTGCGAGATGCAACCTAGTATCCAGAGTGGTAGACCCTGATGTCTATCCTCGTTCCTCGGCAGCTCCCCACTACTCTGAAGCTCGGTTGAGGAGCGTAGCATCTGTTCTTGCCCTAGGTCGAACGCAACAACGCACACAAAGTGAGTGCGATAGGATGATGTACAACGGTGGATTACACGCTCATGATCATACCCGTTAAGCACTCGCCTTGTCAATGTAGATATCATCCGACCTCCACCCCTCCCTCTCCGCCGCATCCAGCCACTTCTGGCCCTTGCGTCTCGCCGCGTCCAGTGCGACGCGGTGCAGCGGCACGCGGAACGGCCACTCGCGCTCGTCGGTGACGTCCGCGAGGTCGAGCACGACTTTTGCGAACTTGCGCGGGTCGCCGGTGAAGATGCCCTCGTTGGGGTATCCCGCCCGGAACTTGCTCACGGGCAGGTCGAGGTTGCTGTATGCGGGGTGCGGGGGCTCGAGGATGTTTGTGCCGGGTGAGCCGGTTTTGAAAAGCGCTGGTTCGAGGATTGTGAACTAAGAGGGGATTTCAGATGGGGCGGTCAGAGGAGAGGGCGACAGGGGGACGAGGGTGGTATGACGACGAACCCAGATGTTCCATCCCTTATCAACCTCTTGTGCGTAGCCTTCCGTCAGTGCTTCAAGAGCTAGTCGCATCCCAGGTTTGACAATGTTCACGTCGAGCACGAAGGATAAAAACTCACCTGATTTCCTATGTACACATTGGCAGCCAACATCTTAGCCAAACTTCTCCCTTGAACGCGATATATCAAGACACGACGCACGCAGCAGCATAATGCGCAACCCCCGCCGTCGCCTCAATGCTCGTCCTCGACGCAACCTGCAACAGCTTCCCCCCGGACGGCTTCTGCTCTCTAAACGTCCGCACCGCCTCCCGCGTGACGTACGACGCACCCCAGAACACTACCTCGAACTGCTTCCGCGCCATCGCCTCCGATATGCCCTCCGCCTCGGACACGACGCATATCCCCGCGTTGTTGAGCACAACGTCGACGCGCCCAAAGACGCTCCTGGCCGCGTCGAACGCGGGGCCGATCGCGGGCTCGTGCGTGACGTCGAGGATGTGCACGCAGAGCTGGGTGGGCGGGTAGCGCGCTTGGAGGTCCGCGAGAGCTGAGGGCGTGCGGAGCGTTGCGAAGACGCGGTCGCCGCGCGCGAGGGCAGCTTTGGTGACTTCGAGGCCGAAGCCAGATGATGCGCCGGTGACTATGGGCGGTTGATTGAGTTGGGGGGTGAGCGTCTCGAGCGCGTGGGATGAGACAGATAAGATCGCTCACCGAACCAGACTTTAGGCTCTTGGGGGGCGATCAGTGCTGCCATGTCGAGTATTATTTAGTGGTTTGTAGCTGATGTTCGCCTATTCAAGTCCTCTGTTGGTGAGTGATCAGTGAAATGGCGCAAGAAGGTAAGTGAAGCCCCGAGCTAACTCGGGTCGGATAGTAACACTGGGTTCTGGATCTTTCCGAGTGGGCTAATAGGAAACCTTTGACGGAAGAAATGCTCATCGGTGTGCTTTCCTTCGTAGAGCTTGTCATTACGGCAAACCCAAGATATTAAAAGCGTATTTCTGCAGTTGATCTACAAGAAACAGACGGTGGTGCAAGGAGCTCGAGATTCGACGTGGCGACGTGAAAACGGGATTGGGTTCGGAAGACTCCGAACTGGGCATTCTCCGCTGGAAACTAGCCCCTATCTCACTTGCAGTCTCGACGTACCAAGACCTACCAAGACGATTCAGATTCTACCTGCTGTTACAAGTTCCCAGTGTCTCTACGATGACATCGCGGTCTGATGTTCGAATTGAAAGCTTTTTATCTCCTTCGCGAGAGACTTGTAGATGCTTATCTGAATGAACTCATTCCATTTGCAAATGGTGCTAGTGGGATCAAAGTGGGATACCCATCCGAACCACACGTTCATGGCACTAGCCATCTGGACCAAAAGCTCAGCTGAGTGAGTAAGCCATAACTTTTTTTCTTTCTGAGTTTACAAGCCCAGTAATCGGACGGAGAAACAAGTATTCAAAACTATGTGTGGGTACGGATTATAATTAAGCTAACAGATCGTTCATCGTTCTGGGGAACAAATACGGGTCCATCGGAGACACTCGAGTGCGCTCAGCAGTTGTTTGAAGAGCAAGCGCCCTGTGCATGAATTGATGAGCTTAAGTGACGAAATATTAGAATTTCAACTTACACCAATGAAGCGATAGCTCTGGTCACTCGGGTCCAACGTCTTGCAGAACCCGGTCGCAGTGAAGTCGAATCCCTGGTTCTGACATGTGCAGGTGCCGTCGCCGTTCGTGATGACGAGGCAAAACTGGTTGTCGCCCGTGGTACCGAGGCCCGTGTTGGGGATGTAGACGGATCCACGACCTGCCTCGCCGAGGCAGCCAGGGTTGTGGATCGAGACACCCTCGCCGCCGTTGACCGAGCAGGCTGAGTCTAGAAAAGGAAGTGGCGTCGTCAGTGTCGTGTTTACGGCGACAGTGAAGAGGAGTCGAACTCACCGTCGAAGAAGTTTGCGTAGTAGTCGGCTCTGGCGGTCGACGCGAGGCTGACGAGGACAGCGAAGGCAACGGTGGCAGCACGGGTAGCGAACATGATAAATGTAAGAAGGGTTTGAGTGGTGTTGGTTTAGGTTGTGTGGTCGTTTTGTTGTCTGAGTGTAGTGGGATGGTATTTTAGCGAAGTCCTGCAGGCCTTTTATACATTTTTGCCTCCCAGTTCTTGCACAGATTGGACTTGAGTTCATGCATCGAAAGTTGCATGATGCTGATAACTTCACCCTTCAAGCTTCATTCCGCATCAGCCCGCCGAAAACGGATAGCGCGGTTTGATGATCGCCCGGTGTCCTAAAATGAAAGCAAAACAGCCTTGTCTGATTGCTACAGCCTGAGTATCAACGCTACCAAAAAGATGCTCCACAACTTCAAGCGCTCACAATGTATTCTTGCACTTGCTCGGACCATGAACTCCGCAAAATGAGTTGAACACTGTGGTGCACAACAAATGCGAGGACACTGTCTGTCCCCCCAGAGGCTATTCCGATCCCGTCGTCGCAACGTTCTTGAACACAGCTTGTGGAGGTTTGAGCGCAGTTGAGTCAGCCACAACGACAGGTATTACGTTCGGCCTCCGATTCGGCATGTGCCGAGGTGGGCGCTGAACAATCCGGATGCCGACCTCTTCAGTTACTCTCCTTACCTCAACGCAACATGCGAGTCATTACTCCCAATGAGCCTCGTCATAACGTATGTGTTGTTTCTGCGACTATCACGCTCATGCCAACTTCCGTGCATTAGATCACTGAAGTACTGACCCTGTTCCGAGCCGCCATTGCAATTGTTGCCTGCCGCAACCAATCCGACCATTTGGCACTCACCCGCCGTTCCCGCAACAAGATTCAGAACGGCTCCACATTTCATTTCTTGACCTGACATCTATGAAAAGTTATGATACAGGAAGACATTTGGACATGCAGCGCGTCGGCTAAATGGCGGGCCCTCGAATGCAAATGCATTGCCTCGTCTGCCCATTCTTTGCATAGAATAGCATCTGAAGATGGAAAATTGATCCGAGTAACGTACGTGATGTGTTTTTTGACCGAGATTTCCGAGATAGAGTTTGACGCCAGCTGAGCTTACAGCGACATAGGTTGTGTCAGCAGTGATGCGCCTCCAGAGTGTATGCATATCCATAGTGCCCTTCTCTTACCAGAGGAAACACCCAAGCCAACGTCTCGTAATATGAATGGCGGCGTAGTTGTGTAAGCAGCATAATTTCTTGTTTTCGAGGTGCTTGTCATGGTTCACCAAAGTCGCCGCTCAATATCAATGAAGCTGTGTACCCGCGCTCACTTCGCCGGTCGAAAGAAACATATCACTAGTTTCCTCGTGCATGCGGAGTTTTGAGCTGTGCAATAGAGTAAGTGCAAACATAGGTTAATTTGGAACAATCCAGGGTCTCTCGAACCTGAACTCCGCAATACAGAAGACAGTGTTTTACGCCCTATTTATAAATCATAAAGGTGATTCGAGGGCACTCACCAGTGTATTACATACATCGTCATCTAACTCAAGTCAACAGGAGTGCTGCCATAAACCGCGCTCATATCTCGCGTGATGAAGATCTATGGTGAACTGACAAAAATCCGATGGAGTCGGGCTGTGTATATGACCACGACGGATCACTTCGGTGAGGACGAGCGCCAAACTTCCCTATTCAATCCAATTGAACCTTTGTGGTGTCCCGGAAGATCTATATCAGCGCTCGAGCGCCGGAGTTTGCGGAACCCGGAGCTTGCCCAATGTTTTCTGTGTTTTTGTGGAGCATTTCTCGACATTGATGATGGGGTAGCCGACAACACCGCATAACCTCTGTGTAATGAACACTGGTTCTATTTCTGCATCTGTTCCTTGTGCACCAAGTACGGCCAGGTCTCTCTTGAGTCAAGGATGAGGTCAGTTGTCCTTCGTCAATCTTGACACACGCAGAGTTGAGGCAGAGACGAGACATGTATACGAACCTGTGTTCAAGCTGGAGGACAGAAACGTATAAAGTCCACCAGGTATGGCCGTACAACAGCATTCAACAGTTTACCACACAACCTAAACCAACACCACTCAAACCCTTCTTACATTCATCATGTTCGCTACCCGTGCTGCCACCGTTGCTTTCGCCGTGCTCGTCAGCCTCGCGTCGACCGCCAGAGCCGACTACTACGCAAACTTCTTCGACGGTGAGCGCGACTCCCATTTCTCGTCGCCTTGAACACGACGCTGACGACGTTGCTTCCTTTTGCTAGACTCAGCCTGCTCGGTCAACGGCGGCGAGGGTGTCTCGATCCACAACCCTGGCTGCCTCGGCGAGGCAGGTCGTGGATCCGTCTACATCCCCAACACGGGCCTCGGTACCACGGGCGACAACCAGTTCTGCCTCGTCATCACGAACGGCGACGGCACCTGCACATGTCAGAACCAAGGGTTCGACTTCACTGCGACCGGGTTCTGCAAGACGTTGGACCCGAGTGACCAGAGCTACCGTTTCATTGGTGTAAGTTAAAATTCTAATATTTCATCACTTGAGCTCATCATGTCATATGCAGGGCGCATGCTCTTCCAACAACTGCTAAGCGCACTTTCGCAAGGCGTCAGCGAGCGGGTGGGGGCATCGTACGTAGTATTCGTCTTAATGCTTAAATAACGAAGGACAAATGTGCCTGTGTTCGTTTGCGTATTATAATATCCAAATTAAACTCCAAGTCAGCTTCATAGTTGTAGCGAAGTCGTTCATAGTCTGCACTAGCGTTTTGCACACTACGATGCAAGTGGAATACGGTTTACCTGAGGAACGCCTCTGTGTCTTAACTCAATTCCAACTCTCACAACTACAGCGCTTCAGCTTCAACGACTAAGCAAATTTACTGAGCCGTTTCCTGCTTCCCGCCATAGGAAAATAAACATCCTTCGCAGACGGGTAATGCAAGCCAACTGCCCTCGTCTTAACAATTATCGGGTGAGTACGATACATGACTGAAATGACACATGCTAGTGGTATATGTGTATGTATGAGTGAGACGCCTAAATGCCGATGTGTAATGCCATTCGAAATGCAAGGTAAAAACAAAAGAGAACTCTAGATTACAGTAAATCCAACTTCACCGGATATAAGTCCCCCAAGCTCGAACATTGAGAAAGTCGACAACTATGGCTCAGGCGACGTCCTGAAACCAATCAGATTGAGGTCGTCCGACGATGCTTCCTCAAAGTCGCGTCTTCTACCGCCCCGAGTGCCAATACCCGGAGAGGGAGGCTTCCTAGTGAGCGCTTTCTTCAAGCTGAAGTGAGCGCGAGGCCGAACGCCTGAGACTGCTATGGAGTGCCTCGTCTTCCCCGGACGTCCAGCTATGCGTGCGCCCAAGCCAACCACAACGAGCTTGGGTGAGGCTTGCCGTTCCCTCCGTTCATCGTCTTCGTCGTCGTCGTCAGGGACCACATCGGGTTCAGACTCGGACGTGAGCCCGACATATCGAGCAGGCGCACTCGTACGTGGACGAAGCGCACGCCTGGACGGCCATTCTGCCTCAGAATCGGACTCTTCGCTCTGGTCCTCGCAGTCTTGATCGCCTTCGCCCTCCTCCTCGGCATCAGCATCTGGAGGCTCTTCGTATGCACTCGATGACAGCGATCGGCCCCTGGATATCGGTGATTGCGAGGAGGAACCGGAACCATCATCGCTCCGAGCACGTTTTAGGTCGATCCTGCCTGCCTGCGCGTCCGCAAGGAGCGAATGGAAGTTGCCAGACGACCGGCGAGCCTGTGGCGGGAGACGCAACATCGGCTTTGGCATCGGCCTGGGCATGCCTTTGGGTTTTGGAGGCGCGTGGTCTTGAGCGTGCACGGGCGTGACCTTGAACCGGGTACGCGACATGGGCTGGGAGTAGTACACGAACTCTTGCGCCTCGCTTTCGCTTTCTCCTTGCTGCGCGTTTGGACCGTCCTGTCCAGGAGAGTCAGAAGGGGTCTGAGAGGACCCACGACGACTTGAAGTAGCCTTCACCCCACTTTGCTTCGTTCGTTTCTGGTGCCTGGGAGCTCTAGCCTTGGGCGGCGAGTAAAACACGAAATCGTCGCTGTTATCCTCCTCTGCGTCCTCTTCCTCCTCTTCTTCAGTAGACGTACGCGTCTGCGCTCTCCGCTTGCGCCGCGCTTTTGCCTTGGGCGGAGAATAAAACACAAAATCGTCGCTCCGGTCCTCGTCCCCCTCGTCGTCCGCCTCCCGATACGACACGCGCCTTCCGACGGCCCCGTTCCTCCTCGCAACGACCCGCGTCGGCTGGGGCATAAGCAGCTCGTCCTCGCCGTCGCTCTCCACCCGCCCACCCCCATCCGCCGAGTCATCCTCGCTCGAACCGTCATCACCCCTGCGCCGGCGCCCTCTCCGACGCCTCGTGGCAGCGCGAGCCCGCCCAGGCGAGGGCTGGACATAGTCCCCGTCCCGCTCGACATCGTCCTCTTCCTCCATCGGCCAGTCCGAGTCGTCCTCGTCCGTCACAGCCCGACCAAAGGCGGGCCCATGCAGCGGGAGCGGCACACCGTCGCCCATACTGTGCCCGTAGTGGAGGTGGCGAGTGTGGCTAGCCCGTGAGGGCGTGTATCCGTACGCTGTTGTGGGCGACGACGACGACGGGAGGCGCGCGAGTGGCGTCGGCCATAGAGGCGTTGCGAACGGCGCTGGCGTTGCCGCTGCGCCTCCCGTCGTCGGACTCGGTGGTTCCATCGCGTCAAACCGGGGTACACGCTGACGCTTTGCACGAGGGGGACCCATAGGCGTGCTCGGGTATGCGGACGAGCCGGTAGCGGAGGTGAGGGCGGGGACGAACTTCCTCTTCCTCGCGCTCCCCTCTCCCACTGCGAGACCCTTCTCCCAATCTGTTTCCATTCCCATGGTTCGCGGGACAAGGCGCTCAGCAGCATCCAGCCTCTCCACAACGGTCTTCTTCATCTCCACGCGCGACGCCACGTCCCCCAAGACCGTAGGCATCAGCTTCGGCGTGAGCCCGCCTTCAAGCAGCTGAAGCGCACATCCCCACAGTGCAGCCTCAGCGCCACACAGCGCACACGAACGAAACAGAGCAGCAAGCACATCGAGCGAGCGAACCAGTCTCTCCGCCGGCGTTGACTCAGTAGAAGAGTCGGAACCAAGAGGCGTGGACGACGGTGTACGACTTCCGTCAGCCAGCGAAGAAACAGGCTCGACCAGCCACCCCAGCACGGCGACAAACGTGCTCGCGCCGAGCCTGCACTCCCGCAGGATCGCTGCGCCCACCCGCGCCTCGTCCGCGTGCCGCCTATCGCTACGGAGGAGCATAAGCACACCGAGACTCGCCGCGCCGTCCGCCACCATCTTCTCGACCATCGCCTGCGGACGATGCTGGCGTCTAGAGCGCCGCACGAGGCCCGAGCGACGAAGAAAGTCAAGAAGCGCAGCCACAGACCCGATCGCAGAGGCAGCAGCAGCAGCAACAGGCACGTCCTCCTGTGGCGCGCGCTGAGTAAGCGCATCAAAGATCCGCGAAAGCCAGCTCGCGAGCAGCATGTACAGCTCCGCGAGGCCCGCGAGATCGTCCATGGTCTTCTCGCGGTCAGCCCAGAGGGAAGCGGTCAGAAACCGCGCGAGCCCGAGCGTGAGCGCCACGAACGCCGGCAGGTCCGATGGCGCCGCCTGCTCGAGCTGCGGGTGGCGTTGTTCCCGCTCGCTCAGCAGCGAACGCGCGAACTTGCGCGTCGCCTTGCACGTCCACGCTTCTGCGCTGCGTGCGTCGACGAGCGCGTCCGCGACGGCGCTCGCGAAGGCTTCGGTGGTGAATACTTCGGTGCTTCCGCCGGCGTGAGAAGAGGGTGGGTGAGAAGGAGGGTTCGCGCGCTTCCATGCGTAGTGCAGCTCGATGAGGAACTTGGCATGGGCCGGGTGGGCGAGTGCTGGCGCCACCGATGTGGGAGATGTAGGAGAAATAGCGCGTGCGAGGACAAGTTTGAGGAGGCGCGTCGAGTCGGGAAGGAGCTCGGTGCCGTATGGGAGGCACGCGTCGAGCAGGAGCGAGAGCAGCGAAAAGTTGGGGACGCAAAGTGCGAGGGCGGCGGTTAGCGCGTGCGAGACGACCATGTATCTGATAGAGGTCCATCGTCAGAGAGGTGCGGGGGAAATGCGTGCAACTCACCGTCGATAGTGAGGCGGCACAGCGTCGAACAGCGCCTCGACGAACTCGATGAACTCGTCCTCGCCCACCTGCGGTTCCTCGTCGCCCTCCGTCTCGCTATCTTCTCTATCACCGCCCTTGCGGCTGTGAGCTGACCCCTCCCGCTCCTCGCCCATCTCTGCGCGGCTCAGCGGGACATGCACGCCCGCCACACCCGCGCAGAGCGCCGCCAGACTCGGGACCCTCACCCTTCCTTCCCCCTTCGCTGAGCCACCCTCTCCCCCCGCACAAGAGCCAGCCTTCGATAAGGCCTCCGGTATTGACGTCGACGTTGCCCCCGGCGCCGCCGCCGACAAAGCCCAAGACAAATGCGCCGGCGGCGCCCCACAAGCCACCTGCAGCACGTTCCGAAACGCATCGAGCACAGCATGCACCTTGCGCGCGAGCTCAAAGTTGGCGGCGCCCGCGCGGTCCATGCGCCGGTGGAGGCTCGTCGGGCGCACGGGCGCGAGCACCGTGAGCGGACCCGGGCCGCTGTCTCCTGCTCCTGCACTTGATCCTGCTCCTGCACCCAGACCCGATCCACCTGCAGCGTCGCCAACTCTGCCTCCGTTCCTCCTTCCTCCCTGCCCATTTCCACTCCTCCCCCCATTACCTTCAGCCGGACTCCGCCGTTGCCCATTGGAGGACGAAGTATATGTGATGATGGGCGCAGGAGGCGCTACAACGTAGAGAGGCGTGTTCGCCTGTGCCAGAACCGCGCATTTCGTGCGCAGCGGCCGGAGGAGGCGGTTGACGCGCGAGGATGTGAGGTGTGTGCCCGTCGCGGTCGGGTTGCCGGTGGACATGTACCACGTTAACTTCTGGTTTGTGCAGTCTATAGTCGGTCCGCTTTCTGAGCGTACAAGTTGGTTAGACTCGTGTGTTTCTTGATTCGGTTTGTTTGAGGGCTTGAGGTGGGACGGTGAGAGGCGATGTGGTTGGTGTCGTTGTCGAGAACGGGAAAGGGGAGTTCAATTGGCGGCGCGTAGACGCGAACGAACGGCAACACGTGACACCGTAGACAGGGGCACAGAAGTGCTCATGTTTTGCTTTTCATCTTACATTGCTCGGGTACTCTTAGCTTACAAGAAGACCTAGTGAAATTAAATATGTTGATTCCCGGTATGTGGTTATGGCGTCGGCTGCCGTTCATCACCAGATCGCGCAGGGCAGTAGGGAAGTGGTCAAAGTCCATCTGGCTCAGGGAGCGCAGGCGAGAACCCGACGGCACCAATCTCACAAAAAGGATGTCTGAAAGCGTGAAGAAAGTATACAATTTGATCGAAACGAGAGGACCTGCCCTCTCTCTTGTAACGGCATCATCTGGCTAGGCTTGCGCTCATGCGTTGAACTGCGAATAGCGAAAGCACATCATGTCAAGTAATCAGAAACCAAACGACACGGAAATTGGATATAGGAAACGCACAGCAAGGAGGTAGGATTCGGCGACGATACGCGCGCGTGCGTTGAGCGAGAGCTTCATCTCGCTGATCTCCCGGTCGACGTCTTCCATGAACCTGTATCGGGAGCTTAGGAGGGAAACGCAAGGGAGCATGTTATATGAAGGGCGCACTGGATGATAAAGTCCACAATCTTGTGCTTCAGCATCGTCTCCGAGTGCACATTCGTGATCAAGAACGAGATGTCGTAGCCCTGTCACATATAATTGAGCCAGTATCTCGCAGTCATACTGCACAGAACAACGCACCGGAACAGGTTTCCTCCGGAGGACGACGAACGACTCGGCGCGCTGCATCATGAAGCGGGTGAACTTGTGACAGAGGATGCGCTCGATCTCATCGGCCTGCTTGATGCGGATGCTCATCCGGAGCGAGTTGACGGACGGCTCGATCAGCACGCGCTCGTTCTCGTTGCGGGAGACGATGAGTGGGTTGAGGAGGACTTCTTTCGAGCCTCTGTATTATCATGGTCGTGTTCCCATCGCAGAGGCGCATAGTGAGTTGGATCGAAGGTCGTGCATGGGTGCGAGTACAGGATTGGCCAGGTTGGATGTACATGGTCAGACGATCAGCGTGTGCCGTGATGGATAGAAGAGAGGAGAAGCGCACTGGACTTCAATCTCGGGCTTGTTGTGTCTCTCTACCACCTGCAAGCATCCGGATCAGACTACCCATGTCCACCGCTGCGATTAGATGCAAGGCTGCGCACCTGGGACGAAAAGTCCTCGAGCGTAAGCGCCGCCGTGAGCGTTGAGCGCACTGCAGAGAGATATTGTCTCAGAACGTTTGACTTGGTGAGAGTATATTATCAGCATCGCGTCTATTCCGTACTGAACCACGCACCATCGCAACTTGGGGAGGAGGGAGAGGGACAAGCGGAGTCTGAAATGCACACGCGCTGCAGCCTGTGACGGCGTTTTGATCTTTTGAGGCACGCGTTCGTTGGCCTTTCTTCAAAATTTCTCTGACCTTGTCCTCTTCCTCCTCCCTTTCCTCTTTTTTACTTTGTTTATTGATATCTCAAAAATGCCTGTAGCCATCGCAATCTGGTGCGTACATCCTCACCTCCATCTCCACCTCCATCCACTGCTTCGCACTCGCGCATATATGCATCTTCATCCGTCAAATAACCCAAGCACCTAACTTCGCGTATAATCCTTTCGCACAGGCACGTCGCCCTCGAGCCCGGCAAACCCAAAACCGTCATCCCACAAGCCGACATCAACATCAAATTCGCCGCCTTCGGCGACGTCCTCGCCGCATCGGGCGCGTCCGGCCGCTCCTCCGTCAAGTTCACGTACACCACGCCTGCCGCCGTCGACTCCGACGACGAGGCGGATGAGGACGAGGACGACGATGAGGAGGGCGGCATGACCGGCAAGCCCGCGACGACGTTCCTCTGTGCGCTCACGCCTGGGACGTGCGAGACGCAGGTGTTTGATCTCGTGTTGGAGCGGGACGAGGAGTATATCTTCGAGGTCGTTGGCAAGAAGTGAGTCGAAATAGCGGTTGTGCTCGGGAGGCGTGTTACTGATCAGTTCGGCCGCGCAGCACGGTCTACCTCAACGGGAACTACGTTGGTAAGTTTCACCTGTTCACTTGAGCACGGGTATGCCTAGTGCTAAGTGGACGTAATATTATGTCATAACAGACCAGGTTCCGCCCGACCAGCCCCCCTTTGACGAAGAAGAGGAATACTCCGATGAGGAGGCCGCGTTCAACCTCGAAGACGTCTCCTCCGACGTCGAATACGCCGCTGACGACCTCGAGGAGGAGGATGAAGACGCAGAGTGCGTTTGATATGACCTCCCCGCCTCTTAATCAGCCCTGATGGCGCTTCCTGCGTATACAGCCGCTTCGAAGAAATCGCCGACTCCCCAAAACAGTCCACCAAGAAGCTCAAGCGCGCGCGCGAGGAGGCGATGGACGAGGACGAGGCGCCCGAACTTGTCCCCGCCGACGGCGCGAAGCTGAGCAAGACGCAGCAGAAGAAGGCGAAGAAGCTCAAGGCCGAGGGCGGGAAGGCTGTCGCCGTCGAGGCCACCACGACCACGACCAAGACCGAGACCGCGCCCAAGGACAAGGTGGCGGACAAGAAGGATGAGAAGAAGGAGAAGAAGGAGAAGAAAGACAAGAAGGGCAAGGACAAGGCCGATGAGAAAGAGAAAGATAAGAAGGACAAGAAGGACGACGCGAAGGCCCCCGAGTCGAAGACGCTCCCCGGCGGGCTCATCGTCAAGGACTACAAGGTCGGGACGGGCAAGCAGGCCAAGACGGGCTCGCGCGTGTCGATGCGCTACATCGGCAAGCTCACGAACGGCAAAGAGTTCGACAAGAACGTCAAGGGCTCACCCGTACGTCCCCCTCCCGTTTAATGTGAATAGCGGGCTGACGCCATGCACGCAGTTCTCGTTCAAGCTCGGCGTGGGCGAGGTCATCAAGGGCTGGGACCAGGGTCTGATCGGCGTGCAGGTCGGCGGCGAGCGCGAGCTGACTATTCCGCCTGCGCTTGCGTACGGCAAGCAGAAGCTGCCCGGTATCCCACCTAACTCGACGCTCAAGTTCGGTGCGCTTCGTTTCTCTGTCTTGATTTCGCTCTCTGACGAGTGTTTTTTTACATGTATATAGAGGTGAAGTGTCTTTCCATCAGCTAAGTGCGTTCGACGTCGACTGCGTGTGCGCGATGTACATTGGCGGACTGCGTTGGCTGGCAAAAAAAACGCTCGAAAACGAAAACAAAACGTCAAAACGTCAAAAGTGACCCCCAAGAACCCGATTCGCTGGATCTATCTTTGGTTACATATCCCCCTACTTTTCCTGTACGTACAGCGCGCTGTGATCGTATTGACGGCAGGAATGATACATACGCATGCTGCGTGTATATGCTTATGCTTATGCTTATACCTGTTCTCGTGAGGACGGCGCCACCGGTGTCTTGAGCTGCGCGCGGAGGTAACTTTAGAGTGTGTATTATGCGCTACGCACGGCTTACAGCGTTCGGTAAGTTGATTGTTGTAGACGATCAGAACGGTGGCGAGGACAGCGTCCGACTCGGAGCTCGCGGGACTCGAATCGTTAACTAGATATTCTCGACGTCCGAATAGGGTCGAGGCTCAAGCTCAAGCGCTCAAGCCCAGTCTTCCAACCCGAGCGGTTGGGCTGTACTGTACGTGTGCCACGTCGATCAACGGGGCTTCTCGGAAATGCGTGTACTTGAATTGCGCGCGAGGCGCAGAGCGGGTGATTCGTAGATGGTGTATGATGTTGGGTAGGGAGCAAGCGGACGTAATGCACAATGTGCGATGTGGCATGTACTTACCATAGGCGTTGGCGGTGGCGGAGCGGGATCCTCGAGCGCTAAACCGCGGTGGTAACAGGGCGCTTACTTATGTAATCGCTGATCGTGAAGACAACGGTTCAATGTATTGGCGGTGCTATGCCAAGTACTTCATGCTGTGTTGTGTTACGGTGCTGTATTCGATGATGATTGCTATAGAGAGGGTTTGGAAGTGTAAAGCATCGGGCGGTGATCGATGACTGATGATTGTGATGAGCATCAGTTCCGGGCTGCAGTGTGCACCAGTGTGGCATTTGCGCAGAGTTTGAGCATACTTGTAGGGTGTGTTGAGGGTGAATGCCGCGGTGCGTGCGTGCTCTGCATCGTGCAGAGAGAAGAGAGAAGGGAAAGAGATGCGAAAAAGAAGGTGAATGGGTGTCGCTGTATGTTGCTGGGCGAGCTTCGACGGTAACGAGGGTGCACTCGACCTGAGAACAGATGCAGCATGGCGAACAAAAGAGTCAACTTTGTGAGGAGGCGAACACACCCTCCCTCCGCAGTACATAAAGACGCGAAGTGAGCTACATAGCAAGGGGCATCGTTAACGTCGAAGTTCCGTAGGCGCAATTCAAAACGAGAGTCGAGACCGTCAAGTCGTTTGAAGGCCATCGTTGGCCGCAAGCCAGGGGCTCGTCGCCCGGGGTTACCGAGCCAATCGCGGCACGCTCTGGGGTCTACTGCCGCCGAGGAAGCGAGGGATTGAGAACACTTGAGCAGACGACCACGCGCGTCGCGGGGTTGCTGTGTGCTCCGCAGCAGGGAAGGCTGGAAGGTCGAGCAGCGGGCACGGCGAGTTTTGTCCACTTGCATGAAGTCAATGGACAACAGCAGCCACTGGCTAGCTGGAGGATCGTCGGGTTATGAGGCGCTCGGAAATGTTGGAGATGGGCTGGGTGCAGGTTGGAGGCGCAGTTGTGTGTGGAGTGCGAAATGAACAGGTCCCCAGGCGGTGAATAACAAAAAAAGGCCGAGACGAGCGAGGCACGGCCTCAGCATGCCAAGCACGTCGCAAGATCCTTCCTAGGGGGCAGCAGCAGCAAGTGTAACAAAGTGTGGCCTCCTGAAAGACGATGACGCTGTTCTGAAACTCGAGTGTGGTATGTTTGATGACGCATGGAGGGGTTGTGCTAAAATAAAGCAATTCTCCGCAGTGTGAGACAGGTCGCCGAGCAATCCATCGGCCACAGATCCAAGTCTAGGGCGTTGCTTGGTCAGCATTCCGGTGCAATTCGCTCGCCCGTATATAAGGCCCCCGTCTCACAAAAACTCCCTCACGACTTCCTCCCTCTTAACCTTACACTCACCCACCGTATAATCCTCCTTTTACTTGCTCGACGCAACATCATGAAGGTCTCCTCAGCAGTTATTCTCGCAGGCGCCGGCTTCGCCTCTGCTCAGTCGTGCGTGCCCCTTCCCCGCACTTCTTTCCTTCGCTTCCAAACAGCCGACTGACGTACAACAAACAGCCTTTCGTCGCAGTGCCAGTCCACGCTCGCGAGCATCGCTACGTCTTCCGAGGGCTCGTGCCTCAACCTCGCCGGCCTCATCCCCCTCGCAACCGCCAACAGCTCCTCGACCTCCGTCATCAGCCCCATTAACTCGTGGCTCTCGGGCGTCTGCAGCGTCGGCGCGTGCTCCAACCAGACCCTCTCTGACGTCGTCACCAACGTCACCAGCGGTTGCTCGAGCGACCTCCAGGGTCTCGGCATCAGCTCGTCCAACGCGCAGGAGATTATTCCCTATGTCCAGGAGGCGTACCCTGTCGTCAGGCAGATTGCTTGTCTCCAAGAGTGAGTTTCTTGTCCCTTTTTATTTTCTCTGCCCCACTTGTGCGGTTGTTCCGTGCCTATTTATATCACATCTCCCTTGCTCCGATCATACGATGCTGACTTGTGACATCAGCACCACGACATCGCAGAACTGCGTGACCGAGACGCTCTACGGCATTCAAAACGCCACCACCACGCTCTCGCTCACCAACATCGTCGGCCTCTTCAGCCAGCTCCAGGCTGGCCAGGTCCCCAATATCCCCAAGAACGTTACTTGCTCGGACTGCACGCACGCCGCGTACACGATTGCTTCCCAGTCCGCACTCTCGTCGTACCTCTCCTCGGGCACAAACAGCTCCGTTGCGAGCTACTGCGGCGGTGACTTCACCAGTGCGTTTACCTCTATCCACATCTTCTTTGAGATGGCGTGTGCTCACGTGTGATTTCTTCACCACTTGCAGACGGCCAGACGCCCTCGGACGTGAAGGAGACTGCGAGCTCCGGCTCCAGCTCTGGCAGCTCCGGTTCCGCTGATGCTATCGGCGTCCCCGCCGGCGCCGCGTTCTTCGTCGCCCTCGGCTCGCTCTTTGCTATGCTCTAAGCAAACGCCGAGCATTTGAGGATCCGCGGTCTGATATGACTTGATTTGATATACCTAAAATTGATCATCGAACTGGACTCGGAAGAGAGATTTAAATGCAATGCGTAGTACTTATATAGTCTGGACAGTTTGCTTGACAGACGATTGTGAATGTTTGGCTGGATGGTTGATGTGTGCTTGCTTGCGATATACGTAGGGCGGGTTGCTCTAATGGACTATTATCGTGTGTTGATGATTAGGTTGCGTGACTGCGAGGTGCCGCTTCTATGCGCGTGGTTGTGTGCTGGGGGTGGTTTGCGAGGCTATTCAGGGTTTGGAAGTGGGCTATGGCCACACCACCTGCAACCCTCCTTCTCCTGTCCTTTTCTTTCTAGTTCTTCGGCTCCGACTATGTCGCCCCATTCGTGAAGATCTCCACATCCGAGCGTAGTGTTTGAGCCGTTGCAACTGGTTGGCCAACTAACCATCTCTCGACCTGGTTTATTATATTTATTGACATTAACCTTCAGGAGAACAGGTCCGACCTCTAAACGATTCCAAATATCTGTAATTATACGCTTACATTATAATCACCAAAGGCGCGGAAGTGGGCATCTCCACGGTCAATCGTGTCCAATAGTTGAGTTTTCCCTCACATCACCATGTCATTATGGCTGTGATTCAGCCTCTTTCTTTGCTCTTTCTCGGTGTGTCGCCAACGCGCTTCTCCTTGTCGGCCGTTTTGGACAGTTCAACCAAGGTTTGGCGGGGGGTACTACTCGTGTCAAGTTCAGCATTTACCCTGGCTTTTGGTTGCTTTTGGTTGACAATGATATGAGGGCAGGAATTGGCTCTTGGGGCCACCGTTGACCATCTTTCAGCTTATGAGCCGGAGCGTACTATGGTTTTTGCGACACAGCTGTTAAACTTTCGGATGCAGGTCCCCGATCCAACCGACGGGAGGGAGCCAGTGAGCGCACAGCCACATTGCGAGCTGCGAGAGGCCGCCGATTCTCAGCCGTCATGTCAAAACAAAATGACAAATATCCCGACGCCCTCTCAGACGGATGTCGCCATCCAGAATGCGGATGGTCGAAAGTCTTCTCATCGCGCTTCGGGCCCTTTCGCATGCCTACTAGGTCGAAGGTTTGAGCGAATTTGTGTCAGGAGCGTTCACTTCGCCACGCGAAGGGCCGGACACTTTCGTATACCTACTACGTCCAAGATTCAAGCAAAATCTTGTGTTCGGTCATTTCATTTCTATGTTTAAAATAAATGCATTACTGAGCATGACCGGGATATGACAAACTGTCCGCGATGTCGACGGGTATAAAGGCGAGGGTCATTATACCCTCAGCAACGACATCCAGAACAGGTCCACTACATCCTCACAAGTTGCAACTACTCACATTTATCTTGATCTTTACCACAATGGCCATTGAAACGCTCTCCCCCCGCGACGTCACCGGCACGCTCAGCTACTTCGCGGGCAAAGACGCCTATTACTACGTCGGCGAGCCGCCCGCGGGCGTGCCTCGGTCGAACATAGAGGAGAATCTGAGGCCGTACGAGGTCACGATTCACGATACGCGTGGAAAAGAGGACGCGTTCTCGCTCGACACCACGGGGTTCGCGTTTGTTCGCTTGCCGAGCGAGGAGAGGGAGTTCAAAGATGAGGAGGCGATCAGGGGCGGGTATTATAAGGAGATCGAGGAGCTGTTGAAGGCGCAGACGGGCGCGAAGAGGGTTTTTGTGTTTGACCACACTGTCAGGTATGTGAATCCTAAATCGTGCCGAAAGGTATTGCATGAAACTTGCTCACATTAACTGGTACATAGGCGACCTCCGACGCCAGAGTCTCTGGCTGACAAGAGCTACAGGGGACCTTCGGTAGGCATAAGTGTTACCTGTAGGTCTGAGGTTGGCGTGATCACTTACTGCCTGCACTTGCAGCGCTGGGTCCACGGCGATCAGACAACCCAGGCCGCCATCCATCGCGTCTACGATCACATGGGTGCCGACGCCGACCGCCTCATCAAAGGCCGCTGGCGCATCATCAACGTCTGGAGGTAAGCACCCAACAAGCCCCAAAGCATACCACGTCGCGTGCCCGCCGGACTTACCCCTCCTTCCCCCTTACCCAGACCTATCGAAAACCCAGTCGCACACGACCCGCTCGTGCTCGGCGACTGGAGGACGCTCAACACCGCCACGGACATCGCGCCCATGCGGCTCATCTACCCGCACAAGGTCGGCGGCACGCTCACCGTGCGGTACAGCGCCGCGCACCGCTTCCACTATCTCTCGGGGCAGACGCCGGACGAGGTGACGCTGATCAAGTGCTTCGACTCGCAGGACGGCGTCGCGCGCTTGGCGCCGCACACGTCGTTCAAGGACAAGACGAGTCCATCGGACGCGCCGCAGAGGCAGTCGATCGAGGTTAGGGCGTTGGTGTTTGACCTCGAGTGAGCGGGTGAAGGACTTTATGTTGGCGAGAGAGGACTGGTGCCTGTAGCTGTTTTGATGATGCAATGAAATGAGATTCGTGCCGGTTCAGTATCTCTGAGATGAACCTATGTGGAGATTCTATGCCAATTTGAAGGGAATATTCGAGACTTGAAGTTTGATCGGCGTTGCAGTGGAAGGTTAGCGGGGACTCGGCGTGTGGTCGTTGGATTATGGAGTGACAGTCGATGATTGAGGATGGCAACGTGGAGCGAGCTATAATGCCGTCTGTTGGAAGCGGGCATTGTGATATTGTGACTGTATCATGAGGATACAGAGGTGTTTCAGGTGGTTTTACGCCGAGGGTCTTGCTAGTACCACTTTCACTTAACAGCGCCAGATGGTCACAATAGATCGTCTGCCGAGGGTCTAGGAATTAGTTTGAACCCATCAACGAACACGGCGTGAGTGTGATAGGATGATGTACAACGGTGGATTACACGCTCAGGATCATACCCGTTAAGTACTCGCCTTGTCAATGTAGATATCATCCGACCTCCAGCCCTCCCTCTCCGCCGCATCCAGCCACTTCTGACCCTTGCGTCTCGCCGCGTCCAGTGCGACGCGGTGCAGCGGCACGCAGAACGGCCACTCGTGCTCGTCGGAGACATCCGCGAGGTCAAGCACGACTTTCGCGAACTTGCGCGGGTCGCCGGTGAAGATGCCCTCGTTGGGGTACCCCGTGCGGAACTTGCTCACGGGCAGCTCGGGGTTCGTGTATGCGGGGTGCGGGGGCTCGAGGATGTTTGTGCCGGGAGCTCCAGTCTTGAAGAGGGCCGGTTCGATGATTGTGAACTGGGGGAGACCATGGTTAAGTTGGCTCGGTTCGGGAAGAGGTGAGAAAGATAAGAGGACGAACCCATATGTTCCATGCCTTGTCCACTTCCTGTGTGTACCCCTCTGTTAGTGCCTCAAGGGCTGATGGTAGGCGGATATCAAAGGTGTGTACAATCGTGGCGAACGAACAAACTCACTTGATTTCCTTTACACAGGTCAGCCGCCAGTGTTTCAGTGAACCCCATCCCTCAAATACAATATCGAAGTCTCGACGCACGCAGCAGCATAATGCGCAACCCCCGCCGTTGCCTCGATGCTCGTCCTCGACGTCACCCAGCTTCCCCCCGGGTGGAATCTGCTCCCTGAACGTTCGCACCGCCTCTCGTGTGACGTACGACGCGCCCCAGAATACGACCTCGAACTACTTCCTCGCCATCGCCTCCGATATGCCCTCCGCCTCGGACACGACGCACACCCCAGCATTGTTCAGCACGACATCGACGCGCCCGAACTTGCTTCTCGCCGCGTCAAACGCGGGTCCGATCGCGGACTCGTACGTGACATCGAGGGTGTGGAGCTGGAGCTGGGTGGACGGGTAGCGCGCTTGGAGCTCCGCGAGAGCTGAGATGTTACGGAGCGTCGCGAAGACGCGGTCGCCGCGCCCGAGGGCTGCCTTGGTGACTTCGAGGCCGAAGCCAGAGGATGCACCGGTGACTGCGGGCGGTTGTTCGAGTTGGGGAGTGAGCGTCTCGAGTGCATGGAATCAAACAGATAAGATCGCTCACCAAACCAGACTCTGGGTTCTTGAGCGGGTGCTGCCATGTCGCGTACTGCTAAATGACCTTGTTGGTCTCTTTCAAGTTGCTCTGTTGATTAGTGTGATGAAATGCTAGAAGGGGATACGTGAAGCTTTGAAGTCCCGGACCAGCTCTGGATCTTTCCGAATCAGGTTGGAGACCTTTGCAAGACGGAAGATGTGCTGATCGAGACGCTCCTTTCTTCGCGATATTATTCTTTCTGCAGAGCCAGAGAGTTCATTTTTATTCCTGCAACCATCAGTGATAGCTCAATAGTGAAAGATACAGACAGCAGTGCAAGGAGACTCGAGGCGGTAGCATGTTGGGGGATCGGGTTCGGATGATTCCGTACTGTTTATTCTCCGTCGGAAATTAGCCCCTATCTCAATGAGCACCCACAATCAATTGCTCACAACAAGGCTCACAATGGTTCGCCAACTTCGCCTGCCAATACACTTTCCCAATGTCCTCACGACGGCAATGTAGACTCCGACATATAATTCCCGCACCGTGTTCGTGAAGTGATCCTGAACGTCGAAGCTGAATGGAAGGAACAACGAAAGGTTGGGGAAAGGACTTAATTTTCGGGATTCGCCGAAGCAAGTTTTCTTTTTTCCTACGACACCGTAGCCTCCCAGGCCCCGAGATAGATGTGAGCTCAGCGATTTCTCCTACAAAACAGCTATGACACTAAATCATCTAGGTGGCCTTGGTAAAGTCTTGCTTGGCTACTGCTCAAACGAATGCAAACAAACGGCCATTTAGAGCCATTTCGGTTTGAAAAGTAGCTTTTGACACAGAAAGAAACTCAAGCGGGAGGCTTCTGCACCGGCTACGCCTCGGCCAGAGTGCAAGAATGAGAACGCAATCTCACGCGCCTCCGGTATCGGAGCCGTAGGTGTCATAATTCATCGTATGACTCCAGTATTTGGAACATGGAACAGCGGAGAACCCCGTCGATTTAGGTAATATTGCCTCTGCCTACGCTCTCTCGATGATTTTTGGTCCGCCATGTCTGGGGAATAAACGTCGCTGAGGAATCGTCTCTGACAGTTCAGGATTCTTGAAAAGCATAGAAGAGGATGCCTTTCAAAGTACGGATGCTCAAAACATTTCCAACACCATGTCGTTCATCTTCAAGGAACTCCCTCGCTTCTCAGTTGAACCGCTTCTCGAAGTCTCTTCCAACTCGCGCGCTTTGGACGCCGTCGTCATTTCATTTGGCGTCTGGCTCCTCCTCAAAGTCGGCTGCATCGCTCGCCGCTGCCTGGTCGCCACCAGCCTCCCAGGTCCGCCGCGGACAAATCTCCTCCTGGGCGAAGGGCATTTCATCAACGAGAGTAACGATCCGGCCGCAATTTTCGAGAGCTGGGAGAAGAAGTACGGCGGCATCTACTCGATCCCTTCGACTGCTTGGATGAACCAGATTGTGCTATGTGATCCCAAGGCTGTCGCGCACTTCTACCACTACGAGACGACGCGTTACTCGCGACCGGAGGTGAACCAACCTACGGTAAAGGCTTCGGTATGTTTGTCTTTGCTATTGTCTTCCGGGGTAGGATGTTCACTTGCGACTGGCAGACAGGCGAGAGCATCATTGTTGCGGTTCAGGACAATCACAGAAGGTATGTGGCCTACATACTCGTTCGTTGTTAGGCGTTCATTGTTCTAAACAGGCAGCGTAAGGCAATGGCTCCAGCGTTTAGTAACGCTGCTATTCGTATTTGACACCCTTATTCTATGGATCTGCTTGCAAGGTGAGCACAGCTACTACAGTCTAAAATATCTGGATCAGCCAAAATGACATGGCTATCAGGTCGTCGATGCGTGGTCTGCCATCCTTGATGCGTCAGAAAACAACGTCATCGAAGTTCAAACCTGGATGAACCATGTTTCGTAGGTGCCTCCAAAGGCATCTCCCATTCTAAATCTGACATAAGTGTTTCACCCAGGCTCGGCTCCATTGGAATCGCCGGTTTCTCGCATAATTTTGGAGCTCTCTACGGCAAGCAATGCGACGTTGCTGACATATTTGACGAATTTGTCGAAAAACAACCTTTGATGGTCCACAAGACCGCGCTTCTGCTCGGGCTCGTTTTCCCATTCATAATCAAGCTGCCCACCGGTCGTATGCAACTCTTCCGGAAGCTAAACGCCGCCCTTGGTGGTGCAGCAAAGGAGCTCGTGGAGCGAATGCGCCAAGAAGAGCTAGGTATGATCCGGGGGTAGGATGAGAAGTCGGTCATCGGATTACTCGGTAGGTCCATTATTTTGATAATAGACGTTCTCTTGATTGAAACTCATAGTTAAGTCTCGTTCGCTTTGCGCAGAATTGCAGATGTCGGAGGAAGAAGTGCTGTCTCAGATCAAGCTGCTTCTGTTGGCAGGCTACGAGACCACCTCGAGTACGTGTTCGTTCCACCGAATCTTCAATGCTGAATGCTGAAATGTCCCTAAATAGTCAGTTTGTCGGTGAGTAACCTTGACAAGCTGATAAATAAACAGATGCTCATGGGTAAAAGTGGATATTGGCTGAGCTAGCGCAACACAAAGACGTCCAGGAAAAGCTGAGGGAGGAACTTTCCCAGTTCGTCGGTAAAGACCCGTCATACGATCAGCTCACCAGCGGGCTACCATACCTCGACGCGGTTGTGCTGGAGACATTACGGCTTCACCCTGCTGTTACGGAGACCGCTCGCATCGTACGTATAACATTATACTCGGCTCATGTCTGGATTTCTTACCGCTCCATACATCCATTCAGGCTATAGAGGACGACGTCATCCCCGTCAGTGATCCTATCAAAGATTTACACGGCAACCTTGTGCACCACGCCATCGCCAAGGGCACCCATGTCACCGTCTCAATGGCATACATGAACCGCTCTGAGAAATTATAGGTCCCCGACGCGAAGCAGTTCGACCCCGAACGGTGGTTCAACCCCAAAGGGCTTGAAACGCGCGCGAAAGAAATTCAGGGCCATAAGCACCTGCTGACGTTTATCGACGGCCCGCGGACGTGTCTTGGCAAGGCATTCGCGCCCGCGGAGTTCAAGGCGGTGTTGTCGACACTCGTTAGGAACTTTGCGTTTGATATGTGGGATGCGGATGCGAAGATTAAGGTGGCCAGGGGCTTGTTTTCCGTGCGCGTGTAGTTGGAGAGAGCAAGGTGGACCTGCCTTTGCGTGTTACGATACTGTAATATAACCATAAATCGAGCATGGGTGTAGATGAACGCTGTCGTATGTAAACGCAATTTGTCAACTTAAAGTGACTGTCGAGAGTGGCGCAGATCGATTGCATCCGAAGGAGGGGTACGCGTTGGTGTGGTTAATTTGCCTTTCTCACGGTCACCACTGTTGCCTCGAACCCTCACCATCAAGCAAAGCTCTGGAAACCAACATGAACCGCTGCCTGGGTACTGCAGAACTTCTGGACATCATCATCGAGAAACTCGATGGAGATCGGACCAGCCTAAGCTGTCTCGCTCGTGTGTGTACGTCACTCAAGGAACCTGCTCTAAACGCTCTTTACTACAAGATGGATTGCTTCGAAGATTTGCTCGAGGTCATTCCTGAAGACGTTCTACCCTTTCAGCAAGAACAGCCGGGGTTTAACTCCTGGGTAAGGCGTTTTACTAATTGACCAACTCTAATCGCTCACTGTGAGACTCAGAATTTCCACAGGCGCATGGCACGCGACGAGTGGCACATGTTCATATCGTACACAACTCGGGTCAGGGATATCAAGATCGAGTTTGTAGACAGTCATATGGACTCAGTATGGAACGTCTGTACGGTTCTTGGCTGGCATTGTTCCGTGGCTACTCTGTTCCCGAACCTACTAAAGCTTACGGTGTTGGCCAACCACATGGGATCTGCTGGTCAATTCGTGGGTCGTCTTTGTCTCGGCAAGAAGCTTCAATCCTTGGTCATCAAAGATTGTAACACAGAGCTATGGCTTAAAGGCTTGCAGAGTAGTGGAGCCCCTTTATTCTCCCGTTGCCCCCTATTGGAAGCATTTGAATGTGGGCCCGACGATCAGAACCTCGAATATCCGAACGCGTCCAGCATTGTCACGGACAGTATTTGCGGATGGCCAAATCTTCGGACTCTTAATTGCGGCCCTCTAGAGCCCCGTTCTATATCGCATGTAGCTGCTATGCCATCCTTTAATCGTTTGCGGCTTGCTCTTAGCGAAGAGACACATTGGCCGGACGAAGGCTACTGCTTTGGCTTACGTGCGCTTGAGGCGCTGATTGTTGACTCTCACGATTATTGTTCCTTCGAGAAAGTATCTAAAGCACTGGCAAGCCTCTTCCGACTCGGGGTTCATGCGCATCCGCCACAGGCATCTCTTCGTCACCTCGAAGTACAGTCAACTTCGATGTCTACCTCTTCCCTATCTACGCTCGCTGTTGTTATGGCTTCATATGTGTTCCATCATACCCTTCAGAAGGTCATCATTCGCGATGGATGCTTGTTTCCTGGACGCACAGGACGAGCTACAGGTATATCAGGTCGCGATATCTCCGCATGGCTTCAAACGCTGCGCCCCTTCCAGCGGCTGACTCATATAGACCTCAGATACACGCACTCACCTTATGGAGAGGATTTTCCTATTCCAGTCGGCGTACTGCTCGACTGTGCGCGTAGTTGGCCACATCTCAGGTCCCTCGTGCTCTGGTTTATCACAACGTCGCTCACGCTTGTAGACACAATCAACTTGTTACAGGTTTTGCCGAAGCTCGAGACTCTAGGCATTGGGATTCGAATGACGACGGACGCGATCATGTTGGTCGTCAGAGAAAAACTCCCGTTACCATCAAATGCACAGATAGATACTTTAGCTATAGAACATGCTGACGCAACCGATGCCACGCAAGACGTCGAGCCCTTGAGCACCCTCCTTGTCCAACTCGTCCCTCGCTTATCCAAGGTTCTAAAAGAGGACCATTCGACGTACGCGGTTAGAGCAGACCGTTCACCGTTTTGGGTCGCTGTCTTGGCCAAGGTTCATAACCAACGGGCTGCCTAATGCGCTTACCTACTCACAAGTTTCCTCACTTTACTAGATGTTACCTCAGTTTACCTCAGAAGAGACAGGGAACGATCGAAGTTTCGAGGAGTAAATTTAGTCACGGTAGATAGCACCTAAGGAAATCTATATAAAATTTATCTGCAGTGGCTGCTGTCTAGCGGAGTGGGACAAGTTTTGGGGCTGTCTTTATGCATTACTCAGCTCGGTTAGTTACGTTCGTCTACGGCTTAGCTTCGGCTGCGTGTCTTACCTCGTGTAGACAACACCATCTATACGATGCCTGTGCATCGAGCGCCACCACAGACACCTTCCGTCTATTTCAGTGTTCACATGATAACCGTTACCGAGGCTGCGCTACATGTGGCAGAGCGGCGAACGTTAGAAGGAACATGCATTTTTCGGCGTTTTACCTGTAGGACATTGACTGAATCAGTAATGCGCCTTTCGTCAGCCCGCCGTACGGTGAAAAAATCTTTACCGTTGACTTCCACCGACTACAAGTTCCACATGAGCCAACGTAAGACTAACGAGGGTACCACTTTTAGGTCTATACAGGAGGAGTCTGCTAATTCCCAAGCAAAATCGCAGCGCATCTGGTATTTCGCTCGCCTGAGCGAAATACCAGACTTGCAAAGAAGCTATGCTAATTAACGGTGCTCCCATAGACAGCAAAAAGATGGATATGAGCTCGAAGTTTAGGATAGCGCTGCGAGCTAAATGGTCAGAACAGAGAAGAAAGAGGTCTGAGGCACAAGGAGAATTCGTGCTAAAGCCGCGTCTTCGAGAGAACCTGATGCGCTGCGAGTAGCCGAACGATAGTGGCGTATCTCTCCCTCAGCTTGTGCCTTGTATTTCCTATCTGGATCAGCAGAGCTTTTGGCGCTTCATATTTTGAGGGAACCCCGGGATTGGATACACGTGTATGGTTGATTGGATGATAACAAGCCGAGGGTAAATCGAAGAACGGGATTACTGGTCCGTGACTTGGCGTAAGAAGTGGGAACTGTAATACTGTACAAGGCATACATACGCCGGGTGTTATTTTGGGCCTCACGCGCTCGCTGTTGGACCATGTGCGACCAATTGTTCGAGGAATTTTACCGAAAGAGCCTGTAGCCTGGCAGGCGAGTGTACGATTGATATTACGAGAAAATCGGCGTCTTGCAAGGTGAAGAAGTCAAGATCCGAGTCGCGAGAATGAGGGTTGCTTAGCACGAAGGCGGCGATATGATAGTCGGCTGATGGTCAGCTGAAGGGCATATGACAAGGTGTCGAAGATGGACCTTAGGCGTGTTGATCATGCCCTGGAGCGAAATGTGCCGCCAAAGTTCTAAGCGCTCGTATCGCAGTAGACCGCCTATTCGAGTGCCGCTGGGTGTCCGGTTGGAGCACAGACGTCATGTACTGATAGTCGGTGAAATGAGAAGCTGCAGTTTGCAAAGAGCGTCACTCTGATAAGTATGGATCCGCCGGAAGAGTGTCGCCCAGCTGTCCCAATGCTGTGGAACGCGAACAACCCTCAAACCTCGCCGTTCGTCGCGAACGTAACTGTCAACCCGTTCCGTAGCATGTCTGGGCCTACAGGGAGAGGGCGTGAGTGCGGACCGGGCCTAAACGTTGATGCGTCTACCGCCGATACGCTCCCAGCAGACCATTGGTTCGACGAGAGCTGGCTGCCCTATGAGCAACTCGAAGATCTGTGAAAAGGAACAACTAGTCGGAGGCCGTGGAAGCAGAAACGAGTATGTCGCGCGGCATGCGTCTACCATACCGTGGAGCGGGGCGGGTATCAGCACATGGGCCTCCCGGGACGCGGGTCCGGAGCGCCTGCGCCTTCCCGACGCGGTCCTCTGCCTATGGAATCGAGGTTCATCAACCCGTTCGAGGCGGCTCGGGACAGGGACCACATCACGGCTTTCATCTCGGGCATATAGGAGGTGAAATTGGTGGAGCGTACCTTCATGTCCTTAGACCACGAATAGGACAATGAGGCTGCCGGTTAATGAAACGTGAGACGAGTGTGGCGGACTCGCACATGCCGATTGCCGAGTATAGGTTTGCTTTAGGCCTTTTATTTTCATGTGATGGTGCCGATCAGTGGAGTTGGCGAGTTCAGGTGAATCAAGCGGCGCGTCCTGCTGGGTGAATCGAAGAGCATCGTAGCTCGATGTGCAATTCCGTGTCATCGTGATGTCTTTCACGGGCCGTTTACGTTCTGAGACGCGACGACTGAGGTATAGGGTTTAGTTGAGCGCCTGGAGGTTTTACACTGTGTGAATGGTGTATGAAACAGGTATGAACAAAGCCAAGGTGAACTTCATGTGCTAGGAGGCATGAAGGAAGAAGTGGCTGCGTTAGGGTGGGCAGCGCGCCGTGGAGGTCCGACGCGACACGCGTTTCCGGTTTTAGGGGACCGTCCTTTCAACCTCCTCCTCCTTTTGGACGCGCCTCCTCTAAACCATTCGACCCGGTTTACTTTCATCCTTGGTGCTCTTGCAGGATAATGCAAGCCTCACTTCTGTTTAGCTATGGTGCGTGACAAGACATTTCAGCAAGATGAATGAAGCCCGCTGCCTGAGATAGCTCGCGTGCGAGCATCGAGACTCGAAACACGATGATGTTGAGGAGTGGAAGGACGACGTCGAGACCCCTAATACAACGATGGATGAGGTCAGAACCTTATCTTTAGCTCCCCTGAGCTCTGGCGTACTGCATAGAAGGTGTGTCAACAGCCAAACCAATCCGTCTTCTCCTGACACGGGTCCCTCATGTTACAGGAGGCCCACATCTGCTTCATCCCGTTCGTCTGCGTCCGTCACGGAGTTTCTCCTCTACGGAATCCTATAAGACCTGCCCTGCAATGTTGCTGCTCCGAACCCAACTACCAGTTCCCTCGCCTCCCAGCTACGAACTCAGCCTTCCCCGCACATCCTTCTCGTGCATCACTACCCTCGATACCTATCTCAAGCACATCCCTAGTTGCTTGTACTTGATCAGGCTATACCTCCTCCGCCGCCGACATCTATTCAGTCATGTCTTCGGTAACGCCAGACGGCAACCCTACCCCCGACACCATCTCTCACTCTGGCGACTCAGGCAGTCGTCCTATGAACGTCCGGTCACTTTCTTATGCCAAGCGCCAAACTTCTACCTCCCTTGAGCAGGAGAAGGATTCACTCGAAGAAAAGAAGGCTCATCCCTCAGACAAGCTTGACGACGCGTCAGGCGAAGTCGAGCACGTCGAAAATCCGGATGGCGATCTGGTGGTCGAAGTGCTACCGGAGTGGTGGCTCAGCAAATATCTACCTGTATGTTCTTGAATCGCTTTTTTATTCCATAATGCTTACAAACCTCGGCAGGGCTACTCGCCGAAACGCATGCTCAAGTTCAAGAACCCGAAGAGCTATTACTTGGCCATCAACCTCCTTGCCGGCCTCGCTATCCTCTTCTACGTACGTAGCCTTCCTTTCGCTAACTATATGCGCTACTTTACTGACTATATGCGCACATTCACAGGGATATGACCAGGGTGTTATGTCTCAAGTCAACTTGAACGACGATTACCTCAAGCGCATGGGGATATATCCTTCTTCGACACCTCGCAATAGCGCAGCCCTCGGTGGCATCGTCTCGGTTTACTACGGCGGCTCCCTGATCGGAGCTCTTTTCGGCGGACATATCGCTGATCGCGCGGGACGCATCACCGCAATCATTATCGGCGTCGTTATATCAATTATCGGTGCTGCGTTCCAGACGAGCGCGATGAACATCACCTGGATGTGCTGTGCTCGCGTCGTGACCGGCCTCGGCGTCGGATGCATTGATGCAGTCATCCCTGTTTGGAGCAGTGAGGTTTCTGAGCACCAGGCCCGCGGAAGTTTCCTCGCTATTGAGTTCTTCCTCAACATTTTTGGTTTGGCCCTCGCATACTGGATTGAGATGTGCGTACCTAATGATCATTTGGTTGACATGAGCTCACACATTCGTTTCTTTAGCTTCACGAGTATGAGCTCTGACCAGGTCATGGCCTGGCGCGCGCCCATCGGTCTCCAGATTGTCTTCTTGCTCGCTATCCTCAGTACGTCCATTTTAATTACGTTTTCCTTCGGTTTGTTGATGTACCCTTTTCAGTTTTGGTTCCCTTCTTTCCCGAATCTCCCCGCTATCTCGCCAAAGTTGGCCGCATCGACGAAGCGCGCGCTGTCTTGGAAGCCACCCGCTCCGGCTCCGTCGACGCCGAGCTGCGCCTGATCGTGCAAAGCGTGCGGGATGACGCGTCGCGCGAAAGTGACAACTCGTACTGGCGCATGCTCTTCCCGAAGAGCGTGAAGCAGAAGGAGCTTCATCGACGTGTCGTGCTCAGTGTGTGGCTGCAGATCATGCAGGAACTTGTTGGCATTGGTGTCATTACGGTTTATGGTGCGTCTCCCTTTGCGTTTGCACGTTGCAAAGCTGACGGCATGACGCGTTATAGCCATCGATCTGATCCAGCAAGCGGGCTTCAGCCAGAGCGATGCAAAATTACTTGCCGGTTACAACAACATCTCATACATGTTCTGCGTTCTCTTCGCCGTTTTCACTCTCGATCGCGCTGGTCGCAGGAGTACCATGGTATGGGGCGCCGCAGCCATGGCTGTTTTCTTGCTGCTCGGTGGAATCTTGGACAAGTGTGAGTTTCATTTTTCACCCCGAGTCTTGTGAGTTTGTTCTGACGTATCATGCCTTCAGTTGCCCAGGAGACGTTGAACCGTCATTACGGCGGTGCTGTGGTTGCGCTCACATTCTTGTACACTGGTACATTTGGTGCAACCTGGCTCGTCACGCCTTGGTTGTACCCCACCGAGCTTTTCCGTGAGTCGAGAAATTGATGACTTGTATAACGTGGAATCCTGACCATGAATTATAGCCACCTTCGTCCGCGCTAAAGGTGGTGCCTGGTCCGTTGTTGGCTGGTCCATTGGTAATGGTGTTGTCACCATGATCACTGTGCGTTTTGCCAGTATCTTATTATGAAACTAAACTGATGGATCGTCCTTCAGCCCTTCCTTTTCCAATCCATTGGATGGGGTGTCATGATCCTCCTCTTCGCACTCAACCTCTTCGTCATCCCCTTCATCGTCTTCATGTACCCCGAGACCTCAGGACGTCCCCTCGAGCAGATCGACGAGTACTTCGCCAACTCGAACACCTACAATGTTTTCAAGGGTTCAAAGCAGCTGAAGGAGGCTGGCTTCGCCGACTGGAGATGGACGAAGAGATATGCTGGCGGTATTGAAGAACGCGTCACCGACCCCGTTGACATGGGTGTACTCTCCGGGATGAGTGCCGACTCGATAGGCCGTGCCGCCATCGCCGAGGAGATGGGCGGCGGACTCGGCGAGAAGACCGTGCTAGGGAAGCTCAGGCGCAAAGCGTCCAACGCGGGGCTCATATGATATCGATGATCTGATGATTTCCCCTCATTCCTCTGCAGCCGGACTGACGGCTTTGTGCATGCCCTTTTCACTTATCTCTTAATTCGACATCCATTGTACTTTTACACATTCTGTCTCGATTTTGTACAACAGCTGTTCACATGTACCAGTATGAATTGCTTAATCAAACATTTGTGTTATCAACAACTTCCATTTCGAACAAAACGTTTGAGTCCAACGGATTCCATTGCTGCGCTGATGAATATTTCGGTCCGCTGGCGGGCCGTCCTCGCGGGCGCTTTCGCGACAATTTGTGGCTCCCTTCTTCAGCTGGCTTGTCCAGGTTGATGAACACGGTCATCCCTGAATCCTCCCTCTTACAACCAATTGTCTCTCACATTCCCGCGTAGAACTGAACAAGGTACACACGCACGAAAGAGTCGCTCTGTGTACGCCTTCAGAATACATCCGTATGGTGCCGAGAACGTGCGCTGTAAGATGCGGTCACTCGGGTCAACTGCCGTGCATCCAAAGATCTAACGTAAATGCGAAGGTGCTTATTTTTAGGCTTGTTACGCCACTAGGCGCTGTAAATGTCGTCTGTAACTACTTTGTATGGACTGTTTCTGGACAAGGTCGTTTGAACCGGTAATTTCCTTTGTTCTTCATCACAGCGCTGGCGCGGTGGACCGTCCGCAGCTCCTCCTCTCCGATGCTTGGACACTCACCAGGAGTCCGACAGTTCGGCGAAGCAACTTCAGAGGCATAGCCTTTGTGGAGGCTTCATGTATGTCAAACACGTTCTCTTTGTGTTTGGAACTTTTGGACGCCTGGATATCGCCAAACATGTACGAAAGGGCGTACATGGTGGATGCTGCGGGCAGGCGAAGACCCCAAATGTCAGCGCTTGGTCGGACCATGTTCCTTTAAAAAACCCATATTCCACCCGTGCGGACGCTTCTATCGAGACTTGTCACTTTACTCGCCACCATGGCTGCTATAACTTCCTCGTGGACGTTCAACGAGACACAGTACGACCTTGAGGTCGAGGACTCTCTCGATGCGTGAGTATGCCTTTCCTCTCCTAGGGGCTCGTTCACCGAAGCATGTGTCTCAGGCGTGCGACGATTGTGAGTGCTACTGGTGTTTCGTTGTCTGATCACGATGCTTCTCAGCTAACTCGAATAGTATGTTGCATACTTCGGTTTCACCGTTCTAATTTGGGACCATGTCCTGACCTTGGTTGACGAAGTGAGTTCTCTTAGAACTTCAGCGAGTATTTTACTGAGGTCTCAAAGATAGAACTAGTGTGGATGCATCCTAAAAACACGAGTGCGTTTGGAGAGGCTTAGTATTATGCTGAGATCCTGATGATTTCTCCAGTGTCTTGTCTGTTTATTGTGGTATGTTCTCGGGCCAAATCTGACGTTAAAATCTTCATTCCCCTGGCAGAATCGGTACTTGACCCCCTTGGGTTTTATTGTTAGTCTCGTCGGTACGATGATACCTGTGTGCGCTCTACATTGAGCTGACATGGATCTTGCCTCTTCAGCATATCTTTTGCCTAGCTGGACCTTACAGGTGAATCTGTCAATCACGGGTGATTGGACTAAGCGTGGCCGTCACAAGTGATCAATGTGATTTTTTGCCTTCAGGAGTGAGTCTGTACGTCGTTATTTCAGCAGGCATTGCCTACAGTATTCTAGGTGTGATCACTATGCGCGATACGAAGGGGTCATGCTTGCCCTGGCAGTAGAGATTGCTGAACTTATGATGCTCGTGAGGTACGACTGGTTCCCTCTGATTGAAGCCATACAATACTGAACAACCAATATCATCGCAGAGTAGCTGCACTGTATAACAACCATAAGGTGGCGGTTTCTGCTTTAGGTCTCATTCATGTCGCGTGGCTGGCGGTAGCAATTTGGCTGATGATTCATGGCGCACGTAAGTGTTATCAAACTTTTTATTTCATTTTCTTAGGGCGCTCATCATGGATTTTCTGTGGCAGCTGTTATGCATACACCGGCTGTTCACTGTAAGTAGTTCACGCTTGCGACACCGATTGATGTGATCAACAACCGTATGAATGGACCACATAGCCTGCACAATGATTTTCAATACCCTGAAGTAAGATTTTCTGCGTCTTGCTTATTGCTCTTTCGTATTCACACCAGCAAGCTCAACACTCGCTTCCTCATTTGCATGGATCCCTATGACATATGACACGATCGTTATCACACTCATTCTATGGAGGACAATACCCGATCTTTATGCGAAGGAGATTAATACTATCGGTTCTATTTGCTACAGGCTTATGGTCGATGGTCTGATTTACTATATGTACGTGACGTTCACTCCGCGAAGTCTTTGAACGTTAACTGGTCCCAACTCAAGGGTAATATGTTCAATAAATTTGGCTTTGACAGTGATGATCAATACGGAGCCATACGGCCTCAATAATATTACTGGACAGTAAGCGGGTTTTGGTACCTACCTCCACTAAGCTCATGAAGTGATCTTCTCAGACTGTCCAAAACGTTGAGCTAGGCGTCTCTCTCCTAAAGGTATCTCTAACGTCAATTTCAGGATAACCGTGGCCATGATGTCTCGTATCACGCTCAGTTTGCTTGGGTCTACTCGAGAACCTTTGTCAGAAGATACAGAACTTGAATCAGTTGTGTTTGCACAAGTGGGGTCGACTAGTGGATCCTACTTGTACAACAGCGAACAGTTATTATCACTTTGTCATGTATCCTCACATTTCCGTCCAACCTCCCCTACTATTAGTACAAGTCAGCATCCCGACTCACAAGAAGATGACATGTCATTTGACTCAGTGTTGAATAACCCCACTATCTCGACCTGCATCTCTGCTTCTCCCTGAAGGGAATACACTATAGGGATCATATTATAAATATATTTCTTAGTAGTCTGCAGAATATCATGCACTGCTTAGATGATGGTACAGAAGACTTGGCATCCCTCCAGGCAGTCGGTATTGATGTGGATGTCCTCTGATCTCCTGGAAAGGTATCGTTCGGGGTATCTAGTCGCGTTGCCTCTCATATACTACTAGACTTATTCCGAAGTTTTTTCACTAGCTCTGCCTGCTTGTATATTACTTGGTTGTTCTTACCATTTAGATGATATAAGAACTCACATCTTAATCTTTGTTACTCTCAGCTTCGCCCACATACTCAATACGACAGTTCAGTGAGACAGTTCTCGATCGCATCCGCTGTGTCTATCTTTTATAAGCAGACTGGCAGACTGTCTTGTACATGCATTGATATATATGTTTCAATTATACTGGCCAAAAACAGGCATGAGTTGTCTCTGGCTATTTAGCGGCTGGGATCCCAACTTCTTGTAGATCTCACCGCATTCACAGTGTGACGCTTTAAGCATCTAAACGCACTCACTCCGCAATGTACTCCCCTTTACCATCCAATGCTCTCCTCCTCGCCGAGGCCCATGCTCCTAATGCAGCCCATCCCGCCCCGCTCCGTCCTTCACACACGTCAGCTAACGCACTAACATGTCCCACCTCCCCGCTCCCTGTGGCCCTGCCCAGCTTTGACACACAAACAGCACACGCATACGGCGGCTGCCTCACGTCCTCTGCAACGCTACTTGTGCTCTGCATAAAGCACGCATAGTAAACGCAGTGGTCAAGCCCAAAGCAGTGGCCGAGCTCGTGCGTTGCCGTGCGGCACACCCTCAGAAGATACGTTTCCCGCGAGTCGGGAAGTGCTTCAGACGCCGCTTGTATCGCGGCGCCGAGAGGCGTGTTTGAGTCGACTCGTTCGCAGCCGATAACAAGCGCAGACGATTTGGGTCTGGGTTTCGAAGCAGCCAAAGGGGCGCAGAGCGAGCGCACGTATTCTGCACAATGGCTGAGCGGCCATGCGTGGGCCTCGTTGACGTCTTGGCTGGCGTCCAGCGCGGGATTGTATCGCGCCGAGCTAATGACAGCAATGCGGCTAGCGCCGTAGGCGCGGCCGCAGCAGAAGTCGTCGGCATCGTCCTCATAGAGGTCGTACGGCATGAGGAGGAGTATGCAGTAGGCATCGTCGGGAAGGATTTCTAACGCTGCGTCGAGGAGATCGTTTAGGTTTAGCTGGCGAGGGAAGAGCCTAGTGGGGTCAGCACGGTGGCGGATGCCGATGACTTCGGAGGTAGTCGGACATTCAAGTCCAATATAAGATTTGGGGTTATCGTCCCAGCGACTGAACTGTAGGCTGGACTCGAGACGGCGGACGGGGAGACCGGTGAAGAAGGCTCTGATGTAGGAGATAATGTCCTCTGTGAGCGGCTGACTGCCGAGCCAAGAATTTAGCTGGGGTTGATTGCGTTTGACGTAGGTGGGCACAGCCCATTTTTCCATGTCGTCGACGCTGGAGTCGATAGCTGGTGGAGAAACCACGTAAACCGTTCGTTTTTCGTCTGTGATGGGATTTCTTTCCTTCAGGCGGAGCCATGCACGTAGCGATTGCGTGGGGTACTTTGGGTCCTCAGCGAGGTCATCGCCTGGAAGGACGAGAGGACCGGGATACGTCGGAGCTGGAGGGAGAGCTATTTCTGACTCGACTTCCTCGGACGGCTCACTACGACGTCTTCCACTAGCTAAGCCTGCTTGCGCTGAGCGCCTGGAGACTCGACCGGATGGCTCGGAGGCCGCGAGTAGGGCAGTAGGAGAAGCTCGGGTGTAGCCAGCTGATTTGGCATGTGGAGAGGGCACAGCGGTCATCCGAGAGTGAGAGCAAGCAGAGGAAGGCATTAATCTGGTGATGGTCGTGATTTACGACTTGGAAGTTGAGGGTGAGGCTCTAAAATCAAAATTTTAGTCAGCTTTAGAGTTAGTTAAGGCTCTCTTGAGGCGTAAGTGAAGTATGATAGTACCAGCAGCCTGCTTGAGGGACCAAAAGTTCTTGTACCTAGCAGAGACCTTGAAGCAGAACACAGCCTTTGTATAGGTTAAGGCCCTCGGTGTCAATGCAGTATCATTTCCCACGCCACCACCTTGTAATCGCACGACATTGCGAACGTTGTTCAGTGACCAGTTGTTGTTGACATGAAGGTATCATGCATTCCTGTCTACAGGCGCCCGAACTACTCAATGTCATAGTCGATAATCTCCATCGTCACAAAACAAGTCTATCTCGCCTTGCGCGGGTTTGCCTGACACTCAAGGAACCTGCTCTGGATGCCCATTACTGCAGCCTCGACCGGTTTGAAGGCCTTCTCAGGGTCCTACCTGGAGACCTCTTCGACGTCAACCCAAAAGATAGTGTGGGCTGTAATGACTTGGTAAGTCTAGCTACTGTGTAGGCTAATCATCGGGCTGATAATTCGTGTTAGGACTCAGGAATTTCAGCGATCAATGGTCCGAGACGAGTGGGACACTCTCATATCGTACAGTAGAAAGGTTAGAAGCCTGAAGATACACTTTACCGAAGATGAAGATTTCATCAACGAGACGAATGTTTGCGCATCCTTGGCCAAGAATTGCCCTGCTTCCCAACCTACAGGAAATCACCGTGTTCTTCAACGGGTCACTCTCAGGCGCGGGGTTTGTGGATCGAATCTATCTAGGTCCAAACATCCAAACATTCAAGATTACTGCGGATTCCGAGGAAATCATCACGATGCTCTTCAGGGAAACAAGACCACATCTGGAACCGTTGCTGTGGTCCCGCTGTCCTGCGGTAGAGAGTTTCGTGTACAAAGGAAATGGTGGCCTTGGTGATACATTGTTCCAACATTGTTCAGGAACCTGACTGTCTCAAAGATGACCCTGATAACAAGTGCTATCTGTTGCTGGAAAACCCTCAGCTCTCTTCGTTGCGGCCCCCTTAGTACAGATATATTGACGCACATCGCGACCTTTCCCTCATTCAGGAACCTACAACTTGACCTGAATGCCGAGACGAGCTGGCCTGACAATGGTCATTGTTTTGGCCTTCGCATACTCGACTCACTCAACCTCAGCACTCCTTCATTCGAGATAGCCACGAAGTCTCTGTCCCGTCTATGTAGCGATCGGTCAAGCCGGCGATTGGCACTCCTTCGCCATCTCAAAGTTTCCTCCTGCTCCATGACATCGTTCTCCATATCTTCAATAGCTGCCGTTGTTTCTGACACGGTGGCTTCCGACAGCTTGCACACATTCGTAATTCGCGATCTGCGCTCCTCGCGAATTGACGGTCTTGCATCCCCGGACAGCACCTCGTGGCTACATCTGCTTCGACCTTTTCAAATGCTCACTCAACTAAAACTGCAGTATTGCGGAGAACCTCCTAAAAACCGCGTATCCATCGAGTCCGTCAAAACTTCTAGAACTCCTACGCAGCTGGCCACTTCTCGGGCAGCTGGCGCTCTGGCCTATACACATCCCATTAGCCCTGGAGGAGGCCATTACAGTCATACAGACTCTCCCTCAGCTCAGGAAGTTTGACGTCGGGATTTCAGTTACTTCTGATGCGATAGCCTCGCTTCAAGGGAGCGAATCGTCGTTTCCCTCAAGCACCCGCGTTCGCTTCCTTACGATAGTGCATGAAACGGAAAACTTGGATGATGCGAGTGGCCTTGCCATGATACTTGCCCGCATTGTTCCTCGGCTGCTGGGGATTTCTCGCTTGAATGTGTGGACTTGGGGCAGGAGACAGGTGCGGTCAAGGTTCTGGAAGGCGGTGGCCCGGGAGCGTACAATGAAGGCCGAGGGCGTAGAACAAGAGGCCGTTCTGGGTTAAAGATAGCAGTAATCCATCTCTATTCAGCAACGTAGCCGAACAGTGTAGTCAAACAATGTCCAAAGAGTTCTTTTGTCTTATTCACGAGAGATAGAGGTGAGTGTATGCAAATAAATAGCGTACGACAGTAATAAATGAGTGCTACATATGCAATAAAAACTGAGTCCATCCAAATAACACCAAGTCAAATACCACGAACACGGTTGCCGATCCATCACAGACGTGTAACGCGCAGAGGCAAATCCACCTTCCCCTCCCCAACCACCCTAGGGCGCGGCAACAAGCCCCTCGCGACCTCAATCTGCGCCTTCGCATCCCGCATATCAAACTCAAAGTTCCGCACCAGCGTCACCAGCACCGCCTTAAACTCCGCGAGCGCAAACGCCTTGCCGAGACACGTCCGCGGGCCGTCGATGAACGTCAGCAGGTGCTTGTGCCCCTGGATCTCCCGCGCGCGCGTCTCGAGCCCCTCGGGGTTGAGCCACCGCGCCGGGTTGAACTGCTTCGCGTCGGCGCCCCAGTACTTGTCGGAGCGGTTCATGTACGCGATCGAGACGGTGACCTGGGTGTCCTTGGGGACGAAGATGTGGTCGACGTATTTGCCCGACGCGTCCTTGATGGGGTCGCTGAGCGGGATGACGTCGTCTTCCGTAGTCTGTTCGCCGATGGGAGAGATGTTAGCGAACGGTCCTTGTGATAGAATGAGTTTGGACGCACCATGCGAGCAGTTTCCGGTACGGGTCCGTGAAGGCGGAGTGTCTCAAGAATAACCGCATCGAGATATGGCAGCCCGTTGGTTAGTTGCTCGTATGTCGGATCTCTGATAGTGAACTGGGAAAGTTCCTCCCTGAGGCGGTCTTGGACACCCTTGTTTTGCGAAAGCTCAGCCAGAGCCCACTACGAAAGGTCAGCGTTTGCTTGTTACTTCATTGCTTCGCCTTTACTCACGGATAAGCTGACTGGATGGACAGGCAAACGTGTCAGAGCGTTCAATCAACCAGGCAAACATATACGTACTTGACGTGGTCTCATAACCAGCGACCAGAAGTAGCTTAATCTGTGAAAGCACTTCCTCCTCCGACATGTACAATTCTGCGCCAGGTGACTGAGACTTGACTGAGGGATTCGTCAGTACATCAACTCCGACTCAGACCACAGACCACGCTCACCGAGCAGTCCAATAACCGACTTGTCCTCCTGCCCTGGCGTAAGTCCCAGCTTCTCCTGGCGCATACGCTGCATGAAGTTCGATGCCGCACCACCGAGGGCCGTGTTAAGCTCCCGATTGAGCTGCATCCGCTTGCTGGGCAGCTTCATGAGGCTCGGGAAGAGAAGCCCGAGGGTCAACCCTATCTTGAAGACGAAGGAGGGCGGGTTCGACGAGAACTTGTCGAACATCTCGGCTACGTCAGAGTGTTTGCCATCCAGCGTTCCGAAGTCGTGGGAGAAGCCAGCGATACCGATTGAGTCCAGCCTTACGAGAGGTCAGGTTCATGGTTACTGGTGAAGGAAGATGCTTGAAAGACGTACGAAACACGGCTCATCCAGCCTTGCACCTCAATGACATTATCCTTCGAAGACTCGAGAATGGAAGACCAGGCGTCCACCACCTAAAAACATTGTGCCCCGTCAGATCGGTCACTTGCATTTTATGCATTCACGCACCTTGTAGCCAGAGTCGTAGAATGTGCTGGTGACATTGCGGATAGAAGCATTGCTGAACGCCGGGGTCATTGCTTTGCGTTGCCTAGCGACACGTTGAGAACTGCCACGTCGTCGAAAATGACATACTACGCACCTATTGTGGGGTTCCTTCACTTCTGTGATGACGCTTTTTCCGACCTTCGAAATCGCCGTGAATATCAAGAAACAGCACAGCGAGCGAACGACTGAAATGGACTCACCAGTGCATGCACCAAGAATTTCCCCACCTCCGACCGCTCGTATCGGGACGTCTCATACTTGTAAAAGTGCTGAACCGCCTTAGTGTCGCATAGCACGACCTTGGACAGTCCAATTGTCGACGGGATGGCGTACACGCTTCCATACTCCTTCTCCCAGGCCTCATAGAGCGAGCCGGGATCGTTGCTGTCGTTGACCTTGTAGCCCTCGCCGAGCAGGAGATTCGTGCGCGGCGGTCCGCGGAGCTTGGTGGCGACGATGCGGCGGCGGGCGATGCGGGCGACCTTGAGAAGCAGCCAGACGCTGACTGTGACGGCGGCGACGTCGAGCGCGCGCAGGTTGGAGACGGCGTCTCTCAGCGCCTCAACCGAGATATCGGGAATTTGTTCGGGGATGATCGACATGATCGACATGATGGTGAAGGGTGATTGGGACTCCGAACATCTCAGGGGACTGTGGTTTTATGTTGCTGGAGGTCAGAGGAGTCATGGGGCCTTTTCCCAGCGGAGAGTATTGAGCCGGGACTTTAGGGCTCCGAAACGTGATGAGGTTTATGCGTGGGGGCAGAGAAGCAACAGGGGCTTTGTGCCGACGAGACGCGTCTGTCTAAATCAGGCGCTCTATGGGCGAATCATTTCTTGCTGCGGGGTGTGGGGGCAGTGATAGGCAGTGACTGGTGATGCGTGGGTGCTGTCATACGCTACAGATGGTAGGGATCTGGCATCCTCCAGAGTCGAAGAGGCGCACAAAGCATGTCATGGGCAACCTCGGGGGTCGCTCATGAGGCTGAGGACCTTAACATGTCAGAGTTCTGCATTCTCATGGCGAGCGGCCGCGGCCCGCGCGGCGGAGATTGACTTGAACTTGACCCCTTTTCGGGGAGTTGTCGTGGTCAATGACGTCCGGCCAAAGCCTAAAGGTCCTATCTTCCTTGGTGTTTTGAGGACTGAATGAGTAACTGGCCGAGCAGGACAGCCAAGCCTCCTGTGACAAGAAACAAGCTGACCTACAGCAGTGTGCGCAGCGGATGTGATCAAGGGCCGTCGCGCGCAGGCCAACGCTTTGACGCCTGGATGGGAGGATTAGCAATGGATGTATGCGCCCGATGACGCAACCCAAATCCTGTGGGTCATGTTCGAATTAACTCGTCGCTACTATCTGGGCGCTTTTAAGGGAGAGGACCGTTTGGTTTCGTCGCTGCTTATGTCAAACCAGATACGAGACGTGAGTATGGCGGAAGTAAAAGGGGCCGGCAAGTGCCGCCGCGGAGGCGGTTGGGTTGCTGCGCGGAAGCAGTCGCTCGCTTTCCAGTAACTCATCTGGTGTAGTTCTTTTGCCGTTACTTCAGAGGTAGCCATTCACAAGGTCGCGATACACACATCATCTAGCGTATTTGTCAGTCTACTTTGAGCATTCCAACTCACATTCTGCTTCATGTCTTGAGCGTCTGACTGCAAAGAGGCGTCTACCATCTGCATCAGCAGCTGTGCCGCGCTAGCTCCCACAAATACTGAACCGCTCACTCACAATCAAACGGACGATTTGGCCACCAGCCTACTCGAATAGCTCACGTTGACCTAGCTCGCTCGACGCTCGACCCGGCTGATATTACTTAGCATTTCCGCGATCTTCACCAGTGCGCCGATGTCTAACAACGCCCCCCACAGTAGCTGCGATGCCCACAGTCACAGAACCAACAACCTCCAGTCTCTCTAAGTGCATGAACTCAAAAAACCAACCCTCCAGGTGCGAGCCCAAACCCCCTCCACAACGTCAACACATATATCATACATCCCAGCTTTTATTTCATCATATTACTTGCACAGTTTATTCACCAACGCGCCGTAGATAACGCAGTGCACTACCGTCCGCTATCTACAACTACAGACTCCCTACTATCAAATCCATTAAGAGCACCCCGCGCCCGAGCATCCCTCCCCCACATAGGTAGGGTACTAGGTATATATGAATATCAGCGGAGAAAAGAGGATATAACGAGAGACCAGAGGTAAAAGCGGGAGACAATAAATAATAACTAACAAGCGCGAAGGCACGCGGCTATGTAAGCGTAAGTCATTGTTTGATTAGTCGACTGAGGCGAGAGTTAGAACCATTATTCCAGATCCAAATCCGACACAGTATCACTGAACGAATCAGAAGGCACGGAATCAAAGGATCATAGAAGGAGACGGGATTCAAGGTTAGAGCAGCTGCTTCCAGCCCGCATCACGCGTCTTCTTGACGAGCCGCTTGACCTCCTGCGACCGCGCGCGCGTGGTGACGAGCAGCGTGTCGGGCATGTCCACGATCACGAGATCGTCCACGCCCAGACACGTGATGAGGCGGCCCGAGCCGGGAACGACGATGCCTCCAGCCATTTGTTCAGTGAGGACTACACAGGGGAACGCGTCAGTGGCATTGTTTAGGCGCAGAAGCAGAGGGAATGGGAGGAAAGGGCCGAGGGCCAAGAGAGAGGGGGTACGTACCGAGGTGGTGGTCGCCGAGGATCTTGGGCTGGTATGCCTCGGCGGGGAGGAGGTCCGCGAGCGAGGAGAAGTCACCAACGTCGTCCCAACCTACACATACGCGTCAATCAAACAGATTACAAGTTTAGCCAAGGGGTGGGGTATGAGGAACAGGGGCAAGGGGCAAAGGTGAGGTAAGGAGGTGAAACAGGTACGCACCGAACGTAGCAGGCACGACCGCAACGCGGCCCTCAGCGGCTGCAGGCTCCGCGACCGCATTATCGATCGGAATCTTCTCGAGCGTCGGCCAGATCTCATCCAGCGCCTTCTGTCGCGCCGTCTCGTCGCCCCACGCGTCCGCGATCGCCTCGAGGCCCTTCGCGATCTCGGGCTTGTGCTCGCGGAGGAGCTCCATGAGCAGCGTCGCCTTGGTGACGAACATGCCCGCGTTCCAGCGGTAGTTGCCCGTGCCGATGTACGCCGCCGCCGTGCGCGCGTCCGGCTTCTCCTTGAACGAGCTCACGAGCCGCGCGTTCGGCGCGTTCTTGAGGTCCAGGCGCTCTCCTAAACGAATGTAGCCGAACCCGGTTGAGGGGTGCGAGGGCGCGATGCCGATTGTGACGAGGTAGCCTGCGTCCGAGCGGGCGACTTCAACGGCCTCCGCGATCGCGCCGAGGAACGCATCGTCGCCCGAAATCATGTGATCAGCCGCGAAACTGCCGATGACCGCCTCGGGGTCGCGCTTCGACAGGACGGCAGCGGCCAGGCCGATGGCGGCCATGGAGTCCTTGGGGCCGGGCTCGCAGAAGAGGTTGTGCGAGAACATCTCGGGCAGCTGCTCCATGATGGCTTTGACGTGCCCAGGGCCAGCAACGACGGTCATGCGCGAGGGCGAAGCAAGAGGCAGGAGACGGTCCCAGGTAGCCTGGATGAGCGAACGGCCCTTGAGGGTAAGGTCGAGCAGGAACTTGGGGTGGTCCTCGCGCGAGAGGGGCCAGAGGCGGGTACCAGCGCCACCGGCAGGGATGACGACGTAGAAGCCGGGGATGTCGCGGCTCACGAAGCCGAGCGGCGGCGACGCTCCTGCATTGTCACCCAGCGGCGAGGGTACGTGGAGGGTGGGAGGGGTGGGAGGGGCAGCGAGGGAGGGGATGTGCTGAGGAGAGAGGAAGGGAGACCGGCTAGCGCGGAGCTGGGGGCTGCCAGGCATAGGCGTTGACCATCCAGTGGTGCGAGCGCCATTGGGGGCATTCTACAAGCGAGGAGATGGCGTCGGTTAGCACGCAAGGATGGTGAAGGACAACAGGAAAGAACTGACATAGAGACCGTCACGAATCTGCTTCTCGAGGGTGGCATTGGATGTACGGAGGTCAGCACACTCTTGCCTCAGGCTGGAAATCTCCTCTTGCTAGCGACGGAGCGGGGTGAGGAATGCGCAGCAGGTGAAACGCCATGAGAACATACGGATTTCTGCATGCCAAGCATGATCTGCTGGAACATGGCCTCGACGCCGAGCGCATTAGGCGCAGCGGCGGTCGGGAGGGGGAAGGACATGACTAGCGTAAGATGGGTGGGCAAGCGTTTGGGTAAAGGAGAAAAGAGGAGGGGAGAGGAAAGTGAGCGGCGCGTTTTAGCAGACGTGTAAGATGAAAACTATTCTCGGCTTCCACCTCCCGCAAAATTCTAATTTTTTATTATGAAATGACGCGCGCTCATCGACGCGTATCGGCTAATAAGCACTCTCAACACAATCAATCTTCTACATCCGCTTACACGTTCGTCCCCTTTTTCTCCTGAGACCGATATACTTCAAACAGGGCAAACAGCATCCAATAACATACACCGGGACATTCTGCCCGTCTCTTGGTCTTCTCTCTCCTGACAAACCCCAGCAAAAGGCTGGTTAGGGCTGAGAGTGGCATCGCACATGCTACGTGTAACCCTTGCACATACTGTATCTCCGCAGCACCTTGTACCGTCAGTGCCCCACAACCCATCACCTCACCCGTTCATCAATACACCCCGTTGTCACCCTCGCTCTGATCTCGGATGCTTCCAGCCCCTATCGCACAACGTGAATCAAGTTGGCGCAATGTCCATCAATTCGTGTTCGTATTGCATGTGTGTCGACGCTGTCAGTATCGTCACTGCAGCTGCAATCGTCGTGATACCCTACGATGCATATCGCAAAGGGGGACATCCGACAAACGTTTCGCCTGTCCAGACGAGAGATTGGTACACCTTGGCCTGCCCTGGCAAACCGGCGCTTCACTACCCGCTGCCTATACCATGGTATCAGCTCAAACCTTCCTCGTTCTTTCTTCCGCTCCCGCAACGCAAGACGGAGACTCGGACGATCCCGATCAAGCTCCGTCCGAGCCCTCATTCATTCCCACTCCCTACAACCCAATATCGTTCTTGCTCTTGTTCTGCTCCTCGTTGATCGTTCATACCACCAGGGACCCGCGTTCATTCATAAATATATCGAGGCCCGAGGCAGATGCAATACCAATCACAGCCCGTAACGCGTAACGGCATGCACGTTGCGGGGAAGACAGAACATGGATCGGAGGAGTCAGGACGCTGATCGCCGTGGCACGCCAAAATTGCTGGGAAGTCTCGAGGTCGCCGTCATGCGTCATCGTCATGCCCCGCGATGCCCTTCTTGTCCGATGCCCCGATGCCAAGCATTAAGGCAAGCGAGTCGCCGTCTGATCTCGACACCGGAGCCTGAAGTTTACTCGTCATCGCTCTCGAACTCCAGCGCCTGATACTTGCGCGCCTTCTTGTTCGGATTGGCAAGCGACGCGCCTTTCGGAGGTCGTGCCGAGGCTCCGGTCGGCTCTACAAAGTAGCAAAGAGCAGGATGAGTTACGAACGATTGGCGATGGTGATGCGATCAGCCAAGGAAAGTAGAACGGCAGAGAGCGCAGCACGAAATACAAGACGAAAACAAAAACGCGATAGAGTGAAACATTTAAACAATGAATAAGCTCATTAAAGCGCTCAGGAGACACGAACTAAACCAATGAGCGAATGAGAATGAGATACTCACTAGCGCTCAACACCGCCTGCTCTGAACCACCCGGAGGCGGCGTCCTCGCCTTCTTCCGCGCCCTCGCCAGCTCAGCCTCGAGCTCCTTGATCTTGCGCTGCGCCTCCGAGTCTGTTGCACCATCCGTACCGGTGCCAGAGGTGTCGTTGGGCTTGGATTTGGAGGATTTCGACTTGTTTTTTTCTTTCGTTTTCATCTTTGTCTTCGCCTTTGAGCCGCCATCGCTCTCCTCGTGCTTTACGCTGTCATGGTCTTTATGCGTCTTCCTGCTTTTTGGCGAGGTCTTGTCCGAGGTCTTGATCGCGGCTTCGACATTGCGCACGGGGGACCCGTCCTTCGTCCCGGAAGCCGAAGTTGAAACGCCAGAATCGGCAGCGCGTAGTCTCTCGCCTACAGCTGGAGCTGCCGTCGAGCTCGAGCGAGGTGCGTACGACGCCTCAGATGGGTCGAGTCTGCAGCCTCTATTGCGGGCGCTGAGCGCGAGCTGTGTATCAGATGTTAGCACAACCGTGAATCATGCTAAACGATGAAAAATGGGCGTTTCAAGGGCCTAAAGGGCGCCGCAGAGATGAAGATGAAGGAAACGGAAGCGGGTGGTGCCGTACCTGTGAAAGCAGCTCGGTGGCAAGGGCGGCTGCATCACCCGGTTGCATCTCCGTGAGCGACACGCGTGTGGTCTCCGCGAGAACAAACTGGTTATTCGGTACGCAATGTGCATATATGCGCGTTTGGAAAGTTGTTCGGTGTACATCGGAAGACGACGTTTTATGCACAGAGAAAGAACCATAAAGCATTTTCATGACCAGTCACTGTCAGCGAAAAACGGGCGCAACGGAGGAGCAAGACACACGCACCGTAAGCTTCTCCCCACCTACACCCGTCCACCCCTCAATCTCAATATCTCCAACGACAAACGCCGTCTCAAGGCGCGACCCCAGCGCCTCGATCTCGTGCGCCCCCGCGTCTTTTCCCTAAGAAAGACGCGCATACATCCATATCATCAATCGCCCACCCAGCACCGCAAGTATGTAGAGATACACTCACCACAGCTCCCCTGACTTCCCTCGCGCTCCACGCACCCCGCCACCACCTCCCTGCCCCCGCCCCTCCTCCCGCGCTCGCCGACGAAGAGCCCCCTTTAAGCGCAACGTACACAGACCATGCGAGCGCGTCGGCGCGCGAGATGACCACGAAGCGCTCGAACCCGGCGTATACGACCTGCGCGAGGCCGTCCAGGCGCTGGAGGGGCGCGAGCGGGTCTGATGAGGGCATGTTGGTTCGGTAAGGTAAGGTTGCGCCGAGGATAGATGTCGTGTGAGGTCTTGGATTCAAGAAATCTGAGCGTTTGATGCGATGGGAGAAGTGGGTATGGTTCCGGTGTGGTAGATGTCGTTTAAGCTCTCGAGAGCGAGTTGACCAGGGGACGGACAAATGGAGTCCGACGAAACGGCGATGGTATTCAGATGAAGTTCAGATCAGAGGTACTATGAGGGGTGAGTGGCAATTAATCAAGAATGATTAGAAGGCAATCGACCGTATGAACAGCACGAGGACTAGTGTGCTGTTGGATCTTTAGATTCCTCCTTATGGTGAGTGGGGAAGAGCAAGAAACGAGCGCTCAGCTGACGTGCAGAACGCGCGCGTTGCATGCTGTCCACAAAGCCCCTATCTTCCACGCGTCTAAAGCCGTTTTCATATGACGGTACTAAACAACATAACCGCTCCAAGAGTTATGTATCCAAATGTGGACATGGAACAAGGTGGTATACATCATAGGCACGACCTTCCTTTCGGTCCTGCACGTAAAGTACATATGTACAAAACGGTATAGCCTATCAATACATCGCGCAAGGCTGACGAATCAAGCAAACGCCTTGTTCAAGAACGTCTCGATCTCCTTCTTGTGTCGCGTCTAGATTCCGCGAACCCAATTGTCAGCTTTCATTCTCATGTTTGAGCAGAACAGCCCAATATAACGCACCTTGCTACCGGTAGCAACCGAGCTCGTCGGGTCGCGCCCGGCGTACAACGGAAACTTGCCCTTGTGGTGTTCTGTCTTGCTGGCCGCAGTCTGGAGGCGGAGCCCGACATATGTCCACGCGCCGTTATTCAGCGGCTCCTCCTGTCATTGTCAAGTCATGTAAACGTGTCAGGCGCATATATCGTGTGTGTTGATGGCATGTAATGCCCGTGGGGACAGGGTTGCGCAGATCAGGAATGATGTAGACGGAAGCAAAAGATAGGTCGTTTCATGTTCCGGCGAGACAATGTCGAGTTCATGCAGTCGGAGGATCGACGACGCGAACGGATCGCCCGAGCGAAACGGACGAGGACCAAGGACGCGGAGCGAGAGTCAAATCACGATGACGAGTGCATGAACACGTGAGGTAGCAGGCCGACCAACATCGACGAGCGGGGATGCGGGGAGCATTGAGCGGACATAATAACCGTGATGTTAATCATGCACCGAGGGGGGCCGACGAGAAGTTGCGAGAAAGGGAGATGACCGAAACAAACCGAAACACGCAAGGGGAATAAAGAATTGACCGGATGATGAGTGTCTGCAGGAACCGACACAGGAGAGTGTAGCATCAACGCACCTGGCACCACAGCAGATCTGCGTTGGGGTACTTGTCAAGATGGGGGGTGATCTGAGATCGACAGAAGGTTCCGCAGGTACAACAGGTTTGCGCAGCCCGGTGGTTTCAGTCGTCGAAATTTCAATAATCCACGATTGCACCGCCAAGAGCGCCATGAAAGATAGCGAGAAAAACGTACGCCATGAGAAAAAAAACGAACGAGTGTGAACACAGGCGAAAGAGAAAACGCACCTGCTCGTACGGGAACGGCGAGATCTGCTCGAGTCGGCTGATCGCGACGTCGTCGATTCCACGCTCTTCACGTGCTTGCAAGAGCGTGTGGTACACCTGCCCGCTGCAGAGGATGTGTCGTCGGACCTTCTCGGGCGCGACAAGCGAAGATGTGTGCGGTTCAGGAATGTAGTGCTGGAAGTGTATGTCGCCGACCATTTCGGCGAGGTCGGAGCGGGCGCGGGGGTGGCGAAGGAGCGACTTAGAGAAGAAGAGAATGAGCTAGGGGAAGACTGTCAGTAAAACTTTATTAAAGGATAAGTGTGGATAGCGCGTACGGGTTTGCGGAAGTCGCGATGGATCTGGCGACGGAGGACATGGAACTAGGAGAGAAAATACATGTGTCAGAAAAACAGAAGAAGAGATGCATCAATTACGACGTACGTAGTTCGCTGGTGTCGTGGGGTAAACGACCTGCATGTTACAGTCCTGGTGCTGTCTCTCCAACTTCTCCACCGTCGGGTACACCAGCGGGTGGTCGTCACAAAGCTGTAAGAAACGCTCTATCCGCCCACTTGAGTGCTCCGGGCCCTGCCCATCGTACCCATGAGGCAAGCTCATGACAAGCCCAGTGCGCTGAAGCCACTTGCGCTCGCCAGCCGCGATGAACTGGTCAATGATACACTGAGCATTATTAGCAAAGTCGCCAAATTGCGCCTCCCAGATGGTCAGGTTATTTGGTGAGACGAGCGAGTACCCGAGCTCAAAACCGAGGGCGCCGAACTCAGATAGGGACGAGTTGCAGACGGTGAAGCGAGCCTGGGATGAGCCAAGTTCGTTCAGCGGGACATACTGCGCTTCATTATTCTGATCATGGACGATGGCGTGTCGCTGGGAGAACGTGCCGCGTTCGACGTCCTGCCCGGACAGGCGGACGTGCACCTTCTCGAGCGCGAGGGAGCCGAACGCGAGCGCCTCGGCCGTCGCCCAGTCAATATTCTTCCCCTCCTGGACCGTTTTACCGCGCTGCATGAGGATACGCGCAAGGTTCTTGTGCGGGGCAAACTTGTCGGGCCACGTCGAGATGGCGTTGCCAATGCGTTTGAGCACGTCCTCGGATACACCGGTGGCGTGTGTGGGCAACTTCATCTCCTTAAGCTCTTTGGGCGATGGGAAGCCGGGCCACGACGCGGAGAGCCATTCCTGCGACGTGGGCACGTAGTCCTTCGCCTCGCTCGCCGCCTTGTCGAGCATGCCCCAGACCCATTTCCTGTGCTCTTCGATGTCCTTCTCTGTGAACGTGCCGCGGCCGACGAGGAACTGGGTGTATGCCTCAAGCGTTGTCGGCTGTTTCTCGATGGCCTCGTACATTCGCGGCTGCGTGAAGCTCGGTTGGTCCGTCTCGTTGTGCCCGTGCTTGCGGTAGCACACGATGTCAATTACGACATCACGCTTGAACTTGGCGCGGTAATCCGCGGCGAGCTGGCAGACGAAGTTGACAGCTTCGACGTTATCACCGTTGACGTGGAAAATAGGAGCATCGATGCTCTTGGCGATATCGGAAGGGTATGGTGTGGACCGCGCAAAACGAGGGTCCGTGGTGAACCCAATCTGGTTATTCACAATGACGTGGATGGTTCCGCCGGTACCGTAGTTGGGAAGGTTGTGGAAGCCCATTGTTTCGTACACGACACCTTGTCCCGCAAACGCCGCATCACCGTGGATGAGAACCGCCATTGCCGTGTTGTGTGTCCTCTCGTCGCCTTCGATATGTTGGATGGCGTGGGTCTTTCCGAGCACGACGGGATCTTCGGCTTCCAGGTGAGAGGGGTTCGCAACGAGCGCGATCGACACTTTCTTGCCCGAGGGTGTGGGACGGACATAGTTAGCACCGAGATGGTACTTGACATCACCGGCGGGGGAACCGTCCACGGTGTCTGTGGATCCAGAGAACTCGTTGAGGATGGCTTCGACGGGCTTCCGGATGACGTTGGCCAGAACGTTCAGGCGACCGCGGTGGGGCATGCCTATCGTGACGTGCTTCACGCCATAGTCAACAGACCTATCAATCATTGCCTTCAGACCGGGGATAAGGGATTCGCCGCCTTCAAGACCGAATCGTTTTTCGTTAGGGAACTTGCTGGCGATGAACTTCTCGAATGATGAAGACCAGACCAGCCTGTCTAGAATCATCCGCTTCTCCTCGACGGTATAGTTCCACGGTTTGGGAAGCTCGACGCGGTCCCTGATCCATTCCACTTGCTCACTATCCGGAATGTGCGCGTACTGGAAGCCGACCGCTCCGCCTGCCGACATATATCAGCATACACGCGCATACATCCACCACATTGTGACTTACAGTAGATACGTTCAAGTAACTTGATGATTTCGCTCAGTTTCATGGTCTTTCGGTCGCCGGTAGCAAAGTTGGGCAGGATGCCAGGGCCAAGAGCGATGTCCTTGTCCATGTCTTTCTCCGTGAAACCATACCGACTGAGGTCTAGATCCGGGGGACGACTTCCATCTAGATCAGCGTCCAAGATGCCGAGAGGGTCCAACTTAGCGATGTGGTGGCCCCGGACTTGGTATGCGCGAACGAGAAGTTGCACCTGTCGCGCCGACGGTCACATCCAGCCCTTTCATCTCGAACTCATGGTGATACTACACACCTTCAAGTGCTCATCCAGCTGATTCCCACTATCTTGCGTCTGAACTGGACCCGATGTTCCATGAGACGATGTGATTAGGTTCGGCGGGGGCTGGAACGCTTCTGCGCTGGGCAGACCACGCTCCAGGCCAGCGAAATACACGCTCCAGGAGGAGTGCACCGACTTCGGGTCCTCCTTCCACTGCCTATACATCTCCTCGGCGAAATAGGCATTCGTTCCATTGGCGAAGGGATCGTTGGGCGACGGAGGGCCAGCTGTAGTCGCTGTTCTGCATCCGAGGCGAGCGGAAGAGCGTGTAGCGACGCGCGACGCGTTCGCTAGCAGTAGCGAGCGACCGAGGGTTGCTCTTGACGCCATACTCGTAGCAGTAGCGTTCTTCTGGCTCTGCTCTGCAAACGAGAGGTTATGGTGGTAGTTGTCGTCGTTGGCAAGGGCAGTGAACAAGGAGCATGCACATTGCACAGGACAAGTTGACCCATCAATCACCGGTTCGGAAGCAGTATCCAGGCGGGTGCCTTGCTTGTTTCGTCTACCTCGGTCTTCCCAACACCTCGACTCAGCCTCTTTTCGATATTACTTGGCTGGTCTGTCTTGTGCTGGCTACACGGGATCCATCTCGAAATAATTCCCAATGATTATCATACACCACTTGCTCTATTTACTAACCTCAGCGATGTCGCACTACTCCACATCAAGCGCCCATAGAGATCAAAGGGCATCAAACGTGTCACCCGAGCTCGTCAACGTGAACTGCAAGTTGGCCCCTGAATGCTCAAGTCTCTCTGGACTCAGGCAACGCTGACCACTGAAGAATTGAAGACGCCAAACAGTATACTAGTAAGCAAAGGCATTTCCTTGGTTTTATTGTTCTATTTTGATTCCTAGGCCAAGAAAACTTGACTGGTACTAGCCATCGTGGCTTCTGGGTGTCACTACTGGGCCGGTCTTGATGCCATGGTCACGACTCATGGATGCACGGTAGCGACGTGTGGTGCGTACTTTTGCATTACCGTACTATAATCCTATCTATGCACGTTCCCGAGGTGGCCGGGTCTAATATGGTCGCACTGCGGTACTTGCGAGGTGGTTTTCGCCCACGAGTAGAGTCGAAAGCAGCGTCTCAGACTTTACATCTAGACGCTGCGGTGTACTACGCCTCTTGGTGAGTATGGCGCGCGTCTCAGCTTGTCTCGTAGCACCAGTCCAACTACTTACGAATCGGTCAAGAAATAAGCTCTATACGCGAGTCCCGCCCATTTCAATATGAGTAAGCTTCCGTCACAAAAACCTAAAGAGTTGAACACCCAAACTAGCCCTCAGCTCAACGAGATGTCGTCCCACTCCATTTAAGCAACATATACTTGCACCTACTCACCCACAATGAATAACGCCGACATCGGAGCGAACGGTACGCTATCCTCGAGCCGAGATCTCGGCACCGGAAAATATCGTTGACCGATGATCTTCCCGAGAACAGTATCCATGCGCTTCGTCTCAGCGCATATAGTCTCGGGTACAAGCGGTTCTCAGTCGCATGATGGATGTACGTTGAGAACTTTGTTCGAAACTATGTCAACCGGCGTCTTGTTAGCGGACGTGCACTTAGCGAATCGACACTTTATGGCTGTACCTTGAGACCAGCTCAGGCTTTACTAAGGTATGATGCATCTTCTACGAACCGTCATTTAATGCCAAGTTGGGCTAGGTCCACAGACAGAGTCCAAGCTAGGGGACAGTCAGATGCAAGCGCCCATGACGCGTCAGGCCCGGGTAGGTGGGTTGGTTGTAGCCGTAGCCACCAATACCGCCTCGCCTCGCCTCGGTGGCAAGGTCGTACCATAAATCATCACGTTGTTTTGATGATGTTCACGGTGTATCACGGTCTCGACAGGAAAAAGGACTATGTCTGATTCAATCCCACGGACGTCACTGGACCCTGCGGGCCGTCCGCAATGACCGCTCTATGGTTGGCGATCAGCGTCTTAACCTGCCTTGTCGCTAACGCCCCGTCACTGTGGTGGCTGCCTGTAAAGTATACATGCACCGTGGAGTGCGATCAATGCGGCGAGGTGGCGCTGGGCGCTCTCCACCCGGTTGCTCTAGCTCAAACCGTTGTCATCGGCCCTCGGAGGGCACATGGTTCGGACCACAAGTCGAAGATGACTTCATGGTAGAGCGTCTGAAGATCACTATGGCCGCGGTGCCTGTGTGCCTGATGCTTGGTTGGTCAGAGACACCAGCTTAGCTTCATTTGGATCAGTGGTACAATGTTCGTGAGGAATATATTTCCGTATGAAGATCATCATAAACATGTCAACATGAGGCTGCATAAGATAGTCTACGATTCGAGTCTCTCGATGAGACTTTCTTTCCTCGTCTTGGACTGCCGTGTCTGTTGCTGATTGATGGTGAAGGATACAGCTACCGTGAAACCATGTGCGTACGCTACATGATGCAAGAATTTGGCCGAGTTCGTACGTATGCAACGGCGATTGCTAGACTCTGTCAGCATACGTTGGTTTTCTATCCGAACGTCTGATGGAAGATCCAGACAAGCCTCATTGGCAAGGAAGACGCCTTTTCTCAGTGTTCGTGTGATCAGAAGAGCAGTCTCGATGCCGCCGGCTTCCTTGGGACTTCTAGCAGGTACGGTGCCTTCCTCCCAGCTAACGATCACGAAAAAACTCTGCAATAAGTCAAAACATCCCTAGCCATCCTGCTTGGACCTTGCCTCGCCGATAACTTTCGGTGAATTTTCAAGGACGGTGGGATGCAAAAAAAAGGTTCAGTAGGTATGTAAACCTATAACCACGCTGAGATCCCACCCCGTAGTAAATATCAATATAGTCATGGAAATATTCCGCCAGAACTAGTTGCACGGTTATTTTGAGTCCGCGGCATAAAGCGGCGGCTTTTGGTTTGTGAATACGATAACAGGCCTTCTCGAAACTACCATTCGCGTCCGGCAACGACTCAGAGCTTTCTGCTCATCGCACGCCACTGAATTCAGCATCATCACTTGTTAGGCGCTGAATCATGAAAAGAGTCATCCTTACTCAGCGGGCCGAATTCCTCGAATTTGCCACGGGTTACCGAACTCAGTTGAACCTCAGACTGCGTCAATTGTGAAGATCACCTGGGATGCTAGAACCATACGGTCTAAACAATATATGAGTGTGTCGAAGCTTGTCTGCGACGGGACTCTGTTTATTCTATGGGCTATAAGGCTATTAACACACCCACCAATCTCTTCGCGGCAAGTTTGACTTCTCCGCGTCCAAATTGTCGAAGCGCTGGATTTAGAATCCCCTCCGTGCTTCGCGCAAGTTCGACAATGTCATGAGAAAATTTCCTCCCCGAGCTCTCTGCACCAAATGCTTCATTGCCTCGTCGAAATCTGATCTACTCGGGATCGGCTCGGAGCCACTCCCTTGGTCTGCATACAACCTTTTCGCTCGGACTTTCTACTCCCGGTAGTGAGAGAAATTTATTAGACCGTTTGAGGGACTTCTGTCACCCCTTCGGATATGTCAACCGAGTGACCGACATCTCAACTGCGGGAAGACCAGGGGCTCGCCGGTGGGGGGTTGATGGAGCCCTTAGGTTTCAGAGAAGCGTCGATTGTGACCTGTGCAATTTGGACGGCGGGGAGTACATGAACGAGCCGAACCCCTCATTATTGCCCGCCCGTGCTCACCGCAGAATAGTGCAGATAGCTGTGGATCTGGGGTATACCAACTCACGTACATATGTTCGTTGGTTGCGCTGTCGTGGTCTGCCGAACCTCTACTCTCATCGGCATCGGTTATTTCCGACCTATGGGCGCTTGTCCTTGCACATTTGATCAAAGTGTGCTGCTTTGTAACGTTGCTGTAACGTGCTAACATGCTGTATTATGAGCTTATCATCCTCATTTTCAGGGTGACAAATCGAGTGTGCTGCGCGCGAACTTTATGTCAGAAAACAGTCACTTCAGGCGATGAAGAAAGGAGGCGTGAATAACGGACTGAAAAGGCCGCGCCAGAATGGAACCTTTCCAGATAATGCTAGGCAGCTGCATGGTTACCCAGGTACGTACAGTGCTTGAAATGCATCCGAGGGCAGACGAAGCGGCGGATCAACCTGCCTAGAGGGGTATGGATTCACCGACGCCCCCACTTGCGGCGTCCAGGAAGTACCCCGCCTCCGCCGATCGTGATCATCACAACCGACACGCGTACGAGGACCCTATCATTGATCCATGAGCTCCTGAGCTCCGGTCGCGCTTTTCCACGCTCACCGCAGGCGGGCTCTCCGGTTCGGCATCGCGGCCGCCCGAACGTATTCGCCCGCACCGTACGCGGCGGGTGCGTACAGCGAGCGCTAATCAGGGCGCGTGCGCCCGTCAAGCAACCTCGCCTCTTGCTTGAGGCCGTGATGCCGTTCGAAAAATGGTGGACGGTCCCTTTGCGGGCAGATATGACCCTGCATGTGTGTACCTCCGTAGTTTACAAGCTGTCCCACAAGAAGTTTATTTAGAGACTCGAACTTCTCGATCATCACGCCAGTGGCGAAAGTGGTCCTCAGGGACGCGAAGCCTTTTTTTCCCCTGCTGATAAACTTAGCAAGTCAAAGCGTGACGGGTTGTATGAGGCCGTGGAGTGCGTTCTGCCATGCAATGCTGCAGATCAGCATCAGATTCGAAGTAGCTACTTTGTCGCACGTGCAGGGTTGTAACCGGTGCCCAGAACTCTCCAGAGCTGCACCACCAAGAGAGTGGGGTTCTGTTATACATTTGGCAGACAGGAATGGTGATCGTAAAAGACATTAAGCCGCGGTCATAACCTGTTTACTCGGATTCCATCAACGTAGATGCCCATGTCACGGCTCCAGGCAAGCCTTGGTCCAGAGCGTCGAGGGAAGCCATATCATGATCATCAAGTACGAAGTCATATACATTCGTATTCGAAGAGATCCGTGCCGAAGAGGCTGACTTGGGCAGCGGCACTAACCTTCAAATTTTAAGTTCATACAGTACAAAGCTTCTCGGTAAAACATACTGTTTCTGAAGGGACCATCGTATTAAAATTTGTGCGTGTTCGCGATTATGCTATCTCGAGTATTAGATAACTTTGATGTTGACCAATGAGCTCGCTCACCTTCTGTGCGATCCCACTAATTTCAGGGCGGTCTATTAGGCCCGGCTTGCTGCGGACAAGTGGCGAATAAGCCTGGACTATAATTGACTGCTTGCGACAAAACTCCACGATCGCCTTTTGTTGACAGAACGGGTGCAGCTGTTAAAATGGATCGTCTCTCACCAAATCTGTTGAACGCTCAAGAATCGTGGCACATCACCGAACCTCAATTTGATTGACCTCGGGCATTTCCAGACCCGCGGCGGCGATCTCCTTGAGGTGGCGTATATTGCTGGACACGGATAATGTTTCGGTAGTTGAGCAAAGCGGGGAAGTAGATCCCGACGGACGGTAAGTACGCACTAGTTAGACACGCCAACGCTGCGGATTTTCCCTTGGTTTCTGGCATCGAGCAGTGCTTTCCAAGTGGCTAATCGAAGTTCGGGGCCCGAAAGCGGGTCGTGAATGAGGAACAGGTCAATGTAGTCTAACAGGGAAGGATCGGGGCCCTTGAGAATCGGCGTTTAGCAAGCTGTGCGGGGTTGACTGACCAAGCCCGAATCTGCGGAGCGATTCGTCAACACCTTTTAAGGTCCTGTCATATCCGTGCGTCTTATTGATGCATTTGGTGGCTTGGTGTACAATCCAGCTTAGTACTGAGTCGTGCTATGAGGTATCTGATTACTTACTAACAAACACCTCTTCTCTCTTAAGCCCACTTTCTCGGACGGCTTCGCCGACGCCACTTTCGTTTTTGTATGCTTGAGCGGTGTCAATGTGTCTATCATGATGCCATCGATAAAACGGGATTCCGAAACTCAGAAGTCTCTGCTACCTGTATCCAGCCTGGAAGGCTTCTAGAACGGACACTTTCGTGGTATAATTTTGATAGACCCCAAATCCAAGCAAGGGCATTCGACAACCTGCTGAAATGTTAATTGAGAGGTAAGGGCTCCTATGGAATCGATCTCACCCGACCTCAGCCGTACGAAAGAGTCGATTGTCAAAGCTGTCATACCGCGGTCGATGAAGTTCATGCGAGAGCCCCACCAGAGTACTCCACTCGTTACGCCAACTTAGGGGTGAGTCACGTGGAGTGCAAACGAAGCGCATCGATGAGCAGAACCATCGGGATGTGAACATCTTACTCATTTTCCTTTGAGTTATGCACGACTTGCGATCCGAGATACGCAGTTCGAACTTCAAACCGAAATCCAGGATAAGGAGATGCCGATCACATCCCTAAGTACAGTCATCAATCCTCATCCATGTCACTCATACCCATCTCTCTCCGCCTTGCCATGCGTTCCTGCATGGCTTTCTTTGCACTCTCCGTCGCCCCCTCCAATTTTCCTGCCTTTGCAAGAGATAAGAGAAGGGCATGAACCATGCCCATGTGGTTGTGCCGACGTAGAGAGTTCTCGAACTAGCGTGGAGTCAGGGTCAACCTTCGTCAGAAAAGGGGCTCTGAGCATAATCTCACCGCCCATCTCTCTCGTTTTGAGTTCTCGTTCGAAATCTTCACCATGACTTCGTTGGCGTCCGACTCGCGGCCGGATTCCTGACATGCCCTGAGTTGAGCTTCCATTTGAGGGATTGGATCGTCTCTCAAGGCAAGTAGGCTGAACTCAAGCTGCGTGGAAGCAAACTCAATGATAAGGACACCGCCCTCGTAAATTAAATGAAGTACGCACTGCACCAGTCGGATAGGTCGCTATACGATTCTCGATCACCTCTCTAGAGCCCATCAGGGTCACGCGTTAGCATCGAGGCAGCGGAGAAGCAAATGTGATGGCGGACCTCGCAACGCTTAACCAGCCTTCGCCGCCATCCTGATACGCGCCATGTTTCAGCGGGTGTTGTTGGAGCCCGTCCATTTCATAGACATGGCCGTTTATTGGCAGGTATACCACGAAGTGATAAGCATCTTCGCTTGTTTTAGGAAGGCCAAGGCCATCGAGAGAAATAGCGCTGGGTGGAGAGAGGGAGTTGTGTGCTTCTCGCAGCCAATCAGCACTGGTTACGGCCATGCCACACGTTTGGGGGTCCATTCCAACGGTGAAGCTGAAGAGGTCAGCGAGCTGGGGCCCTGACACGAGGGAAGGGATGTTGCCGAGTGCGTTCATCACGGCCAACGTTGCACACGCATTGTTGACGGTCTGGTGCGCGAAGAAACCAGTGAAGTCTGTGTTAGGCTGGCCTGCAGTGGGGCGGGGTTCGGTTCCAGACGTAGGAAGCCATTTGAAGAGAAAGATGAGGGCACGGATGGGCTGGAGCTGGGCCAGGGACTCGGGTTCGAGGGAGTAGAGGTCGTCCACGATATATGGGGTGCCTAGCGTTTTCAGAAGCTCACTGGGCCCTCGTCAAATATGGAAAGCAATGCCGGCTATGACACCTACGTGAATACACCCGGATCCGATTCTGTCAGCTGCCATCCGCCGGAATCATCGTCGTTAGACATGATCTACGCTGTTTGTTAAGAGTGATGAGTCTTTCAGATAAAGAAGGTCGCTTAGTCGCGTTCAAGTCGAGGGTGGATGAAGAGGACGCGTCAGACACCAGATATACTGCACGTGATGTTTCAGTGACGCGTCCGCCCCGAAACCCGAAGGCAAATGCCACTCTTCTCCTGTCCAATAGCATGGACGTACACTCACCTGCGAAGGCAGAGTCTCCATCTAAGCACGATCCTCGAGCGGCAAATAGAGATAGGTTTGAGCTGGAACTTGAATTCGTGCAGTCGCTTGCGAACCCATATTATCTTCATTCTCTGGCGCAACAGAACATTCTCGATCAACCGGCCTTCGTAAACTATCTAAGTTACCTTCAGTACTGGAGACACAAGGACTATGCAAGGTTCATCCAGTGCGTAACAACTAGATACCAACCCTTCCATTCCTGACTTGTCTCAAGCTATCCCCACGCTCTGCACCACCTGGAACTCTTGCAACAAGCGACCTTCAGAGCTGAAATCAAGAAAGATGAATGGAGAGAGTACCTGAACCAAAAACAATTCGATCATTGGCGAACTTGGTTTGCATTCGGTTCTGCTTTTCACGCAGAGATCTTCACTCACGGTTTCCAGGCGCAACCCATCGAAGCCAACCACGGCGGTCGACAACAATATCAACGCCGCTGAGCATGCAGATCGCAGCGTGGCACAGTGATCCTTCCCAGAGGACTTTGGACGTAACGAGCAGTCACCCTGGTACTCTCGAAGTGTACAAAGTCGCTACACAGTTTAACCTCCCATAGCGCACAGTTGCGCTCGCGGTTCCTGCAAGTACGAGTCAAAATTAGTGTTGCATGGGAGTCCCTTCAGGCACCGCGCTTCCGTAACTTAGGTAGCGCCCTTGTCCTTCATCGTACACAGAATCGGGGGGTTCAATCTTTACATATGGGCATCTGCGGACGTGCAATAGTATGGGGAAATCTCAAAAGGAGCGATTTCCCTTCGCTTCGGGCAAAGCCTCGGGCGGGGCGAAGCGTTCATTGACCCGGATTTTGTTGCCAAACGGCATTCAAAGCAGATCCCGGATTGCTTACCTCAGCGGCTTTGGCAGCTTTTCGCACTCGGTTGTCACCCTACTGAAGCGCACATCCATCCTACCCCCCTCAGACCCATGACTCTCTATGTCTCAGCTGCAGGACCATCATGACCTGGAGGACGACGAGAGGACCCTCTATGAATCCTCACACCACCGCAGCTCGGATGAGGAGATGGGAGACTACGGCTCACATGGCGTTCGCATAGCCTCTGACCTGGACAAGAAGCGTCTTTGGTGGAAGAACGCGGTTATCAACATCTGTTTCATTGCTTCATGGTGAGTAAATTGTGCCTTCTTCTCTTCTCGATACGACGCGCTCGGTTGCTCAGTCGCAAGATAGGTACATCTTTGCCACTATCCTGTCGGTGTACAACAAATGGATGTTCGCACCGGATCGCTTTGGGTTTCCTGCTCCCCTCTTCGTCACCACTGTACATATGTTCGTGCAGTTCTCACTCGCAGCTGCTGTCAGATACATGTTTCCGAGGAAGTTTCGCCCTGAAGCCCGTCCGAGCCTGAGTGACTTTGGGTGAGTGTTCGTCGTGCCTCCTGACTCAAGCTCTGTTGTAATATGGACCATACACGTTGAACCCCCTCATTTCGTCTATCATCTCCTATCACATATGCCTTCTGCGACTTCTGACACGTCTTTCAGGAAGAAAGCCGTTCCAACGGGCATTACGACCGGAGTTGATATCGGGCTGTCCAACGTGTCGCTGAAGACAATCACGCTTTCATTCTACAGTGCGTACTCTGAATCCTGCCAATACGCTCTCCCCTGAGACATTCTTGATCGATATAGCTATGTGCAAATCGTCCTCCCTTATCTTCGTCTTGTTGTTCGCGTTCATGTTCCGTTTAGAAGCGTTCTCTTATCGTCTTGTCGGGGTCATCCTACTCATATGTGGCGGGGTTCTCCTCATGGTTGCCAGCGAAACATCCTTCCAGCTCTTTGGATTCATTCTTGTCATCACGGCCAGCGCCTGCAGTGGACTTCGGTGGAGCTTGACGCATCTACTTCTGAAGAACAAGGATATGGGAATGGACAATCCAGCTGCGACGGTATTCTGGCTTGCTCCCGTTATGGGAGTCAGCTTGGCGATCATCAGCGTGTTCTGGGAGAGCTGGAGTGAGATATTCGCTCCACCCTTCTTGTCTGGCGATTCTTCCTTCAGCACTTTGTTCTTCCTGGTAGCTCCAGGGGTCGTGGCGTTTTGTATGGTGTTGAGCGAGTTTTAGTAAGGGGTTTGCTGTACATGGTGCTTGCCGTCACTCACGCTTGTTGTCAGCATCATCCAACGTGCCGGTGTCCTTCCCATGTCGATAGCAGGCATAGCGAAGGAAGTCACCACCATCACGATATCAGCCTGGGTCTTCGGGGATGAACTCACGCCCCTCAACATTACCGGTGTAGGAATCACTGTTTGTGGTACGTCTCTCCGCTGGAGTCGTTAGCGCCAAACCTTCTGTACTAGATCTCAAATCTCTTGGCAGGCATCGCCCTCTTCACGTATCACAAATATCGTAAATCCATCAGCTCGGAAGTTGCTCTCGATGAAAATGGTAATGCCGTGCTGGCGGAGGGTGGCGGCATGCACGCGACGCATGCTACGGAACGCGGCTATGAGTTAGAGATGGCCGACAGATTGCGGCGTACAGCTGTGAGTTTCGACGAAACTTGGTCCGTAAGCGCCACTAACGTGCACATGTTCAGTCACTCGACGCACCAGAAGATCGACAACATCTGCTGTTCTCAGCTGATGATCTAGAAGATGATGCAGAAGAGTTGCGGAGTGTCAGGTCCTCGAAGATAGGCTCAGTCGCAGGTGATGACGACATGCCAATACCTAATGGTGCCCATTAGATGTTCCTCACATTGATGGGCCCCTACCACATGCAAATCAGAGTAAGCTTTAGCTAACGGCTCTCGCCTCTCTCCGCACTAATTACCAGCATTAACACTCGTACATATTCACCTTGCTACGTAAATCTATCTCGATCTAGCCTAGAGCTTCTCTGTGAGATGAGCGACTGGATTGGGCAAAGTCAGTTATGCATGTCCGAGGGGAACCCCGAAGTGATGATCGTGTGTCGCCGCCCTGGACGGAGGATTAACGGCGAGCTGACCCGGCATAATTACCGTCGACGCGTCCACGAAGACAAGCGTCGTTCACATGACGGAGCCGGCTGGGGTCTGGCCGACGACCGGGAGGCCAGCAAAGGTGTCGATCGGGGCAAGATCTCGTCCCGCTCGGCGGCGGCACAGCACGCGTTACGCGCTCGAACATAGTTGGGCGAGGTGGAAACGGTGTGAAACACAGGCGAGCCGGGTATTTGCACAGGCACGCAGACCATGAGCATACGCCCCAGCGCCTAGCCTTGCCATTTTAGAATGATGATCTTCTGTTTGGAACAACGCGGTCGAGTCCGCCGACACCCCTCTCAACTCAGATCCATCCCTGCACCGAGATTCTTGCCATGCACAGTTTCAAGTATATAGCGCAGTCCCGCACTGCTAATAATATTTAGGGGATTTGGACAGGTGTGGGACGATCTGGAGACTTGGAGGGCTGCGTCACCCGCGTGGCAACACTGGCCCCTCTTTAAGGTTCGTTTAACAAGTCATCATTGATATGTTGACTGCTGTACGCTGCGTAAGGACTCCGAAACTCGGCTCGATGAGGAGACGTAGCGATTGGCAAATCCCGTTTCGGAGTCCCTGAAACCTCAGGGTCGGATGTTTTATTTCTTGACTAATCCACCGGCGGGTAAAACCCTCATCGATCAAACCAAGATCAATGGGTCGCGTTGCACAGCGCTCAGTTGCGATCTCTTCAACGCGGCATGAAGAAGACGCGGCAAGTCAGGGCTTCGCTGCGTTTTGTTCTGACTCATTATCCACTTGTCGGTCAGGGCTCGTTACATGCCCGTGACAACAAGTCTAAAGGTATAATAGGTGGAGCTACTTGCCGGTCATAATCGCTTGCATCACTCCTAGTCCCCTTTGCTTAACTCAACCATGGACGGCTTCCAATTCATCATCGAATCACCTCAGGAAAACCAAGGTCACAAGAAGCGTCCGCGCTTGGTAACTTCCTGCGACAACTGGTACGCGTCCAACATTATCTCCGACGTCTTGTGCTCATCATTGTCGGTCACAGTCGCCTGAAGAAGATCAAGTGCATTCAGCCTTCGCCCGAGACGGAGTGCGAAGCATGCAAATCGTCCAAGGTACCTTGCAAGTTCCGCGACAGGGAGCGTTATTTCGCTGAGCGGAGCCGCGCCATTGCTGGGCCAAGCGCGTCAGGAGCGGCGTCGAGCCAAGGTTCGCGCAAGTCTTCGCCGACCAGTCACGTCGAGTCTCCTGCGGGCCCCGGCCCCGAACGCCGCCACTCCCGTCCTTCCTCCACATATGGGTCGCCCCACCCTTACCATCCCGCCTCGCGCGCTTCGTCGCACTCCCCACCCATGGCCGTCTACTCCTCGGAGAACTACCCTCGCTACCAGTCCTACTCCCCAGACCAGTCACGGTCGAGTGGATCGAGTGGGCCGTACCCAAGGTACGCTTGCCATTTCCTCTGAAACCGCCGCACCCACTTAAAAATGCGCATATATGCATAGGTCGTCGCCGCCTCGCCCAGTCACCGGCTCTGTCTCTCCTTTCTTCGACCCCAGTCAGCATCAGGCTCCGCATCGGAATCTTCTACCCCTATTTGTCGATGTCTTTTTCCGCAACATGTCTCAGCAATGTCCCTTTATAACTCTCGACGAAGTACAGGAGCGGATTCGGCATCACAGCTTATCCCCTTTGTTGGCGAATGCACTCGCTGCAGTCTCGGCCAGGTTACTGGACCCAGCAGACTTGCAAGCCCGCGGCCTTTACACTGCCCCAGAAGTGTATGGCGATACAGCGAAGGTACGTCGCGTGCCACTACACGTTACACCACGTTGACGATCCTGTTCATCTAGAATCTCCTTTCTTCCGTGTTGCAGCAGCCTGCGCTGGACACGTTGCATGCGATGATTCTCATTGCGTGGGCCGAGTACAAGGGGGGCAACACATCTAGCTTCCGCCAGTATAGTGACGTGAGTATTTCGTACCTGACTAAACGAAGTCCGCTTGACACTAATATGCCTTTCTAGTTGGCTATGCGGATGGCGCTTGCACTTGGGCTCTCTGAAGACGCTGTCTTGGGCCTCAGCCCCTACGTTCCCTATCAAAACCGGCTCCGGCTGACCTGGTCCAGCGTCATGCAGATCCAGATGTATTCCTCGTCAATCGGTGCATAGACGACGTTTCTTACGGGTCCCAGCCTGAGATGATGCGATTCCATCTCCCGTGAGTTATCTTTCGTTCTGTATGAGAGCGTGAATCTGATGCCATGCATCCGGTTAGACTACTTTTAATTTCATCATGAACGACGTTATTGCATCGTTGCCTGCTCATGCTCATGCCCATGCTCATGCTCATTTGCCCACCTATGGGTTTCATAATCATATTGTAAATGAAGGACATTGACTCGTGGACGGCTTTTCGCTTTCGATTTGTTGCTAGATCATATTGTGTCATCACATACGCGCATTCAGACAAGTTAGATATACAAACATACTCTCGGCCTACTTTCATATATACCTTACATGATTATTATTGCATCATTGTGCTCTGCCTTACAATACGTCCCAATTATCTGCTAAACGTTGACGATTTTGATTGTGCCTTGGACATCTGTGCTGTGCGTCCCGTGAAAAATCGTAATCATGCTGACTACTGAGCCTAGGCAATATGAACACCGCACTTCATCAAATGACTAAGACCAAGAGCGCATCACAGCAAACAAGCAGATGTGGTCAAGGGGCAGTCAGAACCGTAATTCCGGACCTTGACTGGGGGGGGATCCATCCCCTAGTGGTGTCTGGGGTCGTGACAAGGAGCTGGAGTACACAGCCTTATGGCGAAGTTATGTCCGAACTCGTTACCTTTGGCATACGCAAGTAAAATACAATCTAATAGCATGGTTTCGAATCGAGGACATGCTCGGTGCTCTCCCTAATAACTTTCTGCGAAGAGATTGTATTTTCGAGCTCGAGAGGAGTGATTTTGGCTAATACTAGGTAGAAGCCCCTATTGGCCGAGCGCTACAAATAGATGCAAAGCCCGCGCGCGATCTACGTCGCGTTGAGCGCGCCGACAACCAAGACATATCCACACAGTGCTAACCTATGCAAACGCTATGCGTTTATCAGGGTAGCGTGAACAGGATTTTAGACATGGAAATATATATATATGTTCAAGCTAAGCCGTATTCTACATCCCAAGCAGGCGCATGAGTACTCCACCCTTTGCCTCACCATCAGTAGATGGACCTCCTCGATCTCCTTCTCGAGCTCCAGCAAATTCAAGCGTTTTCGAGGACGCCAAATGCGAGCTATGCGGCGAGCTCATTGGAGTTACACGGACGTCAACCTACCATATGGATGCGCACCGGAACAGCAAGCCGTGCCGTGCAAAGCAGCAAAGAAATGAGATAGAAGCTGCTAGGGGTATGCGTCGGATTGCCCTGGCTGATATTAATAACTTGCAGGATTCAGCATCATGTACAAGGCATCCAGGATCCAGCTCTCTAGACAACTATGTCCCTACTGGCTCGTGCTCATCGAGTCAATACACCTCTGAGAATGTAGCTTCTGCAGCGCCAGAAATATCTCAGAGATGTCAAGGCTATCTACTCGACTGGTCTGACATTGGTCCGACTTTTACTACGTTTCCGTGGGCGATTTTTCAAGAACAATCTATCGAAACCCTCGGATTTTGTCCATCTCGCTTTGGTAGCATCACGGGAGAACTCTTCATACGCTCAGTAGCTTGCCAATTGCACATTCCAACGACAGGGCCCTGTAACGCATGCAATCTACTTCAATACTCCTCTTCCCTCAAACGAGCTCGTGACCGTGCCAGAAATATCTTACCGCACTCACCATATTATCTATATACTCCCCAACAGTGTTTCGACAAAATGCGGCAGTTAACAACCCAGCTTGACAAAGCACACCTACAAGTGAGCTCATTCGATTATTTATGTAGCACGTCCTTACACTCTGATTCAGAATAAGAACTTGTCGAGAGACCTGCAGCACGCTCGTCAAAAGGCAGCAGATCATGATGCATTATACATGGCCATATCAACCTTCGACCACAAACAGACTCAGAGGATCCTCTCGTCATGCATTGAACGAGGTATGAGTATCAAAAAGACACGTGAATGCTTTCTTGAGGCATGCGCTGAGCGCCGTCACTTCCGTGGGTTTTCTGAGGAGGATCTTGATATGGCCTGGTTCATACAAAGTCTAGCTGGTCCCCGAGGCCTCTTTGCTCTATCACACCATCTTGGATTGCCTTCATCTTCGACTGTATCACGTCTATCGAAGCCTCCAGTTGTAATTCCCAGCTCCAGTTTCCCAACTCCCTCTGAGATTTCAAATAACTTGACAGCATTCTTTGGCCCTCACTCTGCTAGTGCACAATACCCAAAGCGGGGAAACTCCTTGATGATTGATGGTCTCCACATTGCACAGCGTCCCCGGTGGCACAAAAATACTAATACTATTATTGGCCTCTGTCGAGAGCACACCAAGGGTCTAGATCTTGGCATGAACAACATGGATGCTGTGCTTGAGATCGCTCGAGCTGTTCAGGATGATCCCCAGACTTGTCACTATGGACGAGAGGCTACAATCGCTGTCATAGGACCTTTTCAACGTGATAACTATCACCCCTTTCCAGTTCTGGTTTCGCCTACCTGTAAAGCAGAAAAATCTGATGAGTTTTCAGCCATAATTAGCATGATAATTGCTCAGTGGGACGAATTTGGGAAACCATTCAATGGGCCACTCTGGTGTGTTTGCACAGATGGCGATACAACATTTCGAGGAGCTTTACACCGTGTGCTAATGGACCGAACGGTTGCCGTGGGCGATGAGCTCTACAACAAGCTTGCACCACTACTAGGCCTTGATCTTCACACTGGAGTGGCTTACATTGTAATTGGGCCGGATCCGAAGCACATCTTCAAGCGTATGTTTAATGTTGAACCTTTAACTTGATTTTGTTCCGGTCTAAACCACGATTTTGACAGGTTTAGCGACGTGGCTTCGCAGCCTAGAAGGCATTATCATTCTTGGGATGCTTCTTGCTCCATACGCATTGGAGGAGTGCTTGCTGCAGCTGCCACACTTGAAAGGAAAGCGTAGTAATGTCAGGACTCTAATTGATCCATCCGACCACCAGAATGTACCTCGGGCAACCAAATTAATTAAGGCAGTCATCTCTCTCAAGGACGAAGTCGAGCGAGACGAGCTTTCCCCTACACAAATGAAAGAGCTCACTGGATACATCTTACTTGGAGAACTTTTTAACGCCCTCCTAGATCCTTTCATAAACCCTTCAACCTCATTATCTGAGCGTCTACAACTCCTTTCGACTTATGCACACCTTGCATTTGCACTGTTCAAATTACATGGGCCATCCTTCATGACTGGGCAGCTGTACAGTGACACACAATCTCTGGTCAAATGCTGTTATTTCATGGTCGCACAGCAGCAAATTCTTGACGATTCACAGCCGATGTTTCTGCACTTGATTGGATCAGATCGCTTAGAGGAACAGTTTTGCGAGCTACGGACAGAGACTCATGATCGCAACTGCGATACTCTACAAGTCTGCGAGCGACTTTCTACATCTGCTGAACGGGTATCTGTTTACAGCCGACACCCTTCCTGGAGGAAATCGTATCGCAGGATGTCCTATACAGGCCGTGAAGATGAGGTTGACCATGTCAATCCAACATTTTTTACAGGCAATTTAATTGTATGCAACGTTGATCTCCAGGGCGTGTGGGACCTTGGCCGATCCAATGCACAGGAAATCCTCAATGGGAACGGCATTAAATTTGATCTACAGGAGCTTATTGGTAAATCTGGCGTCGACTTTCTTCACCCTGCAGGTGATGGTGTCTGCCCTGGCGTGTCAATGCAGACAAATCCCTGCGACTCCATTTCAACAGTTGAGCCATCCTGCATGCCACTAGCTGAGGATAATGTGAAGCAGGAGTCACAGCCGGATTCTGATATATTTGAAGACACATCTACCTTTCCTATCGAGGAAATTCTTGACCTTGAAGAAATCCCTGACACCAATGATTCCTCAGCTGACGCCTGGACAGAGTCTCCAGATCAGGCATGGCTAAGCTATCAAGAAGATGGAGTTATGAGACGCTTTCACAAGGCCTCAATTTTGAACACTTTATTCCGGTCAGACCAGGGAAAACTCTCTGTCGATCGCCTTCGCCGAGTCCGTGGGTATTCATCAGACCCACAACAACCGCACTCATATGCTGGCGGTGAACATGTCCAAGGTGTACTTTATCTAGGGAACTCAGTCCTTGTTCCTGTCTATTCTGGCAGCACATATGCATTGGGTGTTGGACTCGTGCAGAAACTCGATAAGAAAGGGAAGGCACTTTCTTCTGTGGACCTTGACTCCCTCATGGACCCAGAACACGGTTACTATGTGTCTGTCCAAGTCCTAACACTATGCCCCAGCCCTTTTAGTCACAATGAAAGCGACTCAAACACCATCAGCATGTCAAGCGATCGCCTCTGGTTGTGGGATGGCAGCTATACCCAGTTTGATGGTCCTTCAATAACATCAACATCGCGTACTCTGGCAACTAGAAACACTCGAAAGGGTGCTATTGTTCGCATACCTGGTTCTCTTGTTCGCAACATCACACTCAGCATCAAACCCACACTCCTTCTCAGCCCGAAGGATCAAGAGATCCTGGTTCAACAACGCATTAATTCAACTTGGTCAATCCCTGAGAGTGTGCTGCAGCAAGTTGCTATCGTATTTTCCGAGACTGCTGGGCTTGTTTTTGGCGAGCTCTGCAAGTTATCTAAGTATACATTCAGTTCGTCATTTCCTTATCGCAATCATGAGGGTGTGTCTTACTCTCGCAACCTTACATGATTGTCTTACTTACTTTTTATTATCACCTGTCCCAAGGATCGCCTGCTTTTACCTTCACGGTTTCAATGGCCAAAATGGAGGCTGATACCATTAATCAAGATTCAAACTGCTTTCTCTGCGGAAAATCGCTTCGCTCAGATGAATCATGGCTGCATAGTGGCGGTCATATCTTGAAAGCAATGCAAGGAGTGATAGAGGATGACCTCTGTGAAAAAGTGTGATAACTTCTAGCTTTCTTTCACTTGCTTTATTTCTTACACGTCTATGCAGGTGTCAATCGGTCATGCATGCGGCTTCTGTGGCAAGCCTTCATGTGCAAGTGTTCGACTAGAAAAAACAAGCACAGGAAGATACACTATTGAGTCTCAATGCCCTCGCTTTCACATTTTACAACTTGCTTCAGCCCGCAAGTTCTCGAAAGCGACACCATGTACAAATGTGCCTGTTCAGTGTATGCTCTGCAGCAGCTCACTAGGTGCTGCAGATGCAGTATTCTGGAAGTACAATATCCGTGAACATATCAAGAGCCGGCATCCTATGCACTGGGATCCATACAAGAAGGAGCCGGTTGACCTCCCACCCCCATTTGCCCAAGGTATTCTAATCAGCAATAGCGAAATTGATGCTCTTGCACCCAAAACACCAAAAGCTGAGAACGCGTTGGTTAAACGTAAGCGTACTGGTGTTAGTTCTAGTAAAAACACTGGTGCTAGTGGCAGTAGTAGTACTCGCTCTCAGCGCCAGCGGCTCATTTGATTGCCTCGGATGATGGACTGCAGACTTCTATGGATTAAATGCTACAGCTATACTGTGACAGAACTCTACGACATACACATGTTCATGTTTGATAGTAAATAGAGTAAATCTGATGCTTCACTCGCTCGAGTTGTAGTCGACTCGCAGCCTAGTCGGAGTCAAATCGTGGGAGCGGCTGCAGTGCCACAATTGCCCTTCTTGGCTGACTTGCGGCTGTGGTATCCGTGACGCGCGGCTTGGTGTACGGGGTCCTGCACGGAAGGTCATGGTCCGATATTTACAGTTGTGACTGCCCCTTGGATGTGGTAAAACTTTTGTAGCCTCAATTCCGACAGGCGAGCATCGCATGGCCGCTCAAGCTTCCACCTGAACGGAGTACCTAGCGTAGCAAAAACACCGGTGGCAAGTCGGATGCACAAGAACCTACAAGAACCGAGAAGCACTGGTTGGAGACAATTGAGATATTGATGCGTTTTCCTCGCCTTCTTGTCAAAATTGACAGCTCGGACAGCAACTGCCTCGCTGTATGCCGTGATGTCGAAGCCACGCGAGAGGAACAATCGGGGGCCGCTGCGATCCGTTCCCTTAGCGAGCCCTCCGCCCACGTGGGCGCTAAAGAATACGAATGCCGCCTACTGCCGCCAGTGCCAACCTTTTGAGTGAGCACGTTGGTCCCATCAAGTTTCTCAAGATGTCGATGTCGCAACACGCATTCAACAGGGCGACACCTGGGCGACAGAATGGTTCCAGGAATGTGGCGAAAGCCGATACTTAACCGCTGTCAGACCGATGTGGCTCCCTCGATCGGTTTCGAGTCGGTGCTCGACGACCGAGGATCGGCTCCCCGAGGGTCGGCCTGACATTCTTATCGGCAGGACGGAGAATTATAGTTCGCTCCTAAAGCCCTATGCGTCTGTATGTACTCGCTGATTATTTAGCAGCAGCAGAGTATCCCCCCACGGCATCACGGCCGCTTCGACCGGACTCGAAATGATTAATGTATGGACGGTGGTTAGTGACTAGAGTAAGTACCTGAAGTTGTTTTCTTAGATCGAGGTGACCTTGTAAATGGCGCCCTCAAAGGTTTTTTTCTTGTTCGTTCTGACATCAACTCCAATTCATTTTACTTGACCACATCATGATGGGCGGCGGTGTGTTCTTTGCCAATGTTATCAATCTGGCTCCTCGGATCACCCCAACTTGGGCTCGAGGGCTCGAGGGGTCTTAGTGTCAGGACCACGACATCAGAGAGCTTGCGTCTGACACGAACGCGTTACTTGGGAATCTTGGGACCGCATGGATTACCAGCCCGGTGATCATGAATTGCCCCGGTAGTAGTCAGGTACGTCCTTGGTGAAGATCATATTTGCACGCGTAAATCTGCCGGGATTAGATGACCATACGGCTTACCGCGGTTGTATTGGCGGCATACAATCCATCTGGAGTCAATCGTCGAAACTCAAAGTCGAGTTTGACAACTTTCAATCAAAGTAGACCGTGCTCCAAACTTCGAAATGGCCACTCGCTAAAGGCAAGTGGAAACCCTCCTATTCCCGAGGATTGAGCGTTGAACTCTACATGCAAACGGCTGTGCATTTCACAGGCGCCCTCCCAGTCCACGCCCCTGTCAGCTGAGCTCGAGGAGACCCGAGGCACGGCACGATCAAAGTTGTTACAGATTGTTACTAGACGAAACAGTGACGAGACCAGACTTCGACGTCGTGACGTAGCGTGGGGTCAGATCGACGGATGAAAAACACCGTCGAGTAACCATCAAAATATCTTCGACTAGACCAGCCGTTCTCCGCCCTGCCGACTTGCTGTAAAACTACTACAGCACCAAAGAGTCTTTGATCGGGGGCTCAAGCAATGCGATTGTTCGACAGGTGGAGAACTTTGAGCCAATCTGGTCCTCATGTTTTTGGAGCTACGATGGCGTACCAGGCAATACATCCGCTGTTCCGTTGTAGGGCAAGAACATGACTTCTAAACAAAGTATCTAGCATTAGCGGCGTACCACAAATTTTGGTGATTTAAGTTAAGTCGAACATTTTCTTTGAAGAATCTTAGCCTGTTGCAGAAGGGTTCAGATACTCAAGTCCGCGGGAAACATGGTGTGTATCGTCGGTGGCGCTAACGTGAAAATGACAGCTTGACCTTTGAGCAGAGCACAAAGAAGTTGACGCTATACTATGAACTTAAATCAATGAGCTCTCTCTCTCTCTTCTGCTATTCATGCATAGTGCTAAACCACGTCCAAACTACGTACTCACCTACTTAGCTGTACCAAATTTCAGAAACAAGTCTCAGAAATTAGGCGCCTCACCATTATGTTTTCCCCCATGCGACATGATAGCATGCTGTTTAGCTAGGTGTAGTATGCATTTGACCCTTCGATAACCATATAGCAACAAATCCCTTACCTGAGAATATAAAAGACGTTCGGCCGAACTCTATTCACTGAGTCTTGGAGACTCAGGATATGGTAAAGCTCGGCCGAACATGTACCGTACAGCAGAACACCGGCGAAGTTTGTGTTAAGGAGAGTTATTGACACGCAGGCGGTGGTTTTCCCTAGAACCAGTCTTTCGGTGCTTTGTCGTATTCTCCCCACGTGCCTTAAATCATGTGTTCGTTAGTGTCTCTGAAGCGAATTCTTCTCATGATAAACCATGTGGTTATCGAACCGACATCGATGTTTAGTGGCCTACTTCGACATCCAACTCTCGGTGTCTTGACGACATCATGCCTTGCAAACATTTGAGGGCTTGGTCGGTCAGCTTGCACAGGAACGTAACTAGATGCGTCATGATAGTGTGGTGAATCATAAGTACCTCCACAGACATCGATTGCGCACGTCGTTGGGCCAATTGCGATCGGAGAAGCCTCCATGCGCGGCCCCACTGCATGTTTGTCTATATGCCCGCCACCTTCTCTAATGAGTGGCAAGTGACGGGTAGCATAGGTTTCCTGCGAGCATGACATGCCGTAGGCTGTGAATGTGGCCGATGTGCAATGTATTCGACCCTCTACTGATCGCTAAGGTCACACTTATCCCCGGGTCGCGTGGGACCACCTTTGATGTCGTGGAGGTTTGAACGACGGCACATCTAGAGTTGACGTCTCGGAACAGATCGTGGCAAGCAGGGCGCAGTATAGCCTTCGGGAAGCCCAAGCCTCGAGGTCAGTTTCGGTGGACAGCTAGGGGCTTCTTAGTCATGTCTCAATGAGTTTATGTGGTGACGCTGACATCATCTTCGAGATGAAGTATGAGGAACTTGGGGATCAGTATCAACGTTGGGAAATGAGACTTTCATACCGGCATCGCCTAGTTGCAGTCGAGAGAGCACACCTCGGTGTTCCTTACAAATATTCTGCCCCACTCAATATTACTAGACTGAATACTGTTGCCCAGACATGTCAATATTTCCTGAATCTCTACATCAGGAAAACGACCCTCGAAGTCCATTTGATCGGACGCGAATCGGCTTAGCGTGGCCGAAAGCCGAAACTGGAGGTCCACAAGAGCACCTTATATCAATTCTAGATGGACAACAATGATTTTTAAGGGGGATGAGTAAGGGTGGGGAAACCATGATTAGAACTTTGAGGAGTCGGATGGTTCCCCAGAGTCGTGACCGCGCTTGTGGCCGAGAATCGCGGGGATGGTATATCGTGAGACACAGTTTCCTATCTGGCATGCGCGCTTGAAGACTTGTACAAATGTCGCATTCTGTCTTCCCGTCGCTTACCGTCGAGTCTCATCCCGTTGCTCAACACCTCTCTCGTCCGCCATGTGTTAATAATGTCCATGTTTTGTGAGGACGCGATACGGAACACACGCAAATACTCAAATCGGAATGACGACCCCGACGAAACGAGAAAGTGATGCGTTGTCCATCTACAAGTCACATCCACCACTTTGGGTACCAAAAGCTCACAAGGAGGCGGAGCTTGGTGCGTCTAGGGTATGCGTAGGTGTTAAGCTACGCTGCTGAACACCCAACAATAGAATATATCGGCTTTCACCCTCCAGTGCCCAATCAAGATGAAGACATCCTCTCTGAAGGTCATGTCAAGAACGGCTTCGTGCTCGGGCCGGCTGTGCAGGTATGTGTGCCTCGACCAAGCATTTGCCCGGTTACACAATGACGTCCCTAGTCTGAATATGCGGGAGTAGGGGAAGCGCTTTCGTCCGGAGAGAACAAGCAAACAGCTTTCGATGATGTAGTGCTTCATGGTTTGGAGAGTCTGATGAGCGAGATCCTTGCTCGGCGAGCAGAGAGCGTCCCCTCTATCCCGTGAGTCGGTTGGTATGCATATCGTCGGTCAACTCTATATCCTTTTTCAGCGCACCAACATTCAAGATACCCTCCCGTGTTACCCTCAATGACGCCAAACGAGAAGCCTGGTTCGCCGACCTGGCGAACCCCGACGTCCCGCTCTACAAGCTAGGCAAGAGCGTACCGCACGGTGCCAAGGGACACGACCTACTGGAACAACTCTACAGTAATAACGTCGCTATACCACGTGCTGTCTGGTTTCTGAGAGTGTTTGGCGCGAATGAGACGGTGAGCTGCGTTATATGCACCCCGCGCCTTCTAAACGATATTTAGGCCGGGTTGCGAAACAAACCTGATTACAATCCGACTCAGTACAGCGTTGACTGGGCGAACGTGGTCACTACTTACGTCAAGAAGCAACTAGCTGAAATCGCCCTTCCAAGTGCGCCTCGCGTGGGACTCAACATTAAACAGACGTTCAAAGGTGTACTTTCCGACCCCGAGTCTAAGGAAAGGTGGTTGTCGAGATTCACGTACTGGTAAGTGCTAAGGTATGGCGCATATATCCAGCTCTGAGCGTTTCCAGCTTGAAACTTCTACGACCCTTCTATACGGAAGGGCTCGTCGACCATCGCACTCTCCTCGTGTGGCTAGTCAATCAGTTGCAGAGCTGCAACCTTGCTCAAGCCGGGTTTGTCACACATCTTGCTGACGAGTTTGTGGATGGACTGGCGGCATGCCGCCCGCTCGCCAGAGGTGTAGTAGAAGCATGCGTCAACAAGCTGGCTGAGGTAAATGCAATGCGTTTCTTTGAGTTTGGGCGTGTCGGATTCAACTATCCTGTAGATACAACTGTTGTCTGGGGAGGGACAGGTCATTACGCTTCGAGGACTGCTCAAAACTTTAATGCAGGTAAGTTACGGGGCTCGTTGCGATCTCCTATCTGATAGACGGTTCAGCGAATCTGCTTGAGCCTTCCGGATGCTTTCGTTAGCCCAACACTTTGGGTGGCTCACTCAGCGTTGCTTATCAATACTCTGGAAGAGACTGTGGGCGATGAGGTTTTGCAAAGTGATCCTCGTCAGGATGGTATTGGGCAAATACTCCTGGAACACTCCGCGGACATCAAGCGGCGGAACGAGGCCATGCTATTCCGCAACCTTCCACCCAGAGTACTCGCACGGCTGGGAAGCATGGTCGTGGACATTCAGGTGCGCTGTTTTCTCAAATATCCACTCTACTGTATCGTAATACGACCACTTAGACCCTGAACTCTATCACCTATGCGACGAACCTTACCAGTATCTCATTCTTCTCGCGTGCATCCAGCCCATCCGCTACCACGCCTACCACATCTTTTGCTGAATCGGCATCTACATCCAGCTTTGCCGACAAATTAGACACGCTGCTAACCTGGGCAGTGACTCCTCTCCAGTATGGCGCTCATCGGCCGTACGTTGCCGTATCTTTACTTAGAAACTGGGATAATCGAGTTGGCCGTCGACGGGCGTACGGGAGCGGCCCCTCGGAGATGTCCCTTCACGACCATCTATTCGATTGGCTGGATAACTCAGATGTGGCGAAGGCTCCTGACAACTTATCAGCCGTGGCAATCCTGTACGGTAAACTTGTCAAGTACAACTTGTTTGAATACAACCTGTACGTCCAGAGGCTCGTCGCCCGGGGCGAAGACGGGCTTTCGATATCTCAGGTGCGTGCTTGCGAGATGATTGGGTCCATATATCACTCTCGCTTTCGCGCCGCCTCACCGCGATCGTTGACCCAGCTATTTGACAGGACCGCAAAGGCGCCGATGACCCTTATATATCACACCATCGCAACTTCTTGCGGTGGATACCATTACACGACGAAGACGCTTCTCTGGTCAACCAGAGGAAGTTCATTCTTTACGGTTCCCGTGCTCGAGAGACGTCGGAAGATACCGCTGAAAGACGCATGAGGCAGGAGTTCAGGGCCGCTTTGCCCTTATTCTTTGGTGGTTCGTGTGTTACCGTTACCGTTTCGTCCGCGCAGGTCTCGCTCACAGTGTTGTCGATAGGCGATCATGACCCGGACTGGGCTTTTACTAACCAGATTCACCAACATTGCGAGACGATCTTGACTGCACCGAGGTTCGAGGTAGTGTGGACGATTACTCGATGGTTTGTCCCTTTAGTTCGAAAGTTTCTCGGTCGGTATGTGATCCAATATTTTACTCTTAGACCGATGTCTGAAATTTTGTCATCGTAGATCCGTCGGCGTTGATCCAGGGCGACTCCAGCGCACGTATACTTCAGCCGTCGAACTTCTGCACGCCGCGCGATGCTACGGCTCCTTATTAACGGTAGGAGAAATGCAGCCACCACGTCGCCGTTATGGCTAATGTTACGTTCTAGTTCAACCTCATGCTTTTGCCCTGCGCGACGACTGTGGAGCTGTTGACTGCCGTCACAGGCGTGTTCCATCGGTTTGCAGTCATCTGGACATCGTCGGATTCAACAGGCAAGATTACGGCCGCATTGTACTCTGCCCACCTTGTTTGGAGGACGAAGGGTGTGCAGGCACGTGCTCTGCTTGCCCTAATGGTTGAGATGGACAATGGTCGGCATCTCGACGTCGCAGAGCGCTCGCAAGTCACCCACGATATTGCCTCGTACACGCACGTGAGTTTGCGTACCCTCGGTCGATGCGACTTTCTAACCCGACGCTCCATGTAGGCACTGAAGCCAGAGTCTGATAACCCTCCTCCTATTCCTGCTGCATTACCAGAAATCTTGTTGCTCTCCGAGGATCCGGGGTTGGATGCACCTTCTTTGCTCGCCAATAGCCTTTGGTATAGATATCGCACGACCCCAGACTGGGCTTGGACTGTCTGGGACAATGCCGTCGCGACGTTCCGTCAAATTCCCAACATGGTAACCGACACCGAGGGTCGACGAAGCTGTGCGTTGCGTTACGCTGAATTCCTACTCCACGTGGACAAGCACCTGCCATCCGGTATCGACGATCAGGTTTTACAGTGGTTCGAGGGCAGCGGCCGAAACGAGATACTTGCTTTGAGCAGCGATGTATGGGAGATCCTCATCGTCGTCGTGCTGCACATGTGCTCTCATGGTGCCCTCGCGGCAACGTCAATTCTTCAAGGGCTAGTCTACCCTACTTGGAAGGCCGCAGCGGAAACGTCGTCATCTGATCGAGCCGATGCTTTGTATGTGCAGATCTCAGCTGCCAACCGCCTTTTCGATTTGCTTGTGCTTCGTGATCACTGGGGCGATGAGAGCGAACCAGCGAACTTGCTGGAGTTACACCGGATACACACTCGGCGACAGGATATCTATCGGGAGGCCCACTTTACACTGCTCGTCGGGAGTATACCAACGCTAGTGCTTGTTGAGCACAACGACTTTCTGCCTGGCGATCTCAAGGATGCGATCACGGAATTACGACTGAAGGCCTGCCAACGCAACCACTTCCTCCAAGCGTGCTACCGCAACCTCGATGTCGTCAGACGTGGGTTTGAGGACCAGCTCTCTGTGGGTATCGCAGAGACCATGTGCGAGCCACTGGTGAACGCCATGAGGTTCATTCTCACGGAATCCACTGAAGGTAACGTACATTAATGCTCCCTCACGTTTCTCTAACTGATTTTCCGGTTGTAACAGAGAGCTCGGATGTGAACTCTTTCCTCAGCAATGGCGTCTCCTCGGACCTTAGCCCATGGCGGCTTGCAGCTACAGCTATTCAGATACAATTCGGTCTCAGACAGCTCGGTAGAGCGTTAGCACATGACTCCACCCGGCAGACCGCAGGCGCCTCCCTAGATCGAATGACCTCTACACTATTCCGCCACTCCATGGCATCCGAAGAAGCGTGCTTCATTGCTGAAATGGCCAGGGACGTTGACGGACCCGTTGCTATGAAGGTGAGTTTGCTTCCGGATGGTCTACAATGTCATTGAATACTATTATTGCTTTATCTAGTTCATCAATAACGGATTCAAGTGTCTCGCTGAGATCTTTGACTCCACCACCGGAGGGGTTGAGAATCTCCTCGACTGCGTTGATCGGGCAGGGGAGGTGGTCCGTATTTTTTCCTTGATATCGGAACGACTGCGGGAGGAGCCAGTAAAACTATCTCAAATGGACTTCGATCTGTCCGCGCAGGAGAAACTCGTGGAGATCATCACGCGGCATCTGACGGCGGTCGAAGCATCACTCGATGCTATGCATAGTCGAAACCAAGGCGACAACGACAATGAAATCGACGCGATATCTCGGTTATCTCATGTTTCGATTTTCTTAGCCAGGCTGCTCCAGCTCCAACTCGTGTTCCCGTGCGTTTGGACGCCAAAATTCCGGAAGACCGCTAGTAACCTTCCAGAGGTGCTTTTCCGGCTCGCCCTGGTACGTTTCCTCGAGGTTTGTTGACTCGACTCGATTCTCATTTGATTACGCATGTGCTTGCAGCACCATGTCACGTCTCCAACACTGAACATCGTCGCGTATTCCTTGCTTCTTGATACCTTGTTCTATGTTACGGACGGTGAGTAAATGATTGCTTGATTCTATGCTTCTCGCTCATAAGTCCCGCCTTGGCTCATTCAATTGACCGTATCGCTCTATATTTCCACTGCAGATCTTTCTTTCACGACGATCAGCGGACCGGGACCCACCAATACCCCGACTCCGAGCGGCGGCGACCCGTTCAGAAACTACCCTGCCCCACGCACGATCTCCCCTGCCCTCGTTCCTGCACAGTTGCGCGAGCAGTTGCTCACCCTGTTTCCGCCCGGCCGCGGGACGAGCGTGACGAAGAACCTTGCGCATGGTCACCGCTCACATGCCCAGGGAAGGGATGGCGAAAATGAAGAATACGTCTTTGGGGCACCTGTGATTGATCGACCATGGGAGTGGACGGAGAACCTCGGCGAGCCTCCCTCTGAAGCTGCAGTCGGATCTGGAGGTGGAAGTGGTGGGAAGGCTGGCGCAGGCGCTCGCCCTGGTGGAGCGGAATCGGGCCAAGGTCAGGGTCCGGCGCAGATCAGGAACGGCGCGAGTCTCTCCTTGGAGTTGTTCGGCGCGAGACTCACGGGTGACATCGTGCTTACTCCGCCCGGCTCGGGCCAGGGAGACGCTGCCGACGCGGACGTGGACGGCGGGAGAGAGTACAGAGACGAGGATCTGCGCACGGAGGCGAACATTCGCACTTTTGTGGACGGGCGCGGCTCGGAGAGCATCTTCACACGCGACTGGCGCGAGTCCCGCGTGCTCGCTCCGAATCTGCTGCCTGGCTCTGCGTCGGACAGGAGAGGAAGTGCCGAGGAGGAGCTCGGTACTATGCCTTTATTCAACGCGAGCATGCTAGGTGGTGGCATGCCTAGTCCCCTCTCGGGCGGCTATGGCAGCGCTGTTGGCGGAGGCGCTGTTGGTAGCGGCACTGTGGGTTCCAGGCGAGGCTCGCCATCGTCTGTCCAATCGAGGAGCGTGGCGAGTTTGCGTGGAAGTCCTTCCGGGATACGTTCGAGCGCCAGCGGAATGAACATGAGTCCGTCAGGGAGTGTGGGTGCTCGGCGAACATCGCAAAAGCGCAAGATGGACGTGGTCTTGGAAGAGGACGGGGAAAGCGATAGTGACATCGAGATGCTCGATGGTCCGCTCCCCAGCGCTGGCACGAGCACGAGTAGCCAGACGAGGATGAAGAAACGGTGATCATAGATTTTTTTTCTTTGCTTTCTTATAATCATGGATTTCTGTGTACATTGTATGCGATCTAAGTTAACGATATTAATCGTTCCACTAAGTACAAGACTTCGACGCAAGAAGCGATTGCTATGACGTAGATTACGATTGGTGGATAATATATGGGATACAGCTCCAAGCCAAGTCCATCAACAGGGGCAAGTAGCCTACACAACGCGACATAAGAGACATACATATCCTCGGTTATTCAAGGGAAATAGGTTACAAACGGATTCCTCAGAGCCGCGCTTCCCTTCAAGGGCTTTTCCTTCTCGCCGGCCGCCTCTGAAAGCTTCTTGATGATCTCCTTCAGGCGGAAATCTTCTATGGGTTGAGAGCGGAGGGCCAGGCGACAGAACGGGCACGTGTACTCGGGTTTTTCTGCACCTGCACCACCGCCGTTACCGCCAGCATTACCGCCGTGCCCGCCCCAGCCTTGTCTCTGCCGAGTAATGTCGAGTCGATGGCGGGCTAGGATCTGATGAGCGGTCATTGACAGCGCAGGCACGGGATTATAGGAGATTTGGGGCTCGCGGAGGAAGTTGATGACTTCGGGAGGCAGGGATGCGTATGAATGTGTAGCCGCAGGGCGATGATGATTCGTACTGTGAGCGCTATTGGGGTTGTAGTGGGGATGAGAGGCGGTGAACTGAGTGAGGGTGGTGTCGAACCAGTCGACGAGGCACGACTGGCAGAAGGCGTGACCGCAGTCGGGAAGACTGGGTGGGTGGTTCAGAAACGGAGTAGCAAGGGTGGAATGGGAACGCACAGATAGGGAGTCCACATCTTGAGCATGCACACCTGACATGAGATGAGGTCGTCGAGGTCGTCGAGTGACTAATAGAGGGGTGAAGCGAGTGGTTAGATGTGCCCCGACCGACGTAAACCGCTACGTACGATAACGGCAGAGCCTGAGGGAGCCGTATCTGTCGCCTTCAAGGGGGACGAAGACTTGCGGAGGGATATACATGCACTCAGATCCTCTATCTTTGCTTTCAGGACGCGGTTCTCCTTGACGGAAATCAACTTGGGAACGTGGTACTAGTGGCGGATGGGTAGGCACTTACCTCCTTCATTCTCGCTATCTCCTTTTCGGCTTCCACTACTTTCTTTTCGAAAGATCCCCCTGCCGCGCTTGAAGCGTGAATACCGCTCCACTCAGCGGAGTCATTGTCTGGGGTGATTTCAAGCACGCTTCTCGAGGCTTTAGGGGGTTTCCTCTTTGGTTGCACACTGTCCTTGCCCTTGCCGACACATTTTGACGTAGATCGCGGCTGAGGTGGGGGACTCTCATCATCTGAGGAAATGACGATTACGTCGCTTGGTGGTGCATGGGTAGGGGGCACCTTCCGTCGTCGGGCGGGCGAGGTAGCATAGGGCGGCGTGCTAGCGGGTGGTGCGGACGTGTCTCTGGTGGGGGGCATTGGGGAGAACGCGGTCAATCTAGAGACTTTGATGGAGTTTCCGGTGACAACAAACAAGACTGAAGATGCTGAGAAAGCTGGAAATGGTTGTTGGGAGGGCCCAGGGTGTCGGAGAAAAGCAAGAGCGTTCCCAGTTAGCGACGCGGCGACGCGCCCACGGACGCCATCACGTGTCGGCAGAACTTGCAATTCAAGTTGTTTCAGAAGCTTCGACTTCAATCGGTTACTGATAGCTTTGCCCAAACTCTATTGCTCACCGCTTTCGTCAGGATAGGGAGATCTGATCGTTAGGCATATGAGCAGGTCGACATCATGAGGCACAGGGGAGTGATACGCCTATTTGTTTTCGACTAGTGGTGAACTCGGCGCTTGGATCCAACGGATTTTCCATAGAAATGACATAGATTTTGTACCGAGTGGGATAGAGTCTCGATATTATTGCGTGTCTTTCAAATGACACATATGTACGTTCGTTCGTCGGTGTACAAAGTTAAAAAGATTTTAAGATTTCAACGGTGAGTATATAAACGATGTTATCATAAGAGGACCTATTTTACAGCTGTTGAGCCTGGAAGGACGGATCAAAATGGTCTGGATACTCCGTGTCCGATGAAGCTTCCTGACCTCGGACTTTTCTTAGGACGGTAGACCAAAACGGAGAACGCTTTGGCCATCTGGTGTACGGCAAATGTTCTACACTATAGACAGTAGAGACCTGAGGAACAATTTGAGCCAGGAGCGACGCCAAGGAGTCGGCATCCTGCATGTCTTCGGTCGCGTGATCGAAGGTCAGCGCATCTATCCGGGAGTTCGACGGAAGTGGGGACGTCGATTCACAAACCGACCCAATCGATTCCGATGTGACGAGGGTTCCGACGTCGAAGATCTCGAGGTGTGGTAGGATTTGCAGCAGGTCGATTGTCTCTTCAAGCTTAAGTGGCGTCACGAGAAGCCATAGCGTGAGCGACCTGAGACGCGGCCAGCTGCGGGCACATTCAAGCAGTGTGTTGGCTTGGATGGGAATACCGTCTCCTTGGGGCGGGTTTACGCATCTGAGTTCTATGTGAGTCAGCTGCTGGAAGGGGCGAAGCACACGAAACCACGCAGAAATGTCGCGCTCTGCTACTTCTACACCGCGGCCATGGCCGCGACGGCGAAAGCTATTTTCATTACAGATGACCTCCTGTAGAGCGCTGTGGGATATGTGTGACGCAAGAGCGGTGGCGAAGGCAGATAGGGAAGAGGGAGACGTTGTAGTTGCGACCACCTCAATGCGACGAAGGGTTGCCTGCGGCGGGTGAGCCTGATGTTTGAGTCCGAACAGCGATGAAACGACGTTAGATAATTTTCCGTAAGAACACAAGTCACTGCAGTCGATGTTTAGTGTTTCAAGTGTATTCAAACCAAAGAGATGAGCTTCGTCGGGCCAGGTAGTTTCTTCGCTGAGGACAAGGCGTAGGGCCTTGAAAGACGGCATGGAGGCTACATGTGAGATAGAACGTGGTCCGAGAGGGCCACAGTCCAAAACCCTAAGATTAGGCCACGCGCAAACGGTGTTTGTGACGATGCTGGATGGATTTGCCACCTCCATAATCGGGCTGTTGGGACCGCATACAAATGTTTCGAGCAAGGGACAACGAGAGGATAATGGATGTCCCATACGGTATAGATCTTCAAGAAGTGTTTCCGCGAGGAACTGTTTGGCGACCAAGGTTCGGATCTTCGGACTTAGGCAAATGCCATGCACGAACCGTGGAGCGGACTCTACATACTTGAGCCACATCGACAGCTCTACTAGGCTCGGAAACAAAGAAGGGACGGGGCAGTTCCTCGCGAGCACCTCACAGATGTTCCGGTCAGCATTTTCTGGATCGGGATGCTCTACGAACGCGACATCCAAACGCCTGACTCGAGCAGCGTATGAGATAAGGACACACCACTCGTCCTGTGTCATGGTTCTCTGAAAGTTCTGAGTTCCATGGTGAGCAATCGAAGTCGTACTTTAGCAGTCTAAAATACCATGGTGTTCCACTCTGGCTCCTTATCCTCCGGCTGAGGCTCCATCAAGTCTTTCGGAAGGACGCCAAGAAGATCATCGAAGGCGATTTTGTAATAAAGGGCGTCTAAGGCTAGCTCCTTGAATGATGTACACACGCGAGCAAGGCGAACCAGGGCAGCCTTATCTCGATCGAGTTGATCAATGATGATGCTGACTAGGTCTGTGTTGTGTAGGCAGTGATGCATGTTGGTCTTTCGAAAGCTTGCTCGATAGTGGAGGTCAGAGGCAAAAATGGGGGTCGTGAGAAAGTGTAATGACGGCGCTCGTTGGCGAACTTCTGAATCCTCCCCAAATCCTCCCAATCCAAAGCGTCTCATTTCTGACATGTGGCACACACCATACAGTGCATGACTTCACTGAGAAAAGTGGTGATGAACATTGTATAAGTCATTACATGCATGTGACTGTTAAATCACAAGAAGGGGCCGAACAAGTGACGCGCGCTCGTCAAGTCGGTGGCATCGGAGTCTCCCACCGACAGGCACGCAGTTCGAATTCCATGACCTAAGTTGAGTTTGTCCCGCTTCCGTAGCATCGCCCAAGCATCGACAAGACACCCACCCTTACTGGCCAGCCCTCGAACACGTTTCCAGCTGGCCGCCGCCGAATATTTCAGCCTGAAGAACGCTCTCCTAGGCTCTAGCCAGCAACACATACAGTCACAGTACCTCGTTCAACATTCATGGAGCATACATCCGCATTTATGGGTCCAGCCAAGGCGCCTTCCCCGTCTTCGAAGACCCAAGGCAACAATCGTAAACGCACGTCTTCAGCTTCCTCCAACGATCGCGGAGGAAACGCATACGATGATACGCCTTCATTAGGCTCCCCGGAAACAAAACCTCCTCGAAAGATCCGTCGATTGCTCGATCTTCGGGGTGGCAGCCTGTCTGAATCTTGTTCTCCGGCTGTTGGAGAGGCTGAGGCGATCCAATTCCTCGACAATCTCGTACCGGGCCTTAGTACGTCTCGCTTTCCACCTCCTGAAATGTCCTCGGATCCGTCGATGGGGGCACAGATCACCCCATACCTGCTTAATGACGACAGCATATATGCACCTACGGAGACATCTGCGTTCGTCCGTGCCCTGAACAGAGCTGCGGAGGTCGCTACGCACAGTGACCCAACGCATACATCTACCGATTCTGCCAGGATCCAGCCCCCTTCGGCACACCAGCCTCTCATCCATCAAGTCGACTCTAGAGGAGCGCCCGAAGAGGCTGTACCGGATCTGATACACCCGCCCGAGATCCCTAGACGCTCATATCACCCAATCACATTGCAGTACCGCGGCTACGCCTTCGAGTACGACCTCGCGCTGCTTCCTGATGACGCCGAAACCGGTATTGCACTTCTCAGGACCACAATGAGCGATCCAGGCATGTGGTTGATGTTTGGCGCGCACTATAGACGCACAGGGCGGCCCCAAGCTGCTCGTGCGGTCGTCAAGACTCTTCTCGACACGCAGGCCAGCGAAGAAGGCGGTTTAGCTGGCTTTACTCAGGATACTGTCCACGCAACCGTGGCGCTTGCTCGGCCTGCAAGACTTCTTTTGGCAGCCTGCGAGATGGAGCTCGGACGCAGCACGACAGATCCGGCGGCTAAGAAGGCGCACATGGATACGGCTCAGTCGCTCTTCCGAACCGTGTATGGTAGTGCTTGCTCGAACTTGGAGAGCGTCCTCGGGAAGCCCATCTCTCCGCCTTGTCCTCCTGGGGTCAATGTGTCCGGATCGTCTCTTACACGCCCTCCGCCCGCCCCACCGAGTGTACCCAGGCAAGTCAGACCTTCGGTTGCCTCCGACGTTGCACCCCTAGAGACCGAAGCAAAAGGACGCATAGAATCAATGACATTGCAGGTTCGAGCTACATCTGAGGAGAACGCTTCGTTGCGGCGTGAGCTAGACATCATGCAGCGTGCGCGAGACCGGGTGGAACGGCAGCTGAGCGGGGCAGAGCGTGACACACGCGAGCTCGAGCGGCGCCTTTCCGACACAAAAGAAGACTTGCGTGATGCGAGACGGAGGAGGGAAGATGCGGAGAGGAGAGCGGAGGATCTGGAGAAGCAGGTTCGAGGTACAGAGGAAAGTGTGTGGGGCCGTCTTAGAGAGGCGCTAAGGGGAAACGGCGGCAGGGGACTAGACACGCATAGTGGGAGGTCTTGACATACCTCTTCGCTCCTATGGTATCATTTTCCTGCGCTCAAACGAGTTCTATAGCTGTTACATGTGTCTTTCCAAACTCTTTGAAGCCAACGCTAGCAATGGTAGCGTTGAAGCCGAAGGCTGACACTAGGCTGGCCAACCCAGGCCAGCCCCAAAGCGCTTGGTGGAAAGTACTGATAAGGTATTGTTTTCTCACGGGTTTCCAGTTGTTCTCACTTTTCCTTCATCTGCCGCGTTGACCGAACTAACAACAAAGGATTGATTATCGCAACATCCTTCCCTGAGACTCCCTTGAAATGCTTAAACATTCAGATCATCCAGCCTCATAAGCGCTTGCCGTGACCTTACAGTTTTGAGATGGACTGTATCTGAGATACGACAGAAGGGAAGATGTAGGAGAGGGATTATGACAGAGAAAGAGATGTGAATATACGCAAGTCCAAGGTATGTTTGTATATTGTTCTTCAGCTGAAGTGGTCCTCAAAGGCGCAATTACTAGTCCACAAGAATGTACAGCGCGGGCACGATGCAACGCTGTTCATGGCGCTTCCGATCCTGGGATCTAGCAAAAGTTGTTTGACAATGGAAACATGTCGCTGGCGACTGGCTCTCTGTCCTGGTGCGCTTTTGCCGTTCACTAGGGACATCAAGCATGGCCTTGCGCTTTCCGCTACCTCCTGAGACCGGTTTGTACTCATCTTTGTCCGCGTCAGGTATACTTTCGGGCTCATCCATAACCACGTTAGTGTCGCAATTCCGTTTACTGGGCTCATCGTTGTCCGGGCCCGTCATCTCGATTGTCTGTGTACGGCTGGGCTGATTGCGACCTTGCCGCGGGAGAGGACGCACAACGCGCTGAGGCAAGGGCACTGCGACGAAGGCGCTATTCGTACCATGGAACGTTGCTGAGATCGGAGCTGGGGGCGGAGGCCCGAGGTAGAGGTTGTCGGGATCCGACATGCAACCGTCGAACGACGGTGGATCCAGCGACATCCTTGGCAACTCCTTCACGAAACCAGGTTTAGGCGGTGGTGGGTGCTCCAACAAGGACGCCTCTCCTTCGTGAGTATTGAGCCACATTTCGCCAGGATCTTCTGTGATGCGGACCAAGTCTTGTATGGGCGACGCCACCAACCCCGCGAGTAAGTCGGATGTCGTGTCCAATGGGCTGTACTCCGAGTTCGGGCTATGGCAGAGTTCGGGCGTGCTGATCCGGCTGTCATAAGGGTTCAGATATTCCGGGTTAAGCGTCGCCACTGGTTCCGTTATGAGAGCCTGGCGCCTCTTCGGAGTTCGGGCCTGATCATAGGTTATCATCGTCGTGAGTCAAATCCGTTTTCTCATCTAAACACGGCGTACTGACCGGCACACGTATGCTAAATTCCACATTCCCGGCATCCTTGTGGTCGAGGGTCGCGCTTTGCCCGTGAGAGATGCTCTTAAAATGGCTAGCATCGAACTCTGGGTCGAAGATAAGGGGCTTGCAGGGACCATCGTTGTATGTGGCGTCACTACACGTACGTCTTATGCGCGCCTGGCCAGCCATTACGAACTGAGACTTACAAAATGTCCATCTTCACAGTGAATGAGCCGCTTGGATACTCTTCGGTGAATTGGTGACTATGTGGCGAGGAGTCGGTCATTGGACAGAGGGTAAATGGTAGACGAACGAGAAAGAGAGAGGATTCAGTCGGGAAGGGCAGGCACCGATTTCAGCCGTCTGCCCCACAGCTTTTATCCTTACATGAGGTGGCGTCCTCGCGTGAGGCGGCGGATGCTACCCTCGCACAGCCGAATAGTATAAGAATTCTTTGTTCGTGACTCACAAAGCTTCAAGTGGTATCGAAGCAACGGACATCATCTTCAAGTAGATCGATAGACCTACCTTGTTCGTCCTGGACTTGGTAGCCAAACGGTGGGGAGTCTGTCATCACCGTAGTGAAACGTGCCTATGAGCTGCGAGGTGATTGTGCCTTGATTGCGTAGCTACGCGAGAATAAGGAGTGGGAGGTGGGTTGACAGCAGCTAGAGATATTCTTGTATTCGCATTACAATGCGACCTAACAATACAAGCGCCTATAACCAAAACGGGATATGTCGCTGGGTGATAGTACGGACTTTATTTCAGCAAGTGCGTCTTTTCCCGCCTTTTCGCACTGACAATCTTAATGACGCGACATGAACCAAGATGGGGTGGGGTAGACATGAGGAGAAAGAGGATATGTGGTTTTACTACAGCGCCGGGATGTACAGTGCATTCATGTATCTAAAATGATTACATCGAATCAACAGGTATTGGTGCGTACATAAGCTCGTCTAGAAGCCCTAGGACTAGTGGCAATATCATAGAAATGGAAAAGAGATACATGAAGTCGCTCAAGGCTTGCCAAATAATATACACTCAAAGGTTTCGTACAATACGCGAGACTATTTGGCCCTGCCAATCCAAGATAGAACTGATGCCAGCAATTCAAAAAATTTAGATCATGCTGTGGCACCTGATGGTTTTTTATTTCGACATTGGGAGCAATTAGGCTGCCACGGTAACTCCCTTGTCTAGATTTGTGGCCGCAGTTTTGCTTCTGCAACCAAGCTCAAGGTCAGGTCCTCCCAGTGAAGCACCGGCTACGCAAGTGTTAACGATGTGTTCCATCGTGTGTTCGTTCCAGGCTAATCCCATGGATATACGTAAGATGATTAGGTGCTGGCAAACAATCTGTAAGGGGAATTATTTGAGGTGTGTTTTCGCATCTCGAATTCAGATGAGAGGGACGTACGCATACGGACACCCAAACGTCCGACATAGCAGCCGTAAATCCATTCTGCCAAGCTACAGAAAACGCATATGCTACCGACATAACCGTGTAGGGAACTGTGGCCTCCACCATGACTGCAACAAGCCCTGTGTAGTTCTTCATTGCACTAGTAAGCGCTCTGATACCTATAAACTCCCGGTGTGTGCGGATACACTTGTAGCAGATCATGCCTGTGACGCTGACGTTCACTAATCCTGTTGAGAGCATCCAGGTAATCGTCCAAATGTACGCGGGTCCCTTCCAAAAGTCGCTCGTTGGAATTGCACTGGTAACAGTGGTCCCTATTGATGTAACTGTCGGATTGTGTGAGGTGCGTACACAGATTACATCCAGACAGACCCACCAATCATACAAGCACATAGCGCAAGAAGGAAAAGAATAACGCGGGTGTCACTCCGCCAGATGATATAGCAGCGGTATATCTGATTTGATCATTTTGAGTTTTGATAAATAAGCTAGCTCGCGCGTACCATAAGACCGTCACCGAGCGCGTTTGCTGCAACAGCAACCGCTGACCCGAGGACGTACAGCCATGAGTTGAAGTTTTCGGTGAAAAACTCGGCAGGTCCTCCAGAGGTGTTGGCGTGTTCAATCCACATGAGTTGCCCAAAGTACTGGTTAACAGCAACGTAGACGGTGAAGAAAAGAAGCTGGAGTCCTCCGTAGATAATGTAGAAGTTGATCCAGAATGGCGAGAGCCTTTTCCGCTGGAGAAGAAAATAAACCGCAGTCAGGTACATGCAAATATCTGCACCTAGGAAAACCTTCAGTCGAGCTCGACAGATATAGCGTTGTTGTTCATATTACCATATAGAATCGACATTAAGGCGTTTCCGACGTAAGTCCCAACTTCGAGCTTGTGTTCTTGAGAGCTCATCCTTTGCGAACGAGGGGGGATAGATGATGATGTGGCTGGGTACAGAAGCGAAGTGATACCTGGCGTATACCGCACCTGAGGATTTATTCAGCCATTTGAGTGCCTGCTTGTTTACTCCTGTTCCTAAGTTGTTCCGCTGGCTTTGACGCCCGTGGTGATGTACTAGCTAAACGTGCTATGCGTGTGACTCTCTTGACCACTAGGGTTTAGGCTTAGATAGTGAGGGGGCTATTCGGGATCTTGGGTGATCCAATGATTTTACCGGGACTTTTAACAGCATTGATTCTGCAGATCCGATTTCCACACGTTTGTTTTGAACTTTACTCTGACAGGCGTGGATTGAAAAAGGGACTTCTTTCAGTATGACCAAAGATGTTCAACGGTCAGCCCAATCTTTGCTTGCTTCTAAACCTATTTATCAACACTGAGCGCTCAACAGCAATTTTTCACATAAACCTCTCACACATTTATAGCGCAAGTCCAAGTCGACAAGGTAGTCTAGTTACCGAGAAGCCGAGGCAAACCCAATGGATTTTATTGGCAACTCGAACATCAGTGCAAGCATCAGTGCGGTGAACAGGCATTTTTGCAATTCCATGTTTAATAGTACACGAGATTTGTCTTTGGATAATTAGAAAATCATTGGTTAAGGGGTGCCTTTTGTTTATGCCTCCTTCACTCGACATCAGTTTGGCCAGCAGGAAATCCCGCTTTGGTGGTGTTGTGGCGTTGTAAGCCCGATGGCGGGTATACATATGATGAGCCGAAGATAGATAGCGTCTTGGCCAAGATCAACGTCAAGGTAATGTGGATGTTGGCGGACAGCGATTCACACAACTAGTGCGGCACCACACGTTCGCGGGTGCAGCCTCTGCCCACGACGTTACATAAATCTGAACGATCATGCCCGCCGGTCTAAGTATATTAAATGAGACTATAGCCTCAAGGAGTCATGGATATGGTACTATATACAAAGCAGCCGTAGGGAGTTTCGCGGGAGATGATATACATGTGTATGCGATGATACGGCAGCAGATCACGGAGTCGAGTCGGACTTGTTAGAGTTAAAGAGGGCAGTTACGCAACCCAAAGGAAAGGCAGGTCGGCAAGTGCTCTGCTCTGAATGCTGTATTTTGTTGGATCTCTGCACGCACGATGCGGCGCCGGGCCGCCACAGTTATTCAATCTTATGGTATTTTGGGACATTGAACCTAGCGTACGTTCACAATAAGGCTGTCTCTCACATGCACGGCGCTTATGGCGCTTTTGATTGCAGGGACGAAGTTATCGGAACATATGTCATAGGACCACGGAGCGTTCTCTGCTTGCCGCTGGAGTACTCGAGTGCCTGACACGAGCTCATTGGCATGGCGGCGTCCGGCGCTTATACTTAGGCTGTGTCATGTCCCTAACCTCGGAACAAAGTACAATAGTCACAGCAAGCGTTGGGCGTAGCGCCGTTACGGCCGGTTTATCCGGGACTTGCCGCTGAGAATTTGTTTCTCAAAATCCTCTGCAAGCACATGCAACTTGTTGAGTGCGACCAATCGACGCCAGTATTCCTCTTTGAACGCTTTTCTCTCCAAAAGCCGTAGTTACCTCAGTGACAAGTCCCTGTACGGCTATGCGCATAATCTCCACGTCTGCAGAGCACCAACAAGGAAGTAGGCCGCAAGAGACGTATCAGCAGTCACTTTTTGAACTTCTCATTCATTGAGACATATGCTGCTACGATTACTGTCGCGCCCCTCAATGCTGAGCCGAATGAGCAAGGTGCCTGGTACCGATCTCTCGGTCTCAACGATATAGATTAGGGCTGTTCAACGACACAGGTGTTTAGGTATTAGATTATATATAGTTCCGTCGTCCAAGAAATGAGCAGGTTGCGCCCACGATGCGAAGGTGATTGACGTACAGATGTACGGACAGAATGATTGGCTGGCGGAGACAGCACCATTCGCCCGACTTTGCCGACGTGACAAGCGCTGTACTATCAGTCCGGATCCAAAGACGCTCTCAAAGCCCGCGAAGGTCGGTTTGGCAGGAGCATCCCCATCTCCATCACGGACCCATCCGGCGGACTGGAACCACCTTGACGCAATGAGACGTTGATTGGTGGAAAGAGCGACGCCGCGTCCTCCCATCGTGACGGCTGGTGCGAGCCTCGGCCTGTCATTCTGCGGTGCTGCTTGGGCAAATTTAGCGTGATGCGCGACATCATCGTGACCACTAGACTGGATCGTGCTCAGTTGACCTGGTACATGCGGGAGGACTTATGAGAACTTACTGGAGTTGTGACCTCATAGGAATCACAATCAGCTCGAACGCGGTGCATACGAGTAAGAGTACGGCAACTCACTTTCCGAAGACGTTTTTCAACTCGGCAGGCGCACAGTATATCATGATGGAGCCTACGACGTTTATGGTGACTACAACACTGTGGTAAACTCTTGTCAGTGCCTGGCTAGGTGTGCAGGGGGCGGCTCACAGGTAATACATCAAACCGTCCTTTGCTAACGTACGCGTAATTGTATTCGTATTCCTGTGCGGTTTGAACGAAAGCGTCCGGGATATGACGAGACATACCACTGTGGTCTCGTATAACAGCCCGAGCCACAGACTTGCCGCAGCCATCCCTCTGTTAGAGAGAATAAATAAGGGCTGAGCGTCGGACTTCGTGTGAGAAGGCCTTACGGTGGCTTAAGCCATATAGCCTCTGTACACGCTGTACCTCGTCAATGTATTTCACAACACCATTGGGGCAAACAAGCTCACAATGAACCGCGGGCGTATGCGAAGAGGCTGGAATGTAGGTAGCTGAGTGACATGGCAATTTGTTAGTCAAAACACTGACCATAGCCATTGAAGACAACCACCACCGTGAGGCAGACCCACACGGCAAACAAAACCCCTGCGATGAATGCTACCAATATTCGGTCATGGTACAGAGCTGTTACTCTAAAAAAGACAATATGTCGATGAGGGTAATTGGGGACAGGGGATAGCCGACCACGAACCGTCGGAGCATCATCAGTCCCGCTATGTCCACTCCAACCACGATAGTTGCATTCTCGTATTTGACGAAGTGATCACACCTGATGGTGCGTCAGCTCAAACCGACATTCAAAGTCAGAGGAGTTGACAAACTCCTGGAGTAATTTGAACGATGGAGCTATGGCTGCAGTGTGCGGGATGCTTACGGAATGGGTGAAAGTTGGGGACAGGTATGCTACCCAACCGTCAGACTGGGTGCTCTGATTCGGAAACGGAGGACTGAACGTACCATAGAAAGATGCAATGAACCCGAACGGCGTGAGGTAGCGATTCTGCCCAGCGTTAGCCACAATCAAAACTAGCATATGTGGTCGAGAGCTGCTTACTAAGAGAAAAAGGTACGACACTGATCATGTCAACGATGCATCTCGAATTTCTCTAAAACCTTGCACTCACTGAATGTCTTCGGCTGCTTCCAAATGAGCTCGACCTGCATATTCATGAGCCACAATATTTCTGAAAACGCACGAATGTACCTCGTCCCCGAACGTAATCATATGGTCCCACACGAGAATTGTATATCCCCAGAACGCGACATACTACAGATAGAAGGTGTTAATTTACTTCGGGTGCTTGCGCGATATGGGAATGCGCACGGTGTTAGCATAGCTGATACGGAAGAATAGTGGTTTCTCGTGACATAAGACATTCGTAACCAAACACAAAACACAAACTCACAAGTATTGCTTGTCCTGGATCATTGCATCGTAGAGAGCAGGTGTCGCATTGTCCACGTCAAGTCTTGCGGTGCTGGAATCGAACATTGTTACATCTGGGACAGTTTACAGGCACAGTGAGGTCGGGGCGGCTTTGAGTAGGGAAGCTCTGCGCGGTGCGAGGGGGGAAGAGCAGACGGCAGGAGAGAGCAAAGCAGGTGCTTGTAGGCGCCCGTAGACTCAATACATCCTCCGAGTCAATACATCCCAGCTTGCGTGGTTTTCTAGAATTCCTCGCCGCGGCAACGTCTTGCCGAGCCGGGTCATGTTGACGTCGTCTCTGACAGGCACACGTTTTTGTTACTCCAAATAGCTGGCGAATGTTCGAGCGTCGGTTACTCCCTCAACGTTGCATATTGCTATGGTTGCCATCGAACGGGTTCCTCCATGGCTGATGAGGGTGACTTCTAAGCATCGAAGACACAGGTGAGGCGTGGTCCATGGAACAGACGAACGATGCGACTTTATTGCACGGTCTTCGGCGGAGAACAAGCCCGGCCTGAGGCAGTGAACCGATGCCGTCAGGGTAAAGGCTGATTCATTGGGTCCTACAGCAGCCGAGTGCATTCGTCCCTATCCGTCCAGCATTTGTCACATCCAGCATCTGATTGCGACGACTTTGTGTGAAGCCGTTTGACTCCTCGGCGGCGTTTTACTTGGTGACAGTGTATCCGTAAGATCCCGGGTTGTGTTGCCAAAGGGGGATCCGGGGACGACAAGAAAGGATAAGGATTTTGTAGGATTTTATATCAGCCCGAGCCTACGCCCGAAGCAATGTATCATATACTGGAGGATCCCCCCGTAAGGTCTGGAGTATTATCAGGTTTTCCCTCAGACCTCAGGCCTCAAGGTCGGTCCGAAAGTACAGATCCTGGAATTTCGGCGAGGCCAAGGGCGAGGCCAATATTGGAATCAGATGCGAAATCTTCCCTGCGTTGATCCCCGTACTACTCATCCGTTTCGGAGTGTCATGATCAAGTCTGACATCGGCTACTCCTTTAAAGAAGAGAGTTTGAATCTAGCGGTAGTCTACCCCTCCTCCAGGTCGAGCTGACGACGAAGTAAAAAAACAACAGTTCATTTGCGAGGGATACTGATATCGGCGTTCCGGGATAACAGGGTTTTCAGGCGAATCCAGGACGAAAGGTACCTCACAGGCTAGTGTTGCTGTCGAGGCGGGGTGATCTCGAAGGTGACCTCGGCTAACCTGGAACGATCCGAGGGCACCTCAAGGTCAACTCGCGGGGTATACGTCTTCTGCAAGTCTTTTCGATAGATAGCTGCCACTCGAAGCTCGTTCTTTGACCGTGCGTTGGTCTGAGTCCTGCATACACTGAGTCTTTAAAACTGCCCACTATACTACCGTAGCTGATTTTTTTCTGTTGAATTCGCGAGTGTGTCGTCATGGTCGCGCAAGCGGCGGGCCTGTAGCGAGCCCAGATAAACTGAATATGAGACAGCATCGAATGATAAGTAGGTCGGACAGCGATATGTTGGTGTAATACTGGCCCTATAGCTTCACGTGGAGGGAAACATATATGTCACTTTCCTCATCATAAAGCAAGACATTAGACGTTAGTATCGTAACGAAGAATTCGATTGCGTAGACTAGTAGGGTCGCCCCGAGTCCGAATACACCTGTTCTCGGTATCGATGATGAGGCATTGAGTACGTGAAACCACGCGACGAGGGTTGGTGACCATGTCGAGCCTAGATTGACGTGAAACCTGGCTCCTGGTCCGCTCGCCATGCCTCCCCTCGGTCTAACACCGTCTTGTTGCACAAAGTGAGAAAGTCGCCGCCGGAGTTATACCCTCGAAATTCCGTCCTCAAGTTGATAACCCTAACTGTGGTGAGCAAAAAATGTCTGCATACTGATAACCAGATCCTACCTGACAACATCGGTAAATCTCCATCCTCAGCTCAAGGGTATGTGAATCGACTATGACATAGGTGGTCCATGCACGACGGGCTATCAGAGCGCCTCAGAGGGTAAAGAGCTGTAATGTGACAAGCTGTGATCCCTGTGGGGCACGGATTCAAGTGCAATCGCCGGTAGCTGTAATGACGGTGCATTCTCCCATCGTGATGGCTGTCTCGAACCCTGATAGGTTATCTTGCGGTGCTCTTTGGGCAGATTGAGCGTGATCCGTGACCCCATCGTGATGGTCAGGCTTGAGGTAAAATAAATCATGACGCATCAGGATGAGGCCAGCGATGACGAAGGATTCGTAACTTACAAAAGCTTGAGTCTAGACAAAAGTCGCCGCTCATTAGCACTCATGGCTGAGGCTCTTACACGTCAGATTGATTAACGGTACTCACGATGCAGCAATTTCCTTCAGCCCATCGGGCGCTTCCAGAAGCATAATAGTCCATACGATATTGATAACAAGCACAACGCTGTGTAATCGCTGAATCTTCAAGTTATAAGTCGGAATGCAAAGGGATGGAACGCACAAATAGTAAAGCAGCCCATCTGCTGCGAGCGTTCGCGCGATAGTGTTTGCATTACTATGTGGCCTGAACGGGAGAGTTTTGGCAAGAATGAAGCCCAGCACCATGGTGTCATAAAACATGTTCAAAACTAGACTCGCTAGTCCGATTCCGCTGTTGTGACCGTTCGAATGCCATAAAACTTTGCTCTTGGATTGAACTCACGGGAGGATGTCACGGACTAGCTCAGTACATGCTACCCATTCTCATAAGCCCTCGTAATCAGGTTCGCGCATCTACACACGCACCGTGCACTGCTGGCGTATGTGGAGCCGCTAGAGTCTGGTCAGTAAGTCGGTAAACCCAGAGCCGCCCAATTACTCACGATAACCTTGAGAGATTGCTACGGCTGTGACGGCGACCCACGCCAGAAGGATCGACCCATTAAGGTATACGATGGACGGGTGGTCCTTCCAAAGGGCGTTCAGACTTTGGAGCATTCGATTAGTGAATGAAGCCTTGTGCCCAAGTAGACTAAAAGCGCACCGCCAAAACATCATCAGCCCGGTCAACCACTCACCCATAGCCACCGTGATTCCTTCGTATTCAACGAAATGCACGCATCTAGCCTCTCCCTAATCAGCTAGCGGTGGTTTGAAGCTGTAAATGGACGAACTCCTACGCAATCAGCTTTTAAGACAAGCACGCAGTCATCAATGCGCTAAAAGAGCTTACGGTGTATGTAAACGTCGGCGAGAGATAGGCTGGACAGTTGTGAGTGCAAGCGCATCAAGACCCATCAGATGGCTTACCATAAAAGCATACGACAAAGCTCAGCGGTACGATATAGCGGTTCTGGTCAGCGTCAGAAAGAGGTGGATAAACTTTAACAGGCCGCTGGCTTTTATGCTGGAGTATGCGCACCAACAGGAAGATGTATACGACTGCATAAACATCAGCAACGAATTCACGTGAGCATCGAATATGGACGGACTAAACGTCTTTTTCTGCCTCCATATGAGCTTGACCTAGGGGTAATGAGTGATAGTGCCATTATCTGCAAACGCGATGGCTCACTTCATCTCCAAACGTGATCATATGGTCCCACACCAAGATGCTGAACCCCGCGAATATGACATACTGTGGACGTTGTTAGCTTCTTAAATGTATGGATATAGCTGTGATACGCACCATAATAGCCAGGCTTGACTCTATCAATAGACGGACAAACACGCACGGAATCAAACACTCACAAGTCACGCTTATCCTCGACCATCATACCATATGTGTCCGGCGCTTCACCGTCAAATCTTGCATGGCGTAGATCGAACATCGCCCCGGCGGCTTGCGCGGGGTTCGATAGGCACACGCTTCGCTGAGACCGCGTTCAATGCGGGGAGAAGGGGAAGAGAGAGAAAGAGAAGGTAAAGGGTCCGTCTGTCCGTCCGTATGTGATATACGGACCTGTCTTCTCCTGTCATGTTTGATATGCAAGTGATGCAAGTTCAAGGAGCGAGAGCGGGCTTATTTCCGAGTCCAGGAACCTAGGCCAAATTTGGTTATAGTCCTTGCGGTGCCAGGCGGTTGATTCGCGCCATATTTGATCGCAATATGCAGACTTAGTGGAGGACCCTCCGCAATGTCTGAAAATTCAGACTCGGAATGTAGATGTCAACACCCCTGGTAAGGGACAGTTTTCAACTCTATGATTAGTTCGAGGACTCTGGTGGAGCGGGCACCACCAGGTACCACCCCTCTTCCATATATACAAAGCCGTCTTTAAACCAGTAGCCGACGTCAGACTTGACAATCCTCGACAGATCAACTACGGGAACTAAACGAAGCACTTCCTTGCCACAAAGTACCAGGAAGTGCATGTGCTTTGGGTTTTACATCAGCCCAGGATCAAGCCCGAGGTAATGACTTTGCAGCATATACTGTTCAGTGTCTAGCAGACGATGTGAGCGTCGGGGGTGAGTGTTTCAATGAAAGAAGAACTCCCGAGATGAAGGGATGTGACGGTTAGCTGGGAGCAGTTTTGTATGTTTTGATGTAAAAACGCTAGAAACGTGTGAAAATTATCCAAATCTCCAGGAAGTATGCCTGTTTGCCAACTTTTCGTGCAAGTCTCTGGTCCAAATACCTAAATTGCTCCCAGAGTGCCGGCGCGTCGCGTCTGCCACGCCAGGTGATTTCCACGAGTCCCTTGGGCGCTGGGCATCCCGATCTCCCGCCATCGTCAACATCTACGATCATGCAGTCCACAGCGACCAGCCACGCGGATAGCGAAGAAGAGAAACGTCGTATGGAGGAGGAGATGGTGAGGGCGCGGCTCGCGCGCATGCGGGCGGAGCGCACGGGCAAGGGCGGCGACTTTGGCATGGGCATGCACGGTATCGATCTCGGTGCGTCTGCTCGTACCCTTCTGCGTATCGTCGAGCATCGAAGTAGGGCCTCTCGGCTTTTGGCCTGGCGAACTCATCTTGGTGTGGACGCCGGCCCACAGATCACTTGACGGAGAACCAGGTGTCGATGGCGGCATCGCTGAAGACCACGACCACTACCAGCGACAAAAGCCCTGATACCAAGCCTCCTACGGCGGGAGGATCAGCAGCAACGGTGCCGGCATGGCGATCGCCCGTTTCCACGTCGGCATCCGGCGCGAAGAAGACGGTCACCGAGCGCACGCCGGTTTCGCTCGCGGCCTTCATTGGCGGGCAGGCGAGCGGCCCGCGGCTGAACAGGCACGCGCCTCAGGCGGACGCGGGCGCGATGTACGACGGGCGCGTGGGCAGGGACGGCGCAGTGCACCCGATCTTTGGTCGTGGGGGGATCGCGATGCCGGGTATGGTCAAGCAGGTTTCGCCTGCAGATGACGCATCGTCGAGCGCTCGAGATGAACCCGCGGCGCGCACGGCGGTTGCGAGCAACAGCGCGCTGCCGGGGGCGTCGAGGAGCGCATCGTCGCTTGCGCAGCGGTATCTTAGTAATGTGGAGGAACAGTCGTGGCAGCCGCCGAGGAAGGGGCCTGTTGATCTCATGGAGGAGAGTCGGTCGGATGCGCCGACGGCTAGTTTGGGATCGTTGTCGCTGGAGCGGGGCCCCTCGACTGCTGCTGCGTTCCCTGCGCCCGCTGCGATCACACGTACGACGTCTGCGCCGTCGCCATCTGTTTCTTTCCCGCCGTTCGAGCCATCTCCTCCAATTTCCCCTACTGTACCAGAGTCTCAGGAAAGAGAGGTCGATTTAATGACCTCGGAGGCGACTGACCCGCCTTCGAGGACACCAAGCATCAACGTCCCTCCGTCTACGAACTCTCCGCCTGTTACTTGCCCCATGCCCCTCGCAGCTTCCCCTCAACCGCAATCTCCCGCTACATCCACATCGCCCTCCCCAGCCCCCAACACTAACATTACTTCCCCTGCTCTTGCCCCCGCAAACGCACCCACCAAATCGCACTCCGCCCCTGTAGGCACAGGCACAGCCCCTTCATGGAAATCCTCCCCCAGCTCCACGCCATCCTCCACCAACACCAGCACCGCAGACAAACCACCCGTGTCTCTCGCAGCGTTCATGGGCGGCAGCAGCGCTCCCGGCCCGCGGCTGAACAGACCCGCGCCGCAGGACGATGCGCATTTAGTGTACGATGGGCGGGAGGCGCGCGGCGGGCAGGGCGCGGTGCATCCCGTGTTTGGGAGGGGCGGTGTTGGGCGGGGCGGGAGCGATCATAACTCGACTTTGACTTCGACTTCGGTGGCGGCCGGGATGCCGCAGAGGAAGAAGTCATCGCTTGCGGAGCGGTATCTACAAGGTGTTGAGGAGCAGAGGCAGCAGGTGGCAAAGCCGACGCCGAGGGATCTTGGGTATGATCTTGGGGGTGCGCATTGATTCGTTCTTTTTTTGGCTGTTGTGCTATCCTTGGGCGGAAGAAAGGGTGTTCTCATTTCGTGTCAACGATGTGTTTGTATGTTCATTTGTGCTAGCGATAATACAGAACGAGGTTTCATATGTCATGCATACCCACCTTAAGTTGACGAAAGTTCAGCAAGTAGTAGCTTAGTATAAATGTGTTTACCTTGTCTATGCAACTCGAAAAGCACGGATAAATGTCGGACTATCCGATATTACAAGCATGACATCACAACGATAGCTGCTAAACTGCCTTCTGACTCCTCTTGCCTTGTCCTCGCCTGCTGCAACCTGACCAGCTCAAACCTTTGCATGTCTCTTGCGTGCACCTTTACGTACAGGCTATACACTGCTCTTAGTCAAAGCGGGTAAGTAAGGCGCGGACTCTTCGGAAATGCTCAGGCCGGGCCACCTTGGAATAGGCCATCGCCCTGGACACGATCATAATGATCACTGTTTGCCAGCGACCAGCGGAGGAAAGCCATCTGCCTCCATCTGCTCATTTGGCTCACTTGAACAGCTCGGTCGCTGTCCACAAGGATCATCCCGCCAGGCACTTGGCGCTATATTAAGCGGTTTAAGTGCACACGACCGCCTTTTAATCTCTCGCTCCTTCTCTTTTGCTCCCGCTCTTACGCGATACCGTCGACGCCTGCCTCAGGTTCCCTCAGGCTCTAGTTGCTAGCCATGATCTCTGCTGGTCTGCTAGCTCTTGCAGCCTTCGTCGGTCCTGCAGCCGCCCAGGCCCAGTTCCCGACGAGCACATATATTGTCCCCGGCCAGTTTCCGACGTCCCTCTTCGCGTCGTATTACAACGATCCCACTGCAACTTCAGCGCAGGTGCAGCCCGTCGTCACCGACCCGGTCACCGTGCGTTTGTCCTCTGTCTTCTCCTACGGCTGAGCTGATAGAAAACCCAGAACACCGTGTACCCTCAATGGCTGACAGACCCGGACCACATCCCCACCGTGCGTCCTCATTCTCAGATGCGCGCTTCTTTCAGACGCCCGTGCCTGACGTTCACACCACCCACTAACATTGGCTCTGGCTTCGGCTTTGACAATGGCAGAACGACACCGCCGACCCGCATCCGCTGCCCCCCGCCCTCGGCTCCTCCGCGCTCGTCGCCCAGGCGCTCCAGCAGATCCAGTCCATTGCCGCGAACACCGCCGGGTTCGGGAACAACACGTGCGCGCAATGCCAGGCCTCGCTCGCCGTCGCCAAGCTCGTCGCGCTTGCGGCCCCCGACGCGCTCGCGGATCTGGCGGTGCAGACGTGCCAGGCGTTCGACTATAGCTCGGAGACGCTGTGCGAGGAGAAGTATATGCGCAATTCGGCGGGGTGGGTGCTTGCGCAGACGGTGTATTGGGCGGACGTGGGCGGGTATGATGGCCAGGTGCGTTTTTGCTTGTTTATGCTGTGTCTATGCTTCTGCTTCTTTGATTGATTGATTGATTGATTGATGCTGTGGATGCGCTGCAGCTCCTCTGCTACGAGTTTTTGGGCCTGTGCCCACAGCCCCCTACGCTCCCGCTCAACATGACAAGCTGGTTCGCAAAGCCGAAGCCTGACCCGCTGCCCGCGCCGAAGCAGGCGACGGGCGAGCGAATGAAGGTCCTGCATATATCCGACTTCCATATCGATCCCCGTGCGTGCATAACCCTGTTTCTGACAATGACGTGTACTGATTGCTCGTTGTGAACCATTTCAGGATATGCCACCGGCGCCGAAACAAACTGCACGAGCGGCGGCCTCTGCTGCCGCTCCGACGAGTACAACAAGAACAGCCCGCACGAGACGCTCTCGCCTGCGCCCCGCTTTGGGTCGTACAACTGGTGAGCGAAACAACTTTATGTTATGGTTAAGGTAGTCGAGTGCTCATGAATGAACAAGCGACGCCCCGTTCGCGCTCGTCGCCGCCTCACTCGAGGCCATTCCGCCGCTCACAGGCACGCAGGAGACTGGGTTTAATTTTACGCTTTTCACGGGGGATATGCTCGCGCATGATCCGCAGTGGGAGCAGTCCGAGTGCGTATCGTTCCTCCGTTTTGAGCTCCGAGTTCACCGTCTGTGTCAATTGAGTTGACGATGGTTTTCTGTGGACAGAGCATTGAACGAGTATGCCGAGGTCGTCCTCTTCGACATGTTCAAACAGATGCTCGGTCCCGGGGCGGTGTACGTCGCGCTGGGGAACCACGATTCCTACAACCAGTGAGCCGCTCCACACTCACATAAACCCGCACGTGCTCATTTTTACGGTAGGGACCTGGCAGCACCGTTGTCCCTAGGCGACGGCGAAGGACAGGAGTTCAGCTGGTCAGAATCTTTGTTTAACGATGTCTATCAACGCGCTCAAGTCTGCCATTTCTTTGACTGTTCATGCAGGCTATACGACCACGTCGCTGCGTTGTGGCAGTACGAAGGCTGGATGAACGCGTCCGAGGCCGCGTACGCCAAGGCGCACTATGCCGCGTTCATGGTTCAGAGGGGGGATGGGCTGCGGATTGTTTCGCTTAACACGAATCTTTGTGTGTTGTCTCTTCATTCTTGTTCTCGTCCGTTGTTGGTTGCTCATTGTTTATTATCTGTGATGGGTAACTGCGGTTGTCCGGCCGTCTAGGGTACAAGAACGGGTACCTGAACTATATCAACTCGACGGACCCCGATCCGTCCGGGATGCTGCGGTTCCTCACTGACGAGCTGCAGGACGCGGAGGATGCGGGTGATCGAGGTGTGTTTCCCTTCGCGAGTCTGTAGAATTGATGAGAGATTAAATGGCGTTTTCGTTTGTTCGATAGTCTGGATCATGGGCCACGTTCTCAGTGGCTGGGACGGGTCTAATCCGTTGATGAACCCAACGAACTTGTGTAAGTACCTCAATACTTGAAAGAACGTCATGAAATTAATTTGACATCTTGTTTGCAGTCTACCAGATGTACGTACATACACCACGCTAATGTCCGACAGGTGAAACTTACAAGTACCGAACAGCGTCGACCGCTTCTCTCCACACGTTATTGCCAGTATGTCCCCTGTTTTATCCGTGGCCAAGGAGAGTTTAGCTGACCAGCCGCCAGACATTGTATGGGGCCATACACATGAAGACGAGATGATGGTAAGTCGGTGCTGCTTTACCCTCGAACGTATGCTCACCCCTACTAGATCTACTACACGAACAATGCAACAGTCCAGAGCGCTGATACTGCCATCAACACCGGATGGGTAAATGTTTCATCGAGTACTGGCTGAGCAGCCCACTGAAGGAGCGTGTAGATTGGACCCTCTGTCACTCCGCTTACAAATCTCAATTCTGGCTTCAGGGTGTATGAAGTTGACTCTGGCGTGCGTCCCGCTTCAACCACCTGTCATGTTTCTCTAGGCTGACCTCATGTTCAAACTTAGACGTTTGAAGTTGTTGACGCATACACGTAAGCTGAAAACGTCCCCTTCGTAGAGATTGTACTCTAACAACTGGTTATTAGGTGGCGAAGCTCAGTAAACGACTACCCCGCACTCGACAATCAGACCGAGGTCGGCCCGACATATGAGTTCGAATACAGCACCCGCGATGCCTACGGCACCAACATTACCTGGGGTGCCAACGACCCGCTCAACGGGACGTGGTGGCATCTCGTCACCGAAGGTGCGTCTCATTTCCACTCGTCGTTAACCTTCAAATATCTTCGCTTACACAAACCCTCGGACAGAGTTCGAGAAGTACCCCGAGCTCGTGCAGCAGTTCACGACGTATCAGGGCAAAGGCTCGCCGCTGAGCCCGAACTGCACGAACGCCGAGTGCGCCGAGGCCAAGATCTGCTACATGCGGAGCGGCTCGGCGAGCATCGGGCAGCAGAACTGTATACAGGGGTATGGGTCGGTGCAGTCGGCGTATGGGAGTTAGGTTGATGTGGTCTTATTTTCGTCTGTTGTTGATTTTTGGCAGGATGAATTTAGATTTTCGTGCGTGCTTTCAATGTGTGGTGTGATGCTGAGGTGTAAAGTGCTCTATTCCTGGGGTTCCATGTTCGTCAACGGGTTGTTGGGACTGGGGACAATTAAACAAGGAATCCCGTCGAATAGGATTTTTTTTGCAGGTAAACTAAATAGGGACAAGAATTCGACACAAGAGCGATGTACCAGGCAGGGCTACTCAAGAAATAAGCAAGTTGTTGGGCATAAGAGGCTATATCCTATGACTTGAGCGCATATACGGGTGAGTCAACTTGAACTGTACACAAGTTAAAGAAGAAATAACAAGAGATAAATATTTCAAGAATGTTTTCAGGTAGATTTAAAAGATGTCCCCGGCGCTCACTTGAACCACGGCAGGCAAGTGCAGTGACTCAACGCGTAACACCACCCGGCTTGACCTGTTTCTTCCTCGTTGTCGGCTTCCGGCTGCTGTTTGGTCTGGGGCTGCGACCTCATGCTACTATCCCTCGAAGAACTGGAGCTGGAAATGTCCTCATCACCGGTATGACCTCTCGCACGCCGTTCTCTGGATGCACGGCGATGCTCGGCTCCTGACTCAGGATCTAACGCGATGTTGCGCTAGTGAAGGTTTAATCATACTCATTCTCATGTTTTCATGCGGACTGATCATGACTTACTCTGAAACCTTCTGCGGCGGAGACTACCGCGTGCACTCGCTCTCGTCGCTGCTTTCGGCCAGAGCTGCCCAATCCGAATCGTGCCCATAGTCGTCGAGGTTTAACGCTAACCGCCTTCCCTGTGCGTTCCCCGCCCCTCGATCCCCCGACGGCATCAAGGTCATTCGTTTCGATATCGTTCAGGTTCATTCTAGCCTTGGTGTGTGGCTGCTTCGCCATTGGCATAGCAGCTATCTGAGAAACGTGTGAAGCATTCGAATGTGTATAACATGGGACGGGGTGACTAACATTTATCGATGAATTGTCATTTGGCGTGAGTTTACGTCCTTGTCGATGACTACTGTTTAGAGTATATTTACATACCAATGGCTCTGACGTCAACGACAAGGTGTCAATGTAAGAGCACTTTCTTAACATAAACTCGAACGAGACGTGTGTTGTAAATAAGGATAACATATATAGGGGACAAACACGAGCGATTGTGCACACGAGATCGATGCTGTAATGTAAACTAAGGAAAAAACAGGAGGAAAACATCAAAAAGGCTTGTAAGTGGAACAGCATAGCTGTTCCCGCTCATTTGCACCACGGCAGGCAAGCACAGTAACACAACATATAAAACCATCCACCCTGAACTGTTTCTTCGTCGTCGTTATCCTCCGACTGCTGTCCATTCTGCTGTGGCAGATCCGGACTATTACTCCTCGATGGGCTCGGACTGGGAGTATCCTCATCGTCGGCATGCTCTCGCACGTAGCGTCCCCGACATGGATAGCGGCCCTCGCCTCCTAGCTCGGGGCCCAACGCATATTCACGCTGGCGAAGATTCGTCAATTTTTACGGACACACACTGATTTTATACGGGTCGAGCACGACTTACCCTCGTAAGCCTTCCGACGGAGACTACTGCGTGAACGCGTTCTTTCCATTGAGTTTTGTAAATGCGGGGTCCAAATCGAGCCCATAGGCGTCGAAGGTCAGCCGTCTTTTTAACGCGTTCCCCATCTGTAGGCTCCGTTACCGACCCACAATCAGACATCTCGATGTCATCCAAGTTCATTTTGGGCTCCAAATGTCTCGTCTTTGGTACAGCGGGCCACTGTGGGATTCGTCAGACATAATAATAATTGAAGGGTAGCCATTGAATCACATTCATGAATGAATCTTCGTCAGATGCTGTTGCATCATGGTCAGATACCTGGTGCACTGTAGGCTGGCTTGTGGTAACTTTGTCATCCGCGCCTCCATTGCCGCCCGTATTGGACGGCACGGGAATGGGCTGCGTGTCCCATGTATGGATGGACTTTGATTTGTCGCTTCTCTCTGAGATTAGGAGGCGTTTGCCGCCCGGAAACCAACTAAGCGTGTTCATGGAGCTGCAGCGTTCAATTTGAATAAGCATTGTTTCCTAAAAAAAATGTGACTCATTATTAGCTTATTCTACTCGCAATATGTGTCTAGCTTCGAAAAGCTCACTTGAGGGTGAATCCTTGTCGCGTTGGACATGTCCCATATCATCACCAAATCAATGGCACGGGTCTCTCTCAGATATTGGTGGTATATGGCCACAGCCGCCTGTCTTCCATCGGCTGATAGGGAATATGCGCTGATGCCGACTGGTGCGCCATAAGGGACCGTCGAGATGGGACCAAACTTGAGAGAGTCCGACACTGACGGATCCCAGCCGCGCAAACTTCCTCTGTTGTCTCCGCTAAAAACTGTTTTGCAGTCAGGGGAGAATCGCACCCATTCAATGGGAGTGCTGTTCTCGAGCACAACTTTTGCTGTCCCTGAAAGCGTGTCCCATATCTTCAAAGTTCCGTCTCGAGACCCGGTAACAAACTCTAATCCGTCGAGGGAGTAATTGATAGAAGTAATGGTGTTGTCGTGAGCGTAGTCAACCAGAAACAGCAATGCAGAAGTCTTGACATCAAGGCTGCACAGGGTGTACATTTGCACTTCCTGATCTTCACATCCCAGGGCAACGTTTCGCCCGTCGGGTGACATGGATAGTGCAGTCACAATGCCATGGTGTACCTTTGTCGGCAGCATGATGGTGTTCTCGATCGAGTCATGTGCGACCTCCCACAAGATGATCGAGTCGGAACGAGTTTCGGCGATATGTGCACCATCGGGAGACCACTCAACTCTTGCACTATGGATTTCGTCGTAATAGACCGACTTGTACTGAGAACGCAGATGTGGCCCCCACCTCAGCTCCCCTGTCTCCATGCTGTACGTCCACACACGCGGCACGGCCCTTAAACCTACAAATCTAGTTACTGTCACATTCGCCAGAATCGCAAGGCGAGTGCCGTCTGGAGAAAATGCGAGCTGTTTGATGTATACATCAGCGTGTGATAATGTCACCGCTATGGGTCCTGGGCCGGCGTCTTCATGAGTTTGTGCGTTCCATAGTTGAACAACGTCGCGATGAGCTGCAGTGGCGATAAGCTGACCATCAGGAGAGTAGGCGAGTGCAGTGACCAGCGGTTCTCCTGCAAGATTGAATGACTCCGTCGACGTGCCTGTTTCGTGACGGTTGACAGCCATTATTCGCCCCTGGATCAGAGAAAGACAATGCTCAAGCTGGTCAAGGAGCAATGTGGTAGTTGGTATCAGGAGGGAAGTTGCTGTGTCGCCTTCACTTGCGTACGTCTCATGGCGGTGCCAGCCATTGTATCGGGATTTCAATCTCTCGCCACCAGGCGCGCCTGTGACATTATTTCGCAGGAACATAATTCCAACATAATTCAGACGGAACAAAAACGCATTGCATTTCGAAGAAACCAGTCATCAGCTAGCTAGCGCTACATCAACCAAATCAACAAGAAGAGCAAAAGGAGAAAAAGTAAAAAGCACCGACAACACTTCAAGGTCGCAGACCACGCATCTCCCCCTCAACAGCCCTCGCCCTCCCCAATCAAGTGGACGACTCAGACTCAGAAGAGACACGCTCGTGTAAGGTATACGCGTAAAACTCAAGAGCTATGCACGTTTCAAAAGAAGGTAGTAAAAGAAAAGACGTAAAGAGGTATTGGAGTCGTTAGCCAGTAACTATCGCAGCCATATGTGCCTCGGGCACCATGTACCGCGTCTCGTGAGATCCAGGACTATGTAACAAGCGGGGGATCATGCGTGATCGAGATCAAGAGAGGAGGCCAAGCTACTAAGCTCGATACTTCGACCACCAAGATGCCGCAGACAGTTGAAAAAATGAGAGACGTAGGATAGGAATAGAGAGAGAGACAGTTTGGGGAAAAGATGGGGATGCACGGGCGCCGTGCGCGTGGGGTTGCAGCGCTCCGCCATCACACCTCACCGCTTAAACGCGGAGGGCAGAAGGACGGAGCCGCAGGTGTTGGTGTGTTAGGTGTTAAGGTTCGGTGCTTAGGGTAGGATGGATGTCGCCAGAAATGAATGTCCAGTGTGAGTGTCGCCATGATATACCACAGAGAAATCCGGAACAAAGACAGGAAAATGAGTCGAGACGAGACGAGAGGGAACGAGAAACGCAGGCGGCACAAACGCTTAGCAGTACGTGCGGGGCGCGAAGTTGAACTTCTTGTTCCCGTTCGTGTCGTAGATGCCGTAGCCGGGCTCTTGGCTGTCTGAGTAGATGTGCGCGAACCAGCCAATACCGCCCTGGGCGTTGTTCTTAAGGTCCGAGCAGTGGTCTTCGAGGAGCTGGTAGTAGCCCTACAAGGAAATCAATCGGAGTCAGTAAACCATTCACTTGGCACGGGCTTGGCATCCAAGCCAAGAGACAAAAAAAACTCACGGCTTCGTTGGTAACGTCGGCAACAGCGGCACCGCTGTTGGCCTGGACGCCCTCGCTGGTGACCGAGGGCCAGCCGTTCTCGTCAAAGTACATCTTCTTGCCGCCGCCGTTCTCCTGGAAGAACTGGAGGTTATTCTGCACGATCGGCCACGCGTCGTTGGACGTGCTCGCCGTGGCGTCAAAGAAGGGCAGCATGTGGATGTTGAGGTAGTCCTGCGCGTCGAGCACGTTCTGCGCGCCGCCGTTCGACTGATACCCGTACGCGAGCTCCGAGACGGTGACGGGGATGCCGAGGGACTTGACCTGGCCCTTGAGGTCCCAGATCTGGGATGCGAGGTCGTTGGGAGAGAGGACGCCGTCGAACAAGGGCTCGGAGCCGAACTGGATGCCGCGCGTAACGAACTTGGCCTTGGGGTTGCTGTAGAGCGTCGAAACGAGCGAGTCGCGGCGCTGCTGCCACTGGTTTCCGCCGTCGAAGCCGAACCAGATGAGCGCGTGCACGCCGATGCCGTTGTCCCAGGCAGCGTTCACGACGTCGTCGCTGTTAGGGCGGTCAGATCTACCGATTCTGATGAATAACAAAAAATATAAAAACACTGACTAGAAGCCGTCGTTGTCGCAGGCACCGTACATACGGATGTAACGGCCGTTGAAGGTGTTGCGGATGTCAGCAAAGTCCTGCTGAAGCTGTTGGGGGCTCTGGCAGGCGGTGACCTCGTACGAGAAGCCCATGAAGGCATATTCGGAGCTCTCGTCGCACCACCAGTTGTCAGCCGAGGCGGGCGCGTTTGAGGGCATCTTGAAGCCGACGGCGGGGAAGCAGCTGCCATGTGCGGAGTTGGAGCTGAACGAGGAGGCAGCTCCTGGGGCGGCGCCGACGGCCTGGGTACCGGAGGAAGCTGATGACGTGGGGGCGGGTGCGGCGGAACTTGAGCTCGAGCTTGGGCTTGGACTTGAGCTAGAAGAAGGCTGGGGGGCCTTGCAGCTGCGCCGCGAGATTGGGCGGGCGTCAGCAGAGAGGAAGAGAGTGGCGAGGAGGATGGCGGAAAAGACACGGAAAAGAGAGGTGGACATTGTGAATGAGCGCGGGCGACGGGTCGGGGGAGTAGAGAGAGTAGGATGCCTCAGAGAACAGAGGACGAGGGAGAGGAGGACGGGGGGAGGGGATGGTAAGCAACCGATGGGTAAGAAAGAAAGATGTGAAGGGCTCCATCTTGTATGCCAGCCGAAGAGGGACGCGCCACCGCTGCTGTCAAACGCTGCACATGGAACCGAGCTGATCTCGAGGCGGGGTCCACAATCCGTTAATTACATCCGCTGCACCTTGACAACAACAACACCCCATCGCACAATGCACAGGTCCAATCTTCCATTGTCTTGTTTATCTGTCAAAACCTCAACATGCGCCTCCGTGGGCGCAAAATTGCTGGACGCGTAGACCATTTCACCCATTTTGCACCCTGGAAAGTTTTCAGAGCGCCTAGTGATGGAATGCTTTCCACAAACATTCCCGCTCCAAAGCTTTTTGGCGCACGTCGTATGGACGCCTATCAGCAGCGGCCTCAATTCGGGAACGTTGGTCGCGCCAACAGAAGATCTAGACAGGTGACGCCTAGGCCTTTGTGGTGACATCCAAGCCCTTTTGTCATTGGCTTGTTTTTTGTTTGCGTGTCTGAGGTCCGTCCTTGTATTGATAAACCACAAAAGCCATGTGCACAATTACCGTTTCAATGCATCCGCGGAACACACCTCCGAAACACAAAGTGGAGAAGGGCAACCCGGGGCAGACGCTAAAAATAAGTGAGCGTCAGTGCTGTTGGACCAATGAGGCTCTTTCATCCTGTTCTTCTCAACCAATAGGATGCATTCCAGCCACTGGGCGCATCCCGATCCGCGACGGTCTCTCCACAGTTAAGCGCCGCAGCGCCGGCGATTCCTCCCCGTGGCGGGTGTTCGTCGCGATGCCGCGGAAGCTTTACTCCCGCTCTCATAAGATCGCGCAAACTGCAGCGCTTTGCAGGTTCCCGTTTACCATATCAACCTGCAAAGTTCGACCATATCGTTCATCAACTAGGGCTGTGGTCTTCTGGACTGCTGAAACAGATACTCAAAAGCGACCATCCTTTGATGGTGATGACTGCATACACAGCGCCACTGACACCATCAAGTTGAGTCTGAGCGCAACATCGCCGTAGGAAGCAAAATCACGACTCGGAGCACTGACCACGACCGTAGGGATGCCTTACTGTACTGTACTCACGCACACTACGGGCAGCTCTCTGGGCCATGAGGTCCATGTTGAGCTTGTTGTAACGAATGATGACCGTTCGTGTTTCCGATAGTGTTTCGGATGGCGTGCGTTTCCATCGGCTCCTCTTTGTATTGCTAGAATATATGCGGAGACATTACGGAACTGTGCAACAAATTCAAAGTGAGAAGAAGGTGACGAAGAGCATGCCTGTTCTATGCACCCTTATGCACCCCATGATCGCCGGCTTGCTCGTAAAATGCCGCGAACTATCATGCACCATGAAGCATGAATCATGAAGGTCCTGCACCTGCGGGGCGCTCGCCGAATTCAGGAAGGAACCAATTAATGGTCTATAGGCATGCGTCGCAATTGATCTGTATGCGTCGAAAATCAGAAAGCGCATCGCGCAGCGTGACGCTATCCGCCGATTGTATCCACGAATTGACCTATATAACTCTGTCTGATGCTTTCTGGTCTGATTGAGGATAGGGACAAGATGACGGACGCGGTGGATGCTGCGATGTGTGCCGACCTGCAAACTGAGCACTAGAATGGTGACGTGCAGGCCCTGTAAGAGAACGTGGAGGCAGAGTCATATTACAACACGTACGGCATGCACATGCATGCTTAAACGATCTTGCACACGTACCTGACCTCAGCGGACGGTGATCTCGTACAATCGCATGTACTCTGGTCTTGTGGTTCGGATAGTGGCTGAAGCTGCATGTGCACCGCAAGCTTCTCGATGTTTCGCATTGCAAGGATTTGAATGCTAAAGCTAAAGTTCCAGAGCGCCCTGGTCGGGCGAATACAAAGTTTAAGAAGACCACCTGATTCCCGGGTTGCTCGTTAATAGGCACCTATAGGCGCATACATTCATAAGTAGCTTCGTCACCTGCGACAAGAACACATGCGTATGCATCTCCCGCATCGGAAGATCATGCTCGAGTATGTGCGTCTAAAGGTTAATGCGCTCTTCCGAGTGCCTGTGACTTGCGAGCCCAGCGCGAGGTAGCTGGTCATGATGACAGTTGATGGAGTAACCTCAACCGCAATCCAGGTCCTGATTCGCTAGCTCTGGCTGCTGTTTGCGATCGTAGACAGATGCCTGGGCTGTAGCGTACGTTGTGTGACCTGCCTCTGACGAAGAGGCAGTCGTTTGGGGAGAGAAGCGTGACGTCAATACATAAACCGCGCACAAACCACGCCCGCGCGGAACCTGCTTTAGTGCCGTCTGACACCCCCCGGGAATACCACTACCTTCTTTCGCCAACCCCTCTTTTCGCGATGGACAGCCCCAGCACGGCACTTGGTCTAGCGTTACATCGTAACTGACAGCCTAGACGCTCTATATACTATGGCGGACGACCTTTCCTCTTTGTTGGCAAGAAGCGTTACGCCCTATCAATCTATCTTGCGCCAATGTCACCCGACATCACCCAATCGTATATGCTTCGCGCGCCACTGACGCTGAGAGCGGACGTGGTCGTGTCTGCAGCGTCAGACTGGGCGGAGCTACCGGACCTTCTTCGTCAAGCGCGGGATGAACGATACGATCGTGGAGGGCCCGATAAATCAGAAAAGGGCGTGCACTTGAGGACGAGAAGCGTTGTGGGAAGGGCTGAGTTGGTGGAGAGGAGTTAAGGGCATCAGCCGCAGATGATATTAAAGTAGTCATGAAGCATGCATGGTACGTGACTCTCGTTCAAGCGTTGATGATTTCCTATCTCAATTGTCAACCAGGAGCTTGATTTGCTATCGAGTATACTGGCCCATGATACCCCGCCATCGCACCCCAGGTTCACGGTCCCAGAAGTGACGGATTCCCCAGGTCTAGGCGTGCTGCGGATACTGCAATCGGTTCTTCCGCTTCTGACAGAGTCCGAAGTTGCATGTGCTCCGGCGGTTGCTCTCTGTCATTCCCAGATCGCTCCGTGAAAGTGCTTGGACGGGTGCCAAAAACGACTTTAAAGTTCTGACATTACATCTCAGCCGGTGAGAGGACAGAATGGAAGAGAATCACCTGATCGTCGCCCTTTCCATGAAATTTCGCAGCTGCGTAGCTGTGGAGTTCGCGAATGGGAGGAGCACATGCATTCTCCAGATCTACCTATCCGAGGTGTGCGCGTCTGTTGCCCAGAGCACTATAAAACAGCGTACTCGGAACAGAATGCACACCACCTGCGCCCAGGTATTGTGTGAGATACCGCATCGCGAGCATCCCAGGGTTTCCTCTACCGTTGGGCTGCACGCGATCACCTCGCCTCTCTTCCAGTGTGTCTGTAACTTGATTCATTCATCATAAGTCTCCATATTCTCTACTCCAACCCCAACTCATTGTCCACACGTTCACAATGGCCTACTCTCTTTTTCACGTGTTCGCTGTTACCTTCCTCCTCTCTCTCTTCCTGCTCGCAGGCGCCCGCCCAACAAATCCGGCCTCCTCCGACATCCGGCCCGCCACCGCCGCTCCCTCTAGTCCCCCCGCCCCCGCACCCAATGCCTCCTCATATAACCCCGACTCCGCAATTGGTAACTGCTTCCCCGCTCTCGGATTCAGACCACCCGTCAATGTGCCTTCCAGCCTCGACAATTGGTGGTGCGATGATACGACCGAATACGCATTCATGGGGTTCTCGTACGAGGTCACTGCCTGCCAGAGCCCTGCCCAGCTCCAGAAAGAGTTCTCGGACATCCGCAACCACTTCAAGAGTCGCTACGTTCGTTTGTACGGCGCTTGCGACAACGACGGTTTCTAGTGAGATCCATTAGTTTTTCCCTACTCGTCTTGTCAGGCTACTGACACGAGTGCTTTGACAGCGACGATATCGTAGAAGCGGCCTGGAACAACGGCCTCGGCGTCCACGCGCTCGTCTGGTTCGGCTTCACGGGCGGCGACCAGTGGGTGACGCGCCGCAACAACCTCGTGCACTCGATCTTCAGCAACCCCAAGGCGCCGTTCGTCACGCGTGGCGTGCAGATGGGCTCGGAGCCGCTGTACGATTCCGTGCTCACGCCAGACCAGCTCGCGAACCAGGTGACGATGCTCAAGGCGCAGCTGAAGCACTTTGGCATCCCCGTGACGGTATCGGAGCTCGCATACGGGTATCAGAAGGACGGTGGGGCGCAGAACGTGCTCGACGCGGAGGATTATCTGAATATACACATGCTCCCGTTCTTCTCCCAGAACGCGAGCACGTCGAATAAGGCGTGGCCGCTCGTCTTGAACGATCTCGATTTTTTCATCCAGAACGGGAATGGGAAGAAGATGTACTTTGACGAGAACGGGTGGCCGTCAGTGACGAGCCCGAGTGTGCAGCCCAACAGCCCTAATGCGGTCGCGAATGTAGACAACGAAGCTGTAAGCGTTCGCCGTGACTAAGAGCGCCATATGCTCACTTCGATCGGATGTTCTTTATAGGGCTACTTCCAGCTCTTAAATAACCACTGCGAGGACCTGAAGAATCAAGTCCAGGGCGGTGTCGGATGGTTCGCACACATTTACTCTGACAATCAGGAGCCCGGATACGGCATCTATGATACGCACGGGCGCATGAAGTTCCCCTTCCAACCTCGGACGACGTGCTGAGCGCCTTGCATCCCCTCCGCGCTAGTGTTTCTTTCATTTCTCAATTTCTTCGTGGTTTTATTGTTTATCAGGGGATCTCATAACGACATTGACGACATTGACGACATTGACGACATACCCTCGACGTGTACTAACGACTCTTCATCCTGTTTTCAATGATGTAGCTCTAGCCTTTGTCTGGTCTCTGTATCGCAACTTGTTGTATCCATTCGTCTTATCGTGTTCGGCGAAAACTGTGTGATGAACTGGTTGGTCTGTCGATGGCACGATTCCCGACGTTGGTAAAAGCGTGGGTATGGGTTGCCGTCTCCACTGCCGAAGATCGCGTAGGCGGCGTGAAGCAAGGTGCGTATTTCTCTTGCAGCGGCGTTGATGTTCATTCACTGTCGAACAACGATATGCTTTGTGGCTAATGTCCTCAGAAGGGCAGAAGTGAGGTCGCGACATGTCGCGTATGGCGACGAAGAGGTGACAGGAAAAATGCCTTAGGGATTCGGTCAGCCCGGTTACTTACACGATGGTGATTACACCACCGCTACCTCGCCATATATAAAGGGCTTTGGACCATTCAAAAGACTCAATGGCTCCCTCAACTATTCCGACGCCTGTCCATGTCATCCCCAGACTGCCCCCGCAAAGCAATGCAAAATCTCCACGTTTTGGTGAGCCCCAGTTTCTTATTGGTCCGGAACCTGTGATAGGCATGTTCCGGTTCGGTGGCGATTTGCAAGCTTCTCATGAGCGAACGCAACTATGTATATGGATCACTGGTAGTTGGTGCGCCTGCATAGAACCGTGAAGAAACATGTGAAGGAAAACCGCTAGTGAAGTCCTCTTGACGTTCTGTCATAGTTTTGGTACACGGAGAGGTACGTGCTGGTTGCTCTATCTTTTGAATACTGTGAGTTGAGGACCTCAAACTTTCGATCAGAATAGGGCGCTAACCAACCGCCTGGCGTCTCGCACGCTGGTAATTCAAACATACTTCTACCGACTGTGTCGCGAATCCCTGGAGATAAACCGGGTCTTGATGGTTGCTCGATACAAGGTAAAACAGGTGGTCCGTACAGCGCGGACGTTCGGACCCTTTGGCCTCTTCTTTCTTTCCCCCTCCTCTCAACACTGAACACGGGCTCAGCGGGGCTGTCCGTCTTCCGAGCACCGCACGAATCGGTTGGAGGGATGTTCCATCTACATCATGCAAGACTTGACGATGGAGTGTCTTACACATACGACATGATGGTCGAGGATAAGCGTAGCTTGTGAGTCTTTAATTCCGTGCATAATCGAACCATACACTCACGAAACCAAGTTTGACTACTATAGTGCGTGATACGGTCGCTTTCATGCGTGAACGGGGCTGAGTCGTTCACAGTATGTCGCGTTCGCTGGCTTCACGGTCTTGATGTGGGACCATATGATCACGTTTGGAGATGAAGTGAGGCGTCGCGTTTACCGAGAGTGGTAAGATTGCTGATGAGTCGCAGGTCGAGCTCATATGGAAGAGGAAAAAGACGTTCAGTGCGCCCACCTTTAGAACTCGACCGATTCCAATGCTGATGCATGATGCCCATGCAGTCGCATACGTCTTCTTGCTGGTGCGCGCGGTCTTAAACATGCCAATGATCTGCTGAAGCCTAACCACCTTACTCTGATGCTACTTAGAACCGTTATATCATACCCCTAAGCTTCATCGTATGCCTTTATGGTGAGCCGCCTGATACATTGGGACGCGTCGCGCTCAAACTCGTTTAGTCTATCTCTCACCGACGTTTACGTACACCGTAAGCTCTTGTTGCGTTCTGATGACTACATACTTGTCACGAAAGCTGATCACCTAGGAGTTCGTCTGTCCGCAACCTTAACTTGTCACTGTCTGATTGCGGAGTGGCCAGATGCGCACGCTTCGTAGAATACGAAGGCATTATGGTGGTTATTGGCGAGTGGCTGACTGGGTTGATGATGTTCTGGCGGTGCGCTTTTGCTTTGCATGTTCTAAGGGGGGATCCACTCATTGGACGTATTCATAGTCTGATAGCGCTTTGGAAGAATCGCCCGTTCGTTGTGTATCTTAATGGGGCGATCTTCCTCGCATGGGTCACCCTCACCGTGATGGTGATCTCCAATGGCTACCGTAAATAACGTGACGTTCGACGTTTGCGACTCGCTGACGAGGCTCTAGCGGTTCCGCATACACCAGCAGTGAACTGTGAGTGCCCACACAGGCCTATCTGATTGGGAGCGCTGACAGGCAGTTAGCATGTACTGAGTTAAGCCATGACATTTTCCCGTGAGTTTTGTGCCGGCACAAAGCATTTTAGGCCGTTTATGACATTTTAACGGCCGCAACAGTGGAGTGGGGTCGGCGAGTCTCGCGCTGAACATGCTTTATGACACAATGGTCTTCGGTTTCATACTTGTCAAGACTCTCCCGTTCAGGCCACATAGGAACACGAACACTATCACGCGAACGCTCGCAGCAGATGGACTCCTTTACTATTTGTGCGTACCGTCCCTTCATGTTTCAAAGTCTAGCTTGAAGACTCAGCAATGACACGCAGCGTTGTCCTTGCTGTAAATATTGTGTGGACTATAATGCTTCTGGATGCGCCCGATGGCCTGAAGGATGTCACTGGCCAGTGAGTCGTCAATCCCGCTTCTATCCTGTGCGGGCCTCAACCGTGAGCGCTAACGAAAATAACTCCTGTCAAGACTCAAGCTTCTGTACGTCTTGATTTCCTCGTGATTATTAGTTTTGCGCTGACAACTGAATTGAATGCGCTGCTTTAAGTCTGACTGTCGCAATGGGCTCACGTATCACGCTCAACCTGCCCAAAGAGCACCGCAGGATATCAGGCCAGGGTTCGCGACAACCATCGCGATGGGAGAATGCGCCGTCATTAAAGCTGCCGGCAATTGCGCTCAAATCCTTACCCCATAAGGATCCCGAGATCGTGACATCCCACTGACATCCCACGACACCTTTCTACCGACAGGGCGGCTGTGGCCATCCGCCGTTAATGGACTGTCTCTGGAGGCGGTCCGCGAATCTCTGGGTTGAATATGCATGATAGTGTACCAATTCGCTTGGGATGTGAAGCAATACCAGGTTGTCCAGGTTGTTAACGTGGCTAAAACCATTGCTGACAATCGCCAACGGGATCATTGCAAGGACGAAATCTAGAGAGAACCAGCGAATGTTATCTGGGGATCTCACGACCATGTCGACGGCATACAGTACCCTTTCGCATAACTAACGATTCCCTTGCCCCATCGGCTTTTGCCAATGTAGGTCTAGGTTTTGACTCTGTATTGCCTTACGTTGTTATCTTTATTTTGTCTGTGTTCACGATGAACTGTGCAACGTGAAGAACGACTCGTTGGATGCATGAAAAAGATATCTTGTTGAGTGCGTGGTTTGTACTCGGCGTGTCATCCGCGGAGTATTACAAGAATATTGCGAACAAATCTGAGTTTCTCCCGTAACATCGACATTCATTCATATTTTAGTGGGGTTTAACTTTCACTGGACACTCTGTTTCAGTGGCCTCGGGGCCTGGCTAGGTCACACGGACATGAATAACCCCTTGATTTACTTCCTAAGAACCGAAGTTGCAGGTGTACATGTCCGTTCCAAGCAAGAAGGAAGCAGGCATGAATCAAATTCTTGTTGAGCAAACGAACTGTAGCCAGGCGGTGGGGTAAAAGCAAGCCCACGGGACCTTGCAGGTGGCTGCTCTACTTACACTGCTAACATTTCTTGATAATAACATTATTACTATCTAAGATATATTGTAAATAATTAAGTGAGCGGACCTGGACTTCAACAACTAGTTCCTTATTACTTTGAGATTTGTTAAAGACAGACGCGCAAGGTGCCCTTTACTGATAGCCAGACAGCTCTGCTTTTATAGAGGTTTTAAATAATGAAGAACTAGTTATTGGAACCTGGGCTGCGTTCACTTTATTATTTAAAACATTTTTAAATAATAATGTCACTATTATTGAGAAATGTTTGCAGTGTTAATACAAATTGACTGTTGGATTGCAGAATTTGAAGTCTCCAAATTGCGATCAGATATGACGTGTGACGAAGCAACGGCCTTGAGGGCTTTAATTATAACCATTTTTGGTCTAGGTTCCCGGAATTAAGCCGACGCTCGCTTCTTGAATATCCGAGTATCAAACAAGACAGGGGTCCGAATATCACGGATAGACGGACCCTTTTACCTCCTCTTCCTCTCTTTTCTCCTTCCCCCCACATTGAACGCGGTCCCAGCGAGGCTGTGTGCCTATTGAACCCCGCACCAGTCGATTGTAGGGATGTTCTATCAACGCCATTCAAGATTCGATGGTGGTGAGACGCCGTACACGTATGACATGATGGTCGAGGATAAGCGTGAGTTGTGAGTTTTTTTGATTCCGTCCATCTTCTGTTTGTACATCAATAAGTCAAGCCTGGTCACTATGGTGCGTACTACGGTTACTTTCATGCATCAAGATGCACGAACTTACCGATATTGTTGACAGTATGTCGCGTTCGCCGGGTTCAGCGTCTTGATGTGGGACCATATGATCACGTTTGGAGACGAAGTGAGCCATCACGTCCGATGCAACTGGCGGCACTGTTGCTCATCAGACTTAGGTCGAGCTCATATGGAGACAGAAAAAGGCCTTCAGTCCGTCCACCTTTAATATTCACGTAGATTCGTTGCTGATATCCATGCAGTCGCATATATCTTCCTGCTGGTGCGCGAACAGTGACTTGAAAACGCTAGCTGCCTCCTAAAGAAGCTTGTCCACCGCTCTGATGGTGACCAGAACCGCTATATTATACCCATGAGCTTCATTGTATTCTTTTATGGTGGGCCATCTCGTAGTCTTTCAATGCATTGCGCTCACCCCTGTCTAGCCTATCTCTCGCCAACGTTTCCATACACCGTAAGCTCGTATAGCATATTAATGATCGTAGCCCGTCACGAAAGCTGATTGCGCAGGAGTTCGTCTCTTTATAGCTTTAAAACATGCCTAGCTGATTGGGGAGGGGTCAGATGCGTACATTTCGTAGGATATGAAGCTACCATGGTGGCTATTGGCGAGTGGTTGACCGGATTCATGATGTTTTGGCGGTACGCTTTTGGTTTCCTTACTACGTGGCTACATCCACTAATCGAGTGTTAAATGTTAAAGTCTGAATGCCCTTTGGAAGGATCGCCCGTTCGTCGTATATCTTAATGGGGCGATCCTCATGACGTGGATCGCTATCACGTCCGTAGCGATCTCTCGAGGTTTTCGTAAGTAATTGGGCTCCTTCGTATTACCGATTTACTGACCTGATTATAGCGGTTCCACATACACCAGCGGTGCACGGTGCGTGTTCAGATGCGCCTATCTGGTTAGGAGGGCTAACGGACGTGTGAAGCGTGTACTGGGCTAGCTCGCGACATTCTCCCGTGAGTTTCATTTGCGCGTGAATGTTAGACCGTTTATGACATATAAGCGGCCACAACAGTGGGCTCGGACTGGCAAGTCTCGTACTAAACATGGTTTATGACACCACGGTTCTCGGATTCATTCTTGTCAAGACTCTTTCGTTCAGGCCACATAGTAACGCAAACACTATTTCGCGAACGCTCGCAGCGGATGGGCTCCTTTACTACGTGTGTGTACCATCCTTTCGCGTTCAAAAGTCTAAATAGTGAAGCTCAACAATAACACAGTGTCGTGCTTGTTATCAATATTATATGGACTGTGATGCTTCTGGAAGCGCCCAATGGCCTGAAAGAAGCTTCTGCACCGTGAGTAATTTCGGTCTCTAACTCGCGAAGGCCTTAACCGTGATCACTAACGAGCTGCAAATCTGTCAAGGCTCAAGCTTCTGTACGTCACGATTTTATTATCGGTATCGGTCTCATATTGATGCGCCATGCAATACCTTGATTCAAGCCTGACCATCGCGATGGGGTCACGTATAACGCTCAACCTACCCAAAGAGCACCGCAAGATAACCTATCAGGGTTCGCGACAGCCATCACGATGGGAGAACGCACCGTCATTACAACTACCGGCGGTTGCTCTTGAATCATTGCCTCGTAATGATCTCACCTTGTCGCACTACAGCTCTTTGCCCTCTGAGGCGCTTTGATAGCCCATCGTGCACGGACCACCTATGTCATAGTCGAATCTCGTATCTTTGAGCTGAGGATGGAGATAGAGTGTATTCGTATGTTGACGCTGTCAGGTAGGATCCGGTTATCAGTACGCAGAGATTTTGTGCTCACAACAGCTAGGGTTATCAACTTGAGGACGGAATTTTGAGGGTATAACTCCGGTAGCGAATTTCTCGCTTCGCGCAACGAGACAGCGTTAGACTGAGGGAAGCATGGCGAGCGGACCAGGAGCCAGATTTCACTTCAATGCCGGTCCGACATGGTCATCGACTTTCGTCGCGTGGTTTCGCTCAGATACCAAGCACAGGAGTATTCGGGCTCGGAGCGACCCTAGTCCATTCATTCGAGTTCTTTGTTATGGTACTATTGACGTCTCATGACACCGCAGTTTCGCTTTATGATGAGGGAACTGATATATATGTTTACCTCCACATGAGCATTACTACCCTATGTACCGTCCGGCGCTCTCTCCTACATCCCGCGTTGCACCTGCAGCTTCCACAACCCGTATAACATATGCCCAGAATCTCGGACCATTTAATGCTCCCCTTGGCTGTCGCCAGTTCTTTGCTATGGGGCGCGGTGCGGTAAAGCGAGGAACGACGCATGATAGTATAGATCCTAGGGGATTGACATCGCCCATATCGCTTGTTTCGTGCTCGATCATGAGTGACCATATATGGCCGTTGGACGGGAGCGTTGTGATGCTAGTAGATTCATGAAGCGATGCGATAGCCTGGGAGGTGACGTGTATTGGTACGTCTAGCTTCTTCAGCCGAGGGAGAACTTGTATGATGGTGACTGCTTGCGATAATGAGAGCGGAATTTCTATGGGATATACTGTGAGGTTCTCGAGAAGTGGCCACCCGCTCACGAGTTCCAAGAGTATATGAGGCCGAACGGCAAAGCAGGTAGCGGGCCAGTTTGTGCTACGGAGATATAGTAGGGTGAGGTGTCGGAAGGACCGAAGCAGATGAATCCACGAAGTATCGATCAGTATTGTCACACCTGCATCAGAGGGGGTATCATCCTTAATCAAGATCTCCTCTAAGTCGTTAGGAGAAGCTATGATAGCGAGCGTGGAAATGAGTGCTGACAGTGACAATGGCTTCTCTACGATAGCGCGGGCCTCCAGACTGCGTAGATGTCGCGTTTGAGGAATGACGCCATCACCGACCAACGATACTAAAGTATCGGAAGCTTGCTCAAAGGAGGATGCGCTGATAATCAAAGTGTCTACGGAACAAAGACCAAACCGGTATCCTTCGCTGGGCCAACGTGTCTTCGGGCTAAGTTCAAGACACAAAAACTGGAATGGTGGCAAGGATGATATATGTGTTATGGAAAGTGGGTCGAGGGGGCCGTACTGTAAAGCTCGAAGATATTTCCATGAACAGATAGCGCTCGTCATTGCGTTTGAGTGGGTAATACCTTCGAAGAAAATGTAGGCACCCTGAGTGCAGGAAAACTCTTCGATAAGAGGACAGCGAGAAGACAGCACAAGCTCGTATGGCTCTGCTTCCTTGGGTAAGATAGAAACGAGCTCCCAGAGGATATAGCTCAGAGATCGAAGCTGAGGTCCCAGACAAATCCGATCCACAAAGTTCATTGACAAGACAGTTCCCGGGCCGGTCACCGACAACGTGTGCAGGGTGGGAAAGAGGAATGGGAAGGGGCATGTCATAGCAAGCTCATCGCGGATGTTCCGTTCGTGTAAAGGGCACGGATCGAGATCAAACTCTACGACCAATTCTTTCACCCTTCTCGAATAAGATAAGAAGACGTCCCATTCGTGTGGGGTCATCGGTCGTTGAAAAACCTGTGTTATATCAGTGAGGCATATTCAATGTCGATGCGATAAATGAGAGTACCACAGAGCTTATATGCGGTCTCTCTCCTGGTGGGATATATATCAAGTCTGGGGGCAGGACTTGAAGAAGGTCGTCAAAGGAAATATGATGGTATAGAGCATCTAGCGCGGGATCCTTGAATGCCGTGCAAACGCGAACGAGGCTCGACAGACTCTCTTTGTCGGCATGGAGATAGCCAATGATTATGTCTAGAGTGTCTGAGATACGCAGACATGAATGCATCTTGGGTGCAGCGATGGCTTGTCTGCGCTGTGGTCGCACAAGACACGATAACTGATGGTGGCTGTGTCTCTTCGGACGCGAGAAGGTATATGCACGTGACTCGACGCGCCGCGAGGCTTTCCCACGGTTTCCCCGACCGCGTTGAACGTGCCTGGTGGGCGAAACCGCCCAGTCGGCCGCAGCGTTGCTTGCCTCGTGCAGCATTTGACGTCCATCCCTCTTTTCAACGACAACTTGGCCCGCAGCTGCCAAGTCATGTTTCGCCGCAAGCCAGTGCAAAAAGTTGGCGGGCCTGAGGTCGAGCATCACGATTCAAACCAGGAGCCTTCGGCCGAGGACCCTTTTCTCCACTCGGGGTATGTTATTTGACCTACCCCAGTTTCTTTTGCGCTGACGTACATCGCAGAAACATGAATGACCCATATGACTCTGTGCGCCGTAGTGTGGAAGGGATGATGCAGGATCCTACGAATGAACGGTGCGTTGCATACCAGCTCATTATGAGCTGTCTGCTAAAGTCGAACAACCCAGATCATCCTATGAGAACTTTGACGACACTGAGACGATACGACCTCAATCCGACCAGTCGACAGGTCCAGCGCGTTATCAGCCTGGACAGGTACTCCCTACCATCATGACCGGTGAAACCCTCCAGCTCGATGAATACTGTGTCGTCGACCCAATACCCGACACACCCACCAGTGGACAGACAGTTCTTGGTGAACATCGCCAGCCATCATTCCACCCACGCTCACCCAGCCGCGAGCTGCCTCAACCCCCGCGCAACGGCCCGCCAGAGCACGTTGAAGCCCTTCCATTCGAGAATCGCTCCTCGTGGTATTCATCCTCGTCTACCTTGCAGGAGCCCTCTCGGTCAGGGACAAACGGATACATCGACCACTTCCGCTACGACAACGAGGCGTATGCGTCTGGTGCGCGCCGAACATCATACACCGTCCCGCGGTCGCGGTCGCCTACGCCCATGGACGATGAGGACTACACCGTCGGCCGAAATAATGCCGCCCGCTACACTGGATTGTCCCAGCCGGACGCATATAGCCACTCAGAACATGGCTCGCACGAGAGCGCATACTATACTGCCGGTGGGCACGGTGACGAGCAGTATGGTGATGAGTACGAGGAGGAAGAGGAGGACGAGGTCGATGAAGGTGATGAGGAGGAGGAAGAGGAGGAAGATGAGGAGGACGAAAGGACGGAATACGAAAACGATGAGAAACCCTCTGTCATGTCGTCCGAGCCCGATCCTCCGGTCGCCAAGATGCACTATGGTCCCGCTCCGATGGGGCGCGTCGGACGGCGCATCTTCAGAAAAAAGCGGGTCCAGCTCAGAAACGGTCATCTGGTCGTCGATCTGCACGTCCCGCCGAAGCTCATCTTGCCGTATCGCGGGGAGCTTGAGATGATGCAGACGCGCTACACGGCTATCACTTGTGACCCCGACGACTTCATGAGGGAGCGATTCTTCCTCCGGCAAAACGAAAGTGGGCGCGTGACGGAGTTATTTATTGTCATAACCATGTACAATGTGAGTCATCTTCGCTCTCGGGCGGTACTTCGGTGTTGATGGTTTGTAGGAAGACGAAGTTCTGTTCTGTCGTACGCTTTACGGCGTCATGCGTAATATCTCACATCTCTGCTCGCGAAAGAACTCCCAGACATGGGGCCCTGATGCCTGGAAAAAGGTACTTGTACACACATGCCAACCCTACCCCTCGTACTCACCATTGCAACAGGTCGTAGTCTGCATCATCGCCGACGGCCGACGCAAAGTGCACCCGCGCATACTTGACTGCCTGACCCTACTGGGGGTGTACCAGCCAGGCGGACACATGAAGAACATGGTCAACAACAAGTCTGTAACGGCGCACATGTTCGAGTACACGACCTCGTTCGGACTGGACGATAACCTGCACTTCAAGTACCCCGACAAGGGCGTCGTACCGACGCAGATCATCTTCTGCATGAAGGAGAAGAACCAGAAGAAGATTAATAGTCATCGATGGTTCTTCAATGCGTTTTCGCCGATGTTGCAGGTATGATCATGCATTCACGCAAACTAACATTTTGCTGACGGGAGCTGGGGTGTAGCCGAACGTCTGCGTTCTTCTGGACGTCGGAACACGTCCCGGGAAGAACAGCATATACCGGCTTTGGAAGACGTTCGACGTTAACTCGAATGTCGGCGGTGCTTGTGGTGAGATCGCGGTGTACAAGGGCAAGAACTGGCAATATCTCCTGAACCCCCTAGGTAAGCTAACGATCTACCGCTGCTGAAAGCTACCTTCTGAACATCGACGTCCTGCAGTCGCAGCCCAAAACTTCGAGTACAAGATCAGCAATATCCTCGATAAACCTACTGAGAGTATGTTCGGATATATCAGCGTCTTGGTTCGTCGAATGTCTACATCCTAGGCGGACGTATTTCTAATCGCTCATGTGTGTGTAGCCAGGAGCGTTCTCCGCGTACCGGTACATCGCTCTTGCGAATGACAAGACCGGTCAAGGTCCGCTAGCTTCGTACTTCAAAGGCGAGGTTTTGCATGGCGCCGATGCTGATATTTTCACGTCGAATATGTGTAAGCCTGGTCGTTTCGAGTTGTCGATCTGTTCATGCTCATGATAACTCAGATTTGGCCGAAGATGTAACTTCCTCTCACTATCCTCAGTATTATCGATACTGACTTTCCTCGACAGCGTATTCTTTGCTTCGAACTCATCGCCAAAATGAATCACAACTGGTCAGTCCCCTCCCTTTCTTTCCCAAGCAATCCTATCTGACATCCGTTGCGCTCACCAGGGTCCTCAAATACGTCAAAGGCGCCATCGGCGAAACGGATGTCCCAGACACGTTGCACGAGTTCATCGTCCAGCGGCGGCGGTGGATCAACGGTTCGTTCTTCGCTGCCGTGTACTCCGTAGCGCATGCTGGCCAGATCCTACGGTCGGGCCATTCATTCAGCCGCAAGGTGTTCTTGATGATTGAGATGGTGTATAACATTATTACTATGTTATTTGCGTGGTTTGCGCTGGTGCGTTTCTTCCTTTGAGCTTAAAGTTGCGATCGAGTGGAGGGCTAACTTGGTAAGGGGTATTAGGGCAACTTCTATATATTCTTTGTAAGTGCGATGGTATTTCTGTGGCTGGTGGTCGTCTGATTAGGTGTATTCGTAGGTCATATTAAGCTCTTCGTTGGAGGACGCATCGTTTGGTATAACGGGAATCAAGTACTTCAACTCAGTGGTTCAAGTACGTTTACTCCGTTCTCCTCGGTCTCATATCACTGACACATGGCAGTACTTCATGGCGTCGATAGTAATCGCGTGTTTCCTATTCTCAATGGGTAACAAACCAAAGGCGTAAGTCATTACATGTGTTCCTTAAAATCATCCCTCATAGACAAACGCTGATCTTGCCGGATTAGGTCACAATGGAAATACAAGCTTGCATCCATATCTTTCGCATTGCTGATGGTATACGAGATCATTGCCTCCATACTGTGCGCTATCTCCGTGTACGGTCAGTCCGGAGGTTCGATCATTGTGTTCAGTGTCGTCATCACCTACGGAGGTAAGCACTACTCATGTCTATGGACGGACATGGGTTGACGTCAACCCGAATAGTATACGCGATTAGCAGCTGTGTGGCGCTCGACCCCTGGCACCTGTTCACGAGTTTCCTCCAATACATGCTCCTCATGCCTACGTATACGAATATTCTCAGCATGTGGGTTACCAGATCGATATCCACGCTGACCATTCACTCACACGACCCCCTTTGACAGCTACGCTTATGCAAATATTGATGACGTACGTCTTCGCCTGGCTTCATTTCTCATCCTCGCGTTACTGACTTCTGTACAGATATCATGGGGTACGAAGCAAGATAACGTCATTGAGATCGATCTCGGTGCCGCAATCCAAGGCGTGGACTCCCATGTCGACATCGAGATGGTCGCTGGTGTTGCAGACATGAATTCCATCTACGAGGAAGCGATCGACAATCTCAAACACCGAAAGCCGCTACCCTCGAAGGGCAGTACCCTCGCACTGAACCAGGCGGAGAAGGAGCAGGCTGCAAAAGACTACTACGCGAATGTCCGAACGAATGTGGGTGCTCTCAGTTCGGAATTAGGGCTGGGCTGATGATTCTGCTGCATAGGTGCTCCTGTTTTGGGTGCTTTCCAATGGCGTACTGCTTCTGGCCATTCTCAGCGGCGTAAACTTTGCTGAGACGTTCAGCCCCAACGCGGGTATAAACCGCACCAAGGGCTACTTGATGTTTATCCTCGCCTTCGCCGCCATTACCAACATCGTCGTACGTCTTCACCTTTCCCTATTTGTCTTCTTGATGCTGACGCGAAGTCGATGTGAAGCGTCTCGGCGGATCAACCCTGTACATTCTAACACGAATATTCACGACATAGATATGGACGTTTCTCATTTCCACCTGTATCTGCATGCGCTTAGGAGTTGTCGCACCTGTATTTGTCATGTTCTCTCTACCTCTACTTATCGGACACTGCTATTTAGGAATCTATTGGGGACTGCGAGCTTCTGCGTTAGCGGGCCGATCTCCGGAAACATGACAAATGTATTCTTGCCTGGACGTGGGTTTTGCCAGCGAAGCGGCATTCCCACATAGCTAACCCCTCTGTGAATCTGAGACTGGGTGTTGTTATCGAGCACTCACACTTGTTTCCGTCTATATCATGGCCGAGCAGGTCCACGTACGCGCCGCCGTCCTAGCTTGCGCAACCTTTACCGACAAGTTTGTGCAGCAATTCGGGGACTACGGGGTCATCACCTCGAGATTCCTGATGGATCATACTCCTCCAGGTCTAACGTGTGACCTCGACGTGTTCAACGTGAACTTGAAGGAGTATCCTGTCAGCATCCAAGATTACGATGGGCTGATCATTACGGGGTCTCGTAAGTCAGCAATTTGATTGTTGTGGGATTGTGAGCCAATCGTGACCAGCTTATAGCGTATACGATCAGGAAGAGTGGATCAAAGTCCTTATTGACTTCCTTAAGGGTGTGAGGCAGCGGCACCCCAGGGTGAAGATGATAGGTGGGTACTCGCTGTTTCGGCTAGGAAGTTGCATTCATGCTGTCAGTTGAGCAGGGATTTGCTTCGGGCATCAGGCGATAGCCACCGCATTCGGGCATTCAGTTGCGCTAGGCGAGTGGGAACTTTACCCAGTTCCTGTAAAAGTCAACGGCCTGGGCCGGCGAATATTTGGCGACAAGAGTATCCTGGTTCGTGACCCGAGTTCATTTACGTGCAGGTTCTCAGCGACTCATCGGTGCGATGCGCCGCTCAAATTAGACATTTCCTCAACTACACCGTGACCAAGTCTGGCCCGCGCTGCCCGAATCCACAGCGACTCTCGAACGTTACCCTTATTGTCCATTCCAAGTATGGGGTAGTTCCGAGCTCGCTGCCAATCAAGGCATGATTCTCGTAGATGACACTCGTTATCGCGAGTCAGACGCGGGACGCGTTCTTCACAGTAAAATTGACATCTTCACGATACAAGGGCATCCCGAGTTCACCAGACCAATGGCTTTCGAGCTGATAGCGTTCCTGGAGGGGTTTGGGTATCTTGATGCAGACCTGGCGAAGACGATGAGGAGTAAACAAACTGACGACAATGATAGCGGTATAGTGGCAAAGGTCATATGGAACGTGCTGCTGGGAAGCCGGATGATCCCTCGGTAAGCGACGACTCTGTCTACCAAATGCATCGCCCTTCTCCCGATATTAATGTGATCACGCTGGTGTAAGATCTGAATGCATCGAACGTGTTACCTCTCAATGGTCCCATATTTTCCTGTTATACAAGTTGTTGAAGGCTGAAGAGACAAGAACGTGTACGGCATGTGCCAGTTATGGTCCAATTGATACTCCTCTTCGATAGCATGGACGCCTCCGCGTCATCTACCGCCGCGACGTCTAAGATAGGTTTCCTCCCCTGGCCACGCCGGAAAGGTCATAAGGTGGAAACCGTGCCTTGCTCTTCCATCCCTTGAGATTGCGTCCCTCCATTAGAATGACTTCGCCTATTTGCATCGCTCTGTTTGTCTGCGACGACACTAATCCAACGTTCATTGAGGACTTTGGGGACATCCCGACGCTCTTCACCAACTTGTTGAACCAAACAGCCCCAGATGGCCCAGACGGCCTTACGGCTACCTACACCATGGACGCTTACGCCGTTCGCGAGGGCCAGTACCCTGTCAACGTGGACGACTACAATGCGGTTCTTCTCAGCGGGTCAGGTAAGCTACCCTCTGACGGCGCATATGTCATTTATGTGCTCACAAGCGTCAACCAGGAAATAGCGTATATGATGAAGAGGACTGGATCATCAATCTTGGCATTTATGTTCAGGACATTGCAGCAAACCATCCGCTCATCAAATTGTTTGGTAACTGAAGTTCTCCGCGCTAGTTGATGGGAAGTAGTGATCTTATACCGCTCCGCCCAGGTATCTGCTTTGGGCACCAACTCATATCCCACGCCGTGTACGGGCAACCTGTGGTCCCTAACCCAAAAGGCTGGGAGCTTGGTCCATTCCATGTCGCGCTAAACGCTGTGGGCAAGGTCCTGTTCCAAGGCACCGATTCTGGAGACAGTTTGGTACGTACTGCAGTGTTGTGTAGGCTTTTCTCGCTGAATACACGCGATAGTTTATGGAAGAGGTGCATCACGATATTGCCTTCTCAAGCGGGCTCAGTGCACGCCTCAGAGACATACCCAAAAGCCGCAACAAGGGACGCACGTTGCAGTATAAGCCATTGCTGTGGGGTCACACCAACCTCACCCCTGATCAAGGGTCAGTTTGCGGAGCGCAACAAGTCTTCCAGGAGATAACGGCTGGCGACGGCAGTGGGCGGGTCACATACGAGGCGGCCGACCTATATGCCAAGACACGTATTTACACCAGCCAAAGCCACCCCGAGGTGACTAAAGCAATGGAGGACGAGCTCATTCAAGAGTGTCAGGATTCCGGAGGTGTAAGTGTTGCGGAGGCGGACTTGGCGAGAGCTCGAAACTCGACCGACGAGCCTCTCGATAGTAACCAGATGGGCACGGTCATATGGCGGATCCTTCTTGGGCAAAAGTGAGTATCAAGTAGTGAAGGTTGCGGGGTCTTTCCTTTGGTTTCTATCTCTCCCGATGAATTTCGTGTATGACTATCGCGCTGTCAAGATGACATTGGTGTATCATCCCATGTACAATATTCGAGAGATACGATGACTTGAACTCGTCTACGCTTACAGAGGTTTTAGAGGCACCATCTCCACAGTCGCTGAGGAAGCGTGCGACCCCTCGTAATCCCTGCGAGCTAAAGAAGTGAATTCAATCGTCGGAAGTATCGACGTTGCGTCCTCCCATCTTGAAGGCTGTCGTGAACGCCGCCCGGTTATTCTTCGGTGTTCTTTGGGCAAGTTGAGCGTAATGCGTGACATCATTGCCACCGTCAGACTAACATACTTGGGGTTAGCGACACGATGCCGATTGTAATGAATAGTATCTTACTGAAGCTTCAGCCTGAAAGCGGTCATGCGTCAGCTGTTTTCATCGGGATACTGATGTGTACGAGGCATAAGGCGTTATAGAAAACTCACTGTCCGAATATGTTCTTCAGGCCATTTGGTGCACGGATGATCAATATCCCATACGTGACGTTAATAGCTAGCACAACTCTGCGCCCTCGTCGTTAGCACATCGTCATGGTCAAAAAGGCCGTGATCATACAGGTAATAAAGCACTCCATCGACTGCAAGCGTTCGCGCGACTGTGCGTGCGTTTCTGTGCGGCTTGAAGGGAAGCGTGCGGGCAAGGATGAATCCGATCACGACGGTATCGTATAGCACAAGAATCCATATGTTGGCTGAGGATATCCCACTAGTAGGAGACGCACAAATTGAGGTTGAGTGCGAACAACACTGCTTAGAAAGAAGGCGGCTCACTGAGGATTATCGCGATTTATCTGGGTGCAAGCTGAACTGACTAAATAGCTTCAAGAATCGATTTCGCTGTGAAACTCACAATGCACCAGTGGCGTATGTGGTACGGCTGGAATAAGGGTTAGTCACTGCGTTAGCAGGATCGATCAAATACTTACGATAGCCTTGCGAAATTACAACAGCCGTCATAGTCACCCAAGCGACGAAAGTTGTTACTCCTATGAAGATTACGATCAAACGATCTTGCCATACTGCGATGAGGCTGTAACAACGTCAACTTAGCTTGATGTTTCCATTTGGTAAGACTCTGATATAGAGACACGTACCGTCTGAGCATCATAGCCCCTGCGATCTGTATTCCCAACGCAACTGTAGCACCTTCGTATCTCACGAATTGCGTGCACCTGTGAGCTACTTAGCCTGACTATGCCACAAACAAGTGATCGGACTAACTGCTGTAGACAGAGTCAACACGATGGGGTAACTCATTAAACTGGGAGTTGCGTACTTGGTCCGTAAAACTAGGAGAAAGGTAGGCTTCCAGGGGATTTGCCAAAGGGATCGAGATTCAAGATTCAAGTGAGAACGTACCATAGAAGCACACGATGAAGCTTATAGGAATAACGTATCGATTCTAGGAGGAAAGACCTAGATCAGTCGGGCGTGCAGCGGGAGCATCTTGGATGAAACGACGCGTACCACAAGGAAAAGGTAGGACACTGGCTACATGAGCGTGGCTTTAGCGTCGCAGAAGTAGCAAACTTACTGAGTGTCTTTCGCGTTCTCCATATAAGGTCTACCTGAGTTTGGGAGGAATGATCTTTGTAGAACGATAACTCCTCGAGAAATAGGATACGTACCTCATCCCCAAACGTCAACATGTGATCCCAAATTAAGATTGTATACCCCAAGAACGCTACATACTACCGTGACCCGAACGTGGATTAGGTGTAGAGGCTGAATATGCAAACAAGGAGGACGTACGATGGTGGCATAGCTTGAGGGGTCGTCACGTAACGCATGTTAGACTTCAGCAGAAGATTCAAACCTAGACTCTGGGAGCGCGACTCACTAGTCTTGCCTATCTTCGATCAGCACTTCGTATGGGTAAGTGGCCACTTCGTGATACCCTCCGTCCGCAAGGCTCATCGTCCCGTTGGCGGTGCCAGAGGTGGCAGCCACGTCAGGAGGTCGTCGAGGGGAAAGACGAAAGGTGGTAAACAAGGCCGCAGACAAGGCCGCAAGCGCAGACGTCGTGCCAAGTCCAAAATGCGACCGTCCCTTGGCAGGCTGAGGCGACGGCAGACAACAGCCGAATCTGGTGCATACCTTGATACCTCCGCTCGCGCACTAAGCTAAATAGGTTGCTCTTGTTATGGGCCAAAATCTGGAGGATGACGGTTCATCCTAAAAGATTTTGTAAAGATTTTCATGGATTGAATACCGTGACATCGAGCCACGTGGTTATGTCAGTGTCGAAACTTGATACGCGAGTTTACGCCCATCAGCCCTGGGGACTCCTGATGCTATTCTGAGCCGATTTGAAGGCTTGGAACTCAATCCAGCGACTCGAACAGGTTTGATTAAAGCCAAGGTACCCCTCGGTGCGCCGGTGCATGAGGCCTTCATCCCACTGCATTTGTGCTCGGTGATTTTGTTGAGTGAAGTGCTGAAAGGACGTTAAGCGACCTTTGAATTACCGGTTGATTGATGACAGGTAAGAAATGCTATTCCATCACGCGTGCCAACGTTGCTCGCACTTGTGACGCGTACGAGTAGGTCCACGTGCCGGGTGGGTCAAGGCAACCTGGATGTGAGCACGAGTTGAACCAGCGAGTCTTCATTTATCTAGTTCCAAAGATTTCTAATGGCACCCATCAACATAAATGGAAATATTACATGGCTGAACATGCATCCATCACTCACACGCTGAAAAACAGGTGGTGAAAATCGAGTCAATAGCTTTTAGGAGAGCGCTGGCCTGTGGGGTATCGTTGAAACTCAGATCCGGATATTACCGGAGACCATAAACCCGGTTCGAAATGCCATTCACGACCTGTAATGCCCATGGTACATACGAAGCTACGACATCCATTTGTAGCTCGCCTTCGCCTCAGTATTTTATTTCCCATACTGTTATCAGGTTCAGTTTACTCTATCACCGAACCAACATCGAAAACGACAATTAGAACGCGTGTAGGCGACATTTGAGAGCTGTCAGTGTCGCATGAAACACGACGACAGTCCGTGAGTTCCGGATGACAGTTAATATTCGGAGCATTTCAGGTTTGCTTCCGTTTTTGCCTGGATACATATTGTAAGAGTAACGACACTGCGCACAAACTCGGGGCATGTATTTCTGAGTGGTCTACCTACCCATGCCAAAGACACGGATATCACAATCCATCATTTCCACCCCGTTGCCAATCGCTCCGGTTGTTAGAGGTCTTTTGAAGGTTAAGATACTCGTAAAGGTGCATAGGCAACAATTCCTCTGGAGGTTCCTCAGATGCTGCATTGTCGAATGAATTATCGGAAACATGGGTGAGGTAATTTCCCACTGTAAGGGCTGCTGGGACCTGTTCAGTCAACCCCTGGTCTTCTTTGAGTGGGTTCACGGCTATTATGGACAAGCTTAGATACTGATGCGACAATTAAACCAACTTAAACTACCAAATACCGCTTGGCAGGAAGTTATACGCTGAAGGAAAACTGGGGCTTAGGAATTGCCCGAGCTGAAATGACGTAATTGCTCGCAATGAACGACGAGCGTGTGAGGACACTACAGCTGGGGACCGCGTTCGTATTTGCGGACGTGACCAGTTTGGAGGCTTTGACCTCGCGTTGACACAAACCCAAAGACGGAAGGCAATACAATATTACATTCCACTCTGAACGATCATGAACTTCCCGCTTTACAACGGGCCAAGGACAGGCACATTGATACATGATCTTGCTTTATATTCTTGGAATTTGCAACGGCAGCATGAGAGAAAGTGGGAGAGAACTCGAACCGCTTCGCTTCATTGCCAATCATTGCAATTGGTATAAGTAGAAAATTTCATTGAGAAACTTGGATATTCCAGCCATTGTGAACATGAGGTATGCGGTTACAGGAGTACACACGGGTATACAATACAAGCATGAGTAATATAAAGCGACACATTGAAAACTCATTGGGATGCAGGAGTGTTGTGGATGCTGGGCGCGAAGCCCACCCTCGCATTATGCGAGTAGTCAAACGTCGTATACCCTGCCACAACATTTCAGCCCAGTTGTCTCGCGAATATAAAATAAAAGGGTGAAAAACGCACATGACTTGATAAACTCATCGCCGACGATCGCAAGGTCGTCTGGGAAGTTGCTGAGTGATAGGACACCCCCGATGCATCGGCTGCGCAGACGATAACAATGTCAGCTCAGTAATCCAGCGTCCACGCACACTCAAACTGTAAGCGGAGGTTGGCTCACCCGGAGTTGTACCCGTCCTGGCCCAGGTTGAAGTCCCTCATGTCGATGCTGAACGGCTTGTTGTCGAACGAGAGGGAGATGGTCAGAGAGGAGGACTCTGAGCAGGGGTACGAGTAGAATTCTGAAGGAACCAGAGATTCAGTAAAGCAATACACGGCTGAGAACGGAAGCCTCAGCAGGGTGTCTTACGGTCGCCGTAGTCGGTCGCTTTCGAAGCACCTGGTATCTGATATGGCATGAGCTCTCTGTCTCAAGATCGAAGATGTGTGCTTCTCACCTGTGCGTAGAACTGCTGTGCGATGTAACTGGGGACGTAGACGAGGGTGGTACCAGTGTCGATGATCTGTGCATAGGCCACACGTGAGAAGAGGGAACGCATATATGTCGAGTGGAGATGTACCCCTGTTAGCACCGTTGGCACAGTCTTCTGGTTGACAATCATTCCGTCCATAGACACGGCCCAGTATGTCTAAAGAAAAGTGATGAGCTCGCGCTACGGAGAGACAAGAGGGATGTAGTCCAAGTACAGACCTTGGATGTTACCGGCACCCATGATACGGGCCCTGCAGCCTGGCTCGCGTCCCAGCACCCGAAGCATATCTAGCAACGACGGGGTTCAGTACTGCGAAGCGCTATCGAGCACGGAGAAAAGTAACGAACCTCGGACCCGTATTCCTTCTGTCGCTCAAAGGAAACACTGAAAAGCGGCGCCGAGACCTTGTTCTCTGAGATGAGATTCTCAAAGAAAGTTGGCTTTCCGGACGTCGCGATGGTGCTGAACGCAAGCCCGATGAGTCCGTCGCTGGGGGAGTTGTTGAAGTCGTTCGAGACACGATTCACAGCACCGAAGTACTGATCTTCGATGGTGAGTGATCCGGCGGACACGGTGTCCCGCGCGAGCGTACCACTGACAGATCCTGAACCCTACGTACCCGGTGCCGACAAAAAGTGAGCAAGGCTCACGGATGAGGAGATGGATGGAGGAAAGCGCACATAAGTGACCGAGAACGGTTTTCCCATGTTAGCGTACGTCGAGCTCCTAGTCGTATCAAACTGCGCATCATTACACTCCGTACATGCGACCGGGATCCAAAGGTCCGCAGATCCCGTGTCGATGTCAACCGTCAGACTCTGCGCGGGCGTGCCGAACGTCAGCCCGCCGTAGTACTCGAGGTCGAGTGTCCCCTTGATGTCGTCCGTCAGCGGGCCCTCCGCGCTCTCGGTGAACGGCGTCGAATGCTCGAGCGGTGTGGGCATCGCGGCGTTCTCGTAGGGGCGGTACTCGTTTACGGTTCCGTTAAAAACGGTCGCTGCGTCGGAGAGGGGGTCAAGAACTGCTCGGAGGGCAGGGTTCAGCGCGGCGGGTTCGGCATTCAGACCGGCGCCGCGGATGAAGGACTCGGCTTTGTCGTACTTGGCCATGACGGCTTGGATCTCCTTGTACTAAATCAACGGAAAGATATGGTTAGTTTGATAAAAGTGCAAGGTTGAAGAGAAGCCACTGCTTACCACAGTCGTTGGGTCGAAGATAGGCAGATCGTCAATGTTTGTCGCATCCGCCACAAAGGCCACCTTTTCGAGCCCAACACCTTCATTGAGGACCGTCGCATTCCTTATGAGCATGGTTGCTCGAGCCACCGAAAGTGAGGCGAGGCCTAAGCATACAATCGCTGAGACGGGGGTGGTTCTCATTGTAGGATGGAAAAGTGGGAGGGGAATGTTTCGTCGAGTGGAAGTCACGGTGCTGGTTTTAATGAATACGGTAAAGGGGAGGGGATCGCTGAACAAGTTGAGGTTCAGACCAACAAGGCTGCCTTCAGCTCGCAGGTATATGCGTCATGAGAAGTTGAATCGGAAGGTTTCAAAGAGAAACTGGGCTTCATTATAAACGAGACCAGTCGCTTGCCAAGGGGCAACACGAAGGTTTGCGGCCAGTGATGTTGAGCATTTGATTAGTTTAGCTGAGTTGAGTGCTTCAGAATCTGAGTGCGCACGACATCAACCTCAGAGAAAGAGACTGCGAGCACGATTATGCATCAGGGTGGCAAACGACGAGGCTGAGCTGGGTGTTTGTTGTGGGTGAAAGCAAAGCGAAAGAGCGCCAAAGCCGCCAAACGCGTCGCGCCCAAAAATTGACTGGCTCCTGTCTCTTGATCAACGACGCGATGTCCTCCCAACCACCACCATCGTCGTCGACAGATTACCTCTTCGTCTTTGCAGAGGCCCACAACGAATTTCGCGTCCCAGAGCTCCGTTCCATCGCTGAACTGCACGGCTTCTCTATCCACATCAAGTACCCTTGGGACTCGCAGTCGTCAGACAACCGCGAAGGCAATGCCGTACACCAGTTTGTGAATGGGCCATTCATGGTCATCGCGCTCGAGAGCGAGGCGCACGCGCGGACTCTCGCGAGTAGATGCATACTCATCAGGTATATCACTCTTCATTCTCCCTGGTAGCCGCGTTCATGACCTACGGCGCAGGTCGATCTGGGAGTTCTGGGCGCGTGGCTCGTCTTATGACGAACTGCATGCCAACAACCTCACCGCGAAGCCCAAGTGGGAGCGCTATGTTGCCAACACATCATTCAAGTTCCTCGTCGCGGGGCACAACCGCTCGATCTCGCAACGGAGGCAGCGCGAGATCATGGAGAGCTTCTCGTACATGGATTTCCTTGGACTGATCGAGTTGAAGAGCCCGGAGATTGTGCTCGGATATTTCGAGGAATGTGCGCCTCCTCATGCTTTCGCAAGGAATCCGTGTGGTGCTGACCCATATCCTGTCCTGCCCACAGACGTGAGCGACAGAGGCAAGCTGGTCGAGGACCGAAACAAAGACGGCGAGTTCATACAGGCCTACTTTGGCAGGTTGGTATGTTTCCTTGTTCTCTCTCGTACTTCTCCCTTAAAATCGCATAACACCGTGGCACACGCGAACACAGATAGTTGAAGGGACCGCACGCGCCCTGATTGGCAAATTTGATGTCAAAAAGCGCGAGTACTTTGGCAACACGAGCATGGAGGCTGAGATCTCGCTCCTGATGGCGAATCAAACTCTTGTAAGCTGTTGATGTTATCATGAACGTCGACGGATGTTGATTCTAGGGTTGATGCTCTACCCAGGCCTCGCCAGGAAAGATAGTCTACGACCCGTTCATGGGCACAGGCAGCATGGCCTACGTGCGTTCCCATCTCTTCTTCCCATATTTCTTTCGCTCCTCCTCTCCCGCCCCTCGTCGCCCTGTTACTAACTCGCGACGGGCCTGGGCAGACCACAGCGCACTTCGGCGCGTACGTCTTCGGGTCCGACATCGACGGGCGACAGATGCGCGGCAAAGCACAGACCCCTGGCGTCCTCCGCTCTGCGCGGCAGTACGGCGTCGCGGACCGCATCCTCGGCCTCTGCACATTCGACGTGACGCGCAACCCGTGGCGGACCGGCGGGCTGTTTGATGCGATCGTGACCGATCCACCATGTACGTCGATCGTGCGCTCGGTTTGCTGGTGAAGGGTGAAGGTTGATCAACGAACTTCTTGATCTTGAAACGGATTTGCAGATGGCGTAAGGGCAGGCGCGAAACGCCTGGGCCGCAAAACGAACAGGGAGGACAAGCACACGTTCGTCGGCCCGCGAGCGTAAGCACTCCCTCCCTTTCACCTTATCCATAATCAATATCACTGACGCCGCCCCACACAGCGCCGACGAGCCCTACATCCCGCCAACAAAGCCCTACGAGCTCTCCGCGCTCGCGTCCGACCTCGTCCGCCTCGCGCGTTACCTCCTCAAGCCCGGCGGGCGCCTCGTGTTTTTCCTGCCGACCGTCACGGACGAGTACAGGCCCGTCGACATCGAGAGCATGATGTGCGACGGGATGGAGCTCGTCGCGAACTCGTTGCAGGATTTTGGATCGTGGGGCCGGAGGGTGCGTGTTTTCTGCCTGTGTTTGGAGGAAGGAAGGAAATGGTGCTGATGGAAGCGTCGATAGTTGATCACGATCAAGAAGATGACGAGCGAGGAGTATGGGCCGCCGAGCTTTGATAGTGAGGAGAGGGACGCAGCGAGCGCGGGAGGCGAGGAGGAGGGAGGGGATGAGAATGCTCCAGCACACAAAAACTTCAGGGAGAAGTATTTCCAGGCGTTTATGAAGAAACAATGAACTCACGAAGGTCTATGATCGAGCGTGACCGTGCTTTCTATGTTTTGTAGCAATAGTGGCAACGAAAGATGTAGCAAAAGGATATCGATACATGTCTTGAGATCGTGGTATCTATCGTACAAATGTCATGGAGATTCCATGTCCATGGTATATAACTTATCGACAAATTTCCCTGCTCCTAAGTGTATCCAGCACATATCCGGGCTTCCATAGCCGCCAGATCCGTTCTTCGACTCCGCCTAGCTCAAACACCCTGGAGCCCCCTTGCCTTCTCGAGCGCGTCTCTCTCCCTTCGTACCTGCCTCGCGCGCAGTCCAAACACGAGCGCTCCGAACACCATCACGAAGCACGCCTGCAGCACGAGGCCCTTGCGCATGTTGTACGGCGGGCTCGCGTCCGCGCCGGCGCGCAGCGCGCCTTCTGAGAGGATGAATATGATAGCGAAGAGGTTGCCGCTGTGGACGCGTCGCGTCAGCGTATTAGATTACATCCAGGATGAACGGAAGAGGTCGAAGAAAGCGAAGCGAAGGTAGGAAGATGGCGGAGAGCGCAAACGGCCGCGGAGGAACGGAGGGGAGGAGGGGGAGGAAGCTACAGCATAAAATTAAACACGTACGATCCCCACAGAAGCGCCGCGCTCCCGTCCGCGTTGCGCGTCAGCTCTGCGCCGAGCTCGAGCCCGACAGGGAGCAGCGTGATCGAGCCGGTGCCGATGAGCGCCATGAGCGCGAAGAGGCCGCCCGTGTTATCCGGCACCACTGATGAGCACGACAAAAGGTACAGTCAGCATTGTTTCCCGACACTATGTCAAGCAAACTCCAAAACGAAAAGAGGGAGAAGAGAGGGGGACGCACCGGCGAACACCAACCCGAGCCAGCAGCCGCACACGAGCGGGACGAGCACTCTCAGTGTGCGCGCGAGGGTGTGCGGGTGCGTGAAGACGCGGTCGAACAGCGGTGCGGTGGCTGCGCTCGCGAGGATGCCGGAGAGGAGGAGGACGGCGCCCATGAGGCCGGCGGTGTCGGAGCTGTAGCCTGCTGGTTCCTGGTGATGCGGTTTGGTTGATATGGGGCGGAGCGATCGGTGGTCAGTTGGGTGAGTGGAGGGATGGAAGGTGAGGATGCGGAACGTACGAGGTACTGCGCTGAGAGGAGAGAGAACGTGTTCGCACTAGTGTCACAGACGCGTATGTCAGCGACCGTGATTCAGACGCGAGCGACTGCCCAACACGGGACGTCAACTCACGCGCCGACAAGCACTCCGAAAAGCAACAGGGCGATAACGAAATCCGCGCGCTCCCGTGGGGTCATGTAAGCCTCCGGTGTACACTGCAAGCCAAAGAGCGCTCGGAGGAGCGAGGTCATCGATTGGGCATTTTGGGAGCCCGCGTATGCTGCTTGCCGGATTTTCATAAACATGTCTGGAGACAAGACGAGGACAAGCGAGACGCGTACTAGGCGGTGTAGGCGGCCGAGACTCGATTAACAGGGCGGCGGGTGCGGCGGCGGTGGATATGATTGCGAGGATGAGGATCTGTGCGTTGGCACGATGCATCGAATCATAAGCACATTTTGTACGGTCGCTGCCGAAGAAACGGAAAGGGACCAACCGACTGGCTGACAGTGCCCACGAGCGGCGATATCAGCTGTCCAAGTGCACCACCCACTGGATTAGCTGCAGACCCCGTTACATCGATCTTAGCCTGTACCCCGCAAAATCTGAACCACTAACACACTCACCGATAGCAACCAGCATGGTCGCCGTCGTCCGCCCTCTCAAATCGAACCATTTCTCGGAATAAATCGGGCCGAGGACCTGGAAGATGGGCTGCACGATGGCGCTGCAGAGCTGGCCGAGGATGAGCAGGGCGTACGCCGCGTCCGCGTTGGACGCGAGGGAGGAGGCGGTGCCGGCGTAGCGGATCCAGCCGGAGATGATCATTGTCAGGGCGCCGAGGATGCTCTGCGTGGCGCGGGGTTAGTGGATTTGTGGTGGCGGGGTAGATGGATAGGAAACAAGAATGGGGATGAGAGGACGCACGACAAAGCGGATGTCGAATCGGGCGACGAGGGCGGGCACGGCGAGCGTCACGGGGAGGTAGACGCACGAGACGATGTTGCCGAGCCAGTCGACGCGGTTGATCGAGATGTTGAACTGGGTCGAGGCTGCATGATGACAACGATTAATGGGCCTGTGTAAGCTCGATGAAGAACTGAAGCAAGTCGCAAGCTTACTTTCGGTAGAAATCGGCCCGAACCACGGCCACGGCATTCCAGAGGCGAGGCTAAGGATAACCTATAAGATAGAACAGCATGAATACTATGGATCTGTACCAGAGGACGTACCAGCCCGACGAGCCCGGAAAAGCGGCGCTTGTACAGCCTGTACTTGACGGGCTCCGAGTCGCCTGGGCCAAGACTGTCAGCGAAGGAGCATATGCAGGCCTCGGTTTCGATAAAGACTACTGAGTCGTCCTTGTGCGACTGCGAGCTGCCGTCTTTATGGCTTGGCTTGGGTCGAGGCTGAGGCTGCACCGGCTTGGGGGTATGAGTACCACTTGAGTGGCTTGAGGTAGGACGATGTTGGAGCTCGATGGCGGGGTCTGCTTCGGTGATCATAGCATGCCAGAGTGTATGCAGAGGACCCTACAAAACCTCAGAGGTCTGAGATTCTGGGAGATGGACGATGAAGCAAGAAGAGATCAAAAGCGCCACCAAGTCCACAGCAGGTCATGTAAGGTCGTGTGAGGCTCACGCTGTGTAAGTGAACTAGCGTATCCGATGGAGCGGAGGATATATCTGCGTCATCTTGGATATCATAGCACAGAAAGCGTCCGGTGTAGCACGAAGACTAAGAATCCTTATCACAGCCAGTACGAAAAGATGCACCCTCCGGTAACGTAGTCACATCTTTTGTTACATCCTGTTACTCTCACAATGTCACAGATGCTGCTGTCACGATGTCAGCGAGCGTGACAACATCGACCCACACGCTCAGCTCACCGCGTTATTTCACTTCACCTTTTATCTTTCCTCTCCACGACTCCCTCGAAAAAGCATGAGCGAATACTGGGTCTCCAAAAAGCGCTACTGGTGCAAGTACTGCGACATCTACATCGCCGACGACGCGCCCTCCCGCCAGCACCACGAGGGCGGCCTCCGCCACAAGGGCAACGTCGAGCGCTTCATCCGCAATCTCTACAAGACCGGCGAGAAGCGCAAGAAGGATGCAGACGAGGAGAGGCGCGAGATGGCCCGGATCGGAAAGGTGCATTCTCCGCTTCAGCCGTTCTTTATTCCCTATCCTTTCGCTCTTCTGTTATATGTTTTATGTACTACGATCTAACATATATGCGCATTCATCGTTCATAGGCAGCAGAAGCGGCATACGCACAAGACGTCGCCGGCGGCCTCGCCAAAGGCTCCTCAGCGCCCGGTCCCTCTGCGTCATCCTCTGCTGCAGCGAGAAAGCCGACTAAACCCTCGAACCCATACGCGGATTACACGACCGCCGCGCAGCTGGGGTACGAGGACCCCGACGCGGCGCGGCTCGAGGCCGAGCTCGAGCAGCGGCGCACGGAGGGTATCGTCGGGACATGGGAGACTGTCGAGTCGCATTCGCCCACCCCTGTGCCTGCTCAAGACGCAGGAATAGCAGAGGGGGATGCAGTGATGGGAGCAGCGGACGGAGAAGGCGCAGTAGCAGCAGCGGGGACGAAACGCGAGGCGTCACCACCAGCAGAGGAGGAGGACGAGCGCAGCTTCAAGATCCGCAAGAAGACGACGCGCTCGGGGCTCGGCGAGATATACGACCCCGGGATGATACCTGTCAAGCTCAAGCCCAAGAAGGAGTCGCCACCTACTGAACCTCCGGCTGCCGCTACCTCTGCTACCTCTGCGCCAGACGCGACTATCAAGGCTGAAGTCAAAGCCGAGGACGCCGCTGCCACTGCGGGCGACGGCTCGCCAAAAGTGGGCAAAATCCAATGGAAACGCGCAGCGTTCACGCAGGCCGCCGTCGAGCCGCAGAGATACGTCCCGCTCTCTCCCGAGCCCGCGTCCGACGGGATCAAGAAGGAGGAGGAGGATGAAGATTCGAACACGGTTGTGGTTGACGGCACGGCGACGACCAGGGACACAACGAACGGCGTGAAGAAAGAGGAAGAAGGGGCCTCTCCCAGCCTTGCTCTCCCTCCTGCGGCGGAGGAGCCAGCGCCGGCGAAGAACCTCTTCAGGAAGCGCAAGGTGCCTGCTGGAGGTGCGGGGCGGCGGGGTATGTGAGCGTGCGTACGCGTCGTGCTGTTTAGGCGCCCAGGGGGTTGGATATATGCGCATGCTCCGATACCTGCATCATGGTTCGTTTTGTTTCGTGTGCTCATGCAGCATGAATCTATGCTTTTCTCACACGTGCATATCAGAGCAACGTTGCTGCAAATTTACTGCTGCGATGCGGCAGCGAACAGCGAACAGTGGTCAATCACGCTCAGTCTCGGCAGGCTGCTCAAGTCGGGTTGAACCGTGGCTATCCGCGTGCTAGGCGGTCGTCTCATTCGAGCCGAGACGTGTGGCAATTGGCTGGAGAACACACGCAATCATCGCGATAGGGGAGACGTACGGTGCCGATGACAACGGCCTTCTTTCCCTTGTATTTCTTTGCCCCAGTGTGGACACCCGGGTGGTACACCTCGCCATTGAACATTGAACTTTTCATGCCCGGAAATTCGGAGGATATGAGACGTGTGCTGCGTGTAGAGGGAAAAACTAAGTACCGTCTCTCTGGATTAAATGGATTAAAAAGAAGAGACACCTTGTTGCAAGCAGCACGTCAGCATTTATGTTGTCAAGCCCGCCCACGCGCCAGAGCGTCTAGCCGCAGAATTTCATCATTTTGTAGTCGGCGACACGATCGTGCTAAAACTCTTACACCAGAGTAATCCGAGGTACCCCTTCGACGTATCTTCACGCCCGCTGATTGTGCATACAATGCACATTGATGGAAAAAGACGCGAGTTAATTAACCCGGTCCGTGAGCCTTGTGGATTCATGGGCGGTGAAATTTATATAAAATACGAGTCAATCTCGTCACCTACTCGTCACGGCGTTTTCTATACCTTTAGGGATAAAGACAAGAGGTATACGATCAACAGGCTCAGCTGACGAGCTTGAACTGATGCCGACAGCTCCCTCAGGGCGTTAATAGGGTAAAACCAAGGCAATCCTGGCGTCCGTACAGGCGACATTGACGTCCACATGTGGAAGGGGTCCGCGAGCCTAACAACCCTGGACACTACTTGTGCGTATTGCTGCTCTCCATCGTTTCCCCCCACCAAGGCCTTGCCGAGCTCCGGTCAGCAAGGAGTTTGTGGTTTCAAATGTGAAACTAGGTCGTACACAGCATGTTGGGTCAGGGTAACAATTATGTCATCGATTTTCGAGGAGGCGCATACAAAGTGCGAGCATTGACAGGAAGCAGTGGGATATAGAGACAAGGTCATAACGCGCTCGAAAAAAAAACATAATTGATCACAATATAGTTGGCGAATTTTCGATTTTATTTTGGCCGGCAGAAACTTGGCAGAAACTCCACAAGGAGTGCTTCGAACGCCAGACTCTCGCGGTGCAATGGTAGTGACCTGTGGCGCAGGCGCGCGATCATCGGTCCCTCACACTGACGCTTTCCGAGTCGGTGCGCGAGGTAAAGGTTGCGGCCAATCTTCCTTGTGATTGGTTCTACCCTTTGAGTAATTTTTTATTTGACAGTTTTATATGTGCGCGATTACAGAAACGGCGGTATCTTGCATCTAAATTTAGGATCCTGTTTGTTTCAGAAATGTGCGCGGTCAAATTTTCAGATGTGATAGCAATACCTTGAGCCTCCAACGCATCATCGCACCGTCATTTTCAAGCTTTGCTATATCTACTATCTATTCTCATGCCTCACTATAGCCCTACATAGCATACTACTTCTCTACATCGATACAACTTCATACTAGCACCCGACTACCTTGAACCTTCACCTAGCCACTACTTAACGTGACCACGCGTTTGACGCGGGGTATAAATATAGAGATATCTCTCTCGCCTCACTATAGCCGTAACGTCTCCGTCATATCTTGCGCACCCACATGGATCCGTAAGCGAGGCACCTGTTCAGGGCATCGTCTGGGAGGCTGCTCGCATATATCTCAACAAACACCAAGCGGAAACAATTATGTGATCACAACTCACTGGGTCCGTACGACTCGTTCCCGCATTGGACATTCAATGCCAAACCGAAGCTAGTGCTAGAAATCCCGCCAATGTTCATAACCCGGGATCCGGCCGAATATTCGGATGGCACGCTCTGCGTGTTCCTAGATACTCCGCCGCAGTGATGAGAATGCCCCGGCCTTTGCTTGAGTTTTTGTGCTCTGGTGTCCTCGATCAGATCGGCGTACGACTAACACAACGATCATCCTCGTCTCAGTCAATGCTCTGACATTGGTGCCAGCTCTGCTTACCGATGCTCGCACATAAAGCTCCCAACACTTCTCGACATGCTTTACAATGGCTGTATCATTAGCATACCACAGCGACGAGAGGAAGCATCGTCCCGTAACGCGCTGGCGTAGCACCTCATGGGCCTCTCGAAGTCTACGTGACGTAGTAATGTTCAGGGCCCATAATTACTATATTGTCAGAGTAAATAGCATGACGTAAAATTTCACTTACTGAATGAGCGTAGTTCGGAGCTGTTCAATGCCGGAGCGAGCCAATTGATTACCGGTTAGCACGTCGGCTTGTATCAAGAGCGAATACGCATAAGCGAGCTTCGTGTTAGCAGATGATAAACCAAAGATAGTATCATGCGGAAAGTCGGCGGCGTAGGAGAAAGACGGAGCCATGGTACCCTCTGCTGTCTGAGATACGGTAGGATTGTGAGGCGGACTTTTCGTGTGCTATAAGCAAAACGTACCATCGTTCATCCTTTAAATTCGTAGCTGAGCGCTAGTCTTGTGTCGCACCCGACCCATGTTACGAGAGAAGACAAATTGCGTGGTAGGGCACGGCACTCAGTGGGCCAATGGTTGGCGCAGTACCATTTGAAATAAATCGCCAAATATCAGAGTTATAGGCTGTGCAATGAGAGTGAGTAGAGGTATTCAGAACTCTCTACTCGGTCCTTGATTACTACACATGGGACGGAACGCTTCCTTTCCTTGGCCTTCTCCCGTGATGCATGCAGTACGGGGTCACGCACACCAATTTATCCGACATCCTAACCTTCCATATTAGAGGTAATTGCTACTTCGGTGTTCCTCGTATCACTTTTAATGAACCCCTTTGCATAAATCAAGCCCTGAAAACAACATCCCTCGGAGCTGAAAATCTGGTCAGAGGAACCTGATCTTACCATGCGAAGTAGATCTCCTATAGATGGAGGCAACACGTTAATGCGCCGCGCGGATAACGTTTGAGCCGTCTTGAATGCATCCCGTATCACACAGGCCCTGAGACGACAGTCCTGATGATGTGTCTAACGTTGTAGCTGAGACATGATCAACACCTTTATCGAGGGAAGTTTTACCAGTATAATCTCGTGTCTGGTGTTTGAAACGTCTATGCACCAAGTGTAGGTTATGTACTTCTGATCATCCTAGTACACTTCAAAAGGAGACACAGATGAGGGAAGTACGAATGCCAGTAGCCTATTAAACTGTTTCATCACGGTTAGACACCGCCATAAGAAAGCCAACTCTCAGTGTGCATGACTTGACCAAGCAAACAGCCTCGGGCCGCCTCCCACGGAATTGTAATTGGGTGATTTCTACTTAAAATAGCGTACATCGCCTTAGGGTGCCTATATCCGACTTTTCGGAGATTATCTAGGATTTCCAGGTTACTTCCAATTTTCCGCGGGAGCGCTGAAGGTAGGCAACGCGACCGCGAGCCGACAAATTAGAATGGGGTTCCCGACATTCCTCAGTGAAAACAGGTAGTATCTACCCCTCGAATCAATGGCAAGTTCATTAGCATCAAGCTTGACGCGAGCTCGACGTGCACTTTCCCAATAGCCCGTTCACGTTTGCTAGATAACTCAATGTGGCATATGTTCTCTAGCTATCGGATGGTCACCCCAAACTGCAGTGTTCCGGCTTCAAACTACCGCACATGCTCCTCTTGATGCTGGTGATATGTGGCTACACCTGGCTGGGGAAAGCTCCTATGGTCATAAATAGCACGCCACCTTACCCCACCTTCTGCATGCGCGATTCAGGGCGCCGCGACCGCGAGTTAACAGTTTACTTTTGTTTGTAGCGGTATAGCAATCTGGAAATTCTCTCACTCTTATTGTCTGACTCAGATCATTCGGACTGTTTGGACATTGCCATTATAAGTCTAATGACTTTAAACCATGCCGGTATCCGTCCATTGGACCGGGAAGGTTCCTTGAGTTTATTGTGCAGTTGTCTCACAGGTTTCTTCCACGAGGACATGCAAAATGATCCATTTGCGACTTAGATCGAGCCTCAACTAAATAGCCTAACAAAGATCCACCCTTGAGGACATGGATACACTGAATTTAGCGTAGAGTTTTCTCCAGAAGCCAGGCCCTATGCTATTTGTCCCATGTACTTGGCGTGTGTCTAACAATGATCACTTGGATCATAAAGTCACATTGCGAAGGTAACGTCATTGCCTTCCCTATACTTGCATTACTTGGCCTTGCTCGAAGCCTTCGTTTTACGTAACATTGAACAATGTCTCGAAAAGCCTTTCTGCATGTTGATTAGTACTTCATATTAACACTCGAGTTGGTCACTTCCACGTTCCTAGAGGTTATCATCTTGTTATCATCACAGATCCTTCCTCTTTTTCTTCATCCTGTAACAGCATGCGAACGTTCAGTACCAGTTCTCATCATATCTCACACCATATTCATTTCGGCTAAGGCAAGAGGTGTCCAAAAAGCTGTGGGCCTAACTTCTTGACGATCATTCCCTCAAACCTGAAGTGGACGTTTCAAAGCCTATACATGTTCAGGTCGTGACTGTTAATCACTGCACAGCCGAGTCTTCATGCACATGCGCATACTCATACTCCTCGGGATATCAATGTAAAAACCTACCCGCATGCACATACTCTCTCTCCCTCTCCCGGTTAGGTTCATGGGATTTGAAGAACGCAAGATTGAGTGCAGTCCTTATTGGCCGATGTGAGTCCATGGAGATTATTTGCTGTACCACGTAATAGCGTACCGTTGACAAACCAGATATCTAGACAATTCTATAAATTAGGAAGTAAGCTTGATGAGATGAGTCCTGCCTCAAACGAGATGATGACTCACCTGTTTCATCTGCTTAATACTCTCCTTGTTTAGTTTGCAGAAACATCTGGCGGAGGTCAAATACTTTCTGGGAATTTATGCATTGTCATGAGGTAGCGCAACGATATGAAAGTGTTTGTTAATTCCTGAGATCTATAAACGGCATCTAATCAGCCGTTTCGTCCTCCACCAAAACGCTGCACTTCAATCAACTGCATTTCGCGAGAGTTCTCGGACCTCGATGCCCGTGATTCGATGCTACAATGCATAGCAATGAGGCACTTGGGACGCGGAGACTGTGTACAAGGCTTTGATCCATGACGATGTTCCAACCGCTGGAATTCTCTCCAGTAATTTGGGTTCTGAGCTGTATAAAGAGCCGCTACAAGTAGGATAATATAGTGCTTCAAGTTATTCTCAGGTACGCCGTCTGAGCTGGCTCGAAGATGGCAACCAAACGTGCTTCGCGGGTTTGTCAGTTTACAAGTAAACGCATGAATTACTACATATATGTACCGCATGCAGCGTAACGAGGCAAGCAATGCTGCTGCTGACTGGGCGGTTTCACCCAAGACACGTTCATCGCGATCGGGAAACCGTCGGAAAGTTTTGCGGCGCGTCGAGTCACGTGAATGTACCATGTTTTTACAAGAGAAAATATTCAAAATGTTTCTGGTACACTTTCTGGTACACCTTCTTAATGTGGTAGGTAACCTTCCCAATTTGAAACGTTAAGCAAAACATTTTATGTGTTTTTGGCAAGTTTTCCACGGAAACATTGACTAATGGCCCCAGTGTTTCCCGCATCTTGCGCGGACACAGGCCCACAGCTCGAGCGCAGACAAGCCATCGCTGAAACCAACATGCATCCATGTCTGCATATATCAGACATTCTAGACGTCATAGTTGATTACCTTCATACTGACAAACAGAGTCTTTCCCGCCTTGCGAGCCGCAGCGAGCGTCTGTATGACACTCAAGGATCCCGGTCTGGATGCTCTTTACTACGATATCCCCTTTGACAACCTTCTTCAAGTCCTTTCTCAAGACTTGATGCCTATCGCACCGGGAGTGTCCCGCACATTAGCTCTGTGGTACTCTCCTATACAAATTCCGCTTTGAATTCGCTTCATTGATACACAACAGATTTTTCAACTGGCACCGATGACCGGACCCCTCACGGATGGGAAGTCCTCTTATCTTACGCGAAGATTGAGCTCGATCCATTCCCTCTGTCCGAATCTACGTCACCTCTCAGGCTATTGCATCGCTTCGTGAATCTGCTAGCATCACAACGCTCCCGTCGAACGTCTATATATGGTCACTCATGATCGAGCACGAAACAAGCGATATGAGGGATGTCGATCCTTAGAATCTATGTATACTAGCCACACCCGGTCCCAGCTAAGACGAGTGCGTAACGGTGTTCCCTTGCGAGCTATGGGCCAACGTATTGAAACAATGAGTCTATTTGACTCGCCGACAACTTCCCTAGGGTGTTTGGCAGGATAGATCAGCAGTCCAGACGTTCGCGAGCGCAACAACCGTGGACATCACTCGTACATACAGTTCCTCGCTATCACTCCATCTCATAACGGGCTCATGAAGACCGGGCACGCGTCGTCCGATGGCCGCGAGAGTAATGGCGGTGACCAGTGGCATAGTTTCGTGATTAGTGCGGAGGCTATCGTTGACAGGGTCATCGCCTTATGGCAGCGAGAGGCGCGAGAGCGGCAGGAGTAATTGGTGCGAGAGGTAAAGGCAGCGGCTAATCCTCGGTATCATGGTTTCTACCTTCCGAGATACTTTCTATTTGATACTTTCGTATGTGGTAGAAATGGCTTGAGCCTTTGGTGACGCATCATCTACATTGCCATTGATTCAGGCTCTATTATATCTACTGCTACTCGTATGCTTCACTATAGTTGTCACGTCTCCGTCACATCTTGCCCTCATGGATCCGGAAGCGAGGCACCCGTCTAGGGCATCGTCTGGGAGGCTGCTCGCATGTCTCATCAACCACCACCAATGGGATACGAATTATGTCCTCGAACTCACTGGGTCCGTACGACTCGTTTCCGCATTGGATATTTAATGCCAATCCGAAGCTAGTGCTAGAGATCCCGCCAATGTTCATGACCCGGGATCCGGCAGGATGGTCAGAGGGAACGTTCTGCGTGCTCCTAGGTACACCGCCACAGTGACGTGCATTCCCTGGCCCTTGCTTGTGTCCTTGTTCTCTGGTGTCCGCGATGACATTGGCGTACGACTGACATAACAATAATCTTTGCTCAGTGAATGTTTTGACATTGATGTAAGCTATGCTTACCGATGCTCGCACATAAAGCTCCCAGCACTTCTCGACATGCTCTACAATCACCGCATCATTGGCATACCATAGCGACGAGAGGAAGTACCATCCCGTAACACGCTGGCGTAGCACCGCATGGGACTCTTGAAGTCTGCGTGAAATAGTAATGTTCAGGGCTCACAACTATTCTTGGCGCAGTAAGTAGCATGTCATGCAAGTGCACTTACTGAATGAGCGTAGCTCGAAGTCCTTCAATGCCAGGGTGAGCCAATCGATTGCCGGTAAGCACATCGGCTTGTCTCAAGAGCGAATACGCAGAAGCGAGCTTTGCGTTACCAGATGATAAACCGAAGATTGTATCATGCGGAAAGTCGGTGGCATAGGAGAAAGATGGAGCCATGGTGTTCGAGATACAGTAGGATTGTGAGACAGATTTACCATATGCTCTGAGATGAATGTACCATCGTTCGTTTCTTAAATGCGTAGTTGAGGCGGCTAGTCTTGTACCGCACCCGACCAATTTTACGACATAGGAAAACTCGCGTAAGTTACAGTTTCCTGCGTGCGCTCGGTGCGATAGCATTAATGCCAATACGTCGACAAAACTCAGAGTTAGATGCCGTGCAATGAGAGTAAGTAGAGGTATTCATAGATGTCTACTTGGCCCTTAATTAATACACATGGTACAGAAGGCTTCTTTCCCTTGACCTTTTGTCGTGCTGCACGCAGTACGGGGTCACGCGCACCAATTCGCCTTCCATTCGAATATTCCACATTGAAGGGTGTTACTACTTTGGTGTTCCTCGTATTACTTACAATGAACCCTTTGCATGATTCAAGCCTTAAAAGAACATCCTTCGGAGCTGCAAATGTGGTCAGAGGAACCTAAGGTTGCCTTGCAAACCAGATCTCCTATAGATGGAGGAAACATGTTAGTGCACCTCGTGGATAATGTTTGAGCCGTCGATGCATCCCGTATCACCGGCCCAGACGACTATCCTGATGCTGTGTCCAACTTTGTAGTCAAGACATCGACATGATCGACTGATCGATACCTTTACCAAGGGAAGTTTCACCGGTAGAGTCTCGTGTCTGGTACCTGAAACATTTATACACTGGGTGTAGTTTATGTGCTTCTGATCGTATTAGGACCACACCAAAAGCAATCACAAGCTAGGCAAGGTCCGAGTTCCGGTGGCCTTTGGAACTGCTTCGACTCGGCTGTACACTGCCATAAGTAATCCGACTCGCATCGTGCATGGATATACCAAGCAAACAGCCTCGGTCCGCCTTCCAAGTATTTGTATTTGGCTCGAAGGCGCCCATCTGACTTAGCGGAGGTAAAATGACATTTTTCTAGGTTAGTTTCTCCCACCCGTCGCGGTGTGTTTCCTTGTGTTTCAGGATCACTGAAATTAGGCAACGCGAGCGCGAGCCAACAAAAAGAAACCAGGTGACCGTCATTCCGAAAACAGGCGTTATCTACCCCACGAATATGTGCCCTTCTTACGTACGTCCTTCCTTTTTTCTGTCTTCTCTCGTGCATTGCCAGAATACGAACGGAACGTTGCTATCTTTCCTCCGAGTCACAGATGATGCTTCTACATTTACAGCTTTAGATGACACTGCGACGGCCCCTATTATAGTTGCTCCTCGGAGCTTGTTTCTCAGTGGCTCTCATGGGAGCCACTGATCACCTAGCATAGATTCGCTTACATACCCTGTTCTCTGACTTACTTCCCATGCAATTGCAATGATAGCCTCAGAAAAGGATCTACCCCACGAACCAATAGCGAGTCCATCGGCATCAATGTTGAGGTGAGCTGGGCATGCCCTTTCCCAATATTTAGCCCGCTCACAGTTTGCTAGGCGATTTAATGTGGCATCTATCGAATTGTCGTCCTAGATTCCAATCTACAGCGCTTCAGCCATGAACTAGACCACGCCTTCATTCTGGTGACCTGTGTTTCCATCTGACTCGAAAAGCTTCTACGATTTTAATTTGTACATCACCCAATTTACCTTACTTCTACGTACACGAGCCAGGGCGCCGCGACTGCGTCTTAGCAGTTCACTTTTGTCATAGCGGTACGGAAATTCAGATCTTCTTTCTCTCTCTGTCTGGCTCGGGTTATTCGGCATGTGGTTTGGACATTGCCATTGTAAGTCTAATTTATTTTGATCGTGCCTATCTCCGTCCATCCGACTGGGAAAATTCCATGAGTTTACCATGCGGTTGGCTCACAGGGTTTTCTCCATGAGGACTCGGAGCATAATCCCCTTGCGACTTAGGTCGAGCTTCGACTAAGTAGTTGAACGAAGATCCATTTTGAGGACATGGACCCACCGATTTAACGTAGAGTTCTCCCGCGAAGCTCGACCCTATGCTGCCCCTAATTCCAAATTTATATGTCTAATGTGCAACATCGGACAATGTCTCGAAAAGCCTTTTTGCATATTGGCTACCTCATAGTAACACGTAGGGTCATTTAGTCTACATCCACGTTTCTCGAGGGTATCGTCACAGATGCTCTCTCTGTTTCTTTAACCCTGAACAGCATGCGAAAGATCAACATTCAACTCTCATCATATATCACACGAGATTCATTTCGGCTAAAGCAAGAAGTGTCCAAAAGCTGCGGGCGCAACCTATTGACGATCACTTCGTCGAAATGGATGTTCGAAGCATGTACATGTTTAGGTAGTAACTGTTGAGTACTGCGTAGCCAAGTCTTCATGTGCACTGACATGATGGTGTTCCGCGGGATATCGTCTCAGAAATCTACAAATATATTCTCCCAATCATGTTTAGGGCATTTGAATTACCCGAGTTCCAGAACGATACTCATTGGCCGCTGTAATTCCATGGAACTTATGTGTTGCACCACACTGTAAAGAAGCGTTTACGACCCTATATCTCGACAACTCTACAGAACAGAAAGTACACTTGAATCCATGGGTCCTGCCTCAAACGAGATGATGGCCCACCTGTTCCATCTGTTCCAGAAGGCTCTGTGTGTGTGTTTTGTGTCGAAAGAAATATAAAGGTGATGGGACCCTAAGCACAGAAACTCTACGAGAGGGAACCTCGGCGCGCGCCCTTCATAAACCTTCATCGTGATACTCCTCGTTGGCGTCCCCGGCGGTGCTAAAACCACTAACATTGTGTAGATATACTTGCCTACGCACAGGAAGTTAAAGGTTATACAAAAGGGGATATCATGTCACTTATATAGCATATAGTTGTTTTCTGCCACGCGCTGGACGTCGACGACGTCGTGGGCGGCATCGACAGTGGGAGGGAGAATGGGAGGGAGGGACGGGGCTTGCCGAAGGACAGCCGCCGGTCCGAGCCGGGGGAACCGAGCGGAGGAGCGGCTAGCGATCGGGGCACAGCCATCCACGTGGCAACCGCGGCGGAAGGGAGCGGGAGGGCGGGAGGGCGGGAATCGCGTCGGGACGGGAGCGATGACGACACGTTATCAGACGTTATCTTATTTATCGGTGCCTTACAGCGTATCTAATCTAATCGAATGGACTTGGGGAGGAAGGAGGGGAGACCATACAAATAAGGACACATTGCCGCCGACTAACACCGCCCGAGAGTGTGCATCAGAATATGCTCGCTTAAGGTTAAAAAGAGGTTTCGGAAACCTCTCACACTGAACGCGTGTGACAGGTTTCGGAAACCTCTCCCGTTAGGCCATTCAGGTGTTGAGTAAGCTGGAGCCAACGACTGACCTCCGCCGACCCATTAGATGGCGCGGCATCCTTCTTGAATGAAAGAAGGCTAAACTTAAGTCCAATAGATTACTTTTATAAAAATGAAGCTTTCATTGCCTTGTCGGAGTAAGCAAAGTGCCGCGCATTGCTGACGTTGCTGACATGTCCAGGAACAATGATCGGAGTTATTACGGTGCCGAATGCGTGCCGGTGATGGGAAACGACTTGGCAACCGGCACGTGATTTATTTGCGAAAATTTTGCTAAGTCCCGCCTTTGAGTGGAACACTTATACAATACTAGTTCTTTTACTTAAGGTTAGGTCCCCTTCAACAGTGTGATCAAAAGCCATTAATTCTCATTAGGTAGAGTACTAACAAAAGACTAGTAGACGTGAATAATATGCAGCATTATTAATTATTAAGGAGAGTCATGAAATAACCGGGCTCTTGGATGTCAGTCTCCAAGGGCGCGAGGGACGACGACGACAAGGAAGGGGAGAAATGAAGCTGCTGAGACGCCGGCATCCTAGGGAAGGAGGGATCATGGACAGGGGAGAACTCTTGATCAAACCCGGCAGACAACTGCATGCCAAACGGAGAGGCCATGGAAGAGGGAAACATCGGCGAGGGCAAAGATGAATCTTGCGGGGCCAGGGACGGCGCCGACGATGTCGGCGTCACGTAGCTCTCGGAGAATGGCAACGGGGAAGCGTTGATGCCGGCGGGGGGCGATGGGGCGGGATGAGCCTTCTTCGCCCGCTTCTGGGAAGGCGCGCTGTCGTCCGGAATGCCCAGGAGGAGCTGCTGCTCACTGGCCGCCCTGAGGGCATCCCACTCCTCCTCGGAGAGCTCTCGCCAGTAGCACTCGCCAGTCCTCACCGCAATCTCGATCTGGGCGAGCCTGGTGACGGACTCGATGGCGCTCGGGTTGACGACTTTGCCTCCAGGACCTGGATATCCGACGAGCTCGACGCCGAACCTCAAGACAATGAGCTTGTCGTACCGGGCCCATTCCATGGTGTTCGGCATCTGGTCGGCGGGCACGCCACGTTCTTCGAGAAGCTTACCTAGAAACACGATGATCAGTAATAGTTTATGTAGCGAAGGAACAAGAACGTACGAAGTTTATACAGCACCTGCTCCCGAATTACCCTCTGCAGGAGAGAGCCACGCCGCTCCCCGGTTACAGTGGCCAGCTGGGCTAGTCCACCTGCAACGTAGGCGTCAAGACGCATCATCACCTCCTCCGCCGAGAGCTTGAAGAACATCATGCACGCCTCATCAAGGCGTGCAGAAGCATAGTTCCGAGGGGAGTAGGTGTCGGTAAGCTTGTTGCGGACAGCGATGTACATGACGTGACAGCCTGTGGCCTGGCTGACCTCAGCTAGCTGTGTCGTAAACGTAAGGACCATGTATACAAATATGAAAAGAAATACATACGGTAGGATCGATCTTCCGGGCAAAGGTCGCCTCGACGGTGTTCGCGATATGCTTGCCCTTGACTCGTTTCGCGGGCTTGACGACGTCTTGGCCCTTGCTCTTGGCCTCGTCGAGGGCCTTCTGCTGAGCTTCGAGTGAACGCCTCGACCACTCGGCCTTCTGTTCGTTCGTGAAGGTGGCCCACTCGTCGGATATCTGCTTGGATATGGTGGTCATGGCTTCTGCGCCGCCGGGATGGTTCGCTGAACATATGGCAACATCAATACAGGCTACAAAAAAGACATAGACGGCATTCTCACCTCCACGTGTTTCGTAGGAGTGGCTCAAGAAGTGAGCCCACCCATTCGGCTTCAGCTTGGTGGGGGTGGGGTCCATGCTCGCACCCAAAAACGTCTGAGTAAGAACCCAATCCGCCGACCTATTGAACAAGCTATGAGTTGACGCGTAATGAAAAGGCGACCAAGTGCTTACCTTTTGTGATTCTGGGCAATGTCCTTGGCACCGTTAACAATGCTCGACCGGTGCTTCACAATGTCGTCCATGAGGTCTTTGGTACACTTATTGGACAGCTGTATTTGCTCAGCTGTGCGCTTGGGGCGAGACTTGATTGCGCGGGCCTGGATGGTGGAAGACATGGTAGGGTAGAGTCGGAGGAGGGACGACAGGCAAAAGAATGAAGAAAAAAAGCGACGGGTCGTCCTTATATTGCGTGACAAAAAACGGGCCGAAGATTACGGTACAATGGTCAGGGAGGTAAATTCTGATATATTATGAACCGGAGACTGTGCCGACACAGTTAGACCTCCGTGCATAGCTCGACTGAAAGAGTACTCACAATGCTAGTACGACTCGCCCGTTATCTTGTAGTACAGGTCCTTTGCCTCCTTATGATTCAGACCAGCCTCCATGAACAGAGGCGTCCACAGGGCATCCTTGAAAGCGAGCGCTGAACGGAGCCGTGCCTTGGCCGTGTCGTCAAGCCCGAGCTCGGAAGCGAAGCGGGCGACCCTGGAAACCGCCAACAGATCATCAACTTTCGACATAGGGGCTAATGAAGCTTCACCCCCAGTCGACGACTCAGCCTTGCGTTTACCCTTGCTCTTTGAGGAACTTGTGAGGGGAAGGGGTATTTTGACTGGCAATGGCGAGGGCGAGTTGGGCGGCAAGGACGCTGTGCCATCGGAGATAGTGATAATGTCGTCCTCGTCGTAAGAATAATACCCAGTTTCCCAGTCCCTCTCTTTGACAAACTCGCATCTCTCTTTTACAGAGACCACCCTGCGTGGAGATCGGCCGCCCTCTGATGATACCATAGTCGACACGCTTGAGAGGGTCGTCGACGTAACAGTGCGCGACGTAGCGGGAGTCGAAGGAGCAGGAGTCGAAGGAGCAGGTGGCTGGGCGGCCGGAGGAATAGATGATCTCTTGCTGTGGGACTTCATCGAAGATGGAAGGGTGGTAACAGGCGATGTCGGACGAGGGGCGTGAGTTGATCGGGAAGCAGCTGGTTTCGCCGAAGTCTTGACAGCACTCTGCAGAGAGAGCTCAGGAGGAGGACCAGGAGGGTTGACTTGACGCTGAGTAGAGGGAGTAGCGGCCGGGCGGGCTGGGGCTGAAGAGGATGGTGGTTGGGTAGCAGAGGGCTTGGTGCGAGAGGCAGAGGGTGGGGAAACGGCCAACGTTGGTCGAGAGGACGAGGGAGCCGGTTGGGAGGAGGAGCTAGCGATGGGAGCAGAGGTCGACCGTGCTGTGATAGGCAGTGGTTGCGTGTGGGAGGTCGACGAGAGAGGATGAGCTGGGACTGCAGTGACAACATCCGGTATCTGAGGACGCCCATCAATGACGACGTACCCAGTTCCAGGCGTTACGGTATGTAGTCGCTGGCCGAAAGTCCGTATGTGCTCGTATGCTACCTCTTGGCGGATGGTATCTCGGAGCTGGGCGACGACCCTTTGAAGGTTGGCATTCGAGTTGTGGTGATAGCTGGTGAACGTCTTGACGTCGATGCGTTGAGCATCGAGCTGCGTTGAAAGATCCCAGTCCGGGCGAACTGCAAAACCAATGAAGATAGTGTCAGTCGCTCGAGAAACCGAAGCGACCTGGCTATGGATTAATCGAAACTTAGAATTGGAACGCAAAAACTCACCAAGTCGTCCATGTCTAGCACAAAGTCTGACCACACCGCTCTTCGATCGTTAACGTTGCTGCAGAAATCGGAATGAAGGTTGTTCGAGTTGAGATGGCATGGCTGGCTTCCAATGCCGACGCGGCGGCGATAACACTCGCGTCGAATGGTTGCTGCACTGGGTGTTCTACCGATGTTGTGTATCCACTGTCGAATAGCCGGGGGAAGATGGCTATAGCGAGTTGTATCGTTGGACTGAGTGTTCATGGGTGGTTGAGACATCGAGATGAATAGGTAATAACAGAACAGATCGTGACAGTCCTTTATCGTAGCATCACCGGCGCGCATTGGCACTAATCGAGTACTGATCACACGTGCATCACTCTCGGCGTTGTTACAACGTGCACACTTGATGCATCCTGGTCGTTCATTTCGCTGTTTGTATATCATACACGTATGTTTGTCACGAAATAAGTACATATGATATTCAAGACTACTACTCAAGTTGCTCAAAAAATGTAGATAAACGATGCATGCTATCTAGTAACTCGTCGTCCTCAAGATCTGGCTCCATGCCTGAGATACCACCATCCTGCGAGGCTGCTGTTTCCACTGAGGGGGCACAGACACTCTCTGCAGTGTCGCTGAGCCTGGCGCCTGTGTACCCTCGCAGGCGTTCAAGAACCACCAGCCGCGAAAGATGTACCTTATTAATACGAATACGCGCGGAGTATCGATGAGTTAGAGCAACCGCAAGGAGGGGATTGGTTTGTTCTAGCCGCTTCCGATGGTTCTCCAGATCCGTGTTCTCCTTGATGATCCACGCGTGAAGTCGACGGGCCTCCACGTTGAGCCTATTAATTTCTTCGCGCGCCCTTACGGTCTTGAAGTACTTGGTCGCAATGTCTCGGTTGACGGGCTTAGCCCAAGGCTGGTCGCGGACGTCCGGCTGAAAAAACGAGTGCTTCAGGATATCGAGCTCAGATGAAAAGGAATAATCAATTATTTCCCGCCAAGTCAGCTTGACGGCGGGAGGGTCCATTGTCGCGGCCAGCTTGTTGTAGTTGGCGAGGGCTGTGCGAACGGCGGTGGAGCGCCTTTCGACAGCCTTGCTGATGGACATGCGCATCTTGTACGCTAGCAGCCGTTGTGAGGGAGGGCGCATGCGTGGAGATATCAGCTTACCTGTGTCCATAGCGTGGGTTTTTGCCAGTTCCTGAAGCCGCTGCACGACGAGAAGCTGAAGGCGATCAGACGCCCGGTAGAAATCTTGATGTTTGATGTACCGAGCGGCGGCTTGATATTCATCTGACGATTGCAACCAGGTTTTGCTGATCCCGAGGGCGGTTTCGAGGTCGTGGACTGCGCGGTTCTGTACGAAGAACTCGTTCGCTGTAGCGCGCCGACTGTTCTCGATCTTAAGGGTTTCGCTGACATCTTTGTCGTAGTCAACGCTGCCGGTTGCCAGTCTGAATGCGCCCGAGGTCTTGCTAAGCTCCTCTCTAACGCACTATGAGCCGCAGTGATCGCGATATGAAATGAATTACTTACCCAAGCCTCTCTCGAGCCTCTATTGCTCTGACGTACTCGGCTGCCAGCTTCCGTTCGTCGGGCTCCTCCTTCAAGTTCAACAGGAACGTGCGCTCCAATTCGGGCCACTTGTCAATGTCGGCTGTTGTAATTGATAGTCGATTGCACATGGCCCGTACAACGGGGTCGTACTCGGCGATCATAGCCGTTGCCTGTCGGTACTTGCTGATCAAGAAGGTTGCTGTTTAATGTTAGTGCTAGAACATTTGAGCGGGAATGAGATACTTACTGAGATCTGCGTACCGGTCTTCATCCCATTGCTGGAAGTGGAGGTCCAGACCCTGTATGAAGTGGAACTGAGATGCGTAGCGGACGATGCGGGCAACGGGATTTGATCCCGAGAAGACCCGCTCCATCTGCTCGAGATCCGATAGACCGGCGCCGCGGCGATAAAGGGGATGGAAGCTAAGTTGACATAGACGACTGTGAGCATATCCATGGAAAGCATTGACACATATCTGCAAATTCTGAGCGCGTGCCTTGTCACCCAGCAATGGGCTCGAAGCCACCGTTTTACTGAAAGCGCAGCCCGTGTCCTGCCCGAGACCAACATCGTTTCCATGTACATCGAGGAGGTGAGCAACAGTTGCCAGTCCATACTTTGCCCTAGGAAGGGTGTGAGCCTTAGGAATGAAAAGCGAAGTCATGACTCACAGCTCGCCACTGCGAACCATCTCGCAGATCTTCTGGATGATGCCATGCTGACATGCCGACGCAAATATTCCCGTCGTTTCGTAGATATCGAGTGCGGTTTTATGACCGTCTGGGCGACTCGCACGAAAGTCGGATGTGCAGCGCCCGGATTGGCCCTCGTTGTCGTTGTCCGCAGCATCGTTGTCCGCAGTGTCGTCGCCGGTACTTGACATTGCGTGGACCTGGGGACCGCGTACAGACCTACGGACTTCATTCTTGTACACGTCAACCTCTTTGCGTGGGATGAAATAGTCGCTTGTGAATGTCCTCGGGTCGGCGTTACCCGCCGACTCGACTCTTCGAGCCGAATTATTCCCGTCGGAGGCGAACTGGACAGCAGGTACAAGTGGGGGATCATCCGGAAGCTGTGGATAATCGTAGATTAGTGCAAAGCCAAGTCAGAGCAGCGAGAAGCGTACTTTGGCATGGCAGCATGGACAGCTATGTAGAGAACGCCAGTTGGGGGTATCACGACCTAATTCCGAGTCAAGGCGAGAATGAATGGTTCGGAGAATATGGAGGTAGGCGTCAAACGACTGCGAGAACGCGTCCCGCGTGTGCGACGAGTAGTTAATCTGTAGAAAGAAGTAAGTTGCTAAGTGAGTAAGGCGGGAGGGAAACTTACATTACTGATGTCGCAGAGCATCCGGGCAAAAGGCTGGATACCAAGCTGGGGCTGTCGACGACGGAGACGGTGATACACCTCCAGCGTGTGGAGGTCGACAGCAATCTGGGGGCTCTCCGGGGTACAGCCGATGAATCCTTGTCGAATGAGCGCGACGTTGGCGAGTTCATTTGCGCGTTGTTCTATTGTGATGGAAACGGACTCTGTGTATGACTATAAGCAAGGGTTGGAACGTGTGCAGACAGAGACTTACTTTGAATCGACATGACACGTATCGTGAAGACATAGGGTGCCGGTTCCTCGGCGTCGGTATCCGTTGGCGCGTCCGGAAGGCCCGAAAGCCATCGAAGGTACTGTTCGACGAGCGCGTTGTGCTGGTTGTTCCACTCGTGGTCCGCGCGTTCAATCCGCATGGTGCGAGTGCGAACTCGCCCAGTGATGAGCGTGTCACCTCGGCCACTGTGAGAATTGTCAGTGAAAAGGAAAAAAAAAAAAAGAGAAATGTTCATACGAGGTGTAAGACGACTCGAGGGCCGCCCGGATCCCTTCGTCATACTCTCCATCCGCGTAGCTATGAACCTGCCCGTCGTCTTCATCGTCCGGCATCTCCACGATATCCTCTTGATAGGCCATGGCGGTGTCTTCATGGTTAGAGAACCCATCGTCGGGGACCGCACCACTCTCTAGCGCTATGTCGTTATGGAATGCGCGGGACTCGGATGGTAGAACTAAGAGGCCATGAGGTCAGTGCATTGACATAAGGTGAGGACGTACCATCAAGAGCGTTCTGACGAGCAGCCCGACCTTCTGCAGCCGCCTCCTCCACCTCCGCTCTTGTCCTCTTCGTAGAAGTCAACCCCGCTGCCTGTATACCCTGACGCGCTTCTCCTACTCCTGCGTTGTTGGCTCCACCTTCTAAGCGGATGGTCTTGACCTTGCGATTGTAGCTGCGTTTGACAGACATGCGGCGTGGGGGAGACGGTAACAGTGAAGGCGAGGGAGTTGGGCGTGGGGGAAGGCAGGAGTCGGGTGCAGTCGGAACGTGCCTCGTGGCCTTTACCAAATCATATGTCAGCAACGTGTCCCATAGGTAATATGAATGCCTACCGTTTTACATAGCTTTCTGCCACGCGCTGGACGTCGACGACGTCGTGGGCGGCATCGACAGTGGGAGGGAGAATGGGAGGGAGGGACGGGGCTTGCCGAAGGACAGCCGCCGGTCCGAGCCGGGGGAACCGAGCGGAGGAGCGGCTAGCGATCGGGGCACAGCCATCCACGTGGCAACCGCGGCGGAAGGGAGCGGGAGGGCGGGAGGGCGGGAATCGCGTCGGGACGGGAGCGATGACGACACGTTATCAGACGTTATCTTATTTATCGGTGCCTTACAGCGTATCTAATCTAATCGAATGGACTTGGGGAGGAAGGAGGGGAGACCATACAAATAAGGACACATTGCCGCCGACTAACACCGCCCGAGAGTGTGCATCAGAATATGCTCGCTTAAGGTTAAAAAGAGGTTTCGGAAACCTCTCACACTGAACGCGTGTGACAGGTTTCGGAAACCTCTCCCGTTAGGCCATTCAGGTGTTACTCAAAGTGACAGTGGGATGGCGCCTACGAATGAAGGGCACGTTCATAACCGAGGCGATCCTGACTTTTCTTGCTCCACTTCCGCCTCGGCCTCCCTGGAACCTTGAGATCGAATGTGCGACCAATCCACACTCGGGCGATACCCTCACCAATCAAAGCATGGTTTGTTGTAGAGGGTAAGTTCACCCCTCTATCCGATCCTCAGGCCAAAGTGACAAGAACGACGTCTACTATCTAGTACGCGTATGTCGAATAAGCTAGAGGTTCGGGTAAGAGGAGTACACTAAGATGTGGAAGAGGGAAGATGTGATGAAGTCAACACTTGTCAACGTGTGTCAACGCCTGTAATGATGTTGACCACCGGCGCCTACTAAAAGCAGCGACTCCCGACCGGGGCCGAGATAGGAGGGCGCACGTTTATAACCGAGATGCCAGCTCCTTGCTTTCCTCCACATTGACATCAGCAACAGCGTCCATCGAGCGTGCACCATGGCGGACATCCCTGCAATGGTGGCGGCAACGACGACAACAAACCTCTTTGAATCGGCCACCGACCCCGAACTCAGCGCTTCGACCGATGCACCCGCCTCGGCTCAATTGCCCAGTCAGACTGCGGCTGATAACGGTCCCGTCCCTCTGTCCTTCCCCGCTATCTTGCGCAATTCCGGGCTTCCAAGTCGATACGCTCATCTGAGAACAAGCGTAACCACACCAGCAGTACCACAGCGAAAGAAGCAGCGCGAGGACCACGAGGGCAAACGGTGGATCAGGAGGCGAGACAATGGTCCGTCCTCCCAGCCATCTGCACCCAATCTCATTCAATCATCGTTGACCTGGCCCATATAGCACGCTTTATACATAACCCACACATTGTGCATGCCACCAAGTCTGACTATGCGCTCCCTCCGCCCTCGGCACGCTCGACGTTTCCTGTCCCGCTTCCACCATACCTCTCCCGCAGTGCTTCCGCACCATCGGCGATCCCAGTCACACCCAACTCTGCATCGTCCACTGCAGGTCAATTCTCTCTTAGCCTAAAGGGCATGCGTCGCGAACTCCGTCGTGCTGGCTCGCGTGCCGGTCCACTGGTGCACGACGTGGAGGACGAACTCGTACGATGGCTACGCGGCGAGACGTGGCTTGCTCCCGATGCCCCCGACGCACAGGTGCTCAAGTTACCCGGGGAGCCGATCGCGGGAAGAGAAGGGGTCAGGGAGGTGCTGAGGACACCGTGGCAGCTCGTCTGGTCTGTCGAGGGTGACACAGGCGGGTTCGCGCGCTATGTGGTGCATTGCTGTGCACGGTATTATAACGCTGTTTCGTTCAGTATGGTTTTGTGTTCCTTCTTTCCTGTCATTGTCTTCTGATTACCGAGCGCGTACCGCCTAGGCAAAGACGTTGACGGTACGCGCCTCACATACATCCTCCGGCCCGACTCCTCTCGGACCGGCGGACCCGCCGCACCCATAGCCAGCGCGGGCGCACTCGACACTCCACCTACAACGGACCTCTCGAGCGCAGCTGAGACTTCTGAGTCTGAGCCCGAGCTTCACTCAGACGCCCACTCTGCTCACGTCGACGGAGCGCTCTCCGACATCGCCGAATCTCAGTCGGACGCCTCGCTCTCGCGGGGAGCATCTCCCGCGCCCGGGCCGCCCTCGGAGCGCCCATTGTCGCCCGCGGAATGGTCGATCATCGGAGAAGAAGACCTCGAGGCGCTGGATTCGGGTGTGGACGGCGATCCCGACGGTGAAGGCGAGGATTTGGTGCAGAGTATCGCGTCGCTCTCCGTCATTAGCGATGTCGACGAGAGTGCGGATCGGACGCCGCGCCCGCTGCGTTATCTTCGCGCGCGCACGTGGGATGGTAGGAGGACGACGTCGGGGTCGTCACCGTCGCGCTCGCCTATGAGGCGGGGCCGCAGGCGTGCGTCTGGGCAGCAGAAGGTGGGCGGCGACGGCGGCAAGGAGAAGAAAGCCAAGGGGGAGATGTCGTTTTATGAATATCTGTTTGGGTGAGATGAGGTGATGCTGGTGTATGTCGAAGGTATCCTATGATTCTTCAACTGTGTGTACGTTGTTTTGATGTTCAAACACAAACACGAACCGACTCTTATCAAACAGAATTTAGCCCTCTTTCTTTGAGATCAAAACAAGACTGAACAATACGATGATCGGAGATAACGGTTAGCTATCAATTCTAAATCTTCCTTGCCACCCGTGGAACAACAAAGACATTGAGCCTACGCATTCCCTGACACTTAAATTCGTCAGTCGCGCTGCTTGCCAGCAAGCTGTGGTATAACCGGAAGAATCTATCGGCGGTGGTCTTCGGAGGAACAACAGTAGTCAAATGATGGGTCCACACCTTACGGCGAAATCGCAATTTGGCAGCCTCGTCCGGACTGCTCGCACAGCAAGAAAACTTTTGGCTTCACAGGACGCTGACAGCCGCCCAGGGACTTGGCTAAGCCCTGCTAAACCGATTAATATATGGTTTCGGACAGCCGGTGACATTGACGTGTCCACGTGGGCGTGGTGGCTGATGGCGTTTTCTGAGAACATTTCAATGTTGCATCCGTTCTGTCATCGCGACCCACCTTTTCTCGGGCACTCTGGGCATAGTTTTAAAGCGGGTCTCTGACTCGGGAGTATGCACACCTCCTAGTTTCTCGAGGCTATCGAAGCTATCGAGCTTCTGCAGTCCTACATCGTCCTTAACTCTCGGGTTCTCGAGATCACTCACTCCGAGCCTTGTAAGTACCTCCGCGGAATCAAATAAACGCTGATTGTTTATTGCATCGATATCGATTCGATCACCGGCGGCGAGCCGCTCTGAACGCCAATCAGCACCAGACCCTACGAGACTCCGCTTATGTGCCGCCTCCCGAGGCTATGCGAACACCCCAGACCTGTCTTGGCAGGCTGTCTCAGGCTCAGGGGCGCACAGATGTCGTTCGCCTCTGCAGTGATATTAGTAGGTTGCGCACCCTGCGCACCATGCCTTGCGCTGCGTGGGGTTTCCCGCTCTTTTTTCTCTCCTTCTCTTCTCTTGCACTAGGTCAATTGCCTTAGACTTGGGATACGATGCTCCATTTTCGAGATCACAGCGGGTTTCATGATCGACTCGATGGAGCTGCGGCGACGTATACGTATGAGGAGATGGTAGAGGAGATAAGAGATTCGTGAGTTTTGCTTGTTTCTTCTTCTCGCACTTTCAGGGAGCTGAGGCAATCGTTTCGGGAGTGAAGCTTCGCGTTCTTGGTGCGCTTCTCTACTTCCCTTTATAGTGCTCGAGAAAGCTGACGCTGGAGGTACAGTGCGTCGCATTCATGGGATATACGATAATGGTATGGGACCAGATTATAACGTTCGGCGACGAAGTGCGTGGTCTGCTTCCGTCCTAGTGATATCGTCATTGACGGTATGATCCTCGACCCAGGTCCAGATAGTCTGGAGGCAACGAAAAACTACGAGTGAGTGGCCATACACTGTTGATGGAACCGGAGTTCACAGCGATGAGATAGTGACATTCCTGTTCCTGATTGTAAGCCGGCATTTTAACTCAAAATCCCTTGTGTCTCATTCCTCGCCAAGAATCGCTATGTTGTGCCACTGGGATTCATGATAACGATGTATGGTGGGTAAACCAACCAACTTTTACTGCTACCTGTTTTTGTGCTTATGCTGATACTGGACGGGATTTAGCGTACCTATCTCCAGGTTTCACACATCAACAGTCAGTCAGCCCTTGACTCTCGAATAATGGCGTCAGGTTTCATTGACATATCGCGGGTAGATGTGAGCAATTCGTGAAGTACGAAGGGTGCATAGTCTCGCTAGGCGTGTTCGTGGCAGGGCTGATGTTGCTCAAACGGTGCGTTATTCCTGCTTCATTCCAGTGCTTCCGTAGAATAAATCTCATCGATTTCATGGCAGTCTTTCTGCACTGTATCATGACAAGATGTCCGTTGTATGGTTCGCTGGAGTGCTCCTCTTCGTGTGGTTTTGCCTCACTGGGTTGAGAGCGTCGCAAGGCTATCGTAGGCTCTTCAACGTTTTGAGCGGTTTGCTTTTCATTAAAGTTTACCTCGTGTCTTTAGCGGTTCCGCATTCACCGGTGGTTCATTGTGCGTCTCGCGTTCTTTCGTGGATATGTTCTAGGTGATTGACACGATGTAGCTTGTACAGAAATCAATCGCGACTGGCCTTCGTGAGCATCTTTCCTTCTTCTGCGAATGACTACTTATGTAACTTCCAACCTTCTTCCGTGGACGACAGTGGCTCAGGCTCAGCGAGTCTCTGGATCATCGTGTCGTTCGACACGTTCGTTGTCGGATTTATACTTGCCAGGACACTTCCGTTCGGGCCGCACCGAGACGCAAGCACTATCGCGCGCACGCTCGCGGTTGACGGATTGATGTATTACCTGTGCGTCCAAACCTATCCAATGGCTTGCTCTTTCCAGGAAAAACGGAGCTGAGTACTTTCGCTCTCAGCGTCGTTTTCGCGATCAACGTCACGAGTGCTATATGCATTATGAAAGCGCCTCCCGGGATCAAGAATATTTTCGGGCAGTGAGTTTCTCCGTACTCTCTCACAACCAAGTGCTGACACCCCCTCTAGGCTGCAGCTCCACCTCACAGTAACGATGATGTCGCGCATCACCCTCAACCTGCCCAAGGAACACCGCCGACTAGCGGGATGGAGCTCGCGAGGACAACCCTCGCGGTGGCAGGATGCGTCAACGGTGCTCCCGCCCATCCGATTCGGCGCCTCTAGCGTGCCCACACGTACGGGGCAGGGGCACAACTCGGCGGTGGCGACTGAGCTGCATGATCTGCCCACGAGGCCTTCGAATGCGTATGAGCAGGATAGAGATAGAAGGAGAGGGTCACAAAGCTTGCCTGCAGGGGTGTAGGAGGGCGAGACTGGTCTAGTCTCGTCGTCTCCGAACTTCGGTATCGGGAGACGACTGCGGTCACACACCAGGTCCCTGCATTTCGGCCTTTGAAAAGGGGGAGTAAAGCGTGCGCTACACCAAACTCCCGGAGCACCGCCTCGTGGAGCTTTCTCCGTTCTCGTCTATGCCTTGTGCGCCGCGAGGCTCGATACCATAGGAAGTGACATTCACGACACTATGACGATTTAACTGTTCGGAGGATGTCTACGAATATATAAGACACCAGCCAAGTATAGATTATCGGACGCCAGTTGGCAGATCTAACTCAAGTTGACGTTACTGGCGTCCGGCTACTTCCACAGCACGGAATGACATCGACAAGGCATAGAACTCAAGAACCCGGGCTCAATGAAAGCTAGAGCTAAACCAAAAGAAGAATACAGAGCGGCTATGAATTCATTGCGGCATTGGCAGTTTCTCAGCGATTTGTGTGTACACTTGAGGCCCCAGGGTTTACTATGATGTCTTTTTAGCTGTGAAAATTATCAGAGATCATCTAGGATGCCATGATAGCGATATGAATGAGGTGGTGCTGTGGTCAAGGACGAATGGGCAGTCTCGGGAAACGAGGACCCTTGGTAAAATTGGGTTTGGCTCGTGTCCAGTCCATGTCATGATATATGATATATGATAGAAGAACCTCGTCAACGTCGGAGTTTGGTGGCTTCGGATGATACCGAAGACCCATGCGCCAGTTTCAGCAACACCTTTGTCCCATCTCAATATTCAATCTCGCCGCCCCTCGCAACCCCCTTTGAAAGTCTATTTTTCGATATGAGTATCAGGTGATTATAGGGGTGACAGAAAGTGGGTCCTTGTTGGCCTGTTGCACCAGCTCTGACCATGAGGCGAGTCCGCTTCAGCCAGACCTTGATAAACGCTGGATCTAGACGCTGGATCTCGTCATCTCGGTGTCGGCGAGTCTTAGACCCATAGCCACTTAGACTAGCTGCATCTTTGATCCAAATATCACTTTTTCAAACACCGGCATCAACCTCCACTAAGAGCATCCAGCGGAAGCATATTGAAGTCGGAGTTCTCGGCGGACTATGCTAGTTCAGAGCCTCCTCCCCATCACCATCCGGACTTTGCGTGCTTTCCGGCTTCTGGAACGGAGTCGGGTAGATCAATACAGTCTCCTGACCCAATAGAAACGAAAACGCGTGTTCGCTGTCACAGTCGAGCACAAGACAAGCCGTTATCGACCGGCTCAACAGGCTGCCCAACAAACCTGCCTAAATGATCATCGCGACGTCACGTTGGGCGCCCCACTTCACCCTCAATTAGTACATCCAACTCAGTTCTCCATACGAGGCTGTCCCGCGAACATCGCAGATCGTACAAAACGGCATAGCATCTCTTTGCACGCAAACCACCATCTCTACCCGGGGTAGTCGCTTGTGATTGGTCTGATCACCGCCATTGTATGGGGTCTACCCAACGGGTCCAGTACGCCGACCCTGCCCATCAAGAGCCTTATTATATACGGTCTCCGCAGTGACCGCCCGCCTTGGACCGTCTTTTTTTCGCCTCATGCATCTCTGTTCGTGAACCGAAGATGTTTCTCGCGAGCCGCACTGCCTCTGGCGAGCAGTACCTATCCGAGCTTCAGGACAAGCGTGACTCGTGGGTCAATCAACCTTTCACTCTGACGCTTGGTTGATCCCACTTCTATAGGCTGGCTACGATTGTGAGAATATACCGGATTTTCCTCAATAAGAAGCATGCTCACTATATGCGCGAAGTACGTTGGATTTGCTGGGTTTACAGTTCTAGTCTGGGACCACGTCATAACATTTGGTGACGAGGTGCGCATATGCGTGAGTCTTTCGGTTGCGTATGTTGATCCGGTGGTCGCACCTTTGAGCAGGTCGAAATCATCTGGCGTCGACCCAAAAACCTGAGTGCGTATCTCTCGCGCATCTATGTGCAATGTTACTGACCAGACACGTCAGTGTCCATCCTATTTCTCCTCGTAAGAGCTCTGTGTCAGTCTCCGCTTAAATCAAAGACTTGAACCCTCCTTCGGCCAGAACCGTTACCTCACGCCCTTGGGTTTTATCATTTTTCTTGTTGGTAAGACTCTTCATCCTGCCTCAGAGAAAATGGAAAACCCACAACCCATGAATAGCATTCCTTGACTCATCGTGGACGCGTAAGGTAAGCTTCCTGTGCACACCACTTACATTGCCCGTCATTGACTCCAGGCGTCTTCAGGAGTCGGTATTATATCTGGGTCGGTTGTATCATGGGCTGATCCTTGCACAGATGTGAACATTACATCAGATACCAGGGCGCAATGGTTGCAATTGGTATTCAAATAGCGGGGCTTATGATGCTAAAACGGTAAGTCCGTTGAATTATTTCCTGTAACCCGCCGATGGATTCGCCGTGAACGCCCGTTTTATTTTAGGGTATCGGCGTTGTTCAGGGCGTACATGTGGGTTACCTACTCAGTGGCTTTGATCTTCGTCGTGTGGGTTGTAGTCACAGCTTACCTGCTCGCACATGGCGTAGGTGAGTAACAGAGCCACGAGTCTTCACTCGGTAGAATTTGTCTCTGATTGGTAGTAACAAGCCGTCAGACATACGCCAGTGGTACACTGTAAGTGATCAAGCGCCTCCAAGTCGTTGCTGTCCAGAATAATTGTTCCTCAGCATGTTCGATGGTCTTCGACACCAGGTATCAAACGCTCACTCTAGATAATACGCTGACATTCGATTCTAACTCCTCAAAAGCAGTGTTATGGCATCCTCAAGTGCCTGGCTCCCCTTGCTGTACGACACTGTGGTGATCGGACTTGTCATCTATCGCACGGTACCGTATAAGCCAACGAAAAATCCGCATACGATTGCCCGGACACTCATCGCAGATAACATTCTATACTATGCGTAAGTCGAATCTCATGCATGCGTCAGAGGATTTTGTCGTTTGATTGAGGCTATTAGGGTCATTTTTTCAGTCAACATCACGCTGACCATCATGATCGCGGTTGCTCCGGCAGGCTTAAAGAACATTGGCGCACAGTAAGCATCATACCGCCCATAATCACTTAAGTCTGGATTCCAACACATTCCCTTCGTACTCTGCAGGGTAGAACTCCAGTACGTTTGTGGCCTGATCTCGTCGTACCTTTTTCTGCATGTCATTTTGACTCCGAAGTTAACAGATTAACCGTTGCCATGATGTCGCGTATCACACTCAACCTGCCCAAGACACACCGTCGGCTCATTGGAATCGAGACGCACAGCGACTCACACGTTCGCCCGATCATCTTCGCCGGCTCCGGTACACCTGAAGAAACGTTGATGGGATACATCCTACGCATGAAGCCTATACGCCCGCTTCCGCCATGCCAGATGGTCGATGGGCTCAGATTGCACAGCATCGAGGGATCAGAATCGGATTCGCACATCCGGACTGCGCAACGGTCTACGGATGGCACAGGTTTGCGCTGTGGGTTGTCGGAGGGCAGTGCCAATATTGGCGTTGAGGGCGTGAGTATTCAGGACTCTTCGCATAGTCATGAGCCAAACACAGTTAACCATTGCGACTGTAAGATGTGTGCTCGGCAAGTGGGGGCAGTGTGCCAGGACGAGTCGCAGGCTAGTAGTAACTTTACGGACGCTCCTTAATTTACTTTACCACTACTTGTATAATGTACTGGATCAATATCGCAATGAATTTTTGCAGCCTCTATATCATACGCCCCTCATCTTTGCCCTGGAATTCACTATATATGCGGGTTGTTTCTATGCTTATTTTGCAGCATCCGAAGGGATTGCGACTGAACTAGATAGGGGTTATTAGGTGAGCGTGAGTAAACTTCCCGACGCGCTCGTCCTGACCATCGTCCGCGACATCTACGTCTACCCCATTCGCTCCTCAGGCCTCACGACGCGTCAAGCTTGATCTACTCCTCGGTGGCACGCATGAAATAAAGCGATCGACATAATATGACCGGTACCTACTGAGGACATTGTCTCTCCCCTCGCTTGCTCAATCTTTGTCCGTCCAGATTACGCAGCTTTCGCTGCGGATGACTTCGACCCAAACGAATACGCCAATGCCATCCTCGCAGGCGAACCCTACCCGCCACCACCACAAACAGCCACTCGATCCAGTTCAAGGCCTCCACCACAACCTAAAGGTGCCTTTGAGCCCGCCAAGGAAGACATCTCGGTCGCTATTGCTCGTCTGGACTACAGCATAGAGGACGTGTCTAAGCAGATCCGAAATGTTGTGAGTTCAGTTATCATTCGTCTCGAGCCATGATTGATTGGCGGGGTTTACAGGTTACGAATCACCACGAGACTTTACTAGAGCAAGCTGGGACTGTCAGCCAACTGTCGGGCTCCCTCGGCAGCGTCCGCTCGGGCCTCCACGACCTTGAGGCGTCTGTCGAAAAGTGTGTGTACATTCGTCTCGGCTGACTCAGTAAAGTCCACTGACTGACTCATGCCAGGCTACGGCTGAAGATACGTGTTCCCTACCAGTCTCTCCAAGATCACGTCTCGCGTCTACAGCGCATACAACAAACATCTGATGCCCTTCGACGCGCCTCGCGTTTTGTTGTCCTCGCCAAACGCCTCGAGGTACAACTCACGGAGTTGAATAAGGAAGACCGCGGTACATCGAACACCATTGTCAGTCCGGGTGGAGCCCCGAAGGCGCTACTACTAGACACAGCAGCTTCTACGGATGGGTCGGGAGCATTGGATAGCACGAATGAGAAGGAGATAGCACTTGCGAAGGCAGCGCTGAGTATTGCGGAACTTAGTGCGTCCCCTATCTTCTGGCTGTCAGTTTCATTCTGACCTGGAGGCCAAGGTGCGCTCTTGGATAGCCCGAACAATGACGGCGCTACTGCAGCCTCGACGTCAGAACCACCAGACATCCCGGATCCCCATGTCGAAATACCCCTTACCTCTATCACCTCCATCGCTGAACACACACCCCTCGTCGACTATGCACGTGCCCAGGTCATAGAAACGATGGACGCGATGATTACCAACGGCCTTACCACCCTTGTGAGAACCATATGTGTATGCACCGCTGTATGCATGCTAAACTGCCACAACACGGCTGTGTATTAGAATCAATCCGTGCTCGCTTCCGCTCTTCAAACCGCATACAACCTGCGCGTTCTACCTAAGCTTGTGCAAGAAGCTGTCGCTGACCTATCAAACGCTGTCGAGGAACGTATTCGGACCACGTTTGACCTCGCGCGTATACAGAAGGATCTTGGGGTGAAGGGTACGTGTCAACAATTTCTTGCACAACCGGACGATCAAGGCTGAACCAGGAAAAAACAGACACGAGTGCCGCGTCACAAGCTCAGGGTCTGCTATATCGCTCACGTATACGAACGGAGCCAACGAACATCACTGCACCGCAGTTTGCCGCAGCGCTATGGAGTCGTCTGGAGCGGATGGCGGAGGAGATGACCGGGTGTTGTATCAAGGTGGGCGCCTCTCCGTATCGCCCCTTGGATTAGAATAAGCTGGTCTGATATCGGCACGTGGGCTTAGGTGTACACACTCGAGAAGGTGTTGAAGCTCAAGAAGGATGCACAGACGCAGGTGTCGTTCTTGGACGAGGCTATGAAGGTAAATTTGACCAGAAGCTGGGGCCATACTTCGTACTTTAACATATAATTAATCACAGGTTCTGGAGAACAAACCAAGTACGGCGTTCTGGATGTCACTTGGGCGATCCTTAGAAAAGTACGCTCGCGATGCTGCGAGAGGTACGTCATTACTACCAAAGGTCTTCTGCGTGTCTGACTAGGGATACGGTTCTTAAACAGGGTCAACCTTCCTCCAGCAAACCCTAAGCGGTGGCTACCCTAAGCTACTTCGACTATTCCATGAATTTTTCTCCAGGATCGCAGTCCATACCGACACAGTCTACTCGCCTACTTATCAAAGGTACGGTTACTCCCTGTACATGCTTCGTAAGCTCATCCTTCACCCACAGTCCAGAAACCGTGCTCGTTTTGCGCGCTCTTTCGAACTTCGAGTCGCTGTACCTCTCACGTTCAACGGGTCGGGTGAATGAGGCTGTTGGGACTGCTCTCGCGGGCGGGTTGAGGAGCCCGCCGGGCGCGAATGAGGGCATCGCTGTCGCACGCGCGATCACGAATGAACTCGACAGCGCGCGGTTTGACCCACTGTTGCTCGCGAGCGTTGCAAAAGGGGTGGTAACGAGCGTTGAGATGCTGATCACGAGGGTGGATGCTCTGGTGGGTCGATCTTCTTCTCATCCGTTTCCATCCTTACATCGTTTGAACAGGTTGTGTCAGATAGATCGGCGATATCGCTACTTGGACCAATGGCGACGCCGCAGCAAATACAGAACGGATATGTTGGGACTTTCCTCTGGCACATCTGGTCGCGACTCGACAAACTTCCTGGAGAGTACCCGAGTGTTGCGGACGTCATTTCACCATCTATCAAGGTTTGGATATATCTTCTCGTACTTCTGACAGCACTCCTGACTTCGCGCGTTCTGTAGAACGTACATAGCGCGTTTGAGCGTATCCTGAAGCCTCTTGACACCGCAGTCCGCCGAGAGCTCGCCGCGATTGTGTCGCGAATACATCGCGTTGACCTACAGAAAGCCTCCAATCCTCTCGCCGGAGGAACAGCTCCAAGTTTATATATGAAGGACTTGAGCGACAAGCTCTCATACGTCAAGCTTGAGATCCTTAGTGCGTTCCCGCCTGAGTCGATAAGATCGCTGTACGTCCTTGTCACCTCGATTATGGCAGCCCACCAATATCACGCACCCATACAGGGTTGAAGGCATTGTTCAGTTTGTGATTCGCACCTTCGTCCTGCACGCCAGCATCGCCCGGCCTTTGGGCGAGAGCGGCAAGCTCCAGCTCACGACGGACATGACCGAACTCGAATTCTCCCTATCCGCCTTCCTAGTCTCCAACCCTAAAAACAGACGGGGAAGCGCCCTACAGGGAATAGGCGGCACCAGCGGCAAGGACAACAGACAATGGTACCTCGTCCTACGTGCCATGCGCCCATTGCTCTTCCTCGACAACGCTACGCTTGCAGACCCGCTCAGAACGGATAGAGAAAGGGGTGATGGGCTGCCGCCGCTGATTGTACTGCACCATATTCTTGTGCGATCGCCAGTGCCGCTCCCGCATGCGCTTCACGGGTGGCAAGAAGCGGAATATGTTCGCTGGGTGGACGAGCATACGGACGCAGACGCGTGGGCGCTTGTTGATGGTGGGTTGGCACACTGGGAGAAGATACGCGAGGCCGAGGGCGCTGAAATGGATGCAAAGGAGCGAGAGGAGGCAGACGAGTATGTGAGGTTGGCCAGGGCTGTTTTGAAGAACGCGAGGGAGCAGGAGCAGGAGAGCTGATGTTTAATCTCGAAGTGATTATTTATGATCTACGAGCCTTGGTCCTGGGCCCTAGTGCTGAAGATAGTATTTGGGTAACTTCAACCTCATCACGGAGTGATGAGCAAGAGTTCAATTCGTTTCCAAATGGCCGATACGGTGCATTTTCCTTTTTGCAAAGGGCACGGCTGTCTTGAACTTTGTTCAAGTGCCAATGACGGTGGATGTTGACCAAAGTGTACAAGTGGAAGGTTTATCGCTATAAAATGGAAGTCAGTGCTTATCAGGGCCAAAACGCATACTGGTGAAATACCAGGTATAACTAGCAACCTACATTGGTGTAATAGTGGGGGAGGCAATGAACCAAAATATCGATTCGCGAGCATCAGTCCGCACCCGTCGGCGACTGTGGTATCTCCAAGAGCGGGGACTGAATCGGATGTAAAATGCGAATAACCGACCCGGAAGACGGAGTTCTAAGAATAACACTACCGCTCGCCATTTTGCTACAATTCTTCCACGTTCAGCAAGGCTGGCTGTGCATGGGCCCACTATGGAATTACACAAAACATGACGCTTTTCTGGGAGGTCTCACGATCCCTATCTACTGTATCTCAACACTCTTCCCAACCCATGAACACATCACCACAGATCGTCTCCCTCAACCCGCTGCGATTCCCGCAGTACTATGCTCTTGGCTTCTCCACTGGCAGGGCGAAGCTCGACCTTGCACGTTCCTTCCTGAAGAAAGCAGAGGAGCACGTCCAAGAGATAGGTCATCGGATGTCTTGCCCCACGGGCACGTCCGTCAATATTCTGCAAGCGATACTTGTTCAGTATGTCTTCAAGGTTCCAGATACCTGCCGTAACGCTAATCCCAGCTCGAATTGTGCTTGCCGTCCTCGCAATTGATCATGTTAGACGTCGAGAGGCACAGGAAATGCTGTACAAGCGTGTAATGGGCTGGTATGGGCTCCCTTCGGTCTGGTACGCCAACGACATCGCCATTTTTTGAACATGTACAACAATGTTGGGAGGTTTTGGCATATGCAATGGTCAGTATCAGGCTGGGCGTGTTCGGGCTATCAGAGAAGAAGGGCTGACGTCTCTGCTAGCTGTATTTGGGGAACACTAATAACACGAAGGTATATCTGGACTCCATGCTTGGGGTTGGATATGCATCGTACGATTCTACTGCAGAGGATTCGAAGAACAGTGGCGCTGGAGCTGTGGTGAACCTCGGCCCCTTTGCTCAAGTTAGATCGCTGAATGTTCAGCTGGGAAACGGCACATACGGTCCAAGTAAGTTCAAGTGTTCTATCTTAGAAGTTTTGTAAGGATACTAAGCCGATGTAAGCAGCCTCTCAGGCGGTATACAGAGACCATGTCAATGAACAGCTTGAACGTGAGCGCCACCCATACGGCGAGCAGGAGGATCGGTCCTTCCAAGGGGCTCATGAGTAGAGCACCAAGGTGTTGGACTAGTATGTCTTGGGCATGATCTCTGTATAGCACCCTATGTAACAATGTGTACGATGCTGTTTCGTGTATGGACGTAGGAGGGGGGAAACCAACTTGAAGAGGAAATGGTCGCGGTTGTTTGGCACATCATGATAACCAAACAATGGCTTTCGCTTCGCGCGGCGCGGGCTCTCCTCTTGGACTCGATCCACGTACTCTTCCAAGACTTCAGCCGGGGCAGGCTGGGGCTGTTGTCGACGCGTAACATGCCAGCTGCTGGCGAATCTACATCCATTCCCCAAGTTGCTCAAGCTCTCATCGAGACCTTCAACACGGACGAATGTAAGACTTTGAACTTTGCCCGTGCGCTCAAAGCTTTCGGTTTTGTGACGGATCAGTGACGCCGTTGTCGTTTACTGATTCGATCAATTCAGTCGAGGAATCCGTCCAGGCCCTACGTGGTATCTTTCCTGACACCACAATCGTGGCCGCGCTCGATCTCGTTGATCGCGAAAGCGGTAAGCCAGGCTCTATTACTGAATGTGGATGCCGCATACATGCATAGTATAAGCCGCAGCTTAACGTCATATTGATCTGCTTTTTAGTGATCAAGTATATTACACCATGGAGTAGAGCGCACTATCAAGTCAATGGCACTTCCGCGACATACGCGGTCTTCCTCTCCCTTCCAAACCACCATTCCACCTACGTTCGTGCCAGCGCTAATGTTCTGCCCACGGTCTCCCCTTCGCCTTCACACTACTGCACGTGTCCAGCCTTCGCGTTTATGGTGCTCATGGCCGAGTCTCACGTCATGGTATGTGTTGCTGTCAGTGATCACTCCGTGCCGGGTCTAATTCCATCCAGTGCAAGCATGTACTTGCTGCGCTCCTTGCGGAGCGCCTCGGGCACCTCGCTGAGCGACCTATCAACGGCGACCAGCTCGCAACCATGATGATGGAACGCGCAGTGATCGCATAATAAGCATCCAACGGTGGGCGGTGCTCGGGCGCGCGCTGCGCTCGGCTTTCGATGTGGGAGCAGGGCGTAGATGGCGGTTGGACATCGCCACGCGGGGAACTCAGGCCTTTTCGGCTGATGGGGGACTATGGATACAGGTAATAATACAATGACATGAAGAATGCTTGAACTGGAACTGAAGTTGCAGGTCAATCAAAAGTGTGAACGTCGAGCAGATGAGGTACTCACCAAATGAAAGGAACGACACAGCAGCCCAAGAACACCACGATCCAATCTCTATCGCTCAGTGGTAACCAGCAGCATGCCCCCACAAGTAGTACGTGAGCCTGCGCTCCGTGTACAGCATCTGCGCGGGTATGTAACGCCACAACCCGGTACACACCCAACACACGAGGATAAACAGGACTGTCACTGAATCACCATCAAGGCGCAGTCTGTCAGTTCGCGCAGCCGGGATGATAGTGCGGAAAAAGAGGACACACGGAACGTGAGCTTCTCCCATGGTTCCATGACGGATGTCGCCAACGTCGTCTCAACCATGAGGCGCTTCTTCCACAGGTAGTCGCGCAGCGTATGTGGTTTATACGGGCTTCGATATGCCGCGTATATGATGTGGCCCTGAGAACGCATATTCGAATAGTGATGTGGGTGCGTGTTCATTCTTGTCTCCTCGTCACTAGACGGTCTGGTGGCCTGTCGGTGTGGATAGGATAGGGGTAGTGGCTAATTCGCGGATCTAGGGAGTACCGGCCTCCAGTCTACAAGGTCGGGTCGCGAGCAGTGGTAAGGGTGCTCAAAGGATCTCTGTGAAGAGGAGGATGCTCACGGCGGGTATGTCGAGGACCCACGGCGCGGATGTGCACGTCTTATATCTGTGCATGTCGAGAGAAGCTTCGGCACATGGGACAGGGTCCGTGTGAATAGGCCCACCGGGATGGTGGCACAGGAAAACAGTACACAGGCCCGAGGGGTAAAGGGCGGGTACAGGTGGGCGCGGGTGGGATTTCAGCGCGTTTCCGTCACGTGCGTCCGTTGTACGTCTACGGAGGAAGGTTACACTGATAGAGTTTGCAAGCACGAGACAGCAGTGCCCAGTCCGCGTTTGCAACCCCGGAGATAAAACCTGTTCTGACCTTGATGCTGTGCTTTGGGCTGCGGTTTGTCTGCGGAAACACAGAAGACTGCTGCGAGTTGGCTGCGATGTCTGTTGATCACTGCATCTTTCGAGCAGCGGCCCTGCCGTCGGAACCGGTAGTTCATTCACTCATCTTCACAACCTCTCTCGTGTATTTTCGGAACGACCAAGTATAGATATAGCCCGAGGTCATGATGATCAGGGACTCGACTCCGGCATGCAGGCGACTGTGTGAGCACTCAAGGACTTCCATCGGGTCCCGTCATTCACACACTCCTGCCTACAGGTCCTGGTGATTGGACAAAAGGCGATCGTGTAGCTCGTCCGACCGGCGTCCGACGGTGTCTTCAAACGTCGAGAATCATCGGTTAAAAGTATACAATGACCCTTAACAATCCATACATATGGTATGTGTCAGAATAATCTCACACCCACGGTATCTTCGCTCCTCGAGACGGAGGTGTTCAGCCAGAAAAGCGTGGGAAGGCTCAACCATAAATCAGGACAAATTAACTGTGGGCGCTAGAAATTAGCGCGGTGGTAGAAATTATTTTGCCCGTGTTAGGTTAGGTTAGAAATAGCGACGCTCGAGGCGCCATTTATAACAAAAGTTAATAACAAAGTACCCAATAACAGTTACTAACAGGTTAGAAATGAATTAATAACAGGTTAGACATGTTAGAATTAGTTAAAAATCATCATTTATCCTCAGAACTCCAATCGTCGTCGTCGTCGACCTCTACAAACTCTTCTGCCTGCTTCTGAGAGTACTTCCAGATTTTCTTGGTTTCGGATACTCTGAAAACGCGCCTCCTTGTCTGAGGGAACCACCAACGCTTGAACAGGATGGTCAGTGGCGGAGGCTTTCCCTTTCCTTTTCCATCAGCTCCAGTGGCTCGTATACCTGGATCATTGAATGCAATAGCCGCCTAAACAAGAATCAGAGCAAGGTAATGATATTAAAACAGGGCAAGTGCACTTCAGGAACTTCTTGATTCTCCTCCCGTGCTGCTAATATCTTGTCAACATAGCTTGTCCACTCGATGCGTTCCTTGATATGCAATTCAGTATTAGAATCAATGACTTCAACGAAACGAGGGATTTTTGCCAAGCAACGGCGGCAAACACCCTCCGATGGCCGGGTTTATCTGTGCACTGCCTCGCGAATTTCTAACAATTTCTAACGTACTCTTCTGGGACCCCCGATGTTAGGGTCGTTACTAACATGTTATTAACGTGTTAGAAATTACCCTGTTAGTAACATTCTGATTTCTACCACAGCGCTACTAGAAATTCTCAAGGTATGCACGATTCAGGGGCGGGTGGCGTTCTTTCCCCCTCATTGTCTGTTCCTGTATATGCATGCTAAAGCATCAACATACAAGGAGTGAGGAATGGCCAAACAATGGATGCAAGGTAGGTAAAGCTGGACGTTTCATTTATCCGCGTCACTGAACAATGCAACTTAATCCCATGCATGCATCGTAAATCACCTGGCGATCGTATGAAGCATCGATACGAACATAGTACAATACATGCTCGCAAGTCAAAAACACGACCTGCAAGTTACTCGAGCTGGATGACGCCGATGAATATCTTAGGGTATGATTCCGGGGGTAGTCATCGCCTCATCATGTATGATCGACGAGCTCAGACTTACGGCATCGACTTTGCCTAAAGAAAACTTGAAGTCGCCTTAGGGAGCAACAAGCGCTCGGGACAAGTCCGGGACCAGGTGATATAATTACCGAAAGTGTATTGTTTTCATACCCTTTCAAACTAACGAACTCCATCAAAACAATCTCTTATTCGTGCACACATCAACAATGCACAGTTTGTCATATTAGCCATGCAATGACGAAGAAGTTAAGTCTTCTCCCTGGCTTTGCTGTTTATCAATGACCACCAACTTCAAACCCTTTCTCAGGCAATGTATGATTCTGAGATGTTGTTTGGTGCTTGATCAATGTGGTTGAACTTATGGCTCATTTTATCATAACTTATTAGGACCAATGGGATCGTGACCTAGCTTCAAATATGTATGCTAATGTGCGCAAAGGTACCGATGCTGAGCGCTGATAACAGTCGAGCATAGTCTTACTGTAGAATTTTCTTCTGAATGCATTCAATCCCATGGTTACCCCATTTCGTTATCAGTTCGCTTGTATTTTGCAAGTTAAATCGACTACGTTGTAACTTTCACCATGGTCAAGACCGATGCCTTACATCACCTCTAACATATCATACCATTGCCACATCAACGACAATGTGCCCATCCATGTATCGTTGGACTAGCACGCACTTGGGGATCTTTCCAGCGTCTCTAGGACAAACGTGATACATCAACTACTGTCACACTGAACCTCCTACAACAATCACTTCAAGATACTCATTGCATAATAACCTAGCGCAACAATTTTTACACCATCAAGGCAGCAACCATATTTTCCGTCTTTTGAACGCTTCCTGTCGGAAATTGGGAAGGAAAGAACGTAATCAAGCCTGCTTCTTCCGGCGTTTATCAAAAGTGTAGTGCCTACAAGGATGACAAGGAATTTACAGTGCAGTGAGAAAATCTTCTAAGCTAGACCATCTGAAGGTTGATTCGAGCCTACGTTTGAGCGTGAGCAGCGACGATGAGATCCACTATTTCTATTGATATCCAACATTGTCGATCGTTAGCAAGAAATTTCGAAATTCATAAAACTGCGCGGACTCAAAACTTACGACCTGCCTGCACCGGAGGTTCGGGTCTTGACAAGTTTTCGTTGTGTGAAAATACGCAGACAAAAGCGGAGCTTACTGCGATACGCACCGAAAAGCTTGTGAGCATGGAGCAATCAATGTGGGCAAAGGCCGCCAACAGGTTCCGAACGAGCTTCTCGGTCTTTACCGATGATCCTTCCCTCCACCATGCTGAAAACGCATGTTGGCAAAGCCCAACCACCTTGGTCCTGGCATTCCACTCACACCCCACACCATTGGAAGGTAAAACCGATATTCGCTACTGCTTGGTCTGACCACAATCACGAAAACTGCTCTCATCATATTTACAAAGTTAATCTAGTGCTAGAATCTGCTGTTTAGTCGGAAAAAAAGGTAATCACGCTCTACCACCCAAGCATTAACGTATGCATATCCCCAAGAGCTACAAAGGCACCATTGACCTCTTTATCCTCATACGCCCCAAACTACTGATGTTCAAGGCTTGCCGTTTGGCTCCTTGCTCTCAGCGTACCACTGTCATGTGACGAAGATTTCCAGACGAGGCCCCCTAGTGTTTATCCCGCCCTTGGCATTGGTCTCCTTTACAAACCGTTTGGGATGCTGAAGAACCTTGCCTTAGCTTCGACCATAGCACGCAGAGAATTGCTTACTTGATCCATACTCATCGCCTCCCAGATGAATGTTAAGTGTACCAATCCGAGCGAACCCGCTCAGGTAAATGGTAGGCGTTCTCGGCCCCTGGCTGACATCACCTGTTTGCATCTTGCTAGGTGAAGTCTGGTTGAAACAGTATGACGAAAATGTTTGTTTCTTTTGCTCTTGTGCTGTATTTTTCCCAGCGTATGACTTATGTGAGAATCAGCTCCAAGTCTCTCCTTGACGCCCTGAAAACAATGTACGATGCCGTACCAACGCTAGAGCCATAAGATCCCGGCACCTTTCGATGTGCTGGGATATGGTCGCAGTGCCAGCATGATGCAAACACTGCGTTACGACCGTGTGTAACAGATCGTGTATTTCCCTTCGTCTGTTTCATATCCGTAAGCTTTCATCGGAGTGCATGACAACAGCAACGTGAAGTCGCAATTAGTCACTAGGAGTAAGTACGTACTGAGTAAGTGAATCTCTGAGCTGGGAGACATTGAAGCCTGTATAAGGCGCAAGCGATTCGGCATATTCGGCATACTTCTCGGCTGCAGCCAAGTACAATAGTGCCAGATCGAGCTCGACATTTTCTGTGTAGCTGAGCGCATGAATACGGCGCCGTAGACGGACAAGGGCGCGAGGGAGCACTGTCTTCAAGAATCGGCTGGACATCGAGGATAGTAAAAGGCGTAAGCTCGTGATCAGAGGTGAAGAGCAAGGCGGTGAACTGGTATGCTGGAATATAGTGGACAAAAATCAGCTGATGACAAGGGTGCAAAGTTAAGTTGTTGTGTCTGTATGACATTATCCGCAACTTCGAGTTTGTTATATATCCCCCCTAAACATTGGACATGATGTTCATGTTCGGTTCCGCGACGATGCGTCCACTCTAATGTGTCAAACACGAACGAAATGGACAAGTACCAGGTCTACGAGGAAAGAAGATGCTTCTGTGTTTCTGTATTTGATGCCATTCTTTGACCTGCGGTCCAATCGATCGAAACGGTATACATGAACAGAAAAGGACAGGGAACTTGTGGACGGTACGCTTGCTTGCTCCCTCTCGAGTATTAATGCCTTCGCCAAATTGCCGGGAAGAATGTCTTCAACCAATGAGGTTACCTTCCGAATCCACTCGTGGTGATAAACGCCATTGCGATGTATGGACGCCGAGGTTGTCCGTTCGGCATCATTAGAAAATGGGCTGTATTCAGCATATCGTGATGCGGGTACTCCTGACGTTGGAATAGCCTGCTGGAACGCCAAGTGGAGGCGGATGGAGCGGACGCAACTCCAGCCTTAAAGCTTGGGTATAGCTCCGCCAGCGTCTGACGGTCATGAAGTCATTCATCGATGAATTATTCAACTTGTATAAATGCGATCTATAAAGGCACATGAGTCTCAGCATGTACGACCGTTGTTTCATATCACAGTCAAGGCCGTACAACATCCTCACACCGTTCATTGGTTTGGACCATAGGTAGATCAGCGGAACGTGGGAGTGGACACTCTCGATCTTGTCCGCAAACGCTCAGCGGCATGGACAAAACCTTACCCTAGACCCAAACTCTCAGCATATGCTCCTCCCAAGGAGACTACGCATTGATGCTAAGCACCCTTGCGATAGCACAGCGCAGCTCGCCTGACATAGTAGAAATGAAACATCCAGACGTTTCTGGGCTGTTGCTTTGAGTTTATGCTTGTTTGCATCCAAATTCTATAAACAGGAAGAATAATGCAGTTGACCAATAACGTTGATCAGTGTCGATTATACAGTGAGGTGGGTAGCGAGCAGAGTGTCGACGACGAAAGCCAGTGTATGTAGAATAAATGCTGTAAGTAAGTCTAGTGCGCAGGGGTTGCAGAGGGTGTGCCTTGCGCTGACATGTTCTCGGGTACTGTATAGGTAGGCCGGGGTGAGATGACGCGCACTGGTAGATGAACAGGAGAGTGGACTCACGTGGAGGAAGCTGTGGTCTCGTGCCTTCGCTGAACACGCGGCCAAGCAGAACACCGACACCCTCGAACACACCAAGAAGGATACCGCAAGCTACGGCTGAGCCAAACGCGGACCTAGGTCCACCTAAGAGGAATACATGGGTGAGTTGAACCTTAGGACTGCAGGAGAGAAGACGCACTGCGAGCAGCAAGACAGCCACCGGTCATGAAGCCCGAGATGATGGCATTCCAGGCATCCTCCTTCTGCCGCCAGCCCTTGACAGCACAGTCGAACGTCGAAAACATGCCACCCCACACGCCGAAGTTACCGCCAGTGACGGGGGCACGGGCCTTTATGGTCGAGATGGCGCCGACAAAGCGCTCTCCCTGTGAGGTCGGGTCAGACTAAAAGTTGGGCGATATAGGTTGAGGAGACGCACGCGAGGAGAGTTGCGGGCGCCCTTGATGCCATGCCAGATTCCACCACCGACTGCACCCATGGCGAAGGCACCACCAAAGTCGTTGAGGATGACCCAAGGGCTATGGGAGAGTTAGATTCATTTCATTTTTGGCGAGTAGACCACATACCAAGGGTCTCTAGTGTGGTCCGCATGCGACATGTCTTATAATATGACCCGAGAAAGGAGAAAAAAGGAGAAACAGAGGGGGCGGGGAGTGGGGCGGACGGGGCGACGAGGAAAGTGGACCGGAAGGAAGACGCGCAAAAGAAATGACGGACAGTGGCGTGAGACCCGAGGGAAACTTTTCCGGCCTCTCCGCTCCGTAAGCGGTGTCCATATTAGGCAGCTGGTCTCGTGACCGAGACTCATATATTGGACGCGTCGGGTCGGACGGTCAACGGACAACGAACAGCTCACGTTGAAACGTTGCAACAGACAACAAACAGTAAGCAATCTGTCATCATACATCACTTTCTCTCTTTTTTTTTTACCTCTATCATACGCAGATGTCTGCCCTGCATCGACGCAAGTCCACCGTGTTTGTAGACATTCCACCTTCCCCCTTGCACAAGCACCATCGGTCCGCGTCCATCAACTCGTCCTTTAAGGAAAACGCGCCCAGTATGGCAAATGTCACGCACAAGAAACGCAAGTCCGTTGGAGACATGGAAGCACTCAAGTCGGTCAAGAAATTCAAAGTTGACATGATCGAGGACGACAAACTTCCGAACGCGAACGAGGAGTTCCCGAGGGGCTTCTTCTACTGTCACCAGTGCAACAGAAAGCGCGACATTTCATGTACGTCTGCCTTACTTGTGTCAATTTGCTCTTCCTCACTCAAATCCAATGCTTCAAAGATGGCTTGCGATGCACTTATATCGCGTCCAAGGCGAAACGCTGCAACACCCGCTACTGCAAGCCGTGCATACGAAATCGCTACGGCATTTCTGCAGATGGGATTCTCAGCGCCGGTGTCCCCAGCAAGTCCAAGGGACACGTCCCTGATGCGGGATACATCTATAAGTAAGTCCCCGGTGCTCTGTTTCAGCTCGGCGGCATTGCTTATTCTTGGCCTGCCCATTCAACAAACGCACTTAGATGCCCGCGATGCGCCGACGAGTGCAATTGCGTCCGTTGCCGCAAGGCAAAGGGCCTTCAGCCTACAGGGTGAGTATACACCAGCACCTTGTTGATGGCATCTTTCCCTGCGTCGATTGTCACCCGTAATTGCATTATGCCTGAACATCGACTCGACAGGAACCTCACTCTCATGGCCAAGCGGGCCGGAGTTGCGTCCGCCTCGGCCATGCTGAAAGATAACCCGAAAGCACTCGTACGTCCATCGTTCCTAGACTCCGCTCGATAATCGCCACTTATCTACATGCAGGGCCCGCAAAGTGGCAAATCCGTCGTGCCCAAGAAACAGGCCCAGCACCGCGCCTCTCTTCCCTCGGCCTTCCCATCTACCATACTGTCTAGCAAGTCCATCGCGTCGACCATCGCCTCAACCACATCCGCGCCCTCTGGACCCACTCCCGTAGCAGAGCAAACCAAACCAAAACCAGCCAAACCGCGATACAAGCCCAAGCCCTACCCGCACTGGCGCGCTCTGCACACGCGCCTCCCGCTCGCGTCCGCTGAAGACAGGATCCACATCCGCGAGTTTGCGCTGCGCTTTAGCACGACGACGCGCGACGCGGATGGGAATGAGCGGAGCGTGCTCAAGATTCCACGTGCGACGCTGGACGAACTGGAGTGTGTCGCGGGGAAGAGGGGAGGCACGGATGCAGGGAAGAGGGGAAGGGGTGATGCAGAAGACGAGCCGGACGAGGGGGCGCTCGCGCCGTGGGTAAGCGAGGGGTGCGTGAAGAGCCTCGTGCTCGCGATGTTGAGTATGCTGTACGATGAGGCGGTTGAAGATGAGGACGAGGAGGAAGCCGGGGTACGTCTTCATTTCTCTTTCGCCCACGTACCCCGTACCGACTTGCGTCACATGAACTGCAGGAACTCGACGAAGCCATCAAAGCCATCAAATCCTCCTCGACCACGAACTCCCTCCAAAAGATCGCCCGCGCCCTGTCCTCGCTCGACCGATCCTTCGGATTGCCGGAACCACACCCGCCGCCTGCCAACAGCGCGCGTCTCGCGCGCAGCACACGCAGTGCCGCCGCCGCCGACGCACGGGGAGAGGTCGAGGTAGTGTGCACCGCTCAGCTAGTGCCTGTCATCGCAGCGCTCATAAGCGCAGCGATTCCAACTGACGGCGTACGCGCGGCGCTTGAAGGAGGGTTCGAGGAAGCAAGAGAAGTGAGGGAGCGGGCCAAGGCACTAGGCAGGGCGGAGAAGGAACGGTATAGGGAGGAGAAAGAGCAGGAAAAGGCGAGTACGGACGGGGTGAGTTCTCTCCCTCCAAATTCCGTTTCAAAACCTAAATCTCTCCGTCGTGCTGGTTTATGGTCGCCTGATTAACGTCGCTCTCCACACACCCCAGCCCGCCCCACACTCCCGCCTGCGCGGCTCCAAGAACGCGCCCAAACGCGCACACGAAGCCCGCCTCGAATCCTACGACCACCTCTCCACGCTCGCCTGTGCGTCGTACGAGCCGCGCATCGCCCCGCTTGGCCGTGACTCGTCCGGCCGGGTTTACTGGGCGCTTACGCCCGGCCCCGCCGAGCGCGAGTCCGCGCGCGAGCTGCTCGATGCGTTGCACGAGGATATTGTCACCGTCGAGGGAGCGGGGAAGACGAAGGCGAAGAAGACGAAGCGTCAGCAGCCGAAGAAGCGCTCGCCGCCTACCGAGAATGAGAGGGAGGGGCTGCGGAGGTGGTGCTGGGGCGTGGTGGTGTGGGGCGAGCGGCCGCCGGAGGCGGAGAGGGCGTTTAGGTTCAAGGTTCCGTTTTCTGTGGGGAGCGACGGTGAGGTTGAGGACGCGGATGACAGTGATAGCGAGGACGAAGATGGTCCTGCACAGCGGTGGTGGGGCTTTGCAGAGTCGCAGGAGATCGAGCGACTCGCGTCGTACGTGCTCGTCAAGGCCGGCTTACACCTTGAAGAGGGCCAGTCGTCGATCGAGAAGTCGTTCGCTGTCGCTTCCGCGAAGGCAAATGTGGCTGCCCAGACGCAGGTGAACAGCAAAGTGAACGGGAAGAAAGAGAAGATCAAGACGAAGGGCAAGGGGAAGGATAACAACGGAGACGGGATCGAACAGAGCAACGAGGTCAGAGTCACGAGCGCCGAGGTGCGCGAGCTTGTGCAGAGGCTGGATGAGTATGCTTCACTGCTTCGGTGGCGGCTGAAGGAACCCGGCGAGGACGGCCTTTAGACGTCAGCGCACTCTTTCACGACCTTTATCAACCATGCTCACTGCTTTCTTCGTCAATCGTAGGACCATTGTTAGATATATTCAGATGCAATATTCCTTTAGATCTAATTTTTACGATACCTAGGCTAATATACGAAATACATGACCGTACTCACTAACTGTCCGCTACATAGTGAATGTGGAGATGTGGTTTTTAGCCACAAGCCTTGTATTCGGCGCGAACCGCACTGCAAGGACAAGTTCAAGTAGGCGTCAATAATAATATAACTCGTTGCTCGAGTCTGAGCGACCAGGCGCATACCTTTCGATCTAGACCTACCGAGAGGTTCACGGTCCGCAGCATCCCCAATACTCGGTCACTGCCCCCACCATCTGCCCGAGTGCACCCGGATACTAGTACTTAGTGACTGAGTCTGACAAAGTCGCCCTCACACGTCCTCGATTGGTAAATTTGAACTGGTTCACTGCAGGCGGCATTCGAGGATCAGCCCGGAACATTCATCCGGAAAATCTGATACAGCTGTTGAAGAGAACCAATATTACATAGCGATTACCAATCATCGGTCCACACCGTGTTCCAAGCCATCGTGACCCAAACTACTAATGCTTGAACATTACACCCGTGTAATTCACCAAACGCGCAGTTGAAAGTTGATGGGCCTCAAAGCTCAAAGCATCAAGCTGGCCGAATACCCGAGCCTCTTATGACAAATGAACCACCAGAAGTGTACGAATCAAACAGGTCCAACGACTAGTTGTCCGTGGTGCGCCTTTGCATGATCATGCAGGCCACTGACAGTTTGAATGCGTCTACTGGTGAGATGACTCCCCGGATCAAATTATCAATGAAATGTGGCTCAGGACCAGGACCAATGCTCAGGACAGTACGGTATGTTTACAGCTTTGAACGCTTGGACTCCACTTCGATTTCGCTGTGGCGTTTCGACAGATAAGTAGCCTACTTTTTCGTATATCCTTCGATAGCTTGTCATTAAAGAGGATTTCGGTTGAATTTTTCGAGACCCAGCATCTTGCTACCTTTTCAGTGATTGTGCCCTTCTTGCCGCTAGCTATCGTCACAATCGTTATATGGACTCAGATATGGAAGTGAGGTCACCAGTCTACTGCAAGCAGGAGCCATGACAAAAACAGCCGTTCCGCAGACCGAAGCGAAATAATCCAAAGGGAGAGGAATAAGATCAGCTAGAAATAAGCATTGCTTTGTCTAGTCTAGTAACCAGCTTATATGTATTATTAAGCGGTCCAACCACGTCAGCAGTCGTAACTGACTGGTAGAGCGGCAACCCCTCTTTACCCTTCCACGCCGCAGAATGCTGCGTCTCGGGCATCCTTTATGTATTGAGGTAAGAACCGGAGAAAGAACGACACGTGCCCGGAAAATTATGATGCATCACGAACCTCGATGTCAAACGTGATTGAAACATGATAACGGATTAGAAATCAAGTTTGCCGCGTCGGAATAGGCAAAAGCTGTATGGATGATCTGGTCACCAACGGTGAACCAGTTCGCTGACGGGTGCTAGCGAGATCCGATGCTGCTTGAGCTAGCTTACTTACGGAGGCTGAAACATCAACGATTGGCTCCTCGGAGTTCATCCAGAACCGAGAGGAGTGAGCCGCGTTGAACTGGTCTGAACGTCGTCTTCTTTGCCCTGTAAATGCTGGATTAGGTTCAAATTCCGCATGGGATCGGGAAACACACAGCATGCTACAACTGCACTCGCGACAATTTGCCATCGTGTCAAGCGCCGGGGCGCTGACGACGTATTTAATGAGTGAACGCTTGAACACTCCTTACAGCCCAGGACACACCAAACCCATAGCCATTCCGTGTCGGATATCTTCGGATACCATGACTACACCATCTTTCAACACAATCAATCTTCTGCAGTCTAGCGCCTTTGGTTTATCGACCGGTAGTGCGAAGCTCGCGTTCGCGCATTCACTCTTAAGGCAAGCCGGGATGCTCGCCAACTCTCGACTGGCCCACCCTGGCGTCGACGACCTTAGGGTTATGCTCATCCAGTAAGTATTCAAGCACACCAGCATCACCACGCTGCACGGCATATGGTAGTTCTCACCATCCCTTGATTTAGACTTCAAGAAGCTCATGCGGTGTTGCTTCAGCGCATCACAGGATGGCACTTCATCTCGTCTCTGTGGTACTCCAATGACGCCGATGTCGTCCAGCATGTGGAGGACTGCTTGAATCTGCGTGCACTTGCGTCGGTAAGCATCTCTCGTATGCGGTTTCCAGCGGCGGTTGACGCGGCTACAATCTATGTATTAGCTGCATGCCAACCTGATTCAAGAAGTTAGGGCGCAAGAGTCAGGTCGTGTTCTAAACAGTAACGTGCCTGGGAGCACACCAAAAGCTACCTCCCCCTTCGACTACGGAGTTAGATCACCTGTTGTCCATATCAGCGGGCTTGCTACTGTCGGATCGCTGAATGTCCAATGGGGCAACGAGGTATACGGTCCCAGTAAGTTACGATGATATGTTCACCCATACTTTGCAGTATTTGCTAACATCAGTCGAGCAGCCTCCCAAACAGTCCATAAAGAGTCCTCGCAAGAGCAGCACGAGCGTCCACAAGAAGCGACAGAGGCGTCGGGTGCCCATCAGACACGCATGGCGGCAGCGTGGCCATACGGGAGAGACCATAGAGCATACATTTGAGATCGAGTTGAAGCTTCCAAGACGTTGTGTGAGAAAGAAGGAAGGTTTTCACGACGAGGTCAGAGCCGTTGATGTGTCCAGGTAGAAGCAAGAGCTAGCCAGGGGTTAGACGCGTTAATAGAAAAATCGGCAACTGCCGTTATGTTATTCTCACGTGAGTAATAAACTGGAAAGTTGACCAACCGCGGCTTGCGTGAAGCGACAACCTCCTTGGTCAGCGAACCTCAGACAATCTCTCCATCGAACGATTTCAGAGCAGAGCAAGACACAGCAACGGCTTGTATCAACCAATGGAATCGAAAGAACGTATTCGACGCTCGGGATGGACAATACGCCGCGTTCGGGCGTGGAGCATGTTTGCCTCGTGTAAGGTCAGATGGTTCCACTCCGCCAGGTACCTTACATGATGTCAACCCGCCGTAACACCAACAACCGCTCTCGACTACACTTCTTCTTATGTATCTTGTAGCCCCGTGCACATGGATAAACAAGGCCGCTCGGAACCAGGAAAACTTAGGCTTGTCGGGGCCGTGGCTGTCCGCGTTTATACACGCTACTGTATACTACCCCCGACGCTGCTCAAAAGGCGCTTCCGTGACGTTTCCTGTCTTCTTCGTTTCCCTCTCTCCACCCATCTGCAGCCATGTCAGCCTACGATTATTACCAGCATCATACGAATGGATGGGGGACCAACCAGGTGTGCTCAGCCGACTAGCTAAACGCGTTGATGTACTCAAGATGGCCTTTAGATGCGGTTTGGCCCACCTCAGCCTATCCGCTTCCAACCCCAGCCAAATTGTACGTCTTCATCCTGACTACCATCGACTTTTACTCACTCGTATACAGGGGGCGGGTATGACTTCTTCAGAGCGCATGCCAACACCACTCCCGATCCGTATGCTCATTACGTTCCCTGTCTTCTGAATCCTTGCTCATCTACTTGTCTGCAGGAACCTCTGGCAACATGCCTTCCGGCGGATCAACTCAGATTCAATGAACAACTCGCTGGGCGTCGGCCTTCGCGAAGCCCGCTCGCACCATCACCGCGTGTTTGGCGGGCTCGCCAGCATGCACAACTTGTCCCCGCAGGAGCTTGGCCACGCAGCTGCGTACGAGGCGTACCGACTTTGGATTCATAACAGTTCGTTGTACGAACCGCTCGGTGCGGACCCACATAGGCAGAAGGAGGCACTCGTGGGGCTGGCCGTCGCTGAAGGTGCGTTCTCCGTCATTCTATAGTATTCCATTGTAGAGCTCGCGAAGGCTGACGTGGACCTTGCGGACAGCTATGAGACTTTACAACCATTCGTCCCAGCGGATGGACAGCCATGGACGTTATCCAGCGATCGAGGCGGCTGCCGCAACAGCGTCAATGCTCTTCCAAGACGTACGTGCCTGGTCCCTTCTTCCCCTCTCCCTTCTGGTACCTGTGCTCTTAGCTCATACATACGTCACCCTTCATTTTACAGGTTATCGCACGCGAAAGCACGGGCGGCATGGGGCGCGGCCGGAGCCCAAGCCCAATGGGACGCGGCGTAAGCCCAGGATCGCCTTACGCAGGCGCGGGATATGGCGGGGGCAGCTACGGAGGCGCCGGCGTGCCCGCGGGCGCCTATGCCTCCTCATACGGCGGTAATGCGGGCGGGTATGGAGGCTACGATGGCACGGGATACCCCAATGCCACTGGTACCGCAGGCGCTTACGGCGGCGCTGGCGCTGGTGGAAGCCCCTACCTCAAAGACGCCTACCACTCCGACTACGACGCGCCTTGGTTCTCGGGGCGGCATGCACACAGTCCCGGATCTGGGTACGGCAGCCAGCGGCAGCGCCGGCACTCGCATACGGGCTACGGGATGGGCATGGGCCAGCCGCCGAGCCCGATACAGATGGTCGGACCTTACCCGCGCTCGCCGTCACCGTACAACGTCCCCGGTGCCGCATCGCAAGGCGTCAATGCGTATCCCGGACGCGCGCCGAGTCCGTATAACATCGCGGGCGCTTCTCAGGGCGGTTATCCGGGGCGTGCGCCGAGTCCCTATAATGTGGCGGGCGCTTCGCAGGGTGCTTATCCGGGACGCTCGCCGAGCCCATACAACGTCGCCGCGCCTGCGAGCCCCTTGATGCACAGTCATAGCCACAGCAGCCACAGCGGGCGCTCGCCCTCACCTTATCGCAGCAGCGGACAGAGTCACGAGCATAGTCACAGTCACAGTCATCGAAGCCACAGTCACAGCAGACGCTCGCCCTCGCCTATGCGGGCTTTACCCATCCAGCCCGTCCAGCAGGCGCAGGTGCCCATGGTGCTTGACTCGCGCGGAAGACCGTATAAAGGCGCCAATGTGTACCAGGCTACGAGCGGACACACGGTGATTGAGATCCCGTCGAGCTCATCGAAGCACAAGCATCACAGTTCGACCTCGAAGAGTGGTCACCATCACTCGAGCTCGAGGAGCGGGCACCATTCTTCAAGCTCGGGCGGGCTGTTTCATCGGTCGCGGAGTTCGGAGCCGGGGCCCCGTGTGTATCGTGTGTAGGAGGTGATGCGCTCATGGGTTGAAGAGGAGGGCTCAAAGTGTACGAAAGGCGATGGGTCGAGGAGATGTAGGAGATATCAACTGTTCATTGTACATTATACCGCTCCCTAGAAGGGAGCTTGTAACTCGCATACTTGCACTGTAGTGTACTCGTACTTGCTTTGCGATTAGCTTTGCTATGTTACTTGTTTTGCTCTGTGTAATAACATACCATGCTTTCCGCGCGCTCGCCGTAACGGGCCGAGTGGCCAATTGCCCAAGTTATTCAATTGATTTATAAAGATATAAAGAATGAAAGTTAGATACAAAAGAACTAAATAGTCAATTGATTTCAAGAAATAGAATAGCCAGCCACGTAATAGGTGAATATCAGTATTAAAAATAGTAAAATGACGCAAATGAACAAATCCTCCTCATAAAGTAAGTTACCCGGGTGAGAGCAAAGTTTTCTAATTTTTCTCGTTTTTCATCGGACATAAACATTTAGTGCCCTATTCTCTTCCCTTCTAACAACCGTTTTGAGCTTTAATGTATAAAGAAGTCGCGAAAATTCACTTTTGGAACAATTGCCCAAGTGATTTTCTATGGAGAAACACAGGATAATTGCCTTTGCTAAAGCTCCGGCCCACTTAAGGATAGAACGCGGCTCGAAGCAGAATTTGAGCGTGGCCATACCGAGGGTATTTAACATGAAATACAGATAAAGGAAGTATCTAGAGGAAATATTCGATCTGACAGAGGCCGCGTCCGCTACGCTGCGGCCCCTGCGCCGAAGCGCTAACCCTAACCCTCAAATATATTCCTGCATGAGCAAAGAAAAGCCGGGCATAAGTATGAATATACGAGTATTTAATAATCTGCCTGTGTCCTTTATAGGCACTTTTCCTATTGGTGCCAAACGGAGACGACCGGTACCTACCATACAGAGGCGCAACCATCTACAGATCTCACACTGTGTATAGATCGTGTCTGGATCATGTAATAAAACGAGATCTCGTACCAGAACAAGCAAGAGGTGGAAGTAAGTCTTAGGGGAATCCCCGAGCGAAAACGAGAGACTGAGAGTGAGGTCACCGCATTCCGCCTATATAAACCGCGGTTATGTGGTCTTTGGTCCCCCACTGCTCGCAGAATCATACTATCCTGCGTTGACAGCTGGTCAAGAGGCCATGGCCACATCATGCATCGGTGTATTCACCAACGCCCGGCCCTACCTCCTTGGTGTCTCCACCGCGCAGATGAAACTCGACTTTGCACTTACATTCCTGACAAAAGCTGAAGAGCAAGTCAAGCGCGACGAGCTTTCGGTGTCTCATGTCAATGATGTCTTGGCTATGCTTGCTGAGTATGTCACAGGTCCATTTTCTGTTACTCGAAAGCTGACAATGATCAACCTATCGGTACAATCATGTAGGCGACTAGACACCCACAAAGCACTGCAAGAGCGCGTCGCGCAGTCTTCATTTCTCTCGTGGCTTTGGTATGCCAATGACGCCGAACTCACGCAACATGTTGAGAAATGCCGCGATACATACGAGCTTGCGATGGTGAGGCTTCCCAGCTCGTGTTACCGTGCCAGTGAACGTTAAGTCGACGCAATGATCAGTCGTGCTCCAATGCGGCGGAAGGATATGGGCAACAGAACGTCCCCGGACAATCCGAGGCGCACGATCCTTCTACGCGGGCACAGAGAGAGGCTTCTTACCGTGCGCCAGCTAACTCGCCTATGGTGACCCTCGGGGCGTTCGCACGCATTGGAACCCTGCATATACAGCTGGGTAATGATAATTGCGGCCCTAGTATGTAATCAAAGACATTGAGGATATTGAACGATGGCTCACAGTCCTTATAGCATCGCAGAGGGTATCTAGAAAGCAGTCTGAGAATCAGCGTTGCCAAGAGTCGGAGTAGACTAGAGGTGTGCCTTTGCGTAGCGCTTGCATATGATGACAAGTGAGGCACCCCAGAGGTAGCCATGCCTCGGGGCAGCGCAGTGGGATAAGGAAGGTTGAAATGGAACGGAACTTGAAACAGGTCTTCTAGAGCTTGAGTAATACAACATTTAAGATACGATAAAAGGATCAATGACAGACAGGCCCATAGGGGCCACCGTGGTCTTGTGATGCTGTTACGACGATGTAAGTGTATTAAATCAACACCTACCAAACGGCGAGCCCGAAAACGGTGGTGCCATCGGACAAGATGTAGTGGAAGTCTAGGTGAACCATGATTTTGACGTCGACGTTGGGAAGTAATGCAAAAGTAATGTATTTTGAGCTGCTCCTGCTCGGATAAACCTCACGTTTCCCACGATCACTAACCACGTCTTCTTGCGAGCGGTAACATGACCCTTACTCGATGTTCAAACTTGCTCTCACCGGGAAGAGCGTCTATCGATAGAACTGGGGCTCCGCGATGGTTTCATGATTACAAGAGACATCTCGGACCTGGCAGAGACGGCACGAACCATCTCTATTTGGGGGATGACTCGCCCTGACTCGTCTTTCCCATGGCGCGCTTGCCTTTATCTCTCGCAGCCCCTGCCCACTTCGCTCCCCGCTCTGCAGCCAGCTCGTTGTGGTCCTTCGGGCTCTCATCTGACTGGAGCATCAGAAAGCTATCACTACAGGTGAAGTGTCAAAGAGGAGCACAGCCGCTGCAACGTACGCTGTTCCATCACCAGCAGGTCCTGGCGGCAAATCTTACCGTTTGCTCACGAATGTTTTCGTAATCTCCAGCTTTCTCCCCGACAAAGTGTTCATATAGCATCTCTCCGGATCCAACCACATCCATCTACCTCCGTTCTCAACCCTTCTCGTCATCTCATACGACCATGTCCACCCCAACATCACCCAAGGTCTGGTTCGGTACGTCCGGCCCGCGCTCCGTACGCTCCTACCATGCTCCCGCTCACCCGCCTATGCGTTGCACTTGCAGTCACCGGTTCCTCGTCCGGCATAGGCCGCCTCACCGTCGAAGCCGCCCTCCGCGCAGGCGATAGCGTTGTCGCCACCCTGCGCAAGCCCTCCGTTCTCGAATCGCTTCAGGCTGAATACCCCGCGGAGCGGCTACTCGTTCTTCCTCTGGATGTTTCCTCCTCTTCCCAGGTCAGCGACGCGTTTGAACTCGCTGTCAACGCGTTCGGGCGGATCGACGTCGTCTTGAACAACGCGGGATATTACTTTATCAGCGACGCGGAAGGTGTGCCGGAGGACCAGGCGAGGAAGATGTTCGATACGGTGTTTTGGGGCGCGGCGAACGTCACGGGGGAGGCGATCAGGGTGTTCAGAGATGTGAATGGTAAGGAAGAGAAGAGCGGGAGAGGGATAGGAGGGAGGTTGCTGCAGATGAGCTCGAGGACGGCGGTGTCGCCGCAGGCAGGGAGTATACATTATGCTGCTGCGTGAGTGTTGCTGTTTTGATTTCATGGGTTGACCAACTCGGTGGACGCTTATTACGATATCAGGAAAGCGGGTGAGCTAATGTATATATTTTCTTACTTCTGGTTATTGATTAACTTATCGATCCACAGCACTAGAGACTCTATCGGATGGTTACGCCACAGAACTTGACCCAGCGTGGAACATCAAGGTGCGTTTCATCTGTTTACTTTCTTACCTTCATCTTCGACGCTTCCATATTTATGCTTTCATTTACCTTCATATCAACAGATATCCTGCATAGAGCCCGGCCTCTTCCACACCTCCGCACCCGCAAACAGCACCATGCTCCCGCCGCATCCAGCATATACCTCTCCCTCGCTTCCCGTGACACAGTACCGCGCACTGTACAACCATCCCGACGGGATCGAGCACATCTTTACCGGCGATCCGGCGAAGCTCGCGCAGCTCATGCTGCGCCTCGCAGATCTCGAAGAACCGCCGGCGAGGCTGCCCGTGCACGCAGTGTCGCTCGCAGCAGTGAGGCATAAGGGCGAAAGTTTGGTGAAGACGGTGGATGAATATGCGAGCTGGAGCGATGATGTGTACTTAGAAGGGGTTGAGGTGAAGGAGTACAAGGCTGGGGAGAAGTTTTTGTTCAAGTAGAGTGGGTTTATCCATGAATTTGTCGGACACGCAACAAGTACTCTAGAGTGACTTTGCGAATTACGATCCTCCTTCCGAGAAGTGACATAATGTACATGGGTAAACATGGAAAAAATCCGTGGCCATAATTACTTCGCAAGCCGCCAACTCGGGCGAACTCTCGAATCTACGTCCCTTATCCCGCTACACAACCGGCGCCCCTGCCCCAAATGCTCCAGGGACCGTATACTTCCCCAAGGTATCCCGATGATGATGGGTATTATGATGCCGATGCCTACGCCTCCGAGAAGGTAACTCAATAACTGTAGCACCACCAGGTTGCTGATACGTAGTCGCGCCAGCGTATGGTCGCCCGCGCCCGTCGAGGACGGGGGCCGTCCGCGAGGTGGTGGCCGCCGGCTGCGTTTGCACTTGTTGAACCGGCGCGGATGTCGTCGGAAGAGTTGTTGAGGAGGCCAAAGGCTGTTGAGCCGACGTGGGCGCCAAAGGGAGGGGCGAGGTTCTGCCCATGTCGCCTCCCATGCCGCCTCCCATGCCGCCTCCCATACCACCTCCCATACCACCTCCCATACCGCCTCCCATACCGTTGCCCATACCGTTGCCCATACCATTGCCCATACCGCCTCCCATACCGTTGCCCATACCGTTGCCCATACCATTGCCCATACCGTTGCCCATACCGTTGCCCATACCATTGCCTATACCGTTGCCCATACCGTTGCCCATACCGCTGCCCATACCGCTGCCCATACCGCTGCCCTGGCCACCGCCTAGACAAAACGGGGATAGGAGGCGCCTGCCAAGACCACAGAGGCTGTTGGTATTCGTGGTGGTAGCCGCAGGAGTGGAATACCCACCGGTCACTGGTCCTGTCAATGGTGCCGGCGGGACGTGGGCGCCTGGGGCAGCTCCCGCGACGTTGTAAGGTGAGACCGAGCGTGCAGGATAGGTGGTGCCCATAGAAGCACCCGCGACACTCCCAGGATACGTGTCCACCGAGGAGGTGCCCGCGACATTATACGGTGAGACCGAGCGTGCAGGATAGGTGGCGCCTACAGAACCGCCCGTGGCGGCCCCGGGGTACGTGCCAGCTGGGGAGGCTCCCGTGACGTTATAGGGTGAAACTGAACGTGCAGGATATGCGCCTGTGGCAGCGCCCGCAATATTATACGGTGAATCAGACTGAGCGGGGTATGCGGCTGGTACGCCGCCTGCAACAGTACCTGGAGCAGCTCCGGCCATGGCTCCCGAGGCAGCACCCGCAACAGCACCAGGAGCTGCACCTCCAACGGCACCAGGAGCACCACCTGGGGCTGAAGAAACTCCCGCGACATTGTATGGGGAGAGCGAGCGAGCAGCGCCTGGAGCAGCGCCCGCAACGCCGCCTGGAGCAGCGCCCGCAATGCCGCCTGGAGCAGCGCCTGCAATGCCGCCTGGAGCAGCGCCTGCAATGCCGCCTGGAGCAGCGCCCGCAACGTTGTACGGAGACAACGAGCGCGGAGGGTAGGGCCTACTCAGCTGTACAGGGCCCGATGTGCCAATGCCCGAGGGGCCAACGCCGGGGTTACCAACGCCCGAGTTGCCAATGCCCGCGCTGCCTATGCCCGAGTTGCCGATGCCCCCGAGCGTATGTCGCCTTGCAAACCAGGGCGCATTGTAATCCGAGAGATAGGCATCTGCGAGACCACCAGTGGCGCCACCTACACCACCGCCCACCGCAGAGGTGGGGCCGCCTGCAGACGTACCGGCGCCGTATTCAGCGCCCGCGTAGGGCGACCCTGTACCTGCGCCGAGCCCCGCGCCACCCATTGCCGGGTTCATGGCCGGAGCCGTGCCCATGGCGCCCAATCCTTCACTTGCGAGGACCTGTCAGGTGAACAGTGACGTATACGTGAGAACAGAGCACAAGTATCGGAACGGTGAGAGATACGCACATCCTGGAAAAGCATTGCTGCTGTTGCAGCAGCCGCCTCAACCGCGGGGTATAGCCCACGATTATCCATCGCCATCGGAGATTGCTGATAGAGCCTCATCGCTGCGCGCATTATCTCGTTTTAGACGCTCCATGACACACTTGACGGTGGAGTGAACCATACCTTCAGCAACAGCAAGCCCAACCAATGCCTCTCTCTGCCGAAGCGGGTCTGCGCTGAGAGGTTCATACAATTGGCTATTATGTATCCAAATGCGAAATGCCTCGTATGCAGCGGCGTGGCCGAGTTCCTGCGCGTTGATGTCACGCATACTGGCGAGTCCGCCGAACACACGGTGGTGGTATGAACGAGCATTGGGTACGCCTACTCCGAGAGAGCCAATCATCGAGCCTGAATTGATCTGCTGCAAAGCATGTTGCCAGAGGCCCCTGAAACCGAGTAGATGAGTAAAGAGGAAGTAGACGAGAGCTGAGCAGGAGAGACATACGGATCGGGGGTAATGCCTGCGTGCGCTCTGAAGTAGTCATATCCGCCCCCTGTAGACGAGTGAGCGAGATTTCGATAGGGACAGAAGTAATAGCGTACAATTGGGTTGTGGTTGAAATGTAATAGGCGGAGGAGGGCCAAACTGCATCTACACCGTATCATGAGTAACTCCGGCTTTTGCTAAGAATGAACACGTACCTGGTTGGTTCCCCAGCCGCCTGCACTCTGCTGATAATAATCATACGCTGACATGGCTGTAGATCCGTTAATGGAGGGAAATAAAGAAGACAGAGTGCGTCACAGATCGTCTCTTATGAGTAACGACGGGGGTAGTACAGTATATGGCCGTGCTCCGACGAGCTACCCTGATAGTTGCCCCTAGTTGCCCTTAGTTGATCTGGTTCCGAGTGCATAATGGAGGCATGTCCAAGAGACGACAAAACAGGAGACAAGGGAAGCCGGGCCTTGTCATTGACGACATCATGCAAGCATCAGTCGGAGTCGGGTGAAAGCATCTGACCCCACACGATGCACACATGCTCCACTCCCGAATTTGGCGCGTTCCCTCGGTTCCGTCGGTTGTTGTAAGCTGGCGGTGCGTCTTGTTATGTTATGGAGCGTTCAAAATGTCCTGAGTTCTGTTGTTGCCAAGTGAGAGATCGCGCAAAGGACTCAAAAAAACCTCCGTCAACGTCTCCGGTTTTTAAAGTCCGACCGCAACATCGGCCGTTGCCGATCCTCTGTCTTCTCTGGTATTAAATTCTGCCTTGTGCGTTTGACTTCTGGCGATTGTTGGCTTAATTTACAGATTATATCGCAGTTTTATGATAGCACTGTAAATACGTTACTTGATACACATTATAGCATACTCGTGAGGACGGTGCTAATCCATATTATCATCAATACTAGTCTACTAACTTCCAATCTGCCTTTCTCATCGTAACCCGCAAGTAATCCACATCGTGATAACACGTATTCTATGTTTCAGCCATAAACTTCTCGATTTTCAGTTCTTCACCTTGCCTGTTGTCTCTATTCTGCATTTTCAGCCCTTTCTACACTCCTGTCAGTACTTCTCAAGTAATTAGTATGCTTTTGTGACGTACCACTGGTTCAGTATGTGCCACTACCAAACTGAACGTTCAGGTTCCGAATCTGGAAAACCATAGCGAGATTTATTGCAGGTAAGCCAGAGTCCCTGATGATGACATTATTCTGAGAGTGTTCAGGCATGACAGGAAGACCTTGACAAAGCGAGGTAGCATCTGCGTTACTCTGTACACTCTCTGAGCGCAGCTAATGAATTCAATGGCATTAGTGTCATTAAGTTATTGCCGGTATACAAGAAAAGTTCCAATCAACTCACCAAAGCGACCTCCAGTACTTCATGGCACTTCTCGATGTGTTCTAGTACAGTTTTCTCGTAGTTACCCCATAGACAAGAAATAAAATACCACGTTCCGATACGCTTCCGTAGCACCTCGTGTGTTTCTCTGCGTCTGTTTACATAACATTTGCGTTAGTATTTTTCATCAGATCTGGTCATTAAAGGATTTTATCACTGAGAAATCATATTTCGAAGCATTTCCTCGTCACTTTGAGGTAAGTGAGGTTTGACGAGCTCGGCAGCGAGCAAGAAGGCAAGCGCGAGTTCGAGTTTGTTACTCCGAGAGAAACAATCGGCAATAGATAAGTAGCGATTAGAAACAGGAGACGGCATACTAAAGGATAAGCGACGTTTCCTAGACCTCAGAACTGTGGGACGAGGGGAAGGGTAATCTTTCGTGGTTGAAACGTCTATTCATTGTTGTCCTCCTTATATACGAATGGACAAAGTAAGGTTTGAATGCACCTGGAAGGGAGATGAGGGTCAACGCGTTCCCTGATTATATGCTCTCATCTCACACACAGCTATAGTGAGATGCGATGCTGCGGGAGCCGCCTCGTCTTACTGCGCTAGTATCCGCGTCCTGTGAGAACTTGTTGAGAACAGCAGCAGGAACGTGGACACGTGCTGTGATACCTGTGCACATGCACCTCTACTCAGCATGCCGCATGCACCCACATACAATAGCTGCTGTAATTGTGGCTCTTTTGGAGCATGCATCAAGGGTTTGTACTGTTTTTAATCACTGAATACAGCAATTATCCGCGGGGATCGGAATTGGATCGCTCATGTAGGATGTTAGCACGGTTCTCTCAATGGAAACTTTAATCTACAGGAAACCATGGGTTCGGGCATTAGTACATACTCCACGTCAAGCCGATGGTACCTATCAGGGTGTTATTTCAGCTTTAGTGGAGACGATATGGTGTACATTCTTAGCGGAATGAGGCCCTATGTGACACGTGCAGAACGTTCTACAGAAACCCCTAGGAGATGAAGGAAAAGGATGGAACACTGGACATACACTGCAAAGATACGGGAAGAACACTCGAAGCAGAAGTCCGCTGTCTAAGCTATGACTGTGGTTTCTGGAAAAATGGTAGTACAGCATCTTTTGTATGAGTGATAGAAACATCTCTATTCTGATCTGCCAGTTAAGAATGAATGGCACGAGGCAGAAGGGATGGAGACCGCGCATTGACTCGGGTGGCAAGCAGGAGTAGTTTTCAATCGGTATCGATTCCACAGCACGTAGCGTTCTAGTATTCGATACGCAAACGAGATGCTTCTTTTCCACTGCATCGTGATCAGGGCTCACAAGACACTGGTCTAAGGTATGCTATCGTGGCACGCCTTGTATCTTACGCCGCCAGTGGATACCGCAGCCGAAAGCGATGAAATTTTACCACGGCTTTGAAGCCGATCGTTTGCTCTTCTAGATTTCAGACAATTGTAGTATCACAAATTATTTACATCAAATGGTTATCAGTCAAATAGGAAAGTGAAACCTGTAGTGTACGGGTGTACTGGTTTGCGAATCTCAACTCGTCAATACATTCATCATCCCTATGCCCGCTTCTAGATCCCAGTAGCTAGCGTTCTTCCGTGGGAATCATGCTCCCGTGCATCGATTACTCCCTTCGGACGGCTTGAGACGCTGTACCACTAGGTCAACGCTTCCGAAGACAGCTCGTCATATAATTCACTTACTAGGTCCGTAGTTGTCGTTCCCAAACTGGATGTTGAGAGTGTGAATCCGAGCAGAGCCCGACACAGCTATCCTTGGTGTTCCAGACTCAGCCTGAGTCCCAGCCCTTCCCTGGCGTACTCGTGTCTGGGGCTGTGTCTCACGAATGCTGTGGTCGTCTTGGCCTTGAGGCTGATTTGCCTGCGCAGGAAACAAGTACGCTTCCAGTGTATGGGACTGGGGAGGCGCCTCATGAGCTCCCTGGGTGAGAAACAAGTATGCATCCAACGGATGGGGCTGGGCGGGCGTCTCATAAGTGCTATCCTGACAGCGCTCGGACTCCATGTGTGGAGAGTCCTGTGTGGGACGCGAGTGCGCCTTCGAGGGAAATATCAGCAATAATGACATTCACCGAAAGAACATTATGCGTACCAAAGCAAAGACGAAGATGTCTCGGCATTTCTCGACATGTTCGATGACAGCAGTGTCGTTGGAGTACCACATCGACGTAAAGAAGTACCAGGCTGTGACATGCTTGTACAACAAGTCGTGTTCTTTGCGGCACCTACGACGGAGACACGTAGAGTACGTCAGTGTCAAGTCCCGTACTTATACGAAATGCAGTGGGACACATACTGAAGAAGCAACTCGCAAAATTTCGGCCTTGGTACGTTTCCTGGGGACACCCGAAGTAGAATCATCTCTGCAGCGAGCAGGAATGACATGGCGAGCTCGAGCTTGGCTCCTGCCGTGTTGAAGTTGATGATGCTGGTGTGCTGGTTATAGGAGATAAAGCTCATGGTGATGAAGAGGTCAACGATGAACTTGTTGGTGAAGCTGCGTAGTCAACGTCACCCAGGACTGGTGCTAGAAGGAGAGGGGGGGTGGGGGGTTGCTGTTTGGAAACCTGATCCATGCTCCTTTAAGTAAGTGGGAGAGCAAATGATAGTCTGAGCTGATTACTGGCAAGTGTACTGTACAATGAGACTGGTGCAAAGTGATCCCTCCATTTATACTGTCCTGCTTGACGCCCAAACAGCGGGCGCTTACGGGTGATACACAAGGATACACAGGCCGCTGGGAGTCGTGTAGCTGTATCATTCGAACCATACTGATAATAAGAACTACTGATGGAACATTTGCTGTTCTAACATGAACACCGCCGAGATTGATCCTTGGAGCATACACGTGTCCTATAGAAACTTGTCACCACGGTACTTACGTACGGACAACGCTACGGTAATTTAGAGCAAGGCAGTGCGAAGCTGTTCATATCCGTCCTATACCACTAATAAGCCTACCAATCATTACTACGTCCAGTATAAGTGATCAGGCTTCAAGGGTGTATTGTTCGACTGGCCCGGAAAAGCTGGTCTTGGTTTTACAGGATGTTACCGGAGCAATATCATTTAGAGCGCACAAGATGTTAGAGGCCCCACGTCTTCGCCTTACTTTGCATATTTGACAAGTTACACGTCCAAGGGTGCAATGGTAATGAATCCGACACAGCGTGCTGAATTCAGAACTTTTCAAACAAATCGTGCACCAGCGGCACCATGCATCGCGTGAATGCGATAGGAGAGATACCACGTTTGAGACTCACGAGACAGTTCACCTTGAGCAGGAACAACAGAAGCTTGCCACCCGTGGATAGGAATCCAGCGAAAGAAGCTCTGCTAATTGACGTGATGCCCTCTGAAAGAAGCAGTGTAAATCGTTCTGTTCCAGAAGAATAGGAAAGGCAAGTCAGCGATGCAATCGAGGGCTATACGAGCGCTGATTGTGTGTGGCAAGGTAAGACGAGAAGCAAGGCAAATGCACATACCACAGATAATCAGAAGACGTCGGAAGAAGTCGCTTGGCGCGTATGCACACAGGGATACCACAGGAAATACGTGAGGAAGCGAGCTCAAGACACGAGGAAAAGCCATACAACATCTTGAGGATGCGTTAACGCGACCGCCTCAGTGCGCAGCCAATCATCTTCCGATCATAATCCTGCGTCTGCACCGCGAATAGAAGTTTCTGTGGATTTCTACGTTCTGTTAAAGTGCGATTTCCAGTGCGACGTGGTGTACAGGGTACATGGAACGTTCGCTCCACCTAGTCCGTGGCGGTCGCCATGTTCAAACTTTAGTCTTTGCGAGGTTCGCCGGATCGACAGTGAAATGCAGTACTGCTGGAGAGTGCGCACGGCAAGTGCACGTGGGCAACCTCGAGGCTCGTGAATGCGAGGTGCTGGGACTCAACGTTGCTGTATAACCCGATGCTGGACTCTGGGATAGCTGAGTTCTAGAATCGTGGGCTATGTTGTCCAAGATTAGAAGGGGTACTAGGAGGATAGGGTAGCGACATCCGAGAGCGCCTTGATACCTGTCCTTGACGCGATCTATGGCAAATTTTCAGCCTCAAGGGACGGAACTTCCTTAAGTGTGACCAATTTGAGGGTGTACTACGTGGGGCGCATTAGTCACGTATCCCATTATGCTAAAATATGCTAAGGAAGTCATACCACTACATAAGTCAAAACTGGGTTCACGTCGAATGGAAGGCGAAGGCGAGTGTTGTATATACTCGCGAGGTTGCCGGCGAGATCGCCATGGGGCAGTGAGGGCGATGGATGGCGCGGGTGGTATTTCAACCAGAATGGGGGTGATTTTCACCTATTGATGACGACATGATCGAGCATGGAAACGCACCTAGGTATTTTCACCCGGATTCTGGGTGAAAGAAGATTCGACTCTCATTCACCCATTTCCCGTTTTCACCCCCATTCCGGGTGAATGTGCTTTTTCATCTTGGCGGGTGGGTGAATTTCCCCTGTTTCCCTTTTCACAGTGGCGCATCTTTGGGTCTGCGGGTCGACTATGTCATGTTCAAGATGCATCTTCAGGGATACCCCAGACAAAACAGTGTCAGGCAGTACCATTGATGCTGAATTACGTAGTTTCTATTAATACAAGAACTATTGAAGGCGATTTTCTCTTGTAAATAGCACTTTTGCACCTGATGCACTTTCATTGTGCTCGGGACTACAGTCGCACCATTAGTATAATTCTACTACAAATCCTTAACAGATTTTGTTGTCCTTGTTACGGGGTTCGAACTGGTCTAGGAACCAAAACTGGGTTCGGGAAACTGCTTGTCCCTGGAAACCAACTCGGACGGAACCGAGGGCATTCTTGGTTCGGTTCACGGTTCCAAACCGTTGGCCGCCCGAACCGCGGCAACACTAGGCAAAGTGAGCGATGAGCATTTAGAGAACAGGCTTGGAACAACTGCTTGAGGCTAGCTGAAAAAAAAATTGGACGAGGCATTATTGAGAATTATTCTTGCGATCAAATGTAAATTAGGGTCCAAGAAGATGGATGTTACCGATGAGCGCTAGCTGAGAGAGACAAGCGCAAGAGAGCGCAGGGGTACGACGAGAGAAGCAAGTTAGTCGATGTCCGACGCAAGTCCGACGGTGACCGGCGACCGGTGAACTCGAGGAAGTGAGGTGGCGGTGCCCCACGTGAGAATACCGGAATCATATGCGTCTGACGTCGAGGCTCGACCTCCTCCACACCGGTCAGACCTGCACACGACTGCCCTATACACGTTACGACTTGGACCCCGCATGTCCGATGCGACAAAGAAGCAACCTCTAAAGCCCAAGATTCTCCAGATGCCCCACCACCCACCTGCGCCTTCTGTCGGCCAGGCAAGCCTCGCAGCCGCCGCAGACGCACCACCTCCTCAAGCGCCCTCTCTCCTCGAGTTCGTCAGCACCGTGCCCCCACCCCTCGCTGCGGAGCTCATTGCGCTCGCGCCGTACATCCATGCGTTCAAGCGCTTCGTGCAGATTCTTAGTTGGCAGACGACGTGGGACGAGAGCTGGCTCATGGTCGCCTCTTGGTGGGCGTTTTGTCTCCTTTCCGAGCCGCTCCTCAGGTCAGTCTGGTGTTATGTTTTCATCCCAACAAGATATCTGATGCCAACGACAGGTACTTTCTACCCATAGCCCTCGTCTTTGTCCTCGTCGTCCGCCGCTGGACAGCCTCGGCGCACCGCCCGCCCTTGAGCTCGTCCAACTCCGGAGCATCCTCGACATCCGTCGCCTCCGAAGCGACCATCCAAGGCCTCACCGCCGACCTCGCCTTCATCCGCTCTGTCCTCCTCTCCACTCCCTCCCTCACCCTCTTCTCCTCGCCTTCGCTCACCGCCCCCACGATCCTACGCGTCGCCCTCCTGCTCTACGCGCCCTACCTCATCCTCACGTACTTCGTGCCCCTCCGCATCGTCGTCGGCATCGCCGGCACACTGCTCCTCTCGCACCGCGCCCGGTGGGCACGCACAATCCACAGCACCCTCACGCGCTCCGCACACGTCCGCTGGGCCACCTACCGCGCCTGGTCCGCGCTCAGCGGTGTCCCCCTCCCGCCACCCACATCGCCCGCACGACCGCCTTCATCCATCACACTGTCGTCCTTCACCGCCTCCGACAGCAGCAGCCGCCCAGCCTCAATCGCCCTCGCCGCAAACGACGCAAACAGCGTATCGCCCGCGCCGCCGCTGCGCTTCCTGTTCACGGTGTACGAGAACCAGCGGTGGTGGATGGGGCTCGACTTTACGGCTGCGCTGCTCCCGAACGAGCGCCCGGCGTGGTGCGGCGCGTCGCACGAGCCGATGGCGCCGCCGGCGGGGTTTGCGCTGCCAGGTGAGACGGTGTCGTATGTGTATGCGGACGAGGCGGTTGTGCGTGCTGCGCAGGCGCAACACCACCAAGATCGAGAGAGAGAACGCGGGAAGGGGAAGGGGGGCGGGAAGGGTGACAGGACGCCGCCTGCGATCGAGTGGCGCGCGCGCGTGAAGCGCACGGCGAGGTGGACGTGGGACGAGCCCGAGTGGCGCGTGGTGGTGAGGCGGGAGGGCGCGTCGGCTGCGTCTGATAGTTCGTCGGGCGTGAGGAGGGTGGAGAAGACGCCGCCGCGGGACGATGGGGGGGCGCAGGAGGGGACGGCGCTGAAGATGCTGCGCGCGGCGCGGGGGAGGGATTCGTCGATAGGCGGGGGAGGGGCGGGGGAGAGTCCGGAGCGGGGAAGGGCGGGCGGGGCGGATGGGGACGGGGCGGAGAGTTTGGAGATGGGGGTGCAGGAGGGCGAGATTGAGGAACCGATGACGGATGCGGAGGGGTGGGTGTATGGGGATAATAAGTGGGAGGGTGCGAGCAGTAAGGGCGGGATGGGCAAGGTGCGTCGCCGTGTTGTGATATCCTTCTCGCTGGCTAACTGGTGGTGTAGTACACGCGCTACCGCCGCTGGACACGCATTGCGCTCCTCACCGAGACCGTCGAGCTCGTCGGACCCGGGCCCGTCGGGATCTTCAGGGGCGGCACCGACCCATCACCATCTTCCCCCGTCTCAGCCACATTCTCCGCATCGCCATCCGTCTCTACCTCGTTTCCTCCATCGGCAGCCGCATCGCCTAATAGACCCATCCCATCCACGTCCGCGACGCTCATGTCGCCCGGGAGCACCGCCACCCCCGATTTTTCTTTCTCGGGCGGAACGGCGAGCGGGACGGTGATGTCGCCGACGTCGCCCGCGCGGTCCGGGCGGTCTGTGAGTCCGTCTGGGTCTACGTTGTCGAGTGGGAGTGTGGGGGTGAGGGATAGTGCGTCGTATGCGACTGCGGGCGAGGAGGCGCAGGGTGGTGGTGTGAATGACAAGGAGAAGGAGAAGGAGGGGAAGAGCGGGGGTGCGAGGAATATGTTGAGGCAGCGGTTGAAGGCTGTTGTGGATGGGTCGGGGCATTAGGTCTAGGGATGGGTGGTGGATTTTTGACGTTTTGAGGTTCGAGGCGTATTGTAAGTGTGATACGGCATGTCGGTTTGTCTTGTGTTTTGTTCTTCATGTTTACGCGCTATAATGACCACATTTACGCTATATAGCTATTATCGCGCTCGTCTGTCTTGTTTTGTTGCGAGGAATTTTTTATTGATATGTCATTGTATTTTGAGCGATCTTGTCTCTTAACTAGCTAGGATGGGATCGGTAACTCGAAGAAATTGGTGAAGCCCCTGTCGCGTTGGGCATCTCAGACACGCGACAACGTGCACCGCCACGCCTCCCTCCATGTCCACCACCTCCCAGGCCAGCGTGTCCAAGACAGAACAACACCTCCGCTCTCTCCGCTTCCTCTCCTGGTCGTCCCGCCTGCTCATATGGTCCCTCATATCCGCCTCAGCGCTCCTTTTCCCCCTCTTTGACGCCTCGCCAAAGCTTGTAATATCTGACGGCGACGCATGGACGACCAAGGGCGCAAGCGCGCTCCTGCGCTGGGACGCCTTCCACTTCCTGCACATCGCCGACGCGGGATACGTCTACGAGCACGAATGGGCGTTCTTCCCCGGCGCGCCCGCGCTCATGCGGCTCTCCGGCGCGCTCCTCGCGCGCGTCTTCGGCGCGGTGTCCTCCGCCTCGCCGCAGAACGCGCGGCTGCTCGCGATGATGCACGGCGGCGCGCTGCTCGGCGCGCTGCTCGATGCGCGGTGCGGTGTGCTGCTGTACGAGCTTACGCTGCACCATTTTGGATCGTCGGGGTTCGCGTATGTGAGTGCGCTGTTGGGGCTGGTGGGGAGTAGTCCTGCGGCGCTGCGGTATGCGGCGTATACGGAGCCGTTTTTTGCGTATTTCTCGTTCAAGGGGATGTTGTGCTGTGCGAGGAAGCGGTGGGTCCGTGCGGCGGCGTGCTTTGCGTGTGCGGGTGCACTGAGGTCGAATGGGGTGTTGCTTGCGGGGTTCGTGGGGTGGGGGATGGTGGGCGAGGTGGTGGTGAGCGGGCGGGGGCGTGAGGTGAGTGGGTTGAGCGTCGCCGTCGTCGTCTTGTGGCTATCTGACCGGCGCTGCGTAGTTAACGCCCTCTCGCATCGCATACGCGGCCCTCTTAACGGCTCTCCCGTTCGCCCCGTTCGTGTGGCACAACTACGCCGCCTACGTGCTATTCTGCGCGTCACCCTCTAGCCGTGAACCTACCGCTGAGTGGTGCACGCGCACGATTCCCTCGATCTACGGATACGTCCAGGACCGATACTGGAACGTCGGCTTCCTGCGCTACTGGACGCTCTCGAACGCGCCCAACTTCCTCCTCGCGCTCCCGGCGCTCGTCCCCGTGCTCGCGTTCTGCATGTCCTATCTGCGCGGCGTGGCTCGTATCCTGCTGCAGCCCGTACCCGCACAGTCCAAACGCAACGACACGCCTTCCCCTTCCCCGCTCGCCTCCCTCCGCGCCTTCTTCACCGACCCCCACCCGCGCCCCACAGACCCCTTCATCCGCCCCTCACTCCTCCCACACGTCCTCCACGCCCTCGCCCTCTCGCTGACCCTCCTCTTCGCCGCACACACGCAGATCGCACTGCGCGTCCTCCCCACCGTCCCCCTCGCGCACTGGGCGCTCGCGTGGGCGCTCACACGGCTCCCGCGGCGGTGCGGCAGGGTGCTGCTCGCGTGGTACGTGTGCTGGGCGCTTTGTGCGTGTGTGCTCTGGGCGGTGTTTTTGCCGCCTGCGTGAGCCTCGGCTCGGATTGTGAGGATTTCGGATTAATTTTTTTTTTCCTTTTCCTTTCCCGTGGAGGATGGGCTTTGCGGTGCCGCTGCTGGGGTAGATGGGGAGATGCGCATGGCAGATCGGAGACGATGACAGGAGGGATGGAAGGTTGGCCTAGGTGAGTTTCGGGTTCGAGTGCCCTCGTTGGCCGCTCGGAGAGGTCTTGTGTCTTGGATCGTAACGGCTAGACAAGGCTGCGACAAATGGGAATATTGCCGCTTGCGGGTACATGCATCATTTGACGATCTGCGTTGCTCGAATGAGGGGGCAGGAGCGACTCTTCGTCTGCGAGACCATGCGGATACGCGAAGCCCGAAGCACGGTACAGGCCTTGTGATAGCCGACGATCCTCCTGTACGCCTCATGAGTGTGTTTTCGTTTCTCGATTTCTCGCGGACACTAGGACGGTAGGTGTGAGGAAAGGGTCCTTCGTGTCCGTGATCCTCCGATGACCCCTCTCGTTTTCCTTATGCGGGCTAAATGGTGGATCACCTGTGCTGTTGCTGGTTGGTGGGTGGGTGGAAGAACACGAAAGCAGCTGAAGAACTGGCGAATTTGTTCCATTTCTCCTGGCAGCGTGCATTGAGCACCGTTTTACGCATTCAGACGCGAGCGTGGTCATGGCGGTATAAAGAGGCTCAGGTATGAGCCAGATATCCTCAGCTCCTCCGCTTGAACGAATACACACTACAACCAGTCAGTCGAGCCTCGCTCACTCCTTCTGCTGCTTCCCTCTCCCTTTATCAGTTGCTGACTGCAGTCTGCAGACTTCTCTACAAACCATACGATATGTCAGGCAAACCGACCAAGGAAGACTCTAAACGCATTCAGAGCGACACTGTCAGCATTTTTCTCCTGCATCTTCGATGGATCATCGCTGACTTTGTACAATCATTGTAGGACAAGAGGAACACAAACCAGGATTTCAGCCAGCGTATCCAACGTATCGTGGACAAGAACGATAACGCTAACGCTGGCCAGACCAACCCAGCTGGTAACACGAACTCAGGCAAGAAGTAGAGGCAACTCTTGTTTTGTATGAATACGATACATGTGACGAGATATAGCAAGTGCAATGTAAACCGTTTTTGAAGGGCGAAACCAGCATTGATTAAGCCGCTAGGGGTTTCCTCCTTTGAAACAATACAGGCTTTGCAACGGACGCGACGTCTCTGTTGCTTTCGGGTGAACGCGTCATAACAAAATCAAATGTCATTAGAATTAAACATCAAAAGCAAATTAAAGCTACACGCATGAAAGAAGCTAGCGAAACACGTCTATTATACCGTCTATCATTACCATCGCCACATCTACAGCGCCTCCACCGCGCCCTCCCACCCCCTCCGCACCGCAGCAACGCACGGGAACACCACAGGCGTTCTCGCATTCGCATCGTGCATCTCCACCTTCGCATTGATACTACTTTTATCCACTGGGGAAACATCGAACGCGGCGAGCACCCCCGCCATCGCGATCCACAGCGCGTTCTCCGCGACGAACCGCCCGGGGCACCGGCGCCGCCCGAAGCCAAACACGGGGCTGTTCGCGATGTCGGCGGGCGACGCGGTTGGGAGGAGCGTCCCGCAGGACGCGAGATGGCGCGTCGGGTCGAATGCCTCCGTGTCGGAGTCGGCGCGGGACCATTTAGGGTCGGAGCGCACCATGTGCCTATTGTGATGATGATGATGATCGACTGATCAGTGGGCTCAGCCGGCTAAGAAAGGGGAGGGGCGCGCGTACCATGTGTTGGGTAGGACGAGCGTTCCTTTCGGGATGAAGTACCCGTTGTACACGTCGTCTGCAGACGTCGAGTGAGGCAATGCTGTGAAGTAATTTTTTTGTCGTTAAGGTTTTGGCTCGTCCTGGGCGCACCATAAAGAAAACAAGGCAGCGTACCTAGCGGCAGGATGACGTACATCCTGAGTACCTCACGCAGGACAGCTTCCACGTAGGGAAGCTTGGGTCGGTCCGCGAACGTCGGCAGGTTTCCGGCTCCAAGCTGGGCGTCGATCTCGGCCTGTGCTCGTTTTTGCACGTCGGGACGGGTTACGATAGTAAGGAAAAATGCCATAAGCAAGGAAGTAGTCTGCGCAGATGATTTAAAGTCAGTATTTTGCGCTCTTGGCTCCTGGAAAGGCATTAAACGCACCGTCTCGAATCCCGCTGGAATGGAGGGAAATACGTCAGAAAGTAAGGAATTAGACTCGCATAGTGACAAACCGATGAACATCGTCGCTGCGACGTCTTTGAGGACCTTGGCGTACTCGGCGTCGCTGACGGATGCATCTCCCTTCGCTTGGAGCAGATCTCCTACCAACGAGGGAGGGAGGGTTTTCCCTGATGCCTACACGTGCGTACCAGTATTAATGGCACCGCCTTGACAATCTCAGAATTTTTTCGTGACTCACCAGCTGCTCCTTCACCCAAGCAAACGGCTCTTTGCGGCACGCCTCCATAAGCTCCCGCGTCCTCTGCGCGTCTCTCTGCCAGATGGCGCGGGGGAACCACGGAGGAATTCTTTGCACTAAATCACTGATTAATTAGCCGTGATCTGCGCTGTCACCAGAAAGGAAGCGCGCACGGATCGGAAACGCAGACATGAGGACTGCCCTCGCCGGGGCCATGCCCTGGCGGAGCTGATCGACCAGCTCGATCATCGGCTTGCAGAACGCATTGTCTTGCGCCGATACAGCCTCGTAGCCATATGTCAGCGCCGTGATCGCCGACGCTGTGAAGCTAGCGGAGATGAGGAATATAAGTTAGGGTGATCAAGAGTTGATAAAATCTCGGCATACTTTCTAAGGTGATCGTCGAAGTTGAAGGGGCTCATGTGGAGCTCTGCGAGGAGCTGGTGGCTCCTCTGTACTTGGGAGCGCTGATATGAGGAGGTTGCGTCGCGCTTGAGGACGCGACACAGAAGCCTAGCGTGCATCTTGAAGTCGCTGCCGTATGGCAGCGATGATGTTGAGGCGCCAATTCCAGAGCTGTTATTGTACATACAGCGTGAATATCATGTAAAGCGGTCCGTGAACTGCCACTTACTATTCGTAATGAGACAGCTGCGGTCGGTCAGAGTAAATGTGGGAGCGCTTGTCGAGAAGCTCGCGTGCAACACGCTCAGAGTTGATGATTAGCACAGGTTTACCTGCGAGGGAGCAGAACACGAGGTCTCCTGTGATTATATGCGCGCATATAGTCAGCTCAATGATGTACGTGAAGATATAAAGGGAGCGGACCGTAACGAGTGCCCCATTCCGCGAATGTCTCCCAAGGGCGCGAGTGCATCAAACTGAGAACGCTGCCGAGCACCGGAATGCCCTTGGGTCCAGGCGGGTTTTTGAGAGTTGGTTTCGAGGCTACAAGTTTCTTGAGGAACAAGCGGATCATGATGAGGATACATGCGGCCGTGCACCACTGGAAGCCCTTGAAGAAGGACATCATAGCAGTGTGAGTCGTGAAAATCGTCGGGAGGGGTGTCATGAAAGTCATGGCGTCTTGGAGTGAAAAAGGTGTGCGGTGAGCGTCAGCCCACTTATATATCATACCACGGGCAGAGCTTGACGTGGCTGGGCTCCGATTTCGTCACTCTCGACGGGGACACCGCATTGAGTGTAAGGAACATAGGGGTGCACGCCCTGTGGACTCGGAGGATGTGTAGCCGAGAAGTAGAGTTACGAACCTGAGGCAAGGAACAGATTCTTCATCTACGCGTTGTTCCGTGGCCAAGGTTACCTGAATCGGACGCTTAATTTTCTCAGGAGCGCTCACAACAATGTCGCTCAGTCATCAGAGGGTGCTATCTGCGGCAGACGGAGAATGGAGGGCGGTATTTCCTGAGATGCCGCTGCAGGATCCGAAGGCTGAGCCTGCAAGACATTAGGTGAAGTGATTCCGCGAAAACAATAACAAGAAGAGATTACCGTGGTTTTTTTTGCGCCACAGCCAACGCACCAGTGACTCCGAGGCTGTTTCCTTGCGTGTTTGTAGCATATGTACAAAGTGCTTCCGGTGATCGCTGTGACTTGTTGCCATGTGCATCCCACGTGGAATTGACACTCTTCGGTCAGGGTCGCGGGGATCTTGACATGACATGGCAAGTCAATCTTGCAAACAGATCTTCGTTTGGAACGCACCACGGTCATTGGCTGCTGGAGATCCAACCATGGCGACAGACGCTGACACACGTCGAGATGTGCAGAGCTCAAAATCCACGATCAGCGAGGAAGCAGATGCATGCTGTCACTGGCGCTGTCGACGCTGTCGGAAGCAACAGACGGGGTGCAAGAAAGTGGGTAAGAAAAGAAGTTAGTCAGCTTTACTCACGCTTGTCAATCCGGAGCCAAATGTCTGCCATGACAACATTCAAATTAATTCTTTACTTTTTGAACTCGACCATGCACAAACATCGCATCCGACTTGTTCATCGCTGCATCACGCTCTCTTCAGTTCATATTCAGCTCTCCTAAGCAACCCACTCAAACAGATTGGCTGTTGTGAGCTTCTATTATTGGAGTATCCGGGAAATGAACGCTATCGCCATGTCATCAGCTGGATTACATCACACAAAGTAGTTTACTATGATGGCTATGACAAACCCAAACTTGGTATAGTATGCGTGACGAACTACTACAATCGGTCTGGTGATATTACGGAGTATCTATAATAGGACACACAATATGACGGGGGTTCATCATAAGTTTTCGTGTATTGTAGTAAACTACAGTTTCTCCCAGAAACCCACAGACACTGCTATAGACGATCTACCGATGTGTCAATTTTATTATAACCGTGTATAGGTTGATTGGGTTCTTGTAGTCGAACAATGGCAGCCTACAGCGTGTTGTAGCAGGCGTGAATACGGGGTATATTGACGTGTACACTACTGTTATGGTATAGACATGCTTTTATTTTGTTTTACGTGACGTAGGGGTTACAGGTGCGTTCGGGCGCCTGCTTCAGTTTTTTTGCTTAGCCTTTTGCTCGCAGCCGGGCTTGTGGAGAAGACGCCTTGACCAGAGCGCATGTCCATCAGAGCTCGGCCGCGGGCGGCTAAGCTCAACATTGGCATTTTGGGGCCCAAATGGGGCCTGTGCGAGGGTTTGCGGAACGGGGCACTTGCGCCCACCTCCGGAAGTGACATGAGAGGAGAGAGTGAGAGACGCGCTCGCGTCCGCGACAAATATAAAAGCGGAGTTTAAAGTTATGACCAAGCAGAGCCAAATAAAGCATGTCGCCCCTACTACTATTCAATAATACGACGCAGTGGCTGCGTTCCCCTGCAATGATGTCAGACAAAGACACCGACGTGTATGTACAACATGTCGGCAGCTCCCTCCACAGTAGTTACTAGAATAGCTGAGATCGTAGATTACAAAATGAAGATACTAAAGTGGTCCAAATCCCACACTCTGCAAAAGCTGTTCGTCCTCACCTGGAGCTTCGTCCTCTCCAAGCTGCTCATCTTCATCTTGTTCCTCTTCCATGTCATACCAGCTGCCTTCCTCCTCTGGGTCTGTATCGGCATTTTTTGTATCATCTCTGCTTACCTCATCATCAGAATAAACCTCCTCCTGCTCAACTATGGGCCTGTCTGCTTGGAGATGACCCTCCCACTTCCGAGACAGCATGTGGCCAACACCGCCACCTAGGAAACGCATGAACATGTCCCGGTCAACAAAGCTGTAAATAAGATTAGTTTAGTGGATGAAATATACGAATTTGAAGTTTACTCACATGCCCACATAGTAATACTTCCACTCATTGTTTGCCTCAGGGGCTACAGATCCAAAATGCAAGCAACTGATGTCAGAGGGGATTGAAGGCCCTGGAGATCGACCTCTCTTGAAGGCAGGGATGAGGTGGATGCCCCGCACGATTGTAGATGGGTCAATAAAGTCCCAGCATTCCGAAGAGCTCAGAGGATGGAAAGAAACCCGTGGAAGTCGGCGAGCTGCAAATATACTTTGGTACCGAGAATTTCGGTGGAGCCACCGAACCAGAACAATGTTTATGCGTCGAAGTGAGGTTGGATCCTCTTGTCGAAAGCGAACTTTGAGATGAAATATGTAGGTGACTCGAGCGTACCAGTATGGGTGAACACCAGCATCGCTTGGCGAGTCCTGAGACATGACCATTATATCTGCACGCGATCGTGGGTTAATAGTGTCCTGTTTGCGCCTCAGATCGTAAGTTGTGTAATTGACATGTAGTGTTTTGTGCTCGTAGACCTTGTTCTTGCTGATAACGAGTGAACTAAGCTGCTCAGAGCTATAGTCGGCGTCAGGAAAAGTGTCATAAGGAGGCAGGTCAAGATCTTCGGGCACATCATTCTGTTCACGAAGGCGATCAAGGATGTGTGTCTTGAGACACTTCATGAATTCCTTGTGTCCAGAATATTGATCAGTTGCTGTAGATGGCATTCTGTGTGCAACTCACTTCTTTATCAGCTCCCAAAGACTGGTGAACCGCGTTCATGAGATCACGAACAGTGATGTTTTGGCTCTGAGACCTTTTCGATATCCAATAGCGCTGTGAAGGGTCGCTTTTTGAAGATTCACTGGCTGTGGTATTGGGCTGAGGAGCTGGGGAGGAATGGTGCTGTCTTGCTGTTTGTTCAAGGTATTTACATAGTTTTCTGACATAGCGAGCACGAGACTCGATCCGGGTCAGGGACTTGATCATGGTGTCATGCTTTTTGGGGGTGTGAGGATAACGACTTTTGGATGTGCGATGCTCTTGCTCGCCCTGAACAGCCAAGGTCAGTACATGATACATACTGAAAATAGGGATATGAGCTCACCAACTGCGATGTGTAGTTGTCAACCGATCCAAGAAGGCGGACCATTGCTGGATAATCACCAAGTGCATGGTATTTGTACGTCTTGAGGTTCAAGACCTTGCGCTTTTTGCCAGATACCTGATGTACTCCCTGGCGTGTTTCTCTCCGACCACGAGCTGCAGTTTCTGGAGGCAATTCACAGGTGTCATAATCGGGACAAACCTCATGCTGAAACTGGCGCATTAATCTGCCCAATTCAGCAGTTGACACATCAAACACCTTGAGGGTATCATCTGTGTGGAGACGAAGTTTGGCAAGAGCATGCCAGGTAGCGAGCTCAAAGAGTAGATCAGAAATGACTCTCCGGTGTGATTTGTCTGGAAACACCGACTCAAATACTGGGATGGCGCACTGCACAATGTTCATCCTATGAGAAAAACTGAACTCCATAGGTGTAAATCCTTACCTGGACCAAATCTTCAAAATCACGCGCAGCGAGTCGTTTCATCCCGCACGCATTCTTGTGAAATCTACGAATCGTACCCCGTCCAAATGTAGGAGTTTTACGATAGCTTTACATAGTCAATGCATGAGACCACATTGAAAGAATTGAACATACCGGTCATTTACTTTCTGAACTGCAGAGCCTCCGATGGCCAAAAGTATCCTGACCAAGTGGGTGAAAACTGCCTTCCATACACCGAGCTCGAACTCGTGGAGGAGGTCTACAGGAAATAGGGAGAAGAAGTTGACGTTCTCTTCCAGCAGAAATTCGGAAAAAGTGTTCTGTATATCACAAAGTTAATCAAAGCAAGGAGGCGAGATCATTAGTAACACACCACTGTGGGTACACCTGATTCTTCCTCGAGCAATGATTGAACTTGACGGGAATTGACTGCACATCCTTTTCTGAACATCCAATCACGAGCCATCCTCACAAGGTTTTGACGCTGAGCAGAGTCGGTACGCAAGTTCTGACGATGCTGCATATCACGTCTCGTTCCCATATCTGCAACGTGAATTTTAAGTATCAGGCAGCGTGGGCATGGGGTTTTCCCTAGAAACTTGATAGTGCAGAGTAAAATCCTATGGAAACATGAGTGTTAATGACACAAGATTACTGGCCACGTACTTTTCTGGGTAATCAGCAGAATATGTCACAAATCGAATCATCCCTCAACGCTTGATCCCATCGCCGCAAGTAGTGACTATGCCCTCTCTGTACGCACGCCGGAACCCCTCATCGTGAAGCAGCAGCTCCCAAACCTTCTGGAAGAGCTCTCGCTTGAGGTGTGTATGGACATCTTTTGAGGGCGGTTTCCCAAAGATGTCTGTGTACGTATTTTGCCAGCCATCTGGAAGCTGGTAAAGGTAGTTCAGTCTGGTTATTATAGACAGACTCGGAGAGTGTACTTACACTTGGAATATACGCAACATGGTGACAGGATTGTGACGATGGCTTGCCACGGACATACTTTGACTGATTGCCCAGGAAAAGATATACAGGCCACAGCGATGCCTCCCCAAAGTTTGTGAGGAGTGTTGCATCCGACCAGATCATGAGGGGTATGACAATTCGTTCCAGGTCATCACCAGGAGACCTTGGAGCTGTGTTTATGTCGTTGTACGCGTCAATGACAGTTTGAGAGCTGTACATCTCCGAGTATATCCTGATGTCCCGGTTGTCATATGTCTTCCAGCGCTGCTCGAATGGTGTCGTGTTATATGTAGAGAAAATGGGATCCTCAACCGCATATTTGACAATGTCAGCTATATTGCGATGCCACACACCCTCAATAGTGAGTTTTGGGGCTCTAAGCTCGCCTCCCTGCATCTGTCGACCCTCAAAAGGTAGTGGAATCTCGATGGAGGACTCTTGCCAGCCATATCCTTCGCGAAAAGCATTGTCACCTGCTCGGAGAAACTTGTTGAGGTGTTCCTTCTCGCCATCAGGATCGTATGCATCCAGTTCTATTTCTGAGTATAGAGGATGCTGGAGTAGGGATTTAACCACCGTGCGTCAGCCGCTGATTTGGTTTTAGATCCACCCTCCAAGTACGTGTACATGATCCCACATGTGGGATTTGAGAACGGAGCCATCACTTCGTCAGAGTCTAAGTCGGCAGGAGATGGTGCACCAGATGATATGAGACTGGTAGTTCGCTGTGGAGCTGAACTTGATTCGAGTAAGGGTGCATCTGAGACACTCATGAGTGTGTCACAGTGGACTTGTATTGGTTTGGCCTGGTAAATGCGATAGAGACCAAACTCGTTGGGACTAGTCGTGTACTTGGTCATAAAGTCGTGAGCAGGCTGCTCTGGGGAGGGTGAATGAGAAGTAGGCAGCCCCAGTGGGGTATCTGGGTCTATCCGGCCGAGATTCTCTTGAGTAGACGCTGGAGCTTGAGCAAGCTCAACAGAAGGAGAAGGAATCGTGTCATTAAAGCGTTCAGGCCTGCCTAAACTGCGTCTAGATGGCCTAGATACATGTACCTACATATCAAGAGCAATTGAGGAGGAAGTTCAGACCATGTAGTAGGTCTCGGAGTGTGATGTAGACGTACAGATTGAGCAGATGACTGCTCGGCTTCCTCAACATCTACAAGCTCGAGATCCCCAACTCCAATACTGTCATCTATCCCTTCAAACACCTCCTCAGGCACAGGATTTGACTCTCCTGCTTGTGGGGACCTGATGCGACGATGTTTAAGTGAACATTCATGCTCTTCTGCTGCTTGGTAGAGCGCCTCTCTGGCTGATATGACCTTCTGGCAGTTTCTTTCGTGAACATGGAGGTCTCGCTTGGTGAGAAATACCTCTTTGCAGAGGTTTCCCTTGCATTGATGGAGTTTTGGCATGGAGAGGTGGAAGGGGGTTGTATTGGGGCAAGACAGCGTCTGAATGCAAGCCAAAGCAAGTATGCGCACGTTGCACGCAGCACTCGGGCAACTCGGCAAAGTGCAGTGGCTCAGGCCCGGGGAAGCAGCCTCGGCACGGAATCTATCTTAATTTAGCCCACCGAGGTCACCCTTTCCAAAATTGGAGGACTGTGGGAAAAAGAACAGCTGCGTTCGCGTTGTGTCACAAGCGGATGTGTTTTGATCTGTCTTTCTTTCTCCTACCACCACCACCACACCCTCCCCTCGATACGTCCATGGCATGGGAAAAACGGAAGGCCTCACGTTCACCAAGTTGTCCATCCCACAAAAAGCACAAGAGTGGTGATACCCAGAAAACCCTCAAGGCCCCCTCCCCTCTGAAGCCTTCAAAAGGATCGCATCAACGCAAGGCTGTCGCACGTAAGAAACCAAAAACGCGTGCCACTGTTGGTCCCATCAAGAGTAAAAGGTGACTGTTTGTATTTTCTGAGATCCTGTTGTGAACTGACTCGTTCATGACAGCCTTTCAGTCCAGTGCCTTCGCCTTGGTCGGGTTCTTGCTCGTACTGGCAGCTCTTTCTCTGATGTTGATACTGTCCTCCAACTTGGAGTCTATCGCTCCTTGAAGGGTGCTGGTGCCTATGGTGATCTCTCTGCGTCGTCAGAGATCAAACAGAGCTGGAAAGAGTTGTGAGTTTGCTTTTGTTTGTCTCTTTGTGCGTCTACTGATTATATGCGCTCCTTGAAGGAGCAAAGGCTGGAGGAAATGGCATGTCTTCATCTATGACTTTGTCAAGGAGCATTGTCCCGCAATATTTGCCCTCCTCAAACGCGCCAACTGCCTCCAGGAGCTTCAGAGCTGCGTTGAGGATGTAGGTTTCTTCTCGTAAGTGCACATATATTCACTGATTATATGCCTTCAGATTCGCAGAGTCATCGGCCGCACGCGAAACGAGGACTACGGCTCATGCAAAGCAAACTTTTGCCTCTGGGCTGCTGACGACCCCGACTACCCTATACAGTCTTTAGTTGGAGCCGGCTCTTCGCGAGATGACATGGGGTTCAATCATGACAAGCTCGCACGTCTGCTCCGCCCTGCCATCTACCTGCAGGAGTTTGATGAGAATCCGGCCGAGTGAGTTTGAATTGGTCAAATCGCCCGCATATACTGACCAGAACCTCTTCGTAATAGAGTTGCTCGTCAGATGGCAGAAGGTACAGGCGATTGGGAAGTCACGGCTGACTGGTTTCCCGCGTTTGTCTGGAAGGACTGTGCATACAACCCCAACAATGTAGGTGAAGGAATGTTCGAGCACCCTGTCTTTTTGCGCGTGAGTCTTTCCTTTTGTTTTCGTCTTTTAATTCTAATCTTTGGGCGCTTCAGGCCTTGAAGCGTGTTTTCCTTGGCCCGCAGGCTGCAACTGCTAAGAAACGCCGTGCTGTGAAGCAGCGCAGCAATGCAGCTCTCATGGAGACGTTCACGGTGCGTCCGGAGCACATAGCATATATATACATTGGTGTAAGTTGTTCACTATCATATCCTACATGCGTCTAACATGCATATATAGCTACGGTTCGCCCCGAGTCAGCAACCCCAGTGGGGAGTGACTGCTGATGGCGAGTTTGTCTGGGAAGATGCTCACAACAACTTGCTGGAGTTCCTCTGGCGCCAGCAAAACAAACCCTTTGTTGAGGCACTCATCAAGTGGTTCAACATGTTCGTCTATCTCTCTTCATCATACTGCTAAACTAACACTTTATTTAGTGAGATCTTTGGACATCCGAAAGGGCGGCGACTTGGCCGCTCTTCTCGTGCGGATTCCGACAAGAATGGCACAAAATCGAAGCGTGGGGACTTGTTCCTTTTGGCGGCCCAGCTCGAAGCTGCCTCCTCTGAGGCTGCTGGCGACGCGACCACGGACATCAAGATGCAAGGTAAGGACCTTGATGTTGACGTTGATCAACCCGCCACAGTTGAAGCCGAGCTCGAAAGGTTTTCATCCGAGGTACGTGTCATTATTGTAATCGACGACATGTTTATTAAACAACTCTCACTGTCCTAGTTAAATCGCTCTGCCCGTGTCAACGCTGCCGAGCCCTCCATCTGCGTCAGCAAGCCCTCTTCAACGTCGGAGCCATGGTCCACTTCACACAAGCCCCAGCCTCCAAAGCGATGCCCCAAGCCTTCACAGGCGACCACGAAGGCTAATGCAGACGACAATCGCAAGAACGTGCAGGTCAGCAGCTCGTCATCGTCATCAAGTTCCGATGATGAAGAGAATGGCGCACCTGAAGACTCAAAGGATAACACCGATGAGGACGAGGAACTCGACAAGGAGCCTGACGAGGACGACGAGCCCGGTGGAGATGGGGAAGCTGACGAGGGTGAAGAGGAGCTTGATGAGGGCGAGGATGAGATTGGTGAGGACGAGGATGACAACGAGGACACGGGCGAGGACACGGATAAAGAGAATGAGGCGCCGGGGCAGGGGATTGATGATAAGGGTAAGCTCACCTTCCCCGGATCATCCTCCATACCATGCCGCCTTCGCAAACCGGCAACATTGTGCTCCCCAGTCCCCACTCGTGCACAGGCTCCTCGTGCCGTGGCGGTATATGGTCGCGTCCACGCTTCCTCACCGACTCGCAACACCAGACCAAAGCCTCGGAAGGACGACTCGTCCCTCTCCGAGCTGGAGTCGAGCGAGCCGGAGGAGGAAGCGCCTGCACCAAGTACCAAGAAACGCGCTCAGGGCGAGGGCTCTCGTGGACGGCGTGGCCGTTCGCGAACTCGTGGTCATGGGTGAGGCCGTTCGCGAACTCGTGGTCATGGGTGAGGCCGTCATTGATAGCAGACTTTGATGGTATGTACCCCACCTGTTCCCTCGCCGTCCATGACTCTAATATTTCGCAATATTTAGCTCGTATTTGTTCATTTGTCCCCATCATGGACATTTCTTGCCACCACAATGCACTGTATTCCTCAATGTACGTTTCTTGCTACCCCACCTGCACTCTGTATTCTTCAACGGATGTTTCCCGCCATCGCGCTGCACTCTGTATTGCTCAATGACATGTCTTTTGCACGTTCACTTGTACTCATGTGTTGCAACTATGTAATTAACCGTAGCTCACGAAATGGACTAGTATTAATGATGCATAACACTTACAACGCATATGATGAAAGTCGTCAACCATTATAATGCCATGTAGTATTCGCCTGTACCTACATTATTGCTGTATATCTATAGTGTCGAAGATCGAACGCGAGTATAGCTAGGAAGTCTATAACTGCGCAGACTCACCGGGCGTTAGTTGAAGGTTGAGTTAGTAGCTGTTGAGCTGGTAGGCTGACGATGATAGTCGTTCGGGGTAGAAAGACACTGTAGATGATATTCGTGGTAGCGACTGTATATGTATGATAGGAGCGTGTGAAGTCACTACCGTATTCGTAATGCTATATAGTCCTAATCCCACGGTAATGCAGGACGGCTACGTAAGCTATGTACGTGGCTCAGTGCGATGGACGCGGAGCCACACGAATGCATGAATGCGTAAGGCGCTAATACTACCTACTGGAGATACCTAGCGCCTGTGTAGACGTATGAAGGCGGTGTTTACTTGTAGACCTCGTAGAGGAACATCGCCGTACAGGAGGCTTCTGGATGGACCAATAAAGCCGTAAAGGGTCAAATACTAGACGTAATTCTGACATATAGTACCTAAACCAGTTCTGTAGACGTCTACATGAACCGGCTCATGCTATAAGATTCAGAGGTCCTCTACCGTAGTGACGAACCACGGCCCTTTATGACACTCAATACAGCTGCTATAGTACATGATGGTCTCTGTGGGCCGTCTATACTAGAAGCCTACTTTGTGTGATGTAGATGTTCCCAGTGCCTGGTGTTCCTCCCATACTCCTTATCCACGGTAGTTCATACTGTGCTTCGCCAAGACCTGAGCATTTGAAGCTCGGGGAGAATGTCTTCAACGGGCTGCTCTAGTAAAGTCTGGTTTGGTGAGTGATCTTGTCTTTACATCAGGCATTGTCAATGTCAAGGCCAAGTCAAAGCCTTATCGCACACTCTCTTATTGACTTTGATGAAATCAGTCACCGGTGCATTATCTGGCTTTGGGCTCGAAGTCACTAAGGCTGCCCTTGCTCATGGAGATCGCGTCTTCGCAACCCTCCGTAGCCCCTCAGCGCTCGCGGACCTCAAGACCCGGTACTCATCTTCACAGCTGTGTGTCTACCAGCTCGATGTTACTCAAGAGGATAAGATAGGCCCTGCATTTGAACGAGCCGTATCAGACTTTGGGCGTGTCGACGTGGTGTTTAATAATGCGGGCTGTTCCGTCATAGTAGAGGCGGAGGGCATATCGGACGCGCGCGAACGCACGCAGACAATTCGAGGTGATGTTTTGGAGTGCGTCGCACGTCACGCGGGAAGCGGTGCGCACATTCCGGGAGCAGGTTCCGCCTGGAGGGAAGTTGCTGCAGGTCTCATCGAGGACAGCTATCGAAGCGCCGCCAGGTGTTGTTCATTATGCTGCTGCGTACGTCATTGTTTGACATAAACGAGCAGCCATGCTAAGGTACGGGCCGATTGCACAGGAATGCCGGTGAGCTCGATCTTTCTAGTAGCATTGTTCATAAGGTTAACGTTCTCAGCCCTCGAATCCTTGACCGAGGCCTATGCTCAGGAGGTCGACAAGGCCTGGAACATTTGGGTTCGCTACCTCTACGCCTTCATTCTGGCACTGCTAAATCTATATGGCACAGTTCACAATCCTAGAACCCGCGCTGTTCAAAACCTCGCAGGCGAAAAACAACGTCTTCGAGCCCCAGGCATCAGGAAAAATACACGCCGCTTTTTGCGCGCTTTTCAGTGCTTATTGATAGAAAAGCGGCTTCTAAGGAATCTAAAAGCAAGCATTCAAAAAGCAGAAAATAAGCAGATCTCGCCGCTTTTTCCCTGCTTATTCATACTTTTCAGCCGCTTAAAATCGCTGTATTGCGCTCATCGGTACAAAAAGTATATTTAAGTCATACAATAAGCAAGAGAAATATAGTCAAAAAGCAGAGCAAAGTGGAAGTCGAGCCTTGTACGCCATGGTCGACGCCAATGACGACCTGCTGCGAGGGCAAGAGAATAAGGTGCACACACCTTTTGCACCATTTATTCGACACAAAACAATACCAGCTGCTATTAACGTAGCATAAGATCCTGAGAGAAATCATTAGCACCGACAATATCGTGGAAGAGGTATATAAAGATACACGTACATGTTGTGGGAACGTTGGTTGTGAATGTCGCCACTCACCCATGCATTGTGCCAAGACCCTGGGCAGCTGCGAGTGCCACTGCGTCCGCACACATCAGACAATGCAAGTAAATGGGACGGAAGCGGCAATCGTGACTGGCACACTAGACGCACCTTGGTTACTCGTCATCCACAACAGCCAACCTACCAGCACAGTCCCCTACAGATTCTGAATCACGAGTCACGGGTTTTGACACACAGCCTGTGCTCGAGCACGCGCCAGAGAGGGGCCCATTGCCGTGGTGTCGATGGCGCGTTCAACACGCCGGCAGCAGCCTCTGCTGTGCGTGTATGTGTACGCCGACGTCGACGCTGAGACGGTGACCGGGATTGCCTCACGCTGGACAGCAAGTCCGAGCGCCGGCGACGCTTCGACGTTGACGCCTGGCGCGATGACTCCCGCGAGGTTCGAGCTGGGGTCCGCAGCGCATTGCGGTCGCTTTATTCAAGAGGTGAGTGACGAGTATATACAAATATGAAAAACTTACTGAGGCTTGTGGTAATGGAGAGAGCCGGGATGAGCACGAGTACGAGGGCAAAAGAGGAAGGAGGTGAGCGAAGGTGAGCGACAACGCGATGGCGGCGGGAGAGGATGAGCGCAAGAGAAACAGCGAGAGTGACGGTGACAGAACAGACATGAGGAAAGGAAGAAAAGACAGACGAGGAGACAAGACCAACATTTGTGCCTGTTTGTTGACAACAGAACTAAACTCAGCCTTTCCAGAAAATTCCAATTTCCCATGTTACTAATAGAATGTTTCAGAATGAATTGCTGTAAGCAACCGCGTGTACGTCTCTGTAACGTTCTGAGGGTCTTTGCTACACCGTTTCCACTGACCACCACCACCATCATCACCCTTGACTAGTGCAGGGTCAGGCAGACAAGGCTGCTGCATGTCCAGCCACGCGCATCGCATGGGCCCAACTGAGGGGCCTGTCGGTAGCAGCTGGACTGGGCACCTGATAACCATGCCATCTCTCTCGCCCGCCGGCTCCGTCAACACCACGCCCGACACCAGCGCGTCTCGCAGCTGAGCCCATTCAACCCACGGTCACCTTCTGACGCGGAAGATACCACCGCCACCTATAAGTACGCGCATCGCGCTTTCGCGTGTCCCCGCCTCCGGTCGCATTGCAAGATGGACATTTACAACGGATGGGGAAGCACGGCATGGTGGCAATGGAGTGAACCATGGAGGATGGGCTGTATATGTTGCATCCCTACGGTGTGTTTCTTCTTTTCCTTTCGTAGCTTCTAAACAAGCAGTCATCCATGTCTAGATAGAGTGGGACCTTCATGGGCTCATTTTTTCGCGAGCAATACTTCACAAACACGCAGATTAGCTTGTTTGAACGTTGTTACTTGTTTCACCCCGCCTATCTGTTCGCTCTTTTAGACCTAACTGCTTGGTTTTATCAGTTTTCAATATGGACTTATCCTATCCAGTTACCTTTGCTCGATTTTCTCGTCCGAACGCTTTTTTTGCGCTTGTTAGCCCTTATTTATGCTTTGTGAACGTTGTCAGTGCATGAGCACTCCGTGTACTTTTTTTTAAATCAGCTTCGAAAACTAAGTCTCGAATGAGTTCCAATAAGTGATCGAGAAGTGACAAAAAGTAAATTAGGCCCTCAGCAAGCGGCGTGTCAATTTCCTGATGAGCATCATGCGTACACAAGCCCTGAGTTACCTACGACCAAATACCGCGCACTCTTCCCTGCAGCTTTGCATTTCACCGGGGATGTGACGAAGTTTGCGAAGGTTATTCTGGATATCGCGAGCATCACAGACAAGGAGGAGTGGCCCTTCCGTGTACCACTACACCGTGTTGCACTGGAAGCCGCGCGTAAGAAGGGGCACAAATTTCTGGATGCCGCAGAGACGCAGGCTTACAGATCACAGGATGTCTATCTGGATATTACGGGCTAGATTATGCGTTCAGGACCACCAGCCAAAGATTATGAAGAAGATTCCAATCATGAATTATGTACGGTGAAAATCGAACCAAATCCAGGTTTTACACGATATCGAGGGTATATAGCCTAGATGAACAGCGAAAACCACAAAACTTCTGATGCTACGTTAGATATCACTTGTCCGAAGCTTAGGGTTTGCACTGGGCAGTGCCTCGCACTCGTCTTCCGCTAGTGTGAAGGTACTCGAAGCCCCGTGAGGAGAAACTTCCGCCAACTCAAGATCCTCTCCTGAGCCGCGCATGCTTTCGTCAACTGTAGCGAATTCGAGGGTGGGAATAGTTCTCGTCGTAAGGTCTTGCCACCGCGAAGGCACTTGAGATCCTCCTAGCGTGAGCTTGTGATAGCTCTTGGGTAGGCTGAGAGTGATGCGGGATGTCATCGTGACCATGAATCTGAGAAGTAAGATATGAATGCGAAATGTCGGGAATATGTGTGAAAGCTTGCTTACAGGTACTGCAATCTGAACGATCGCGTCAGTTTCGCGACGAACCCATCCGAGCAAAGAAAGAAGCTCACTGTCCGAGGAGGTTCTTCAGCCCATGTGGTTCACGTTCCACCATAATGACGAGCATGACGTTGACGGTAAAGATCAGCCTGTGATGTAAGTCAAAGTGAGAGTCAATACTCCTAGCATAAATTGTAAGCATCCTGACTTGCCCGTAGAACAGTATTGCGTCGGTCGCCATTGTACGCGCGATCGTGTTTGCGTTCATATGCGGGCGGTAAGAGAATGTGCGCTTCAGTACGGAAGTGAGCACGACTGCGCCATACAAAAGTGGGAGCCAGACGCAAATAGACGCCATGTCTGCACTGAGCAAGGAAGGTCAGCGAGTAACTAGCCTTCGACGAGCGGTCTGCGTACGTGTTTCCGTAATACTGAAATGTGCATGCTGAGGAATAGGTTAATCAACATTATCAAGGAGACACCTCCATTTGCTTTGACTTACAGTGGACGACAGGTGTATGCATGACCGCTAACCCCAATCTGTGAAAAAATAGTCCCCTGTCGTACTGAGAAGTAAGCTTACCTCCTCCACCCACAATCAACAAGATTGAGACTACGGTCCACGCGGCATAAACCAGAATCAGAAAGAGGCATACAACATGATAAGCCCCGTATAATGCCATGACTCTGTCTCAATCGTCAATAAGTTCTGAGCCCCGCTCTGTGAGAATTTAACCTTACCTCTGGAACATCATGAACGCCGCAATATGTTGACCAATCTCTGACATGATCGGTTCATACTTAATGAACCGTTCGCAGCTGCAGTATTGTTAGACTGGTCACATGGGCAAAAGAGGTGCGTCTTACTCCTGAACATCATCAGCTACCAATGCAGGTTACACGAGAGGTGAACGCACGACAATGCTCCATGAAGTATCGGTGTTTGCTATGGATAGGATGCGGTCATTTGATGTACGCATCTGAACATACATCTGACGCACCAACAATATTAACAATGAAACCAAAAGGAGTGACATAACGATTCTACTTCGAGAAAAGTGTGAAAACTCAGAGAAAGTTGGACTTCTAAGAAGGTGCCCACAAATATGAACAAGTAAGACACTACCCAAATGAGCGATCATCACCTCCAACAAGCCTCGAATATGACTTACTAAGCGTTTTGCGCTTCTTCCATACTATCTCGACCTTGGATGGCCGCAGCATTCCCACGAATGTAAGTGACAGAGGGGGTGGCAGCGTACTGGCTCACCTCGTCGGAAAACGTCAGGAGATGGTCCCAGACTAGGACTGTAAATCCGAGGATCCCAACGCACTGTGAGACCTTGTTACACTGGAGTGTCAAGCGAAGAAACGTAAGATGAAGCGTACTGCGGTTGCCATCCTTCATATGTGGTCAGAATTTCTCCGCTACGATAGTACAACGGGCGAACTTACGCAATCTGCGCGTCCTCCACTATCAAATCATAGTAGGCCGTCTCATTGAGCGACGGAACGAGGCTGGAGTCGGCCGCCATCATCCCATGGGTCATACAGGTGGAGAATGTGCCAGGTTGAAGGTGCGGGGAAGGCGGCAGAAGGTGAAGCTCAGCGAGCATCGCGCCCGAGTGCGCCAGGTCATATGTATGTACCTGCGGCCAGTCCACTGTGCGGGCTATCGGGTGCTCGGACGTCACAAAAAGCGGCGACCCTGGATGGAGTTGGCTACGGCCAGGAACACATGATATTGCCTGGCTCGCGTATCAACCAAGGTATCAGCTAACCAAATCCGACATCATACGACGAACGTTCGGCGCATACGCAACGTGAAGTACCGATGTTTTGAGCTGTGGGCGTGCGGGAAGCCCCGTCGTGTCGATCAGCCTCGGTCTGTGTCGGAAACTTTGCCAACACAAATATTGACATGAGTACTTGCTAAAAGAAAGTGGCCTGATGTTGATGAGTCGAGGCGGGCAACCATAGGGGCTAGTCCACATGGAGTGATCGATAGCGTTAGATGGGTCCACCTCACGCGTCACGGGCTCAATCCGGGCTGGTGGGCGCTAGTAGGGGCCATCTCATGAGGTCGACAGAATGGTCTTCGCGAGGAACCGAACTCTCGGTACCACGAAGAACTTTTCTGAACATGCAAATATTCGTGCGGGGTGCGGGGCAGCTCCCTGAATACATGAGTTTTTTGAAGGCTCGGAGTTGGATCGGAGGCAAGTTGAACGAGCCGGACCCTGGTGACCTAATCAAACTATGTACCATCCCGGTGGCGGCTCTGTGAACGCACACGCTTGTGATAGCTTACTATCGTTGCCTTCGGCGTCATGAGTGCAGATGTTTGCGTTCTCTTCAATGTCTTTGGCATATTGAAGGTATATGACCTAGGTAAACAATGACTCAACAATAGGTTTCTTCTGCTACTACGTCAACTTCCGCCCACGCGAAGACTAGGGCTCGCACTGGCCAGCGCCTCGAGTTCTTCTTCAACCGGCGTAAGAGCCCTCGAAGCCTCGTTAGGACATGTATCTGTCAACTCGAGATCTTCTACCGAACCACGTATGCTCTCGTCAACTGTAGCGAACTCGAGTGACGGCATAGTCCGCGTCGTAATGTTCTCCCACCGTGAAGGCGCCTTCGAGCCCCCCAGCGTGAGTTTGTGATAGCTTTTGGGCAAGCTGAGAGTGATGCGAGACGTCATTGTGATCACGAATCTAGTACGGGCGAGGTCGTGAGTGCGAAACATCTGAGACATGTGCGAAGCCTTGCTTACAGGTACTGTATTCTGGGCGGTTTGTTGAGCTCCATGGCGTGGGTGACCCAAGAAGAGAAGAGACTTACTGTCCAAGAAGATCCTTTATCCCAACTGGTGCACGTTCGATCATAATCACAAGTAGCACATTGACGGTACAGATCAACCTGTGATGCGATTCACGTGTGAGTCAATGATCTCCAGCACGAATAGCAAATCACCCGGCTTACCCGTAGTATAATATCCCATCGGTAGCCATTGTTCGTGAGATAGTGTTTGCGTTCATATGCGGACGGTAAGGAAGGGTGCGCTTCAGTATAGACGCTAGCACAGTTGTGTCGTACAGAAGTGGGAGCCAGACGCAGATTGGCGCCATGACCGCACTAAGCAAGAAGATTAACATTTGGAGGTAACGGGCTGTGAGCGGTATGCGTACGGTTTTCCGTAGTAATGAAATGTGCATGCTATTACATGGATCATTCGTTAAATCCAATGTGATGGTCTCAGCTGTTTGAACTCACAATGAACGGCAGACGTGTGCATAACCGCTGACCTCATCCCATCAGAGATGGTGCCATATCGTGTTAAGAGGTAAACTCACCCCCTCCACCCACTACCAACCATAGAGCAACTATGGTCCATGCGGCATATACAAGGGCCAAAAAGAGACATACAACATGATAAGCCCCGTACAGCGCCATGACTCTATCCCGATAGTCAATAAATTCCATGTTCCGCGCAGAGTATGGCCGTACCTCTGAAACATCATAAACCCTGCAACATGTTGGCCAATCTCGGACATGATCGGTTCGTACTTGATGAACCGTTCGCAGCTATCGATGAGTCAGACAGTCCATAGTATCGCTTGCATGGCCGAAAGAGGAATGTCTTACTCCTGCATCATTAGCTAACAGTGCAGGTAACACGAAGGATGAACGTACGATAACACTCCACGAAGGATATGTGTATGCTAGATATGGTAAATGGTCTTTTAATCAATTTCAGGAGCATGCGAATGACGCACCGACAAGATTAACAATAAAGCCGAAAGGGGTGGCATAACGATTCTACTTCGAGAAGAGTGTGTGAAAACGCCGGAGACGGTTGAGCTTCTGTGAGGATACCCACGACAATAAACAGATAAGACACTGGCCATATGAACGACCAATACATCAACGAAGCCTCTAAATCAGCTCACTGAGCGTCTTGCGCTTTTTCCATACTATCTCAACCTTGGTTTACCACAACATTTCCGTCAATGATGAGTGACATGAAAAGTGACGACGTATTGGCTCACCTCATCGGAAAACGTCAAGAAATGGTCCCAGACCAGAACTGTGAATCCAAAAATCCCGACATACTGCGAGGCCTTCAAGGTTACACCCCAACGCAAGGCGATGATATGTGAAATGAAGCGTACCACAGTCGCCATGCTTCATATATGGTCAGCAGCCCTCCGTCACGATAGTAACAACCGTCGACTCACGCATGCTGCACGTCCGCCACCTTCATATCATAGTAAGCTGTCTCATTGAGCGAAGAATCAAAGAATCGAAGGCTGGAGTCGGCCGCCATCATCCCATGGTTCATGTAGATGAAGGAGGTATCGCTCTGAGAGCGCATTCAACGAAAGGCGAGACGGGCGGAGGGCAAAGCTAAGCTCAGCGCGCACGCGCCGCGGCCGAGTGCGCTAGATCATATACGCATGCCGCCGCTCCGCCGTGCGGGCTATCGGACGCTCCGAAGTTCCAAGATGCAGCGACCCTGAGATGGAGTTCGCGATGGCCAGGAACACTCCACATGATGCCTGCTCGGCTCGCGTATCAGCGAATCATTACCGCGAAGGTCCCGTGCATGGGTGGTGTTGAGTGGATGTGGGATACCTTATCATGCTGATCGGTCTCGGTCTGTGTGAGGACCTTCGTTGATTTTGACACAACCTGTTTGCAGCGTAAAGTGGCGTAATTGCAACCAGCAAGCGTAGGGCCTAATACGGAAAACAGCGCTAGAAGAACCCATGTAATGCCTTTCGGAGTTCTAGCCATCTCACGAGCCCGACCGAACGATCTTTGAAAGTATCCGACTCTCGGTGCAACCAAGAACTTTTTTGGACAAGCCGAATAGCCCCGGCATAGAGACGATGTAGATTTCTAGGTCGCTCGGGGTCAGAAAACACTGGGTAGATTGTGACGTCCACACTCCAAAGAAACAAAGATGTTCGAACCTCGAAGCCAACTTGAAGCTGGATGTCATGGTTGCAGAAAGAGCCAGTGGTACTGAACCATCGTTGCGACAACGAACTGGATTACGGCTAACTTTATCGCAGACGAGGAAGTGTATATATGCGGCGCGAGTTCTTCATCACCTTCTGACCTCGTTGCAGTTGGGCTTAGCATGGTTTTCCGCAGACCAACGAGGGTATCATAGGCGAAGCCGTGAGATTGTCGAGATCGTGCCAGATACAGGTGAGGCCCGTTTGTGCGTTCCTTACCAATTCAAGTAAATCGAGAAAGTCGGACTTAGGTGTGTTCCAGGGTCCGAGAAAGCACGTCTGTCTGTATGCGTCAGCTTTTCGTAGAGGTTGAACGAGGTGACGCTCCGGTCGGGCTACGTGGTACGCACCATTGCTCGGATTTCAGAGGCATATGTCCTCGTAGGAAACTTCAACGATCTTTCCGCAGGATCCATCGAACGGTCGAACCAAGAAACGAAAATGCGACCAAGAGGAGACAGATCTAGAGTGGCCGTCCCGGCATTACCCGAGCGGAGTTATGTGATCCGTTCTGGCTTTTAGCTCCGTTCGTTTCGGGTTCCGGTGATCTCAAAGCCCACAGCCCGGTCAACATCGTTCCGTTTGCCACACCATTGGACAGTCTCTGTTGCTCGTCGACGTCGAGGATCCGATCAAAGGGCACTAATCACTCTCGTTGGACATCAATGAAGCCACGAGCGACCACAGCAAGTCGGAGGCTGATTGTGGGCGTCTTGATATCATTCCACGCCTTGTGATGTGAGCCATTTTCCTACAATACATCTCTAACTCAAGCTAGGATCCTCCAAGGCCAGAGTAATACCATCAGCTCGTTGAATACTGTGCCTTTTAATGATCGGACCCCTTGACGTTCCGGCAGCGTTGGCTGTATCATTGCTGATAGAATCGCGATACTTCACGAGGAACGTGAAGTTGCCATGCTATGGATAGCATATTCTCCATCCATTTCTCACGTATTCGTTTGGACGGCTTGACACCTTCCAGATTATCCATTCTGAAATTTTGCTGTGTTTGCTCTGGGAGGCATATAAACCGTCTTATGCTCGCTCACCAGACCAGACAAGTTAGCATCCTAGAATACGACGACCTCATACCATAATGTTCTCAAAAGTATGGTTTAGTGAGTACTACCTGCATTTCGATCTCTTTTAGTGCTGATCGACGTTTACAGTCACCGGCGCCTCCACCGGCTTTGGGCGCTCCGTTACAGAGCTAGCTCTACGGAAAGGCGACAAAGTCGTCGCAACAATGCGTTCGCCAAAAGTCTTATCAGAACTCTCGGCGAAGTACCCGGCCTCGCAACTCCTCGTCTCCCGCCTTGATGTGACAAACTCTCAAAAGATAACATCCGTGTTCGATGAGGCTTGTGCGAAGTTTGGACGCGTGGACGTGGTGTTCAACAACGCAGGTCACTGTACAGTTTCAGAAGCCGAAGGAATGAGCGAGAGCAGCGCACGACGTCTATTTGAGGTTCTTTTCTGGGGCGCTGCGAACGTGACGAAGGAGGCGGTTCGTGTGTTCAGGGACGCAAACCAACCGCGTGGCGGCCACTTGGTGCAGATGTCTTCTAGGACCGCGTTGGAGGTCGTTCCCGGGGTGGCGCATTATGCTGCAGCGTACGTGTACTTCAAATCTTGATCTTGATCTCTGTCTAATCGTGCTTTCTTTTGGTAGTAAAAGTGGTAAGCTCTTGGTCATACTGATCCAGGACGAGGGAGATCTAACGTGACTGTTTCAGCGTTGGAGACCTTAACAGAAGGATATAAAGCCGAGCTGGATCCAACTTGGGGTATCAAGGTCCAGCACTTCGTTCTTAATCATAATCTATCTTCAACTGACCGCTATATCCACTCTCACAGATGTCAATCATAGAACCAGCACTCTTCCGCACCGGCTGCGTACCTAGAAACATCATTGAACCGGTCCACCCCGCTTACAGCGACCCCTCCTTGCCTTCACGCAAGTATCGCAGCATCTACCCAGGGGCTGATCAGTTCTCGGACGGCGACTCGAATAAGCTTGCACAAGCGATCTACAGGCTCACATGCATGGATGATCCTCCGTTCCGCCTGCCGCTACATCACGTTGCAGTCTCCGCCGCGAGAAAGAAAGGGCTGAACTTTATACAGGTGGCTGACAAGTTTGCAAGCTGGTCAAATGATATTTATCTTGACGACGCTGATATCGCAGCTGCGGGGGTGACGCGATAGGTGAGCAGCTAGAATTTGAGGTCTGAGTAATGTAAAGCCATACATAATGAGACGTACAAATCTGGGGTAAAGGGAGATATTTACGTAGAGTGTATAATCAACAATTTATGGGATACAGGTCCCTGCGTACTATATCACAAATCAATAGGTGTAAATGAGTATCCCAGAACCAGCGTCAATCTCGAAAAACTGTAGCTTCCCTTTCAGATGGTTCTAATTCATGGACATCGACGCAGGCGCTAATATCAGACGCCCTGATCGCTGACGCGCTCTGTGTCTCCTCATTGTAAATGATTTTGAGGGTTCCAACCCATGCATCTTCCTCGTTCTGGAGCTTGAGAACGATGTGCTTCGAACACTGATGAAGCGGAAACACCAGCCAAACTTTCGGTCTTTTCCGAAGCCATTTCCAAGTCCGACTGTCCGCACAGAATCGGCCTTGACACGCCATCGCGTGGACGTCGATTTATAACTTGAAAACTTCCCTCAGAGTGACGTTGAGACCACCGCCTCACTGTCTAGTACAGCATCCTCTCATTTGGAAAAGGTCTCTCAACGGCAACTCTGACGTGGCGCTTACTCCTGCTTACTCCTGGGGACGCCATTGTTATCTCGGAGGCTTTGAAAATGCAAACTGTAAATATGTTCATTGTCATCCAGGCATCTGATTTGTACTAGAACATGCACGCACGCTTTGCCTCCGCTAACCGCCAAGCCTCCGCCACAGAAAACGAGTGCCTTATATCCTCCGAAAATGCGCTCAGCTGACATTCGCGCTGAATTTCCATCTGTGGCCCGGGGCCATTGCTCCTGCCCATTCAAGTTGAGATATCGTGCATGCGCTAGTATGCCCGCGCCATCACTCGTCGGTTCCTTCTCCGTCCTTCTGGAGCTTCTCACTTCTCTGGTGTGCTTCACGGCTTCTCGCAAAGGGCAGAACATATCCTAGTGAGTGTATATTGTCCCATCTATGAGCGATACAGCCACTCACGGGAAGGCACATGTGCTCAGAGAGATCCAGACATTACGTATCCGCACTGCCTTGAGAACCGCCCTACGCCCAACAGTTGTGCGCTGATCACGACTTGAAACAGCTGTTCGTCAAGGCGGGCTTTTCGTGACTTCCCCTTGACATACATTGCGACATACTCTGCCCGCGGTGCCTCCGCGTCGTGTTGCCTGCCAATGTCCTCGACATGGAACTTCACGCTCAATGATACGAGTCCCGTCTTCACGTACTCGCCGTATTGTGAGCGCTTCTTGCTATCACTGTTCCACGCACTTCTGACCAAGATGCGGGTGGTGTAGCCGACGGGCAGGTCGCAAATGGCTGGCAGATCTGGTATTCGAGCAGCGGGTTTAATGGGACACAGGTCTCCCATACCGGTCGTGGGTCGACTACGCACTTCACGTCGCTGTCGGGGGCGAGCGTCACGCTGCAGTTCTACGGTAAGCTCTAAGACTTTGGTTTATTCTGTTGGTCGAGGGTCATGATGAATGGGTTACCAGGCGCTGGGATCGAGCTTTATGGAACTACGAACAGCTCGTACCAAGTGACCCTCGATGGCAGTCAAAGCACTGGGGCAGCTAGTGGAAGCAGCTTGTTTTCGCAGCTGTTAGCCCCTGGATCTCACAGTGTCACCTTAACCGCTTTCCCAGCCGGTGCGAATGAGATGCTTGGTCTTCAATACGCGACGATGGTCATTCCATCGAGTAATGGGTAAGCAGGCTTCGTCCTTCGCTATTTACATTGTTGATCCAGTAGCATTCCTTCCGTATGTAGTCAAACGTCCCCACCTTTGCCAATACAGATACGGACGTTTTGACATACCAGGGAAGCTGGAAAACCAGCAACGACCAGGCGATACCGAACGGCGGGACGTACCATTCAACCTCGTCCACAGGCGCGAGCGTTGGCATGCAATTCATGGGAGAAGCCGTCGAGGTCGTTGGGGTCACAAACTACATATGCATGAACTATACAGTGGTACGTCGCTTCTTCCCTGTCCCTAGCGTTCGATTATAACCCCCAGGTTCGAGCGCATAGACGCTCGATGGAAATGAGACGCCAACAATGAACCAGAGCAGCTATTCTTTTGTCCCTGAGACGACAATGTTCTTCCAGAGCGGCCTGGATCCGACCATGGTGCACACGTTGAACATGACGCAGACGTCCGCTGAGACGTCGAGCAATCAGTACTTGCTGGCGTTTGATTATATCACGGTTTATGGATACCAAGCGTGAGTCCTCCACGCATCTTTCTTTGCTTGGCTCAAGAAGCCATGTCGGAACTGCCAGACCGCCTGATTCGAATCCATCAGCGAATAGCGGCGGCTCGTCGTCCGGCATGAATCTGGCCGGCCCTATTGCGGGAGCAATCGTAGGAGCTCTCGCAGCGGTTGTTGGTATCGTCACCTTTATCTGGTGGCGGCGGCGTCGGCCAGTCAAAGTGAGACCGCGATCTAAAACCGAAGTCGCCATGGACATGGAAGAAGCGCGCGATGACGATCCCCCGCTACTCGTCATCGCACCCGGTAGACGCAGCGAGAAAGCAAAGTTGAACGGTAACTGGTCGCCTGCAGCGTCACCAGAGGGCAGAGGTGACCTTGCCCGCATGGACTCCGTAACGCCATCTGCCAGATATGCCGCTGCGATGAGCGAGTTCGGCTTCGAGCGCGCCGGGCCGCCCGAGGGCACTGCGATCGCTTCGAGCGGTGTAGAACCCCGCTCTGATATGCTGCCCCCAGAAGCCGAGGCGCAGTCAACCTAGAAACCACCGATGTCCGGCTCGCCAAGCTCCCCATCTCTTATCGCGAGGTCTCAAGCTCGAGACTCTCCCGACGCGCAACTCGCCTCAGCGGGACGGCGGGCGCTGTCAGTACCACCCGCGCCCGGAGCAACACCGTCTCCTCCGCCTTCGATGGGGAACCCACAGCAGTCCCCGGCGCAGGAGCTCGCGCGGGCGGTAGTGCAGGAGGCTGAGCAAACGAGCGAATCTGGGATGCAGCTTTCTAACAACGAGATCGACCGGATTGTGGAGATGGTTGCGTCGCGGATCGATCAGCCTACGCATCACTCGATGCCACCGCCAGAGTATAGGACGCGGTGACAACGACCGAAGAGCCTGTGTTGGTTTTCTCTAGGATCATTGATGTACTGTATCATTTCGTCTCGTATACTTTGTTTCCTGGCAATGGGTGTGCTGTGCTCACGTTTCCTTTGTGTTTTGTAATTCGATGCATGATCAGTTCCTCGTGTCAAAACATCGCGCAAGGCATGCATGTTACGCACTTGTCTTATGGAGGACGTCAAATGAGAGTTCATCAATTGTCAAAGACATCTTGAGCTGGGTAGGAACTTTGAGATTGCTTTGAGAGCATTGATGAGGTCTCGAGGCAGAGCTTGAGGTAGAGACCCGAGACGGAGAAAGCTTCGGAGTGAAACTCCGAGCCGACTTCCGGTCCCGAAGTCGGCGGTGTTTGCTTAATATTACTTTCACCTTACTATCATGCATATATGCATAAGGTGTCCTGCACTCATGACTTCGCTCAACTTATGCCTCCCCTCTTGCCCGTCCTCGGGCACAAGTGGACAGACATTCATCATTTCCCGGTGACATTGCGTTATCGCGCCCCCATCGTGTGACACCCAGCCGTAACCAAGCCGTATTTTGGGAGCCTCACTATTACCATCATCTTCCCCAACGGGTACTAGAGGCCGTGCGTTGGTGTGCGCCACTATCTATCTTCCTTGACTTAGGCCAAACACCTGCGTAGATGCCTCTGTGCAACGGGAGCGCACCGCTCGACTTCTCTGAGTCCTGCGTACGCTTGACATGGGCTGCTCTCTTCCCTGCTATCGTCGCTGCTCTCCTCTGCTTAACATTCATCCCTCTCCCCGCCTTCGCCAAGGAGTACGCATATAGCACCTCCAATCCATTTGCACGTTTCATCACCCTTCCCGAGGCTGAGGCTCTCGCCGCAGGGACCTCATCCGCACCTCAGGCTCAAGCAAGCAACACCAACTCAGATGCAGTTGGCGTGACGACTCCTTCAGGGGCTTCCCTTTGGCGCACACTGGTTCTTTCCCTGTTTGCTACCCTCGAAGCTCTGGCATGGCTTGCCATCGCATCCATACTTATAATCCCCACCGGCCCTTCGCGCGACGACGTTTACACCAACGTCTTGATCGTCCTCCTTGCATCTTCATGGGTGTATGCGGCTGTCGTGCCCGTGGCGCGTCCTTGCGCAACAGTGCACTACGACCTCTTCATACTTTACCTCGTGCAATTCGCGGGTGGTATCATCCTTCTCGGTGGCACTGTCTACGAACACAAGATACGCCATGTCCCGTTGCCTTTGCCTTGCGGACTTGCGGTTATGGTTGCCAACGTGATAGTGGTACTGTTGCTGCTGTTAACTGTGGTGACGATGCCGATGGGGATACCGAGGGCAGCGGTCAAGCCAGAAGACTTGGTGAGTACTTTGATAGCGCTAGTGCACTTTCATGCTAAAGTTTGGTCAGGGGTCGAAGGTGTCCACGGAGGACTACATCACTCTTCTTGGTAGAATAAGCTTCTCGTGGGTGTTCCAGTTGATAAGAAAGGTCCGAGTTGCGCCGTATTTGCCATTCCAGCCGAATCTAACATGGTGTTTGGCTGCAGGGGTCTAAATCAACGTTGTATGAAGATGATGTCTGGGACCTCAGCCCGACAGTACAGTCACGCCCAGTCTTTTCCCGCTTTGACGATCTTTCGTAAGGCTTGAGTTAGTCGTGTGTGATTCAATTTGACGCTCGGCTGCTGCTGTTAGCCAAAAGTCTTTGCTTCGCCATCTCTGGCAAGCGAACTCGTTGGATATCATGTATGTTGCCGTGCAGTATCCATAGGGGCCCAGCTGATATACATACCCTAGCATTGACTTCATAGGAGCAACCATCAAGATCACCCTCAAGTACGCGTCTCCGTTTTTCCTCAAGTGCGTAACCTATCTCTCTCATATCATCATCGGTCGCTTGGCTGACTTCACATTACTGAGGCGAATCCTAGACGCCGTAGCAGACCCGACCCCGGAAAACCGCGCCCGGGCGTTCGTCTACGCTCTTCTGGCGTTCACATGCACACTTTTGAAGGTATGCATCTTCACACTTCATCACATGCCTTCACATCCTCATGTGTCCATGTCCTACAGGGCCAGGCTGAAGCACAACACCTTCGGGTCAGCCTACGTGCCGCGACGCGCATCCGCGTGGAGCTCATGGCCGCCGTATATAACAAGGCGCTCAAGCGCGCGGATTATTCTGGTATTGTCGACAAGTCAAAGCTGCAAAAGGATAGCGCGGACGGAAGCAAGAAGGGAGCGGAAAAGGATGGGGATGAGCCGACGGCGGGGGCAGACGTGGGCAAGATTGTGAATCTTATGGCTGTTGATGCGAATAAGGTGAGATCAACATTCTCCTTTGAGGTCGTCAATTGGATGGGCTATTTATCGTCGGTGTAGGTTTCAATGATGGTGTCTTTATTGTGCATGTTCTACGGAGGTATGTTCCCTCGTGCTTCCATAGCCACGCTACTCTGACGCTATCCTTTTCAACAGCGCCCATCGAGATCGCCATCGCGAGCATCTTCTTGTACAAGTACGTACCCCCTTTGTCTCTATTCCCATTCCTCGTCTGACATTCTCGACCCGCTCTCAGCGTTCTCGGCTGGTCCACCTTCGCTGGCTTCTTAGTCCTTGTCCTCATCTGGCCGCTGAGTTCGTTCGCTGCCAAGCGGCGCGTGCGCATCCAGAAAGGCGTCTCCGCGTCGCGCGACCGGCGCATGGGCATCCTCAACGAGCTCCTTGGCGCCGTAAAGTTTATCAAGTTCTTCGCGTGGGAGGAACGGTGGATCGACAAGACGATGCAGGCGAGGGGAGAGGAGATCGGATGGATTGTGAAAGGTGAGCCGACAGCCAGGCTGATTGTTTATTGTGTAGTACAAGAGGTGAGGTGGCTGTGACTAACGAGTTGGCGCATTGCAGCGCAGTTCAATTCGGCGATCTTCTCGATGGTCTGGCTATGTGCGCCGTTTTTCGTTTCGTTCGTTTCGTTCACGGTGTATGTGTCGCTGGGAAATGAGTTGACGGTCTCAACTGCGTTCGCGGTACGTTGTGCTTTGAAGCCGATTGATCGCAAATTCTGATTTCCGCTCAGGCCATCGCGTTGTTCGGCCTGATTCGGTAAGAGCGGCTCCTTAAGCTCCCAAATCTCCAGCATAACCTATGCATCACGATATCCCGCAGTGTTCCCATGACCTCTCTGCCGAACTTTGCCGTTCAGTTCCTACAGGTAAGTGTAATACCACTACGATTCGGTGTGCAATCGCTTCATGTCACTCCCTCAGACCCTCGTCGCCATTCGCCGCCTAGAGACGTACCTCAATGAAGAGGAGGTATCTTCCCAGGTCTCTTCTCTCAAGCAAACAGAAGAGTCTCTCGCCGCCGAGAGCGTCATAGAGGGCCTCGCCATTGAGAACGGCTCGTTCAAGTGGAATGCGGTTCCCGACAAGCCCGAGGAGGACTCAACCAGCAAGAATGCTAAGAATGGCAAGAAAAGGAAGCACGGAAAGGACGTATCGAGGGACACAATCTCGACTATGTCTAGTCAGCCATCTACGAGCGATGCGGAGTCGATGACGCTCGCGGACTCGGGGTCGGCGAAGGGCGCGAGTACCAGCGGAGTCGAGGACCGCCGGTTTGAGCTTCAAGATATCAGCGTACGCTTTCCCGAGGGCCAGCTGAGCGTTATAACTGGGCCGACGGCGAGCGGGAAGACGGCGTTGCTTGTTCGTATTTTCTCATCCCATGCCCTTCTTACTCTATCTAATCAACCCCCATGACGGGAACGCGTAGATGGCCCTCCTCGGCGAGATGACGCTCACCCAGGGTAAACTGCTCATGGCGAAGAACACCCGGCGCGTTGACGAGCACGGGTACATGCACTCGTTCTCGTACGCTGCGCAGATGCCGTGGCTCCGGCACCAGTCGATTAAGGACAACATTCTGTTTGGGTACCCTTACGACGAGGAGCGGTACAACGACGTCGTCGAGTGCTGTGCGCTCAAGCCGGATTTGGATATTTTGGAGGACGGGGATGCGACGGAGATTGGGGCGAGGGGTGTGAGCTTGAGTGGAGGGCAAAAGGCTCGGTAAGTGACAGCTCGTTCTCTGATCAGAGCGGAAGACGTTGGAGATGAATAATGTGACTGGCTACAGTGTCGCCCTGGCAAGAGCGGTGTATGCACGGACAAAATACGTGCTCCTGGATGACCCTCTGAGTGCAGTGGTAAGAACTTTGGCCCATCTCCTGTTTTTTTTGTCTTCGCTAACTCTGCCGATACCAGGATAGCCACACCGCACGTTTCCTGTATGAGAGGCTCTTATGTGGGCCGCTATTGGCTTATCGCACTGTTGTAAGTCACGTTTGATATGGGTATGTAATGAACATTGACCGTGGCATTGTGGCAGATCCTTGTCACACATCATGTCGAACTTGTCCTGCCAGGAACCCACTACCTCATCCGCATGCTCAACGGTAGAATTGACACACAGGGCACTACAAAGGAGTTACGTGCACAGGGTGTTCTACAGGAGATCGCGAAAGACTCCGCCGTCGAGCTCAAGGAAGAAGGTCATCTTGTAGCTTCAGATGGTCCTGCCGAGTCACCTGCAGACGCTGCGACTGAGGTAGGGCAGGACCCCAATGATTCCGGTAGGAAACCGAGGAAACTCGTCAAGGATGAGCATCGCGAGGAAGGCGTCGTCAAGCGGGCGACATACAAGGTTTACATGAAGGCTTCGTCGTACTGGACCTGGATCATAGTGTGCACCTCGATCGTCGTTTGGCAGGCCATCAGTGTTGCGGAGAAGTTGTGGATCCGCGAGTGGGGTACGGCCTACGGTACCCATGTGTCCCAGTCCGCTTCGTACGGCCATGTATCCATGGCGCTGGTTGACAACGAGGCTGCGTACAGCGAGCTCGTTTTCTACGCACACCAGCTTGGCCAGAACAGTCCCCATCATGTTCATGCCCAAACTTCTCCCGTTGGAGTACAGGTTCTTCCAGATGCACACATCCACCCGCTCTTCTACGTCGGAGTTTATGGTCTCATCGGGCTCTCCTCAGCACTCGCCTTGGTCATCACCATACTGGTGCAATTCACCGGGGCCCGGCGCGCCTCGCGCCTCCTGTTCCGGCAGCTGCTCGAGCGCGTCGTGCACGCGACGATGCGCTGGCACGATGTCACGCCCACAGGACGAATGCTCAACCGGTTTGGCAAGGACTTCGAGAAGATCGACGACAGTGTTGCCGTCTCGCTCACCTCGATGACTATATGGCTCGTGACGTTCGTTGCGGCCATTATCACCATTGCAGTGTTTTTCCCGATCTTCCTTGTCCCTGCTGCGATGCTCGGGTATTTTTATTATATGATTGCGATGGGATATGTGAGCACGGCGAGGGACCTGAGGAGGATGGAGAACAATTCGTGGAGTCCGATTTTCTCGGGCTTTGGGGAGCTGCTGGAGGGGATCGTCACGGTGCGCGCGTTTTCGGTCGAGGGGCGGTTTATGGATGGGTTGCATGTGAAGATCGACGCCGCTACTAAGGTTCGTCTCCTTCCCATTGGCCCCCGTATTGTGGTGGCTTACTTGCGTGGTCTAGTTGTGGTACATGTTTTGGATGTCGAATCGCTGGCTGCTGCTCTACCTCGACTATCTCGGCTCCCTGGCAGTCCTGATAACAACGCTCTTCACGCTCTCGGGCTGGGTGGACGCTGGTATCGCCGGCGTGTGCATCACGAGCGCAATGACGTTTACGGATAGCGTCTTTTCGGCGTGTCGGTGCTGGGCTGATCTTGAGCTTGACCTCAGGTGAGTAGCGTGCGCACATGTTTTGGGTGTTGCCTTAGCTTAACAATTGCACGTAGCTCTGTGGAACGTCTCGTCGAGTATCTTGACCTTCCCCAGGAGCCTCCTGCCGTTGTCGAGACGAGCCGTCCTCCGGCGTACTGGCCCTCGAACACCGGATCGACAGATCTCATCTCGGTGGAGGATCTTGTCGTCAAGTATGCACCTGAATTGCCACCCGTCCTGCGGGGAGTTTCGTTCTCTCTCAAACCAAGGGAGCGAGTCGGGCTGCTTGGGCGCACTGGTGAATATATTCGGCTTTGATGTCTAACTTGCGCTGAATTTGCGGTAATAGGTAGCGGAAAGTCTACACTTGCCATGAGTATCTTGCGTTTCGTGAGTGGCTGTCAACATGGGCGTTAATGAGGAATTAACACTTTGATAGGTCGATCCTGCTAGTGGGCGTATCGTCATAGACGGCATCGATATTTCGAAGATTGGTATTCATGACCTCCGTTCGCGTATAGTACGTTTCCGTCTTTCAACCCAAGATACCACTCTCACCTCAAACCTTTTTCAAACAGACGTTCATCCCTCAGGTATACCGTTCGCCTTCGATAGGCTGTCCGTTTCTAACCTTATATTGCAGGATGCCGCCCTCTTTTCTGGGACCCTTAGGGAGAATCTAGACCCGTTCAGTGAGTGAAATCAGAGTCTTATCCTGACCAGGCCTTACAATCCGCCCGCAGATGAACACGAAGACATTGAATGCCTCGACGTTCTCTACCGCGTCCGGATGATCTCAGAGAGCGCTTACCAGTCCCAACGAACATCCCAAATGCCCTCTCGCGCGTCGACTTCCCAGAGCGCTCCACCAGACTACGCCGCTTCCACCGTCGTCTCCACGTCTTCGACCGAGCTAGACACCAAAACGAAGATATCGCTGGACACCCAAGTTTCAGCGGGTGGAACAAACTTCTCACAGGGCCAGCGGCAGCTAATCGCTATGGCGCGCGCCTTACTGCGCAGGAGCTCGATCATCGTACTCGATGAAGCTACGAGCAGCATCGACTTTGAGACGGACGCGAAGATCCAAGCGACGATCCGCGAGGAGTTTACGGACTCGCTGCTGCTCACTGGTACGTGAACTCGGACCTATCCTAGGTGTAGAACATGTACTGACGTATCATTGAAGTGGCGCACCGCCTGCGTACAATTATTGACTATGACCGGCTGGTTGTGCTCGATAATGGCGAGATCGCCGAGTTCGACACGCCATTGAATTTGATACAGAAGGAAAACGGGATCTTTAGGACGATGTGCCTTAAGAGCGGGACGTTTGCCGAGCTGGAGGCGGCTGCAAAGGCTAAGGTTGAGCGAGAACAGAACGCTAGTCGGGCTTGATGCCCTATGAAAAATGACTCCGTCGCTACTCATTGTAGTAGGTTCCTTCTCTTTGGCACTCATTCTACTCCATTGGGCCTAGATAATAGCCTGAAATAGTACAGAAGTTGTCAAAATGCGAGAATGGAATTTGAATTCCATACCAAACATCGTCAACCTGGTGTTCGATTCCAATCTGAATCTTAGCTTATGATATTGATTCTGGCTCCGTTTCGAATCCCCTTGAACCAAATCGTGTCAGTGCAAACACAAATCCATTCTATTAAGAGTCGCGACGTCGATGTCGGTATACTTGGCACAGTAGCACCATTAATCCTGATTGGTAAAAGGGTGGTGTCTTTTCTTATATCCACTGGGAGCTATATACAATGCCAGCTTTGCTTTAACTAGGTTATCTGAGATTGAGGTGGCTCTAATTATCTCAGTGTCAATTCCGAATAAAACAAGCCGGTTGCAGCAGTAACAGTGAAAGCCGAAGACAACAGCCTGCTGCCTTATGAGATCCTATGGGGGCTGCGCCACTGCGGGGTCTGAAAGAACTTGCCTAATCCAGTCGTGCTCCTGACTTCGTGATAAGGCGCGTTGGGGAAAGCAGATTTGTTGAAATGCACCTTTCTCCCCAACGTCTCCCACTCCCCTCGACGACATCCTCCTTGCCCAGCCAGCACCAACGCTGGTGCCGTCTCGCCTCTGTTTCAGCATGTTTTCTCCCTCTGCGTTGGTCACGGACAGCATGGTTTTTCCCTGGTATGTGAGTACTACTTATTTCCCGTGCGCCTGCGACTACTTGTGCTAATAAAGTATGCAAATAGAAATAGTAGCATTATGCCACAGATGTAGACAAGCCTACTAGCGTGTCTCATCTGGAGAAGCAAACAGACGATAGAGGCGGGGGAAAACAGGATGGAGGGAGAAAGAGTAGCAAAGCGACTCGGGATTGAGGTAAGCTCCCGAAAACACGTCAGCCAGCACGTCCGTGACACAGTCTCAGGAGATGCCTCGGAAGAAGAAGGGCCTAAGGATACCGGGAAGATAAGCACTGGATGGATTAGTATGCCAACAGAGATATGTACTATGTGAGTTCCAGGTTCCTTTTCCCCTTCGCATGTCTAATGGTGTTTATAGGCATATATTTTAGCCTGGGCGCTCGACAAGACATGTACTTGGTCGTTACTTTTGCAGTCTCTCTGAGGACCTATAACAGGTTCATCTTGGTGCCCCTCTTGCGTGCAATGCTCATCTGTATGGCAGATTTACGAGCAGCAGTTCAAGGACGCGAAGGACGAAAGCCGCTCTCGGAAAACGCAAGCGCAACACAACGTGATCCCATCCCTTTCCATTCGACGCTGCTTCATTCGACTTTCCTTGCTCTTTTTCACTCGTTCTCTCCGATTGCTATCATTTGCCACCCTTTCGTACTATTTCGTTTCGGTGAGATTTTCGGTGCTATCCTTTCATTTTCATTGCTCATTGGCTCTCGTTGGCTCTCGTTCGTACTCTTTGGCAACAGGTAGGAACGATCGTCAAAGAGTGTAAATAGATCCATTCACTACCATTTTGTCGCTACGGTTTCGATTCGAAATATCATTGCTGCTCTTTGTACTCTATTGGCTTACTTTAAGGGAAATTTGAATATTGCCACTCGTTGGGATATAAGTACGAAAGAGTATCAAAGAGTGGCGACGGAGTCATTTTTCATAGGGCTTGATGTCGCGGGGACTACGCCTCGTTCAAGATTTCGACTGCTTGACCTAACTCTATCTTGCTTAGTTTGCCTGTTTGTATGTGTCTACTGATTGTGATTTTCACCGTATAATTAGGAGGCTGGCACTTCTCAAAAAGCTGGTCCGTTGCATAATGAGTGTTTGGCTTGACACATAAAATTCAGAGGTAGGCAATAGGTCCAACGAGTTCGATGTCAAGCTCGCGGCCCAGACACCGGATAGTGCCGAAGCAAGTTCCCACACTGTTACCATGGTGCATGTGGACGGCGGACGGGACCGAGGGAACTGTCTCCATAATAACCGACCATGTTCACATCTTATCTCCCCAGGTTGATACCCCACTGGCAGGACATCTGCAGCTGACCTTCAAGCTGACTGGAACGGCTGCACAGTCCTTCACCATGCCATCCACCAAATCAACTCAGACGAAGGGCTCACAGGCCGACAAGTTCACTCTCGTCATCCATGGCGGCGCCGGGACGATGTCCAGGGACGGATCGACGCCCGAGAAGCAGCGCAGATACAGAGTCATGCTCGGCGAGGCGCTCAAGGCGGGCCACGAGGTGCTGCAGAGTGGTGGGGAGGCGATGGACGCTGCTGTCGCTGCTGTGAGCGTCATGGAGGACTGTCCGTTGTTCAATGCAGGGAAGGGCGCGGTGTTCAACGTTGCTGGTAAGGTGAGCGTGCTCCTCCAGCATCCTTCCGAGAGCTGGTATTTACAAAGAAGTGGTCTTATCGCTAGAACGAGCTCGAAGCCTCCCTCATGCTCTCTAGGTCCCCCGCCTCGCACCCCGCAATGCCAGCTTCGCGACGTGGCACATCGCTCACGCTCCTCACACGCGCTCGCAATCCGTCGCAGCTCACTCGTGCTATTTACCTGGCGCCTGGCCTCGCGCCGCACCCGATGCTCTCCGGTGCCGCGTCCGAGGAGCTCGGCGCGGAGCTGGGTGTCGAGCTCGTCGACCCATCTTATTTCTGGACGGAGGCGCGCTGGCGCGAGCATCAGCGCGGGCTTGGGCTGCCAGAGGAGCCCGTGCGCTACCCTGGTACCCCTGACTCTGAGATAGACGTGGAGTCCACGACGGACGTCGGCTCGGTTGAGGGCATGAAGAAGGAAGGCGTGGAAGGAGAAGAAGACTGGACACCGCTGGATCTCATGCCGACCGGTACGGTTGGCGCCGTCGCGCTCGACCAACGCGGTTGCATCGCCGCTGTTACGTCCACCGGTGGGCGAACGAACAAGCTCGTCGGGCGCGTGGGCGACACGCCCATCATGGGGGCTGGATTCTGGGCCGAGGAGTGGAAGCGCGACGGGAGCTTCTTCAAGAAGACGTGGGACAAGCTCCGGGGGAAAGCAAAGGTGCAGGCCGTCGGTGTTTCTGGGACGGGCGATGGCGATGTGAGAGGGATTCTTTTCTCTTCGGTTGTTGGACTCTAAGCTGATGATATGTGCGAACAGTACTTCATCCGTCAGGCAGCAGCGTCCACCATCGCGCGCCGCATGCAGTACCTCGACGAGTCTGTAGAACAGGCCTCCCAGACCGTCGTCAGTGACCTGTTCACGCAGGGAGGTATAGGTGGTGTCATCGCTCTCGATCGTGAAGGAAACTGTACGTTTTCTTCAGCTTGAATGAGCTCGCTGCCGTGTAGCTCATGCCTTTCATTCGTTTGTGACTTCAGACTCGCTCCCGCTCAACTCTAGCGGGATGTATCGAGGGGTCGTCAAGCCAGACGGGATACCCAAGACAGCGATCTTCTTCGACGAGGACGTGTCCGAACTCGATCCCAGCCATGGCTAGGTTTGATATCGATCGCTGCAGCAACTCGGCGTTCACCAAACTGTGGCGTGGACGGTCCGAGTGAAGATCATCAGGATTTTCTGCGATTAGATACTATTTGATTGGTGAACAGGTAGAGATCGTCGAAGCTATCATGCGATAGAGTGTACGTTGTATAAATATCCTCCATGTTGTGCGTTTGCGCAGAGGTCATCATGTTACAGATTCACTCAGGGGTGAAAATAGCAGAAGTTCACACGCTCCGAATTGTTAGCCCGACAATGGAGATGTCAAGTCTTTCCAATTCATTCTTTCCGACGCTCTTATGCCTTCGTGATCCAGACAAGACATGCGACTTTGTGGGCTGTCGGGCTGAGAGACCAAGCCGCGTCTTTTTTCAAGACAAGCCAAGACAATGAACACAATGCCTCCGTACATTCAAGGTGATGGCAACAGCGGCGGATCTTGCTTTTTCTCGTGGAACCATCAACTGCGTCTGCAACGATCCGTTCATTGTCACCATCGGAACCTCTGATCTTCTATCTCGACATCTTCTACATACGGTCTCAAAGATCAAGCCCTGAACTCCCTTGAGAAGAGATCTAAGAAGAATCGTGGACACCTGGGCGGCTGGGTTTCCACACTCTATTATCGACGGGAGCGAGTACAGGCGCGGGCTCAGCTTCTGAATTCTGGTCGGGTCACATCGTGCTGATTATCCCTCTTCGGGCTTCAGGGACACGCAGGTTTTGTACGCGTACCCATCCTTTGATAAACTTAAACTTGAAGCACCCGCACACTATATGCTGCCACCCTCTCCCCCGGCCCCTCTCTCGAGCGAAACCGGGCTCAACTTTCTCCGCGCAACACGATTCTGCGAGATTCGGTTTCTCCCCCTTCTCGCACTCGGCTTTCACCTCGGTGCGCGCCCAAGTGTGACCGACACACACGGGTGGCTGCGTGCCGTGCTGCAACGGGCGCCCAATACGGCTATTCCAGGAAATGTAGGTAGTTACATACAGCTGGTGCGCCACCGTGATGCCCGATCAGCAGTAGGGGGTCCATTTGAGGCCTGTGCATTGCGCTGCGCTGTTTCGTGACGTTTTCGAAGAGACCATGCCGTTTTCGTTCGAGTGTACACCCTTTCTCGATCAACGACTGTCTTTACCCTCGCCTCTGGCCTGATTCACCTGCCCATCTTCGTTCGCTCCTTACGTCCTCTTTTTCCTCCCTCCCTTAGCTTTTGTCCCCTCAATTCTCCAATTATTCCTTCCTATTTGCTGATTTTCCTTTGAAGTGTTGATCGCAGGTTAGTGTGATGTCCTCCTCTTCTCCCTCGTCGTCGTCGTCATCGTCGACATGGAGCTTCATGCTCAACGACACCAGCCCTGTGTACACTTACTCCCCGTACGGTGAGTTCCCTCATGCTCTACATTCAGCTATCGGCCGTCTCGCTGACGACTAAACGCGCTATTCGCTTAGCTGACGGAGTCAACACGTCGCTCGGCTGGTCCCTCTGGTACTCGGGGAGCGGATTCAGCAAGTACCCGCCGAGCGGGAGCGCTGGTGCCGGAACGTCGCAGCATTTCACCTCGCTCGCGGGGGCTAGCGTATCACTTCAGTTTAATGGTAAGCGGCCTATGCAGGACTTGTCCTTTTCACGCCTCGTGGGTTTCTCGAGCTGACCTGGCTTCGCTGTACGCTTTTTATGTAGGCGTTGGAATCGAGCTCCACGGTAGTGCGAACAGCTCGTATGAAGTTACGCTTGATGGGAGCTCCTCGACGTACACCACGGCCAATGGAAGCGCGTTGTTTTCGCAGACGGGGCTTACAGCTGGGACGCACAGCGTGACGTTGATTGCTCAACCTTCGTTGTCAAACCAGATGCTGGGGTTCCAGTACGCGCTTATTTCCAACCCGGTTGGCAGCGGGTGAGTTTCATCGCATCACTTCGTAGTCTTTTCATATTGTTGACTCGGCTGACTGTCTGTTCTTTGACAAGCAGCCAACCCTCTCCGTCCCCATCGTTCTTCTCCAGCGCAGACACGTCTTTCATGCAGTACCAAGGCAGCTGGACGAAGGGCACAGATCAGCACATCCAGAACGGCACGTTCTACTCCACTGCGTTGACGGGCGCGAGCGTCGGGATGGAGTTCATGGGCGAGGTTGTTGCTGTACAGGGAATCACGAACTGGGGAAATATGAACTACACTGTCGTACGTCTCCCTTTCGTTGCGCCTTCCTTTCCCTCTTTCAATGTCACCCTCTCGCGCATGGGCGCATGTTCGCTCGCGTCTCTGGCGCTTTATGCCCCGTACCTCTCCCACGCATCGCTCCTGATTCTGATATGGCGATATGGGAATAAGCTCAGTCTGATGAATTTGACTCGTACGTACAGACACTGGACGGCACCGAATCCCCGACACTGAACTCGAGCACGTACTGGTTCGTCCCCGAGACGACGCTGTTCTACCAGGGCGGGCTCGATGCCTCTAAGGTGCACACGCTTAACCTAACGCAGACGAGCTTCGAGGCGACGGATGATCCACTTAAGCTCGGGTTTGATTATGTGGCGGTGTATGGTTATCAGGAGTGCGTTTCATGTTGCTCTGCCATCGTTTTGGCCGCCGAGGCATGTGTAACTGACAGCGGGACCTGTGTGCTTTCTTGCAGTCCATCCTCGAACTCGTCTTCCACGAACCCAAATTCAGACAACTCGACCTCGAGCCACAAATCGCCTGTAGGGGGCGTTGTCGCAGGTGCCGTCGTCGGCGCCTTGGCCCTTGGCCTTGCGATTTTCGTCTTTGTCTGGTGGCGCAGACGCCGCACTCGAACTCGCCCCAACAGGATCGAACTCCTGACCGAGGTGGGTACGACGAAAATGGACATGGGCAACATAGGGCTCGGGTGCGGGGCGAGTCCCAGCGCCACCCCACTCATCTCTGCTGACACGGGCGCTGGTAGACGGGAAGGTGGAAAGTTCAGTCATGTGCACGGTTCATCCTTGTCCGCGAGCAGCAGTGGCGGCTACGACTCCGCGCGCTCGGTGCCTCGGAGCGCGACGGAGACGCCGTCGCTCGGGTATGTGGCTGCGATGAGCGATCTCGGGTCAGACGCGGGCAGCGGTGTGCCTGAGGGGACGGCGATTGCGTCGAGCGGGGTGTTGTCTAGGTTCAACTCGACGGGCGAGCACGCGTCGTGGCGAGGGCAGGGATTGGCAGGCGTGTCCGAGGAGACGAGAAGCCTTGGGAACAACGAGAAGAGCCCGAGGGTGCTGTCGCCGAGCTTGCGCTCGTTAGCGTCTTCCGCGGCTCTTGGATCGCCCATCACGCCGGGTCCGGGCCAGAATGCGGCGCATGGACAAGGAGGTGCAGGTGCAGGTACTTGCGGGCGGCCCCTGCCACCACCACCTGGAACGACGCCTTCATCGCCTCCCGTGCAAATCCATTCGATGTACATGCATCCGCCACAACAACACTCGCGGGACGTCGTGCGCTCGTTGGTGCAGGAACACGTTCAGCACGGGCAGGTGCAGCAGCCCGGGGGGACGGGCAACAACGAGGAGGTCGACCGGATTCTGGAGATGATTGCAGCACGGATCGATCAGCCGGAGGACCATTCGATGCCTCCGCCTGAGTACCCGAGGCGGTGACGCGGTGAAGCTGTCCGATGTTGCTCTGGGGTCGACACAATGGACAGTGTTATACCCATGTTGCCGAAGTTATTCGCTCTCCGCTTTTGCTTTTTGTGTAGCTTAATTTCTCGGAAGTTTGTGTCTGTCCTCATGTCTTGGTTCTGCGCAGTGACGTGACTATGACGCTTCTTTGATCATGCTTCGGTCATGGACATGCTTCCTTAAGGCTTTGTGACTTCACTAAATTGTTTACCTACCTCATTATTAATACGTTCGTCGGGTCTATGAGCATAATCCCTACAAGTTCGCTCGGTACGCCCCGCCACTAGTCTGCCTTCCTTGCGAGGATTGAAGCCAAGGATGAAATTTGAAAGCCATGCTAAATGATGGATTTCTGACGAAGCAAAAAGGCTATATATGCGAGGTTGGGAAAGGAGGTTTCAACAGTCACTTTGCCGGAGTGGTTAACGGGATCGCCTGCTATTTTCAGCACAGCGGTTGGGCTTTGCCCGCGAGTGTTCGAATCGCTCAGGTGACGCATTTTTTGCACTTTTCCTCTACTGCTGTCAGGCTCCTCAGTCGCGCGGCAACGCGACACGCGATAACCTGGACTCACACTTCCGTGACTTGGCCACTTCCTTCGCGTAACCCCCTTCCGCATATTTTGTTTCGGTTTCACGACTTGTCATCTCGATGAGTGCAGCAGCCAAGTTCGCCCATCTTCCTGATATCGTACGTGACCCAGATCCTCATCTTGATACACAGTGGTTGACACCAATCTACCACGGCTTTAGGACACTGCGGCTGATGTTTATGAGACAGAGGATGTAGTCCCGTCTTCACAACACGACGTGCGCACGACTTCGAAGAGATGATCGCTCTCATCACTGACAATACAACAACTCTCTAGGATGACTCGAGCGACGATGAGCTCGGTGCACGAGGACGGGGTCGGGGTGGCGCGCAGGCTGCCAATCCAGACGAGCTGGACAGAAGCAACCTGATACCCGCCGACGAAGCCAGCAAGATGTTCAGGAAAGCCGAGCGTAAACGTGCGTCAATCTGTCCTCCTGTATCGTGCACATAACATAACATAATGCTGCAACGCCGACAGGCCGCGAACGCACGCTGTACAACTACCCGCCCTCGCCGTCCTCCTCGCGCTCCCAATCGCGCTCGCAGTCGCCCAGCGCGGACCCGCTCGCCCGTGCGCGCAGGCTGCCGCTGCCGGCGCGCCTGCGTGCGCTCCAGGCTGAGCTCACCTCGCTCGAGACGGAGATCGGGGACCCGACGAACCCGGCGCTGCGCGGGAGCGCGGGTGGGCCGCCTGTGGATGTGGGCGAGATGGTGAGGGGCCTTGTGGATGTGCGTGCGCGGTTGGCGGGGGTGAGGAACCGGAGGGAGGGGAGGGGGAGGCTTGTGGATGTTGTTGCGGGGGATGGTGGGGCAGGTGGAGGTGGAGCTGGGGGTAGTGCAGGTGGTGGAGGTGGAGGTAGTGGTGGTGGGGATGCAGCGGGTGCGGTGGGTGCTGGTGCTACGGGAGGGAGCGAGGACGGGGTGCTTGTGGATGCCGGGGATGCGGAGGAGCCGAGGACAGATGGAAGTGGGGGAGGTAAGAAAGGAAAGGATGGACCAGCGGATGTGAGAAGTGTGGTTGAGATGGATAGGCGGGTCGGGGAGCTAGAGAAGCTCGTTGGTTCTGCTAGCGCGACGCTAGACGAGGTGCGTTCTTCGCTTTCATAATGACCTATTGCACTAATGAATTTCATCCGCTGCTTCTGTAGTCTACACCGCTCACCCCGCCCCTCCTCCCGCTCGTCAACCGGCTCAGCTCCCAACTAACATTGCTCACCCAACCGCGCCACATCGACTCCATCTCGCGCCGCCTCAAGCTCCTGCTCTCCGAGCTCGAGCGCGTCTCCGCCGCGCAGACCCAGCGGCGCCAGCAAGGCGGCAGCGCCGGTAGCGGCAACCAACAATCCTCTTCCCAATCGCAAACAGCCGCGGTCCCCGGCACGCCTCTGCACGACACCCTCCTCCCCCTGCTAACCCGCCTGGGCCCGGCATTACCGCACATCCCACACATCCTTACGCGCCTCCGCACGCTCTCGGCGCTGCACGCGGGCGCGGCCGAGTTCCAGGGGACGCTGTCGTCGCTCGAGGAGGAGCAGCGGCGCACGCGCGAGGCGCTTGAGGCGCTAAGGAGCGCGGTGGAGAGCGTCGAGGGCAGTATAGATGCGAATCGGGCCACGGTCGCGGGCAATGTGAAGGGTCTGGATGGGCGGGTGGATACGCTTCTGGCACGGTTGGAGGAGTTGGGGAGGGGGACGGAGTAGATTCAGCTTGTCTTGGGGGATGTTGGTGTCGTTCTGTCGTTGTAATACCCTGAATCGAACTTGGTTTTTCTGTCTGCGAAGCTGAAATTCTCATCCAAGCCGACACCATACAAGTCTCGAGTTTTCAGTGTTTGCTTTCTGCTAGACGAGTTGCGTACCGAGTGCGTACGCCTCACGATTGCAACGTCGAACACGCGTTTAGAATATAGAGGTAGAATTCATCAAGCTTATGTTGTGACAATAGCTAAAAGTACAGTAAATATGCTACATTGTCCTTTAACAATCTTCAGATCTACTCTAGACATCAACACCGTAGGCAGTGAGAACCTCCCGAGCGTGCGCCCTGGCCTCTGGAGAAACGGAATCGTCTGCACATACGACCATAATGAGCTATTAGCCCACTTTGGGAAGACGAAAGGCAAAGACGTACTGTGAAGAGCGGCCTTGTACCCTGCGAGAACGCGCTTCTCGTGCTCGTCCTCGGAGGTATCGTGTGCGCGCTCGCCGATGCCCGCAGACGCGAGAATCTCCTCGGCGTGGCGCTTGGCTTCGGGGGACGTGTTGGGGTCTGAGAAGTGCCACTCGTTAGCATCGCCCGTGTCTCACGGTTCACAGCGAAGCGAAACGTACTGCTCAAGGTGGCCTTGTACCCGCCGAGGACGTGCGAGTTGGACTGGCCGGTGTGGGTGCCAGTGTGAGTGCGGCCTTCCATGCGCTCGAGGCGCGCTGCGGCGTTGTCCTTGGCCTCGTCGCTGACGGAGGGGTTGTGGATGGCGGCCTTGAGACCGGCTGCGACGCGGGAGGAGTCCTTGTCAGCTGTGCGAGTGGAGAAGGTCAGCATCGTATCGCGGTGTCGAGTGTGGTAGACGTACAGTAAGACATGGTATTGATGAGTCGTGAATGAATATGCGGGTGAGCTGTGGTAGTGAGTAGGAGCTGAAGGGATGGAGAGACGAATGGACGGAAAGGTCTCTTTCTTATAACCCATCATCCAACAGGGGCCCAAGGGAGAGGAACGCGTCGCCAACCACAACGTAACATGACGTCGATTGTGGCGCGTCCATCACGTGTAGTACCAATATCAACGCTCCGACATGCATTCGCGGTGACTCGAAAGTCAAATAAGCCCCTGTGTGGCACTCAAGAGGAGTCAGGTAACCGCTGCGTCTCCAAAACACTTGCCTTTGCAAGGAATCATGTCTCCGCGAAAGGAAGAGCTCTGCAGGGTCAAAATGCATGTACTTGCCGACGCGTCATGCGCGTGGCGCGTTCCCTGGGGCGCGTCATTCTGACCCACAAGCTTGATGGTTGTGGAGAAACGGAGACTTCGCCGAGAACAGTGAGGTCACGGCGTCCCCCGTACGTCGACAGGAGTGCGGCGCCCGACCCTTCTAGAATCTCGGAAGCATGGAAACACTGGGCTCTGTGAAGAGATATGAAATGAACTTCAGTATTTCACATCATTGGAGACAAACGAGTCAGGGTCCGAATGACTCGTCATACGATAGGAGCGTGGTGGTGGAACAACAAGCTGGTAAATTGATAAAGCACTTAGTGCGGAAGTACGAATACACTAGAATCTGGGGATTAGCAGTTATAAGCTTTAGCACACATCAATGTGATCTAGCAATAGTAAAGTATGGGTACCGGTGTATGAAGCAACTGTAAAGGCAGGTAACTTCGCGGCCGAGGATGAAATCCAGAAGAAACAATCTAATCCAACTTCGTGCGCTGAGTTATCACGCTGCTTGGCTCGCCGCCATCTCACGACGGTTGCTCAAGAGCTCAATGAGTTCTGCAAAAATCAAATATATTCAGTGCTACAGGCCCATTACTAAAGTTGAGAAGCTGCACGCACCATGCATCCGCGCTTCCTTCTTCTCGCGCTGCGTCTCTTGCCTCTTCATCCCAGAGAACGCCTAAAATGCACACGTCAGGACTCCTTCTTCATCCCGAACCGCTGAAGCACGGCGGCCTCGCACATACCTTGCTAATCAGCTCCTTCTTCCTGTCCTGGATCTCGATCACCTTTGACTCGACTGTGTCCTCCGCAATCAGCTGGTACACGTGCACGTTCTTCTTCTGCCCGATACTAGAACGATCCCAACTCACGAGTTAGCAAGGAGTTAGCAGTCACTGAGATGCGCCACGCACCGGTTGCATCTATCGATGGCCTGACTCTCGATGCCCTCCTGCCACCACGGGTCCATCCTGCACGACGTACACAATCGTTAGCCCTCCTGCTTCCATTCCTTCACGAACACATCAGGCAGAGAAACTCACAAATACACATTATTCGCGACCGTCAGATTCAACCCCAACGCGCCCGCCTTGAGCGAGATCAACATCACCCTCGGATTCTCCCCTCTGAACGCCGCGCCGTCGAACGTCGGCTTCGGCGTAGCCATAAGCGGGGGAAACATGCCGAGGTCGTCGTCGTCATCCACATCGTCATCCACCACGAACGAGTCCGCGCGCGACTTGCCCTTGCCCTTTCCTCTACCGCTGCCACCGCCTCGAGCGCTGGTGATGCTCGCCATGGTGCTACTCCTGCCCTTGCCCTTGCCCCCGCTTTTACCCTTGCCCTTGCCCTTACCCTTCAAACCGACTGTGCCCTTGGCCATCGCAGACAGCTCCACCGCGAACTCCTCATCCGAGTCATCCGGGTCCACCCCATCCCCATCGATGAAATCGTCGTCGTCGTCATCGTCGTCCCCACCAATCAAAGTCTCCACATTGATCACCCTCGACGCCTTCCGACGCAATCGCCCGCTCTGGCTCACGCTCGGCGCCGGTTCTTCTTGGCTCTGCGATTCCAACGTCGATATCTGCGACGAGGGCGGCCCGAGCGGGAACGAGGACGGCGGGGGCATCGCCGTCGCTGCCTGAAGCTGGGACGACAGGTCTTCATGGTAGGCCGGCATACTAGCCGGCACCGTCGTCTCGCTCTCATCGAGCGGGATGCTGAAGCGCTCGAGGACCTCCTGGCGCTTGCGCGCGTTCAGCTGCCCGTCGAAGCGCACGTAGGAGATGCCGTTCGCCTCGAACGACTCTGCGATCTACACGGACCCGTTCCTTCTTTTAGCGTGGGTTCAACGAGCGGAGGCATGTGAGACGTACCCTGTCGAGGAACGACGTAAACTGCGAGAACACGAGCGACTTCTCGCCAGGCGGCGTGAGCTTGAGCAGATTCACAAGCTGGTCTATCTTCGCAGACGAGCCTGTCCTAAGGCCATCCCCGCCGTCCTGTGCGCTTTCCATCATCAAAGACGGCACCCCATCCAGCTCGCCAGGCTGCGCAGGCTCAACGATGTCGCCCCAGCCGAGCGGCCGACGGTCCATGGGACAAAACTTGTTTTCTCTCGACAACATCTCCGTGATGCTATCCCACCACCATCAGCCTCGGTGTCCTATGCCACGCCAGACAAACAACTCACCAGGCCAAACAGAACCTATGCGCACACGCCGTAATCCGCGGACTCGCCATTTCCGATAGGCAGATCGAGCACTCCTCACACTCCTCGATCGCCTTCGCGAGCAGGCCCTGGAGACGCACGCGCTCCTCGGGCGTGAGCGGTGCCTGCGCGTGCGGGTGCTGCGCCTCCTCTTCGGCGCTGCGGAGCTGCTCGAGGTAGTTTGCGGGCACGAGGCCCGGGTGCAGCGCGAGCTGGCGCAGGCGGGTGAGCATGCTCAGGAAGTTGGAGGACACCTGGAGCGAGCGTGGTCACCGGTTAGATGTTGATGTGATGCAATGGGTTGGCGACGAGACGTACGACGGCGGTGGAGGTCCCGCGCGAGCTCATGATGCGTTTGGCGCATTCTGTTGTGACCTTCGCGACGGCATCGTATAGCTCCTGCATATCACGAATCAATTGCCAAGGTCAACACGCTCTCCCGGGAAACACACCCTTGCTTCGCCAGTCAGTGTAACCGGAATGAGCGTCATCTCCACCTACAGCAACACAAACGTAAACGCAGTAAGCACCCCAACGACCCAAGCAAACGCGGACAAAACCCACCGGCGGCAAAGGCACAAGCGGATTCCCCTCGCTGTCCTGCATCTCCTTCGTCCGGCGAATGCAGATGTGGGCCATCAGCGCCTGCAGTCGCCGCAGTATCAGCAAGCTGTTCGAGATCCTACGGTAAGCAGACTTACCCGGAGCAATTCAGCACCGGTCGGGTCGCCCTCCTTCAACGGGCGGAGCAGGAGCCGCTTGAAGTATTCCTCGTTGTCCAGCGGGCGACAGATCCGGAGGAAGGTGAGCATCGAGCCGAGGTCCTGCGGTGTGTGCGGTCAGCAGTCAATCAAAATAATCACAGACTGGAGGCGCACCCTTGGCGAGTTAATCTAATATCCATAACATCCAAAAGTCAACGGAGCACATAACCCGGGAAGAACAGAAAAGACGCGTACGATAGGCGTTCCAGTCAGTATCCACCGGCGCTGCGCATCGAGCTTGCACACCGCCTTTGCCATCTTCGTCTTCGGGTTCCGGATGCTATGTCCCTCATCGAGAATGATTCTCTAAAGCCCGCATCACCATCGTCAGCCAACGTCGTCACTTTCACCAAGGTAAAATCGCTCACCTTCCACTTAACATTGAACAGCCCCTTCGCCCCCCTCTTCCTCCTCTTCCTCGGCCCGTCCCCAGTGTCGTCGCTATCGGCGTCCACATCGATCACCGCACCATCAGCACGAGGCGCATCAAGGTCCGCATCAGCGACGACAGTCTGGTACGTCGTAATCACAACATCGTGCGCGCGCAGCTGCGCGGGCGACATGCTCCGCGTGCTGCCGTAGTACGTGCACGACTTGATCGTGCCGCGTGTGCAGTGCTCCGAGATCTGCTTTTCCCAGTTGGACATGACCGAGAGGGGGACGACTGTATGCGGGCGTCAGCTCTCTTGCAGTGCTCCGGGGGGAAAGAGGGAGACGCACCGATAAGGGTCGCGGTGGAGTAGTCCTCTGTCGTGTCATTCTGCGTTGCAAGGATGAGGGCGAGCATGGTGAGGGTCTTGCCCTGCGAACGCCGGGTGAGTGAAACGCAGGGATTGGGACGTATACAATAGAGCTTACCAGGCCCATACTGTCAGCGACAAGCGCGCCTCGCCCAAGCTGAGGCGGACTGTCCAGCGCCTGCGGAGTCTTTGTAGCCACTGCCGCATCATAAGTACTGCTGCAGGTAGGGGGAACTGGAAGCCCACACCATTGTAATAGTAAGCCTATATGCGGGTATAAGTGAGAAATACAGTCAGAAGATCACCGAGAGAAGCAGGGGTGCTCACCCTATCCCTAGCTCTAGTGTACTTCCAGAACTGCACCGGCGGATCCGTCTCTTGCTTCGGGAGCACAGGGTTCTCGCGGTTGATGCACCACTGCAGCGCTTGACTCTGACAAGCACACATCAGCCATCACTCCTTCACTTCCCCACCTCAAACACAAAAGCCTACCTGATGCCTCAGCAAATCCACCATCAAATTCCCCTTCGCCCTCCCCGGCGGATCAGGATGCACCGGCAAAGTCAACACGTCCTCCGTCGAGCACAGCGTATCAAGCATACCCTGCCTCCGCCCGCTATCGTCCACCTTCTCGAGCGAGCTGAGCACCCGCGTGAGCTCCGCCGCGCGCGCGAGCGCCTCCTGCCGCTTCGCGAGTTCTTCCTGGTGCTTCTTGTACGCAGCATCCCGCTGCGCCTGCTGCTTCTCGAGCTCGAGGCGCTGCGCGGGCGTGAGATTGCGCTGCTGCGAGGCGCTGTGCGGCGCCGGAGCCACGTAGGTGTATGCGAGGCTGTGCGCCGAGGAGGACTGGGAGGAGGAAGGCATCTGGCTGGCGCCCGGGGCGCGGGCACCGCGCTCGGGGAAGCCGCGTTGTTGGGGCGTGGCCCAGACGAGCTGGGGCTCGAGCTGGTCGCGTTTATCGGCGGGGCCGTAGATCTTGATTGATCTGACGGGGTTGCGTCAGCAATGCAAAACACGAGAAAATGGGGACATGGTTTACATGGACAGAGTGTATTGCTTCACGTGTCCCACTATGCATCCACCAAGTCAGAGAGAGAAACATGTATACGCTGTGGTGGCACGCACTTTTCCCTTCGATCATCACGCCTTCTAGTGTTATGGTCCGCCGGTCCCAGAGTGGTGCGAGTTTTGAGGCCACGTTCTTAGGTAGGTGGCCGACTTGCTGTCCGCTGATGTTCGTTATCTTAAACGCGTTCCTAAATGACACAGTCAGCTGAGACCTTCGCAGCGGCTCCCTTGCTCGAACAGTCTCGTACCTATCGTATTTATTATGCGGCTCTCGGACGATGGTCACCTGTTCCCCGGCACCGACCATTCCTGCATTGTGTCAGTCAATGCTATTGAGAAAGAAGAAAAACGTCTACCGTTGTAGTACTGAACGCCAACAATGCTCGTCTTCAGCACAACATACAGCTCATCGAGTGCCTCAGCCTCGAAGAGAGACGTATCGTTGAAGTATCGATCATATTCGTCCTCGCTGGTGTTCCCCGAAGTACGCGGAGGACCAGCAGGCTGGCGCACATGAGAGGAACTCTTGGAGGAGCTAGCCAGAGGTTGCGAGGCCGGGAGAGCCGCACGCTTACGCTTTTGGGTCTTGGTGGGCTTGGGGCCGCCTATGATGATAGGAGGCTTGGCGGATTTGGGCACGTCAGACGGGTCGACGCGCTTGTTGGCTATGGCGCGGAGGACTTTTGTCTGGTCCTCGGCTCTGCGAACGTGAGGTCAGGACATGCACCATGGTTGCGGCTGGAGACCTACTTGAGTTTACTGAAACCAAGAATCTGAGCAGGCCTGACGGTCGACAACTTGTTAAAAATGTCAGGGGTGACACAGCCCCTGAAACAAAGCATACAAGCTAAGGACGCGTTGAAGACAATGGAATGCTAGAGCGCACCAGTGACGCCATTCCACAGTCTGTCCACCAAACTGTCCTTGGACAACAGTTCCGTATCTCAGTGTGCCAGGTTCAATCGGTGAGCCTGTGCAAGGCGCTGGGCCTTTGCACGTCGCACGAGGGCTTGTGCTGTACTGAAAGGCTCCTATCGTTAGCACTTGCCCCCGACGAACTGAGCCGAACCGAGGGCAGAGTGCTCACATTGATTGAGTGTTCTGGATGCTCTTTATCCATCGTATCTCCACGCAAAAGCGCCCCTTGTTACTTCGTCGCTGATCTCTCCTCGAGCGTGCGGTGGATGAAGAAAGATGAGAAATGAATGGGTCTAACAGTTGATCCAAAAAGTGCCGCTGCCAGCCGTCAAGGGGCAGGAGCGCGCCTGTTTGCTCTTGTTCCTGGGGCCAAAGGCTCCCAGGTATAATTCGTCAATTCCTTCCTTTTCGGTAATCGCGATTTTTCTCGGGCCGCTTTTCGGGCCGCTTTCATCCGTTCTACTCCACACGACCGTTGCCCGGTCTGAGTCTAACTCGGCTTCTTTCTGACCACTTCGCGGGTCGTTTATGCTCAATTCCTCGTTTTGCCGATGGCGCTTCGTCTCAGCCTTCCTATCCTCGGATCTTTGCCTTCTTCCTCTCTTCATTCTACCAACCTATGGTGTCCATTCCCATTTTCTCTCTTTCGATCTCCAATGTTCCCTCTATCGACTGTGATCGGTTAATCGTCACATCCGCGTCCTTACGCATGAGTTGTGAATGAGCCGTATAGGCCACAAGTCTTTCTTGGATGTATCCGACCTGTGCGTTTGTCCCCGTGGGCCGATGCTCCCTGTGTTCGGTATGGATCTATCTTTGCTGGTTGAGCACTTCAACCATTTCACTTGAAAAGACATCACTGTCCTGTGCTCTGCCCATGGGATCCGTTATACATCGGCAGCTCGTCGTGAATGGCTCCGTGACGCGCTCCGTATGCACAACTGTGGACCTGCGTGTTGTGACATCATATACATCTTCAAGCAGATGTTCCGATCTCGTAAAGACTTTGCATTGGTGATGTTACCGTCTACTCATACTCACTCTAGCGACCGGCTCTCCGTCACGGAACGTCGTAACCAGGCTTTGGATGCTCACTGGTTTACCCGATCCAACCTTATGCAGCCTCAGCCCAACCCTCCTGAGCGACCGAGCACATTTGACCAGCAACGCGTTTCCTCGTTTCCTCCTGATGTTAATCCCGCGCTTGACTTCGATATTTTGCGGGAATGGCAGGACATCATGTCCGATGGTTTATCACGGAATGAGGTTTGCGTGGTGTGCGGGCACGATGTTCTGCTCAGGTCTCTGTCCACATATTCTCCTGAATAGGTTTCACTATACGTGCTTTGTAATCCTCACTTGCCGTCACGCCCTTCCTCAGCCATATGACATTTCTTTATATGATAACGCGATCTTGTCTTCGCATGGTCTAGCTGACAGCGGTGATCTGCGTGTGTGTCCGATTTGTTGCTCTGCATTACATGCGCGTCCTCCAAGACAACCTAAGGCAGCTCCGGTGAACTTCTTATATTATTGTTATGAATGTTTGCCTGCTGACATTTCATGCGCTTTTTGTGAAGCTTTGCCCATGGATTTGGCGTTGATTGCGCGCGCACGTGTAGTAGTCGAATCATGCATGTGTACTCGCAAAAAATAGTGGAGTGTGTCTGCTGGCCGCCCCGGAGACCAATCTCAACGATTTACAAAGGGAAATGTTGCGGTCTTACTCCAGGACTCTGCTCGTATACGTCAGGTGCTACCACCCGATGAGGATGAACTTCGTGATTCTGTTTGCGCCCTCTTTGCAGGTTGGTCTACGGATGTCTCTAAGGATTACATTCTCACCACTCTCATGTGGAATCAGCGCCACCTCATCAGTGGTTAAACGGTGATCTAGAATTCGCTTTGTTTGTTTTCAAGGCGTAAGGCAGAGGGCTTCATGTCCCGCAGCATGACACTGAACATCCTTCACAGGGCACTAGTGGTGCATAGAATATGAGTTAGTCTCCGAGCAGACCTTGTCGCTTGTTCAACGAGAGGGCCTCGCTCGCTGCGCTCTGCAAGGAGGCTTGCTCTACCATTTGTGCCATTTACTCCTGTAGTTGTACATGTTTGGCCTGTTTATAACTATAACGCAGTGATTACTCCGACGAGCCCAGCGTCTGATATCGTAGCCTCTTTGGTCCCAGGGATGCCTGCCAAGGCCTTGATATTTCGCCACGCGACGCGTTCCTGCCTAATATGGCAAAGACCCACAGCGCGGTACCAGCGTCTACTCCACGCGCTTGTCACCTGCCACCACCTCCTCACCTACAACCTCTACAACCCTTTGCTCGAGCTTGAGACGCGAGATAGCAAGAATCGAGACAGGAAAGAATGGACGTTGATCGTGCACAAAGCCTTGCATATGATCCTGACCAGGATGCCGCGGAGAAGCGGGATATCCGCAAGCAGTACCGCGTGCTCGAGAGGTTGACAGGTGCGTGTTCTTGGGCCACAGATGCCATAGCAGACCTCCCTATCTGACGTCTATATCGAAAAGACAATGGAGGTAGACCTCAGGACTACACCGCCAAAGACCTTGTCGACCAAGTCACGCGTGCCGACTCGCTCTTCTCAAAAGGCGCGTACCACTTTTCACTACCGTCCCCGTCGCACAGCATAGGTGCTTATCGCTCTCCCAGTCCGCAACCCGACCGAAGCCACGCTCGACTCCTCCGTCCTGCGCAATGTATCCGCCATCTCCGCCCAGAAGGCACGCGCGATGCGTCTCGGCTCCGGCGCGTTCGACCTGGACGACTTCGTCTCCAAGCTCGTGTCCTTCATGGGCGGGCGCAGGCACGTTGCCGCGGACGACGACGATGAAGAAGAGTTTGTGGAGGACGACGACAGCGTCCCGCTCGACTGGGACAGGATCGGCCGCAGGGCGCTCGCAAAGAGCCGGAGAGTGCCTGTGTCTGGGTTTATGTACGTCGGCGCGTAGCTGAGCAACCAGACGCGGTCTACTGAAAATGCTGGCTCGCTGTTCGTACAACAGGCTTGGCCCGCTCTCTGTAGAACAGAAGAAGCGCGGCCCGATCAAACGCGCGCGCCTCGAGAAAGAGGCAGAAGAAGAGAAGAAGCCGCAGGCGATCACAGAGGAGGACATCCAGCGGTCCGAGAACGAGACGAGCAAAAACGTTGCAGCGGTGCGTCCTGCCTTCCCTTTTTCTTTCACCCACTCCACGTCTCACAGTAACACGCTCAACAACGACCAGATCCTCGAGCGACTTCTCGCAATCGGCGAGCCCGTCAACTTCTTCCGCTTTGTCATCAATCCCAACGACTTCGCGCAGTCAGTCGAAAACATATTCTACCTGTCCTTCTCCATCCGCGACGCCGCCGTCGCGCTCCAATGGGATGAAGACGGCAGCGGCGAGCCTATACTCAGTGAGCCCCTCCTCCTTCCCTTCCCCTTTACCCCAGGATGCATGTAGCCCTAAAGCTAACCCCAACCTCGTGCTCAGTGGCATGCCAAGAGCCGACCGACGAGGATCGCGCAGCGGGCGTGCGGAAACAGCAGGTCGTGATGGAATTCGACATGGCCACCTGGCGGGTAAGTGCTGTCCACTGGACGCTCGATCTTCGTTCTGTAGCTGACGTGCTCCTGTTTAGCGCGCCATCGAGGTGTTCAACATAACCGAGGCTATGATCCCCACACGTGCGGCAGCAAGGACAGGCATCAAGGGGAAGTGGTACGGCTGAGAGCCAGCGCGTCCATTCATCCATCCCTTTTCCAGCGAGTAGCTACTCGCCTGTTGCAGGACTTGCCCGTATGGTGTGCTACCACGCATTAGACCTCTACTTACTCCTCCATCTAGTCATCTGTATGAGACTGTATTCGTTTAATTCTTCGCTTTGCTACCCAAGAATGCTGTGATAGTCGGAAGAGTCGAACCGCTGCAGCTTCCACTGAGGGCTAAAATCCAACATGAAAGGACCTAGCTGACATGCACAGGGTAACAGTGCGGAAACTCACTTCGGCGGTATCTGGTATCTGGGAGTTTCGGCGGCGAGCTTGACTTCGAACTTCAAGTTGTTATACCTGCTACTCGACAGCTGCTTGATACCTCGGGATTTCAGATACTAGGTTTCCCGTGTACTGCCGTTAAACGCATACAAACTAATCAACCAAGACACATACACATAAAGGAAGATAGCATAAGTCCGGTCGGAACGATTAGAGAGGTTTATCAACAAGCCCGGAACATCAAGCCTGACCAGCGTTCTGGTCTCGCTCGACCTTCGCCTTCGCAGCCGCCTCCAGCTCGGCAAACGTCCCGCTCTTAAGACACATCGTTTTAAAGATCCCATTCTCCTTCCGTATCAAATTCAACGGCGTGTCGAACTCGGCGATCTCGCCTTGTTCGAGCACAACCAGCCGGTCGTAGTCAATAACCGTGCGCAGGCGGTGCGCCACTTCAATGATACGTTATTATATGTTCTACACCAAGGATAGGCCCGAGTTCACGTACCGGTGAGCAGCAGCGAATCCGTAAACTCCTCGCGGATCGTCGCTTGGATCTTCGCGTCCGTCTCAAAGTCGATGCTACTTGTGGCCTCGTCGAGTACGATGATCAAGCTCCTGCGCAGTAAAGCACGCGCCATAGCGATTAGCTGTCGCTGGCCCTGTGAGAAGTTTGTTCCGCCTGCGGAAACCTGGGTGTCCAGCGATATCTTCGTTTTGGTGTCTAGGTCGGTGGGAGACGTGGAGACGACGGATGAAGCGGTGTCATCGAAAGGAGTGCTTTGGGAAGACGACGCGCGAGAGGGCATTCGGGATGTTCGTTGGGATTGGTAAGCACTCTCTGAGATCATCCGGACGCGGTAGAGAACGTCGAGGCATTCAGTGTCTTCGTGTTCATCTGCGAGCAGATGGTCAGACCTGGTCAGGATAAGTCTCTGATTTCACTCACTGAACGGATCTAGGTTTTCTCTAAGAGTCCCGGAAAAGAGGGTAGCATCCTGTAGAATGCAGTGTTAGACGAACGGCCTGTCTATGTCAATGGCGAAGGATATACCTGAGGAATGAACGTCTGTTTGAAAAAGGTACAAGGTAAGTGACAGATATCTCAGGTCAAAGGACGGAAACGTACTATGCGCGAACGAAGATCATGAATACCAATCTTCGAGATATCGATGCCATCTATGACGATACGCCCGCTAGCAGGGTCCACCTGTCATAATGTCAATTTCTCATTCATATCCACGTTGACAACCACTCACGAAACGCAAGATGCTCATGGCAAGCGTCGATTTTCCGCTACCTGTCACCACGAATTCAGCACAAGCTGGACATCATAACCGAGTATATTCACCAGTGCGCCCAAGCAGCCCGACTCGCTCCCTCGGTTTAAGAGTAAATGAAACGCCACGCAACACGGGTGGCAGTTCAGGTGCATACTTGACGACAAGATCCTCCACCGAGATGAGATCCGACGATCCGGTGCTCGAGGGCCAGTACGCCGGGGGACGGCTCGTCTCGATGATGGCAGGAGGCTCCTGGGGAAGGTCGAGATACTCGACAAGGCGTTCCACAGAGCTGTGATCCATGGTTAAACTAAGGCGACACCCAAAGTTATTGTGTACACCACTCACTTTAATTCGAGCTCAAGACCGCTCCAGAACCGGCACGCCCAGTACACACTATCCGTAAACGTTATCGCACTCGTGATGCAAATGCCGGCAATACCAGCGTCCACCCAGCCCGAGAGCGTGAAGAGCGTCGTTATCAGGACCGCCAGGGCGCCGAGGTAGTCGAGATTCAGCATCAGCCAACGATTCGACATCCAAAACATGTACCACATCTGGATGGTGCAAGTAAGCCACTACAGTTTGTGTGCCAACGGAAAGGTGACAAACCTTGATTGTGACGTCGATCTTTGCGTGCAGCCCATCCATGAACCACCCCTCGGCAGAGAACGCGCGCACCGTAACAATCCCCTCCAACAGCTCCCCAAAGCCCGAGAAAATCGGGCTCCGCGAATTACTCTCCATCCTCCTCAGATCCCTCGTCGTGCTCAGATACCCGAGCGCAAGCACGTAGTACACATATCCGAGCACCACAGCTGGAAGCAAGAAAATCGGGAAGAACACGGCAATCGTGATAACGGCCGCAGCGAACGTCGCGAGCGATTGGGTCACCGACGTGAGCGAGTTCGCAAGACTGTCGTCGATCGTCTCGATGTCCTTGCCGAACCGGTTGAGCATCCGACCCGTCGGGGTGACATCGTGCCAGCGCATCGTCGCGCGCACGACGCCCACGAGCAGCCGCCGGAACAGGAGACGCGAGGCGCGCAGCGCGCCGGTGTATTGTACCAGGACGGCGATGATCAGGACGAACGCTGAGGAGAGCCCGATGAGACCGTAGATTCCGACGTAGAAGAGCGGGTGAATGTGTGCATCTGGAAGAGCCTGTGCTTCAACAGGAGAAACTTGGGCGTGAACCTGATAGGGACTGTTCTGGCTAAGCTGGTGTGCGTAGAACACGACCCCGCCGTACGCAGCCTCATTATCAACCAGCGCCATGGATGCATGGCCGTACGAAGTGGGCTGGGACACATTGGTACCGTAAGCTGCACCCCACTCGCGGATCCACAATCTCTCTGCAACGCTGATGACCTGCATAATGACGATCAGAGTGGATAGTATGATCCAGGTCCAGTATGACGAAGCCTTAATATAAGCCTTGTAAATCGCCCACTTGACGCCGCCTTCCTCGCGATGTTCTTCCTTGATGAGTTTTCTTGGCTTCCTGTTAGCTTCATCAGGATTTTGCTCGTCTTCGGCCGCAGCAACAGCTGGTGCATCGGCGGGAGCTTCTGAGGCTACGACAGGCCCTTCTTCCTTGAGCTCAGCAGCGGAATCTTGTGCAATCTCCTCCAGAATACCTTGGGCACGGAGTTCCTGGGTAGTGCCCTGTGTATCGATTCTACCGTCAAGCATTCGGACGAGGTAGTGAGTTCCCGGTAAGACAAGCTCGACATGATGGGTAACAAGGATCTGACAATGCGCTATGATAAGCGCTCAGTGCATATCCCTCAAGCACGACTTACGACTGTACGATTAGCTAGCAGCGGCCCACACAACAGCCTCTCGTATAGGAAGCGAGCGGTGTGACTATCCTGGTAAAAACACGTTGTTCAGAGATGGACACATGTAGATAACAGGGGTCACTCACAACTGCACTCAGCGGGTCATCCAAAATCACATACTTCGACCGCGCATACACCGCTCTCGCCAGTGCAACGCTATCATCAATTAATAGATGAGTGCGTCACGCCCTCGAAATCAAAGCAAAACATCACTCACCGAGCCTTCTGCCCCCCACTCAAACTCACACCCCTCGCCCCAATCTCCGTCGCATCTCCGTCCTCCAGAATACCCAAATCCGGCTTGAGCGCACAGCACTCGACAACATCATTATACCGCTCCTCGTCGTACGGATACCCAAACAGAATGTTATCCCTGATCGACTGGTGCCGGAGCCACGGCATCTGCGCCGCGTACGAGAACGAGTGCATGTAACCGTGCCCGTCGACGCGCCGCGTGTTCTTCGCCATGAGCAGTTTACCCTGGGTGAGCGTCATCTCGCCGAGGAGGGCCATCTACGCGTTCCCGTCATGGGGTGATTAGAATAGAGTAAGGAGGGCGTGTGATGAGAAAACACGAACGAGCAACGCCGTCTTCCCACTCGCCGTCGGCCCGGTGATAACACTCAACCGTCCCTCGGGAAAGCGTACGCTGATATCTTGAAGCTCAAACCGATGGTCTTCGAATCCACTCGTACTCGCGCTCCTCGCCGATTCAGAGTCCGCGAGCGTCGTCGACCCCACATTGCTCGTAGACGGCTGGCTGTACATAGTCGAGACCGTGCCCCTCGATACGTCCTTTCCGTGCTTCGTTTTCTTGCCGTTCTTAGCGTTCTTGTCGGTCGAGTCCTCCTCGGGCTTGTTCGGAACCGCATTCCACGTGAACGAGCCGTTCTCAATGCCGAGGCCCTCTATGGCGTTCTCAGCGGCGAGAGACTCTTCTGTTTGCTTGAGAGAAGAGACTTGGGCGGAGACCTCTTCTTCATTGAGGAACGTCTCTAGGCGGCGAATGGCAACGAGGGTCTAAGGGAGTGACATGAAGCGGCTACGCACCGAATCGTGGCGGTGTGGCGCTTACCTGCAAGAACTGAATCAAGAAGCTAGGTAGAGAGTTCATAGGAAGACTGCGGGATATTATGATGCATTTGTTATCCTGGAGATTTGGGAGTTGAAAGAGCCGCTCTTACCGAATCATGCTGAACAACGCAATAGCCTGAGCGGACATCAGAATTCCCATCCAAGATCAGCTCCAAAGTACAACGTACGTACCGTGAACGCGACTGGCACCGTCAACTCATTTCCCAGCGACACATACACCATGAACGAAACAAACGAAACAAAAATCGGTGCACACGTCCAGATCATCGAGAAGAACACCGAATTGATCCGCGCTACAATATCCGCGTCAACGCGTCAGTCACAATCGCCTCACCACCCATACTACACAACAAACAATAAACCCTGGACTCACCTTTCACAATCCAACCAATCTCCTCCGCCCTCGCGCGCATCGTCTTGTCGATCCACCGTTCCTCCCACGCGAAGAATTTGATAAACTTCACGGCGCCAAGGAGCTCGTTGAGGATGCCCATGCGCCGGTCGCGTGACGCGGAGACGCCTTTCTGGATGCGCACGCGCCGCTTGGCGACGAACGAGCTCAGCGGCCAGGCGACGACGAGGACTGCGAAGCCGGTGAAGGCGGACCAGCCGAGAATGCTGAGAGCGGGTCAAGGATGTCAGACAAGGATCGAGAAAGGGCCGGGCACTAGATCGTACTTGTATAGGAAGATGCTCGCGACGACGATTTCGATGGGCGCTGTTGGGAATGAATAGACGTCAGATAGAGCGGCGGTGAAAGCGCGAGGAAACACACCTCCATATAAGATGTACAGCATGGACATCATCACCGCAACCTGCACATACAACAAGTGGCCCATTAAGTATATCACAATCGGGAGGAACCATCGACCGCACCCTATTTGTATCGACAGCCATAAGATTCACAATCTTGCCCACGTCCGCTCCCGCCGTCGGCTCGTCCCCTTCCTTCTCCGCTTTCTTCGTGTTCCCGTCCGCACTACGCCTTTCCAGCTTTGACTTGTCGACGATGCCGGAATAGTCCACGCGCTTGAGCGCCTTGTTATATACCGCCGCCATGAGTTCGACACGGATACGCGCCGCGGCGCGCTGGCCGACCCAGCGTTGCTGTGCTTCGACTTGGCCCTTCAAGACATAAATGCATGAAGATAGTGGGTGCATGTGTAGTAACTACGGCGCATACCCTGAGAAGCGTGGATGTAAACGCCAGAAGGGCATAAACGAACGCCCGGGCGTGGTTCTCCGGGGTCGGCTCTGCCACGGAATCCAGGATCCGCCTAAGCGAGGCGAAATAAGCGGACTGGTCGACGACAAAGCGCGCGATGGACAGGCTACGTACTTGAGGAAGAAAGGAGACGTGTACTTGAGGGTGATCTTGGTGACAGCTCCTATGGTGTCCATGCTGCAACACGTATGTCAGGTGGGTCCTATGGATACTGCAATGCTACATACATGATATCCAACGAGTTCGCTTGCCAAAGATGGCGAAGCAAAGACTTTTGGCTAGCAGCAATAGCCGAGCGTCAGACTGAATCGCACACCATAAAGTCGAGTCTTACGAAAGATCATCAAAGCGGGAAAAGACTGGACGCGACTGCACTGTCGGGCTGAGGTCCCACACATCATCTTCGTACAACGTCGTTGTAGAGCCCTAGGCCCAGTAACAGCATCAGGTATGGCCACGGATGCGAACACGAAAGGATCCTGACCTTTCGAATAAGCGGGAAGACCCATGAATAGCTAACCCAACCAAGAAGAGTCGTGTAATCTTCTGCCGACAACTTCGTTCCCTAAACAAGCCTCAACACGAGAGAACGTTTAAAGTCGAAAGTGCTTACTATGTCTTCCGGTCTGACCGCTGCACTTGGGATCCCCATCGGCATTGTCATTACCGTCACAAGCAACGCCATTACAATAAGCAAGTTGGCGATCATAGCTGCGAGCCCGTAAGGCAGCGGCAACGGTACATGGCGTATCTTGTGTTCGTAGATGGTTCCACCGAGAAGAATGACGCCGCACGCAAAGTGCACGAGGTAAAGTGTGAAGAGGTCATAGTGCACGGTCGCGTGAGGACGCGCTGCGGGCACGACGGCTGCGTACACCCATGAGGATGCAAGGAGGCCGATCAAGACACTGGTGTAAACGCCGTCGCGCGAAGTGGGGATTACAAGTATGGATGCCTCAATGGCAAGCCATGCGAGAGCTTCGAGGGTGGCAAGCAGCGAGAGCACCAGCGTGCGCCAAAGAGCTACTCCCGAAAGAGCTGTCGCGCCGGCTGCATCCGAGCTGGTGATGTCTGCCTGAGCCTGAGGTGCGTAAGACGTTCCTGCGGCGAGAGCCTCAGCCTCGGGAAGGGTGATGAATCGCGCAAACGGGTTGGAGGCGCTGTATGCATACTCCTTGGCGAAGGCGGGGAGAGGTACGAATGTTAAGCAGAGGAGAGCAGCGACGACAGCAGGGAAAAGAGCAGCCCATGTCAAGCGTACGCAGGACTCGGAGAAATCGAGCGGAGCGCTCCCGTTGCACAGAGGCATCTACGCAGGTTGTATCCCTCTTCAAGAGCCTCGAGGTGTTTGGCCTGAGTCAAGGAGACTAGATAGCTGCAGATAGCTGCGCACACCGACGCACGGCCTCTAGTACCCGTTGAGGGAGACGGCAGTGCTAATGAGGGCTCCCAAAATATCGGCTGGGTGTCACACGATGTAAGTGTGATAACGCAATGTCACTGGGAAATGAATGCCCACCCACTCGCGCGCGAGGACGCGCAAGGGGGAGGTATAAGTTGAGCAAAGTTGCGTGCAGCTCTCCTTGTCCATGAAAGTATAAGATGAAAGTAGCGTTGATTGCAGCACTGACAACGACGACGCGACAATGACCAGGATTGGAAATCGGCCCGGAGTTCCGACGCTTCTCTAACCGCGCTGCCTCAGGGGTCGCTGAACAAAAGTAGCTATGTAGCCCCTCTCTTTTTAGATCCCGTGCTGGCTGGTTTCTTACATTAATTTCATCCCTTCTTCCGCCCCTTCACGTATATTAGCATGCCCTGTCTTGGGGGTGCGAGGCTCGTCTTCAACTCGCTGGTTCCAGTCTCGCTGTCTCTCTGCCGTCCTCATTCTGCACTGCGTTTATCTCACTTGTCCTACTCGAGCTCCACTGTCACCCTGACCCGATGGCCGCTACATCGCGCGTTCTCTGTCACGGCGCATCTTCGTAACGACCTTTTTAATTACACGTCAGGGCGGTGGATGTAAGCCTCATATCCGTTATTTTATGGGGTACATGTCTAACCCGTAATCCAATATGTTTAGTATCAACGATGCCCTTCGCCACGTAGAGCGCAGACGTGTCTTTAACGTCGACGGGCTACGTCGACTCGCAGCGGAGTCCGTTGATCGGAGCCCTGGTGACATCGTCGACCTGAAGAAACTCGCCGAGGGTGGGTTTAACCGTTCCTTCCTCATCACCATGCGCGGTGGCTTCCAAATGGTGGCGCGTATCCCGTACCCGGTTACGGTTCCCAAGTACTTTGCTGTCGCTAGTGAAGTGGCTACTATGGCCTTACTCCGTTCCTCTGGGTTGCCCATACCTGAGGTATACGGATACTCGCCTGTGCCGGACAACGCGGCAGAGACTGAGTATATCTTTATGGAGTTCGTGGAAGGCCCTTGCTTAAGCGACACATGGTTTGACTTGGGAGAAGGCGACATTATCTCAATTACACGCCAACTTGCTGAACTCGAGTCGAAGATGATGTCGATTGCTTTCCCCGCTGGCGGAAGTCTGTACTATACGAAAGACTTGGAAAAGGTCCAGAGGCCGGGCATCCCGCTAGAGGACGAGCGTTTCTGCGTCGGCCCAGATACAAGACTGCCTCTGTGGTATGGTAGGAGATCACAGCTCGACGTAGATCGAGGACCATGTAGGTCGCTCTCTGGCTTTTTTTTTATTACTCCCTTAAACCACCCAATAACTACAGACGAAAATGCCAAAGCAGCACTCGTCAAAGGAGCCGACAAGGAACGAGCTTATCTGGAGCAGTTTGGTCGACCGCTGTTGCCATTCCGGCGCTTCAGGAGGGAAGGCTACCAGTACCAGAAGCAGCCGCCATCGGATCACATCGAGAACCTCGACCGCTATCTCTCCATCGCACCGTCACTCATCCCTAGGGACCCAACCCTCTGCCATTTCCGCATCCGCCATCCCGACCTCCAGCCAAGCAATATCATCGTCAACTCTAACATGCGCGTCGTCGGCCTGATTGACTGGCAACACACCTCAATCCTACCCCAGTTTCTCCTTGCCGGCATACCTGGACGGATACAGAACTACGATGATCCTGTCTCGCAATCTATGGCGCAGCCTTTGCTACCGGCGAATTTAGACGACTTAGACCGTGAATCCCGAGAAAAGGAGCTTGAACTCTACCGCCGCCGTCTTGTTCATTACCACTACATCAAAAACACGAAGAAGTACAACGAGCTTCATTATGCGGCATTGGCAGACCCCGTGGGCATGCTCCGCCGCCGCCTGTTCTGCTACGCTAGTGACCTGTGGGAGGGCGAAACTCTCGCGCTGAAGGTTGCGCTGATAGATGCAACGGAGAACTGGGAGACGCTTACGGATGGGGGTCCGCCGTGTCCTGTCGTGTTCGACGCCGTCGACGTATGCGGGACGAGGAAGCTGGACACAGAACAGACAGGAGCGGACGCGAATCTAGAGGTGTGCGAGAACACAGTAATCGGCTGTGGGTCGGAGGGCTGGGTGACCGTCGAGCACTACGAGGAGGCCATGAGACGCAGCAGGCAGCTGAAGGAGGCTATGTTGGCACAGGCCGAGTCGGAGAAGGATCGGGCTGAGATCGCAGCGCATTGGCCCTTTGACGACATGGACGAAGAGGAATATATGTAATGAATCGAGCCAGATATTCCGCGGTGTTTGTATCTTATCTGCTGCTAATGGCCCCCTATAAGAACCCCCACTCTTTCCCTAGCCCTTCCCATCCCGTTCCCATTTGAGGTCTTTCTTCCGAGCATGCCTCCATCGGACACACTCGCCATTGACACCAGAGACAGTCGACGGACATTGCGAAGTTGCAGTCTATTTAGAAGTCATTCGTTATGTACTAACAGTGTCAAGTTCATCAAGGTAGACATCGTCAGACCAACCCCCATACTTCTCGGCAGCCTCAACAAGCCCCAGCCCCTTCCTCTTCGCCGCAGCCACTGCGACACGATGCAACGGCAAGCGGAACGGTGGGTCCTCCTCATTGGCAAGCCGGTGCATCACTTCGGCCAGCTTATCCGAGTCTCCATCTGAGAATCGCTCGGCGCCAGGGTAGAGGCAACGGTACTTTCGAGACGGAAGAGATGGATCGCTGTATGCGGGATGCACGGGCTCGAGGGTGTTGCTCCACGGGGCGTTGGTACGGAAGAGGGCAGGCTCGACAAGGGTTATCTGTAGGGAAGTGAGAATGTTATATCTGTCCGGTGTGATGAGCCTAAGTTGAAGGCGGGTTCGCACCTTGATACCCCACGCTGGGTCAAGCTCAGCCTTGTACCCTTCCGTGAGCGCCTCCAATGCTACGTCCACCAACCTCAGTCTCATCCTCAGCCGCCGATGCGATGTATCTCACCAGCTTTCCTGATATCAAAGAGTCAAATAAGCTCCACCGCATACACAAGTCACTGTACCAAGTACTCACGCTGCACCATAATGCGCCGCACCCGGGACAACCTCCAGCGCCGTCCTCGACGACATCTGCAACAACCTCCCCCCTCTAGTAGGCACATTCACATCCCTAAACACCCTCACCGCCTCCCTCGTCACGTTCGCCGCGCCCCAAAACAGCACCTCGAACAGCTCGCGCGCGCCTCCATCGCTCATGCCCTCCGCCTCAGCGATCGTGCAGATCCCAGCATTATTAAACACAACATCGACGCGTCCAAAAGCCTCGCAGGCCGCGGCGAACGCCACGCTGATCTCATCGGGGCGCGTTACATCCAGGCGGAGCACGAGCAGCTGTGAGGACGGGTATCGCTCCGAGAGATCCGCGAGCGCTGAGGGTGTGCGCAGCGTTGCGACGGCTATGTCTCCTTTCTTCAGAATGCATTCTGTGACTGAGCGTCCGAAACCGGCGGAGGCGCCGGTAACTAATTGATCAGGCAACAAAGATTCAGCACACCTCTAGCGCATGCTAAAGGCGCCCTAATTGAGACTCGACTCGGAGCACTCACTGAACCAGACTTTGGGTGCCATGATGGCGTTGTCGCACAAGCGTTGAGTCAATCGACTCGTCCAGAGATAAGCATTGTGCCAATTGTATCGCTTCTGCAGCGATATAATTGATTATCGGAGTAGTGTTAGTCCGAGAACAGCGTATCAAGAAAGAGCAGAAATAGGCTGACGCTAGTGTCCAACTGAAATAGCCATGGTCAGAACGTCGACGATCACAGGATCGCAACTGAGAGGGAGGCGGACCACCGGGGGAAGCTCGTGTACACATCACCAGCTATACTAAAACAAAGTACCGCAACCAAAGCTGCATGTCCCGACTCTGCGTAAGAACTACCGCTGCGGAGACGTAAACTAAGGCGGATTGACAACGCATCCGGCCACAGCCCACAAGATCAAGCATAACACGCCCCTCAAGACGCACAAACACGAACAACGCACTGATAATCTCGGATGTGAGGTCCCAGTAAACAAGAAAACCTCACAACAAATCGGGTATATTCGCATCCTCGCCCTGCGTCCGTATAATGCCTGTGCGCAGTAGAATGCGCTCGAGCTCCGCCCACGTCGTCCGCATCTCCGGTACACCCGGTGTTGCGGGGATGTTGTCGAAGTCTACGACGAAGCCGCCTAGCCGCCTACGTCGGCCTGACCTTGACGACGTTGATGCTTGGCTCGCGTCGAGCTGGGAGGCCTCTTGAGACCCAGTGGCTTCGGATTCGCGTTGAAGAGAAGCAGAAGGGCGGTGTTGGCGGTCTGCATCGGCATCTGGTTGCAATGTGATGCGCTGCTGTGACGGGATAGCTTCGTCTGGCGCGTACTTCGATCGCTTGTGAGGGGACGGAGCCCCGACAGATGATCTTGGACGTTTCTTCGAATCGATGCGATCCTCTTGTCGCATTAGTTCGTCAGCCATGGTTCTCGTCTTGGCCTTCTTCACTATGGTCGTGTCCGAATGGGCCTCGGTCGGGGTCGTATCTTTAGCAACAACCTTCATCTTGCCCTTCTTGTCCTTCGATCCGGACGATCCGGATCGAGTCTCCTCAGAGGCGACATCATCGACAACAGCCTTCCCCTTCCCCTTCCTATCCCTCATGAAGCTCGGCTCGCTCCAAGATACCGGGTCATGCGTAGCCACATCCTCGCTCTGCCGCCTCGACGACTTGCCAGCCAACGGAGACTCCGGATCTGCGCTAGGGCTAGGGCTCGGGCTGGGACCGGAACCACTGGAGAACAAGGAATGCAATGGCGTCAGAGCTGTACTCTGCGAAGGACCGGTCTGCGACTCAGAGCGAGCCGAGAACAGGGAGTGCATCGACGTCGAAGCTAAATGGCGTGGAGAATTAGAGGGCTCAGAGGACAGGGAGCGCACGGACGCAGAAGCCATGCTGGCGTCCTGCGGGGACTGGGCTCGAGAGTCGCTGTTGAGCATGTCATCAACGGCCTGGTCGTCCTCTGATAAGTTACTAGCGTCGTCGTCACTGTCCCTTCGATGGAGCTCTTGTTCTTCGATAAGGTGGGACGTCTCGACTTGTGATTCTGGCGCGTCCTCAGTTAGCTGAGCTTGGTGATTAGATTGTAGGTCGCCCACTGGCGCATCCTCGTCATCGTCTTCGTCCAAGTCCACGACTTGGGACCATGCTGGAGACAGTATAGGACCGTCGCCCGCAGGAGCGAGGAGCGGCTGCGAACCGTGCGGCGCCGATGATGCCACCCCTCGCGTGGGATTTTGCTGTGAGGGCTGAGACGAAGGTTGATAGCGACTGGGTGATAGTGGTTGTGAGGATGCGGCCATCGGGAGCTCAACGTTCCACAGAGATGAGGGAGGCAACATCTCGCTCTTAATCGGTTGCGGTTCGTTGATTTGTCCCTCGACCGCTTGCGGCTTATGCGAACTCTGAGAGTGCTGCGAAGGCTGAGTGCCCGAAGTATCTGAGTTTGGGACGAGCACCTTCCCCGTGGGACGAGACGTCCTAGCTTGTGCAGGGGGCGCGACGTTTCGATTGATGACCCTGGGGAGTGGTTGTGGTAAGTGAGGGAAGATTGGTGACGAAATATTCAAGGAGAACGGAAGGGATGAAGTCGGAGGATCGGCTGTGAGCATTTCAACGTCTCGAGGTGGAGTAGACTTGGCTCGAGCGCGCTGAGCAGGCGTTGGCAGGGAGAGATAAGAGGTTAGCGCAGACCCTTCACCGAGCCCGCGATCCTGCTCTCGGCTTTGACTTGACATTTCGACGTCACAGGAAGGGCTAGGTGGATTAGATGCAGGCCACTCGGAGGGTGCGGGCGTGGTTTGTTTCTTCTGAGAAGGGCTATTGCAAGATAGGCAGTAAGAATTGGGAATCATCCGATAATTCCAGTCTTCCATCCCCTAACATCCGATCAGCTCGAAAGTTAGGGTCAACGCAAAGTGATTTACGCACCATGAATACCTTATGAAACTCGCGCTCAAGCTCGAGCTGCCACTCATGGACCTTACTCTTTCCAGATCGACGAATATCGTTCTTCCTTTCCCTATCGTTTGGTTTTGAGGATGACGTTGAGTTAGCCCTCGTTAGAGCAGCTGGTGCTGGCCGCGGCACAACGGTCACATCTTTGGATGGAGCAGCGTTTGCAGCCTGGTCGCGCTCTTGTTTCCGTATCTTCAGAACATTTCTGCTGGCATCAGCGGAAGAATATTGGGCCGAGTTATGACATACCCTTCTCCCCCGTCTTTACACATTCCTTCGGCCCACACTTTCAGGTCTTCGTTGGTGTCCGCTTCGACAGGAGAGCCAAGCTTGTGTTCTGGTGTCGCGAATACCGTCACAGAGTCTATACTGAGAAACAAACGCGCAGTGTCGGTCATCTTTGGACGGTTGTTTCCTACGGGCACACGGGCAAAGAATGGACGGAATTCCTTGATCGTCACGACGGCAAATTTGTTCTCAGTAAATCTGCGCCCACCCATACGCCTGCTCTCATTCTGTTGAGCAATGGATACAAGCGAGAAGGCGGCACACGTATCCACACCTGCGATAATCCATGACCGCCTCCTTCGAGAATTTGGCTGGTAGTTTGGTATCCTTGTCGGAAACACAGGCCCACACCCAATCGTCATCCTGAAACGTCAAGAACTAAGGAAGATGGTTAGCTAAAGACAATTCCTCTCGTTTGTTGCTTCAAAACATACCTCGAGGATTTGGGCCTTTTTCCCTTTCGGAAATCGGGGAACTTGCATGAGGTCACCTCCATGTGTTTCAGCGATACCAACGAGATAAGAACAGATCCATGGTGTTGGCATGGAGTCAGCCATCACGAAAGATAATTATGCGTCAACCGTTTGCAATAGAAGTGGAGGGCAGAAACGGGAGGGGGACTGAGTAGTATTAAGTCATTGAGCAAGACGCTAATTATTGTCTCCGTCACTGGGAAGGGCAGAACGCGACGCGTCACACGCGCGTTCTGTCACGCGCAGCCATCCGTGCGCGTGATGGGTGATTGAGTGCGTCACACCTCATATCCGCGGCGCCGATTGCCGCCGCACATACTTCCAAGACTCTCCCCTTCACCACTGTGATCTTGACGCAATCTACATAGTGTTTTGTTTGCAGAGTTTCGGCCGGTCTCAGGTTCCCTGGTAAGCTATCTTCTCGTATGTATAAGGCCGCAACAATAATATTTTGTACAAGCTAGCAGGCAATACTTATGACAGGCTATATCTACCGTTCAGGTGTTCAAACGGCCGAAGACAGGCTAGCCAGTGCTGTAACGGACACATCCCTCGTCAGCCCAAGCCTTGACCTTCCCATATCAAGTGCTTCGCTACCTACAGAAACGCTGCTAGCCATTTTTGACTATTTGTTCAAGATAGACGGCCGCCGACTATCGGCGAATCCTACCTTGTTCCCCTTCTCATGTGCTTTGGTCTGTCGAAGATGGCACGACGTGCTGTGTATGCAACCCATTTACTGGAAACGAATGGCTATCGCTCTTGACTCACAGCAAGTTTCACCTTCAATTGTTCGCGATTGGGCGAACGCCTCCCGAGGAATGGTCAATCATCTCTACGTCTTCTATAGGCACAAGGTCATCATGGACGTCCATGCAGAACACGAGCACGTCGATGCTATTCTTAGGGAAATATTTCCTTTCGCTGTTTCTGAATCTATTCTTGAGACTATATCAATTAATGTTAGCTACCGCTCGACATCTATCCTCGCTGGTCTTCACCTCAACCATGCCAGTCTCCCGAGTCTTCGTAATCTACAGCTAGAATCCTTCATCGCGGACACAGCAGACCCTATTCAGCTAGATGCGCTGAGCTGCAAGTATCTATCAAACATTGTTCTTGATTCCAAGAGTATCGTGGATTTGTATAGTTTCTCATCAGCACAGTCTTCTCCCTGGGCATCATGGAAACCTCGCGATCCGACCTTGCGTACCGCGCGATATCGTCCAGCATTCAACGTCCCCGCCGTTTCCCCGACTACGTTCACAGATGCTCTTGTGTGGCTATCCGATAAAGGATTTAAGAACCTCTATATCGTAGATGTAGGCTTCGACGAGGAGAACACCGACCAAACGACCTCACCGCCGTCAAGCCAGGTTGACTTCCTACACTGCGAAGACATTGGCGGACTCTACATTGCCGAACATCTAACAGAATTGCGCGCTTCCACCATGGTCACACTCGTCCGATGCACTCTGTCATCTCCCCTTCCCACGTTTTCTGCCTGGAGTCTCTCACTTGAAGGGATCACGGATCCCTCCGACATCTATAGAGCCATCAAGCGCTGGCTCGGGCAAAGCCTCATCATCAGAAACTGCCCCGCGTTTGATGACGAGTTCCTCGCTCGCATGGCTCTCTTCAACGACGTATATCACGAACGCACCACGTTTCGTGACAGCGAAGGCGAAAGCGATTTCCTGTGCCCAATGATGACGAATCTATACATCACAGGACCATGTTGCTCCGTTGCAGCCCTGCGCGGGCTCGTGGATGCTAGGGCGAAGATCGCGGGTAGACGTATCCAGCGGTTGTCTGTGTACAAAGGCTCAGCACTTGATGCCGAAGATCGAGCTTGGATTCAAGCCAACTCGGGGTTTACGTGGTCCGAGTCTCGATAGTGCTTGCACGGCGCATAACATATCTCCTCAGTAATTCCTTCCTCATGAATTCCACCAGATATACAACTTCTTTGGGTACCCACTGCTGTTGAAGCGTGCCTACGACAGTTTGTAACCGATCGCCTTGAATTATAATTGTAATGCTTATTGACCTTGGCAGCATCTGTAGTACAAGTCATAGTGAATGTTTATAAACTGCTCGAGACCGTGCCCTCATCACGCGAGATTTTTGTGGATGCAGTCCTTAAAACAAGGAGGACCGTACAGAGAGGCGCATGCGGTGCACTAGTGCCATTACGGTATCTTATCTTTCCCCACCACGACGCAAGTTGGCTGCTGGCCAAACCCATAATCCTTCAGGTTGATTATTTCATCTCTACTAGGTAAGCTTCGCATCTACAGTCGCGAAGATATTTATGAATTATCTCAACACACAACAACAGGAATTAGCAAGGTGATCGATGATCACCAGATATGATTCCACTGAGAGCATTGCGTCTATGACGCTGAGCGACTCTTCTAGATCCGATGCTCCGACCTCCATTATGTCGCTTCCCAATGAACTACTACTCGATATATTTGCTCATCTCTCTCTGCTGCGAAGAAGCCTCATATCACTCTCGGTTTTCCCTCTGACCACAGCGCACTGTTCCCATTCGCATGTGCTATGTTCCATCGTAGATGGAATGAAGTAATATGCACGCAATCCAGCTACTGGACACTCATTGTCGTTGCAGTCGACTCACCGGAGCTTCAAGCGTGGCTCGCAGTTGCAGCAGACTGGAAGGCTGCTTCTCGAGGAGTGTGCATGCACCTCAACATATGTTACAGTGGTCTTGTCATGAACTACCATGTCGAACATGCAGTCGTTGGCGCCGTGATGAAGGTTATCTTCCAACATTTCTCTCGCTCTCTTCGAGAAATCGCCATGAATTGATGTCAACTATCGCTCATCCGTTGTTCTCGCCAGCTGATACTTTGGCGTTGCCGAAATCCCAAACCTCCGAAAGTCGTGGCCGAACTCCTTCATTGCTGACGCCAGGACGAGTACCCATGTTCCACAGCTCCTGCCGGTCTATGTACAGAAGGGTCCTCCGCTTTCTCCTAAAGATCGAGCTTGGATACGCACAAATAGATTCATTTGGAGGGAATCTGCTTGATACTAGCACTAGAGCCATGTTTTCAGCCAGCTGTGGAATAAGAAGACAATAGGTGATACTGGTGCATGTTTTGTGGCCTCTTTGAGGCAAATAGCCCATAGAAATACGTCGACATGAGGTAAAGCCGTTAGAAGACAGGGGAACTCGAAACAGGGGAAATAAATGGAAAAGGAAGGAGGGACAAATATTCGCAAATAATATGGTAACTTCACGACGCGCGCGTATTCAAAGCTGCTTGTTTCCCTACCTACGCTCTTTGACCAACATTCGCTGCTCGCCGATTTTTATGCCATTGAAGTCTGATTTGACGGTAGTCTATCAGACTTACAATTCGAGAACAGTCCGTTAAATGTAGTGCGTGCACGGGACCATGTGTCACTCGTTGACTTTGCTGCCCTCTTGCTGCCGCTGCCGCCTTTCAGATGACAGAGATCACACGTCTGACTCGGAACTATGATGCACCTACCGATCTCACATGAGGCGATTACACCGGATAAGAAGGTCAGGGCTATCAGACTCTGAATGGCCAGTGGCCAGTCTACGGGCCTCGGCATCCTCCACTCCTCCACTCCTCCATTGTTCTCTTGCATTCCTACCGACACGCGTAGTTCAAAGAGCGGTCTCATGACAGCTTTTGATAGGATCCCCAACGTTTTGCGCCTTCTCTGTCAACCTGAAACGCCATATCAGCCCATGTTCATCCGCTTATAATACTTTGTGGGTCCACTCTCTCAACGATTGTCTTTGATAACTAGCCAACGTGCTGTGAACTTTCCCGAAAGGGTAAAATAATAGAACCGCCTATTGTTCCAAATTCGGCGCGAGCATACCTTAGCGTAGAGGCGTGCTCGGGCAGAATCTCAATCTGGGCATTGCACTGTGGTCAGGCTGTTGACCATATTTGGCTCTGCCAGCCGCTTTTTGCGTATAAAAGGATGAGCCATTCGGTCTTTCGTTCCTCAGCTTCCTTTCCTTTCTTCCCTCATCATTTACTTTGTGAGCCTCCCCCTCATTCACTCTCGCTCATTGTTCATACCCTCATCCTCGCCATCTAGCAGCCTGTGGCTAGTCATGATATAACCAAGGTAGGACGCCACTCGTCGAATAAGTTCCGTCGCTAACGTGCTCGCAGTTATCTTTACAACGACGATGTCCATCGAACGGAAGGAAGCTAGTGAGTGCCGCCGCCACCGACCCCATTCGCCCATGTACTAACATCACTCGTCAGGACACTAGCCCTTCCCCAAGGGTCATCACCTGCACAAGTCCACCGGAGGGCAGCGCGACCGGTCGATAGTGCCGCCTCAGCCCGCCTGTCTGCAGCCGTTGCTGGACCTAAGGGCGCCGAGCTGCAGAGCGTGCCACGGCCCAAATCCGATCGACGTCAACCTGTACCCATGCCGCACGCCTTCGGTGACCCCGGGCTTGGCCACTGAGACACACCGGCGTTCGTGACGAGGTCCCACTCCCATCCGATTCCATGCCCGTAAACACAGGCAGTGGCATAGGTCGACAGGCACACCAACCACGCAGAGTGTACGGATGTCCCCCACGGCAGTTGTCCGCTGGTGCATTCCGGATCCGCGGCTCCTGTAACTGGTGCTATGGCCCGAGCCCCAACGGTCCCAGCGACTGAGAGGCGCGTTACGCTAAAATGAGCGGACGCCCTCCGACAGCTCGATGACTTAGATGTGCGTACTTGAGGAAGCGGCCGTAGTTCCGAGCCGACCCACAGGTCCGCAGTGACGGACTAGGCTCCACTGTCCCAGCGTACACGGGGGCTCAGAAGACTTCGACGAGACGAGCTCAAGCTTCAACATTACAAGTTCAATGAATCAGTGGCTGTGTGGGTGGCTGGGCGGTCACTGGCAGCCACTGCGCGGGGTGCGCTTCTGTCATCTCTGACTTGCTGACGAACGCAGACATTGCACCCAACTGTGTGCTTGCCTCAAACTGAGCCATTCAATCGTACGTCTTTCCCTTCTTTATGATCATCTTTGACTCTCTGACGATGGACTCATAGTGTCTAGAATCCAAGCAGAATCCAAGCAGATTTCACAATCCATTCTCAACCTCGGCGCGTGCTTTTTCTTCATTTTTCTCTTTCTTCTATGCGCTATGCTATGGCCACGGCCGGACATCATCTTGGTTTCCTCACGTTGAGGTGGTCTGATCGTCGAGTCAGCCCAGTTCCGTGATACACCATTCATTCTCTTTTCCCCTGTAGTCAGTAGCAGCCTAGGGAGTAGCGGTGGGAACGAGGCGCCTTACGCGCTTCCGTTCTCGGGGGGAGTTTTGGCAGTGTCTCCAGGAAACTGGTCACCGCATTCCTTGTCCGGCAAGATCCCTCATAGAAGGGCAGGGCGGACGCAGTCATCTGCGACGCGCCTCACATGCGGTCAAAGGTTCTAACCCCTACTCCCTCCCCAGCAACGCTGGGTAGGCCATTCGGTAGTTCATCTGTTGGAAAATATAGATGCACTGCCTCGAAACGAACGTGTGACTGTTTCTTAAGATTTATAGTGCTGCGTAAAATTGGCCTTATGAATGTTCTGTGCCCCGAGTCAGAGTAATACGCGGGTGACTATCGATACGGAACCTCGAAGTTAAGTTTCAAATTGTTCTCAGGCTAACGCGTCGAGTCACGTGGGACCAAAGATACGTGACGTCACGCGTTAACGCGCGCCTGCTTTCCGCCTTTCCTACCTCCACCCTTCCTCTTCTTGCCTGTGCCACCACTTCGATCCCTTTCTGGTGTCTCTTCATAAGGCAATTCATTGAAATTCCCCTGGATTGAGCAAACGTGGAAGGACTCTATCACCAATGCAATCATTAGCGCTGAAGATGCCGTTATGGTTTGTACCTCGCTCCATACATATTTTAATCTTCACCCCACCTGACCACGAGCCATATAGTTTACCAATCTTTCGGTGGATAGGAATCCCGTATATGAGCTAGCCTCTCCGCCTTTCCTACCATGACTCTCAACACTTCCCAAGATGGCTCACTACTCTGCCTTCAACATTCGCGTAATCCTCGCGCTCACTCTAGGCAGTCTTACGTATGGCTACGCTTTCAGCGTCATTTCCAACACAATCGGCCAACCTGGCTTCCTCACCTACTTCAACCTTGATTCTGATCCCACATACACCGACTCAATTGAAGGTGCTATCAACGGTTTATTCAATGGAGGCGGCATCTTCGGCTCGATCACTGTCGGGTACACCTGTAACAAGTACGGCAGGAAGGCTACCATGATAGCAGCAGCCTGCGTCTGCATCGTCGGCGGAGCCTTACAGTCCGCTTCTGTGGCCATCGCAATGTTCTTGGTCGCCCGCTTCATCGCTGGGTGGGGTGTGGGAATGATGGCCGTGCTAATTCCTATCTACCAAGCAGAGATCTCGCCGCCGGCTTCACGTGGGCTTCTCGTCGGACAACACGGTGCGTAACTCCACACAGCTGACCTTGCGGGGATCTGAGCGTTCTCCGTAGGAGCGTGGCTCGTGACTGCCTATGCTATCGCTGGATGGGTCGGTGTTGGGACGTACTACTCGCCTAATTTGAGCTTTCAATGGCGCTTCCCGCTCGCGGTGCAGTGCGTCTGGCCTCTTTCTCTGCTGTGCTGCAGTCCCTGGATCCCCGAGTCGCCTCGGTGGCGTAAGTACTCACCAACGCTGGTGTCCATATGACTGATACATGAGCCACAGTTTTACAGCAGAATCGACCTGAAGAAAGCTGGCGTATTGTTGCCAAGCTTCACGTCGGCGCATCAGATGACCTATACTCCGATGAAAACTCATTCGCCCGACAAGAGTTCCACCAAATGAGGACGCAGGTTGAGGCAGACTCTAAGGCGTGGATAGCTGGTGGTGGTTTCCAGCAAATATTCACGAAGCCATCATACCGTAAACGCTTCGCAATTGGGTTCTTCACCCAGATCGCTGCGGAGTCCACTGGCTCAATGGTGGTTTATAGTAAGTCTGCGATGTTTCACGCGCGTCTCCAAATTCAAGAACGTGGACAGATTATATGGTCGTAATGTACCAGCAGCTCGGTCTCAGCGGAGGACTAGTTTTGATATTGGGTGCTCTTTACGTGACGGTAGCCGCCTCTTGCAACTTCTTGGCTTCGTTGTTGATGGACCGAGTGGGTCGCGTCCGATTGCTGCGTGAGTCTGGCTTCCCGCTGGCTCTCGATTCTCGACTGACACTTCATAGTATGGGGACTTACTGGATGCATGCTGTCACTCGCCCTCCAGTGCGCTATGGAAGCCACTTACGTCGGTACGACAAACCGCGTCGGAAATTCTCTCGGTGTCTTCTTCATATTCTGTTTCATATTCTTCTATGCTAGTGGCATTGACGCGACATCGTTCGTATACTGTTCAGAGATCTTCCCAACGCAGATACGTCCGCAGGGCATGGCGTTTTCAATCTTTGGCCTTTTTCTTTCCACCGTCGCATATTTGGAAGCAGGACCGACTGCAATAGCCACAATCAAATGGCGGTATTATTTGATGTTCACAATATTGACTGCTTTTAATATTGTTGTAGTCTGGCGCTTCTTTCCTGAGGTGAAGTCAACAGTTCCAACGGAAGCACGCTTAGACTAATAACCGTTGTTCTTAGACAAAGGGCCTTTCTCTGGAAGAGATCAATGCCCAGTTCGGCGATGAAGTTGCAGCCGAGCGTATGGACGTTAGCGAACCCAAGTCACCATTTGAAAATGACATGGGCAAAGCTGACGTTGAACATAGCGAGACTCCTAGTTGAGACGCCCTCTTTCAATGCATCTTCCTCTAGCCTACACCTCTTTGTCGTCCCCGATGCCCTACATTAACAATGCACTGTTTGATGCAAGTTCATACCGTCATATTGAAACATTGGCCGGTTACCGAAGATCTACGCTCAAGTCTGTTTACAAAGTCTAGTCTCCTACTAATAACTCATTAAAAACATGGGTGTTCAAAGCCGTAACTTTAGGGCAGAAAGTGTGCGTGTAAGTGCCATCAAGAGCGATTGGGATATCGGTACTTTCCAACGCGGTAGTCATCTAGGAGCATCCAGTAAGCAGAGTTCAAAGACGTATTGACGTGAGACCTTGCCTGATCTCATCAAGAGCTTACTGGTGGCGGCTAATGGTGAGTCTCGGAGGCCTGAGGCCTTGAGGTGTCAAGAAGATGATGGTTTCTATCCTAAAGGCGGGTTAGGGGCTTATGCCTTCTGGAAGTAGGTCTCGGTTTTGACCTTCTTAGCAGTCTTGCATTACAACATGTTGGCAACGGACGCACTCGATTTATCCCCGTCGTGGGCTTACCCTTTCTGTCATGCTGTCTCCCACTATCTCCCAGGTAAGTCTATGCCTCATCTTACATATCTGCATACTTCTGTGCTCGATGGAAGAAGCGGAACTTTCAAGGAACTGAGCTTTAGGTATGCCTTTGACGACTCTGATAGCGACGTCACTGTGATAAGCTCGTCGAGCTCTGAATAATCTGACTCAGAGTCTGGGATTGTCGTGCTACAACGAAGGTAAGGAGCTCGATGAACGATTAGGGTTAAACTTGGGTAGTACTTACTACTGATATCCTAAAGGCTGAAACTCGCTACTTACACTGACTCAGGACTCTTCACGTAGGGCCGTTGAAAAGAGTGACGTGTTTGATTTGTTTGCTCAGAATTTGCTCAGAACGACATTTGTGATAAAGCTTCGGGTTTGATCACATACCCAATTGTGGACAAACTGCCGCGTGTCTTTGAATCCCAAATTGTTTGCGCACGCTAATTAGGGACGCGACGTCGGGAACGACAGAATCTGTCAAGACGCATCAAGAACAATCTGGGTTTCTCGGCGAGTCACTGGTTTCTCTCCGGCTTATTTGTGGTTTTAGCATTTCTGACTGGAGACCATTTATGTGTAGGGATCGCCCACAATGAGTACACCAGCGTTGTCACTCCCCACGGAAACGCTGTTCACGATCTTCAACGACGTTTATTGTTGGCAAAAGGATGATGAGCGGGATTGGATGGAGAGGGAAAATGGTAATCTACCAAAGACCGATCCAACCATCTTTCCCTTTGCATGCGCCATGGTCTGTCGTCAATGGCACGCCGTGTTGTGCCTTCAAGCCCACTACTGGACTCCGAGCATCACTATCCCGCTGGACTCTGCACAAGTTTCGCATGAGGTCATCCGCGACTGGATAACCGCTGCCCAAGCAAAGGATCTGCCGGTATTCACCCTTAATATCGTTTACCAACGCAAAGTAATCATGGACCACCGTGTCGAGCAGAATCGCGTTTCAGAGGTGATGGAAGCTATCTGCCCTCTACCCACGAGCATCAAACATCTTACGCTCCATACCGTCTATCGCTCCTCCGTCCTCCGTCGTAATTGCCAGCCGATGTCTAAACCGGTCCTTCACCAGCCAACGTCGCGATCAGCCCGTATCTACGAAGCTCGACTCAGCGGAGCTACTCCCGCTCATCTCGGACACCTCCGACTATGCTGAACTGGACCAGGTACTGTCGGGGCTCAGATACCTAAAGCTCGATGCCAGGAGCGTCATCGACTTGGGCTTCACAGTGAAAAACGCATCTCCGTACGCGTGGGTTCGTTCACCTGAATCAACATTGTCAGCAAGAGGATACTGTCCATCTTTGGTCCCATCTTCGGTCTCGCCAGCTGCATTCACGGAAGCTCTCCAATATCTGTACAAGTCGAGCTTCAGAAACCTCTTCATTGTGAAAGTCGAGTTTGATGAAGAGGATACCGAGAAGTCACCTTTGCCTCCCTCTCAGCCCAATCCGTTGGACTTGGAGGACCATCTTATCAATGGCATTCGCTTTGAGGGCATTAGAGGCTCGTACATCTCTGACCACATCGCGCAATTCGACACATCCACCAGAACCTGGCTCGGACTCGATCATTGCTCCCTATCTGCTCCGCTTCCGCCCGTGTCTTCCTGGAATTTGCGCTTGGAGGGTATTACTGATCCCTCCGACATTCACAGGGCCTGCAATCAATGGAGCGGGGAGCTCCTGGACATTGCGGACTGTCCGGCATTCAACGATGAATTCATCAACAGCTCTTTCAAGATCGTCAACATCGAAGGGGCACGCAGCCTTTTGTGCCCAGCAGTGACGAGATGCACGTAAAAAACCCTGCGTGCTCGGTCAAAGTGCTACGACTTCTGGTGGAGTCTAGATCTGAGCACCCGGATGCACGAATCGCGGAGCTTGTAGTGTACGGGGGACCTCCATTGTCTCCTGGCGACCGCGACTGGTTTGAAGGGAGTGTTCAATTCGAATTTGAGTGGGAGGAATCGCTACCAGCTTGATGCCAAGGGCGCAGGGTTTCATGTATTGGTCCTACATCGCTTCGTTCTTACGAGCTATTTCCGAGGCAATGTTGAAGTTTGGACGTTTCGGATCTTCTGTAGAGATTCTAACCACTTCTGCTTCCTTGTGCGAGTACTACTTTACTATCCAAGTCTCCATGGGACCGATGACCTATAATCATTATCATACTTCCCTTATGATATCAGGTAGTGCAGCCAGTATCTAAACTTAGAAGAATTCGCGATTGACCTTCGCTCCTGGTTGCCGCACATAGAACATAGTCAGTTGTTTGGTTCTCAAAACGCGACATCAGACCGGGGCAAGTTGAGCTCATGGGTTCGGCCTATGTACGTTCCTGAACTCGCTGCGCCGCAAAGATATGCCAGATCTTATAGTAGGGTATTCTATCTACATGCTTCGAAGAACATCGCACGGTGCACCATAGGAAGAAATAACCATGAAGACGGGATCGACTTGAAAGCATAGCACGGTAAATTAATATATACAAGAACATCAGAAACATCATGTACAATAAACTGGCCAGCGAGGCATTTTACGTTCGCGAACACGTTCATAGACGCCCCTGGTCGCCCTCAGCTTTGGCCCTTGCAACAGCCTCTAATTCAGCAAACGTTCCGCTCTTGAGACACATTGTCCGGAAGATACCGTTCTCCTTTTGGATCAGGTTCATGGGTGTGTCGAACTCGGCGATCTCGCCCTTGTCGAGGACGATCAGCCGGTCGTAGTCGATGACGGTGCGCAAGCGATGAGCAACTGCAATCATATTAATCGTCAACAATGGCTAGACGCATAGCCACAACGACTGGACTTACCGGTAAGAAGAAGTGAATCATTGAACTCTTCGCGAATCGTCGCTTGAATCTTGGCGTCCGTGGCAAAATCAATACTGCTCGTAGCCTCGTCCAAAACGATGATCGAGCTACGGCGGAGAAGCGCACGCGCCATAGCGATCAGCTGCCTCTGGCCCTGGGAGAAATTGGTGCCGCCTGCCGACACCTGAGTGTCGAGCGAGATCTTCGTCTTGGCGTCCAATTCCGTGGGAGAAATAGACACGACGGAGGAAGCAGCCTCGTCGGGCAGACCGCTTTGCGAAGATGATGCGCGGGACGGGGCACGAGATGGAGCGCGAGAAGTCCGTTGGGACTGATAGGCGCTCTCGGTCAACATCCGAACGCGGTACAACACATCGAGACACTCGAAGTCTTCGTGCTCGTCTACACAAAGCAGTTAGTTCTTGTATCACACCTGTAATTATTTTACTCACTAAAGGGATCTAAGTTTTCTCTCAGACTGCCCGAGAACAGCGTAGCATCCTAAAATTAACGATCAATACCACATCTCACGCAGCGAAGCGTATCAATTACCTGGGGAATAAAAGTCTGCACGCCAACGTCAGCAGCACGCCCCTACATGAGAACATATAAACGTACCAGACGCGAGCGAAGGTCGTGAATACCAATCTTCGAAATATCAATTCCATCGATCATGATGCGCCCACTCGCGGGATCCACCTACACACGGATTAATATAATTAGTACAGCAGAATAATTCGAGCGTCCTTGGGCACTGACGAAGCGTAAAATGCTCATCGCGAGCGTCGACTTGCCGCTCCCTATGAAATAGAATTAATTACTAAAGTTCCCCTAAAAAGATGTTTTTCGAGATGCACGTACCAGTACGACCGAGCAGCCCAATTCGCTCTCTCGGCTTCAGCGTGAACGAGACGTTGTGAAGAACGGGCGGCAGCTCCGGTGCATATTTGATGACGAGGTTCTCGACCGAGATGAGGTCGGTCGAGCCTGTGCTTGAGGGCCAGTACGCAGGAGGACGGTTTGATTCGATGACGGCAGCGGGTTCTTGAGGAAGGTCAAGGTACTCGACCAGACGCTCGACGGAACTAAAAATACATTAGGGAATTGACGATATGAAAGAGAAAAGGAAGACTAACTTGAGATCGAGCTCGAGCGCCGTCCAGAACCGACACGCCCAGTACACGCTATTCGTGAACGTCATCGCGCTCGTGATGCAGACACCAGCGACGCCGGACTCCACGAGGCCCGAGAGGGCAAAGAGCGTGGTGATCAAGACGGCGAGGCCGCCGAGGGTGTCAAAGTTGAGTAGTAGCCAACGGTTCGTCATCCAGAACATGTACCACATCTACAACAAAACTATACTTAGCATAAATGCATCATCAAATACGAAAATAAACTTACCTTGATCGTAACATCCAGCTTCCCATGCAAACCATCCATAAACCGCCCCTCGGCCGAAAACGCGCGCACCGTAACAATCCCCTCCAAAAGCTCCCCAAACCCAGAGAAAATCGGACTCCGCGAATTGCTCTCCATCCTCCTCAAATCCCGCCCTGTGCTCAAATACCCAATCGCAAGCGAATAGTACACGTATCCGAGTATCACAGCGGGGACGAGGAACAGCGGGAAAAACACCGCGACAGTGATGATCGCCGCCGCGAACGTCGCGAGCGATGAGTTCACCGCGGAGAGCGACCCGGCGAGGTTGTCGTCGATCGTCTCGATGTCCTTGCCGAACCGGTTCAGCATCCGCCCGGTCGGCGTCACGTCGTGCCAGCGCATTGTCGCGCGCGTCACGCGCTCGAGCAGCTGCCGGAACATGAGGCGCGAGGCGCGCAGCGCGCCCGTGAACTGGATGAGGGTGGAGGAGATGTTGACGAGCGCTGAGGCGAGACCGATGCAGCCGTATACGCCAACATAGAAGAGCGGGTGCTCGCGAACGTCTGGAAGGGCCCATGTGTTGAAGGATGAGGACTGGACGTGATAGAACGTGTTCTGGGCATAATGGTGGGACTGGAAAGGGTATTCGCTGTACGCAGCCTCGTTGTCGACCAACGCGATGGACGCGTGAGTGTACGGTGCAAGTTGACTCGTGGCGTCATACGCTGAACCCCACGCGCTAATCCAGAGCTTCTCGCCGACACCGATACACTGCGCGATGACGATGAGGATCGAAAGGCCGAACCACGTCCAGTACGACGAAGCCCTCATGTATGCCAGGTAAATCGACCATTTAACCCCACCCTCCTCGCGGTGCTCGTCCTTGACGAACTTCCTGGGCTTCTTGACCTCGGCGGATTTCTGCGCGTTTTCATCGACAGGCTCGGCGGCCTCGACAGGAGCGTCCAGGGCGACAACAGGCTCTTCTTCCTTGGTTTCCGCTGCGGAGTCCTGAGCGATTTCGTCCAGAATGCCTTGTGCGCGGAGGTCCTTGACAGTGCCTTGGGTATCAATCCGTCCATCCAGCATACGGACGAGGTAATACGTCCCTGGCAGTACCAGCTCGACGTGATGGGTAACGAGAATCTGAGTCGGCATTAGACATTATAGCATTACTTGATAATAAAGCGAGATACTTACGACAGTGCGGTTAGCCAGCAACGGTCCACGGAACAGTTTTTCGTACAAGAACCGAGCAGTATGACTATCCTAACCACCGAGAAACACAGCATTAGCCCGATCTCATGCTACCGAATTAATTTATAGAAAACATACCACGGCACTCAAAGGATCATCCAAAAGAACATACTTCGTCCTCGCATACACCGCTCTCGCGAGAGCAACCCTGTCATTCGCCCGGTCAGCCCAGCTCAAGTTGAAGATCAGGTAACAAAAAAACTCACCGAGCCTTCTGCCCCCCGCTCAAACTAACGCCCCTCGCCCCAATCTCCGTCGCATCCCCGTCCTCCAGAATATCCAAATCCGGCTTGAGCGCACAACACTCGACAACGGCATTGTACCGCTCCTCGTCGTACGGGTACCCAAACAGAATGTTCTCCTTGATCGACTGGTGCCGGAGCCACGGCATCTGCGCCGCGTACGAGAACGAGTGCGTGTGCCCGAACGCGTCGACGCGCCGCGTGTTCTTCGACATGAGCAGCTTGCCTTGTGTGAGCGTCATTTCGCCGAGGAGCGCCATCTGTGTGATTGTAAGTTAACATGGTTAAGGGTTGTAAAGATGATGATGCGTACGAGCAAGGCCGTCTTCCCGCTCGCAGTCGGGCCCGTGATCACCGTCAGCTCGCCCTCGGGGAAGCTAACGTTGATATCGCGCAGCTCGAACCGGTGGTCCTGGAACGTGCTTTCCGCGACGGACGCAGAGTCCGCCAGCGTCGCCGTCTCGGCGTCGCTTTCGGATGCCTGGACACGGGTCGAGGACGACGAGCCGTTGCTGTTGCCATTGCTGCCGTTCTCCTTGTGTTTTCCATTCTTGTCTAGAACACAGATATGTCAGCTCATCATAATCGTAATAACAATGGAAGTATCACGCGTACCTTTACCCTTGCCATCAGCTTGCTCTTCAACCTTCTCGGGGACCTCATTCCACTTGAACGAGCCATTCTCGATCGCAAGTCCCTCGTACGCGCTCTCGGCGGCTAGACTTTCTTCCGTCTGCTTCAAAGAAGAGACTTGCGAAGACACCTCGTCTTCACCGAGGTACGTCTCGAGACGGCGGACGGCGACGAGCGTCTAAAGAACACGGATGGAATTAGTTCTATGATAAACTCTATTTCGAAACCAGAAACGTACCTGGAGAATCTGGACGGTGAACGTCGGGAGCGCGTTCAAAGGCAGCCTTGATAGATAATCGTCAGCATACGGAACTCATACAAAGTTTCTCGATTGTATTCCCACCTGATCATGTTGAACAAAGCAATAGCCTGCAAGAAACCATCAGCACATCATCCATAACAACGCAGACCGATGTTTGCTCACCGTGAACGCGATAGAAACAGTAAGCTCCTTCCCCTGATACACATACGTAAAGAACGACACGAGCGACACCAAAATAGGCGCGCTCGTCCAGATCGCCGTAAAAATAACCGAGTTAATCCGCGCTACACAAAATCAAAACCATCATCAGCACCTCATCACATCGCATCTCAAACAAAAAAGCGACAGGCACACACCTTTAACGATCCACGCCAACTCCTCCGCCCGCGCCTTCATCGCCCGCCCGATCCAGCGCTCCTCCCACGCAAAGAACTTGATAAACTTCACCGCGCCGAGCAGCTCGTTGAGCACGCCCATGCGCCGGTCGCGCGACGCGGACACGCCCTTCTGGATCCGGATGCGGCGCTTCGCGACGAACGAGTTGAGTGGCCAGCCGGCGAGGAGGACGACGAAGCCCGCGAAGGCGGACCAGCCCAGGACGCTGGAGAAGCAAGAGAGGTTAGTTTGAGGTGGATAGAAGAGGGAGAGGGAAAGGCGTACTTGTACAAGAAGATGCTCGCGATGATGATCTCGATGGGTGCTACATAGAAACATTCATGTTAGAGTTGCATTCACACAGAAACTCAGAAGAAAACTCGAACGCACCTCCGTAGAACATGTAAAGGCCCGACATCATCATGGCGACCTAAAAGACCCAACATACATCAGCACCGTCCTCCCAAAACCCCACCAGCAACAACACACTTACCCTATTCGCATCAACAGCCATCAGATTAACAATCTTCCCCACATCCGCACCCGCAAGCGGCTCGTCCCCGCCCGCACTCGCATTCACACTCGGGCCCTTGTCCTTGCTGGCCCCCTTACCCGCCTTCCCGTTCTTGCCCTTCACATCCGCAGCGGCAGCGGACGAGGCGGCGCTAGCACCGGCGCCCGCCTGCTTCGACTTGTCAACGATGCCCGAATAGTCCACGCGCTTAAGCGCCTTGTTGTACACGGCGCCGACGAGCTCCACGCGTATGCGCGTCGCCGCGCGTCGTCCGAACCAGAGGTGTTGGACGTCGGCTTGGGCCTGCGCGAATGTGATTTATGGTAATAATAAGTACAAAAACAAAGGAGCGACGGGGAGGCACGGACCTTGAGGACGGTACACAGGAACGCGAGGAGCGCGTATATAACTGCGCGCGACTGGTTTTCGGGGGTTGGGTCCATGACAGAGTCGAGAATACGCCTGGTAGAGAAGTTAGCAATGCATATTAAAAGACGCGAAGATATCACAGCACGTACTTGAGGAAGAAGGGTGACGCGTAGTTGAAGATAATACTCAAGACCGTTAGGGTAAAGTCCAGTCTAAATACACGTCAGCCGTTGTAACATTGATAGCACCGTATAAAAGAAATACGTACATAAGGTCGAGGGAATTAGCAGCCCAGAGACGTTTAAGGAGCGACGAACGACTACGAAGAAGACGTTAGCATAACTTTTGAAGGTGAATTAGGTCAACATACAGAATGGAATCGAAACGAAGGAACACTGGGCGAGACTGGAGAGTCGGGCTGAGGTCCCAGACATCGTCTTCGTTGAGCGTCGCGTTTGCACCCTGTCGAATAAAACAATTAGCCTAATGATGTTTGCGTGTCCAAGAAACATTACGAACCTTCTGGATCATGGGATACACCCACGAGAAACTAATCCACCCCAACAACGTCGTATAATCCTCCGCAGAAACACGAACACCCTAAATTGCCCATCAGCACCCCACTCAACAACAAATTCAGCACAAAAAGACACTCACGACATCCTCAGGCTTGACCACCCCACACGGCACCTGCATCGGCATCGTCATCACCGCGAGCAGCAGCACGCACACCACCACCAGATTCCCAATCATCCCCGCAAACGCCCACACAGGCGGCAGCGCGACGTTCCAGATGCGGTGCTCGTACAGCGTCCCGCCGAGGATCAGCACGCCGCACACGAGGTGCACGGCGTACAGCGCAAACAAGTCGTAGTGCACGGTCGCGCGCGGGCGCACGATGGGCACGCATGCGGCGTACACCCACGAGCACGCGAGGACGATGAAGGACGCCCCGGTCCAGACGGAGGAGGCGGAGGCGCTGGACGCGGCAGGCGCGCGGGTGGCGAGGACGTAGGAGCCGGCTGCGAGCCAGACGAGGGCTTCGAGGAGGGCGAGGAGGGCCAGTGTGAGCGTGCGCCAGAGGTAGATGGGCTGTTTCGCGTTGCTGTCTTGCGCTACTGCAGGCACGTCTCCTGCTGCTGCTGCTTCTGCTATTGCTTCTGTATTGAGGTTTGCCGCATCATCGGCCTTGACCTGCGCGAGCGCCTCGGCCTCTTGGAGGGTGATGAATCTCCGAAACGGGTTCAAAGGGTTCTGCGCGCGCTTCTTGACGAACGCGGGGAGGGGTAGAGAGCCAGCGCAGAGGAGGAGGACGAAGGCAGCGGGGAAGAGGGCGGCCCAGGTCTGGCGGACACAGGGCTCGGAGAAATCGAACGGGCCGCTGCCACCGCACACGGCCATGTTCTCTCTTGGCTTCTAAGCCTGAGGTGTCCTTGGTGTGCTGTTGAGAGCGACGAACGCCAGAGAGGGGGATTTGAGACTGCGGTGGCGGGATGCTGTCGCGGTATAAGCAGAGGGCGCTGACTGAGACTGCGCGTCGCACAACTGGCGCACTCGCACGATCGCGGCTGTACAAAGTCCAAGATGGCTTCACTTCTGATTCATTGCTGATGACAGCTGGCTTATAAACAGCCTCGATATGTATAGTACGCGTCAACGCTGGCCCACTGCACCGGGCTTACACCTTTGGGCAGGACAGCGACAGGCCATGTGCCAGTGTTAGATATGACACAATCGTCATTGGCTCAGAAACACCTGTCACTCCCACATCAGACCCGGTATATCGAGGGACTTAGGGTGCCGATGTCACTGGATATAACCGGGTTGTATCCAGTCCCCCGCTTCCTCGAATAATTATGAATAGTGATGGGGGACTTGTCGCTCTCTAGCCTTCTCTAGCGCTGTCCCCTCGCTGCCATTCCTTCGGACCTGTCAGACCTGTCACGTCTGACGTTGACATCTGTCAAATCCCACTATTTCCGGACGATAGAGCCCGCCCCAGACCGCCAGAGACATCCCGCCCCCGACGCATCCGTTTATGGCCCCGCCGGCGGCATTCCCCCCCATCCCGACGCGCCGTTTGACACGTCATCATACGCCGGCGCCGTTCCCGCCGTCGCACGCGATGTAGAGGGTGTATAACAACTTAAATAACAATAAGAATAGTATTAGTATGCTACAACACTAAGGCTACATTAATATAGTACATTAGATCTCGTCAGCATCGTCTGATACACCTAGAATTGACATGACAGCAGTGAGGACGGTGTCCTCGCGCTCCTGCTCATCCTCGCCGTCGTCGTCGACGTCGACGTCGTCGTCCTCAGCGGCAGCATTCGGCACTCCCTCACTAATGTCCTCGGGTGGTATAGCCTCCTTGGCAGTCCCGAACTGGCCGAAGCCCGTGAGATAGGGGATGGGGCCGGCGCTCTCTCCAAGCTCCCGGTGTACAGACGTGCCGGGCTCGATGGTGCCGGTGAACCCCTCGAGGTTGGCGATCTGATGCAGGCGATCAGCGTGCTGCTGGGTAAACCGGTCCCGTTCCCCGCGAAGGAGGGCGATCTGGTGGGCAAGGAAGGGGTGGGTAGGCCGGGCACGTTCCTCGCACCCGTGTAGGTACTCCATCTCGTCCCGCAGGTACGTTGCGACACGTCGCACCTCCACGTTGAGGCGGTCGATCTCCTCCTCAGCGCGTAAGATCTTGAAGGATTCATCCATGAGATAGCGCGCGGCCGGTGTCGACCAGGCACGCTTGGAGACGTCTTGGCGGCCGCGTCGGAGCAGGTCGATGTCGGCGAGGAACCGGTACTGGGTTACATCCTCCCACTTCACGGTTGGCTGGCCCAATGCCCTTGCCGCTGCGTTGAAGCGATCCAGGGCCGTCCGGATGGCGGCCGAGCGCACTTTCAGCGCTTTACCGATGTGCTGACGAAGTGCATACCCTGGAAATTGTAATAAGCCAGAGTAGATAGTAGATAACAATGAGTACTCACCTGTTTGAGATCGGTTCATCTTCCCTAACTCAAAGACACGTGCGACAATGAGACCCTCGAGTGTGTCGAGAGCACGCTGATACTTCCGACGTCCAACCAGCCGCCCTGTTTCCTGCCACTCAGGCGAGTCCGGTGTCCACGTCTCCGAAATCCCGAGACGCTTCTCGAGGTCGTGTACAAGCTCACGCTCCTTCTCGTACTTTTGCAGTGCGTGGCGGTGTGCCGTCTTGAGGGCCTTCGATGTGTCATTATTGGTGCCGGGCGCCATCTGTGGTGTGTGTGTGTGCCACGTATCACGCGTCGCTGCCAGCTCTTGTCTGATATTCGTGTAAGAGGACTCGGAAATGAAAGTATAGTGAATACATACTCGTAAGCCTTGAGATTAACAGCCCGTTGCCAATACTCCATCCTGAGACTCTCCTCCACCGGTTCTTGCTGGAGTGCTTCAAGATAAACCTTCTCATCCTCCAGCCATCGCTCAAACTCGGCAGTGTCAGTCACGTTGAGGTCGGACATGAGGTTCGTGACTGTTGCCCGGCTGGTCTTGATAGTGTTCAGGGCCTGCTTATAATTATTCAGCAGGAATAATGCTGAGTAAGGCACATCCGAGTCTTGTTAGTCTCATAGATAAATCAAAAGTAATGCTACGCACTGAGGTTTGCGTACATTTCGTACGTGTCGTGATGGGCAAGAAAGGCGACGATTGCCTGCTGGCGATGGAACGGCGACGCGTAGCGAACGGACGCCGCCAACGCATTCAACTTCGACCAGAGGCGCTCGCAGCCCTCGAGGTCCTCAATACCGAGGCCCTTCACATACGTTGCAAGGTGAATGACCTGGCAGAGGCGGCGGTGTGCATGCCCATGGAAAGCGCCAACCAGGCACGTGTGGTTGAGCTCCTTTGCGATCTTGCCCAGCCCGCTCTTCGCCAGGATCGTCTTGAAGCGGCATCCGATATCGTATCCACAGCCGTGGTGACACTTGTATACGTGAAGCATTTTCTCAACGACTGCCAGCGGGTACTTGGCCCTAGATACAAATCAGTTGACCGAATATCATGGAATGAGAAATAAAATAAAAATCACTCACAGTTCGCCGCTTCTAACCATGTCTGCGATCACGAGTGAGAACCCATGACGACAGACAGATCCAAAGAGGCCCGTCTCATCGAAGATGCCCCACATGCGCTTAGTTTTATCATCCTTCATGTTCTTCCAGCGACTCGCGCACGGATTGTTCTCGTCAACTTCCTGCGGGATGTTACGGGTGTGAAAACCACCAATGGTCAAAAAAGCTTACCGCTGATTCATCAGTCACAAGATCTCTCCCATTGCGTACCGCCCACTTATCCACAATCTCTCGGGGGATATACCGATCATCGTGTAGTTGAAACGCGGTGGGGAGGTCATTTGCAGCAGATGGACATATGTCGGCATCAGCACCATTGTCTTCGCCGCTCGAGCGGCGATAGATTCGTTTAAGCGAATCGTTGCCATCCATTGTATAGAGAATGTCGAAACGTAGCTTTTTCTCGTCTTGAAGATTATATGTGCATGCCGGACACACATGTTTGAGTCTCCAGTCGGGCTTGTCACGTTCCAAGACGCGGTTGACGCGTTGGCGCACCTCGTGTAGGACTTGCTGGTAGACGTCGAATGCAATGGTTACTTGGCGGGTGAGGTACCGCTGGTAGGCGACCTGCGGTGTTAGTGTGAGCTAGTGTCATTGGTCAAGAGAAATATATGATGCACCCCGTGCAGATCACAAAGCGTCTTGGTGAATGCTTGGATGGAGTAGTGAGGACAGCGGACACGAGATATTCGCAGGAGTTCGAGGGCATCAATGGTAATTGAAACATTTGGAGAGCAAGGGGAACACGGCACTAGACCATGTCTCACGAGTGTGGCCAAGATATTTTTGTCGGTGGGAGCTTCCGTTACAAAGATTGTACGGGCGTCTGCTCCCCATTCAATCGGATCAGACAGAAAACACGTAATGCCATGAAGTGCTCACCAAAGACGTCTATCACACGCATCTGTACGCCAACGGACTCCTCCGCCTTCTCTCCCACCGGCGTGTCACTGCCGCGACCTGAACGATCACGCCGATACGACCATTCGAGGTATGCGTCGACCATCGCTGGCAGCTGACGAAGAAACGTCTGGTCGCGACGAAGTCCACGGTCCCGGCGTGTGCGGTAATCCACGCGTTTTCCAGCCCGGTCTGAGACACTTTGAGCAAGTCAGTCAAGTTGCCATGAGCCTCGTTCTAAGCCCAAATACCTTTTTCTCAAATCCTCATAGAACTGACGTGCAAGTTCTTGAAACTCGCCACCGGCGTGGCTCACCGATATCTCCTCAGACCCATCAACTATTCCACCAAAGTCGACCCATTCATCTGAGTTGTTCACGATACCCTCCTGCTCCTGGTCAAGCGGCTGGTCGGACAGTTTCTCCAAGGCTGCCTTTTGATCAGCAGGCATAGCTGTGAAATGTGAGCTTACATCATAAGCACTCACAATATACTTACCGTCCTCCCGACTAGCACACTTTTTTTCGAAGTCATAGGTCCATTTTGCCACACCTTGGGGTCCCAGGGATATTGTCTTTGCCTGTCGGTACGTACTTCCTTGATTGCTAGGGGCTGGCGGAGCAGGCGCCCGAATCCTTGGTGCTGAGAGGCCGGATCGTTTACGTTTTCCCATCTGTAGACCTAGAGCGCCAATCTGTGTTTGCTGCGCCAACGCGAGGACTCTGCGCTTGCGATGTGACCACACGTGATCAATCCCCGTCCAATGTTCAACTTTACCCAAGCCCTGTACTCTCGATTGTTCGTTTCACCACCATGGTTGTTGTTCGTCATCCAAGCCGAGTATCTACAGCAAGTGTCATGACACTTGCGGACACATCGAGTAAGTTTCCATCAGTAATCTTTGATACGATAGGTTTACGATTCAATCACAGGTGTGATCTCACTCGACTCGGACTCGGATATCAGTCCTCCCCCTTCCCCCCCGCCTACGCCTCCTCCTCCTCCTCCTCCTGCCGCTCATGGTACCCCAACCGTGGTACGAACCCGTACGAAAACCACAACAACCACCACGACACCCACACGCACCCGAACCACACGGACATCCAAGGAGAGTGTGACATGGTACAACGCCCACCCGCCCACACCCTCGACGCCCACAAAGGGAATGCTGAACACCACAACCCCAACACCATCGCCTGTCAAAACGCCCTCGCGCGCCCACAAGCACGAGCAGCATGCATCGCCTCGGCAAACGCCCTTCGTGAACAAGGGCAAGGCCAGTGTTGGGCGCATCCCCCACCCCAATGACCTCAAACCGCCCCCGCCTGGCCATCCCGTCAAGAAGTACTATATAGTATTTAGCGGGCAGGAGGTCGGCCTGTTCTACACATGGTATGTGGTACTTTGGCTACATTCGTACACGAACGCTCAGCTTGAGTAATACAAGGGCGGATGCCAAGGCCCGTTTGAAGAACGTTAAAGATCCCTCCTGCGAGTCGTACAAGACGTTTGCTGAGGCCGTCTTTCAGTATCGCACCCATTGGGAGGACGGCCTTCTTGAGGCCTGTCCCCAGCCGGGTGGGCCGTTTTGGCCGCGTAGCCCATCTCCGGTAGCCTCTGTGTCGTCGGCTGACCCTTATTGGCTTGGTACCAATGATATAACCCACCAGCTTAGGTTCCTTGCGATGCAAGATTCCGACGGCGCTGGTCCGAGCCGTCCCCATTAGTAGTTGTTATCTGTTGTCGGTGAATGTATCGTACATACATAATCAATTCTTGCTTGTGCCCGCAACTGTGAGAGACGAGGCAAACAACTTCCTTGACTGAGTTTATTACATTCATATCAACTCAATGCCTGCATATACTATATACGTACGATGAGTGTGATATTGCGAGGTCCAGGATACAAAGTATGAGCAAAGAGGTTGACCATGCAGTGTACAAGTTTGCCGCGTCGCGCGTTTGCATTAACCGTTCCTTATGCAAGTGCGAGTGTCTTCACGGCACTCTCAAGTTCAATGTAACAAAAAAGCTGTAAAGATAACAACTCATGGATCATAGATGCTTCTATGGACTCAGTGGATGTATGATTACTCAACAGGGCTTTATAGTAACGCCTAATCATGCTGTTATGTGATGCAAAGGTTAGTATAGCGGACGTCCGCTATAGTGTGCTATAGTGTGCTATAGTGTGCTACACATTGTATCGCACATGCTCTGGCCGAGTCGATGGCGAATACATATTATTAGCGGGTACTGTCATTCTCTGAACATGCATACGTATACCATGTACAGAGTTTACCACAGATAGCGACTTTTCCGATTCATGCTTGTCTGGGTCACGACTTGTATAATGTAGGTACCAGATTTTGAAGCAATACATGAGAATAAAACGACTATTCTAACGTATAGTTTCGTATGCGTGTAATTTGAGATAACGGGGTGGTGGGTGCATACTCATGAAGCTTCACTTCCATGAATTTGACTTCGGCGTGAACCGACATGATGAGATCAAATATTTGCACGTACACATCCTGCAAAGCGCCATGGTCATGAGCCAATGATGTCACGTCGACTCCCCGCAACTCCTCCAAAAGAGCCCTCCCCCTTCGAGTGTGTTGATCAGCCTCCTTGAACCACATATCAGTGGCCGTAGGTCCACGCTTGCGGGCGTCCTTTAGCACTTCGTGAAAACGTTTGTCGCCGTCTTCATGAAATCCCCAGCCCATCCTCCAGCGCTCAATCTTTTGACGCGTTGTGCGAAGACCAAGTACGGCGGCGGGGGGATCGCCGGCGGAGGATGGTAAACGCGTACTGGCGGGGAGGGATGAGCCTGGGGTCGGTGCATGGTTTACCCGTGCAGAACGCTCACTGGTAAGCTTTCAGATGCTTTCGAACAGAAATAAAGGTCGGGAACTTACTTTTCGCGACGACTAGAGCAGAGGTTCAAAAGTTTCAGTAAGAGTACACCTTGTCACAGGTCTGCAACTTACACGCGGGCTCGCTCGCGATTTTTTGCCTTTTGAACCTCTTTGACGCTAGACATAATGGTCAGAAACTTGGTCAGAACGGTTGTGTATGAATCGTGCGAGGAAGTTCTTACTCAGCCTTAGACCGCCACTTGAGTGTGGCCCTGCGTTGCGCTTCGGTTTGGACCATGGGGGAATTGAAGGCCTTAGCATTGAGCGCTGAGCGTCAAACAGCGAGCGGCAATGATAAGGCGCGCAGGGTCGGATCGGCTGTAGGAGCAAACCGGTTGGCGCCTTGTGGTGGCAGTGATGGGGCCGGTAATATGGCGTGACCAAACAAAGTGCAACATGTTCACCTCCCGCTCTAGCCCGCTCCACTACATTGACAGACGGAAGCAAAATGTCCAGGCACGCCGATCGATCACAAACACCCCATACCACGGCTGAGCACGACTTGACAAAACGACACTCATGCACTGCACGTACAAATCCCAAGCACGACACGCAGGATATATGCTAAGGCAAGTGTCTTCACGCTGCCCCGCTCGCCCGCCGCTCTTCATCTTACAGCTCCATGACAAGGAGAGTGTTTTGGTGGTCTGCAGGACAGTTGCTATCCTAAGTCACATTTGGTACGCATCACTCGTCCTCATTTCGTTCACCTTGTTCCGACCGCTGCCTTCACGTTACCTAGACATGGCTCAGTTGGGCCATGTCGGCCTTATGCCCAACGACGTCCACATCGTCAACGATGCTATCACGGTGGTATTGGGATGTTAGGTCTCTGTCGGAGGAACTTCATACAACACGCTCACTGATCTGCTGTAGCTGATGTGCTATTATGTTTCACATAGGTATTAATTGCACCCTCGGCAGGTTGGGCTTTTGTCGGATGCCATGTGCAGCCTTCAAGTGGCACGCGCTGTGCAGCCACTGCATGCAATGTTTTCAACCACCGGTGAGTACATTGCTTCCTTAGGATTTGATGCGGGACTAACTGGAGGGTGTACTTACTGAGAGGTACTCGTGTTATGCACCTGCGAAAGGTCCTTGCGCCCGCCGCTTGCAGCACATTTGCAACGTGCGCCCGTCGGCATCACGTGACACCGACGTGAAACTGGTAAGTGAGCATTATTTTGCTTGCATAATTATTAATTTACGCCTAGCTGGCGCTGCTGCCCGCGCAGGTAAACAGACGCGCCAGCGCGTAAATTTATCAGGTGATAGCGTTGAACGTCTCTGTCACGCTGTTGTGAGTCTTCGGCTAGCCCTGCCTGATAAGCTGGCAAGCAAGCGTGACTCAAATTTTTCACTGAAGGTCCGATCTACCTATCGTTTGCAAAATATCCATGGACGGCAGCCATTTTTACCCCTCCAGCACCTGGTCAAGCGACTATGGCCAGGGTACTGGTGGCTCATCGCTCGCGGAGAACACCGCGTTTCAAGATGCCTTCGTGTTCACGCCGGAGGAACTCGAACTCCTCGCACAGGAGATCGCCGCCCAGGAGTCCATCACAGAAAAGCACGGACCCCCCCACGCAGAGGCACCAAGCACGTCCATACGTGCTCCTATCGACGCGCTCCTCAACCCTTCTTATCCTGAAACCATCCTGCCATCGCCCCTCACACCGTTCGCCTCTTCCTGGTCATCTCCAGGCCTGGAGACTACAGATCTGGGTACAACACCGGACCTGAGCCCCTCGCCCGTGAACCCCCCCCCCAGCGCTCCCTGTACCACTCTCGCCGGTGCCATCCAACTTCGGCTCGTCGTCTTCGGCAACTCCGTCAACGCGTGAGCCGAGTCCGGTGTTGCCGATGCCGCTCTCAGCTCCTCCTGCGCCATCTGCACCGCAGCTCGCCCGCCAAACCACCGCGGAGGAGCGTGCCGAGCTCGCTCAAAAGAGCTTGTCCTGGCCGGGTCGCAATCCGGGCCATGCGGTTCAAGAACCTCGCCGGGGAACGAAGACGACGCTCACCCCGGCTCAGAAGGCATCGCGTGAGGCGGCCACTGTTCATGGCCGCTTCGAGAAGGAGAAGCTTATCGCAGCGGTTCAGGACATCATCCGCCAGCAGGAGCAAGAAATCAAGGCCCAAGCGGGGGTTTTGAACGTCAAGGAGGAGCGTCTCAAAAAGCTTGTTCAAGGCCAGTCGGTCTTCAAGCGAACCCGGCAACCGAGCATGCGGGACGCGATCGTGTCTGCATACGCTGAGAAGGTCAACGAAGGTACGTTTATTAGGTATATCTCGGACGCAAGGTATCTCACCAATACTATATTAGGACGCGAGAAGAGGCTCCCGCTGAAAGACATCGAAGCCCTCCTTGCCAAGGACGAGTCCATGCACCCCGAAAACCTGAGCCTGGAGCAGAAGGAAGAGCTCATGGCGCGTTTCGTGGCAAAGAAGGTGCACAAGAAGGGAGGCGTACGAGCGACGAACTCGTCGGCGGCCAAGGACCATACCTGGTCAACAGGGAAGGTGCACCAGGAGGTAAGCGATCCTCAGTGAATGCGCGTTCACCGCTGATGGCTTTTAGATCGAAAACAGCGGTCGTCGCAACGGGACCCTCGGGTTCCATTTCCAGGTCCAGGGCAATGTCAGCGACACGTTAGAGCCGACGTTCTACGGCAACGCGCACGCCCTCGACTTCTTCCCAAAAGTCCTGGGGATTCAGCCTGCTCAAGTCGCGCGCATGTTCGACTTGTACTCAACCACTAATAGCAAAAGTAAGCCACCTGTTAGCTCCAAAGTCAGCGATGGTCAGCTAACCCTTTCGCGTAGATCTTGACGAGCGAGAGGCGGACGGTTTCAACGATGTTCGGGACGCATGCGCGGACAAAATCGCCCTTGGTCTCCGTAAGTTTCCGTACCATTTTTTCATTATTATCATTAACTCGCTCATATGTCTTACTAGGCCTGGTCACCGGGATCCGGACGATACGCATGATGTACAAGAGCTACTGGGACCTTGTGCTCAAGCAAAAGGTCGAGCTCATCGGCTGGCCTGAGGGCATCACCTTCGGGAATCCCTCCGACGTCCTCCACAACCGCGATGACGCCCACAGGCTGTGGAGGGCTCTCGAGTCTAACACATGCCAATGGGTTAAGTTGACTGATGCGGAGCTTCGCGACCGCACAGCCATGCTGAACCGGCGCGCCGCCAACGGCGAAGCTGTCTTCAAGACGCGCAAGCCCCGGAGTGACAAGGGTAAGAAGCGCAAGCAGGCGCCGGCAACCGCGGCTGCTGCATCGAAAAAGCACAAGAGCGCTGAGTTTGTCGACGAGGAGGAGGAGGACGAGGAGGACGAGGAGTAGCTATCGTGCTTATGTCGTATTCGTATTCTCTCAATCTATTGGCATCTACTTGATTTATAACAGGTGTGATATAGCTATTATAATTCTTTTCTTGATATAAGGCCAGCCGCGCCTACGAGGGGAAGGTGGTCCCAAACATCACGTGATCGCGACTTGACGAATCAACAAAGATACACGTGGCTACCGGGCACGCCATCGCACGCCATTGATGACGTGTACCAAAGAAATTGCTAGAACGGTCGCTGCGCTGGCGCTTCCCACGGTTGGCGGACGAGACTAGCTACTATTCAAGCTACTGTCTTTATTAGATTATCAATCGTATTTACTAGCTACAGTCAGGTACATTTGCCTTTACAACGCAAATGCTATGTGATAAGGCCTAGTATTGCTCACCGGGAGGGATAACGGGCGGGAGTGATGCCGCTCTGTACCGGCACCAGTACCCGGCGCGTCGGGGGGGGGCGGGATCTGTAGGGGCTATGACTGGTGGTAATGACGTGTCGGTAGAAAGGGGCGGGAAAGGGCGGGATTGTCGCCGACGGGATCAGTAGGCGACACGTCTGCGGGGCTTCTACAGCTGGCTAAAGGGACGGGGAAACCCGAGCATTGACAGGTGTCAACGTCAGTTCTGACGTGCCGGACGGGAAAGCGGGGGGACAGTGCTGGAGAGCGTTAAGTCCCCCATCACTATTCATAATTATTCGAGGAAGCGGGGGACTGGATACAACCCGGTTATATCCAGTGACATCGGCACCCTAAGTCCCTCGATATACCGGGTCTGATGTGGGAGTGACAGGTGCTCAGAAAAGACAAATCACTGCAACGTCCTCGCTTTCGGCTGTTTGCGCCGTCGAGTGCCACCAAGCAGTCAAAGTTGCACCACAAACTATTATACCCAGTCTCCCGGGATGTTCGCCCGCGTCTAATAAATCTAATGACAGCACCGAAATGCGCAACCCTATGCGGCGGAAACTAGATCCGTATATGACAAAGTAAACATGACAAAGAATGCAATACCCAAGCAGAAACCATCCTTTCAGACCAATCCCGAGCCGAACGACCAACCCGAGCTTCGACCCCAACCATCGAAAGCAACCACCCGCCGACCACCGACCATACCACTGCCCCGATCAGATCACCACATCACCACCCAATTCACAACCAAAAACACCACAATCGCAGGCCAAGCCACATCTCGCACATCCCGCACAAGACCTCCAACGAACCCCCGCTCGTCCTCTCCCGAATCCCGCACCTGCTGCATGATCCACCTCCGCCGCGACCCAGCCCCAGTCCCGCGTGCACAGCACCCAAACGGCCATGGCACACTCACCCGCCTCACCTGTCCACGCAACACGAACGTCCACGTCCATCGTGGCCATCTCGACGACCGAGAGAACCTGCCATTGCCGCTCCTGTTCCGATTCTTCACGTTGGTCGCCGGCTCGGGGAGAACGTCCATCTCCGCCTCGAGCCCCTCTTCTTCCTCTGACGTTGGCTGAAACCCAGCGCCTCGCCCATGTCCGCCGTAGAACCCCGATACTCCCTGCTCCGACGCAGCAGTCGCTCTCCGCGCAACGAGCTTAAACCGCTCCACCTCGTCCGGCGGCTCCTCCACCGTGTCCGCGTCGGGATTGACGAACACGAGATCATCAAGCTCCAGCTCCTCCACATCTCTCTCCCTCCCCCGGCCCCCCTCCATCCTCCGTTTCCTATCCCCATGCGGCAGCGGCGTCTCCCTCCTCTCAGGCTCCCAATACCCCGACCGCAAACCATCCTTCGCGGAGTCCCTCCTCCCCCACTCCCGCTTCCGATACCGCCTCCGCACCCTCTGCACATTCACCACCACGAGGACCAGCACGGACAGCACCGCGAGCGGCACATACGTCAGCACGTATATCCCCAGCTGGTCCGGCAGCGTGCACGGCGCGTGCGCGGGCGGCGGCGCCTGCGGGATCTGCGGTAGCAGCTCCGGCTCGGGCACGCGCGCCGCGAGCGAGAGCAGCTGGTACCCCGGCCGGCGCACGCCCGTGACCATCGAGAACGACTTGACTGTCACCTCTGGCACGATCTCCTCGCGCGTCGTGTTCGACGACGCGTCGGTGTAGGTGTAGGTATGCCGGACTTCGCAGTAGTCGTGGTCGTCCCCGCTATATAATTATAGAAATAATTATGATCCGCGCATCCATTAGCTTTCATTGGATACGGAATGCAAAGAAGAAATAGACCGCAAACCTGAATATAATCGCAGGCCTCAGCCTCTCCAACACCCAGCTGGACACCTCCCTCCCGAGCGTATTCTGATATCCCAGCCCCGCGCCCTGCCTAATATTCGCCCTGTGCTCCCGAAACCGCCCGCACCACACATTCTGATCCCGCGCGAGCGGGACATGCGAGAACAGCACAACGGGGTGGTCCCTCTCCTGCGTCTGCGCGCGCACGAACTCGACCGGGCCCCGGCGCACAGCAGGCCACTCGTCGAGACTCTTCCCCGCGCTCACGCGCGCGATGTCCTCGTCCACGAGCGCGGGCCCGTCGAGGAACAGCAGCGTATGGTTCGCGATCCCGACGCGGTGGTTCCGCGCGCCGAAGGAGGACGTGTACCGCGCGGGTGCCTCGAGTGCGAACGAATCTCCTATTCTTTTTTGGTCCTGTCAGTATTTACAAAGAACGTGTGAGAGGAGAAGATACGCACCCGATGTCATGGTTCCCCGGTACATAATACACCGGCACAGGCTCCCCGTGCATCTTGAATATATGCCGGAACCGCTCATAGTACGCGTCATACCTGCACACCAAAACCAAAAACCAAAACCCAAATCAGCCAACTCATCGCCAACACAAACCCCACCCCAACACAACCATGAAACATGAAACACAAAACACGAAACACTCACTCGGCAGGACTCATCACCGCCCTCCCATTATCCATCATATCCCCCAGAAACACCACCGCATGCGGACGGAGCACCCGCACCGCCGCGCGCCAGCTCTTGCGCAGGTACACATCCACCACGACGCGCGTGAGGCGCGCGAGCAGCGGGTGCCGGTCCAGGTACGAGTTGTCGTCGAGCACCTGCGGGTCCGCGACGATGAGGACGCGGGTGAGGCGCGAGTCTGGTGTTAGGGCCTGTGTAGCATGCGCAACGTCATGGCATCATGATCACGGCACAAGAAAGAAACGTGTGAAAGTCAGATAGTAGTAAGGCAGGAAGAAAGTGAGGAGACAAGAACGCACCCGCCGCTCGTCGGGCCACGGACACGAGCGCACAGCGCGCACGAACACCCCGATCTCGTACCAGAGCACGATCGCGACCCACGCCGTGCGCAGCGCGAGCACCGCGGGCCGTCTCGTCCTAACCTGTGTGCCGGTGCACAGCGCTGTCCTGGTACGCTTGCTCGCGATCCCACCGCGAGCCATGGTTGTCTTCTTGGAGAGAACCTAGAGTCAGCCTACTAGTGTGCAGAGAAGAAGTAAACCCAGAGGTGGAGACGAGTGAAACGCTGCAGCTGCGCGCCGGAAGATTAATACTAATATTATCGAGTGCAGCCTGCGAAGGGACTAGCCCTGTCGTCACCACTGGATATAATTAGCCCCACCATGGATGAACGAATTCAAAAGCGGAGCAGCCAATCGCGACGCAGACGAACGCGCGGCATCCAGCCCTGCCCTAACCATTTACAGTAAACCACGCTTGGACATACTTAATAACGTTCGCAACTCCAGAGTCGTTGAGGATGGGGAAGTGAGGTGTCGCATTACAGTCGGGAGGGGTAAACGTACAATACTATGTATGCAAGCAGATGTATCGACAGTGCCAGTGCGTGCGCAGAGCACCAAGAATCGAGAAAATATAAGTACGAACGCAACCGTAAAGACAGAACTAATCGAAAGGAAAGGAAAGGAAGAACAAGAAGATGAGCAGAGAAAGATGCGTTTAGAGCTGCTGTACCAGCAAATAAAATAACCTTGGGATAAGTATAATCGTGAAGCGCACGCCTATAAACTGTCGTGTTCGCGGGGAGTGCAAAAATGTCACCAATTATTTATATAAGAGAGGGGAACCCAGGGAGAACCGCAGAAACAAGCAAGCTCGAGACCAAGGAAACATGGTCCTAGAGCCCAAAAGGTCCACTTGCAAAAGGTCCCCAGATCAGACATCGTCCGCAGACCCGTCCGAGCCAGACTCCCACCCCGCATTCACCAGCGCAGGCTGCACGCTCTCGTCATCCACCGCGCAGAACGAGCGCGTCTTGCGCAAATACTTGGACACCGGGCTCTTTATCGACATCGACATCGACATGGACGCAGCCGTCTCCACAACATTTACGTCGACATTGATATCCTTCGACGTCGTGACAAGTGTTCCGCCCAAGCCGACCAGCGCGCGCACATACGAGCGCGGCTCCAGTCCCGAGCCGTCATCGGCGTCTCCGTCATCAACGCGCTTCTCGCTTTTCGAGTGCAAGGCCGCATCGACTGCCATCTCGTCCTCTCCACCAAAGTCAATCTGATCACGAAAAAAAAAGAACGAAACAACGTAAACGTTAACAAAACTAGTACATGGGATCAAGAAACACATGTACGTACATAGCCGTCATGTCCGCCCTTTTCTCCACCGAGCTCCCCCTCGTATCCGTGCTGGGAAGACGCGCTCGTCTCCGAACTGTTCCTCGACAACTGCAGCAGCTGCGACTTCCCGTTGTTGAGACGAGAGCCAACACCATTCTTCACCGCCATGTCGGCCGCGATCGTTGAAGACCAGCGTTTCTTCGCGAAGTTGACGGGCGAAGGCTTCAGCGTGAGCACACTCGTCATGAGCGGCGACGGCCTGCCCAGCAACGGCTCGTCCTCGTCCTCTGCAGCCACAGTAGACTCCTGATGACTGTACACCACATTCCGCAGCGCAGACACAGTGACAGGGTCTTCAGGCGGCGTCACAGGCGGAGGCGTCTCGTCCGTGCTTGTCCCGGGCGACTCGCCCGCCTCGGTGTCCCGACGGTCATCTTCCTCTTCCTCTTCTTCCTCTTCCTCCTCCTCTACTTCTTCGTCGTCATCGTCTTCTTGATACTCCAGCTCCGACTCTGACTGACGCGGGAAACGCTTGCGCCGAGCATAGCTGTTCGGATTCGGCCGATATGACAACGAGCCGCCCCATCCTCTAAACCTCGAAGGAGCAGAAATGGAATCATCCTCCTCGTCCGACCCGTCAGACATCCTCAGCCTCTTCGACGGCGGCTCCCGCCCATCGTCTTCATCCATCGCATCGTCCAGGTCCTCAGGCACACCCATATCCACATCCTCCTCCTCCTGCTTGAACCGCCGATGCAGTCCCTCCTCATCACGATATTCCTCAGCGGCAGGAAGAGGAAGTGGAAGTGGAAGAGGCGGAGGACCCATCCCGCCCCCAGCCTTATTCCTCTCCCGGTTCGCTATCCGCTCCTCCCGCGTCAAGCTGCTGAACGGCTGATAATCCCTCCGCGCATGCAAATTATTCGCGAGCGACTTCCGCCCGAACCGCCCGTTCGCATCGCGCGGCTGCTGCCGCTCCTCCATCTCCATAACGAACGTCTTGAGCCACCCGGGCGCAGAGATGCTCTCCCTTCCAACGATGGCTACAGGCTCCTGGACGACCGGGACAGGCAGCGGACGCGTCCGGGGGCGCCCGCGAGGCCGCTTCGGCTGCGGAGGGAGATCCTCGGGGCGTGGGTGCTTGCGTGGTCGGCCTCTGGGCCGTTTCGGCACGACAAGCATCTCCTTCGCCTTCACGGGCACCTCGACTTTATGATGAGGGGACTCTGATACCGGCGGACTCGGAGGACGAGGGGGAGACGCGGGCGGTGGAGCCATCATCTTCTTCTTGGTGGACGGCTCCTCCGTGGCAGACTTGCGGCTCGCAGCAGCGGCGGCATGCGACGAAATCTTCTCCGAGACATGCTTCTTAACGTTATCCCGATCAACCTCTGGCAGGACCGTGCCCGGGGGGAGATGGCTCAGCAGGCGCGCGGGCCACGGGAGGGAGTAAATGGCAAAATGGCGCAGACACCTGCAACGAACGCGGTTGCTGAGGCCCATCGCGGTTGGAGAGGAGATAACAGCGCATTACGGTGATGGTTACTGTAGGTTTCTGACCTTCTCGGTAAATGAAGAGGGGGCTAATCCGCGGATCGCAGTTGGTCGTCGAAACAAGCACTGTTTGTGCGAAACTTGCGAGAAGAACGGTAGGGGCGGTTACGCTCCAGTGGCATCGGACAACGAAGAAACAAGCGCTTCTGACAGTGATGTGGATACCACCGACATCACCCCTACCGTTCCCGTCAACTTGAACATCAACGAGCGACGTACTCGGAGCCGAGTATATGCCGTTGTCGCAGCAGCAGAACAGGACTCCGATGATAGCGAAGACGAGAAGGATATAGCAGATCCTTTGGCCAGCACGGGGGCAGTTGCTCCATCCGAAGGAATAGAGTTTGAAGGTGGCTCATCGCGGGCTTCGTCGATGCAGCGCCTTGAAACTCAATCTCGGTCGGCGCTACGTCTCACAGATACTGCGACACCGGATCCATCATCAGCACGGCCCCCTTCTGTATCCAGCTCCTTGTCCACCGCAACCTCGGAACAACGCAAAACGCCATTCCGGTCCATCATTTCCACTCGTCGGCAGAAGCTTGAGGCATCGGCTACCCCGGAAGCGGATCGGAAGACGAGCACGCCCGGCCTATCAGAGAGCGCGTCGTGCCCTCCTGCCATACGAAGGAGCGTACGGAGCGTAAGCCGCCTGTCAACTGTGCTTGTCGACAAGGGCAAAGGCAAGGAGCGGGCATCAGACGAGCCGGAAACGCGCACGCTTCGTGGTAGACCACCTGTCCCTGAGAAGGTTTCGGTGCCTGCACCACCTCCCAAACCGGAGGTGCCCAGGGGCAAGGACGGAAAGCCGTTGCCGACATGCATAACGTGTTCGAATGTCCTGCCTGTCATCTCTGTCGACTCGGAGGTGGTGTGGGGTCTGACGTTTGGCAATGAAGCCCCTCACAAACGGGGCAGGAAGAAGAAGCTAAAGCAGGAATGTCCGCGGTACGTGTTTGTCTAGGTCAACGTGTTGTGGGGCTATGATAAGCTCATATAAGTGCCTCGGAACGTGATGTACTTGCCCTCGCGGAAAAGTTCGCAGTTGTTCTCACAATCGTGCTGACGCTCAACGTTAGCATACAGTCGTCGCGCGTAGCGGGCCGGGAGAGCTCACGTTTACAAACCGAGCAGGCCCCAAAAATAGATGGTTCTTTTTCATCGAACGGGAGTGGATGACGCTAAAGTCTCGGCGGATGTCGATGTTACGGAGGTCTGTTCGCTTGAGCTCTTTGTCTTCCTCGTCGGTCAAATGGGCCATCGAGCCCTTGAGCTCCGTTATGACTTGACCGGGGATGAGAGGCCTGGTGGCGAGAATACAGAGCTCTGACTTTCCAGTTTTGTGCGAGTATCGGGATGTATGCGAGATTTCGATGCATCCAGAGGGGTGGTAGAGCTCAAGGTACCGGGAAGCATGCCTGCAAATATAGGGTCAGGAACAGAAAAAAAAAGTGGCGACTTTGAAGAGGCTGACGTAGCAAATGCGTTTACTTGAGGTTGTTTATACTGCTCATGCCTAAGGTAATACGTGATGGGGTCAAGGCTACGAAGGGGGGGGTTTGTGAGCGCCAAAGCTAGCCGAAGTTCAACATGGTCGCACGCACCTGAGTAAGTCGTCAACGGCCTGCCGCACAGATAAAAGCGCAGGTGCTTTCGAGGCCACCAGCTAATGAAGAGGGGATGAAAAGGACCGTAGTTACGGAAATCAGACAGAGGAGGCGGGATGGCTGCAGTGTCGCTCACGCTTTGGACGATTGTCATAATGTCCTCTTCGTCAACCTTGGGTAAACGCCTTGAAGGGTCCATCTTATGCACGACGAGTGGTACAGCCCCTGTGCCAACCTTCTCGACAAGGAGGCGACTGAGGAAGTCATCGTCCTTGGACAAGTCGCGCATGTTCATCATTTTGGTGGGGCGCCATGTCCACCTTGTGCGGTGAGAACAGCTGGAGCTCATGACCGGGGACGTGGTCGTCGATGAGCTCAGTGACTGGTGGAGGGGGACGCGTGAAGGAGGGGGGTGAGAGGAGAGGACACGGTGAGACACGGAAAGAGGACTCTATACTAATGACGCGACTGGACAAAGGCACCTGAACACGGCCAAGTGAGCGACTCGGTGGAGCAATCCACACCCGGCAATGATTACGGCAGCACTCGACTAAAATATCCGCGTTGTGTGCACTCTCCAAAGGCCGACCACCGATACAACCGCCACCCTCCGCTTTCGTCTCAGTCTTCCGCAATCTGAACAAGTGCACCATCTCGACCCCGAACATATCCTTTCCTAGCAGGATCACACATCCTTTGCTGTGCGTAACCATCCCTGAACAAGAGCACACAGCATCGGAGGACATGGCTATATTGCAGGAGTAGAAACATATGGCGGACATAGCATGGGCGTCATAGCTAGAGCAGTACGGTGTTCCAAGTTTTTTACACTCATGCCCCCCTGGACGGACGCTCTAGCCAATCATACATATGCGAAAAAAGGAGGAGAACGAAACACAAACAAACGTTTATGCGTTGTGCGCGTGCTTCTGCTTGCCCGTCCGGATCTTCCTGATGTAGAACTAAAGGAGGGAAATCGGTCAGTTTTGAAGGGAGAAAGAAGTGTTGCAATCGAACCTCAAGCTCCTTGCCCTCAAGGATGTAACCGTCAGACCGACCAGATTGGCCCGGTCGGCTCGAGATGGCAGCATACAGGCGACCAGCAGCAAATTGACTCTCCAGCAGAGGGTCAACCTTAGCCTCTGGAGTAAGACCAGATTCAGAATTGTGAGGTATATTGATACAATGAGGCACACATACCCTTCTTCCGCTCCTCGATGATACGCTGAAGGTGGTTGGATTTTTTGGCCTCCTCGGTAGCGACGGCGGCGGCCTGAGCAGCCTTGGCACCCTTCTTCGTGATAGGCTGGGCGTACTATTGCAATATCTTCATCAGCCTCGTATCCGGCCAATCTGCATTCGAGTACGTACGTGCGACTCGTACCACTGTCTGAAAGGAGTAGCGTCGATCTGAATGATGGCGCCCTTGACGAGGGTGTTCGTGCGGACGAGTTCGTTGTTGGAGGCGTTGTAAACCTGATAGTTGGGTCAGATCATGGAAATTATGCACGATCGCGCTCAGGGTCGAGGTACTCACAACACCGATCAACCTCGTTTTTCTCGTTATGCTCTCAGAGCCCCATGCAAAATTGCCAGTGTCGAGGCGGAGGGCGCGGTATTTGAGGTTTCCACCGCGAACGCGAACAGTGTGAACACGCTTCGGGCCAAGCTTGGTGCTGGCGGCCTGACGGCCGAGTTCGAACTTTCTCTTCTTGCGGTAGTGGGCACGCTGGGCACCGGAGGCGGAACGCTTGTACCTGGACGAGCGGGAAATACCTATAATGAATCATCGCGGTCAGCAAAGTTGTCTCCGATGTTCAAGACGGCGAGCAGGCAACACTCACCCATGGCGGCGAGTCTTGAGCTTGAGGATGGGCCGGTGTAGTCGAAACGAGGTGTTGATGATGATAGCCTCACAAACAAGGTTTGCCAGCATATCAAACTCCGTCCGGCGTTCTCCGGAAGTGCCCATCTTCCTCACCATGATGATTATGCGTGCAAAACATAATATACATTCCATCTTCTCAGGTTTTTTTTTGTTATTCCGAAACAACTAAAATTCATCATAAGCTACACTTAAAAAAAAGAAAATCCAACAGTTTTATGACAATGTTTCCTGCCTACCTATTCATTTGTAGAATATCGGAGCACAAGCACATTGAAGCTGTATTCCATGGCCACTCTAGATGACTTATGACGATGTGTTGTCGGTATTATAATAAACAGTTATTCACCACAGCAATTAAGTGACGACCTTGGGCCCGGGGAGCAGCCACGAGGTTGTAATTTGCGAGCCGAGGAGGTTCTCAAACGGATCCGCCTCGGAGGCGTGGTTCCTTCACGAAAAGCTCTCTCTAGCGTAGAGCACCCGAGCATCCACTAGAACACGAGATGAACTTTCTCCTTTTTTGCGCATCCCGCCCACAGGCTGCTTACGCCCGGTACTGCGTGCCTTCCGCGGCTCGCTGATAGGTGGAACGAGGGTGTATGTGGTGTGCGTATCGTTTGCTTACCGGACCGAACACATCTCGATCCCTCCGAGATTTCGATGTAGCGATTGTGGGTAGGCGTTTAGCAATTAATCTGTCGAGCAGTCATGAACAGAAAAGGGTACCCTTCGATGAATGGCGCATCTTGTGGATTAGCGTTGATTAACATTCACCATTTAGTACGCGAGGAGCCACCTGTCCCGGGCGGGGGGTATGAGTCTGTGAGCCCGGAGCGTTGGCGTATCAGCTACAACCGCACCACGGTTTTAGCCCTGAAGATAGTGCATCGTGCCGCGACACCGTAGCACCAAGCAAACCTCTGCTATCCTTGCACTCGACACAGCGCGGAAATTAGGGGAGCCAAAGAGTCGGACTTAGGGTCACGTATTCCCAGCAATACCCCAAGTCTCGGTCAAAACACGCGCCGGCCTTGCTAACCGCTGACCGGAGGTCGCAAGGGCTCGCCCATTGCGTGAGGTCCTGCTAGTAATAACCGACGTCAATCGAAGAACAAATGAGGGTCATAGCTGGCAATCAGACAAGCAGAGTGCCTGCCTACCAGTAAACTCGCGTTCACCTGGCGCCGCGCTGTGCACGATCGACACTCTCAGGAGCATTGTCATAGCTGTGGCGCCCCGAAAATAATTAATCTGATCCGTTCACTAAAATTGAATGTTTTCTTAGGGCCGAAGGGCGTAGTGGAGGGTCCAGGTTGGGCCACCCAGACAATATTTCCGGCTCCTGAACCATTCAAGGGCGTCCGCACCACAGCCCTTGAAGGATGTTGAAGGTGTTCCTAAAGAACCGAAGCCATGCACGTCTCGAAGCAATAAAAGTTCTGCAATAGATGTAGATAAGTTCAGCCTCAGCCAATCTCAGGCGCACGCACAATTCAGGCACCGTGGTAGCATGCAGCAATTGCATGCCGCAAGCCTAAACATGCAAACCATTCTCTCGGAACATAGCTTCTGCTTTGTGGAGGGCCCCGACAAGGCCAGCGTAATCTTGACGGTGCTCAACACGCAACGCTATCTATCACGCCTTGGGCGTAACTGCTGAAGCAAATTGAGGCGGTATGTGGTATGCTGTCAGCGATAGCCGAGCTTCGTCATGGCTACAGCGCGCTGTTTGACATTGGTTTGACGTCGCCGTTCACAAGCATCGAGGCCGAATTTGTGACATGTGTCAAAGGATACTCCCAAAGGTGGAACCTCAGCGGAGCGCGAGGCGGAAGCCAGTGCCGCGACGGAATCATGAACCAGGCTCATCACTTGGATAATTGTTGATAATTCTCTAAGGTCTGGGATGACTGGGGACAGGCAAAGTGTATCAATGGTGCTCGTCGTGCTCTCCATGGCCGTGACCATGTCCTTCCCAAGGATGCCGCAGACCCTGCAGGATCAAAAACAATCATGGTCGGTATGCGGAAAAAGAGTGGAAGACGTAAGGCGCACCAGGAGCTTAGGGCCGTCCTCGCTGGGGCAATCGCGGTTCAGCATGGCTTGCTTGCGGAGGCAAGGGGATAACGGGCTGACTCACCGAGCACGGTAGAAGATGAAGAACCACATGGTTGCGCCGAGAGCCTTCGCCATGAAGTTGTACCCTCTGCCAGGAAGGTGAGGGTGGAATCCAGATGCTATATGGAAATCATGCAGTTGTAGCGAGCACTTTGTTGCAGCGCAGCGTAAGACGTACAGTTAGCCGGGCCCGCCATAGTCTTCAAATGAAACTCGCTCGTCTAGTTGTGTGGTGCACGGGAGAACTACAGCGAGTCGGAGGGTGAAGGGGTTGACAGCGTATGTGGACGTGACCTCCCCCAGCCAGGCAGCGTAGGGACAGGTCGGGGTCTAAGTTTGCTGGTGTTTGGCAAAGGCTTCCAAATTCAACACGAACAAACTGTTCAAGTTACTTAGCCGGAATTAATGCATGGGCCTTATTGCAACCTCAAGGCTGAAATTCAACACACGCATCATTGGACGCAATGTTCATAGTTACATCACCCAGTAGGCACTCTCAATCTCCAACTTAAAGCACGGCAATCTGCGGTGACATTACCAAACAAATTTTCATAATTGAGAGGTCGATTGGGCAGCATGAAAACCGCGATGTACGCGACAAGAATTTTAAGGGCGGAAGGGCGCGGTGCCTTTCCGTCGCCACCTGCACTGCTCTAAGGTCATGATTCCCCGTCAGGCTTTAACGAGCTCCGGCCTGCCCGAAGGATTTCGTCCGTTGACAGAAGGTTCACAGCAATCACCGAGCTAAATCTTCTGTGAGTGAACGTTCTCAGAAGAGCTCCACAGAAACTTGCCATGAATGAAGCATCTGCCTTTTCACGCGGTAATTGTCCCAAACTCCCTCCACCGTCGGATCAAACGGTTCGCCAGCGGATAGCTCAACCCCAACAATGTTACCTTCGGCTTGTTGGTCCTGAGGGTTCGGATGAGAACTTTGCGATGCATCTAGAGGCTGGAGGTCGACTTACGATCAGCTCATTGATGACGTCCTGCACATCAAAGCCTCCGTTCTGAATGAGGGTCTTCGGGATGACCAGTAGTGCGTCCGCGTATGCCTGCACCCCCATTTTGACCCGGCCCTTCGCGGACCTTTTGACGGGTCCGCTCAGGTGTGCTGAACACGCGATCTCAAACGCGCCGGCACCAGGAATGAGGGAGGCATCTTCTAACGCATTCTTCACGGCACGAAGTCCATCCCGAAGCGCGTCCTGGATTTGCTGGATCGTGTGGGCATTGGGTCCCTTGATGAGAAGGGTGACACTTCTTGGTTCCTTCACTTCCTCGACGAACGTATACCTCTCTTCACCCAAAGTGTGTTCATAGACCAATCCGGCCCATCCAAGAATATCTGGGGTGAGGTCATCGACAGAGTTCTGGGCTGTGCCGCCGCAAATGAGCTGCAGACTGCGCGTGGACGAAGGTAAGCACGCTCCATCCGTTGTTACGTAAAAGCGGTCTTACCGTTCCATGTTTCTTCGCTTCGCGCGACGCAGGGCAAGGATGCCGTTCTTTGCCAGGATGTCTAGACTGAGAGGGTCGATACCTTTCTGGTTAATCACAACAAACTGCTTCTGTTTTTCCTTTCCGTCGACAGCCTGGTCGCAAACAAGGTTTTTGAGCTCCACAATCTTCTTGACTTTGGCATCTACATGACGGCGTTCCGATTCCACTAACTTCTCCCGCTGTTCGGCAGAAGAGTAGAAGAATCCAGAGTTGACCTCCCTAGGATATAGTTAGTTATCAATGGTTGGCTAGAACAGTCGGGACGACAAACGTTTTTTCGTATTCGAGACTGACGTTTAGCGTTAGAATAAACGCATTTTCAACACGTTTTGGCATGTCCGGGTGTCGGGCTCCATGATCGAGCACGAGTCCGCGCACGAGCTGTGTCTCTGACGCGGTTCGATGCTGCATTTTCATGATCTCGACCATGTGGAGGTCGATAGGATCTTGGTATTGATCTTTTGCGTCTGCGACTTGAACATGAGCATGCGAACGTCAGGACCACAAATTAGGTGCGTGCCTTTAGGGGGAGGCGGAGGTCTGATTGTCAGCACGGCGTCTACCACATCTGGGGCCAGCTGCTTGGCCAAAGATGCATGTAATTTTGTTGATAGTGATGTGTAGGCGACGTTGACTAGGGTAGGTCGGTCTAATTGCGACGGTTGCTTGAACGTGTCGAGGAACTATGCGGTTATTGTTTTGTTAGCTATCATGGACGACTTATCGGTAGACATGAAGCACACCGCCAATGACTCCTTCTTCGCCAAATCAAATCCTTCCGCAATCACTGTCGGGTGGACACCTTCCGAGATGTACCGATCGGCCTGCTTGAGGAGTTCGCCCACCAATAGGACAACAGAGGTTGTTCCGTCTCCTACTTGATCGTCCTGAGCAACAGCCGTTCGCGCGATCATGGCTGCGGTAGGATTTTGAATCTGCATTTCTGACAGGAGGACCTTGCCGTCTTTCGTCATTTTGATCTGCCCTGATCCATCTACGAGCATCTTAAGTGTGCCTCTAGGACCTGGAAAAAGATCGATGAGCCCATCCAAGACGGAAATGCGAGATATCGTGACGAAGTACCGAGATTGCCCTTGACCACGTTTGCGAGGCCCATTGCTCCATTGGTATTGACCTGGAGCGCGGCGGCTCGGCGAACGCTCTCAGCCTTCGGGTTGATGAGCTCGATGCTTGACGACATGATGGTGTCAAGCAAAGGATAATGGGTACGATCTTAATGTGAGCTTGGATGAGAGTCGCGTTGTTGCTAAAGAAGGCATCTGCCGGGACGGGTTAGTTTAGCGTTGGCGGAGTGTTAAATGTCAATGAGTTATGAGCCTCCTGGCTTCTTTCCGACCAACACCATGTCGCTCACAACGATCCTCCCTTTAGGTTCCGTTACCGCGCTTTCACTTCTTGCTGCACCCTGCATGCTGCAGCTACGCTCACTATTACTTCGGATAAGCGATACGGGCTCCGAGCACAATGGCTAACCAAATACCCCCGCCCTACTTATGCTGCTAGTATATAGGTCGCCCACCGAGCTCAGAGGGTGGGCAGAACAACACAAACTCGCTACTGCTCTTCGACGTCTAACGCTCCTACCTCATCAATCATGGCAGCTGGACAAGATGCGAACTTGGCACATTCTGGATCGTCTCATGATTCACGTCAATCCGAGAGTCCTCATGGTGGGTCTAGCCGGGGAACGCCACCGGTCTGTATTCAACTTCCTGCACTATGGGCGCCTTTCGCTGACAATTATTCAAATTGTTACAGAAAAACGAGAAGCCTCTTTTCTCGAGCCAACCGTTGCCTCTCCACCGCGAGCCGAAGCCCCAGGCACCCCCCAAGAAGAGGAAGAGACCTGAGCCCACCACCCCCGCTCTCAGCTTCCCATCAGCGCAGAGCAAGATTCCGTCAGGACGGACGCCCTCTACCCAAACGCCCCCTACGCCTCAGACGTCATTTCCATACCAGCAACCCGTTTATTCCCAAGACAACATGCCGGATCAAAACTATCTTCATTCCATCCCTCAGCTCCCCCTTCCCGACGAGTCCACCTTTCATAACCCCGCGGGCCCTGAGGTGCATGTAGGACAGCCACCTCTCAACCCCTACGATGCCGGCATCTGGCACCATCAAGGTCATGATCCATCTCCGCCCTCTAACTATCAGCCCGAGTACGGAGTGCCTGCTGGTCAAGCTCAAGGGTATCCTGGTCAGGTCAATCACCCGCAGTATCCGGTAGATTACACGGGGATGGGCAACTATCAAGTCGTGTCTGAACACCTCCAGTATCCTCAGGGAGGGCAAGACCCCGCGTATCCTCAGTATCAGCACCAGGTGCAGGCGCAGAATCCCCATGTGCAGTACGAGCAGTACGATCCTGGGCACTACCAGCACATGAACCCCAACCCCTCGTACGGCTCCGGTCCTCCGGATCAGCACCGACGGTAGGCTTGTGGTCGTCTCGTGGTTCTTACCCTATCCTGACTTTGACTTCTGGAGAATAATGCTCGCTGATCAACCTGCATTTAACGTGTACTATTCTTGAACCGCTTGTACGCATTGACTTGTACATACATACATGTAACTTATCTTGCCTTTGCATCTCCACGTATCTAATTTATAGTCGCTCTTGATGAGCCGGACTTTGACTCTAAATTGGACTCAATTGCCTGCTTGCTTCCCTGGGTGACCGAGAGCGAAAACTAAAAGAGCCTGATCCTCCTGTCGGCATTGATATAACCCGAGTACCGGTACGCGTATAGCCCAACGCGGGGAAGCAAAACAGGTCGAGGGCGCGTCTTGAACCCAAATTTCAAGAGATTTGTTGCCTCGCATGTCGCTGCGATGATAAGTGGCACATCACTTGGAGATTTATTTTACGGCTTATTATGTGCTCCCAATTACTGGCCTTGATGTGGGTACCCGAACCTGAAAGTCAGGTCCGCCTAAGGACGAGTTAATTCGCTAGCGTGAATCATGCACCGCAAGACAGGCCGCCGGCCTCCTTTTAACCGGTACGATCATTCCACGTCCAATCCTTGCTTTTTCCCGAACACTCACCAAGACTCTACAGCATGTCTGCCTACAAGATCAAAGGTGCCCAGGCGAGCTCAGAAGATCACTACAAGCGGACTCTGCACCGTGTCGAACAGATCCAGTCTCACCTGTCCAAAGCTCCCCGCACGCAGCGTCTCAAAGGCAAGACATGCATCATAACGGGTGTTAACTCAATTCATGGTATTGGGTATGTCCCTTCTAAGCTCCCCAAACTCACTCATCACATGCCCCGTTTCTAGGCGTGCGACTGCTCTGCTCTTCGCCCACGAAGGTAAGCACTCCAACCATTCACCGAGTGCATATACCAAAGCATTCCTCCAGGGGCCCAACACTTGTACCTTCTCGACTTCTCCGGAGAGAATCTCCCCGATTTGGAGTCCACTATTCGGAAACAGTACCCTGACGTCAAAGTGCGTCACCTTATGCTGTAGTCGTGGGGTAATGTGAAGCCTATTTTCTAGGTTACCACTGTGCAGGCCGACGCTGCCGATGATGACGCTATCTCGGGCCTGTGCGACCTTGCATTGAAGGAAGAAGGGCGACTAGATGTTTTCTTTGCCAACGTGAGTCAACGGAAGGCTTCGTTATGATCGGGCAGTGCTTACTGTGTACGCAGGCCGGATACGCAAGCAGGAATCCGCTCCATGAGACTACGGATCGTGAATGGATGGAGACCATGCGGATCAACACCTTGTCGTACGTCCTGTCAAGCTATATCTTCATATGTTGCCTCATTCACTGCAGCTGTTTCCTCGCTATCAAGTACGGGTCCAAGGCCATGATGGAGACCAATGTGTCTAGGGGGAAGGAGCTTAGCGGGGGTAGCATCATCCTTACTGCGTCTGGTGCGTCTTTTCTGCTATACCGAGACTAAAACATTGATTCGGAATATCATAGTTGCCGGCTTACAGTCTGGAGCTGGGACTATTGACTGTCAGTCTTCATTTTGCTGTATAAGGAACCTGTTGCTGAACTGAATCTCAGATAGCGCCAGCAAGGCTGCGTGCGTGTGACTGCTTGTAACACCCGCCTTCTATTCTAACCTTCCCTTGGGCGTTTAGCGTAAACTCAATGGCAAAGACAAGCACGTATCAATTGCAGAAGACGGACATTCGGGTGAACTCGATCTGCCCGGGTCTCATCGAGACCAACATGACCAAGGACATGTTTGACTTCGCCCGCACACGTGGAAGCGGCTCAAAGATTGGACAACTCAACCCCATGGGCCGCTTTGGTGTTGCACCAGGTCCGTCTTATATCGGTCCCATGGAACACGTCTCCTCACTTCTTTTTGATAGAAATCGCGCAAATGGCCCTGTTCCTGGCCTCGGACGACTCCAGCTACGTCAACGGCCAGAATATTGCTGTCGACGGAGGCCTCGCATCTTCACTGCCTGTCGTTCCTGGGAGATGGGCATAAATTCGCACTGTAGTTTAGAGTGTAACTGACGTGGCTGGGAATTTTGATCGTGATATTATGCTTCCGTAAATCCCATTCATGTTTTTGTACCCGACAGTTTGGTGGATGTGACAACCGCCTTCGATTCAATCACAGTTACACTCCGCGCCCCCCGTCGCAGCGACGCGGAGTCGAAAGACGCTTAGAGCGAAGCACCGACAGCAGTCTTCTTGAATCTTGATCGAAGAGACTCAACTAGAACTCTGGATTATTTTAATTTCCCAGATTTCCCCGCAATGTGAGCGTATCATACACTGGAAAATCCTGAGTTCCAAGTCCTGGATGTCAAAGCAAGCATCGGACTCACAGTGATGTGCATCGCAAACGTAACCCCCTCAAGCCCAGACACTGACATTCAATTTTATACCCGCTTGTCCTTCTCGTCTACATCTTTTACCGCTCCCCATCGCAGGGGACGTTGCTACCTTGGTGAAAGACCGTCCATAATCGGGACTTGAGATATGACTCATTCCGTTGAATCGAGTGACTGATCTAACCGTAGTTTGAAGGGAGAGGTCCTGTTAATACCACGAAGCAGGATGACAAGGAGCAGCAGGAGTAAGCTAGAGTAAAATGTGAGAGCTTGAAGAGACGACACGTACGCGTAACCCAGGGTGCGGAAATTACTTCGTCGGCACCAGACGCATCTGCACGTGGACACCACTACGGTGATTTCCTTCTGACCGTTCCCATCTTGATTCAGTTCCTATCATAAACCGACGTTGGATGCGAGAAATGGGCAGACAAAGGAAAGACAGCGTGGCCTGCGGTGCGAGAACAGCATGAGAAAGCGAAGAGCAGTCACACGGAAGAAATCGAGGTGTGTCGTACCGCTTGACTTCGACCATGGGCTTCCCTTTATAGCTCTACCAGTACAACCTACCTTCAAACGCCTGAGCAAATACGTGTACCTTTTGTCGAACCACCGGAGCTACGAACCGTGCCATCCCACTACGGCCAAATCTTCGAGCCTCGCAGGCTTTGTCCTCATATTTGAGCTCACCATGGTCACCGAACTCAGGCTTGGCGTTACCGTAATTCTTAATCACTTCCATCCAGCGCGTGAGTACTAATCAGCCTTCTGAAGCCACATAAAACTCACCACGAGTTGTATCATATATGATCAATCAGATCAGTCTTCGGTTCTTATCACTCGTACAAGCGCTCATACTCCTGACATTAACATCGATTCTTCCGGCCGACGCGGTCGAAAATTGACCATCAACGCGCATACACGGGTAAATCTATTGTCGTGAGTATAATCGATCTTTCCAGAATTTAGACTGGTGCACCGATGCACTCCGTCTATATAGGTCATGTCAGTAATGTGACCAGCATTTGAAGGGAAAACATGACACACGCATAGGGTGACCGGCATTCATCTCGAAGATGTTACCACTATACCTTCGGAGAAATCGAGGGACGATTGGACTGCTGAAACGAGGTTCTTGATTGAAACCTGGAATAGGTTTTAGGAGCAGGACCATCTATCATGTATATGACTGATGCATGATGACTGACCTTGATACTGCGTCTCACAGGAAACGTAGAGCGCTAACCGGCCCTGTTAACGAAGCTACAGCTTTAGGCGCTCACGTTACAACCTAACTTGCTCCACGTTCGAACTTGCGCGTTTGACCTGCTCTCCTTGTCCCATGCGTACTCTTCGGTCGTGCCCAGAAAAGGAAAGGTCAGTGACCAACTTTCATGTCAAAATCTCTCAAGATCAGTCTTTTAGGTCCATGACGCAGCCGTGGTCGAGGTAAAGCCGCGTTTCTCTGAAGAGACCTTGCGAGTTGCAAAACATGGCGTCATCAAGCAGGCAGACCACTTGAGTCAGTGTCGTTTATTCGCTGGTGCACCATCCCTCCAGTACAAGCGGTAACCTATTCCAGGGCTATCCGACGACTCGAAGACGCGGTCATGATAAAGCCACATTTAGATGTAGTTCCGACGGGAAGAATGAAAGTGGGCTCAAGTCCGAAGAACATTCACTAAAGCATTGTTGTCAGGCATCCGGAGGTAAGTACTGAAGCTAGGCGGCGTACCTCATCAGAACTTTTGGGACGTGAACACTGGTGAGCATCAATCTCCCCCCACCGTCTGCATTTCACTATATCATCCAGTAATAATCTCGGCTTAGACTATCTGCTGTCTCAGGTATCAGCGCGGGGGTGGCGCAGTACTCTGGCGATGTCCTACTCACTGGTTTGGAAAAGACATTGGGTTGCGGAAGCTTCGGGTAATTTTACTCGGTTCTTCCAAGACGTTACGACTCTTGAAGCGATCTTGAGGTATGACTTATAGTCGATATAATGCGAGACCTATAGTGAAGAATCATCAGGTGAGTACTCTAATCAAGAGCGAAGGATGACGCGAGCAGGGAGACAAGATGAATGGATGGAGACATGCGAGTGGAAGACCACTGTATGTGGTCAACCACCCTTCCATTCTCATGGTATGTACGTCGCCTCGCATCCTGAAGGGCGAAACGACTGGGGACAGTACATATGAGAAGGAAAGGTGCTGACCAACACTCAGGGCCCGAATCTGCGCGGGGGTTTGAAGCTATGGTTTCGCCCCAAACATGAACCTCCTTTATATCCCCCTTTCGTAGTGGCACGGTTGTCGCTGATCTATCGTGAGGAGGGTTATATCTGGTCAGTTCGCCATCGTTCATCGTAGACTGCTTCCCTTGCAAAAAGGAGACTTACCAACAATGTCCATTCAGAACCTATCCACCCCTCCGCCATGATGAAGCTCCTCCTTGTGCATTTAGCCCTTTGAAGTAACCACGGCGTGTCTTTGACACATGCAAATGTTGAAACACCATTGACAGAAGCACAGGAGAAGGTTTTTTCCGGGGAAGAGTCGACGATGGCCATGCCCCTCGAGCGAGGATGAATGAAGACATCTTGAGAAGAGGTGTCGAGAACTCCACATCCCACCGAAGGACGTGTCAGGACGTGGCGTTGGCCTTGTGAACAAAATGCCGGTATGGTGGTGCCTGATTAGCGCTTTCTTCTCAACTGCAGTCGATTTCTTGGCTGTCCACGAGTGAGCAACTCGAGCAGCTTGTCGGGGTTCCGGTGTGGACGCAGAAGCATATTTGTTCATGTTTAAAACTCCGTTCGAGGGACCCGCAACCTCAGCACCGTAAACCGACTTGCAATAGCCTCCAATCGCCAAGCTATTGACCGTCTAATCTTGCCTTGTGCCTCACCCGCCTCCGTTAAATCGTCGGAAATCTCCACAAAGGCTTCTGGGTGTGGGCGATACGCCGGTGCTTCGCATCTCCGAGCCGTATCTTCCTCATAACCTTACCTGACCTTGACCTTCCTTCCGCTGTGGTAGGTCGAGGATCTATCTTCCGCCACTCTTTCGCTATTGTGCGTTTGAACATGAGTCGATCGCTCCGAGTGTGGACACCTTGATGCAATGCTCCTCCCAAGCAAGGTTCCCTTGAGTTACCCCCTACCCACTTCGGCGTAGCTTTGAGAAGCCCATGCATTCGTGGATTTGAAGGTCTAGACATTGTCTTTCAACAAATAGTGTTGCGGTCTGGACTGTCTAAGTCAGGCATTCACTTTGGCCCCGTTATAGGTCGGAACATTTCTTCATCCCCTTCCATTCCGGACCAGGGGCTGGGAAGGAGTCGATCGGACTCTTCAACGTTGTTGGCGTTCTGGGCGCCGTTCAAGCTCTCCGGTAGCCCCAAACAGGTGAGGATTCGTGCTTTGTATTGGGCAAGTTTAGACTGCCGGAATGCCCCGTCGATCTGGTAGATGCTCTCGACGCGATGGCTTTTACGAGCCGTTGAACAGTCCATGTACTTCCGGACCTGTCTCAGTCCCTCGAACTACGAATCATGCAATCCCGACATGCTCTGCTGCGGCTTGTGTCATTCGATGCTAATGAGCTTTGGTGCTTTGTGTGGGTGGAGAATCACGGTCGTAGAAGCACGAGGCGCGACACCATTCACTACCATAACCCGTCGCGAGAAAACTAACGGAGTGCATATTGCTTGTATTACCCCGGCGGAACATCGTCTGCTCGGCGACTGCGAAGTTACTAAATTTCCGTTCAAGAGGGCACCCTTTCAATGTGGTTAGTCCTGCAATACTTTATAAAGCAAAACTTTACCCGAGGCTTGAATCGAAGCGTCCTCAATGAGAACCGCGGGGCTTAAAGTTTGGCAGATGAGCTTGGATGGTTCGTGCGCTGTGATGAGTCTGTGACCCATGTGTCCGACTAACCCAGACTAGCCCCGAGCTACCGACCTCTCGGTATTCAAGCGGACCTCAGGCGCAGCGCAGATAAGGACGACGCGGCCAATCAGACTGCCACGGAAAGTAATAATTTTTATGTTGCCTCCACGCTTACTGCCCACTGCCCCGGCCCTCTTAGAACTTTAGACTTAGTAGGCGAGATTTGGCATGCAAATGGCCACATTTGTTGCGGAGTTTCTATTCGTTGTCTTTACCCATGGAATGGCGTAAAAGTTGATTCACCGCGCATGAATGGATATTAGACTTGGAGAGAGAGGGAGACCACCCAAAGTACTCGAACGAAGGATGGGAAGTATTTTGGTCGATAGAACAGGGTGCTGAAGGCACAAATAAGAAACACATAATTCAGAAACGGCTACTAGGGTATCGTTTATCACCCTGCACGCGTCCAGTAGCCATCGGTGACCGTAAAGTAAGAAGAACAGTACTGCCCATAACATATTGACTTGGAGGATGCACGATAAAAAAAACGTCAAGCTAAGTACCTAATTATAGGCCAAGATGTGTTCCCTTAAGCTTCTCCTTCCACGACATGAAGTCGCAAGCTGCACTCCGTCAATGCAGAAGGAGCCTCATGGCATCTACAGAAATCATCGATCATCAACATACGCGCATTGTCGTGTTCGCTATGTCACTGTGAGTACTGAGTGTTCGCGGCGGTTGCCGGTGGGTCGTAGATCGGTTAATACTCTTAGCCGCATTCAGTAACATATTGCGGATCTCGCTGGAAATCACGTAAAGCCGCGCTAACTGTACACGTTGGTGGACCCACGACGCGTTCTGTCGCAGGCTCGAGAGGCTATGGAACCCGAGGACGGTGCCCTTGGTCATTCCGTACCTCGAGCTCCTGGAATCTGAAAACATCCTCCATAAGCTCGAAGAGTGCGCAACAAAGAAACAGAATCGTACACGTACCTATCACGTCACTGTGAGTAGCGCTGACGACTTGGCAGGAATTTCACTGTCGTTAGGCAAAGTACAGAGTAGGAGATCGCTCTCTAGTGGTCCTAGCTACCTTACCAAGGGCTGGACGTCTTCCATTCTCATGGTATGTCCTACTACGATAACACTTTCGGACGTGATCTCGTCAGCAGGGCTTTACCATTGAGACAGAAGAGTCCCAGACCAAGGATAAGTGCCAGGCCACCAGAGTTGAAAGAGTGCTGATATTGACTGAAATTGTATAGGCCAATCTCACCTTCGCATAAATACACCGCGGAACTGGGACATGTTTTTCCGGCATCATGTATTGACCTGGTTGTTCATGGAGCAATATCATAGCGTCGAGCTTTATCAACCCTTCGACTATGCCAGGGAGTCCTTACCTCCGTCATTCGACCAAGAATTGCGTTCTGTCCTCGAGAGCATTGGCTAGGAGGGCTCTTTGGTGAACACAGATGACGACTGGTAAGAGAGTGACAAGAGGATGGTGACACCGTTACGCCCAGGTTTTAGGACAATCTGGGTATGAAGGTACGCGTAGATAAGATTTCGGTGAGGCTCAAGACTGAACAATACCTTCCGTATTTATAGGCAGTTCGAGAAAGCTGTAGAAGCGCCACCGTGACCATTATGGGGGAGGCATGCCCTTGCGCGGACATTTCATCGTTGCAACTTGCAACCCTTTCATGATGAGTTTTTCCAGCGTTCCGAATACGCTGATCCTATTCGGGCGCAATTTGTGTGTTGGTGCATGATTTATCGATTGAAAAACCCAAATAAACATTTGGGACTCAGCGACAAGCATGTGCATATTCTCTCGCTGAGATACCGGATCCCTTCTCCGAATCTCATCAAGCCGATAACATCTTCCAGCCGCGGCCAATCGGCTGAGGACTCTAGCCTGTTCCTCGTGGAACAGTCTAAGAAATAAAATGATCCATCCCCGAGGAGAAGGCCAAGGAACTAAAACCTACACGACCTCGGGACTCAGGAGATGTGGGGGCATATTTCGGACTTGAAAAACGTGCATTTTTCGGGAGCACTTGTTGCCGCAACTCCGACTACTGTTCAGATCCACCTGGGGGACCACTTAGCATTTTCGTTCGACCACGTACACCCTTAAAGAATGTCACTACCCTCCCTTGTCCCCCAACGTCTTTTATCCAACAGACGCCGATTCTAGAACGACCAGCTGAGGGTGCTTTACCCTTGGCTTCGCTGCTATGCTGTCCCTCTTTTACTACGTCCTTCGACAGGCTGGCAGGTGTCTGCACCCATTCCGCAGCTCTCAACCACGCTACTTGGACATACGCTACGCCTACTCGTACCCAGCTCACCGCCCAAGAACCTCTTCAATTCACATCGTGTCAACACTTACCCAAACGGAAATAAACGTCAAGGGGTTCGCCTTCAAATCAGTGCCTTGAGGCCGAGACCGCTTCCCGCAGCGCTACAACAAGAAACTGCCTATCCTTAGGACGATCAGTTAGCGAGGGCAGCCAAGGTGAGGAGCTTTTCCTTGAATTACCAGCTTGCTCGGCTCATCATCAACCCTTCTTCTGTCAGAACAGGCCGCATCAGCGTGGATATCAACGTCTCATGAGCATTTGGTTTCAAATGACTCCTTAAACGCCGGCATGGTTCTCTAGTCAGCCTTACGAGTTTGTTGGTGTCGTCTTGGTGGATTTAGTCAACGTGTAGATTTGGTTTACAGATTCCTTCCCCTGTGAGTGATTCGATACTCCTCGCCAAGCTGTTGGCTCATATTCCATACCCTTTGTCTCAGGCTCGAGGCCATGAATCTTCAGGATTACACCTCGACGCGGTCACCCCTGCAAGTCAGCTAAAGATCGGAATGTAAGTGATCTTGCGCCTTGTGCTAATGGGGTCAACAACTGTCGCGAGAAACGTCGAGTCGGAACGGCCCCAAATGCTGCGCCCAATTGTTCCCGTATTCTTAGTGGTCATTTTATCTCTGAATATATCTTTTCAAAATACTGCTGGTCAGGGCGCACATTGGATACGCCGAGACATTTGTTTTCCTGTCAGGCATCTGAAATGGGGGCTTCGATTTTTGGAAACCGCTAAAAGATGCCGCTGTCCTCGGGGCCATATTATACATTGGAAGACAAATCACGTTGCGACTTTTATTTAGAAGAACCCCCATACTTCGCTTCTCATTGGCACTCAATGAGAGTCTTTTGTAACTCTCAGTCGCGCGTTTGACATAAACCATAGTTTACACGTGTACTTTCTGGCGTAGGGCGGATCGTAAGGCCAATTCAGTGACGCTTAAATGAAATTCTATGTCCAGTATCACATCGAAAAAGACAGGTAGACAGTTGTCAGCTTTGAAGCTGAAGTGCGTCAGAGATCCTGAGCCTTTTACGGTCGAGTCTACTTTCTCAGTGCCGGCAGAGCAAGCCGGCGGAACCATGTTTAACTGATGACTAATGGCGAAGCCACAGTTTTTGTACGGGGGACCACTTGATAGCGTTTGTTGTGTGAGGGATAAATATTTAAATTTCTACAGTGTCAAAAGAGCTCAGCGACACGTGTAAAATAGCTGCAAAAAGGAGACTAATAAACGTCTCCGGTAATTTACATCATAAGTTAGGTAGCGCTAGGTAGACTTGTCCGTCTAATCTCCTTGATATAATAATTTGTGACTACCGTCAACAGGTATTATCTTTCGACTCGGATGAAGAGACCCCCGCTCGCTGCCCAATTTTTCTGGAGGAAACATGCCGAGAATGGCCTAATGGATGTACGACACTTGGGTATGACAAGGCGTCGAGTCGCAGTCAAGTCGAAATGGGGTGATATATAGATATATGAAGGCTTGTAGTTACACGACACTTGTCATAAATATAGACCAATTAGAGATGCGGTACTACCTGGACATGCATAGTTTTGTCAGTGGAGATGGTGGAGGTTCGGCTCTGAGTCTGGTTCCCCGGGCCGACTCAGGGGCTAATTACACGTGACCGTGTGCAAATTGAAATGTTAATCTCGCGACGTTTGTTGCAGCTCCTACTGGCTTCATAGCGCCAACAGCCACGAGTTCTTTTGGCGTGAGTCCCTGTCTGTCAAGAAATGGACAGCGGGCCTGGAAGGTTAGCTCGAATAACCTACCACACTGGCACCCGAACGTTCGAGAGGCTTTTCAAAGGTACGTTGGCCATGCCGCTATTGCTTTAGTTCCGAGACTCAGCTTGATATACAGAGAAGTCGTTGGCCGAGACCAAGGAAGCGATTCGACGGAAATTGGAGCTTTCTGACGATACAGACATCAGGCTTAAGCAGCTCAGGGGTAGTATTACCTTGGACTTAGAGGATGGTTCGTCGCGATGTCTATCTCCGCGTGACCAACATCTGACACGCAGGGGCGCATATAGACGATGATTTCGACGCACTCCGTGCACTTGCGTATAACGTTCCTGTCATTGAAGTTGAAGTCGCCGTCATCCCTCCTACGCCTTCGGCAACGGTGAAGAAGCGCAAGGTTTCGTTTGGACAAGCGGGCGAACCTGCGGCTAAGAAGCTTAAACCTATCATCCCTCCCTCAACTCCGCCAGCGTCAGAGACCGCTCTCCCACAGGAAAGCGCCACTTCTATTCCCGAACGAAATGCTACTAAGATACCCAAGAAGACTAAAAAGGTAAAGGCTGGGCAGGCGGAGGCGAACTCCAAGGCCTCTTCCCCGCTCCCCGACAACGCGACAGAGCCTCTTCCTCCGACTGAAAAACGCGCTAAGAAGCACAAGAAGGCGGAGCTATCTCCTTCTCAACCTCAGCCTCCCCCAGAGACCATTGAGACCCCAGAGGATAACCAAACTCCAGCACCAGAGAAGGTTGAGTCAGCTACAGTCGAAGATGGCGCCAAGCCCAAAAAGAGGCTCAAGGTGAAGAAGAAGTTCAAGGACGCGGCTGAACGTGAGTCAACCCTATCATAGGTTTCTTCGCCTGCTGACTTCGTGAAGCATCGTCGGAGCCCGCTACTAAATCAAAGCGCAAGGGAACTGGTGAACAAACCAGTATGTAAATTTGGCGATGGTGCTAGGCTGTCCTTTGAATAAAATTCGTTTCTTCCTTAGACCCACGCACTGAAAAGCGCGCCGATGAATCCGAAAGCAGCAAATTTCCTGCTGTCAGTGAGGCCTCCGAGCTTGAGAACGGTAAGGTTGAGACGGCTGTCGTTTTTTGCTGGAAGTAATTTACTATCTTCAGCACCGAAGAAGAAACGGCGGAGGAGCGAAGTCGGTAATGATGCCGCCGAAACTTCCGAAGCACCGAGTGGGTATTAAATGTGACCTTAACACTTGATGACGTGCTGACATAAGGGCAGACAAGTCCAAAGCTCGAAAACGCACAACAGATATAGTTGACAGTGATGATGGTGGGCCCTCTAGCGGAAATCACATACCCGTCACGTCACCTGATATTTACTGCGTAGTACCGGGGGAATTGGCCCCCACTCAGCCTACACTCGTACCGTCGCCTCGAGCTGAAGCTGAAGCTGATACCATAGCCTCACGCATTGCCGAGAGCTTGGTGCTTCTCGTGAGCTCCCGGGACAACGAAAAGGGTCCTACGGCATCCGCGCATTCGAAACCAAGACGAGCGTCTAGACGAGCGGGTCCCGAAGACATCACCTCAGGCGAAGTTTCTCGAGGGGCATCACAGTCTGCCTCCGCGAATCCTGCTGGCCGATCTGAGTCTTCCCCTGCCTCGCCGCCACCGGCTCTAAAGACTCCCAAGAAGCGTAAGAAGAAGACGATACCAGCCCAGGAACCTCAGTGTCCTATCTGCCTCTCCCAACCTCTCCATTCATCCGCTGCTTGCTCCGTAGTCACAGCAGGCGCAGATTCTATCCAAAACAGGCTCGCGGAACTTACGGCAGATTCTTCCAGAGATCACGCTGCCCTGGTTAAGGATTTGGAAGCTCATCTAGAAACAATAACGTCCGTTACAAAAAAAGTTCCCGTCCAACCACGTGATCCCATCGCCATTCCTCCGAGAACGGTTATGACCCTTCGTGACGCCAGCATTGTCTCATCGCCATGGACGCCATCTATCCCTCAAGGGGCGCGTATACAGGAAGTTCCAGTTCAGGGTCAAGGCGAGGGCAGTAGCTCTGAAAGCTCTGATGAGGAACCGGAGCCTGCCGACGAACCACCTCAGCCATCGTCTCAGTCGTTGGCGAGGTCGAGTTTACTAGGCCTCGATGCTGATCTGGAGTCTATCATGCGCGGCCCACTTCCTCAAAGGAGCGCACTTCAAGATATCCCCTCGAAGAGCCCCAGTCCCATAAAAAGCGACTACGAGGATGAGACTTCTTCGGAGCCGGAAGACGATGATGACGACGACGGTGTCAAAGTTAACCGTGCTTTTGGGCGCGGACACAGCGTCGCTGCGTCTTCTGATGAAGAGCAAGACGAGGAGGATGGCTCTTTGAACGTTGGCCGGGTGCCATCTGGGATTCCTTCCGTCGTAAGCGCCGCTAAACAAGTGACGAACCAGCGCAAGGAATGTCCTCAAGCTGTGGAAGAGTCGTCCAAGTCGGATACTTCGGGTAGCGCGGATAACAGAATTGGCGGTTCTCGTCTTGGAGACAGCGGAGAGGACACAGCTGTCGAACGCTCAAGCGCAGCAGACGTCGAAATTATTTTGAACACGTCGACCACCACTCCCACCAAGGAATATTCACCAGACGCCGACGCTAAGCGTACTGCAGTAGACCAGGACTGTCAGGATGATGAGGACACGGGCGGTGAAAACGCGGTAGATGAAGATGCGGATGACGAGGATGTGGGCGGCGAGGATGCGGTACATGAAGATGCGGATGATCAAGATGTGGGTGGCGAAGATGCGGTCGATGAAAGTGCGGTCGATGGAGATGTGGTTGATGAAGGCGCGGTTGATGAAGTTGCGGTTGATGAAGTTGCGAACGAAGAACCCAAAGAGCAAGGGAAATTTTCATCCCCCTGCGAAGAGGTAAATGCACCCCACGTTGCCCTTGCCGCGCTTGCGAGGGCACATCTGAGAGAAGGACAGTCGACGCCAGAGAAGCTGGTCGAAGAAGCGCAAGACGACACCGAAAAGACGCCAGTACCACCAAGAGAAGGTGCTCCAGGAGAGGCGGAGGGGGCGCAGGCAGAGGAAGAAGAGGATGAGGCCTCCGGAGAGAAAGCTGCGGACGATCAGGAACACGATTCTATCGAAACTGATGGACATGGCGGGGTGTCCGCTTCCCAGTCAGACCCTATTGAGGACGTCCCACCCACTCAATCCAAACTAGCCCCTTCATCTCAGGTTTCAATACCCCCGTCTTCGTCACGGCTCAGTCAGCGACTGAAAACTCGTGACGGCAAAATCCCTGATGAAAATTACGAGTACCCCGTCCTGGCTAGTCAGCCCCTTCCTTTGGACTTCGCGACACCAAAAGCGCCCCCCAATGCACGAATGACTCGTTCTCAAGGTGCTGCAAAGCATCCCACTGCGTCGCCCAGGCGGACACGCGCCTCGTCAAGGAGCCAAGTCGCATCATCACAAGGCGCTAAATCTTTGTCGCCCGCCGCGACCCCTAAGACGACTCAGTCTTCTCAACCCCAATCACTCGCGAAATGGGAGACTATGGCTGAGGCTGAACCATCGTCACCATCTGTCCACCACGACGAACTGCGCTCTAGTCCCGAAACACGACCTTCGACCCAAGAAGGACGATCAAATCCTCTTTTCATGCTATCTCAAAATCCTGTTTATCCCTACTCTCAGGTAAACGGGATGAGCGCTCAGGAGCAGGAACAGGCCATAGGTTCTGACGAGGCAGAGGGTAGTAAAGCGTCTACGGTGCCGCCAGTTAAATTGAGGCCGAAGCCACCGAAAGGTCCATATCGCCGACTATCTGAGCTAGCCCGGGAAGCACCTAGCTTTGCCGGCCTCTATTCTTCCACTCCACCGATGACTACTTCCAAGCTGAACCAGTCAACTCTTCGGAAGACCGCTTGGGAGGAGGATGACGATTCGTCTAGTGATGATGACTCCGATAACTCCGACGCAAATACCTCCTACATACCTGCATCGAAAAAGGCTGGCGCTAACCTAAAGGCGAAGGCGAAAAGAGGAAGAGGATTGAAGTCTTTTGCATGATTTTATTGGTTACAACCATTTGCATAATTTTCTTGGCATTATTAATCGCATTTTTGTCGCATTGCCTGTAGCATACCATGTCCATCATACTCAGCACACATACATCCACCAGACTCTACGCATCTACTAATGGACTCGCCCGTTGTCGTTAGCTACGTCTTACTCATTCGGGGCGTTGACGACCCCGTGGAATAATTGCCCAAACGATAGCCATCGCTGAGATCATTCCTACGACACTGGTTGGGGAAAGTAGACATGAGTATCGTTTGAGGGGACCCTAGTAAGCACAAGCCAATGGCTGGGACGTACAGCGGTTGAAGCACCTTGATACCTTCCTTCGACGCAAGAATACCGGTCAAGAAGGGGAAGAACGCAGCGCCGGCTGTCCCGACCGCGCCAATCCAGCCAATTGACCCGGTCAGGATCCAGCGAGGCAAGACGCGCCCTGCGTGGTTCATCGCAAGAGGATAGGTAGGCCCGAGGAGGACGCCAATAAAAGAAACCGCCACCGCACCGGCGATCAAGGACGGGACGAGCCACACGACGAGCTGCAGTCTGAGACGGTATGAGGTTAGGGATCCCATGCTTTGTTACTAGAGCATCCTCGCATACCCAATTGCCACGAACGAGTAAAGTAGTAGTGCCCGGTACTCGCCCAGCTAAGATTCATAATGCCTTAGTTGATAGTGAACCAAGGCGATGACTTGCAAGCAAGCGTACCTTCTTATTGAGCCAGAGGAGGATGACACGACCGACCATTAATCCTAACAGCCACTATTTCAAAACAATAACAATTTTAGTAAGAAAAATAACGCACCGCCCCAGAACCCAGAGGAAACATAACCAGCGGACGAGCCGCCACCGCGGACGTCAATCATGAAGGTCACAATCCAGCCTGCAGAAAGACGTTAGCTACGTCATCCCGCCTCTGTTTTATTAGAACCGCTCACCTCCCAGAGTAACTTCGACGCCGACATAGAGCAAGATGAAGATTCCCAAGAGATGGACGGTCTTGTTCTTCATAATTTGTTTGAAATGGGCCGTTTCAGTGGTGTCCTGCTCGCCTGATTCGCGACCGACATCCGCTAGACAGCCTGTAGAAGTGAGCACCTTTGACCAATAGGAGAAGGCATAAGCACTTACTTTCCAGGCTCTTAAAGCGGAATGTATAGCTGAGGAGCAAGGTGTTCGCAACGGAGATACCTAGAGAAATCAGGTAGAACAACGACCAGCGGGGAAGTTGTGAGAACTGCGTCGCAACGAGCGGTGCAGCAAAAGCGCCAGCACCTGTTGCGAACCCAGGTTAGCGAAGGGCAGAATGTCCCGGGGATAGAATCACCGTAAGCGGCATGCAGGTAGCCCATGATGGAGTTGTTTTCCAAAGAGGCGACAAACCCGTTTGCTTGCCCATCCTGTATACATCGATTTTTGAGCTTTTATCGGCACAAAATGTTTATGTGTTTTACCTGAATGGCCATGCCAATGCCGTTGACACACGCAGCAAAAATGAAAGCTGGAAAGGGAACCATGGCGGCCTGCAGACTGTAGGCAAGTAGCTGAGCCAAGGATGCTAGAGCGCGTTAAAACCCGTCATTAGGCGGCATCCCGATAGAATCTTACCAGCTGCCATCATCTAGAAACCTGTCAGTGGGGTTGGCTGCAGGCTCAAATAATTGCCGTTAGCATACCTTTCCAAATCCAATTCGGTGTGCAAGAGTGACGTTCATCATGGCACCAATAAAGCTACCCTGCACGAGGCCAAGTCTCAACTTAGAAGCAGCAATTAGCAGTCCAGGTGCCAGTACTTACCAGGCATTGGAAGACGAACAAAAGAGATACGGGGATGAATCCCACCTAGATGGACGGTTAATGCTACAGGGAGACAAAGAGGGTTAAGTATCATACGCGGTAATCGCTCTGAATGCGAGGCAGCAATGGACCTTGTGTACCATCGTTCCAGCCTAAGAGGAACATGGTCCAGTAGAGTGTTGCAAGCTGTAGATAAAGTCTAGCTTTCGATCTTTTGCTGTCTGCTTCCCCGCCCGGCGGGGCCTCCATAGCCGACACAGAAATCCTGGACACACTATCAGAATCCCGCTTACCGACCGCTCTGATAGCGCTGAGCTCGATCTCCTCAGCTGGCGGCAGTGCAGTCGCTATAGTGGTAGTGCGCGTGGCCATGATGGGGGAAAGAAACGAAGAGGGACTCGGACTCACCCGGGCTAAGAGCTCTAAATACGAAGTCTGGGCATTTACGTGTTTCGTCGAGTCATCTGATGGAATGAATTGGTAAATGCTGCCTTGAAGAGAATGGAAGGCTCATGCCAGTGTACTTCCGTGTCAACAGGGTGGAGGATATGGGAGGTCGGAAAAATCGCGGAAAATTATTAGCCCCTGTCGAAGGATCAATCCAATTGCAATGCGCGCGGTGCAATGGTGCAATTTGAACTCGTCCGACGACCCTCAGGTCCTGAAGTTTCATCATGCTGCTGGAAATCAGCATATGAAAGCCAAGCTTCCTATCAAATGTGCGACATCGAGAACATACCGCACCTCTTACTACAGGTGAGGGGATGCTTTGCGTTTGAACTTTGAAGGGATTGTGTCAGCGAGTGCATGCTCAGGCCAGCATACAGTAATTCCATCCATCGCGTGTGACATTGTATTACCATCATGGTGGTACACTGGTACATACTTAAGTGCCACGGGTCTCCGATCAAAACTCGGCTGAATAGGTTTCAGGCCCAGGATCGTTAAACTGCGAGGTTCAAACTGACGGCTTCGAGGTTCATCTGCTCATCAAACATTTTTATTCCCTAAATTAGCAGATTCAGACGGCAGCTTGGCTCGCCTTGTCCTCATTGCCGATATCACTTTCATGCCCTATACCCAGGCAACACTCTGTGCTTTCACCGTGCTGTGATACCGACCTTGCTCTCATCGCTGAGCGCAGCGCTGAGCCACGGCATGTTCATGCAAACGTGGCCGTGAGAGTTTCTACCGCTGTGTGAGGTGGTTTGGTTTTCGGCGCTATTCCCAGGCCAGGAAACCAGACGTTCAAGGATGTCCCTCAGATTCAGGCAGAATTTGGACTAGTGTACGTTATGGCGATAATGAATGTCGCAAGTAATTGAAGACGAACATGCAATCACTCGTGTATAGTCAACTATGGAGCGCTCTCCTGGTGTTGTACATCCATTTTCAGCTCCTCAGGTGGTGTTGGCGGTATTGTTGAATGCCCCGGCTTCTCAGCATCCGGTCCGGAGAAGTGTACCGCCACTTCATCACCAAAACGTGCATTGATTTCCTCCAGTGACAAACCCTTCGTCTGGAGAAGCGTCAGCCTCATGGTTCCGGCACTCTTCAGCCATAAGTACCAACTGACATACCTCGGGGAAATATGTCCATATAATGATTATGTCCAGCAGTGTCAGACAAATGAACATGATGTAGTACCTCCATTGGATGTTCGCAAGTGCCGTTGGGCCTGCCTCTAGGAACACGATTGTTGAGAGGAAGGTGCCGATCAGCGAAAACGCCATCCCCTGAGAGCGTACATGGGTCGGAAAAATCTCGGAGCAATAGACGTAGGACGTTGCGTCGATGCCTCCGGCGTAAAAGAATATGAAGGTGAAAACAAAGAGGACGCCTAAAGAGTTTCCTACCCGGTTTGTTGTGCCCGCAAACTGTGCCTCCATCGCAGATAGAAGGCTCAAGGAGACCATGCACCCTGTGAGACCGATGACTGACGTGAGGGACCACAAGTCAGCCACGGGAACCTGAATCCTGATGACAATCCTACGACTTACTAAGTAGGCGGACGCGTCCCACGTAGTCCATGATGAATGACGCCAAGAAGTTTGCCGCTGTGGCGACGGTCACGTAAAGAGCACCAAGGATGAGAGTCATCCCGCCGGTTAGCCCAAGATCTTCATACAGTTTGATGATGTAGTCTTAATACAAGGAAATGAAATATTGAGCCTCATTGGAGCAAGGGAAAGGTCAAGGGGCGTACTATTTACGACCATGGCACCTGTGGCCTGTGCCGAGTACTGAGTAAAGAAGCCAATGAGGAACCGCTTGCGAAACGACGCCCGGGCGTATGTTTGTCGCATCCCGCCGCCAGCTCGCCATGCTCGCGAGTCCATCTCGACTTGCTTCTGCATTTGATGGAACTCTTGTTTCGCAAATGAGGATTCATGCACATCCAGAAGGTCCCTGTTATCGATATGAAGTTTTGCAACGATTATCCAGCTCTCGTCAGAACGGCCCTTCATGAGAACTATTGCATGTCAGCTACACACTGATACGTAGGATATCTCAAGGTAAGCGACTCACGCCATCTCGGTGACTCTGGTATCCACGGGCTGCACCCGAGAAGAAACAGAGGAGCGACACACTGCAAAGCCAGGGGAAAGCGCCATTGGAAGCTGGCATTTGAAGAATAATATGTACCGACGCAAACCCATGAAGCGATTGCGTAGCCTGCCACAATCCAAGCTCCTGCACGTCGACCCCGTCAGATTCACAAGCCAGCTTTCGTTCTGTTTTTACATACCGTGCTGGCCAACTAACAAGCCCCGCGAAGCCGGAGGGGATATCTCAGCTTGATAAATTGGTATGAGGACCACCATCATCCCGATGCCCACACCCGTGATAAACCTCGCTACCAAGAACATAGCTATGTCGACCGAACCAGCCTGCAACGCTCCTCCAACGGCAGAAACGAGCGCCGCCGTATTCATCGTCGCTTTCCTTCCATACCTGTCGCACATGAAGGCGACCGTAAGTGCGCCGAACACACCCCCTGCTGAGAATATGCCGTTGACTGCACCCTCGATGGCGTTCGCCCGGGCCGGATCGTCGTCGAGACCAAAGAAGGCGAGGAAGCCAGGCTCGCCGAGCGTATTAGAGATGACACTGAATGCATACCCATACGTGAGGCTTCCGAGGGTAAGGAAGAAGATGATGCGTATGTTGAATGCGGAGTAGTGGTGAGCCATGATAAACGTCTACGCTAGTACTCGAGAGCGAAGAGCGTCCTTGTGGGTTTCGAGCGCTAGCGAGCCAGTTTTGTGGAGCGGCAACCTTGGCCACGAAGGATGTCAGCTGAGGAGGGCCACCATTGAGTTGAAGACGGTCATGACCATCCAAGGTAGGAGGAAGGCACCACCATCGTGACATGCGGCCCTCCGTCAATGACTACCTTGTCGACTCCGCAGATTGTGGGGCATCACGCCAACGTAAACTCTTCTGAAACAAAAATAGTTTGGCCTTGAACGCTGGGTGCTTCTGCGTGAGACTGTAACTAGTGTCCTGACAAGAATGTTGCGAGAAAAACAATCAAGGACTATGACATACCGGAAATTGCATAGATGTTAACGTACGAGCAAAAGGAATGAGCCGAGGTTACAAGTGGATAGTCGGTCGAGGATGTATTTTACGGTAAAGCTCGGTCAAAGCTTTCTACCTGTACAACTTCAGTTTTGACAGACCCGTCACCAACCGGTGACTGGAATTTGTCTGAATCGGTGGTTAGTTGAACGGCAACATCATCACCAAACTTGGCATTGATCTCTTCGAGAGAAAGGCCCTTCGTCTGAGAAGCAAGAGCGTAAGTGAATATAGCCGGGTTTCACGTTGTGCGACTTGCCTCGGGGAAGTAACACCAAATTATGACGATGTTAATGGTAGTCAAGATGATGAACATGACATAGTATCGCCATTTAATTGTCGCCAATGCAGTCGGCCCCGCCTCCAAATAAGCGAGTGTGGAGATGAACAGGCCAAAGACTGAGAACGCCATGCCATGGGGACGTATCTGCGTCGGGAAGATCTCGGAACAGTACACGAACGACGTTGCGTCGACACCAGTTGCGTAAAAGAAGATGAAGCAGAAGATGAAGAAGATACCGAGAGAGTTGCCGACGTGGTTTGTGGTACCGACATAGTTGGCCTCCATTGCGCATTGAAGAGCTAGCGATATGGTGCATCCGGTCAGACCCATCACTACGCGGTGTCAACAGGGAATATGAAGTTAGAAGGCGAATGTACTTACATAGCAGTCGGATTCGGCCCACTCGATCCATGATGAACGAGGCTAAGAGATTGCACAATGTCGCTATCGTCACGTAAAGAGCGCCTAAAATCAGCACAAGTCCGCCGGTGAGACCGAGCTGTTGGTACATGACGACAATGTAATCTGCGCGACGAATTAATGGGGTGCTACGGATTGAGATGCTGACGGCTCACTATAAACCACCAATGACCCAGTGGACTCAGCGGCGTATAGTGTAAGGAATCCCAACACGAAACGTTTACGATATGAGGGCTTTGAGAAGATCTGCCGTATTCCACCGCCAGAAGCCCATGCCTGCGAGTCTGCCTCAACTTGTGTCACCATCTGATGGAACTCTTTTCTAGCGAAAGATGCCTTGTCTGAACTTGACTCGTCCGCGGATGTGACGTGCAGCTTAGCGATGATTTTCCAGCTCTCATCAGGTCGATTCTGCTGTAGAACTGTGGTGCTATGGCATGAGCTGCGTTGACAAATCAACTGCCAATAGAAGCTTACGCCATCGAGGTGATTCAGGCACCCACGGACTACAGCAAAGCAGCGCAAGCGGCCAAAGGCACTGTACCGCGAACGGGAAGCGCCATTGAAAGCTAGGATTAGTCGAGTAGTACGTTCCTACACCAACCCATCCAGAAATAGCGTCACCGGCCACATGCCAAGTCCCTACATAAACCTTCAATAAAGGGTAGGTCAGCTGGAGATAGTACGTACCGTGTTGTCCGACGAAGAGCCCACGTGAAGCCGGTGGCGAGACCTCGGCTTGGTAGATAGGGATGAGGACGCCCATCATGCCAACTCCCCAGCCGGTGACGAAGCGAGCAACAAGAAACATCGAGATGTCTACGGAGGCAGCTTCCAGGACTCCGCCGACGATGCACACCCAGGACGCAGCGATCATGGTGGTCTTCCTACCATACTTGTTGCAGGTGTATGCGACGGTTATCGTACCAAAAATGCCGCCGGCGCTCAGAAGACCATTGGTTGCTCCTTCTATCGCACTGGCGTACGAAGGATTGGAGTCAAGGTTGAAGTAGCTGAGGAAACCGGGCTGTCCGATAGTATTAGATATGACGCTAAAGGCATAGCCGTAGGTGAGGCTGCCTAAAGCAAGCACAAGGATTATGCAGATGTTGAATGCAGAGTAGTGCGCCATCGAAAGCGAGCTCAAGCTGTTTAGCAGAAGAGAACCTAAGTTCATACATCTCATATATCGTCGTTTAGCCAACATTTCAACTGTATCTCCGCAGAGGTACGTCAACATGGTCAGGTGTGGCAACGATTAAAATATGCACGATGCAAAGGGCAAACCTTTTCAGTGTTTTCAGCGCCAATCCACGAAAGCACTGCGCACCACAGGTAACGTTAGCATCGAGAGCTTTTGTTAGAACTAGTCAAGCCGCAAAGAGAAAGCATCGGGGAGATGATGGCGGAACGACGGAGAGCCTGTTCTGTCACGTTGCTGACGCGTGACGTAGCACATGTGATGTAACGCGTTTTCACTGCTACTTATCAAACGCAGTTTCTTTGTCACGGTCTCTTTCTTGGTTATCTCCGAAGCGTATCGCAGACCGCATCATACGGAGAGCTAAGAAAATCTTATTCATATGCCAGCACTCCATGCCAGTCATGATCGCATGTGACGATGCGCTATGAGCAAATCAAAGGTTGAGTTGGGTGTATAGCGAACTTTGCTATCAGAGACCAGAGCGATCTGCCCAAGTTGAGTCAAGAGTTGAGTACTTGAGTCGCTGGCCTCAGAATGCCACTGGGCGCCTAACACCTCGAGCGCCTAAGTCAAGGGCAGAATATCACACAAGACAAAGAACCTTGCTATGACATAAACATATCGCGTAAGTTAAACATGCCTTCAAATTCATTGTCGTTGCATCGCTACAGGTTTACCCTTCAATCCCTCTACAAACCCCAGTTTCCCATAATTAATGATAGAATATCCGACACCCAAAACCAACCTAAAACTGATATTTAAGGGCAGAAAGTATGGGTGAAAGTGACGCCGAGGGCCGAATTGCGGTCCGCAGCAGAGTCACCAGCGTTGTCAAATGCCTGGTCGGCGGGGCAGCTTGACTGGGTGCAGGTGACAGACTGGCCATCGCTCGATGAGAGCTCAGTGTTGATGTTGATCGACGAGTCGACAATGCTCAAGTCCCAGGTGATGCGGTCGCCGCCGCAGCAAGAGCCATAGTCGCCGTAGCCGTACTCGGAGAGAATGACACCAGCGGTGATTCCGCCATCTGTGCAGACGAGACCTGGCAAAGAAGACATGGGTCAGCATTGAAGTAACAACCTGGTGCCAGGTGGATGCCGTGCGTACCGCCGTTGCAGTTGCCCGTTGCGCAGTTGGCACCGGTGCTGTCACAGCCAGTGCGTCCCCAAGCACGAATGCCCTAGAAAGTAGGATCAATATGGAAGTTAAGACGTTCATTTAGACTGAATGCTCACCACTTCCGTGTCGGCAATGCTATAGCTCGCCGACGCTCCGGCGCCAAGAGTCGTTCCGTATGCAACAGAGGTGTCGGGAACACCGTTCGGCGCCTTGCCAATGGCAGGCCAGATGGCTAGTAGAGTCGCGGTCAGAAAGACGATATCAATTTCCTAGTTAAATTCAACTTACTGTAACCGCAGTTGTTTTGGAAGTTGATGTTGAACGCAGCAGCGGGCCCGACGAGAGCTGCAGCGAGAGCGGCACCGATGAAAGTCTTCATAATATCAAAAATAGGGAAGGCGACTTGGGCTAACTAGCGAAAAGCTTGGAAACTTGGAGAGGGGATGAAGACCTCCGTTCGAAAAGCATCCTGCTTTTATACTACAGAGTGATGCGCCTGTGTAAGGATGCGATGGGGCTCAACGGAAAGGTTACCGTGATGCGTCTTAGAAACTAGAATCATGATCGTCCACAGCCTGTTCGTTAAAATAGAACCAGGAAATGGTCGTGCCTGGCCGTGTGTGCGGTATGATCGCTCTTATGTCCGAATCGGCTCCGCGCTAGTATGCAACGAGAGCCGATCCACTGCGCAAATGAGCGCGAGACTACGCGAGCTATGCGGGCGTGACATACAACGTCCTATTATTATCTTCCTTGGTCGTCGCAACAGTGCAGCGATCAGCGTGCTTCGCTGGCATGACGAGGCGCGGTCTCACCGCTAGATGAACTTCGATGCGATTGCCAGTGCAAAGCTAAGACCCGCATGCCTGCGCTTTATTCTTAGCATGCAGTGACAAAGCACCGAGGGGTCATGGTGTTTGATGATGAACGAGAATTCAACAAGGTTCCTAGGCAAAAAATGCGCACCTCCCGAATGATTATACGGCTTCAGCGACGGGGTGAAACAGGTGCTCTCGATGTGACAGGCACTTACATTCAGTCTGAATGAGCGCAACACTTGATAAGTATGTACTAAGGTGTCACAGCACTCCCTATTGGCAAAAGTCAGATCTCGCGGTCTGTGCTTATTCCTGCCAAACGCCCAATAAGTCAAGCCCAAGCACACTTACCGTATGTTGAATGCGCGAGAATGAAGGATCACTCGAGCTCCACTTTAAATGACCTCGGCAAACAAGCGTAACTCACCCATAAGAGTTGTACTCGAGTATAGTACGCCCATTTGACCGGACTCCAAGTCCGTTTGCAAACCAGTGAACAGTACAAGTGCCCTGGTTTATCTATACCCGAACGTACCTCCTGTCTTTTCTTTCTTCCTCAGGCTGTGACTTCATCGGCACAAAGAATGCGAGGGCATCTATTTGGGTTCAAACCCGTACGTGCCGAACAGCCAATGGAGTGATGCTTGAAGCCCACATCAGAGATCGAAACTTGATAATGCTCCGCCCTGAGCGAATCCGCGACGAGAATAACCGAGGTTACGTTGTTGGACCACAGACGTTTGAGGGAGATATGGGCTAGCAAGAAGCTTTCCCTCTTTGGGTATCCGTCCAATTCAATTCTAGGATCCCTAGCAGATTCTGGGTGCATCAGCCACTGATATCCCTCCTGCGTTTCTTATGGGCCAGTAGTGTGTGGGTTGCATGCCCATCATCGATGGAAAAGGAGCCAGATGATAGTATAGAGGTCGTTTAGAAACAACGCGCGCAGGTTGCCTTTGTAGGTAGGCTGAAAATTGTTGACAAGAACAGTTGAGAATAATTGCGCGACTTGGTTTATGGTGCAATGTTCTCCCTTTCTTGGACATCATAGAGTCATAAAGGCTAGCAAAAACTCCTGCGCAGAGGCGAACGAGCCATTGACACATTTCCAACGTTTGCATGTTCGGGAGTCTCTAAGCTTGTCGTCAGTGTTGGCTCACCTGTCTCATGGAAGCGCAGTAATACGATTGGATTCGTTCGATATCACAAAGGTGTCTCGAGATATTGAGAAACCCAGCACTAGCCCAGCACTCCGCCATCACGAGAACGTCACGCCGGTCCACGGTCAACTTCAAGATGACGCTGCAAAACTGGCAGGGATCACAGCCGTCAGGGTAGAATATATTGGATCCAGTATTTGGGATGTAGCTCATACACGTAGAGAGCTCGATAGTTCAGTGAGGAACGCAATCATGGTGGTTTGAATGATGAAGCTAAGAGCGGGTGCCACCATTCGGACTCGACGGAGGTAAGGGAAGAAACGTGAGAACAAAATGTCCATGTCACATCCCGAAACGCATCTTAAAATTCTCTCGAAGCCAGTGAAACAGTCCACCTGCATCCCGACCTCCTCCACAAATGTAGACCATGAGTCCTTCATACATTCACGAAGTTACACGCTCCATAGCAGATGTATGGACATGGATGAGACACTAGCTAGCTGTATCAAGAATGACGCGAAGTGCGAGAGCATGGATTGGGATGGGATGGGGCGGATAAGTGCAATGCGATAATGTGGGGTTGCGAGGTGTTGCAGTGGGCTGTAATTGAGTAAGTGCGTCCAATAAATAAATCAAGTCAAGAGCCAGCCAGCCTCCTAAGAAACGCTAGCGCCGTCTACTGGTAAATGGAAGTAAACGAAAATTTTCATCGAAGCGCTACCGAGCTTTGGTGCCCTTCGCTTGTCTGGCGCTCCAAAAAGTAGTCGCGTGGTCGACGGCGTCGAGCATAGGCTTCATAGCCTGGTGGGGGAAAGCAAATGTCAAGATTAATGTGTGTTTAGTACCGAAGGTAAACAGTTACGGCTCACCACTTCGACCCTACTCACATCTGCCCCCTCTCGCTTCGCAATCTCCACAAGAGATGCGACCTTCTCGTGCGTCTTACCGAGGTACCCTGCCATCTTGGCAGCTTTGGCTGCACGATTCTGCTGATCCGCAGCGGTGGTTAAAGCCCCATTCGACAACCCGGGGAGGGCTATTGGCGGATACATCGACGTCCAGAATTGCCGAAGAAACTCGTTCGCTGCTGTTTGACACGTCCGCATCGAGGCGAAGAGAGTCGGGGGAAGATCATCTACACATGAATAAAGTTAAGTAACTTAACGAATGTTGACGCAAATAATTTAACGTACTCTTCTGCCCCTTTGACTTTAGTCGAGTAGCAACATTCTGGGTCATGGTTTGGAACGCTGCATCCCCCGCCTTCTTTTCAACCTTAAGCTATTTCGAAATTATTATTTGATGTCGACGTCGAACCGACTCGCATACCTGTGAGAACCTTGACGACCAATCCACTGTACTCTTCCGGGCCTCCGCAAAAACGTGCCTGATGTCAACGGCCTGATGAAAGAGAAAGGGATCAAAACTCATGATCGGATATACATAATCGTCGGTCTTACCTTCGCAGGGTCATCGCCGTCAGCGTTTCCATTAGCACCTGAGCCTCGGCCCTCGAAATATCGTTGACGGTCCTGCATCTCTAGAACAATTCCGGAAGATGCTTCGAAGTCATTGAGGTCTTCAAGTTCTATTCGTCGATATTCCTAACCAAAGTCACATTATTAAGCGCAGGTCAATGCAATAAGGACAAATGGTGAGCCTACGTCGTCATCATCTGTTTTCCGCTTCTTTTTCGCTGGACCATCTCCTCTGAGTATGGATTAGCACGCGGCTGGTAGAGTTTAAACATGAACGCACAATGTCGAGTTTAGTAATCGCTCAGAGTGTTCGTTGAATTTTCGAATCAAAGGAAGGGCTCCACGCTGGCGACCAGCTTGCATAGTAAAGTCTTTCGTGTTCCCCGTCTAGGATATTATTGATAAATGAGCTGTCCAAATCATAGGTAAAAAGTAGCGTAAGACCTACCTCCTCGTGGTCTTCATTAGTTGCCCCAAGATTAATATAAAGATCGTGTATCTCGTCTCGTGCACGCCGAGGTTCGATCTCTAAACAAAGGAGAAAGTAGAAAATTTAACCCCAGCATCTTCGCTCGTATTGGAAGGGACAACACCAACCATCGTCATCCTTCTCGAGATACTTGTCAAAAATGGGGTCCTCCTTGACAACGTGCTGCGTTGCGGATGAGCGGATACTTGCTCGATGGGCGTGAAAGAGTTTTGACTGAAAATATCGTCTCCAAAATTCTGTTTCGTTGAGCTGACGGATATGAATGTATGCGCGTATTTTTAAATTTGTTCAGGTCGGCAAAGATCAAGAAAATGAATGAACGATGCAGACGGTATCAGACATCGGTATACAACGAAATCGAGGGAAACTTTAAGACACGACGTACCTTCTTGGGCACCACTTCCGCATATGCCTTTTGAACAACAGGGAACTCCTCAAAGATATCCGTCACGAGCTGAGGCGTAATGATGATTTTGACCTCACCGCCCTCAATAGCTTGAGGGCGTGGGTCTACTAGAGTTCCTGGTCGACCTCGTTTCTGAGACGTTGAGCTTGACTCGGCAAGAAGAAGGTGCTGAGGACTACGGTGTTAGGAGATCTGAGGTTTTCTACGGAAAGCATGCTATAACTTACTTCTCGCCCTTCCCAGAACTCTGCTTCGGTGATCTGACCCGTCATGACAAGCTCCCTGTGGAGGGAAGCCAGCTCCGTGTTGGCGAGAAGAACGCGTTTCCGAAGTCTGAAATCGCTGGCCGCATCTGTTCCTGGTATAATGGGAGTGCGCCCATCGCTTGAAACGGAAGCTGCACGAGAGGCTGCAGGGGCGAACGAAGCTGGGGTTCCAGGAGTTGAGGAGGCGGCGGTGATGGGCCCAGAGTTGGTGGGGAGTTTGATGTGAGACGGAGGAGCAGCCGGCTGGGGCGTTTGTTGAGGTGCACTTCGGTTTTTGGCGATGATGTTGGTAAGCTCTGTCTTGAAGGTCTCTCGTTCCGCAAGTGCCATCGATTGAGGGGTGGAGATGAATGTGAAGTTGTGGCCTGTGTCATCGTTGACGAGTGCTAACTTGAGGCGAACCTGAGGAGAGCCATCCTTGCTGCAGAACAGGGCTGTAAGACATTCGGTTTGCCGACAGTGGGGTGTTCAGAAGAGTTCATCCATCCGTCGTCGTAACGATAGGTGCCAAGCACGCATGTTCATTCAAGAGCGAATCACCATTACGATGCTGCGAGCATTTGACAAAACTCGGAGAGGAGACGTACAAAAGAAACTAGCATGAGGTACGCGTACTGCTGGCGCCTTCTTGCCGTCCTGTGTCCATTGGATATGGGTGCCGTTGAGCTCGAGAGTGCCGGGTAACTTCTTGTACGACGCCTTTGCGCTGCACGGCATGCAGGACGACAGACACTTGCGCGCTAAAGGCGAGCGGAGCCAACCCCCAACGCTGTTCACCTTACCGAGACACGCGACGGTGACAAATTACTTGCTTTCTTTGGAAACTCGTCACGTCCAGACGCGCCTCGCGTAGATTCGGCTTGCTTGAATCAATCACACTCCTTGCTTCCCCTCTCGTTTCTTGCTCGCAGACTGCTATGGCTCAGATCAAGAAGCAGCTGATTGTTTTTGACTTTGACTGGTATGAGATTCAGTGTTAGACTGCGAGCAAGAACCTGACGGATTATAGGTCGCTGGCCGACCAAGATACCGATCGCTGGATTTTTGAAGTCCTTGCACCAGACCTCAGACGTGAGATGAAGGACGAGAAGGAGGCTATCAAGAAGAACAAAGAAGTTCAGAACTGGACTTCACTCGTGTCAGTTTATGCAGATATACGCCGATGCCTCTGTTTTGATGTCAGTCAACTTCCCCAGGATCAAGTATCTCGGGAAGCTTCAGGCCCGTCTTCAACAGACTCTTCCTGCTGGTCAGATGCCCAGTGATTCGATCAAAAATGCTCTGAGAGTGATGCCTTTCGTATGTCCTTACTCCACCTATGCATTTGATCCTTGGAACAAATAAATGATTGGCGAACGCCCAGCATCCTGCCATGGTTCGGGGGGTCAGGTACCTCAAGGAAGCTGAATCACCCAAGACGACGTTTTTCTGCCTCTCGAACTCTAACCAAGTCTTTATCGACACCATCCTCGAGGTGAGCTCCCCGGACACATACCTCTCAATCATCGATGCCTGACTGCCTTAATTTGTGCAGAAACAAGGACTCTCCGATCTCTTCGACGAGATTGTGACGAACAAGGCCTCAGTGACGGACGAGGGTCTCATCCACCTTCGTCCTCGGATTGACCCGGAAGCTGGTGGAGTTCCCCACTCGTGTCAGGTCGGCTGCAACCCTAACATGTGCAAGGGTACGTGATCTTCAAGTTGCTCGCCCGTTGTCACCTGACCTAGTCTTCAAGGTGATGAGCTAAAGGAATTCCTCCGAAAACGCGAGGAGCGCGGGGAGACTTTTGATCGTGTCATCTACGTCGGCGACGGGTCGAATGACTACTGCCCTGTCCTACGTCTGCGCGCGTAAGTTATTAGGTCAATCTGATCTGGGGTCCCTTCTGACCGTGCATACAGCCAGGACTTGGTCTTATGTCGCCGCTTTAGAGGACTGGAGGGTCGCCTCGAGAACGAGGGTCGTCTTGGTCAGCCAGGCAGTATCGTCAAGTGCAGCGTGATGAAATGGGCTGGTGCTTGGGAGGTTGAAGAAATCTTCAAGCAGAAGCTTTGATGGTGATCATTAGGGAGCTACGCGGATAAGATATCTCTAGAGATGAATCTGTATGAACAAGGGTTTAAGTTAACATGCATATGAGTCGATGACAATGGCGCACAAATGTCAAGGCTTGATCAGGGTTACATTAACGTTTAGGCCCGTGAAGCGCCCAACCGCAGGTGGCATCTATCGGGCGCTTAATGTTAAGCGCCTACTCTAGTTCTCGCGCGACATCCCAGGATCGGTTAACTTCTTGGGCCTGCTAGACTACCATCTACTACAACCCACGACGACCTAGCGGCACCCCATCCGTGACTCGCCGCACACTCACGTACGCGTGTATTGATAAACTAAATCGCTTCAAGTTGATTCCGTCACATACTAAATGTCTCTGAAACTGGACCAGTTTCCAACGGACGTTCTGATTAAAATCAACTTATATCTGGACGTCTTCGATGTCCTACGCCTCCGTCAGGTTGGTCATCATATTGACGAGTGTCTCCCGAGACATCTACCTCATGACGGAAATGGTTAGGTTTCCAAGACTTTCTCCGATCTAACGAGAGAGCGATTCATCTGGAGCAATCTCTACAGATCTTCGTGGCTTCCTCGTCCTCCTGGCCCGCTTACAACGCAGTCGCAGCAGAGACTAGAGCACATACTCATTCAAGCAACGCGCGTCCGCCTTCATCTTCTCGTCCAAAATAAACCTGTGCGGACGCGTTCCTTTACGCACCACTTCACGAGACCAGGTGTTCTCCTGGGAGGAAGATGGGTCTTGACTGCATCCCTTCATGAAGTCATCTGTCGTAATATCGACGATTTTGACTCCGGACCTGTAAAGATCTTTGAAGCTGATGAGGGTTACACCATACACGTGATGGAAGGTGCTGATTTCACTGATCATGAAGGAAACCGACATGCCTTTGTTGTGCTAGAACAATCTTTCAGCGCTAGGCCCCCTGAGGGCCATCATGGTCCTTCTACGCGATGGGAAGTAGAGCTGTGAGTTTTTCTTGTAATACTTTGCAATATTCCGCAATATACTCAATTAATATCAAGGATCATACTGAAACTTCACCATGGAGGTGATTCCGAGGTTCACCTAGAGCCAGTGTACCAGCGGCGGCACACGCTCGTTGTACCTCATCGGATCCACTCTATTGAAGTAACCTTGGGTCCGTCGGGTTTTCTCGTTCACTGCATTGTCCCCACCCATGGGTACAAGAACGTGTTGGTATATCTTGCTCCAGACGGCCAAGGCGGCCGAGTTCAAGTCGAGTTGGATGACGTTAACCTCGTAAGGACACAATTCTCCATCCGTGAAGACACACTTCCTCATCTATTGAAACGGGTTACTTAGAGCATCGAAAATCTGACGTGTACAAGACAAATATACGTTTTAACTAGTACTCATCTCTTGGTCACCCCTCGCTTCACTTTGGATCAACGACCTACGTCAGCCCTAGATACTCACATCGGCGCGGTACCGATCTCCTCCGTTCTTTGCAACGAAACTTCCTTGACCTCCCGAGGATTACTAGACGCTGTGGCCAACCAAATCCGGGTTGTCGTCATGCTTCGAGACTCCGTCCTCAATCCTGTGACAGGAGCGATTGAGGTCGTTCTCCTCGCAATCACTGAAGCAGGGCAGGATACTACCCAGGGGGAGATGGACACACTCATCGTTTTTCGCCTCGTAATTCCTCCTAAAAACGCTGAGAAAAGCCCAAAGCCAAGCACGATGGAGATCCATAGACAAGTCCTCACGAAGATCAAATCCGCCGACAACGGGTATATGGTTTAGCCCTCGTCGATCGGTTCGACAACCTGTATGTTCGAAAACGACGATATGGAAATCACGGTGCTGGAGATTGTCTATGACGAGGTCGATCAGAAAGCGAAGCTGACTTGCGAGTCGAACGTAAGCTTTCAGGCATGCGTCGACGAGAAAAGTGCGGATCATTTCCAGCTTGAATACGGAGAGAACGAGCCGGAGGTTGGCAGGTTTAGCTTTACTTACAAGATTGCTGATGATGGCCTCGACGAAGGGGACTATGGATGGAGAATGGGCATTGTAGACTTTGCATAGCACGATTGTTCTCGGTTCGCTAGAAAGCTTCAGGTAAGCCCCCATGAAGTCGCGAGCGTAGAAGTTCCTGGCCCTGATATGATACCAATTATTTGAAGAAACCCGGAAAACTTCTCATGACTTACTCTGTCCTACTAGGGCCTCCTTGAAGCTCGTTCGCGCCATCAGCCTATCCGTACAGACAGTGTACTTTCCGAGATCTGGTTCTGAAGCACCTGGATGAATGCCTTGCCTTCGCTAGTAGTCTTCAACTTTTAGACTCTCCATTGCCTGGCACCCAATACCAGAACAAATTAGATGGTCGCGAGAAAGAAGTACACACTGAGGTAATCGGAGAGTAATGAATAAAATCTGGACGATATGTACTCCTTCAAGGGTAGCATAGCGAAATTTCAAGGAATTTCTTTTCCTGCATCAATATCCTTGTCAATATCCTCTACAATGTACTTAAACAAACAACCGGGTTGGCCACCAGCATTTTCTGAACATCTGCAGGCCTTTTTTTGTTCTATGTGCATGCCTCATTTTAATTAAGCTTGGGATTTTTGCCTCGCCGTCAAAAGCCTTTATTACATCGCCGCTGAGGCCGTGGTCTGTCACCGTCATTGTGGTCTAAAGAAATCGAACCGAGCCTGAGAAATTCAATTAATGAGCCGCCAGCTGAGCTCAATTCTCACGGTATATCCTTACCACTGACAGTGAAGTTCGCTGAAGCTCAGCGCTCAGCGCTCAGCGCTCAGTCCTGGCTACCGCCTCGCCAACGTACCGTCCACACAATCATCCACAAGGAAGTACTCATCAGCTACCACATCCTAAATCCGGAAATCGTACAGCGGCTTACTGTCCCTCCGAGTCGACGACTGGTCGACGACCTAGCGATACCCCGCTCGAAAGCGCCTCATCTGCCTTCTTGATCCAGATCGTCCCTGTATCTCAGTCAGGCGCAGGACAGAGCTCACTAGCAGCTCACTTTTGGAGCTGCTGACGCCATGGTCACAACTCTGGAGACCATTACATTTGACGTTCTCATACAAATCATCGCACAACTCGACATTACCGATGTGCTACGATTGCGGCAGGTATGCCCTTTTCTCATTAATCTAGAACACGACGCTATAGGGCCTAGTTAGGTATCTACGCGTCTCCTAGAAGTTACGCTCGAGAGAGCGCTCTGGGACGAGCTCTACAGATCCTCACACCTACCTCGGACCATCGGTCCGCTCCCTTCACAGTCTCAGCAGGATCTGGAAAGCGTTCTCGCGAGGAGCGCCCAAGTCGGCCATAATATGTTTGTCAAGGGCTCTCCGGTACGATCACGGGTCGTGGAATATGGTCCGGACTGCTGGGGCGCTCGAATTCTTGCCGGAAAGGTCTTACTCTACGTCGATCCTGGGTCATCTACTCGCAAGGAGAGTGTCTTATTTTATAATCTGGATGACGACATGTTAGGCGACCCGCAGGTGGTGCACGAGTTCGACGGAGAGCACGCCTCCGTGATATCTATAGACTCTGTCGACGTTCACGATTTTAGAGGTCAAGGTCACGCCTACGTTGGGCTTCAGACGGCCAATTCCGAATCCAGAGACACTGAAGTGTGAGTTTTAGCTTAAACATGGCGTAAACTTTCAGAGCTCTGACTTTTTATACGCAGACTCATCATGAAGATGAAAGACAGTGGGGATGAGCTAAAGTTTGAGCTCGTGTACCGTTATACTCGGGATGCGAACTCCTTTCACTCTCTCGTAGCAAGCCCTCGCCACATCATAGTTGGTCATATGCTCAAGAACAAGAGCATGGCACATGTCTTTGACATCTCTGGCCTAGAAGGCGGTCCTTTGGCTGAAGTAGAAGACACAGACGAAACCCTCGTTGTGAGTACCAGATATCGTGCTGTGATGACTGATAACACATTGCTTCCTCCCAGATTTCTGACGGTGACATAGGTTTTGGTCCGGACTTCTACGCATGCAGCACGCACCTGATATTCCTGAAGCCCCATCCTGACCCACGGGAAACGTGCATGCGTCTTACCGCTGTGCCTTTGATGGATAGTTCTGCCGGTTCTGATTCTGAATGTCGCCCAGAGGCACCTACTTGTGACATCGACGCTTTCGAGCCACTCTCCTTCGGCATACTTCGGGACTCCATCGTCGATCGAGAACCTGGCTACACCGAAGTCATTGTGCATGGTCTCGCAGAACGCAATGGCGTGTACACGCTCACTGTGTCCAAGCTACTCATACCATCTCACATCGGTCCAGACGCATCACAGGAGATTCGTGTTACTAGCCACATTGTGGTGAATTTCCCTGATCGTCCAGGCCTCTACATGCAGCCATCGTTCACCGGAAGTGCACGCTGCATCTTCTACTACTCTAACGAGGCAGCCACAGCGGAACTACGAGCCCTAGAATATTGCTATGATGAAGCCACGGAGCGCCCTGTGTTGCTAGACAGCACCTCGAACTTGGATTACTTGGGCGTGCTCTACGACGACTTCGTGACTCGAGACGCGGAGATGCAGCACTTCGAACAAGAGCCGCACAGCGGAAGAATTCTGTACCACTATCGCACATCTCCGTCTGAGGACGATCCATCAAGGGAAGAAAGCAATCTGTGTATTGTGGACTTTGCTTGATCTTTCTTGTGTTTGGTGCCGCGGGAGGCATTAGCTGAGCTGTAGGTGCGTACAGTTTGTCGGTGGATCTATTCTTAATTTGTGCCTAAGCTTGAAGGACATATCTCCATTTAGGGTTGCTTTCCTTGAGAACTAAGACGCTACCATCTCTCCACCGCCTCAACCCTCCACGATTGCTATGGTAAATAGGTTCACTCAACAAGCGGTTCGCACCAACCTACTTATTGCTTGCACCTCAGCATGGAGAACGGGTACGATGAGATGTGTACTGTTGACCTACATGGTGTACTTGGCACATACCAATGGATGTGGCCAGCAAGTTTACAATCACGCTTTACAGCGACGCCAGAGGCAAACTCCGCAAACTCTGTCCCCTTAGCACCCGTCAATTGCTCTCAACCTCATTATGTCCAGCCAATGTCCAGTAGAGTCAGCCAGCAGGGACAAAGCGATGGGTAGGCGCTTGAGCACGGAAAGAGACACCGATTGGGTAACACCGTCTTATGCCAGATGTTCTAGGTGGCAATCAGTCCAAAGCATATGCGGTTTTGGCCTGCAGGTAGTCGCGTTGCCCGAGCAAATACTAGTGACCATAGAGTTAAAAACCGGATACATTGCAAGACAAGGACAAAAAATAATTGCAGAAGAGAGCGAAATACGAGAAAGAGAAAAACGAAAACGATAGAATCGGAGGGAGAAGAGGAGACAGAAAGAAGACATGACGGGGGATGATAAAACGGTGTTTGTACGAGTGTATGTCATCGTCGTCGTGATTTGGAAGCAGACTGGATCGTGTAGTTGAATATGCGAGTTAGCGCTGATAATGACAAGAAAGAAACAGAGAGCGACAACAGTCCCCATATCTGCCTCCAACTCCGACTTCGACACCTTCCTTCGACACCTCTTTCTCCCCCTCTAGCCAGACGTTGACATCGACCGGTGATAGTTAGCAAGAGACAACCAGCGTGTGCGCCAGGCACTCAGCACTGGCGCTCTAGCGTCGGCCGCCCCCGCTGGTATTTTATGCACTCTCACCGTGCATTCCAAATATCCATCCCGCTCATCCGCCGCGAATCTTTCACACCCTGTCCTTCACCCTGCCCTCCACCGCCACCTCCGCTCTGTCCCTGGCCCGGGAAAGGATTCCCCCGCGCCTGCGAGACCGCAGCTGCCACGCCTGCTCCATAGAACGACGGCTGCCCGCCCGCTCCACCGCCCATCCCGCTGCCACCTGCGCCACCTGCGCTGCGCGCGCCCGGTGCATACGACTGGTATTGCTCCGGCTGCATGGGAACGTACATCGTCCCAATATCTGTCCGCTGCCCGAGGGAGTCGAACGGCGACGTCGGCTGGCCCGAATACGGCTGCTGATATCGCGGGCCTCCTCCGCCGCCCCCGCCGCCACCGCCAGCACCACCGCCCGGCTGATATGCCGCAGTCGGACTCGTAACGACTCCAGCCGGGTTATACGACCCGCTGCCACCCGCCTCGACGCGCGCAGCGTTCCGCACCGTCGACATAACCTGCTCGCGCCGATCATCATCCACAACAATCGTCGGCTGATACGAATGCGTGAGCTTCGAGCCCGCGTACCGCGCCGCACCCGCGCCCGGACCTTGGCCCGCGGGCCACGCGCCAGAGCCGCCCGCGCCCGCACCAGCAGGCATACCACCCGCCGCGACGAGCTCCGCCTGCTGCTGGAGATACTCGAGCTGCGGGTACGGCTGCGCGGTGCTCGCCTTGCCCGCCTGCCTGCGCTCCCACTCGCGCATCGCGTCGTCCCGGTTCAGCACGGGCGTGAGCGCGTTGCGCCCGCCGATCACGTCTGTGTTCATGTGCTGCAGACGCGCGAGCGCCGGCGGGACTGCGTCCAGCTGGTGGTTGATCGTGTTCGCGCGTGTGCGGGCATGCGCGTTCGGGTAGTACGTCGACGCGGGCGCTGGCGGGCCTTGTTGTTGGCCAGGCACAAGCAGGTTGAGAGTTGACGATTGATTATACGCAGAAGAGCCTGCAGAGGGTGCATTTTGCATCTGCCCCCCAGCCTGAGGTGCGCCCTGGCTGGACCCGGCGTAGCCATAGTGAGTCGACGAAGGGAATGCACTCGGGCCGTCCGGCTGAGGCGGCGCGTTAGGTCCATATCCTGACACTTGCATTGGCACCGAGGACGAGCCGCCAGACGACGACTGGTGCGCCGGGCCGGGTGGGGAAATGTACGGGTTGCGGTGGACGTTGTTGGCAGCCTGCGAGGCCGCCTGGGCCTGAGCTGTGTACGCCTGGTGCTGCGCCAGATGCTGATTGTACGAAGCCGCGTCCTGATACGCGCGTGTGCCTTTGGGCTGGGAGGGCACGAGTCCGCCATATGGCCGCTTGGGGTCTGAGCTTCCGCTTGGGCTCGATGTTGACATCTGCGCGGACACTCCATTGGGCTGTTTGATGGGGGCGCAATGTGGTGTACAACAACGCGCAAGCGCACCCATGCGGTTGGCCGGACGGGAGTGAGAGTCGTCGCGAAGGACGAGGAGACAATGCCGCGGAAGGTGATTGATCGCAAAAGACCAACCAGCGCGAACGATCGTCCCGAGACCAAGGCCACGGAGATGGACATCGTCCCACCGAAAAGATCAGAAAGTCCAGAAGTAATACAAGATAAATCCCGAGAACGTTGGGACCGCAAGGTGACGGCGCCAAATAGACGAATAAACGTTGATGGGATGCCGCGAGTACCGCAGCAGTGGGGTTGACGAATAGACAACGGACGATCAGTCAGCTTTCGGCAGACTTTCCCCCGCACCCGCGGGGCATTGAAAGGAAAAGAAACTACGCACGGAAAACGGCTTTGTGAACTTCTCGCCTGTAATGAACGGATGCATCCGCGCCTGCTGGGGCGACCATCGCTCAATCGGGTTCAAGTTCAAGAGTCCCTGACAGAAGTCGATGAACGACGCCCGATTGTTCAGCTCTGTGAAAAGAAGAACGGGGCGCATGCTCGTCAGCACTCCCGCGAAATGTCAAAGTTTTGAAATAGATAAATGAGAAAGAAGAGAAGGAGCGAGACGGCGCCCAGACGCGACTCCACGGCGAGGACAAGTCACGATGATTGGATAACTGAAGCCAGAACAAAGGACGGAACATGAAGCCCATTCTGCATGACATCGTGGCAAGCGTAGATCGACATGATCTCGCATCGCACCCCCACGGCCCGCCCCCGGTCCCGAAAACGCCGGCACCGGTGGCACTTTCGTGATTGAACAGGCAGGGACTGAATCCAATGCAAAGAAGCGCAGGGCCAGAAAAAGAGCCAAAGGCCCAAGAAATGAAAATGAAGAGGGAAATGAAAAAAAGCAAAAAGCAAAAAGCAAAAAGCAAAACGAAACTTAAGAAGCAAGGTAAAACCAAAGATAGAAACGCCCCTAAACGCCCCAAACACAACCAAGCACCCCCCGGACCAGTCTCCATGAAAGACAAAGAAAACACGATTGAACGTGAATGGGGCTCACCCTTCTCGACCTCGTGTCCCTGCCTCGACGAGCTCTTGAAGCTCGGCATCGGCGCCTGGTTGACGATCTCGGGCAGCGTCGTCGCCTTGAAGTACTGCTTGCCCGGCTGCTCGTTCGTGCCGTGCTCGCGCGAGTACTGCTCGAGGCTCTTGAGCCTGTACTTCTTCTGCCCGTACACGTCCACGAAGGAGTCGAAGAACTGTTTCGTCTGCTTGCCCATGTCGAGCATGTACGTCGGCGGCATCCTGTCCATCCGTCCGCGTTAGAATGGTGTCACGGCGTGCAGCGATGGGTGTGGTGTGGTATGTATTGACGCCATATGGAATGGGCAATGGGAAGAGAGGGAGATGGGTGTGAGGAAGAAGAGAGACGCACCCAAGCATCTCAACGATCCTCGTAATCTGATTATACTCGCTCGTGCCCGGGAACAGCGGCAGGCCCAAAAACAGCTCGACCGCGATACACCCGAGCGACCACATGTCGATCGAGGCCGTGTACGGAATCCCGAGTATGACCTCGGGCGAGCGGTAGAACCGCGACTGGATGTACGTGTACACCGTCTGCCGCTCGTGGCACGCCGACCCGAAGTCGATCACCTTGATCTGCGGGGACTGCAGTCTGCGTACATAGTCGCGGTTAGCTATCCACTCTGAGCGACAAGAGGGGGGAGAGGCAAAGCGATAAGAGGGAAGGGGAGGAGAGGGGAGGAGACGCACGACTTCAACAGTATATTCTCCGGCTTCAGATCACAATGTATCAGCCGCGCGTCCTTGAGCACCGAGAGCGCATCGAGCAGCTGCGCCGTGAACACCTTCACGAGCTGCGTACTCAGCCCCTGGAACTGGTTCTGCTTGATCAGCTCGTACAGGTTCGAGCTCAGCAGCTCGAACACGAGGCACAGGTGGTTCTTGTGGATGAACGAGTCGCGCAGCCGCAGGATGTGGTGCTCGTCTTGCGGGTCGCATTGGTTGTTCAGCTGTCCCATAGCGACGACGTCAGCATACCTGAAACGTGTAGATGGTGGGAGGGGGTGAGGGAGCATGAAGACGCACCAGCTCCAAGATCGTGACCTCCATCATACTCTGGTTGAAATACGCAGGCTTGTTCTTGACGACCTTGACCGCGACGATCTCATGATTCTTCATGTTCTGACACTTGACCACCTGCCCGAACGTGCCCTGGCCCAGTATGTCCAGGATGAGGTACCGGCTGCCGCAACCTTACGTTAGCACACATCCCAACAACCACAACAACGCAGGGAAACACCACAACGCAGGGCACGTCCCACCGGGTACTTTGAACGACGGAAAGAAAGAAGAAAAAACACTCACTTATGCCCATCCTCACTCCCCAGAAGATCGTTCACATACAGAATATAATCGTACTCCTCGTTATCGTACCCATCATTGTGCGCCGGCTTGCTCGGCTTCGTGAGCACGCGCCGCGGGTTATGCGTCGACTCATAGCGGAACGCCGGGTTGCAGATCCGGTACGTCTCCAGGATGCTCGTCGTCAGCTGGCGCAGGGGCTGTATCCGTGGTATCCACGTAGCATAGCAGAGCAGAGCCCGCGCGCACCGCACCGCATCATAACCGACCGGGCGATGAGGGAGAGAGAGAGGGAAAACGTCGGTCAGAGCACGATACCAACAAAAGCAGACAAAACACACGCACCGACAAAAACACCCCGCGCTCATCAACCCTCCGCCCTGCCGGCTGCTGGTTCACATACGGCCTCAAATCCCGCCCGTCCCTCACCCTCCTGAACCCCGACGCCCGCCTTCTATGCTGCCCCTGTCCCTGCCCGCCTTGCCCTTGCTGCCCCTGCCCTTGCCCCTGCTGACCCTGCAATTGCTGCTGCTGCTGCTGTTGCGGATTCGGCGTATCCACCATCATATGCTCCTGCCCGTAATACGGCGAATGGCTCGGCGCATACACCTGCCCGCCCTGGTGCCCATACGAAAGCGGCGACGACGGCGTCGACAGCGACGCGCGCCCGGATGCCGCAGCGCCGGGGATAAGGTGCTCGAACGTTTTCGGCGGGGGCGGGGGCGGCGGTGGCGACGTCTCGGTCAAAGACGGGCCGTATGCGCCTGCGCCCGCGCTGGTGGGCGGGTAGGGCGGGGTGACGTTTACGCTTACCCCGCCGCCGTTAGACGAGCCCTCGGGATCGTGCGACTGCTGCGAATGGCTTCGGCTGTGCCTTGACCCTGCGCTGCCGTCGCCACTGAGCAGATAAGCCGACGAAGCCTGCGCCTGAGCTTGAGCTTGAGCTTGAGATGCCTGAGTGGGCGAATACGCCGCCTGCTGCTGCGCATAGCTATCGAGCAGCGCATTGCCCGTGCGCAGCGGGCTGCGCCCCCCGCCTCGCTCGCTCTGCGAGCGCCTCGCGCCCGCGGCCCCACCACCGCCGTTATAGTACAAATCCGCAAAATTGTCGCCAGCGCCCATACCCCCGCCGCTGCTGAGCATCGACGACGCAGGCGACACCGCGCCGCCCATACTGCCCAAGCTGCTCCCGCTCGCGCCCGAGTGATGGCCGACAGAGCCAGGGTAGAGCGACGGGTTCACAGCCGGCGGGCCGCCCCCACCGACGTTGCGCGGCGAGGTCATCGGCGACGAGTGCCCGTGCCCGTGTCCGTGCGGATGGGCATGCGCATCCGCAAACGCACCGCTCATCGGCGGATACGGCTCGAGGTCCTCCGGCTGGTGGTGTCTCCTCGCAGTCTTGCCCGACGAGGGCGACGTCGCCGACCCCACGCCAACACCGGCGGCGCTGTTGAGCGACGCGCTGCGCGAGAGCGGCGGGGGCGGTCCGGGTCCACCGATGGCGACGCCGATGCTGGGTGCGCCGCCGCCCTGGAGATGGTGCTGGGGTGCGTACGGGCCCTGCTCGTCGACGAGCTGGGCGATGCGCGGGGGGCGGGGGGCTGTGCCGGCGGTGGTGTTGTATCGCTGGGGCGACTGGCTGTGGCTGTGGCCGCCTGTGAGCTGGGTCTGGAGCGGGAGCTGGCCTTGCTGCTGCTGTCCCTGGCCCTGGGCCTGCTGTGGGGCTGAAGCGAACTGTTGCTGCTGATTCTGGGACTGGGGTTGGGGCTGGCCCTGGGGCGGGTAGAGGTAGGATGCTCTGGCTGCTGCGTGGGCTGCCTGCGAGGATGAGAGGGGGTCGATGGGCTGGTGCTGGTGGGTCTGCCAGCGGGGGAGGTCGAAGTCGTCGTTCGCGTTGCTCATGTAGGCCAGCTCTGGTTCGCTGCTCATCGCCGGATGCAGGCGACGTCAACGAGGGCGGGAGGAAGAAAGGAAAGGATCGTGGGTGCTGTTCTCTCAAAGGGGCTGTTGTGAGGAGACGTCAGTAGTGTCTGCCTGTGGCGGATGCAGGACAGTGCCCACACGAAAACACAAACACGCTTAAGGGGAGGCAATCGATCGAATATCGCACACTCTCTCCTTTCTTTCGTCCTATTCTAGTGTCCACCATCCACTGCGAAAACACAGCAGACACCACCGATAGACCTCCTGTCATCGACCTGCTTATGTTGCCGCTGATTTGCAACAAATGCCAGGTGGCACGAACATGTGTCCTGTTCCCTTGACTCCGTATTCGCTTCTCCTCTGAATCCGCAGCCCCTCCATTTCTTGCAAAAGTCCATTGGTCCCTTCAAAAATATCTGTCCCCCTCAACGTGTCAGTACGCAAAAAGCGACGCAACGCATGATTCATCAACACCGGCATCTCTAGCCTCACACTCGCGGCACCTTCCTCGCTTCCAAGCCATCCCCATCCAACTCCGAATCGCCGCCCAGAGCACCACATTGATCCAGCCAACGTTTCAACGTTTCAACAGTCACCAAGCTAAAACATCTGACCGACGCAACGATACATATCCGTTTGTGAATTGTGCAAGTAGCGTAAAGAATGAAAGCCCCATGACCCATAGTCCACGAGCCTTCCTCCTTCGAGGTCTAAGTACTGACCCTTGAAGAGTCCGGAGCCACCATCAACCGGCACCAACGCAGTCATGAGCACACGAACACTCGCATCGCCGCCCTCCTTATCCTTGGCTCGGCTATCGATCTGCGCCTAGATAACGTCAAATCAAGGTCCAAAGCCCGGTCACACAGGCCGCCGAGTGCTCAGCGTATATGCTCGAGTCTCGAAACGCGCCGACCGTCCAAGTCCAAGGAGAACTCAGGGCCAGGCACAGATGCATGCATGATCACCGTCTATATCAGTGTATGCAGTCCCCATGGCACTGATGACCGGTAACCGCAAAGTGAAGTGAAACGAAGATGCTTCTCGACTTTTCCTCCAGTTAGCCGACCACCGCGTTTCCGCTTAACGTCTCGGGTGTTGCGATTCAGCTGGACGCTTCAATTTCCTTGAGCAAGTCGATGATGCCGCGCTCGAGGCGCAGAAGGAGCGAGGAGCTGTTGCTCCCGGCACTCATGAATGCCGGTGGGACGTCGATCGAGAGGAAGATCTGCTTTTGTGTGCGGCGAGCTGGTACAGTGTATCGGTTAATACGATTGTGTCGCGAATTCGAAGATGGCGAGATGGAATGAAATGCACGCATACAGCCACACAATCGTAAGAGAGTAGGCGTGAGATGCGCATATAATCAGAAGAGAGTCGAAGGAAGATACAATTTGCCAAAGGTCGTAAAAAGCCAACAAAACAAAGGAGAAAGAATGACGTACCAAACCGCTGCGCCATCCCAAACGCAACATCCGAGCTCGACGAACGGAACAGCGACGTCGCCGCGCTCTCAGCGCGCTAAATTCAAAAAACAAACAAGATCATCATTAGCACGCATATACTGCACTCCCCACCATCCGAGAACAGGACAGGGGGGGAAAGAACAAGACAAAGACATACCGCTCCCGCAGGCGGCATCGCGCACGCCCAGTCCCGCGCAACAAGCCCGCCCGACATCGCGCGCTCCACAGCTGCGCGCTCGTCTGCTTTCTTGCGCGCTTCCGCGTCCGCGTCCGCGCCACCGTCGTCCCCGTCCAGATCCTGGTCGGGCTCCATGAGCGCGCCGCCCGGTCCCGCCTGCAGCATCGATGCCGTCGCCGATCGTGGTTGAGTTGAATTTTGAGGGGTGTGGGAAGAGGTGCCGGCCCAGATCATGTATGAGCCTGTGAGCGCGGTAATGTGCACTGCGAGGCCCGGGAGCGAGGGGTCGGGTGCGGGGAGGAAGCGCGTGTGCGTGGTTATGGTGGGGTCGGCGGGGGTGATGGAGGGCATCGTGGCTTTGCTGTATATATAATGTGAATCTTTTCGTAGTCCGGCGAGGAAGTGAGACTCGCGACGGACGTGGTTAGGGACTTGCAAGTAGACGAGGACAGACGCGCACGAGGAGATCGCCGACCCTAACCCCATCGCCACGTGGAGATGGTCAGTGGGCGACTCAGGGGCCGGACATCAATGCATCATCATCGTCGTCCTCTTCCCCGGATTTCCCGTCCTCTGCCCGACGAGCACCAGAGCGATACCTGTGTCCTTCACATACTCTAACATCTTAACACAGAATCATAAGCGCTTCGGGCAGCTGACCCCAAAGCCTTCTGTACACTCGCACGGCGCAAGCGCTCAGGCCTGCCTATCCCCGACAATCAACTCGAACAGCCTGCTCTCTCTGGACCCTGGGACCGCCTGCTTATCTGAACCCCCTCTCATCTGAGCTATCACTATTAACTGCCATATCTCTCTTTCAATCTTCCTTGATTAATATCGAACCGCAGAACCGAAATCCAGAAGAAGAACAGACGGTGAACCAGCTAGCTGTTAGTTACTGACCGACACACCCGTGAATGTCCACCTCCGCCGCGCCAGCGCCCACCCAACACTCCGCGAACCCGGTCGTCGACGGCGAGGTCGTCTGCTTCCACGGCGAGCGCGCCCGCAGGCTCGTGTCGCATACGGCTGCGAACCCCGATAGGTGTGTTTCTACATCTGTCTCTCTCCCTCGTGCGCTTGTGCGTGCCACGAGCTACCACTGCTAGCAGCTCACGTACTCGGTGCGACCCGGGCTTTACGTTCGGCGAGTGGGAGGTGGGAAAGAGCGAGCGCTAATCAGGCCATCCGCACAGGGTATTCTACAGGTGCGCCAGGGACGGCTCGGCTCAGTGCAAGTTCTGGGGTGCGTATAATACGTATCTGATCGTGCGAGGCTGACTGGCTGGCTCTCGTGCTCCCAAATGACACTAGTGTGGAGAGACGGTCTGCCTGCGCCGCCGGGGACTCTGAAGGACGAACAAGAACAAGGGCAACAGAATCTTCCTGCGTCTCAGCCACAGGCACAAGCGCCTTCACCCCCACCCCGATATCCAGTTCCAGCTCCAGCTCAGCCTGAGAGTCCGCGCTTCACTCCAGCCTCTCATCATCCCCAAGCGCCAGCGCCGGCTACCCGTGCGGCAGCATCCAGCTCTGCGACCTATCAAAACCACACCTATCCTCCCCAGCCACAGCCACCCTCCCGCACGCGCGCCCCGCCCCCTATCACCACCCGCACAGACACAGCACCAACACAGGACGATCCCTACACAGAACCAGACACAGACACAGACATGAACAACAACACCAACATGCACCCTCCGCCCGTGCCGACGCAGCCCAGCTCGCCCGTCCGACCACCACGTGCCCAGGGCGCAGGCCAGACCCAGGACGAGAGCCAGGAAACGGCAGTGAGCTCGAACGCGAACTCGTTCTTCGGGCTGCCAGAGACGCCTGCGCAGAGCGAGGTGGATCTGCCGCTGCACGAGGCGCAGGCGGTGCCGCCGCCGCCGACGCAAAGTCAGGGTCTGGGTCAGGCATCGGGGTCGGGGCCGGGATCCGGGCCGGAATTGCAGCAGGTTCCGCCGCCGCCTGCGCCTGTTGGAGGGAATCCGCTTCCCGCTAACGCGAGCACCACCTCCGCGAGCACCATCGTGCCCTTCCCGCGCCCCAGCAACGCAGCGCCCGTGACGCCCGTCGCGCAGCGCACGCTTGCGCGCTCCGGGAATGGTCATCTCAGTCTCAGCCAGACGCCGAGCAAGCGGACGCCCGAGGGGCGTGCTGCGCGGTTGGCCCTGCTGCAGAAGGCCGAGGAGGAGGCGAGGCGGGCTGCTGCTGGGGACGGTTCCGGTGTCGCTGCTGCCGCTGCTGCAAATACCACGGCTGCCACGGCGGGGGCACAGCCGGGGCCTGCGGCTAGCGTGTTCGGTCAGGCGGGGCTGGGGTTGGGGCAGCAGTCTGCTGACCCCGGTGCCAACACCAATGCCAATGCTAGCGCCAGCGTAAATCCCAACGCCGGCTCATCATCACGCTTCAGACCCGCCCAAATGGTACCCGTGCAGAACGCACCTCAACCTCAGCCAGTAGCCGGCTCCACGAGACCTCCCGCCAACCAAGCCAACCAGCCCAATCAGCTACCGGATCCCAGCCCGATGCGCACATCGCCGCAGAAGAGACCGCGCTCGCCTCGCCAGACGGACACGAACCACGCCGCAGGCCCATCTAACGGTCCCGCCGACAACGGTCCCCAGGCTCCACCCCCGCCCTCAACATCGAACAACGCCAGAACCCGGGGTCTCCTTTTCGGCGACGAGCCCACCATCTTCGACGAGGCCCCACCAGGGCCGAGTCCGCCCGCGTTCCGGCCGAAGCCCAGAGCGCAGGCGCAGGCGCAGGCGCAGGGAAGACCGGCACCACCCGGACCTCGCCAGACGAACGCAGAGCCGCATACGCAGAACTCGGACCCGCATTCTCACTCTCAGACACTCTCACACACGCTCTCGCAGGCGAGCAGCGCGCCCGACCTGGACGCCATTCTCGGCCCTGCGTCGCCCGATCCCGAGCGCGAGCGCGAGACTGGCGGTGATGCCAGGCTCAACAGGGCCAACGCTAACGCCGACCACGAGCTTAACCTTGATCCCGAGGCGCTGGGGTTCAGCGCGGGCGCGGAGAACGAGCGGGACGAGGCGGAGGCAGAGGTGGAGCTCGTGACGATGTATCCGCCGCCGACGCCGCCCGAGCGCGGACAGGGGCGTCGCGGCGCGGGGCTGTATCCGAGGCTGTCGCAGATCGAGTCGCCGGGTTACCCGCCTCGTGCCATGGGGCGAGAGCGTGAGCAGGGGCAGGGGCAGGGGCAAGGAATGGAGATGGAGACGGAGCACGATTTCTTAGCGGGGCACGAGACATCGTACGAGACCACCGCGGAGGGGTACGAGACCGCGCCGCTGGACATGGGCGCAGACGCGGACGGGGAGGACTCGCCGCGGCGCCCGCAGCGCTCTCTCGTTGGCTTCTCCATCCCGGAGAATGCATCGACGTTGAACAAGAGCCCGACGAAGCGCCGCAGGCTCGCGAACGGCGGGGACGCACAAGGCGCTGGCGGCGGAGGTGGTGCTGGGCTGATGACCCCGCCTGATACGGGGCACCGGTCCAACGGAACTCGGGCTAGAGGCAGAGGCGGGGCCAATGTCAATCAAGGCTCGAACGCCAGAGCGGGCCCGAGCAGGCTTCGGGAGCAGCCGCGCGCGGAGGGGAGCGAGGACGAGGAGATAGACCAGGGCTGGCCGATGGACGTGGTCGAGAGCCCGAGTGCGGCGCGGGGGGCGAAGCATATGGCGTCTGGTGCGAGAAACAAGGGGAAGGGCAAGGAGCGGGAAAGAGAGAAGCAAAGCGCCAGGAGGACGAACGCGAACATCATGGAGCGCGAGATGAGCGCCGACCCGGGGTGGGATGGGTATACCGAGGAGCAGAGCAGTGGCAAGGTATACATTTCGTCGCTCTACTTTGAACGACATGAGTACTGACGAGTGTCGTGCGTGCAGATCGCAGCCCCCCTCTTCCACCCGTCGCCCACGCCTGATCCCTCCGCTCTTTCCAATGCTCCACCTGACTCATCCAGTCCGGGCCCCGAAGACCCAGGCGCACACATCCTCGCCGCCCTGCGCACCCTACAGGCGCTCGACGCATCCGGGTACCTCGAGAATCTCGAGCGCATGCTGCGCGCCACCCAATCGAGCGTGAACGCGCGCACGGCGTGCAACAGCGCGCTCACAGGCGAGAACGCGGACCTGCGCTCAGCCGTCTCGGACCTCGAGGCGCGCGTCGCGCAGCTGACGCGGGAGGTCGACGGCCTGCGGCGTGTGGCTGCCGCCGCGACCCGGAGGCCCGTCGACGGGGGCGCGATGATGGATGGCGTCGGAGAGAGCCGACCCCAGGGCGCGACGATGCAGATGCGCGATATGGAGCGCGGCAGGGAGGAGATTATGCTGCTGCAGGAGAGGATCGCGAACCTGGAGAGACGGTTTGAAGCTTGAGGCTTGAAGCGACCAGGGCGACGAGGTGTCCGGCGACGAGCGGTGTACGATACTGATGCGGACTGCAGAGGAACTCGCAAGGCGCGGTCGTCGATTGCTCGATGTAAATGGAGACCGAAGACTCATTTAATGAAAGCTATGGTGCTCACGAACATCGGACTGAGAAGGTTTACGGGCCATGATAGCTGATATCAAACTTCGCGAGCCTAGGACTCGGATCAGACCTACCTTCTCTCCATCCTTTCCACATGCTTCAAGTTCAAAGTTCATCTCCGTCACAGATACTATGAATGTTCTCGGTCCCCATCTATCCTTAAGCTTGTTTTCTACTAGTCAGCAGACTCTAACCTCTTCCCGAATCTGACCACAGTCTCACAGTGGGCGGCGTCGTTAAAATACATCCACGGAGATGGACAAGGTGTTCCCACCGAGAAGATGAACTCGATTCACAATAACATGGTGCCGTGCTCTGACAATCACATCTTTCTCCTTCCTCTCCCACCATTTCCCTCTAAGTGCAAGTTGTTTCGTCCTCCTTGTCCTGTCGTCTCAAATTTCACGCGCACGTCCGACTCTCCCGTTCCTGAAATTTTTATTTGAAAGGCCCAGATGATAGCCCCAGCGGGCCAAGAACCTTCCACTGTTCAACCAAGATCCAATCCAGATGATGGTGGCAACGCCATAGTGCCAGTTTGCCAGCACGGAGAACCAGCCTATAGGACTGTAAACAAGTCTGGAAGGTGTGTCCTCTTGTTTCCTCCCGTTATGACACGTCTTCGAGAGGCGAGAAGAACATCAAACGGCGCTGACGTATGCTGGGCCGCGCTTCGATTGAACAGGGCGTTTTACGTCTGTCCACGCGTTCAACCTGGGAACTACTCGAGACAGTGTAAATTTCTGGGTAGGCACCTCAAGCTACGTTTCAGATTCTTCATCGCGTAGGTTGACGCTGTGCCATCTCGATTTTCATGTGTAGTTAGGGCAGACGAGCTCACTCGGCAAGATTTCACCGGAGTCACCACTAACGCCAAAATGGACTCGGAATTGCAGGCATCGGCTACCCCCTCGTCGAATGTTCAAACTCTAGCTCAAACTCGGGTTCAAACCCGAGCTCAGACTCAGGCTCAGGCTCAGGCTAATGCTCAATCTCACCCGGATCCGCAGACTCAGACGCATCCCCACTCTCCCCCTCCCCCTCAAACTCAGTCCAACTCTCGGCCGCCTGCTCCGGCCTCTTCGAAACCCTCCTCTTATACGCCTGCACTGGCGGCGTCAGAAAAATCCTCTTACGCTGACGATAATATATCAGAGCAAAGCTACAGCTACCCACCGCGCGTACACCGCCGGGTGAAGGTGGAAGCCCAGCCAGGTTCAGCAGGGCCTCGGTCAAACTCCTTCTTTGGCTTGCCGCCTACTTCGTCCGAGTCGGATGGCGACAACTCATCGCATCGACATGAGCTGCAGCTCTCAGCACATAGTCCATCCCAGGACCGTGAAGATTACGTTGATGTTCCGATTCCTCTTGGTGTGCCTCGAGGCTGTGATAACGTCAGCGCCACACTCGATGTTAATGAACAAGCGCCCTGTACACCCTCTATGCCCAAGAGTGCCAACATGGACAAGGCCCAGCACCCTGTGTCAAAGACCGTTGGCACACGCACCTCGCCGCGGAAGCCTCGACAGCCTCAGGAGCATCCACAAAGTATATCCACTGCTGATAAGACCCCCGCAAGCACCATCACCGCCGCGTCGCGTACGCGCGCGTCCTCCGTGAATGGTAGCCTCAACCAGACGCCGAGCAAGCGGACGCCTGAGGGGCGTGCCGCGCGGCTGGCCATGCTGCAAAAGGCCGAGGAAGAGGGGATTGCTGGCGCCGCCGGGCGAGGTTCAAACACAACCACCAATACTGCAGCCTATATGGCTGTTCCTGCCACCTTAGATGATCCCCCCATTAGTGCTGCGCCTGCCGTTGCTCGCAGGGAGTTTCTCGTCGTCCGCGACGCTCAGACGATTTTCGACGTCGGAGCCCGCGCTGCCTCGAGTCTTCCCATGTTCCAGCCTAAACGTGGAAACATTGAGACAGCAAAGCCGGTACAAGTACTGGGTTCGGACGTAAGCGATCGCACTACTGCCCCTGGTCCCAACACACGATCAGCTTTAGAGAGGCAGAAGAAGCTTCCAGGCGCGTACCCGAGGCTGTCGCTAGACTCCGACGTCCATGATGGGGCTCAAGATAACGACATCTCGCTCATCTTAGCGGGCGCTCCATGCTCCTTGTCCGATGATCTTGACACAGACATGGATATCAATACAATGCCGCGACTGCCGTGCTCTTTCCCCGACCTTGCGTCTTTGCATATGGATTCGTTGCAACTGCCGCGAAACCAGGAAACCCTTCTGAAGCGTAACTCCACAATCAATGAAGGTGTGAGCAATGGGTCGGACGGTGTACTAGGTGTTAGCCTCCGAACTGCTCGATACAACCGCACGAGCGCGAGCGCGAGGTCAGGGCTGAGCAGCGTTGAAGAACGTGTCCACACAGAGAATACCGACGTGTCGATGAGGGACGTGCAGACTCCGAGTATTGTACGCAGCACCAAGAAGGGAAATAAAGGCAAATCGACTGGTAGATGTGACAGTTTGAACGCGAACCTCGCAGTACGCGAGACGAGGCTTACTAGTAACAACAGTGACGGCCATCCTGACACTAAGAAGGAAATTGAAGGGGTGAGTACGACCATACGTCGAGTCTCTAATGCTTCGATACATATATTGGGTGCTGACTCCGAACTCACACCTCAACAGACCGCAGCCCACATCCTCCATCCTCCACAAGAACTCAATAACACTATATCTGCTACTAGTATTGTCGCCGGCTCTACACTTCAAGTTCGCGCAATGATGATAGAGACTCTAGAGGCTTGTCTTCAAGTCGCCCAGCAGAACTTGACCCACTACCGGGACGTCGCAGGCATCGAGGCCCGCCGAGTCGCAGAGCTGACGAACACACTTGCGGGACTAAAGATGACTGACAGTGACGGAAACGCAGCAGATCCCGACGAGCCTCTTCGAGCGCTGCCTTGATTTCTCGCGACATTATCCCATTGGTCTTGCAGCTGTGACTCATATTCAACACCTTATCCCCTTCTGTTTTTGGAACACAATAAAAACCCTTGGTACGCTCATACTGTAAATCTAGGAACTGATCTGAACCTCTTGTTTCTAGTGATTTACCACTCGTTTGTCCCCTGTGTTCGTGCGCCTGACTCCTTCTGATGTACTTAATAAAGCGGCGACGTTCCGCCTGCTGATGCCAACTTGAATATGAATGCAACCATACGCTGTACAAAAGTTTTTCACCCGATCGCATCCGCAGATAGGATTCACCAATATCCAAATATGTTGTCACCTCGAGCGACGTGCACTTTACGACGGGGCGTGTCATAGACTGAAATAAGTCCGTGGCCAGCGGTTCTCAGACGTAATCCCGAAGCACCAGAAAGACCATGCGGGGCAACTGCTACAGTATCGCTGGGGCAACCTCTGGAACCCCGCTTATCCTCCTCATTCCCTCTGCACACGGACGCCGTTCGCAGTTGGGCGTGTGTACGTTGACATGGCACGATGCCACTATCATGCTGTGAGGGTTTGGGAAACGCCTACTCTTTCCGGTCCTTTTCTTCTTGTCCTCGATATGGCTCCTTGGTCTACCGTCTAGGTTCTCCCCTTGGCTCCGAGGGCCGTTGTTTGGCTTTAACGTTCATCAGTCAAGAGGTATGAATTGCAGTGCGTTGACCCACGTTCTTCTGTGATCAGATCCACTTTTGAATTATGCGTTTTGCGTGTGCAAATCGTCGTATCCATCTTCGCCTTAGCCTGACTCAGACCCCTCGCCCTGGGACTGATGCAAAGGGATACGTACGTTGGGAATGTTCAACTGTCGGTTTACCCTTGTTGTTGGTTCTGCGAGGTGCGATAACCTATTTTTCGAGAAATCTGATGCTAACGTTGTGGGCACGATTAAGTCGCCGTACCCAGGTCCTTTCTTGCCTTTTCTCGATTCTTGAGGTCGTGTAGCGCGTCGTTCTTGTTCTTCTCTTGGACCACCGTGTAAGCTCCGTCAGTTTCAGCTTCTGCGTCCTGCACATCGAAGCGCTGGATCTTATTCTCAACCCTTCTGAGGCTGCGGCGATTTTGCAATGGAGACAGGTCAGATGCGCTTCGTGGCACGTCTTTTCATTCTGGGGCCTCTTTCTACGTTTGGGATTTTCTGCGATCGTTCTACGGTGCCGTCCCACGTTCAAAGACTCCGGAAGGCTCATCCGTGCCTTCATCTTGTGGGGTAGTCCCTGCGGACAACAACTAATGGGCGTTGTTTCATGTCCTGTCTCGGAGACTCCTGTGTTGCTCGGTGATCTCAGACGCATTGTCACAGCCGATCTACGCCCGCCTTTGCGATTGTGCGCAGATGCGGTCGCAACGGCCCCTTAGCTACCCGCCGGGTGGAAGAGTGACCGACGGAGCACTCAATCTACAACTTCGTCAATGTTACTCAGTCACCCGAGCATCGCCTGTGGATGGCGTTCTCTGCCATGCAGACCGTGTCAGTAGTGAGCAGAATGGAGATAAGAGTCTATCAGAGTCGTTGACATTTTCTGTCGTCGACATTTCTTAGATTCGGTCTCTTCAAAACATCGACAGCACCCTAACGGATCGCAGTGTCACCAGTGGAAATTTGGATGTGTACTGGCGGTGTACATCGAGCCGCACTGAGGTGAGTAACATGAAAGCGACCGAGTGATGCCAGAAAATGTTTTTCATTTTAATTTCTTTGTCTTTCCTATAGAAGAACATACCACGACGTGCGATCGCGTTCATAACGGTCGTCTATTCACTCAGATGAGAATTAGGTTTTCTCAGATTGGACGGTGTGTCTCAAAAACCATGTACGCAGGCTTACAGCTAAGCAGAGTTGACCCACTCATGCATTCTGCCACAACCCTCGGGCAAGACGCAACCGCTTCATGGATATTGCCCGTGAATGCGCTTGGAAGGCATAGACAATTATTCTTCCGTTGATGGAAGTCCTAGTCTTGTGCTCATCCAAAATAGGTCGGATTGCTCACCCTTGAATGATTCTGCCTATTTTTCACCGTTACTTTCCTTTGCTCAAGTACGGCGGAATGACCGATTCGACATCGCGGCTTCAGTAAGAACATAAGGGACACCGCACGGTGCTGTCACCGCCGAGAAGACAAGAAAATGGGGCAGAGCTCAAACGTCGGGGAAACAGTGTTCTTGGACGCAACCGCCTGACCCCAGACTGGGTTGAGGTATTTGTATTTCCTGCACATTGAGGGAGAGGCTAAAGGATTTCCAGGCCGTCCCTTGCCGTCTGTGCGCTAACTCTACACACTCCACCAGATAAATCGGGCTCGTGATCACCCTAAAACTTCGGAAGGAACTCGTAGACATCAAAGCGCACACGTACTCATGATCTCGCAGGGCGGACTGGGAAATCATTCTAAACGTTCGAGGATCAGCGCTTAGCATCGAGTGGCGCTGACATTCCGGTTTTTCGTTTAATAGCATCGCAGCTCATGCTTGCGGCCCGGAAGCTGAGAGCACATCGAGTCGTATTTGTTTCCATATTGCTCTACGCGCCTATCTTGCGGCCCTGGTATGGAGTAGTTGCCACTGACGTTGTCTACGCCACGATGATAATCTCCTGCGCACATGGGATTAAGACTCGGAATGAATAAGGAGTGGTTTAGCCAATGACCGTGCTCAAATAACAGCATAACTGGCTGCGAAACCCGACTGCAACGGAGATGCCAGAAAATGGAAACAGTATGATCATAATATAATGAGGCAATATTGCACGCGTCTAGGCAGCCGAGTCTTCTGCTTCTTGCTTCAATTCAATTGTACCGTACATTCGTCTTGATGAAGATTGTGGTCTCAGGAAAAACGCCGATAGATGCAAGTCTCAATAGATTTTGATTCGCAATGAAGGCGTCAGCCCGACTTTTTCCTAGTTATACGCCGGCCTGGAGTACCACCGAGGTTCGTGAATTATTGATGTCTGGGAAAATTAGAAGCATCTTTTGTCGGCGGCGCTAACGATGATTCGACCGCTGCAGCTGACCACGCCCATGCCTACATTCTCGGCGAAACAATGGAGGATTCAGAATCATTGCTGCGGAGTAAATGGGTAGGCAAAGAAAGGCCAAGCCAATCAAGCCCTGATTTACGTCGGTAGCCTCATCTCCTGATGATCGCAGAAATAGACATACCTGACAACTCTGTTCTCCGAGTTTGGTATGACACGAGATTGATGCGTTAGCGTTCGAGTCGACCTTTACCCAGCGTTGAGGTCCAGGAACCGAAGGGCAGCACTGCTACGGGCAAGAGCGAGGAGAAAGCTTCAGCCGGCCCGGGCCTGCGCGGCCTCGCACACACTTCGTGCACCATCTCCATACCTCCGGTGAGTCGGGGCAGAGGTACACAACGCCTCGATAACGTATTAGGCACGTTAATGGTTCTTCCATGACGCCACCAGCTTGTTGAACTTCCTGGAGCGAATACTACGCCCTCGCACGGAACTCATTTTCCATGCGCCAGTGGAAGGCTCTTGGGTCCATGTGGACACTAAGAAGATCCTCTGCTCGTTCCAATGTAGATGTGTTGCTATTCTTTCTTTCGAGCCGCAATGTTCCGGAAAGCGTGCTGACGTTATACCAGTGTAGGAGAGAGAGGAGTAACGATTACGAGAGTGCTTATCCCATCTGCTTGCGAGCACATGGTATCATCTAAGACGCGCTTCGGGGCAGAGTGGTCAGGGACGGAAGGTCAAAGCATGGGACGGGCGGCCGCCGTTTTCCACGCCAGCTGCGCAGGAAGGCGAAATCCACACCCTGCAGCAATACATTCGAGCAAACACGTCTTCTGAGGCTGTCCGGATTGGCTTGTCGTCATCAACACGCACCGAGCACCGTCGACATGTATACAGAGATGAACATCAGTGTCAGTGTCAAACACCGCGGTTATCGAGGGAGAAGATGAGAGGACAGTAGAGTATCAAAGATAACGTGCACTTGTCGCAACAGAGACATACGTAACGCACCGTATTTTTGGCCTCGATGATGCGCCCTTGACAGTGCCAATAGTGGCATATCTGTTCTATATGAATGAATATAGCACGAGTGCCGCATGCGCTGACAGCCACGTCCATCAGAGCCAGCGACAGCCTGAACCGCTGCCGTAACAGATGAGCACCAGATTCAACGTCCGCAAAAATGAAATCATACCGCCACGCCCATTTCATGATTTGCTGATGGGCCAAACGGGGGCACAACCTACGTAGTGTGTGCCGTTTTCCAACCGCGACGCTTCGCGAGTGAAATCCCCGGCATCCCCTCAAGGAAAGGTGATACGTCCAGTAAAGCAGCCGCGACGTTCTCGATCCAGCGACCAGGCCCTAGTTGCACCCTTGGAGCTAAAACGTCAGTGGCTCGGCCATTTACCCAACGGGCCATGATTACAAACAAAGTACTTGCCTTCGAACTTTCGCGGAGCCTGTCGAAGCGACGGGCCACGGCTGCAGGGTTCGCAGCGCACGTGCGGGGCGAAGTTTAAGATCACCCTATCGCCGTCCCTTCTGGCAGTACTCTGTGAACACAAAGTTAGCTTCGCGGTTCCCAAGGGCCCCGCCAGCCCAGATGGCCCATAAGCACGCCTCTCGCCGACTCTTAATGATAAGCATGTCGCCATCTTATCTTCATCCACCCTTACGACCACTCGCAGTCTCCGACGCGGTGGCGCATCACACGGGGGTCGAGCGACGCATATGCAAGCTTCAGATAGGCTAACTCGGCTTCAACCGCTTCCAGCCGTGTACCCGTCCTAGCCGCCAGCGGCGTCCTGCATCCTATGATAAAAGCGTCGCAGTCGTCGTCAGGAACGGAACTCGAAGCACGAGCCCATGCGCACTCACGGATTGACATATCGTGAGATGGCCCCCTTTCAGCTCTCGAGCCTCGCACCCCGGCCGGGAGCGCAGATACTCCACATCGCGTGGAAAGCGTAAACCCTAAAGGGCAAATCTCGTGGCCCGGGCCCAGTACTAGGTAGTGAAAAGCCTAAAATGAGCGCAAAACGCAAAACGAGGAATTCGCTCACTCGCTCGGCAGACCTTCCCGACAGGCTTTTGAATTGCGAAGCAATCCTGAGACGTATCGGTGAAGCGAAAAGGCGGGTGTGAGCGCACGGAAATCGGGGTAGGCAAGAGGATGCGGCAGGTCCGCGATCGCAAGTGGGTGAATCTGTGTCTGCACGACGAACGCACATGGACCTTCAGAGTTCACACGGACGAATATTCGAACCGTTAGAGTTTTGCGCGGCGGCGTGGATTGAATAAATAACGAGCGACTAAAACAAACCCTTTATGTAAACCAAGCCCCCTGAAATTCGAAAGACCAAGATGTATCGCGAGTAGTAGTCCGGTGATCTTCTCTCAAAGTGGAAGAAAGAACAAATCAGCGCTGAATGCGAATGGGGTAAAAGAATAAGGAAACCGACTTAAATAACATAACAGAAATACGTCTTGCAACATATTCTGCCTGTGTAAAGTAAAGAAAAAGATAGAAACAAAGGAAGGGTATGTATGTACTGTATGCCAGAGTCGCGAGTCTGATGTGCGGGAGGAGTGTACAATGGACGTATCTTTGATGTTCGAGACAGATGCAGAAAAGTCCGAACGAGACGGAGCCTACAGGTCTAACAGAAAAGTTTGCGCCACCAGAGAACAAACCTGGACCACCAGTCTCCTTTCCATCCGTCGCTGCGAGCCTTTGAGCCGACCCACATGCATCCAGTACCAAAGCGGATCTCTTTCCCCTCTCGCTCGTCCTCGCCTTCCTCGAGATCGGGGACACGCCCCGTCGAGACGGGAAAACGCGGCAACGGGCGGCGAGTGATGAACGGCGGAAAGACGGAGAGCAAGGACAGGAATTCGGGGTTGCAGAGGTCGGGCGCGGTCCAAGTACGTAAGAACTGTTCTTCGGAGTCTCCGCTCGCGAAGTCTGATCGCAGCGGGGACAGATTATCCACCTCGGGCTCAGTAGTCGAGACCTGCGGGGACGACGCCGCATACAGCGCTCGGACTTTGTCATCGGCTCCGTCGCCATTGGTTGCTGGCAGGGGAGGCGTGGCGCCCGAGGACTGCGACGAGGCAGACGAGAGGGAGTGCGAGAGACCTGGAGTAGGCATGTCCAAGAAAGGGTCGCTTGGAGCGCGTCCACGCTTTGAGAGCATGACGGGCGGCGGATTTCGCGTCGGAGACCTTTCTTTCACAGGCATAGGTTGGGATCGAGACCGCGAGTGGAGGAGGGGATCTGCCAGCCCGTCACAATTGGCGGCGGACCTGGAGTTCTGTACTTCTTCGAATGCTAAAACCTTTTTACGCAGTGATGAGAACAACTTGCACAACATAGTTTTCAAGAATAAAAGAACGCACTCCTTTGAGGACATCGATGGCTTCCAGCATGAATTCTTTGCCACTGAATGTCAGAAGACAGAGACGTCAGCTATGAATCTCATCGTTGCTCAGCGCACAAGGGCAACTTACGCCGCTTCCTTGAAGACTGCGTCGTCGAACTCCCATTGTATTCGGCTTTCCCCTGCGCCGCCGAGATTCTCAGGAACAACCTGCAGACGCATCATGGCCCAGAGAGCCTCGAAGAACGGCTTGGTGCCCGGAATACCGGCGGTGCACCACGTCCGCACGAATCGGTCCCAGCGATCAAACCGCTCCTTCCTTGCGGCTGGGCTGGCAGGATCCGCACGCAGGTGCGCGGGCAGCGATGCACCGGGCTGTGTCGCCGAGATGTGGGCCTGAAATTCGGCATGCCTGCGGGCGTTGACGCTCGCGTGAAACGAGGACCTGATGGAGGCCTGCAGACGGGTATAGGGTGCTTTGTGGGAGGGTGGCAGCTCCGCGAGCGTCTGGGTCATCTTGCGCCCCGCGAGCTCATCTTGGTTAAAGTACCTGCGGGCGCGTCGGGGAGAACGGGAATGAACGGGAATGAACAAGGAACGGATTGATGTTAATAGATAGTAGGGCGTAATGAGATTGTGCTGCGCACCATGCTCGGCAGTGTTCTGCAAACTTTTCGAGGTCGGACCTGGATACGCCCAGCGGCGTGCTGTTGCGTTTCCGAGCCGGAGACGGGAGGGCAGACCTGCGTTTGGCGTTCGGGCCGGACGGGAAGGACGGGGAGGTAGGCGATGTGATGGCTGATCTTGTGGTGGTGCCAAGGGGCGATGTAGGTGTGGGGAGGTCGTAAAGGAGTGACTGGTTGCTGGTGTTGGCAGTACCCGCGAGGACCAAAGGAGTGTTTGCACTAGTCTTCTGCGTGCGCAGAGGAGGCGGCGGGGGGCGGGACCGAGGCGCGTCGAGGAGATTTGTTGATCTTGACATAGCTTCCCATAGGCTCGCGTAAAGGCGATATAACTGCAAGCAGAGAGCGAACGCTGCTTCAGCGCACGCGCTTCTTCCGGGGTTGGCTGCGGGTAGTCGGACTGGAGATTAGGGGGTATTTCAGCCACAGAAACAGACAGCAAGATCTCCTGGACTCTGCTGGTGCTCCTGCTGCTGTGTGCGGTTGGCGGCTGGGGGGGTGAGGATGTCGTGCGGGCAGGACACAGGCTGCCTGACCGACGACGCCCTGCCACCAAACAGAGGGGAAAGCAAACTGCTCACTTGCCTATTTTGGAAATCCATTATGTCAGCGCCGTACACAGTGGCAGGCCAGAACGGGCGCCTATTTTTCTCCTTCTTTCAGCTCGGACGTCTCCTCACTTGAGTTGAGTTGTTGGGATCAGGAGCAAAAGGTGCGTTAAGCCTATTGAGGACATCCAACTCGACACGCTCCTTTGATGAAAGTCAGACATTCTACGAGCCCTCTACACCCGTTCCGTGTACATGACGACTTCAGCCGTTGTCACCAATCATGCAGATGTTCTCGCGGCCTCCGTTGGCCTTCTTCGAGGTGGGATTTTTTGCATCCATTCACTGCCATTCTGAATAGATTCGTGCTCCGGTTTCGTCATCTAATAGCGACAGAAGGTGCGGTGCCACTTGTCTGCTCGCCAGTGGTGGCACACCGGGCACCCTGCGCACGTCTCAAACTCCGTCCATAACCATAAGCCGCAGCTAATGACGCATACCCGTATCCTTTTTTGCCCAGGTCACAAGCCAACTTGCCGCCCAAACCCTGATGGACTCTGTACCGACCGGCGCGTTACCGCGGCCCGCGCTTCCCTGCCGATTGTATGCACGCGCATATATGCATACATACGCAATAGCAACGTATCACGATGAATTGGCTGGAGAAATACCACCGAAGACAGATCTTCATCTCGCGTCTCCATCCCCAACAGCCAAGGATCTGCGGAGGGTCCCTGACAGCCGCCCATAAATGCCGACCGAATAGCCGGTCGGTCGACCTTTTGTCAGGCCCACGCTCAGATCAGTGGCGGGCATATGACATAGGTGCTCCTTGTGGACGCAACCACCGGGTCAACTCTTTGCCGACGGAACTCCTTCGTACAGAAACGAGCAACGCTGGGCCTCGCGGGGCCGGATCCGGGGGAAGGTGGGCGACTGCCCATACGCCACGCTTATCTCGTTCTCGTACATAGACGCCCTGGACAATGAATCACAGATGCGCAATCTGACCTCTCGACAGGCCGTGCAGGCTGATTTGCGTCTGCACCCAGACAACGCGTGGAGACACGCAGGCCACGGCGAAGCTCCCCATATCCCGAGAAATCACGGTTTGACGCCCTTCGAAGAAGTGGTATGATGTATTCCTGCCTCCCCATCTCCTCTTTACTGGTTAGCTACCCTGATGCGGCCCTGGGCCAGCGGGAAACGGAAGAAGATGACAACACTGCTCGCTCAATCTCCGAGGCCTCCGAGCCCGAGCACCAACATGTGCCTGATTCAGATGTCGGTTGCTGCGGTCAAAAAAACCTCTCGTAAACGCACAGATCTCAGTTTTTCGATTGCACTGAATACGTCGTAATGTCGACCGTTTCGGTTTTGAACGACGTAGCGGGCGCCCGTCCGTGATGTGTCGGACGGACGTCAGGACTCTTTTTTCTTTTTCTTTTTTCTTTTTATTGTTATGTACAACAGAAACAGACTAGCCCGGCTACCAGGACTTGGACTCGCACTAAGGGCCCAACTTTGACCCATTACGTCAATGAATAGGTTGGTGGCACCGCAATGAGGCGCAGGGACCAGACATGTCCCGCACGGCGCGATGCGCGTGCTGTGCAAAAAATTATGATTATTATTTGCCTCCGTGCATAGTGACGGGCGAGCACGCCGGGCGGAAAGGCTTCCTTGAGCCTCCTTTGTTCAGAGTGCCACAACGCGGATGGCGGTGAGCAATTTATGCGCGCCACAATCCTGTACGCGCACCACAACCAGGGTATTGGGCTCGATCGAGGCGAGGGAGGAGCGCATCGGCTCTCGAAAACTCGACTCGATCGGACACCCCCAGCTGCTTGTTGGAAAGAGGAAAGAGCCCACCGTTCTCGCAGATCGGGTATTGTTGGCTCACCTCCCCTCCAGGCAGCTGCCAGTGAAATTGAAATGGCTGGTGGTGGTGGCGGCGGCATCAATCAAAAGCGGAGGGAAGATCCCCTGAAATTGAATCAAGATAAGCTCGTGGCAAAACAAACTTTGTGTAGCGTGACAACTCAACAGCACCGCTGACAGAACGGGGTCATAGAACGCAAGAAGCAGCAATTAAGATACAGAGGATTCGCCGAGTGAGTGTGCGAGGGAGAGTTGAAGGGAAAGAGAAGGCGAGGAAAAAATAAATAAAACTGGGGTGTGAACGCAACGCGGCCACGGCCAACAAGAGACGTACGCTGTGTGCGGTGCGCGTGCGGAGTCAATTTGGCGTTTGCCATTTGCCATTGCTATTAACAAGTTGCCATTTGACTTGCGCCCTGTCCCCTCGCTCTCGCTCCTCAAGGGAAGGGAAAAGATAATAGGCTAACGTTTCCGCATCGAGTCGTGCTTCCTCCTCTGAAAGGATGGCGCCGTAGCGCGTGGCAGCCGGCCGGGGCAAGGCGCGAGGGCAGCCCGGGCCAGGTCTGAGCTATTTACGATGCACGATTGTTGTGTCCTATCCTATCCTCAGTTGTTACCCGGTCCCTCCCATGCGAAGGGGGCGGCAGCATGCCGAGACGCAGTGCGGGTTTTGATCCCAGTCTCAGTTCCCGAGTCCTCGCGATCAGCATCAAAAACTGGGCACGGCATAAGCGATCGGGCGCTCCAGGGAGAACGCGTCCTCGTTGTACGTGGGCTTAATGGACCGCCGTGAAGCCCTTGAAGTGCGACTCATTCAGCGGGAAAGCCGCCTGAGACGTATTGCATTGATTGAACGGATGCATTCAACGTTCGAGCGACAACGCGAGTGTTTCAAGGGTAACGTGGGGGCCCCAATCAATACGAGAACGTCGATGCACCACACAACTTTTTTTCATTTGTTTCATTAGGATGGGCACGTTATGATCACTTGCATGGGCGGGCCTGTGCGGCGCGTCGAGACGCGGAAAGGAAAAGGGGCTTCCCGGATGCGGCAATGGCACGGAAGAGTGACGGGAGGGCTCGTGAGCAGGGAGTGGTGGAGAGGCGGAGACAGAAGGAGAACTCCATGGCGTCTCGCGTCATGTCGGCCCACCTGTTGCCAACGGGAAGCGGCGTGGGCTGAGGAAGAAGCCCAAGAGGGACTGCATTTACATTGCGAGGCCATGGACGTCTCGCGAGTCGGATAACACAGGGAGCGTGATGAGCGAAAAGGGAAAAGGCAAGTGCCATCAAAGCATCCTAATTTAAAAGTGTAAAATCGACATATTGGATCTGGAGGAGCGAGTGTACCTTGCGGCAATGGCCGAGGAGAGAAAATAGTGTATGAGATTGTAACAAGAAGAGGGGGATGGGTGTTGAGATGGCTGGTTATATGCGACTATATGGACCGAGGAGTGTGCGAGCGAGCAGGATCTGAGCGCACAAGGTTGGGGGGCGGGGGCCAATCGGAGGAAATGAAGGGTTTGTGGTCCAGAAATACAGCTGCAAACCGATAGGCTGGCTGCGGGGACAACGAGAGGCACGAGAAAGGAAGAAGCGAGAGACCACTGAATGAGGAGATGAAGTAACGGTCGCTCTAATCATTGTTTGTCCGAGACAAGAACTCGAATTCAGATCTTTGCAGCCCTCGTCCGGCTCCTTTTCGTGCGTGGATCAGCGCCTTGCCGCGGGTTTCGCAGCTGAGTGCTGAGTCGAATCTGAGCCTGCGCGAGATCAGCCTCCCAGAATTAGACTCGAAGACGGGGACACGCGCATATAAGAGGAGAGAGGGGTGCCCGATCTCGAAAGTCACTAGTCATTTTTTGTTGGCTCGAGTCGCGCCTCGTCGACTGCACCCCGCGTCTGCATCTGCATCTGCGTCTTACACTTGTCGCACCTCTCTATCTACCACCTCTCCGTGACCCTGCGCGTGCTTACGAGCATTGTCTGCCAAGGTCTTAGCCTCCACTCTGACTTGGACATCGGGCGCCGACCACTTGCCTTACACATCCCGACCATCTCCGCCCTCCGCGTGGGGTTGCCTGTCTTGCGGCCGCGTCCCTGCTGGCGCACGGAAGCAAATCTGAGTTTTGGCAATAGGCCCGGTTAATCGGCCAGCCCGGATCCATCGCGTCGAATCCATCCATCGTCGTTACGCCTTTTTGATTTTAATTGCAATTGCAATTTGGTAAGCGCGCTCTCTGGTCCTGTGCATTGGATGGTTGATTGCTCATTACCGCATTCTGCATGTTTTCTGATGGCTTGTTTTGGACTGTGCAGGTGGTGAGGCGCCCTTGTTCGTCGCAGATTATCAGCAAGATTTGAGGACTCCTGTACGGACCAATTTCCATAAAGCTGTCGTAAAATTGAATGGCTCAAACCGCCGCTTGGCCGTCCGTGATGACAGCGGCAATTTCCGACCGCCGATCAGACCTGGGATTCGACATCGACAGCAACATTCACCACCACCATCCCCGCCTCTCCTCCTCCTCCATCTCCGACATATACTCCAGCGGTTTCTCCTCCCGAGAACGCTCCCTCTCTATGGACTTTTCGTCCTCTGCAGCCCACCAGGGTCAGCCACCCCACCATCCACCCAACGCCCTCTACGGCCAGCCAGACCTCGATAACGCGTTCTCCCCCATCCACTCTGTCGACAACAACTCCCCAGCTCACCCCCACATCTCGAACCACTCATTCGACCAGCAGGAGGGCATGGACGTGCCAGAGCTCTTCACCAACGGCGCCAACAACTTCTCCTCGAGGTACCGCGCCAGCTCCGCATCCTCTTCAGGGCCCAGCTACGGCCTCTCCTCCGAAAATGTCTACAATCACACCAACTTCGGCGACTCACAGGGCTCGTTCGGCAACTCCAATGGCAACCCGTACGAACTTATGAGCGTCCCCTCCAGCTACAGCAGTGGCAAGGTTTCCCCGCTTAGCCCCACAGACCCCATGACGGGCATCCAGCAGTCCCCAGTTTTCCCCCAGTCGTCAGGGATGAACGGGTCCAACAACCATTCTTTCAGCGATATCCTCCAGCAGGACAACGGCCGCCGTATTCCCAGCATGAGCGGCCCGGGTGGTTACCACTCTGAGCCGTTCCAGGACGACTTCGCGATGAGCAACGGCGGCAGTTATCCCCCGTCGGCACTACATCACTTCCAGCAGCGCATGAGTGCGGGCGACCCGCGCTTCGCTCACGGCTCCCCCATCTCGTCACATATGCAGCACGGCTCCCCCGACTTGTACCACAGCGTCTCTCCTCAGGATACCAATCCCTCTTTCCGACCATCGTATTACTCCGAGGACGTGCAGTATATGCAGGCCGGACGGCATCCTGGGATGCCCATGCTCGACTTCCCGGGCATGCGTCCAGGCCAGCCAGGCATGGGCGCATCGAACGATCTCCAAACATTTATCCGGTTAGTCATCCGTTCAATTCAGTTCTTCTCTTCTCCCCTGCTTATAAATCAATCTTTGCCATTGTTCTTGCTGGCCAATGCTGATGGCGGTACCGTTTGCGCAGCCCCTACCTAGATCAGTACGTGCGGACGCCGAATCGGCTCGCGTTTGGAGAGCGGACCGTGATCGTGATGTCGAGCAAGGTCGCGCAGAAGTCGTACGGCACGGAGAAGCGCTTCCTCTGCCCACCGCCGACGGCTATCATGATTGGCAACTCGTGGTGGACGGACGTGGTGCGCCGCGGAGAAGAACCCAAGCTGTGTCCGCCACGCGTGACGATCTGCATCTCGGGCGAGCCCGTCCCGCAGGAGGGCTCGATCGAGTGGACGTCTGCCTCGGGCAAGATCTTCGACGTCAACGACGCGCCCACGGGCACGACGTACATTGGGCGGTGTGTCGGGAAGCAGCTCTTCATCTCTGATGTCGACGAGAAGAAGAAAAAGGTCGAGGCGCTCGTCAAGATCACTGCGCCGTCGTCGGACGATGAGCCCGAGCGTGTGATTGGGACCTTCCCTTCTCGGCCCATCAAGGTTATCAGCAAGCCCAGCAAGAAGCGGCAAAGCGCGAAGAACCTTGAATGTGAGCACGTGCTTGCGCATTTTATTTTTCAAAAGTGTCTAATCAGAAGAAATTTCGGCAGTGTGCATCAACCACGGCTCGACGATCTCGCTGTTCCACCGGCTGAGGTCACAGACGGTGTCCACCAAGTACCTCTGCGTTTCCGGCTCAGGATCCTCGTTCAAGGGTTCTGATGGTGCTCCACTCATGGGTATCGACGCCCGTGTTCGCTCCAATACGCCATCTTTCATCGCCCGCACTGCCAGCTGGGATCCATTCGTGATGTACATCGTCGATGTCAACAAGCCGGCTGGCGGACTCGAGGTCCCCCCGCCTCCACCACCGCAGCCTGATTATCCATCTCCCCCGCCCAACGCGATCCCCTTCCCCACGAACGGCTCGCAGATTCCGATCTACTACAACCAGACCGTCGTGCTGCAGTGCCTCGTCTCTGGCGTCGTCTCGCCAGTGCTCATCATTCGCAAGGTCGATCATCAGACCACTGTGGTTGGCGGTGGCCTCCAGGAGGGCGCCAAGGGCGTCGCAGATCACTACTGCGCGCTCAGCGAAGTCTGCGGCGACCCCGTCTCGCAGCTGCACAAGATCGCGTTCGAGGTGTATGACCCAGCGAAGGGCATGCCTGAGCCCGGCACGCCCGGCGCGACCGGTGCGTTCCTCTCGTGCATGGGCGAGAAGGTGAACACGTACCGCCCCGTCGACGGGCGGCAGTGGAACACGCCCCCCTTGCCGACGTCGCCGATTCTGCCTGGCTCGCCTGTTGTTTCGACGCCTGTGTCTATGGGCGGTAACGGGGACTACTTTAACGGCGCGCCGGGCGCGACGAGCGTGACGAGCGAGCCGGCCTCGCCGTCGTCATCAAACGACTTTACCAACGATGGCGGAAGAGTCAAGAAGGGCAAGCGGTCGACGTCGAGCGCCGGTGGCTTGGGCAAGAACCCGACCAAGGGCCGGCGGCGGCCTACGTCGGCCGGCTCCGTGTCATCACGAAGGGGTTCTGGGAGCGACGCGGGCGCGTCCTCGGGAGCGCTCTGGCAGATCGACATCGGCGAGACGAGCGTGTGGACCATTGTCGGTACCGGTGAGCACTTCTGTGATTTCATATACGCCGCCGCGTCGTTGGGAACTGACACCCGTGTTTGTTTGTGCCTACAGACCAGGTCCGGTATAACTTCTACGTCCCGCCCGTGCTGTTCGACAACCAGAACGCGCCGCAGACGGGCTCGTTCCCGATCCCGACCAAGCCCGTGACGCCGTTCCCGGGCGTCGTTAAGTACCTCCCGCCCGACCGCGCGGCGGAGGCGCCCAAGTCGAACTGCGCGCAGTCGCGCGGCGTGCTCGCGAAGCCGCATCCGCATATCAGCAAGATGTTGACGGTGTACGGGGAGAACTTCAACAAGGCGGACCCGGTGCACATCTTCTTCGGCGCGGAGCCGTCGCCGTACGTCGAGATACGGTGCACGGAGGTGCTCGGCTGTCTCCCGCCTGAACAGCAGGTGCCCAAGCGTCGCTCGATCATCATGATTCGCCCTGATGGGGTGGTGTTCCCGTCGAGCGTGATGTTCCCTTAGCTGCGCGCCTGCATGGCTTTCTTTCGCTCCATCGCACTCATCTTCTAGACTATGACATTCTTGCTTCTCTCCTCCTGTGCTGTATCTCACTCGTCGTCGCGAATGTATGTCGTGTGTGGATGGTTCACCTGCTGCCGCTGCTGCTCTGTCGCCGTTGTTCTATCTTGCCTGCCTCAATGCAATGCCAATATTTGCCGTCGCCGCTGCTCTCCCCCTTGTCTCGTGCTTGCTCGCTGGTCTACCCTTTGCGGGTTACTCTACTTATTATATTCTGTCGTCGTGTTTTCTATAGGATCTACTTACTCTTGATCTCTTTCCTGCATGTATTCTAGTAGTAGAAAGGACTTGGAATTAAAAAAAAGAGGCGCCGCGCATGCTCTACCCTACCTATTACAGCAAACAATTTTTCCCTCTTGGTCTTGGTCGTCTTGGTATCTCGGCGTTATTTGTGAAAGACAGTCCACTGGTCTCCGCCGGAGAACGCTTAGGAGTAGCACTCCGCTTGCATGTTGCTTGCATCACGTTCCTGTGGCGTTGCAGCCCGGTCGGCGTTGCGATGGCATCAAGGAGACCGCGAAGGAGATGGATTGATTTAACAAGTAAGAAAGAAAGAAAGTGAAGGTCTGATTGATCGTGTTCTGTTTCTGTTTCTGCTTCTGCGTGCGTGCGCTACGATAGGTTACGGCATCCAAGCTGGTCTAGAAGTCATGGTTGAGTTTCAACGCCCACTCGTCCCGTCAGGCCTTATCAGCGGTATCAAGTAAGTGCGAGGTCTGCTATTTTCAGCTTTGCGCCCGCATGAAGCGCAGATTTACAGTAAAGGCAGCACGGCACAGTTTATGCGCTGTTCGCTGTTTCAAAAGGCGCATGAGTTTGATGATGATGTGGTTTGTGTAGGAAGCCGGCGAGGTTTTTCAGGCTTTTGGACGTTGATGCCAAGTAGTGATGCGGCAGGCGTCTGTTTCGAGTTCATATCTGCGGTATGATCAGGAGCAGGGCCGTGCTTTGTCCCAACCCGACCTTTGAGGTTACGCCGCTTCTGCGGTGCGCGTTGGGATCATATCAGACAGATACACCGATCCAAACGCCGCGTACTTCGCGTGCAGCTGCCAAATGCAACTGCTGACTCAGTACTGGGGAGATATCGGTGGTGCGCGAGGAGAGATACAGTCTAAGGTTTGTGCCCGTTCGCCCCAAGTTCAAAACGAGCGTTGATTCCGATCATCAAGCCGTGATGTAGCCATATAGACCGTATTCTTAGAAACTCGACTCTCTCTTTCTTTATTTACCACTTGTGGCACTGGCGAGTTGGTCGAGATCATGTCTTGTTAATTGAGGGTTGCACCCCTGCATTACCTGCGCATCTGCATGTCCATGTGGTTGCATGATGCATATCACTGGCAAACGCCGTGGCGCCCTTGCCCAAGTTGAACCGATCAATAGAAATGCAACACCTTGCAAGGCATCTGGAGTATGTACCTATGTAGCAGTGAACCCCGCGGATCTCGATCAACAGCTCGGAGCGGCTGACACCCTCCACTTACGGGACGTGGCGAGGTGAGCACTTGCCCGTTATTGAGGTACACCATGATAATTTGGATCGCCAGATCCAGTGCGAGATGCGATAGAGCAAATCCGGACTGCGAGTGATTGCGTCCGTGTCAAAACATATGGGTCCACGTAGGTGGCGTACAAAGTTTGCCCCTGTCGCTGTCGGCGGCGCAACGCGCCTTACTGTGCGCAGCTCGGTGAGGAAGGCACCGACGGGGCCGCAGCCGTGGATTAGGGCGGCGGGATAAAGGCGCTTTAAAGTGTCTTAGTGCAGCTGGGCCGGCGCTCTCGTAAGTCTTGACAGAATTAGGGTCCTTTGCACCAGCGCCAAGGAGAAGGCAAGCCTCTCCGTCCCCAAGAAGCCGGTACGCCGATTTACCAGCGGTTGACACAACTAAACATTATCCTTCCTGCCTCCTGCCTTCGCAACCTTCGCAATCGCTGTCGCGACCCGCCCGGCCGCGGCCGGTGGTAAAGTGGGTCCAAGATGGACGAACCCGAAAATTACCTCCCGTCCGGTTGTTATCTCGGCTAGATTAGTTCGTTGCATTCGCGGATACAGCCCAGCTGAGCCTGGGACACGATGAGAACTCGACGGACCTTTGGCAGAGCTAGGCCCGACGGGCAGGTAATAAGCCCGGAGATCGCCAGGCTCCATCTATCCAACAACCACTGAAGTATCTGCTTCCTTGACCAGGAGCTTCCTGCTTCCTGCAAAAGCGGAACGGGGAGCCGTCTCGGGGGAATCGCAGCGTAACGGAGCTCGCTCGAGGAACGGGTATCATGGGTCGCAACAGGCCCGCCGTATGCCATGAAGGCTTAGCGTAGCTCATTCTAGAGCCGACGGACTTCCAATAGGTAGCCCAACATCGCCTCCAACAATGAAGAAGACCCACCATCACCGGTCTGGCATCATTGCATCGAGGTGTCGGCAACTTAACTGCGCGTCTTACGGGGATATACAGAGACCAAAGTGGTCCGCTGAAATGAAACAAGAGGTCGCTGGGTTTGGCGGTTACATCTCCGCGATGGGCTAAAAGATAATAATGATGGGGTTGATGGAGGGATGCGGAGCGCCCATCGTCGTGGCACGAACTGGGGCAGGGCCGTCGAGCACGGAAATATCTGGGGCGGTCGTGTGGATGCTCAGCCCGGGATTCGCCGTGTATCAGAGGACTCGAGCTCGGATCCGGACTCGGAGAAGTGGATCAGAGAATCACTGCGGAAAGAGAGAACTTCAGAGATGCGGGCACGCACCAGAGATGTGCATGTCGATGTGTAGATGTGCAGTAGTAGCAGAGGCACAGTCCGCACCCGCACGCTTGAACGCCGCTATCAGATGATATCGATGCGTGCATGTCCAGTACGTACGTGGTACAATGCGGAGAAAATATTGAACGCAGCGCGACGATGATATGATGGGGCACAGCCAGATGGCTATTCGAGGTGCATCGAAGAAGCCCCTGGACGCGCGGATATCAGATCGCGCGGTCAACCTACGTATCACTGGCGGTGTAAGGAGGAACATCTGTGACGCACTTTGTCGTTCCTAAGACAGGAACGTGTCGCTGAGCTTGAACTTGGCGGCTGCCTTGTGGCACCCGTGGTGACCGATGCGCAACTATAGAGATCGCTGGTGAGTAGAACCATGGTTGTGGCGTGGTAACGTTATAGGTGTTGAACGTTGATCGTAGAACGTTCGACACTGCCTAACAGTAGCCGATCGAAGCCTGAACAGTGCCTTCATTTTACTTGCTTCGATCTGTTCTCAGAGTCCTAGTATCTAATGACTGAGACGGACGTCTCGTCGCCAAGTGGTAAGATTAGAGATAGGGGGTTTGCTCCAGTTGCAGATTCCGACGGCTCACCCTAGTTGGTATAGCTCGAGTCGGAAGCTGTATGACGGTGAAGTCCTGTGTCCAAGTTTGCAACAACAACATATCTCCAAAGATGTCGGGAAGGTTTAGTCTCCTGTCAGAGCTGTTCATCAGGTAACGTGTCGCTTCTGTTCTTTACTAAAGAGAACACCGACCGGCGGCGCCCGATCGACCATCATGTTGTGACCTCCTTGGGACTAGAACGTTGTGTTCTTGTTATACATCGTTGGTGCATGGCGTCAACGCAGAAGTCCTGCAGCTAGCTAATCGACGGCAACCTCCGAAACACAGACTTCGGAATTTAAACTTCGTCCGTGTCATGTTTTCCTGTAATTCAGCGAATCCATGTGCTTCTTATCAACCGCTTTGACTTTCACCCTTGAGCGCTGAGCCCCTGCGCCACAAAACCACATATATGGACATACTTGAAATGGCAGCGACTGCGATGGTGACAGAATATGCCAGGTGACCACAACGTTGCCGCCGGTAATGAACGACAGAATGTGCCCCGGCGCAGATCATGCGGACGTCAAGCTTTCAAGGGTGGATAAACATACCGCCGCCGCGGAGACGAATAGCTACATTGATGCCGGTGACGGAAATAAACATTGAGCGACGACAAAGCGAATGAGGCGGGTATCCGCTCGACCAAGTTAGCAGATAACTCGGATCTGCTAGCGGCGGCGACTAGTTTGTTGGTAACATGACCGAAAAAGACTAAAACAGCAGAGCATAGAATGGATATGGGGGCGCCGCAGGACTTCCTGTACTATTAGGTGGTCCGCGGAATGAAGGGGAAGAATTAACATGCAATATTTAGAGTTACAGTTAAGCAGCTTTCCTGACGGCTGCCACCGCGCTGACGTTGCTCGAGCCCTAGAACGTGTCCAGGGAATGTGAGCACCTGAGCACCGACCGGGAACAGCAAAGGGAGAACGATAATAGACCCGCTATCAGAAACTTCGAGTTTTCCAGCGCTTACATTCATGAACAGAGACAAAAAGACAGATCGGACGAGGAAATTTGCAAATGAAGAACTATGCCAAACATTAAAAAAAGTATTTCAAACAAGTGACCGACGGAGGCGGGAAAGAAAAAAGATCAGCGCACACCCGCCTCCGCCAGCGAAGCCTCCGACCGCCGGCGTGTTGTACCAAAGCCAGATGGCCTCAAGTTTACGCGTTGTCGTCATCGCTGATCTCTGTCCAGCGTACACGTCCGACTCCAGGTCAAATAATCTGGCACAGACGGTCCGTAGCTCAAGCCCTACGTTGTGTCCAGATAAGACGAACAGAAACTCGAGGTGTAAGTTACAGTGTAAGGGGCGGATGATTGCTTTACTAACTGTCAGAAGCTTCAAACCTGAGCGTTATAGATACCAGACGAAAAAAAGAATATTTCCAACAACCGCATTAGGGTGGAAGCTGGCGCACAGCTGGTGAGAGCCTGAGGCTTGAAAGTTGAAGCAGATCTACGCGAGCTGCAATAGGCCGTAACTTGCCAGAGGCCACAAAGCTCGTGCAAAGGCCACTGGTTTCGAGACAGCGTTGAGGGCGGGACACAAGGGCATTTCCGATACCTCATAACACGAGTGAGTTTACCTTCAAAGAACTACCCGCCTCCTTGGCGTGATCATTAATGTGGTGCATCGTTTTGCCACCGTAACAACCGCGCGCCACCGTCGCCACCGCCAGATGCAGGCGCTTCAGTCAAACAAAGAGAAAGGAAGGTTCGGCATTCACTCGCCTCTGCCATTAATTTGCTCCACCCAAACTGGATGTGGTACCTGAGCTACACCTCGCCGTCTTCGTTGAGCTCACGCCTATTGCATATGTCCGTCAGGTCAATTGTAGATACCAGCAGATGAATACGGTCTAGCCTGGATCATCCGTAGCTCAGGCCCCAAATGAGGTGAACGTATTGTATGCCTTGAGACGCAAAGGGAACCCGGAGAGACGATGAGGAAGCTGGCAACTGTTTTCAATAGACGTCCAAGGTGGAACACGAGAGCATGTCCGATACGCGCTGTCCATGGCATGGAATGAAATGAGTTGGTCCACCTCACGCAGGACCGTCCGCCTCCTTGGACACGGGACATTATCATGACAACTTCCACATTTGCCTTGCCGTCATAACGACCACCGCCCTCAGCGAGCGCTCGCCGCAAGCGAAAGTCATCTCGCCTTCGACTCCGCCAGCTCCGCCTCCTACTCCTCAGACGTACTGTACCCAAGCTGAATATGGGCCCTCAGCCATGCCCCGTCGTCCGCGCCGAGCTCTGGCGCCGCGTACACGTCCACGAGGTCGATGGGCGCCACGAGCGGGTGGTCGAGGTCGAGGCGCGCCTGGACCATCTCACGCAGCGCGCGCATCGTATAGGATTCGGTGCACCGTACGACGGTGAGCGTTTCGATGTTGGGGCCTAGGACTGGCCCGCCGAGCGCGCTCTCTACTGGCGGTGGGGGCGGGTCCGCGTCAGTGGGAGGCTGCGCGGGTGTGGTGCCAGCCGGTGCCATCACCACCACAGGCGTCATGCGTCTGAGGATGTCGTCGGTGAAGCCCGCACACCTGTCTGCCCTTAGACAGTGCCCCTGGAAGTTGCTTAGCGCGTTGAGAACGTGCTCCGTGCGGTCGATCTCCTGCAGCGAGAGCTGGTAGCCGTCGATGGGCGGGAGGGGCGTGGGCACCGTGCAGTCGACGAGCATCACGGATGCATTGGGGATGCTGCGCCACGGGAAGTGGGTGCTGATGAATGAGCTGTCGATGTGCTGGAAGAGGAGGGTGCCGGTGAATCTGTTGAGGAGGCGCAGGTCGCTGGCGCCATTGGGGTTAGAGTCTGCGGTCGATTCGGATGAACGAAGAGGAGAACAGGGAAGAGGAAGAGGAGGCTTGGTCAAAACACGCTCATCGAGCGGCGCAGAGCAGTCAAACCCAATATCCGTAAAAGTGACGAACCCGCTCCCCCTCGCGTCGTTCAGGATAAACAGCGCCTCCACCAGCGCGGCGGGTGACAGCCCGGGCGCACCATGCGGCGGCCTATACCTCAAGAAGTCCGCCTGCACGCTCATGCAGGAGCTGTTCCACTCCTCCCACGTCTTGCTGGCATGCACAAAATCTACGAAACTCCTCGCGTCGAGCGAGACCTTGTTCACGCTCGGACACCGCAAGTACCGGAGGCGCAGGGGCGCCTGCGTGTCCGCAACGAACGACTCGACGCAGAGCACGGCGAGATTCGCCGCAGACGCGCCGTCCAGGATCGCACTCGCGACGATCGTCGACGAGCGGTACATGAGCGTGAGGTACAGCGCGTAGCACCGGTCCAGATGCGGCAGCAGCGCGCGCACGAGCATCGCAACCCGCGCGTTTTCGTGAGCGGCGTCCATGACGATCGTCTGGTGGTACGACGCGCGCAGGTTGAAGTGGATCCCAGCGGGGGCGGACGCGGCGAAGTACGCGTCGAGCACCGATGGGGAAAGCAGAGGGGACTCGAGGGGGAGGATGACCCTGCGCCAGTATTCTGGGACCATGCAGAGGACGTCGAGCCATCGCGTGCAGACCTGCGCGAGCGCGAAGGGGAACAAGGCCGGATCGTGTTGTTTGCGTTCTACTTCGAAGGACCACTCGTGGAGGATCGAAAAGATCGCCAGGAAAATCTCGTTCGGGAAGTCGAGGATTGAGGCCTTTTCCCATGCTTCATGTTAGGGTTGCAATTGGGCAGCAACATCGAGAGGGCTTACCATAGTTGCACAAGCGTCGCTGGATGGTGAGTCGACTCCCGATCGTCCTTTAGCTGGTCCTCCCTTTGGAATCTGGTGTTGGACGTTGTCTGCCATCAATGAAGGAGAAAACATATGCTTGATTTATCCAATCCACGTGGCAAAGCTGACACAGATGTCAAACCCTCACAATGCAACTCCGCTCCTTTCGGGATGGCTAAATCTACTCGAACTGCTCACGGTATTCAAATGTCTCATGGAGCTAAACACACAAATGCTGGAGGCACTGTATTGCTGCGCTATCAAACAACGCTCAGCATGCATAAAGGGGGGTCTACGTACTGTTTGCTTACCTAGTAATCAATTAGAGAGCATAGCTGAATATCGCGCATCACCGAGGAGAGCACTGAAGCTAAGAACACGACATTGGCTCTGTGCGACATCTGCGTGCGTGAAATTGAAGGATAAACCTTTTCATGAACGATTTGTACGTACGTGGGAGCCCCGGCGGTTCAACAGATTAATGGTGACAAGGAACACCCCGAGACTAGGTTTGGTATTTTCATATGAGCTTATCTTTAACCCCCGCCTTCATGAGAGCGTCTTGTCTCCATCGCTATAGATTTCACTCGGTTGACGTATTGTCGAATATGTGCTCGGAGGTGAACGTGGGTGTGGGTTCAGTCCAGGAAGAATAAAGCGAGCAGCGCCGGCGGTCATTGCGGGTAAACAGGGGCTTCGCGGTATTCGGCAATGTGCGAACCGAAACCCGACGAGCATATACGCATGCCAGCTCCGATCAGCGTCAGTTGCGACTGACCAGCTGCTGGATAAGAGACTACTTTTGTTTTCCTTCCTCTCACCTTTTCACTTGACCGATCAATTGAACTAAGGAGCAAACACTCGTACGTATGCTGCAACTTTCTACACCGCGTTGACACCGCGGCGCAAAGTCTGAATCGGCGAACTAATCAGAATCATCCACCCACGCCTTCTTTCAGACCTCTTAGACATCCACCCAATACATCTCCTTCGCGCATTCTGCTCATTTCGCCATCTGAATCGCCGTCCCTCGAACAAGCACTCCGATCTCATCGTACGCGTCGCCAAACTCACGCCGCCCTCACCCCTCTTCTCCCAGTCTCCGACCGTCGAACCCGCCGGCCGAACCGACTCCAACGCAGGTTTCCAGCTCCAGTCAACTCTCCGAGTCTCGCATCCCTTTACATCAGCATCAAACTTACCATGCCTTCTTCCGCCGGCGGCAGCCTCGAGCTCCTGGGTACCCCGCAGCTCGTATGGGACGCATATGTGACCTATCTCGTCAAGTACGAGTCCGGTTCGTGGGTCGCCACGGCGGCCACCGCGTTCCGCGTCTTCGCCGTGCTGCTGATGCTCCCCATCATGTTCCTCACCCTCCTTGTGAGCTCTTTGCCTTTTCCACGTCATATCTTCTCCCCAAACTTCTTAGTCACCGCTAACATCCGTGCGTCCTCGCCCACGTGGACACGAACACAGGACATCACCTCCTACGTCATCGCCCGCACCCTCGGCGTCGTCGACGAGTCCAAAGCAGCAACATCCGATAAACCCTCCATCCCTGCCATCCGCATCTCCTCCGCCGACGCGCCCCTGCAACAACACCCCACCGACTCCGTCTCCGCATCGACATCGGGCTCGAGCTTCTCCGTCATCTCCCATTCCGACAGCCAACCCGGCTCTAGCACCGCCGCCCGCCTCTCAGGCGCGGCAGAAGCCCAGGGCAGCGCAGCGGCGGGTGCAGGCACCAAGGAAGACAGAGCGGCGGAGCACCCCGAGGCCTACTTCGCGACGGACGACACCGCGCCGCTCTCGGGCGTCGGCGTGTTCTCCCCCGCCGCGTCGCAGCCGCCCTCGCCCGTGCTCACGCGCGCGCGGCTCGAGCGCGTCTCCTCGGCCGAGAGCGTCGCCACCACGGGCACGGGCACGGGCAGCGAGAGCCAGGACGAGGCGCCGACGGTCCGCAGGAGGGCGCCGGCGGGGCTGACGATGACGGCGCGCGATTATGCGTAGATTCCTCCAAGTGCTTGTGTATGTGTGCATTTTCGGTGCTTGAGTGTATGCGTTCGTAGGACGGGATATGCAATCATAGATGGCGGGTACGCCAAACGTACTTATAGGACGGGACACGATATGATTATAGAAAGACGAGCTCGCCATTCTTGTACACATACGACGAAGGTATATGTACGACGCAGAGCAGCGTGTCTAGAGTAGAGTAAGGAATGCATTGCACCTATCATATAGCCAAAGCAAGTACCGCTTAAGCTACGTAAAGTGCGCTTCAAAAGAGTCCCAGATGTAATTTGCAGGTGAGGCGAGGCGAAAAGTGGACTGAACTAATGATACACGGTACTGTACACTATGTAAACCTGTGACAAATGCTGACGGAGGAAACGAGGAAACAAACGAAAAACGAAAAACAAGGATGGAAATCAAGGATCGCGAGATTGCATTGACAATGTCAATTAGGGGAGGATCCCCAGCCGCAGCTGCATCGAACGAAAAGGCACAAAAACCCCAAGCAGGCTGCATCAACGCGCGCGCACGAGCACGAGAACGAGGCGCGAGGCGGGACGACCGCTCAGTAGAACCGCAGCTGGTCGCGCGTGAACACGGGCGGCTTCCAGATGAGGTTCTCGGGGTAGATCTGCCGGCGGCGCCTCTGGCGCTTCGCCTTGTGCTTCTCGATGACCGCGTCCGAGAGGCAGATGACGTGCTGTCCCTTGTAGTGCTTGAACAGCTGCAGCGTCGTGCACCTGCGACCAAAAAAGGGCAGTCTGTCAGCTGTGGGTCGGGGAGGATAGGTGGCGTGAAAGGAAGGAAGGAGAAGGGAAAGAAGGAAGGGGGAGAGGGGAGAGGGAGAACGCTCACGTGTTCATAATATCCGCGTGCGTGATGCTCGTCTTCTGCGCGATATCATCGATACTGATCTCGTCGTCCTGGTGGTTCAGCAGCAGCTCGACGATCGTCTCTGCCCAGTACGCTCTGTACCCCAACAGCCCCAAGTCCGAGAGCGGCTTCTCGGGGCTGCCGAGCTTGCCCTCCTTCTTGGAGAGCTCGTACGAGAACTCGATGAGCACCTTACCGAACCCGTGGCGCTGGTGCTGCGGCAGCGTGAGGATGCACGCGACGTTGTAGTTCTCCGCCGACTCTTTCTCCTTGGAGAAGTAGCCGATGATGTGGCACCCCGTCGAGTCGCGCTGGACCATGACGTAGTACATGAAGGGCGTCACGTCGTAGTAGAGCGTCTTGCTGCACAACGGAGCAGAAACATGGGTGTCAATGAGATACATTCCTTCCAAGATGAGGGTACGCACTGGTCAAGAAAACATTTTGACAGCAAGCTCAGATTCCGACACCATGTCACCTGCCTCTTCCCGTCCAGCTCGAAAAACGAGATATCCTCGTGCCGGTATATCTCGTTCCCCGGCGGATGCCGCAGCGTGCACCGTGCCCTGTGTCGGCCCATCATGAATGGCGTCGGGTAGAACCCCAAGCAGAATTCGCAGATGTACAGGATCGGCAGGTGCGCGTACTCGCGGGGGTACGGGCTGAAGTACCACGCGTCGACCTCGTGCCGCCCAATCTGCAGTCGGTTTAGGTTCTTCACGCGCGCGACCTCGGACACGGACTGCGTCATCGACCCGGACGTGCGCAGCTTCTCGAGCTCGGCTTCTTTGCTGAACGAGGATACGGGGGGAGGAGGGGAGGTGTTCGCGTCCGGGGTGAGGTTGAGCTCAAAGGTCTCGCCTTCGTTTTCGTTCTCGCCTTCGGCATCGGCGTCAGGTTCGCCATCCGCGTCCGCTTCTCCATCTGCGTCTGCTTCTCCCTCTGCGTCCGCGTCGTCGTCGTCGTCGTCCACGTCCATGTCGGCTTCGCCGTCTGGGTCGCCCTCCGCGTCTGCCTCGCCCTCACCGTCGAGGTCCATCTCGCCATCCGCGTCCGCATCGGGGTCGTCCTCTTCCTCTTCTTCGTGCATGATCCTGTGTTTCACCGTCGGCGACGGCGACGGTGCGGGTGACGGTGACGGTGCCGCCTTGAGCGCGGCGGGAGCGAGTGTGCCGGCGGGAGCAGGGGCGGGGGACGACGCGGCCGCGGCCGCATTGGACGTAGCGCGCTTCAGCAACGACGCCTTGCTCTGGTTCTTGCTCGTGTGCTTGCTCTTGCTCTGCTTGCTCTTGCTCTGAGCCTGGCTCTTGGGCACCTTGCTCGGCGCCGGCGTCTTCGTGTGCGCGCCCTTCTTCCCCGGTGGCGGCTTCGGGCGTGGCCACTCGAGATCGCGTGAGAGCACGATGCGCGAGCCGAGGACCCAGTCGTCGAGCCGCTTGTTGAACTGGTCCCAGTGCACGAAGAACTCGCGCTGGTCCGCCGCGTTCACGGCCGCGTCTTCCTCCTCATCTTTGACGCCCTTGGCGCGTCGGGCGACGGCGGCGTACGCGCTTACTTGGCGGTCGCGGATGGAGAGGACCTCGGCGAGGCGCTCTTCCTCGCCGTCATGGGTCGGGCGGCGGATGTAGACTTTGCAGCCGACGGAGACGGTCTACATGGGGAGGAGGATCAGTCATACAAGGTTGTGGATGGCATTGAGGGGGATGTGCGTGGGCAGGGAGACAGAGACGCGGACAGGGTTAGGGGTTCGATGAGAGGCGCAACGTTGCGACGCGGAGAAAACAGGGGCGTATTGATGAGTCAGCAAGAAAAAAAGGCGACGCTGGCGGATAAAGGGCGACGGACCTGGAGTGAGTACGTCCCGCCTGGCGTGATGGGCGCGGGCTCGAGTGGTCCCTCGTTCACTGGAGAGGCAGACACCATCCCTGTGTGGCTCCTGTGGTGGTCTGTGAGGGAGCTATGGGCGATATGGGGGAACTCGGAGGGGGCGGGCAGGCAAGGAGGGGGGGAAATTGGGCGATTTGCCAGCGCAACCTGACTCAAACACATGCTTGGCAGTGCGCTGACAAAGCATCAGCCACAAATGGAAAAGCATGTTCAAACCTCCTTCCGCTCCTGAACCAGAACGCTCGAGACGGCATTTGGCCTATAACATCTACGCATGATATCATCTGTTTGTACAGCCTACCTCTCTCGCTAAATCACATAGAATTATACCGCATTTTCTAAGGAAAAGGTTAGGCAAAGCGTACTGTGGCACTACTCACTCCTGATTTCCGCGGGCGCCTGTTTCCGATTTTAGGGGCGTCTATTCTAAAAGCATCACACGAGGATGCCGCGGACGGAGGAACTTTCCGGTGAGTCAGCATGTTTTTGTCGGACGTTAATCTACGTTAATGGACACAGGTACGCGTCGTCCACTCAGTCTCGTGGAAGAGCTAGCAAAGTCCTCATACCTCAAACTCGAAAGCGCTGCTCATCGCATAGGTACTCACTTCATGCCAACCATTCTTTTACATCAAGATCAACATATATCATAGATGAAACACTTTGAGTCGCTTTGAGCTGTGGACAAAGCCTGTGCAGCCGCATCTCTTTAGATGATATCATTAATGCGCCCACTCCTAGCCGCTTACTATATGTTTCGCTAATCTTGCGATGGAGGCCTCCTATAGAAAGGCGCTGAGCTGCGTTTCAACCCCTCAGCTTACCAGGTATTAAGCGACGTCCATCTTCCGCCTCTTCCTTTCTTCCCTCCACTACTTGACACAGTATGCCTTTCTACCCAATCCAAGTCGTCCAGTTCTCCGTAGACCGCGAGGACGACGACAACTTCTCGTCTTTGCCTCTACGTTGGGCCATACACATTCCCATGCTCTCGCGCTCATCTACGTCGGCATCACCTTGGTCTCCCACCTCTTCGGAATCGGCAGCTTCTGGTCCTACGTGGGAACTGGAGACCCGAACAGGACGCACGTATTACCTCCTCTCGGACGACTCATTCGCGCACCCAAAGTCGCTTTCAGTGCGTACGCATACTGGGTATGATCCTCCCTTCGACGCGTCATCCTGGAGGGGAACCGCCGTCGTAGGTGCCGTATCGAGCAACAAGCTCGCGTTCTTGGAGCGTATACTTGAACGGGTGTCTCCGCCAACGGAGCCATCGTCGTTACCACCATACATGCATACCAGCGATGCCTCGGAGGGTCAGATCTGGGTGTGGGACGCCCTAGCTGCGCTCCGGTTCAGGGGGCTTGGCATCGAGCCCACCTTGACGCGCTCGGTGCTGCAGGTGGAGATGGTACAGCTGAGGGAGGCTTGGGAGTTTGGTGATATATGAAAAGGACTTACGACGCAGAACTCAGCTAATCGGGAAGACGGTCAAGATTGACGGGTAATTATTTTGGAAGCCATGCAATATCCTGTACACCTAACATAACACTATGGTTATATATTATAATACTTTAATCATGACATGCACGTTGGCCAAGCGCAAAAATTGCACGTAAATACTGTAACAACATAGCAGCCAGCAGCCCTCTCACCCCTGCCTCGAGCTCTAAAAAACTCCAGGTTTCACACTCAGCACTCGCCCGATCGACGCGGAAAGCCAGGTAGATTGAATGGCGCACGCAACGGCCAGAAATACGACCAATGCCATCAGTCGAGCGCTTGCTTCGTTTAGTCACATTAGTGTACACTGCGCCCTATAATCAACGCTCGAACGACGAACCAGAGCGTCGGGCGGGCTCGTGCACACGCAGATCCGGATATAGGGTAAACGCGATTCACCGACCCGGAAGAGACTTTGTCGGGCGCATGAGTAGATCATAATGATAGAATTAGGTTTCTCCGAGGTACAGAGTATCGGTATAATGTATGCTCGGGGCTCGAGGCGGGGAGTTCGAGCTCGGGTTCCATCAGATGAGTTCTGTTTACCATGTCTGTGGAACTGTAGCACGTAACGTTCTGCCAGAATGGAAGGCCGAGACGCCGAGAGAGTAATACGTTTGTTGAGAGCTACGAACGGTTTAAGCTTCAGTCTATCAGCGGTGCAGGAGCCGTAAATGCATACGTGCGCGGATCTCGTTCCAAAGCAAGCATGTAAAATCCACAGTGCCATCGGACCGTGCCGAAGCTTCAAGTCTTCAGAGCTCAGATAGGCCAGTCCTTAGGCCCACATGGTCCATCGCAGAGTTTGGAGCTTATACAGAATACCAATGACAGATAGGAGGATGATACGGGGGTGCGGGTTACGTATGCCACCTGCAAGAGATGTGAACAGAAAAGGACAGAACGGGCCAAATTCTACTTTTATTGAAGCATGCACGATAGATCATCAGCTCCGTCGGCTGGCGGCCCACTCCATCCCGGTGAGCGACCACAGCCATTAATATCTCGCAGTGAACCGAATCGGAGAGAAGAGAAGCGAAGCAAGGGCGGCGCGCTGGAAGCACTGGTACTAGCACGTCCACGAGTCATGGCCACGCGAGAGCGGGAAGCACTAATATTGGCTGGAAGGCCGTCCACGGGCTTACCGGACATCCGGAGCGGTCGACAACTCAGCGAACGGGCGGACTGTCAGGTGCGCGTGCAACGTGCCCACGAAGTGTCGGGCGCCGTATCATTAACTGCGAAGCGGGGTCAAGATGGCGAGGGTACGTTCTTGACGCAGGTACAGAGGAGAAGCTACCGACAGGCGTCACAATATGTCTTATCTAGTGCCGACATACAGTGCAGACATAGCTGCTCGGCTTCGCGCACATCGCTCTCCGAGAATTGGGAGCGACCAATGGGTTAAGAAAGAGTGACCCGAGCACAAGAATAAGCTAGGCACCAAAGACAAAGTTTCGTGAGCCGACATCGCCATATCGTTGAGTGGTCCCTGTCAGGCAACTGTCCCATAACGAAGTGACGGACCGGGGTAGGGGTTCAAGGGACAGAACGTAGAACGTCCAGGACAGGCGGCCGAGCATGTACAGTATACAACCTGCCAACATGCCCTTGTGACGTAAAGGTACACCAGATCTTGCACGGGGAGAAAAATAAGACAAACCCCCCTTCCAGATGGAATGATAGAAAGACAGGGCACAATCCTCGTTCGAAGCACTGAGAGAGCCATAACGGTGCCAGCTTCGACGCGTGCGATCCTGCGCCTACATCACTCCACAGCATGAGATGCGGGCAAGAGCTTGGCCCGTGGGCGCCCAAGAGTCAGAATCGGCTACATCGTTTTGCACAATGTTCGACGCAATCGAAACGAACGCAGCTGAACGAAAGGCAAAAAAGGGGGTACAAAGAACGAGAAAAAGAGGAAAATCTCGAGGTCTATTGCTCGCGCTCAACCCACATCGCAGTCGCAGCGGCACTATGTGCGCACGCTCCCGAGGCCGAAGGAAGCGTGGGCCTCGCGCGCGAATCATACCCTCGGCCCCCTAGCGTGCCGCACCATGGGAGCCATTGCAAGAGCCGCGCCATTGTCACGGTCTGCCTACCATCTGCGGAGGGGGAGCATGCGCCCGCGTTCCTCGGACAGCCTCGAAGGTTCAAAGCTCCAATGGGCGGCTGGACAACTCTAAGCCGCGTGGCTTACAGTGTGCCGATCGAGATAACAGTTATAGAAGGTTTGGATGCGCAGCAGCCGGACGGTGATTCGAGTTCTTGCGAGCGACGAGAACTCGAAGGATACAGGGTTCAGAGAGAGTTCGGTTCGAAGTGCCAAGTGCCAAGATGGGAGCTTTCGGGCCTCTGCGCGACGCTCATGCTCACGCACGCTGTCGAGGTGAGAAGAACGCAAGCACGGGCGGCTCGGGGTGGTCGGACCCACGACTCACGAGCCAGAGTTAGAGCCAGGACGGTGGATTTTCATTGGGGAAAGTGGGAAATGGATGCGATGCATAGCATATTATTAGGTGTCGCTGGAGTGGACCAGGGTGTCAAGGGTACTGGATACAGCGTATGCACGCAATGCTATCCTGGTGGCGAGTGAGAGTCGGCGTCGCAGTAGAGAGTCGGTGATGAGTATGCATAAAAGAGCGGGGCCCCACACCACGGACAACGAGCGCCAACGATAGTCGATAAAGTTGGTCATGGGATTTCCCTACAGACAATCATTAATGTTAATGAGCGCCATGACCAGCGACGTCATCATGCCGGCAAGACTCGGGCTGCACGAAGTCCTTCGCGTTGGCGACCCGGCGTGCTCAACCGCAGGTTGACCCGTTCCGTTCCTCTCCACTCTTCGTTCTCTCATCTCATCTCTCCTTGCCTCGTCCCCGCCCCGCCTCACACCAACCTACGCCCTCGCAGACGCCCTCGCCCTCGCCCAACCAGCCTCCAACACAAGGCCCCGGCCAATCACAATTTCACACCCGCCCAAAGACAACCCTCTCGACGCCCCACGGGTCCTTCCACACCTCCGTCTCGCGCACGCCCGCCCCCCGCACGAGCTCTTCCACAGCGCGCGCTTGTCCCCTGCCAACCTCGAACGCGAACATGCCTCCCTCCTTGACAAGCGGCCGCTCCATCGCATTCAAGCTGCGGATGGAAACGAGGCGCGCGAGGGCGCGGTAGAACGTAAGACCGTCTCCTCCCCCGCGCTCCTGGTCTGTCCCTGCCGGCTCTGGAGGTGACGTGCCCTGTATCTGGCCGAGGTCGGCGCCTGGGTCCCCGAGAAGAGCCCGTGGGTCTTCCCAGTCGCGCACGGACGCGGGGAGTTCGGTGTACTCGCGCAGAGGGATGTAGGGCGGGTTGGAGGTGAGAATGTCGTATGGCGGCCGAAGGCGACGCGGGAGGGACGCGAGGATCTGGGACGAGAAAGACGGGGACAGGATGTCGGCACGGATGGGAGTGAATGTGGGTTTGTAGTGGTTCTCTGGTCCTGGTTTTGTTGATGGTTTGGCTATAGGCGTGTTTGCCGCGGTGTTGTTGACATCGACGTCGACATCAATGTCGACACTGACAAACCCACATCGCACGCCGTTCTCCTGCGCGAGTTGAACAGCCTCGGTTGCGACGTCCGCGCCGAGCGCGTCCACTGGCACAGTCCCGCCCAGGCCTCCTACTCCACCCTGCTCATCTCCAGAAAGCATCGTGCCCAAAAGTAGCGGGATGCACCCCGTGCCCGTACACAAGTCGAGCACCTTCAGCCTCGTGCTCTTGTTCTGCCCGACCTCGCGATTACGACGCACGAGTTCAGCGAGACGCAGTGCCCAGTCCTCGGTCTCCGGGCGCGGGATGAGCACAGGCGCACGCGTGAGCAGGGATAGGGGCCCAAAGGGCGTTGTGCCTGGTGGAGATTAGGATGGGTCAGTATTGTATGTTGAGACGCAGCTATCAAGAGAGAAGTTTGTCTCCGATCATAGAGGGAGACGGACCCGCTTGATAGCGTCACGGACGCGGCGGACGCGGCGCGGACATTGCAGGCGTACTATTGCACGCGCCGGGACACGTCTGGGAAGGTGGCAGGGTCTGGGAGCAGCGAGCGCTGATATGGGAGGAAATGATGCGGGGAAGGTGGGAAAGGGAGCATTGTGTATGGGAGAAGAGAACGCACGACGAGGTCGATCAGAAAGGGTCGGGGGAATGAAACGAAGCAGTCGAAGAGCACGAAGCAGAAGGAAGGAAAGTAAGGAGATGGGAGCGGACGAAGGCGGACGTACCAAGAATGTACTGTAGAGGTTCGCCGGCGACGCGACGCGCGAGCATCCTCGACAGCTCTTCGTCGCGCGCCTCATGCTGCTCCTGCAGCGCGTCGCGCATCCATCTCACCTCCTGGCGCGCGCTCTCGCATCCAATCGCGCTCGCGAGACGCTCTGTGAGCTCCCGCACAAGTGGTGAGGAGCGCGATAGAGCCACCGACAGATGGTGGCGCATATGGCGTGTGGAGAAACTCCAAGAGACAGAGGGTGCCGTGGGGGACTGTCATATGTCGGAAAGTGCCGTCTTAAGCCCGCAGACAGGTTGCGGCGTGTTGTGAGATCCTACTCAGAGTACGAGCGTCGACGAGTGACCTATCGTGAACAATGAGGCGACGGTAAAAGCAAGTATATAACACCGAAGCTAACCTATCGTGAACAATGAGGCGACGGTAAAAGCAAGAGGCAAAACGTAAGGAACGCCGAATCGTGAAAGACCAGTCTTATAACTAAACTCTTCTCCTATCCTCCATTCCCAGATCCGCCTCCTTTCCCCGTCATTCCCGCCTCCCTTGACCTCATAGCTTGCTCATACTCTCCACCCGACCGCTCTAGATTCCTGACATTACCCCCCCTCTTAGCGTCGTCGCCCTCGACGACATATAGCCCTGGTTTGACCGCACGGAATCTTCGTGAATGCCAATTGTACACGCCTTGGGTCACGGGCATGGTCCACTCGAAGTCATATCGCGTAGCGTCTTCGTTGAGGACCGGAATTCGCACTCGGACCCGAAGTTTACGCTGGTTTAGGTAAGCTTGGAACTTATCGTTGATTCCGTGTTCGTCTTCCAAATGCCCCCGTGGTTCCCAGCTATTTTCTTCTCTCGGCTGACCCTTCCACTTAACCAAGTACTCCGTTCCCCCCCTGCGTGATCGTTCATCCAACACCTCTTCTACCTCTTGTTCCATATGATCTCCCATGTCCACGGGGGGTGGCGCCATCGGTTTCTGTTGGAGTGGAGACGCCGGTGGGTGATAGCGGCGGAGGTGTACTGTGTGGAAGACAGGCGGTATCCGTCTCCAGGTCTTGGGCAGTTGTAGCCGGTAAGCCCGTAGACCAACCTTCTCGAGTATTTTGAAGGGACCGAATCGTCTATCGTCCAGTTTCCGCGATGGTCTGTCGGTGCGGATATGGATTCCGTCGACGTACACGAGATCCCCGATGCTGTAGTCTGGGGGAGACGCTCGATGTCGGTCTGCAAATCTCTTCATGTCCGCTGCGGCCTTCACTAACGCCGAATTCGTATCCTCCCTTATCTTCTCCATCCGCTTCGCAAACCCCTCCGCACTCTCGACATGACCACTCGTCCGCGGCGTCGCAGGTGTTCGTGGATGTTGTCCGTAATTCGCATAGAATGGTGAATACCCAGTCGCTGAAGAGACACGGTTGTTATACGAGAATTCCGCCAGTGAGAGCCACTCCGCCCAGTCGTTCTGACGATGATTAACGAACAATCGCAGATATTGCTCTATCTCCTGGTTGACCCTCTCGGTTTGTCCGTCGGTCTCTGGGTGATACGCCGTGGACAAGTTGGTTTGTACTCCCAAGAGGTGCGTGAGATCACGCATGAACCGCGAAGCGTATTGCGGACCACGATCACTGATGATCTTGTCAGGCAGGCCAAAGTCCTTCCAGATATGGTCGCGATATAATCGAGCGAGCCCCTCCGACGTCAGCGTGTCGTTCGCTGGAAGCAACCGTATCATCTTCGACAGTCTGTCCACCACTACCACCACTGCATCATGCCCCTGACTCCGCGGTAGTCCCGTCACCATGTCGCAGGAAACGATCTCCCAGTTACGGTCGGGTACTAGATTTGGTGCTAACAGGCCCGAGGGCTTTGCGGGGAACGTCTTTGTACGTTGGCATTTTTCGCAACCTCGTACGTAGGCGCTAACGTCCGCGTGGATTCGGGGCCACCAATAGTTCCGGAGTATGAGTTCGGCCGTCTTAAAGCGACCTGGGTGACCAGCGGTGAGTGCGTCATGGTGTGCGCGGATGACCCGGTCTCTCAAGACACGGTCCCTTGGGACATAGATGCGGTTCCTCCAGGTGTACAGCCCCTTGTCCTCCGACCATCCTTCTTTCCTCATCCGCGCGTTTTTTCGGATCCAACCCTCTACCGCCTTCGACTTCCTCATCTCCTCCACTAATACATCCCCCTCCACGTCTACTTCTGTCGTTATCGCGCGAAACAACTGCGGCCGCAGTAGGACTTGGTCAGTGTTATCGTCCTCCCCTTTCGGATGATCTGGTCGTCTCGACAGTGCATCCGGCTGACCGTGGGTTCGACCCGGCTTGTGAATCAGTAGAAAGTCATACTCTTCCAACTCGAGGTGCCACCGAGCCTGTCGCCTATTGAGCTTTTGCGCGCTCCGGAAGTACGAAAGGTTTTTATGGTCTGTCCACACCTCGAATTGATGTTTCGCGCCTATGAGGTAAGGCCTCCACTCGTTTAACGCTCGTATGATGGCTAAAAGCTCCTTGTCGTAGATATCGTAGTTTCGTTCGACCTCCGAGAGAGCTTTCGAGTAGAAGGCTACTGGGTGCCAAGATCCGTCCTCCTGTAGCTGTAACAGAATGGCGCCGGTAGCGTGGCCTGAGGAGTCGGCTTCAACCCGATATGGTGCGTCATCGCGAGGCATTGCAAGGACTGGAGCCGTCGTCACCGTCCGTCGCAGTTTATCAAAGGCGTCCTGTTCGGATTGTGTCCATCGCCACGGTGAGTTTCCTGTTAGCCCATGTAGCGGACGGGCTACCGCAGCAAAACCCCTGATGAATCGACGATAGAAGTTTACGAACCCTAAGAACACCTGTACATCCGTTTTCGACCTCGGCACCGGCCATTCCTCTATCGCCTTCACCTTTCCCGGATCCATCCCAATCCTACCCTCCCGAATAACTAACCCCAGGAACTCCACTTCCTTCTTCTCAAACTCGCACTTTTCCAACTTCAGGTAGAGGTTATTCTTCTTCAGTATCTCCAATACCTCCTCCGTCACCTTTCTGTGCTCCTCCCTCGTTCGCGTAAATATGAGTATGTCATCCATATATACCACGACGACCCCGCGTACAATAAGATCTCGGAATAGGTCATTCATCATCGTCTGAAAAGTAGCAGGTGAATTGGTCAGCCCGAAGAACATTACGAGGGGCTCAAATAAACCGCGGTTTGTCACGAAGGCTGCCTTCCACTCATCCCCCTCCCGAACTCGTACGTTGTTATATCCCCATCGGACATCGAGTTTCGTGAAGTATCGAGCCTGTCGCAGGTTGTGCATAACGTCGGGGATTAGAGGTAAAGGATAACGGTTTTTTACTGTGCCGGTGTTAAGTTTGCGATAGTCTTGAACTGGGCGTAGTGTCCCGTCCTTTTTCTTCACGAAGAAGAACGGTGAAGCCATCGGTGACTTCGATGGTCTAATGCGCCCCGATCGCAGGTGCTCTTCTATGAACCGGTCGAGCTCCGCCTGTTCTGTGTGTGACAGCGGATAGATTTTACCTTTGACTGGTTCAAAGTCAGGCTTGAGTTCGATTGCATGGTCCCACCGGCGGCGTTCCGGCAGGCGATCAAACTCGGTTTTCGCAAAGACCGACTCGTATCCCCGACATTGCTCTGGGAGAATTCCTCCTAGCGACTTCTTCGACCCCCCTTCTAACTCAGCCTCCACCGTCCGTATCCTCGCAGCTTCCTTCTTTCGCCACCTCACACTGTCCTCTTCCCGCTCTCGAATGTCTCTCGCCCATTCCCAGGCATCCTCCCTCATCACCGTCACAAAGACTCGGTCTCCCTCCTCTACCTCCGTCCGCAACATTGCCTTCACATCTTCCCCATCATCGGGATCTGGAGTTGGTGCTCGTTGAGCATAACACTCCGCAGGACATTGATGAAATGCAACCGTTCCCTTGGACCAATTGATAGTAGGGTTATGCTTCTTCAGCCACTCAAAGCCGACAATTACGTCCGTCTTCCCCAGGTTCGTTACTGCAAATGGGAAAGTCTCCGAATGGTCACCAACGTCGAGACGCAGGTTGGCAACATGACGAATAGGACCTGCACCATTCTTGCTGCCATCCGCGTTATAAACTGGGACCGGGCGTGGGAGTGGTTCGAGGTTAACCCCTTTAGACCGAACAAAACCCTCATCAATGTAACATCCGGTCGCTCCACTATCGATGAGTGCACAGACGTCGAAAGTGCGTCGGTCATCCAGAGTCTGAATGACCACCGACAATTCTAGTGAGTTCTGGTTGATACGGCGTACCCATCGGCGGGGCTTCTTGAATTCGCGGAGGGCGGCATCACATGCCTCGGATGGTAAGGCCCGGAGTTCTTTCAACAACATCTCGTCTACTTCACTCCTTCGATCCCTTCTGACCCAACCTCGTATCGCCCGCATGGCAACTCGGTCCGGCTTCGCGAGAGATTCTCGTGTCCAGCGGAGCGAGCCTCGGTTAGGCTTTTCTTCCCCTTCCATAACTTTCGGTGCAACAGGTAGTGTAGTTTTTATGAATGCGCATTTTGTTTCGCTTTCGACATACTTCAAGGGCGTTGAACAGGACTCGGAAGACTTTTCACTACCTATCGTACACGCCGGCAGGGACGCACCATTTCCCTCCGACGCATTCAAAAACCCGATGAACCTTCTCCTTTCACCTCCTCTCTTTCGACCTTCTCCCACTCCCCTCCATTCTCGAAGATCTTATTGACCGCTTGCACAACCTCCTCCTTCGTCTCATCCGGGATACTGGTCCACCTGTCGTGAAGGGCTCGGATCGTCGGCGGCGCCAATAGCGGGCAATCCGCCCTGAGATGACCCGGCTGGCGGCAGTTGAAGCAGGCCCCTCTAAACGGTCCTCTCGCGCGACGGTTACGAGCAGCATCAACATCCATTGGCTCACCCATCGGTAACGCAGGAGCGAGCGCCGGAGTCGGAGCAGCTGCAGCGCGGGAAACAGGTGGAGCGACAGCGAAGGGCGGAGCAGCTGCAGCGCGGAATGGTGCAGCTGCGCGGACAGGAATGGGGGCTGATGCAGTTGACGCGCGACCCCTAGCAGCGGAGTTATTGGCAGCTTGAGTCCTCGGTTGGTAGCCCCGGATGATGGCGAGATTTTGGTTCTCATGGGCGTACGCGATAGCCTCCTCCTTCCAATCCTCGTACGTCCTCGCCGTTCGGTGAGTGTTGATCTGGTTGGCGATGCCGAAGGGGAGCTTCCTCTGCACCAACCTGACAAGCGACTCGTTAGAGATATGGGCCCGGGCGGCGAGGGTGTCAACGCGAGTGAAGAAGGTGTCGGCGTCCGCAAAACGTGAGTACTCCATGCTCTCGAGCTCGTTCCACGCCGTCTGCATTTTGTCCCGTAGGTCGAAGCGCTTCTGGAAGCCCTCCTCAAAGGCTGTCCAAGTCCCGGGCCAAGGCGACGGAAGCTGGTTCGCCCACTCAGCAGCAGGACCCGTCTGCATGAAGGAAGTGGCATAGACGACTCGAAGGCGCGACTTCTCGTCATCGTTATCATCGATGCCGAAGCGGGTGGGGTTCGCAATGAAATTCGCCCTGACCGCACGGATGAACGTCTCGTAGAGCGATCGGTCCTCGCCCGAGAACTGCAGGGGCGACGCGACCTTAATGCCTTGGTGGCCTGAGAGGTCCGGGCGTTGGTGGGCGAGCACGGCGGTAGCGAGATTACGCCAATACTCGACCTCTTCGTGAACCGGCAAGTGGAAGACGTGGCCGGCACCGTATCCTCTAGCGTCTGCCTCGACGAAGATGGGCGGCTCGGGGTCGGGCTCGACGAGAGGCGGCGGCGGACTACCAATACCGTTAGACTCGGTGTCCATGTGCCCCTGCGAGCTCGGGACAGGCGGCGGAGCAGGACCAGCAGTCCCACCTCCGTCGAGGATGTTGAACTGAGATTGGGTGGGCATAGGGGTTGAATAGGGGTTTGGAGTTTTGGTTACGTTTTGCCTAATGTGAGATCCTACTCAGAGTACGAGCGTCGACGAGTGACCTATCGTGAACAATGAGGCGACGGTAAAAGCAAGAGGCAAAACGTAAGGAACGCCGAATCGTGAAAGACCAGTCTTATAACTAAACTCTTCTCCTATCCTCCATTCCCAGATCCGCCTCCTTTCCCCGTCATTCCCGCCTCCCTTGACCTCATAGCTTGCTCATACTCTCCACCCGACCGCTCTAGATTCCTGACACGTGTGTCTGGCGACCAGGGACGGATGACACGTTCGGCGCTGGTGTCATTGCTCCGGCCCACGCGAAGGCCATGCAAAGTTGCCAGTACCAGCAGTACCGTGTAGAATGGCTGACGCTTTTTAGTCTAACAGCCACTCAAACCATCAATACAATGTCAATAAAATTATGCTAACTTCATAACCCACTAGTGTCTGTTGCCATCGATGAACCTCGGAGCATCGGACTAACAGCTCGCACGAGTCAAAAAAACGCTGACTATTTGATCAAATCAGCGCGGTCGTGCGTCCGATCGCGACATGATGATGGTAGATGCAGGCGGTAACGAGTGCAGCTGTAGACAGGACACGCTTTTTACAGCACAGGCTAGAACACATATGTATGTCCATCATCATTCCTCCCAATCGGCGTTATGTAAACGAGCGGGCGCCACGGCCTCACGGCCGCTTAGCGATTCGCTTTGACCACTGCGATTTGCTAGCAGGTCTGTAGCGTGCCCTGCTTTAAGGCTCTTTGACAGACCTAACGCACTCCATGCTATTCGTCCTCGCAGCACGGACCGAGGATGCGCTCAGAAGAAGCAAGAGTATGCCTGTATGATGGTGCGATGACGAGAACTGCGTCACGAGGCGCGCCTGCCGGACCGCCGGAATGTGGTAGATCTCTGAGGCTCGGCCGGAGTCTCGGAGAAATGCAGCTCGCCCGCCCGGCATATAATCATATAAGGATAATTACATAATAATTCACGCCCTAAGGTCATCCGAGATAATTGACGCATCTCTGTCTGTCGGCCACCTCCACCGTGTCCCTCGCCTCACGACCTTCTCCTCCTCCTCTTTCTTGTTGCAGGCTGCTCCTCCTCTTCTTGGTGACTCCGTGTGGCCCCCTTTACTGGATGGACCCATAGCACCTCTTGAATATCCTCAAGCATATACGAGCATATACGAACAATAGCAATGGCTACAGGTATACTATCCGCATCCCGCCCCGACATACCCGCTCTCGACGCACGCTCACAACAGCCTGGCCCGTTCATCAATCCCGCTCATATGAATCAGTCCAACATATCTAAGGACTCCCAGCCAGGCCCCTCCTCGGTTGCTCGCCGCACCAGCAAATCCTCGGTTCCTGGCAAGCGCCGTCGCGGTACCTCCCCCGACGAGAGCGGCGACTCTTCAGCGCCTCCATCTGGCACGCACTCGGCCACACATCCCCGCAAGAACCGTGACGGACCGAAGAAGAAGAAGGCTAACCGCGCATGCGCGCACTGCCAGAAGGCCCATCTCACATGCGACGACAGTACGTGCCAAACTTATGTTGTCATATGTCATGGGCGCAAACTCATCGCGTGACCCGTGTTAGCTCGTCCATGTCAGCGCTGCATAAAGCGCGGTATTGCCGACAACTGCATAGAGGGCCATCGCAAGAAGGCCAAGTACTTGCTCGACGACGAGGAGCTGGGTACGTTCCTCGTGTTTTTCCCTTCCTATTGCATCCCGCGTGCTAATACACTTGTGATACCACAGAGCAACTAAAGCGGAAACAATCAACCGCCGACAACAATGGGAGTAGTAGCAATAACATGAGCGCACCTGCGCCAATCCCAACTTGTACGTCCCTTTGCTCTGCCTCTCGGTGCTTCCCCACCCGAAAAGGAGGAAATTTTTGATCTAGCACTCACGATCGCATGCAGCCCAGCCTTTCGCCGCCAACGACCCGCTCTTCAATGTCTCGTTTGACCCCAACTTCTCCTTTGGCTCAGAAGCAGCCAACCTCGAGTATTCAATCCTCTCCGCCATCTTGGGCAACCCCTCCCCACCCGAATCCGGCACCGCACCATCCCCGCCTCAGCTGCCCTCCTCCATCAGCGCCCCACCGTCGCAAAACTCTGGCCCCACCGCCCCGCAAAACGCCACTCAAAACCCAAATCCTCCCGCATCAACCAGTGATGACGCCCCCTCTCAGGATCAGACTGGCACGGCGAACAGCCAGCCCCCGCCCCCGCCGTGGTCTGCTGAGAGCGGCAGTTACGACGCATACCGGGAGCAGCTGGCACTTGCGCCCAACTCGCCGCCGTTCATGACGGGCTACTCACCCGCGCTGATGTCTACCTCTTCACAACCTGAAGGAGTCCAGCAGGGCCGCTTCTCCCCTGTCTACGAACAACAGCAGGCGACGTCGCCGTCTGACCAGGATGTGGACACGGCGACTTCCCAGCAGCAGAACGGTTCCCACGCGCCAGATGGACGACACACGAAGGAGGTCCCGTCATCGCGGGCCGGAGCAGGAGGGAACAAGGGCCCAGAGACGCAGACGCAGACGCTGCAGTCGCTCTCCAGGACGTCGTCGGCCGGGCCGACTCCGAGCCCAGGAGGGTACACGGGGGAGTACGTGCCGTCGGTGGGTATTCTTCATTCGCGCGCAGCAAACTCCTATCATGCCCGTGTGAGACCGTGCGCTGACCTGTAGTGCGTGGTGTGTATGGGTGCGTGGGTGTATGGTGTTGCGATGCGCTCGTTCGTTGGACGATAGGCGATGCATGTGACGGCCGCGTACGATTACACCGAGGGCTACCACTTCCTGATGAAGCATCTCCCGAGACGGTGCGTGGCATCCCCTAGCTCTCGGTGGACGGTGTAGCTGACATTCGTATTTTGGTCTTTCTCCTTCTTCGATTGTCTGGTTCTTGTGCTTCGCGCGGTGTTCTTTTGGGGGTCATGGTGGTGGTGGTGGTCTGGGTTGGGGGTGTGCGCAAAACGGGGACATGAACGACTCGTTATAAACGAATGGGCGTACCCGGACCCGACGTGTCTGATCGGAATCGGGAACTCTCTTCCGGGGTGTTCCGTATCCTCTTCTTTTTCTTGTCTTATCTTGCTGGGTGGCATTTCCCTGTCAACCTGTCACCCCGCCCCCACCCCCGCCTCCGCGCTTCCCTTGTCTCGGCTTCGGTTTCTTTTCTCATTGGCTGCGGTCCGGGCGCTTGTGCCGTGCTGCGATGTCGCGATGTCGTCCAATGTCATCATCACCGTTGTTAGGTTCGAGAAGAACGATATTCTGCGCATCGTCCGCGCGCTCGCTATCTTCCGCCCGTCCCTCATTGCGCTGCAGATGCCGATGACGGACGAGGACGAGATCTTCGTCGAGCGGTGTTTCCAGCGGTCGTTGCTTGTGAGCGCCTTTGTTCGTTACCTGCCTCGTGGGCGGTGAGCTGATTGTCGTCTCGCACCCGTCCTCCCATATCGCATTCGTCGTCGTGTGTCGTCATGACGTATCTGCGTTCTTTGACGCTTCGCGCATGTAGGAGCTCGAGAAGCTTATCTCGTTTAGCGGGACACCGACGGTTGTCTGGCGGCGGACGGGCGAGATCTGCCTCGTTGCACCCGAGTTCTGCATGCTGACCGAGTGGGGCATGGACGAGCTCGTCGGGAAGCGCAAGTACATCTACGAAGTTCGTCTACTCCCTACCTCACGCCTTCTATCACGGCTGATGTGATGTGCTGCCAGCTCTTCGAGAACCAGAGCGTGGTGGAGTACTGGGAGAACTTCGCGACACACGCGTTCGAGAACACGACCAAGTCCGTCTACTCGCACTGTGTGCTGCTCAAGCCGTACGGCGCGCCCATCCCGTCGACGTTCTGCTTCACGATCAAGCGTGACATCTTTGACCTGCCGAGTATCGTCATCGGTGCGTTCGTCTCTTCCTCGCCACTCTCGCTTATATCTGTATTGTTGCCGTCCACCCCCCTCCGCTTGACCGCCGCCCTTTTCTCCTCGTCGTCTGCTACCTCTCGACCTTTGCGAGCCCTCGGTCCCGGGAAGAGCTGGAGCGCGCAAGGCGGCGGGCTGCATCGCGGTAGTTTCTTTTCTTCTCCTTCTCCTCATGCTTCCCCTCGTTTCTCACCGCCGATCGAACTCTATGTGCTGAATGTGTGCATTCTTCTTTCCTTGTTGCGACAGGTCAATGGTTACCGCTTTTGTAACAAAACCCGAGTTCTCGTCTGGGCCTCCTGATTATGCTGTCTTGGATATGTGGATATGTGTAATATGCGGACATGCAAGAAACAAAAACGAAAAACAAGATTAGAACTACTGTATCAATCAGGAACATCAAAGTTATGGATAGGTTTAGGTATGTGGTGCTTGCGTTCGCGAAGGGTTTGAGCAGGGATTCGGGGTGTTTGTTGTGGATGGGGGCGGACAACAACTTATATAGACTCGACTGGGCTCCGGTTGACGACTCTTAATTTTATTATCGCTCTCTCTCGCTCTCTGTTTCCCACCCGTTTGATGCTCTCTGGGCAAAGGGGTTCACTAGTCCTAGTCATTGCTGATGTATGGTACCTTATGAATCGGTTATTTTTCTGTAGTGCAGCGTAGCGGTGCATGCAGCGGCGCTTTGCTTGTGTGCGTGTGTGCTTGGCTGGCTGGCTGGTTTACCAGTTTGCTTGTTTTAAAATTGTTGCGTGCTTAATGGATATGATGGATCCTGTTTTCATGATGATGGTTTGTGTCGAGTGCGACAGGAACTCGTACCGCTGCCGTGTGGGGGCACTTAGATCGCATATTATGCAATGGTATGCCCCGAGCCCAAACACATTGTAGAAACTTGGGTCTCGCGTCAGCCGAGGACATACGGCCAAGGCCGGTGGGCTAGCAGATACGGACCCTGAAGTAGCATGTCCGCCGCGTTGCTGGCTCGCGGATCGCGGTCGTATACCTGGAAGAAGACCAGCGATACGTACTGATGCACGTTATACTAGATCTTAGGCAGGCGCATGGCGTCTACAAGCGATGTGAACTCGTTGAGACCATGCCTTCAAGTTGCCCCATGACAAGCATGCCGCATGTATCTCTGTCAAAGCTGTGTATAACAGCGAATTTGAAGTCTTGCACTACTATAGCATACATAATAGTACTACACAACATCCACAATACATATCCTACACCTCTTTGAAAGTTTCTTCTTATGAATTGATCTAGATGTCTCCGAAGGCCCGTTGATCTCCGCCTTTGCCATCCCAATGATGTGCATCTTGGTCATGGTCCAAAAGTCTCGCACTCGATGCTATATGAACCGTCCTGCGTGCTGTCGACAGTGCCTCGAGACGTGGAAGATATTGATAGCGAAGAGAAGTGATCTAAGTCCACGGTCGTCAGACTGCTCGGTGCCGCGGTCGGGAGAGGTTTGTCCGATGTGGCCGTCTCATCTAGATCCACGTCCCTGTATATGATGCGATAGACGAACGTGCCAGTGACGAGGAGGTTGCATATCATCACATCAGTCGATGCCTGTCCATTAAAATGGTGATTAGAGTGCGTTTATATGTGCTGGGACCGATAGGTTGTACGTTACCTGGACATGGCCTGCTATTGCTGATAAGTGCATGTTTGGAACGAGGAAGACAGCATGTACGACACCGCCCGCTGCACTCAGTATGTTCATAGAGAAGATGCATAAAATCAAAATCTTGGGCCGTCGGGCGAGATTGACGTCCCAAAGCATTGCGATGGGCGTGACGACCAACATGACTGAAGAGATAACGTCGCCTACCGTGGTTTCAGCAGCTGACAGATTTCAGATCCACGACTATTAAGCGCACCTATAATTTCGATCACGGACACAGATCTACCAAGAGAACATACACTTCTATATGATGTTGTGTACCACGAGTCTTGGATGCACGAACGCAGTTTGGAGGCCATGGCAATGCAGTAAAGCAAAGGTAATATCGCGAGATTAATGCGGATAATCCAGCGCATACGGGGGTTAGCAACGATTCGAAGGACCGAGTACATGATGCTTCCTCGCGCAAGCCTGTTTCCAGTGTCAGAACCAAAACCAGTCGCAGACAAAGAACAACAGCACCATATGACGCATGTGTAAGATATTATCTCCAGCCACATGAACACCGCGACTGTCCATACTTCAAGGGCGGGCGTGTCAACGCGCGTGTCCCAGAATGCAGTTGTCGAGTGAACTTACCTTCAGGAACGAATGAACCCCACAGTGAGCCAATTGTTAGCACGGCGAAGCAAGCGGCCATTGCTGCTAGCCAGTCCTCCCACCATAATCTGCCCGCCCGAATCCAGAGCCGGAACATTGTGAAGAAGATGGATGCAGCGTATAAACATGTTTGTGTCACTGTAAAGGATTGCACTTCCTAGCATCCAAAGGCCACATGTTTGTAGAGCGCTGGTAGCTTACCGAGGTATGCCAGCGGCAAAGTATGGGGGAGTTGCAGATCGCCGCTCATGTTGACTGCCAGTGGCCCTCACTGAAGATTGCTGCGCATAAGGAAGTAAGGGAGGCGGGTTGAGGAATTTGCAGTAATGCGGGGCATTGAACATCCTTGTTTGCGGTGTATCGGACGGACTCAAACAAGACTCAAAGGCAAGAGTGCCCAAGAACTCGGCGTCATTCGCAGGTGGGGGATTGCTTCATGCTGGGCTCCCACGGGCCTGGCCCTCTCACGAATGAATCGCGTATCGTACCTCACTACCCTCGGGAGATAACTGAGGTTTAAAGCTTAAAGGTTAGACATGGCGAATGCTGACCGCCTACGTTTCCATGCTGAACTTTGTTGCAATATATCCCAATTCAACGATGAGCTGACTTTAGGGCTAGCAAACTGTCAAGCGTTCACCAAGAAACATGTAGTACTTCCGACCTTGGTCCAATCTATAGGTCGCCTTCAAGGCGGCGCGGGGCGTTTACACTTGACGTTGACGTTTATGGTCCTTATTCAATTTGAGTTGTGTTTCCGGGTAAACTCGTCCGACAGTAAACGTACATACCGGAAATTATAAGGGGCATGCTCTCCAAGTACTCGAGGGTGCCAAGATCGTCAATGCAAAACTTAAAATGCAATACGCTTCAGCTCGCGAGCGGCGCATCAGTGCTTTTGCCTTTAGCGCGACCAGTCACGCCTCCGGAGTACTCGAATTCCTGGCCTCCTACCGCAACATCATCAATACCGCTCTAACCCCACTTGAGTTTTTCCACCACTCGCGGACTGTTTAATTGAAGGGGCCTGTATTGCACCCACATGAAACCCAAAGAAGCGACGCTGAACGGAAAAGTTTTAGTTCAGGGTCCACGCCGCCCAAGACAGATTCGCCAACAGAACACACTTGCCTACTTATCTACGAGTGACCGCTTTTTCCGTACCAGGAGCGATCAAACGAAGTCTACAATACACAAATTCCTTTTCCCCCTCGGCGGATCGTCCGCAGGTGACGAAGCCTGGTAGTGATATAGAATCCTTCCGCTGTGCGCCTCTTGTTCAAAGTGCTGCATCTCCGCGTCTCTACTTACAAAGTCATCATAGAGCACGCCCAGGTAGTCCAAGTTCAGTGTGCTGTCCAGGAGTACAGGATGTTCGGTGGCTTCGTCGTAGTAATATTCTATGGCTCGCAATCCTGCTATGGCTTCCTTGTTCCAGTAGTAGAAGATGCAGCGTGCACTTCCGGTGAACGATGGCTGCATGTAGACACATGGGCGACAAGGAAAGTTCACCACAATGTGGGTAGTGACTTGGATCTCCTTCGATGCTGCCGGGCCGGTGTTAGATGGTATGAGTAGTTTGCATACAACAAGCGTGTAGACCTCATCGTGCTCGGTAAGCCCATGCACAATGACGTTGGTGTAGCCAGTTTCTCGATCTATGACGGAGTCCCGAAGTATGCCGAAGGAGATGGGTTCGAAAGCGTCAATGTCGCACGTAGATGTCACTGAAGGACATCCAGAGTCAGAACCAGCGGAGCTGGACATCAAGGACATAGCAGTGAGACACATTCTTGTTTCGGGTTCGTTAGGATGGGACTTCAGAGAAATCAGATGTGTGCTGCAAGCGTAGAAGTCTGGACCAAAAGGTATGTTGCCATCAGGAATCTGGGAGGAAGCGATGTGTTATCATTCATCACAGCGTGATATCTGGTACTCACAGTGAGAGTCGAGTCGTCCATGTCTTCTACTTCAAACAAAGGGCCACCTTCCACGTTAGAGATGTTGAAAACATATGCCATGCTCTTGTTCTTGAGCATATGACCAACTATGAGGTGGCGAGGGCTTGCTACGAGAGAGTGAAAGGAGTTCGCCTCCCGAGTATAACGGTACACGAGCTCAAACGTTAGCTCATCCCCACTGTCTTTCATCTTCATGATGAGTCTGTGTATAAAATGTCAGAGCTCTAAAGTTTGCGCCATATTTAAGCTAAAACTCACACTTCAGTATCTCTGGATTCGGAATTGGTCGTCTGAAGTCCAACGTAGGCGTGACCTTGACCTCGAAAATCGTGAACGTCGACAGAATCTATAGATATCACGGAGGCGTGCTCTCCGTCGAACTCGCGCACCACCTGCGGGTCGCCTAGCATGTCGTCATCCAGATTATAAAACAGGACTTTCCACTTGCGAATCGATGATCTAGAGTCAACGTAGAGCAAAACCTTTCCTGCGAGAGCTCGAGCGCCCCAACAGTCCGAACCATATTCCACGACCCATGATCGTACTGGAGAGCCACTGAGAAACATATTATGGCTGACCTTGGCGCTCTTTGTGAGAACAAATTCTAGATCTTGTTGAGATTGTGAAGGGAGCGGTCCGATGGTCCGAGGTAGTTGCGAGGACTTGTATAGCTCGTCCCAGAGCGCTCTCTCCAGCGTGACTTCTCGGAGACGTGTAGAGACCTAAACAGGACATATGTAATGTCGTGTTATAGAATAACGAGAGAGGGGCATACCTGCCGCAATCGTAGCACATCGATAATGTCAACATGTGCGATGATTTGGATGAGAACATCGAACGCAATGGTCTCCAGAGTGGTGACCATGGCGATAGTTGCTATGAAATGAGCTAGCTGCGATATATGGCCTTCGCGTGAATGAGGAACGATCAAGATCAAGAAGGTAGATGAGGTGAGTATCGCTAGATCATCGACTCAGGGAAGCAATCCGCTGCACGGTTTTTTGCTCTGAGACGTGGTAGCGAAGACCTTATCCCTACGTGGTGGACGATTGCGATCACAGTACTTTGACTAAGGTACTTCAGCGGGAAGAGAACTAGGAGACGACGAGAATTTATTGCCTAATCCAGAAATGCTTCAACACGCGATAAGAAACCCAGACGCGTGAAGTCCAAGTTTACATGTATCTACCTATACATAACGCGATAGCACATACTGATATGACTCCGAGAAAGTATGCCCTATAAAGCTACGAAAGTAGAGGGAACACAACATAAACGCGTAAAACAGAAGTCTGGGACGCGGCGATAAAAGAACTTTAGGGTGTAAGTAAATTAATCAACCGAGGTCGAATGGGACCGCCGGGAAATCGCATCGGTAACTACGTGTAACATAGTCGAAGCTTTAATTTAACATCGAAGAGAAATAGAAGAGACAAAGCAAGCAAATGCGCCAGCAACATAACAGGTAAATATCGAGAATGAACAATGACGAGCCTAGATGAACAGTGGTGAACGCTTCGAACGATGCGCGACATCCCCAGCTGGGCTTGGGATTGCAACCAATGATACACCATCTATTAATATTCTAGACACCCTGGGCACATCCCCGAGCCATCGTGGATACTGATAATAACATGAAGAAATGAGAACCTAATTGTCGTCAGACTGTTTGGCATCGTCGCGCGAGACGTGGCCAAGGTTGTGAGCTAGTATCACATCCGTAGGTGGCATCCAATGGACAAACGTGTTGGTCAAGCTATTGGTAATTAAGAGACCGAACATTACGTGGATCATGCAAAGTCTACAATACACATCTTACGCCTGTATCCCTGGCTACGACCATCGCCAGAGACCCCGTAGCTAAAGCTAAGTCTACCGAATTCGGGCTCGTTCTTTCCGCACTCCAGCCTGAAATCTCGTGCGTTTTCGTCTTTTACGCAATTTCGGAGATTTAACCCCGAACTGCACGTCACCCAAGCTTTCTGTTCCTCCTCATCGAAGATAATCTCCAGCACTTTGATGTTACCATTCATGTCATTTTCTGAAAGGAAGGTTGTGGAACCCAGCGAAGAAGGCTGAATCATGTAGGAGTCGTTGCGAGCGAGTGTAAATTGCGAGAGGATTTGTTTGTGGATTTCTATCATGCTGGGCCTGGAACTTTCTTCGGGACTAGCAGGAGGTATGACCAGACGAAAAACAACAAGCGAGCGAAGATGATGCGTCGGGGTAGCTTGTCCTTCTCTGATGACTGCCAGGAGAACGACGTCGGTCACTCCTGTCACTGGACTGATGACGGAGTCGCGAAGCATGACGATAGCTTGTATTTGGTTGGTGAAAACATCTAGTACTCCTCGAGAAGCTATAGAGACGCTATTGTTGAGCACGGAGGAGATCGGTACCGCGTAGATGTGAGCGGCTATGGCAGACGTAGGTTGTTGGTTCATTACGAAACGACCAGTAGTCAAGATATGAGTGCTCGTAATGATGTAAAGCTGTTGTGTAAGCTCTAGATTTTTCACGCCCTGAGTGATGCATGTTCGTTAGTTGAAAGTGGGAAAATTGACAGATGGAAGTCAGTCTCCTTACGAGGTCATTGTCGCCCATTTCCTGGATTAATCCTTCTTGAGCAAGATATACCACAAACTTCCTGTGGTCGCGACTTGTCACGCTCCAGTCGATCAAGAAGGCCGACGGGCCCCAGATCACTTCAACGGAGTGGCGGGGATGGAGCCCTACAAACGTGTGCTGTCGTTGATAGACTGGCTCTAGGTGAATTTTAGAATCATCTTCATAGTTCAGTTTCAATATGAGCCTTGTCATGTTTGAGCACATTGCGTGAAGTCACAACGTCTTGAAAATATAACTCACAGTCGTAAATCCCATCGCTGTGATCCCTGAAGATCGCCGGCCGTCCTAACGCTGGATCTTTCCAGAACCAAAAAGACATGTCGGCGTCCTTCGCGATCGATTACATCAACACCTCTCATCGCTCCTATACGACCTGAAGCAGCCTTAAGGATGACTGCTGGTTTGGCATCAGATGCCTTGATGTCACGACACATCACCATGTACAAGTCCAAGGATTGGGAGAAGACCCATCTTCCCGCCAAGAGCACACTTGTCACCATAGGGCTTTGCGGAAAGGCATACGATTGTACAGGTGTTTTCCGCACCAGGATATTATGGCGGACTCGCGTGGCTTGAGCGAGGATGCACTCCAGCATTTGCTGCGTCTGAGTAGTGAGCGGCCCGGGAAGGCGAGGAAGACGCGAAGATCTGTATAGGGTGCTCCAGATAAATCTCTCTTGCGTTAGAATCGAAAAGGTCTTCGAAACCTAGACGGTTTTGGTGGTTGATAGGTGTCACAGGAGATGGAAAGTAACTGGCTCACCTGACGAAGGCGTAGAACATCAAGGACGTCCAGACCGATGCAGACCTTGATGAGAACATCTGCAGGGAGCTGCTCTAATGTCAAAGACATTGATCGTGCGTGATCAAAGCGATTTGAAAGAAAATATTTTTGTGCCACAGCACTATGTGTACGTGAGTAAGTGGTGAGTGGCGTTCAAGTAGCTCGCGTTGCTGAAGTACAAGGGCCAGACGGGCGTAGTAAACGAGTGGCACGTTCCGGCTGCTGTTGAGTTTTTGGGCGCTGCGCCGTCTCTTGAAAAGATATGTGAGCAGTTTATCCGGCTTCCAACTCTGGTTAAGCCGAACCGCGTGCTTCCTTAACGATATGTCTGTGAGACATAGTATACAACGTGACGCTGTGAATATGATATGATACATGTACTAGCGATCAAGTCCTTCAATTTCAAAATGCAAAAGTCAATTAGGCAACAGGAACTTCTACGCTTCCACCACACACTCACTATCAGAACAGAGACTAAACTCGCTCTACACTTCGTCTCGGAGACCCACAGTCCGACAAGCCACCCCAAGCAGCATCGTTCCACGCTATCGTCGACTGAGAGCGTCCATAGTCCTCCTGTGTCTCTACAAAGTGCACTGAATCAAGGTCGACGGTCGTGAATGCACTCCCACCCACTCTCTCAGTCAAGATTGGTTTAGGCGGTGTCGTGGTGTCGTCATAATACGAGCTCTTGTCTGAGAGCAGGACGCGGAATAGGAACGTGACGGTCACGAGAAGGTTGCATGCGATGAGGTCGAGGGCGCACTGTCAGCCGCAGCGCGATTTGAGTCAGCGTCGAAGATGATCAAGGTGGTAAGCGGCAAAGGGAGGAGGGGCTCGTAAACGTAGGCTCTCACTTGTAAATTCGTTGTGATCATTGAGTACATCGTTGCCGAAACAATAAAAGCGTCATGTACGATGCTGACCGCAGCATTGAGTACGCCCGTGGCGAAAATGGAGAGGATGAGGATGCGAGGCAGGCAGGCGAGCTGGACGTTCCATAACATCGCCAGAGGAAGGCCCACGAGGATTATTGCGCTTATTGCGTCGGCTGGTTTCAAAGTGAGCAGCAAATTGTTCCATCAGCACACAATTGAACCGTAAGCAGGGGGAACAAAGCGCACTGATAATCAGTATGTACGCATACGCCGTAGAGGTTTCACATGCAGAGGACATGCTCTCACTGCAAAGCCACATTTTGCCCCCGAAGCTGACGGCCCAGAAGACAACAAAGAGCGCGAGGCTCGCGAGAATGAGTTTGCGGAAGCACGCGTTGGTTGTGACGCGCAGGACGGAGACGAGGATGCTTGCGCGGGTGGACCTAAGCATTGTCATGAAGGAACGGGGTGGTGTAAGTGGTAGGAGGATATCGCCGCGTAAAATAGATAGCAGGATAAAACAGACCAGACTTCCATCACGAAGACCATGAGATCGAGCCAGAAAAAGATGCGATCAGCTTGAGCTGTCCAGTCCGCGCCACCGGGCCCCAGTGTCAGCGCCAAGCATAACTTGAAAGAAAAGGAACACAGAAGTAGGGAGATGAAAGTACTCACGTGCGCTAGGAAGGTACATCAGCCACATGCATATCATGCACAGTGCACAAAACAGCGTCCCGAGCAGCGCGAGCACGTCTTCCACCCAGTACCGCCCCCTCCGTATCCACATCCGGAGCACAGTCAGCGCGATTCCGAGCGCGTACACGCCAGTCTGGGCTCCTGTTTGCGCGCATACATGGAAAATGCCCGTGCATCGAGTTGCGTGTGTCAGCTAAAGTTCGAGTTTTGCAAGCAGCATTCGGAGTGGTAGCGCGCGCTGCGACACTCACCGAGATACGCGATTGGAAGCGGAGGGGGAGCGTGGTTATTATCGCCCATGCCAGAGGCTAGGCTGGGGAGAAAGGGGGTAGACGAAAGCCACTATCCACCGCAGGTTCTCCAGAGGTGGGGGGAGCCTTGATGTCGTCGTGGTTTACAAACAAGTTTAAACAAGCGGCTAGCAGCCCTCGTGCGTGTTGGCTGTCATGGCTAAATGCATTTACCACAAGCTCGTTCGGCAGATTGTGAAGGATGTACAGTAAATCGCGAATGGCGCGCAAAGTAACGCAGCCGCTCACAGCCGAAACCCGACAGCCCGGCGGCTCATTGTAGTTTCTCAGGGTCGGTCCCGATTCTCTTGATAAGTCTTGATAGACCATAATGACAGTGACAGATCATGAACTCAGCGGCGACGGAGAAAAGAAATTTGACGTGTCGGAGGCAAAACCTCGAGCAAAAATAAACTGGTAGTATAGCCAGGTAGGCCAAAGCTATTCACAGGGGGAGTAGCCCAATAAGTTCTCAAAATTTATTGTGGAATTATTGTGGATGCAGTTTAATGAAATTTTGCCAGGACAGTGAGACTTGTTTTGGAGCTTACCAGGGACGCATTTTGAATAAAGTTTGGCGATTTACACGTGACACGGCCAATTTGGTCATAAAAGATAATTTGATCAGAATATCTCCCCGCTAAGTACCAAATAAGTTTCGCTTTTCCTGCAAAACAAAGTTAAAATACGTCTTCAATATTTCTACCATAAGTCCCGAGAACTTATCGGGCTATTCCCGCTGTGTATTTACCAAGGTGACTACCTGGAGATCTTCGGAGCGTGCTGGTGACCAACTGTGCTGGGTGAGTTTGCGTGTTGTCAGAAAGCTCGAGAAGGATTACGAACTTTGAGATGATTCTGAGGGTGATTGGACGCGCTTTGAAAGGGGAGTGCTGTCGGACGGGTGCTGCTGCTAGGGTATCAAAATTGTTCCGAGAGATATCGGTATTTTGATAGGCTTTGATAGGTTTCTGACCTTTACATGCGCGTACACGATCGGCGCAACAGGATGCAACAGAGGACGTGGCAGCTGTCATAGGCTGACATAGGCTGACATGGCATGGCCGACATCCGGTCGGAGGTCCTAGACTGTCCTGTAGGAGAGTTGGCATATGCGATCACAGCTCAACTTAATCATCTTCTAGCTCAAGGTGGACAGACAACGCCGAATTTCTTGGAGCTGAATTACTAGTATGATAACATAAATCAATAAATATGCCGGATAGCTCGGTGAATACCTTCCACAGCGCGCGAGTCCATGCAGGCTTGCTATGACAAGCCCAGTGCCACCAGCGCCATTTTTTCAGTCAGCAACGCAGCGGATCCCGACTCGCAGCCTCACTGCTAGGCATCGTCCCCGTCCCGCTTCTTCCCCTCGTCCGGCCCGTCCGTGTACCGTTGTTGTCCCATGCAGGATCCCAAGCTATCGTCGAACGCCCATGACCGTTTTCACGCCCCGAGTCATTATCGAAGTTCACCGAGCCGAGGTCAACGGTAGTGAGCATGTCGAGCCCCTCGACGAGGTCGTTCGTGTATCTGATGGCGGTGGCAAAGTCCAAACTCGTTACGTGGGGCCGGTTGGCCGCGGACGCCTTGTCAGTCATGTACGCGCTCCGTATTTCGCGGGCTTTGTGAGCTTCGATGACGCGGTAGACGAACGTGACGGTGACAAGGAAGTTGCACACGGTAAGGTCGGCGGCACACTGAGTGATATAAATGCATAGTAAGGTCCAAGTCAGAGGTACTTGGACGGCGATTCACCAGCGTACCTGGATATGCCCTGTGATACCCGTAAGTGGCGTCTGCGGAACAAGGAAGATAGCGTGCACGTAGCTCACGGCAGCGGTTATAACGCCCACGCCGAATACAAGAAGAATGAGCGTCTTGGGTATGCGTGCGAGCTTGACGTTCCACAGCATTATAAGCGGAAGAGCAACAAGAACGAATGTGCTTGCTACATCCACTGTCGAGCCAGATCACACGTCAGCTCTGTACAATTCAGAGAGAGAGAAAAAGGGTATAGGTGGATGCAACGCACTGCTTATGATCACATCCGCATACACCTGCGTCGTCTGACACGCGTATGTCAGGTTGCTCCCGCAGAGCCACATCTTCGCTGAAAACTCGACGGCCCACAACACGAGGAAGAGGGCGAGGCTCACGCGGATGAGGAGCGAGAAGCGGGCACTGGTCGAGATGCGCATAATGGAAATGAGGATGCTCGTGCGCGTGAACCTGCCAGTGCGTCGCGTGGTGAGGAACGTGAAATGGATGGTAGTGAGGATGGTGGTGCGCACCAGACGACGTTTGCGAAGGTGACCACGCCGAGCCATTGGAATGCACGGTCGACCATGGCTGAAGGACGCGAATGGGCAATACGCACATCATTTTATGGTAGGAGTGGAGGGCGTTAGCAATTGAACCCGAGCTCAGCGACACCTGGACGAGCGGGACGTACGTGCATGGGGAATGAACATGAGCCACATGCCTACGATGCACAACACGCAAAACAGCCCAGCAAGCAATGCGAACACGTCCTCCCACCAGTACCTCCCGCGACGGATCCACAGCCGGAACGCGGTCAAAACGAGTGCGAAAGCGTAGAAGCCCGTTTGGATACCTGACAGTGTTATGCACCCTCCAGGTTAGCCCACGGAAGTTGCTTGTAGCAGACTGCGTAAGTACCCACCCAGATAGGTCTTGGACAGCCCTGGAGGCAGGATACTCTGGTACACTTCATTCTTGGCCATAGCTGGCCCAAAGCTGGCAAAAGTCCGCGTCACCAGTTACCGCGGGTAGGGCTGAATGTTGCCAGCCGGTCCAGATGCCGACTGCAGAGTGCAGCAGTGTGCAGCACGCAGCGGGGCGAGCAAATGTCCACCGGTCACTCAGACCAGACTGAGTGTTTAAGAGCAAAAAGAGAGATGAACGACGATGAAGACGGAGTGGAGCGCGAGCATGCCGCATTGCTCTCAGGCTGGCCTGCACTGAATGGACGGGTTGTCCATGCGAGCCTACACTGCGCGACGCGCGCATGGGGCAGGCGCCGACACATTGGCGCGTCGGGCTCTATGATGGGTGATGCCGAACCGCCGCGGCCCGCATGTCCTTGAACCTCGACTTTGCAGGTACTCAATAATCTCTGAGAAATTCCACTCGGGTGAAACGACGGGCACATGAATCCGGGATCATAGGTCACCGCTGCAGCCTGCCACGAAAATGCAGCAAAGGTGGCTCGGTTACCATCGTTCAGATCGAACGGATGACGACTCCGACTTTAAACACGCTCGAAGTTGAACGTTTATTCTTCGTTCCCAGCCATCGCGCCTATATCCAGTACAGAAGTTGTATGCTACCGACAGAGACCAAAGTTGTATGCGTGCGGCACCAACAGTGGTGTACCAAGAAATTATTAGGTGCATGTGCGCAATGGTTCCTTAGGAACAACTCCCAGGTGTGATGCACTATGCATAGTCCGTCGAGGCAGAGCATCGCGGTCAACATTCCATGTGGCAGTATGTGGAACACAACGCAGCCTGCAAGTCCCAACTAGCAGCTCCAGCCACTAACGGGCATAATCGCGTTCGTTCCGCATATTCTCCCTCTTGCCTGGGTGTGACCTTTGACATTGATGTCGAACGCGGGTGGTATCTTGCTTACATCGATAACTTACAACATCTCATCACGAATCCGCCGACCGCTCGATTCCATATCCGAGCCCGCTCTCACGTCCACGTTCGCTACCAGAATGATGGTCGAAGCCCGCCGAATCGAGCTCGAGCTCGACAGTCGTGAGCACATAACGGCCCTCGACGACGTTGTTCGTGTACCGCGTCGCGGCGCCCAAGCCACTGATGTCGTCTGTCGACGTCGTGATATCGCCCGTGTCTGTAGTAGTACTCCGGTTCTTGTTGCGGCGCCTGCGGGTCCGCAGGACGCGGTAGCCGAACGTGACGGTGACGAGGAGGTTGCATACAATCAGGTCGACGGCACACTATCCGTCCCCACAATCAATGTGAACGTTCGCAGTGAGACAGAGCGTTCGCAGCGAGCGGTGCGTCGCTCACCTGGATGTTCCCCGTGATCCCCGTGAGCGGCGTCTGCGGCGCGAGGAAGACGGCGTGCACGTAGCTCGCGGCGGCGTTGACGACGCCGACGCCGAACACGAGGAGGATGAGCGTCTTGGGCATGCGCGCGAGCTTGACGTTCCACAGCATGAAAAGTGGGAGCGCGACGAGGATGAATGTGCTTGCGACGTCCACTGCCGGGTGGCACAGCGCGTGAGTCGGTGTGTTGTCATTTCCCTTTGAAGAGAAGGAGGGACAACTCACAGCTGATGATGATGTCCTCGTACACTAGTGAAGTTTGACACGCGTACGTGAGGTTGCGCCCGCAGAGCCACATCTTGGAGGAGAACTCGACAGCCCACAAGAGCACAAAGAGGACGAGGCTTGCATGGATGATGAGAGAGAAGCGCGGGCTCGTCGAGACGCGCATGATGGAGACGAGTATGCTTGTCCGTGCGAGCCTGTCGTGTGTCAACGGTTGTTTCATCCGCATGAGTAAAGGTGTAAAGTAGGAGGTGCAAGAGATGCGGCGCACCAGACAGCATTTGCGAATGTCACCATGGCGAGCCACTGGAACGCGCGGTTGATCTTAGCTGTTTCCATTAAAGGCGGAGTCGTACGCAGAGGCAATCATAGCACCACAGGCCTGCCATCAGCGACGGAGGCCAACACGAATACCTGAGTCATGGGAGGCAACCCACCAACGTCGGGAAAGTACATGAGCCATAGGCTCACGTTACAGAGGACGCAGAACACCCCCGCGACCAAAGCGAGTATGTCCTCCCACCAGTATCGCCCCCTGCGAATCCACAGCCGGAACGCGGTCAACGCGAGTGCAAACGCGTAGAGGCCTGTCTGGAGGCCTATGCACATGTCCCCCAGCCATGGTTTAGGTTAGAGGATAAGTTAGGAGGCAATGAGGGACGCCGTGACGCACAGAGATACACTATGGATATCCGCGGGGGTGTAGCGCCCTGGTACTCGTCTGGGGTGTGGGTGCTCATGGCTGCAAGCAGAAGCGGGACAGAGTCAAAAAGGGACGCAGGGAAGTGAGCGCCGTGGGCGCGTTTAAAGATTGCTGGATGTATGCAGAAGCGGCCCGTGGGCAGCGGAGGGCGGGATCGAGCGCTGGAATGTCGGGATAGCTGGAGATCCCATGAATGATCGTAAGTGGGTGCGTGTGTAGGTCAACCACGGTTTACGTTATTACGAGCGCGATTTAAGGCTTCGAGGTCGCTATTCCAGGGGCTTTGAAATAGATTTGCCCAGTTCGCTCCCTGAGTCGCGAAGAGAATGTTCTTCCAAGGGCTCGGAACGTTCAATGAAGCATCATTTGTTAGACGTCGGTGACTCTCCAGATGTGTGGTGACCATAGAGTGTGGACGTGTGTCATGGAAAGAAGGTGCGAACACTTGGCGGAGAAGACACATTGTGAGAAACGTCAAGTTGAAGTTGACAGCGCTCTATCCGTTTTGTATTGCGCCACATCTCAGAGATTGGCCTAACGTGTGAGCTTTTTCGAACCTCGGCTGATGTCGGTCTCAGCCTCTGAGATATCAGCGATTTGGGGCATATTGCTCGAGTTCCCGCATGTTCTGCTGAAGGGAGCGAAGAGAGTGGCGACAAGGTGGTGGAGGTCGAGAGAAAGCCGAGGAGCCGGAGGAAGCACGTGTTTTGAGGCCGAAGAGCCAATCGGCGGTCGGGAGACGCGGACATAACCTCAAAATCAGCTCCTGTTCCCCGCATGTCTTATACCCGGTCCACTCTCTCCTGCTCTTCAGCTTGAAGTCAGCCCGTGAAGACCTTGAATTGATCAAAGACACATCGAATAATCTTCTGGTCGAGCCCGATAGACGCTAAGGGTGAGCACGCTGACCGAGCACGTAAGCTTTGTGCGCACGCTCATTCAAACTCGTGCAGACGACCAGCGCTCTCGTGACACCCATTCTTCTTGCTCTCACAGCTATACAATTGTTTACCCCCTCCCCACCTCTCTCACCCGCAGCCCCTCCATTGGACTTTGCTCTCTGACGTATACAACTCCTCGAAGACATGGCACTCCCGATGCTAGCAGGTGGCGCTGAGTGCGGACCATCCAACCCCTTACAGGGCCTCACGAAGAGATTCGATCAGGATCGCGGTGTCCAGCAGGTATGTTCTCGTGCTCTTACTTGCCGCCTTCACACTTCGAACTCTTTTTCGTCACCCACCCTCTTGTGTACCATACCCTTTCGCTCCTGTCTCACAAACACTGACACCATCTCTGTAGGACTACTTCAACGCCCCGCGCGCAGGTTCTTCACGCGACGTCTTTCGCACCGTTCGCGGCGCCGCACCAGGCCTCGAGCAGGACGCATCCCGATTCTTCTCCCAGTCCCAGCAGGGTGGTGGCCCGGCGCCTGCGTTCGACGTGAATGCGCTAAGGAACGCGCTTCCAGGGCCGGCTTCGGTGCCTGGGATTCACTCTCCTATCACGCATGCACCGTCGCCTGTGGCCATGGGCGGGGCACCCTGGGCCGCGGATTTTATGAGCACTTTGGCGGGGCCGAGTCAGGCGCCCGTGCAGCAGCAACAGCAGCAGCAGCAGCAGATGCAAAGACAGGGGCAGCAGAGTGTGATGAGCCCGGGCGTTCAATGTGAGTTCCTCCGACTTGTGCCCCCAAGGTGGGTGTCGCTGACAGGACGGATGCATAGCTCCTGGGATCTGGAACAACTCGTACATGAGCATGGGCTACCAGCAGATGGGCGGCATGATGATGCCTATGAACCAGCCGCAGACGCAGACGGCGAAGCCCGCGTTGCAGGCGGACCGTGCGTATCATCTTTTTCGACGATTTCTCATTGTTCTCACTAATTGCCACTCATGACACACGTAGACATATCATGGGACCACGAATTTCAATCCCAAGAAACCCTCCTCTCCTTCCAAATGCCCTCCCAATCCATCATCACCTCCTCCGGCGAGCCCTCCTTCGCGGAAAAGCTGCAGCAAATTGAAGAAGCCACGTCCTCCATGGAGTACACCCACACCGCGCGGCCTCCACCAGACGAAATGGCGCGCATCGCAGCCGAAGTGCTGCACACCGTGCAGAGCGAAGCGAACCCCAAGTTCAAGCAGAGCGCGTTCATGGACCTCATGCGCCAGCTGCGCGACGGCGAGGTCGTCGTCAGCGAAACCGGCGTCGAGGCTGCCACCGCCGACCGCCCTACGTCCGCGCACCACGCTGATGTGAAGGGCAAAGGGCGCGCTGTCGAGCCCGTACCGCTCGCTGGGGTGGGGATGTCGCGGCAGGGAGAGAACGTGAGTGGGCCGCTCATGGGCCAGGCGGACGAGAGCAGGGCCGCTGTGGATCCGAACGATGCGTACTTTGCGCAGGAGAACGCCGAGTTCCAGCGGTACTGGGCCGCGCAGCGCCCGGGCGGTCCGCGTGCGCATGAGGCACAGCAAGCAAATGCGGACGCGATGGGGTGGAGCCAGCTGGAGAGCTCAATGGACGACTTTATGGGCGACTGGCGCGCGAGCAATGCTGCTGGTGCCGGTCGCAACGCTGAGGCCGCGGCGACGAGGAGGGCGAGCGAGGAGGGGAGGGCGATGAGAGCGGAGATGCTGGCGCGGATGCGGGAGGAGGCGGACGGGAAGGCGTATTACCGCTTTGTGGAGGATAATCTGTATCTTGCGCGCGCGGCGCGCGAGGGGCTGGGGGAGATGATGCAGGGCCAGGCGAGGGGGATGGAGGGGATGAGCGCGGCGCAGCGGATGCATGAGGTGCGCTTTTTCACGTCACCCCAGTCATACTTATTCAGTTAAGGCTGACTGACAACCCACCGCTGCCGCTTGTTGCTTGAAACGCACAGAGCGTCCTCGCGCTTGAAGCAGCCGTCCAGCACGACCCGACGAACGCGCGGCTGTGGTACGCGCTCGGTGTGAAACAGCAGGAACACGAGCGCGAGGCGCCCGCTGTCGCCGCGCTCGCGCAGGCGGTGGCGCTTGATCCGCGCTTCCGCGACGCGCACCTCGCGCTCGCCGTCTCGCACACGAACGACGGGAACCGCGCGGGCGCCTTCCGCGCTGTGCGGAGCTGGCTCACGGGGCACGAGGAGTACCGCAACGTTGCCGCGCGTGTTGGCGCGCGTATGCGTATGGGAGGGTCGCAGGTCCAGGGTATGAGTGTTGGGGAGGTGGACGATGTCGGGGCGCGGTTTAACACTGTATGGGATGGGAGTATGGGTATGGGTATGGGAGGGGAGACGGGTGGGGTGGACGGTCGCGGGATGGTTTCGGAGGGCGAGTTTCAGGCGCTCATCGAGTTGCTCATTGAGGTGGCGCGGAGCCCGCGGGAGCCCGGGGAGGTGGACGCGGATGTGCAGGTTGCGCTCGCGATTTTGTTGAATACGACCGAGGTGCGTTGATTTCTGTCCGCCAGCCGTGCCCGGTGGCGATGTGTGTGCTGAGTGATAATCATGGGATTTAGGACTATGCGAAAGCGCAGGACTGTTTCCTCACGGCTTTGGCTGTACGGCCTGATGTATGCAATCTTACGCTCACTAAACGCATGGCACGATTGCTGACTGTATCTTCAACGCAGGACCCGCTGCTGTACAACCGCGTCGGCGCGACTATGGCTAACAACGGGCAGGCCGAGGAGGCGCTGCAGTACTACTACAGAGCGCTTGAGCTCAATCCCGCGTATATCCGTGCTCGGTGCGTTCCAGTACCTTCTATACTCTTGTGAAAAGCAGCTTTGACTGATGTGGGCGTAGATTCAACCTCGGCATCTCGTGCATAAACCTCCGCGTGCGTCCCTTCCCTAGCCATATCTCCCTACTCACACGATCCTGACGTCACTCTCCCTGGTCTAGCGCTACGAAGAGGCAGCCCAACATGTGCTCGACGCGCTCGTCCTGCAGGAGAGCGATGGCGGGGACGCGTACGACGGCCCCGCGGGCGGTGACAAGCGCGGCGTGACGAGCGGCGTGCTCTGGGAGAGCCTCAAGACGACGTGTCTGCATCTGCAGCGCATCGATCTCGCGACGCTGTGTGATCGGCGGGACCTGGATGGTGAGTCGTCCTTTTTTAGCTTATGTGATGAGGACTGATTGGCTGGTCCGGTGAAGCGTTTCGCGGAGCGTTCTATGAGGGCGCACACTAGATAGTGTAGAGACATGGATTCCTGTCGATGTGCTCTATATTCTATTCCACGATCTATACCGATGCTGTATACTCTCTTGTGTACTCTCAATCTCAGTCGCTCCGATCCCTACACCGGCACCGTCGGCTGCGGCTGCGCCAGCCGTATCCTCCCCTCGTCATCATACAGCAGTTCGCGCACCTTGACGCTCCTCAAGTGGTTCTTCCCGCTCAGACTCGTATCGTGGTAAAACAGCCACCACCTCCCCCCAAACTCGACGATGGAGTGGTGCGTCGTCCACCCCTGCACGGGCTCCAGAATCCTCCCGCCATACGTGAACGGCCCCAGTGGGCTATCGCCCACGGCGTACACGAGGAAGTGCGTGTCGCCTGTGCTGTACGAGAAGTAATATCTGCCGTCGCGCTTGTGCATCCAGCTCGCCTCGAAGAACCGCTTGTCGTGCCTGGAGGCGTGGATCGGCGCGCCGGTGTCGTCGTCGAGGATGACGAGGTCCGCCACGGGCCCGGCGAAGCTCCGCATGTCCGGCGCGAGCAGCGCGACCTTGGGGAAGAGCGCGGGCTCGTCGTCGTCACCGGACGCCTCCATGCTCTTGTACGCTTCCTTATCGAACTGCGACGTGTCGCGCCAGCACTGCAGCTGGCCGCCCCATATCCCGCCAAAGTACAAATAAGCCTGCCCGTCGTCGTCGACGAACGCGGCCGGGTCGATGCTGAAGCTCCCCGGGATCGGCTCGGGCTCGGGCGCGAACGGCCCCTCGGGGCGGGCGCCCACCGCGACGCCGATGCGGAATACGCCGGCGTGGTCGCGCGCGGGGAAGAAGAGGTAGTATTTCCCGTCTTTGGGGTTGAACGCCGCGTCGGGCGCCCACATCTGCTTCTGCACCCAGGGCACGGCGGGCGCGGCGAGGACGGCGCCGTGGTCCGTGACGAGGCCCGCGGCGAGCTCTTCTTGGGCGTTGGCGGGGGCGGAGGAGAATTCGGGGATGTGAGGGAGGCTGTAGACGTGGTAGTCGACCATGTCGTATTGGTCGCCGTTGTCGTTGTCTGTGACGGTGGTTTCGCGGTCATGCGAGGGGTAGATGTATACGCGCCCGTTGAAGACGTGGGCGGACGGGTCCGCGGTGTAGCGGTGCGTTATGAGGGGCGGCGGGTCCATGGTGGGTCTTTGTATCTGTGGGCTCTCAGAATAGTTTCAGAGTGCTCGTCGGGGAACGAGGTGCGGGTGGGGCGAGCGGCGACGGTGGTTGATAAGCTCTGCTCCTGAGATCTTTGGACAAGGGGGCCATCCAGTATATCTACGCTGCCGCCTCCGCTGTAGCTTGCCGTGATACATGCCACGCGCTTGTGCGTTTAGGCTGAAGACTCTGAGACGGCGAAAACTTGGCGAAACTGGAGTTGGCATGGTCATGGGTCTTGCTCTGTAATGCTTGGGGATTGTGTTCGGGCCGAGATACCCGTGCGACCGTTTGGCTCTGCTGAAGAGCGCAGCCATGTTGATTTGGCTTCATCTCATAAGGCACTGTGCCTTCAAGTCTGCTAGCACGACTTCAGAACGTGTTAGGACATAAACCTGCTGGATTCTATGGATGACGTACAATAGTCTTATACTCTAAGATCCTTCCTGCCAACCTGCTTACATCGAATGCCGATCCTTGTCTTCTGGTGTTGACCGCGCTAAAGCCCTGACGAGTTTGTCTCTACAACCGTCTTTACCATCCTGACCCATCATAACGTACCCCCAACGAGTTCGGGACCAGAATAGTTAGTGTCGCTAGCGAGCAAAAAATTGCCAACGTTCCGAAGAATGGTACGCATGGATGTGATGTTGAACGGGCGATGGCACGAATGCGTCAATGGAGAGGGATTACCCACTGCACCAAATCTACTGCAGTGTTTCATGCTGCTGATGAGTCCGCAGCAGACCTGAAAGTCAGAATAAGGAGGTCAGACAAGTCACTTTACCAGCGCATATATCAACCAAAAACATACGTCTCGCCCGTAACATCTCCCACATTCGAGCTCGTATTCATGCTCGCGTTTGTGCTTCCTCCCTGCTGAAACTGGTGCCCGTGAGCCTGGGCATGCGCGTGGGCGGCGGGGCCGCGCGTGCCGGGGAAGATGCCCATGGATTTGACGGTGTTGAGCGTCTGGGCGTCGAACGCGGGCAGGTCGGAGAGCTCGCGGAGGCGGGCGAGGGAGCGGGTGCGCATGTTGGCGAGGGTGCGCTGCTTGTCGACGAGCTCGCGGACGTCTTGGACGTCTGCATCGGACATGGGGATCGCTGTTGGGGCGCGGCGGATCATAATGTGAGAATGGGTTCAAACGGTGAGTCCCGTCGAGGTGTATGCGTGTCGTAGCAGGGTGGATGGTGCAGATAATAGACGAGGGCTGCGCTGAGGCGTGTGTCGGCGCCAGTTTGGCTGCGGCGCGGCAAAAAGCAGTCCGCAGGCGCCTGAATCGAGGACACGACACCTCCATCCCTCTCCATCCCAAACTCAAATACTGCGCTCATCTCCCTCGACAGTCCACCCCACGCCTCTCCTTCCTCCAAACCCTCCTACATCGCCCAGACTACTCGCTTCCCCCAACAAATCTACCTCTTTCCCGAACCTGTCAAGATGGAGATGGCCCTGCGTGTTGCTGAGACTCTCAAGTCTTTCAGGGTGCGTCTTGATTGCATTCCTCTGGCTTCGGCTCGCTCATTTAGTTCGCTCTATGTTTTCCTGAAATACAACTCGCCAACTTCCTCGAACGTCTCGATATGCTTTCACTCCACAGGAGACCCGTCTGAGTGCTCTCCGCCCACCCAGCGAATTCTTCGATGTCCACCGCATCTCCCGCCCCGCCGACGTTAACCAGGCAGTCTCCGTACGTCATCTAGTCTTTGACCAGCGCGATCTCACTCAAGCTGCGGTATATAGCGGATATCATACAACACCCGCTACTTCTCGGGCAACTACCTCGTTATCTTCCTCGCCCTCTCCGTCTATGCCCTGTTCGTCCTTCCACCACCACCGCCTTCACTCCTACTCACCCTGACCTCTACCCTCTGCTCTTGCCCTCTTTCCTATCCCATAGTATCACGAGCCCTTGGCTGCTCGGCGCGCTCGCCTTCCTCATCGGCGGCTTCATCCTCATCAACAGGTTCGGCGCAGACCCGATGCAGTTCGGCGATGCCACCATCACCCAGAAGTCGCTCTACACCGGCCTCTTCGTGATCGGCATCCCGCTCCTCTGGTTCGCGTCCCCCTTCATGGTCATCTTCTGGCTTATCGGCGCCTCCGCCTTCCTCATCCTCGGCCACGCGTGCGCGCTTGAGCCCGGCGTCGAGAGCGAGTACGCTGGACTCGGCGAGTCCGTCTAAGCGTGGGCCTTGTGGCTGGCCACTTGTCCTTGTGGACTGGGGAAGAGCCTGGATTGAGGTTGAGCGCAAGCAGAGATAAGGAGGGTGGTGGAGGGGTGTAGAGGGGCGGGCGTGGCTGCGCCAGCCCGGGGTGAGCAGAGTTGGCTGGTGGTGGCGAAATGGCCACCGCGGGAGCAATACCAATGCTCGTTCGTCGTTCTTGGTCTCAGTAAATCTTAACTGAACATTTATTTCATAAGCTTGTGGTCTGAGTCTCTCGCTGATAACGTACCTATGCGTGTTGTAGACTTTCATCCTTTAATTATCGCTGCGCACCTCGTGCGTTGTGTTTTTCCAAAGTTTCCTGTTACATATATCTAGGGAGAGAGCTTTTGGATTGTCTGACCTGCTTCGGACTGCGTTTCGGGGTCGCCGTTTGGGATCTTCGGGGCAATCTGGCGGAGCATATAACTACAAGTATGTGCCGAGTTACGCTTTGCATGGCTCGATCGAGTGTCAATGCCAGGCATGCGGAAGAAAAAATGCGCTCTTTCGCTTCGAAACCTCCGATGTGACGGACCGATCACCTGTCAAAAACGATGGTTGGTTTTCGGAGCATTCCTCTCACCCGTAGCGGTACAATACAGCGGCCCCGAGCGGCGCAAACTCACTTGAAAGTGCATCTGGCAAGTGAGTACGAACTTTCTTGCGCAAACTCACGCTCAATCGCATCAGCAGTCTTGACTTGGCCTTGCCAATAGCACGTTCCGAGCTCTGGGCACAACTACATACTTCACATCAAAAGTCTTTTTGAGCGCCACTATCAGCTGCAAAACCTCGGATTATGTTGCCGCCGGGCTGTCGGCTTTCGGGTGTCATTGCGCGTCAGCTGAAATGTGCCAATTGCCAACCCACCGTCTACCAGTTCCTTCAAATATTGTCGATGGCCGGCCCTGAGCACGAACAAGAAACACTGTTCGCTTAATACGCTTGCGCGTTGACCACGACGACGTCGACAACACGCGGTGCGCCCACCTCTGGACATCGAGAACTTGCGGGGAACGGTGGCTTCGATCCAGTCCTTTCTTTTTCTTTACCCCTATTCCCGAAGCGCCACCCCCAGGCCATGGGCGACTACGACTTCGCCCCGCCGCCGCTCTCGAGCGCTTATCTCGGTGAGTGTTATTCTGCGTGCTGCTACTTCGGTTCTTGCACACAGAATTCAGACCTGAACTGACAAACATCCATACACGAATCAATTCATTCTGGCGTACTATGCGCATATAGGAGCCCAAACGGGGGTGTATGCGCTCGCACTCGCGCTGACCGGGTTCCGGTTGTGGATCCGTAGGGGGCGGTATTGGGTCGACGACGTGCTCGCGCTCCTGGGGACGCTTTTTTGCGCGGTGTGCGTGATGTGCATGTGGCTCATGTATCTTCCCGATGCCCGTGAGTGCTCCTACATCCTCTAGTTATCCCCTCTATCTCACCTTTCGAATTCTTGCTTGGTACTGACACGATGTCTCATGTCTTTTTGCTGCTCTCTGATGCAGCCGTCGCTGACCGCGCCTTTCTGTGGCTTGATCTCATCGTATTTGTTATGGACGTCTGGTGCGCCCTTTCTTCTTCGTGTGTTATGCAGACCCACCTTGACCCCGATTATTTGTCACCATTAATGACGCCCTGCAGGTGTACCCGTGCAAGCATCCTCGTCTCCGTCCTGCGCGTCGTGACCAATGTGCGCTTCCGAAAACTTATCCTCGCCAGCCTCGTGCTCTTCTCTTTCTTCTGGGCCATTAGCTTTGCTGCCAAGATGTGGCTTTGCAGGAGGAGCGCGTCTACGACGTGCGAGAGCACGCGGGCGTATTCGTATATCTTGATGAGCAGTGCGTTCCATTCTCCCTTGACTTTATAACCAATGCTCATTGCGAACGGGATATCGCCATCTTTGACATCAGCTGATGCGATCAGCTCAGCCATCCTCGTGGGGCTGCCCCTGGCGATGCTGTGGAACGTCAAGCTCGCGCGTCTCCCTCGAATCCTCATCCTCTCCATTTTTGCCATGGGCGCGCTTAATGCTGCAGCCAGCATCTTGCACGACGCGTTTCTCGATCCGGTCACGAAGTTCTCGATGATCACGGCGCATTTGCAGGTGGGCATGCGTTTTCAAACCGTACCCTTTCCCCCCTTGCCGAGTATTATCTATCATCCTATGGGGCTGACTCGAATCACGCTACGGCTGACAGTGTGCCCTCGACCTCATCGCGTGCAACCTCCTCGTGACCATGACGTTTCTCTTCTGTGTTGTGCGCTCGGACAAGGCTTCAGAAATCTACGACGCGACGACGCCCCCCAGGCCGACCATGGCCGAGTTGTTTGGCGACAGCACACTCACGACCGTCGACCTTGACTCGATGCATTTCGTAGAGACGCAGGAGGACTACCGACGCTCTCGGTCGACACTAGCGTGGAACGATGCTGTTTGGAACAATGTGTCGGATTGTGTACCGCCGAGGCGAAATTCATGCGAAGCATAGTTCTGTATATCACGGTAAGTGGGTGGGCTTTTGGATCATGATCTCTATTCACACTATTTTCGACGGTAAAGATTTTTTAAGCGTTACATGTATCATATTCGCATCATCCATCACATATGTTATTTTTTTTTTAAAAAAAAAAAAAAGATGGGTAGCTCTCGACCAGGCCGGAAAGGCTGATAAACTACTCGCTTGGCTCTGCCAGGAACGACGCGGCTTCCAAATGTTTGACCCTGGATGAGGACCCTTCGAGTTGGCGTCTATTGCTCTGCGGCACACCAAACCTTGTTCTTCCTATCACGTATCCGCGCTTCCTCGCTGTTCTCCTCTCGTCCGCAGGGAATGCTTCGTCGACTGCCAATGTTTTGTATGGTAGTATATGAATATGGCTTCTGAATACCTATCGCTACTCGCCCTTAAAACTCATATATTGAAGCTGTCCCTCGACGTGACGTAAAGTGAGCTCCCTTCCACATAGTTCAGCTTACCGACGCCCCTCATAACATCATCACAGGGGAAAAGAAGAATAAATCTGGGTTTTATGCGGGAGTTTCGGCTTCTCCGATTAAGAATAGCCACTAGGTTGATATGCAGCCTTTTCAACCATCGGTGAGCGCATTTGATGTTTGAATAGGACGAGTCTCCGATAAGACGGAGAGATTTTAAGTTGCACGAACGACAGGTCGCAGCTTCTCCTATCTTATTAGATGAGCTTAATTATTCAAGGGGCAATAACGAAAGGGATAAAGCTCGACTGCGGGGCGAGAGTCAGCCCATTGACTCTGTCCTGGTAACATAAACTCTAATAATTGCACCCTTGACAGGGCGCGTGAACTCTCCGATAATTCCGCCTGATCGCCCATTCAAACAGGACTGTGCGTATGTCCCCTGAATGGGTCTCATTGGCTCGCGGGCAGCTTGTCAATGTTGCCAGGAAGGACCGAAACGTTTCGAAGTCAAAACGCCGCTCGCCCGTGTGCCTCAAGTGTGGGGACGCCGGGGCTCATACATCACGCTTGACCTTTGGTCTTTCTCTCGACCACCGTGGCCAGCACCGCAGACATCGTTATGAGTGCCGGTAGCGATCAATCCTTGAAGCTCTCGATTCCATATGTCATCTTTCAAACCGGATTCTTTGCCTTCGGGTTTCTCTTGACTGGGTTCCGACTCTGGATACGTGCTGGACGGTTCTGGTGGGAGGACTGGTTCGCGCTTATCGCCGCGTGTTTTGCTGTCGTATCATTTGTCCTTATGTGGCTCGTGCACTTATCCTTGGGTGAGGGCTAATAAACACCTTTGACACACGCAAGCCTGACATGTTCTTTTCAGACTCCCCAGGATGGCTATGTGTCTGGCTGAATATGATATCATATTGTATGGTGGTGTGGTCGGTTATTTTGCTTTTGAAGGAGACGGTGGGCTGATGACGATGAACCTCAACTAGGTTCTCGCGGATAAGCATCTTGTGCTCTGTCCTCCGAGTCGCTACAAACACGAGCATCCAGCAAATACTGAATGGTAGCTTGATGCTGTTTGTAGTAATGTGGACAACAGCTCTCACCACAAAGATATGGTTCTGCGGCAAAGACACTTCATGGGAGTCGTTTGAGCCGAGCATATGCCCAATGCCGACATCAATGTCCGTTATCGAAGCCGTCAGTGAGTTGAACCATGCTGAGTTCACAACTCAACAATAGTTATCACGCTTACTGGTTTATAGCTGACGTCGTGTCAGCGCTCATCCTCATTGCAGCGCCAATCTCCATGCTTTGGGACCTGAAGCTTGCGCGGAAGCGCAAGACTTTGCTGTACATAATCTTCTCCATGGGCTTTCTGAGCGCTGCCGCAAGCCTTGTTCACATCGTATTACTTGTGCCGTCAACAGCTCTGTCGAACATCAGTGCTTTAATTCAGGTGATACTCTCGCCTTTTCTTCATTGAACCCCATTGTTGACCGCCTTGATGAGTCTCAAGGCTTCGACAGACATGGTTGTGTGCAATCTACTCGTAACGGTGACGTTCATATATCACCGAACGCTCTCTGAGGGCACTGGCACTGGTGCCGATACGGACGATATCGCGTTATCATATGAAAGTAGATCACAGACGCGAACGCAGACCCCCAGCAGGCTAACGACAGTGGAACTTGAGTATCGTAATTCTTCGTCAAGCAACGACAGGCCTACTAGATCGGGTGCAACTCAGGGAACAGACGGAGAGTATAGGTTAAGTTTAACGTCACGCCAGCAGTCTCCCTCTTGGCCTCCCTCGTCCGAGCGCACTCCATCAAAGCGCGCAGCTGACACCATTATCTAAGATATCTGATTACTTATACATATACTGATTTTCTGTCAGGTAGACCATACTGCTCTCATGCAATTGCCAGTGCGATCCAGTTAAGACAGATCCTAATTAGCCCCTATGACTATTGCGGTCCGTGCAGGTCCGGATTTACCGGGCCAATAGCATGCTAACCGCTTGGATCGGACGTGCGCAAAAGCGACGGAACGGGGCGGTCTCAATCTTGCTCACGCTCGCAGTGCATGAATATACGATGACACACTCCACCACGTTCTCTGTCGTCGCCGACACCCCGACTATTTTACTCTAAGGACCGCGTATCCTCATTCATGGAATCGAAGCTCGATGGCCTCGTGTTTGACATCTTCCTCAAGATAGTGGGCTATCTGGATGTTGCAGATGTCACATGTCATCCATCTACGCCAGATGCGTACGGCACTCGCTTATGCATATGATCGTGACATCCTCGTTCGGTCCCAACTCCCAAGTGCGCCGAAACATGATAGAACGGGTCCAAGCCGACGCGGTCTCGTGTATCTGGAGTTTCTGGAACCGAAAACACTACTGCTTGCGGATAGAAGGGCAGTCACGCATTCGGCGGAGACTATTAATTATCTGCTGCAACCTGCGTCTTGGAGGAGCCGTATGAGATTGATTATATCTGTCTCATCGCGTAAGTTATTGTAAAATGATGGGTGGCGCTCGCAACGGGGGCGTAAATGCTGATAAGTTATCTGCTTGGCTATCCGTGTCTGTAAGCAAAACCGCCGCTTACGAAAGCTTCTCCCTGGACTTTAAGTTAGCGCCCGTGGCCCTGGGCCCGCGTCCGCGTCATCTACGATATACTGAACCTTTTCCGACCCATGACCTATTTGCACATCCTCAATGTCTTTCTGTTCTTTCATAAATGTCGCCTCGACTGTCTAATGTCTGTTTGTGTGTTCTCCATAGGCCCGTTCTTTAACTTAAAGTAAGGTGAGCTCTCTCGCACACGCTTAAATTTACCGAAGCATCTTGAAACATTTTGTCAGGGTCCGCCGAAGGTTTGAAGAAACGAAAACCAGGATAAATTGTGCATGGTGAACCTTGCCCTCTCCAATCCAGTTAGGACAGCCATTGAGCTTAAACGATATGCAACTCCATTCCTTCTGGGCGTCTTCCTTGCTAGTTGACATTGCTAAAGGAGATATTGCTGAGGCGCTGGGACAAGCGACGTCTTTGAATTAACGATCATTGTCCTGGAAACTTTAACTTGCATGTTATCGCGCCCTTGGCAGGGCGAGTAGACTTCCCGTGTATCCTCTCATTGGTTCGTGAATGTCGCCAGGAAAAGAGAATGATTGACCCTGTCTATATAAGAGCTTACTTTCTCATCCCGCAGTCTGGCCTTCAAATCATCGGGCTTCCTCCCCGCCGTTTGCCCGAATGTGTTGAAGCCATAACGGCGTTTTCCTAGGTTTCTCAAATGCGGGGAGGAGGCTGGGGTCCATCGCGCGCTCAAACCTGATTGTCGCACTCCACCTCCACACCTGTGTGCGTTCGTCATGGCCGTGGGAGGTGATCTCTCTCTGAAGCTTTCAGCGCCATATGTCGCTTTTCAAACAGGTTTCTTTGCTTTTGGCTTCTTTTTGACTGGTTTTCGGCTCTGGGTGCGAGCGGGACGGTTCTGGTGGGAGGACTGGCTTGCGCTCGCAGCAGCGTGCTTTGCTTTTATCTATTTCGTTGACATGTGGCTTTCGCACTTATCCTTTGGTGAGCCCTAGCATTCGGATACCTGGAATATGCCGAGAATATGATACACGTGGTACTAACCCGCTCCTTGTAGATTCCAAAGGGTGGCTGTGGGTCTAGTTGAGTCTCATATCGTATTGTATGGTGGTGTGGTTTGTTCTCTCTTCGTTTGAGATACAAGCTGCGCTAACGATGGCGAGCGTGACTCAGGCTTTCACGGACAAGTATCCTTTGCTCCGTCCTCCGAATCACCACCAACGCGCGCATTCAACGGACCCTGAATGTTAGCTTGATGATATTAGTCGTGATGTGGATCGCAGCTATGACCACGAAGGTGTGGTTCTGTGTCAAAGACACCTCCTGGGAGAGAGCAGAGCCTGCCATATGCCCATTACCAGCGTCAATGTCCATTGTCAAGGCAGTCAGTACGTTTGAACGCGCTAAGTTTGCGAGTTGACTATGCTTATTAAATGACCGGATTATAGCTGACGTAGCATCAGCACTTATTCTCGTTGTAGCACCAGTAGCCATGATTTGGGACCTGAAGCTCTCGCGGAAGCGCAAGACCTTACTCTTCAGCATTTTCTCTATGGGATTTCTAAGCGCTGCCACCAGTATTGTCCACATTATATTTCTTGTGCCGTCGACAGCGTTGTCGACTATCAGTGCTTTAATCCAGGTGATAACCATTCACTTTCTATATCGTATCTAGTCATTGACGGCCTTTGATGAATCACCATGCTTAGTAGGCTTCGACAGACCTGGTTATATGCAATCTACTCGTAACGGCAACGTTCCTATATCACCAAATGCTATCTGACGACACTAGTGTCGATACGGACGACATCACGCCATCGTATGAAACCATGTCGCGGACGCAGACTCAGATGACTAGCAGGTTGACGACTGTGGAACTTGATGGTTATGATTCTTTGTCAAATAACAATCAATCAGGGGTGGCCCAGGCAACATACGCAGGACATAATAGCTCAACATCTTAACAGCAGCCTTCTTCGTCAGGGCGCACACCCTCGAAGTTTGGGTGAATTTTTTAATTAGAATATTCATAGTAATTGCTTCGTTCAAGTTCGTTGTCAACTTTGGAAGACTGTTCAATTAGCCCCTATCTCGGACCGTGTTAGCCGTCCCGACCTTGTGCGGACGCGGGATGACGCGACGGAGCCAACCTTGCTCACGCTCGAGTATGATGACTCTCCCTACTGCCTTCTCTGTCGTCGGCAACGCCAACGCCCGCTGGCGACCAAATCCTCTCATTCATGACGTTGATGATCGATGACCTCGTGTTTGACGTCTTCCTCAAGATAGTTGGCTATCTGGAGGTTGACGATGTCATCCGTCTACGTCAGGCGCGTACAGTGCTCACCGTAGCTTATTTGGACTGGATAAACTAATGCATTCTGAACAGCTTTCAACACGCCTTAAGAGTATGACGAGCGAACGCGCCGTCTGGGATTCCCTTTATCGGACCTCTACGAGCCTTCAGAGACCCCCTGGCCCCCACCCATCACAGACGCGCCAGAATCTTGAACATATCCTCATTCGGTCCCACGCTGTGCGCCGAAACATGATACAACGCTCTGAACCTACGCGGTGCCGTGTACTTGAAGTATCTGGGACTGAAACACTACTTCTCGCGGACAGGTGGGCTGTCACGCGCTCGGCGGAGACCATCATCTGCTGTAATCTTAACGCGAGCGACCTAGAGGAGCCGTACGAGACCGTGGTGTGGGAGGCAGATGTGAAGGAGGGATGCGTGTTCTCGTCGATGGACTGTTCGGACGTCACGTCTTACGACGGTGTGAAGTATGCTTTTATTACGCTTGAGCAGCGCGCTAGGATGCCGCCCCCAAGTCATCCCTTCAGTATAGGGTCTGTTGAATTGTGAGTGTCTTACTTTAGCACAAGTTGATTTTTCTCGGAGCTGATGACACGGTCAGGATAGTGTTCCGAGTGGACATGGAAGATCTGGGCAAGCGCATCAAAGCCGAGGAGATTTACCGAAGCTCTTGTCTCCTAGAAGGCTCGAGCTCCGCTGTATTCTCGACATTAAGTCCAGGTGCACTCTTGGTACATTGGTCAAACACGAACGACAGATCATTCGTATGGCGGCTCGGAACCCTTGATAGATATGTAAATCCTACAGTCATCCCGAACCATAACCTCACAGAAACCGTGCGTCCCTTCGTCGATCTGTCCAATGTTCGCTCATCTAAATCCTTTTGACACCCAGGAAGAAGAGAAGCGATGGGCGCCTTACCAAGTCCTCTCCCGCACGCACCTCTTCGTTGTTCGGCCTTATATGGACAACTCCAATGATGATGCCCCGAGGACCCGAACACGGCTTAGCGCGCTTCCCCTCGCTACTGTCCATGCAGGCACCCCCCACGTATGCGCTTCAGGCGTGATCGATCGGTGCTACATGAGGGACGTCTCCATTCTGCGAGACTCGGTCGCCGATCTGACCACCGGTGAAACCGAGGTTGTGCTCATCGGCCTTAGGATCTTCGTCGCAACAGGAAGTACGGAACACCAGGACATGCTCATCATTGCAAGATTGATCATACCACCGTGCCATAACCACCAGTCAGGGGATGAATCGGAGCTAACATTGGATGGCGCAGAAGAACTCAAAATCCACATGCAGACAGTGGTACATTTCCCATTCTCTGCAGACTGCATCCTCGTCCAGCCGTCGTGGATGGGCTGTAGCATGTTCACCTTCGCCATCGAGAAGACGCAGGGCGCTCGGATCGGGGCGGTCCAGGTGGTGTACGACGACGAGACGCAGGAAGCGACGGCGATCTGCACGTCGAACGTTGACTGTATGGGCGTAGTGCAGGACGATTTTGCTCATAGGCAGGCGAAGCTGTTGTCGTCTGAGAACGAGATCTGGTCGGGTAGGATATGCTATGAATATAACATTGGACCGGGGGAGGAGACGGATGATGGGACTGTCAGTGTCCCGAAGATGCTTTGCGTTCTGGACTTCGCTTGAGATGCTCGTAATGGATTACATTCTTCGCACTTTTATTAGAGCCTGTGTCCACGATTTGCTCTATACAGTACTAGCAACGCGCTACAGATTATTAGTCAAAGTGCACGCCTCCATCAATGGAAATCTGTTCTCTGGTTAGTATGACCGAGCCCGTTACCCAACGTAACCCTTACCGTTTGCCCTGTCACGAGCACAAAACACGGTGAGTATGCCACGTAAACCCAGCAAGTAAAACTACTTACCTGTTATAAAGCGAGCCTCTTTGGACGCCAGATACGAAATAAGGTCTGCGATGTCCTTGGGTTGTCCGTCGATTCCAAGTGTTGAAAGTTGTTTGACCTATCAGTCGGATGTTAACAGCTATGATCGCGTTTACAATCATCGACGCTTTACCGTGGCCGAAATATCGACAGTACCACCACTCGCCCTCAATATACCATCTTGAAGTTCGTCAACTGACGTTGAGGATATTGCTTAGAACCGGGATTGTTTGTGATTTCAGCCATAGGACTTACGCATAGGCGTCTCTATCAAGCCGGGTGCACATGCATTCACCGTGATACCATGAGCCCCGAACTCAGCTGCGGCGACCTGGGTCAAGCCGCGCACGGCAAACTTGGAAGAGCAATATGCGCCGAGGAGGGCAAACCCTGTCATGTACGATTGGCTCAAAACGACGGAAGTATTTAATAGCTGAATGATATACGTACCTTTCTTCCCTGCTAGCGAACTCATGCCGATGATGCGTCCCCCACGTCCCTGCTTCACCATCTGTGCGCCGATGTGTTTGTAGCAGAAGAATGTACCCTTGACGTTGATCGAGAATGCGTCATCCCAATCCTTTTCGCTCACTAATAAAGGGTCGGGAATAAAAACGACGTTGATCATGAACGAAAAAAGAAATGGACTCACGCTCGGCAAGCGCATTAACTCTGACCACGCCCGCATTAGCCACCAGCTGGTTATACAACGTGTCAGTCTAGTCTTCGCTAGCACCACTGCGGACTTGAAGCCTACCACGTCAATACCGCCTAGCTGGTCCGACACAGACGCTACCATATCCTTGACCTCGTTTTCGTAACGAAGATCTGCAAGCGCAGAGCACGTCTTGATCCCCGAGCGCACTTGTGAAAGCTCTGCTGCGATGCTGTCGACGGCATCTCGCTTGTGCGGGAGATCGTTCAGTGCGAGGTCGAACCCGTCCGCTGCAAGGCGCAGAGAGACAGCATGGCCTATGCCGCCTGTGCAGCCTGTCACGAGGGCAACGCCTTTGGAGGTAAGCATAGAGAGAGTAAGACGGAGGATATGAAGGAATAGAAGAAGCTGCTTGTGGGTGAAGAGCTTTATGAACTGAGGCGATTTATAGAGCGGATGTGTACCCCACTTGGCGATGTCGGATGCTTGTTTTGTATTACCGACGATCTTGAAGGCACTCGTATAAACTCCCTATGGTCCGGAGGGACCAGTCTATGACAGAACCTAATGAAAATGAAATGGAGCCCTCACGCATCACATCGCTAGTCCCTGATAACGCCGGCATAGTCGGTCCCCGCAGTGTCATCTTCTCGTTCAGAAAGCAAATCATGAGCTGGTGAGAAAGCGTTGACTTGGTGTTGAAGGTATAACTTACCATTAGCGCTGTCATCAATATCGTGCCCCAAGAGAGGTGTTACTAATGGTGTGGTTCTCTGACCCAACCGAGGTGTAAGGGTAAGTTCGGTGGTGTTCCGCGCCGCTCGGTAATGTGGGGTGCCTGAGATTCGCCGCTTATCGAGCACAGTCTGCCTTGAAAAGCAGTCGTGATGCTACGAAGAACAACAAAGCAAACTCCATTTTAGAGGCGAGCTTCCACCGAGACATGATCCGGGTTGCAAGAGAGCCGGTGAATAACGGGTGGCCAACAAGTACAGCATCAGAATTAGAAGTGCTCACAAGAAGCCATCAAAGCGCAAAAAACTGCCCATGAGAAAGTGAGTGTCAATACAATTCAACAGCGTTGATGACAAGACAGGTGCACTACTCCATGTCACTACCCGGGCTTGATTGTAAGCTGGGAACGCCGATAGGCTCTCGAAGAAAGTACAGTGAAGGGCCTAGATGCATGATGGATGCTTGCAAGCCGAGCACTGTGTCCGTAGTTCAAGCTGACGTTGCCTCGGAGAGTTCAGACGGGGCATATTGGAGATCGAGCATAGTAGCTGATCCATGGCTGTGAGCTGCATCTGAGCGGTTACACCTTGAAGCCGAGCAGCGACTGAGCTTGAGAGCCGAAGCTGAACCCTCTGTTGCCTTTTGAGTTCGGCTAACACATAGAATAGAGCGAGAACCATGATGGCCTCTTGGATGGGCAGAAGCCTTTGCCTTAGTAAGCTCTCTTGAGCTTGGAGGTACCGAGTGAGACCTCGGCCGTGTGAATGGGTAGGTCTGCTGGGAGGTGATGTTTCCGCAATATTCGAGATAAATGCGCGATAAACTGTATTGTATCGTCGTCATCAACCAATGCTGCGTCTTGCCTACCGAATTCAACACCGCCTCAACAACTTGAAGTTATGAACGTGAGCAGACAGTGGTAGAGGGAGTGCTGGTGAATCATCTGAGGTGATATTCAGCAGCCAAGCTGAGTCAAAAACATCAGATAAAGGTTCAAAACAGGCGCACCGTCAAATGCAACCCCACTGAAGTTGTGCTAGGTGGTGATAGTCAGCAAAGAACCATAACATCATGATATTGCCAGAACACGTTCGCCAGCCGGCAGAGCGTTCCCACGGTCACTTTTCTTTCCCCCGCTCACAGCCACGAGTGGCCACTACTCTCAGTCTAAACCAGTGACAACGTATCCTGAAGAAGTGTTCTGACAGTCCTACCGTGTACACCTATCACATACTATGGACTAGCTACGAGCGGATCTCATAGGAAACAGAGACATCACAGTCGAAATTCGACGTCGGCAGAGTCAATTCCTGGTGAGAAATGCATGTGCAACATAACGCGGCCAAACGAGCTAGCTACTCCCATCAAAGGATTCACGGTACAGAAAAGAGCTGCTATCATACACGAGCAGGACGAATGCCATTTGGAAAGCTGGACTCTCAATCGCGCTTTATACCCGCCAACATGATGGCGGTGAGCACCTCCTTGCAATGCGGCATCTCGCCTCGCATGATCTGCTCCATCTTGTTCGGCAGAGTGTCCATGACTCCTTGTTCATGGCGACGAGCTAGCAGTAGCCTGATCTCCATTTCTTGTATCTCAGGGTATCTATAGAGGAATTTGTCACATAACGACTATTGTCGAACATACTAGTGGGTACCAACTTTGAAGTGAACTTGGACAAGACTTCGTGCAGGATGTTCGTTTTATTGAGTTTTCTCTCGATATCCTTGAACGCAATTTGCTTCAGAGACTCTAGCTGAAGCTAGGAAACATGTTATCACGCTCGTGCCATGGTATCAGAGAAAGTAGGATCAACAAACCTTGTGCGCTAACCGGTACATTGACTTAGGGGAGCACGGGGGACAGTCCGAATGAACATCGCCCTTCCCCATAGTAGACGATGTCCTGAGCTCTTCGATATTAGCTATGGAGGTAAGTGGAGTAAAGCTGGTTTGCCCGGTGTAAGCATAGAACAAGAACGCTTTCCATCTGCCTCGCCATTCTACGTTAGTGTATGCCTTGGATCTGTTGACGAATGAAGCTTACGTCTTATAGGCGGCGCCGGTGACTAAGATTGTCTTGGATACCGATGGAGGAATCATTGACGGAACTTCACTGGGAGTGATGTTCGATAATCCCGAGGAACTGACGGAGATGGCGTCACTTGTTCCTAAGTAAGTAGGAGGTCAGAAAAAAACCACATTTCAGCAACAAATATAACGTCTACCTGATACTGATCCGCGCCCGTCTTCTCCGACGACCTCCTCGATAATGTGCTCCTCTTCAGGATCGAAGTCGCTATCCTCTTCGTATTCGTCATCTACATCAACAAATAGTCGACCGCAGTCGACGGCTGACAGAAGATTTGCCCAATTTGTTCCCACGATATCGCTGAAATCTCCTTTTTTAAATGCTAAATGAACAACACGCAGCACCGGCCAAAGGAGGCGCTCACCTGGTCCATTATCGTCCATGCTCTTGAATGTTGAGGAAGCTGCATATAACGGAAGGGTAGAATAGAGCCTTTGTTGAGACCCCAGCTGGCGCCTTCGTGTGAATGCGTTAAACTTTGTGTCAATGAAGGTCCCGTCTGAGAGGCTCTTCGCAAGTGCTTGTTTCGTCACTGGCTCCACGCCAGGAAATACGGCAAATTGCCTGAGAGCTGAAGCGAGCATGGGTCCTGCACTTGTCAGGTCCCCTTCGATGCGCACCTTGACCAGAATATAGCACTCATTGTGAGCGCAGCTCAAACTACCACCGATCTGGTGAGTGAGCCCGAGTTGGCCTTCGGACATAGGGACAACACTATTTCCATCTTGGCAGCCAGCGAGCTTAGTATCAGCAGTTGAGGAAAATAACGAGTCGCGGTCTCGGATTGAGCGAGCATTTGCTATGAAGCTGTGCCCCAATCAGTAAACTAGAAATTAGAACAAAGGAAACGCGATTGACATACCGAGAGAAGTAGAACTTAGAGGTGGACACGGGGTCGGTAATGCCAGTGAGATCAACCAAGAGATCACATTCCTCCAGTGGTTATGAGCCCATCTGCATGAACTTCGGGCGTAGATGGAATAGATCTGACGGATCTTTGGTACCGATGAGGCCATAGCGCCACCCAAAAGTGCTCCTTTCCGAAAACGTTATTGTTCGCTCAACCAGCTGATTGGTCAAATCAGCTCGGAGAAGGGAAACCCAAGTGTTACCCCTCTGTTCCTCACGTTCGATATGCAAAGTTGGCCTCGAGACCATGCTACAGAGGGTGTTTGGTGAAAGGCGAAAAGAAGAGTGAAGTGTGGATTCCCAAGTGATCGGATCGCAGGAGATGCATTGCAATTTGAGCAGAACCCGGCTTCAACTTGATGTGCCTTGAAAGCTTGAAGTTCCCACGATGATGCTGACTAGGACTATGCTCATCCGCACCGCCTTGAGCCAGAGGGAGCCGCAACAAACGCGACAAGAGTGCGATACTAGTGTGATACCTGGGCGTCACAAGCTAGAAATGTGTCACTGCAAGTACTTATGATGAAAAACAAATTCAACCCGTGGGATTGCGCGATTCCCATGATAGCGTTGCTCCGCCTCGGATTGATTCGGAGCCGAGAAACTCCGATTGTAAAAGTGCTCACGTAATTGTTTTTTTCCACAGTCCGTCGACGTTGACAGGATTGTACGTCTCTCAACGTCTGTACGTACCAAGTACGTACATTGAAAGAGCTGTCAGCGTCAACTCTCGATCCTTTTCTAAATCTCGCTTTCTTTCGTGGGCCTGACCTTCAATCCAAACAGATGATATCCACCGCTCAATACCCTTCTCGTCCGTCCAAACCTCCGTTGTGTGCGAGGCCACTCCCGAGATCATCAACGGCCCTGACCTCTTCGTGTCCTCACGCGCTTTTTATGATCATCTTACTCCAAGCTGTCTGCAGCACGTCTATCGATGAAGGGCCAGCGTCTGGATTGTACTCGATGGGAACGCGAACAACGTCGAGAGGTTGACTTACTCTATATCCACGATGCTGGATACTGAATCAACGTCAGCGCTTGATGCGTGCCTCCGGGAAGTCGAACTCTCAGCAGACTAGTGGAACCTTCCTCAGAAGAACTTGTACATTCAGATTGGTTGGGAGTCACAAACGATCGCGTTGACGAGCTTTTGGCATCTTGATAACGTTTGTAGATTGATAGCTGTCCATTGCGAGCGAGTAAGATGAGTATGCAGTTTCTCGGTACCATATATCCTTAAAAGCAATCGTAGGCAGCCTCTGCCCGTATTTACGACGTGTTCCACAAAGTCATCATGACGGTGGTGAGCACTTCCTCGCAGTGCGGTATCTCACCTCGCATCATCTGCGCTATCTTCTTTGGAAAGGCATCCATAACTCCGCTCTCTTTGCGATAGCCCATCAAGACGCGCGTTTCCACTTTTCGTATCTCCGGATGCCTGTGCAATTCGAGTGGTAAGTCAGCCTAACTGGGTACCATGACGGATAGACAATACTCACTTGGCGGTAAACTTGGATAGGACCTCATGCAGGATATTCTTTTTATTGAGGTTCTTGCGTATCTCTTCAAACGCAAGTTGCTTCAGCGGCCCTAGCTGAAGCTGGACGCGTGGCGTTAACTTGTATATGGAAGGTAAGTGCTAGTGGTGAGCAACGAACCTTATGGGCGATGCGATACATGGATTTGGGAGAGCACGGAGGGCACCTTGTCTTACCCTTATCGTCGCCGCACGACCCAGGATCGTCCATCTTGTCGTCATTTTCAGACCGGTTGGAAGTGAGAGGGGAGAAGTTTACTTGACCAGTGTAAGCGTAAAACAGGAACGCTTTCCATCTGGAATAAGGGCGTTAGCTCTATCCGATCGGAGGCTGATCAAATGTTCAGCGTACGTTTTGTAAGCGGAACCTGCGACCACAAAGGTACTCGAGGTGACCGGAATACAATTTGAAATGACATCATCGTACGCGCTCTTCGAGATTCCGGGAGACTTAGTAGAAGCTGTCACGTTACTACTGTCTGATTAAAAAACATCAGGACCGTGGCTCCAAGAGTAATTGGAGAGGTGGGGCCTTAAGGCCTTACGAACCTGCCTTGGACTCGGCGCTGCAGGGTTCCTCTGCTATTTCCTCTATGATGCTCCCTTCGTCCGGGTCAAAGTCGCTATCTTCTTCGTACTCGTCGTCAACATCGAAGAAGGTGCGTTCAGTTATCCTGGCGGATATAACGCCACAGAGCGTCATTTGCTTAATGTTGCTGACGTCTCCTATGTGTTATCTAGCGATAAGCAACATGGGAAGTTTATGTTTCACTGATACGACCCACCATAATCGCTAGTCTCAAGCTCCAAGCGATTCAGTGTAGTCGAGGCCGCATACAGCGGCAAGGGACGACATAGGCGTTGCCCTCCACCTTCTTTACGCCGGGTCGAGAAGGCGTTGAATCTAGTGTCAATGAAGGTACCGCTTGATAGACTTCTTTCGAGAGCGTCGGTCGTTTCTGCTCTCACTGTAGCAGCGTTGAAGAGCGGTTCAAAGGCTCTTTTCACGGAACTGTGGTCGCCGCTGATACGCGCTTTCACGAGGATGTAGCAATCATTAGCCAAGTTGTCGACGAGATTAATCCGATGACAGAAGCCAAATTGGCTTACTACCTCAGGGGAAAATTGTTGACAGAAAGATTGAAGGTCGCTCAGAGACGTGTCTTTCAAATCCCACGAGCCACTCCAGCTCACGACGCCACTAGATAAAAAAACTGTTAGAGTACGAATCCGAACGAGTTCAATGGACCTCACGTACGAACAAAAATGAATCTGAACATCAGGGTTTGATAACGTGACGTTTGTAAGATCAACTAGAATATCCCAACTCTTCAGGCTACTGCATGATGTGTGAGGCGTGCGGTAACTCGAATTACTAATATAACTCGATGGATAGATCGGATTATTATGATGACCGTCGTAGCAAGGGGTCTTTGTCAGTCCGTAACGCCATCCGTACCCCACGGTTTTCGAGAAGGCCATCTTCTCCACTGCGACATTCGAGACGGTGTTTGAACGTGCTTGAAGAAGGGCGGTCCATAATCCGCCGTCACGTTCTTCGCGTTCAACGACCAACATATCCATCGGAGGAGAGCGTGAAATGGAATGAGGAGTAGTTGGCGAGAAGAGGGAGAGTGCAGCTTGAACGCCGTTCAGCAACGCAGCGTCGGCGTGCGCTGTGATATAGGTATATAGACGAACAGTGTTAAGTTTAAAATAAGAAGCTGTGTCTCTGCCTCGAGGCAAAAAAGCTCAACTTGCTCCCACGACGCTCGATGCATTATAATTCTTCCGAGGTGTGAATCCGCCATTCGTATTGCAAGAAGCCGTGAAGGAAACGCTTAGTACCGCGGCTGTGCTCGACTTGCGAGTGGGAACTCGGTAAACCTCTGTGAACAGCTGCCCGCATCCTTTTCCGCCAAATATACGTCCTTCTTGGCAGTACAAGCCAACCGATACGCAGAGACGGAGAACACGCATTTCACATAATATTGGCATCACTGTTGTAACTCCCACTAACTATATAGCTCTCAGGCACCAGCTACCGCTTAAGACATCTTCCATAGATCCATCATAATGGCGGTCAGTACTTCCGTGCAATGCGGCATTCCGCCTTTCGTCACCTGCTCCATCATCTCCGGTAGGGAGCCCATGACCCCGCTCTCGTAGCGATGATTCATCAAGAAGGCCATTTCCATGTCCCGTATCTCTGGATGTCTATTTGGCCCAGTAGGTGAAAGCCAGGTGCAAGGGGGAGACAAGTGTCACTTAGCGGTGAACCTGGTCAGGATTTCCTGCAGAATATTGTCCTTCGTGAGATTTCCGCGTATTTCCTCAAAAGCAAGTTGTTTCAGCGGCTCCAACTGAATCTTGGTACGTGTGGGATAAGCTCCGAGTCTCGAATGTGAAGAAAATGAGTAATGGACGACAAACTTTGTGAGCTAATTGATACATGGCTTTAGGGGAGCACAGGGGGAACCGCATTTCGGTGCCATCGGCGGGCGAATCAAGTAGAGTCAATTTCTGTTCGTCTGTGGTATGACTAGAAGTGATAGGGGAGAACTTGATTTGGCCAGTGTGAGCGTAAAACAGGAATGCTTTCCACCTGAAAGCAACAGTCAGCCCGCAACTCTTGCTGGGAACAGAGTATTCGTACGACGTACGTTTTATAAGCGGCGCCCGTTACTAAGTAGTTTCTCGATACCGGGGGTGTGAATGTCGTGGTATCAACGTAGTGGCCTTCGATCCGGGAGAGTCAACAGAGGCACTTGCCTCATCTCCGTCTGACCGAAACATCAGCACTGATAATTTGAAGCTTGATTGAGGCAAAAGAAATTGCATACGCACCCTCCTGAGTGACGTTGCAGGCTTTCTCAGGTGCTTCCTCCAAGATGATCTCTTCGTCAAAGTCACTATCTTCTTCAAAATCATCGCCTACGTTAAGAAAAGGACAGACGCTAGAAGTTATGACGTCGCAGAGTTTCATTCGACTGATGTTGGTATCATCAGGCTCTCCTATCGGCATCCTGGTCGTCAGCAAGATACGGAGAGCTCACTAGCTGCCATCAGCACAACTCACCCACGTTACTGGGCCTGAGCCCCAAGCAATTCAGCACCACAGAGGACCCATATAATGGAAAGGGTCCACATAATCGTTGCCCCCGGCCTACTTTTCGCCGAAGAGAGAAGGCATCAAACCTGATGTCAACAAAAGTGCCGTTTGAGAGGCTCCTTTCGAGAGCGTTGGCCAGATCTAACTTCAACGCAGGCATTACAGGTTCGGCAGGCACTCCAAGCGTTGGCGTTTCTGCAGGTGCAGCATCTACAGATGCCTTCGTGATCGATGCTGGAGGTTCTGCAGGCGCAACGTCGTTTGTCATCGCCTCGACCCCTGCTGGAAGGTCTGCAGACGCAGTATCTGCAGCCTTCATCGTGACGCTTTCCAGGGAGTATGCAGGCGTCGCAAGCGCTTCAGTCATTGCAGGTGCCGCCGAGGCGTCTAAGGATTTCAAAGGTGAAACAAAAGCCCGTTGCGCGGAGGCGAGGTCACCACTGATGCATGCTTTCACGAGAATGCCGTCGTCCCGGTTGAACGCGCAGAAGGATCCAATCTTATTATAGACACCGAGTTGACCTCGCTGTTCGGAAGAAACTTGATGACAATGACTTTGAAGTTCGGTCAAAGACTTGCCAATGACCTTTCCAATATCTCCGCACTCTGAGACACGAGAGGTATTGAATTTGACCAGGCCACTGTTTAAAAGGTTGAATGCGCCGATTTCAATGCATCTATTGTAGCTCGCGTACCAAGAGAAATCAATGTCGAAGTTTGACCCAAGGGACGGGACATTGGTAAGGTCAACGATGATGTCCCAGCCTTTGTCGTTATAGGAGCAACAGCACGGGTAGTGATCGCCACGATGATGAGCCCTTTCCAGCCCGTAACGCCACCCAAATCCTACAGCTTTTGAGAAAGCCGTCGTTTCCTCCCCTGCCGCGTATCGGAGCGCGTTTGCGCATGGTCGAAGGAGGACGGTCCAAAGTTCATTGCGTTTCTCTTCGCGTTCAACGAATAATTTGTCCATCGGGAAATTGCGTAAGAGAAATATTTTAGCGTAAGGAGAGCGTTGGGAGAGCGAAAGGAAGCCCTTCAGCATCGTGGTGGGAGCGTGCCCTTTCTATTAGCGATAGCAAAACGGTAAGCTGCGATTCGGCTTCAATGCCGAAAGATTCCTTCCCACGACGCTCAAAGCATTTGTACTCTTCCCAACTTTCTCGAGGGGCATTTTGGCATGGCAGCCTGGAGCCTTCATAGGCATATCAGATAGGGGGGAAACTTGCCCTTAATACGCAACACACCTATGCGTACCTCATGCGACGAGTGATCAATACGTCCAGAGCCTTGCCTGTCCGCCTCATGGGGCGACAGCATACGTGATCCCGAGTTCAGTCACGCATATTACAGGGTGAGGGTCTTTGCATTACTCGCAACATTAGTAAGACACGGAGAAGTGAGATATTTATAACGACGTGAACCCAGAGTTCGAGCCTATCAAACAGCGGATGTTCGAGATCCTGAAAGACGGTCGACAACCTGCGTACGGAAGTGACGATATTTAAGGAGATGCAAGGGTGTAAGAAGGGTGTATACGCACAGTGCGGATGTAGGGGAGTGAAAGGAAGGTGCCGATGAAAGGTAGTTGGCGCATGAACGTTATCACAACGGGGAAGAAGTCTCTGTAACGGACATGAGTATGCCATAGCACACGATATCGGTGTCATGCGTGAAGCGAGGGACGGAGTAGTAAAGGGGAACAATGGAGATATCGAGCAAACCAAGAAACGGGAACGCACCCAAACAAGTTCAGGAACCCAAACGTCTCCACAATCATCCCAATGAACGGGTACTTCAGAAAGACCAGGAGTATACCGCCAATGAAGCATATCGTACCGCGCATCTTCTGCTTGCGCGCGAAAAAGTAGAACGTCTTCTGTGGGCCGATGATAAGTGTGAGTCCCGAGACGAAGAGCATCTATGTACGACGTGTGCATGTCAGTGGTCTTGCAAAACTAACGGGAAATGAGAAGCTTACGTTTCCAAGTGCGAGGAGAGCCGCATCGAAGAAGAGCATGACACCGAGGAACATGAATAGCACGCCGAAGGTCGTGAGCGCGACACCAATCTCTGCAGAGCCAACGCCTCCAGTGAGAAGAGGTTTAGTCTGGAAGACAGGTGCACTCACTTTGCCCGTCAGAAAGCCACATGATGAAATCGTCTTAGGCAGCGCAAGGAGTAAGAAGGCGGTAAGGGGTGCTAGTGGGATGTGCCGAGGAGACGGACTCGCGAGAGGAGAGAGACGCGTCTGACGTCCGCCGCAGGACTTTCTAGCCATAAAGGCACCGAGCCCGAGAACACGTCACACGATCTCACGCGACAGCCCAGTGGCGGTGCAACTTCAACTTTCGAAAAACCCCCAAGTTCGAAGACCTTTTGTAAAATGCTTGAAAAACTCTTTTGCAAGTTTTGCACTATCAGTTGGATCTTATTTGTCATTCTGCAAGCTGTGATACTATAACTCTACTGGATAAAAGTTGCAGAAACTAGACAGAGGCTACATGCTTGTGTCTCCACTTCAGACGTGGCGCCCGGGCCTTGCGTGGCGCGGTCTCAAATTGAGGATATTGGTATTTCTTCTCAGCCTAAGTATACATGATATTCTATAGAGCCAGTTTACTAGTGCTTTTGTAAGGATCACAGCTCGAACATTGAGACTGACGTAGGCTCGCCTTCAATCAAAATTAACGCCGCCGTCGATAGATATCTGGAAATAAGTATTAATTAAATAACCCATGTGCATAGTGCTAAGTATATCTTACTGCTTGGCCTATCAGCGGTATAGTTGGTGAAGATGAATCATTAAAATCGGTGATATTTGGTTCACGGGATGCTCACCTGTCACGAACCGGGACTCCTTGGATGCAAGGAACGATATGAGGTCCGCAACATCCTCTGCCTGTCCCTGTACACCGAGCGCCGAGCTCTGTGTTGTCTATAGTTTGGCTCAGCTATACCACTGCAAACATTCATTTGTTTTCTGATAGTGTCTTACCGCGCTGAGAACATCGACCGACCCACCAGTGCTTCTCGAATAGCCCTGTGAGAGTTCTTTCACTAGTATTAAAAGTTTGTGAGTATTCTTGCATGGTTATTTGCCCGTTGTCGCCAGGACACATCGAAATCTCAGTTATAAAGAGACGGAAAGACTACTCACGCATGGGTGTCTGGATAAGTCCAGGTGCACATGCGTTGACTGTTATGCCATGGGGACCCAGCTCGGAAGCTGCGACCTGGGTCAAGCCCCGTACGGCGAACTTTGAAGCGCAGTAAGCTCCCAACGAGGATACACCTAATACGGCATTTCGAAACCAATGTTTGCGGGCGGAGGGATGTTTGGAAAAAAATCTGACCTTTCTTTCCCGCAAGGGAGCTAAGCCCGATAATTCGTCCGCCACGCCCTTGCTTGATCATTTGATTCCCGCCGTGCTTGTAGCAAAACAAAACGCCTTTCACGTTGACCGAGAATGTATCGTCCCAGTCCTTCTCGCTCACTAACGAGAAGATGGATAAGTTCAGCCAAACGACAATTCAAGAAGGAAAAGGTTCGCTGACGTTTACTCAGAGTGTCAATCCGGATGATTCCTGCGCTCGCAACCAGCTGCGATGAATAATCAGAGTGCCGGTCGTCTTCTTATCTCATTTTGCCAATGATCTTGATTATGAACGTACCACATCAATACCTCCCAGAGCCTCCGACGCAGACTCTACCATATTCTTCACGGCTCCTTCGTCTCGTACATCAGTAGACAGCGTAGACGTAGCGATGCCGGGGTGAATTCGTGACAACTCTGAAGCAAGAGCTTTGACGTCCTCTCTCCGAGATGGAAGATCACTTAGTGCGAGATGGAACCCGTCGGAGGCGAGGCGAAAAGCAGTAGCACGCCCAATCCCCTGGGCGCATCCGGTGATAAGAGCCACGCCTTTGCTCGTGAGCATGATAATGGAGGAAAGGTACGAGCCGATATCCCTTCGACCATTGAACTATATCTCATATACCCCCCAGAATAGTTCAGTGGCGCCTTCTTACGAGCTGTACATGGCCCTGCCACATGACTATGACCTGTGAAGGCGTGTTCTTGGCACCGTTCACATTTGGCGGAAAGTATGCAATGTTATTATTGTACGCAGAGGTGGGAGTGCTGCGATGAGATTTCGTGAATGTTCGAAGCGTCCGCGTGGAACGCTCCGTTCATCAGAACGTGTTGAAGCTTCGCGGATACCTCCGAGTCACATAGATTTACACACATCTTCCACATGCGTCCCGCTTCTCAGAACGTTACCGCACCAGCCTAATCAAATCATATTTTGTTCAAATCCGCCTCGGCCTCAATGCCTTGGTCTGGTTGGTGCAACAAGTCGAATCTTGACACCAGCGTAGACAGCGATGTTCAGTCGAAATGGACGCCACCGTCGATAGATATCTGGATGTGAGTCTCGATGAGTATTTTCATGAAATGTTATCAGTGACGTCTTACGGTTTGACCTATTTTTTGTAGAGTGTAAATTAGAGTGATCAGACCTTAATGATTATTTATGTAGTAGCGGCATAACCTACCTGTTATGAACCGGGACTCCTTCGATGCAAGGCAAGATATGAGGTTCGCAACGTCCGTCGGTTGTCCCAATTCACCCAATGCCGAGCCTTGTGTTACCTGTTAAACTGATAAATTGAATGCAACTGTGCTGATCTGTCGTAAAACAGTACCCCGCTGAGGACGTCAGTAGTCCCGTCCGAGCTTTTTGAATAGCCCTGTGCGAGCTCCTTCACTAGAATGAGAACGGACGCGTAAGTGGGCTCATTTGTTTGCATTATCATCAAACACGACAAGAGCCTGTCTCGAAAATAGACAGAAGAGAGAGTACTCACGCATGGGCGTCTCAATAAGCCCGGGGGCACACGCGTTGACCGTTATCCCGTGCGGACCCAGCTCGGAAGCTGCGACCTGAGTCAAGCCCCGCACGGCAAACTTTGAAGCGCTGTAAGCGCCACAAAATGGATGGCCTGCGTATAATAAGATTGCATCATCAAATATGCATATTTCCTGCCATAGAGCTGAGACCAACGATACGCCCACCGCGGCCTTGCTTGACCATCTGATCCCCGACGTGTTTATAGCAAAAGAACAGACCCTTGACATTGACGGAGAAAGTGTCGTCCCAGTCCTTCTCACTCACTGGATGAAATTAGTCCAGAATAAAGTCACTTTTGAGCCGTTTGATGGGCTATAAAATCATACTGACATTTGCGTAGCGCGTTGATCCGGATAACACCTGCGCTTGCGACAAGCTACAGTAACTTGGCGAATGTCTGTATAAGCTTCGTCTACCCTTAGTGACCCCACGCACCACATCGACACCTCCCAGCTCCTCAGAAGTAGATGCGACCATGTTCTTGACATCACTCTCAGGTTGCACGTTGGCGAAGACAGTGAATGACCTGATATCTTGCCGCACTCTCGATATCTCCGAGGCGAGCGCTTCGACGTCCACTCGCCTTGAAAGGAGATCGCTCAGCGCGAGATTGAACCCGTCGGATGCGAGACGCAAGGCGGTAGCGCGTCCTATTCCCTGCGCGCATCCAGTGATAAGAGCGATGCCTTTGCTTGTTAGCATGATAACGGAGGAGAAGTGGAGGGTCAAGGATCCTTTCATCATTGAATTGTATCTGATATATGCCCCCTGGATTGCGGCGTCTAACAGATTAACATGGGACCTTGCCACATGACTATCACGAACGAAGGTTTGTTCTTGGTCTGCCGATATGATCAACGCAACCGTGCAGAAGGTAGATGTAGGGTTGATGAAATAGGTCACTGAAGTCCCTCGCGGCGTGCGACGGATTGTCCTTCTGACCTCAGGTCCCGATACGCGTGACGAGCCTCAAGAATACAGCTGTGTTGAAGTAGGCAATGGCAGCTAATGCGCTGCGGCTAGAGTCCACGAGCAGATATGCAATGACCATCATATGTAGACCACATTCAGACCGGTCAACATATACCTCGAACCTCCGGTGCCCTGTATCGATAATTCGTCGAGCAGCTATATTCCCCAGACTTACATACACATTCCAAATCCATCCTTCTACCAAGACCCCCACCACGCACGCCCAATCACGCCATACTCCCCTCCCCTCACCCCTCCTCTCTCAACTCACCGCAAAAACCCACTCTCCTTCCACGCCCCCACCCACCTGCCCACAAGCTCATCCCCAGGCAGCGGCGCCCCCCGCAAGCTCCTGCTCTTCGCGCACGTCTCGTCCGTCGTGAGCCGCGCGCGCGCCGCGAGCACCGCCTGGCCGTACTTGTTCTCGTAGAACACGAGCAGCTTCCGGCTCGGGTTCTGCGCTTCGTCCGCGGGGCCGTCGGAGCGGAGCGCGGCGAGCCAGTCTTGTCGCGGGAGGACTTTGAATGTGAGGCCGGCGCGGTGGAGCGCGGTGAGGATGGAGGACCAGGGGACGAGGGAGGGGTGCAGGACGTGGTAGACGAGGGAGGAGTCTCTGTTTGATAACTGTGAGAGTGGGGCGTTGGCGTTGACGAGCTCGAGAATCGTCTTGGCGGCGTAGTCTACCGGGAGCCACGAGACGGACTCGTCGAGGTCTGGTAAGATCCCGATCGTGTCTGCGCACTGGGGGAGATGTTGTCTCTCGTCAGTCATGCGATGCTCAGAGCAGGCGTTGCGCCACAGACCTTTATAATAAGCGAAATCGCCTCGGTCTCATTCCACACGCCGTTGGTCGTGTCGCCGACCATCTGCCCGATGCCTATGCGACCAAAGGTTCTCAATAGATGGACTTGGAGAAGGGATGTACCATGCACGTACGCAGCACCCGCGCCCTCAACGGTGTCTCCTCCGACGCGATCTGGCACAGCTTCTCCGTCACCCACTTTGACTGTGCACTGCGCCAACGTACGTGCTCAACAACAGCTATATTTCACGACGAGCAAAAAAGAATGCACGCACTATCCCATCCCCTGCGCAACACTCGGATCTTCCGTGATCGCCTCGGGAACCGCACCAGGGCCAGGCCACGCCGCGACGGCGCTGACCGACGACGCGAAGTAAAAGTCCGCGAGGCGGCCGGCTGGACGGGGCGCAGAGAGCGCGAGCTGCATGAGATTGTGCGCGCCGCGGATGTTGTTCTCGAAACTGGCCATGTCGCTCAGCGAATATCAGGGTGAATGACTACAGAGACAGCGCACCTCGAGATGCCCAGATTGAAGTTGACCGCCCACGCGTTCTAACGACGCAGACACATACGATCTCCACGTTAGCTGCCTGGCACGCATGCATCTTGCAGATGGTCAAGATACTCACGTGCAGTATCAACGTCGTCCGCCTCCTCACCTCCTCATACACGCCCTCCGCCAGCCCCAGCCGCTCATCCGCAAAGTCCGCCTTGAGCGGGACAACCCGTCCGCTCTCAAACACCCTATCCAGCGCATCCTCGGTTTTACCCAGCAGCTTGCGCGTCCGGAGCGAAGCGACGACGCGCGCCCTGGCGTCCTCGTCGCTCGCTGCTCTGCACAGGCAGTACACGGTTTCGACTTGCGGGTCGGCCAGGAGCTCGGAGAGGAGGTATGCGCCGAGGGAGCCGGTTGCGCCTGTCAGGAGGACCTGGTGCGCCCGCGTTAGACATGACGTGTCCGGCGCCAGTGTGAAGACGAACATGAGATGGGGCGCTCACAACACGCGGTGAGGGCGCTAGGGCCGTGGCATCGCCGTTGACATGTCCGTTCGAGTTTACTACTTCTACTTCTATCCCGTTGGCGTGTGCGGGAGGAGGAACGTGGAAGTGGCGGTAGCGCTCGACGAGCGCGAGCATCGTCTGCTGCGCGTCGATCTGCTCTGCGGATTTTCCTTCGGCGAGGGCGACGACGAGCTTGGATAGCCTGTGCAGGATGGCAAGCGCAGTGTAAGCGTGAGTAGTATAGGTGTTTCACAGTTAGTGGAGATGGGGCTGCGCACGCACTTGGTGATCGACGGATGCTCGAACACGGCGTTGATCGAGAGCTTCTGTCCGCCGAGGTCGAGTTCCTATATCATATGCGAAAAAATAACAGAAGCATCATCCCCCCGTTCCCAAACCCTAGGCAGGGCAAAAAAAAAAAAAGACGAACTCACCCGCTGCAACGCATTTCTCACCCTCGCACTCTGCAGCGAATCCAACCCAAACTCGAACAAATCCCACTCATCGCCCAGCCCTCCCGCGCTCACATCCTTTTCCCTCCCAATCGTCCTCTCCATAATCTCCCTCACGACCCCCTTAGCCTCCTCCACGTCCTCGACCTTCCTCCTCTTCCCACCGCCGCCCGCTCCCCCGTCCACACCAGCCCCGCCGGCCGCAGCCCCCTCGAGGCGCGCATACAGCTCCTCAATCACGCCCGCAAACTGGATGTACACCCGCGGGCGGATGATGCTCCCCTTGTCCGCGCGCGGAATGTCGGTGCCGGGCGGGAGCACGACGAGCGCCTCGCGCGCGAGGTGCGAGTGCGAGGGCGCGTCGGCGTTGGCGCGCGCTAGCTCTGGCGCTAGAGCGGTTAGCAGTCTCTCTATGCCCTCTTGCTCTTTCTCTTGGTCTTGGTCTGGGTCTCGCTCGTGCTCGTGCTCGTGCTCGTGCTCGTGCTCCGGTCCCGTGCCTTGGATGAGCGCAGCGCCTGCCTCGGAGGGCAAGAGCAGCGCGCCGATCTGCGTGCGCGCCGCGCCGAAGACGACTGCGTCGGCGAGGTAGGGCGAGGAGCGGAGGGTGAGTTCGATGGGCACCGGGTTGGTCTTTTCGCCGGTGACCATGACGAGCGTGTCGTCGATGCGGCCGATGAACTTGTATGCGTCGGGGAGGGAGGGGTGTTTGAGGAAGAGGTCGCGCGTTGCGTAGGAGTTGTCGGGTTGGTTGGACATTACCTTTCGTGGTGGTTGGTGAGAAGCAAAAATGAGAAAGGAGGGAAGGGCGAGCGCACCTTGGCATGCCACCCGTCGAGAACGTGCAGCTCGAACGTGTCCGCGCCGACGGGGACGAAGCGCAGATAGTCCGCGACATTGCCCTTTGCGTACGGCCCGCGCGCGCGCACCCAGTTCCACGCGGCGTCGGTCTCGAACTCGCGCTGCGACGTCATCAGCTGGCCCATCTCCGCTGCGCACCGCATCCATAATCAGCATCCAGCATCCCAAAGGTCACTCCACCCATGTGAAGTCAGACTCTGAGCAGGAGGAAGGGACTCACACATCCCATAATGCCCGACCAACCGCACCCCCTGCGCGACAAGCGCATCCCCCAGCTCGTCCGGACACGCGCTCCCGCCGAACGTGACGAGCTGCAGCCCGCGGAGCACCGCGAGCCCCGGCGCGGTCTCGGCCATGAGCTTGAGCGCGAAGGGCACGCCGTACAGCGCGTCGACGTCGGGCGCCTGGGCGAGGAGCGCGATGATGTTGGCCGAGGTGAGCGGGACGCTGCCTGTCGGGAAGAGGTACAGCATTTTGGTGGAGTAGAGCGCGCGGTGCAGGTTTGCGTGGCCGTGTGCCTGTGCATGCATACGCGAGGGGGTGAGCGTCACCCCGAGCGGAATCCCAGCTAGTTTTTTTTTATGGGGAGTGGAGGGGGAGGGGGACGTACGTGGTACAGAGGCAGCGTCGAGAGACTGCGCATGCCGAAGCTCTTGGAGTGGTTCGACACGCTCGCGATGTTCGTCGCCGTGATCGCCTTCGGATAGCCCGTGGACCCGCTCGAGTGGATCACGGTCACGGGCATCTGCCGCTCGTCGCTCGGCTCGAGCGCGTACGCCCACTGCGTCTTCTCAGGGTGCACGGTGCGCGCCTCGGCGCTGTACACGTCCGAGGGGGGTTGATCAATGATGCGCACGGTGTTGGGGTCGGGGAGGTGGGCGAGGGCGGCGGAGGCGGAGGGGATGTAGGAGGGCTGGACGATTATGGCGCTTGATTGGGTGGATGTGAGGAGGTGGGCGATTGCGGCGAGGGAGTTGTTGGGCGAGATGAAGAGGACGCCTGGTGTTGCGGGACGCGTTCGTTAGGTTGTTGGTTAAGGACAGTGGGTGAGGGTGGCGCAGACGCACAATATCCCATGCGAAAGAGTGCAAACTCTGTCACGACATAGTCGAGATTGCTCACACCCAGGAGGCCGACGGTCAGCTTGGTGGTGATGTCGCCCTTTGCGCGAGCAGGGAGCAGGCCAGAGTCGACGAGATGGTGCGCGAGAAGCGAAGCAGCCTCATCGAGGTCTCTGTATGTGTACTTTCTGTACTGTAGAGAATGTTAGTCTCCCCGTGTTCGTGTAAGGAGAAGAACGGACCTTGAGCGTTTTGTCGGGTATACCGAGGATCTCCAAGTCGGGATACTCACGAGCGCGCTCCCTAAGGAGCTGGTTAACGGAGACGATGGGCAGGACGTTGGGTGCCATGTCAATGTCAGAGGTCGGTGCTACTTGACTCAGTGTGGCCCTTATATTGGAGAGGAAGAAGGATTACGCCATGTTGAATTGAGCGAGCCACTCATACTCTATGGCTTACAGAAAGATGACAAGATTGGAAGGGTCATATGGGCAGTCTCTCGTTGAGGAGATGAGAAAGGGGCGGGTGAGCGTCGGAGGATGCCGGTCCGATGTGCCGGCCCCTCTATATGCGCTCTGTGGGACATAATGAGGGCGCGTGGATTGGTTGAACCGACAATCTCGTCCTTGATGTTCGTCTCGATGGCTTTAGCTGACTCTTTACAAGGATGCTCAACCAATGGCACGACTGGGAATAGCAACATGTGGTTTGCTCACCTCTCATGATGTAGCCTTTGTCCCGAGGAAGGCCGCGGTAGGACTGGGTGACATTGCGAACTGGTCCTGGTGTCGTCTCTTTTCCCCGCCGCCGTTCGCCATGTCTCTCTGCGCTCTAGTCTCGATGCAAATTCACGTTCAACATATAAACCAGACGTCCGTTCTCGTCGGTCCTTCAGTGTCAGCCCACACTTAGACGCCGCCGCCACCGCCGCTGCTCTCTAGCACACTGCACCCTGTCTCCTATCTGCCATAACATCGTCCAGCCATGCACTTGCCCAGGTCTCCCCGCCACCAGCGCCGTCGAGCCAACACTATCGGCTGCTTCCCCGTGTCGCTGGCGATCAATGTGCCGTTCACTCCGATCAGGCTCAGCCCAGGGCACGATGCCCTTGTCCTTTCCACCAAAGACAAGTACATGAATAAAGGCGAAGATCCACCCTGCCCATGCTGCACCCTCTCCTCCTGTCCCCAGCTCGCCCTCATCCGCTCTCTGCGAGCCACCGGCGCAAACCTCGAGGCAGACCTCGCCCTCCTCGGGGCTGAGCTCGCAGACGCCCACGCCTTACTGCACAAGCTCATGGAAGAACGCGCACGCGCACAACACGCCGGCGCTGCATCCTCCCGCGATGCCCGCGCACTCGAGCACCGGCTCACCCAGCTCCCTGCGCTGCTCATCGAGGCCGGCGCACCGCACGCGTCCATCGCGCGCTTAACCACTCTCATCGCTAATGCCAACGCCAACGCGAATGCAGATGCAGATGCAGATGCGGATGCAAAGGACGAAAACGCGGCCGCCAGCGCGCTCTTCGACGCGCTCCGCGAGGGAATGCTCGGCGGCGCGCCTGGGACGCTGCTCGCGCAGCTCGCGGACGCTGTGCACGACGATATCCTGTCGACGCTAACGGGGAAATATGCTTCGCTGCTGCAGATCGCGGTGGCTTCGGGTGTGCAGGGGCGCATGGACAGGCGCGCGGCGAGGTTTTGGAGGCGGGTTGCGAGGGACCATGGGAAGACCGGTGGCTCGGAGGGTGGCTCGGAGATGGGTGGCTCTGAGACGTCCGATGAGGAGGCGGAGGAGATGGGTGAGGAGAGATGGAGGGCGGTGCAGGAGTTGATGGAGAGGAGGAGGTGGGAGAGGCGAGATCTCGAAGACGAGGGTGGGGACGAGAGTGTGATTCGGGCGAGCGTGCAGCCCACGACGTCTCCTGGTGCTATGGAGTCCTCAGGAAGCGCTGAAACGACGGCACCATCGACATATTTCGACCAGGCCGTGTTCGCCTCTCCCGAGCCTATCTCAAACATCCCGGAGTCATCAAACTCTCCACTCGCGGTTTCCACCGCCCCTACATCCCCTTCATCGAACGACGCCCTCGCCCAGAACCAACTCATCACCAATACACCAGCACCGCCTATCCCGCGACAAGTCTCCCGGCCCCTCGCGCTTCGCAACTTCAACGTGGCCCAGATGCCCCGCGTCCGCGCATACAGCGATGCCAGTGACCGTGGCGCCGAACAGGACCATGAAACCCGCCGCCAAGACGCGCAGAACGAGAACGACGACGGCGCCCAACGAAACGTTGTCGATGCCAACGCTGCCGCCCCCTCACGGCCCGTTGCGCGTACCCCGCAGGTTCCGTCCAGCCTCTCACTCGCGCAGGTAAGCCTACCCACCACTTCAACTTCAACTTCCGTCCCATTCATCATCATAATGCTGATGTCTCCCTCTTCACCCCGTTCTAGAACATACCCATCGACTCATGCCCCCGCTCGCGCTCACGCAGCGCGCGCGTCCCGCTCACCAGTAACGCGGGCTTCGTTACGCCCGCTTCGTCGTCGTCGTCGGCCCACCCGCGGTATCTCTCCAGCGCGATGTACACGCGCGGGTCTACCACCGGCAGCTGCAATGTCAGATCCAGCGCACGCGTGCCCTCGCAGCTGCAAGCGCGCCCGAGCGTTCTGCGGCCCACCCTCGTGCCCATGCGGCGGCTCGTGTACTCCTCCGGCGTCAACGACACGTTGATGATGCTGTCGGCGTCCACGTCGGCTGCGACGAGTGCTACCTCTGCGTCGTCGTCGTCGTCGTCGTCCTCGTCGAAGTTCTCAGCGTCCTCGTCTTTGTCGAGGTTCTCGGCATCGCCTGGGCCGTCGCCGTTCTTGGCGATGGCGGGGGCGATGCGCGGGGACGGGGAGAGCAGGGAGTCGCTTGCTACGGAGGTTGAGGGTTCGCCGGTGTGTAAGGGTGGATCGGGGCGTGAGCGCGGGCTTGGGCTTGGGCTTGAGGACGGTGATGGTGGTGCTGTTCTTGAGATCTCTGCGCTTGTCTTGACCCCCAGCCAATGCCAAGGTCAAGGTCAAGGCCCGCTGGCGTCTTCTGAATCTGCTGTTGGTACTCCGTCAACCCCTGGTGCTCAGCATCGGCCTGCCAATGAAGGTAGCGGCGACAGCGCGAGCCCTGACAGTCCTGGTTCTGATACTACGGGATCTTCTACGTGCGACTCTGGTTCTGGCTCGGACTGCAGCCCTGACACCGATTCTACCCCCCTTACCGGTCGTGAAAGCTCCGAGGACAGCCCTGCGTACCACGCTCTCGCTGCTGCTGCTGCGACTGCCGCCGCCGCCCCCGGTTGCTGTGATACGACCAGAACCTGCGCCTCCGGTCTGCTCGCTCCTTCCATGCGCGTCCCAAAAGATGTGCCAGCGACCCGCGCTGCACCCAGTGATGCGCGCGCCGACTCTGACATCGTCGTCGCCCATCTGCTCTCTGTTTCCTCCTCCCCTTCTTCTGCCGTTCCCTCTACTCCCGCTCCCACGAAGCTGCCTACTCTCGCTGCGTCTCCCCCTGCTAGCGCCCGCACACCATGCTTCAAGCTGTCCGAGAACCAAAAAGGCGTCATGTCAGGCTCGCTGGCTGGCACCCCCGCATCCGTCCCTGTGTGTGCAAAGCCGCTCCCCACGCCCAGCCGTCTCCCGGTGCTGCTCAAGCCCGCCGTGCGCGACGCCACGGGCTCCTCCCGCGCGCACGGACTCGGGATCATCAGCACGCCTCCACTAGGTCTCCCCGCCGCGACCGCGATGGCATCCACATCCGCGGCGACGCTGGGTTCTCCTGCTCTCGTTGGACAAGGCTTCGCTCCGGTTGCGCTTGTGTCTCCCGCCACCGCCGCCCTCGCCTCGGTCTCTTCCGACGCGGGCGGTCGCATTCTCGATGGCTCGGTCGACAGCGGAAGCGAGATAGGCAGTGAAGAGTCTGACTCTCCCGAGATCGAGGATGGCCTCTGATATACCAGTGCCTTGTGCTTTTTCCGTTCTCACAGCGCTTTCCGTCCGCCTCTCTTGTTCCGCTTCTATATTGGATTACTCTTCTGGTTCTGTGCTCCCTCCTCCTCCTCCTCCTCCTCGCCGTCGCTGCCGTCGTCGTGTCGTCATCTGGGACATTAATTGGATAATGTATACCCTGTGCATCTGCGGTTATAATGTAACTTAACGCATACTATAATCTGGCTAGTGTTTGTGTAGAGATTGTGATTGGATATACATATATGCGAATATAATAGACCTCATTATCAGTGTTTTTCTTAGTGCTCGAGACGAGCTACTTGAAAATATTTCGAAAGACTGCAGAGCGCTGCATCGCTTACTCCGAAACCTAGATCTACCATGCATGAAGTATGAAAAAGTAGTATGTACATGTGCGTATCTTCCGCCCTTCCCTCGAGCAACCCCAGCCGCCCTACCACCCCCTCTCTCCCTCTCCCTCAACATCAAACAAACATCAAACAACCCCGCTCAGATCAAACACCACCTGGCCCTCGTCCCGCGTCGCGACGCCCTTCTCCGTAACGACGGCGGTGATCAGCTCCGCGGGCGTGACGTCGAAGCTCGGATTGTACACGCCCGCAGCGGCGCGCCCGGGCGGGGTGATCATCACCTCGGCCAGGATCTTGCCGCCCGTCGCGTCGTGCGTCGGCGGGTGCAGTGCGCCGCGCACGAGGCAGGCTTCGAGCGCGGGGCGGTGTTCGATGGGTATGCTGTGTGTTTGTGTGTGAGGTTTCGTGTGCTTATTAGAAAAAGTGGGGACGAAGGAGACATTTGACGCACCTCGCCCCGTCGGCGATGCTCATGTCGACGGTGCTCACTGGCGCGACGACGATGAACGGGATGTTGTGCCGCGCGGCGAGCACGGCGGCCTGGTACGTTCCGATCTTGTTCGCGGTGTCGCCGTTGCGCGCGACGCGGTCTGCGCCCACCGCGACCGCGTGGATCTCGTGGTGCTGGAAGAGCGAGCCGACCATTGTGTCGCAGATCATGGTTGAAGGTATTTGGAGGGTTTGCAGTTCCAGGGCGGTTAGTCTGTGTGTGGGGTTGGGTGTTGGTAAGAGGTGGTGGTGTGCATAAGGGAAGGAGACGCACCGCGAGCCCTGGTGGTAGGGTGCCGTCTGGGTGAAGTAGGCTTTTCCGAGCTTGCCCTGCTCGTGGAGGTAGGTGATGAGACCGAGGGCGGTTCCGTATCCCTAGGAGCGTATCCATTGTTAGTCCATACCTACGCCAACGAAGTGTGCTTGAGACAGGATCAGGAAACAAGCGTACCGAAGTGGCCAGCGACCCGGTATTGCACACCGTCAAGACATTCAAGCCGTCGCCCGTCCCTCCAGCACCCTTGACCTGCTTGATCAGCCAATCTCCACCCCACTTCGCCATCTCCTTGTTCCTCCCCACATCCTCGTCCGCAATTGCGCGCCCAACAGCGATGAGATCGTCCACAATCCCCTTTACGTCTTTCTTCTCGGCCTCGACAGACTCGCGTAGGCGCGCTCGGAGACGTGCGGTCGCTGCGCCGAGGTTGACGGCAGTGGGGCGCGCGGTGTAGAGGTACTCGAGGATCTGGGTGACGTGCGCGACGAGAGCGTCGGGCGAGGCGAGGAAGTCGGGTGAAGGGGAGACTTTAAGGGCCTTTGAGAGGTGGGAGACGAGGGCGAGGGAGGCGCAGGAGGCGATGGCGGGTGCACCTCTGATCTGTAAACATACATTATGTCAGTCCTTTTAAGATAATAATAAGGATGAACGAACTTTCATGGACTTGATGGCATCGTGGGCGTCCTCGATGGATGTTATCTCGATGAACTGGGTGGTATGGGGCAGGAGAAGCTGGTTGACAATCTCGAGCTTGTCATCCGTGAACTTGATCCCGACTAGTGCGGAGTTGGACATGTCTGTCAGCGCAAGAAAGAAAAGCTGTAGCTTACCTGTTTTTGTTTTTTCACGGTGAATAACACCATCTTCTCCCGATCTTTGGTGATGTCCCGCCGCCCGTTCCGAGGACCGACGCCCAATTCGATCAGGGGCGTGCACAGCTCCGAGATTATCTAATCTGTTTCGCGTGGCTCCCCCTGAGGTCAACAATCACATGCATCTTCCCCGCAATGTTATTAACACACTCGTCTTGTCCCCCTCTTGAGACTCTTGCCCTTGTCAACGCTCCTCCGTACTGCACGCTATGATCGATCATCTTGCCGGGCGGCCCAGTCCCTCCTGGAAACGTACTCAGGCCCGTCTCCTTCATCCATACCTTGGCCTTAGCCCAAATGCTAACCGTAACGCACAGGTCTTCCTCGTTATCTTCTTCTGGGCCTGGCGCCTCGCATTAGGCAACGCCAACGCTCCAAGAATTCTCTGGCTCAGAAAAATAAACAGATACCTCAGTGCGCAAACTTTTACTCATTTCATTTCCTCTACAACACTCATCATAATCAACGATAAATTGCAGAACGATTCACACCATGGCAGATCATCGTCTCCGTGCTCACCACCATGTACGCCGCCCGGAACATCGACAAGATACTCGGTCTCGGAGGTGAGCATCGTCTTTTCTCCGCTGCGCTGCGCAGACGCGTGTGACGTATGCTTCCATTCCCCCTGTTCTAACGCTGCGTTTCCCAAAATAGCCCCTGAGCCTCTTGCTCGGCTGGTACGTTCCTCGCTGTTACCACGTTCGATGCGCCCGTCTGACTTGACATTATCTGCTAGTATTCGCCATCGTACTATCGCGCTACGTGGATAGTCACCGGCCTAGACGCGGGCTTCGCCACTGCCATGTCCATCCGGCCCAAGTGGCTCAAGGACTTTTGCTCAATATTATTCTCGGTATACTATATCATCTACGCCACCGAGGCTGATGAAAAGGTAAAAGTGTCCTTCACACCTCGAAAACATCGCTGCTAATGCATCACTCACAGCTCCGTCGCTTCCGTGCTGTCCCCACCGTCGAAATGCTCCGTGTCACCTGGGAGAAAACGACCAATCCCTACGTGCGCACCTCACTTTCTTCGTTTCTCAACTTACCCTCCTAAACTATCCCTACATCATGTATCCAACAGCTCCGCATCGCAGGCTACCGCCCCTCGCTCACCCTGCGGCGCAAGTTCCTGTTACCCCGCCCCGCTCGATCAGCGTACGACCGCCCGATCACGGTGCACATCTTCTTCGCGCCGGCGCTGCCGCAGCTGGCGCACGCGACGGACCTCATCCTCGACTTCCCCGGCGGTGGGTTCATCGCGATGACGCCGGAGCACCACGAGGACCGCCTGCGCCTGTGGGCGATCAGGACGGGGCTGCCGGTGTTGGCAGTCGATTACGGGAAGGCGCCAGAGTGTGAGTGCTTTCTGGCGTTTTGAACGCTGACAATCTAAACAGTGTTTAGACCCATACCCATTCGCGATTGACGAATGCTTCGACCTATACCGGCTGCTGGTCGAGACGAACGGCAAGTGCGTCGGTATGTCCGGGCAGAAGCTCAATATCATCATGTCCGGCGACTCCGCGTACGCTCTCCATCCATCCTTCCTACTTCCTCGCTGACAGCATCCCTCCCCATTCTTCTTACCAGCGGCGCAACGATCGCCGTAGGCACAATGGTTAGAATCCTCGAACACAACCAATTCCTCACCCCATCCACCTCCGCCTCCGCCACCACCTCCGCCTCCACATCCCCCTCCGTCTCACCCTCCACCTCGATGTCCGCCCCCATGCCTCACCCAAACCCGAACCCGCAAACACTCCCACACCCACGCGCGATCGTGCTCAATTACGCCGCGCTCGACTTCAACTTCACATCCTGGATGTCGCCCGCGCACCTCGCCGTCCTTCGCTCCGAGCAGTCCTCGGGCAACCTGCCCGGCCTGCGCGAGCTCGCGTCGCAGAAGGACCATCTGCAGCACGTCAGCCCGCTCTCGATGGTCGGCGACGGTAAGTCGAAGAAGGGCAAGGGCAAGGCGGTAGTGAAGGGCCGGAAGAGGGCGAGCTCGGCGACGGAGAGGCTGAAGCGGCATACGAGCTGGAGGGATATTATACGCGATTTTGCGGGCGGGCAAACACAAGGCCAGGGAGAAGGTGAGGGCGAGGGCGAGAGGAAGAGGGGGCAGACAGAGCCGCAGCCGAGAACGCAGAGCTCGATGTCGGCGCCGAACACGATCTCAAAGGCAAACGCAGAGAGGAAAGCGCCAGCGCGGCCGCTGCTGCGCACGCGACACTCCGAGTCGACGTCCTCACTGTCGAAGCGCGTACAACGCCGGTCCTCCGTCAAGTCCTTCACCGAACCGGACTCAGGGTTTTACTATGCAGACGAGGACACGGCCTCAGACGACTCCGAGGCAGAGGCCAACGAAGAGGACGAAGGGTACGCTGAAGGTTCTTCCGCTTCCGCTTCCGCCTCTTCGTCTGCGGGCCCACAAACGGGCCGCACGCGCGCGCGTACAGCGCCTGCGTCGTCGCATGCAAGACGGGAAGAAGATAGACCGCTGGCAGAGCGCGTGCGCTACGTGTACTCCGGAACCAGCACCCTGAAGCCGACGGCGTCGACGCTCGAGCAGCGGCAGGAGGAGCTCGAAGCCGCAGTCGCCGCTGCTGATGTGCGCGCTGCAGGCAAGGGCAAGGGCAAAGAGCCGATGCGAGGAGAAGAATATCGAGGAGGCAAGAGTCGGGCCAGCGAGCCCATCGGCACGCGGCTGACGATGACGAGCCGCACGGGGTTCTTCCAGGACCGCATCATCTCGCCCAGCATGGTGCGTCCCTTTCTCTTCTCCCTATCGCCGCGCCCCGTGACATCATTAACATACTAACCATCGCACCGCGACGCAGATGCGCGCGATGGCGATCATGTACATCGGCCCGCACCGCAACCCCGACTTCGCGACCGACTACCGCATCTCGCCCATCCTCACCCCTCACCATCTCCTCGCGCAGTTCCCGCCGCTGCTGATGCAGTGCGGCGAGAAAGACCCGTTCGTGGACGACACGGTCATCTTCGCCGGGCGCGTGCGCGAGGCAAAGCGCGCGCGCAAGGTCGAGCTGGACATGAAGTTGGGCGGGAAGAGCGCACGGTTCGGCGAGGGGCTGAGGATGACGCCTGCTGGTGGCGCTGGAGGTGCTGGCGGTGCTACCGCAGCTGTGGACGGGGACAGGGCGAAGATGATCGCGGAGCGGGACAGGCTCGCGAGGGAGACGGAGGACGACTGGGTGCAGATGGTGATCTTCGAGGACTGGAGCCACGGCTATCTCCAGATGATGGCGCTCATGGACGAGGCGCGCGAGGTCACAGAGGACCTTGCGGATTGGATCGTGGACGCGTTTGGCAGGCTGGGCGCTGAGCCTACTGCCCCTCAGGCTCCTCCCAGTGAGAGCCTGGTAGACGCGGCGACGGTACCTGAACCGATGGATACGCCAGCATCAACGACAGACAAACGCACGCGCCGCAACACCCCGCCGCTGGTCAACTCTCCGCGTCCGATTGCCGGCGACAGCCCAACCGCAACCAGAGCTGCCAACGGCACCACCCCGCAGCTGGTCAAAGGCTACCTCGACGTCGACCCCGAGTCGGGCGGCGACGAGACCCTCTCCCCGAGCGAATCCTCCACTGAAACCGAAACCGTCCCCGTCGCACCACACATGGAAGACAGCCCCAGCCCGTTCGCATCAGAAACAGAAGGCGACGGCGAAGACTCGGCGATAACATTCGTTCCCAAGACAAAGAGGAGACAGAGCAGCACCGGCAGCGCCGGGAGCACCGGAGCCTCAGTCGGGGGCGGGACGCCCGTCGCCAGGCCCGGATCCGGGCATGGGACTGCAAGACGCACGTCGGATGAGGGTACCGCGCTGAGGCTGCAGGCACACGCGCATGCACATGCGCACGGTCTCCATACAGCGCTGGATGGGGTACGTCAAGACCTGGAGCAGAATGGACAGGAGGTTGCGGAGAGCAGCGATGAGAACGGGACTGCAAAGGGCAACGGGAGCCCAAAGGAGAAGACCGCGGACACTGGTGCGGGGAGCTCGGGGAGCACACCGAGGGGCAAGCCTGGGACGCGGATTAGCGAGACGGAGCTGATGAGGAGGAGGCGGTTGCTGGACGCGCATGTCTTCGAGTGAGGAAGAAAGTGGGCGGCTGTCGAGGAAAGTGAGAAAAGGGCTGGAGGTGGTGCTTACGACTGCAACGATATCATCAATGACAATAGACCGAATCTACATCTTGATATTCCTCATAGTTAGTGATAGTCAGTAATAGTCAGCAACATGTAGCGTACGTGATGGATCTGCAGGACAGATTCAATCCAATTATATTCGCTTCTAATGTTATGTGGTCGCGCGCCTCGTTATGAGCCTGAGCTGCCTATGCCTGGCGAGGGGACTAGCAAAGTAAGGATACGAAATGCTTCTTGCATGAAGGGCTTCGTTCAAGCAGCATTTGAACCCATACGTCCATGGCTTGGTGGGAGCATAATATACAGGACCTGTTTCTGTCTCTGCCTCGTTCTTGAAGATAGCTGCTGTTTACCGGTGGCTCCGAACAGGCCTGGCTTCATACCTTCATCCACCTCCGTCAGCACATTCAGCGGCAAACCAGGATGAAACAAGCACTCACGGCCCCTCCAGGTACCCCATCTTCCCATCCGTCAGCTCAAACCCACCAGCCAATGCCTCTCTCAGCCTCTCTACCAAATTCACGCCCACGATGGGGCTTGCCACCGCGCTCATACCTCCCCTCCTGTTGTTGACCCAGGAAAGGGCAACCTGGCTCAAGTGTATGATCACGTAGTCCGCATCCGTAATATGGCGCTCATATAGTGTGCCCTTGAACCCCTCGGAGCGCACAGTGGACGTGCCGAGCGGGCGCGCGAGGTCTCCACCCGAAAGTGGAGCCCAGGAGATGACGCCGATGCCGTTGTATACGCAATAGGCGTGCATCCCGCGTTCCTGCGTATTCATAACATACTGGCGCGCTTAGATAAGTGGACAATAAGTGGGTGTATGCGCAGCAATGCATACGCACCTCCTCGCGATAGAGCAACGAATACTCATCCGACATGCTCACAAACCTCGTCCACCCGTTTCGACCCGCCACCCCATTCATCACCGCAAACTGCTAGCACCCCATCGAGCTCGCGCCAATATGCTTCACTTTGCCAGCCTGCTCGAGATCGTACAGCGCCTTCATCGTCTCCTCGATCGGTATGATTGGATCAAACCTGTAGTTCTGGAGCAGGGCGATGCAGTGCGTCTCAAGTTGCGCGGGAGAGCCCCGACTGGTTGATCTTGTCGCGCTCGGCCTCGGTGCCTAGCTGAGCCGCTCGCGTCGTCTGGGGTTATCGGTCACGAAGCTGTAGCACTTCGTCGCGTTGACAAGTTGGTGGCGGGGAGTGTTATACTGGTTCGCACCAGAGTAGGTTAGTAAAATGAGATATTAAATTGGCGAGAAAACGTAGTATGCATACCTTCTTCGTGAATTGAGCGATGATACGCTCAGACTCGCCGTTCGCAGTATCAATGGAGTTGATACCCAAGTCCCAAGCTTCTTTCAGTACAAGGATTGCCGCCTCAGATGCTATGAACCATGGCTGAAGCGAACGTATGGGTCTCTCAGAAAGACGTGGGGACACGTTGACGCGTGCTTACAGCTAAGGCCCATTGCAAACCGCCACAACTCATGGCTCCGATCTAATCACGTCTCGATCAAAAGTACAAGAGAACACGGACCAGATGAACATACGATTGGTACTGAGACCTGGAGGCCATACTTTCCGAGCTGTCGGTTCTGGACCCTCAAGGGAGTAGTAGACACGGCGGGCGATGGAGGTGGATTCGACGCGTTGTCGATGTATGCATGTCACCACCAACGCGACGGGCCTATATTTATCCCTAGTGCGTACGCACAGTAAGACGGCGATGGGTGCTGCAGGATAGCAAGAAGTTGCGGCTTGTTATTACGGCGTGAATACGCTGTGTATAAGCTATCTTGACGACTGAACGACGAGTGAAATTTTCAAGAGTGCAATGATCTCGATCAAGCGCAGACCCGATGCAACGCAAAGCGTGGGAGTAAAGACCTGGCGTGCGAGCTCATGCTGACATGGACACGCTACAGGGGCTTTCGCGTGATCTTCTTCCGCCAGTGACATACACTCCGAATTTGGCAGACCTCGAGGCGCACCATCTCTAATCGGCGGCCTGTATCAGGAAACACGCCTCCACCCCGGTGCCCAGAAGTGCAATTCTTTCCTTCTCCTCTTTATCCTCCATCTTCGGATCGTCTGAGATGGCCCCTGTACCGGCCCTGCACATCGAACGAGAGGAGAAAGTGTTGGAATCGCAAGCGGCTCGACGGAGATCCTGCGCGTCGGCCGACGACGTTCGATGACGTCCGTTCGTGTTCGTCATCTTTCGTTCCTGACTATACCCGTTTCGTATTTGTTATCGCTGGCTCTTCGCTGGCCGGTCTGGTTTTCTTTCATGTTACCTCTTTTGTATTGACGTTTAGGCTACAGCTGTCATTATCCGTAGTTACCAGCCGTACGGCCTTTGTTGGCTTCATTCGCTTACTTATACCGTAGCGTTTCGTTCGTCGCACCCCAGACTTTGACTTTCCGCGTCTGGGGTGAGCTCTATTTCTTTTCTCGCTTGTTTACAACGTGTACTTATTCTACCTTAGTTTTGAACGCGTTGTTTAGGTGAATATACTAGACTTTGACTTTCCGCGTCTGGGTTTTGAACACGTTGTTTAGTTTCTACAGGTTATTGAGCCCCGCTCTAATCTATCGCTTCCTGCCATGTCTGCTGCGACGACCTTTGCCACCGATACGCTGCCGTCGAACGTGCCTCGTCTCGACGCGAAAGGGTCCAACTGGATCATCTTTCTCGTTCGCTTCGAGCAGGCTGCGAAGGCGAAGCGCAAGTGGGAGCATATCACTGGTGCATCCACCCGCCCAGTGCCTGCTGATCCCGCAGCGCCGACCGCAGCCGAGACCACCGCTGTCGTGGAATGGGACAAGGACGACGACACGGCACGCTACCTTATAGGTCAGCGCCTGCCTGACTCGACAGCCATCGCCACTCGATCTCTCGGCACGGCAGCGCAGGTCTGGGCGTATGTCGTTCGCGAGTACACGCAGAAGAGCTCGTTTGTGCAGTCCAACATGCGCAGAGAGTTCATGTCGATGTCGGTTCCCAACAACGGCCCTCATGGCGGCGACATAGCCACTTTCTTCACCGAGCTCGCGGCGAAGAAAGAGACGCTGGCAGAGTGCGGCGTGGTCATCAGCGACGATGAGTACATCTCAACTATACTCCAGTCACTCCCTCCCCACTACGCCACACACGCGTCGTCTTTCCTGGCATCAGCAAAGGCAATGGCTTCGTTCTTCCTGCAGTCACAGTCCACCACTTCCCCTGCTCCGACTTTCTCCATCACCCCAGTCGCTCTCATGCGCCACGTGCTCGACGAGTACGAGCGCAAACTGGCTGAAAAGTCATCCCGCGATGCCAACAGGCGGGTGAACACCCCGAAGAAAGACGGTGACGCTGCCTATGCAGCAACTCACGCTGGTAGCAGCAAGGGGAACAGCCGCGAGGTCAGGAAGCCACGCGGCGCCTGCTGGACGTGTGGGGAGAAGGGACACTTCAGGGACACATGCCCGAAGTCGAAGAAGTCCGATGGTACGCCGACCAGCAAGAACACTGGGTCGGCGCACCTTGCGGTTGACGAATCTGACGATGACGGGGCGTGGCTAGTGGTTCATGCCTCGGATCTCTCCGATGTCGACGACGCAGATGATTGTGCATCCATGCCCGATCTGGGGTCGATCTCCGACTCTGATAGCGAGTACGATGAGGATGGGGACTGCTGGGAGGACGACGTGAGCGAGGCAGCATGGGCGAGTAGCTTCAGCCCCGGGGTGTATAGGTCGACCGACAACGACACGAGCTTGGCCAGCTCGGAGTGGGAATCTGACTTCACTGCATCTGACGAGGACGAGGACGCTCCCGACATGGATACTGCCGCTGCAGTCGCGACCTCCGTAGACGGCTCGCAATCTCGTGAGCAGCGTCGCGCCATTTTCGACTCTGGCGCCACACAGCACTTATCCCCGTACCGCGATACCCTTCACAACTTTACGAAGATCCCTCCCAGGACCTTCCGAGCCGCGTCAACCTCCAGCTTTGACGCGACTGGTGCCGGCGAACTCGTCCTCGAGGTCCCGAATGGCACATCTACCACCCAGCTGCAGCTCAACGAGGTGCTGTATTCGCCCGAGATCGGGTACACCCTCGTGTCTGTTGGATGCCTGGATGAACTCGGTTACTCAGTCACCTTTGCGGACGGCAAGTGCACCATCCGTTCACCCGACGGCGAGCGCGTTGCAGCAATCCCGCGATCATCACGCGGGCTATACCATATTCCCCAACCTGCGCCCGACGAGGCCAACGCCGCCGTCGAGCGCGTCACTCTCAGCCAGCTCCACCGCCGCCTGGGCCATGTCTCTGCCAACACGGCCCGGCGCATGGTCGAGAATGGTTTCGTTACAGGCCTCTCGTTGCGTCAAGGTGATGATCGCGATTTTTTCTGCGAGTCGTGCACGTACGCCAAGGCAACACGTGCACCGGTCCCGAAGACGCGCGAGGGTGATCGTGCAGCTGCCTTTGGCGACGAGATCCACTCGGATGTGTGGGGACCTGCTCCGGTCAACTCCCTCGGCAATAAGCGCTATCTCGTCACGTTCACGGACGACTGCACTCGCCACTCACATGTCTACATCCTCGCTCGCAAGGACGAGGTGTTCTCATCCTACCGCAAGTATGCGGCATGGGCTCGCACACAGCACGGTGCGCGAGTCAAGGTGCTACACTCCGACAATGGTGGCGAGTACACTGGGAAGGCATTCAGGTTGTTTCTCGATGAGGAGGGGACACAACCGAAGCTCACCGTCCACGACACTCCCGAGCACAATGGAGTTGCCGAGCGTCTCAATCGCATCATCTCCGAGCGCGTTCGCGCTATGCTCCATGCGTCCGGGCTGCCACGCTTCCTATGGGGCGAGGCTGCGCACCACGTCATCTGGTTGAAGAACCGGACGCCGACGAGGGCACTTGCTGATGGTGTCACGCCGTTTGAAGCATTGACGGGCCGCAAGCCTGACATGCGAGGTGTACGCGAGTGGGGTGAGAAGTGTTGGGTCAAGCGGAAGGCACACGCAGCGGCAGGGAAGCTCTCGTCGCCAGTCGAGGAGGGACGCTGGATGGGCATTGATCAGCATGCGAAGGGTTACAGAGTCTACTGGCCACGCACCCGCACGGTCTCGGTCGAGCGTAGCATCACGTTCGCGCCGTTGTCTCAGCTCGAGGGGGAGCCTACTGAGGTTGAGTTCGACGAGGAGTTGATACGCGAGCTCTCGCCAACGACTCACCACAACTCTGAATCCCCACCTATCCCTGTCGAGCCCATCACCCAGCAACCTGCTCCCGAACCTGCTCCCGAGGTCCATGACCCTATTGTTGAGGATGCTCCGCGTGCCCCACGCCCTCGCCGTCCGAGTCGTTATGTTCGAGACATTCAGCAAGGGCATGGCACTGCATCGGGTCGCCAAACTGGTGCTCGTTTCCCGCGGGGTCTTCAGGTGCCAAGAGAGCTTGCAGAGCTTGAGGGGGAGCATGCAGATGTAGTGGATGGCGAAGATGAGCTGGTGGCGGCGGATCTTGAGGAGCTCGAGGATGATGAACTGTTGGAGTACGCTCTTGCAGCAGCAGTTGCAGAGGTTGAAGCCCTTGAGCCACGGACGGTGGCAGAGGCTAAGCGGCGAGTGGACTGGCCATTGTGGGAGAAGGCCATGGAGGAAGAGATGGAAGCGTTGAGGAAGGCGGGGACGTGGCGATATGAGAGGGCGCCGGATGGAGTGAATGTGGTGGGATCGAAGTGGGTATTCAAGGCGAAGAAAGACGCATCGGGCAAGGTCGTGAGATACAAGGCCCGATTAGTCGCGCAGGACTTCAGTCAAGTCCCTGGCGTCGACTATTTCGACACCTACGCCCCCGTCGCCAAGCTCCCATCTGTCCGCACTGTCCTTGCACTCGCAAACCGTCTCGACCTCGAACTCCACCAAGTCGATATCAAGAGCGCATACCTCAACGGCGACCTCAACGACAATGAGGTCATCTACATGCGCCCTCCTCCTGGCTACTCTATCCCAGATCTCGACGGACGCGTTCTACGTCTTGTGCGTACTCTCTATGGGCTGAAGCAGTCAGGTCGGCGTTGGTATCAGAAGCTTGTGAGTATCTTCGTCGACTCGATGGGTCTCAGCCAAGCGCAGGTCGACCAGGCTGTATTCTACCGCCGAGATGCCTCCACCCTCCTCATTGTAGTCGTGCATGTCGACGATTGCACAATCGCAGCCTCCTCTCTCGCCATCGTCACCCACTTCAAGGCCCAGCTTCGCGACCACGTCGAGGTCACTGACCTCGGCGAGCTGCATTGGCTTCTCGGAATTGAAGTCAAGCGCGACCGCTCTGCACGCACCATCCACCTCTCTCAATCCTCGTACATCGACTCGATTCTCCGGCGTTTTGGCCTCGACGAGCTGAAGCCGCTCTCGACGCCCATGGATCCGGCAGTGCGACTCACGTCGGCGATGACGCCGCGCACGACAGAGGAGATAGCGGCGATGCGAGACGTGCCGTACCGCGAGGCGGTCGGTGCGCTCATGTACGCCTCGCTCGCGACGCGGCCGGACATCACGTTCGCCGTCGCGACCGTGTCTCGCTTCTCCTCGAACCCCGGCAAGGCGCATTGGGACGCTGTCAAGCGGATCTTCCGCTATCTCGCTGGCACTCGGACCCTCTGGCTCACGTACGGCGACCAGCCTCGTGAACTCGTCGGTTACAGCGACGCCGATGGCAGCATGGCCGAGGATCGCCGCGCGATCTCCGGCTACGCGTTCATCATCGACGGCGGCGCCGTCTCGTGGAGCGCGAAGCGGCAAGAGGTCGTCTCGCTTTCGACAACCGAGAGCGAGTACGTCGCCGTGACGCACGCGACAAAGGAGACGCTGTGGTTGCGCTCACTCGTTCGCGAGGTCATCGGCCCGCTGACGCTCGACGGGCCCACCACTCTCTTCTCCGACAACCAATCCGCCATCGCCCTCGCCCACGACCATCAGTATCACGCCCGTTCGAAGCACATCGACGTCAAGTATCACTTCATCCGCTGGATCATCGAGGAGGGCTCGATGCGACTCATTTATTGTCCGACTGACAACATGGTCGCCGATGCACTCACGAAGGCCCTCCCGTCCCCCAAGGTCAAACACTTCGCGAGTGAGCTCGGACTCCGCGAGGCTTGAGGGGGAGTGTTGGAATCGCAAGCGGCTCGACGGAGATCCTGCGCGTCGGCCGACGACGTTCGACGACGTCCGTTCGTGTTCGTCATCTTTCGTTCCTGACTATACCCGTTTCGTATTTGTTATCGCTGGCTCTTCGCTGGCCGGTCTGGTTTTCTTTCATGTTACCTCTTTTGTATTGACGTTTAGGCTACAGCTGTCATTATCCGTAGTTACCAGCCGTACGGCCTTTGTTGGCTTCATTCGCTTACTTATACCGTAGCGTTTCGTTCGTCGCACCCCAGACTTTGACTTTCCGCGTCTGGGGTGAGCTCTATTTCTTTTCTCGCTTGTTTACAACGTGTACTTATTCTACCTTAGTTTTGAACGCGTTGTTTAGGTGAATATACTAGACTTTGACTTTCCGCGTCTGGGTTTTGAACGCGTTGTTTAGTTTCTACAGAAAGATGGTGATATTTGGGTCACCCTCCTACGGGCCAACTTGGCTAATCACCCCGATAAGCCGCACTCGGCCTTATCAGAAATCACCGCTGGTGGATGGCGTTACGGTCTCCAAACATCACCGTCAGCCGACGCCTACATTCGTAGTAGCAATGGTATCTCGATAAAAGCGTGGGATCTCGTAGTTGATCTCAGTAATATCAGCATCATCAATTCTGGCGATATAATATGCACATTCTATGTCTCCAGGTATGTCGTATGCCGGACCGATGTACTGGCTACTAATTGTGCGGACAGCTTCTTGACAGCAGTAACTATGAGGTATAATTCTTACGGCGATTTCATCTCCCAGTCGAAAAGTGGCTCTTGTGCCACTGGCAACAGTGGTCAAACCTGTCGAGGAGGGATGGCCAAAAAGGTCGGTACTTTCAAGTGTACAGCCTGGGACACCTATATCGCTGTGAGAACATGCATTGTGGGCAAATACACTATTATGAAAGGACCTTCGGCTTTGCTAGAGAAGAAGGCCCTCCACGACGCCATGCCCGTTGTCTCAGTAGACCCGAAAACGACCCAAGCACTTGCAAGGAGCCTGTCGAGTGGTACATTCATCGATATGCAGTTCAATACGTTCACTCGTATGCGCAAAGTGGGCAACCAACAGAGGCTCTGTCGTCCCCTTCCCCTGTACGCAGCATCTTCGGCTCTCAAAGGCGTCGAAGCATGTGGCGTCGGTCAGTCTTACTTTAATCGTACTGATGACCGAGGCTCATTTTGTCTTTGATATGCGAATTGAAAGACATCGCTGGAACAAACTGGAGTAGCCTCTTATCGACATCCGACCACGGACGATCCTTTGTAGATGCAGGCAATGAGTACGAAGAAGACAGTGACTTCGATCCCGATGAGCACATCATCGAGGAAGTTGTCGAGAAAGTCCATGGTACTTTGGTGTCCAGTATGTGTTACCTATCCTGCTACGATGCGATTCCAATACTAATCCATTCCTGCTTTAGATACGAGTGACACAATGTCTGTTGGCTCTTCAGAATTCTCGGACCTCACATCTGATGGATTGGCGATGGCGACTTATCCCTCGGTTTCCAGGACCGTCCTGGTCACTGGAGCCGCCTATAAAACGTAAGTACTGCGCCAAAGATATCCGATGATAGAGTTCACGCAGAGTAATTCTTGCGTTCTTGATGGGGCAGATGGAAGGCGTTCTTGTTCTATGCTTACACCGGCCAGACCAACCTTTCCTCTCTTACGTCGTGCAACGTCTCTGAGGAACTCCAGGCACTGCCGGCTGACAGGACGGAGGATTCCCGGTCAGAGTGCCCTCGGTGCTCCCCAAAGTCGATGTATCGACTGGCTCACAAGGTATGCCACCGACTGGACGTCTCTTTGCCCAAATCACAGGCTTACGAGAAATGCTGCTCAGCTTCAACTTGAGTCTCTCAAGCAAATCGCATTCCAGGAGATCCGGAGAAACCTCAAAAACGAGAACATATTGACCGAAGTCCTCTCCAAATTCACCTCGAGGTGGTTACTCAATAGCGCTCCCCGTAACAGTTAATGATCGGCTGACGCATGTACCCTGCAGATACCCGGAGATACGAGACATGGAGACCGACTTCTTGCTGGCTCATCGTCACGAAAAGGGGGTTATGGACACCCTCCCCGGCAAGATGGAGCGCGTTATGCGAGGCGAGATGCCGCATTGCAAGGAGGTGCTCACCGCCATCATGTTGGCGAGCATAAAGCGCGATTGAGAGCTCTACTCTCTCAATGGCACTCGTCCTGTTCGTTAATGATGGCAGCTCTTTTCTGTACCGTGAATCGCTTGGTGGGAGTAGCTAGTTCGCTTGACCGCGTTGTGTTGCACATGCATTTCTCACCAGAAATTGAAACTACCGACGAGGAATCCCGATTGTGATGTCTCTATTTCCTATGAGATCCGCTAGTAGCTAGTTCATAGTATGTGAGAGGCGTTCACGGTGAGACTGTCAGGACACTTCTTCATGATACGTTGTCACTGGTTTAGACTGAGAAGTTGTACTTAGCCACTCGCGGCTGTGAGCGGGGGAAAGAAAGCGACCGTGGGAACGCTCTGCCGACTGGCGGCTCAGCGTGTTTTTGGCAACATGTTTTGGTCCTTTGCTGACTGTCGTCACCTAGCACAACTTCAGTGGGAGTGCATTTGACTGTGCGCCTATTTTGAACTTCTGACTCGATTTGGATGCTGAATATCAGCTCAGGTGAATCATCAGCACACCCTCAGCTGCTGTCTGCTTGTGTTCATATGTCGAGGCGATGTTCAACAGTCACAGTGTTCAGTGGGTAAGACGCAGTATCAGGTGCTGACGACGATACAACACAGTTTATCGCGCATTTGTCTCGAGTAAGTATTGCGAGAATATCATCTCCCAGCAGACCTCCACATTCGCTCAGCCGAGGTCTGACTCGGTACCTCCAAGCTCAAGAGATCATATCAGGACAAAGGCTTCTGTCCATCCAAGAGTCCATCATGGTTCTCACTTTACTCTATGCGTTAGCCCAACTCAACCGGTGAGAGGTTTCAGCTTTATAATCGCTGCTTGGCTTCAATGTTTAGTCACTTGTACGCAACTCACAGCCATCGATCAGCTACTATGTTCGATCTCCAATCTGCCCCGTTTGAACTCTCCGAGGCGACGTCAGCTTGATGCGGACACAGCGCTCGGCTTGCAAGCGTCCATCGTACATCTAGGCCCCTCGCTGTATCTTTTCGGGAGCCTATCGGTGTTCCCCTATCAAGTAAGCCCGGGTAGTGGCATGGATAGCACATCTGTCTTGTCATCAACACTGTTGAATGGATTGACACTCGCTTTCTCATGCGTGGTTTATTGCGCTTTGATGGCTTTTTGTGCGCACTTCCATTTCTGATGCTGTCCTTGATGGCCACCCGTCCCTCACCGGCTCTCTTGCATCCCGGACCATGTCTCGGTGGAAGCTCGGCTCTAAAATAATGTTTGCTTTGTTGTCCTTCGCAGCATAGCGACTACTGCTCAAGGAAGACTGCTCAATAAGTGGCGAATCTCAGGCACCCTACATTGCCGAGCGGCGCGGAACGCCACTGGACTTACCCTTACACCTCGGTTGGGTCAAAGACGACCGAGCACTCGCACCATTAGTAACCCCTATCCTAGGGCCTGATACTGGTGGCAGCGCTAACGGTAAGCTATCCCTTCAATACCGAGTCAACGCTTTCTCACCAGCTCATGATTTGCTTTCTGAACGAGAAGATGACACTGCGGGGACCGACTAGTATGCGGGCGTTATCAGGGACTAGCGATGTGATGCGTGAGGGCTACATTTCATTTTCATTAGGTTCTGTCATAGACTGGTCCCTCCGGACCATAGGGAGTTTATACGAGTGCCTTCAAGATCGTCGGTCATACAAAACAAGCATCCGACATCGCCAAGTGGGGTACACATCCGCTCTATAAATCGCCTCAATTTACAGAGTTCTTCGCCCGCAACCATCCCCTACTATTCCTTCATATCTTCTGTCTTACTCTCTCAATGCTTACCTCCAAAGGCGTTGCCCTCGTGACAGGCTGCACAGGCGGCATAGGCCGTGCTGTCTCTCTGCGCCTTGCAGCAGACGGATTCGACCTCGCACTCAATGATCTCCCGCACAAGCGAGATGCCGTCGACAGCATCGCAGCAGAGCTTTCACAAGTGCGCTCGGGGATCAAGACGTGCTCTGCGCTTGCAGATCTTCGTTACGAAAACGAGGTCAAGGATATGGTAGCGTCTGTGTCGGACCAACTGGGTGGTATTGACGTGGTAGGCTTTAAGTCCGCAGTGGTGCTAGCGAAGACTGGACTGACATGTTGTGTAACCAGCTGGTGGCTAATGCGGGCGTGGTCAGAGTTAATGCGCTTGCCGAGCGTGAGTCCACTTTTTTTTGTTCATGATCGACGTCGTTTTTATTTCCGACCCTTTCTTAGTGAGCGAAACGGATTGGGATGACGCATTCTCGATTAACGTCAAGGGTACATTCTTTTGCTACAAACACATCGGCGCACAGATGGTGAAGCAGGGACGCGGGGGACGCATCATCGGCATGAGTTCGCTAGCAGGGAAAAAAGGTACGTATATCATTCATCTATTATATACTTCCGTCGTTTTAAGCTAATCATACATGACAGGTTTTGCCCTCCTCGGCGCGTATTGCTCTTCCAAGTTTGCCGTGCGCGGCTTGACACAGGTCGCCGCCGCTGAGCTCGGGTCTCATGGGATCACGGTGAATGCATGTGCACCTGGCTTGGTAGAGACGCCTATGCGTGAGTCCTATGGTTGAAATCAGAAACAATCCCAATTCTAAGCGATATTCTCAACGTCAGTTAATGAACTTCACGATGGGATACTGAGGGCGAGTGGTGGTACTGTTGATATCTCAGCCACGGTAAAGTGTTGCCGATGAATTTAAACGCGATCATATCTGTTGACATCCAAATGATAGATCAAACAGCTTTCAACACTTGGAACCAACGGACAACCCAAGGACATCGCAGACCTTATATCATACCTGGCGTCCAAAGAGGCTCGCTTTATAACAGGTAAAGTAGTTTCACCCGCTAGATTTACGTGATATACTCACCATGTTTTGTGCTCATGACAGGGCAAACGGTAAGGGTTACGTTGCGTAACAGGCTCAGTCATGCTAACCAGAAAACAGATATCCATTGATGGAGGCGTGCACTTTGACTAATTCAATCTGTAGCACATTACTAGTGTTATATAGAGCAAATCATGTATGCGGTCCGTAATAAAAGCGCGAAAAATCTGATCCGCTACTAGTAAGAGTATCTCAAACGAAGTCCGGAACGCAGAAAATCCTCGGGACACTGAAAATCCTATCCTCCGTCTCCTCCCTGGTCCGATGTTATATTCAGAGCATATCCTACCCGACCAGATCTCGTTCTCGGACGACAACAGCTTCGCCTGTCTATGAAAAAATTTGTCCCGCACGATGCCCATACAGTCAACGTTCGACGTGCAGATCGCCGTCGCCTCCTGCGTCTCATCATTGTACATCGCCTGGACCGCCCCGATCCGCGCGTCCTGCGTCTTCTCGATGGCGAAGGTGAACATGCTACAGCCCGTCCACGACGGCTGAACGAGAATGCAGTCCGCGGAGAACGGGAAATGCATCATTGTCTGCATGCGGATTGTGAGTTCGGCTGCGCCATTCAACGTTAGCTCCGATTCATCCCCTGACTGGTGGTTATGGCACGATGGTATGATCAGTCTTGCAATGATAAGCATGTCTTGGTGTTCCATACTTCCTGTTGCGACGAAGATCCTAAGGCCGATGAGCACAACCTCGGTTTCGCCGGTGGTCAGGTCGACGATCGAGTCTCGCAGAATGGAGACGTCCCTCATGTAGCACCGATCGATTACACTTGAAGAACATACGTGGGGGGTGCCTGCATGTACGGTAGCGAGGGGAAGTGCGCTAAGCCGTGTTCGGGTCCTCGGAGTGTCATCATTGGAGTCGTCCATATAGGGCCGAACAACGAAGAGGTGCGTGCGGGAAAGAGCTTGGTAAGGTGCCCATCGCTTCTCTTCTTCCTGGGTGTTAAGAGGATTTAGATGAGCGAACATTGAACGGGGAGACAAAGGGACGCACGGTTTCTGTGAGGTTATGGTTCGAGATGACTGTAGGATTTACATCTCTATCAAGGGATCCGAGCCACCATACGAATGATCTGTCGTTCGTGTTTGACCAATGTACCAAGAGTGCACCTGGACTTAATGTCGAAAATACAGCGGAGCTCGAGCCTTCTAGGCAAAAAGAGCTCGGTAAATCTCCTCGGTTTGATGCCCTTGCCCTGATCTTCCATGTCCAGTTGAAGCCTATCCTAGCCATGTCATCAGCTCTGAGCAAAACCAACTTGTGCTAAAGTAAGGCACTCACAATTCATCAGGCCCTATACTGGAGGGATGACTTGGAGGCGGCATCCTAGCGCACCGCTCAAGTGTAATGAATGCACACTTCACTTCACCGTAAGACGTGACGTCCAAGCGGCCCATCGACGAGAAAACGTATCCCTTCCCTACATCCGCTTCCCACACTATGGTCTCACGCCGTGAAGGACTTCGCTCAGATTGCATTGACCTGTACACGCATTGCCTGGTGTGAGGGTGCTACACCAGATCTGTTTCCGCCCCTGCTCCGTTCTTGAAATAGAGCAGCTATTTACCGATGGTTTCGAACAGACTTGGCTTCATACCTTTATCCACCCCCGTCAACACATTCAGAGGCAAACCAGGATGAAACAAGCACTCACGGCTCCTCCAAATACCCCATCTCCTCGTCCGACAACTCAAACCCACCAACCAAAGCTTCTCTCAGCCTCTCTACCGAATTGACACCAACAATGGGGCTCGTCACCGCGCCTTTGCCTCCCCTCTTGTTCTTAGCCCAGGAAAGGGCAACCTGGCCCATCGTGCGCCCATGCTTCTCCGCGAGCTCGATGATGCGTAGTATGATCGTGCGGTCCGCATGCGAGATTTTCCGCTCATATGGCGTGTCCTTGAATCCCTCGGAGCGTACGGTGGACGTGCCGAGCGGGCGCGCGAGGTCTCCACCCGAGAGTGGGGCCCAGGGAATAACACCGATGCCGTTGTATGCGCAGTAGGCGTGCATCTCGCGTTCCTGTTAAAACACAATATTTGACGAGGTCAGGTTGGTGGGTACACGCGTAGCAGTGTATGCGCACCTCCTCGCGATACAGCAGTGAATACTCATCCGACATGCTTACGAATCTCGTCCACCCATGCCGGTCCGCCACCTCGTTCATCATCGCGAACTGCCAACACCGCATCGAGCTCGCACCGATATACCGCACCTTGCCGGCCTGCACCAGGTCGTGCAGCGCCTTCATCGTCTCCTCAACGGGCACGAGCGGGTCGAACCTGTGGATCTGGAGCAGGTCGACGTAGGGCGTCTCGAGCCGCGTGAGCGAGCTCTCGACGGCGTTGAAGATCGCGGAGCGGGAGAGCCCAGACTGGTTGATCTTGTCGCGCTCGACCTCGGTGCCGGGCTGCGCGCGGCTCGCGCCGCCTGAGGTGTCGGACACGAAGCCGTAGCACTTGGTTGCAATGATGAGCTGGTGGCGAGGGATGTTATACTACTTCGGGATAAATTAGGCCAGTGTGAGGGGTCGTGCCAATTCGATAGACAAGATTAGCCTGGGCGTACCTTCTTCATGAACTGACTGATGATATGCTCAGACTCGCCGTTGGAGTAAACGTTTGCGGTATCAATGGTGTTGACGCCCAAGTCCCATGCTTCTTTCAGTATGGATATCGCTGTATCGGCTTCGACAATCCATGGCTGATGCGCATGTATAGGTATCTGAAGATGATCGAGGGAGAGGACGCGTGCTTACAGCTAAACCCCATTGCGAGCTGCCAAAACTCATGGCTCCGACCTAACCATGTTTTGATCAGAAGCACATGGGAGGGGACGAAATGAGCGTACAATAGGCACAGAGACCCTAAGACCGGATTTTCCGAGTTGTCGATATTCGACTTTCAAGGTAGTGGTGGACATGGCTGGCGATAGAGGTTCGACACGTTGCAGATGTATGTATATGACGGTCAACGCGATGGACCCATATTTATACTCTTTGTGGAGGCGCAGTGAGACGACGACGAACAGCAAGAAGCTGCGGTTTGAGACTGAGCCGCGTAAACATGTTGTTTATCCGCCATCTTGACGACTGGACTATTGAACGATTGAAGAGCGAGGAAGGGCCCGTTGCCTGCGCAGTGCACCGCAGAGAGTGGGTGAAAACCGCGGCCCGACGCGGCATATGGCGTGTGAATAAGGACTTGATGATGGGCAAGTTTTCACTTTTGTCCACGACCCTACCTATAGTAAACCCAATCAATGACACCTTGCTAAACTCTATCGATACAAACACGCACCCACAGGGACGCTGTCACGGTGCCCTAGTCTTACCCTATCTCTTGTCTCCTCTTGTCGTCTCTTACCTGAACCAGCGCTACCTACTTCTACTATGACCGTTCGGCCCACTCTGCGCATCGTACGCGAAGAGTCCAATGGTAATATGTGGGCTACTCTTCTCAAAGCAGAAGGTATTTCCGACTTGAAGACGTATATGACAGCTTCCTCGGAAACCAGCGAATTTGGATGGCGCTATGGGATCACCACAGACTTTCGTAAACATAGAGAAATCAAATTCTGCATAATCCAAGTTGATCTTACCGACATCACCGCGCATGCGAACCCTGACGCTTTCAAGTTACACTTCTCTTGGTGAGTCGTAGGGTCCCCCGCCGCCCCAGCATCCCTCTCGTGCTGTAGATCGTCAGCACCTGACCATCGTACAGCACATTTGGAGACAGCTCCACTCTGAATGGCGAATTTGATGAGACTTCTAAGTTACTCCCTCCTCTCCAGTCCTACGGCATTTCCGTCGAGGGCCAAGTAGGACTCATTCACAAGATTAATACTATCTCCACAGCCAACGATGGCTTCCTCGTACTTGTAACGGCGCGCGTTGACGGAAATTTGGTGGCTGCACATGAAGCTTTCCATCAGTGGGTTGAGACAGCCCCCGGGAAGATTGAAGCAACGGACTTGGCAACGGACATACTAGTCAAGAGCATCTCGAGTGGCGCCTTTGCTCATACTCAGTTCAATGCCTTTACGCGGCGGCGAAAAGAAAGAGATTGCCAGCGTCTCTCTCACCCTCGGCCCCTGTATGCTGCATCAGTGGCGCTTGAAGGTCTCAAGGCTTACGGCGTTGGTAAGTGCAGACCTAGAGGTTGCCCCCCAAAACTGACTGCGCATCTGCAGGAGACCTGGATGACATTGATCAAACATCTTGGCGCGCCCTTGTGTCTGATTCTAGCTGCGAGCGAGACTTCTTGGACGTGAGCGATGAGTACGAAGAAGACAGTGATCTCGATCTCGATGAAGAAGCTGTGATTGAGGAAGTATCCCAGGACGTGGCTAGTATTTCGGTTTCCGGTAGGCTTTCTTCTTCTGATGAAAATGCTGTCACATTGGTGACTGAACATTAGTTACAGGTGATACCGCCTCTGTAGGATCCTCTGCGTACTCGAAAGTTACATATGGTGAAATCGGAGCAGCTGCTTCGCCACACGCGGCTCGGAAATTTGTGGTCACAGGAGCTGCGTATAAGACGTACGTCATATTAAGGATCCGTTCCGCCGGGTTCAACTCGTGAACTCATGCATCCAAACAGATGGAAGACGTTCTTAGTTTACGTATACACTGGGAAGATCAAGTTCTCCACTCTCACCTCTAGGAAGTCCGGTAACTCCAAAGATACAGATACATCTGATGAGCAGTTCTATGGTTCCCAGTGTTCGCCTAAGTCAATGTATCGTCTGGCTCACAAGGTGCCGTGCTTTTTTCCTCCCGCTATGTGATACTTACAAGATTTTTCCTAAGCTTGGCATTGAGCCATTGAAGAGACTTGCTTTTGAAGCGATTCGCTCTAACATCATAATTGAGAATATATTGCACGAGATTCTATCCAAGTTTACTGCTACGTGGGTCCTGTCATGTTTCTCCCCGCTTCACATGAGTCATACAGGCGTCTCCCCCATTCTCCCAGGCACCCGGAGGTACTAGCAATGGAGACGACCTTCTTCATGGCTCATCGGCGGGAGGAGGGGATCATGGACTCTTTCCCGAAGGTAATGGAGCGGATGATGCGAGGGGAGATGAATCACTGTCGTGAGACGTTTAATACCATCATTATGACTGGCATGAGGCGCGACTAGATTCATGATGAAGGGTCATTCAAAGGGCCAGAGGTTTCAGTTCTATCCTACGATATTGTCATGCTTCGTTAGCAGCAAAATATACCACATGAACAACAAAAATGATATACAATATGACGGGCCGCCACCATTGTAGGAGAATTGTATAAATGCTGAGTTACACGACCGACATCATATGAGCCTCGTGGCACGTCAAGATCAGCGCTTGCCTTGAGTTGTATAAGGAACACATCTACCACGATGCTCAGCTCCAGTACTTGGGAACCGTCCCTCTTTACTCCCCCTTCCGTCCTCTCCTCTCTCCCTTTTCCCTTTCCGCCTCGCCCTTGGCCTTCGCTCGTACCAGCCTTCGCTACACCATGGTCTTGAGGCCAACCTTGCGCATCGAGCGCGAAGAACAGAGGGGTAACACCTGGGTCTCTCTTCTCCGAGCAGACTTAGTCGATAGACTGGGCGAGCAAACAATAGTATTTTCAGATAAAAGCACGTATGGATGGCGGTATGGCCTCACACAAACTCCACTAGATGAGCGCCGCAACCATGGATGGACCATTGTACCTCCACCACGGGAATGCAATATATTGGTTGATCTTGGCGGCATCACCGATTCCACCCCCATATTCTGTTTTTCTTGGTCTGTGAAGCACTCTTCATCTTTCCTCGTTTACTGATTGGAGTCCGTAGCTTCACTACGAATAGTCGTGAAATTGAACGCTGCACTTCGTTATTTGGCTCGAGTACCACTCGCGGGCCTGTTGGCCAGGGCTGGGATGTCAAGAGCACCAGCCTCGGGTCAGAGGGACAAATTGGGCTCACCCATGCAATCGGTTACGCTTTAAACTGCATTTGTAATGAGTGCTATATTTTAGTCAAGGTGGAAGTCGAGGGCGACGAGGAAAATGCTCGACGAGTTCTGGCTTCGTTACGCAGCGCACACGCTGTTGTTCCCGATGTGAAACCTACAACGACGCAAAGCCTTTCAAGGAGCCTCTCGAACGGGACCTTCATCGACACACAGTTCAACGTATTCACGCGAAGGCGCCTGTTGGGGGCTCAACAGCGATTATGTCGCCCTCTCCCGTTGTACGCAGCTTCCTCAGCTCTTCAAAGCATTGGGGAAAATGGAGCAGGTCCGCGCTGCTTTGCGCTCATAGCTGTTCACTGCTCACTTTGCGTGTTGACAGGTTGTTTCAGTGATATCGCGGGGACAAACTGGGGTACTCTTCTGTCGACCTTCGACTGCGGGCGATCCTTCGTTGACGCGGACGACGAGTACGAAGACGACAGTGACTTTGACCTCGAGGAGGAGCACATCATCGAAGAGGTTATTCAGAAAGTCGGCACGACATCGGTGTCCAGTAGGCGTTGTTTTTTCTTCTTATTTGGAAGGCGATTCAATAATGACCCCATCTCCCTCCCAAGATAAAAATACGACGAACTCTGTTGGTTCATCAGAGTTTTCGAACCTCACCCCAAGTGAGGTTGCCTTGATAAGTCCACCGTCGATTTCCAGGACCATCTTGGTCACCGGCGCAGCCTATAGGACGTAAGTTTCGACAAAAATGTAACATCGAGGGACACGCTCACCCAGGCGTCATCACTGCCGTTTTGTCGAGGCAGATGGAAAGCGTTCTTGTTCTACGTTTACACTGGGCAAACCAACTTCCTTCCACTTACCTCTAACAAAGTCGTTGATGAGGATGGGACGCTGCACGTTGCTGACGAAATCAAATCAGATTGCCCTCAGTGCTCTCCGAAGTCGATGTATCGGCTTGCCCACAAGGTACGGTAACCTATCGGTCTTCGCCTCTCTAGAACATCAGCGGCAGAAGCTCACGAGAACGTGCTGCCTAGCTTCAATTTGAGTCTCTGAAGCAGATCGCAGTCCGGGAGATCCAGAAGAACTTCAGTAACGAGAACATTCTCCACGAAGTCCTCTCGAAGTTTACTTCAAAGTGGGTACTCACTAACGCATTCCGCGCGATGGGAATCGGCTAATACACATGCCGCATATAGATACCCCGAGATACGAGAGTTGGAGATCGGATTCCTGCTGGCTCATCGCCACGAAACGGGGGTCATGGACACCCTACCGGATAAGTTGGAGCAGATCATGCGAGGCGAGATGCCGCATTGCAAGGAGGTGCCAGCCGCCATCATGTTGGCGGGGATCAAACGTCAGTGATACGACAAACACATGTTGGGCTTTTCTGGGAATAAAGTAGTCTTCATCTTGCTCACATGTTCGTGTACGCGAGTACGATAGTATGTTTGAGACACGCAATGTAATCTCCAACACTTCGTTTTGAAGGACATGCGCCGAGCTCTGGAAAGGCAGGAAGTATCGGGGAAAGATAACAGGCCGTGAGAAGACCAGTGCTCTGAGCGCCCGTGGGAAAGGTTCGTTTGGTCTTTTAGGCAGGTGCACCGCCTCTATACAAGGGCCATGACACTAAACAGTCTTCTTTCATTCTCTTCTCATACGATTCATTCTCATCAAGCACTCGTAGCTCAAAATAGGCGGATTAATCATTGAAAGGTGAAGAGCGATTCCGAACCTAAGGGCGAAGCTTGGGCCGCTCTTCTTCGACCATATCACAGGTTCTCTCTCCATCCTGATGTCAGCTTCTTTATAGTAACTTGCACTGATATATAGTATCCAATCGCATCTAGAGTGTTTGCACAGGATACTAATTAAGCACTTCAATAAGATCTCAAGAAGGCATGGTTTATCGGGCTATAGACAGGATATAAACAGCTATAAAGTACCGGTATGCCCCAGAATGGCGGCGTAGATTTCTTCTATCTTGCTCTGCATCGCGGTGAACGCGGATCCTAGAACGGGTACAGAAATGGGTTGGTAAGAATACTTACACTTTGAGCATCGTGCGAGTGAACCATTACGCGTATGCCTCGAGGCTGGCGCCGAAGCCCAACTTGCCAATGTCAGGTTTGGCGCCTCTTGTATCGCTGTATATCAAGAGGGCACGTTCCCTCGAAATGCTACTCGCCCGTCTTTCATATCCCTCTTCACAACACATTTCTTCCTGTGCTCACTGTCTTTGATGAGCGTGTTGTTCGTCGATCGCGAAGAAGAAACCGGGGAAAACTGGGCTACCCTCCTTCGACCATCCCCAGAAATATTTAGGAGCGTGGCGGTGGCCAGGGGGGAAACAGTCTTCTCAAAAGCTGTAGGACTTGGGTGGCGTTACGGACTGAAAAAAAACCCTAATCTTAAGAATGGCTGGGATATCATAGTCGACCTCGCCGACACTTCATCTCCAGAGTATAACGCCACATCGGTTGACTTTTCTTGGTGCGTTCAATTCGCTGATAGCTTCTGACTAAGCATGCTCATGTTTTCCATAGTGGGATAGCCAAAATCGTCTCGAAGCCGAAAACGGGAAAGAAAGAAAAACGCTTTCGGTCTATGCCTTTGGTCACCCTTCAAAGTCATTGCCATCAGTTTTCAGATGAGAAGCGAGGTCGATTCGGCTGCTGTCATGGCATTGGTTCTTTTTCCGATGTGAACGAAGCTGATTGCATTCTCGTCAGCGTGCGCATCACTAGTGACCTCCCCTCGACGGCGACAACGTCTAAAGAGTTCGTGGCGTCTGTAGAGTCTGCAGAGCTTGCGGCGGATGGAAACTCTGCGTCGTCCGCAGCGTTTGATGTTCCTGCAGAATCTGGGGGGCATGCAGAGGCAGAGCTTGCAGTACCTAATGAGCCTGCGGTACCTGCGGAATTTCCGACGTCTGCGGTACCTGCAGGACTGGCGATACCTGCCGCAGAGCCCGTGGTGCCCGCAGAGTCTTTGACGCCTGAAGATCCTGCAATGCCTACATTGAAGCTGGCGTTGGCTGACGCGCTCGAAGGAAGCCTCTTAAGCGGCACCTTCATTGATACTAAGTTCGATGCCTTCTCGACCCGGCGCCAAGCAGGTGGGGAGCAACGCTTATGTGGACTCCTTCCATTGTATGGATCTTCAGCGGTGCTGAACCGCCTAGAGCTCGAGTCCGACGCTAAAATTGGTGAGCCGGATCTGAAAATCGGGTGCCCTCCACGCTATGCTAACATCTAAGGACCGACAGGAAGTCACAGCACTATCGGCCGAATGAAACTTTGCGATGTCATAACTTCGAGCGTCTGCACTTATCTCACCGTTGGCGATGAGTATGAGGAAGACAGCGATTTCGAAGAAGGGAACATCTTAGAGGACGCAACGGGAGATCCCTGGAGCGTTTCCAAGACCAGTGCGTCAAGTTTCTTGATTTCCGTTAAATGTGGAAGTGCCGGCGCTGAGCGCTGAGTACTGAGGCTTCATTAAAAGGCGCCAACATGGCTGACTCCGTTTCGGTTCCGAGATATTACGTGGTTACGGGTGCCGCATATAAAACGTAAGTCGTATGCCTGTTCGTTCCCGCTAATTTTTGACAAGTTCCTCCTCAATTTAGATGGAAAGCGTTCCTTTTGTACGCGTATACCGGCCAAATGAAGTTCTCTCCTATCAAATCCAACCGAACCAACGGCGTAGAGACGATTCACGTCGATTCGCCCTCTGGTGATACCAAAATGAGATGCCCAGCGTGCTCCCCCAAATCCGTGTATGAACTAGCTCACAAAGTTCGTCGTCTATCATCCATTTCCTAAAAGTGCATGAGCTTATCACCTCCGTTCAAGATTCAGCTGGAGCCGCTAAAGCAGCTGGCTTTTGAAGAAATACGCAGAAACCTTACGAAGGACAATATCCTGCAGGAGGTCCTGACCAAGTTCACCGCCAAGTGAGAATTCAAGCCATCCCTTTCAATTGTCTTTCTATGTTAATTACTACTCGAATAGGCATCCAGAAATATGCGAGATGGAGATGAACTTCTTGATGAGTCACCGCAACGAGACCGGAGTTATGGACTCGCTCCCGGAAAAGATGGAGCAGGCGATGAAAGGTGAAATACCGCACTGCAAGGAAGTGCTGACCGCCATTATGATGGGTCTATGGAAGACATCTTAAGCGTCAGACTCACTTTGGTATCAGAGCTGCTTACGACAGTTCAAGTAAGGTAGAGTAGCGGCCCCAATGACATTATATTGACTGTAGTTGCTTGGAATTTGATATGATCATCTGCACTTCAACTTGTACTTAGCTTTCGGCTGTAGCTTTCGGCTCTTAGCTTTCGGCTGCTTCTAATTCCTGCCTCACCCAAATACTCCGTATGCAATCATGCCTGCTCCCAGCCACCGAGTCGCCCAAAATCGATTGTCATGCGTCCTCCTCTGGTCCCAGCTCGTGACTAGTACACGTTATGCAAGATCAAGGCTGCGAGCACGCAAGCTGTGTCCGCCGCGCCTGCACATAGAATGACTCATACCATCAATAAAGGTCGCATATATTTGAAGAGCAAAGGATGCGCGTCGCTGCTCCCGGGACCCGAAACGCTTGAGCGACGAGCGGTGTGAGGAAAAAGGAGTATGGGAACTCGACGTCTGGGCCTAGCTAGCTGAAGCGCTGATCAGCGCTGATCAGCGCAACCAGCACCTAGACTCGCGTCAAGCCCATGTTCGATGCCACTTCATTTTCGTCGTCAAGGTCGATGTGATCCAGAAAATTCTCAATCATCATCATCAATCATTTAGCCTGCATCAGCTCTTAGATCTCAGCTGCCTCCTTGCCACGGCGACCGCCTGTTATTTCGTCCCGGTCTTCACTTCAAGCTACCCATGATAATTGCATTGCCTATGCCTCGCTCCGACCCGGTTTTACGGAATCAGCAATGACATGCCCACCGGTAACTAATTTGATCAGAGTGCGCGTGGGTTTGCCCTAAAATGCCGGCATAGATCCCTTCTTACTTGCTTTTTCGGCTGAAGGGCTTCCTTGACAGCTTCTTTGAGGATTAATAGCGGAAGATTCACGGAAGAGGAAGAATACTACCGCAATATTGGGTGTTGTCGTACCGGAGCAGCAGCTCCTTGTTTTCGGACCTAGCGCTGGTCATATTCTTATATCGGAGGGCGCGCACGCTCCCGCCCACGCGATTGTGAACGGCCTTTGTTCCCCCTTTTGTTACTGGATATTCCTCGTTTTACGCATCTATCCAGATTGATATGTTGGTCGTTGAAGGCGAAGAGAAAAGCGGCAGCTCGTGGACCGCCCTTCTTCGAGCACGTTCAAACATTGCCTCAACCGTCGCCGTGGAGAAGATGGCCTTCTCGAAAGCCGTCGGATACGGGTGGCGTTACGGACTGAAAAAAAACCCTTGCCACGATGGCCATTACCACGATACAGGTTATAATTCGCACTACAACGTGGGGGGTCGCCGCGTACCTCACGGGTTATGCAGTGGCCTGGGGAGCTGGGATATTCTGGTTGACCTCACCAGCGCTACGTCCTCAAACCAAAACATCAAGGTCCACTTTTCTTGGTACGTGAGGCACGTTGAGTTCGTTCGGATGCGTGTTTATATAATCGCTCATCTAGTGGCGTCGTGAGCTCGTACAATATAGAAAACGTGTCCTTGGACGGCCTCCAGAGATTCTGTAGAAACTTCTCCGCCGAGGAAGTAGGCCGGTTTGGCTTCTGTCATAGGATTCATTCCGTCCGTGACTTGGCCAATGATTGTTATATTCTCGTAAAAGCGCGTATCACCGGTGACCAAAATTCTGTGCAAAGAGTCTTTGACCCGTTCTTTAACGCTGCTACCGCAATGGCTTCAATGAGGGCAGAAACGACCGAGGCCCTCGAAAGGAGCCTGTCAAGCGGTCCCTTCATTAATACTAGGTTCAACGTCTTCTCGAGCCGGCGTAAAGTAGGTGGGGGACAGCGCTTGTGTCATCCCTTGCCGTTGTATGCGGCCTCGGCGACATTAAATCGTTTGGAGCTCGAGAATAGCAACTACGGTGAGTCGCATCGGTGAAACCTGGATCTTCTACGTTGCTGACCGATAGAGAAACCACAGGAGACGTCAGCAACATTAAGCGAATGACGCTCTGTGACATTATATCCGCCAGGATAACTGAACGCGCCTTCTTTGATGTCGATGACGAGTACGAAGAAGACAGCGACTTTGACGGGGACGAAGGGAGCCTTATAGAGGAAGAAGCAGAGGAATCCTGCAGCGCCTCCAAGGCAGGTTCGTATATCCTCTCATCTCCAATCTTCGAAGTCACGACCCTGAAAATTTTGTCAGACTGTAGTGACGCGCCAACCTCTGCTAAGTCTTCCGGAATCTCGAAGAACACGTACGATGATATCGTCTCAGGATGCATTCCAGCGACCCCGAGTACCTTTGTAGTCACGGGTTTCGCTTACAGGACGTACGTCGTACGGTTGATCAGCGTTCTGTCAGGTAGAGCTAACGACCCTAACTTACTTTCAGATGGAAAGCGTTCCTATTTTACGCTTACACTGGTCAAGTTAATTTCTCTCCTCTCACTTCCAACCCGCACAAATATGACGAAAAGACCGACGATCATGGCTCTGGCCACAACGATATTAAAACAAGGTGTCCTCCGTGCTCTCCCAAATCTATGTATCGCCTCGCCGATAAAGTTTGTCGCTCATCACTAGCATATAATTTACTATACTTACAAACTTAACGTCACACGTCCAGATTCAGATAGGGCCGCTGAAAAAACTTGCGTTTGAAGAGATATGCAAGAACCTCAACAAGGACAATATCCTGCAGGAGGTCTTGTCCAAGTTTACCGCTGCGTAAGTATTAACTCCCCGTCATAATTTTCGGTCAAGTTGATTTATTGCTCGCATTGAATAGGCATCCGGAGATACGAGAAGTGGAAACGCGCGTCTTGATGGGCTGCCGCAGAGAAAGCGGGGTTATGGATGCCTTTCCAAAGAAGATAGCGCAGATGATGCGAGGTGAGATACCGCACTGCGAGGAAGTGCTCGCCACCGTCATGATGACTTTGTGGAACACGTCGTAAATACGGGCGGAGGCTGGCTACGATTGCTGTTAAGAATATATGGTACCGAAAATCTGTCCGCACTCACCTCACTTGTTCGCAACGGCCACATTCTCAGACTACCAACGTAATCAAAATACCCAAAACTTCGTCAACGCAATCATGTGTGACTTCTGACCAACCTGAACTTACGGGTTCTTCTGGGGAACGTCCCACTAGTCCGCTGAGAGTACAACTTCCCGGCCAGTAACGCATCAAGCGCTCACGACGGTTCAGGATCCACTGTCTCGGATAATGAGCAAGTCAACCCCTCGACGTCGCCCGCGTTCTCGTAGAGGACAATCGAGACGCTGGCCCTCCGTCGATAGGCACGCTGCAGAAAACTCGGAGTAATATGATCACAACGAGCGCGTGGGGACGCGGAGAGGTCAGCGCTGTTGATGATGTCGGGAGTGGCCTCGCATGCACTGGCAACGACGTGGGGGAGGTTTGGAAGGACATCCAGACGACAGGGGTGCTAAGCGGTGGATACCATCCGTTTGACTGCAGGTCAGGCCGTCTAAGAAAAGCGAGATTCAGAAATGTTTCTAGACTTAACGGCTGGATCAAGAAGATATTTCAGCTACGACGCCCACCACCATACTTACAGAGACGTTTGAGAGACGTGCAACTCGTTGACGGACTGTGGAAAAGGCAATTACGTGAGCACTTTTACAGTCGGGGTGTCTCGGCTCCGAATCACTCCGAGACGCGGCAACAGTATCATGGGAATTGCGAGGACTTGCGGGTAGGTCGCTGTCGGCCATGTCATGTTCATTGTGTTCGCTGCCATTCTGGCTCGGAAATGGGGGCTATCTGACGCGACGGAGATGCGGAAGGCAGATCTCCTGTACAGTCTTACGAAACACCCTCGTCCAATCAAGGTCTCACCTCACATTCCCTGCTGAAACCACTAGTGTGTTATGACGACCCGGAGCATTGAACAGCTCGGCCTCCATCACCCTTTGGCTCGCAATTTTATTTGCTGCAATGACAGGCACGACACCCGTTATAAAGCTGCGCTGTTCAGTATGAGCCGATACATCCACTGAACGCACGAAGCTCTCCCGTTCGTATCTAGACCACACCATCCTACCTCAACCTACTTCCGACACGCCATGTCTTCTCCCAAGTTTAGAGTTGCTATCGTGTAAGTCCTAACATCTTACACCACGCGCTTCTATACTCGATATGAACATACTGAATCATGACCCGCAGTGGAGGTGGTGTCGGCGGTGTTACCCTAGCTGTCGCCTTGTCCAAGTATCCGGACATCGCCGTTGACGTGTATGAACGCGCCTCGCAGTTCGCTGAAGTCGGCGCTGGTGTTGGCTTATGGCCAAGACCCTTCAAGGTATGTTTAACATCCGCTCTCTTGATCTAATGCTAGCGAGCTGATAGGGCCTTCCCTTAGGTGCTCAAGAAGCTGGGACTGGGCGATGCGCTACTGAAGAAGACTCCCGTACCGTACATTGAAGACGAGTACGGTGAGTGACGCGTCTTTTATTGAAGGGTTTGTGATCTCATAATTTGAACAGTGACCGCGATGAACTTTCGAAGGAGCGATCTAGAGGAGGGAGAGTACTTATACACTATGAAATCGAAAGGTCAGCCATACGATTTACTGCATGCCGATAGCATATACCCAACATCTGCCTTTTGAAACCGTTCAGGTAACATGATCCAGGTTCACCGCGCCGACTTCCTCAGTGTCCTGGTGGACAACATCTCGCCCTCCGTGAAGACGCATATGTCCAAGCGAATTGTGTCTTATACTCAGCCCTCTTCCGGTAACCCTTCGGAGCCCATCACACTCACGTTTTACGATGGCTCAACTGCGACATGTGACATCCTCGTCGGTGCCGACGGAGTCAAGTCTGCCATCCGAAGAGGGATGATGCAAGACCTTTCTCGAGATCCCGCCGCCCTCGAGAAGTGCAGCGCCGAAGAGTACCTCGCCTGCATCGAGCCAGTGTTCAGCGGCACCGTATCCTACCGCACGCTCATCCAAGCGGACAAGATTCGAGCTGTTGATCCCAACCACCGCGCGCTCGACGGGGTTTGGTGTGTACGTCTTTTACCTCATACACGCGTATAAGAGCCAGGCATTCGAACAGCCCTTGCAGTGCTTGGGCGAGAACAGGTCGGTCGGAACCTATCCGATATCCATGGGCAAAACTGTGAACTTCTCCTCGATGGCGCTCGACAAGGAGCTCATGGCCAACGCGTTCAACCCGGACCCGAGCCACCGCCAGACGTTCGATGGCGAGTGGGTCAGGCACGCGTCGGCCAAGGAGTTCACTGAGGTATTCAGGGGAATGGAGAAAGACGTGCAGACCTTGCTCGATGTCAGTGCTGATTCATATGGTATGACTTTCGATGTTGATTGACTTGCTCTCGTCGTCAGTGCATCGAAGAGGGAAATATCTGGGCTGTTAATCTTGTCCGACACTTGCCGGTACAGGTCCACGGACGCGTTGCATTACTGGGCGATGCCGCTCACTCTATGACGCCTTACCAAGGCTCAGGCGCAGGCCAAGCCGTCGAGGTCCGTCTGCATCGGTTCAGAACAACAAAGCCTTGGGAACGCTGATAATATGTTCGTATCGCAGGATGCATACGTGCTTGCCACGCTTCTCGGCCACCCAGGCACGACGCTCGCCACGGTCCCTCGAGCTTTGGCCGTTTATGACGAAGTCCGCCGCCCGTTCGCGATCGGTATCGCCGATGCATCCCAAGAAGTAGGTCGGATCTCGGGGCTGCAGATGGACCTCCCGTCTTCCGAGATTGGGCCAAAGATCGCTGAGATCACCAGCTGGGCATGGGAGACCGAGATTGATGGTATGCTGGAGGACGCGAAGAGGATGCTCGAGGAGCGGGTATAAGTATCTCTGGCCAGTATCGTCGAATATTCTTGTAGGTCCAACGAATGTGGATATCACTGTGACCTTCAGCTGTTCGTCCTGAGGTAATATGTCAACCCTACATCACATCAACAAGTGGGAAAAGTTCGCCTCCGAGATTGATTAGACCGTGGCAGCCGACAACTGCGTTCTGCAATTAGGCAGATCCTGGACTCGGGCTCAAGATGGACTACATCATTGTGATGATGCCGCATGCCTGCAGGTAGTCTGCAGGTCCTCCCGCACACAAGGCGATAGCGGCACCATCGTTATTCATTATAGTTTGTCAGGCAAGTCTGGTTCCACATATACATCAAAGGAGGGTATATAGTACGTCATTTCTTCTATAGCTCTTTAGCATCCTCAGATGCACCTTACGTAGCGCCACCTGGCAATTCGTTCTTGCGTCAGATTAATTTTGCACAGAATACGTAAGGGTATATCCTGGTCGGTGGAGCCGAGTTGGCGCTGTGGCGAATTCCTTTTTGCTCTACAACGCGGTCTCAAGTTGCCCACTGTTCGCCATGGGCAAGCTAATGGTTGAACGCGAGGAGAAAAATGGTGCAGCCTGGACGTTCCTACTTCTACCATCCGCAAACACAGTTTTGGACATGAGAGCGGGGGAGACAGCCTTCTCAAAGACGGTAGGGTATGGATGGCGTTATGGACTAGAGAAAGCATCGTCTGCTCCCGGCCGCCCTTGTCTCTGGGATATTGTAGCAGATTTAACATATGCTTCCTGTCCTGATCCGAATCTCGAGATTGAATTTACTTGGTACGTGGAGATTGTTGGTTCTGCTGAGCTTAGCCAATTCTAACCTCTTTACAGCGGCATTATCAAAGGTAATAGGAACATATCCGAGCCTTTGCCCGACCTTCGTCAGTGTCGTAGCATTTCCCCTGCGCGACGGAGCCGCCTCGGTTATTGTGATAAAATTGGCTCTTTCCTCGACTTGTGGGGCGCTGATTGCATTCTCGTGGAAGCATATATCCATGGTGACCTTGTCCTCGCACAAAGCGCTTTCGCGCCACCGCTCAAGGCCGTCGCTGCGAAACAAGCGACGCCACCGATGAAGCTGGACATGGTCGACGCGCTCGAACGGAGCCTCGCAAGCGGCAACTTCACTGACACCAAATTCAACGTCTTCTCTTGCTGGCGTAAAGTTGGTGGAGGACGACAACGCTTGTGTCGTCCTTTGCCCCTACATGCGGCCACATCTGTGGTACTGAACCGCTTAGATCTAAAATGCAGCCTCAACTTTGGCGAGTTGTGGGGGTGGAGATCGATCGTTGCCGAAGAAGGGGCTATCAGCGAGAGGAGAAAGGCACTCCGCGACATGCTGTGCGCCAGTGACTGTGAACGTTCATTCCTTGATGTAGGCGACGAGTATGAAGAGGACAGCGACTTCGATCCAGACGAGGAGAGCGTCATAGAAGAAAGCCCCCACGGCGGCTCTACCTTGTGTCCGCCTGCTCCCGGTGCGACCTTGAGTGAGTATACATTCTCATCTTCACAAGTCACGGCTCTGACGATCTCCTCAGGCAATAGCGACGCGACGATCTCCGTTGCGCGTCCGGAGAATACGACGAGCAAGTCTAAGAACGCCATGTCTGGAGGCGTTCCCCCGATCCACAGTACATTCTTGGTCAAAGGCGTCGCTTACAAAACGTGCGTCACACAGATGATCCGAATCGTGACAAAGCTGGTGCTCACTGTTGACGCTTTTCGCTGCCTTGTAGGTGGAGAGCGTTCCTGTTTTACATTTACACCGGTCAAGTCAACTTCTCCCCTATGAGCCCACAAAACGGGGGAAAGGTTGAGCCCGACTCGCTGGCCAACGAGACTAAGCTAAAGTGCTCACCGTGCTCTCCAAAGTCCATGTATCGTCTGGCCATCAAAGTTCGTCCTCCGCCTTTCGCATTCTATGAACCCACAAAGCTAACTGATCACTCGCGTCTCAAGCTTCAGCTAGAGCCGCTAAAGCAACTCGCGTTTGATGAGATACGCAGACATCTGACGAAGGATACCATCCTACACGAGGTCCTATCCAAATTCACTGCCAAGTATGTCTTCATTTCTTCTTATACTCAACTTTCCCGACCTGACGCTCGCAAAAGACATCCAGAGATACTTGAGATGGAAATGAACTTCTTGATGAATCATCGTAGTGAGAGCGGGGTTATGGACTCCCTCCCGGAGAAAATCGAGCAGATGATGCGAGGCGAGATGACACACTGCAAAGAGGTGCTCGCTACCATCATGATGAACTTGTGGAAGAAGGCGTGAGTCTGGTGGGGGTTCTCTGTAGCTATCAATGTACCAGGTGCATGCGATGTTGATTTGCGAAAGTGAACCAAATCAAACACTCCCAGAGATAGTTCTCAACATGTGTATCAAACACGTTACCTGCCATGTGTCGCAATGGAAGAATCAGACAATGACGTTATTATTAGGGAGAAAGAGTGACAACTAAAAGTGTCCGCCATATATTATCGCCACAACTAAAGGAGGGCACTTAAGATTAGGAATTAATATTAGGCTACAGCAGAGACACCAGATAAACCCCAGGAACCCCCAAAAAGGATGTTCAGCCGGACTGGTAGATGGCAGGACCAGCAACGACATTATAGTTGATGTTCGAGAGGTTGAACGGCGTGACGTAGGGGTCGCTGTCCGTGATCGCGATGAACCTGCTCTCCAGCATTAGCAACACGGTCTACTGAACTCGTCGAGGAAATGCTTACATCGTGTCGTTCCAGATGTACGCCGTGTTGTCTCCGAACACGTTGCCGTCGGGCTGCTTCGTGAACGCGCTGGTGCCGCTGATGTTGTACAAGGGCGTGTACGTCGCGTTGATCTGATCAACCCATAGTGCGAACTATAATAATGTATGTGAGTCAGTGAGCGATGTTCAGAGAATAACTTGAAACAAGACATGGGGAGCTTACCTTCGGAGAGCCAGCGGACGTCGTGGTAACATAGCTTCCGTTAGGACCGACCGTCTTGCCTGGAATTTCCCACGTAAGGCTGATCTCATCGCCGGGGTGCGATAGCTGCGTCACGTTGGTTGAAACAGCAGCCTTGCTATCGGGCCTTGTAGCATTCGGGTTGTTCTGGTGTGCATGAAACAAGTCAAGGGCAAGGTAGAATATGACTCTCAGCACGACCTACATTGATGGTCAACGCCGGGAAGTTCTGCCACTCGATGTGGGGGTTCTCCTTCGGACAAGACTTGATGTACGGAGCGAGAAGCGTCCACTGCCAGGCTTGCGGAATTCCGGGGACGAACCAGAGCTGCAACGCAACGAGACGCATTGTCAACACGCGAGTCAACCATTTATGTATGACGAAGAGTGCTCACCGCCATGGGGAACAGCCCCTCAAACTGGCGGAAGACCATCTGCTGGCGCGCCTCGGTCGTGATCGCGTTGATGATCAACTCGACCGGCGCGCGGTTGTTGAGGTGCGGCAGGAAGCCGTACGTGCCAGACTCGCCGAAGCGCGTCAGCTTTTGGCAGAAGTCGATGAACTCGCGGACCGTCTCGAACGGGTACTGGTACTCGCATTGCTTCGCGCCGTGGGCTACATGTATGCCATGGCCCTGGGTCAGCGCTTTTTGTTTTCAAAAGAGAGCAGACAGCTCACGATAAAGCATGTTCGTGAACATCGTCGCATGCCCGACCTCCTGGTCCGCCATCCACTCGATCAGGAACTGATAGTCGTCGTTGAGCCCGGCGTCGTAGAACTCCTGCTTCGAGAACTTGGCCAGGCCGTAGTGGAATAAATCGAGCTCGATCCACTCCTGATTCAGCCCCAGATTCTACAAGCACGTCAGAAGCTGTGTTATGACCGACAAACACAAAGGAATAAGGATGCGCCGACGCACCAGAGACTGAAAGTCGTAGTCGCTCCACGGCCGATACTCGGGCGGTGGCCCGTTCGGGTTCACGCCCACACCCCCTGACGGCATCGCAGGCGGCGGAGGCGAGCCCGGGGCAGCAGTGGGAGATGGCGCGGGCGGGTACGTCGTGGTCGTAGTGCCGTTGACGTTCGTATCGCCGCCGAGTGCGTAATTCGGGGCCGAGTCGCGCTGCTCCGGGGACGGTACGCCCGAGACGAGGCTGGCGCCAATCAGCGCGACGAGCAGTTGCGAGGGAAACATGGGGATTGGGTTAGGTTTGATTGGAAGAGCGGAGCGGAGAGGCTCGGGAGCAGGGCTGAGGATGACGAGGGAGGACTGAAGGACTGTTCCTCTGCTGCGACGGGGTTTTATACCCCACCGTCCTTGCTCTCGTCGCGCAACACCCAGCGCTCCTCATTTCTATCCGGTCTGCCCTCGTCTGAGTGGAAGGTAAGACATAGACTCGGACTGACCAGTTTGAAACGAGTGGGTAGTGCTAGTGAGCACCGCGGGCGCCCCGTCTCGGATCGAATTTCAAGCAGGGGAGTAAATTTGCCCAACTTTAGTTTTACCGCCAAGTAAGTCTTTAATCCTTCCTATACCTACCTTTTCCGACCCTAACGCTCGCAAAGACACCTAGAGATACTTGAGACGGAAATGAGCTTCTTGATGATCATCGTAGTGAGAGCGTGGTTATGGACTCCCTCCCGGAGAAAATCAACCAGGCCACCATTATGATGAACCTGTGGGAGAAGGATTGAGTGGGACGCTTTCCATGGTGGCTTACCGCTAGCTGCGAACTCTGTGTCAATGTCAGTGCAACAAATATTGATCCAAAACCAAGCTGTGCTGCATAAAAGAGAGGGCGAGTAGTCGTCACAGCCACTTCGCCAGGATCGAAAGCATACGCATACGCTCGAGAGACAACCGAAATCAAGACTATAATTCATACATCCCCAGACGCCACGTACACGCGTAACGTAGATCATCATCGCCGTCAACTTCAAGCCGCTCAGGCGTCCTCGACGAGCTCCTCGTCGGACACCTTCTCGCTGTCGCCCGCTAGGCCGCTCTTGACCACCAGGCCCGCGGGCGGATTGAGGATGAGCGCGGTGGTCGGGTACGCGCTGGCCACGGCCTCCCGGCGCGCGGTGAGCTCGTCCATGTTGCGCACGTAGACTTCGCCGCGCTTGATCCACTGGTCCACGACGAGGCCGCTGTGTGTACCGACGAGAGGCGGTCAGTTGGTGGTGATCTGAGAGGAGGAGTAGAGAGGACAAAAAAACGGAGGGAGGACGTACGCGGCGTAGATGGTCATGGCGATGTAGCCGGCCATGGGGACGAGGTAGGAGCGGCGCGTCGTCGCGCGGTCCGCGAGGCCGCCTTGCGCAGGCGGGAACCAGGCGCCGCCGCCAACGCCCATGACGATGAGGCCGGATCCTTTCTTGGTGTGCCGGCCGAGGTTCTTCGTGCCGAGGGTGAAGATGTTCTGTCATGCGAGGAGCCAAGTCTGAATTAGCACGATCGAGGGGACTGTTGAGAGATCTGGAGGGGACGCACGGGATAACATATGCTCTCGAAAAAGAACAGCGCGAAGAGGCAGCCGATGCCGCTGTACCCGGGCAGCTGCGAGACGCAGAGGCAGAAGATGAAACAACAGAGGCCGTAGAACGTGAGCAGCACGGCGGGGTCGATCCAGTGCAGGATCGCGACGCCGATGAAGCGGCCGACGGTGAACGTGATCTGGCAGAAGGAGAAGAGCTGTGAGGCCTTGGAGTAGTCGATGCCGACGCCCTGCGCCTCAAGGTAGTTCACCGCGAAGGACGCGACGGTCACTTGCGCGCCGCTGTGGAGTTGCATGATTACAGGTTAGTAAGATTGAAGATGGGAGAAGAGGGGTTTGGAGGTCGGGGCAAAAGGTGCTCACGTATAGGCGGTTTGGGCAACGAAGCCAAACACGCAGCGGTACTGCTTGTAGAATGGGCCCTCGTCGTCTGCGAGCCCGACGCCGTGGATCTCTGCAGCGAGGGCATCCTCGCCGATCTCAGGCAGGGGACAGAAGTAGAACAGAATGTTAAGGACAACACCGAGCACTGCGACAGCGAGGTAAACCCTAACCGTGCAATGTGACGTCATTCAAGAGTCCTGGTAGTAAATATCACGAACGCACCATTGTACCGTGCCGAGCGTGTAGGCGTTCTCGCCCTGGAAGAACCAGCGCGAGGCGATGAGCGGCCCAGCGAAGCTCGCGACGCCCTGGAAGCCCTGCGAGAAGTTCAGGCGCATGGCGGCGTACTGCGGCGTTCCGAGGACGGAGATGTAGGAGTTGGCGGCGACTTCGAGCGTCGAAAGGCCGCATCCTATAGTGTTACAATAGTGGACGATGCCGGTCCGAAGTCAGCCCCATGGATCATTGATGATGCATGATGAACGCGCGAACGAGCGGGGAAAGTGTATTTTTAGGATTGGATGGATGGAACGGGAACAGGGACAAGGAGCCGATTGCATGCTATGTATGGAGGACTGACCGATGACGAAAGTGCACCCGACGAAACCGCCGTACTTTTCATATGTGGCTGAGGGCCAGAAGAAGATGGCGCCGAGGGAGTAGAGCCCGAGGCCGATATGGATACCTTTCTGTAAAAATTGGGCACGGATATCAGCACGTGTGGAGCGGGGAGAACGGAGGAATGCGGGGGGCGTACCTTGTACCCCACTTTCCTCATCTTTTAGACACCGAGACAGTATAAGCATCTGGGTTGAGGGGAGAGCTTCATGGTGGATACACAAGGCGGACTCACAAACCAGCCGGCGAATGGTGCCCATACGAAGTAAGCTCCCTTGATACAGGCACATATCAATAAGAGCGAGAGGACAAAATGCGGGGAAGGCGTACGAAGTAAGCGAGCTGGAGGAGGGTACTTTGAAGCTTAGAGATGCCAAAGACTTGTTGGAAGTGGGCATTAAGGACATCGAGAAGCTGCACGGCGAGTAGTTTGGTTAGCGTGTCGAGCATCGAGGATGTGAAAAGGATGCCGTACGCCGTACGCGAAGCCCCCTGGGGAAAGTGTGAGCACAAAGAGAACGGTCGGGGATGAGGAAGTAAAACTTACAGGTGAAGAAGAGCGATGTTACGAGAGCGAAAGCAAAACCCCACTGCTGCCTGGTCAAGTCCGACCCTGTTCTCACCGGTCAGGAAGTTTAGAGTCGTCTGAGAAAATAGGATACATACCTGTTGTCTGTACAGGGGCCATTGTGTCAGCTACAGACCTGAGGTGGAGGGAGGTGAAGGAAGGGCTGATCGGATACGGCTACCCGGCGCTGGTAACTTTATAAGAGACCAAAACTGGTGAAGATGGCCATCAGTTCGCCTGCGTTTGTGTATGAGACTGGGAATGGGATGGTGCCAAGTTGGTTCGATCACGCGTCTGGTGGTGTGGGGCTTCCACCCAAATACTTCCGACGCGTCCACCAAGTGACACCCCGCACGGCCCGGCTATCCAAATCGTCATTCATTTCTCCCACAATCTGTTTTCCTCCTCTCCTCGGCACCGTCTTGAGCCAGAGGCCGCAGCAACAAATCCCGCAAGAGTGCGACACCTAGGTCACAAGCTAGGAACGCATTCGCCTCCACGATCCACCCATGGACGCCTCCCCGCTAACCGCGCTCGCCACGGTACGTGTCTGATTCAATAAGCATTTAGCGCGCCTCCATCAACCATCAACCTTCCCTCGTAGGCAAGATACGCCGCCATCAAATCCCAGTATCCTCACGAGGGTCGACGTGCAATTCTCCTTCGCGTCGCTGACGAGTTCTGGACACTGTCGTCGGCGCAGAAGACCGCTCTCGCTCACGCTGTACGTGAACCCCGCACATCGATCGTTGATCTCCTCATGAAAATGAAGCACCCCCGACTCGATGCGCCCATGATCTCAGTCTCAAACCACGGGTAGCCATGGTGCGCCCGCACCCCCATACGCCACCGAACCGGATCCGTTCGACGAAGTGACCACGCGATCGGAGCCTGGCATACTTGTCAGAACGGACTTTACCAACGAGGGCGCGTGGACCTCATTCGTAGACCGTCTTCAACAGGCTGAGGCCGAGCTGGCAAGCGAGGCACAGATGGTAGTCGAAGGCGAGGACGAAGCATCCGGTGCTGCCGAAGTTGCACCTGAGGGAGCTGACGATGCCATGGATGAAGACGACGAAGAATCTTCTTCTGAATCTGAGGCTGGCACCCAAAATGAAGCAGGCGTGTCGAACGCAGGCGCATCGGCGGATGTAGCACCGCTGATCTACGTCTTGAGCCCCGATTCTCCCGAAACGCGGATCGCACTCGGTGGCCTATCCAATCTCGGTGCACTCCGCCTACTCAGTGATGCCATCGTCCGCCCTGCCCCTACACGTCCTGTCGATGCGAAGGCGCTCCCGCCCCATCGCCTGCGCTCGCGAGACGGCTGGCAAGAGACGTACGCGGGCAAAACGCTGTGGATCTACGATGCCCGTTCGAACACCGACGGATGTGCTCGACTCGTGAGCGGCAAGGCCGACCTCTGGGGAACAGCGACGTGCGTAGTTTTCTTTCGCAAGGATGTGACCTTTACCGATTCATTCAATCCATTTTTCAATACAGAGGAGATAGCTGGCGCGCACGTGTATCGCACATGTGCGAACTGCAGGCGGGGCTTACGGGTGGAGGCATGACGATTGACTTTGGTGGGCTCGATCGTTGGGACTATGCCGAGCGCATGCGGAACTTGGGCGAGGCCGAAACGCAATAAAATGCATCGACCCGAGGTCGCCGCTTGTGGTTTGGACTGGCTTCCACCAGTTACCACTGGCACCTCTTGGAGACTGTCGAGTGATTACTGTCGTGGAAGTTCCAGAGTTTATTCGCGCAGACATGATGTACGTGTATCAGACACTACAATTGCCCTCACGTACACTTCGGAACGCGACCTCGAATATAACGACGATGCTGAAGTTGCGCAAATTTACTCCCCTGGTGCTTTAAATTCAATCCGAGTCAGGGCGCTCACTACTCACTCGTTTCAAACTGGTCAGTCCGAGTCTATGTCTTACCCTCCACTTCAGACGAGGGCGGTCATGATTGAAACGAGGAGCGCTTGGCGTTGGAAGACGAGAGCAAGGACGGTGGGGTATAAAACCCCGTCGCAGCAGAGGAACAGTCCCTCAGTCCTCCCTCGCTATCCTCAGCCCTTACTCTCGAGCTTCCCCGCTCCGCTCTTCCATTAAGCCTAACCCAATCCCCATGTTGTCCTCCCAACTGCTCGTCGCGCTGATTGGCGCCAGCCTCGTCTCCGGCGTACCGTCCCCGGAGCAGCGCGACTCGGGCCCGCCGGATTACGCACTCGGCGGCGAGTCGAACGTCAACGGCACTACGACCACGACGTACCCGCCCGCGCCATCTCCCACCGCTGCCCCGGGCTCGCCGCCGCCGCCTGCGATGCCGTCAGGGGGTGTGGGCGTGAACCCGAACGGGCCGCCGCCCGAGTATCGGCCGTGGAGCGACTATGATTTCCAGTCTCTGGTGCGTCGACGCATCCTTATTGCTTTGTGTTTGTCGGTCATAACACAGCTTCTGACGCGCTTGTAGAATCTGGGGCTGAATCAGGAGTGGATCGAGCTCGATTTGTTCCACTACGGCCTGGCCAAGTTCTCGAAGCAGGAGTTCTACGACGCTGGGCTCAACGACGACTATCAGTTCCTGATCGAGTGGATGGCGGACCAGGAGGTCGGGCACGCGACGATGTTCACGAACATGCTTTACCGTAAGCTGTCTGCTCTCTTTTGAAAACAAAAATCGCTGACCCATGGCCATGGCATGCATGTAGCCCACGGCGCGAAGCAATGCGAGTACCAGTACCCGTTCGAGACGGTCCGCGAGTTCATCGACTTCTGCCAAAAGCTGACGCGCTTCGGCGAGTCGGGCACGTACGGCTTCCTGCCGCACCTCAACAACCGCGCGCCGGTCGAGCTGATCATCAACGCGATCACGACCGAGGCGCGGCAGCAGATGGTCTTCCGCCAGTTCGAGGGCCTCTTCCCGATGGCGGTGAGCACTCTTCGTCATACATATACATTGTATTTGCGTGTTGACAGTGCGTCTCGTTGCGTTGCAGCTCTGGTTCGTTCCTGGAATTCCACAAGCCTGGCAGTGGACGCTTCTCGCTCCATACATCAAGTCTTGTCCGAAGGAGAACCCCCACATCGAGTGGCAGAACTTCCCGGCGTTGACCATCAATGTACGTCGTCTCTCTCAAAAGAGTCGTCCCCTTCCGTTGCCAACATTGCCTGATTTCTTGCACACCAGAACAACCCAAACGCGACGAGGCACGATAGCAAAGCTGCTGTATCGACCAACGTGACGCAACTATCGCACCCCGGCGATGAGATCAGCCTCACGTGGGAGCTTCCAGGCAAGACGGTCGGTCCTAATGGAAGCTACGTCACGACGACGTCCGCTGGTCCTCCGAAGGTAAATTCTACATGTCTTGATTCAGTTCATAAGCTGAACTTCGCTCATTGACTTGTTTCCATTACTCTAGTTCGCGCTTTGGGTTGATCAGATCAACGCAACGTACACGCCCTTGTACAGCATCAACGGCACCAGCGCGTTCACGAAGCAGCCCGACGGCAACGTGTTCGGAGACAACACAGCGTACATCTGGAACGATACTATGTGAGCACCCCCCTCGATGAATTCTGTTTTAGCCATGTCGCTAATGCTGGAGAGCAGGTTCATCGCGATCACGGACAGCGACCCCTATGTCACGCCGTTCAACCTTTCGAACATCAACTACAACGTCGTTGCTGGTCCTGCCATCTACCAGTCTGGCTGAAAATCTCTTGGTGGAACTTCCCAGGGGTTATCTCGTACTTCCACTATAGACTAATATTGCATCTTAATCTCGCCCTCATTTATGTATCACGATACCCCAGCGACGGACACCTGTAGTTAACTATAATTACAGAATTGTCTTCTTATTCTCCCATTGCGACCCTTGAACTTACACAATCGACACATGGTGGAAAACATATTTGGCACGCATGTTATGAACCACCTCAACCGAGAGGCCTTTGTTTGGCTCAATATCACAAACCTGAAACGTTGATAACTACGAAAGCCCCCCATTAGACTGCGTTCAAGAGCGCTCAGCGACTTAGCTGCATTCTGCGTGTCATTCACGATTCAATGAAGATAGCTTCGCAATCAAAAGTATTGACGTGCCTCCCCAGCTCCTCAATGCACCTTCTTGGATGTTTATGATCACAATGGATCAAAGAGAGCCTTACAAACGTACCTCATTTAGTGCTTATGGCTCACGAAAATCACGTAGCAGAGTTTGCTTGATGCTAAGAGATGCAAAGAAATGCCTGTGACTACAGAAGTAAAGCATACATCCGCCACTAATACAGTTCCCCGCGGGGATTTTAGGATGTGACGGTCCAGACGCGGACGAGGTTGTCGGTGAAACCACCGAACAGCGTCTGGCCATCTGCTGACCAAGCGATTGAGACACACTCGGGCTCTTTCGAGTTCGAGCCGACATCGGTGAAACTGGGCTTGAGCTCGTCGACGATCGACCTGCAAAGGATATGTATAAGCCTCTATAATACTCATCACACACCGATGGTGCTTACTTGCTCTCAAGGTCGAAGATCTTGACGCAGCTTGCGGTGGCTGCGCACAGCCAATAGCGGTTGGGGGAGAAGACGAGGGCGTTGACAATGTCACCGGCCTCAAGGGAGTAGAGGTGCTTGCCCTCGTTGAGGTCCCAGAGCATGGTGATGCCATCCTTGCCACCGGAAGCAGCAAGCGAGCCATCGGGAGACACGGAGATGGTGTTAATGTAGCCGGTGTGGCCGTAGTGGTTGGTCTTCAGCTTGAACTTGGAGAGTTCCCAGACCTGAATTGGAGTGAATCAGCGGCTAAATTTCAAGGCGAGTAGAGTTTGGTGAGATCATCAGAGATCTTGGTGGAAAATTGGTCTCATCGGGTTGTAGCCCTCTGAAGTAGCAAATATATTTATGTAGCATCATATGAAGCGGAGAGTTGTCCTTCAAGTCATGGGAAACGCTGATGCTCACCTTGACGACCTTGTCCCAGCCACAGGAAACGATAACAGGGTTCATGACGTTGGGGGAGAAGCGGACGCACGAGACCCTGCAAGCGAAGATCAATGCACATCCAGAGTGGAAGGATCCAAAAAAACGCACCACTCGGTGTGGCCCTCATCCTTGATGTCGAATTTACACTCGCCAAGGGTGTTCCAAAGCTTGATGGTCTTGTCGCGCGAGCCAGAGACGATCTGACGGTTGTCAGCACTGAAGCTGACAGAGAGAACGTCCGAGGTGTGGCCAACGAAGCGACGTGTCGTCTGGCCGGTGTTGAGGTCCCAGAGGCGGAGAGTGTGGTCCCAGGATGATGAGAGGGCGAACTGGCCGTCGGACGAGATGACGATGTCCGAGACGAAGTGGTTGTGGCCGTGGAGAATGCGCTTGGGGTATCCGTACGTGTCCTCATCGCGGGTGAGCTGCCAGACGATGATCGTCTTGTCTAGCGATTCAACACACTTAGATTTCTGGGGTCACGGCAGGAAAAGTTCAAGGGGGACATACCGCGGGACGCGGTGAGGATCATATCCGGATTTTCGGAAGAAGTGGCAATGGCGGTGACCCAGCCCTTGTGGCCAGGCAGGGAACCCAGGAAGCGCAGTTGTTCGGCCATGGTGTCGACGACGAGTGAGGGGAGCGTGCTATACCCTTGGGACGTCGCGCTACCTGTCCTCTCCGCCGCTCGCGGCTAGCGTGACGTGACAGCCACTGTGACTTACTGTGTAGTTTGTCGGCTAGCTCCGGACAAAGCCCCTATCAGCGTTGTGTTGTCATCGACGTACCTGACTGTAGGAATATTGGACGTAGTACGCGTCAGGGGACACAAATATTCCATTCCTTAATACTGTAAAGGCATCGCGTCTCAAATTTCAAAGCTCACAAATCGGCTACATCCTATTTCCCGTATAGTTAACCTTCTTACCGTTATTCGTTTGGTTCTGTTTGGCTTTCACGTTGAGCTGGAGGGCCGCTTGATCCACCCGCTCTGAACGCTCCTCATATGCTTAATGCTGAGGCCCCTCACGATGAATTGATGTGTAATCAATCAGCAGTCCACTTAGAAAGCTTTCTTGGCGTCTTATTCACTTTACAGTCTCCTATGCTATACCGCTGCTGCACACGCCCGTTTTTCGTCAGCAGACCCCGACTTCAACTCATCTGGGCCCTCCTTTGGCTTCCTGTTAAATGCCACTACCCCTTGATTGATGTTTGCCAGCCGTCCTAATCCGGCTCTGCATTTAATCTGTCGAAAGCTCCTTTCCTAATCCCCTCTGTACGGGTACGTGAAGCCCCTGGGGTTTCCTGTATAAAAGGAGGCTAGTCCCCGCACAAAATCGCCATCCGCTCGTCTGCTCCTACATCTAACCCCACTCCTCGCGTTATCGTCTGTGCGCCGTTCTTCCCACCAGCATGCGTATAATGTAGTTCGTAGCCAATGTTGAGCGCTGAATTCGTCCTGAATATTGTTCCAGTCGCAATGGCTCCCCCAACCATTATGATTGGTAACCGCCCTGTCAATTTTGTCATTTCTCACTGCAATTTACGATTCTTTTTGTACATACTATATTCCCTATGTTATACCGTATGAAATTTGTCTCTGCGCGTCATTTTTCTGTGTTAGTATGTCCAATAGTTTTGCATACACATTTACGTCAATCAGTGAGCTGGTTGCGATTAGAGGCGTGTTTTTATTAACGCCTGAGCCATATTGGTGAAGCTAGTATGCCTTGGTTCTGACGTGTTGTCAGCTCGTGTGCCTTTGACTCCGAGAAGCGAACAAACACTTTAGACTTGCGCTGAGAGTGTTCGAAAAAAAGAGCAATCCCAACTTCTGAGAAGCTCGAAACGCAGTGTGTAGTATATACCCTAAAAGCATGTAAGACGTCCAACAAAGATAATGTTGTTTAAATCCTTTGAAAAGCTGGCATATAATCGTTTAGTTGTGTCCGGTTTGGCCACTGACAGATCTCCGGGAGCCATTCACCATTAAGGGGTACCTTTCTGAACGCCTATCAGTTTTGGCGTCGGTTTAGATTTCACACGCACTTGCCTAACTTTGCAACAGATTGTTAGTTGCTCCTGGACCTGGAAAAGTTATGCTTCCTGTGTTCTTGCGTGACTAGGTATTGTTGTACCAAAATAACGTGTCCCCAACCCTTGCCATCTAAATGCCGGAGAGCAGCGGAGGCGTGTCTTGTGTTAAGTACTCAATTGCAGCCTCCACCGCACTGGTTTCCCGAGCTTGTAAACTTAGAGGCGCAGCCAGAATACTGCAATCACCTTATCGCTTTCTAGCTACACGTTTGAGCCACTCTCATGCTTATGATAAGACACATCCATTCAGTCTGTCAACCACGCTTATTGTTTAATGTAAAAGATTATCAAAATCGTGCAAATGCCAAGAGTTTGTATACTACAGACTCGGACCTCTCACGCGGTTAAGGAGCATACAGACAGGTCACCGGACTAAGGAACTCGGCTTGTCTCCGAATAAAGCGCTTAAGCCCTCCAATACAAGGGCCCATACATAAATTGACGGCGGGTCCATGCCCGAAGATCTACTCCTACTAGACCTTCTTTAGCTCCTGCAACGCGCATATCAGCACCTGAAATGTGCCATGCAGAACCAACAACTCATAGAGGGACTTGTCTCTGCGAAAGCATCAAATACGAAATTCGGACCAACGAGTCAGCTGCTAGGTTTTTGTGCCACTGCAGAGACTGCCAGAAAGCTACCGGATCAGTTTTCTCCACGATGGTGGTCGTGCTCAAGACGGTGATGTGCTTTTAGTCAGTCAGATGCTTCCGAGCACTGACACAGTCGGTTGGTAGGATTACCAGGTGGTGCAAGGGAGCGAGAACATGGGCTCATACGGCTCGTTTTGCACGAAACGCGGGTCACCATTGTTTGCAATGACCACTTCAAACGAACAGAACGTCGTAGTCAACGTCGGAACACTAGATGATCCGACGAAGTGGTCTCCAGTATTCGAGGTCTTCTGCGTGTCTCGCATGGAGTGGCATCGTCCAATTGAAGGTGGAAGGCAGTTTGAAGAATATCCGCCAAAGCGTCGATGAGGCGTAAATCTCAAGTAGGGTGGGCAACGAGCTGAACCAACGAGTGAACCACCCTTAGTGTCAGACAGCGTAGCATGAGGAATGCATGACGCTGATGCGATGAAATCAATAAAGGTGGACACACTCGCCGAGGCTGTAGGGCTTGAAGGCGCATGCTGGAGCGAAAAGCTTCTGTTTGGTGTTCTCCGCTTGCATTACAGCTAGTCTTAGAAGAATGGAGGCGAGTTGGGCCAGGGTCACAATACGAGAGAACAAAGTGCGCCAAGCCAACTGTACGCTTTCTGAGCCCGAGTTTCATAGCCTTCTAGCTATGATGTATGATTCCAAGACATGAATTCCTCCACTGTGAGCCACATTGTTCAACGACGTGAAACCAAAGATTACCACGACGCCACGCATACACAAGGACAGGACGGCGTACCTACATGAGTCATTTCGACTCAGCGAGGTTAAGCGCTTCATTCCAGGAGAAGAGACCTTTATAAACGCCGGCTGCGGTCCCGCGGCTCCACTGGACCTTCCTACCCCCCACAATGTCCGCAGAACCAACGATTCATAGAGGGGCCTGCCTCTGCGAGAGCATCAAGTATGAGATCACTACGGCCAGGCCAAGTGCCAGGCTCTTGTGCCACTGCAGAGACTGCCAGAAGTCCACTGGGTCTGCTTTCGCCACGATGGTCGCCGTCCCTAAGGCGGTAAGATACATTCAGATGATCACTGCGCCCCAGAAACTAAGATATTGCACATGCAATGACAGGATTGCCGGGTGACGCAAGGGAGCGAGAGCTTGAGATCGTACGCGCTGTCCACCACGAAGTCGGGCAACACGATGACGCGCTCATTTTGCACCAAATGCGGCTCCCCATTGTTTGCCGGGACCACAAAATATGCAGGAAGTGTCACAATTATCAACGCAGGAACGCTCGACGATCCGACGAAATGGCCGCCAGTGCTCGAAGTTTTCTGCACGAATCGCATGGAGTGGCTGCGTCCCTTGGAAGGCGGAAGGCAGTTTGATGAAGAGCCCCCGAGACATCAGTGAGACAAGGAAGTTGAAACGTTGAAGTGAGGTTGACGACGGGCTGGGCAAATGAGTGGAAGGGAAGCTTGTTTTATTGGATGGCGTGACTTGATTAATATGACAAAGAACAAAGAAGTGTTTTCGGAAGCCCGGAATGAATGATCGGTGCCAGTATGCGCACGTGGGCGAGTGGCGAGGTGACTTGTGGGCGAAAGCTATCGGGCAGAGTGCGGTCAAAGATGTTTACGCACAACGCGCCGAAACTAAACCTACATACAATGTTGGCTCGTTCATACATCAACTTACTATGCCGGAACCCGCAATGAGAACCGTCACCCGCAATGAAATTCGACTGTCCCTCCCCTGTCCCTTGGTATATACCTACAAGATTGAACATGGGCCATCTAATGAAACTACTCTATGACCGTGTTGCGCGGCTTGGTAGAGAAATGAAAACTACAGACCCTAGGTACAAATCACATTGCGGGTGACGGTTTTCATTGCGGGTTCTGGCATAGTATGATTCGCGGTCAACCCTTCCCCCGGCGGTTCGCTGCAGCTTCTTCCTCTCCGCAGCGGAGATTCCGTCGGACTCCATCGACCGGGTGCAAAGTTTTGTGTGCTTATAACTTACGCCGAGACATGAATCTTCCCGCGACGTCCGGTCGATTGGGGCGGGTCGAGCAACCCGGAAGTAGAAGGGCGCGTTGTCAAAGCCAAACGACTAACTCAATAGGGCCTCTTTTGATATTAACGGAAGTAACTTGAACGAAGCTGGTTTGTTTCTTTTCCTCTCCCTTCATCTCCTCGCGTCTTACAGCGCCTCACGTCCGCGCCAAACAGGAGCTTCCTCCGATTTTGCCTCTTCCGACGTTCAGGTGACCGAGAAGCTGAATAGCCTTGCATGCGAAGTTAGAAGCGAGCGGATTATGGGCGAGTATGACCACACGCTTGGTACGTCGTGATTTGCTTTCTGAAAAGGCGATATTCACGTTACACTTTGGTGCTCGTAGGGTTGTTTCTAGTAGGGGTGTTTTGTGAGTCTTGCTTCGTGCCTCGGTACCAAGCCATAGGCTGAAGGGGCTGAGTCGCGAAGTCAACACGTACCTTTACGGCCTAGTGACGCGCCAATGCTGTGCCTATTTCACTGCGAGTACGTGATTAGACCTGTTCACTCTCGCCCATGCTGAAGCCGCATGCCATAGAGTTCCAGGATCGTTGGCTGGTGAAGTACGGGTCTCCATGATATCTACATAACAGGGTAATCTCATCATTGCTTGTTGGCAGGGCGATGATAGCCTTCATGTTCTTGCTTGATTCCGTCGAAACCATTGGGTGAGTGATATCGATTACTTCGTAGCATCTACACAACTCAAGCTGCCCATCTCGAATCAGGCTCATCTACAATCTCTATGACTGGGCGTTCGTCTTGCTCTACGTCTGTCTGTAGTTATCTTCAATCTAATTTCACTGTCCCTGCAGTGTAACCAACTTTACCAACCCTAGCATAGTTACCGGTAAGTTTTGCACGTTCAAATCAACGACTCCGCTTATTTTCTTAGCTGGGAACGAATGGCCATATACTACAACACCCTTCTGGGTTGGTACTTCTGCCATAATGACCCAGTTCTTTCTGGCCTGGCGGTGAGCCTTGTGTTGTTGCGTATTCATATATATCGGAGCTCACTGCGTGTGTTTTAGCATCTGGAGTCTCAGCGGTAACCGTATACTCCCTGCAATTGCAAGCATGTTAGCCGTTATTGCTTGGGCCTTCTGCTTAGTGTCGGGGATCAAGGCAACTATAATTAAACAGTAAGTACTTTCCCAATGAACGAAGATATCTGGTATGGGCTTACACCAAGTTAGGCCTAAGCATTTGGCCGAGATTAACGGCTATGTGGCTACTTGGATGATTATCCAGGTTATCACTGATCTTCTCATTGCGAGTGAGCATTGTCTTTACCTACTTCAGCGACAACGCGGTCTAATTCATTTGTTGGAAGCAACCCTCATAGTTATTCTGGTGCGGTCCAAGAGCGGACTCGCAAAGTCGCTCAACACGAGTATATTCAACCGGCTCATTGGCGCTGCCATACAGACCGGTTTGGTGGCTGGATTGTTCTCCGTCATCGGACTAACGTTATTTGTCCTGTGGCCGACAAGCAACTGGGAGGCAGTATTCATACCGCCCATCGGCGGGATATATGCAATTGTGAGGCCTCTCTCTTCTGGTCTTACCTTCATCCTCAGCTAACCTTGGATGCCAACAGACTATCCTTGACACGCTGCTTGCGCGTCTTGACGTGCGTCGTTATCAGCGCTTGAAACCAAGACATGTTTCTACACAGGTAAAGTGCATGTAGCAGACGCTGCGTATCCCCAAGTATTGATCGCTTCTATCGTATCTCAACAGGGGCTTGGATCGATGAACGACCCATATCAGCTCACTACTGTCATCACTGTCAACAATTCTACCGTGCTAGCATCGGTGGGTGGAGTTAGTGAGACAGAGACAGATGATGTAGAGTCTTGATCCTGCACCGTGAGGGAGCCTGAGCCGGTGTAGAGACTATGTTATATTCGTGTCGCAGTATGACATACTGTACGCGTGCTGAAGTGGCGAGGTGCGCTAGTAGATTGTTTAGCGTCACTAGTGCAGTTCTGTACTAGATTCACTCGCAAGTCCGCATAAGAACGTGGCGAGGTATGAGGCATTTTCGCACTTCAGATCTCGGAAAAGTTAATTTGCCTACCTAACTTAAGCTTGCCCCGCCAACAGTTAGTTTGAAAAGTCAGAAGACTGATTCTTGAGCTTGAGCTTGAGCTTGAGCTTGAGCGCGGGAATTTCGGCTCCTTACATTTCGCGCTTCTAGATTAGCTCCAACTAACTTCTTATCAGCCATGCAGACGAACCTCTCCTTCCCATTCCGTTTCGGCCAGCCACGTCTCCTCGTGAAATGACAATTCCCAACACCAGTAAGATACCCGTCATAAGTAAGCACTTCATGGCTCCGAGGAAGAGTCAAGGCTAAAGCGAGGTTCTAGTTGATACCGATCCCGGTGTGGATGATGTACTTGCGATGTTCGTGCAGGTTGCTTGTTAAGATTACACCTCAGTCTGAATCGTGCAGTTTGCTAGCCCTGGCTTCTCCTGAGATTGAGATCCTGGCTATATTGGTCACCTATGGTACGTGCTGTCAGCCGAAGCTTCAAGCTCGTAGGTAAGCTAAGCTCAATACAGGTAACACCGAGGCCAACAAATCCATGTAGGCCCTATCATTTTCGTTCGCAGCAGCGGTTTACTAACGTTGTAGCCTGAACATATACAAGCTATACAAGGCCATCGCCCGTCATCTAGAAGTCCACCCGGAGGACAGCTCTCGCTTTCCGAACTTCGGCCCTGCAGTCAAACCCTTCCTCGCCCTTGGCCCCAAAGGACCCCTGAAAGAGGACACTCATTACGCGGAGTACTTTCACGGACCGTCAGTTGCTCCCTTCGTTCCACCCATAGCTCTTCACCATGTCTTCCCTTCCAGAGATGGACTCTCCAACATTACCGAGCGTCACCCTGAATTGGACATCGACGTCAACGATCCCTCCTTCGAGCAAAACTTTCGGATAACTGATAGATCTACAGTTGACATTACCCTCGATCTGCTACGCGAGTATCCGGACAGGACTATTACCTACATCGCTCTCGGCCCTCTCACCCAGCTGGCTCAGATAGTGCAAACGAACGGTCAAGAATTTGGCGACCGGATTGGAAAGGTTGTGTGCATGGGAGGAGCGTTGGATGTACCCGGGAACACCACGCCGATAGCGGAATGTATGTTCGCCCTCTGAGAGCCCCCAAAGCTGCATTGACGAGATTCACAGTTAACTTCTACGCCGACCCTTACGCTGTCAAAGAGCTTCTCGTTGCGTCACCGGCAAGTGTTGGCTTGCCTCTGGATCGGTTCCTCCTCCTACCCCTCGATATCACTTCCAGACACAACCTCAGCTTCCCATACTACAAGGAAAAGGTTGACCCTCAGTTCTCGGACACGCGGGAACCTTCGAGGCCGGAGGGCAAGGACCCCCTAACGCACTTCACGAGCTCGTTCTTCGAGCGCACGCGGGAAGTGATGATCGGCTTCGGCAAGGACGCGATGGAGCTGCACGACATCGTAGCTGTATGGTGCGCTGTCGAGTGCCAACCAGGGGACGTTGCACAAGTGGCTGGCCGTCCACTGCTGAAATCAGGGTGGGGCATGACGGAGAGACACTTTGACATCGAGAGGTGATTACTGCCGTCTTGGTGCAATTGAAAACCAAGGCTCATGTTCGATCGTAGGACAGGAGAGCTCACGCGGGGCATGCTCATCGTCGACCGCCGAGCCGATGCAATTAGTGCCCCGCAGCCGGGTCTCAACCGCTCTGAATCTGAGGCGCCGATCCCGATCACGACCTCGAATCCCTATCCGATCGAGAAGCAGACCGAAGAGCATGCACCGGTCACAGCGATGCACACAAGTACCCAAAATGGACCACCGGAGACAACGCATCGACGTGGTGTTTTGTGCATCCATGAAACGCCGGGTCAGGACGCCTTGGTATCGCTGCTGCTCAGGAGAGTCTGGGGAGTTGAAGGCTAATATCCAGTTCGTTCAATGGATTAGACTTGGGATGCGTGGTATGTCGAGCTCGGATTTGCGTATATCCCGTTTCTAGACGAGTGGACATTGGCTGGATCTTATAGCAGCATGCTTGGGTCGCCACCTTTCCAAACGGAGGATACCTTTAGACGGAAGTGAGATACGAGAAGAAAAAACCTCAAGTGCAAAGGTAAAAGGAGAGATACCCTTCATACAGCTCCCTCAATAGGCACCCCATAACTTGACACCCACCCTTCGAGCGTTCACTCACAGACTTATCATCTTAAACAAGCAGCATGTCGAGGACATCATCCGCATTCACCTCGACTATAGCCCAGACACTGGACCTGATTTATCAGACACGCTGGAACTTGGCAAAACGGTTTTTACGAACTGCTACAGACTTGTCCGTATTCCTGTGAGAGCGAAACGAGTGAAAATTGCTCGAGGAAAGGGTGATTTGAAGACCTCGAGAGTAACATCGTTCGCAACAGATCCAGGAAGATCAAGGACTGTCCAGTGCGGCTATGACTCGAGCGACAAAAATGTCTTGGGCTCGGAGCCGTTGAGGTGACGTCGCGCGACGCCAACCAAGTACTTCTACCATCGGTTCCTAGCAAATCCGAGTCAGACACAAGTGACTCAGATGCTTGTTTAAGTCAGCAGCTGGTATGCATGATGCCAGGGCGGACCGGACATGGTGGTTGAGAAAGGACGATGACGTATCTCGTTTTAGACTCTCAAGGACAGTTCTGCCAGAGACCTTCCATATACGGCTATGTCGGAGCTTTTGTGAGCACAGCCAACATGACGCGTCCCCGACGCGTCGCGCGACCTGTCGTGTCCTGTCGTGTTCTGTCGCATGCTGGCTTCGGTTGAGAGCTCACCTCTGTTCACTTGTTCGTCGACGATGTGCGAGCGGCGCTGTTCTATGACATCGGGGCTTATTGGGGCCTGGTGTACGTCGTAATCTTGTGCACGTCACCAATGGCGGCCCCATTGCTATAAGACGTGCCAAGTATGCTCTTCAGGGGCACCACTCTTAGAGCTACGCCCCCTAACTCACAACACCAGAACAGCAGATCATGTCCTCAACGAAACTCAGAGTCGCTATCTGGTATGCCCAATTGCTCTTAGCCTTGTCGTGTGCTCACCCATATCCATAGTGGTGGTGGTGTTGGCGGGCTCACCCTCGCGGTGACCCTGTCGCAGTACCCCGACATCGAAGTCGACATCTACGAGCGTGCTCGCCAGTTTGGAGAAGTCGGTGCGGGTGTCGGGCTGTGGTTAAGACCTTTCAAGGTGAGTCTCATTCGAAGAACTGTTGGAGATGGACCAACACCAGTTCCGTAGGTACTCAGAAAGTTAGGGCCGAAGCTAGAACAAGATCTACTCTCCAAGACTCCAATACCGTACTCCGAAGAGTATTGTATGCTATTCGTCTTGATATAAGAACACGTCGAAAAGCTCATTGACGCATCTCAGCAACCGGTATGAGATACAGAAAAACGGATCTTGACGGAGGCGAAGATCTGTTCGCTGTCAAGTGCAAAGGTGTGTTTTCGGTCCTGCTTTCTGGCTTCTTCGTCTATTCACATCGAGCTGCAGGCAACCTCATGCAGCTTCATCGCGCTGACTTTCAATGCGCCCTTCTCGACAACGTCGGCGCCAATGTGAAGACGCACACTTCCAAACGCCTTAAGTCATACAATCAGCCTAAGAGCGACACCGAGCCTATCACCCTTGCGTTCGAAGATGGAACGACAGCAACATGCGACGTTCTTGTTGGCGCAGACGGCGTCAGGTCTGTGGTCAGGGCGCATATGATGGAGGCGCTTGCGCAGGACCCAAGCGCGGTGCCGGCTCATGATCCGGAGGTCTACCGCTCGTGTATCGAGCCAAACTTCAGTGGCGCTGTATCCTACCGTACCCTTATTCCTGCCGATAAGGTGCGGGCTATTGATCCGAATCATCGGGTCTTCGACGGTGCAAGAACAGTACGTAGTGTCATCGGCATACCTCTGTGCCTCTGCCTTTGCTAACTCGGAGACTACATTAGTGGGTCAACCGCGATATCGTAAGTCTCGTATGGAACACACACGATTTGAAGGACGACGCTCATGTTGATTACGTCCGGTAGATGACAACGACGTATCCCATCTCCATGGGCAAATTCGTCAACTTCGCCGGTTTTACACTGAACGAAAAGCTCATGCGGACGGCACACAGTGAACGCTATTCCCAGCATGTCCCAAATCTTGTACATCGGTTGTAGCCCGGTTCTAAGCGCTTGCGAGACCTTACAACCGCTTGCAACCGGAAGGCCCAGAGCGGTGCTTGTAACCTGATCCAAGAGAAGAGTCATAGTTAAAAGTAGGTTGCAAGGGGGTTACAACGCGTTGCAACCCGGTTAGAATGGCCTGCAATTGAGTAAACCCCGCTTAATGGTTGCTGGAGGGGTTGCAAGCGGCTAGCAACTCGCTTCAATGACGTTTAAACCATTTTTGGACTTTACGGTTGCAACCCAAAATCGATTTTTCCGACACAGTACGATGGAGAATGGGTCCGTCCTGTGACTGCCGAGGAGTTTACGGCGCCGTTCAGGACTATGGAGAAGGACATTCATACTCTCCTTGATGTGAGCGATGCGGCCCAAGATTGACATGCGGACTCCATGCTGACCATACGCATAGTGCGTTGAAAACGGTAACATATGGGCAGTGCACGTCGTCAAGGTCCTGCCTACACAAGTCCATGGACGCGTCTCGCTTCTAGGCGACGCTGCCCATGCCATGACGCCATTCCTCGGCTCTGGTGCAGGTCAAGCAGTCGAGGTATATCTTTTCTACCTGCTCTTACCTGAAGCACCTCATCTAAGGACTATATCAGGACGCATATTTGCTTGGTCAACTCCTCGGAGACTCGCGTACGACGCGCTCCACGGTACCCCGCGCACTTGCAGCATACGACGCCGTGCGCTGCCCATTTGCAGCAGGGATCGCGAAGAGCTCCATGGACAATGGTCGGCTGAGCGCAATGCAGACGGATCAGCATATTCCGCCGAGCGAATGGCTGCCAAAGGTAGAGAAGTATCAGGATTGGGCATGGGAGACAGAACTGGACGGGGACGTTGAGCGGGCATTAAGTATGCTTGGAGAGGTAGCATGACAAAAGTCAAGGCGTCGCGATTGATGTCTTTGAGCTTTTGATTACTGTCAGGTAGTACGGCACTTGTAAGCTGTGATTTAGCGTATGCGTTCCTTGCGGACGACGAGCCAATGAGAATGGCGACCAGGTCGGCGGGCTCGCGTAATGGTCCTTATGTCTTGCTACCAATATAAGGGGAACGGGAGTAATTTGCTGACGTCACGAGGATGTGAGTGGCAGATCTCTCACATGGTCCCACACAAATGTCTTCTCCAACCTCACACTCCCTCGTCAGTGGTAGCGACGATCACAACCGGTTGTGCAATGACTGGACAATGACACGGTCTTGGCTTCGATCCCTTCCAGATCATGAGCTCAATCGCTTTGTGTTAATAGGCGCTCGGTCTGCCATAAAACTGGACTCGTACTAGAGGCTGGTGTTCTCTCGTGTTTGCACGAGACCATATCTCCAACGGACCATGTCTTGCCCCAAGTTCAGAGTTGCTATCGTGTAAGCTCCTGCTACCCCCCACTGGCAACACTTGACATTGACGCATTAACCTTTGGCCCACAGAGGAGGCGGTGTAGGCGGTACCACTCTGGCCGTTGCGCTATCCAAATACGAGGACATTGCCGTTGACGTGTATGAACGCGCTGCTCACTTTTCCGAAGTTGGCGCCGGCGTCGGGCTGTGGCCTAGACCTTTCAAGGTAGGTACACGATCGGTTTATTGATTTGGTGTTGACGAGTCAGTCGATGGAATGTTCAACAGGTGCTCAAAAAGCTGGGACTGGGCGATGAGCTATTGAAGAAGACTCCAATACCGTACAATGAAGAAGAGTATGGTAAGTGTTTCTACTCAAGTCAAACTTTCCTCTAGAGCTAACACCTTGGCAGTGACTGCGATGAAGTTTCGACGGAGTGATTTGGAGGAAGGAGAATATCTATTCACCATGAAGTCGAAGGGCAAGTTGTATGATCACTTCACCCTCGTGCAACTCTTGAACTCTCGACTATTCAGGTAACCTGGTCTACATTCATCGTGCCGACTTTCACAGCGTTCTCCTCGACAATGTATCGCCCTCCGTGGAGACGTACACATCCAAGCGCCTTGATTCTTACACACAGCCTTCCGCAGATAATCCCTCGGAGCCCATTATCCTCAATTTCCGAGATGGGTCGACCGCGACATGCGATATCCTCGTCGGCGCCGACGGCGTCAAGTCTGTCGTCCGAAAATTCATGATGCAGAATCTTTCTCGAGACGTCGATGCGCTCAAGAAGTGCAGTACAGAAGAGTACCTCGCTTGCATCGAGCCAGTCTTCAGCGGCGGCGTGTCCTACCGCACACTCATCCAAGCTGACAAACTCCGAGCTGTCGATCCCAACCACCGCGTGCTTGAAGGAGCATGGACGGTATGTTTTTACCCTCACCCATGAATACAGATCAAGTAGATGAACGTTCGCTGTAGGCTTTCGGGGTGAACAGGAGCATCACGACGTATCCAATCTCGATGGGAAAATACGTGAATTTCTCCGCGATGTCGCTCGACAAGGATCTTATGGCGAACGCGTTCAACCCGGACCCGAGCCACCGCCAGACGTTCGATGGCGAGTGGGTGCGCCCAGCGTCGGCCAAAGAGTTCACAGATAAGTTCAGAGGGATGGAAAAGGACACAGAGATCATGCTCAACGTCGGTGCTGCCCTCTGCGGTGTGATTCTCGATGTCGACTGACTGACGCACCTTCGTCCGCAGTGTATCGAGGACGGCAACATCTGGGCTGTCCACGTTACCCGAAACTTGCCTGTTCAGGTACACGGGCGCGTCGCCCTGCTGGGCGATGCTGCTCACTCCATGACACCATATCAGGGCTCAGGCGCAGGCCAAGCCGTCGAGGTACGTCTGAGCCAACTTATTATCCACCAAATATCTCAGGAAAGTTGATTACATGTTCACACTGCAGGATGCATACGTGCTCGCCACGCTCCTCGGTCATCCACGCATTACGCGGGAAACGATCCCACAAGCTCTGGCCGTGTACGATGAGGTCCGCCGCCCGTTCGCGATCGGGGTTGCCAGGGGTTCGCAAGAAGTGGGCCAGATCGCGGGTTTGCAGACGGGCCTACCATTCTCCGAGATGGGTGACAAGATTAATGGGATCACCAGCTGGGCTTGGGAGACCGAGGTTGACGGTGCAGTGGAGGACGCGCAGAGGATGCTAGAGGAGCGATTGTGAAGTGGTGTCACTGAGTGTCCTCGCGAATTGCACTTTCAGCGACATTGCAAACTCGAAAAACGATACTAGGTCGCGTACATTATTCTCAAAACACTAGGAAGTTTCATATTAGATAGAAATAGCCAACATTAAAAATGTTCACGGTGTAGAACCATGGCGCATAAAAACGTAGTAAGGGTAGAAAAAAATCAAAGGTCTATAAAGTTGAGCATAAGGTAACGTCGCATGAGGCACACAGATTCTCAGCCAGCCTGGTAGATGGCAGGACCAGCAACGACGTGTAAATTGATGTTCGACAGGTTGTACGGCGTCACGTAAGGGTTACTATCGGTAACCGCGATGAACCTGCCGGCCAACATCAGCCATATTCCAATTTAAAGCGCATGGAAGGAGTCGACTTACATGGTGTCGTTCCAGAGGTACGCCGTATGGCCGCCATATACGTTACCGCCCGGCTGCTTCGTGCACGCGCTGGTGCCGTTAATATCAACCAAGGGCGTGTACGTAGCGTTGAGCTGATCAACCCAGAGCGCGAACTAGGGATTCGTCGATGAGCACGTAATGTAGACACAGAAACAATGAAAGCTACCTTCGGAGGACCAGCGGACGTCGATGTAACATGACTACCGTTGGGACCGACTGTCTTTCCCGGAGACTCCCACGTAAGACTAACTTCCCTGTCGACATGCGACAACTGTGTCCTATTGGTCGAGACAAGAGCTTTGCTCCCAGACCTCACCGCGTCCGGGTTGTTCTGATGTAAGAATGGAACCAAAATTAACAACGATCAAACAGAACGAATGGAAAACTCAAGCGACGTACATCGACAGTCAACGCCGGGAAATTCTGCCACTTGATATACGGATTCTCCTTCGGGCACGACTTGACATACGGGGCGAGGAGCGTCCACTGCCACGCTTGCGGAATTCCAGGGATAAACCAAAGCTACACATAATGCAATGGGCTCGTCACCGACAAAAACGATACGGTTGTGAGAACGAGCACCCACCGTCGTGGGGAACAGGCCCTCAAACTGCCGGAAGATCATCTGCTGCCGCGCCTCGGTTGCGATCGCGTTCATGATCAACTCGGCCGGCGCGCGGTTATCGAGGTGCGGCAGGAAGCCGTACGTGCCAGACTCGCCCCAGCGCGTCAGCTTTTGGCAGAAGTCGATGAACTCGCGGACGGTGTTGAACGGATACTGGTACTCGCACTGCTTCGCGCCGTAAGCTAGCCGCGTGCAAATATTAGCGACGTTCTTGGACGACGAGCGCGTAAGGGGACGACTCACGATAAAGCATATTCGTAAACATCGTCGAGTGCCCGACCTCCTGATCCGCCATAAACTGGATCAAAAACTGATAGTCGTCGTTAAGCCCCGCCTCGTAAAACTGCTCCTTCGAGAACTTGGCCAAGCCGTAGTGAAACAGATCCAACTCGATCCACTCCTGGTTCAACCCCAAATTCTGCGCACGATGGTGTTCAGTATCAAGCGATCCATCGTCTACCACAGCAAAAAAAAAAAAACTCGACGCACCAAAGACTGAAAATCAAAGTCACTCCACGGCCTAAACTCAGGCGCCGGCTCGTTCGGATTCACACCCACACCCCCCGACGGCGCAGCAGGCGGCGCCGGCGAGCCAGGAGCGGCGGTCGGAGACGGCGCGGGCGCGTACGTCACGGCGGTGCCATTTTTCTCCGTCTGGCATTTCCCCGTGTCAAATTTATATTGCCTCTGCGGGGGCGGCGCCGCAGAGACGAGGCTGCAGCTGGCGCCGAACAGCGCGAGGCCGAGGAGCAATTGAGAAGGCCACATGAGGACTAGCGTCGATTTGACGCTGCGCGAGCAGGATTGAATACAACAGAATAGAAGGAAACGGTGGAGAGGAGACGCAAGTTGAATGAGATGGAAGACGAGGAGGCGAGGGAACAAGGCCTAAGGGGGCACCTCCTCTGCAGCAGAGGAGCTTTATACCCCTCTCACCCCTTCACCCTGGCCATATGCACATCTCCTATACCACCCAACGCTCGATTTCGATCAGGCCCCGCTCGATTAACGAGCCAACGAGCCAAACCGAGTAAAACTCCGGAGCCACCGATTCAGAGAACAGTCCAGACCCAGTACAAGACGGAGGCGACCAGAAGATATTGCGCAACGTATGCGTCGAGGCGATGGGATCCATGCTTCCGGGTGCGTCATGCCGCGATCGCGAATGCAATCGTTCGTCCCACAAAGAGCAATATCCAGACAGAACGCGAGAGAACGCAATGGGATGGCAAGTCATGAGTTCGAGTGCAGTGGAGTAACCGGCGATCGACGATGGCTTAGCAAGCCTGATCGTATATGCGGTCGATCGTTATGCAAGAAGCTCAGGCTTGAAGCTATTGAACCACGATGGCGAGTCGGCGAAGATCTGGACCAAAATATTCGGGTACAACTCTGAAGCTGAAGCGCTCAAGATCGACTAAAAACATGGTCCGTTCCAAATTACACTGCAAACATTTCTCAATAATAGTGGCATCACTATTTGAAAATTATTTTAAAGATTAAGGTGAATGGGTTTCAATAATTAGTTCCTCATTATTTAAGAATTTATCAAATACAGGAAAGGAACGCACCCGTTATTGACAGCTGAACAGCCCTGTTTTTGATAAAGATGATAAATAATGAGGAACCAGTTATTGAAACCCATTCACCTTAATCTTTAAAATAAATTTCAAGTAATACTGCCGATATTATCAAGAATTGCTTGCAGTGTTAGCAGTTGCCAAAAACCAACGAAGAAAAGTCCACAAGGAGAAAGGGGCGACAGCGCAACACCCAACGAAATTTACAAGCCACTTCCACGTGGACAACTACAAAGAACAGAAGAAAAAATTCATGAATACACATTTATCCAACTACACACATAAACAAAAACGGCTAAGTAAATAACTGACCATTATTTCAACTATCGGTACGATGACAACCCACGGGCCACCTGCTTCCACCTACTCCTCACTTCAGCCTGGTTCACTCGGTAAGACGGACCCAGCGTCTCCCCTTCTTCTCCTCTCCTCTCCTATTCGCCCCTCGAGTCATCACCTTTGAAAACTTCAGCCTTCGGGCTTCAAGGCTCGCCAGCACTAAGCCGGCCCTCCAACCAGCTCACAACGTCCCTCGTCTCTGCCTGAGCCTGCGCACAAAGACCCTCCAACACGCGCTGCGTCACAATCGGCCCACACTCCTCCGCCCTCCCAAACCCAGACAAACACCCCCGCCTATAATCCTCTTCCGCCAGCCCAACCATTGACGCGACCGACGCCGCCGTCACCGGCGTCTGATGCCCGCCCGCACCCGCGCCACCGCCGCCCTCGCCGCCGCTCAACGCCTTGCAGCGAAGCAGCACAGGCAGCGCGATAACCGTCGGCAGATCCGCGGTCCACGCCTCGAGATCCGCCGCAACCTCTTCCTCGGTCTTGTTCATGAAAATGAACGGGCTGTCCGTGTTCTCCAGGAGAACCGTAAGCGCCTGCAGATCCGAGAACGCCTCATCCACCGCCTCCCTAGCGACCGCAGTCGCCTCGCTGTTCGCCGGAGGGCGCGGGAGAAGGTGCAGTAAATTGTACAATGCGCGTGCATCAGCAGCGACATTGGACGTCATGGCGACCGCCGGCGGCGAAGGCGGCCTAGACGTGGGCGGCAGCTTAAGCGAGAACCGCGACGCGGGAGGTGTCGCCGGCGGGCTGTTGCCCGACGGACGCCTGTTCCGCTTCATCCCGGACGGCAGCAGCGCCGGAGAACTCGGAGGGGACGTCATGGGCGACTGCACCTTGGCACGGTGGCTCAGCGCAACAAGCGCCTTCCACACGACCGAGATAAGGAACGTCGCGAGGGTCGACTGCGACGACGGTGAGCCGGTGTACCGCGCGATCGCACGCGAGTAGATCGGCATGAGGGCCTGGAGCGACACAATCGACGGGTGCAAGACGGGGCCCGCCTTGACGGACGCCTTGGGGACGGTGCTCGAGGCAGGGGTCTCCAACGCTTCGATGAGAGGCATCAGCTCGGCCTTCACACCGGCAACCAACGGGTTCGAGACCCGGCCAATTATAGACGTGAGCCCGTCTCGGACGGATTTCAGCGACGGATCCGTGCCAAGCCCGCACTCGTCGAGGCCTGAGAGCAGCTCTCCGCAGAAGCCTGCGATGGCGAGAGCATGCAGCTGGGTCGTGTTGGGGTTCGGTGCCTGGACGTTCGGGGCAGGTGGAGCCAGGAACGTGGGTGACGACAGCAGTGGGAGCAGCTGGGTCGACAGGTTGTTCAACAGCACGGACAAAGGTCGCTGCAACGAGCGGAGCGTGGCCTTGTAGAGATGCGCGTTGTCGCGTGTCGCCTTCAACTCCCTGTCATTTGGGTGTCAGCACACAAGCCCACCCATACAGTCACGTGTGAAGTGAGACTGACGACACAATCAACGTGCACAGGGCCTTGCCACGGCCAGGCGGGATGGGCCGCTTGCCAGCGATCTGGTCGGTGGCGGTGGCGGCAGCGGGAGGCTGGAGGATAGCCTTGGACACCGCCTCGCTTAGCTTGAGGCTGAGGGCCTCGAGATAGGATCCGTCCTGAACGAGAGTTGCGGGCGCCGGGGTGGGCGCCGGGGTGCCAACGGGAGTGGCCGGACGCTTGAACGAGCTGAAGGTAAGTTTGTTGAGGGACCGCCCTGGCCTCTCGGTGGCCGTGCCGGAGTTGACAAAGACCGAGTCAGAGGTCACGCCCGGTGCCGGAGAGGTAGGACGGCTGCTGCTGCGGAAGAGAGCAGGGTTCTTGAGTGCGTGGATCATAGCTGGATGGTATCGGGGGTATAACGACGGATGTGTGGTGAGGATCTTGCTTTTCCGTGTTGCGATTTTCTGTTCTGTTTTCTGGCGGGATGTATGATGTACGGAGGTTCCAACTATGAACCGCTACCAAGGATTGAGAGGAAATTATCCCATGAGACGGAGGTGTAGAGAGGTGGGAAACGGTTGTTCGTTCGATATTGGAGGGGTCCTAAGGAGGACGGTCTGTGTCGACGAGGAGTGCAACAAGCGGTCCGAAGAGAATGGTGTGAATCGTATGTGGTGTGCTGACAAACGAAGAGCGTCAATCTTTCGAAAGTAACTGAGACATGGATAGTGAACGCACTCCGATGGCGGATACAAATTCATAAGTTGCCTACAACGTTGCGATGTGGAGTGAGCAGCGAGTGCTGGGAGGGAGGTGTAGGTAAGGATGGGATCCTTGCTGGAAATTTTGCCGGTCGTCTGCTGCTCCATTATATCAACCTGCTACTTTCCCACGGTCGCTGTGTTCGGCTTCACTCCTGCCCCGATTGTTGTGATCAAGATCCACGAGATAGATCGCAAGAGTCCATTTGTGGCAACCAACTAAATAGCACACGCTCACCCTCATGTCCGCCCGCAACCCCCGCGACCGGGTGACCGCTTCTCGATGCGTCGCCCAGAGCCAAGCAGCAGCCCGCCCCCACGCGACCCCCTCGTTGCCGCGCTCACCAGGGCCCCTTCGGACATGCGACCTCCATCGGCGACTCCTCGTGTCCTCCCTTGTTAAATCGTACACACTACACTGAACCATTTATCCTCTTAGGGCCCCTTGCCTTTGCCCCCTACATCTCCTCCATCGCCTTCTTGACCGCCATGCGCAGCTCCGTATCCTCGCACCGAAGCCTCCACAGGCACGTATCGTCGTCGCCCTCGCGTAACCGAAGCGCCGCGTATCCCTTCGCGTCCGCCGCCGTGGACGGCTGAATGAGCACCTTGAGCTCGCCTGCAAGCAGCGCACGCACACCTTCAGTCAGCATGGATCCAAGACGCCACCAATGGGGGAAAGCTGCATATAAAATAGGATGCACACACCTTCATACGGCGGCTGGTCAACCGATATAATAGCCAGCCGGAACCGCTGCTTTTGCAACCGCCGCACGATGACGTCCTGCGAGACCTCGCACCACCCCCGCGCGCTGTTTTGCTCCATCGCCTCCCAAGCATGCTCGAACTCCGTCTGCTCTTCTGAACCTGCGCCTGGGTCTTGGCCTGGGTCTGGGTCTGCCATGAACGGATCAGAGTCGAGGGTGATCAGGTCGACGCGCGTCGACTGCACGTATACAGTGCAACGCAACGCAATGCAATGCAGTGCAGTCGAGTACAACAGCAACGTTAACGTTCGAAACCGTAACGTTGAGTTCAGAATCAAGATTAGATTCAGAACAGGATTCCAAGAAGCAGCCAGGCACAGATCAGCAGTCAGCCATCTATAGCCACAATAAAGCCGAAACGAAACCGAATCGGAGACACGCACCATTAACAGATCTTCCGTGGCCGGTGCTTTCGAAACCGCCTTGCCCTTATTGAGTCCCAGCTTCCGGATGTTTGAATCTAAATATAACACACCTTGGAGTTCTGAGGGGGACTCAGCGTGCCGCTCGCAGCCGCCAGAGCGAGGTCGCCCGGAGACACGGTCCGCGACAGATCCTCGAGCTCGTGGCTCTCGTTCTCATGCACCCGAGATGGACTGCGATCCCGCGATCGGGACGCGGACGAGGACGCAGATCCCGACGATATCTGCATGAGCGCTCGATGACGCGGGCTCATGCTAATAAAGTGGTGGCTCTGCGAAGCTTGAGGAGCCGCATAGGCGTCGTACCGCAGTTTGCTGGGCGATCGCGTGACAGGTGAAATTGGCGACAACGACGACGGCTGGGACGGCAGCGGGCTTGTCATCGCTGAGGAACCCGGGGTACCGCCGCCGCCGACCACGGCCCTGCCACTAGCCTTGGCGGCAACGCTGAGCGCGACGGCGAAGTCGGGAAGCTGACGGTGGCAGATGTGAGTTCTAGTCCTTGGCGAGGTTCCGCACGATAAAGGGTAGGTGCTAGCACATACCGACGAGGACGCAGCTCTCGACACCACGTCAGCAAGAACTCGTCGGTCTCTTGAGAGACTCAAAAACTGGTGAAACCTCTACCGCTCATACGTCAGAGAAGTGAATGCGCTCGGGGACAGCAGGACGCGCAACACCCACATTGCGAATATGCTTCCTCGAGAACTCTGCGAGCCGCTCAACGGGCTTCCGGATCCCATCAGGCACCTCGTCGCACTCTGCTGCTACGCGCAGCATCACGAGCAGGCACGTCTCCTGCACCATAGCTAGACGCCAGACGGAATGAGATATGTAGACATAAACTCAGCGACATCGGCACATAACACAACATAACGCACCATTGTACGACCCGACCCTGCGCGCGAGCCCCCGCAAGATATCCGGCGGCGCAGTCGAGATCGTGCCCGCGAACTCGCATATCAGCGCCGCGAGCGCGACCATGAGCGTCGGGCCCACGCGGACCCCTTCGACGTCAGCGTCAGCCTCGGGGTCAGCGCTGGCATCAGAGGCGAGAGGCGCGACCAGCGAGGTGACGCATGGCACCGACGCAGAGGCAGGCACTGTCATTTGATTGCCGTTCGAAACCGTGTCAGCCTCCTACTACTACAGCGACAACGATGCAAGGGAAGGGGGAGAACTCACGCGCTCTGACGTGTCCCAGAATCTGCTCGAGCGGGCCCTCGAGCACGGGGATATCGTGCAAGTCCCCGTGCTCCGCGCTCTCGGTCGCCGCGAAGAGGTCCTTGACGCAGGAGGCGTACAGCTCCCCGTCGCTGTCATCGTCGCCACCACCATTGCTGTTGCCGCCGCTGCCGCACTGGGCATCAACAATCTCGAGCAGACGAGTGACGTACTGGTTCTTATCGGGTATCGAGAGGCCGACGGGCATAGTCTGCACAGACTGCGTATAGTACGCGCTGACGATGCCCGGGTCGACGCGCACGAGGACGTGCAGCACCTACACGCAGCGCGGGGATATAAGGGCGCGTCGTCCGATGTGCGATATCGAGAGATAATGCATACCATCTTTCGGATGAGACTGTCCGGCGAATCCAGCAAGCCCATCACACGTCCCACCTCCAGCTCATCCAAAACAGCTGGAATGTCCGGATCGGTTCCTGCCCATAGACCGGCGTCGAGCTGGCTGAGACACGAGATGAAGAGGTACCGGTCGTTCGGGCTCTCCGAGACGAGCAGGTGGCTTATGGACCTGACCACGGGCTCGGATGCGCCGCGCTGGAGACCGCTCAGAGTGGTGCTGGGGAACGACGCAAGCATGAGGAAGGACTCTTTCAAGAGCGCTAGCTCGGGCCGCTTCGATATCGTCTTCAAGTTCTGGTAGACGGTACGAGCGTGTCGGTCTTCGGGCCTATAGTTACTTAGTAGCCGAAGAAGAGCAAAGAACGCGTCTCTTACTTCAGACTTCGAACAGCCATCAGAGTGTTTCTCAGCGTACGGCGGCTCGCCCTGTCGCTCATGCTCCAGACGGAGGGCAGCATGTTGTTCACGGAAACGCGGATCTCATCAGAAGAGCCAAACTAGTGCCCGTCAGCAAATGAACGCCAATGACAAGCGTCGTACCTGAGTTGACGTCAGCAGCGCTGCATTGACGACCGACGAATCGCTGTCCCCCAGCCGTCTCTGAACGTCGGGTTCGATCCGCGCCAGGATATCGCCCTCGAGCTGCGCGAGCGCCCGAAAGGCGAGCAGCGCACGGCGGCGGACGTGCGGTCTGTCGAACGTGCGTTGAACGAGGGTGCAGCGAGCGGGCAGAATGACATACTGACGAGTTGTGGGACAGGAGATTATGTAAGCGCGGCTGGACGGCGGGGACCACGTCTTCGGTGGGCGAGTTGACGAGGTGCTCGAGGGCGAGGCATATGTGTGGCACGTGGGCGCTTTCTAGGTCCTTGGGGAGGTGTCAGAACGCGTCTCGGACGCGACGGGGGATGGGTGGGGTGCGGCGTACCTTGCGGAGGGTGTTGACGAGCATGAGCTGGAGCTCGTGGGTCGGGGGCATGGTTTCTGCGCAGAATGTGTAGCCTTGGGCGGGTCAGGGTTGAGTCTAATGCTGGAAATGCAGCACGCGCCTATTCTCTTCTCCTGGGTGGTACGCCCAATTGTAGCTAGGTTGAGCGCGGAGGGTATCGCGAAGCCCAAATCGCCCACTGTGCATGTCGACGTCGCAGAGTGGCAGTACAGCAAGAGAATGAGGAGCTCCTTGCATCGTCTCTTCGATGCACGTTTAGCACTCGAGCGTGGATGCGGCTGTACTCACGTACCGTAGAGAGCGAGGAATCTGAGAACTGCTGCTGGATCGAATCGACCTCCTGTAGAATCGCCTGGTCCGCGGCTTGAGGAGTTGCAGCTGTCTCGACTTGTCGCACGAGCGCGTAGTGTGCCCTGCTTGTCGCGCCAGACGAGATGAAGGGGACGTCCATGGAGGACACGTCGGTGGTGATAAGCACGAGTGAGGCGTCCTAGAAGAGTAACAGACGCGGCCCGGCGGTGAGAGCCGCGCATCATCTCGACAAGTCAACAATATAATACCAGCAACCCCTAGCTTCACGAACATTGTCCGCGGCGGTGCGTGGGCTCCTCGTGCTCGATCTCACTCTTCAACCAACCGGCCGCCTCCTCGAGCGCTTCCAAGCTTAAGCTTCTTCCTCAATGTCCTCCTCGACCAGGGATCCCGCCGCCGCCGCTGCCCACTCCTTCAACAAGATCCTCGCTCAGCCTGGCAAATCCACAAAGTCAAAACGCTCGGGAGACGTTGATGAGTCCGTCAAGAAGCTCAGGCGCATGATCTTGGTCGAGGGGATCCCATCTCAGGTCGTGAGTGCCCTTTCATGTCACGTTCGCGCGATGGGTAGCATTGTTGAACCATGCACTTGCGTACTTGCAGGACGCTACGTTGCGTCCTCGGATATGGAAGATACTGTTGCGGGTGGATGAGATATCCGCTGATACCTTCCTGGGATATGTGACGAGGGGGCCATGCGAGGTCAGAGAGAAGATTCGGAACGACACGTTCAGGTTGGTCGAGCTATCATCAAACAGCTCCAGCCAAATGAGTTCACGTCGAACAGAACCCTCGCTACGGACAAGGGCTTCAAGGAGCGAGTCAGGGAGGATATGCTGGTGCGGCTGCTAGATGCTTTCGTATGGCGGAATCACGGTATGGAAACCTCATGCTTGCTCTATTGGCTACCTTCGTACGACCTTTTGCTGCAGATCAACACGAACGCTCACGACTCGACTTTACCTACGTCCAAGGGATGAACGTCCTCGCGGCGCCCTTCTTGTACACTTTGCCATCCGAAATCGAGGCCTTCTTCTGCTTCGCCAAGTTCATCGAACATGCATGTCCGCTATACGTCCAGCCTACCCTCGAAGGCGTTCACCGCGGTCTCAAGGTGAGCTCAAGTGCCCGTTTCGGAGCTGAGATATCAGACTAAGCACACATGCTAGCTCCTCGACCGGTGTTTGAAGATCGTCGACCCCGAGCTATTCGCTTACCTGCGTTCAAAGAACCTTTCCGCCGAAATCTACGCCTTCCCTTGTACGTGCTCCGATGTGCCTCTGCCTCTCGTCCTGACACACCATACGATCCTCCACAGCCGTCCTCACCCTCTGCGCATGTACACCACCCCTCGACCAAGTCCTCAAACTATGGGACTTCCTCCTCGCGTTCGGCGTCCACCTCAACGTCCTCTGCGTCATCGCTCAACTGCTGCTGATACGGGAGGACGTGATGAGCTCATCGAGGTGCGCTCCGTGAACACTCCCCATCGACCTCGTTTCTGAACACGTTTTCCAGCCCGATGAAGCTGCTCCGCACATTCCCTCCACTAGACGCTGTACCAGTCATCGGCATCGCCGTCACCCTCGTGCGCGATCTCCCAGTGGAGCTATACGACGAGCTCGTGCGGCATCCGTACGAGCTTTCGGGCATATAATGCTCGTCCTCGCTGCTGTCCCGTTGACTTCACATCGTCCCTTCTCCTCATCCCCACGCATGTATACCATATTGTCTTGTAGCATAAGACCCACGCCGAGGTCTCCCGCCCATACTGATGTCGGACTCTATCTCATCTTCGAAACTGTACACAATACCTCTGGCTGCATCCCTTCTGGAGTTCATTTTCATGGGCTGCAGCTGGACCTAGATTCTTCTTGCTCGTCTCCACGGTGATATTTTGTTCGCGTGATTTGTGCCTTTGATAGCGTTACATTGCCATACTATACACTAGGAACATTCGTCTAATCCGCCTGCGGCCTGTAGCAAAGCATCCAGCGATAAAAAGATGGACTGCAAACCGATCTCGTCTTGTGCTTGTCGATGGAGCATTAGTCTGAGTCCTAGTGTGCAGATGGGTCGCGTCAGGACGCGTCAAGAAGCGTGAGTATATAAACAGCCCTACTACTGGTGGACACGCTCAGAATACTCTTTCACCACGGTGCTTCAGTCTCCCGCTGCGAGCCTCATACAACAGTTCAGCACTCTACAAGATCACAGCCTAACGCAAAGTAGTAGAGGTCCAACAAGTTTCACTCGGCACATGCCTGGCAGGCCAGGATCAGCCAGGTCAACAAGAATCTGAGCAGGTTATCACGCTGACCAAGACCAACGCTTCACAAGCAAACACAAGTCTTCGAAGTAAATGGCTTTCTGATGTAACGCTTCACTACTGCCTGTAAGATCATTCTACGTCCAGGAATTCAATGCATCCGGACCCAGTTTCTCCCTAACCAACCTCTCGCTAAGATGATACAAGTTCTCCCCCAGCTTCTCATCATCCGCCTGCGAGTTCAACTGCCCCGGCACACCCGGATCCGTAAAATAATACCCCTGCTGCACATTCTTGTCGATCGCATCGCTCGTCGCCGCCCACAGCGCACACAAACTCCCCTGCTCCGGGTTCCGCATGAACGGGACAGACACCGCCTTGGCAACGGTGCCAAACAGCGCGCCGTACGCCTCCTTGAACTGGTCCTGCTGCCCCGTGTGCACCGCGCCCGGGTGCACCGCGAGCGCGTAGATCGCGTCGCCCGTGGGGCGGATCGCGCGCTCGACAAGCGTGTACCGCGTGAAGAGGATGTTCGCGAGCTTCGAGCGGCCGTACAGCGCGATCGCACTCAGGCTGGCTGAGCCGGCTTCGGAGACTTCGTCCTCGGACGCGAACGCCGTGTCCGACGGCGCGGCCTTGTACAGCTCCGACGAGACGGTGACGATGCGTGGGTGCACCGGCCCGGGGGCGCCAGAGTCCTGCGTCTTGGACGTCTTGCGCACGAGCGGGAGGAGGCGGTTGATGAGCAGGAAGTGGCCGAGGTGGTTGACGGCGAAGTGCCGATCGATGTTGTCGCTGGAGAGACCAAATCTGTTCACGCCGACGCCGGCGTCCGCGATGACGATGTCGAGCCGCTTCTGCTCGGCGCAGATTCTGTCGCCTACGTCTTTGACATTGCGCAGGTTGCCGAGGTCGCACTCGATGAAGTGCACGTCGGCGTCGGGAGCTTCTTCCTTGATCTTGGATATGGCGTCGTCGCCGTGCTCAGCCTTGCGCGAGAGCAGGAGCACGCGCGCCTTAGCGAGCGCGAGCGCTTTCGAGACTTCGAAGCCAATACCAACGGTTGCGCCAGTCACGACAGCTACCTGCAAAATGATGAGTGGTTCGCACAGAAGTTCGGCGAAGGAAAGTGAAGCACTCACACGACCCCTCATATCGCCCAGTTCGGATTGCTCAAAGCCGTAATCGCCTACTGTCTTCTTAACGGTATTCATGTTTTTGACGCGTCTTTAAGTGATTCAATGCCTCCCCCGATGGTCTCTTCCGCATCTCTTATATACCTCGAGGTCGGGCACTCAGACGCAGACATGACGTCACGGCAAAGTCCCGGATGCCATCATTGACGGATCCTGTGCCTGCAGAACTCTCGGGGGGCTTCATCGCGAGCCTTCGAAGCAAATTCATTAGAATCAACATCAATGACCGCGGGGCATCCTGCTGAATATCGACACACGAGGTGTCGTCATTCAAATATTTACTTGCTTGATCATGTTGCCTGACCTACGCGCCAAAGAAGATGCACGACAGCCTCTGGGGCCTGGAATTCGCGATCACCTACTCGACTTACAGATTGAGGAGGCTTGGGATGTTCTCTCCATCCCATAAGGTCCAAACCCACCCAATCTAGAACTTGAAAGACATGATATGCGCAAGTTAACGCACCCCCTAAGTCTCGGTCCATTGAACGACCTGGCCATTTGCATTGACCATCAACTCCCTAGACTCTCCTAGTGAGAAGCGGCGATACCGGGGCGCCCTGACCTGGCGTCTCGTGGATGCACAAAAGACCACGGCGATGCATCGTCTCCGGTGGTCCAATCCGGACACTTGTGTACATCTCTGTGACCAATGCACGCTCCCCGGACCGTTTCCCCGATCGGGATCGGCGCCTCAGAGTGGCTGAGGACCTGGTTGCAGGGCACTAATCTATCAATCACGTCGGCTCGACGGTCGACGACGAGCATGCCCCGGGCGAGCTCTCCTGTCCTACGATCGAACATGAGGCTCTGTTTATTTCTTCGACACGACGATAATTACCTCTCGACGTCAAAGTGTCTCCACGGTCATGACCCACCCTGATCCCAACGTTCAGCAGTGGACGGTCTGGGCACTGGGTAACGTCTCCTGGTGGGCACGCGATAGCGCTTCATACGGCGACGATATCTTGGAGCTCCCTCGCATCTTGCCCTTTTATCGACTCCGTCAATTGCAGTAGATATACAGGAGACTACATCGTGGTATTCATGCTAATTGCTGACTGACTTATCGAGACCGCCAGTGAGTCACTCGGGTCTGACTCGGGTTGCTCATGAATATACTATTTGAACATCATGATATCATACGTAAGTTACGTGGTAATACCCAGGTTCTTCCCTACACTAATTTATAGTAAGACGCGAAATCCAAGACGACTAACCTACGTTCTTGTAATGCACTATTACCTAGCACAGGCACAGTGTCCTCAAAGATGAGCTTCCCCGAACCAATCTCGCTTTCAAAGAACCTAAGCATCGCTCTTCCCTCCTCGACTTTTTTCGATACGTCATATACGAGAACATCCTCTGCAGCTCTGCAGCTGACTTGTTGTGCTTCTTCGTCCCACTCTGCTTCCGCGATTTTAATCTGCGTTTTCCCTCGCTCGTCAGGTTCTCCCTCACCTGAGTGAGCCCCAACCGGGAATGCTACCGCCAATCGCGTGCACCCGTTCCACGATAAGCCGATGATGGCATCTCGCGAAGTGGGAGGAAGGGCCAGAAGATGGTGGACCTCTACAATGAGATTGGCTTGAGCGTCACCAGCTCGAATGAACGGAATGCACAGTCGAATAACAACGGTATTATGATCGAAGTAGGAATCTTCAAAGTCAAAGTGAAACACGGCTTCATGGGCGGATAGGATCACCTCGGTGACCCCTGTCCTGGTGTCAACAACAGAATCACGCAGCACCTGAATCTTGGCAAGGTCGCCAGGTATGATCCCTCGAGCCGTGGGACGCATCGAACGACAAGTAAAAACATCGTCAAGTGGCGCTGCTGTGATGATGACTTCATCTAGTGAGGGCATGTCACCTGAATCGAGAAAGGAGAGTAGGTGCGTTCGGCAGGTGATATACGACGGAGCATGATCATTAGGTTCCTAAAGCCGTCGTGATCATCAGGACTGGTATGCCGATAAGCTTTGCGAGGAAACACACATGGGAATGATGGATGAGAGTTATTGGTTCGCTGCTGAGGTCGTCAATATTCCACAGGAGCGCTTTTGGTCCTCTTCTCCATTGAACAACGAGTGCGTTGGGGCTTGGTGAAACATCCAGCTTAGGGACTATGTTCAGATTATTCAAGACCACAGTGTGCTGGTAGAGCTCCTCCAAGTGGACAGTAGCACCGCAGTAGTCCGCTTCTATGAGTCGGAGTATGTCCCTGTCGCGATATCAGCATCTTCTGAGAAGTTTGGAAGAGTAGCGCCACTTACACCTTGACAAGGCTGGTAACAGCGGGAGGCTCCCCGCGATCCTTCTCGTTCTGTCCCACAATGACAAGGCTGATCCTATGTCGAGCGTACGTCGTGACATCGAAGTGCTTGATGGACCGAAACTTGATAGTGGACCCGGCAGCAATCTCGCGAACGATCATCGGTTCAAGCGTGTCGAGTCGAGATCTCGGCAGATAATCTGCGTGCAAGACGGGTTGATCGTGAACGCATACCTCGAGCCCACCACAAGCTCTATCTCTTGACCGATATGACACGTTCGGATGGATGGGATATACTGGCGTTTTACGAACAAGTTCTTGTGCACTGAGAAAGAACGTAGAAGTGTGTCTTCTAAATGTCGCTGGGTCTGCGCGTGGCAAGGGCCGAGGGTCCTTGGAAGGTGGCTACGCCTATATAGCGAGTTCCAGACACCGCGATCGTAAGTAGCCTGCCTGAGCTGCTTTGTGGCCTGTTAAAGCGACAGGTTATACCTAAGCAATGCCTCGGGACAACTCATCACGAACCTGTCGGAGGTGAAGAATGTCCTCGATGTCGAGATAGATTGCAACCTCTACGAGAATATCAAATGGAAGCTGGTCGAGGTTTGTAGGAATTGAGGACATAAGTTCGCAATTGATCCCAGCGTGGATAGTGTCAGACTAACGAGCTTACCGAGCAGAAGCGCGCGTATGGGAATGGGAAGTGGGATTCGGGGGCTCAAGGCGGCTACATATTCTTAGGGGCTATCTCTTTGCGCACGAGGTTGTATAGCCACACGGATCGTACCTAGCGAAGCAGACCACTCATCAGCGCGCTCTAATGAACTAGTGTATGCAGATAGATGATCAAGGGCGAGCCGAATCATGCAAAGTCGAGTACGCCCAGTCTATACGTCATCGATGTGTTGCGCCCCACTGCAAAGACGTAGCTGAGCCTTCCTGAGCCTGCGTCGTCCTCGAAAAAATTGAGAAACGCTCTGCTCCGTTCACCATCGAACTTGTCCCGGACGTCCTCCGGTAAGGGAACGTCCGGCGCAGTAATGTGACGCCCTTCTCGAGCTTCATCATCGTAAACCACCTCGATAATGCCTAATCGCGTGCGACTTGGTGGCCAAGACGCTGGGTAGTGCCAGTTGGCGTCGTCGTCCTGAATGTCGTCGTCCGCTCTCTCCGTGTCTTTGAGCGAGTAGGCCAATCTCATACTTCCGTTCCACGCTGAGTTATAGAGTATCCCTTCCGCCTCGAAAGGGAGTGGTATGAGTTCTTGTGCGTCCACGTGGATGTTCTCTTGTGATCCATCGCCAGCTGTTCCTTGTGGAATAGTCAGCCGGATCACGACGAATTTGCATGTGAGTCCATCTTCGTCGCCTGTGAGGATGATCTCGATGGTACCGGTTTCACGGTTGACAGCGGAATCACGCAAGACTTCGACCTTCCTGAAGAGCCTATCCTGTATAATTCCGGTGGAAGTAGGCCGCGGAGCACGCTGTGCAGTATTATCAAAAACATCTTGCAGAGGTGCTGCCTCTACGATGGTGCCACGATCAGGAACCGAGAAAACAAGTGTTATCAAGTGTGTTTTGCAGCAAAGAGACGAGGGCGGTTGATAGGGTTCCTGGAGTAACCATGAGCAAGGACGTCAACGCAGTTGGTCGAGGTAAACGCACAGGAGCCCGATGGCGGACAGCTCTTGGTCCAACCCCAAGATTGTCGATGTTCCATACAAACGCTTCGCTGGGTCCGTACTTCCATTGCGTTACGAGTGCGTGTGGAGCGAAAGAAGCGCAGAAGTTAGGAGTATGCATTGCATTAGTCACAACGGACGATTGTTGGTAAACTTCTTCAAAGCGTACGCCAGCACCCGCAGTATCTGGCTCAAGCACCCGAAGGACGTCCCTATGGAGCGTGTCGGCGGCAACGTACGCGATGTAAATCAGTTAAGACGTACAGCTTTATTGGACTGCCGACGACAGCAAGAAGGGGATCATGATTCTTCACGCGCTGTTCCAGAAGAAGGAGACTGACATTCTTTCCTCTGTGCGTCACGCTGCTGAAATAGTGCATCGTCCAAAACTTGAAGTCCGATCCCTCCTCCATCTCTCGGACAACCACCGCTCCATGATCTTCAGAGTCGATATCCCGACAGATGATCTGGGTGCGGGCTGAGTTGATCGTAAACGCCCACCTCGTTCCCATTACCAATCCCTTCTCTCGGCCAAGATCATACGTGCGAGACCGCGGCGGCTTTGGCGCTATGAACAAGTTCTTGTGCACTTTGAATGAACGGATAAGAGTATCCTCGAGTACTTGCTTTGTCTGTTCGTGGTGAGGGCCAAAGGGTCTTGGAAGGGAGCTAGACTTGTACAGGGCGCTCCAGAAGTCGCGCGAGGAGGTGATGCCCCGAACCTGCCTCGATGTCTATCAAGTCTGGTTAGTGGTTTTCATGACTGCACTTCGAAACTTTATGTTTACCTGTCGGAGATGAATGAAATCATCGACGTTGAGATAAGCTACAAGTTGAAGGAGCACGTCGAAAGGGAGCTCCTTGAGAGTTGATGGCATTGTGCAGACACGGTCAGGATGTCGTGGCACCGGTACCCGACGCGTCGTGGTCGTGGTATAAGAAAGCGTGGGTACGCGAATGGACGCGTCAGATCGCTAGTGTTGCCGCGGTTCGAGGAACCAACTCGAACCGCCTCCTTGAAGTACCCTTTCATGCCACAATACCGACTAACAATGAGTTAATCTTCGCGGTTTTTAGGCTCTACACGGCGACGAGGTGTGTTATCCGAACTGATAATAAGTGCAAGTGCAAGTTTCGTGGGCTTGGCTCCCGCCAGTTCGCCAAATGCGGCAACACTACAGATCGCCCTTTGTTCTCCAACCACCATGTTTGATCTGCCTTCATTTCATAAACACTGCCATCTGCTGACAGGCGACCGGTTTTCTTCATCAAGGAGATAGGTTGAGTTGTACCAGAGGGTTGGTACGTTGGGACTGGAGGCGACGGAGGGAGCAACTAAGCGATGGTGAGTCAGATGTATAGGTTGAATGGCGAACTCAAGGCTTTTTTTTGGTTCGAGCTGAACCCGCCATCAGTAGTCCTTAGATTATGATATGGGTGCCGAATGCGACCACTTCACGAAGAAATATGATAATGACTTTACATCCATCAACGTTGAAGCTGATGCATCACCTCGTCTAAACTCATGAAAACTTAAACCTAGCCCATTCTTAGATCTCGCTCTTCTTGAACGACCCCGACAGAGTAGACAGCATCCGCTGCTTGGTAACCTCCTCGTCCTTCCAATCCTCCTGCACCTTCCTGTTGCGTGCGAGACCGCGCTCGAGACCTTCAACTGCTCTGATCTCACCCTGCTCTCGCGCACCTTTGACGATCCTCGTGCTCGCAGGAACACGGATAATCTCGTACTCCGTGAAAGCCTTGTGCAACGTGTCTGTCGACGGAGAACTCGCGTCTGGATTGTACTTGAGGAGAACGCGGATGAGGTGGTATATATCCTCAAAAGACTGACTTGCTCCCTGTCCGAGATGCTAGACTCAAGTATGAGCGCCTCATGCACAGCCCTCATGTAATCGGGCGCTTACGGGACTGGTGGGATGGGCGGCATCTCCCAGAAGAACAACTCTTCCCTTGTGCCAGGTCTTGAGCTCGGGTCGATCGTATAGCCCGTACTACCGTCTCTTCAGCTCGCTGCCTTCAATGGTAGGGAAAGTACGACAGAAATACCTTGGTGATCTTGGTGGCATTCTTGACAAGATCTCCCGCTCCAAAAGACCACTTTGACAAGGGTCCGCGCCTCGTCTCCTCTACCGTCTTCGCATCTCTATCCCCGCGGTCTTCCTTACACTCTGCCTCTCGCATCGTGACACTGGACGCATGGACTCAGCTCGCGTTACTCTTGGCAGACATCTATCACTCACATCCACACATGTTGGTGCTCATCGAATGCGTGAGTGAGCATATGCATTCCGTCGTGAAATATACTCAGGAGCGCATTACGCTCGAAGGCGACCGAAGACGGCGCGAAGCCTCCTATCTAGGCGCCGACATCAGCCTGAACCAGTGTCGCGCTAGGGAGTTCCCTCTGATGCAGTCCATCTGAATGTCTTACCTGCACCTGGCCTGTAAATTCGGGTTTGTCGTTTCCAAAAAGAGCAATGCGCGTGTCACTGTGCAAGCCGTCGCATCCAACCACCAAGCTTGCCGTGTCCTTGTGCCCGTTCTCGAACGTGACCTGAACCTCGTTCTCGCTTTGCTTGAAGGAGATTGCATGGTGCCCCCAATTAACCTTGACGCCATGCTCCTCAGCGACAGTGAGGAGCAGCTTGTGCAGCGTGGCACGCTGGACACCCGTGATGGAGAATCCGATCTGCCCCTTGAGGTAAGAAGTGTCGACTTGTCCGAGGACCTGCTCGTGTCCCTCCATTGCGGAGATCTGCATGATCTTCTGTATTTCAAAACCTTTGAGTCTCTCGACCACGCCCGGAAGTAGACCCAGGACTCGAAGGCCGTTCGGCTGCAGCCTGTTCACCGCGGCATTTCCAGGTCAGTTGGCAACGATAGGACGTAACCCGCAAAAGCTACGTACGCATGAGCCAGGCCATTCTCAACAAATGCCGGCGACCGCTCATAAATAACCGGCTCATAACCTTTGAGCTTGAGGAAGGTCGCAAGGACGGGCCCTGCAATACCTGCGCCGATGACGATAACCTTGGTGGACATTGAAGAAGCCAGAAGAAGAGGGGTGGAATGTTGGCGATCGAGTGCTCAGTCCCGCCCAAATATTTATCCATTGCTGACCCCATTGGCATAGCCCCTGATTATAGGAAGCTTTGGAATCACAGTCGGTGATGCAGCGGGCCAGTGATCCAACCAAAGTACTGTACGTGCTAGCCAAATCGATGTCTCCGCATTCCAACGTTCGCTGAACACGTATAATTGATACCTTCCGTCCCGGACCGAGCAGACTAGATCCTCGGGATCCACCACTTCAGTATGGTCAAATAAACTGCTTCTCGACTTCTGAGATGCTGCACGCCTTCTTGGAACGCGTATACCATCAGTATGTCCGTCATCTTGTGCCGCGTAAAGCATCAACACGTATCTCTATCAACAACTGGCCTGCACTCAGAACGCCACCGTAAGACGGGCTGAGTTTCGTCGCCAATGAATATGACCCTATATGTTAGATGCGCCTCCTTAAACGCACACGTCCAATCACCAATCTGCTTATTCATAGAATGTACTACTCACCCTGCGCAGTGATCACATCAAGAACATTATGAACGGCTCTCCCGAAAGGTTATCGGATAACACCGAAGTCGTTCACTAAGCAGTTAGATCTGTGCTCGGAACAAGCATCCACATGTAGGTTCTTGCGTCGGTTTCCATCGCTTCAAGCAGGCAAGTGATAGCTGAGTCTTATATTCAAGTGATACTCTCTAGATTTACGAGAACCAATATTCCACGCACCCTTCTCTCGCAGTTTCCTCCGCAACAGGCGCCAGTCGCGGCGAGGTGCCTGAGCGCCTTTCCTGCCTCGACCGGACCCCGCCATTTCCCCAGACTCCTGATTGTTGCCGCGGCGGGCGTAAGCAGTACTTGTACGAAAACACACAAGACTAGGCTTATTAGGCACCGAGAACTTACGATATGCACAGTCCCGACACTCTATCTCTAACTAAGTTAAAAGGAGCGTGCTCTGCAACTCAATGGCTCGATTTACTCCATCCGTCCTCATCTTCATCGAAGGTTGCATCGGACTCCAAAGCGATCCCGCGAGTGTGCACAACCAGTTCCCGGTCTCTCATCGCAAGCCGTACATCGCATCTTACCCTGAAGGTCGAGTTTTTTTTATGAATAGTCTCACTCAAGACATCTCTTTCAAGTCTAGCTAATAAGCCAAGCCCGTGGCACAATTGCGTGTTCCCAATCCTGCGCTCACAGTACTTCGGAGTAGGCGCACCTCGTCCTGCCTTTGCCACAGACATCTTAACTCCATTTACCGGTGTGCTCAAGGCCGCCACCCGCCAACTTTGTACAAACTCTGTCTAGTACACCGACTTGATCTTTACTCCATTCCACGGCTCGGTGGCGCGCGAGACACCGGACGGTGTTCATACCTGGCAAAATCGATAAAGCATCGTCTTTCCTTCGAGGTTCCGCTTCACTGCCCGCCTCAATCAGGGCTTCATATGAAAATTGTGTATCATTAATGCAATATAAGGACGAGCTTGAAGCCACGGTTTTGTCGGCCCATCACAATATCCAATTCACCGTCTGCTAACAGCCATCACCACCAACTTGAAGTTACCACCAACCTTATCTTATTCAAAGGAGCCTATAACTCACGGGGCGTCGCGTCTTAAAAAGACATAACAAGTTTAAAAGAAGACAAGCTCCATTCTATAAACCAACCCATTAATGTACAGTATCTACCCAGTAAATACATTCCCAGAAAACGTTAAACAAAGACCAAGCAATGTATAGCGTATGAGCGTATAAACGTGTGCGTGTGATCCTTCCAGACAGCGAGATGCAAAAAAACAACAACGAAAGCGAATGATACAAACGAGCGAACGCCATGAGCGCAAGCGCAACTGGCGTGATCTACGGGGTGAAGGGGATCCAGATCCATAAGCCGAACCGTGTTTCGTAAATACGATGATAGTGGACCCTCCCACCCGGTGGTGGCCACTTGGGCACATCCGCTGGTGGACAAGGGTGATGAGGTACGCAGTACCTCCCGTGAAATGATACAACACCGAAAACCAGAGAAACGTAAATACAGATATAAATGTCGGAAGAGCCGTGAGAATGAGTCGGAGGTCGAGGATGGGGGGGAGGAGGCGTAATGGTGGTGTAGGGGTGAGGAGGAGGCGTCGTACCACAAGCACCTCAGTCATGCGTAGCAAAGAGGAGAGTACCTCTAGTTGCCGTCAGCGTACCACGAAAGCGTGGTCACGCCCACAGGGAACGTATACGTGGCCTGCTTGCCACGGAACTCGATCGTCGCATTGACGCTCTGTGGATTCCAGCCGCTGTCCGAGCCATCGTTCCAGTTCGTCACGACAAGCGAGTAGCGCGTCTGATCGCCGGCGGTCGCGCGGCCCGTCGCGTATGCGCTGACGAGCAGTGCCCAGCCCGAGTCGCCGCCGACGGACGAGTCGACACGCTGTGCGTACGGCCCGTTGGGGTCGACGGGGATCACGGCCTTGGCGGCCTGGCCGAGCGCGTAGAACTCCTGATTCACGTCCCACGAGCCGTCGTCGTTGATCTGCACGACACCGCGGCAGCCGGCGCCGCCACACGAGTCGGTGCCGGGGAGCTTGGGACCGCCGTTGGAGTCGAGGGCGAGGTTCCACATAAGGCCGCTGGAGGAGCCGTACTGCGGACCACCAATGAACAGGTTGTCCATGTACCACTTGATGTCGGTCCACCAGTCTGAGCCGAGCGTACCGGAGCATTCGGTGAAGTAGACCTCCTTGTCGGGGAATTGGGAAGTGAACTGCTCCTGGTTGCTGACATCGCCCTCGTAGCAGTGGAAGGAGACGCCATCGAAGGCGTCGCCAGCCTGCTGCATGAGCTGGACAGGGTAGTCGCCGGCGTTAGACCAGTTGTGCTCGAAGCCGATGAGCTTCGTGTCATTGAAACCGTTCGAGTCCATGAGGGAGCGGAGAGACTTGCCGATGGCGGCCTCAGTCTCCACGGGCATGTTACAAGTGGGGTAGGTGCCATCGCTGTTCATGGGCTCGTTCTGGATGCTCATCGCATAAACAGGAAGGCCGGCATTCTTGAAGCCCTGCAAGGACTTCAAAAGGTAACTGGCCACTATGTTCATATTAAGAGTGGGTCATGCTGGTTAACGGGAGTAAACGTACTAGCATCGGTATACTGATCATTGAGGCTACCACCATTCATAGAGTTGGAGTCCTTCATCCATGCGGGCGGGGACCAAGGCAGGACGTGTAAACGGACGTCACTGTTAACAGACATGATGTCCTGGAGCGTAGAGAGCAGATCGGAAGGAGCAGCCTCGAAATTGAAAGTGCTCAAGAGTTCCGTGATGGTGCTACCGAGGGAGGGTCCACCGCTGTTGTCAAAACTGTACACTGTTGTTTGTGGCATTTTGAGTCCATGTTGAACTAAAGACGCTCGTTCGACTTACCGTTGGCAGAGAAGTCCGATGCGCCAAGAGGCACGCGAACGTACGAGAAACCAGCGGAGTTGGCACCATTGGTCGCTAGTAACTTTTAGTCTTGCATAAGATCAGGAACCAAGAGTACACACTGTTGAACAGGTAATCGAGGAGCTTCCAGTAGTTGCCTTCATTCTGACTCTTGAGACCAGCAAAAAGTTGGGCTGAAGAGTCGGCTGAGACAATGTCAACATTCGATCATCTGTACGGAAGTAGTGATTCCTTACTCAAAGAAGAACCAAAGCCAGCCATGGTCTGCTGCGTGGATGTGTCATTAACAACGATATCGGCGCTGCCGATATCACCGGGTGCACCGAAGGTGACGGTGTTACCTCCTGGGTTGGAGAGAAGCTGTGCTTTGTCCCAGGTCGTTTGCCACTAGGAGGGGGAATAAGTATTTCACGAGAAGACCTCTGAAGATTTCACTCACAACATCGGTGATCGTCTGAGCAGCAACGGTAGAAACGAGTGTAAGGACGGCAGGGATGAACGAGAAGCGCATGATGATCGAGTTAAAGCGTGTAGGTGTTGTGTAAACGTGTAGGTTTTGCGCCCGGGGCGATTATAAGGGAGAGAAAAGGTAAGCTGAAGAGAGTGGACAGCACGCAGTGCCGAGGCTGGAGGATGGAAAGAAACGAGTGAGCGTCGTGGATCAAATATATATGTGAAAATTTCGAGGCGGGACAGAACAAAGGCGTGCAGCTGGCCATGAGCATCGGACGTCTGGCCTCTCCCGACCAGGCACGCCAGTCAGACAAGAAATGAGCGGACCATGCCATGCCGTGCCACGACCACGGACAATTGAGGATGCTCCTTTACGCCTCACAAAAACGGCGTTCCATTCATCTCCATTGCGCCGTGGCGATGCAGACGAGGACCACGAAGTAGGAGCGTGTGATGGGGTGAAGGAAAGATGAAAAGAAAGAGCAAGGACTCACCGAAGGCGAGCTCAAGGGCGCGGACTCGATGAAGAGAGAGCTTCAAGGAGGGTCGTGAAGAGAAGTTGGGGTGTGTCTTTGCCTCTGCCATTTGTACGATCGGCTGCCCACCCGTGGGCTCCGAATGCGAAGACAAAGATAAGCCCAAAATAGCTGTCGGTCCGCAGGTGTTGCCTGTCACGGAACGTTTAGTCGCCTAACAACAACACTTCGATCGCATCGATCATCTTCCGCTGCCAGGCTGAAACGGGTGCAAAAAAACATACGGCCTGCCGACCATCGGTACCGCCTTTCGCCACGGATCGTTTCGCAGCAAGTATTAGAGGGCGCGTTTCGGTGGTAACGACCTGTAACGACCTGTATTACGACCCGTCTGTAAGACTACTTCCACTCGAGGTTATCTCCTAATGCGAGGTCAGCTCCACAGTTCTTTGACAGCGGAACAAAGACAGCTATTGTTGTACGGCCGGCTGTCCCCGGCCGAGTACGGCGGCAATTTTCCGCAACAAACGAGACATAACTTGCTCAAATGTTCTTTTTCACTGGCGTAAAATCCCAACAAACCAAATATGATTAAGCATTCAGGTACGACAAATGGGGCCCTTAATAAAAGCTTCGTAAATTCTCAAACATAACCCTGAGCAAACCTCTACTCCCGAGGCGTCTCGATCGGCTCCTGCCCAATCGCCGAAGGAACTGCCTTTGAAGGAAAGTTCTGTTGTCATCGTCAAGTCTTCTAGAACCATGCTGCGGCTTCTCTCGCCGCCCATCGTAAGTTGCACCCGCGTTCAAGCAGAACGATAGGGAAAGTTCACGGCCATGCATGTATGGTCCCGACTCCCCCAGACTAATCGCGTGTCCTCAGCGGTACATACTCTGACAAGCAGAATTTTGGAAACGCTCAAAATGTCTCGGAACTTTTCCATTTACAAGGACACTTAACAATGCTATGCTACACCCGCTCTTCAAACATCCTCTTCGCGTCCTTCACCGCACCGTCAATCTCGGTCTCCCATGCCCAACTGTTGATCCCGGTGATCTTTTCCCCGATTTCGGAGAACGGGAGGCCCGTCTGCAGACCCGAGATCCGACCTACTTCTTGGGACCCCCTGGCGACACCAATCGCAAACGGACGGCGGACCTCGTCGTATACGACTAGAGCTTGCGAGACTGTGGCAAGCGTGGTGCGTGGATGCCCGAGGAGCGTGGCGAGTATGTATGCGTCCTGTAGTGCGCAAATATAGATGATGAGCATAAATTCGTGATGTCTCAAAAACCAAGCAGGACGCACCTCGACCGCTTGTCCTGCGCCCGAGCCTTGGAAGGGTGTCATGGCGTGAGCGGCGTCACCCAACAGGGCAACGTGCCCGTGTACCTGCACCGGCAAGTTTCGGACTAGATGGACAGCCCAGATACTTCCATCTTCGACCAACTACCGATGTTACATCAGTCGACACAATAATCAGACCACAGGAAATGGTGCGTACATCGAGCAGGACCTCAATGTCCTTCTCCATCCCTCTAAACTTCTCCGTAAACTCTTTTGCTGAAGCGGGCCGGACCCAGTCGCCATCGAACAACTGGCGGTGACTTGGATCGGGGTTGAACGCGTCGGCCATAAGATCCTTGTCGACCGTGAACGCGGCAAAGTTCACGATCTTTCCCATGGAGATCGGGTACGTCGCGACGTTCTTATTCGCGCCAAAGCACTACGACGATTGCTCTTCTACCTGACTTCCTTCTAGGAGATCAAGATAACGACGTACCGTCCATACCCCGTTAAGCACGCGGTGGTTGGGATCAACAGCTCGAATCTTATCCGCGTGGATGAGTGTGCGGTAGGCTACGGCACCGCTGAACACTGGCTCGATGCAGGCGAGATACTCCTCCGCGCTGCACTTCTTGAGGGCGTCTGGGTCACGAGAAAGATCCTGCATCATGCCTCTTCGGATGGTAGACTTTACTCCGTCGGCGCCGACAAGGATATCGCATGTCGCAGTTGACCCATCGTGAAATGTAAGGGTGATGGGTTCCGAAGGGTTACCGGTAGACTGGGTATAAGACACGATCCGCTTGGACATATGCGTCTTCACGGATGGCGAAACATTGTCCACCAGAACGCCAAGGAAGTCAGCGCGGTGAAACTGTACATTGTTACCTAAGAAGTTTAAAGGTCAGATATTGGGGAAATACCGTCGAATCCAGCATATTGGTTTACCTTTCGACTTCAACGTGAACAAATACTCTCCCTGCTCCAAATCACTCCTTCGGAAGTTCATTGCATTCACTGCTCAAAATCATGAGTCAATGAAGCATTCATGATAACTGGGGCTACTCACCATACTCGTCTTCAATGTACGGTACGGGCGTCTTCTTCAGTAGCGCATCGCCCAGTCCCAGCTTCTTGAGCACCTAATAATTGACCCAGTCAACTCGCCAGCATCAGGCCAAGAAAACAAACAATAAGCCCACCTTGAAAGGTCTTGGCCAGCAGCTCACGCCAGCGCCAACCTCGGCGAACTGCGAGGCACGTTCATAAATGTCGACAGCTATGTCCGGATATTTGGACAGGGCAACGGCTAAGGTGATGCCGCCAACACCACCTCCGCTACGGGTCATGGTTCAGCATGATCATGTCGAGTATAGTCAGTGCTTTGATATGGAAGTTAAGACTTACACAATAGCAACTCTGAACTTTGGAGGAGACATGGTCTGTCGGAGATGCGATCTTGTTCAAGACGCAATAGGGAGGAATTTGTGAGTTATTCGACTCGTGCTGAACACTGCAGCCTTATAACAGGTGTCGTGCCTGCCATAGCAGCGAATGTAACCACGACCCAGAGTGAACCGGGGAAGTCAAACTGCCGATTCCTTGTCATGGCTTATTAGTCGGTTGTGGTCATCGGTACCCGTGCCAAGAGGGAGCGATGCAACTGTGAGGTAAGACCTTAGTTGGCAAAAGATGTCTCGAGCCGTGCGGGAGAGTTTAGGCCTCGTAACCGTCAGATTAGCCCTCCGAGTGACAGCGAGAACATAATGAACATGACACGGCGGCACAAAGCCCATGCTGGCGTTGTCGCGCCTTTGTCGCACCTCGGGTTCATTCGGAGCCGAAACATTCCGCTTGTAAAAACGATCACGTAATCGCTTCTTTCGTTGAGCGGGGCGGCTGCAATGATGTTCACGACAATGATCACCCCATTACATCTTGTGTTGCTTTGGTTTTACGGACCTCTACACCTAAGAGTGCGCCAGCGGCCTTCGAACTGAAGCAAAACAACATAGTTCGGGGTCAGGAGCCAAGGCTTCTTTGTAAAATTGCCTTCATTGAACGAGCACATCTCCGCACGCCGCTGCACCTGAGCACGGTGCACCAGTATGTATACTCATGTGTTATTTTCTACGTGCGCTCGCAGGCTCTAAAGATCGGCGTCAGTGGACGCTGAATCGGTATAGCCAACTTGGCCCAAGAAAACCAAAAGTAAGTGACACATCGCATGCACTGGCAGACCGTGCAAGCTCATTTAGTAAACTTATGTTATCTCTCGTGAACTCTCTCGATAGATTAGGACCTGCCGCGGCCGTGTTTAGATATATGTGCGTACCAATTTCCCACACAGTAGAGCAAAAGGATGTCTGCGCAACTTCTGGGCCCAATATGTTTTCTGCAACCCATCGAATCACGAGCCCATGTTCTCTCCCGTAAAACCTTTATAGACGCAGACTTGCGGCCGTGCTTGGATATATGCGCACTGTCTTCTCTCACAATACGCCACCAGGGTATCCGCCCGACCTCTTGATCAAGTATGTTTTTAGCGCCCCATCACGAAGCCTCAGCAGAAGCGGATGTTCCCGAGCTTCGCGTTCCTGTTCGAGACGAATCGTCCCATATTGCTCGCAAACCGTGCGCACGATAAGTCTTCGTTTCTCTTTCCGACAAGCCGAGTATTGCAAGTGCACTCCGAGCCTTGGAAATATGGGGAGCACCGTGCCATGAGAAAAGCTGGCTTTGAGCCTTCGAAATTCTATCAAAACGTTGCTAAATATGTATGTGCTCTGGCTTGTTCGCCCGTACCCCCATCTCACCCCGCCGTGCACCTCAGGATAGGTGCCATTGCCATGAAGTATAGCGCCGTACCAAAGCACACGGTCAGATATGCCCACAGCACCGCGGAATTTAACCCATCACAGCCCGTACACACCAAAGGGCAATGTTACAGCGAGAGCCGTTTAAACGGTTATAGATGCCTCTAAGTACGTTGCATGACAACGACGAACTGAGGGTCGACCAAGGCTAGCTTGCGATCTGAGTAGGAGTCAAAGTTGTATAAGAGGGATTAGATTCGTAGATCTGTATTCCCGTAATTAGGTTTAAATAGATAAAAGATGCTGCCCTAGCTGACGCTGAGTACATAGGTTGGAATAGGTTAGGATAGCAAAGCTATTCATACAGGAATGCGCAGATAATGATAGGAATGTTTAGAACAGCACTGCGCAGAGATATCAAGTATAGGAATGAACAGGAAAATAGATAGGGGTCAACACGAACCGTAACAGACAACTGGTCGCCGTTGTCCGTTCAACGTTCAACATCAATCCTGTGCGTGTCTGTGGTATCAACGAACCGTCATCTACACCCACCGAGGTAGCGTCCTAAATTGGTTCTTAGTGTTTCCCGTCCATGGCTCGGATATCCCCGAATATCATATAAAGGTGCTTGTAGCTTATAATCCCCCAGAGAACCGTATCTTCGCTCCCTGAGGAAGATGACGTGCTCAATGATAACCTCCAGCGACGTGCAGTTGTGAGTTGCTCTTTTCCTGACTTCGGCGCAATTTCGCTGATTTCGGTGCACACTCTAGCCTCGCTACGCATGTACGCTGGGCAGCTGCACCAGTCTGTGATCACTTATACATCACTATGTCTTTAGATATTTGGCTTTCAGCTCAACTGGGCTCTGCAGGGGATTTTAACGGCCCAAGTCTGTGAGTAGTAACTTTTCTCTTCCTACTAAGCATACTGTAGCGACCAAAATGCCACCACCAGATTTCTACTACAGCGCATCCTTCAAGGACAACAACTGGGTCAAGACAGCCGTGTACGGCAACTACATCCTCGAACTGATCCAAACCGGATTCGCAGCACACGACTCGTACATATACTTCGCTCGCGACTGGGGCGATGTGAATATTATACGGACGCCAAACATCAACTGGGTGTGTTTCGTGAGTCTCGCTGCAATCGGTATGTCTGAAAAACATCTGGGTTAGCCCACATACACATGACATGTTCTGAATCTTGCGCCAGTTGCATCTATAACACAGCTTTTCTACGCGTGGCGGATATACGTGCTGAGTAGGTCGAAGTGCCTGCTCATTGCAGTGGCCTCGGTAATCTTTCCTTCTTCGCTTACGACACTGGAGGTCTGACCAACCAATGCTGGTGGCGTTTAGCTGTCAGCACTCCAGCTTGTCTCTGGTATTGCCGCCGGTGTCCTTGACAAGGTATATGACGAATATACCAGCCTCTTGGAGAGCTACCGGGCGCTTGTCGCCATGACAGAGGTATGGCGCCCATATCACTAGTTAATAAGTTCATGGCTCATCCTTCGTAGACCTGGCTGGCCCTGTCGGCTGCCTGTGACATACTCATTTTGATCGTTATGGTATACTTCGTTCGTCCATGGACCTTATATATCTACTATTCATCGGGTGGCTGATCACGGATTTCACTAGCTCTACACGCATCGATCGAGTAGCGAGAAAACTATGAGACTCGTGAATCGGGTCATCAAGATCATTGTCGAGACAAACCTACTGACAGGTAACCATACACACAACTACAAACCCACCATTTTCATAATGCTGAAACCACACGCTCGCTCAGCCAGCGTCTCAATAGCCTTCATAGTCCTCTACCGCTTCTACCTCGAAACCGGGCACGCGTTCGTCGCCGTCGGCTTCGTGCTCCCAAAGCTCTACAGCAACTCTCTCCTCGCGATCCTCAACAACAGAAGCCTCGCCAAGTCCGGACACAGCATTTGCGAGACCACTGTGGCAGACCTGACGACGAGTCGCGGATCGGAGATACACTTCAGACGGGGCCGCCGTGACATGTGCGCGACCGACTTCGAAACGGGCAACGTAAGCATCGGCACCCGTGTTGACACCGGTGGGCATTCGCCCTCCGTAGTAGAGGTAGCGCTCCACGCGCGGGATAAGGAGGTGCGCATTCAACCCCTCGGGAAGCGATTGGCTTGAGACTCACCTTTGACGTGTAGATGGACGAGAGTAGACCTGTGACGATGTACTGGTAGCAAGAGGTTATGGTGCTGTAGCTGAAAGGATTGTATCACCATATAATGGACAGATGAAGCGTACCGTAGGCACGAAATAAACTATGATAAGTTCTACCCATCTCTTCGTTTTCTGGTCCAACTTGAATGGGCCAAGCACAGTGATGCTCTATCACACGCCCATACTAACTACAAACCCTACCATCACGCACTCGAAGTCCCGTTCCTCAACCACGCCGGATACCGCCCATCCGTGATCTCATCCGGCTGCGGCATCGTATAATTCGCAAAACAATCAAAATCAAAATCGATCTCGCCAATCCGCGTCTGCATCCCGCTGATAAAGCCCGGCAGCGCACACAGCCCGTTCTTGTCCTCTGCGTCGCAGCCCGCGATGCCCGTGAGCGGCACGACGGCGTCGTTGAGCACGAACCGGATGTGCGTCGGGTCTTCGGAGGCGGGGCAGGAGAGGACCTGCGCGATGAGGTTGCTTGCGAAGGGCGCTATTTGGCTGACGATGTAGGACTGTGGTGGGGGGGAGGGTGGTGAGCGGTGTGCGCGGGGACGGGGTAGCCACAAGAGAGACTTACTCTGTTGGGAGGAATGTGGTCAGTCGGGAGCGGGCCGACTGCAGCGAGGGTCGTGAAGTTCAGAGCGGTGACAACTGTCAACCCATGTCAGTGAGATCTCAGTCGCAGCGAGGAGGGTTGAGAGCATACTGTTAGAGATGACGGTGTCATGGGTGGCATCGACGTAGATGGGCTGGTTAAGCGGGAACGTGATGTTGCTGTTGTCCAACGTGCTGTTGGTCGTACTGTTCCACACAGTGATCGGCGTCTCCGTGAGGCGGGCGACGAGCTCCTGAACCCAGCCCAAGCCCATGGCTGCGGACGTGGGGTTACCAGGGCCTTCACTGTACCAGAATTCTGCAGCAGCGTTAGCGGGCGTCAGTCGTCTGACGCTGTAAGGCACTCACGGAGATCTGGATTGCGTGTAAGCGACTAAGCAAGCCTATATCGTTGATATGACTGCTCACCAATGAGATACTCAAATCCTTCCCATTCTTCAGGCGTAAATAGATCACAGAAGACCGAGAAACCAAGCGCGACGGTCTGTGCACGCACGATTACTAAACAGCGCACACAACCAACCCAGAATGCAAGGCACGGACCTCGTAAGAGCACATCTCCTGCATGTTGACCAAGTCCGTGACAGTCAGGTTCACGCCCTTGAGTTGAGGCTGAAGCCGCTTGAGTGCGGACTGGAGATAGATGTCCGCCCACTTGTCCCCCTGACCATCGCCGTAGTACCCGATATTCTCAACATTAGAATTGTTGCACGTCCCGTACGGCGCGAGGGTGTTGTTGAACCCGTCGGCCTCGACGATGATCGACTGGTAGTAATCTTCGAGGTATGTGCGTACTTCGAAGAAGCCTGCTGCGAAGTTCAGTCTTCAGAAGCTTGTCAGTACGGTCAGTTTAGGACAGACCCCTTGCGGCTTACGCTGAATCGACCATACGGTCTTCAGAGGTCGTCCTAAACACAGGAAGCTCCGTAAACCCATTCAAAAGCTCGCCGTACCGCATACGGAACCGGATTCCCTCGTCGAACCTATAACCCCATCCATAAATCCCACCTCGCAGCGACCCCGCACGACGAACTCACAGCTGCTTGCGCCCAAAAGACGTCAAAATCTCCGCCCCGAGCTTATACGTCCAATTACCCAAAAACTCCAAATCCCCACTCGCAACGAACCCCGCACCCGTCGCCGCCGCGTGCAGCTTCGCCGCAAAGTCCGCAGGCCCGCCGCCGCTCGTCGGGTATCGCGCGCCGTGCCGCATGAGCAGGTGCACCTGGTTGAGGCCGCAGCCCTCCGGGATCTGCGGGGAGCTGTCCGGGAGCCCGAACGACGGGACGGTGTACTGCGGGGAGAGGTTGCCCCAGTAGCGGAGGACGTCGAACGCGGCCGCCGAGGAGCCGGCGGCGCTGGGCGGCGTCAGCGGGTTGGCGTCTTCGAGCGGGGCGAACGCGGCGGTGGCGATGGCCTCGGGCTCTGCGCCGGCTGGCGTGCGGCGGAGCGCGTCAGTGGACGCGTGCGTGAGGCTGGAATGGGGAATGCGAGCACGTACTGGGCGTAGGACCGGGGTATCCGACCTGCGTTGCATCCGGGAAGTAGGTGGAGTACGACGTGTCGTTGGTCGGGGGGTACGCAGCGGTGACTGTCGACCCCGCGTACGAGGCACCTGTAGCTTGTTGGGCACCAGCAGCAGAGGCCCACGCGAGGGACGCGGCCACGGTGGAGAGGAGCGCGTTTCCGCGAGACAGGAGCATCATAACGAGCGCAGTGTGTACGACGTCGAAGGGCCCAGCGAGGGGAGTGGGAGCTTGAGACACGAGTCGCGAAGTCGAGAGGTGCTCGTTATAAAGCGAAGGTCAGGATGGGCGCCAACAGCAACGAATTTAGCGCAGGCCGGTATGAGCACAAGCACCGTTCTCGAGCAAGCGCTGTCATTGGGTGATATAAATGAGCAGACCCACGTCAGGCACCTGTCATCAGTTTTTCAATCGCTGCACATGGGCCCATATGACCGCGGGGTGCGAATCAGTGTGAACGCGAACGGGAGGACGCGACGGAGACCGTTTCGGGATCCATCACGGCAGGCAAGCGGTCGCCGATGATCATCAAACGGAGGATAACATTGTGTCGGGACGCACGTTGCAGCGCGGCCATCGTCACTGGTCGTGAGTTGGAACGTGCAGCTTCAGCGCGAGCCAGAGAGCCAGTCCCGCCCGACCTGTGCGGAGACACCGTACCCCAAACCCATTCATACGGCAGAGAACCCTATCGATGATATCTCGGTGAGACAGTTTATAACTTGAGTGATGGAAGTGTTGGAATGATGACAACAACTTGTCGGCCGTCGGCATTGACGCGCGTTTGACGCGGGTCAACGTGGCAGCGTTTTCAGAAAGGGGTGACGATCTAGGTGGCAGTGTGATCATAATGATATCAAGTGAGACGGTTCGTCGGTAGGTGCATGGGTTCAATGGGCCAACGCTATGTTGTGGTCAAGAACAAAGAAAACACGAGATTGAAGACGGCTTGCAGTGCAGTGGCCCCTGTCATTCGGCTTCTTCCGCTTCTCCACACTCCCAGCTCCCCTCAAAACACTACATACCTAAAGCTCAACCACACGAGGAGATCACCAGGCCAAAGAATTCAGAACGGACAGCGAAGACATGAGCGGGGAATCATATATCATCCTACGAAGACGAGAACAGAACCGACATGTGAGCATGTACTAATGGCGGGTAGGTGGTACATGTGATCATAGGTATGATGTCGACCAAGAAGCCCATGCTGAGAGTCCAGAGAACAAACCCCACGACTGGATAAACACCGGCACGTACGGAGAGATACACGCATCGTGCGCGATCCACGCTGACGGCGGTCACAGCGTCAATGCTGCACGAGATCCCGGAGCGCGCGCTCGATCGAGTCCTGCGCACACCAACCAAACCAAACCGAAAAAAACAAGTCGTCAGCACGCCATCCACTCCACTCCACCCCACTCCACCGCTTCACCCGCCGCCTCCAGACAACCCAGCCAAATCACAGTGATCAAACGCACCTTATCAATAGCAGCCTGATAGCTCGCCCTCCGCGCGAGACACCGCGCGTACGCCTTGAGCCGCGCGAACTCGGGCGCGTTCATCGCGGCTGCGAGCGCGCGCGCCTCCTCCGGCGCGTAGTTGCCGATCCCGCGCTCGCTCGCGACCTCGATGCACGCGAGGAAGGGCGCGACGGACAGGTCGGCGATCGTGAATTGCGCGCCGATCGCGTATGGGCCTTGGTCGGCGGCGGCGGTGGTGGGGTCGGGGGTGTTTCCGTTCGTGTTTCCGTTCGTGTTGGACGTTGACGTTAGCTTCAGATTTGACATCGACGTCGACGTCGAGCTCGACAGGGGCAAAGGCGGCAACAACCGCTGCACCGCCCGCGCCCCATTCAGCACCGTCACATAGCTCTGGCCCTCCACGATCCAGCCCCTGCACGCAGGCGCGAACAGCGTATCGACCGTGTCCGCGAACGCGCGCACGCGCGCGCGCTGCACCGCGGCGCCGGGCGGGGGCATGAGCCGCGCGTCGGGGCAGAGGTCCGCGAGGAACTCGAGGATGATGTGTGATTCGGCGATCTTGGCGGACTCGGGCGCGGGGCTGTCGGGTGCGGTGGGCGGGCCGCCGTATGTGAGCGCTGGGAGCTGTAGTTACAGCAGGTCAGTAAGTATGCGTGCCCCATAGGTTGATTTGAATGAAACGGCGCGTGATTGGCCGGAGCGGCAAGGGAGGCTCGGGGGAAGTGGGCGTGGGGTGCGAGGACGTACCGTGCCCTTCGGGTTGATCGAGGAGAGGAACCAGTCCGGTTTGGAGCCTGTGAACGGGATCGAGAATGTCTTGTGGCGCAGGTTTGTTTCTGCCAGGGCCATGGTGACCTGGGCGAATGTTGCTCAGCTGTCATGAAACGCAGGAACGAGAGACCAGCGCACCCTTCGGCCGTAGATGCTTGACTAGAACAGCGACTGTCAGTCACAGCACCATCAATATTTAGGGGCTCGTGACAAACCTCGTTGTTGTAGAGAGTGAGCTGAGGTTGTGGAGGACCCATGTTTGAAGGAGCAAAAAAGAGTCACGAAAGAAATTAAAGTTGGGATGGCCGAATACGCCGAATGATGAATGACGCATGAAAGGCCTCGCTCTTATACTCGGGAAACTGGTGACTGTACAGGCGTGCATAATTCACAGGTAATAATGGTGAGCCGGGCACGATGGGTGTCAGCCTGTCAGGGCCGTAGGCTGTTGTAAGCGCGGGAGGGGCAGATTCGCCCACAGACGCCTTGAGTGGCCGGGGTGGCGCGCAGGCTATAGTATGTGGCTAGCCCAAGAGCAGGGCAAGGCCACGCTCGGGCTGGGCGCTTCCCGCGGTGAGGCAATTGAAGCGCTCCATATACAGCATATCACGTAGAATTCTGAGGTGATTCATTCTGATCTCCGGCGACTCAAGGACAGGCAAGATCGAATCCCGCCGAAAGCAGGGTGGCTCGTGGCGGGATAGATGAGAGGTGAGTCAGCGCATGTTCTCATGCTGGCCGAGAGAGAGCTTTGTCTGTTGCCCCAAACTGATAGGACACGGGGGTGGACGGCGTGGCGGAACGTTATGGCGCTAAATGTGGTGGCTAGTGATCGATGTCTGAAGCGGGGAATGAAGGGAAAAGTACTGCGGGATGGATGGATGACGACACGTAAGACGGGAGGATGGGGTCCGATATCGGAGAAGGCAGGCCCGAGCTCTGTGATGGGAAGGCTAAAGAAAGTTAAAGTTATTAGCCGTTACCGCTGACATTTCTGAGGCTCCGAGGCGTCCGGGAGTGTTTGTGTATGCCACGTGAGGATGTGACAGCCAATGAGATAGGGGTGGCCAACAAGGTGTATGAATTGCCATAAGAGGTGCGGAGTGGGTGACTGAGTTTTTGGTTCCGGAATGGAACGCGGTTTGTTTGCTTCAAGTTGCCTTGCTTCTTTACACGATGGCTTGCGTCTTCTGAGCGCGGATTGCATCGGATAATACCCTTGCCTTATATCACCACCCTCGCATATACTTTTGTAAATACCCTCCACCATCCACCCACAACAATGGACAGCGACGACGACAGCAATGGCATAGGACGCGGCAGAAGACCCCACAAGTGTGTTCACCTCTCTCACCCACTCCACCAGCTAATCATCTCCGTTCTTTGACCTCAGCTCGAGTAGCAGAGAGTCCTCGCCAGCTTCTGTGCGTACCACCCTCTGTCTCAAGGAATCCGTCTGCACGAGGCACCCGCTCTGACTCCATTCATTCTTCCCCTTGTCTCCAGAAACGCCCAAAGCGCTCCTTCACTCCCACTTCTGACGACGGCGATCTAGACGTCAACAAACGCCCCAACCGCACCGCGTCCGACGACGAACTCGACTCTCCTGCCCCAGAGCCTGCCCCCGTTCCACTCATCCGCAAACCTCTCGCCTTCGTCCAGTCGGGTCCCTCAACCATCCAGATACCAACCTATGAGCCTACGGCTCCAGGCACCTCCACCTCGTCCTCCACACAGCCACGCTATCTCCCGGGTCAGGAAGTAAAAACAAAAATCACAAAACCTCGCAGGAAGAACGTCGTCGGAGATGGCATCAACTCAAAACAGGGCAGATTTCGCTTAAACACCCCCGCCCCTCCACCCCCGGCTTCTTCGCAATTTGTCTTTGAACTCCCTTCGCAACCTACCGCCTCAACGTCGACCTCCAGTGGTGCTGCTGCTGCTCCCGCAGGTGAGTTTCACCAACCAGCGGTAGCGAGATTATCTTCTGCCATCCGTAATCAGTCGAGGACCCCCTCGCCTGATTCTGGCTCTTCTTCGGCCTCCCATCCGACCAGCACTCACACCCTGTCAGGTCCCAACACGTTTCCGGCATCCCACAATGTGCCCTCTGTCCCCACCGAGCCCCCACGCAAGACCTCAAACCGCTCAAAAGCCCCGAAAGAGCAACACGGCCGTGATCATCCCCATCATCATCAGAAGACGAAACACAGCAGGACGGCCAACTCCACTGCTGGCCACACGGCTGGTTCTGGTTCTGGTTCTGGTTCGGGGCCTGGTCACCGTGACAGTCACGGCGAGGGCCCTGGTGGTGTGTCTTCAGCGTCAGCAGACCTCTTTTACGGCCGTGCCCCGCCGCCGCCGTCAAGTACAAGCACCCGACATCAGTACATGCACGCCCACAGCTCCCATCCTGGGCGGCACCATTCGGAGTCGGCAGGAGCAGCCTACCACGGCCACGGCCACGGCCACGGAGGCTATCACTCGAATCCGCATTCGCCTGGGGGCAACACTTTCCACTCTGGGACGATCAGCCCTACTCTCTCGTGTGAGCCGCTCGCTTTCTTTTTTGCCGCGTTGTGGGTCCAGTGTTATCTGACTCGTCTGGTGTTTTTCATTTTCATTTCATTTCGTTGACACGTAACGTGTACCATGCGACCACCGCGCTGTGATGTGTCGTCACACCATCACACGCACGCACGCACGCACGCACACACGAACGCCAACAAAGCGTTCTCGCAAGGCCACGGACAAGGACACAGCTACGGCCACGGGTACAGCTACCCCTCGCACCCCCGCCCCGCTCCCCCGGCCCAAGCCCAAGCTCATACCCAATCCCATACCCAACCCCATACCCAAGCGCCGACGACAGACGCATCCGAGCGCCCGCTCCGCATGATCACGGTGCTCATCGAGGACTACCGCAGCGGGCTGGTGGACTCGCAGCTCGCGGAGATCCGGATTCCGCTGCGCGCGACGGACGATCCGGTCGAGGGCGGGTTCTGGGCGAATGCGGTGGATGTGTGCCGGGCGTTGCAGGTGGGGGCTTGTCGGATTGATGGTGCGTTTTTCTTTTCTTTCTCTTCTTTCTTTGGGTGTGTGGTTGGGAGGGAGGGCAGTGCTGATTAGGATCCATACCATGTATGCATGCTTGCTTTGACAGGTCCGGCGAGGGTGTTCACGTTCCGGGGCAAGTACCGCCAGATTTTTATGCGTGTGAGCCGGGAGAACGAGATGGAGATGGACGCTGTGAATTTGAGGATATCGCAGGACCGGACGCTCGATGTGATCGTTGAGGCGGTGAGTGAGCATGTTCATGGCGCGGTTTTTTCTCAGAGGTTGATTGGTTTAATATGGACGGTCCCCTTTTTTTCCTCTTTGTTCTTTGGGCGTTTCGCTTTTTTTTATTCAGCCTCCAGAGCCTGGCGTTTTCTCTCGTCCGCCGGTGCTTGTACCGCGCCCGGAGGACTCGGAAGACGCGCAGGTTGGGTCGGGCCAGGGTCAGGGCGCGAGTCAGCCGGCTGCGGCGCCGAGCGCATATAAGCAACCGCCACTGCAATCGCAGAGCTTCAACGCGTCCCCTGCACCTCCCCGCCAACAGCACCGCGAACAGCCAGCTCAACAGCCCCAGCCCCAGCCTCAGCCCCAGCCCCAGCCAACGAGCAGCAAACCCCCGTACCCGCTCCCCCCATGGGACGCAGACTTCCTGCACCAAAACATCCCCCGCGCGCTCAAGCGCCCGGCGGAGAACAAGGACGAGCGGGACGGCGCGGTGGTCGGGTGGGTGCGCCAGCTGGTGGCGCAGGACGGGGCGTTTGGAAAGTACATGGAGTGCAAGAGCCGGGCGCAAAGGGCGCCGGAGGTGTTGTTCCAGTTTGAGTTTGTGCATACGATGATGAAAAGGCATTTGGGGGCGCATACGGGGGAGGTGTGGCCGAATGCGCCGGATTGTAAGATTGAGTTGGTGAGTTTTTTTTGCGTTTTTTTTTTTTGTTTGGGCTGGAGATGGACAGCGAAGAATGCGAATGCTGACGTATCGTTGTTTTTTCTTTTCTTTCAATAACACAGGAACACATGATGCGCGCGTTCGAGATCACGCCCAAGTACCTCGACGACGCCAAGGAGATTCTCGCGCTCGTCGCGCGGTACGGGCGCAACGGCTCGCGGTACGAGGACTCGCGCGTCGTGAAGATGATCGACGACCGCGGCCCGCTCAAGAACCATCTCGCGAAGCGGCTGCTTAAGCTCCTGCGTAACGTCGAGGCGGACTGGGTGCGCGACCAGGCGGCGGCGAAGCAGCTGCATCTGCTGCAGCAGTCGCGCGCGGAGGCGACGCAGCGTCGTGGGCAGGGGCGTGTTCCGGGTCCGGCTCAGGTGCAGCAGCAGCATTCGTCTCCGCAGATGCAGCCCCCGGTGCATGCCCCGACTCAGGTTCAGGCTCAACCGCAGCACTCGTCCCCGCATTCATCGAGGACGCTGTCGCCGCACACGCCCATGTTGCAGCAGGCGCGGTATCCGCATCCTGCGGCGCATCAGACGCCGCTGCAGTTTGTGTCGCAGGCGCGCTCGAGGTCGCACTCGACTTCGCATACGAGTCCGAGCGCGAATTCGAATGCACAGCAGCGAGCGGACTCCCCGGGGCCGCCTGCGACGGCGGCTGCCACGGAGGAGGACGCAGAGGATAGTCCGTCTCCCTAGGACCGGCGGGTGTTCGTGCGCTTCGGGTATCTAGATTAAAACATCAAACGTTCGTTCATCCGGACGCTCTTTAACAATGGTCCATTACTATACGCTTTTATCTTTTCATGATCTACTGGACGTTTATTACTCACATTATTGTTACGTTCACGGTTCACATTTCAACGCATACAACCCACACGCATATCTGTATTACATATGTATCATTGCTCATTTACAGTATCGTACACGCCATATCTCTCTTCTGCTCGTCGCGTTAGATCCACTCGCTCCGTTCCGTTTGACCGATCCTTGGCGAATATACTCTGAAGAGAGGTTCCAAGTCTAAACAGACGATCTGATGACAGGCTCCATCACCCGCGCCTCCGCGTCCCGGTCCCCCTCGAGGACGAACTTGGTGCCGACGCCCGCGGGAACACACCCCTCGCCGAGCGCAGCCTCGAGCGCGATGCGCGCCGTGAAGCCCGTGCAGTGCATCGGCAGCACGTACGCGGGCGCAGGGACGAGCTGTCTGGAGAGGAAGTCGACCGTGGGCGCGATGCGCGGGGCGAGGTCGGGCGTGACGAGGTGCAGGCCGCCGATGACGGCGTAGATGGGGCGCGCGAGCTTGTGCACGGCGTCTTTGAGCACGTTGACGATGCCTGCGTGCGAGCAGCTGGGGGTGGCTGGTTAGCGGTTTTGCGTACTGTGGAGTGATAAAGGAATGGGGGGAATGGGGGGCTCACGCGCTGAAGATGACGAGGCCTTTGCCTGCGACGTCGATCGCGGCGTATCGCTCGTCCATGATGTCCTGCAGTCGCACATTAATGCTCCCCTTCAGCCCTCCCAAACCGAGAACACAAAACCGTCGACCTCACCGGCTCGGCGACCCACACAGCGCCCACATCGTCCCAGCGCATCCCGCCCGGCAACCCCGCCTCGAACGCCGTCACGCGCGCAATCTCCCCGCTCACATACACCGTCCCGCCCGCGACCGCGTGCGCCCCCGCGTGCGTCTCCACCTGCGCCCCCGCGCGCTCGATCGCGTCGAACCGCGGGTCCTCGGGCAGCCGGCCGACGACGCGGTCGTACGCGGGCCCCGGGGCGATGCCGCGCGCTGTCGGCCTGTGCGGGTGCGCGTCGACGACGATGGGGCGGGTGCCAGTCTGAGCGGTGGTGGTGTTATTGCTAGTGACGTCGGACGCGTGCGCACGCTTGGAGAGGAGGGAGAGCAGGCCGCCGGTGTGGTCCGAGTGCCAGTGCGAGAGCACGACGCGGTCGATGGACGCGAGCGGGAGCTGGAGCGCGTCGGCGTTGCGCGCGATCGTGCGCGAGTCGGGGCCTGTGTCGAAGAGCGTGAGGTGCCGCTCGGATTTGGTGTCATCGGCGGTGGCGACTTCGGTTTCCTGCAAGATTCAGATGCATGGCCGTGAATGAGCCAGTTCGGGATTGAAAGAAATGGTGGATGGAGTGGAAGATGATGTTTGGGGAAACGAGGAAGGTTGGAACTCACGATGAGAGCGGAGAATCCGTGTGCGCCTACAATGCAGCGGTGGAAAAGATGTCAACCACGCTGAGGGATCCGCCTCTATGTACACGCAGCGACAGCCCCAGAGACAAACCAAACACGCACCACAACACCAATTCTCAAAGTCCAAGATCGGCACACCAGTCAACGGATCCACAGGAGGCGTCTGGTCCACAAGATGTCTGTGGCTCTCGCCGCTGAAGCCCGGAGGCAGCTTGGCCATCCTACGGTATCGTGTCAATGCCAATACCAATGCACACCGTAACCGCAACGTCAGCGTCGTTCGACATGAGACGACCTCGTGAGCTGAGAGCCATCCCGAGTAACAGGGGCGCAGTCGCGAGCTTACCATTCGATCGAGTTGTCGACCACAATCGTGACGGTGAGCTTGTCGACCCGGCGGAGCACCGGTGCGTCACTGGCGGTAGTGGCACTGGCCATTGTTCAACGTTCAAACGTTCAAGCCCAGGGGTGTCGTGTCTGAGTACCTGTGACGTTGGCCATGGGCTTCTTATAGATTGATGGACGCCCGTCTCGGTGGTGGACGTCGCTTAGATTACTTAGATCTCGTCGGCCGACTGGCACACTTTCTGAAACTTCATCTCATCCCCCACGACATCTCACCTTAGGCCATGTTCAGCCACTTGAAATGCACTGTCAACTACTCAGCCATAATGACACCACCCTTTGTTTTCGGGTTCACTCGGGCTTACACCTAAAACAACAAGTATAGTGCGAACCAGTCCACACGTCCATTATTCTGTCAATGCCCAAGCTCAAGCTCAAACACCAATGCACCGTTACAAACAATACACCAACAAGAGAACCAGTCTCCACTTCACTTTCCACCACCAGGGCTCAGTTCGCAAGCTGTGTCATTCGCTGTTCTTATCGTGATACTGGCCGAAAACCGCCCCCGCCGGGACCATACCGCGTCTGGCGCGGTGCTCCCAACACAATGCTCGGCTTAACGGACCGAGGGAACCAAAGGAGGACCAGGGAGGATCAGGGATGAAGCGACGCCAGAGAGCGCCGGACGGGCACTTAGGCCTTGGAGTTCCCGCCGTAGCCGCTGTAGCCCATCGGGGCGCCTGTTTCAGCCATCTTGCGCTGGCGGAACGCCTGGAGGATCGCGAACGGAGAAATGGAGGAGAAAGGCACATGTCAGCTGCTGGAACGAATGCAGGTGTGTGGAATGGAATAGATATGGGATGGGGTGGGTGAAACGACAACGCACCCTGCGGTAACGGACACGCTCGAACGTGACGAGCACGACGACGATGAACGTGATGGCGGAGATGCCGCCGAAGACACCGAGTCCGACGGGGAGGACGAGCAGCTGGCGGCCGGGGATCGCGAACGCGGCAGCGACAACGGCGTTGGGGGTCACAGTGGAGGTGGCCTGCAGCGCAGCAGCAGCAAAATTAGCAAACGAACGTTTCCCGGGAGACCAGAATACAACACAATAGAGTTCACGGAAACGAGGGGACAGACAGGGAGATGAACATGAGGGAACCGGTCAGGCAGAGGGGAGATGGGAAGGGGTGGGAACGAGGATGGGAAGAAACGTACCGACGGCGCGGCACCCACGTTGCCTACTGCGCTCGTCGTGCTGCTGCCCGTCGAGTTGGACGAGCCAGAGGCAGCAGGGGACATGGAGCAGTTGGACACTTCCTGGAACTGGCCGCCCTCGGGGGTGAACGTGAGGACGCAGGTCTCAGTCATCGGGCCGTTGTTACTGCATACCACATAGTTTAGCTATATGCGCCTTGGGCTTATATCGAAACATGCGGACTCACGTCTGCACGACCTTGGTGGTGGTGACGGAGGTGGCACTGGGCGAAGCTGCTGCAGCGGTGGCGGACGCGCGGCGGGCGAGATCGTTGGCGATGTTATCAGGGGCAGGGAGACCATTCACGAAAGCGGCAAGGGTGAAAAGGAAGGAGACGCAGAGCAGCTTGGAGAGCGAGAACATGTTGAAAGGTCGAATAATGGATGGATTGGCAGAGTGATTTGGCGGTACAGCACAAGTGAAACCCTAGAAGAGATGAAGCAACAAAGAACGGGGGAGGGCCTGCCCAAAGGTCGAAGTAAAGTGGTGGAAGAAGGTAAAGGTGAAAGCGAAAGCGAAAGAGAGAAAAGAACAAAAACAAACAAAAAGACGAAGGGGACCGACCAACCAGGGTAAGCTGGGAGACGAGAGCCAAGGCAACGCGACTCAAATAACAACTTGGAGGTGCTCCATTTACGGAAAACACTGCAATGTCCATTACGACGCCCCTGACAACATAGATACCAACACTCCCACACAGCCCACAACCCCTACCGCCCACCCCGCATCCCACCCTCGACAGCCTTGTACGCCTTGCCCTCCCGGTACCGCCGGTTCTCCCGACGGTACTTCATCAACGCCCCAATCGCAACAGAAATCGCACCCGCAGCCCACTGCTCAAACGCCAACGACAGCACAATGTTGACAAGCACAAAGCCGACAAGCGTCATCCGCGCCGAGAACGGCACCGGCATCAGCTCCAGAATCAGACCCAGCGGCCGCGGCACGCGCAGCAACACGAGCAGATTGAACAGCGATAGCACGACGAGGGAAATCATCAGCCAGGCTGTGTTCAAAGAAGCCATCATAATCAGCACAGACTCATCAGCTTCTCTGCCCCTCCCCACCGCGCCAGACCATACCAGGTGCGCAAGGTGTGACCGCGTGAGAGAGTTGCGAGACGAGAAAGGTACTCACCGTTCGTCCACATCGGCTTGCGATACGGCGGACCGATGCTGAATACCCCCGCGACGAGGATGTACTGGAAACACGACACCAAAAACAGTGTCGTGTTCTCAAAGTTGGTCGACTCGAGGTGGTTGTCCGACCCGCCATGTTTTGGCCCGTTCGACGGTGGCGGCACGTACCTACACATGCCCCATCCAACGTTTGCGTCAGTAGCCGGTCTTATCAATCACACCCGGGCATCCGGGAACTCGAACTCACCAAGGCTCGCCCCGCACCCAAACAAAGACCGCGAACTGGACCGCACTCGTAATCACGATCTGCCCCACCAGACTCGCGAGCACCTTCTTCGACACTAGACTCGCCGTCGGCCGCTTGGGGTGCAGCCTAGGAAAAGGCAGTGTCCGTCCCACTACATGCACAGAGCTCGGATTAGAACACGCCTGCGATGCATCAGCGAACAAACGGCCCACTCACTGGACACGGCGACGGGAATGATAATGAACAGATCTATATATAAAAACTATACAGGCGCAAACGCATCGCATCGCATCGCATCACGAATCAACGGTCAACGCTGTGTTTGATAGCATTACATCGTGTCTCTCACCTGGAAGTCCCCTAGCGATGATGCGAACGAGTATAACAGCGTGATAGTCGTGAACTGGATGAGCGAATAAAGCGCCCTGCCGACACTCAATCAGCTCCACGAGACCTAATTGCGCAGCAGAACAACAACGCACATATACTTGAAGCACGAAAAGCTCGTCACAAGCGCAGCCCGGCCCTCCTTGATCACCTCGATCACACAGCTGATGTCCGGCGTGCTGCTCGTGAACGGCGCAGCCACCGACGCCTCCGCCTCGGACAGCGAGATGCCCACGTCGGCAGCCTTGAGCGCCGCGCAGTCGTTCGCGCCGTCGCCGCACATCAGCACAGTGTAGCCCAGCGACTGCAGCCGCTCGACAATCTCGTTCTTCTCGTCGGGAGACATGCGTGCAAAAATCTGCGCCTTGACGAGCATCTAGATCCGTGTGATGAGCGTCCATGATCAGGCAAGGAGAGCACAATGAGGGGGGCACACGTACACGCTGCAGCGTCTCGAGCGGCGCATAGTTGATCATCCATCTAAACACATCCCCCGTCACCGCAAGCGCATAATCCTGGTAATCAATCTCGTCCGCGTCCGCAGCATGGTGCGGCGGCGGTGTCTGCGGCTTCAAACTATACGCGTCGAGCTTCCACGACACGTCGTCCATACAGGACCACTCCAGCTTCGAGTGCGGCGTCGTCGGGCCGCCTACGGACGTGAGAATCAGCTCGACGAGTACCACGAAGAAGACGAAGACGACGAGGGAGAGGGAGGAGGCGTACCACTGATAAAAGCAGGCGCGAAAACGTGCGCTGCCTGGTTCACGAGACCGCACTCCCGAGCGACGCTCACGGCCGTCAGCGGATTATCGCCCGTGATCATCCGGCACGCGAGGTGCGCCGCGCGCAGCGTCTGTATGGCAGGCGCGGTGCCAGGCTTTAGCTTGTTCTCGAAGATGATCAGCCCCAGGAACTGGAGGTCCGACTCGGCTTGTTCGCTGGCGAAGAGGCGCTGAGATAGCATCGGAGTGCGACAGGTAGCAGTCCGCGTCTGTGACTCACCGCTTCATCTTCTGCGCCTTGAGCCACGACAGGCCCTCGATGCTCTTGCCCGCCATCGCGATGACACGGTATCCGCGCCTGGTATAATACGACAACAAGTCCTCATAATCCGCAGGAACTGCATCCCAAAGTCAGCACAACACCAAAAGAACAAAACACGAAAGAACCCAGCACGCACAAGACGCCCTATCACAAATCTCACTCATAACCTCCGGCGCACCCTTCACATACACCTCCATCGCACTACTCCTCAACCTCTTCACAACCACACTCATCCGCCTCAACCCCGACACAAACTCAAACGTCCTAATCACACCCAGCTCCAGAAAATGCGCGTGCCGCCCGCCAGCCTTGAGCGCGTCCTCAAGCCGGAACCGCGCGCTCCCGGGCGGCCGCACAACAGTCTGCACGAGCGCCGCGGGCCGCTCCGCGCCCCCACGCGCGCGGATGACGCCTGTGCCAGCTACGAGACCCTCCTCGAGCGTCCACCGCGTGAACTCGAACATCTTCACGTCCAGCGGATCTCCGATCACGTTGCCCCCGACCATCTTGAGCGCATGGCACGTCGCGAGCGCGTGCGTGAAGCTCGCATTGCTGCCTCCGCCCCCGCCCCCGCTATTCGCGCGCCCCCTCGCGCTGGCGTTGGCGTTGGCAGCGGCGGCAGTGGCAGAGGCAGTAATAGCAGGCACATCATGCACATCATCAATAAGCTCTCCAAACCTGTGCGCAGTACGATCGAGCGCGCGCACGCCGAGAATATCGAGCCCGTCCTCGGTGAGCGTGCCCGTCTTGTCGAAGCAGCACACGTTGATCTTGCCCGCCACGTTCACGCGCGACGGCGAGATGCAGAAGATGCCGAGCGCGCGCAGGCGCCCGATCGCGAAGCTCGTCCCGATCGAGAGTGTCGCGGGGAGCGCGGGCGGGACGACGACGGTGATGAGGTCTAGCGCGCGCACGAGGATGGTTATCCATGGGATCTGGAGGATGATTTGTGAGAGGGCGTGGAGGGTGTACGCGACGGTTGATGCTTACACCGAGGCGGACAAACTGCACTGCGCTGACGCAGAACCCGAGACCGGCGATACCAGCCAGCACAGCGATGAAGCGCATCGAGTCGCGGTAGAACTTGAACCCCATAGGCTTCGGAAACAACATCGACCTCACCAGCGCCCCCTTGGTCGTACTAAACCCTACAACCACACGCCCAATCAGCCACCACGCTCACCCCATAACCAATATTGAAACCAACACACCAGTTCGCACCACCAACCCAAGCGCCGGCCTCCCCGTCGTCCCATCTGGCGCCAACGCCCCCCGAATCCGCACCACCTTCGTCCCCGAATACACAAACGCCCTCCCGACCCCATCCCCCTGCCCCACGTCCCCCACGTCCTTCCACCGCGCCACGTCCTCGTCCCGCGCGGGCACCTTCGACACCGGCACGCTCTCGCCCGTCAGCATGCTCTCGTTCACGATCGCGTCGCCCGAGAGGAGCAGCATGTCCGCTGGGAACAGCGCGGACTGCAGCTCGGAGAGGTTGATGATGTCCCCTGGTACGAGGTCCGTCGAGTCGCGCTCTGTCCCTGATGACAGCGAGGTGGTCAGCGTGGTTGGGGGGCATTTGGGTGGACGTACATGAGCCGTCGATGAAGACGGTGACCTTGCACGAGAAGCGCGACATCTCGCGCATCCGCTTGATAGTCTAGCAGTGTCAAGTCAGCGTTATACCAGCGCACCACCGCGCACGGCTCACCTTCTTCGTGTCCATAAGTGTAGTCACAATGCTCAGCGTCGATATAAGCGCGATGCAAAAGGCATAGTAGTAATAGTCATCGAACGACCACAAAACGATGCTCGCGACCTGAAAGACGTAGAACGGATGCATGACCTAAGAAACATTGTTGTCCTCCTATTAGTTCAATCCACAACAACGCGTATGCATGCCCACCTCATTGATGAGCAGCGACGGTACGGACTTGCCCTCGATGTCAATGACATTGAGTCCAAACAGCGTCACGCGCTGCTCGCGCACGGGCTGGGGGACGCCGTTCTGCACCGACGGAATACCAGTCCACGACGGGTCCCGCCAGTCCCTAAGAAACAAAATTAAGTGCACGTCCCACCGCATACATATGCGCTGAACGACTATACCTTATAGCGCTGAAAAGGCCCGTCTGCGGATCAAGCGCGAACCGAGAATAACGATAATCGACGACCAGCAAATCGCGAAGCACCTCATCGTTGGCATTGCCCCCCGCGTGTCCATTCATCATCACACGCGCCAACGACGAGCTCGACGCTCTCCTCGACGGACCACCGTTGCCAGACGACTTGTAGGGGAAAACGGTCGACCGCCTGTACGGGTACGCCAACCGCTTGATGCGGAACAACGTGATATCCCTATGCGCAGACTGAGCCAGCTCAACGTCCGTGCGTCCCACACCCAAGCGCGAGCAGAACGTAATGAACGAAACGCACCTCGATAACCACGAACCCGTGCTTGAGGTCCTTGAACCCCCGCTCCTTGACCACCCACCGCAGCCACGTCCGCGGGAACCAGTGCCCCAGGAGCCCCAGAATCCCAGCGCTGCACACACACAGCGCCCACCAGAGGTACTGCCGCCACCGCACGATCTCGTACCCCACAAAGCGGATCGTATGGTCCTCGTCCGCGACGTACACCACCTGCCTGCTCGGCGGACCGGGCGGGGGCGGCTCGAGCGGCTCGAGCGGCATGTCGATGTTGATGCGCACCTCGTCGCCGAATATAGGGTCCGTCGTGAGCAGCGCGAGCGACGCGGACGCGGTGCCGGGCGAGGGCGGGGTCGAGCCGTACCCGTATTCGTCGTCCATCTCGCTGTCCATCATGGACGCGTTGCGCGATACGTCCGACCGCGCGTCGTTGTCGTCGTCGGAGCTGTAGAACTCTTCCCCGGAGGAATAGCCCCACCGCTCGTCGCCGTCGTCGTCTTCTTCTGTCTGCACCGCGTAGTCGGAGCCCGCGTCGGATCTGCTGCGCCGTGAGCGGCGCGTCGATGAGCCGGAGGAGCGGCGCGACATTCTGGACGAGGGACGGCGGACGAGGGAGGAGGACGGTTCGGCGACGAGACTGCGCCCAAAGAAGCCCGCGATGTTCTCGAACACGGACGCGCGCTGCGCCGAGGGCGACACAGAGTGCCTCCGGTGCCGCCCACGCAGCGCCGAGGTCTCACCTGTATCGTCGTCGTCGTCGCTGGCGTTGCCATGGCTGTCGTGATCCGAGACGCGCGACGACGAAGCCCCGCTCATCCTCCTGCTGCGCCGCTCGCCCCCGCCCCTACTCCCACCGTCCTCGCTCCGCCGCCTGCTTCTCGCCCACTCTGCGCTCCTTCTGCTCGCGGTTCCGGGTTCGTTGTACGACATGCGCGACACGCTGCTCGGCACAGCGGCGTGCGCGGGGCCGTCGAAGAGCGCGCCCTCGCCGCTTGCGCCGGCGTACGCCTCGTGGAGGGAGGCGCGGCGCGAGCGCGAGGAGCGCTCCGCTGCTGCGTCTATGTCGATAGCTGAGGCGCCTTCTGTGTAGTCGTTCATTCTGTTTGTTCCGCCGCTGTTGGTCGGCATGGTGGGCGGGCCCGGGGAGCGATAAGCTGGCTGCGAGGGAAAGAAGCGCGGGGAGGGTTGGTCGGCTAATTCCGGGCCTTGGACTCTTATGCAACTTTCGTCACAGACTATCACATATGTTACTTGGAGTTCAGTCAGCTCAAAGCATCGTTTTCTAGGCTTGACGCCCATCCTAAACCAACCAGCCCCTGCGATGAGGCTCCCAGACATTCAACGTCAAAAAAATATTCCATGGGGATTTTCCAGCTCTTTCGTTGCGAGAGCCACGCGGAATGTCCATGTCATGAACACCTTACACGTTGATGGCATTCAAACAAATTCCACCCCACATTTCCTTGCTTTCTGAACTGAGCTGCCCCAGATGTAAGGCGGAGAGCTTACAGTTCCACCCCGCATATACCCACTTTCTGAGTTGAACCGCCCCAGTGAGAACGGGGTTAACTTGAGCTAATGGCCGCTCGTGTTGGCGCAGTCGACTCAACTGACATGATTATACCACTGCCATGTTTTGAGACGACATAGCCCATTGACAAGCAAGGTTGGCCCAGTGTCTTGCGGATTCGTCTGCAGCTGGTTATGTAGTTCCTTGAGGAATAGACTGGTAGACCAGGAGTCGATGCAAGAAGATGATCACAAAGGTTGTCAATGATAGAATCAGATATTGCAGATGTAACGAGACCAAGGGATCTGATTGACCGACGGAAGAGACGTCAGAGAAATGGAGAGCTTGGCATTCCGTCGCTGTCTCAACGCCGTCTTGGCTCGAACGTGCGACTGCGCCTTTCATACTCACACTCTTCTACCCCACCCCCACCCTCTCTTTCATCTCCTTCCTACCTACCACTTCACTGCTCAACAATGGCTGCCGACAAGAAACGCCGCCTCAAGATCCTGCGATCGTATGCCCCGGACTGGTGCGTTCATTTCATGTCCTACTTGGACAATGCTCACCGCATGCCGCAGGATCCTCACTATCGCTCTTGCGTACGCACTATCCCACAGAACCATGCCTTCACGGTGCTGATACCAGGAACGCACTGTGTGTTCTCGACAGCGTCGTCTTCTTCTCCCTCAACGTCGTCCATGGCTACCGGCGCGAGTTCTCCGTTGAAGACAAGACGTGCGTTCCCCACACACGTCCTAGACAATGGACGCACTGACCATTTTCCACGTGTACAGTATCAGCTTTCCGTACGTACACCCATCTCCTCTCACCTGCGTTTTGCCCTACTGAGGTGCCTGTCCAGCTTCGCCGTGCATGAACGTGTGCCGGTATGCTCTCCCTCTCCTTCTGATTGGGTGTGAGACTGATTCACGCGCTGCATTATCATTGTGATACACGAGCAAAGAACATCGCGCTCTACTTCATCGCCATCGTATCCCCCATCGTCATCCAAGCCACCGTCAACCTCCTCACCGTGCGCTCCTTCTGGGACTTCCACAACAGCACCCTCGGCCGTGCGTACTCGCCCTCCTCCCTATTCTAGTATAAGCATACTCACCCTCATTACCTAACGGGTCTCGCCGCACAGTCATCCTAGGCCTCGTCATCACCGGCGCCGTTACGCAGTTCACCAAGATCACCGTCGGCCGCCCGCGCCCGGACCTCCTCTCCCGGTGCATGCCCATCACAGGCACCGCAGACCCGACGTACGGGCTCGTGTCCGACGCGGTGTGCACGAACACGAACGAGAAGATCATGATCGACGGGTGGAGGAGCTTTCCGAGCGGGCATGCGAGTCGTGCGTGGTTCCCGTGTAAACGCTGGCCATGTGCTGGAGACTCATCTTTTTTTTGTAGTGTCGTTCGCGGGGCTTGGGTTCTTGTCGTTCTATCTCGCTGGGAAACTCCACTTGTTCGATACTCGGGGCCACGCTGTAAGTACCGCGTCCTCCTGGACCACGGCTCATTCATAACCTTACCTCTCTCTTGATCACACATAGCCCAAAGCATGGATCGCAATCACACCCCTCTTCGGCGCCGCCCTCGTCGCCATCTCACGTACAATGGACTCGCGCCGTAAGCCTCTCCTCCCGCCCCACACCCAAATCGCAATCACACTCACATCTACCATCCAAATCGCACGCTGACACTCCACCCCCCAAAACAGACCACTGGCAAGACGTAACAGTCGGCTCCCTCCTCGGCCTCATCGTCTCCTATTTCTCCTACCGCCAATACTTCCCGCACCTCGCCGCGCCCACCTCGCACCGCCCGCATTCGCCGCGCGTGCCGCACGACGCCGACGACCATACAGATGGGATTCTCCCCACGCACGTGCACCCCGCGCACAGCCGGCCTGCGGCGGGCCACGCGCCGCCGCAGCACTACAGGGACAGCTCGGGCGAGCAGCTCGAGTTGCTGGACGGGACGGTGCAGAAGGCGCAGCCGCCGGCGTTGCGGGATATGTGGCATGCGGGGGAGGACAGGGATGCGCGGGGGCGCGGGGGGAGTCAGGACTCTTCGGTGCATACCTGAGTTGGCGGTTATGTTTGTTGACTGGACGATGTGTACTGTATATATGACCAGCGGACGATTGATACCTATGGCGGGGTGGCTTATGCCCTCATTTGACGGTTGATGGAGTGCGGGGTTCTCAAGCTCTGCGAACTGCATCACGCATGAAAAGGGTATTGCACCGTAAAATCAATACAAAATGAAAAATGGCTGTCCAGAGGAACTGGTAACAGACGAGCAAGACAAAGGAAGACAGACTATGTATCGATATGATATCCAGGAGAACGAAGCAGACGAGACCCAGCCCTACAATCCAACCCAGCCCAGCCCTACCAGACCACACAGCATCCAACATCCTCCAGCATCACCCCAGATACTTCCATATGAAGAAGAAACACACGAACGTGATCACCGCGCCGCCGAAGAAAATGTACATGTCCTGCGTACTGCACCCCATCAACCACACCGGCATCAGCCACCATCCTCAATTCGCCTCGAACCCAAAACCAAAGCAAACGCACCTCCGCCTTTCAATCCACCCAACAACCTCCCGACTCATCCCCAGCGTATTCGCCGCATCCAGCAGGCGCCGCTGCGTGCCCTTGAGCACCGCGCGCTGGTCCACGAGCGAGTCGAGCACCTCGCGCCCCTGCGCGAGGAACTCGTCCAGCCGCGTTTCGGTCTCGTGCAGGAAGGTGTGTTCGTGCAGGGCGTGCGTTTCGCGCAGGGCGCTGTTGCCCATCCCCATGCCCATCGAGCCGCTGGCGGAGAAGGGCGATTCGGAGTGTTGGGATTCTTGCGAGAAGGGTTGGTGCTGTGATTGGGAGTGCGATTGGGAGGGAGCGAAGCGCCGGCGGGCGTCGGATGCGCCGGGGGAGAAGGGCTGGGATTGGCCGGAGGTTTGGGCGTGGAGGAGCTCGGAGCGCTGTGTGTTTTGGTGCTGTGTACGTATATGTTCCATAAACAAGAACGAGTTAGAGGGCCATGCGATGCAGCTAACGAGGCTGAGGGTAAGGGTGAGATCGTGCGCACCACGTTCTTGAGCCGCTCGAACTGCGTCCGCAGGTCGTTGTAGTCCGCGCGGAACTTCTGCACCCGCCTGCGCGTCCGATCGTTCAGAGTTCAGGACGTGGTACGGAGCATAGGCACAGAGTATCGGAGATACGGAATTGGATGGAACATATAAGCACACCGCACAATTTAAACTGAGAAAGGGCACAACGTACATCTGCGCCTTCTCCTGCTTCGCCTTGATCATCTCGCGGCGCGCCATAGCATCATAGTCGTCCACAGTCCGCTGCATCGCGGCGAGCGACGCCGATATCTGCCCTAACGAGGTGCGCTGTGAGTATATGCAGGATGACCAGCAGCAAGACTACGGCTTCGCGGTGCGTAGCGTGTAGCATAACACGGGCGCGTTGTGGAGGGAGATGAGACAGATGCAGACCTAGGAGAGACGCGGACGTGTCGCCGCCGCGCAGGCGGTCGAGGTCTGCCTGGAGGGAGTTGGTCTGTCGGACGCCGAGAGTGTATAGCGAGTTCATGTTACAGTAATAGGAAGAGGAAGAGAGGATGCAATTATTACGCGCAACGTTGAGGCCGGCGTGTCAGGCGCGTAGTGGCAGTGCTGCTCAGTGGCAGTGCTACTCCGGCATGGCGGCACGCGCCCCCGGGCATCGTACCCCCGAAACCGTCGCCGAATTGCCCGGGCTTGCAAGGCACGAGAGAAATTCGAGAATTCCTCGTCAACTGGGCATATGTTTATTGACGAGAAGATAATCAAAACCCGAACATTTGGACGCCAGAGGTCACAAGCTCAGCCGTGCACATGCAACACAGATAATCAAACTGTGGGCGAACACAGAGACCGTTCATCGCCGTCTGCCTTTCTTCGACACCTTCCCGCCCGCTCTCTCTGCCTTTTCAGTCCTCCGTGCAAACTGTTTCGTGCGCGTCGTCTTGCGCTCCGCCTTGGTCTCGTACTTGACCTTTTTCCCCTTCGCCTTTTCTTTCTTCCCCGACGACACCGACGCCCCCTTCTTCTCCGCCCGCCCATCGTCCCTGTTCTTCGCCTTCCCTTTGGGTAAAGCGCGCGTCCGAGGATCACCGCCGTCGCCCGCAGACCGAGAGTCGCCATGTGGATCTGTCTCGGATGTCGACGCCTCCGGGCCATAGATGAATGAGGAGGGATCAAAGTCCTCCACGACGGTGACCGTCGCGAGCTGCTCCTCGTTCTCGAACTCCATATCCTCCTCAACTCCCGCATCATCCTGCGCGTCCGGGCCCGCTGTTAGTCCATCCCAACCATTTCCCGAGTTGGCGAGCTCGGGTGACCCTGGTTGGTTGGCAAATTAGTGTGTGTGTTGCGTGGAGGAGAGCAGGGTAGCGTGGTGGCGGTGGCGCAGTGTCAGGAGTTGTCGACAGAGCAACAAATGCAGGAACAGCCACCCAATATTAGAAATACATGAGTGCATACGCGGCTGGGGCTGAGTTGAGATTCTCACCGCCGGCCGCCCCGTACGCTCCTTCGACTTCTGCAGCGTTCTGCGCAGCCCTCTCTGCGAGTAGACGTCGATGCTGGATAGGTGGACGGATAGGAGGCACGTTACGGCACGACACGGTACCGAGTTATCGTGTTGGGGGCGTCAAAAAACTGAATCAACAACGTCAGAAGAAGCGGGAGAGCACCTCTCTTCTAGCCTCGAGCCTCGCTTCCTTGTCTCGCGCGACCGCCTTCTCTTTCGCGGCCTTCTGCTTCGCGACCTTGCGCTTGTGAAAGCCGGTGAGATATTCCCTTGCGAAAGGTGTCAAAGGGGAGTGTCAGCGGGTGATGATGGCAACCGTTTATGATATGATTCGGACGGTTATTTGATGAGACGGGACAGAGTGCATTAGTCTGCATACGGTGCGTACCTCCGGGCAGCGTCGTCAAAGACGATCTCGTTGATCTGGTCCTTTTTTGCGCGGCGTTTGGCTGCACGGACGTCATGGTGGCGGGTGAGGATCGCGAGGTTGGACATGGTTTGAGTTTGAGTTTGGGAGGAGCTGTATAAGGATCGGTGCCGGCGCGGTGGTGGTGGTGGTGGTGGTGGTCGAGATCGGGGCCAGCGGAATAATTAAGGAATGTATTATGAAGTGTATAAGACTCTCTCCCTCTTTCTCCTCCCTCTCCCATCACCCCTCCCCATCACCCACAGAACCGCTCAATGCCCGCCATCGCTGCTGGCGACGGCGAGCCACACTCCGGTCTGCTATATACCTCGACCACGACAGGCAGCCACCCACCCCTCGTCAGCAGCCCACACCGCGGTTCCTCCCCCTCCTCCTCTTCTTCCTCACCCGACCCCTCCGTCCCCCACGTTCCTTACGACGCCGCCACCACCACAGGCACAAGCTCCTTTCTCAACACCCAGGGTCCCTTTTACGACCGTGGCTTCCCACCCACCGCGTACTCCCTTCACCCGCATATATCTACCCAGCCCGCCATGTTCAACTACTTTGCATACCCCCCGCACGGTGCCCACGCAGCCTGGACCAACATGCCCATGATCCAGCACAACCCCTATCCCCCTGCTCCCCCGCCGCCCCCGCCGCTCCTCCACAAGGTCTGGATCATCGACTGCAAGACCTGCGGCACGTTTCTCACCAACCGCGGGATGAAGGTACGCCTTCTCCTCTCATTTAATCGCACCGTCCGAATATTCATCTAACCACCGCATCGCGCCCCTCAAGGCCGTCCTGCTCCTCCGACCGAACGTCTCGCTTTATTCGACCGACGCGCTGCCCGTCAACTGCGCCGCGTACACGACGAACCCCGAGGCGCTCAAGCCGCCGCCCTGCCGCCCGCTGCAGGCCCCGCTGTTCCCGCCGCGCACGTGCGAGTGTCTGACGCAGACGCTGTGTTGCACGACGTGCGGCACGCCCGTGGGGTACATGATCGTCACTCCCGTAAGCAGCTCTCCCACCGCCCTGTCTGTACCCCACACACCGCTCCATCACTGGGCGTTCCGCGCCGTTCATGTCCCATGTCCCATGCCATTCACACGCCGCTGATGCTATTGCTGACGCTCCCACCGACCCATCGTTCTCCCCGTTCCGTCCGTTGTTTACTGTTTACTTATTCATTCACACTTCTGCATCCGCAGTGCGCACGCTGCACATCCTCGATCACCGCCACGAACCGCGCGACGAACGGCCACCGGTTCGTCTTCCACTCGTCCGAGGTCACGCCCTCGGAGCGACACCACGTCCCCGGCGAGCCAGGCGTCATCCCCGTGGACGCACCCCTGCCGAGCTCCGCCCTGCCGCCCCCGCCTCCGCCTCCGCCTCCGCCCGTGCCCTCGTCCTCGCCCCCACCTGGTATGTCCCACGGCGCGTATAGACCGTACGGGTACAGCAGCGCGCGGGGCGAGTCTCCGCCCCCGCTTGAGCCTGCGGATCCGGCGCGGTACCGTCTCGTGCGTGTGCAGGGCGTGAGTCCGCCGCAGAGTCCGCCGCCGCTGTCGTCAACGACTGCTACGAATGGAAACGCAGCGACGGGCTCGGGCGCCATGCGGCGCGGCTCGCTCCAAAGTTCAGGCTCAGGTTCAGGCTCGGGCTCAGGCTCGGACTCGGGCCACCCCACGGCGCAGCAGCCAGAACAACCACGCGGTGTGCCCGGCGAGCAGCGCGACGCGCCGCTGGTGAAGCTCCGCGCGGGCGACGTGTTGTACTGGCACCACCTCGTCAAGACGGGGGAGATACCCGGTGTGCACGAGGATAAGCGGGCGCGCCGGCCCGCTCCTGTTGTTGGTGCTGGTGCTGCGAGACGCGCGCCCATGCACTTTGACCGATGAATGGTCTGGGTGGATGAAGCGGGCGCTGTAGACGATTGTGCTATATGCCAGCTCGGGCTGGGCGAGGGGCTAGACGGTCCATATGGCCCTCGCAGAGAGGTTTTTGTCCGGCCTATGATTTGGGGTCGATGACGCGTGGGGCACACAACGCCTGAACGGTCCTCCACGCTGGGCCCATAATCCCTCACCCATTCACCTGTCCAAATAACGATAATCGGCTCTTTTGACGACTTTTTTCACGAACATCCGATACCTGGCTGGTCTCCCCTTTCCCCCCTTTCCTTGTCTCTTTTTTATTATAAACTTATTCTTTGTGTGCTATTGTTGTTGTTTTTAACCCGTTCCTCTTTCTCTTCCTCCTTCTCATTCTCGTGCTTTCTCATTCTTTCTTTCTTGACTCGGAGGCGGCGCCACGCCGCGCCACGCCACGGACAATCACGGTCACGGCCACGGTTCTCGATTCTCGATTCCCCCCGCATCCCCGTATCGTACTTATTGGTTCTTCTTGTCAGCCAGCCAGCCAGCATCCAGCACCACCCACGACCAAGGATACCACTCCGTATACCCTGTTTATCAAATCAAGTATGCCCCGTCCCTCCCGGGCTCGAATTCCCATCCCCCATTGAACGAGTACCTGTTTTCCCCTCACCTCACCTCACCTCAACGATTCCATCTGCTCTCATGTGCCTATAGCTGTACCATCTCCTTGTCCCTCGTCCCCGCCCAACGGTCCTCCTTCCAACAATATACCTTTGTTCCCGGTACATCGCCGGCAGCCCTGGCTTTTCCCTGCTGCTGCTGCGAAAACATCACGCGCGTACCTTTCTTTCGTTTCGTTTCGTTTATATCGCTGTCGTTTACATAGACTTTGGGTTTTTGTGCGCCGGTTTTTCTTCTTTTTTGCGATTTTTTCTTCTTTGTTTTCTTTAATTATTAATATGGAATGGAATGGAATGTGTAGGGACGAGACGCTGAATACCAAAGACCCAAGACGAAAGGCTGGCCAGAATCTGGGAACGCGTATGCGGGGTCTGGTGGCGTTGGATTTGGATTTGGATTTGGATGAATCAGAATCAGAGTCAGAATCAGAATCAGAAAGCGGTGCGTAGTGAGTACGAGTACCGGGTAAACAGACGAAGAGAACGCGCAGAACAAAAGCGTTTTTTCTTCTTCTTTTTCTTCTTCATCCATGTGCCCTGCATACCGTATGCAAGGGCGGGCACGTACGCACACGGTACCGCCGTGAACAATGTCATAGTGGCCCAGATGGGCTTCCTCTCGGGATGGACTGTGGCGTAAATGAAGGTGCGAAAGGATTCCGTCATTGGGTGATATATAAGTGTATTGTGTGATCTCAGATCTGGGTGTTGCAGTGCAATTTAGAAGCTGGGAACTTTCCCGGGACTGTCCCTCGGAGCCACTGGGAGGTGGGTCCACGTGGACGACGTGTGCGAAGTTCGAGGTGCTGTGAACGTTATGAAGGTGGATGTCGATAGCTAACTTATGGTGTACATACGTAACGATAAGCTGAACTTTAGATTTCCTGGGAGACATTCAGATCGTCTTGTGATGGTGTCTGAGCGTCAGACTTGGGCTGTGGGAGAGCGTGGTTTATATTTCTGTACGTACCGCCACAAACATCGCCAAAGTTTTCATAACGATATAACGTTCATCAGACCCGGGGCGTCTTTTCATTTTCGGACGAGATGATCGTGCGGGGGTGGCTGGAGGGCGCGCAGGGGGATCGTCGCTGGTTTACTTTGTATACGCGACACCGACTTGGAAGGTCGGGCGCTTAAACAACTTGGCGGCAGCTTCCGGATTCCGGGTCTTGCCACTCGGTCGCTCAAGCTTTCAACTTCAAGCTGTGATGCCGACGAGGCGACGACGTCTCCTGTCTCGGATAATGCTAGAATCACAATAGCCTCGTCTCGGTCCGCCGTTGCTTTCTGCCTCCCCTTTCTCGGACCCTAGCTGTCAACCGCCACGCTCGCACCATACCCCTGCCGCGCTCAGAGAGAGGCGACACGCCGGCGAAACCTCGGCAATCGGCCAACGATGGCGAGCGCAGAAGGTCCCGTCTTGCGGGGTACAGTGCGTTCCCCCTGGGGCCTCATGACTCCTGGATAATCTTAGGGTGAACCTCTCTGCCCTTTCCGACGCTGCGCTCAGCGCGGTATTAAAGGATGCCGCGGGAAGCGGGGCGCATTCCGTGGTCGCTATCGTCCTTGTCCCTGTACTTGCCCCTTCAGCGCTCAGTGAAACATTGAAATGTCATCGTATCTCAAGGTCGAGGGTACGAAGATTGTCGATGGGCAGGGTAATGAGGTTATCCTCAGAGGCGCGGGTCTCGGTGGCTGGATGAAGTGAGTACATGTATGGGAAGACTGGACAGCAGAGATTGACATAGCATTGGCCGTAAGCATGGAGAACTTCATCTCTGGTTATCCGGGCTGTGAGTACCAGATTCGTGAGGCGCTCGCGGATGTGCTGGGCGAGAAAAAAAGCGAGTTTTTCTTTGACAAGGTGAGTCTTAGGGCAACGCCTCCAAGACGAAGAGACGGGTTCCTTACGAGTCACACAGTTCCTCGAGTACTTTTTCGAGGAGAAGGACGCTGCCTTCTTCCAGAGCCTCGGGCTGAACTGCATTCGCCTGCCCTTCAACTACAGACACTTTGAAGGTGCGAAACGATGGCGCTCGGCGCTCCGCCATTGTTCTCGCTCACAGCAGTCCTGCCTCAGATGACATGAACCCCCGCGTTCTAAAAAAAGAGGGCTTCAAGCACCTTGACCGTGTGATTGACCTGTGCTCCAAGTACGGCATCTACACCATCCTCGACCTGCACACCGCGCCCGGCGGGCAGAACGTCGACTGGCACTCCGACTCGGGTGTACACATCGCCAACTTTTGGAACCACAAGGACTTCCAGGACCGCACGCTCTGGCTCTGGTCCGAGCTCGCCGCGCACTACAAAGACAACAAGTGGATCGCGGGCTACAACCCGCTCAACGAGCCCACAGACCCCAAGCACACGCGCGTCGTCGCGTTCTACGAGCGCATGTACGCCGCGATCCGCGCCGTCGACGCGGACCACGCGCTCTTCTTCGACGGCAACACCTTCGCGTCCGACTTTTCGCACTTTGGCGACGTGCACACCCGGTGGACGAACACCGCGTACTCGATCCACGACTACTCCGTGTTCGGGTTCCCCGCGTCGCCCGAGCCGTACGCGAGCACGGACGCGCAGCAGGCGCGCATGCGCAGGTCGTACGAGCGCAAGCGCGCGTGGATGGACGAGCGCGGGCTGTGCGTGTGGAACGGCGAGTGGGGCCCTGTGTATGCGCGCGTGCAGTTCGAAGGGGCCGCGACGGACGCGATCAACGAGCAGCGGTACGCCGTCCTCAAGGACCAGCTCGACATATACAACAAGGTGCGTTCCCCCCTCCTCTCTCCGCTTCCGCCTTCTTTACTCAAACGCCCCCGTCCTTCGCAGGACCGGCTGAGCTGGTCCATCTGGCTATACAAAGACATCGGCTTCCAGGGCATGGTCTACGTCAGCCTCAAAACGCCCTACATGACCCTCCTCAAAGACTTCCTCGCCAAAAAACAGCGGCTCGCCGTCGACGCCTGGGGCACAGACGACTCCGCCGTCCGCCACATCTACGCGCCGCTCATCAAGCACCTCGAGGACGAGATCCCCAAGGAGAACCAGCACATGTACCCGTACCCGGTCTGGACGCTCGCCTCGCGCGTCGGCCGTCTCGCGCGCAGCCTCCTTGTCGGCGAGTACCTCGTCAAGGAGTGGGCCGAGGCGTTCCGCGGTAAGAGCGAGGCGGAGCTCGACGAGATCGCGCAGAGCTTCAGGTTCGACAGCTGTCTGCACCGCGACGGGCTCAACAAGATTCTGACGGCGAACGCGAACCTTGTCGGGAACTGAGGTGGCTAAACGTTGGAAGTAATTGACAATGTACTCGTATCCTTTGACCTCTTGTATCAGGGTGAACGTCTGAATTATAGCCATGTAGCAGAAATTTACGCATTTGAGGTCTTGCGCTGCTTCCAGGGGAATTCCAGCTTGTTGGTGCTTTCTTGGAGACCTAGCAGGAAGCGGCGCAGGGTGTCATTTGAAGGTATTATGATTAACACATAGTAAACTTGATGCCAACATTACACAAACGTTAATCTTACACAACTCCATCATGCACCGCCTAAACCATATTATGCGCCCAGCTCTCAACATGCTACGGTAGTTCAGAAGTTATAGCAGAAAAACAAAGACTTCGCGCACCTTACGACAGAAGCTCCTTATCCAGCGAGACGTGCTATTCGACCTCCCGCTCGTCATCTCCTCGAGGACAGACTGCCGCCTCGCAGCCAGCACACACGTCTCCGTATGAAACCGCGTCGAAAGGCGGCCCCGGGTCCTAACCTAACAACACGCGCACTGCCGTCAGCCCGAGCCACAGCGAGATCATACAAGGTCACCGACGGCTAGTGAGGTGCGGTGTTCGTCCCTGCCCGAGTCCCCGAGTGACGTACTAGTATCGGTGTCGCCGTGCGAGCCTACCTTGATCGACATGGTCCCGGTGCTCTCAAGCCAGAGCTGCCACAGACATTCGTCCCAGTCGCGAGTGCGCGATCCGTAGAGAAACAGACGTTCGGTACACCATACCGGATGATCGCGGGGCATCAGAACGGGGGACAGCGCCGGAAACGGATACGCGTGCGCGCTCGCGCTCTCGTTGACCAGGATCGTCACCGGGCTCGCTGGGTGGGTGCCGGTGCCGCCGTTGTCTCCCAGAAGCTGAAGGTCCGACGACGAGAAACTCGAGATCGAGGGAAAGAGGGCGACAGAAGCGGTTTGGGAGAGCAGCCTCGCAGCGTTGAGGTATGCGTTTCGAGAGATCTCCGAGGTGACGGGATCGTGCATGATGTGCACGGAGAGTCGGGACCCCAGCTCCTCAGCGGCTAGATTGGCAACGCCTGCCCGCACGGTATCGAGGTCCAACGACACGCCCTTGGAAGCCAGAACCAGAGAGATAGGACCTATTTGAGAAAGTTGATGAGGTCGTGTTACGCTTACACACAACGCTCGGTGCACCAACCTGACCAAGAACTTGCAGCCAAAGCACCGACCGTCTCCTCGACTCTCTTCTCGTCCGTCCAGAGACAAACAGTCAGCGAGGAACCAATAGCCCCACTTGCAGCTCCGCGCAGCACATACGGATGGACAGACATGGACGGCGGCAGCTCAGCAAAGGCCATCGAGAGGTGCCGATCGAGAGGAAAGTCCGAGTAATAATCCGAGGAAGAAGAGGAAGCACTCTCTTGCGAGCTTTCGAGAAGCAGAGACGTCGACGAGCTCCCACGGACGACGAAGAGCGCTTTTCCGATTAGCTGCGAAGACGCGAAGACGACGCTGACCAGACAGTACACGAGAATGAGCACGCGCGCGCTCAGCATCCTTGCGCCGATCACGCCGTCCCAGAGCGCCACCAACAGTCTGTTGGCGAGTGACCAGAGCCGAGGGCCGTCGTGAACGTCGTTTTCGTGGAGGAAGCGGCTCGAGCCTGAATGGGATTTGGTGGTATGGTGCCTGTACCCCGCCGCGACACGCACGCTGGACCCTCTATAGCGGCGCAGAGATTTTGGAGTCATGGTGCTGCTCGGTCTCCTTCCTGAGCGGGTCAAGAGGTGTTGGTTCACTGGAGTCCACGCACCAGCTGGAGAAGAAGGGGCAATTGCATAGCCACCGACTAGTGCGACCGCCAACTTGACCAAGGCTCAGAGACAGGCCTGCAATGCTACGATGCATTTATGCATTTTGTAGAGATAAAACTGCGTTATGCAATACACAATTAAGACTGCTCTGCTATGCGTCCTCAATTGCGTTCCAAGTCGACGATACCCGCAGATGGCTCCTTGAACCAAACCGTAACCTCACTCAGGCCCGGCGGTGGACCCATCTACTCATAATCCTCCTCCACATCCCCAAACTCAAACATCCCAAGCCTATCCCGCTTCGCGCCCTCAACTGCCTGCCTCAGCTTCCGCGCGACCTGCGCATACGCCGCGAGATACCTGCACCCCTTGCGGTCGATCGCCGCGAGACCCTCGCGGAGCAAATCCGCGTTGACGCACGCCAGCGGGTCCTCCTGCGCCGCGGGATCGCTCGGGTCGATCAGCCGCAGGTGCAGCAGCGCGCCTTCGCGGTGGTCCACGTTTGCGACCAGCTTGCGGCCCTCGCACAGCGCCCGGAAGCGGTCGATCGCCTCGGGCTGGTACTCGCTGTTGTCGTCGGGCAGCTTGATGAAGCTGAAGATATCATGTTTTTGATGGGTGGATATCAGCTTATATCGGTGCTGGAAAACACGCCACGCACCTGAGCCGCGCATCGTGCGCCTGGCCAGGCAACGAGCGAAACTTGGGGTCCAGCGGCCGGATATCCTTGAACGCGACAGTGTCCTGGTTGCCGTAGTCGATGAACGTCACCTCCGCCTCCTTCTTGACGGGCGAGGCACGGCGGATCTTCGCACGATACCATGAGCCATCCGAGAATTTTGCGGACACGAGGTCACCGCCTTTGGGCATGAAGCCGGCGGGCACGACCGCCGACTTGTGGTGCAGTGAGAAGTCGCGCATGAGCTGCTCTAGCGATGCGATACCTGCGAATCGTGCGATGAGATGTTGGCTCGGACGTAGCGTTCAGAGTCCCAGCATACCCTCGGTGTTCAGTATCTGTACGGAGAACGTAAGCCCGTTCTTCGGACGAACGTCACTGATGATGACGTCCATGTACTCTGTCTTCAACGGGGCGTTGTCATCCGGCACTTCCTCAATTACCTGCTCGGCAGACTCGTCGTAATCTTGCCACAACTGAAGAGAAACCCCACGTCAGCCCTCTACATGTCCCAAAAAACACAGTCACTCACGTTCCGTTTTGCCTTCTTCGCTTCTGCCTTTCACAAGGAACAAAAAAACAAGATGAGCATCATCAACCCACCCAAAACCCCACCCAAACCCTCACCTCCGCCTCATACAACTGCCCCGCCCAGCTCAATGCCTCCGCCGAAAACGCATGCACACTCGCCAGCCCCTCCCGCACCAGCGCAACCGCCGCGTTCTCGCCCCGGAGATACAGCGCGCCAATGAACCCGCCCGACTTGTCCACCGTGTCCACCTCGAACTCGACGTCGCGCTGCATATACCGCCGGCTCGCGAACTCGGCCGCCTCCGCGCCGCACGGCTCGCTCTTCTCCGTCGCGTTGCGCGCCGTACGCGGCGCACGGATCCCGCCGAGCACGAGCGTCAGCACCTGGTTGTCGCGCGGCAGGAGCAGTCTGTGAGCCGGGCCGCGCGTCAGTCGACGTACCATGCACATGACGAGACCGCACTTACTTGAATCGTGAGCCAGCAGCGACGTAGTCGACGATGGCTGGGATTTTGCCTTGTCTCTTGAAGCCGTTGATGAACGGGGTGGCACGACTTGACGACTAGCCGGGCCCATTGATACAGGAGTCGGAGGAAGTAAGCTAGAGGGCACGTACCTCGGAGATGTTCAGCGGCTGCTTCGGCGCGGGCTGTTCCTTGGTCGAGTACATCCCACGACCTTCCGTCGAGGCACTGTCCAACACAAGTCCAATTAAAATGCGAATACTGCAAAATCAGGACGACCCAGAAACCAACTCACATCTGCTCAGCAGCCATCAGCTTATCATAGTCGGGCGACCTGTCCTCGTCGTCCCGCCGATGCCGCACAACGCCAGCCAACCCTTTTTCGATAAGCTGCTCAGCAACGTTCCTGTCCATATCCATATGCATACACGCGAAGCCAGTCAGCCGACAAAACCGAAGAAACCATGCCGAGAGAAAAAAAATCGAAAAGAGACGCACGTGTTCTGCCCACCATAGCGCACCGTCGCACACTCCCTTTCCTCGAATCCGCCCTCGGGCGGGCGCACAAAGTCGACTGTGACCTTGACATGCTTTCCGATCAACCGCTTGCGCAGGAACTCGCGCGCCTCCTGCGCATAAAACGCCTGCTTCGGGTCCGACACCCTGTCCTCACCGTCGTCAGCCTTTTCCACAAACGCATAAGAACACAGCCAAAAAAAAAAGTGCGCACTTGGGCCCCCTCGTCGAACTCAACTGCACCCTCCGCTCCTTACCCGTCTCTTTATCCGCAACCGTAACCTGATCCGCGCTCCACACGCGCACAACCGTCCCGTCAAACACGCGCGGCAGCCCGCTCCCACCTCCGCTTCCCGCCGCCGCCCCGTTCGACTTCCCAGAGGCCCCCGCGCCCGACGCACCCGACGCACCCGACGCACCCGACGCAGCAGCACCAGGCGCCTGCGCGTACAACCCCAGCCTACGCTCCTTCGCCGCACGCTCCGCCGCGCGCAACCGCTCCATCCCGCCGCCCGCCGCAAGCATCCCAGCGTGCCAGTCCACAACGCGCGCGAGCCCAGCGCCGACGAGGAACTCCGCGACGTTGCCCGCGGGGTGCAGGACCGCGCCGATGAAGATCGACGCGGGCGCGGGCGCGCTCTGCTGGCTCGACGCGCTCGACTGGAACGGCGTCGCCGCCGCCGTCGGGAGCGAGAGGATCGTGACTTTGACGCCGCGCTGGAGGAGTCTTGATTCTGTGAAAAACTTGGCCTGTGGTAGCGTGGCGTAGCATGGGTTGAGGTCCGTCAGTCAATACTGCGCAGCACGCGAGGAGCAACAGCCAACAGCGGTTTCTCGATGCTCACCTCCTCGCCCCACGGCTCCGACACCTCGCCCTGTTTTGACGCCACTTTAGCACACCGCACGCCGGCGAGAGCAATGTTGACTAGCTGATGCACGCGGTCGGGCAAGAAAAGGCGGATGCGGAGCGTCGATCCGTCGCGAACCTGCTCGACGAGGCCTGGTGGAGTGTTCAGCCACCAATGGCAAAACAAGAAAATAAAAACAACGCACCATCTATCGATTTGCCCTTCCACTCCGTCACAAACGCCTGCGAATCCTCAGGCATCGTATAATGCACCTCAACAGCCTGCAATCCAAAGAATCCGTCAGATCACGTGACGCAAAGTCAGTAAGAACATAAAAATCCACATAGGAAAATAAAAACCCAAGTACACGGCAAGAGTGAAAGCACCGAAAAACGCACCTGCGGCCCATGCGGATTCCACAACCCCTTCCCCGCCGCCCTCGCCTCAGCCTCGACATCGCGCTTCCGCGCGTCCTCGTCGGTCGCCTCGCGCTTCGATACCTCTTTCAGCTTCGCCCAGCCGGCCTTGAGCATCTCGGAGGCGACGTCCGCGCCTGCGATCTCGGCGGTGCCGACGTCGCGCTGGACGTCGTCGGTGGCGGCGTTAGGGTTGGCGGGGAGGCTGTGGATGGAGGTGAAGGAGACTTCTTTGCCGACTGCGACGGCGCGGAGGAAGTCGCGCGATTCGAACGCCCAGGGCTTTGAGAAGCAGATGCAGATGCAGATGCATATGCGATGTGTGTGATTTGGGGGAGGGTCGTGTAGAGCGGTACGATCGTGTGTGGTGTGTTTAATGATTTTTGCGAGGCGCAGCGCGTGATCACGGTCGATGGTGATGGGGGGAGGAAAACACGCGTCAGGTCAGTCGGGCACAACGCAAGTGTCGCCGGTGCGCACCTCGTCCTCACGCGTAGTATTCCCCATCCGCGGCGCGGCGATATCAGCGATATGCAGGATCCTGCCATTGCCCCACAAATCGCCTCGTCAGCCGAACGCCCGCACACCTACCCAAAGCACGCAGGCAGACGCACCGTTCCTTGGGAGCCTGGCCCTGTGGACCGGGACGGCCACGCAGAACGAGGGTGTCCCCAGAGAGGACGGCTGGGACATGGGAGCAAGGGGATGAGGAAGCAGGAAGCAGGATTTAGAGTTGCGTGTAGGCGCACGACCACTCACACTTGACGATCTGTTAACCATATAAAGAGCTTGAGCGTCTGTGCCAATGGACCACGGAACATACTATGGGCGCACTTACAGCTTTCATGGACATGTCGACCGGAAAAGATGGACAAGGCTAGAGAGAAGGGCAATTTCTGATTTTTATGGTCGAGGGATGGTGGGAGGTGAGGAGGATGGCAATATCCAACGTGGCGCGTTCGTGTCTGCCCCGCACTCGAAATATCGATCATGGCCCTGGGAATTTTGAGAAACGCTGCTTCTCCTTACAGCTCCTTATAATCTTGTTTCTACTCTCCGTCAGCACCCGCTTGATCGTCCCGGCAATATCCTACAATGCGCACCCCACGTTGGTGCTCCAGGCAATCACTAGAATCACTCATGGGCACCATGATGGAGTCACCAGGGTCGACCATTATATTCATAGAATAACCGTTCCTTCGCCTCCTGACCCCAACCAGCTTGCTCCATGGACACACTACTAGAAAACGATCTATTCGCATCCACATCCCACCCACACACCTCGAACCAGTACGTCCTTATATTTCCCACTTACCTCACAGAACTAACCAGCGCTACGTACACTCAAGACCGCCTGACGTCATCGCCCAAATCCGCCTAGCAGCCTCAACGCCCTCCGCGCTCACCCAGCTACTCGAGGACGAGCTCTTCCTCCGGAGCCTCTCCAGGTCACACGACGACCTCAAAGGCAAAGCCAGAGCCAGAGCCAGCGCCGACACCTCCCCATCAGACAATGGCTCCAAGCACCACACCCGCACCCGCACCGTGCGCCCCTCGCGCTCCATCATGGGCCTCGTCCTCGCCGAAGAAGAAAAACAAGCACACCACCTCAAGACCATGCTCCGCACCACCGTCGACCGCCTCGAAGCCTCCGCCCGCCTCACAACGCAAGCCTCCTCCCGCGCCGAGCTCGCCGAGCGCCGCGCGCGCGATATGACCGGCAAGCTCCGGGCCGCAGAAGACGCGCGGCGCGCGGCGGAGCTCGACGCCACGCGCGCACGCGAGGAGACGCGCCGGGCGCAGATGCAGATCGAGAGCCTCGAGCGCGAGGTGAAGAGGCTGAAGGGCGACGTGGGCGCGCTGGAGAGGCAGAGGAGGGAGGCGGACGAGGACGCGGCGCGGTCGCGCGAGACGGCGAGGGGGTTTCAGAGGGAGTATATGGATCATCTTGCGCGCGAGGAGGGGCGCGAGGCGGTGAGGCTGATGGGCCTGCGCAGGATTCTGAAGCGGAGGCAGGACGAGGAGTGGGAGGAAGGCGCCGAGGGCGAGGGGGATCAGTTTGGCCGGTTTGAGGAGGGGCGGGCGTACGGGTTCGAGGAAGGCCGAGATCATGGTGTTGACGAGGGACGCGGGATCGGGTTCATCGAGGGACGGAGGAAGGGGAGGAAGATGGGGTTCAAGGAGGGGCTCGAGCGGGGAAGGAAGGAGGGGACGGACCATGCGGCGGATGCGTTTGACCGGTTCGTTGCGACCGAGATGGATGGGTTGCAGGTGAGGCCTTCCATGACTTCAAATGCCTCGAAAATCATTGTATGCTGACGGCTTTGCAGTGGTCAAAGGCGCGCCGCAAACAAGACTGGCCAGACATAGAACACCCGTCGCCTGTCCACCCTCGTCCTCCATGGCTCGGTCGCCACGTCGGCGAATCACCACCCAAACGTGAAGACGATCATCGCTGATTGGGTGCGTCAAACCATTGCGCCTGCAACCTGTGTCGAAGTGGGCTTGGGATGAAACGCAATCAATCCACCGCCGAGGCGATGCTCCGGCTGAAAAGATGAAGATGGACTAGCGTCCAGGAACACGGACTCTCACAGAACCTGATTTGCATGATACATACACACTCGGGACAATCACGGAATGTTTTCAGTTTCAAGAATGTTCTTATGTCAATTGTGCATTACTCTCACATTAACTAACAATTCTAGAATAAAATATAAGAATTGATCGCTGTGTGTGAGGTACAGTAAGATCAGTTGCAGCCTCGAGCTCGTCAGAGATGGTGATGTGGAACGGGGACGACGTCAGAGGAACGATAAGCGGAAGCAATCTGAGGCACTGCTGCTAGATCTCGGAGCTGTGTGTGTTTTGATTCGAGTCGTCTTCGAGATAGAATAAGGATAATGATTTAGGACGCACAGAACAAAAGGCGCTGCACACCTTATGAACAAACAAGGCTCGATCGCATCACTATAACAGTCTCTTACCTCCTACTTATACCACTTGACCCCATCCAAACCCCATTCAAAATCTCCACCCAGTTCCAAGTCTCTCTTCATTTATCCCCACCCTCCCCTCCTCCATCCACCAAATCCCCAGTGCAATCCAATCCCACCCCAATCAAAAAAGACTCACCATGTCCATCCCCCCGCCCCTCGCGTCCGCCGGAGGAGGAGCCCGCCGCAGACCCAAAAACCTGCCCAGTTTGCCCATGTCCGCCTTCTCCCCGCCCAACACCGGCACCTCCGACATGTTCCCCATGCCCCCCACCCCCTCCGCCGTCTTCCCCGAGTCGATCGTCGACGCGCACGCCACACCCGCGACCCTCGCCGAGCTCCGTGAGGAGGGCGCGGCAAGGTTGTTGGCGGATAAGGTCAAGGGCGTTGTCCTTGTCTTAGATGGCGACGGCAAGGCGAAGACGAGCGAGGAGGTGGAGGCGGCGCTGGCGCAGTGAGTTGCGATTGGATCTCCATGGGTTTCGTTTGTTTCGTTGTGCTTCGCTTAGATTGGCGCGCGTCCTCGTCGCGATCATCTGCGCGATCGAGCGACACCAGTTCAGGGGTGGTTGGGTTCCCCTCCCTTCATTATCTCACTTTGCCATGTTATTCCGTCGACACCCATGCTAACCGCGCGCACCGCCACACAGACTGCAAATAGACTTCCCCGTCCTCTCCGTGCTCGTGCCCTTCTCCCTCTCCGCGCCCCCACCCGCCGCGGGCGGCGTGCCCGCCTCCGCAAAGTACCCCACGACGCTATACACGACCTTCAACGAGACCGCGCCCCAAGACGCGGCGGCGATGGCGAAGACCCTCCGCTGGGCGCTACAGACCGCGCGCGTCGTCGACATCGACGTGCAGGGCGACGCCATGGCCAACGACGCCGCCGACAGATTCGTCGCTCTCCTCACGGACGCGACCGAGGGGATGCAGGCGAGCCCGCCGACGATCGTGCTCTGTGCGTCTCCGCTCATATATCTATCCGCTCTCTCATCAATTCTCATTCCGCCCTGCCTTTGTTGACCCCGCTCGCTCATACCCACCCATGAATACTGAATACCGAATATACTAAATATTGAACGAACAAACAGCAAACGTCTGCCCGCCCCCGCACGACCTCTCCCTCCCGATCGTGAAGCTGATGAACCACCCGACATACCGCGCATACCAGTCGCAGACCGCCACCCTCTCCTTCTTCCCCAAGCTGCACATCAAGTTCACCCCGCCGAGCTGGGGCGCGCCCCTCCCGCCCCGCGGCACGCCGAGCGACCCGGGCGAGGAGGCGCTCGAGTGGAAGCGCAGGATCAAGATGTACAGTGCGTGTCTAGCCTTTAACTCTGTTTCCCGTTTCTGGTTCCGTTTCCGTTTTCTTGCTACACTTGTTCATTGTGATATTGCGACACTAACACCCGCCCCCGCCTCCTCCTCCCAGTCGGCCCCGTCCTCGAAGCCTTCGGCTACGAACGCATCATCTTCGGCACCGCGCCCTCCCCCGCGAACGCGAGCCTCAATAACGCAAGCGTCTTCATGGACTGGTACGCGCTCGTGCGCGAGTCCTTTGCCGAGCTCGCCGTCGAGCAGGAGGCGATCGACGCCGTCTTTGCCGAGAACGCGAGGAGGGTGTACGGTACCGGCGCACCGTCGTCGTCATGATAAATCGAGATAACGTGTATAATAACTGCAATAAGCGGGCTGTATGTGTGTCTGTGTATCGGATCTGTGTTTTGGGAACTGGGCAGGGATCAGAAGAAAAAATTGTAGACCAATGATCTGCTGTGCTCGAGCTCGTCGTTCCTTTCCTTGCCTGTATGCTTGTTTAGATGGGTGAATTGTCTGTAGGTTTACTGGTGACCGCTTCATGAAAAACGAGAAATGAACGTCAAATCTGGAACCAATACCTAATATAAATATGTCAAGTACAATAAAGTCTACATGAAGAGGAACAGCGCGAGCAAACATCGTCTGGTATACCACCTCCCACCACCCCCTTGCCCACAACCGCCACATCCGCCTACAGCTCATTAGCATCAAGCAGACGCGCCTGAGCCTCTTCGTCATCAACCTCGGTAGGATCATCGTCATCCTGATACGTCCCCCATATACTGTCACCTTCGGGACCGCCAACGACCAGCTCCAGCAGCTCCCTGGACATGTCTAATGGGCACCGCATAATCAAGTTCAGCTTGATTTCAATTCTGGCGCCAGAAACGACCGACGAACCTATCAGCTGGTCCATCTCGAGTTTATCCCCGTTCTCGATCCACTCTGGCGGATCTGCATAGCTAGACCGCCCCAGGACGACAATGAACGCGTGCAAAAGGCCGTTGAACGGCCGCGTCGGCGCGGCCTCGAGCTGCCTCCGCAGGTCTGGAACGGGCTCGACGCCAAAAACGATGGTGTACAAGAGAAACAACGTCTGGTTGATCGTCCGAATCGTTCTGCAAAAAATGCAGACGTCAATTTGCGTCGGTTAGAAAAGAAATGCAATTCCTCTTACTGGGAAATCTGCTGCGGAGCAACCGCATCCTCGTCCCCTTCCCAAATCAACGGCGACACATGGGCAAGGTACATCACAAGGCCCGGAACGAGCGTCGGAGAGCCGGCCAGGACCGCGTTGGCGTCGGCGTGCGACGCAGACAGCGACGCGAAGTACAGCAGGCTGCTGGATTTTACAGCGTCCGCCTAGTCCGTACAGTCAATAAACCGGGGGGGGG